AAAAAGATTAATTAGTAATAAAAGATTATTATTTATAAGCAGATACTAAAATAAATTCTGTTAGATTCTTTAAATTAAATATTAAATAAGCATAGTATTTTATCCCTAGACTAATAGTTAAACAGAACAGTAAAATTAGACTATAAAAATATATCTATATTATTATATAAATTTCCAGCAAGACAACTGGGCAGATTAGCTATTATTCGCGGAATTTATCTATAATAACTTAACCTATACCTCTTTAGGTATATCCCCAAATCAGGCATTAATAGGCTATACTCCTGTAATATTTTAGTTATCCGACTGTAAGATAAAGATATAGTATAAATTAATTAAATAATAGCAGAAACATATAGATAACCTTAGAAAAAGGCTAAAAGAATATTTTTAATAAGTAATTAAAATGCAGAAAGAATACTATAATTATTACTATAAACTAGTAATATTCTAGGTTAATAATAAGATCTTATTTAGTAAAAAAAACTTATTAATATAAAGGCTATCTAAAAAATTAAATAATAAATATATCAGACTATTTAAAGTTATAAAATCTGTCAGAAAATAAACTTACTAATTATACCTACCTAGATTATAAAAATAAGTTTATCTAATCTTTTATATTTCTCTTTTAAAACTATAGATCTAGCAAACCGGCAGCAGAACACCTATAATCTAAGAACCTATTAAAATTAATAACTAAGATAAATAAAAAGTAAAAAAGATTATTATATATTAAAACTAGTAAAAAAAAATTTAATATCTTATTAAATAGTCTGGGTTCCCTAACTATAAAAATATATAAGAACCTATAAATAATTTAGTAAACACCTTAGAAGCTCTAGATATATATAAGAATTTAAGACCTTATTATTTTTCTTAAAAATAGAGATAATATTTTCTCTTATAAGGTTTTTTATCTTTCTAGCAGGAAATAGATCTCTAGTAATTTACCTATAAAATAATAGTATATCTCTTTCTTTTTTATCCCACAGGATTAAAAATTTTAATAATATATTAAAGGCTATAAGTTAGTAATAAAATACAAAGAAAAATAGCCCGAAGGCCTATTTTTATTTAATATAAAAAAAAAAAATTTCTCGCCCTTACTAGACTTTATCTAATATTTTACTATCCTTAATCACGGGTATTATCTCCTCTTACACCAGATTAAAATAAGGCAGACCTAATATCCCCTGTTATAATTATATAAAACAAAATATATTATAATTTAAAAACTAATATATCTAAAATATTTTATTCTTAATACTCCGGTAGTAGCGCTCAAAGAACTCTATAATTATAATAAACTACTTACACACCTTTATTAAGTCTTTACTTCCGCAAGCAGCCTATACCTTACTTATCTCTTCCCGTAAAAAAATAAGAATAGACTTATAAAAATACTTCGCAGCCGCGTAGCACTCACATATTTTAATAATATATAATCAAATATATATTATCTGCGGTTTTAACCCTAACACCTTCATATATTAAAAATACCAGGCTAAAATAGGCGCGGCTTTAAAAAACTCTAGAATAAAATAAAATAATAATATAAAATAGCCCCGACCTCCAAGAAAAACTAGGAAAAATTAAAAAAATAAATAATAACTAATTTAAAAAAACTCCTTATCCAGGACCCTAATAATACCCCCCTGGATATCCTGCATAAAGCCAGAGATATTACTTTTTAATAATAAAAAAAATATATTAAAATATTTTAAATCCTTATCAGAAAAAATAACAGAATAACTATCCTTAAAAAAATAAAATAAAAATAATATAAAACCTAAAAAAAAAGGCCTTATATCTTTTAAGACTTCTATACCCTAGTTATTTTTATTATAATATAGATTTAAAAATATATAAAATTTATTTTTTTATTTAAATATCTTTTCCCCTACAGGATCGGGCATATTAATAAAAATTATAACCTATAAAAAAATTAATATCCTATTTATTTTTTTATATAAAATAATAACATACCAAAGCCAGTAACCTCTCAGGCTCAGAGAATAGTTTACTATCTAAAAATAACTCTAGAACGCGGACTAACAGATCCTTATTAGTAATAAGGCCTTTAATAATAATTTAAGTAATAGCAGCCTCAGCAGCACAGCAGATATCTCTAGCGCGTTATAAAAGATCTTATATAAGTAAAAAATCTTTTTAACTAAAAAAAAAATTATCTTATTAATTTTAATAATACCCCCACAAGTCAGCTACTCAGTAATAGTAATTTTATCCTTTTTACAAGAATAACAGCCAGCCAGCTTAATAGTATTTTTTAGCTTTTTAAGGCCTTACACGCACTCAAAGTTAGCCCTATACTAATTTAACCTATATACCGCAGGGCTCCCGCCAGAATTTTAAAAAAAAAAACTTATAAAAACAGAGGCGGAACCTCCTTCTAAAAAAAAAATAAAATAAATATATTTTTACCTTATTAAGGCTATAATAATCTTAAATAATAGAAAAATAAAGAAACTAGCTAAAAAACTAATTTTTATATAAATTAGTATAAAATCTGTCACCAGGGCAATACAGAACCTTATAATTAATTTTTTTTAATATAAAGAATAAATATAAGAATTTAAAAAAAAAAAATTTAATTTTATTAAATCTATTTATATTATTTACATTTATAGAGGGATATTAAATAGCCTCAGGCACCTATAAAGTACCTAATTATCTCAGTTTTTATATAGCAAATTAATCCCCTATTAAATATTAAACTTATAACAGCTACAGATAAGCTATAAAAATAATTTTAAATATAAAATAATTTTTAAAATAAAATAAAGTAATTTTATTTTATACAGAAATACTAAAGCAGAAACACAGGATATTATATTAAGTGCCCGAGAATAGCCGCTTTATTAAAAGAGACATATTTATTACTAGTGCTTATTTTAGCGCGGAATACAGAATAACCGGACTGCCAGAGATCTGCAGGATTACTAAGATATTTAGGAACTAATTCCCGCGAAACCCCTTATTAAAAAAAACCACCCGTTTAACCCCTAGGAGGTCAAGCAATTAATTCTATTTATTATATACCTGTTTCTTAACTCCTTATATCTCTCAGCACGTAGCAGGCGGTCCGCAGGCGTATCGCAGGCGTCCTGAACTCCTCGGTACATCCATCTAAGGGAACCAAGTGCCCGGAACAGAACCTTCGTGGCTGGCCCTTACATGTGCTTTATTACTGCCTAGTAATATATATAAAATTAGGGGATTAATATGGTAAAGGGCTAAGTTTTATTAAAAATAAGTTATATAAAAAAAATTATAATATTAGAATATTTAAAAGGGGCTGTAGCGCGTCTGAAAAATTAATAATTTAGTATTATTTATATAATATCTGAAGATATTAAGCCCTTAATAAAACCTTATATAGCTGTAAGGTTTTTAGCTATAAGGATCACAGGGGCTTAGCTGTATAGTGTTTTGGGATTACTTAATAATAATAGTACAGATATTTATAATATTATCGGGAGTGCTGTTAAGCCAGGTTATTAAGTATTAAATAATATTATAGGATTGCCTGTTTTGTCTGGTAATTAGTGTTTTAATATAGCCTGGTAGGTGGGGCTATTCTGGTAGCTAATAGATTAGAGCTATTAATATATTTTAGGCCTGCAGGTAGCATTCTTAGTAGCCTGCTTACTCTAATATCAGAGATATCCGCGGGTTTTTAGGGTTAAACAGGGTCCCTAGGTGAGTAGGGGTTATTTTGCTCAGAGAAGAGAAAATTTATATAAAAAATATATAATTTCTGTTAGATTATTTATTTTAAAAATAAAAAGGCAGATATATATTTTTCTAAGGCGAGTAATATAAAGAAATTAAGAGACAAAAAAATAAAAGAGATAGATATATATTTTTTTAAGATAAGTAATATAAAAAAATTAAAAAACAGAAAGATAAAAAAAACAGATATATATTTTTTTAAGACGAGCAATATAAAGAGATTAAAAGATAAAAAAATAAAAGAGGCAAATATATATTTTTCTAAGGCGAGCAATGCAGAGAGATTAAAAGGCAAAAAAATAAAAAAAGTAGATATATATTTCTCTAAAGTAAGTAATATAGAGAGATCAAGAGGCAGAGAGATAAAAGAGGTAGATATATATTTTTCTGAGGTGAGTGATGTAGAGAGATTAAGAGGTAGAGAGGTAAAAAAGGCAGATATATATCTCTCTAAGGCGAGCGATGCAGAGAGATCGAGAGGCAGAGAGGTGAAAGAGGCAGATATATATCTCTCCAAGGCGAGCGATCAATAATCTTTTTTTTAATTTAACCCCTAAGAAAACAATATAAATAGCCCTAAAAATTACTTTAATTAAGTAAAATAAGCAGAGAATAACACAAAAAATTGTTACTCTTTTATAGCTAATAAAATCATTTGTTTTAAATTAAAGCATTTTATTGAATTAGTCATATTCCACAGCGGAATAAAATCCTACCGATTTTCTGCCACAACAACCAACCGCTCACGTGGTGAGTGCCCTCATCGGCTATGCATCAACACCTGCTTTAGAGGCCCCTACACTATACTATGTAATATAAAACCTATATAGGCTTATAAGATACTTGATTAGGTTAGATTAATAAAAATTAAAAATAGCTAAAATACTTATTTTTATATTGAAATAGAAATATAATCTCAAACTATATCCGTGAATCACAGCTCCTAAAGACCTCTAAGAGTGGCCGCAGCTCATCGCGGTCGGTAAAAGGCACCTAAATACCAGGTGCACAACACCTGGATTGCCCCTTACACACTTACAAAACAGTAGAAAAGATAGAATGCTACAGATAGTCAGTCCTGTCACAGTAATCCGTCCCCACACCCGACGGACAAGTAGGTAGAGTCCAGAGCCTTAACTCGTTATCCGTACAGCCTATCATAATTCCCTGTACTACCATTAGTAATACTATACTTTAGCTCTTTAGCTGAAACTCTAACCACCACCTCTTCAATCGGGGTTCTAGACAAACACTTCACGGGGTTCATATTCTTGTATCAATATTTGAATTTGAACTCATGCACTAGTATCTCCTCTTCCTGTTCTTCTCCTTCGTCCTCTTGTTTCTTTTTAACACCCATACTGTTTCCAAAATCAGTCTTGCAAGGATCTCTCGGTCGATCAAAATCTCTCAACGGAATCCAGCGAACCACTCAGCTACTGCCCTATAAAACATATATCAGGCCATCAAAAGAACTCTGGAGCTGACATTCCTTGCCATACACTGTTATAAACCATGTCATTTTCTACTCTTGTTTCCGACCTGGCCTTCAGAGACGCTGTCGACGATCGGAGTTCACAGATATCGCATGCACGGTCACAAGCGACTGCTCGATCACACACAAGTACTGCTGCAACAAGTGTGAGCATATCTGGCGATATCTCAAGCCACCTCCATGCTGGTTACAGCCACCCATTGAGCCGGTCATGGCAAGCCGAAAGGCAGCTTACCAAGGTGTGAACAACCCCCCCCCTTTAAACATCAATTACTTCGAAGTACTGATTATGGAGTAGGAAATGCTGATATATCCGTTGTTCATAACTGATAACCCGGATGAAGAGACTCCTATACCGTCACTCCCTAATCAGTATCGCAGAGGACTAAATCGTCTTCTTCCTTTCCTTAAACCCCTTGTTCACAAAGGTTTACGCTCAGTGATGCTGTTCGGAGTCCCACTGCATCCTTCTGCAAAAGATGCTCTGGGAACTGCTGCAGATGACCCTTCTGGCCCAGTCGTTCAGGCTATCCGTCTCCTTCGATCGCGCTTTCCCCAGCTTTACATTGTAACGGATGTGTGCCTTTGTGAATACACGTCGCACGGTCATTGCGGAATACTCCGGGAGGATGGAACACTCGACAATGCGCAGTCTGTTGATCGCATTTCAGACGTTGCCCTCGCTTATGCTGCTGCTGGTGCCCACTGTGTTGCTCCGTCTGATATGAACGACGGAAGAGTGCGTGCCATCAAGCTGAAACTCATTGAGGCCGGAATTGCCCATCGGGTCCTCCTAATGTCATATGGGGCGAAATTTAGTGGCTGCCTGTATGGTCCTTTCCGCGACGCTGCAGGCTCGTGTCCTTCATTCGGAGACCGGAGATGCTACCAACTACCCCCTGGAGGCCGAGGTTTGGCTCGACGTGCAATGCAGCGCGATATTGGTGAGGGAGCAGACATCATAATGGTGAAGCCTGCGGGTAGTCACTTGGATATAATACGCGACGCCAAGGAGCTCGCAAGCGATCTCCCAATTGCCGCCTACCAAGTGAGTGGGGAATATGCCATGATACATGCTGGTGCTAAAGCCGGTGTTTTTGACCTGAAATCAATGGCATTTGAAAGCACTGAGGGTATCCTCAGGGCAGGCGCCGGGATTGTAGTGAGTTATTTTGTTCCAGAATTTTTGGACTGGCTCTAGCATGTGTAAGTAGAGTTGGCCTGCACTTTGGTTGGCTTTCATCCAATAGTAAATTGTAAAGCCCCGGACTTTCGTGTTAGCTTCTATGGCTGTCTGCAAGCTCTGCTTATGTATGTTACTGATGTTATTTCGTATCGGCAATTAACCATATGATGCTCTACACAAGGCTCTGCAACCCTAAACTACAACATCGTGAAACCGACCTATCCAAGCCTGGAGGCTTGTGAGCACCTTTTTCAATCACCACCGGCCCCGTGAGAAAGCTGGCTCGAGGGATTTTTCGCCAGGCTACATGTGGTTATACTGCGGCATCAGGACGGTCATTTGTAGGATCAAGATTGATGACTTCACATTGTTATTGTACTCAAGAAGAGTCTACTGAGCTTACAAACCCATCACATGTAGCTTGGCTTGAGACCTTGGAAACCATAAGCTACAATGTCAGATTTGACTATTTCCCCTGGAGCTACATAAGCTCCGCGTCGAAGACGAACACCGGGGTAAATAATGCAACCAGCACCAACATAGCAATCCTCCTCAATTGTAACAGGCCGGCCTTGATAGCGACTTTGCGTGCCCTTTCGTTCTTGCATATTCGCGTGAGCCATTGAGCTGAGAATAGTAACCCTGGGGCCTATCCATGTGTGAGCACCGATGGTTATAGGACAGTCATCCACAAACAGGCAGCTTTCGGAAACCATCACATCCTCCCCAATATGTATGTTGTACCCATAGTGGCACTGAAAGGGCGCCTCAACAAGAGCTCCTTGTCCAATTGTTCCTGTTGGCCGAGGCGACGAGACACCCGAAGGTGAGCCAACTGGCGAGCTGTGTGGTACTAGAACTTCTTTCAGAAGACGATTCTGCTCCTTTGCGTTGAGACCAGAGACAGGATTGCATGCGCTATTGAACCGCCATAGTGCTGTCCTGCATCGCTCTCTTTCTTCAACCAGGTGGATATCGAAAGGCCTGTACAGATCACCCCTTATCATTTTTTCCTTTTCCGTTTCCTCACCAGTGACAGTGCGAGTCGACAGCTGCTGTTCGATACTTAGAGCCATCCGCGCTTGCGCTTGCGGGCTGGTAGTGTCTATAGTATTGACAATAGTTGGCCGCTGGTCAAGCCCGCTCTGGAATAACGAGACACCCTGTTTCCCGTGTGTTCCATGTGAAAGTTCTCGGATGGGTGGAACAATTTGATAGTCAGCCTTTGGAGGGCCTTCACGTGGTAATTCATGGATTGACGGCACTTCGCGGTAATCGGGTTTGGCGACGTGGTCGGCAATGTAGGCGGGATGCCCCGTGCCTGGCCAATTCCGCTTGGACCAAGAGCCACGGTTTGACGCAGGGCCTGTTGGACTTGAATTGAATTGAGAAGTCGATCGATCACCCTCATCGACAATGATTGGCCTTATCTTGCTAGCTTCCAGTTGATCGTTCAGGTTGTGCTGGCGGTCATGGTGCTGGCTGACTTCGTGAATGTATTGATTACCAATGTCGGCATATCCGTCCTTTGATTGTAGAGGAACGGGCGTCTTTGCGTTCGAAGGTTTTTGCCACGTGCTCCTAGAGGAATAACCCTCGCAGAGGAAGCCGCCTCTGATACAGTTGTTACCTATAACTAGGTCAGAATTTGCGGGATATTGTTTACAAGTACGACTTGTCAAGTCAAGGGGATTTGAGACAATGATTTCGTTGGGCAACCTACATGCAGGATGTTGTTCATCACACTTTTTCTTTCTCCTTCGACAAGTCATGCAACCAGTTTTTGTTCTGTTGCTAAAAACACGCTTTCTTTTTGGCGCAACTTGCACGGCCGTCTGTTGCCGCTCCTGAGGGAAAGTAGATAGCGGCGAAGTGTGGTCACTGTGCAACTGTACTTCTGTGCGATGAATCATGGTCCAGTCCTTTTGAGTTGCATCTTGGCCATGAGCTTCACGCTGGAGTGCTTCCGCCAGCTGAGCATCAGACGCATCGATTTGCTGTGCGCGTTGTGCTTGGTTAACCAACTGCGAGTCATACTCATGCCAGCCAGCATTGGCAGACGATGCCCGCGAAGCCTCTTTTTCCTCCGATCTAGGGTTCAGTGCGGTGGAATTGTTTTTCGATTCAGGATCGCCGTGGGTCGTTGCATTGCCGTTGGGCGCGGGGGGCTGCGTCGCAGTACCTATATGGTCGTCTGGGCGAGGAGCCGGACTTCTGGGCCCTTTCTGTGGTATATAACCATCCTCTTGTTCGTCGGATTCTGACCGCTTCCTTTTGCTTCTGTTTATGGGGGATCCACCGCGTGACAGCGAGCGCTGCGACCGTCGATCATCTTGATCATGCCCTGTGGTGCCATTTTCTCGGGTTCGATCGTCGTGCCGAGGTAGCGTATCCTCGTACATAGGTCTTTTCCAACCGTCAGAGATATCTCGATTCTCGGTAGTTGTAGAAGCCGCAGCTCCAGACAGCAAAAGGTCCTTTCCATTTACTGCAGTAAAACGCGATGGACTGTGGTCTGCCCTGTAATCCCTTTCTGACTCGTGATCATCCATCACCGATGCAGAGGTGGAAGCGGTCATGGTATGGGTTGTTGCTAGAGTTTCAGCACGAGCGGAGGCGGAGATAGAGCGAAACCTAACCACAGCAACCTTATGTCCCGCTGCTCGGATAAGGCTGGTATGGTTGATTGCTTGAGCAGGTTCGTAGGTCTCGTTTCACGTACTGAATCGGCAGCCGGTGGCTTCAACACCGTGCCTTTTCAATTCACGTTTGGAACCGAAATCTGCAGGCTTCATACGAACTTGCATGCGTAGACTATAACGCGCAAGGACAACCAGCACGGACAAGTGAGAGCAAAGGCAAGAGGCAACTTGAGCTAAAGTAATCCGAGTAAAATTGATTGAGCACCCCTTTTGTCGACAGCCAATGTTCATGGGCCGAACGATGTTGATTTCAAGACAGAAGGCTGTTAGCAATTCGCCGCGTGAGAAACAGAAAGCGCCAGGCAGAGGTAAAAAGAATGTTACAATTCAGAGGTAAAGTGTGGGTGCCAGGATGGCAGAGGAATTGAAAGGTGAAGGAAGACCTATTATTGCATATGACGCTTTAGCATCGCAGTAATATGAGCGAATCACACTAGTATCAGTGGTGCGTTTTTTTTTAAGCAAAAGAAAGGAAAGAAATGCCCAACCAGCGCCGCCCACGGACAAGTTTAGTAGGTATTCCGCAGTTGTAAGATGAAAGAGGGGAAGGGAAAGTAAAGAAAGGAGGGGATGGACTGTCAGTGTCAGGTATGGGAGGGGAGAGGGATAAGCGATCGCAAATATGCCAGTGCGAGTGAGATCTTTAATGTGCTTTTTTGTCTGTTTTTTTTGTGATTGTTTTTATATTTTAAAATTTAATATTTTGAAATTTATTATTTTCCTCTTCCTCGCACTCTCTCATGTGCTTTGCTTTTTGTTTCTTTATCTTCTTTTTCGTTTTTGCCGCCTTCAAAGGGCACAATCGACTAAAGCAAGTGTCTTGACAAGGGGCTGAGGGGTCGCGACGAACCGGGCAAGCGAAGCAAACAACCTAGGAACAACAATTGAATATTATTCCTGACGCAGGAATAAGACCGACGACACGTAGGAGGCACGCCCACAAAGTCGAGACTTGTTCCCAGGCCCTCCGGTGCGGGTTGGTACCACCAGGTGTAATAATTACTCAGGACAAGTACTTCTGGTTGTCGAGAGTAAGATGCGGCTGCCAGCTGGCTGAGGTGAACTCAATTGGCTCTGACTTGACGCGCGATCGGCCACACCGCGGCCATCTGAAGAAGCTGGTTGGCTACTCCACCCAAAAAACCCGGGTCGAGTAGGGTGGGCAGTCACATCAGTTAGTGTCTTAGTACACTTTACTTGGCCTAGTAGCGTGATGGCGCGCTCAGGCGACACGCCACCTTGAGAAAAGGGGTGGATGGGTGGGGCGCCATTCTCTCGATGCGTAACTTCTCAGGTCACACCTCTCCCACTCCCTCCCTCAATACCCGCGAGGGAAGCGCGGCACGGCGGCCGTGGGGGAGATGAGCTTACAGTACGTAGTGGGTCGGGATTTCTGCCTGGCCTACCGGGTGAAGTCGCGATGCTAATAACAATATGTAGGTATACTCTGAACCCCGTACGTACACGGGTTCTGTTAGGTGGGCGGGAAAGTTGAGGCCGTCCTTTGCCATGGGGATGCCTACCTACTACCTACGGTACTACCTACCTAGGTAGTAGCTACCTATAGCTGATAGGTCATTATCGTCTAGGTGCCTAGGTACTGTACGCAGTACCTACCAACGCGTGATAGGCACGGTACCTACTTTTGGTACCTAGTACTCGCTACCAGGCGATACCACCCCCTCTTTAGTCGATTATCCGCTAATGGCGCCAGGGTGTCTTACCATGTAGTAGGCCCGCGGCTACGGATGGCACGGTTGGTTTAGTTACACACAGGGCATAGGCACCGTACCTACTCCGTAGTTGAAGCAGATAAACTACATACAGGTAGGTAGGTATCTATGCACATTGTTACGTACTCCGGAGTACGTACAGAGTTCAGTGTATATATACCTAGGCCAAGAGAAGTTAAGTTGGCTTTTGGCGTCATACCTCCCCCGAGCAGAATATGTTTCCCCTGCCTCGCTCGGTACAACCTGAATTCATCAGGTGACCGGGCCTGGAATTTTATCAGCGAGAGTTGGACCGATATCCGGTCAAGTAGTTGCATCTTGATCTTACCGGTTTTTGAGGCTGGCTAAGGTAGTTGGTTACGGAGTAGTTACCAGGTAGTCCTGTGATGACTAAGCACGCGATCTTAGAGATGCCCCATCAAAGTCCTACAACCTTAGCAGAGCGCCTTTATTCTCACCGCCAGTGGCCTGCGCAGCATTATTTCCTGACAAAGAATCATACCTGCAGTTACTGACTTTTTCAAGTTGCCGCCATTCAACCCCACCCCATCTCTGGCCATTTGATTACTCGTCAGCTTGCAATTTGTTCGAGGAGCTTGAACGTCGTTGGCGAACCCCTCCACGAAAGCTCGACCCCACCAAAACATTCAATCTTTCTGCCCTACTTCACATAACTGCCGCCTTCACCTGAACTGATCTGAGACTTTCACTGTCTCCTCCTAGGCTTAGGACGTCTGCTGTGGTTAGGGCTGTGCAGAGGACAGTATTGCTGATTTCTGGACCGGGATGTCGGTTTCCATACAAGAGTTGGACAACACTGTCCGAGCCTTCTATGAGGGCAAAGGAGACCTGGTGAGTCGTGGCTAGATCTTCCTCCTGCGCGTCGGGTACTAACGCACGTTTTCAATCCTACAAGCAAAAACAAGCCCAGCAGACTTTAACGGAGGTGAGCCCACCGTTTCCGCGTGGAGGATCTTGCCATAAGAACTGTTTTTAATCATCCCCAACCTTTAGTTCAAGCAAAACCCGGACGCTTGGTTAATTGTAGGGAACATCCTTCAAGAGTCGTCGTATCCGCAAACCAAATGTGTGATGACCTCTGCCGTTCCACTTCCGTTGAAGCCTGGAGACTGACTGCTGACCAAATTAGATCTTGCTCTCCAAGTCCTTGACGATGTCATTATGACTCGCTGGAAAGTCTTGCCAAGAGAACAATGCCTAGGTAATGTCGTTGGATGTGGTTAGGTTGAATAAAACTGATCCAACTTGCCCAGGTATCCGGAACTTCATTGTTAACTTCATCATCGAGAATTCCAATTCGGAAGAGAAGCTTAGAAGTGAGCGAGCCTTCCTGAACAAACTCAACCTAGTCCTTGTCTCTATTCTGAAGCAAGAATGGCCACACAATTGGCCAACCTTCATCAACGAGATCATTTCGTCGTGCCACACGAGCCTGTCGATTTGCGAAAACAACATGTCCATCCTTCGATTGTTGTCGGAAGAAGTCTTCGATTTTTCCCAGGATCAAATGACTTCGGCGAAGGCGCGGAATTTGAAAACCTCCATGACGCAAGAGTTCTCTTCGATTTTCCAGCTGTGCTCAGAAGTCCTCAGCACTGCGAACCAACCCAGCCTGGTCAAAGCTACCCTAGAAACCCTTCTCCGATTTTTGAACTGGATTCCGCTAGGGTATATTTTTGAGACATCCATCATCAACACTCTCATTACCCGCTTCTTGGATATTCCCGACTTTCGGAATGTGACTCTCAAGTGCCTCACCGAGATTGGGGGCTTGCAGATCGGGAGCCCGTATAATTACGATGAAAGGCTGATCCACATGTTCACGGAAACTCTGACAATTGTTTCAAAGACTATCCCACTGTCAATGGACCTGAAACAGACATTCGCTAAGAGCAATTCGAGGGACCAGGAATTTGTGCTAAACCTGGCACTGTTTCTATGCAGCTTCTTCAGTGCCCATCTCACCGTAAGTCTCAAACACGTCTTGCCTGGAGGCGGAATGAAGTACGAGAGCACTGACCGTGGTTTGCAACAGCTCGTCGAGAAACTTCCGAACCGGGACTATCTTACCCATGCGCATTTCTATCTCATCCGTATCAGCCAGATCGATGACCGGGAGGTATTCAAGATCTGCCTGGAATACTGGACCCGGCTTGTTCAAGAGCTTTATGAAGAAATGCAACAACTCCCGATCACTGATATTAACCCCTTGGTGAGCATGGGTGTTAGTGGTCTATCGAATGGCGGAGCGCCGCACCCTAGTACATTGGCCAACTATCCTCTCCGCAAGCACAAATATGAGGAGGTCTTGTCAAGCCTACGTACTGTCATGATAGAAAAAATGGTGCGCCCAGAGGAAGTCCTTATCGTCGAGAACGACGAAGGGGAGATAGTGCGGGAGTTCGTGAAAGAAAGCGACACGATCCAGCTCTACAAAACAATACGGGAGTGCTTGGTTTACCTCACACATCTCGACGTCGTTGACACCGAGAATATCATGATTGACAAACTGGCCAAACAAGTCGACGGTTCCGAATGGTCGTGGGCCAATTGTAATACGCTCTGTTGGGCGATTGGGTCAATCTCTGGAGCCATGAACGAAGAGACTGAAAAGCGCTTTCTTGTCACTGTCATCAAGGATCTCCTTGGTCTTACAGAAATGAAGCGTGGCAAAGATAACAAGGCTGTCGTGGCTAGTAATATCATGTACATTGTCGGGCAGTATCCTCGCTTTCTGAAGGCTCATTGGAAATTCTTGAAGACAGTGGTCAATAAGCTTTTCGAATTCATGCATGAGACGCATGAAGGTGAGTTCCCGGCCCTTGATCCAACATACGTCGTCTAACATTCATTAGGTGTTCAGGACATGGCTTGCGACACCTTTATAAAAATTGCCAATAAGTGTAGACGCCATTTCGTTGCACTGCAACCGGGAGAAAATGAGCCATTCATCGAAGAAATCGTTCGCAACATGAGAAAGATTACTTGTGACCTTTCTCCACAGCAGGTCCACACCTTTTACGAGGCATGCGGCTACATGATTTCCGCACAAGGGCAAAAGGGTCTCCAAGATCGATTGATTGAGAATCTCATGTCCCTGCCGAATGCCGCCTGGGACGAGATCATTGCGCGGGCCAATCAAAACTCGTCAATTCTCCAGGATGGGGAAACAATCAAGATCGTTGGAAATATAATGAAGACAAATGTCGCTGCCTGTTCGTCGATTGGAACTTACTTCTACTCTCAACTCGGGCGTATTTATCATGACATGCTCAGCATGTTCCGAGCGTCCAGCGAGCTCATAAGTGGCGCTGTTTTGCAGGACGGTATGGTCTCGTCCCCTTCTTATGTTCTCTGCATTGATTTTCCCTTAATATGACAAGCACTGACCATCCTTAGGAGAAATTGCCACGAAGACCCCCAAAGTGAGAGGGTTGAGAACAATCAAAAAAGAAATCCTCAAACTTATTGACACTTATGTACAAAAGGCTGATGACATGGAAATGGTCAATGCCAATGTTGTTCCGCCGCTTCTCGAAGCCGTTTTGCTGGACTATAGCCGGAATGTTCCTGACGCACGAGAAGCCGAGGTTTTGAATGTGATGACAACAATCATTCATAAACTACATGTATGCAGCCCCCCGGTTTATGATTTTGTCTCTCCCCACATTTCAGGGAAACATGCCTTGTGGTATGGTTATCTGTCGCAGCAAATATTAATTTTCATTTCAGAACCTGATGGAAGACAAAGTCCCATTGATCATGGAGAGTGTTTTCGACTGTACACTGGAGATGATCAACAAGGACTTCCACGAATATCCCGAACACCGCGTGCAGTTCTTCAAATTGCTTCAGGCGATCAATTTATATTGCTTCCCTGCCTTACTCAAACTCGATGCCACCCAGTTCAAATTTGTGATCGACTCCTGCATGTGGGCAAGCAAACATGACAATCGCGAAGTTGAGAACACTGGCCTTACGATGTGCCTTGAGCTCATGAACAACATGGCAGAAACGGATGCTCAAACATCGACTTTCTTCTTTCGTCAGTTTTATATTGCGATACTACAGGACGTATTCTTTGTTCTTACCGATAGTGACCACAAAGCCGGTATGTTTTCCCAACCGACCCATGAACAAGACTCATTTCTCTCTAGGTTTCAAGTCACAAGCAATGCTCCTGTCGCGCATGTTTTACTTCGTCGAATCCGGAAAATTGCAGGAGCCTATCTATGCCCCTGAGCAAGCCCCTCTTGGAACCTCCAACAAGGAGTTCTTGCAAGAATACGTCGCAAATCTCTTGCAAAATGCTTTCAAGAACCTGCAAGAGTACGAACCCCCCCAATTATTTTCTGCTCTACGTTCTCCAGTACAGCGGCTGACTTAAGTACAGAATTCAAATCAAACAATTTGTCATCGGACTCTTCACGTTCAACGATGATTTCAATAAATTCAAAACCCATTTGCGGGATTTCTTAATCTCCCTCAAAGAGTTTGCGGGCGACAATGCTGAGCTGTACGCAGAAGAGCGAGAGCAGGCTTTGCGAGACGCCAAAGCGGCCGAGCGCGATCGTGCAATGAGAGTCGGAGGTCTTTTAAAGCCATCCGAAATGGACCAGGAAGACGAGCTATGACTAGATAAAGAACTACGCCCTGAGGTCCCTCCACAGCTTTCAGTTCTTGACAACGTTGCTGGTGGCATGGTGAAGTCAGAGTCTACCTGTAACAAGGACCAGCTCGATGGCTGGTCTTTTTACGGAATTTGAACCGAGGAATTACTTAGCCTTCAATCACTGATTTCAGGATGAGTGTTTTCAGTACTCTTCTCTTCCCCCCTTTTTTTTGTGACAAAGCCGGCTTTACATTATTTCCGCTGCATTTTAGCTGTATCTGCTATGCGACCTTGGATCTTGTTTTGCCCAGCAACATAACGCTGATATCAGATGGACGTTTGGTTCCTGGGCTAAGACTGTGTCGCACATGACATGCAACTAGTCAATGACGGAAATCCGGCTCCTAAAATCATATTTCCTGTTCATTATTGCCCAATAGAAATCTGTAATTTGCATTATGAACAGAGGAGGCATCCCGATATCTCGAGTTTGAATTTAGTATTGAGCGATCTAGACGAATATCATCTTAGGAGGTCTAATATATCAATCACCCTCTTTGCCTGGGGTGTTTTGCGCCTAAGGCGGTGAGCAGTCCTGCTGCGTCGATTCTATTTTCTTGGGTGCTTGCTTCCTTGACCTTCTTGCGCCCAACGGTCCGGCGTTGTACAGCAAAACTCCGGAATATTCATACAAAGAGTTACTTTGAGCGTTTACACCCAAAACTGTTGCTAGGCCGGGTTCGCAGAAGACATCTAGGCTCTCAAATCCCGATAAGCGCTGATACCTTTGATCCTCGCGATGTCTCGATCGCTGCAAACTCCACTGGGAGGACCGTCATCAGGATCCCAGACCCAGTCAATTTCTCGCCAGCCTGCCGAATCTTCAGCCCGCACGCAAGGTACTCTAAGGTTGAGAGCTGAAAACGACTCTGTTAGAGAGAATGATTTGGATGGGTCTACATCTAGGCGTATACGGTGGAGTGAGGATGTTGTAGATAATGAAGGGATGGGCAAAAAAAGCTCCAAAGGTGTGTACTTTCCGAGTCTTCGGCTTTTCGACTTTTGCTTTTCCCCATTCTTAAGGATCAAATTACCTAACTTCATTGCGCGGGGGCATCGGAATCAAAGTGTGTTGCATCTACCATAAAAACCGCCCTGTCGGCGAAAGTAGTTCAGAGTCGGAATCTTCGGATTCAAGCTCCAATGATTCGGACAGTGACTGTGAAAGAGATCAACGGGGCTCTGGAAACGGCAGCCATGACCACGGGCATGGACCCTCAAATCAGTCTCAGCAAACCAGCAAGGGAGGACAGTCGAACTGTCCCAAACACCATGGGAAGTATAAGCAAAGAAAACGAAGTCCCAATGCCTACGAGAAGATGCCTAAAACGAATAAAGGCCGATGAGAAATTTGGTTGTCCAGATTGGAATAGAGGAGCACCTCAATCGGCTTGGAGCCACATACCAAGCAGTGGAATGGTACATAAATATCGCCATGTTCCATAAAAATTACGACTTCCCGACATGTACGCTCCTTTCATTATGTGTGCTTTGGAAGCGTGCTGAATTAGTGAACGTAGCTAACCCGGACAAAGGGACGTTCTTTTTTGTACCCTCGCAAATCAAAATTATTTCAACACGGCATATGGGGTATATACGTATCAGGCATAATAGGCCTTTGGCGCAGAAATTCGCTTACATACAATGTGTCCTGATCAACCTGATCTGCTCACTCACAGCATCATACTTCTTCTTCTCACGGACACCCGCTGTGCCCTCCTAGTCTGGCTAGTTCCGATTTCCAATGACGTTGACTCGTTATGGAGGCTTTCTGAGACATCTGCCTGGATCTCTGACGGGGCAGACATTTCATCCATTATGGGATCACTGGAGGAAGATAGTCTGGCCAAAAAAGATGGTGACGAAGCGCTTGGTGATTCTTTGTCCGAGACAACCTTATTATGTTGAAGTGGAGGAGGCTCTCGCGAGTACGATCTTTGGTTTGAGGAATGTCGCCGAGCTTGCTTCTTTGTATGTGGTGCTGTTTTGGAAACATCCGCAAGTTCCACTGATGCATCACCGATGTTTCCAAATTCTGGCTGCCGTGAACGCCCTTCCATGTTTGTTTTTAGTTCCCTGATGCTCTTGTTTTTGGGTTGTCTTTCATAACTGGGACTCATCACAACGGGTGAAGCATCGATTGACCCATTAGAAGAACGATACTTCCCTGACGAAGTATCTAAAGATGGTGAATTTTTGCGTTTTCTCTGTGACACCGAATTCATTTGGTGTGTAGCTGACCCATCCGAGAAAGGTACTGCAGTACTATCCATGTCCATGGAACTCGAGTTAACCCGGGAATTTGCTCGTCCAATACTTCCATCACACGTGTCTGTTTTCGTGATCTGAGAATTCGAGACCCTCCTTGATTGGCCATTCCCAACTGCTGCTATTAATTCATTGTTGGAGCGCCGCATCTTGTCTCGTAAGTTCGGCTCCGCATAGCTCACCACTGCTCTCTGGCGCCGGGTGGGTCGTGACGGCGCGTCCGACAGTGCTGTTGACGCCTCGTTTGGCACAGCAGTTAATGGTGACGAAGGCTTCAGTTCTTCTTTCGTACATCCTGGCTCTGTAGTGGTCGGCTTGTGCTTTCTCTCATCTCCATGATCATCAGAATCGTCGGCATCATCCCCCCCCATTCGTGTATTTTGTCCAGGAGAAATACTTTCATTTGCTGTTGTTGATTTTGAGGCATACTCTTCATTCCTGACACCACCGACAACAGAAGGTTGAAAGTGATTCCCTTTTGCTGGAGCCCGAAGCCTGCCCGAGGAGACTAAATCCAAGTTCGGGTTCTCTGTAGTTTTGTGAGCGGTGGACTCGGAGATATGCTAGAATTATACGTACTTGGCTTGAGCGCCTTGCGCTTGGGTTGTCCATTCCCCATTGGATCGTTCTTTACCTCTGGTGGTCCTTTGACCGCCAGGTCAACGCATGGTTCGCTGCGCTCGCACTTCCTAAGCGCAGTCGGCCGGTTGAATTTGAAATCATCTTCTGGCGAAGTCGTCACAGCAGTCTCGTACTCTGGACTGAAATCATCTTTGATGTTGGTACTTTGGAGACGTTCGGGGCTCAGGTACGATTGAATCGATTCAGAATTGACATGCAAAGGTTCATTTGTCGAAGTTGTATTGTACTTTCGCTTCTTCCTTGTTTCCAGCGTCGGGGGAAGAAAGGAATCATTGATTCCTGAAACGCCTTCGATTGTCTTGTAGTCCGCAAAACCATTCGACGATGGTAGGTGTGAATTGGTCTGCTCAAACTGAGCTTGAGTGGTTGAACTCTCGGCTATTAGCGGCGTCGGCGTCTCTGCGGTGCTGTCTATCGATACAAGAAGTTCATAAGACCTGGTTTGTCTTAGTAAATGAGCAGAAAAGCTGTTAGAACATTGCTCGTGACTAACCCTGATTCGTCCCGTGGGTAATCCTGGTCTTCCGGAATAACAGGAAGTCTCCAATCCTGTTCGGGCGCGAAATTTGGTTCATAATTTGCCTCGCGCCTTTGGTCCCAGTTCGACTGCGCCGAATCTCTTTGCGCCCCACTATCAAATCTTTCGTTATATGTCTTGCTGAATTGACGAGGTAAGGCGCCAAGACCAATGACCAGATTATTTAGCTCAACCAACTTATTCTCGAGCTTTGTTTTGATATCATATACTCCGTCATGCAGCAATTTCGCCGCCTCATACCTATCTATCTCCTGACCAAGGGTAATCGTTTGCTCTCTCAGGGAGACATTTTCGGCAAGTAGATGAGAGACTTCAGACTCCAGACTGCGTATGCGAAGCGATTGCATCGAATTCACTCTGGCAAGTTCGCGATTCTGTCTGACAAACCGCCTTTTAACTGACGCAACGCAAAAGCCCCATCTTGTTAGATATTTGAATGAAATAGCCCAGAAATAAACGAGGAATATATCCTAAGGGATCCCACTCACGAGCTTCGACAGACTCCACAGAGGCTGTTGATTCATTCAGGCGAGCCATGTTGCAAGTCCAGCTTGCCGGCCTTGCTTCTTTGCACGCTGCTTGTTGGGCAGAAGCCGCTGTATGGAGAGATTCTCTCACAGGAGAGATCGATAAGGATGGTTATGGGCAAAGTGCCTGGCTTTGGTCTTCGGATAGGATAGCTGCAAGATAATCAGGGCAGTGGGGGTGGTGCTGTGGTAAACAGAAGGAGTTGCGGATGTTGATGTTTATCCCGATTAGGTCTAGTTGGCGCTTACATAACGCGACAAGCCCCAGCGCCCAGCGCCCTCGTCAAACATATGCATCATCCCGCGGAATTGGGCCCCAGTCAACAGCGATAATTGGTATGACCCATGGTATTCGTGCCTCTTTCCTGTGCTCTCGCGATTATACTAAGCAATAAGAAGGTATCGAAGGTTCCCCACCCCCCGCATTGCGTCGCCGCGGATGAAGCCGCTTTGGAGTTTTCCGCCAAATTAAGTCGAGCTTGCTATCATGGCCTATCCAGCGCGCGCTACCTCGATGTTCCCAGGCTCATCTGCTGCGCCGAGTTTTCGCCAACCAAGCAGCCACAATGCCCAGCAATCGTCAGCATTGACCGCCCGTATCGCATCGAAGAAGTCTGAATTAGATAGTCTGAAACAACTTCGCGACATGAGCAGTGCGCTGGCGGCGCAGATGCAAGCCTTAGAGAACAAGTTGGGGACACTGAAGGATGGCACGGAAGGTTTGTCGCGCCATTTGATGCTTTCTTTCTTCACTCACTCTCATGTCATGTCGTAGCCATTGCTTGTGTCCTTGCCAACTGGGACAGCGTGCTTCAGGCAATCAATATGGCGTCCAGTAAGTGCTATTCATCCATATGGGGATTACCCTCATCTGCTACTAGTGACAAGCCAGAGAAAGCTAACCTTCCATCACCGTGGACTTTCTAGCAAAAGCCGCAGCCGTACACGAGCGGGCAGCGCCCGGTTCAGACGCTGAAACCCAAGATGGCGTTCCCGCTATGCCTTCGATCCTAGTCCGGATCCCCGCAGACCAGCCAGAGGAACCACGAGTTGAATAGATCTCATCGCGCGTGGGAAACTATTGCAGCTCCTTGTACATGACTTTGGGGGAATTTTAGCGACAGCCTCCCAAACAGAGAATCAATGTTACGATGTCAACGTATCCAATCCAAATGTATCGACAAAACATCTTATCTTGGCTGGATGATTCTATGCCTGGCTAAGGTGCGTCGTATCGTATTCCAGGCTGTACGCAGTAGATTGCCGACTGTACTTTCTGTACCGCGGAAGAGAATAAAACGCCTGAAAACACTAGGAACGGGGGAGAAATGCATCGCAGTCTCCATCCCGACGGAGTATAAACCGCGTAGGGGACTGACAAATTGTGCTTGGCGTTGTGGGGGTGCGTGCTACCCTCGGGCAGATCACCCCGCAGCACTCTCGTCCCAACATCTTCATCTTCCATTCCGTTCGGACGCACTACCTTCTCGATGGCCCCAGAGTCAACTTCTGGTGGAGATCTTACACCAACGGGTCTTGCATCCATGCCTTTCTCCGCTCAACAGTACTGGCAAGACGGCAAAATCCACATCCTTCTAGCAGCAAGCGGATCCGTTGCAACGATCAAACTGCCCTACATCGCAGAAAGCCTGGGGCGGCATCCCAATGTCTCTATTCGTATCATTATCACTCAGTCGGCGGAGAAGTTTTTGATGGGACAGAGTCCGGAGCAGCCTCCTTTCGAAACCTTACGGCAGATCCCCGGGGTTGAAGCTATCTATCAAGATTATGATGAATGGAAGGATCCATGGACTCGCGGTGTTCCGATTCTGCATATTGAGTTAAGGAAGTGGGCGCATTTGCTACTTGTTGCCCCTCTCTCTGCTAATACGATGGCCAAGATGACGATGGGCTTCTCGGACAATCTTCTTCTCTCTGTTCTTCGAGCTTGGGACACAACCGGAACTGTGGATTCGAGTTTAAAGACGAGAAAGTCCCTTGTGCTCGTAGCGCCTGCGATGAACACTGCAATGTGGAATCACCCAATTACCCAAAAGCAACTCACTATCCTACGAGATGAATGGGGCCCATGTGATTCGAACAAGGAGGGTTGGATCTCAATTCTTTACCCAACTGAAAAGGCTCTTGCCTGTGGGGATAACGGAAATGGAGCCATGATGGACTGGAAAGAGATAGTTAGGGCTGTCGAACAACACTTTGGCATAGGTGCCTTGGACACCTGAACGGGAAGCATGACCGATGAGATTTCCAAGTCAATCATCCGCTCATCTATTTAATCATAACGAAAAGACCAGCATCCAATCCTGGAGACTCCTATTTATTCATTATTGAAGTGTTAGGCTTGGAGCAGCACTAGGTAGGCCGCAAGTGATGCCTTTGGACAAGGGACAGGAAACGGAGAGCACCGAACTTTTTTTTTTTTTTTTTTTTTTAATAACCTAGGTCCCGGTAGAGTATATTCCTTTCCGCTGTCGCAGTGTTTCTCTGGAAATCAGTTGGAACTCGGCATGCTCGACATGCCAGATCCCTATTCTTGTCCCAAACCTCGTCTATTGAACATCCGACAGTTGGCATAATCAGCAACCCCGTGAACGTGCAAGAGGCTCTCGCGAACGATCACTGGTGGCGGGACAAGTCAATCATTCTCAAGGGAAAGGAAGCATAGGTATCGATTGTCCGTGGGCTGATCAAAGGTCTATCAAATCCAAAAGTAGTAGCCCATCCACCTAAATTGGGGTTGAAAGGTGACAACCCTCTGAAGGAATGTAAAAAACTCCAGTGTACTAGGCTGCACTCAGCAGCGTTGCCTTGAATAAAGGCGATCATGAGCCACAAGAGCAGTGTCATTAAGCTGGTACTAGTTGATAGGGGCTTGGGTACTGCTGCATACTTGACCTGAGAAAGCAAGGATTGAAGCCTTATAGCAGGATGCCTCTCTCTCTCTCTCTCTCTCTCTCTCTCTCTCTCTCTCTCTCTCTCTCTCTCTCTCTCTCTCTCTCTCTCTCTCTCTTTCTCTCTCTCTCTTTCCCCCTCCCTCTCTTGTGATCTCGGATTGGCGAGAAAGCTGGTAAAAGCTCCTATGCTAATTTGAGTTCTATAGCTGCTAGCTTTAACACAAGTGTAGCTTCTGAGTGAAGTGGTAGTGGGCGAAAGAGGTTGCAACAAGACAAGAGTGAAGCATTGGTAAACAGAATGAATGGTGGGGAAAAGGTGACCGTCCTCTTCTGTTTGAATTCCGATTCAACCACCACCCTTTCGTCATCGGCACCAAGGGGCGGGCAACCTGCGCCTCGGACCATTTCAAAGCCTTCACTGAGAACTTGCCCACTTGCGTGAACTTACACCCGTCTGTTTCTTTTCTCCAGAAAGGGTCCTGGTTTGATGTGAACCATTATGAGTCTCCTTCCCCTATGATCCAGGAGGAAATATGCCTTTGTGCTTATCTCCGGTCAACCCTTTCTCCAAGATTCTTTTATCCTTTCTACGCGGCATCTTTTTAATCACCTACCACCATGCCCAACCAACGCCCTCGAGCAGCCTTCGAGCCTCTCCCCCCTGACTTAGACGTACCGACTCTGGTGAAATCAACGCCGAACTTTGAGAATGTGGCTAGAATCCATTGTGACGCTATCGATGCAAACGGCCTGGAAAGCTTTGAAAAACTAGTACGGCTCCATGTTGTCCTAGGTGGGATGCCTCTAGTTGTGGGGGGGTTCAATAAACGATTGGACAGCTCTATCTTCTCCGAGAAATGGCTGAGAGGCGAACACGGAGCCAAATGTGAGTAGCTGTCCCGTCTATATCATATATCCACACACATGCACCGATTCACCTTACAATTTACTCTAACACCAAATTTCTGATTTATTGACAGCTGAAACTGCTCGGAATTTGACGACCAAGTCTAATCTCCCGCTCACGATTGGTCATTATCTCAAGAACCTGCCGCTCCTTACGAACCAGTGGAACTCATACAACTACAAGGAGCCCAATCGCCAACGGATTTATCTTAAGGACATCGATTGCCCCGAGCAATGGCATGATCGCTTAAAACCCATTATACCACCATTTCTGTTTTACCTGAACAAATCGGATGTGCCTGAGACTTCCTCAAACCCACGAGTAGGGGACCTGATGAGTTGCCTGCCGCCGAGTATGCGCGCGGAGAATTTGATGTGCTACATCGGCCACGAGGGGACGTATACCCCAGCTCATCAGGAAATGTGTGCCAGTCTCGGCCAAAATATCATGGTTGAAGCATCTGATGGCTCGATCGAATATGGGAAGGTTACTAAACCTGGTTCTTCGATTTGGTTCATGACTGAGAGCAAAGACCGCCACGTTGTCTCAGAATACTGGACGTCAACTTTGGGGCACGATATTGACGTTGAGGATCATTTTGCCCAGTTAAATGCGTGGAAGGCGGCACCATTCAAAACTTACGTTGTCGAACAAAGGCCCGGCGATTTCATCCTGGTCCCTCCTCTGGCGGCACACCAGGTTTGGAACCGTGGGACAAGAACGATGAAGATAGCGTGGAATCGCACGACTCCGGATACTCTAAAGTTAGCCCTTGACGAAGCACTGCCGCATGCGAGAATGGTTTGCCGAGACGAGCAATACAAGAACAAGGCGATTGTGTTTTACTCCCTCGGTTATTGCTCTAGCCTACTTGCCCAAGGCCCTGCAAATGCGGCCCACGCTCACGCCACTCGGCAGCTCCAAGAAGACTTTGCAAAACTTTTCGCCTTGTATACTGGAATACTGCTCTCCGAAAGTTTTCAGAATGACATGCCGGATGAAAAGGAGATCGAATATATTCCCTTTGATGGCAGCATCACGTGCTCATATTGCCGGAGCAATATATTCAATAGGTTCCTCACTTGTCCTTGGTGTGTCGGTGATGAGAATGATACGTATGATATCTGCATGGAGTGTTACATCATGGGCAGGAGCTGTAGGTGCCGGTCTCGGCTGACGTGGGTCGAACAATTCAGCTGGAAGGAGCTTACAGAGAAACATGAGATGTGGAGGCAACAAATCCAGACCTTTGTCGCAGGAAATCTGTTTCAAGACTTTCCGCAGGCGAGAGCTCAGATGGCCAAGAAGACTCCAGCGCAAATATGCCAGGAACAATTGAAGAGGCGTCCGTGGGTGGACATATCTAAACCAGTCTACCAACAGGTAGACCTATCTAGCGACTCGGAGACATCAAGCCCCGCCCGGAAGCGGAGAAAAAACAATGCTAATGAGAAACGTGGTCGGTGCCATATCTGCAGGTACACAGAACCAATGTGGAAGCTGGCCTCTTGCTCACGCTGCCACGTGAATTATTGTTACGGCAGTCTGTTCAGAGCGTTCAATATCCAGCCCCAGAATACCATGGAGACGGATGAATGGGTATGCCCCAAGTGCGAAAAGAGATGCAGCTGTGCTGCGTGTCGGCGGGATCCCACAATGAACCCATTTGAACCAACCTGCACCTTGCTCGGTCATGACACAAGGGCGTTCGCTGATCCGCGCAGCGTGGAAAGCTTGGTTGACTTTAGGCAGTCGAATATTCGGTGGTTGAAAAAGGCAGGCGATGATGAAATCGGTCGACTCACGAAGCACCAAATGGAAGCAGAAAAAACGGACCACCACTTGAACAATAGCACTCAGTTAGAAGAGAATCTACAGGTGGCAGCTCCGTCTATTTCTGAAATTCACTTAGAAGGACATGGGCCAATCCGTCACTCCACGGATTATGGAGAGATACCAGTCGATCCTGCGCTGGAACATTTCGATGGGTCTTTTTTGACGTTGGAATCCGTCGATCAATGAGCCCCCGAATCGAACCAGCCTGCTGACGAGTTCTGAGCAGCTCTGTAGATGACAGGATGTGTCTACGCCGGAGGCTCTTACATGAAGGAATGAAATGCAAACTGTCTGCCGCCAGGGTTTTGTTTAATAGTCCACTTAAGCACCTTTGTACTCGTATCGGAGATCTTCCAGATGCCGCAATTCAACGGTGGCCATCGCATGCCGTACAACCATAACACTCGTAAACATTACTAGACGATTGTAAGTCCGCTGAATTGCCAAATCTTATTTCAAGGAGTCAAGGAACTGAATGTACCTCCAGGGACGAAGTAGATAAGCAACAGCTGGGTACCAGAGGCAGGTGATGCCCGAGGGCCCATCATGTAGGCCAGCGCCAACAGCCCACATGTTATAGCATTTACAGGGACGGAAAACCGCAAGACAGCTGCCAGGATTCGAGATCTCGATACCAAGCCTTCGGTGGCTAGACGCTGCAGTGGGGAGAATTTCATGATGCAGGCCGTAAGAAGTAAGGAAAGCAGGCCCAAGAGCGAGAAGAGCCGTTCAGGGAGTCTCATGGACCCCGACAATGCGAGCGGAACGAGCATGACGGCGGGGAAGATTGGGACAGCACTGAAGATGGCCTGCGGATCAATGCGTTCAACCGTTTAGTGACGAGCTGGCGTGCTTAGAGAGGCGGGAAATTACGCTGTATCCGATGTTCTGGCGGTCATTCTGTGCCTTCAGTCTACTTATCACCAGTTCCTGCTCTGCAGAAAGAGGTTAGTTAGATGGGTCCGAGCTGATCGATGGTCTGACAAACCTTCTTCGTCCAAGTCCTCACGGCCAGGCTCTTCGCCCCCGGAATCGTCGGGGTATCGAAATACCCTACGAAGCCTTGCGGTTGCCATGGAATAGGTGGTTGATCTAATGGGGTTGAGTCGAGAAGGTCCGCCGGAGGAGAAGGCGGAGGAAGTTTGTCTTGTTTGGTAGTTTCCCGTGAACCACCGGCGATGGTTATCATCGCCCATCGCTCGTCCGCCCCCCAACCAACCTCTTTTCACGCTCTTTGCCGCTCTCACATACACCCCACTCCCCCTCCCGGGCGTTCACCCTGACATGTATATGACACGAAGCGTCTCGAGGCGGGCTGGAGTCCCACGACTCCCTAAATACGGCAGCCAGACTTGCACTCGTCGCAATCTGATTCCAGCCCCACGCTCCAATTCGGGTCCTCTCATGGAACGACGAGCAGACCGAGAACTTCCTGCCGTGAACTCAGAGCGACGTTGGTTGCGGACGCTCCCAGTCTTCGCGGTCGTGGTAGGTGCTGCGATGCTCGGCATCTTCAACTACCAAAAGTCGTCGTCGAGCGTGGTCAATAGTACCCTTTATGCTCTTCGCACCTCGCCCCGTGCCCGGGAAATCCTAGGAGACGAGATTTATTTCGCCCAGAAGATACCCTGGATCAGCGGGGAAATGAATCAGCTACATGGACGCATTGATATCTCGTTTTGGGTCAAGGGGACCAAATCCCAAGGCCGGATGAGATTCCGAAGCCTAAGGCCGGACCGAATGAGTTACGTGCGTGTTTTCTCCGACCCCTCCATTGTATCCATTGTGCTTTGGAAATCCTCGCGCTAATGCCATTCTAACCGTTTAGTTTCGTACCGAGGAATGGAGCTTGGAGACGGAGAATGGAACGGTTGTGCAGTTACTTGATGATGGTAGCGACCCGTTTCAGCAAAACGATTGAATGAGTCGCCAGGACCTTGAGCTGCTCAGGTCTGCACAGCTGCCTTGAGATCCCTAGTTCGTACGTCTAAAAGGAATTTTTGCATATTGTTGGGCGTTTCCGAGCATGTGATCATTGGATATTCTTGTTCTGCTCTCGTCCTCCCCTCCATCTCTCTCTCTCTCTCTCTCTCTCTCTCATTTCGTCAGCTCCTTTACGGCTACCTGAAAGGATGGTCCTCTTCTCCCCCCCTTCTAACAGGAGTGCTTGGTCTCGTTCGCAATCGTCGTGGATATCGCCTTGATGGGCCCACTAAAACGGAAGAAACAGGGAAGGGAAAGAACCGGATGGTTGAAAAAAAGGATATCATTTATGTATAGTATATACCGCCGCTCTGGATAAAATAATCAAATAATAGTACATTTCCGTGTAGAAAACAAGAAGTCCAAACACTGCAGCCGACTACTCTTGATGAGAGGCGCTTTCAGGCCAGGGTTTCTTGATAGCATCCTGTATCCTGACAATGCAGCCTTTGGGTCCACTGACAGCACCTTATCACATATGAATATTAGTCTCTTATCGCTGCTACCGGAGTTGATATGGAGAGGTGGAAAACAAGAAGGGGAGGGGGTTGCTTACCGTTGACAACAACTATGCCATTGTCTTTATCAACCTTGAGGATTTTCAAGTTTTGTACTGTATTCTGCTCATTTCCCATATTACCCGCCATCTTCTTTCCCGGATAAACTCTGGAACCACCGCCCTGGCTAGGGCCTGCAGAACCAAGTGATCGATGTGTTAGACTGACACCGTGACTGCGATCCTGACCGCCAAAGCCATGCCGTTTCATAACACCAGCAAAGCCCTTGCCCTTAGAGTTAGATCGCGCGTCGACATATTGACCCTGTTGAAACCAGTCGGCGTTGATCGTTTGGCCGACTGGCAGGAGGCCACTTGCATCCTTGACGCGGAATTCGCACACATGCCTCTTGGGCGAGACACCGTTGGCGGAGAAATGCCCAAGAAGCGATTTCGTCATGTTGCTTGAATGCTTCCAGCCCGAGCCCAGCTGGACGGCGAAATACCCGTGGGCTTGCCGCGTCTTGCACGAAGTCACTTCGACTCGGTCCAGCTGCAGGACGGTGCAGGCAATTCGTTTTCCGGTTTCGGCGTCATAGACAGCAGTCATCCCCTTCTTGATAGCGATGGCCCCAGTTCGGAGAGGCAGGGTATTTGCTTTTCGTTGCAGGGCCGCCGCCGGGGTCGACTTCAGGATGGGCAAATCAGGGCCGGCATTGAATGGGGAGGGTTTGGAAGGGTTCAATGATCGAATGCCAAAAGCTCGAGCAAGGGAGTTGTTGGAAATGACCGGTACGGGAGTCCTGTTGAAAAGAGAAAGCTGGTTCAGCTTCCCTGGTAGACGAGGAGGCATGGCGGGCGAAACTGGTCGGCCAGAAAGGAGCTGGGGCGTGATTGATGTCGACGTTTCTTCCGTTTTTTTGGTCCGAGATTTTTACTGCGGAAGCTGGCCCTCTCCAAGCGGAAGGCGGTCTGGCGCCCCGACAAGTCCGCAGGCCGCAATTGCCGTCGTCGCAAGCCTGGGATTGATTTTCTCCCCTCCTCCATTGCTGCACCACCAACGTCGGAGAAGCAAAGACACATACGGGACCTTGAATCATACACAATGCTGCCGCGGCACACGTTTGCATCGCGCTGGCTATCCCAGTTCTCCGACCTGGTCCAACATGCGCCGACCTCGCCTCTGTCCAAGGTCAAAATTTCCAGACCCGTTTACGCCTCGCCGTCGCCAACTTTCCGCCGAGGGCTCTCTCTCCCGGCGAACGCTACACTTCACCTCCAAGGACGAAGCTTCCGCAGTCAAATCCAGTTCGGAAAGTCCGCTGCGCAGAATCTCACTCGCCGTCCACAGTCGGCGACATTCCGCCGATTCTTCAATTCATCCCGGACGAAACGCTCCTCGTCACAATCCGAAGAATCGGCGTCGCTCTCGCAGCGACTGAAGACACTTTCGCGTGAATATGGTTGGTCTGCCCTTTGGGTATATCTGCTTTTGTCGGCGATGGATTTCCCTTTCTGCTTCGCGGCCGTCCGCCTGCTGGGCGTGGAGCGCATCGGTCACTATGAGCATGTGATTTTTGAATCCGTCAAGGGTGCAATCGACACCGTCTGGTCTCGTACACCCGAGACTCCTACGGTTGAATCGCAGGTGGATGGCCCGGGCAGCAAGGAACCCTCGGCCGAAGAAGCCCCGAGCAAGCCGGATGGCGAAGCCAGTATGTCGCATTATCTCCCTTTCCTGCCTCCTCTCCTCGCTCCTTTCGTGCGGAGGGAAACTCTGACTGATCCCACACCTTTGATGTGCAGGCCTATGGACACAACTCGCCCTCGCCTACGCCATTCATAAGAGTTTTATTTTCATCCGGGTGCCTTTGACAGCGGCCATCACCCCCAAAGTTGTCAAAGTCTTGAGGCAGTGGGGCTGGGACATTGTCAAAGGGAAGCCAAGGGGCATGTAAACCCCTACACTCCTACTGAGTGTGAAACGGACCTCATAAACCTGGGCGTCTCTCTATTTGCGGGCGGCTTTTCCCGCTTTTCTATCGTGTCTTTTCTCCCCCGTCCTGCCCTTTACCTCGTGGCATAGCGATGTTTAAACTATATAGATGGTACTTGTAACTTGATTGTATATTAGTGTTAGATCTAATCCACAGGGCGCATAGCCATGCGCCCATCTCCACTCCCCATCTATCTCCGTCGCTAGCCCAATATTGCTCAAACGTACCTTTGGATAAAAGGGCGGCCAAGAAAGAGTTGCCGAATCCACTGGTGTAGAACCAGCTCAATGGCAGATAACAAGAGCCGCCAGCTATCGGTCTAGTAAAATGCAACCAACGACGGCGAAATCCCGTCCTTTTCCGATCAGCTTTTGCTTTTTTCCATGGACGTCGGCATGGCCTAGCAATGTTATATCAAGGATCGACAATATGACAACGTAGTCAGAAGGAGTCGATTATCACCACACGCAGGCTGCATCATATGTCAATCATATCGTTAAACCTGAGAATGCCATTGGCCTTCATAACCCCGTTGACTCCATCGGGCATTCGATAGGCCCAGTCAGCTACCCCAATAGTATTCGTGGAAGCCTCCTTGGGCGCCGGTGGTTCAACCTCGTCGGAAGTGTCCGCTACAAGCACAAGGCCAAGCTCCTTGATCGTTTCAACCAGAGCGGGTACAACGTTCTACAACATCGCAGAGGATCAGGTATTAGTATAAGATTCCCAACCTTCCTGAAACCGCGAATGCGATGCAACGGGAGGACCGAGAAGGGGGGACACGCACCAGGAGGCTTGACCGGCATATCAATCCCATAAAATTGTTGCCCTGTGCAATTCTTGCCGACTCCTTTATAGACATTGATGCACGCCCACTGCTATCGATGTCTGGCAATGATCCAACATCACGGGCCAAGTCCCGAATTTGTCCCAAGTCGTTGCAAAGAAGGACGGGATCTTTTAGGTTGCTTCGTTAGCGAAAATATGTTTTTTTTTTTTTCGGTTTCCATTGGCTCCGAAACCGGGGACTTACAGTTCGGTTGCTTCCAATTCAGAGCAATACAGATATTAGGGTTATAGGAAGTAAACACAACGGAGCGCATGAAGTCAGGGTTCTGCTCCCGAGAAATGCGGGCATGGTCGAAAACCTCTGTAAGAATGGCATCGGCGAAAGTATTGACATCCGGCAACGATGTCATGTTCAACGCCTCTCCCTCGGCCACCGAGGGGTAAAGAATAGAGAGATTGACATTGATGTCTAGGGGTAAATGCTGAAGCACCTCTTGCAGAGAAAGGAACGAGGCCGCTAGTAGGCGGTGGGTTTGCGCCAGATCATCAATGGCACAATCCTGTAAAAATTTCAGGGTATCCGACCGGTTGAGGCCTACATCGGCGCCAACAGCCTGAAATTGAGAGTAGGTCAAGTGGCAGATGGGAACGCTAATGCCGTGGTGATCGATCGTGAATCGAGGATGAAGGACGGGCACTCTATCCCTGGTCAGCTGTACAAAAAGCTGGATGTGGTCTCCCGAGAGACTGGACCCGGTTACTAGACCATTGTGTTCTGAGTCGATGGCACTAGTCGCCTTCCAGTACGTGGCGAAATGCGTGATCTCCAGCGGATCGCCATGATACGGTTTGATTACCTGGAATCCAAAACGCAACTGCCCGATTGACCGCAGTCGTGGATCGAAGAGTGGCAAGCAGCACGATCCCATGCTAGAATGCTCGGCCCGGAAGACTGCAGGGAGGGCAACAGTTTTGGCAATCACTTTCGAACCAAATGTCGGGAATATCTCAAAATCAACGGAGAAGGTTTCCAAATTATCTACTTGGAATGAAATCAACCGTGAATCTTCCTGTATTGGCAGCATGATAGTGCGCGGGATCAAATCAGAGAGTTTCGATGAGATTGTCAATCGAGCAGCGGGGTGGCGGCCAGCTTGATCAAATGAGACGGAGCCCGAGCTACCAGGGTCGAAAAGAATTTGAACGAAAACCTTCTTGTCCAAGAAGTTGTGGCCGTACCGTCTCAAAGGTATGATGGGTGGTGGCAGAGAGAGATCGGGGATTCCGTCAGCCGTTTCCATGCTGTCAAGAGCCGCCGAGTCATCCATGTGCGAATCCCCAGTGAAGCCCCGTTCGTGAAATTGGAAGCCATCTAGACCCCCATATGGTTGACGCTGCGACTGGGTGTCGGTTCGACGGGACCAAAGAAGGAGCATGCATTCCAAGTGTCCTTCCCATGCTGCATAGTACATGGCCGCAAGACCTTTCTCGTCCACCGCGTCAGCATCGACACCAAGCTCTAGGAGGGTGCGTAAGCAGCCAACGCAGCCTTCACTGGCAGCGTGGAAGAGCGGCGTCCACTGATACAGCTTGTCGCGCTGGTTGAGGTCCGCCCCATGCTGCTTGAGTATCAATAGTAACTCCGGTGATTGCGAAGCCCGTGCCACCATATGTTGGGGATAGAGGCCTTCCGCATCTGGCAGCAAATGGGCATGTCTCTCAAGTAGCATCTTCACTATCGGAAGTGACCCGTGCTGGCATGCCAAATTCAATGGAATGTGGTCGGATTCGGAAGCCGGGTCTATCCGGGCATTACTGCACAATAGCTGTTCAGCACAGGCCAGATGATTCTTCACGATGCTATGGATGAGCGGGGTGAAATTGTCATGGTCCATCATGTCGACGGTATGAGGACCCGCCGCGAGCAGCTCACGGGCCATTTCGACACGGCCGTGCATACAGGCGTAATGCAAAGGTATTCTGCCGTACACATCAGATCTAGAGATATCGATTTCTGCTGCCAGACCCGCCCTGAAAACAAACTCTCGCCCGGAGATAGCCGCTTCGTGTAAACAGTTGCGCTCATTGATGTCGTCTTCTGCGTGCATGTCGACAAGGCCACTATCAAGGAGAACTGTAAGCACTTCGTCAGAAAATTCGTTGATAGCTGCGAGAAACGTGCGAGTGGCGCGATCCCGGGAGTCAGGAGAAGCCTGCAATTTCGCAGTCCATTCGCGCAAAGTCTGCAAATTGCCCGTCGTGGCAGACTGCAAAATTTGAAGGTCAAGGTCTTCCTCATCGGATCCGAACGGCTGAACAGCCACGGCTCGGTCAACCGGCCGAGTCGTATCAAACTGGATGTTTTCACCCTCCGCCCATGCTTCAAGTTCTAAGCGCGCGGTCGTGGCCCGGTCCGATAAGTCACGCAAAACATCACGGTTGAAACACGGTTGTACCTCCACGGCTCGGTGTAGATACAGTTCCTTCATGCGAGACTATTGAGAGACAAAGTGGGAAGTGTGTAAGCAAGATGTACATGGCCAATCGTAGAAGTTCGTCTGCCGGAGAACTCGGCGAGGGAATTCGGACCTTTGAAGTTTTGTCCCACTGATCGTCTTGTCAGCAATCTCCTCTATAGCAAGCCGATGCTACCATTCAGGACCAACCTTTTTAAGAATTTTTGACATGGCCGTCTCGTTGATCTCAACGAATTGCTTCAAGTGAAAAACAGTGTCCGTCAGTACGTGAAAGTATAATTGCTTGATTCCCAGAGCCCACCTGTAACTTATTGAGGTCTCCATCAAATTGCTGGAACCCTTCAAAGAGGGCAACGAAGTTCGCCGGTGCTTTGGAGCGGGTTGCTGCCCGAGACTGAATTACCCGTTTCTTGTCGACAAGTGTTTTCAGTCGCAAGGAAAACTAAAACCATTCATCAGTAAGTCACTGAGAAACTAGGTTGTGAAGCCGAGGACAGCAGACCTCTGCTTCCTTTTGCAAATAGAAGGCATTGACTTTCTCTATCTCGCGCTCCTAGAGTTTGATTTACAAGGTCAATAACTTTTCTGTATGCAAAGGGCGGAGAATTTTCTCATACCAGCCTAAAGAAGAAAACCTCCTTATTGGCGCGAAGGGCCGCCTGTGCTTCGGGCACATCTTTGGAAACACCTGCACTGTTTTGGGCCAGGATCCTCGGCGTTGCGCTTAGTTGTTTGATAAGCTGACGTTGAAGTATTAGCTGCTAAGGACGGAAGCCCGTGGAATCCTTGTTGGCGGACCTTCTTTAAAGCCTTGTAGTTCACAAAACTGGCAGCATATTCGGGGAGGTCGAGCTGCCTGCGCTGGATTTGCTTGCCAAACTTCCTGTGGTCGCGATGAATTAGCCATTAGGCGTGAAGAGAACGAGGAGCGGACCAATTGCCCGCCATTGGATACTCGAGGCAGCTCCCGGCATCGAGAATGAGGCCGCAGAGCTTGGCGGTGCACCTACATAATGACTTGATTGGACACCTAAACACACCCTATACACTTGCGTAGAAAGAAAGGGGGGAGGGAGAGTGTCTAAGGTCGAGGGAGGAAGGTTCGAAAGGCGCAAGAGAAACCGCAGCCGGCGAATTTGCAGGCAAGGGGCAGAGGCGCGAGATGTAAAAGAACACAGCACCTGCCCCTCCTTGAGCTTAAAGGGACGGGAAAGGGAGTGGTTCGGCACTTATATAGAAAGTGAAGCAGGCCGAAGTGGGGCAATCAAATGGTCACCGAAGGAGTGGAATAGCAATGGGTGGTTTGTTGACCTTGAAAGGTTGTGATGAATTGCAGTGCTTCGTACACTTTTCATGCAAGAACCGCGGATCTTTCCCGGGGACTCAGAGGTTAGAGGCAGGAAAGAAGAACATCTGTGGCAGCAAGCCCCCTGGGGTCAAACAGAACGAACAGGTAGGCACTGAAGCTAATGGCCCAGAGGAGACAGGCCGCTGTAAATGTTTCGACGAATTGAAGACTCACGAGTGCGGGGCACTTTTTGGGTCAGCCTGGAATGGACGAAGGGGGTGGGAAGCGAAGTCGAAAGGAATCGACGCGGGTGGAACTGGAAGGCGACTTCCGATTAACGACTACTCGGCAGACAAGCAAGGGGTCGAGGCTCGTCTCGGGGCATTCAAGTCCATGTCAGCGACGCGGGCGTTGGCAGGCAGTCCGAGGGAGTCGTGAGAGTTGTAGTTCCGAGGAGTATGGAGGAGGAGCGAAAGACCAGTGCCAAGTGGGGAGCTTGACCAGCTGGTCTGGCGCCAATCACCGCGTCGCATCCGCCCACGTTTCCCCGGGCCCTGCAGCCCGCTGAGTCAGGGCCCGCCTGACCGCCCAGCCCGAAGCGTCTACGAAACGTGCCGACTCCGGCGTGGTTGAAGCAGAATGCGAGAATTTTGGTTCTTGACATACATGGGCGAGTCTCCTCGCCGATATAGACAGTTGGAAATGTAACACAATATACCCTTGTACCACAACATATCCAGTCCCGGCGAAACAAGCAATCCAACGTCGAAGAGCAACGGACCATTCATGGAACAAATCGGTCAGAAAATAAATAATAATAATGATCACTTCCCACATGCCATGGGCACGCCAGAAGCCTCGTCAATGTACAGGCGAAACATCGGAAACGAAAAGAATCCAGAGAAAATCGAAAGAAAGTGGGGGATATATCAAGGTACCGAACGACGCGCAACAGAATATACAATACTAAGGAAATAGATCACGAGAACTCTCGATCAAGCAGTCACAATGGGAAGTCACATCAGTCAAAGGGGGTAAAGAAAAGGAAGAAAAAGAAAAAAAGAAGAGGAAAGAAAAATCAAAAGAGGGAGAAAAGGGGGCGTGTTGGTTGGGTGAACGATAGTATTGAGGAATGTCAAAGAGGGAACCTAGCCACCTACGCTCAGTCAACCTGAGCGAGAACGTAGCTTGAGTTTCGCGAGAATTTGCAGCAAACACGATGGACTTGGTTCCGGGCAGGCGACAACCCCCACGGCCGCCTTTCGCTGCGATAATCCTGAACATAAAGCCGGATCGCTCGGGTTTGCTTAGAAGTTCTGGGCGATACCGGCGTTTCCTTGCCGGGGGAACACAGCCGGGTTCTCGATTCGCGTATTGCGCCGTGCCTGGACATCGCGGATTACGGGTTGGTTGCCGCTGTAAGGACCATCACCGTACGCCCCATATTGCGGTTGCATGTCATTGTAATACGGGTTGTCATCGTAAAAGGCGCTGTTGTGACGGGCTGCAGACATATGACTCTCTTCCGAGGCCTCTGACCGGTTTGCCGCAGAATACGCTGACGAGGCGTTCGAGGGGCCTCGATGAATGTCCGCATTGCGGGTATTGGCTGCTGCGACCGGAGCTGCGCCTAGGACCCCGATTGGCTCAGTCTCTGCAGCGGCCTGCCCTTCGGAGTATTGGATAGTGCCGTCACTCGGGGTAGCGGCATGGTGGTAACCAGGCGCGCTTCCGGCTTCAGACATGGCGAGCCCAACTCCGGCACTGCTAGAAAGATTTGTCGACGCCTTGCGACCCGCAGAAGTCGTCCCCCAGCCTCTGTATCCAGAAGTATCGTCCTTGGGCTCGTAGGCACTGCCGCCCATAACAGGAGGAAGCGTCGGATCATTGTTCGGATTGAATCCGTATTCCTCCACCTCCTTCCGTCGTTCTTCTTCGGCCGCCTTCTTCGCCTTCCATTTCCTCCAGAAGTACAACGCGGCAAGAATGATCAGAGCAACGGAAACAACGGGCACAACGACAGCAACAGCTATTGTGCCACCAGCCGAAAGCCCAGAGCCCCCGGCTGCGCCTGCAGCCGTACTGGTAGCCGATGCTGTAGCGGATGACGCGCCCGTGGCCGAGGCACTGCCCGCTGAGTCCCCGGTGGAGAGGGTTGGGAGAGAGGTGGCAGTTGACGTGATTGTCAGAGTGCGTGGTCCCGTGGTCCCGTCGGTAGGTGACTGCGTGATTATCGAGGTGACGACGGGGGAGGTCGTGGAATCCTCGGTCGTGCTGGTAGAAGTTTCAGGAGCGGATGATGTAGTAGGGGCGTCGCTAGTGGTTGTCGGTTGAGGCTGGGTGGTAGTAGAGCTCGATGAGCTTGAGGAAGTCGACGAGCTCGACGAACTGGACGAGGTGGAGGTTGAAGAGGTTGTTAGCTCCGATGTCGTAGATGTTTCAGCGGGCGGCGCAGACGTGGTCTCCGCTTGTGTCGGCGTGGGGGCATCATTGTTGTTGTTTGTCGTGGGCGCCGGGACTGCTACTAGAAAACATTTTAGCCTCCAGGGGAAAGGGGAACGATTCGAGAATCTAGATCAACGCATGCATGGATTGTGACTATACCTGATGATTGTGACATCACGAACGATTGGCCCGGTACTCACTGGTCCCGGCAACTACGAATGCCTCGTGAACGCTTCCAGTGCGTGGCAGGCAAAAGCGCTGCAGCAGAGATGGTGCAATTAAGTAGAAACGGGTCCGCTACGTTCTCCTAACGCAGAACGGTGCGGCTGGAGCGGGAATGTTGATTAAAGTGGACTGAGCGAGGGACGAGCGTTCCTCAGGCCTTCAAAGGTCCGAGAGAGCCAGAGTCGATTGTTGTAAAGATTGCGCGCAAAGGAGAGTACCACCGAAACATTCCAGTCGAAGCGGCGGGATTAGGCGCGTAGAAAGAAACCCGTTTGACGAGGGTCGGCGTATGGATAAGAGTCAGGGGGGGAGGGGGGGGAGAGAACAACAAATCGGTTCAAGAGGTCAAGAAAACCATCTATCTATCGGGACCGATCGATCAAGAAGCCACTTGCGCCAACCAGAGAGGATGCCATGAGACAAACCGAATACACGATTCCAGGATTAGGAGCGCAATCTCGGATGATAAGGATGGAAGGGGGATGGGTCCGAGGAAGAAGAGAAGGGAAGCGAGAAAGAGAAAGCGGGAGTGGAATCCCACAGTATCATACGGAGTTGGGTATTACGGAGAGGGAAAGGGGGGAGTGCAAACGGCAAGAAACTTACCACGTCCGGCGGTTCCCTGGTCTGGTCCCGTATCAGGTACCGGTACATGGGTACCGTAAGGTAGGTATCCGTCGCCGTAATCTGCCGGTACCTACGAGTAGTACCAGGTACCTACTCCGTAGGTACTGCGTAGGTAGTGTACTTAGTAGGTACATACCTCCACCTAAAATACGGTACGGTACCCGTCCCGGGCACCGCCGTAATTCGAGGAAATTCCACCGCTTCCGTGGGAAGGCAGAATTCGGTACCAGAAACCCGGCTGGGTGAATTTGCCACCAATAATCTTGGGTAGGGCTTCTGTAAACAGCACCGTGTCCAGGTAGGAGATCAGGAAATCACCTGGTAGATAATGTAGATCTCGTAGGCGATCTTCGGCCTGCATTTGCCAATATTTCACCCTTCCAGCTTACCAAGTGGGTAGCGTAGAGGTCTCCGGAGTACTGCGTACGGAGTACGTCGCAACGGAATACATCGTCAGGGAGATTCCTCCGGGTGGAGACCGAGCATAATAATACTCCGTCCGCCCTCGGTTTCTAAAATTAATCGGTGACTAAGTACTTCTGCTCCAGTGTCCTCGCGACGGAGCCGTTGAAAAGGTATGGAATCAACAGGTTAAGGGTTGCCAAATGTATTGAGACTCATTGAAACACGGTCACCTTCAACTCAAGAAATCATTCGATATGTCTCAATTCATCCAAAGTCAAAAGAAAAAAGAACAGAAAAAAAAAAAAAAAAAAGACACCCCCCGACCAGTTATGTGCATAGAAACTCCGCAACATCGAGATACAAAAAAACAGTGCTGCTTTGACCCAGCTTCCTTCAATGGAGTGCCAGCATGTGAGATAAAAACATAAAAAAAAAAAAAGATGAATCGTAATGTGGTGTTCAGAGACCACAAATATGGGGACAGAAAACAATCATTACATCAAGAATTGAAGTGGAATGCAAATGGATACACTTATATTTACTGCCGCATATCCCAGGTCGGACGAAGGTTCGACCTCAAGTCATCCTTCGTACCTACAGTATCCGCGGGTAGACGGCTGATGCGGTACGCACCAGTGCGAATGTTATGCAAATGAGCGCCAGAAATTCCGGTCCCGTTGCTACGGATGCTGCCAGCGTCGCTTGCAGTCTCGGTATTCTTAAAGCGAGGCGGGGGAGCAAAGTCCAAATTGTCATATGCTCCCGATTTACGCAACGCGTGCCTAATGGTCAATTCGTTAGTTTCATCCTGTCTTTCTTAAAATCGCCTTCCAACACTTACGGGCTTGGCATTGCTGAGAGCTCGTTGAAAGCTGAAACCAGCGGGGTGTGAGCGCGTGCACCGGGGCTAAAAGGCCGCAATCCACCTAGGGGAGTCTCCGATCGACCATCCCTCTGATCCCTGAAGTTCTTGCCCGGTGCCCATTCGATGGCTCCCATAATGGAATCGTCGTTTAACATGTGAGGGGTAGGCAAAATCTGAAGCGGTGACGGGGGGGGAGCGGGCTTGCGTGGTGCTCGAGGACCGGGCATCCGGCCAGACGCAGAAGAAAAGGCCCGAGGGCCCGGGGATTGAAAACGTTCACTGAAACCGCTGACCGAGCCCGATGCCATATGTCTGCTTGCTCCTTGGAACCTTGGAGGTGCGCGTGGCGGTGGGGTCATAGCACGACGAGTCACCGGCTCCGCAAACGGCGCAGGAACCGCATCGTAACCTCCATATGCGGGATCATACATGTAGCTGTCGTCGTGGTACATTTCCGGGCCGTAGCCTTCATAGTACGTCTCCCTGCCCGTTTTGCTCTCGTCGAAGTATTCCTTGTAGAAAGACCGGATCCGGTTGGCACGCTGTTCGGGATTGTCCGACGGATCCTCAGGCGGCAAAGGACGAAGGCCGAGGGTCATCCGGCGAGTATCCCGACGAGGGTCCACGCTGAGTCGCTGAGAGCGGGCCACGTCCTCAGAGAGCACATTCGAAGCCGAGGGGTCGGATCCACCGTCATGCTCCGGAGTGTCCGCTACTCCGTGGATATTGACGGCCGGGACAGAAGGCTTCATTGCGCTGGTATCCTCAGTCCGGTCTGGATGCGAGCCAATGGCAGTCGGCTCATTGATTGTAGGGGCACCGGGTATCAGGACGGGACTCGGGCTCCTCGGCAGGTTCAACTGGAAGCCAAGCTCGTGTTCGGGGTGATCACTACCAATTGGGCCGTGGTCGGCAGGGGGGGAATTGTATAGTGGTGGAGAAGAACGGGACATTCGCTGGGCGTTTCGGAGCAACCCTTGGTTCATGTCCTCACCCAGGACAGCTTTGTTGGTCGAGCCTGCGAAGCTTGATGCATCGTCTTGCAAGGCCCTTTGGTGCGATCGGACACAGACACTGTCACCTGGTGCATACGAGGTGGCAGAGCGGTACTTGTCGTCGGCCCCACCAATTGTTCTTGATATAGAGTGGAGAGACTCTCTGGAGCCTTGGAGACCCGGGGGAAGCAGATATGGACTGGGCCCAATATCCATAGACACTCCTTTCGCATGGTTATAATTTCCATCGAGTTTCTCTGTCTGCCGCATGGGCTTTCCGCCCGCGGTAGGCTCTAGATCCAATCCAAAGTCGAGGGATTTATGCTTGTCGTTGGCATCTTCACTCCTGAGCTTCTTCACGTTGCGGCGGTGGAGATAGATAAGAACCAGTATGGCACACACAATGGGAACTCTGCAAGGTGGTCAGCCGCGGCGGAGTAGAAGAAGGCGGGAACAAGCAGGCGAAGTATTCTGCAACATACACTGCTCCCAGGACCACGGGTAACGTAGTGGTTGTAGTCGTGCTCGTGGGCTTTTCGCATTTGTCACCCGATCCACAGGTCTGTGTACTCGAACTCTCGGTTTCTGTGGAAGGCAATGGTTCCCTTTTTACCAGGGTTGGGAGCTCGGAGTTCAGGAAATGCGGTTGTCGGTGGTGAGGGATCGCGCCCGGGCGGCGGACCATATGCATGCCATGGCGTGGCAGTTGCTGATGGTGATGGTGGTGCATGGTCATCCTGACTTGTGATTACGAATGAATCGCGAGTCGGAGACACCAAGGATAACCAAGCAGCTTGTCTATGATGGACACGGAATTTGCTAGGGAAATCGGATAGGAAGGAAAACCAGAACCCCTGAATCTTGCTACCTGAGGATCATTTAAAATGAGAACAGGATGCTATCAAGTTATTTCGGGAGATTATTAGCTGAATATCTTATGACTTGATCGATTCAATCAAAGAGTGACGGCTGCTGGTTGAGAAATGATAGAAGTGTGTTGGTATGTGTGGTCTTGCGAATTGAAAGAATGAATATAAGCTTGGGTTCCCCTAATGAATGGCAGCGGCTTGGCCTTAAAAAAGAAGGAAAGAAAAAAAAAATCTATAAAGATAGAATTGAAAGATAACTAAAAAGCAAAAGAAAGAAACAACAGATGCCGGAAAGGGGGAAAACAAGCAAAAAGGAAGGAAAGGTGGTGTGGTGATGAAATAAATAAAAAAAAAAAAGGAGAGACAATTTTGGGGGGGGGGGGGAGAAAGAGAAGGGGAGAGAGGGAGAGGAGAAGGATGGAGTAACTAGACGGAACTGTACTACATAAGCAAGCGGTTTAGTGGTTTGGCGGTCTAGATGGTCTGTTATGTTTGTAACTTGATGTGGGGAGGCCTGACAAGCCTAGATTGGGGGCATACAGTACGGGAGTAATAGATAGGATGAGAGGATCTGAGGATGGAGTTAGCAGGAGCTCCCACTAAGTGGTAAGGAGTATGGCGCGGCAGATACTTACCTACACTGGTTTAAGCGGCCCGGGCTGTGTTGTTGAAATAATCTTTTCTACCTAGTCGATACTCATGAATACTGTATGAAATCATTGAAATGAGCTCTCTCCGACCCAGGGTCGTTGGTAACATGATTTTGGACCCTTCCAATAAACACGCCGGACAATCTCCCAACACTACAGCGACTCGTATTAATCTAAGTCAAGGGTTGTGAATATTTCACTCCACTCGGTCCATGACAGTATACGAATACGGGCAACTCTTTCTCTTTGGCCCTCGAGTGAGCTCAAAACTGGCAAAGGGCTTATTGTTGTTGCAAGATCCGGACAAGAGCCAGGGCGTCCAAGGGGACGGAATACCTACAAGGCCCATCAGGTACCATATCCCCAATGCATGTGAGGGGGGGCGTAACAGACAGAAAATAAATAAGATTACTTATCGAAAAGCAAGGCGTGGAGACGGTGGAAATACTGCGTACTCCGTAAAGTAATTCCCCTGAATAAAAAAACCAGGCACAGCAGGTGGGGCGCCGATACTTTCTAGCGTCAGGAACCCGCATGGCCCCCATCCAACCAGCAATTCCGCTGCCGCCTCCCGCTCCACCTGCCATGTCTGACTACTCGGTAGTGGGTGGGGTGGTCTCCACCGACACCAGGTACCTATCTGTTGAACTGTTAACCCTGTATAACAGCGTAGCGTAGGTAGGGAGACGGACAACTTGTTGTTCTCTGCATCGTGATGGATGCCTTGGCTTAGGGTTCACCCAACGGCAAGGGGGTAAGACCCTGGTTGTGAGAAGGGTTCGAAAGCTCCCACCACACCCACACACACACATTTATATACATATACACAAGTAGATATATATATGCACGCATATATAACTACAGACTGTTTCTTTTGCCATGTGGCCCGAGTCCCGCCCGTGTTCGATTACGGAGGAATAATTGAGCACCCAGCAAAATTCACGACAAGACATGTCGCTTTTTACACAAGCATCCCCTAGAACGCAAGGAACAAGCCTTGGGAAATACACAAGTCGCTAGTCATGGGGTCTGGTCGGTCTAGCCCACCTCTCGATGCTCCTTTCCTGCCTTTAAGTTTATCAGTGCCCCACGACACCATTCATCATATCATGCCTGATCATGATAGTCCTGGTCTAGAGGGGAAGAACCTGCCAACCAAGGGAGGGAAGACGGTTGACCTTATGAGCAATTAATATTCTCTTATCATATTAGTCTCCTCTATGCATCAGTGGTCCTAAAAGTCATATCGATAGACTCATCAATTATGATGTAATGCACGCCATTATCCCATACCGTTGTCTTTTAATGCAAGATAGAAATGCACGGCTATACCTTGACCCATCAGTCGAGTACAAAGGAAAGTAAGGGAGGATATGATTGGCAAACACAGGCGAAAGAAAAAGACGAGAATCGCCAACACTGTAATGCTCACACAAGAACCGCCAAGGTATGCAACACAAGTCATGGAAGAAAAAAAAATTACACCAACAATCACACCTGTACAAAAGAAGTTTTTCTGAAAACCAGATTCATTAGCAACAGCTTCCCAACCATGACAATAAAGAAATAGACAAGAAATATGCGCTGAAGAAGAAGAAAAAAAAAGGAGGGAAGTCCATGAAGCGTGGGCTTTTTGTTTCTCGGGTAACCTCGTACACCCTGACACTACCTAGCCAGTGCAGGGTGATTAGGTGAATCTAGAATACATCAAGAGAAACGAAGTATGACATGAATGGCAACATCATGAGTTTGGGGTTAGATTTCGGAGAGCGGGGCAACCTCAAGCAGCACAGCGAGTTCTAAAGTTCGACAAATGTTCGCTTGAGGGTTTATTGAAAATCCGACTGAATGGCGGATTGGGCGTGTGTATGTTCTCGCTGGGGTCGACGGCAACCCCTTCTGCTTTGCGGATTACTTCTTTCAGAGCGCGAGTCACAACGCCGGCGCGGATTACCAGATCGCGGAGAGACCGTGTGTCGAAGGGGAGTTTTTTAGACTTGGGTAACTGACTTTCGTTCAAAGCCGGATCAGGGGACACTCGTTGTCGGTAGATCAAGTCTAACACGGAGTTGGCCTTGGTAGATATTTCCCTTTCATCCGCCCCGTTGGAATGAATAGAGGTCGAGTGCTCTGAAAACGAAGGCTGCCAGGACTCCCCACTGGCGCGCTTGAAGGTGTCATTAGTTGAAGACTCGCCCTCAGAATCATCAAAGCTGAAGGTAAGAGAAGACGGTGAGCCGGGAGGAGAATGGCTAGTATCTTCATCGTCAAGTGTGGCCAGGTCGACTATACCCTCGGCTTCCTTCCATAGCTCGCTTGACGGGCCACGAACGATACCGAGAAAGCTAGCCTGGTGTCGAAGGCGCTTCAGTTCCTCAACCAACAAGGTCAACTCTTGCACCTGTCCGAATTGCCCATGGAGGCTCGCTTGCCGGTCCATTATCGCCTGGGGCACCATCATACCACGCTGCGGGACACCGGGATCCCGATGAGGCTTGATACTCTCGCCGGCGATGTTCTCATCCGCATCTTCAAATTCAAAGTCGCTATCCCAGTCCTCACTTACTCCTTTGCTCCCCAAGCCCCAAGTTCCAAACTTGCCCGAGGTTTGGCGGGACTCGTTAGACGTTGGGGGGTCTCTGGACACGGGAACACTTTGACTTCGCAAATGCAGTGTGTTTGGTGGCTTTCGCCCGGGCGGGCGGCTTCCCCGGGCTTCAGGCCCGTGTTTGCCATGAACAGTCCGTGGTCGTCCATCGGACCCTTGCGCTTCGCGATCGTTTCTTGGCTGTTCTGACCAGTCAAATATGTTTACTTTGGGATAAGATTCTAGAGAATCATGGGTTAAACCCCGCCCATTTGATCCGGCGATGCGTAGAGGGAACGCTGGACTTTTCTCAGCCGGAAAATTACCACACTGTGGTATCTGCTCTCCCACCTCCCCGGGCAACGCTGCGACAAGGCTGAGAGCATCCTCATCGTCGGTGAGATCGGATGGGAAGGAAAGCTTGCTATCTCCATCTCCTAGGCAGTTGACCTCTTGGGCTCCTGGAGCGGAGAAGCGAACCGAAGTAGCATCGCCATCAGGGTCATGGGAACCGCTTTTTATGACTCGGGGATCGCGACTGCTGGTTTGATCCGGATGACTAGGCTTAATAGATTCAGCATCTATGCAGTAGGGCGATGTGTTCTGGTCAAAGATAGTTTCGATACGAGGCGCGTAGATGCCGGCTGTACTTTGGGTCGTGATATGCGTGCGAATGGAGTCAAAGGCGGTGTCACTCAAGAAGTCCGTGTCGTCTTCATCACCCGATGTGAAAATGCGGGTATCGTCAGATCCGATAACCGTTGAGGCGGGATCCGAGGCAGCGATTGAATGTCGTTTGGAACGCTGACGTACAGAGCCCGTCAAAGTGGACAAAGCTACCGTATCTAATGGGAGCGGATATTGTGCGATGTCTTGGGACTGACCCGTATCGGCACGAGAGCGAGAGACTGTCTTTCTTCGTGAACCCATGATCCCCAAGGTCGGTGGCTTGAAGGCCTCCGCCCGGAAAGAATGGTGGGAACGATTGAAGACGTTTGGGTCGGTAATATTGCGTCTCTCGAGGGATCGTCGAACAGGAAAGCGGGCTCCTTCCAATTTGGATAGGTTAAGGACCGGGGAAGAAATTGCTCTGCGTTTGGGCTGCACGAGAGGGCCATCATCAAATGTCGGGCTGTCTGCGACTCGCGGACTTGATGCTGGCGACTTGGGATCTGCTTCGCCAGCCAGTGACAGTTGACGACCTTTAGGTTTTGCCGAGGAGTGCGTCTCTGGCTCTTGGGCGATAGTGTGAATCGGTTTGAATGGATCGCGAAACTCGACCGGTGAAATCGGGGCAGATTCTTCCGGGGTAATATCCCGTCCAGGTTCCTTGTTGGTAAGAGAAGTCGCCAGAAGAAGAACCGGAAAGCCGTCCAGGCGAGGGATTAATCGCCGTAGGCCCTGGTCCTTGGGTTTTGTGGTAGTCGAGAACCGGCGATTCGGCCTGTCAGGCTGCACGGCAGGGTCGGCGTTTAAATATGGTCGGAAAGCCCCAGCTGGAGTCTGGCCTGTAGAATCAAGTGCCAAGCCGGGCTCGAAACACAGACTATGAGTCGCCTTATGCCCCCGACTTTCGCGCCGTTGATAGCTCGTCGCTGGTCTGCGCAGGCCAAACGCAGATGGAGAGGGAGGGGCCTGTGAGGGCAGAGGATTAGCACCTGAGTGCTGCGATGGAGGCCGCTTGACAAGTTTGTTTGGCGCTCGACGCTGGCTGGACGGGCAAAGACCAGGGCTTGCGGGACCGTTTATTGACGGAGAATGAGGGGGTTGGCATGAGGAACGGTTTTCAGGTTGAAATGATAGGCGTCGTATCCAGGACGAAGATGGCCGGCGGCTATGGGAGACCGATGAGGGATCCTCTGAGATGCGCAGGGGTGGATTCGACAAAGTTTGGCCACGGCGACGCAGAATGAGCCCTGCAAGAGAGGATTTTCGTCGCGGATTTATAGATCCGGGGTGGTCTTCATTGGGGACGCCATCTGTTTTCCCGGGGCCAACCTTGGGGTTCTCGGAGGGATCTTCCGCCGCCACTGCGGGTGCAAGAGATCCCGGGTGTATATTATTAGATAACGGAGATTCGGGCGAGTCTATTGTATGCGCGCATTGATTATGCAGAGGGGAGGGTTTTTTCCGAAATCGACCGGGCTTGGGGGGGTCTCGATCGACGCGACCGAGAGCAAGGCCGGTTGCTGCAATACCAACGGTGCTAACTGCACATAGCTGAGGAGGAATCTTTGTTAGTCAAGGAACTATCACGGCAGAGAACCAAAGTCACCCTCAGAGCGCAGCAAAATTGGTCCAACAAACGATCCCCCCCCCCTTCCTCCGGCCCGGTCATCAGGTGGACTCACCGTCGAGACATGCTCCATTTTTTAAAGGCGCTGAGAGTAATGACAAGCACCATGAAGCTCAGATTAGCAACATCGATAATACGGGTAATTGACATCCCATCTGCATTATCATGCACGAGGAGGTTCAGCTGGCTCGCCACATCTAGATAGATGCGATTTGCAAGTGCTGAGGATAATGCTTCGCGAAAGAACCAAGGACAGAGAACAAGCCAAGCGAAGCACAGCAAAGAAGAGAGTGCACGGGCGCGATGTGGGTTTGTCTTCGTTGACAAGCGCGATGCGAAATTGCGAGAAATAATGGTCGGATCGCAGGTGAGGGGGGAGGGAAAATGGGGGGGGGGGGGGTGTGTAGAGGACAGCGAAGGAAGGGAACAGCGAAAGGAATGTGATCGAGGGCCGGAGAGGGAGAGACGACGGGGAACAGAATTACAAAATGTAGAAGAAAAAGAAGAAAAGACTACTACGACGGCGACTGCAGCTTGGACAGAGCGTCGCAGACGAAGAGAAGACTGGCTGGCTGCTGCGAGTTCGCTATGCAGAGCAAGCAGCCGAAAGACAACAATAAACAACAATAATAACAAAAATAAGAGGACGAGGTCATCGATCAACCCAGGCCAGCCAGCGAGAGAGCGAGGAGAGCGAGCGAGTGGGACGCGGCGGCCACTTTCGTTCCCTCCCACGGGCGACGTTCGTCTGGTTCGAGTCGGAACTAAACCAGACTAAAAACTAACTGGAGAGGAATGAATGGGTCACGCTAGGAGGGTGGGATCCCCCAGCACACCACCGCAAGGTGCAGAGGTCCTGAAGGGCACTTGACGGATGTAAGGTGTGAGAGAGGGAGGCACTCAAGGGGCAGTACCTTCGATTACGCTTCGATCTATAAGGGAGGTCTTCTACAGAAGTCCCTTCGTTGTTCTTGCTTCTAGTTTCTACCGCGCCGACGGAGGACGTACGGAGACAGTTGGTAGGGTCGGTGTAGATAGTGGAGGTAATTACGGGCAGAGCACACTAAGGGAAGCATCTTTTTATTTTTATTTTTTATTTTTTTCCCCTCTCTCTTTGTGATGCTGATGGTTATTTTATATTTCTGTTTTGTTTTGTTTTGTTTCTTTTTAGTATTAATATTAGTATTGTGATCCCCCTCCCTTCGGAAACCGTAGATTCTGGAACAAGGGAGAGAGGATGAAAGGGAGGAACGAAGCAGAAATCTCCCACTTTAAAATCCAGCCTTCAAGATTGGTTTTGTCCTACCTGGTTTTAGTGTGCACGATCCCATGGAGAGGATCGGACTGCCGAACGGGTGCCGGGGTTAATTACTATTTGCTATTTACCACCAGCCCTTTCCTCTCCGCTGTTCACTACTACTGCGTAGTATTTACCACGTCCGGAGTATGAAGACCGACCCCTTGGATGATCCCTTGAGCAAACCCCTGGCCCTCTCGATTGGATTATTCCATCCTGTTCGATCGGGGAGCTGGCTGTCTGAGCGACTCCGTAAGCGCTGGCTGAAACGCGGCTGGCCCGATCCCCACTTGATAGGAAGCGTCTCCGACCGGGGCTGGCTGAGAAGCTGACCAGGTACCCTAGGTAACTCGCAGCTTACTCCGTCGGACGGAGTACGCTGGAATAATAATCAATATCCATCCAGACCGTGATGTGCCGTCCTCGATCATGTCATGATTGATGACAATAGCTGGTTCCAGGGAACCGCCATCCAGGGAGCGGCCGGGATGCTCCAGTTTCCAAGCTTTGGGATGGTTTATCCAATTTAGTTTGTCATTAGCTTCCCATTCTCCGGTTTGGGTCCTAGAATGACGACAGAAGAGCGGATGCCGATTATCCACTGGTTGCCAACGGTTGGCCACCCGTCGGAATCGACTCGTGCTCCGGAGTACGGAGTAGGTAGATGTATGTACATCTACTCTGGACGATGATGGGCGGTGCCATGTAGGTACATGTACATGTACAGCCGGAGTACCTACCGGCGATCGCCAGTGATCGATCTGATTTCTTGGAGGAGAACGTGGCCGCAATTCCTGGCCACTCAACTTCACAAATCGGTCCCATCCTGAAACCTTGGAAAAGGCTCCCAATCCCAAGCTCAACCCCGTTCACCGCCCCTCCCACGCGACCCTGCGATCTAACCCCCTCCCTCTCTCGCCCTCTTGCGCGGTGGTTACGACCTTCCAGTAGGGAACGACGAAGGAGAAGCAATCAAGCGATGAGCTCCTCGCCTATGATTTGGCGGGATGCTCGCGATCCTCTGTCGGCCGGGTCCGCATTCTTGGTCTGATAGATCTAATGATCAGGATCTAAATTCTCCGGACTAACTTTCTCAGTCCGTAGCGGTATTATTAACTATACGGAGTACAAACTAGTGTCGATCGGAAAGAATCTTCGGCAGAACAGAACAGGCGAGGGCGGTCGAGGCAGGCAAAATGGATCCCTGCCTTACTCAGCGAGATGTAGCCTGCCCGGTAGCCTCAGGCATTCAGGCGCCGGTCACGATCCATTTTTACCACTCGGACTCCACAAACCCGCGACTCTGCCTTGAGCTCTCTCAGAGAAGTCGGGTCACTCAACGGATCGTAGGACAATTTCTCCCGTGCTAAACAATCCCTTTGCAATTGCCTCTATTCCCTTCCTTCAACCGTTCTTCGATCTATTAGAGCCCCGCCATCTGCCTCTAAAAATGGAGGCGGAGCTCCAGTCACAGATCCCAGGTCTTGACCATGTGATCTCAGAGTATTCGGTGGTAAGGGCCAAGGCGATTGAAATGCATGTAACAATGACCATGGCGTTGATCAGATTGATTATAGGGATATCTGACCCACGCCTCGAAGGCTTATGTCGAGGATGCCACTGCTCCATCCCCCGTATCGGAAGCGGCTGATCTGGTCACGGAGCTTCTGCTGTCCGCGTCGGGGGATTTTTCCCCTCAGAACGAAAGCTCTATCAGAAACCTAGTGGAGAAGTTCATCTCCTCGCTGAGCGCTTCTGATGACGTCGACGGGGAGCGCCGGCAGATGCCATTCACTGCGAAAAAGCTGGACCAGGCTATCAACGTTGGCTCCCAGAGGAACATTTCCTCAACTCTAGGTCTGGCGGGTGGTAACGTGGACTTGGAATCCGCCAACTCTAGAAAGGTCGAGTCCCGTGTAGACCGCAAAAAACTGGAAAAGGCCGAACGTAAGATTCGTGCCAAGCAGGAAAAGAAGCAAATGAAGACCGTGCACTATGAGTCGTCACGTCTCCTGAACCAACCGGACAGTACCATGTCCTACGAAGAGTTCTTCATGGCTGTCAATCCGCTCCAGTTGGGTGCCGACTCACAGTCCAAGAGCAAGGATATCAAGGTCGACAGTATCGATATTTCAGTCGGTGGCCATCGTATTCTAACCGATGCTTCTCTTACTCTGGCCTATGGCCGTCGGTATGGTCTCGTGGGTCAGAACGGTATTGGTAAGAGTACCCTTTTGCGAGCGTTGAGCCGCAGAGAGGTGGCCGTGCCTAGCCATATCTCGATTCTTCACGTCGAGCAAGAAGTATGTTGCTTACGCCCCGTCTCACGCCCCCTCAAATGAGTTACCGCTGAACGTCGACTTTAACTATCTAGATTACGGGTGATGATACCCCTGCCATTCAGGCCGTCTTGGATGCCGACGTGTGGCGCAAACGCCTATTGGCCGATCAAGAAGTCAGTATCCCATTGACAGGAATTCTGCTGGCGCATGCATATTAACTTTCCCACAGAAAATATCTAAGCAGCTAGCCTCCCTTGAAGCAGAAAGATCCTCAATGGCGGATACCTCGAAAGATGCAGCCCGACTTGATCATGAGAGAGAGGGCCTTGATATTACTCTGAATGATATCCATTCCAAACTTGCAGAGATGGAGTCGGATAAAGCAGAGTCTCGTGCTGCCAGTATCTTGGCCGGTCTTGGTTTCTCGGCCGAGAGACAACAGTTTGCAACGAAGACCTTCTCTGGTGGTTGGCGGATGAGATTGGCTCTGGCTCGAGCTTTATTCTGTGAGCCAGACTTGCTTCTGCTGGATGGTATGTTTCCCCCCACCCGTTAACCCTTGCAGGAGGCGCCTAATTCTGTACAGAACCGTCAAACATGTTGGATGTTCCGTCCATTACGTTCTTGTCCAATTACCTCCAGTCTTATCCTAGTACCGTGTTGGTGGTTTCGCACGACCGCGCTTTCTTGAACGAGGTCGCTACAGATATAATGCATCAGCACTCGGAAAGACTTGATTACTACAAGGGTGCCAACTTCGGTGAGCTGTCTGTAGTCATGGTACGGAGAGACACCAGCTAATTTCTCTAGATTCCTTCTATGCGACGAAGGAGGAGAGGAAGAAAAACGCGAAGCGTGAATATGAGAAACAGATGGCCGAACGGGCCCATTTGCAAGGTGCGTCACCTTTTTTTTCCACGGGATATCTTCCCCTTCGTGGGAACTGACAACTCCGATCAGCGTTCATTGACAAATTTCGGTACAATGCGGCCAAATCGTCCGAAGCACAATCGAGAATCAAAAAGCTCGAGAAAATGCCCGTGCTGGAAGCCCCGGAGAGCGATTATGTGGTTCATTTCAAGTTCCCAGAAGTCGAGAACCTATCTCCACCCATTGTGCAGATGTCCGAAGTTGCCTTTGGATATACCATGGACCGACCCCTTCTTAAAAACGTTGACCTCGATGTTCAGCTTGACTCCCGCATAGGCATTGTTGGACCCAACGGTGCCGGTAAGACAACCGTGTTGAAACTCCTCACGGGCCAGCTCCAACCCACGTCTGGGTTTATCTCCCAACATGCTAGGTTGCGAGTCGGGTTCTTCGCCCAGCATCACGTGGATGCGTTGGATCTTACCACTAGCGCGGTGAGCTTCATGGCGAAGACATACCCAGGAAAGACGGATGAAGACTACCGTAGACACCTGGGCGCGTACGTTTGAGACCCCCTTGCTTGATTCTTATGGCACCTCGTTGGCGGATAACTAACGTATTGTTCCTTCCATTAGGTTCGGTATCACTGGCATGACAGGTCTCCAGCGAATGGAACTCCTTTCCGGAGGTCAAAAATCTCGTGTTGCCTTCGCTTGCTTGTCATTAACAAACCCCCATATTCTCGTTCTCGACGAACCGTCCAACCACCTCGATATTGAAGGTATGGACGCGTTGTCCGAAGCTTTGCAGAAATTCGAAGGGGGTGTTGTCATGGTATCCCACGACGTGACAATGCTACAAAATGTCTGCACCAGCCTTTGGGTGTGTGATAAGGGCACCGTACACAAATTTGATGGCACTGTCAATGCCTACAAGAAGATGATCAGTTCGCAGGCCAATGAGGCTGGTGTTGCGGTGGCTCACTAACCTGGCATAGATTCTTAGTATTGTTAGTACTAACCCTCAGGCTAGTCACCAATGAAGCACTCCTTTATTACTCCTGCCTATTTATCACCACCTTGCTAGCCATCCGTCGTAAAATCCCGAGGAATTCCCATGTACGCAGTCGACGTTACGTGGGTGTCAAGTGGGTCCGGTCCGGTCCCGTGGACGGACTGCCAAGGTCCAGCTACTTCGTACTGAGTTAAGTTAACGTTAACTATCTACTCCGTCGTCTCCCCCCCGAATCCGACTCTGTCCATCTCCAACACCTTTTCTTTATTGTTCTTCGGGTGTATTCCCGAACCCAGCTGCCGCACATCCCCATAATCCTTCCAATAGAAAAAAAAAAAGGATGGAATGAGTGCAGATGTGCCTATCCAAGAAGAGGAACTTCAAGCCATGACTGAAAATGACCCATCTGACGCAAATGCTCCCCTGCTCTCGAACGATGCGGTCGCTAACCATCCACACGAAAATGACGATGATATCCCAATACAGGATTTGGAGTCAGGCTACTCGGGAGGCTGGTTCATCTGGATCTTGACATTCTCCGCGGGGATTAGTGGGCTCTTGTTTGGATATGAGTAGGTGTCACCACCGCCCGTCGGAGCTTGAGCTTTCCGCAGACAGCTAACTCTTTTGGATTGTTATAGTACAGGTGTTATCTCATCTACCCTCGTGTCAATCGGCTCTGATCTCTCTCGCCGTCCCCTTCATACGTTGGACAAAAGCCTGATAACATCTTGCACGAGCTTATTTGCCTTGCTTGCAAGCCCGATAGCCGGGATCATGGCTGATAAACTCGGCCGTCGGAGGGTCATACTGGTTGCAGATGCACTTTTCGCTCTCGGTGCATTGTTACAGGCTGTCACAAGCGAAGTATCGGGCATGATCGTTGGGAGAAGCATTGTCGGCTTGGCAGTCGGCGGTGCTAGTTTGGTGACCCCGTTGTAAGTTTGGACCCTTGTATACACTCATCTTGAGGAATGAAACGTGCTTCCATACGGAAAGACAACGAACTCTCTGACCGTTTATTATTATTTCCCCCCCTCCATAGGTACATATCTGAGTTAGCACCACCGCGTGCCCGGGGACGACTTGTTACGATTCTCTGCCTGTTGATTACCGGGGGCCAAGTTATAGCTTATATCATGGGCTGGCTGTTTTCATCTGCTCCTGGAGGCTGGCGTTGGATTGTCGGCCTTGGGATGGTACCGGCAGTGCTACAGTTTGGAATCGTACTTGTATTACCAGAAACTCCACGCTGGTCAGCGCAAGCAGGGCTTGAGGCCAGCGCTATACGCTCTTTAATGAAGGTATATCAGGGTCATCCCCACAGAGAGCGCGTCGCGAACCAAGTTTTACATGGTATCCAACGGGAAATAGCCGAAGAAGAGGAGGAGCTTGATATTTGCAACGATGCACCTCGAAATAGCACGCGGTGGATGCAAAACATTACCCAGCGTACTCGCGACCTATTTCTCACACCTGGAAACCGGAGGGCTTTAACAATTGCAACGATGCTGCAAGGCTTACAACAACTATGCGGATTCAACAGCCTTATGTATTTTTCGGCCACTATTTTTTCCATTCTTTCGTTCTCTTCGCCAACACTCGCCGCACTTTCAGTGGCCATGACCAACTTTGTTTTTACAATGCTCGCATTCGTCTTCATTGATAGAATTGGCCGGCGCCGCATCCTCCTCTATTCTATACCCGTCATGGGGGTTTCTCTTGTCGTCTGTGCCTTGACGTTCCCGTCTCTGAAGCTGCCGAATCTGTCCGATCTCCAACAAAGCTCAGGAAGCAGCGTCGCTGCCCGCGATGATTCCTTGCTACCAATGATTATTCTCATTTGCTTTACAGTATACACGGCATCCTACGCATTTGGGCTCGGCAATGTGCCTTGGCAGCAATCCGAACTCTTCCCTCTCAATGTACGTTCGCTCGGGTCTGCATTCGCCACGGCGACAAACTGGGGGTCAAACTTCGTCGTCGGGCTTACCTTTCTGCCTATGATGGAGATTCTCACCCCTGGCTGGACATTTGCGGTTTACGCAGCCATTTGTACTATTGGCTGGTTTTGCGTGTGGTTCATTTATCCCGAACTCAATGGTCTTAGTCTCGAGGAGGTCAAATGGCTCCTTGCTGCCGGCTGGGGGCTGGACAAAGGCCTTTCAAGGGCCGAGAGCACTCGGACGAGGTGAGATGCATAGTATCATGATCGAACCCTCTTCCGATTGAACCGGTCCAATGGCTTCCAAGGTGCTTGTTCATGAGTAGAGTAATCGCAATAGATCAGTAGAATATACATCTGCTCATTATCATCTCGGAAGCATGAGAGCTAACCAAGCTCTTTCCGCCCCTGGCTGATTGATTTCATTCCACCTCAATATCTTGCTTTCGAATGGATCCTCCTCGATCATCAAGGCAAAATCTAGGTCATTCTGGGTGATGGCTCTATACATATCCACATAAAATATAATTGTCAACTGTCGGCCGAGGCCCTACCACATAGCCAGCTCGTCTCTTCTAATATTAGGTTACTTACATTTCATTACTTCCGAATAACGAAGCCAAACGTCATGCTTTGACGGCCAGCCGATAATGATAATAGAACTGTGTCTCCCCATTAACTAATCGTGCGACCATGACTAAAATGTGGCGATTTCCAACCCCAGAGCGACGAACTTGCTAGCCCGGTTACCGACATGGCGCCATCTCGACCCCCTACGCCCGTTTTCTCTTTCATCCGTGGTCGTGGGAGCCTCTTTCGTAAGGAACACAACACGACTTGCTCTGAAATACGACACATGAGCCTTTTCTGCCCATTCATATGATGAACATAGACTTTTGGAGAACATGCGGAGAGGATTTCTGTTTTGAAGATACATAGCAAGTTCGAGAAATAAAGAAAAGGAACAAAAGAAAAGGGGAGCGGGAAAAAAGTCTATTCCTCAATGTCCTTTACCTTCTCCCATTGTCCCTTGAGGTTTTCTTTCCACAAGCTGACCTTGTTGTCGCCTCCCCCTACAGCGAGGATATTTCCGCTGGGGCTCCAGCTGACCCTCCAGAGGACGGTGTCAAACTCAAGTTGCTGACTGGTCCACTGGCCCGGGTTTGACGCATCAGAAGTCCAGATTCGAACGGTCTTGTCTTGCGAAGCGGATGCGATGTAGGATTTGGACAGTATGCTGGGTGACCAAGCGACGTCTCGGACCCAGTCGGAGTGACCCTCCAAAGTCTGGGTCAAGTTATAACTCTTGGTTTCCGGACTGCAAATGATATGCATTAGCACGCGGGATGGTGGGAAAAGAAAGGACCGAGGGGGGTATATACGCACCTGTAGTCCCAAATTTTGAGCAAATTATCACTACCGCCGGTAACAAACCTCCGCTGCTGGCCAGGTCCAGGGTTGGAGCTGATGAGGCTGCCAGGAGATGTCGCAGGGGCCCAGCTGATAGAATTCACACCCATGCCATGGGCGTGGAAAATCTGGTGAGTCCAGCTGTTATCACGGAACTCCAAAACACTGACGTGGCCATCCGAGGAAGCGCACGCAAGCAGGCATCCGCTCTCGTGGGGAGCCCAGGAGACCATGTTCACCGACGCAGTATGAAGAGAGAAATCAAAAACTTTGGTCCAGGAGCTGCCAGCGACAGGAGATGTCGAGTTTTGATGCTGCTCGCGCCAGATGAGCACCTTTCCGTCGTACGAAGAAGAGGCAAGGATTGTGCCGAATTTGGGATGGGCCTGCAGAACGCGACAGGAAGTGCATTAGTTGACACTTGCGCCGTCAAAAGAAAGGCCATCGAGCCGATAGAAAGGGTAAGTTAATGCGCACCCATGCGACACACCACACAGCACCTTCGTGTCTGTTTCACTCAAGGTCAGCGATTGGAGACAAGGCACGTATGACGGCATGAGGCTAACCCTTTAAGAGTTTCAATCAATCGATGCGTCTCGCCTTCGATTTCGAATATCTTTATTGTCTTATCCGACGAGCATGTGGCCAATCTTCGACCGTAATAATCCAGACCGGCATCGTGCTGTACCAGGTGGTCAAATCAGCATAAGGGGATTAATTCAATGATTTGGGGCGCAAGCCACATCGGACGCAAAAGCGAAGCAAGGCCAGAAACATACAATCATATCATCATGCCCAGAATTCGAGATGACCTGAGCAGCCGCCTATTGAGCTCGAGGGGAAACGTTAACAATCCAAGGCTCAGCGCTGACAAGCAATGGAAAGGAGAGTCGCACCATTTTTGCCTTGTTAAAAGCTGCTTGGAGTATATTGGGATTAAGATTGCAGACGACAATGTGTAAGCTGACAGGCGGAGAGAAAACAGTTCACAATCCCAGGTAGCTCTTGTGCAATGGAGTGGGATGGTGGTGGAAGAGGAGGAGACAGACGGGCAGCGGGCAACGGCAAAACACCGCCAGCTTGTCTGTTTCGCTAGCGCAATCTTATCTTATCGGCCGGTCACGTTGGGTCACGCCTGGCACGTGAGACAGACCTCGGTCGGCTTCGGTCGATTTGCCCCACGGCCTTCCTCTCCATCCGCCTTTCGCTCCCTCCCTCGCTCTCTCTCCCTCTCTCCCTCTCTTCCTTCCCTCTCTCTTTTCTTCCACTTGGGGCTTGCAGTTTTCCGATCTGTGATCTTCTCGCCATAATGAGTGACGCTCTCTGTGGTCCGTCGAATGCTCTCCAAAACTTCCAGAAAAATGCGTCCGTTGATCGGACTCTCCAACAGGATAGGCTGGTTTCGCGACAGCCACATTCACAGGTGATATTCCATCCGTACTGTCGAGCAAACCAGAAGCTATCATACTCATGCTTCTGCCTCTGCAGGGATTCCGTTCACAAGCCGCCAGTCAAGGACTTTTAGACCCCGAGTTTGCTGCTTTTGAGTCCAATTCATCCGGCACGTCGCTTCCGAACTTACAGCATGCACCAGGTCCCTTCAGTGTCCATTCTCCGCATCGTTTGGTGCCCCACTCCACAGACCATGTGGATTGGGCAGCAGACTTCCAAAGATTGCAGCTTTCGGGGCCATCGCATGCGTTCGGTCAACGCGCCGGCCCTTCCGCCGTTTCCCAACAGGGTTGGCAAAATGAGTTCTTAAACCAACAGCAACAAGGCCCCCCTACGCCGCATCAGCAGCAGCATCAGCGATTTGCGCAAGGATACCAACCTTCATTTTCCCGGGGCTATCCCCTGCATACAACACCCACGACCGCTTTTCCCGCTGCGGGGTCCATGGCCACCCAACAGCCGCCCGCAGAAACGTTTGATGAATCTGCGTTCGAAGCCGCGTTCGAGCAGGCAAGTGCCGACATGATGTCACAGAATGTCGAAGACATCCAGGAAAACAAGGAAGAGTCGGCCAACAGGGCTGCTCAGTCAGACACGCCCGCCGTAGACGAGCCTCGAGAGGCCATAAGGATCGGATCGGATACTATTCCCCAAACCAACAACGATGGGACACAAGCACAAGTCAACGATGCGGACGAACTTGCCAGGACTGCAGGGCATTTATTAGAGAGTGTCAGCCACGATCAAAGCCAGAAGTTCCGAGAAAGCAACTTCCTTGCTTTGATGCGCCGTATTCGCGATCGCGAAGTCCATGTCGAAGGAGACGAATTCCGCGAAGTCAGTACCAGTTCGTGATTTATTCAGATTTCGACTGGCGTGGCACGAACGCTGGTATAATCGGCTACTTAATACCGGCTATTGTTTACGCTAATTAATATCCAGACTTTGCAGTCTTTACACCCTGGGGGCAAATACTACCCAAATGACCAGAAAGCCACGGAGCAGGAACGAGCCACAGTCTCGGCAGACTATCATAAGTACGCTTATGTACCAAACAACAGAGGTAAGTCCCCTGGCGTACGGTGGAGAACAAGAGAGATGTGTCCTGACCAGTAGAACCCATCTAGAGCGCGATGATCCTGTTCGCCCGGGGGGGAAGGAACCCAAGGAAAATGAGACAATGAATGATGACATGATTCATGAAAGTTGGGCGTATGGCGATCGTTGGGCTTGAACAATTGTCTGGCTTGATACCCCCTATTTTTTTTTATCTATCCCTTGGACTTTTCTCTTTTGTACTCCCTCAGGATTGGTGTTGGGCTTGCCGCCTTCTATTGACCGGCCACGTGACCCTATTCCGCTATTGACGGGCGAGAACAATCGCCGTCAATAAGAAGCCCGGCAGCATTGTTGCAAGGCATCGTCGTCATCGCCCTTCGCATTGGTCCCTTATTGTCTGGAGCCCCTTGGTTATGAATAAATGAGGCTGCCGTGTTGGCAAGGTTGTCGGTTGATCGGCCTATTGTCGCTTGGTGGTTAGCCTATTGATGCGCGATTCCTTGTCCTGCTGAACCGTATCTATCTATAGACAGACCCCTTCTATGACCGGCTGTGGATCAATTGTTTCGACGATGCCTGCCTTGCCTCGGTAGCCTAGTACAAATAGCACCTCTGTCAATCCACTTGCCATCTTCTCATCTTGCCATCCACTCCTGGTTCCCGGGGCTGCCGACAGCCTGACAGCCTATTTAGCCATAGACGCACAGATCCTTCGAAAATGCTCCCTCCATCGGATTCCCTTCTTCACCACGCGCACAAACTCTCTGAAGCGGCAGCCAACATCGATCGGAACGATGTGCGGCCGACACCTCCACCGCCATACTCGTCAGCCGCCCAACACAATGCCATCCATGAGGACATCGAGAGCGAGCTCGCTGGGGATGAGGATCGGCAAGCTCCTCTTGCAATATATGTGGATGCCTCTATCAACGTCAGCGGGGATGGAAATTCTATCGTCCTCCCTCCCTCTGCGGCCGAGGCCGCATCGCCTTCGTCTTCTGCCTCCGCGGGAAACGCCACGGCGCACGCGGCGCCGCGTCAACGCCAAACACGACTCACCGATATGACTGCCTCAATTCTCACGGCGCTGCATCGGACCGGGCTCCTCAATGCGGCGCGGACATCCACCCCGGTAGAGATCCACGTCACCACGGGCATCAAGATCGAGGGCAGCAGGAATATCATCTGCTCTGGTTCGGTGGCTAATCGCCCGCTTGTCGGCAAGAGACACGCGCCGGGAGATGAAGCGTCCAGAAAGAGACGGTCCCAGTCCGTATGTCTTTTCTCCTTGGTTCCCCCTCCTGACCCTTCTTCTCTCTTTCACCCCTCGGCCTGCAATTTATATCCCTTTCTTCCCCCCTCTCCCCAACTCTCACATAGCATAGTCACTAATCATCCGGATTGTAGGAACCAACCGAGGTCCCTGGTTCGTCCAAGCGACACTGCTCGATGTGATTAAAGTCTCGCCCGGAAGGAAGCACGCAAACCTATCTGTCCATGATCAGTCGATGTTGTCTTCTTTATTTTCTCCTCTTTCTTTCTATCCTCTTTCACACTCACATCATTATTATTATCATTAATGCAGATGACTCCCCGGGGAGGAAAGTGATTTTAACCTTTAAATAGAATTCAATATCTCATCGCTACATCCATTTTTCGTTCGCTCCCATCAGGGTACAACTTGTTAGGGGGGGAAACCAAATCTGAGATGTAAGGTCTGCCCGGCCAGTATTTCGATTCCGAGGGCCTCCTACACTGGTTTTATTCGGTATGATCACCCGTAATATGCTCGATATTGCTGCCCAGCGCCTTTATTTGAGCTCTTCTACACTACATCTAGTCACATTTCCCTTGTCAAAGATGTAAAGATTCTTTGGGGGGAAGAAAGGAAAAAAGAGAGGAAAGAGAACAGAAAGCCTCTCCCATCAATCATTGCTATCAGTGTACAACAGACATAGCAAAACATGTAAACCCGCAAGATTTAAGATTCCACCAAAACAAGAAAAAAAGAAATAAATCCATCGACAGTTCATTCCATTCCATATTGAAGGTGCTCAGAAAGGTTTAAAAGAGAAATGAAATACATTAAAAGAAACAAAAAATAAAATTAAAAACCACATCGAATACGCCGAGTATTGAGACTATAAGGGATTCATTAGAAATATCATGGCCATGTTTGAAAAAAAAAAAGGTACATGAACTGGGTCGAGCTGGAACGGGGACGACTCATGAGAATAGAGCTAATTGACCCCTGTGCATCAGGTTCGATCTCACTTCTACCCAAGGACGAAACATTTGCGGTCGTCACCGGCCAATTGGGATATCATGTCGGTGCAAATCCCTCGACCATTCCGGGGCAACCTTGTCTCGTTCGTACAGAAGACCGCAGTTGTGGCACAATGTCTAGACAACGATGTTAGAGGGAATCCAATGCTAGCCGATGGGACTCTGAAGGAGATCTTACCCTTGGGCCGGCAGGGCCATCCCGGACCGCCCAGACTGCGGTGCCCCAGACCATACAATTGCTGCATCGCCAGTTCTGACGTTCCCTGGAACAACGGGTGAAAAGACAAGGTCAGTGACTCCGCTTCCAGAGTAGTGATGGTGGAAGGGAGAGACAGAGAGAAAGACATACCAGTCAGACAGAGTACCACCGCCGCCACCATAGCCAGCCCCCGATCCGGTGTCTGGAGTTCCTCGCCCGCCGGGGGTGCCTCCCCTCGCGCCTGGACTGATACTGCGGAAGCGTCGTTTTCGTTTGCTGCGCTCGCCTCGACCCAGGGGGGTCTCGCTATCCACGTCGAAATAGCCCCCGCTTCCCTGTCGGGAAACTTCCGGGGTGATGCCGGTGGTAGATGAGAACCGGGCCGTCTCTCGCCGTAACCGGCGGATCTGTCGCTCGCGGTCACCTTCACGCTTTTCAATCTCTTCCTTGGACAGCGTTTCCACCTTGGGTTCCCATTCGTCCCCGAGCCCTTCCGGATCATATCGCCAGCCGGCTTCGGCGCCATTCGCCGCTTGGTTGTCGATCTCGTTTCCGTATCCTCCCATGCCGCTGATGAGCCCGCCACTCTCACAAACCTCTTTCTTGAGTTTCAAGACAGCCTCATATATGCCATGCGAGATGGCACCAACCCATTCTCCACCCAACCCCAAGTCAGCGCAAGTGATCTTGGCAAATTCCTCGGCCATCCCGGGAGGATGCAGCAGGGACCATTCAAACTTGTCGGTGTACAGCTTGTTTTGCAAGTTGATGTTCAGATTAATCATGCACCGATACGCGTCATCGGGGTTGAGAAGGCTGTCGTTGATCAAGGGCTCTTTAGTGACCGTCACTGCATTGGCCCGGCTGTCGGGGGTGGCTGCGTGCGTTAGGGCCGGGGTCATGGACACCTCTCGCGACAGCCCATTCTGGGAGGCGGATGGTGGCTTGTGCTGTGTACTCTGGAAAAGTGGATGCAACGCAACCCCGGCAAACTCTTCTAATTGTTGGCGGATCTGGCCGCTGATGGTCATGGTCATCGCCTGCGGATTGGGAAGGTCCATGTCACGGACAAACCCGACGGCAAACTCCTCCGGAGTTGCGAGGGCTTCGTGAAGGTTCCAGAGAAAGGTATCTTTGATGCGATAAGCGGGCAGCGGCTCAGGTCGTCTATACCCAGGCAGCGTGAGGTTAATCCCAGGGTCTAGGACCGATCGCGGCAAGGCGAACGGCTCCAACGGCTGATGCGCCTGTACTTCCAGATCAATTCGGATTGGTATGAGGGTTAGCGGGAGTTGTGCTTGGATCTGTAGCTGGTCGGCGCAACTAGACGATGGCAAAACAGGATGGGTTAGTACTCGCTCGCGAAAAACCAGACCTGTGTCCGCAGAACAGCCTTCCGGACCCAGGGCAACAGAACATACGCAGGCCGTAGCATCCTCTTGATCATCCAATCGCGAAACACTCCTTGGACCTCAACGGGAGCATGGATCTCTTTCCCTAGCTTTTCCGCCAGGGGGACTTTATCGAACGTTGACTCTTCTCGGCGGAGACTCCTCAGGCCAGTGGGCCGCCGAGGACCTTCGCTGTCCTCGAAATCATCATCATCATAACCATCTTCGGCATAATTGATGGCAGCGGTTCCGCGTTTCGTCGTGCGAGGCGTAGGGCCAACTTGAGTAGGTGGGTTGACGGGAGTGAGAAGCGCGTTCCCATACTGGCGCACCCGTGGGGGGTAGGATGTGATATAGCCTCTGAGAGGGGACATGTTGGCTGGTTAGGTAGACAGGAACATGTCCCTTCTAGCGCTGGCGAGAGAGCTTCAATCTGCGAACACACTGATAGATGGAAGGTTGGATGGCGTTCGACGGGATGGGATGAAAGGGCGACCAACCCACTGGGGGACTTGAACAGGCTGGAGGGGGGAACAGGCCGGAAGGAAGGGAATGCGATGCTGAAAGTGTCGACCGTGCGAAAATGCAGCAAGCACGAAAGACCGCCCAAGCGCCTCTGACGGTTGATCGCGCTCGAGCTTTCCGCCTTTTTCTGCTTCGTCGCGTTTGGCCTGCGCACGCTAGACCGCATCCGGCAATGGACATCACGTGTGTCACGTGATTATACGAGGCTCCCTCCGGCTGCCTCAGGCCGGCATTCCGCAGTTCCCACGGCACGGGATGGTAGTACAAGGGAGAGAGGCAGAGAGATAGCGAGGTAGATGTATATATATAATACGAATTATTCCAGATCAATGCTAAATTATAAACAGAATGACTCAAGCACCAGTAATTGAATACGCCATTTCCCTTGGCCTGCATCGGAAGGTTCGCAAGGAGTAAACCGGGATATCGTCAACAACGCAAAAGACGGACGGAAAAAATCTTGAAGGAAGAGATGGGTTGCAGTGCTATGTCTCGAACATAGGCCAAAGGCGGATTGGAAAATGCGAGAACGGCGCGAGAAAAAGTAAATCAATGCGAACAAAAAGCGCGATCAACGAATAAGAGAGGTTTCGACGGAACCTCTGGCTATCGCAGGCCAATAACACTCTGGGGGGAAAGAAATCGATTAGCATGATCATTCCAAGCCCGCTTGCATAACGTAGCCTTGCTTGTTGCTTGGCTTACCATTTCCAAGGTCCATACTCTCCGAATCCATATCTTGACCTTGCCCTCAATGCCGTCCACATTTTCCAACTCGATTCCTTCCCACCAGCATCTCCGTGCTGGCTTTCTCCAGAAGAGCAAGAGCTTCTGCGCCATACCCACGGCGTTATTATTGGACAGGTCACCGCGAATGTCGGTACGAAGTTTCGCCAGCGCGAGACTACAAATCACCGCTTTATTGGGCTCTGGAGCACGATGGCCCCACCGATCATCACGATCAAACCCCCTGCCAACAGTCAGTACACCAAGGCTGGCTTGGACCTCCCTTGCGCTCATCGGCGAGTTCCACAACGGGAAAGACCAGACTTACCCTGCCGTGAGCATTTCGATCAGGTGCTGTTCAGTCGACCCAACCTCGTCGCTTTTCCTCAAGCCAGAAAAGATTCCGTCCTGTTTCAACAGTGCCTTTGCTGCCGCGCGTTTGACCTCCATCATTTCGGCGTGGTCGATGTCGGGGCGGGGAGGTATGGCATAGAAATCGAGGTCTTCGCGCAAGACGATGATCCCGGCCCGGTCCTGCAGCATGTCCCTGGCAGATCCTTGCATTGAATCCGACATGTCGAGGTCTGGCGAGGTCGATGCGGATGGGGAGGACGACGGAATTGATTGAGCGACAGAGCGAAAAAAGTCCAGCATGTATTGGAGGGAGGCGGGGTCATACTGGCAAATACAATCGGTCAGACATGCACGAGATTGAGGGGATGCCAGTGGCAGCTGTGTTTACTTACGTCGACGGGGTAGATGTCGCCTTCATGGAAAGTGCCCATGTGCCCGTCAGGGAGCAGACCGTTTGGGAAAAGGGAAAGGAGAACGAATTCTGGCAGCGTCAAGAGTTCATCTCGGGAGAGTGTAAACCGCGTCCCTCTGTGATCATATTAGAACAGCTCGGTTGAAGGAACGGTAGAGAGCGTTGTTACCGCAGATCAAGAGTGATATGCTCATCTCCGCCGATATCTATTAGACCCCGCGAGACAATGCCCATTAGCCGGAATGTTCTCCCGCCCTTCAGGATAGGGAACAGTAGATTATCATACCTCCCAGAGTATTGATCGGGGGCCCTCCCGCCTGCTGGACCTGAGTAATGATACTCGACGCGCCTCCTGCCGCAGCCATCACGTATGTGAACGATTCGATGGGACTGGAACCTTCAGTGTATGGGGGAGGAGGTTCTCCGTCTTCTGCTGCTTTGCCTGGGGATTCTCCCTTGGGGTCGGGGCCAAAAGAAGCTTTGGTCTCTGCGACGAGGGATGCGGAGGACGGGTCCGGTTCTAAAGGCTCTTCCTCAACGGATGGCGGAGAAGCTAGCCGGGGCTGAGGAGCTGTTTCCTTGGCGCGATTGGGATCGATCGCAGAGGTGAAGATCAGGGACGAGAATGGCGGGGGGCGTGACGAAGGAGGGCCCGAGGAAGAAGCCTCCGACGAGGGGGAATGCGGTGGCGGCGCGGTATAGAAGTCGTCGTCTTCCTCCACTGCGGAGTCCGTCTGATGATGCGGCCGCGCCGTGGGAGGCGAGCCAGGGGAACCTCGATGCCACGACAAGGTGTCGGGGTTTGTCTCGAATTCGCCGGGAGCGCGTATGGCCAAATGCTCCTGTTGGAGGCTCGGAGTGTTTAGCTGCGAGAATCGTCTAGTTGATCGGAAGGGATCCAGAATCCGGGTTCCTTTGGTCGATCAGACGTCTATCCGTGTCTCTCCAAAGTAATTACGGGGTTGGTTAGAACATGAGTGATCTGAAAGGAGAAGATCAAGCAAACAACGACCCAGACAGCAGGTGATAATGCGACCAACTAGAGGAGGGGAGCAGTGGATGGAGCACACAAGCGGCCGGCAAGAGTGATGAAAGAGGAGAAGAAGAGGATAGAAGGAAGCGCTTAGAGAAGAAACATTGGCGGCGGGCGACTTTCGATGCGGAAGCCTGGAGTAGTCGGGTCAACTAGCGGGAGTGACGCCCCTACCTTTTCCCCCCTCTTTGCAAGCGAGCGGCAATTTTATCCTCCTCCTGCCTGGTCTTCTTCTTCTTCTTTTGCTTCTACGACTACGCCTCGGAATCGCATGGAAACCGCCCATGCTAGAAGACTCCCGAATGCCTCCTTCTCGCGGCCGGTGGAGGTCACATGACCCGCCGTTGGGGATTTGGAATTTGGAGGCTTCATTGCTTGCTAGCTATGTCCACTGGCCAAAATAATTCACCTATTCTACCCCCCGGATTCCACCGAAAACAGACACTCCTCGTCGTCGCAGTGGCGCCGGGTTTCCTAGACATTACGCTCGACAAAGCTTTGAATCAAGCCTTCAATGGTCGGCTCATATTCCTTCAGCGTGACCTCGTCGCCATTCAGGATGGTGTTGCCCTGCACGAAGACCTTGCGTGGGATCTTGTTCTTCAGAACGATATTGCGAACCTGCGTGCCCCACCACTCGTCGACCGAGGTGATTTCATCGTAAAGCTTCTTGCCCGCTTGAACGTCGGCGGTGCTCTTGTAGACATGCAGCTTCTGCAGATATTTCTCCACGGCGGGCCTTCCATGACTGATGATCTTGGACCGGTCCAGATGAATCTCGAGGTCGGAAAGATCATCCTTAGTGTAGGAAAGCCGGACGAAGTCGCCGCCAGCCTCGAGGAATGTGCGCAGGATGCTGTAACGAGCCTGCATGTGCGCTTGTCCCCATTTTTGCGTTTTGGGATCCCAGAACTCCAGCGCAACCAGCCCAGCGCGTGCCATTTGAAGATAGGCCACGAAAAGGACGTCGCCGGCCTCGTTCGTAAGGTTCTCCGTCCCATCGCCAAACCCAAAGATCTTGAGAATTTCGAAATCACAACTCAATGCCATCGCCACACATTCCGCACGGCACTCTTCGTAGGACGAAGCAATGGCCCCGAAAACGGAGCTCCAGGTCTGGCCGGGCTTGTACCAAGTAGAGACCGGTTTGTTTGTGACGGGGCTCACGGGCGGGTTTGAAGCATCAAAGTTGTACGCGCCCGGGGCGGTCTCCTGAAGCAGCTTACCTGTGCCATGCCCCAGGAGCTCGTGGATACCAACCTGGACCTCAAATGCGGGATCGCGGCATTTGCGATACACCTCCAAATCCTTCTCGGCAATAAAGGGAACTGGTTCGTTGGGAGCCTTGGCCCCGAGAACGTTGCCGAGAGACACGTTCTTGAATCCTAGGTTCTGGCGAATATCATCGTAATTGGGCAGGTTGATACCAGCGGGGATCCCGGACGATTGGAAGCTTAGCACCTCGAGGGAGGTGAAGTCTGGACTGAGGAACTTGTCCTTTTCAAAGTCCTCGCTCCAAGGAAGCTTGGGGATCATGGTCTCTGCGCTATCAACAAGCTTTCCAAAAGCTCTCGTGCGTTCCATGTTGACCTGTCAAAGTCGATCTATCAACAACCCAATTCCAAGCGGGTGGGTTTGACGTTCGTGTCACTTACCAAAGCGACAAATCCTTCCCACTCGCCTCTTACGCCGTGAGGATCCCTATAAGTCTCGACGAATCCAATGTTAGTTTCCAAAGCCGGCTTCTGGTCCTTCACCCAGATCCGCTGGCTCTCTTTGAACGCTTCGATCGACCCCGCGCCGAAAGAGCGCGCATATGCGTCCAACATCCGCTTCTGATTGTCATTTGCCGCATTGATTTCCGCGAGCTTGATGCAGTGGGCGATCTTCGCCATCTGTTCCAAGTGGTCTCCAAAGACAAGACGAAGTTTCTTCCCTTTCAACGCTCCGCTCAGGTCGAAAGAGTCGGCATCGCCAAGGTCCCGATCTCGAGGCGGGGGCGAAGTGACTCCCGCGGCAACCAGGAGCTCGAAATCGCCGGATGGGGTCTTCCGTAGTCTGGTATTCTCCAGGGGTAATCCCTTCTGTTCCATGATGTCACCAATGGCTGTGATTTCATCCTTGGTGATAGACGGCGAGTCGGGATAGTAGGTTGTCATGTGCTTGCCTTCCGGATAGCCAAGGTGCATGAGCGACTGCTCCTGAGTTTCGTAGATGCCACCTCCGGCGCTGTTCGCCTTCTCAAAGGCCGCCTTCGCTTCCGGCGTGACCGACGACAAAGCCTGGAGAGCCTCCAAAGGCAGCCGGGGAATGAATTTGGAGTCACCGAATCCCTTGTAATTGCCACAGTTTCCGAGGAACTGGCCGGCATACTCCAGGAAAAACCGGACATTCTCGTCACTGACACCCGTCTTACGGGCAAGCTCAGGCCAGTTTCCATCACACGCCCGGTGCAGCGAGATGATGAGGTCGTAGATGGGTTCAGATTCGGGGGAAACCTGACGGAGGGTAATGCGAGTGCCTTCAAAAGCCGCTCTAGAAAGAAGTAGAAGGTTTGATTTCCCGTTAGCCGGCTAGACCGAATCGAGGAGCAAGAAGATGAATCTGGGTCAACATCAGGAAAGGGAGCGAACCGGCTCATGTAATGGGCATATTTCCTTAGCTTCACATCCGTCAGGCTGTCGAAGTGTGATTTGACTTCCAGGCGGACTACCGTGGGCGGGGAGTCAGCCAGGTAATGCTGTTTGATCGAAGGATCCATGATTAGGTCGTTCTGGAGAGGAAGGGAAGAGTTGTTGACCGGAGATGAATAGGCGCGTCGGGGGTGACGTATGGGCGCCCGACGACTGAGGGGTAACGAGGGGCGGTGGAGCGAGACAGAATAATGAGCACTCGAAGGCCCCGACGGCAAGCGCCTGAAAGCGCGAGGGGCGAGCATTCTGATTCACGCCTCTCCGGTCTCTCGACTCGCGAAGATGACTCCGATTATTGCCCGGGGCCGCGTGTTTTGCGCATGGATTGCTTGGCAAGAGTGGAGACGCCATGTCCTCTGCGTCGAGGTTATCGTGATTACCGAGTACGTTGTATACTCTACGATCTCGACTCTACTTTGTTTAGTCCGTGAATGTGAACTCGCAGATAGGATTGGGCCGATTGGTGCGCCGGATTTATAATCATTCGCCGTTCTAATGCAATATATTACATACTCGTAGCTAACTAGATCAATCAATCACTCAATATATAAAGATATATATATAGAGAGAGAGAGAGAGAGAGAGAAATATCTTTACTATACAGAAGGCGGGGATTGCTCGCTATATGAACAATGTCCATCATATAAACTAATCAAATCAATGACTTTTGCATGGCACTTATTCCGAGCTCCAATAGACTGGGATATAATGCATGACCGGGTATTGAGTTCCACACATGAGATTCAGAGAGTAAAGGTTCCGTCATGTAAACCAACCCCGAAGGGACAGAAAGAGACCAAGCTGCCAAAACAAAAGCAAACGCTTCTTCGTTCATTTCGTCGGATTCTCCTCACGTTTCATAGCAAGCTTTCGTATTTCTCAAGCCCCTGTCTCGGGGGCGGCTGTGCTTGGGGTGTGTTGCTTTGCAGGAAGGAATTAGATGTCGTACTCGAGCCGAAGGCGGGTCTGCTAGAATTTGCTAGGCCACTTGTGAATGGCGGTGATGTGGTTTGTGATGGGGGTGGTGGCGGGATTGAGAATGCCGAGTAGTTAGGGGCGACTGGCGGTGGCATTGACCCGGGCATGGTGTTGGTGGTCGTCCTCATACTGGCTAGTGCGCCCAAGGATGGACTTGACATGCCATTTCCCTGGATAGGAGATTGATTGTTTGAGGAAGTCGGCATGCTCCACGAAGTAGAAGGCGACGGTTGCAAGACGGGGAAAGCCGGCGGGTTGGGCGATACCTGTCGAGAGGCCGAGGCCGGCTCTAAGGAAGGAAAGGAGCTCAGGTTGTAATCAGGAGTGATGGAGCGCACATTAAAGTTGGATTGTCTCGAAGGAGTGTCGGCTCTACCAACTGTGCTGGCAATGTTCGGTGGCCAGGGAGTTGCGGCCGTTGTAGGCTGCTGAGTAGGCTTTTGAGTAGCCAGCGTCTCGGAAACGAGAGTGCCCCCGAGACTCGCATCCTGGTCGGTCGAGCCGGTGAGACCTCGCCCAAGGACAAGCCGCTCAAAATTATCTCGTGAGGAGTCCGTATCGACTTGAAGAGCATGGGAAGCTTTCGAAGAGCTGTCGGCGCCGTTTTGGAACCCGCCTGAAGCCCCGCCGGAAGAGAGCTCCTGCAATTTCTTTGTCTGCTCCCGTTCGACCTTCGAGGAAATGGTTTTAATGGAATTCATGAACTCTCCAAACTGGCGCAGGTCCAAAAGGGGCCCCAGGCTGAAGCTCCACAGGACCGGGAGAACTTCCAATGCCAGAAAATCAGTATCGGCAATCGTGCCAACCTGACGGAACACGTTCAAGGCTGCCATCATGACAGCCGGCTCTTTCGTCTTGATCGCTTTCAATGACGGCACGAGCTTTTCCTGGATCGTATATTTGTCCAGAATGGAAGACTTGAGGGACTGGGGTTTGCTTTTCTGGGCCATGCCAGACAGGTCATCTTCTATCGTTTGCTCCTCGTCCACGGAGCCCCCGCAGAGTACGGCAAATGCATCCAAACAGCGAACTTTTATGGCAAGGCTGCTAGTACGGCTAAATGTGGCAGCGATCGGTGGAAACACCTCGTTCTTTACCGTGCTAAAGTCCAGGGTAGGGAGCATGACAGGAAGGCATCGGATTGCACCATCTGCCAAAGAATGGGTGGGCGAGTCTAAGCCCAGTCGCACCAAGGGAAGGATGTCTAGAGCGGTTAGGTACATCGTAAGAAAGCGAAAAGATGGGAAGGGAGTGGCAAACCTTCTTTGAAATCTTTACCGGAACAATTCTCCGCTAGAACCTTCATATTGTCGAGGATGACCATAAGACCTGCATCTCTTTTCGAATCGCGGTCGTTGTGAGAACCCTTGCCTGTTGGAAACACTTCCTTGAGTCGGGGTACTACCTTCTCCGGAAGTGTACGTCGTGCATTGGGGACGCGCTGGAGAATGACGAACACGTTCTGCAGGATGAGAGATAGCAGCTCCCGGTCTTTCAACTCCTCCAGGAGTGCGCCAAGAACCTTTCTCTCCAGGACGGACACAGGGAACTCGGGCAGTACTCGCTGCAGGCCACGCATGAACTGAGACTTCTCGTTGGGATTCTTGGCAGGCAGCGACTCCAGGAAGCGTATCGTCGATACCAGAACGTTATCAAAGTATTGAGACTGTTGGAATTCTCGCACATTCAGCCGCTGAGCGGGACGCCTGGTAATCAGTCTAGGCAGAACGTGCGTAAGAAGATCCTTTGGAATGGCACCGGAGCTGAGGAAATTATTGCCCTGTGACGGAGTGGTGGATGGTGAGCCGAGCAATTTCTTGTACGTAGACGCGTTGGAGTGCGTTTGTAGCGGAGACGTATGTGGCGTATTATAGAGAGCGATGATGATAAGGCCCAGGGAGAACAGGTCCGCAGAAGGGGTCACATTCGAATCTAGCACAAAGTCCGGGGACGTATAATCCAGGTTCAGTTGGACCGACGCAGGGAGTCGAGGATCCTGATAAAGGACTTCTGACAGCGCGAGCGGCGGGAGTGAAGAGCGGGTATCCGAAGAGTCGTGAGGACCCGCAAAGCCAAGGCCAGAGATTTTCCAGTCGGATTTGGCATTGATATAGATGGCCTCGGGATTTAGGTTCCCGTGGACGAGACCGGCCGACTCGTGGAGGAACTCCAGGCCTTTTGCCACCTGCAGCAGCCCTTTTTGCACCTCGAGCTCATCGATTTCGATATCTCTTCGCCTTCGGGTGCCGTCGCGCTCTTCCACCATGTAGCGCGTCGACCTGGCGGCGCCTCGCGACGAACCATCTTGGATATCTTTCTCCTGCAGAAGCCCTGCGAGAGATGTGGTGATTTGCTCGGTTGCAAACATGAGCCCGCCATTGCGAGTCTCTTCTACGGGTTCCAGGACTTGGAGAACGGAGGGATGCCGGAGTCGGGCCAGATTCCCGGCTTCACGCTTCAGGCGCTCAACAACATCCTCCTGCAGTTTCTTTGCGGAGGAGCTGGAGGTCTTTCCCAGCCCGCTGGACCGCAGATCAAGCGCCTTCTTGTCAAAGATAAAGATAGACGCTGTGGTACCGGTGGACTTTTTCTTCCCATCGTGGATCTTCCAGGGCCCCGAGATCACGGCGGCGTGGGGAGAGATCTGGTAGTTGGCCGATATGTTCGAACTCAGGGATTTCAGCGAGGAGAACATATTTTCTTCCCTCTGATTGACCGTGCTCGCACAAGATCAACTGATGATAATCCAAAGGCGAGTCTCTCCCAAATGCAAGCCAATAGCTCACCTGACCCCCTGCAATGGCGGAGTGATTAGCACGGCTCGGCCAGCTGCCGGATATCAAGCCGAGTGTAGTATGAGAAGTCCTCAACCACGACGCGAAGAGAAGCCGGGGGCAAGAAGAGCGCACATACAAGACACGAGACGAAAGAAACTACCGAGGGCCTAGAAGGGCCAGGAGTGATAACACGTCAGGGTGGGTTCCACCGGGGCCAGCTCTATTCACGGGATGCTTACTCCGGGGTGTTTGAGGGAACTCGAGTCCATCCGCCTCGTGCATGCCCGTCACGTGAAAGGGGCAGCCACCTGGCCGCCGGCGGGGCTCACCGCCTGCCCGATCCGCTCGACCGTCTGTCGCCCCATCCGACGTCGGCCGGCCTTTGATCTGCTCGATCATCTCGACCAGCTCGAGGCCTCGCGGGCCTGTTTGACTCGGAGCCGGGAAAGTGGCCTATTGGGCGACCGGTCTCTGGCAAGAAACCATGCGGTAGGTTATTCAGCATGAGTCAAGGACTCAAGGTCCTGGCGCAGCGAAAACGTCCGTCGTGTTCTCATTGGCCCGCCGTCCTAGATCGGCTATCGGCTCGTCCGGAGTTGTCGCCGGGGTCCGTCGACGGGAAAAGAGTCACCGACTCAACCCCAGAACTAGTCAACTTTTAAACTCCGCTGTCCGCGAAGTCCATCCACATCCACCCCCCCTCAATTCCTCCCGTCTACGCCTGTGAATCCGTCTTTCTCCCTCTGACAACCTTGGTCTGGTATTGGAGCTCCCCGCACATTGTTCTTGGCCATGAAATCCCTTCTTCATTTGACTCGCCGCAGGGCGTTGCATAGCTTGGCCGTCCCGCGCGTACTGCCAGTTCAGTCCTCCGCCACGTTCAATCACCCCTGCCGGCGGAACTTCAGTGCCACTTCAGCTGCGGCCTCGCAACTGGCTGGCCTCGATCCCGCTAAACTCGCGGTGACGAAAACAACCACGCCGAAGGAATTGACGGCGTCCAAGGACCTTGTATTCGGCAAGACATTTACTGGTATGTGCCCTCCGTCGAACTGCTCTGCTCTGCTGTCGATGGTTACTGACGCGTTGACCATGCTCTAGATCATATGCTCTCCATCGAATGGTCCGCAGACAATGGCTGGCACACCCCCCAGATTGTACCTTACCAAAACCTGAGCTTGGATCCCTCGGCGTGCGTGTTTCACTACGCGTTCGAGTGCTTCGAGGGCATGAAGGCATACAAGGACAGCAAAGGCCAAATCCGGTTGTTTCGCCCCGACAAGAACATGGAGCGTCTGAACAAATCTTCCTCGCGCATTGCCTTGCCCACCGTCGACGGCGAAGCCCTCACCAAGTTGATCGGGGAGTTTGTGAATCTGGACAGTCGATTTATTCCTGACGCCCGGGGATACTCGCTCTACCTCCGACCCACCATGATTGGCACCCAGAAGACCCTTGGTGTGGGACCCCCGGGCTCCGCTCTTTTGTTTGTGATCGCAAGCCCCGTCGGCCCTTACTACCCCACCGGATTTAAGGCGATCTCTTTGGAGGCCACTGACTATGCCGTCCGAGCCTGGCCCGGTGGCGTCGGAGACAAGAAACTGGGTGCTAACTACGCACCTTGTGTTCTGCCCCAGCTGAATGCCGCTTCAAGGGGCTTCCAACAAAACCTGTGGCTCTTCGGAGAGGAAGAATACGTGACAGAGGTCGGCACCATGAACCTCTTCGTGGCGCTGAAGAACAAGGAAACGGGACAGAAGGAGTTGGTGACTGCACCGCTGGATGGGACGATTCTTGAGGGTGTCACTCGAGACTCTGTTCTCGAGCTCGCTCGTGAAAGATTAGTGCCAAAGGGCTGGACCGTGTCTGAGCGCAAGATCAGAATGTCGGAGGTTGCCGAAGCGGCCGACGAGGGAAGACTCGTCGAAGTGTTTGGCTCTGGTACCGCGGCAATCGTGAGTCCCGTGCGGTCTATCAGCTACCGGGGTAAGTCGGTGGACTGCGGGCTAAAGGAAAATGAAGAGGCTGGCGAGATCGCTCTCCAGATGAAGAATTGGATCGAGGGAATCCAGTACGGCGACGAGGACCATCCCTGGAGGTGAGTTGTGCCCGTGTACCTTTGTCCTCCCCCAATTCGCCTGGGCTAACCGTCTTCCTAGCTATGTTCTATAAACGACAATACCATCCTGTCGGGAGGTAAGTCGGCAATTTGGCTTTCTGCCGTGAGCGTTTTGTAGGACAAAAGAGAGGGTGGAAATAACGGGGTTCGGTCATCTTGTTCATTATCCATGATGTTGCATGAGCGCCGCTGTTATAGGATACGGCATGGAACCAGCCCGTCGGTCCTTTCATTGATTCCGGTTGTTCTTTTGGCAATCCTGGGAAGGAGCGAGGGATGGGGCGGATGAAGCACTTGGCAATCTTTTCCGACTCCTCGGTCGCCCACGGCGCTTTGGTGCTAGCCACCAGCAACCGAAGAGCGCGACCTGGTATTCTGCAGAAGGCAGCACTTGCAAGAGTGTACATAGTCCCGATTTGAATTTCAGACATTGTCGAGGTCCAGTGACCCCGACTGTCTTGTTTCGGAGGCACCTATAAACCCAACCCCTCACGTCGTCGCTGATTCTTCCAAGGAAAGCCATCCAGCAGGCGCAATCCACCGTGCTAGGCAGATCTAATGGGCAGTGCCGCGTAGATATTGCCTACCAGAGAAGCAATTCTGTTTAGTCGAAGCCTACACAGGCCAACCATCCGGCCGCATTAGATTCTTTGGGGCCAAATCAGTTTCACGTTCGGAGGCCGATGCCCGTACGCCCCGTGCGTATGTATGTGTGCGTATGTACAGGTCCAGTATGCATCGATACTGCCTACTCCCTATGAAGAGTAGTTCTGGATCTCCACTTGGGACTCCACGCAAACGGCCCCCCCTCGACAATCCACTCCAAGAACTGACAGCCATTCGACTCCCGGGGCCGGGACGGGAACGATCAATTTCCACTAGCATTTACTCCGTAGTGCTACACACGGAATAACACGCGGAGGGTGGATCCCCCCCTCCTCGACAGGAAAGAAGACTAAAGGCGTTGATCCCGACCGGACGATGCAGGCTGTGTCCGTTTGCCGGTGGGCCCTGAATACGACGAAAGGCCTGAAACAATGCACGCAACCTGACTCACCTCCCTTGCAGGTGAGCCGCAATGCTCCCTCTCCAATGGCACGACGTCCTACGAAGGTGCTATTTCTGTCGAATCCCCACCCGGTGAGGACGGACATCGGATGGAGAGTGTCCGTCCAAGCGCTATCGCCGCCTCGTCAACGGAATACCAGCTGCCTACTGGACACCGCCGGACCAGCTAATGCAGGCGCTATCATGGATCTCTCTGGTTTCCAGCGAGGGAATCCCCCGTCGGGTGGCTGTAGTAATTGTCATCATGCATCGCACCACTCGAAGGAGCCTGAGGCTCTTGGAATCCTGCAGCTGAACTGGGGCTGAGTGCATACATCCCTGCAATCATAATGCCCGGGCTGTTGTTGTTATCATTCACAGTGTCATGGTTTCGGTATTTTCGAGGAGTGTACTTGATGTATATGGGAGAAGACAGCACACGGGGGGGGGGGATGATAGTAAACCAAGGACCGTACGCAGATGGAGTAGGTAAAATGACCTTTCGTCCTCTCTGATATCGCCCAATGCACTCCATGCACAGGTGTTATTTATTTCATCTTATTAACGGAGTAATTTACCCCCAGAACATTCGACGGCCAGGTCAGTTGAGGATTCCAAATTAGGGATATGGTGTTGTATAGGAGAGAACCTCTTCAGTGCGCCACAATCTGTTAGTTCTGGCTTCTGCAGTCGCTTGGACTGCCGTGGCTTCATGCGCGGGAAGTACGGTCCCGGTCCTTATCTATTGCACGTAATCTACCTGACGGGTTGACATGGAAGTAGTTCAAAGTAAGATGTTTAATCGATAGTTATCAGATTCCCACCATCAGAGCAGAGGGGAAGAGATGTGCACTCTGTCGAGAAGCGGCTCAACAGTCAGCCAAGTCCGACCACGTGTGTGCGCCCCGTACCCCATAGTCTACTGTAATGTATGTACATGTACCATCTCCGCGGCTGAAATTCGTAATCTTCGCAAAAATTTACGCAGGAGGTTAGCGGCCTTCCAGGGGTACCCGACTAGGTACACACCCTCCTTTCGTTGATGGATAACCATTTCTGTATTCGGTTCCCAGGAGACTGAATGGTGGTTGCACAGAATCGTCTTCTGCTCATCATTTTTAATTTCGTTCCATTCATTGATTTATCTTGCCCGCGCTCGTCGCTGGTTTGGGCAATGTTATGCATTCCCCGTCAGACATCCTGCAGATCCGAAGGGAGCATTAGGGATATTATTATTAGCACTAAAGAAATACGCCATGAGAGGGGGCCGAATGCTTCCAGATGTTTGCTAGAATGTTCGAGGAGCCCGTCCTGTACGCCTGGTCCAATAGACACGCCCTGAGGGGCTTATGCCGGGCAAACCAGCGGGGACCATGCCAGCCAAGGGGGTGGGCAGCGACATCAAACCGAATTAAATGATTACCATGCAGAGATGAGCTGTTTCTGCACCGGGCTTGGAAGGCATAAATGTGCATTCTACTGCGCAAGTGCATGTCTGCCAAGTAGCACCTAGTATGGTATGTAAGTTTCGGGCCATGGGGCCCAAACGGGTAAAACTGCGGAACACTCATACGAGATGGGGTTACATGGTTACATGCCCGGGGTTGCGAACTGGAGGGAGACTTGGAGCGGTGCTGAGTGGATGTTGTGCCCAGGCCAAGGGAACGCGGCCAGGATCAACAAGACATCAACCTGTCATTGGCGTGATATCCACGCCGAGGGGCGTAGCACTAGCCAGGACTGACCAATGGGCGGGCCCATCTTCAGCCCTACACATCCATGGGAGGGGGCCTTGGTCTAGAATTGCCCTTTCTGGTTAGTGCGGTCGCCCGGTGTTCAGCAGATGATCGTATTAGAAATCATTCCATTCCGTAAGAAACATGTACCCGTAGGTATTTGAGCCTCAAGTCTTAAAAAAAAAAAAAAAAAGGACATTCCGGAACTCCGAGTGTAAACCAGATACTGCCATGATGACACTTCACCCTGTGATGTTTAGATCCTGCAAGGGCGAAGATGGAGGGTGTGGGATTCAGAGGCGATAATTAATTCGGCTACCATCATTTCTTAACAGTGAATACAGACAAGGCTATGGGTGGCGACCCAATCTGGCAAGTGTCTTGAGGGTTCTGACTGGTTTCATGTTATAGCACAGCATGTTGGTCTCATAGCCACTTAACCAGGGTGCCTGGAATGTTGGACAAAGAGTGACCCAATCAGGATATTATCATAGCCGTGATGTACAGTAGATCGTGTCCCAGAAGGGGGGCCGTTTCCCCTTTCGGGACAGGAAGGCCAAAAAAAAAAAAAAAGAAGAAGGAAAGAAAAGAAAAGGAAAGAAAGCAAGGAGATCAATGGGCGAAGAGAAATGATGGCAAGGCTGTGTGGAAGATGTCGTGCAAAGTGAGTGCCTTGGGCTCTTTTTGGTCAACTCGAACAAACAATGTCCATGTCAGATGACCGGCCGATCCGTCAGTTCCCCCCCAACGAAATTCCTAATTAGTTGCAAATCCAAATATCGTCACGATTCTTCAGGGCAGGTTCGATTTGAGGGATTACGAGAGAAGGATTTATCCGAAAACAAAAACTAATCACGCGAAGCCTACCCATCCATTTGGAGACAGGTGAGATCTTTATCCTCTAGTGTGTTGCCAAGATCAAGGGGTGCAACGTGGCAGGAGTCGAGACCGTGCACCCAGCGCCGCTCAGTTTCCAGCCGCTCTTTGGGATCCCGTCTGCAGACGACGGACGCAGGAGGTCAGTTGCATCGCTTCCATCGCCAATTGGGGATATCAGTGTCGAGGGCTGGGATTGGACATGACGGAATCGAGGTAGGTACTCCATGCGGCTGGTGACACTATAGCCCCGAGGCACTCGTCACTCCAGATGGGTGGTCTTGACTTTGCTTGGAGGCTAAAAATATGGCGACGTACAGACAGAACCTAGTCTATTCGGCCGAGCTGCGCCGTGCACAATCCGGAGCATGTGTGACACTTTCTAGAAACCACTCGCAAGGGGCAACTGGGGTTTACGGGTTATCCCTCTGACAGTCCCTACTGGCACATAGTACCATGTGCGCCGCGTAGGGGTGGACAGGCCATCCTCCGCAGATAGCATTCATTACTGCGTACTCTTAGTCCGTCGTAGGCCTACTCCGGAGTACAATTGCTCGGTTGCTCCACCGGCCGTATTCTACTAGTAGTACGGAGGAGGTGGTCTAGTCTTGGGCGGCTGGAGCCGAGACCACAAGGCACTCCGTACTGTCCGTGCTGGAGGAATACTGAACGTGTGACATCCATCTCAGGAAATACACCCCCGAGGGTCACCGTCGGGCCTACTGGGTGGAGATCAACATCAGGATCAAGATAGGAGCGTCCTGATAACCCAAGAGTTCGATGTGGACAGGATCCCTCCTCCGTATGAAGTGTGACAAGACGATGGAACCCACAGATCGTCGGATGACCAGCATATGGCAAGTGGTTTCCCGTCGAGAAGTCGAGGAAAATCCGATTCTGTTACCAACAATGGCAGGGTTTTGAAACGAGCGAACTGAGTTCTGTGTCACCATCCTGTACCTTTGCCTGATACCGGCGATACCTACAGGTATGGTACCACCAACAAACCCCGAGGGGGCAGACACGCACTAAAGCGAAATTCAGCCCCCTCCTTGCAGCAACACCCTGTCAAGCCACGCACCCATTCTTTTCAGAAACACTGAGGGCATCCATGCCGGTCTGGTCCACTCCCTCTCCCCCCCTCCCCACACCCCTCGTGCAAGGTCAACCATTCAGATCAGCAAGGAGGAGGATCATTCTTTTGATCGTATTGTACGGTATTTTATTTTAATTTGGGTTGTTTCCATCCGTCGCCGCGCTATTCCCAGTTCGACTTGAACTCGGCCGGCTTGGGAGACAGCTAGAAAGACTATCTACCGATTTGGAAAATGCCCGGTGCTGCACCGCAGATGTTTCAACTCGCTTTGCTGCAAGGTGAGGAATTCAGCCCATCATTGGCCTGCATCGTTTATACCACTTTGGGAAGTTTATTTTACTGGGAGTAGTCCCGGAGGGTACTATCAGGAAATTAAAAATCGAGGGCCAAAAAAAAAAAAGAAAGAAAGAAAGAGAATAAAAAAAAAGGAAAAAGAAAAACGCGAGGGGGCGCAAAACGGAGAAGTCGACAACGTTTCCGCTGTTATTTGAAATCCATCAAGCAAATCTCGTGGGCTTTACAAATCGAGGGTTGCCTGCGGAGGGACGCAAGTATAGCACAACCACGGGAAAGCCGTCCTGGTTGATTAATAGTATGTAAGGTAGGCAATCATAATCAATACCTACTGCGCTGGACAGGACCGACGTAACCGACGGAAACCACATGGTAACCGACCCCGGCTCAGCACTGCCTGTCTGGAATTATTGGATTTTCTTTTTATTGCTCATTCTCGGTCATCTCGGCCATCGGGGTCCGTTCAGCAGCCTCACATTCTGGGATTCCTTCAGCCCACACCGGGCATTAGTGACGCAGCCCTGCACATCTGCGCATCCATTCGGGAAAAGTTCCCTACCAACACATGGTTTCGCCATGCATACGCTGCGAGGCCCCAAGGCATCCCACCTTCCGTCCCCCCCTCGTCAAGAAACCCGCCTGTAAAATAATAATCATTAAATAAATAAATCATTAAATAAATTATAACCAGGATGTTAAATTAAAAAAAAAAAAAAAAAGATGACGGAAATTCCAGAACCTCAGGTCCTGTTCAAATCAAAAATAAAATAAATTTTAAAAAAAAAAAGAATAATCCAATAACAAATACAAATTCGTCGGACCACGGACTAGGACTGTTATCGCAACGGTTCACTCGCTCGTCCGTCACATCGGAGACCGGGGCTTAGCAGGCATAAACTAGGTACGGTCTCTCCAGCTGATCGACCAAGGCTCCGTTTTTGTTTTAAATACTGACCGGATTCCTGGCCCTCGTTTTAGCTTTTGTCTTATGGAACGTGCTGATCATATTGACGGGTACCTAATCTCCTTGGGTCCGGATCTATCTATATAGTCAACCTTGATCTCTCGTTTCCCCTCGACTTCTCGTCTTCTTTTCCATTCCTACAACCGATCCGATCCTCCTCTATTCTTCATCTATCCATTGCTTCGTAATCCGTTGATCTCCTTGCCTCATCGCTCTACGCTCCCGACCTCTGTTCTCCCTTCAGTATGAACCGCTCCGCTGGTTACCCGTATCACCAATCTCCCAGCTCTAGAAGCTCGTCGAGTCATGGCACCAGTAGTGCCTTCAGTCCGAATGCCAACCCCAACGAGGATTGGACTAAGATCTCAGATCTTGCCGAACGACGCCGCATCCAGAACCGCATTGCTCAGCGAAACTACCGTAAGTGACTCCTCTCGCGGACCGTCTCTGGCGACCTGGATCTGACCGTTGGTGGGTGCAACAGGCAAGAAGCTAAAGCGCCGCTTGGAGGATTTGGAAAAGCGGGCTGCCACCGCTTCGGTGTCCCCCGAACGGACCCTAGAGAAACCAGAAGCACCGAAGACCGTGCATTCCACCAAGCCTCGTGCGAAGACCCAGCGCACCCCCAAATCGACGGCCGGCGATGCCCACAACCGCAACCCTACGGAACGAGCTGCTCCCTATGACAGCTACTCAAGCCAGGAAGAGCGGGGGACCCTGTTCTCCCACCAGTGCACCCGCCAGCTCTCGGCGTCGCCGCCGCCGGTGTTTTCCTACCCATCGTACTCGCACCTGGATCCCTACGGACAGTCGGGGTACGGACAACCGCACCCTTACCACTCCATCCCAAACTCCTACCATGACATGTCTATACATGGAGAATACGGGACGCCGGTGCCTTCGATCATTCCGGTGACGATGACCAATGCGGGACCGACCAAGAGACATCCAGCCTATGCCGACGAGGACATCATCAGCCCGTTCAGCATGAGCTATGCGTCTATGGCCGGGATAGACTTGTGCCCGACTCCTCACCACCTTGCAGAGCCCAATATCCCGGTACATACCCTTCCCCGTTCATTGAACCGGTCTGTTCGGAGCCTCCAAGCCAGCAAGCGCTAATGCCATGCCTTCAGATGCCACCGCTGTCACAAGTGTACAGCGACGATCGCTCCTCGCCATCCACACCGGCAGAGCCATCGATCATGGCATGTCCTCTCACCCCGGAATCAGGCCCATGCTCCCCCCATTCGTTCCCTCCTTTGCTGTAATGACCTGGCTACGTCCCTTGTGGAGGGCACTGCATGTTTTGTGTTTCTACTTTTGACTGCTATATATAATGATGAGCGATACGATTGTTTGTTGCAGGGACTCTTTCCCCCCTATCTGATTTTCCTTTCCTTTCTCCTCTATTCCTACGTGATTGAACCCTACTCCGCTCCGGGGGGTTATCTTGTTTCTTTTGTGACTGTTTTCAATAGCCATTGTGTAAAACACGGCTAGCGGGGGTTATGGACGGGCGAATTTGGACGAGACCGATAGAAGCATTCTTCTCACGGGCGTTGATTTTTTTTTTTGGCAGTGGTTGGCGGAGGGCGTTTTTTTTTTTTTTTTTTTTGTTTTTGTTTTTATTTGAATTATCTCCTGCAGCGATACAGGATCAATCGATCAACTCGATCAATCAATCAAATCCACTCCCATCGAGCCCCTCCTGCCGCGACTAGTTATTATCGCGAGGCCTCACGTTTGGTGGACAAGGCAATTGGACGGCCCCCAACCAGGTGGAACCTCGGGGGCCTAAAGTGAGCGACGCTAGACAGGGAGCTCTGCAGTCGGGTGGCCTGTACTTTTCCCAGAGGCCGGAAGGACCAGCTGAGATTGCTCGTGCATCGTCGCCGGTTGACGATGGTCGTTCCACCGAGCTAAGGAAGCGACTTCTCTTAGCGATGCAATCGAATGGTCTCTCTGGGACGCTACTCTCGACTCCGCATCCGTCGCGAGGGAAATGGACCCCAATCACCATCGGGGCGAATGTTGCGACAGGATTGTCAACCTGGACGAGAGGAACTGCACGTGTCTGGCTGGTCGTCGGAGGAAGTTGCCGGGTTGATTGATTGATTTATTTTATTTGGAGAGAAGGCAAAGAACGCTGGCCGGGACGATCCGCCTGTCGATGTTCCGGCCAGACCGTCGTCTCTCCCATTCGTGGACTTTCTGTCTTCTTACACTCTCTCGTTCATTAGCCACTACCAACGACTCCCAGCGACTCCTCGCTCTTCCTAACTATTCCTAACTATTCCTGAATATTCCACTTCGGATGACCATTAATCATCAACCATTGTCCCTCCGCTGTCCGAGCTTTCCCTCCTATCTCCATTCTCCGAATACCTGCAGTGGGGCTCTGCGCAGAGGAGAGGGGGCGCCAACCTCGAATGAACGACGGTCCAAGAAGTCCAGGACATTCCGAGACTCGAGCCCGCACGAGTTGGTTAGTCCGTACGAGCTGCGCCTCCACCGAGTTGGCATGACGTGGTACCGTGCATGATCATTCGACGAGCGACTGCAGGCCCTGGCCCGGGAGCCGCCTTTAGGCTGTCGACTATTGACCCTGTGTGACCCGGACGAGGTTCACCTGCTTGTCCTACGGAGTCCTCAGGCCAGCGACTCCGTAGCAGGACTCTGGGGGAGGAGCGACGAGGTTTCAGAGCCTTCTTGCCCGTCTCGGTATAGCCCGCCCTCCGACTGTCTTACTCGGCCTTATCTTGGTTTCTCCTCCGTCGAGTCAGTCCTCCGGCATTAACGGGGTGCCAAACGCCGGATTTCAGCCTCCCGGGATTTCTCGCAATCGATGCATTTGCATTTGCATTTGCAATGCTTGCGGGCGGTGACTGTCTAGACGTCGGTCACATCCATGGATCCTTCGAGTCCCAGAGATTGGGTCCTTAGCGGGGGAGCCAATGCCCCGTCGCTCTGGCGGTCCTCTCTGCTCAGGAAGCGGGTATGCTCTTCCCGAGCCAGATCAACGCCGAGCGGGCCAATGACGGGCGGATGTCGGAAAACTGAATGCTGACAATCGGCATCGTGTGGAGGGGGAAAGTGGGGAGCAAAGGTAGGTTGGTTGGCTGACTTTTGGTTTGTCCAACATTCCCATCCCATCGCCGAGGGGGGGGGGCGTGCCGTTTGCTGGCACTAGCTGGGCGCCTAATTAATTACTACTACCTCCATGTGGCGACCGATTTCCACGGTAATAAATCTAGTCGCTAGTCAGTATCTCCGGTCACGCTCCAGAGTCGCACTATCCCTAGAAATCCGCTCGGGTTACAGTACATGGTTGGACTCGGAAGAATCGATCAACAGTCCAAAGGATCCAGGGCACCCCGGGCACGCAGCACGGCGATAATGGTGGCCTTGGTGACTCCCGCCGGGTTGAGCAGAAGCTCGTATCCGCCGGGCGTCGATTTCCTGTGCAGTAGCCTGGCATCCCGGCGCTGCGCTCGCATTCATCAAAGCAAGGTTGCACACATACGCGGCTCAATTAGGCCCGTGATCGCGCCCAATACCGGCGAAATCCGAGAGACACAAGTATTGAGGAGGTTACAATTTAACCCCGAGGCCAACTAGATGGCGATATGACTGAGGACTCTATCGCCGTTGGAAGGGGGGAAATGTCGCAATCTCGAGGGATACGAAGCACCCCTGCAAGGGTCGTTGGCCCCGGCAGAATGACACAAATGAATTAACCCATCTTGGACCCAGATGGTCCATGGGCATGTATTCGTCCGGTCTTGGCCCCTTGGTTACTTCTTTGTCTTGCCTTGGTTTGGATTGATTTAATTTTCGATTCCCTGTCGACTAAATTAAACGAACAGAAGCGATTTCTGAAGATTACGGACCATCCGTTTACCACGTGCGAACGTCATTAGTGCTGATACCGTTCATCTTTCCCAAATGCCCGTCTGTTAGTGCATCTCTAGTCCCTCTTGGGACATGCGATGGTTGTTTCAGTAACCGAAGGATGGCATGGCAGAGTGATTGTCACTATCACGCACCTGCTCGTCTTTTTTTCTCCATCGGGCCTGTTGGTTGATTTTCCTGGAACACCATGGCACCCATCAACTAGAAAGAAGCCTGGACCCCACTGGATAATTACATACATGCTGTTCCAATACACTGCTGGGCGAAGGTTTTGATCGAGGAAATTAACATCTTACCCGCCCAACAGTCCCCTCGACAATTTGCCAATAAGCGGCAACGGTTTCTCACCACCCCGTTGATTGACCGCTAGGACCAGCCTCTCAGAAGCTTCGCGCAATGCCTCTCGTCATCCGACCATATGTGGTGTTTATGACTCCTCAATAATGATAACCTGAGGTCGGCTGGCAACTCGATCGACTGCCACGGACTGAAAGATATCCACAGGGGCTTTATCGCTGTGTTGGATCAATCTAAGTAACGCCAAACTCGACCTGACAATGGGCGTTGCTACGCAATGGTCCCACAGCATGAAGTCCATTTCTTCAAACGCAATCCTCCTTCGCGGTTTCAAAGGTGCAATAAATGCAAACGCAGAGGTCCTATATTAAATGAGATTCAAACCGGTCAATCCTACTTTGCCCATTGCTAATTCTATGGCTCCCACGGTTCTTATGGCTCGCTCTCATCTGGGATGACTTCCCAAGATGTCGATGTCTACGACCGAGGCTTTGAGATGTGTAGGAGCAAACACGCAAGCACTTGAATATTGAAAATGAGTTCAATTCCATGAGTTCCTCTGTACTGTAATCGATCTTAAATCTGTACGCCCGGAAGACGAAAAAGCTCGACTCAACGACGCCTCGATGCAGCTTTAAAAAAAGAAGAAAAAAAAAAGAAAAAAGAAAAACGGAAGATGTAAAAAGATGTTTCAAGTCATAGACAAGGGGACATGCGTCAGGAGAGAATGAAACCAGGCATAGCACAGGGGAGACGAGGGAACGAGGCAAATAAATAAAATAAACGAAACCAATAGAACGTAGACGGGACAGTAAGAAGAGAGAAAAAGAGAGAAGAATAAAAAAACGGACGCATAAGATAGGAGAATTGCCGTAAGACTTGATTCTCATCTCCCCATCACATTGTTCCCTCTAAGAGTGTTCTCTTCATTTCGACTTAACGAAATCATTAAAATAAAACAAGGAACAAAAAGGTCATCACCTCGTTTATGCGGCATCCGCTCCATTAATACTCATTTGATCAGGATTGTATCGCCGTCGTCGCATCGGCGCCTTCTTCCGTTTGGCAATCGCCGCGTTCTGTGCACTTCCGGCAGCGGCGCCCATCTCGGTATCCCCGTCGTTGTCGGCCGACACGTGGAAAGACTCGTAGCGAGTCAGTTCGTCAAGCTCGGTGATGTCGGTCGGCTTCATGCGAAGCCACTTCATGCGTGGTCCCGACCGAGACCGTTCTGAAACGCGGAACCCGTAGATTTTCGACTCGTAGACCTTGCCCTTTCCAAGTCCCGGGCTGAAGTTCACCGTCCGGACTCCGTTAATCTCCACGGGCTGATGGGGAGGAGGCACGTCGGGTGACACCTGGTTGTTCATGGAAGTCAAGGAGGATCGGGTAGGCGACATCGCCAGAGGGTTGTCGAAGTGAGGTCTGATGTCCAGATCAGGGAACGTCATGAAAAACAAGCATCCGAAGGTGGTTCCAAAGAAGGCCCCGTCAACAGAATGGAATCGACTGTTGGGTGGCGTATACAGATCCTGGCAGCTGGGACAGAAGAGCTTCACGGTCTCTTGGCCAGGAGTATCGGACCGCCCCACGGGCAGGACTTTGCAGCCGTTGCAGTAGACGCGAGGACAGACGCCAAAGTGCTGCATCTCATACTTTTCCAGCATCTGCTGGATCCCGGGGCGCGAGGTGATATATCGCTGATGGATCAGTCCGTAGAGCAGCTCAGCAGAGCTCTCGATTACGCTCAAGTCGCTTGCCACGCGCGCGTGCCGACGATCGCTGGCTCGTCGGTAGCCAGGCGGCTTCTCGTCTCCCAGAATTTCGTCATCGTCCTCCTCTTCCTCCTCCTCTTCTTTCTCCTCTTCGTCCTCCTCCGGCTCCACATCGAGTATCATTTCGAGGGCCTCCTTGTACATGGGTACCTGCGATTGCAGTCCCGTCAGGTTGAAGTCATCCTCGATGAAATCCTCCGACACCTCGGCGAAGAATTCATGGCCCATCAGAGAGCAGAACGAGGAGATCCACGACTCCGGAGCGCCTTCCGACGACGACATATCGAACGAGTCGGATGCGGAGGATGAGGGCGTTGATTCAGACAGTTGACTCAGATCCAGCCTGTCTAGGCCGTCGGCCAACGCCGAACCTGTCTCTCTCGACACGTTGCCGAGATGGTGGTAAAAACCGTTTCGATATGCTCTCGGAAAGAGACGGCGCTGGCGGCAGACCTGGACCGATTTGCACGGGCGGTCGGTCTGGTATAAGTCTGAGAGCTGCGGGGGAAGGGGCGAGAGGCGTAGAGGGGGAGGGGGGCAAGAATATGAGAGAGAAGTGATAGACGGGGTTGCTGTCTTGTCGAGAAGTCGACGAGTGTCGGGATTTGTCGGGACCTGAGATGAAAGCGATTGCGTCTATCCGGAAACCTGAGGGGTCATGACAAGATGCGGGCCGGCGGGTTATTGTGCGATGACGAGAAGAAGCGTTGACGCGACGACAATGGCTGTGCTCCGAGGACGGTCGTCAACCAAGCATCGAAATTATCGGGACGCACAAATCTCGAGCTGCCGCAAACTGCAATTCGCGGAGATTTCGAATGACTGGTGGACTGGCAGGTGCCGGGATCGATCGACGGAGTCGAGGGGTCTCCGAAATTAGGTTTCGTGGGGCGGTGGGAAAAAAGTGGCTGGGAAAAGAGATGGGGACGAATGGCGTCGCGCAGCAGGTATACGGATGGATTTGGAAGGGAGTGGATTCACAGACAGCCGGACAGCGGTTGGGACATGGCTTCGCACTTGGTGGGATGAGACAGAAACGATCGATCGGAGAAGAAGAAGCAGAAGAAAGTCGACGTTGCCGCCGTCACGTGCGTCGCCCGCCTGGGAAGGAGGCCTGGATCCTCAGGCGCGAAGCTTCGCGCGGCCTCGGGCATCCAATCTACTATCCAAAAGACTCAACGCGGCTTCGGGCAGGGATATATAATCAAGCAAGACAAGAAAAAAAAAAAAAAAAAGTATATACAAAGGAGGACCACGCGAAAGCCAAGCGTGCCTCAGAATAGATCGCGGATGACTCGAGAGAACTCCCCTTCATCCCCCAACACGCCGGACAATTCCTCGCCTGTGTTCTGGATCTCTCCATCATGGCCAACAAACCCATTGATCCCGTCGTGGGTCGGGTTGGACGCCATGAAATTGCCAAATCCCCCCACGGCCTCGAATAGATTCGTGAGCTCCTGGCTCATTTGCAGCCCGTTCAAGGGACTATTCCCCAGCTCCATCCCATTCATGGGCCCGTACATCGAGATATCCTCGATCGGATGACCGGCCAAGCCGGCCATGGCCACCGCGGCCGTCGAATGCGGATCGTTCGTGTCAGACCCAAACGGACGCACCAGCATGCCCAGTCGCTCGCCGATTTTGCGGAGGCCCTTGATGGTCTTCCACAATCGTTTCGATACGTACGACTTGGTACTGAACCCATTGATCAGGTCAAGCGCCATGTAGAACTCATCTCGCACCTGCCGGTTGAATTCAGCCGGTGCGTGGCACACGGCCAGGAAAAGAACGGCGAGTGCGGCGACGAGGAAGTAGTTGAAGGTGATCTGTTGGGTGCGGTAGATGTCGGAGGTCTGGTTCAACCGCGTAAGCACGCGCACCGTGTCCTTGGCGACGTCGACCACCGTTTGGGCGTGTCCCTTGTCCTCGGCGATGCTGGCTGCGGAGTGAAGGACCGGGCGGTAGATGAGAATGCGAAGCTGGTTCATGCGCAGGTACACCAGTACCCGCAACCGCCGAAGACCCCGGCTGGCTGACTCGTGCTTGGGAGACTCCACGGGATAGAACTTGAGGGCGTCTGGCACCTGCTTATACCATTGGAGAATCTGGTAATCTAGATAACCGATCTCGTCCCGTCGCACATCGGTCGTTCCCTCCGACCCTAGCCCGGAGTACCAGATCTTCGAACTAATGCGATTATAAGATATCATACACCTCAAATAGGGCATGGATGTATCCTAGAATCTGGCGTCAGTGGGGTGAACATGCTTCTGTCGACCAATAGAGCTTACCGGCTCGGGAAGGTTAGGATCGATATCCTCGTCTTGAATGACGAATGGCAACCCGGTCCCGAAGCTCCAGCGCCTGTCCAAGGTATAGATAGCCCAAAAGATTCGGACGATTTCTGGCCACTGGTTCTCGTCTGGAAATAATTTGGCCAGCGCATCTCGTCGGTGTAGACCCATCTCGAGGCACATGCGCGCTGCAAGGCCGATGATGCGGTAAGCCATGGCATCGTCGTCGGTGTGGAAATGGTACGTTGCCTATCAATCGGAGCCGGGGTCAGAACAGCCCATTCACCCCCAGGATCATGAGATACATACCACCATTCCTAAGAGCTGGATTGTCTTGATGTTCAACGAATCCCAGAGTTTGGATTCGACAACAGGCTTCACGCTCAAATACAGACGCTGACCGAGGTCGCTCTGTCCGCCTCCTTCGACAATGAGGGTGGTGGCAAGAATCATCTTCAAAATATTGGTATTATCATCCTGAAGACCGTCCGACCCAGGCAGTCCTCGCTGTGCGAAACCCGTGCGGGTTGCGGCTTCCATGAACGTGTAAAGCAGATTAACCTGATGGGTCACTTTGTCGATCTCTACGAGCGGATACATGATGCCAATTTCTTCTTCGTAGATCCTACAGAGACGCAGGGCGTCCTCCCGCTTGATGGCCCATATCGGATCTTTTGTCGGGTGTATAGAGGGGACCAACGGAGGGGCATGAGGAGGTGAGCCAGCGGGCGTCGCGTGCGCCGTGGTGAGGTCATCGGTGATGACCTCTTCTGCGGGGGCAATGCCCATGTTTTGAAGGCTAGACCTTGCCACGTCGAAATTGAAGGCGGAGCTAGTAGGGCCTTGGAACCGGGGGTGTCTGATGCGCGGTTTAGCCAGCCCAACCTGCATAGGGGTGAAGACCGATTGCGAGCCATCTCGGGAAAAGGTCTCGAGCCCCGGGGAGCCGAGAGAAGATCGCTGGGAGCGGAGATCATTGAGGCTAGTGAAGAGGCTATTGACTTGGTCTTGAAGAGCGGTGATTTGATCCTTCATCGATCGAAATTCCCTGTTTGCCGTAACCGTGGTCAGTCGCAAGCACTTCGGGGCGGAAGGCCGGGGAAACAGATAAGGACAGAATTCCACGCACTCGGAGTCCTTGAAATTGTTGTTACAGCAGTTCGGCGCATATCGGCCTAGGGGGCGGTGTTAATGAGTGCGCTTCTAGGGCCAGATGACAAGGCCCCGACGGGAGACAGAGAACGAAGCATCAGCCCAAGGGATTGCATTGCACGTTGCTCACATTCCAGATTGAGATGGCCACAGCGCTGGCAGGGCACTTGCCCATTGCACTTGATCTTGCGACGCTTGCATTCATTACTAGAGATAGCATGGCCACCCGTGGTCAGCGCCAATGCCCTCTGGATGGGGATCCAGGGTTCTAGCCTACCAGGCGATGGAGATGTAGCGATTCCGCTTGGAGCGCGTGTGCGTTCCGTTGGCTTGATCCGCTTTCCGTTTGGCACTGTCGCCGTCGGCGGGGTTCCGCTCGCCGGACAGGGGCTGGGACGAAGAGACGTCCAGCTGGGGAGACTCGGAAGACATCGCGGCGGATGCTTGGAGAGGAGAAGAAGCGGCGTTGGGGCCGCGACCAGCGCGGAGACATTCCTTTGGCCGTCCGTCGCGGGGTTTTCCGTTTTCCCCGGACTTGGCAATTTCTCTCTTTCACTTTCTCTCGCTTCTGTTCTTCTTCTCTTCTCTTTCCCCCCTCCCTTCTCCCTGGGATATGCGTCTGCCTCGCGCATCCCCTCGCGCGCAATTCTCATGTCTCGCCTCAAATAACCCCCGTCTGTCTGGTTTCCGCCCCCTCGACTGCCTCGACCATGTCGACGTGGACAAATTCCGCGAACGATGCATGCTGCCCGAATTTCCCATCGTCCTCCCCCGCGGTCATTTCGATGCCTTTCCGGCCCGACAGCGATGGTTCCGATCATCTCCATCGCAGCTCAACACGGAGTACCTGCAACAGCACGGCGCCGATGCCTTTGTCCCGCTAGAACTCACCCAGTCGCTGTCCGAGCCGAGTGGCCAGCCAGGGCCCCCGAGAAGCGAGGAGGTGGGCTTTCGGAAATTCCACGCTCCTCTAGGCCTCTTCCTGGAATGGATGCGTGCGGCAGAAACCCAATCTCCAACGACGCGCCTCTATCTCGCACAATGCCAACTCCTCGATCTGCCGCAGACCCTGCGGGATGACTTCCCGGCCCCCCCTCTCGTGTCCCAGGCAGGCCGAGGCGACATCTACGACACCAACCTGTGGATCGGCCATCCACCTACGTATACTCCGCTCCACCGCGATCCGAATCCGAATCTGTTTGTTCAGCTGGCCGGGCAGAAAGTCGTGCGACTGATCGCGCCCGATCAAGGCCAGGCGGTGTTTGCGTCGGTGAGACGGGAACTGGGAAGAAGCAGTGATCATGGCGCGGCTGCGTTTCGGGGCGAGGAGATGATGCAGGGTCAAGAAAGGGCCTTACTAGAGGCAGCGGTTTGGGGTACGTCGTCTGGGGGCTGCGAAGGATACGAAGCGCACCTAGAAGCAGGCGATGGACTGTTCATCCCCAAGGGCTGGTGGCACAGCATCAAGGGCGTCGGGCAGAGAGTCACTGCGTCGGTGAGTCTATTCGAGAACCTGCCAACCTGGGGGGGTATTCTAATCGATGGCAGGTCAATTGGTGGTTTCGATAGCGCTATGATGCATGGACTGCCGGATGATGGAATATGCACCGATCGACCCCGTAATCTAAGAGTAGTGGCGAATGCTGGGCACTGTGATCAAGGACATGTAATTGCAATCAGATCCAATAATTCCGACTACGGAGGCTACAAAGACCCGTGGTCTCTACTCCGGAGTACATGTCTGAGTAACTCCGTAAGGACTCCATAAGTCCAGCGGCTTCCGCGCTAAACGGCGATCGTTCTAGAATCCTCCGTCATCAACTTCGCCAGTCCGTGAAAAGCGAAAACCCTCCGACCTCCTTCCAGCGCCCTCCCACCCCAGCTCTCAAGTCATGTACATGTCGCTTCCCGCCCTCTCTCGCGCCACGCTGTTCCCTCTCATCCTCAACCCGCTGCTGGTCTCGTCGGCCCGCGCATCCACCGCCCTCGCGCACCACTCGGTGCCCACGACCTCCCTTCACTTCATCCACTCTCAATCGCCCTCCCGACTCGGAGCCTTCTCGGTCTTTCATCCCCAGTGCCCGTCGGATTCATTGTTCTATCTTTCCTCTACGTCGGCTTCTCCCCACCAAGCCAAGTCCTACGCCACTATGTCTACCGATGCGTCGAAAAACCAACAACAACAACAACAACAGCAGCAGGAGGAGGAAGGCCAACAAGCGAGTAGCAGCGGCCATCCCCTCGCCCTCCCCGACGCAAGCACCGCCGATTCGCAGGCCCCGAAACTCGACGTGAGTGGCGGCGATTCCACCGTGACGCTGGACCACCTGGGTCCCATGGTCGTCAACCAGGACGGCTCGCTGTCGCGCATCACGAACTGGGGACAGATGACGGAGATCGAGAAGAAGAATACGCTGCGGGTGCTGGGCAAGCGGAACAAGCTGCGACTGGAGGCTGTGAAGGCCGCCGGAGGAGGAGAGTAAGGGTAGTTGGTGATTGGATCTCTGCGGAAAAGGCAGTGTGTGTATTTTTTTTTTGTAGGATAATTACGGCGGTCATGTACGAATGAGGTGTTTTCGGTGTTTATTTACTGCATACATCCCGCCTGGGACTTCTCGTCTGCCGTTTTCTTCTACTCGTCCATGTTTACTGGAGTCAGGATCCAAAATCGACTGACAGTGCCTGCGATCTTCTTATATCCAAGATAGCCTCCCCAAGTATCCAAGGATCCGTGTATGGCGAATCATTGCTACCCAAAGATCCAGTCGGCGAACCTGGAAAACACGTTGCTAGGCGAATTTTAGCCTTGGGTCCAACAGAGAAGGGGGGAGACTGGCGTTGACCGCTGTCGATCTTACCTGGAGGGAGTCGGAATGAAGTTGCTGGTATACGTCTCGATCTCGTCAAGCCCCGTCACCAGGTCAATGGTTTCCGGTTTTTTGATCTCTGTGCGATGCCAGAACTTCCAGGAACAATAAAGAATCGGAAATACTCCGATCATGGTGTATGAGAAGAAGAAGGTGGGCACGTCCCAATTGCCCGGCAGGAATACCTCGTAGCCACCTACAAACGCCATAACGCTGGTGCAGACCAGCGCGACGTAGGCGACATAGGGCTGACCAAGACTCTGATAAGGAAGGGTATCCCGGGGAACATCCTGTGCCATGAGCGCTTTTCTAAATCGCGTATAGGTGAATGTGACGACCGAGAAGTTGATTAATTGCGATGCAGTGACCTGCAGATCGGCGCCAGAGGCCCTCAGCATCAAACTGCCAGCGAGGAATGGGACGAAGGTGGCCACTTACCAGACTCACAAACCACTGCAGGACCACGGCCGCGCTGTTGGATACCTGGAGGAAAGCGAGGAGCGCAATGAGAAGCACGATCCCTACGCAGTAGAGGGGAACGCCAGATTTGGTGCACCGGGTCAGCATCCGGGGGGCTTTGCCGTCCAGTGCAAGCCCATACAGACTTCTGCTGGCGCAATAGACGTAACTATTGCCGGCACTGAAGGCGGCCCCAAGAACCATGGCGTTGACAATGTGCGGGAGAACGGGGATGTCGAGGCGATCCATCGCAATCACGTAGGGCGAGGCGGCGGCACCGGGCAGGTCGTTGTCGAATGCCGCGGCCATCTTCTCATCATTGTAAGGGACCAGGATCCCGACACACAGGGCTCCCAGGACGAAGAAGGAGGTGAGTCGGTAGAAGATGCCGTTGTAGGCACGCGGCAGCACCTTGCGAGGGTTCACCGTCTCGCCGGCGGCCATGGACACGTAGTCCGGACCGGCGATCGTGAAGCTGGCCTGGATCAAACACGCGAGGAAGCCCATCCATCGGCCCAGATCCCCCGTCTCGTAGTACTCCGCAAAAGCCCCCGGCTCGTTCCAATATCGGAATCCAAAGCGGTCGCCATGAGGGTTGCCCCCCAGCATCACGATGAAGGTGAAGAAGATCAAGCCTACGCTGAGCAAGACCTTGCCAAGGGAGAGCCAGAACTCGGCTTCCCCGTACCACTGTACCGCAAAGACGTTGAGGAGTCTAAGATGGCACGAGTCAGAAGGGCGCGCGTGGCTACGGCAAAGGAGGTAACGCACACAAAAAGCACGAGCACAATCACGATGATTGCCGCTACCGGGACCGCGTCACTCCAATAGTTGATGATCATACTACATGCGGTGATCTCGAAGGGCACCATGGCGGCCTCGAAGACGAAGAAGTTCCATCCGGCTGCCATCCCGAATGCGTCGTCGACGTACCGACTGGCAAACCGAATGAAAGGCGAAGATATGGGTAGGTAAGTGACCATCTCCGCCAGACCTATGAAGCATTCCCGGTCTTAGTAAACGCTACACAATAGATGGGCAGGGAAGACTGCGTAGCTGCAATGGGAGAGAGTGAGGACAATCGCAGCGGAATCAGGTTATATATGAAGGCGCTTTTGGAACGATAGAATTCGCGAAGGATCAGAATACAAGGCCGCGTTGGGTATTCTCATGGTCCTCGAGGGATGGGGAATTGGGGCTTCGTACAAACAGTTATAGCCAGGATAACCGAGCACCTAAAAGTCAGAGATGTATAAGACTCCGTAGATCCAACACAAGACAAAAAGAGAAGACAAAGGTATGTTCGGGAAAAACCAAGGCACATAGGTGCGCTGTCACAGTGATTGATTTTCGTTTTGAATTTTCCATTTGGGACCCTATGGACCGTATAGATCCTACCGCGTCTGATCTTTTGGGCCGAGGACTTACCAATGGCCGAGGGGATTCGAGATATCGTGGCGCCAGTGGAACCGAAACAGTGGCAGGAACAAAAAGCATATTGATAGAAAGGACGAGGACTGACCATATGACAAATGCCAGGAACAAGCTCCCAGGGCCGCCTTTTCCCAGACTCTTGCCAATCTGGACGTACAATGCGGTGCCAATGGTGCCGCCAATACCAATCAATTGAATGTGTCTGGGCTTCAACTTCCGATGAGTATGATCGTAAGCCGGTTTGGTAGAACCATTATCATCCGATTCTTCGAGATCATCCACTACGGCATTTTTCTCCGACAAGTTTGTCGAGATTCCAACTCTTTTCGTCAGGCCGGCTGCGGGGGACGACCCCACACCGGGAGCAGGTTCAAGATCGGGGTTAGAATCGACCATCGCGGGTGTCTGGTATAGAATGAATGAATAAAAGGATAGGATTTCTTCAAGTCCCAAACATGGGGAGGAAGGGGAGATAGAAGGTGGGAGAGAAAAGAACGGAGGGGTAAAGGGGCGAGCAATATTTTGATAGGGAAGGAAGAACCAAAAAGAAAGAAGAGACGAAAAAAAACAAGACTAGTACGGTAGTAGCTGGGCCGGGTTATCTAGGCGAGGTCTCATTAAAGCAGCGTAGTATGAAAAGGCAGGATGGAAAGAGCGGGACAAATGGAAGGAGGGGGGTAAAGGAGGAAAGGAAAAAAAAAAAAAAAAAAAAAAAAGCCGAGAAGATTGGGATGCAGGCACGGCAATAATACCTCTAGGGAGGCACTAGAATCCAGAGGGCAAATCAGAGGAGAGGAAAGCATTTCCAAGCACAAACACCACCGAGGCAAACCCACACTGCAGCGATAATGAATCATTTCTAGGAATATGATTCTCGACGTCGATCACTCCAACCGACGGGACCACGTGAATGATACCGTCGCATGGAAGACATCATGAGGTTGCTGAGATCCGCATTTGCTGGTGAAGGTCCGGGGGAGCCGGTGGGGCCTTCCTATCACTTTGGTTTCTTTTTTTTTGGCATTCACATCAGAATCCGGAACAAGTTCGCCTCCAAAGAGGCAATTGTCATGGTGGTCCAGAGGTCCAGCGTAGATGATTTTAACGGTGCAGTAGTGCCCGGCACGCGCAAACATGATTGGACCGTAAATCCATGGGAAATTTCCTACAGGGTCATGCATATCATCCTGGGCGACTTGAGATGGTCGCAAAGGAGATCAGACATCCACTTCTTTCTGGCTTTTGCCTCGACTCCTACTCCGTAGCGCGGCCTAGTCGTGTCACCCTGTGCCGACAGTTGTCGCTGACGTTACGTCGGCGGTTATTGCCCAAGAACACTCGGCGGGGAAGAAAGAATCGTTGTCTTTATAGTGGCGATAATAATGGGAGAAGTCCGACAGGGGAGCCTGAGGATGTAGACAGATGTATACCTAATAATTGCTTGAAATGCTCCGTAGTACTCCGTACCTTCGGTAGGTAGGAAGGTATATACTGCGTACCTTCCAGGACAGAAGAGGCCAATCACTGCCAAAACCTCCCCCGCTCTGCCCCGCAGTCTTTTTTCTGCCGGAACCCCAAACAGTCGCAATTCACTTCCTCCTCGTCCCCCCTTTGTAACTTGCAATTTGTCCCGCCTGCAACATGTCCGGCCAGGATCCAGGGAAGAAGCGCTTTGAGCCCAAGGTGCCCGTTCAGCTCGACCCTCCCAAGGACGATCCGATTTCCGTGGAAGAGCTGTCCAAGTGCGATGGTCGGTTTCCCCAGTCCACGTTTCACCTTCACGCTGTCCTTGCGGGGTTTGCCAGCTGACTGTCCATCCATCCGGCATAGGCACGGATCCCAATCGTCCAACTCTGGTGGCTATCAAGGGAATTGTCTTTGACGTAACCCGCAACGCCGCCTATAGCCCGACTGGCCAGTATCATGGTATGCACCCGCCTGCACTTCGTCCCGTAAACATGGACTGACCGGCGGTGCGCAGTCTTTGCCGGAAAAGACCCTTCCCGGGCCCTGGCCTGTTCGTCCCTCAAGCCCGAGACCTGTGTCCCCGACTGGTATGATCTCGAGGACAAAGAGAAGACGGTGCTAGAGGAATGGTTTACGTTCTTCAGCAAGAGATACAACATCGTGGGGAAGGTTCAGGATGCTACGAATTACTGACGTGAGGGATGTCCTTCTGCGGGCGCGGTCCTGCACTCTGGGGAGAGAAAAGGTTCAAATCAAACCATGCCGGGAACTTATTGTAATTACAAGAAAACATCATGCGCCATTACTTCTCTATAACTTTTTGTCTCCACGTCCACCCTAGGCCTTGCCCTTCCGAGTCTTGCGTTGCATCCTCTTCTTGGCGATGATTCGGTTGCGTTTGGCGACCTTGTTCTGCTCCTCCGGGTCACCGTCCTGGCCCTTGTCGTTACTCTCCGATCGCTTTCTCTTCGTCCCATTCGGGGGTCCTCGGTTGTTCTTCGAGTCATCCCGACTCGGCCTGCCCGGTCGCCCCGGCTTTCCAGGCCGGCCGGGCTTGCCATCGCCTTGCTGGTCTTCCTTCTTGCCGCTGCGCGCCTTGGCTTGTAGTTCCATGCGACGCTTGACGACCTGGGCGTTTTCGATGGCAAACTCAACGATGAGCCGCTTTTTCTTGTCCTTGTCTTCCTCGGCGGAAGTCTTGGGGACCTCGATGGCGTGGCCGTTGAGCCACCGCAGTCCCATCAGGGCATGCCGATGGGTGTAATACTCAATGAAGCCGTAGCCTCGACTCCGGCCTGCCCCGCTGTTCTCTTCGACCTTGCTGCCGTCCCGGCTTTCGAAGACGATCTTAGCCTGTCTCACAACTCCCTGCCCCTTCTGCTTTCTCAATTTCTCCGCTTCTCTCATCTCCTCGGCGGCCCTCTGTAACTCATCCTTGGAAAGAGGCTGGCGCAGACCGGCCGTGACGTCCTTGGCGAATCCAACGACGGCCTGTCGAGCAAGTTGTTTCAAATCTTTCGAGGTCACATGGCGTGGGAGGTTGCGGATGGAAAGTCGCGTTAGACTGAGGTGGAGTGTCGGGTTCTTCTTGATAAACGATTGTCGCTGTTTGTGGCTGTCTTCTCTCATCTTGATCTCGGACGGCGAGAGCTTCTTATAGAGCGATGAGTTCTGGGGAACGGTTCCCTCCGAAAGCAGATACAGGCGGCGCTTGTCGGTATCACGGACGAGCCGCCGTGAAACACCTTCGTCTTCGAGTTGCGCAGCACGCGACTTGCTGACAGCACGAGAGATCTGCAATACACGGCCCTCCATGGTGTATCTGCCGGTCGGGTCGGCGTTTTCGTTTTGCAAGACCGAATGCTTGAACCCGGTTGATGCTTTCTTGTTTGCCGTCTTGTCCGCCGCGGCGTGGTCCTGTTGCTTCGGGGCGTCGCGCACGCACGCGGCTGCATCCTCGACCTTCCAGAAGCAAACAAACCCGGTCCCACGGGGACGCTCAGTCTCCGGGTCGACGACGATGCGTGCATATCGAAGGTTCCCGAATTGAGTAAAGTGTTCGTAAAGCGACTCGTCCGTACAGGTAAACGGCAAGTTCCGGATAAAGATAGTGGAGGCGTTCCGCTCGTCCTCCTTCTCCTCTTCTTCATCTTCCTCCACATCCTCTTCATCCATTTCACTGTCTTCATCGCTGTCGCCTAGCACCTCGTCATCGTCATCGTCCTCGCCGGAAATGTTGTCGTCCTCGTCAGACTTTGTCGCCTGGGCATCATCTGCCATATCGACGTCGCTGAGTTTTCCGTCGCCGCTCTCCTCTTGTCCCTGGCTCTCCTTCTGCAGATCCTGCCATACATCCTTCTTCACTGCCCAATCAACCGCAAGGGTTCTTCCATCGACCTCTTTGCCGTTCACAGCCTCCAGGGCCTTCTCGGCGTTCTTCTTCCCTCGCAAGACAACGAAACCGAATCCAGCGAGTCCCTTGCCCTTCTTCGGGAGGATCGCTTGCTTGACCTTTCCAAAACTTCTGAAGAGGACGGACAGATCATCCGGTTCTTTGATGCTCCACGGCAAGTTTCGGACGATCAACTTGGGGGGTAGAACGGCTTCCTTTTGTTGTTCCCTTTGTTTCTTCAGCTCGATGGCGGCAGATGACGGGACGCTCTTTCCCAAGTTCTCGTCGATTGTTCGATGGCGCGGTTGGGCGTAGTCGACTCGAATTTTCTTCCCGTCGAAAACGGACTGGTTGAGCTCCTCCAATGCGGCCTTCGCATCGTCGACATCGGCAAAAGTCACGAACCCGTAGCCTTTGGACTGCTTCGTCTCGGAATCAGTGACAACCGTGGCATGCTTAATCACGTAGGACTGCGAGAAATGCTCCGCTAACTTCTCGGTCGTCGCTGAGGCGGGAAGTGATCGAACGAACAAAGTTCTCTTGGGTTGATTGGAGGTCGCATCCCCCTTGACCACGTCATCTTTCGCGATATCCATAGCTGCCTCAGCCACCTCGGGGCTGGAGGTATCTCTGTTATCAGAGGGTTGTTCCATGCTGGCCTTATTGCTTCCAGCCATCACTGCGACAGAGAATATCTTTTTTTTTTTCTTTCGGCAGCAGCAAAATCAGCGGCAGAAAAATTGCCGCCGATGTTTTTGGGGAGGGAAAAGTGGGTCTAGGCGGTGAGGCTGTTGGAGCCGAAGAATGGAAGTCGGTGCTTGAACTACTGCGTGAATCATCTCGATAGGCACCGTTCTTTGCTGGTAACCATGGCCAGTAGTAATGGAGCTGACGCGAGCAACCGTCGCTCTTCGGATGTCCCTACCCGACCGTCACAGCCAAAAGTCCAACAACCAACGCCGCAAGCGCTTGCCAGTAGGAGTGGGCCTTCCGCGATTCTGGTCTCGACTAGACAGAAGGGCAACCCGATCTTGAACCATGTCAAGCTGATGCCGTGGGAGTATGCCGATATCCCAGCCGATTACGTGCTGGGTGGCACCACCTGTGCCTTATTTCTGTCACTCAAATATCATCGGCTACATCCCGAATACATCTACTCTCGGATCCGACAGATGGCAGGGAAATATCTCCTTCGAATCTTGCTGATTATGGTCGACATACCCAACCACGAAGACAGCCTGAAGGAATTGTCAAAGACATCGATCATCAACAATCTCACGCTGGTTCTTTGCTGGTCAGCTCCCGAGGCTGCCCACTACCTAGAATTGTATAAATCTTCGGAAAACTCGCAACCAACGGCGATCCGTACGCAGCAGGCCCAGTCTTACAAGGAGTCGCTGGTCGAGTTCGTCACCACGCCTAGAACTGTGAACAAGTCCGACGCTGCCAGCCTGATTTCTAATTTCGGGAGCTTGCAGAACGCCGTCAACGCACAACCGGAGCAGATCGGCTCAGTGCCTGGCTGGGGCGAGAAGAAAGTCCGCCGGTGGTGCAATGCCGTAAGGGAGGATTTCAGAGTTGAATCTGCCAAACGGGCAACGGCTCCTGGGGGTAACGTGCCGCGCCAAGAGACGACGCGTTTGGATTCCAGTGGTCTGGCCCTGTCGGATAGATTGATTTCAGAACACCCGGAAGGAAATCGTGGGCAAGGGTCGGAGGGCGTCGGCGAAGGCAATCGCGTTGGCGAACCCGACCAGGGAGAAATGAGTGAAGGAATAATGGCCGCACTGACAAAACTTCGAGAAAACGGCGATTGAGCATGATGACGATGAACATCCTCCTTGGTATTGAATCCAACAAGGCAACGCGCCATTGAGCTCTGCCCCGAGGATCGAGGTAGGTAGGTACCTTACCTAGTCTGCGCCTTCACGTCGTTTGTACCGGCGACGATATCCAGCCCACAATTCTTCCGAATTGCTCACCAAGGGTGGCATGTGCTAGGATAAGCTTGGTTTGATCCAACAGGGTAACAGCCACCGAGTGATTACAAAAGGGACTCGCGTCATTGGAGACGCAAAGCGATCGCGAGAATCCACTCGACGGGGGAGGATCTGACCTGACATAACCTTAAAACCAAGCAATGTGGAGCCCGTCATTTCGGTCCACTGGCATGAAAGCGGCACCCACGAATTCCTACGAGTTTACTCCAGAGTATGCTGAGTGAGATACTTGACTTGACAAGTCCGAACATGCATACATCCGCAGTACATATTACCTATGCAAGCTATAGGCCGGGGAATTCGGGTCTCGCGGCGATCGGCGCGGTGGGTGCATGAATACGAACTTTACGAGCATTAGACCGGTGACGAGAGATTATCTCTCGATCTTGTCCACTTCGTAATCACTAATAATAGCCATCGTGATCTGAATACTCCGTAAACCCGTCACACCCGCCAAATTAGCAGCGCGCGGTCCGGCCGCTGATTGGCACGTGCTGCTGAGTCAGACGCCGATGGCATCACGTGCAGTGGCGGTGGGGCGCTGCGCCAAAAGGGGAAATCGGGCGGCGGGCGAACATTGGAGTTCTTGACTCTCCCGACTCGACTTCTCTTCGATATGCCCCAGTGGGATCGGACGCCCTAGTCACTCCCAGCGAAACAGCGTCTGGGAAATTATTAATTTTTAATTTGGCCGGTTTTAATACAAAAAAGAACAAGAAAAACCAAAAAAACAAAAAAAAAAATTAGAGACGCCTGTCATTTATCCGACCAAACCGGTACTCTCCACCGACAAGCTAACTGGACAAGCCTCTTCCCCACCCGACTACTTCCCAACGCACGGCTTGATCTGTGCTATTCATTCGCCGGTCCGATCCGGATCATGAGACGATGGGGGAAGAGGGTAGCAAGGACGCCGAGCCAAGCGTCAGGCCCGACGTCAACAATCAGGACTTGATTGATGCTGGTCCCTCGCGGGCTCCGCCTGCCCGCCGCCTCGCCAGTAATCAGGTCAGCAACCCAAGATCGTCCAGGAACAACCAGTCCTCCAGGGCGAATCAGCAGGCTTCTCAGTCTCGGAATTTCGAGTTTGTGCTTGTGACCGACAGCGAGTCGCGCCGTCAAGTCCGCCGACATGCAATGCGCCAGTACATGCACCAGCGGCGCCTGGACAGCATTGCTCGACTGGGGACCTCTCGCGTACCGGTTAGCGGCTGGACTACTCGTCCAGCTTCAGATCATGCAGATTCGGGTCTGTCCTCCCGAATAAAAGATGCCGGGGATGATTCGCCTACCAAGTCGGAGCAGGAATCGCCATCCACGGATGAGGAACCTGCCCAGGAAGGGCAAGAGTCATCACGGCCGTTGATTCCGAGCCCCCAGAAGATCAAACAGGAGGAGGAGCCGTCTCCTGTAATAAGTAGCTTCCAATCTTCAGATCCCCGGGCCTCTCCAGGGGAAGGGGGTGTCAGGGATCCGTTTTGCTCCTATCCGATCCCAGTCTGTCATGCGGACCATGAATTGATCCAACACTGTAAGTTTCGTTCGCCCTCTATCTCCCGCTTGAGAGGCTCCTTTACTCTGCGGATGCAGCGAAGGTCCGTCTTGTGGTGTTTATTGAGAATTCTTTCTCTCTTCCCTTTCTCTTCCTATCCCCTCGCTCTCTTCAAGATATAATGCCTCGCATTTCCTGGCCAGGAGCTTACCAATCGCAAAGTTGTCGTGACCTATCCATCTATGATGTACAAGTTTGTCGATCGCATTGCAGACAACCCGATGATGGAAATATTTCGTCAATTTGCCCTACACGACGGCCTTCCGTTCCAGGCGATGCTTGCTATTGCCTCCAAGCATCGCGCAGGTGTAGAGGGTAGGGGTGAGTCGGTTCAGAGTCTCACTCACAAGATGAGAGCCTTGCGAATGATGAACGAACGCATCCACGCGGATTCAACGGGGCAAAATGACGGAACAATATACTCCGTAGCCACCATGGCTGTTATCGAGGTTCGTAGGCTGCTCTGCTTCAAAAGATCTTATCTGACACCTAGGAGAAATGGTCTAAAGATGCTTCCATCGAGCGCATGCACTTTAGAGGGCTAGCCTCGATGATCCGAAATCGAGGCGGAATGCGAGGAATGCGCGTCTCGAGTCCTTTCCTAGAGAAAGTGCTCTATTGGTAGTTTCCAATCATGTTTTGCCGCAGCATGGGATGCAAGACTGACTTTTCCCGCAGGGTTGATTTCAGTTGTGCCCCGAAGGCAATCGTTAGTACCTCACTCCCTTGGACTGGCGCAATGCCAGACATCCCACCCTCCGGGTTTGACTTTCTTTCTCATGACCTTCACTATTCTATACCCCATGATTCCATGACGGACGAAGGTCCAGAAAGCGAGTGCGATAAACTTCGAGCATGCGAGGATTTTCTGAGATTCTTCCGCCGGCTTCGTAAACTGGAGAATGCCGCGTTGAACGTCCCTCCTGTTCTCATATCTAGTAACCCAGGCCGGAGCACCAAGCAATTTCGGCCCGGCACCCAATTGCATTCCATCCTCACTCTGCTTCCCGACTACGACCACGGGATCCGAGACATTCGATTCATCGATGAATATACGGACATGGCTTGCCTCTTGTTTCTCGCTGTCGCCCTGTACGATTGCTATCTTAATTCCCTCAACTTTGACCGTTATCTTGAGTGGCTGGCCGTGGAGGTCAGAAAGTTGAATCCGCACGCAAACCCCAGTATCACATCCATTCTCTGGCTCTTCCTGAACAACGGCGGTTATCCCAGGAACCAGGCAGGGGACACGGGGGACCGGTGCTGGATCGTGTCGCGCATGGTGCGGATTGCCAAACGCCTGGAATGGAAACGCCAGGGAACAATCTGGGACCGCGTACGCCAGATTTTGATTGACTTCATTACGACACAACAAGAGTGCAGTCTTGGTTCAGACGACGTTGACGAAGACGCCCTCCTCGCTCGGCAGCAAAGAACCTGTCATACCCGAGGATACTTCTGGGACGAGGACCAGATGCGTGAAGATATTCTCGATCTCGAGATTCCTACCGCGACGACATACTCAGAAATAAATGCACCGAATCTTACATAATCCGTCACTCTCCTTTCTTTCTTTTCGTCTTCTTTCTCTTATTCCAGGATCCCTGGATGTAGTCCAAACCGACACCCGTTCGTTCCTTTTCGTCCTGCTTTGACTCAAGTTACTTCTTTTGCATGTTCTTTTTGGACCTCCCGTCTTTTGAAATATGCCTCTACTTCCATCTTACGACAATGATTGATAATGACGAAATGGGAATGATCATGGGCGTGGGCAAAGAGCAAAATCAGAATCCCGGGCGGCATTGCATACATGATCAACCTTTGGCCCTCCCGACTATTTACTAATGTTTCATTTGACGGCTCCCCAGGCATTTCATGGGAGTGACGATCTATATACTATTTGGAAATATTGATGAGAAATGAATTTCCTATCGTGAATCTAGCCGTTGCCAAGGCCTCTTTTCTCAATCTATCTGTGTAAAGGTAAGGGAGAGCCCATGAATCCACATCCGACCTATCGAAAATCGAGTGATCGAAATAGTCCGGGGGTGATTACGCAAGGATCCCCGTGGACGGTGCTGTGTCTACAGAGTCTCAGTGGGGTCGGTGAGCATCTCGCTCTGCTCTCTCTCTCTCTCTCTCTCTCTCGGCAAGGGACGGCGCCTTCCGCGGCAGATGGCGCAAAGTATATCGATAGCATTGTTGATAACACTTTTTACCAGTGAGGGGTATGTTCATAACTTGGCAAATACAATGCCAGTTTATCCAAGAAATCAACCTACCTTCTAATCATCAAGCGGGCAGAGAGAGAGAGAGAGAGAGAGAGAAATCATCCATTGAAATGACATAATATTCAATACCAAGTAATGATATAAGCAGCATGATCAAGTAATGCCTATCAGGTGTAAATCATCAACGGGAGAGGATATAATAGCAACAATGATATAAAGAATTAAAAAAAGGCAAGCAGAAATGAAAGGGCAAAGATAAACGCCTATACGATCGACCAAATTCATGGTATCAAATGCGGACACGAAGAAAGTCTTGAAATTTAGGAAAAAGCAAAACAACAACCAGCTGGCATGAAAATTGGAGGGTGTATCTTGTGTGTATGTGTATTTCGAGGGGAGCATAGGACAATGTTCAACTGCCCTCTCTTTCTCTTTCTCTCGTTTTCGGGGTTTCTTTTTCTTGTTCTTTTTCTTTTTAATAATCGGTGACTTCGTCAGTATCGGTCACGCCGCATGTCCGATTCCATATCCATAAGAGCATTAGAAGTTCGAGGTGAAGGAAAAAATCAAAATAATATATCGAGACGGAGGGAGGTCATCTAGCTAGGTTTGTCGCAGCCGATGCGGCCCAGCAAGGCCTTGTGGTCGCTCTGCTGGCCAAGTCCGACCCGGCCACGTCCTCGAGGACGAACGGTAGAGGATCCGTTCGATCGGCGCCATTCGGCATTGGAGCCATCGGCGGCGGCGACGCTGCCGTTGGTGTTGTCCTTGCTTCTGGCATCGACCTCTTCATCTTCATCGTCGCTGCGACTGTCCTCGGCGTTTCCGGTGCGGAGAACTCCCACCGCCACGCGCACCACCATCGCAAACCAGATAATCGAGAGCAGTTGAAGGGACAGGAGGAAGGAGAGGAAGATCCACTTGATCGTGCGGTTCATGCAGATAGGGCCGTCGAGGTTCAGGAACGGATAAAAGAGGTAGGTGAATTTATCGGGATACCCGTCGGTGGAAATCATCTCTGCGGTGGTGCCAGAATAGCAGCCGTATGCCATTTTCGAGGGGACTTCTTTATAGATAGACCAGCACAGCAGCGGGTACATTATATGGCGCGTGACGAGCCACGTGGACATAAATACACCGAAGGCGATGTTGCAGGTCCTTTCGAACTTGAGGTATTTGAGGATTTTCGCCGTCTAAAGGTCATGATTGTCAGTCAGAATATGGGGGTTCCCGTAGCAAAATACACCATCCAAAGATGAACATACCGGTAGCAGCAGGTCCACGATATCCATCAGGCACAGCACCACATTGGAAACGTTATAGAAGCCATAAATGTAGGCCGAGCTGAGAAGGGTGCTGGTGATAAAGTGGTGGGTCAACATCTGATAATGATCCTTCCTCGGCTCCTCGATGTTGAGGACGAAGATCTGCTGCAACCAGAAGGAAAGTTGCGCCAGCAGATACCATTTCAGGGTGCCCGAGACGCCGCGCGACGGCCACTCGGACCAGATCGCGCCGTTATCCAGCCAGTAGTAGGAATTCGACCAAATATACTAGCACATCCTCGGTCAGCATGCGGTCCCACGGCGATGGATCGATGAAGCAGCGGTACGAACCAGTCCGAAAGTACAGAAGAAACCGTAGTAGATCCATTGCCAGCCCTGCTCGGCGAAGCGCACCGAAGCCTTCTTCTTCAGCCCCGCATATCTAGCAAACGGATGGAAGACCCAATCGATCGCGATGGCGCGGATGGCCGTGAAGGCGATGGCCGAGCTGGCGACAAAGTAGATGTCGTCCCAGCCTTGGATGTAGAGTCCAGTGTCGGGCTGGTAGTAGGACAATTGGAAGAAGGGAGCCGTGTAGGGACTAAGGGAAGGGTAGAGGTGGTGAACGGCCAATAACATCGACAGGGTTGTCAACGAGATCCCTGCGCACCACGAGACACGTTAGCTAGCCAATCATGGGGGAAATTGCCATTCGCCAGCCGGTGACACCGTAGGCGGATTGGCAACGAAGCAACCAGCGCAGGCGTCTCGCTCCGCACGAAAGGCGACGTACCGATTTGGTTGTCCACGATCCATTCCCGGAACGTGGTTTCTTTAGCGACTGGTCGGTGAGCACCGGTCGAAGTAGAAACGCAGGCATTGAGTTCCGTCACCGACGGCGACGGGGAGGAGAGGTCTTTGTCCATGGCGAGAGGGCTCGAAACTTCGGAGGATGCCAGATCCCGAGAGGAGCAACGAGGAGGGAAAGAATTGGGGAGAGAGGTCGGAGACGGCAGAGGAAGAACTAAGAAGACGGTGACCAATGGCGGGGGAAAAGGGACTGGCCAGGCAAGACAGGCCAGAATGTTGGTTCCGGACTAAACGCGCGGTTCCGCGGCGGGTCCTTGGGCTGAGCCGAGAAGTGGTCGTAAATCAAGTCAATCGATCGTCAATGGTCATCAAGATGAAATATTAATTTCGACCGAGTACCGGACCGGTCGTTGGGAGGGGGGGAGGAAGAGGGAGAGGGAGACAAGGGAAGAAGAGAAGAGAGAAAAGAAAAGGAAAGGAAAGGAAAAAGCGAAAGGGAAGCGCGGTGAAAACACAACAAACAAGGGAAGTCCGGGGATGAGGAATTATTATTGGGATTTGTTGACCACCCTCAAAAATCAATAATATTAATATGAATATTAAAGATTTGAAAAGTCGAGAAAGACAGAAGAAAAGAAAAAAAAAAAGAAAAAAAGAAAAAAAAAAGCCAAGGACGAGGGGGACTGTTTCACAAAAGAGGGACGGCCCACCGGCAGTTACGTACGCGGTACCTCCAGGGCCCGTGGGCGAGCCATAGTAAGTCGAGGTACCCGCGAAGTCTCACCGCCATGGGAGGGTACGTGTGTCGTCGAGCCATTCGAGGCGGTCGACGGAGCCACGGTGTATCTTCTGGTTGTTCTCTGGGCTTAGGAGTAGGGCTTAGGCCCTCGATGATCTGCAGCCGTCAATTTCGGGCATTCGCACGGGCGGGCGTATGGATGCGATGCGATGATCAGATACTGCGTTGGGAAAGAGAGCGAGACAGAGAGAGAGAGAGACCTTGTGACCAAATACATCATCACTGATCTATATTTCTTCATATCGCCTTACATCCTATGTACTGCGTGACTCCACGTCGTTCGGACTGCTATCCAACCCGGTCGTCACTCCGTTGACATATTCCGCCGCACTGACTCCCAACTTGGCCAAATCGACACCCCCCTGTCCGCCCATCGCCTGCGACATGGCGCGAACCACTTCCTCTTCCTCCCAGATGCTCGTCGAATCCCCATTTCCGATCCGGCTGGGGTCCGCCTGCGTCTCGACCACCGTCCGCCAGTAGGTGTCGTCCCGGTCCTTCAGCACCTTATCCCGTACCACGGCATTCCGGGTCACGCTCGTGGCATGCAGCTTCGCGCTGGCTCCGGTCAGCGCCGACAGCGAGTTGGACACCAACTGATCCACCTGGTCGGCCTGGGACGGCGGCGCGAAGAAGAAGCGGTTGGTGGCCGTCACGAAGATCAGAAACGCGCAGATGCCGTCGAAGATGGCGAAGGCAAGCGGCCGCAAGAGGGTGATCTGATGGTACAGGCTCGATGGCGGGTGGATGCCCGCCCGCACCGAGGCAGGCGCCGACTGCACCGGATCCCGCGTGCAAACGACGTACAGGTCGATCGCGGCCAGCGCCAGTCCCGCTACCGTGAACTTATTCCGCCAGCTGGCGGCCTCGCGACCGGCAAACGGGGCCGACGTCACCACGCCCACGATGACCATGTGCAGCAGATGCGGGAGGAGCGTATTGAACGGCAGGTAGTAAAGAAGGTAGGTGTTCATGTTATCCAGTGAGCAAAATTGGCATCCGGTCAGCACCTCCGGCCCGAAGCGTAGGTACACTTTGCGGGCCCCCACCGACGTGAACTTGGTCCGGAGAAGGATGTCGGCATCTGTCAGCGCGTTGCCGGGCCGGTACCGTGCGAGTCGGCTGAAAAGGACGTCGGTCGAGGTATTGATGCGCGAGCGGGTCAAGGCGAAGACACTCTCGCCGGGTGCATGGGGGTTGAACGGAAGACTGAGAAGCAGGAAGAGTAGGGTCGCAAAGAAGAGGACATTCAGGGCACGCCCGGCATTGGCAGGTAGAGGACGGGGCTGTGGACGTGACGCAAGCGCAACTCGTAGACTTCGGTAGTAATTAATGGCTCGGGGAATCAAGATGGGAGCAAAGAAGATCAAGAGCGACTTGACGCTGTGGTCGACACGTTAGTGATGGGCTGGTGGCCGGAAACGCAAAGATTGTGGCAGGCACATACGTTGCAAAGGAGATTCCAAGGTCCACCATCTTGTCCAGAATATCGATGCCTCGCCCCTGGTGACGATGAAAGGAAAGAAAGAAGCTCAGTTGGCGCCAGAACGACGACCCATGCGACTCCTTACGTAACCCCCACCGGGTCTGCCAAGAACGCCGGCGCCCAATCACCGGGCGGCTTGTATACTTCCTGTCAACACTGCACTTCGCTAGGTCTCTCCAGGTACCTGCCTAGAAACTACTCCGTAAGATGGGGACGTGAAATGCATTGCACTCAAACTAAAATCGCAAATCAATAATACACCAAAGGGATATTCCGCCATCAACTTGACGGTTGTGAACTTCCGCTCAAGAAGGTCCTTGCGCGCAAGGGTGTAGAGCAGAAGAGATGAAGAAGAAGATAAAGAATCAACAAATACGGCAGGGAAAAACAAAGAAAAGAAAAGAAAAGAACAAACAACATAAAACTCCTTAGACCCCGATAGCTCGCTAGTTTTCAAGTCCATTCAATTAAACGCCGTCGTAAATAACACTCTTGCGGAGCAGCCGAGGAGTCACCTTTTTTAAGATCAGAAGGCGATCAGACATGGTTCGATTGCATTGCAGGATGGTGCGCCAAGTTTGGAATAGCAACGCCCGACGAGTCCCTGGAGTACTTGGATGACGCCGCATCGTTCAAGTTCACCGGACGAGAGATCTTCAGAGGGAATCGAGGCATGCTCCTCATGGAGGACTGCCTTCTCACCGGGGACTGCGAGCTATACGTGGGCAGCGAATCCTCCCGTTTCAGGCCCAGCTGAAGGGATCGTTGACTGCCATTCCGTGTGACGACCTTCTGTGGCGCAACTGCCCCGTAAACCCGAACATGACGTGCGCTGACACCGGCATCACGGTTCGTAAAGATGAAACTCTGTCGACCAGATTCAACGATTAGAATAATCATCTGTTCACACCAAGGCCCGACTTACCGAGAGTACGTTTACCACGCTCATAACCATGGCCAGGATTCCCGCGGAGATCACTATCCGCCAGAACGCAAGCCCCAAAGCCTCCTGACTGGTGGCCGGCGTGTTAAGGTCGCCCAACACGCTGATCCCCAGCATCAGCATAACTATAGCCAGTGTAATAAATCCGGACTCTTGGCCCAGCAATGGCCAGTTGCGATCGAAGTAGCCGCGGAAGAAGGGAAGCTCGGAGATTATTAGGAAGACTGCGGATGACGGGCCTGTCAGCAACTACAATCCGCCGGACCAGCGCGTTCAAAACTTGGGAATGCAACTTACTGCTGACTCCAGCGACCATGGCGTGGGTGACCGCCTCGAAAAAGAAAAAGCTGCTCAACAGCGAGATCTTCACCAGCATGACTGCATTGGCAGCAATGATGTCCAGAAAGACAATTATATTCAGAACCCGCACCGCATTCAAAACCACGTAACCTGGACCAGCCAGGGATTCTTTCAGAGACGCCATCATTATTGAGGCTTGAGTATAAGATAAGAAAAAAAAAAGAAAAGTCACAGCAATTCAACTGGAAAGCGGGGTGATGTTTAATCCTCAATCATGCAAATTTGGGTAATATGACCTCCGAGGTATTCGTTCAAGAAAGGAAAGAAATCGTGTTGAGAAACTTTTCGCCGAGTAAACAAATAGACAAAAGGAAGGTGAAAGCACAAGGGCCGGCCAGCAGGACCGTGTACTGAGAAAGAACCGAAAGAAAGAAAGAGCCACGAGGTCGGGTCGAGGATAAAAAGAAAGAACAAAAGCAATCATGGAGCCCAAAGCTCCACAATGGAGCGCAATTCATCCGACCTGCATCTCAAGGGGATTCTTGCAATAGGGGGCAAGACGGGGTGAATGGATGGCCAGACAAAGGCAACAATAGACATAGTCGACAGGAGCAGGGTTTGAAACACCATCAAGTCTGAATGGAACAATAATGGCCATTCATTCTCTGGCGCCTGACTATTTTTATGTCTTTGGGGTATTATTCCAGACAAGCCTTACCGTGTTAAGGCGCCTGGAAGTGGTGATCGCAAGGATATTCCAAGAAATCCCGTAGCGCTGAGACCCCCTCGTCTACTTCATGCCCGATCCGCCTGCAGGGCATGTTACAGATTGACGCCGTGGACAGCAGAAGGAGTGGCGGACAGCGCAAGACAGGCATTTGTTTGAAACCCGCAGTGTCTTGCGAGAGTCGGGGGGGGGGGGCTTTTTTTTTAGACGCTTTCTCTCTCCTGCACGCTGCCGCTGAGGCGGTTACAGCTTCCGTGCTTGATGCTGTGCACATCCAATCACTCGTCCCATACTACCGCCTTGGGATTTGTAGGCGCGTGTCCTGCAGTCATTGTATGGGACGGTTCATTTAGTTATATCTATCGGGCTCGTGGCGAGGCTAGAATCTTCTGGCGGCCGCGCAGAGGAATCTAGCTCTCCGTGTCACGGATTATACAGAGACATTGACGACTGCTGTCAGTTGTTAGCATATGGATCAAAGGACACGAATTCCCAGATGAAATCCGCGAGATGGAAGGATGAATGATGAATGATGAATGATGAATGATGAACAATACGCGGAGTATACAAAGGGATCGGAGATGCCGAAGAGGGGAATGCCGGGAGTGGCGGCTCGGCGCCTAAAAGAACGAAGTCTAGACAGAAAACTTTCGCTTGCCTCCCCCTTTACCCTTTCCTTCCCTCTGACCGTCAGCCAGTCGTCTCATCCAAGAAACCCATCACCCCAGTCCCCAGCAGTACCTCACAAATCGGGATTTAATCCAGTCCCCCAGAAATTCAAGATGTCTCGTGGAAACCAGAGAGAAAAGGCTCGCGCGAAGAACCTGAAGGCCGAGAGTCAAGTGGTAGGTTCAACTGTCCTAATTTCCTGTCTTTGTCCTTCCTCACTCCACATCAAGACATCCCTTTCCAACATGTTCCTCCCAAGGGCTCGCATGAGAACCTTCTCTCGTGGCGTACTTTATTAATACCAAGTTACTGACTCGCATCGCCTATACAGAAAAATAAGAACACGATGACCGGCTCTGAGTTCCAACGACACAAGGAAAGCAGCGCCGCTATCATGCGTGAAAAGCAAAAGCTCGGTAGGTTTGCGCTCGTCCACAGCCCTCTTTTTGTGGGCTCTTATTGATATTTCTGCCTCTCCAGCCGATGAACGCCGGGCAGCCGACGCTGGCAAGAAGAAATGAACACCTCTATCGTCCAGAGAATGTTCCGTTCAGCCATCACTACCGACCAACCTGAGACTCCTCGTCACTTATTATTCATCCTCCGTTCGTGTCTGTCCGCCGATGCATAGTTTTCTGTTTATTCGCCCCGCCTTCCAAGTTTCCGCAACGCTTTAACGACGCTTTCTCGGAAAGGAATATTCGTGATCTATTGGTTAGAAGCTGCCTGGTCTTTTTTTTGGAGAGCTGAGGATGCAAGGGCCATAAGGGCGACAGGTTCGCGCAGAATGGTGGCGAAAGTTTCGTTTTGGATACTCTACAATGACGAAGTGAAGAAGGTTAGGAGTCATTGGCGCAGATTATTATTCTATAACATTATGACAAGCGAGGCGTTATTTCCCCCCTGCGTTGGCGTTCAAACCCTTCGTAGCATCACGGTCAAATTACTGTTTCTGTCTCAAAGTATAGCCTATCATACAATCCACCAGAGAGAGACTAACGGTGCAGTGTCGGGTTGCACCTCGCCCATGGAAGACTAGGGGAATTCATCCATCGGGGTCACCTTCCTGGTCGGTTCTGTCAGGTTGAAAGCTTTCGCAGCAAGAGTCACAAACGTCCACAGAGACTCTCCCTCCCAGCCGATGTCCAAGGCAAAGCGAGATACCCGGCTGATCGCGTTCTCCCGGACACCTCGGTCTTCAACCATTTCCAATACATAAAGAGCAAACATCCAACCAGATATATCCGCCGGATGTGATTGGCACCAATTCAGCGTTGTCTTGATGATTGGTTCAGCCAGCAACCGGAGAGAACTCGAAGACCCCTGCATGTACTCCGCCAGTATGCCGTGCAGCTGTCTCATGTAGCTAAAAGCATAGTAGTTTTTGGGGTGTAATTCCCCTGCGCGGAGCACAATAGCAAGTTCCTCCTCAAGAAGATTACGTAGAGTGCCCCGGTCGATGTCTCCTCCCCCGTAAATTGAAGGCTGTGACTTCGCCATGTCCGGTCCTTGCGGCTTCGAGTCTCGCCGGTCAATACCGCGCAAACGCAGCATCTTGTCCAGGACCCATAATCGATGCTGCCATAGTGTCGGCGATTTGGTGTGTCTGTGCAGTGGCGAGCAGAGAAAAGATGTCATCAAAGAAACTTCCGCATGTAGCGCCTGCAGCAGCGTCTCCCAAGCACCGCTGTTATCGTGGTCCAGCTCATGTCGCTGTATAAGGCTGGCCAGTCGCTTCTTTCGCCAGTTGCACGCGGTGAGATGTTCGCAATCAAAGAGAAGAATAACCTCGGAACAAATGGAGAAGTCTTCGAATTTCTCCTCCGGGTTTATCGCCGTCGTGCCCGCATCTCCATCTTTGGAAGCCGTGGAAGAGTCACGATCCGATCTACAGATGGGGTCCTTGAAAAATATGCGTCGAGCCGTCACAAAAGCCTGCACCAAGTATTTCTTGGTGATACCTATTGAGCAATCATCCTGAAGGAGAGGGCCTAGAACCGGAGGAAGGATCTCGATTTCGAGAATGCGATTGTTCCTAGTAGCGAAGATGCGAGCGAGATTCTGGAAGGCACTGTCTGGGGAGGACATTTGGGGTCTACAGGCAGCAATGACTGGATCAGCCGCCCATAAGCATGTGGAGTGTAGCCATGAAGAGGGTTGTTTATGATTTGAACGGAGGGGCAGAAACGCCGCAAACCGACAAAGCACCGGCGGGCGGAGAACAACCGCCCAAAACGTGACAACGTCATGCAAAAGCACCTCCCTCTTCGCCCGATTCTCCGATTCATCGTCTGTCTAGGCACCGCCAGTTTCTCCTTTTGAGTTCCCTGGAATCACTCTCTGTCCCCTCGGCGCAAGTGGGTTTCGTGGCCCTCTCCACATTCCCGAAACCTGCTGTGTGCGGTCCATTCTGTGATCTCTCCGGCTTCTTTCGCACAGAAAGACAGATACTCAGTTACCTCTCACCATGCTGTCTCTCATCTGGACGGTCTTCTTCGTGCATGTTGCCATTTATTTGGTCAACACCATTGGCGCAAGCATAATCGATAATCTGGTATGTTTTTGTTTGCTCTTGCTCCCTGGGCTGTTCAGCCCAGCATCACATCAACAGCGTGAACAGACCGACTGACCGGTCATCTCTCTTCTCTTCTTCTAGCTATGGATTCTCTACATGAAACTCCCAACTGCGACGTCCAAAAATGCGCGTGAACAGAACCGGCTCAAACGCGAGGCTCTTCAGCTGAAGCGAGAAATGAACAACACAAGCTCCCAGGATGAGTTTGCAAAGTGGGCCAAGCTCCGAAGACGACATGACAAGGCCATGGAGGAATACGAGGCAATGAGTACGTCTGGAGAGATTTTCTACGTCCCCTTATCCTATGTATTTCCATAAGACATGCCCCCATGTCCGTGTGAAATCAACCGAGTCGGTCTCCGCAGCAGTGATGCTAATCCCGGGCAAAATCCAAACAGACAAAACACTGACGTCGGCAAAAACCTCCTTCGAGTGGACCGTGAAAATCGCACGATGGCTCAGTACGAACGGACTCAAGATCTTCCTTCAATTCTGGTACTCGAAGACTCCCGTGTTTGCCCTTCCGGAAGCCTGGGTTCCCTACTACGTCGCATGGATTCTGTCGTTCCCAAGGGCACCGATGGGCTCGGTCAGCATCCAGGTTTGGAGCAACGTGTGCGCAACAACTATTTCGGCGTTGGCAGAGATTGTCACGATCGCGGTACAGGCGGGGGTGGGAAAGACACGCCCTGCTCCGGCGGCTACGGCTCAAAAGGCAAAATGATTTGATGCTTGTCATGCTACGGAATGGGAGTCTGGTGGACCGTACAAATAAACCGTGTTGAGGTTTGGGAAAAGAGAAAATGATTCGAAGTTTTCTACTTGTATTTCATGATACTATAAACGTAACAACATAATGCTATATCTAAGCTTTGAGATATGTTCTTCAGATAAAAGAAAAATCGTTTCTCGTCAATAACCCCTTACCGTAGTAGGGATCTCAGGGCTTGACTCTATGATTTGTATATCATCATATGAACATATGCAGCAAAAGGCAAAGACAGATAGTCGTCTCGGAGGGAGAAAGAGTCCGACCCCTTCGACAGGGTTTCTGTGCCGGCGAGCGTTCAGAACGCCACCAGGTCACCGCTTTGCCATAAGCTACAGACTCGAGAGATGAAAGAGAAAAATGAATGAACTCCTCGCCTCAAGAATGAGCCCCATTGAGTTACCCAGGCAGGATGACAAGACCCTACCGAGCAATCGCATGACTATTCGAACACGACGAAAGGCAACCCAATAGAACAACCTCCCTCCGACATCCCGCTACATCACCATTGTGTCCACCAGAGCGTAGAAACGAACCGGCGTCGGATATAGACATGAATGACGGGAGAGAATAGGGCAGTCAGCCGCTATCAAATTGCTTCTATGGCGGCGCGTTTCCGCATTGCCTGACCGTAAAAAGAATGGACAGGATGTCCGGGGACTTTCCCCAAAGCTTGATGAGAGGAATCTCCCAGTGGAGAATTTCCTGTGCGTGAGCTTTGAATGCGATCCTTTGAGCGAGGAGTTGAGAAAGGAAGAAGAAAAAAAGAAGCGGAAACTTTTTTGGGGTTTTTTTACATTTCTCGGTTGACCGCGCTAGCCATGTTGGGTCTAGAGAGATCATGTGATCTTGACGGGCGTCGGTCAATCACGTGGCCGGCTTGCATAAAACACCATAGATCCATCTCTCTACATTCATAACTACCGAGACAGGCGAAGTTGTGCTCACAATAGACTATATCAATCCGCAGTGGTAGAAGAAAACATCATTTATGCTATTTACTTTAAATAACACAGAACAACCCATCGCCGAAGATTTTTGTTTTTTTTACGCCTTGGACTTGGACTTGGCCTTGCCCTTCTTGGCCTTTGCTCCAGCCTTCGTAGCAGGCGAAGCGGTGGCATCGTTGGCTCCCTTCTTACCATCCTGCTTGGGGGTATCTTGCTCAGTCACAGACTGGCTTCCCTTCTTCTCCTTCTTGGACTTCTTGGGGGTATCATCAGACTTCTTCTCAGCCTTCGTCTCCTTGGGCGCCTCGACGGCTTTGGGGGTCTCTTCCTCCGCGGCCTTGGGAGCTTCGATTTGCTTGCCCTCTTCCTGGACGGGGACCTCGTCCACGCTCATCAATTGCGGCAGCTCGAATTCGTATCCAAGATCCTTCAGCTTCTCGGCCTTGGCAAGGCGCTTCTTCTGCTCGCGCTCAATGCGCTCGGACCACTGATCTCTCGTCTTGCCCTTGTCGAGGCGCTTCTTCTCGATGCGGTTCCACGGGGTCTTCTTGAATCGTCGGTTGGCGCCCTTCCAGACCTCCGGGTGCAATTGGTCGGAAGGTATGTATTTGCATTTCAGGATATGACCATACATCAGGTAGTTGTCCATAGTCGCGGCAACGATCTTGGCAACGGAGACCGACTCGAATTCCACAAAAGCGTAATGCTTGGAGCGGCCGGTGATGCGGTTTCGCGAGAGACGCAGACGAGTGATCTCGCCGAATTGTGAAAAGTAGGCGCGCATTTGATGTTCGTAGAAACCGTGGGGAATACGTCTGTAACATCGATATTAGAACCGGTGGGCAATAAAAATGTAAGCGCAACCCATAAGAGAAAACATACCCAACATATACGGCACCCGGTCCTTCTCCGCTGCCGGCCTTTTCTTCTTTCTGCTTCTTCAAGATCTTGCGCTTGGCCTTCTTCGAATCAGGAATCTTAGGAACTGGTTTGCTGGGGTCGTAGCCCTCGTCTCCCGACTCGTCCTCATCGCCACTGCTCTCGAATCCCTTGATAAGGGCGACGGTCCGGTCATCTTCTTCTTCTTCCTCACCCTCGCCAGAGTCAGAGGCGGCAGAATCATCGTTGTCATCGTCGGACTCGTCGGCGGCAGCCTCGGGCTTTTTCGACTTAGGGGAGGCCTTGGCGCCGGCAGTCTTTGCTTTCGCGGCCGGGGCGGCGGTGCCATCCTCCTTCTTAGACTTTTTGTTGCTGGCCTTCTTCTCAGCTTGGGCTTTAGCGGGCTTCGCTTCCGCCTCGGACTCGCTGTCCTCGTCGTCGCTCAGAAAATCGGCAGCACGCTTGCGAGGCTTGATCTGTCTCGCGGGCTCGCCGTTGAACTTCACACCCGAGGCGGACTTCTTCGCCGCGGGGGCTCCGTCATCCTTGTTTTTCTTCAGGATCGATTTCGAGGCTTCCTTAGGAGCTTCAGCGGGCTTCGCCTCCGCCTTCTTGGTCTTCTTCGCGGGCGAGTCGGCGGCGGCAGCGGCGGCGGCAGCTAAATGGAGATTTTTCAGCTATCGAACGGAACCAGCCAGATGGATTTTTTGGGGACTTTGTTTCGGAAATTGAAGTAACATACCCTTGCGCTTGTTGTCCTTCTTGCTGGGAGCCATAATTCCTGAAGGTTCAGTCAATTGTAGGCTGTGGATGAGCACTACAAATTGGACGCAGTTAAAAGACGGAAACTTTTTCGGGGGAAACATTTTAGTTTTTTTTTTCTGCGCTCCGGCTCTGAGGGGAAGGCGGTGAGACCGTCCGGTAGTAAGCCCTCGGCGTGGGATGTTCTTGGGCGAAGTTCAGGACAACAGCAACGCAACATTTAGTAGTCGCCTGGATTATTCTAGTGGTGCTCCTTTTGATTATCTATTCATCCTACTTTTTCCCCTGTCTCCACTGTCATGGGCAAGTCTAAGAATGCGACCAAGGCACTGACACAGGAGGAAATCTGGGACGACTCGGCCCTCGTCCAGAGCTGGGACGAGGCGGTCGACGAGTACAAAGTGAGTTTCCTCCCCAACTCATCGATATGTATATTCCCATACATGATCCCGTCTAATATGACATGCATGTACAAAGCTCTATCACAGCATCCAGGCCAAGGGAGAGAATGTCGAGGACGTTCTAAGACAGGCCGAGGGCGCGGAACTCACCCCGGACGATGCGCCGGGTCAAGACCCAAACAAGCTCGCTAATGAGCCCATGGAAACTGACGGCGAAGAGGCCGCCATCTCCGGTGATTCATCAGAGGCTGTACAACCTCGACCGGGGGAGTCTTCACGGGTACGTGACCTCTAATTATCTGCATGATACGAACCGTACTAATTCAAACAAAGGCTCCACATGGACAGCAAAATGCGTCATCTGATGCGCAGTCAAAGGGGATCAATTCTATGGCCGAGGGTATTTCACTGGGGGCAGCCATGCCGCAGGCAGCGCTATCGCAAGGTAGGTTCCCAAATACCAGTTGTATTTGAAAACCAGGTTGATTAATTCTACGGCACAGTGCAAGACGAAGGTCTGAAGAACCTGATGATGTCCTGGTATTTCGCAGGGTACTATACAGGCCTCTATGAAGGACAACAGCGAGCAAATCAGAACAAAAGCTCATGAGGCATACACGTCCTAGATCTTTCTGCGATGAGCCTTGGCTATGATGAAGCCAGGTTATTGACATATATGTCCCCGTCTGGGCATGCTTGAAGCAAGGCTTTGGAAAGTGTGCTGGGCTTTGAATCGTACGACATGATGGCTAGACACTCAGTGATTTTCAAAATAGTCTCTCATCTGGGAAACGGCACAACCGCAGCCCTTCTTCCTCACCATGGAACGCCCAGGGATGCGCTCGATGAGTCTCGAGAATGGGCGGGTTCCGAGGGCCTGAGAGCCCGTGATCCGTCCGTCATCAAGCCTGGGTCCAGAACGACCCAACAATGTCCCGACACCTCTCTGAACTAAGGAAACTAAATACGATCTTGCAAATATGAAACCAAGCGACACGTAAGAGCATCATTTCCACGCTTAACACCCCAAACTACACGAATCTGGTACGCAGCATAATCTGAGCAAGAAGAACATCTCGGATACAGCTGTTTATAAATGCTGTATCGGCAGAAAACACACAAGACTGATCATGGAATTGTAGTCATATTGCTAAGATTTTATACTATTCTAAAGCATCGTTAAACCGTTCCAATAAACACCGTGGCATCAAACATTAAAACCATCATTCCCTGCAAAAAAAGACAATATCAAGCGCGGTCCCAGTCGCCTCCAATTGCATTGTACATTTTACCAATCATTTTTCTTCCGAACAATTTAGGCAATCCCGCCGCCACTGAGGATCTTGCCAACGATAGGGATCTTGGAGAAGATGTTGTCCTTGACCTCATGCACACTGCCCGACGGGGTGGCGGCAGCGCTGGCGGAACTGCTGGGCTGCGATGTCGTGGGCGAGGGTTTCTCCTGAGCCTGGGGCTTCTCCTCAGCCTTGGGTTTTTCTTCAGCCTTCGGTTCACTCAAGGCGCGCGAAGGCGCGGGAGACGGAACGCTCTGCTCATGCTGGCCGTCGTTGTACGACTCGGAGGTCTCTCCCTTGCTGGTTTTGTTGATCTCGAGCGGGTGGTTGGATGAGTGCGACTCCTGGCTGGGCGAGGACTCTTGGCTGGGCGTAGGAGGCATCGGCACCAGGGGAACGGCCGAAGTGACAGCATCGCTGGACTCGGTTCGTGCGCCGGCAGCAGCAGGGTTGGTCTTCTGCTTCTTCTCTTCCTGGTCCTCCTTCCACATCTTCTCCATGTCGTCAAAGAAGTCAACGGTGGACTGCTTTCGTTAGCGCACACTCCCAGCAATAAATATGGTCTACCGAATGTAACTTACGCGCAGGGACATCTCGGCAATCGAGGCTGCACTGCCAGGGTTCAGGTCGTCGTCTGACATGGGGTCGAACCGCTTAGTCGGCAGGGCCGACGTCAGGGCAGACAGCGAAAGACATGCGGCAAGGATGGAGATGTTGAGGCGAGTCATTGTGACTGGTATCAAATAGACTTGAGAAAGGAAGCGGGAAGAAATGATGAGGAACAGAAGACAATGAATGGAAATGCAACTGCAACTACCAGATGGGACGGTCTAAGGAAACAGAACGACTATCTACGAGGACGAGCTTCAGGGCATGCTTTATAGTACTCAAGAGCCGGGGCATCAAGAACGCCGGGGCGTGCCACAGCATGGAATCCAAATTCCTGATGCCGTCTGGGTCGCAGCCCTCTCGTGCAATGATCACTGCGCATGTTGAGATCCGACACGTCGGTTATGTGCCTTGATTGGAAGCAAGGGAGAGAGGCCGGGACGACTTCGACCTCATGGTATGGGCATTTGCAACGCTTTGATGGCAGTCATTCCGGTTGGGCCTCCTCCCAGGTCCCAAACTAGAATAGATATCCAACCCTTGATTACGCAACATACCAGAGCTGGTCGACGTTGCAAAGCCCCTTTGTCGCAGGTGCCGCGACGCCCCAAGGCTTGACTTGACCGGTTCAGCATTCCAAAGGTTCTCGATGGCGGGGACATCTTCTTACGCGCTACACATTCCATCGACGGCTAGAAATGCGAGAAAACCATGGCGAAGTTGCGACTTCGGAATGTATCTCCCTACTTTTGACACGTACCACCGCACCTAAGAATTGGCAGTGGACGCAACACGAGAGAGAATTTGAAGAAAGGACAACGTCCAATCGAGTTACTATTGGCACGTTTTTGACCTCGAAAATCATGGAAGAACTGACGGACGAGACTTCGAAAATGCCAGGCTGAGCGGATTGAATAGATTGACTACGGGGGTTCCTGGAACGAGATCCCTGCGGGTTAGTGGGCAAAGCAATTGAGACGGGGTGAGCAAAATGCATGCATTCCTTCGTTCTTGCAGGGGGAAGATCATCTTCTTCCGAACGAGTGACACATGCACAGGCGGAGTTTTCAACCGCCCATGGCTTGCAAGAGAAGATTTTTCCCTCAAAGGGATGTGTGCTCAAAGCGAACCCAACTACCTCGGAGCGGACAGGAAGCACCTGTCCAAGTGGCAGGCGATGGGATTAGAACGAGCCGCAATTATCGCTCTCGGTCTCAAGTCTAAATTTGCAGACGGAACGGAGGGCTTGGAAAGCCAAAACATCCGTCACAAGGGTATTGGAGACCTGGAATGGTAAAAGAAGAAAGGGGGAAAGACGGCGGGAAAATGCGAAAATTTATTCATCCGCGGAGTGCGTCGCTTATGTCAGCTCACGTCGGAGGAATTCTTTCCCGGGCGGATCGGCCCAACTACGCAGTACGCAGTAAGTCGACTAGTAGACTAGAAAGTTGAAACCATCCTCTGGCTTTAAACCTATACACCTATGGGGAATCTAGAACCGAGCGAGCACTCTCTCCTGGGTGTCCGACAGCGCCCATTCGTCGCTATGCTTCTTACTCCGCACCGTTTGGGCCTGCTGCGCTGTGAACCCCTTGGCTTCGACCGCCGGGTTATATCCGAGGCCAGTTATCTTTGCAACGGCGTCGGACGAGACGAGACTGGCGGCCTTGCCGTCGGCCCGCTTATACACGGTCACCACGACCGCACCGCCCAGGCCCAGGTTGTGTTGTAAGGCGGCGTCCGTTCCGTCGATCAGTCGGTTGTTCGCCCAACCACGCAAATGCCATACCAGCTCCGCACATTGCGCCAGCCCGGTCGCTCCCAGCGGGTGACCCTTGGATATCAAGCCACCCGAGGGATTAATGACCATCTTGCCCCCGTAGGTGATGTTGCCCTTTCGGACCATCTCATGCGCCTTTCCGGGCTCGCACAGCTCGAGCGCATCGATGGTGATCATCTCGTTGGCCGAGAAGCAGTCGTGTAGCTCGCACACCTTGATATCCTTCACGTTCACGCCAGCCTCCTTGATGGCTGCCCGGCACGCATTGCGGGCCATTCCGAATCCCATCAGGTCGATGGCACTGCGGTTGTAAACCGTCTCGTTATCCGTAGCCAGCTGCTGGCCAGCGATCAGAATGGCCTGGTCCTTGAGATGCGGGCGAGCATCCAGGAATTCCTGCGAAACGATGACGGCTGCGGCCGCGCCGTCGGAGGTGGGGCAGCACTGAAGCTTGGTAAGGGGTTCATGGATCATGGGCGCCTTGAGGATCTGCTCGAGGCTGTATTCTTGCTGGAATTGCGAGTAAGGGTTGCGCTTGGAATGCTCATGGTTGACCCGTGCGATCTCGGCGAAGTCTTCATTTTTGGCACCATACCTGATCATCCGTTATGTTAGCGCAGGTACCATGATGTATATATATACCTGAAAGTTCACGGGGGAAAAGAGAATACTTTTCCTTGTACTCCCGACCGGCGTTTCCAAACATCTGCGCGGCCCCCGGGGCGTTGGTGACGCCTCTCGTATCCGCCATCATCATTCCAAACTGACCGGTCGGGTTCTCGCGGTCGTTGTAGACGGACTGCAGGCTTCCCGGGTTCATCTTTTCGAAGCCCACGACGAGCACGCAGTCGGCGGCGCCATGGGAGACCAGGGTTCGAGCCATGGCAAGTCCGGTGGACCCCGTTGAGCAATTGTTGTTGACATTGTAGATGGGAATCTGGGTGAGGCCGAACTGATAGAAGACGCGCTGGCCGCAGGTGCTGTCACCGTACACGTAGCAGGCAACGCCTTGCTCAACGTCGTCGTAGTTGATGTGGGCATCCAACATGGCCTTCACGCCGGCCTCGAATCCGAGTTCATGGTAGTCTACCTTGCCCCGGGGTTTGATGAACTTGGTCATTCCCACGCCCAGGACATAGGCGGGCGAGGCTTGCTTCTTGCCCATCGTGAAGGTTCTGAACGGAAGGGGTGAATGGATAGGGTGAGATGAATTGAAGCGCTACCAACTGGATTTTACTCGGATACAGAAGGGTGAGAGAATAACAATCGAGCGGATCTAGTGAGGCTGTGGACGTAATATAGGAGGACTGGATGGGGAAGATGGGGATGATCTGCGGAGACGAAGCCAACGGGGATTCTGCGGGGGAGGAAGGCTTGCCGCGCGACCGAGGGACCGAGGATGCAGCCCGGTTCGGCATAACCATATGATGTTGCACCAGTCAAGCGCACGGATATGCAGTTGAGTGAGGCCGGTCCGTCAGTGTCCTCTCGATGATCCTTTCCAATAGAGCGGAGTGGTTTTTTCGACGATCAAGACCGCATGTCTAGTTGGAAGGGTCTCACGTGAAAAAGTGTATACACAGACACCCATACCTAGGTTACAGTCGTCGAGAAACCAGGACACTGGGAAACCTAATCGTTGTAACCATTGTCGGTGGTAGGGTTTATTTTGGATTGACGTATTTCTACATGAGAGGAGTAGTAGTGGTGGTGGTGGTGGTGGTGGTGGTGGTAGCATGTATATATAACTATCGACCGAATCCCCTATCGTTCGATTCAATCCTGTCGACCAGCACAGTAACCCGACAAAGGAATACCTTCAGGACCAAGTCATGGTTGGTTCAAGGGACCAGGGTGCGATTACGACACCATTCTCCGATTCGATTGGGTTGGTCCACGATCCCACGGTCCATGTGGCCATTGAGTTGTGGGAGAACCACGCATTATTCTCTCCTCGCCTGATAGTCGAGTCAACAATCGTTACTGGACCACCTTTTCGATCTTCTGATAGGCCAGCCACAGAACGGTCTTGGGAGGTAGCCGTGAAGTGGTTTCGACTGAGTATCCATGAAACCCATATGGTACCATCCGTTCTGCGCAATCGAACTCTCCATTCATTAAATACTGCAGGTTCTTTGTTAACAAGTTTCGATAATCCCCTCCACCCTCCACTGATTGGATCGACGGGCTTCACGTGGAAGATCTCGCGAGACCAAGCCAAACCCCTATGCTTCGTAGTACCCAGTCAGAGCCACTCCGGAGTCAGTAAGAGCTGGGGCCGAGCCGAAGAGGATCACTGCGCAAGCATCCACTTAGACAAGGGAGTGGGCATTCGGCCCTATTCAGCACGAGTCAATCCAACGAGGACCCATATCGAATCAGGAAGCAGAGGCACGGGATATACTTTGCACCATGCACCATAAGCTTCTAGCAGAGTTGTCAAGGGAGTCTGAACAGGAGACTCTCGAGTCTGGAGCGATGAAGAGCGGGTACTACCACCGCCGGACTGGGTTGGTCCGACGCTTCTCCACCGACTTCTGCAGTGATAGCGCCATGTAGGAGGAGTCCATTAGGAGTACGCTCACGACGACGTCACTGGGCCAGGGCGCCCTAAACGCGGGCATGGCGGGGGAGCCACTCACGGTGCACGCCGGCCCGCACACTGATCGCTTGTCATGCATTTCCCTTCTCCCGCTCTCCTTTTCTCCCCCTCCCCTTTCTTGTCCTATCGACTGTCCTCTCTTCCATCGGGCCCTCGGTCGCACTTGAGAGTGGATGTCAGGTTCCCTGGAGGTATGTTCCCTTTTGGATTGTCTTCCATCCTTGTTTTCCTCTCTTCCCCACCCTCTCTTTCTTCTGGTGGTTTGCATGTCGCAAACGGTCGACACAGCTGTCAAATGGAGGGGGGTAGCATGTGTTCACAAATGGCTGATGGTGCATGTGGTCGGTGATCTTCAGGTAGCTCCTGAATCATTCCTTTCGTATTGTCTAGAAGAACGTGGGATCGTCGCGAGAGGGCCCGCTTGCGATCTTGCACAAATTCCGCCTGAACAGTTATATATAATTCGGTGGTCCCGCCTTGGAAGATCAGCGGCGGTTGGTATCTTGGGGGTGTTGGAAGCAGCATCCTACCGGTATCTCCTGTCCATTGACTGAATCGACCGTCGTGTTATTTTCTCCTTGTCCGACAGACACCTGCTGTCTTTGAACATACTCTGCAATTCCACCCTGGGGTTGATCGGGGCTCGCTTCATGGACAATTGTGGGACGCCAAACGGTCTGCTCGCACGTTGAGAGACCGCTTTGCGTTCCATAGGGTTCCCCAGCCTGCCACCTGACGATCGTGAAGTTAGTGCACCTAGCGACTAAGCGACGACTCAGCAAGACTTCTCTTCTTCTGCCCCCGATGGGATACCTCCAGGGATGACTCTTGACAAACACTCTGAACATGCACCCTACTCTCCCGCTCGTTCCCAACCCGCACCTACCATAATGCCGACTGGTAAAACTTGGTGGTACTTCGACGAAGCCGCCTGTAACAGGTTCTTGAAAGACTACAAGACCCAGGTTGCTTCGGCCACTTCGACCGTCTGCGCGACGCTGGCTGTGGTAAGTGTTGAATGGTTGTCGCCGGGGAGAAGAACATGTCGCTGATCGCCGAACTTCTAGACTCCCTTGGAGAATGTTAAAACCCGCATGCAGACGTGAGTACGGAAGGATGATGAAGAAGAAAAACGGATTTTCTTCTTACTGCTGAGGACTACGGCTGACTCGGTTTAGTCACAACTTCCGCAATGCCCTCGTTTGCGCGCGCTACCTTTGGCGTACTGAAGGTCCCCGTGGTTATGTAGCTGGTAAGTGAATGACTGCCCGCTTCTCTGCCCACTCCCCCTTTCCAGCACTCGAAACTCAAAATGATTAACCAAAACCTTGCCGTGCAGGAGCTTTACCACCTCTCGCCAGTGTTACTGCGGTGCGTGTCTTGAACTTCTCGACCTACAATGCTGCCAAACACCGCATATCTAGATTTATTGAGCGCACCACTGGCCAGTCTCCTTTGGAGCAGTACAATCAGCCTGGCAGCTCTCCTACTTTGATGACCCTTGGTACCTTTTTCTCCGCCGGTCTGATTGCCGGTTTAATCACCGCACCCTTGGCCTGTAAGCTCAAGTCCGACCTGATTTTGCCTGTTCGTGACTACTGACTGCTTCAATGTAGGCCCGTTCGAATTGGCGAAGAACGTTGTCCAGACCTCGGTCTTGGTGTCCAACCGCGCGCAGGCCTCCCCCAATGCTGTGGGCGATCCTTCTTTGCGCAACAAGCCCCGTCTCGGCACCATCGAAGCGATCCGTCAGATCGTGCAGCGCTATGGATTCCGTGGGTTGTACACCGGCTTCAAACTCCACACTCTGCGCGATACTCTCGGATCCGGTCTGTACTTCAGCGTTTACGAGACCGTCAAGCAGCTTGCCGCCAAGGAGCTTGGCCCTGACAAGTCTCCATTCGGCGCTCCTATGATTGCCGGGGCGATCTGTAGCACCGTGCCGTGGTTCTGCGTAAGTCAACACCCGATTCGTGCGCGCTGGGATCTGACTAACGGGTGCAGACCTATCCGCTTGATACCAGAAAGACTCGTGCGCAGAGCGTGCTGTTGGGAAAAACCTCGGAGGTGGGTGAAGCGTCGGCCGCCGTGGCCAAATCCAGCATGTACAAAGGTCTTTCGATCATTCTGATCCGCACCGGTGTGAACAACATGATCCTGCTCAGCATTTTTGAGTACATCAAGATGAGAATCAACCAGCTTGACTGAGCGACGCGATTTGGGGGGACTCGCAATGTTACCAGTTTGGCGCTCCGGGTTGTGAGAGCAACTTGGTGGAACTGGTTGATTTTTGTCTGGGCTCATTTCTTTTAGTTCATTTCTTTCTCTTGAGTACATAGTTGCATGAGCTTGAGGCTCTCTAGCACGTACAGAATGACCATGCCCGGGGAAGGGTAGTAAACATTGCCCCGTAGGACTGTTCTACTCCGTAGTACTAGTCGAGAGCGACCGCTGCCTGAGGCACCCGTAACGTCATCCGTTGCCGCGGGGGTTTTTGGGTTTTCCCACGTCAACAAAAGTTGCCGCTCCCACTTCTCTCCGCTCTGCTGTCCCCGACAATGGCGTCGTACGTGCTTCTTGACAACTGCCTCTGCTGTGTGTGTGGCACCGAGAGACTGACTAATTCTCCTGGCTTAGCAATATTCTTCAGGTTCCGTTTCGACGTTCCCACTCCGTTTCCTTGTCGGATGCCATCACCCAATACATCTCGTCCAAATATGACCAGCGTCCGGATATGTTCGCAGATGATCTCCTGATCATCGATCGTCTGCGAAACGAGGCGATCAATGTTCAGGAGCCCCATGTGAGCGGGATTAGTCGGCTGGTCACCTATGCGGCGCAGCTCAAATGGCTGGGTGGGAAGTTTCCCGTGGACGTGAGTAGATGCCCCTCTCGTCCTCGGACCCTGTCATGGGATGAATTATGATGATTGATATGAGCTTGATGCATCTTAGGTCGGTGTCGAGTTTCCGTGGTACCCGGCTTTCGGGTTCAATACGTCGAGGCCTGGTATGTCGTGAGGGAGAAGATCGCCGGACATTGAAGATGAATGGCTACTAACCGGATGTCAAGTTTCGCAGAATAATATTCGATTCGAACTGGCCAATATCATTTTCAACCTCTCGGCATTATACTCGCAACTGGCAGTTTCGGTCAACCGGACAACGGCCGACGGGCTCAAGCAGGCCTGCAACTACTTCTGTCAGGCGGCCGGGGTCCTGGCACATCTGCGCACGGAGGTCCTTGCGGACCTTCGCACGACCCCTCCCGAAGACATGGATGAGATGACGCTTCTGAGCTTGGAGCAACTTCTTTTGGCGGAGGGGCAGGAGTGTTTCTGGCAGAAGGCCGTCAAGGACGGACTGAAGGATGCGTCGATCGCCCGGCTGGCGGCCAAGGTCTCTGATTTCTACGCGGATGCGGGCGACCATGCGGTCAAGTCGAACGCCATCAGTCCCGAGTGGATCCACCACATGACGGCCAAGCATCACCATTTCGCGGCCGCCGCGCAGTATCGACAGTCGCTGGATTGTCTGGAGAAGCGCAAGTACGGCGAGGAGGTGGCGCGCCTCAGGGATAGCGAGGCTTGTGTGAACGAGGCCCTGAAGGAATCGCGATGGATCAACCGTACCGTGCTGGGGGATCTCCAGGGTCTGAAGAACCGAGTGACGGAGGATCTGAAGCGCGCGGAAAAGGACAACGACGTGATTTATCTCAATCCAGTCCCACCGAAGTCGGAACTCAAGATTATTGACCGCGCCAGCATGGTGGCAGCCAAAGCCCCTTCTCAAGTGACGGACGCCATCTCCATGCTTGGAGACAACGGGCCCCTCGGCCAGCCACTGTTTTCGAAGCTGGTGCCTTATGCTGTCCACATCGCCGCCAGTATCTACTCGGACCGTCGTGACCGGCTGGTCAACGAGACTATCATTGGCGAGTTGGAGACTATGACGGACAAGCTGCGAGAGTAAGTTAGGATTCGTGGGATTCGGGGTTGAGTCATGAATGATACTGATTCGGGGTTTTCATAGCTTGCTGTCGTCTCTGAATCTCCCCGGCTCGCTACAAGCTCTCGAGAAGCCGCTTGGCCTACCGCCGACGCTAGTATCCCACGCCGAAGAGATGCGCCAACAGGATGGGCTGAATCGACTACGCCGGTCTCTCGAAGACACGTCCAAGGTGAAGGGAAATGACAAGGGAATCTACAATGAAGGGGTTGAGCTTCTGGCGGCGGAGAAGGCCGAGGACGATGCCTCGCGCCGAAGGTACGGGACGGATCGATGGACACGCGAGTCGTCGGAGGCGGCGGCAACGAAACTGTACACGACGTCGCGCGAGATCGATGGCTACTTTACGTCAGCGCAGAGCAGCGACAACCTCGTTGAACAGAAATTGCGGGACTCGGAGGCGGTGTTCCGCGTTCTGACCGGCACCAACCGAGACCTGGAGATGTACGTGCCGAGCAGCCGCCGCGCGGCCATCCCGGCCGAAGTCGAGCAGGAGGCCATTCGACTGCGAGGATGTTTGAGCGAGGTGAGCCGGCTGGAGCACCGGCGCAAACGGAGGGCGCAAACTCTGAAAGACAAGGCGCGCGCCGATGACATCAGTAAGTCAACACTATGGATTGGGGTGGAAAACAAAAGACAGGGCTAGAGACTGATCGGTTTTTTTACAGGCAAGGCTCTTCTCAAGGAGGCCGCTCGCTTGGAGCGAGAATTCCCGATGCAAGCGATTCAAGCAGGCCAGTTCGAGGATCTGTTCGAGGAGCAGTTGCATCTATACGATACCGACCTGGAGATGGTCACGCAGGAACAACACGACCAGGACCAGATCGGGGCCCTGGTGCGGGAAGCCAACCGCGCCTTCACGCGGGCGCACAAGGGCGATGCGTCGACCCGGGAACGCGAGAAGGCGCTGCAGGAACTGGAGAACGGGTACATGAAGTACAAGGAAATCATCTCGAACATGGAGGTGGGCCGGAAGTTCTACAATGATCTGGCCAAGATCGTCAGTCGATTCCGCGACGACTGCAAAGCGTTCGTGCACCAGAGGCGGATGGAAGCCAGTCAAATGGAGTCGTACGTTTCTCTCTCTCTCTTCCACTTTCACCCATTTCCGGACTGACACGGATCCACAGGGACATCACCAGCGCGGCCGCGATGGCCTCGCTCAACCTGACGCAACCACATCTGCGGCCATACCCGGCGTCGAGCGCCTCTCCGCCGCCGGCACCAGCAGCTCGATCCGAGCCGTTGACGGCGCCACAGCCGACGCGGGCCAACCCGATGGCGCCGGGGGTCTGGTCGCCTGAAATGGGCATTCGGTTTGGCGGACAGGGGACCTGGGATCCCAGCAAGGGAGTGAAGTTCTCCTAAGGAGTGCATTACGATTGTTGGCTAGTAGGGGGTTCGTTTCACACGTACATACATACATACCTAAACACACCTTCTGCAACCCTCGCACCAGCCAGAGGGCAAGTACTAGAGCTGATTGAGATGATTGAGATTGATACATTCACCTATCCATTGCTTATGATCTGGGTATACACAAAGAAAAGACGACAAGAAAAGAAACAAAACCCTTCAGACCACTCGCAACATCACGGCGGCCGCTTCCGCCGCCAACTCACGCGTCGACATGCGCAGATCTTCACGCAGACTCATGAACTGGAACCGATCGATCCACATGCGCCACCGCGGCTTCGAGATCTTCCCCGCGGGGATCTCGGGCACCGGCTCCAGCGAAAGGCCCACGGGCGATTCCACCGTCTGCCCCTGTCGCTCCCACAGCTCCTCGCCCATGATGACGGCCCAGAGCGCCGCCGCCGCCACGTACACATTCAACTTGACGGCCTCGGCGATCTGGCCCTTTTCCCTCTCCTTGGCCGCCGCCGCCGCCGCCGCTTCCTCCTCTTCCTTTTCCTTCTTCTTCCCCGTCACCATATCCTTGATCGTAGCCGCCACCCCATGATGCCGATGTTCAAGACTCCGACGACGACGAGCCTCCTCCCGCGAAGGAGAAGTTGGCAACGCCGCCGCAGGGAAATGTCTCACTTCCAACGCGCCCTTCAGCATCCTCACAGCCACGGCATCCAGACCGCCCTCGCCCTCGCCCTCCTTCTGCGTGCCGTCCTCGCGCGCCCGCTGCGCCGCGGCCTCCGGGTCCGGCACGATCTGGTCCCTTGCGCACAGCGCCAGAAACGCCACCAGGTCCTCCCAGGCCCAGGCCTCGAGCTCCGAGAACCCCGACGCGCGGCCCGGCTCGTCGTGCAGTGCGAGCTTGACGCCTTCCATGAACTGAGGCAGATCGGTCCAGGTGATTCGTTTAGAGGGTTGTTGTTGTTTCTGCTGCTGCTGGTGTCGGTGGGACTGAGTGGTCGAAGAAGAAGTAGGAGGGTCGACAAAGGGATCATCGGGGATGGGATTCTGGGTGTCGATCTGCGGCCGCGGGATGGGGTTGGGTTGTTGGCGCAGGGTCGAGAGAAGGGTCAGGAGGCGCGACTGCGACGGAGTGGGCAGGTCGGGAGGAGAGGTGGTCGGGCGAGGCAGCTTTTTGGAGGTGTGCAGGATGGTGAGCCAGAGGTCCAGGAGGTAGTCGTCTGGATTTGCGGGAGTTGGTTAGTATAGTTTATATGTAATGGAGGTACTAGCATGAGGTTGGATGAGATGGGATGGGATGCATGAACGCAGAAGTTGAACCTACCAACGTTGCCATTTCCATAGTAGATATTGTTGATCACGCCGGTGAGTTCGCGCACGGCATGCTCCAGCGCGAGTTGCTCGTGCATGTACAGGGTGACAATGGACGTGAAGGGTTTCTGGAGGGATCCTTGCGCCCATGATTTCTGGGTGGCCAGTGTGTCGATTCCTTCCATTTGGTTCCTGGTTTTCGCCTGGGAATTGATTTCTCGATGGGGTGGAGGGACAGTGGAGGATTGACCGTCGGGGAAGTAAGTTGGAGAGGAGGCTCATGATGTCATATGTCATGTCATGTGTCATGTGTCATGTGGTCCGTCATGTCATTTTATGTTGTGCTCATAAATGGAAATGTGTATAATACAGGGGTATCTTATCTGATCCGCTCCCATCCCAACCAGCTAAACCAGAAGTTTGCAAAATATTTAGAGAAAATGAAAAAAAAAAAAAAAAAGACCGCCGATGCTTCACTCCGCCTCGTTGCTCTCCCCATTCTCGAGACTTTCTCCCAGGAAAAAGTCTAGCTCGCTGGGCCCTCCGTGCGAGTGCTCGTTCTCCGCCAACTGCTCCAGGAGACTCAGGAACGGGTCCTTCTCCGAAGCCCCGTGCTCCGCCCCCGCCCCCGTCCCGGATCCGCCGCTGCTGCCCTGGGACTGGGCGCCCGGGGTCAGGGCCGTTCCGCCGACGGGCGCCTCGAAGGGGAATGTGGCGTACTGGGGCTGTGTGGCCGGCGGTGTCGGAGCGCTGCCGCCTGCTGTCGGCGCCGTTGCGGTGCTGGGTCCGGCTGGGGCGAAGGACTCGGCCAGGAACGCGGAGCTGCTGACGCCGGACGGAGAGAATCCCGCCAGGGCGGACCCGTCGGGCAGCCCGAGATCCGATCCCGGGGGCCACGAAGGAGACGGTTGAGAGGGGTGGAAGCTGAAGGAGTTGGATCGACCCGGTTGGGATGGGAGGGTCGGGGTGGCCGGCGGAATGCCGGAGTACGTGAGTCGGGGGTCGGAGAAGTCCGGTCGCTCGAAAGAGATGCTTTTCACGGTAAGTCAGCAAGGCACTCAAGGTCAGAGAAAAGAGAAAAAACAAAAACATACTTTTCTTCCCCATCGACCATTCGCACGTGGGCGCCGTCCACGGCCAGCCCCGGGTAGCGGTCGAAGAAGTCCTCCAGATGAAAGACCGGCGCAAAGCGGACGGGACGCGCCGCCAGCGTCTGCACCAGCTCGGCGTGGCCCGCCGAGATGGTCTGCAGCATCTCGCGCTGGTGCTGCACCCCCGCCCACGACTGCCGCAGCCAGGTGAGCTGGTGCATCTCGCGGGCGAGGAAGTCGGCGCTGGACGCAAACACCTCGCCCTCGCGGCCGTGGTAATGCACCCCGTGAACATGCACGGTGCCCGCCGTGCACACGCAGTAGGCCACCAGGTCGGGCCACTCGATGCGCGGGGCATGCCGCGCCAGCTCGACCAACTCGGCGATGGCGTTGGCGTGCGAGAAGCACAGCGTGGTGGCCTCGATCTGCCACGACTGGTGCTGCCCCGACCCGCGCAGCTCAACGAGGTCGATCGGCAAGAACGGCCGGTAGAGCAGGCAATGCACCAGGTGGTAGATGAGCTTGCTGAGCAGGAGCACGGTGCTCTCGGGGTGACCGAACAGCGCCTCGATCGATGCGAACAGGTCCTGGGTGCCGGCGGCCCAGATGTCGAGCTCCTGGCGGATCTTCGACAGGTTCGACAGCGCGTGCCAGGGGAAGTGCGAGTCTCCCTTGACGCCGCCCGCGGCGAGGTAGCGGTGCGTGACACCGAGGATGCGTGTGATGTCGACCAGGAGGGCGCGCGCGCCGGGGCCCTTTCGCCGCGACTCGGACGCGTACTGGATGTTAGGACCTACGGGGTTGAAGCATTCGCCGGTTTCGGTCCCCGTGGAGGGCAGTCGGAGCACGATCGAATGATCTGCGACGAGACAGGGACGTTTGGAACCGCAGGTGAGAAATCGATCCATGATGTAGACGGTCCAGAACAGACGCCGTCTCATCTCGCGTTCGGGAGCCGGCAGGGGTGCTGGCGACGGCATCTCGCGGTACAGATCAAGAGCCAGGACCATGGCCACGGCGTTCGCTATTGCGGCATGAGTCAGCCATACGACGTGGTGATCACGGAAAAGGAGACATACTTAGAGTCATGTAAGCCTTCTTGCCACAGCCATGGGCGAAGAACGTCTGGGAAAGTAGCAGGAGGGTCTGTAGCCCCTCGATGGACGGATTGTCGATGTCGACCAACGGTCGGGCCTGTCGCGCGTACTCCAGACTCTGTGGCGGACCGCTCGGGGATGTATACCTGGACAGCAGTCAGAACGCCCGTCGTCTCACTCTGATACCAGACGGGCATTTTTTTCCCTACCGAAGCGTGACGGCGTAGATGGCCATGGACAGGGCGGGCGACAGTTGACGGCACTGATGCCGCTGACGAGTGGAGGGCTCGTCCAGGATGAAATAGGGTTTGCCATGGAGACGGGCAAAGTAGGCATCGAGCATGGCGTCCGGCAAGCGATTGGGACTGGGGGTCGACAGCGTGGGGGGAGCCGGAGCGGGCTGCAGGGACACCGGGGCCACGGGCAGCTGAGACTCGAGCGACTTGATGGGCGACGTGGACGAGGCGGGCGACAGCGGATGGTTTTCATCCTGCAGGCGTTTCTCGAGGCCGTCGACGCGTTTCAGCAGGGCCTCGAGCACGTCGGTCTTCGGGCCTCGCTTCTTCGGCACGGCATCTGGAGCGGACACGGGGGTTAGCTGCTGCGGCGTCTCGAATTTAGCCGAGCGAGGGCCGACGGACCATAGATACAGGGGCACTGGAAGACCTTGCAGGCCTCGCAGCTGGGACGCAGACGATTGCATTTGATCTTCCTCTTGCGACAGGACTTGCAGTTCATGGACTCGCGCGGCTCGGCGGTGACTCGGCGCGGCGTGAGTCGGTCGATGCTGACCTGGGGACGGGACATGGTCACATTGGACATGTGGGAGGACAGGGGTGAGGATTTACATGGGAGGGAGGGGAAGGAAGGAAGAAGAGAGAAGAGAAGATGGAAGAATGGAGGGAAGGGGATGGAAGATATACGGAGATTGGGGGAGAGAGAGAGGGAGGGAGGGAGAAAGAAGAAAGAGAGAGAGAGAGAGAGAGAGAGAGAAAAGGAAAAGAGGGGAAAACGGCACCCCGGATTTAAAGTGGAAACGTGGAGGGCGCTAAAGCAGCAAACGGACAAGCGTCACGGAGTTCCAGCCGATGCGGGGACGAAAGCCGTGAAGATTAATTAATTCGGTTAATTGCGTCGCCCGGGATTTTCCCCTGTCCATCACGGACGCCTGCCCGTGGATGGTCAGGATGCGTTCATTTCTGAAGAATCGTCACATACAGCGCAAGGAATTCTATATCAAGACACACGCACTGACGCTGCCACCTCTGGCTCCCTCCAATCCAATGAATGCAGTCCCAAATCAAAACACTCGCCCCGACGCCATCCGCACGAAATCAAACGGTACATTCTGCCCGACCAACAGGCGCAGCGTCTCCACGGTGGTCCAGGCATTGACGTCTTCGATGCCATAGGCTGTCCAGCCGGCCCGTTCCGCCACACCCACCGGATCTCCCGTGCGCTCGCCGCGGGTGAGATCCAGATACACTTTGCCGCGAGTCGACGGCGGCGAGGCGCGTCCGCTGGTGCGGTAGTGTCGCAGCAGCGGTTGCACCAGCAGCGACTTCTCCGGAGGCAGCGCGGACACGATCACAAACGGCTGCTCCACCAGCTTGACCGATTGGATCGACGTGAAGGGCTCCAGTCCGTCCGCCAGCGGCCCGTTCGCCCGAAACCCGACCGTGTAGATCGCACCCACTCCGAGACTGCGCAGCGCAAACACCGCCGCCGACGCCTCGCTCTCGCTGCTCGCCAAGATGATCGCCGCGCGCCCGCGGTACGCCGACGGCACGTAGTCTCGCGTCAGCGTCGCCCGGATCCCCTTCCACGTTGCGTTCTCCCCCACCAGCGCACCGCGCGCCGCCACGATCGTGTCCACCATCCCGATGGCCCGCGCCGCCTCGCTGACCGCGGGCACGCTGGCGCTGGCTCCGCCGGCCACGGAGATCGGCGGATGCACCGACGCGCCGCCGAACGACGGCTGCGTGATCACCCGCTCCACCGAGCCGCTGGGGCCGCGGTCGATCGAGGTCAGCGTGTGCGGCAGGCTGAGCTCGTTGAAGCACTTCTCCATGAACATCGACTGCGGCGTGGACCGGAAGGACCCCACGGCGTACAGGTCCTTCTTGGGCAGCGACCCCATGATGTGCAGCGCCTCGTTGATCTCCGCCGCCGTCAGCTGGCCCGGCGCCGCGATCATGGGCAGCAGCGGATGCGTGATGGGCGAGAACACCGTGTTCAGCGCCCGCGAGAGCTGGCCCATCTGGCCCATGTTGACGGCCGACAGCAGCGGGTAGGCCCCGTGCGTCTTCCGGATCGTCGACCGGAAGTACTCGAGCTCGTAGTTGGCCTCGATCGTGTTCACCATGGCGATCATCTTCACGATGTCCGCATACTGCGCGCTCTCCGCATAGATCCGCGGCGCCTCCGGCGACGTCCATCGCCACGTGCCCGAGAAGTCGTGGAAGGCCGACATGATGATACTGTTGCCCTTGTCGGCGGCCAGGCGGCGCCGGATGTCCTCCGGCAGCCACAGCTCCACGTCGATGTACTCCACCCCCCACTGGATGGCGCGCCGCAGATACCGGTAGAAGAGCTGCGGGTCGTCCATGGGGAACTTGCCGTTCTCCTTGGTGCAGCGCGTCGTGAAGATGATCGGCAGCTCGGTATGCTGCCGCAGGAGCATCAGCTGCCGCCCTACGTACCGCAGGCTCGGCACGGGGCTCGAGGCCTCCTGCGGGGAGGGGTCCTTCAGCAGATCTACACGGATCTCAACGGCATCGGACCCTACGGACAGAATATCGAGGTTGGGCAACGCCGCGTGGACGTCCGGGAACGTGGTGGAGATGAAATTGGTGCGATTCTTGGTCTTCAGGTCCTCGTGCGGCCTCGCCTGCCCCAGAATCAAGGAGAGAAAGCGGGTCAGATCGCGGCGGAAGAACGGGCTGCGGAGCGAGTACAGGAACTCGTAGTGGCAGCAGTCGGTCAGCGCCTCCTCCGGGAACGAGCCGTCGTCGACGCAATGGCTGTTGATGAGAATCCAGTCGGACTTGTCGCACCCTTCTAAGCTCCGAGCTAGGTCGTCGGCCAAAATCCCGGTGACGACCGCATTCCCGCAGCGGCCCGCCACGGCCGACAACGAGGATTCCGTCGTCCATGGTTTCCCCAGCACCTCCGCGACCACCTGCACGATCGTCTCCTGGCCGGCCCCGTACACAATCACCGCCGCTCGCGAAGGCTCCGGGGGAACATTCTGCACCAACGAAGAGGACAAGGCGAAGGAGGCGGTGGTTTCTTTTACCGAAGCAATAGGAGAAGAGGTCTCCGGAACAACTGTCATAGCCACGGGCTGATGAAGGGCTGTCTGCATCATCTCATTGCACAGGCAGGATACTGCGTTATCATACTTGAATGTCGACGGATCCACAAAGCAACACCAGATGGAAACGGGCCCCTCTTCTTCTAGGAATGATACTGAGCGCGGATGAAGGGGTTAAAAAAAAGAGAAAAAAAGAATTTCAATAAAAAAAAAAAGGGGCGTGAAGGGGAAAAAGCCACGTTAGGGACGATATGCCTGAAGTCGCATCAAAGATCGCGATCGGAGGTCGCAACGGAGTTTATGGAATTCTCCCCAGATTACCAAGACAGACGAGGTGGAGGTGGGACGGAATGAGGAGGGGAGGAAGAGGAGCGGAGTTATATCCAGCGGACAAAGGATCAACAACGGGGGGTAACGGTGTAATACCCGGAACGCCCGAAAGCGAGAGAAAGGAGAAGTACCCAGGTCAGTGAGGGCCAGGCGGACCCTATCGCAGCCGGCCCAATAAGTAGGAAGCGCAGGCGGCGAGAAGGCGAGTGGACGATAACCGGGGGCTGGAGAGAAGTCCAGGCAACAGCGACGACATTAGCCAGGGAGAGGGAGAGAGAGAGAAAGAGAAAGAGAAAGAGACAGGGTCTGACTATCTGCGACAGACTCCCAGACGCATGAAGCGATGGAGGTGAAGGCAGAGAGGAAAGCCAGTGAAGTCGACTTCCGACGGCTAAATTTCCCCGGGATTCCTGCTCCGCATCCCGGGGGCGGTCCCTATTTCTCCGCCAATCACCGCCCGCCACTAACGTATGTCTCTATGCCTGCAGGTGGTAGGTACTCCCTCCATACTACTACACTCTCCTACGACCTATCCCCCTGAACTCCAACTCAAGGTCCGTCGACCAGCTGAGACCCCCAGAGCCTCGACGGGGTCTTCCATCGCCATCCAGATCCGCTCGTCTTCGGGTCCAATCCGTCTGCCCTGCGTCGCCGCTGATTGGGCCTGCGCTGGGGGTCAGACTTCGCCTTCTGATCCACCGTCCACGGCCGTCGATGATACGAGGAAAATGCCTCCCACAGCGCGGTCTGCGGCGTTTCCCGTTGGTTCATGCCATATCCACCCGGCCTAGGTCCCTGCCCTACGTCCAATCCTGAGCGGGACTCCGGGGGACCAAGCTAGGTCCCTAATTGTCCGTCGCCCTGCATTCATCCGGTGAATAATCCATGCAGATCAAATGGCGGATCTGAACCGGACTGGAGTGAACTAGCGGACACCAGTCCTGTCCGCCTCGAGATTCATTGAAACGTTGCAAGGCCCGGTGATGCCGGATGGTCAGCCCTGCGGCCGTACAGACAGTCAGTCTACCCATCACTCCGTCCGAGAGCCGGACACCGACCCTAGATACTCCCTAGGCACGATTGAGAGGTGTGAGAGACACTACCGAGACTCCGAGCACCCGTACATGGCTCATTTATTTCCAACGGTGAATTCTATCTACCTATGCCTTCGTCAAGTTTAGAGCACGGCCGCAACCCGGGGACGTGGTTGATCGCAACGAAAATGTATTTGAAAAATGACAGAGACCACCAATATTTAGAGAGAAAGGTACATGTCACGACGAGACCCAGAGCGACGAGAGACAAGAGGTATTACAAGAATGAGAGATGCGAAAAAGAGACAGGTAGAAGAAAAGAAATGTCAACCAATCACAAGGGGTATTGGGAACGAACAACGAAAAACCAAAATAACAAGCAGAAGGGCCAAAGATGACAGCATGCCGGTATTAAGGCAATATTATTCGAACATCACGAATATTCAGTAAGCTTTGGGTCCAGCACGGTGTATGTATGGGTGTAGATGGGTGTGTACATGAATGCATGTGTGGTGTATGCGGGTGCTTCGCGGGATTTCTGGTGTCGCCAGGATTCGGTTCGGTGCTATGCCTTGATCTGGCCGGTAAAGCAAGTCAACAAAAACGGTAGTCTCAAGGGCCACGGTCCCTCAAGACCGTTCCCCACGTCAGACAGCCATAGGGCGTGAGTGTTGTATCTCGTCACTCGGCCGATCCACAGGTGCGCAAGTGCTTCCCTGGGAGATGCGTTCCTCGCTCCACCCGTGCAAAACAAGACAATTGGAAGGAGCTCTCGGGCCGTAGGAGGGGGTTGAAGATGGAAGACTAGCGGTCGCAGATACTGCACGCTAGAGCAGGAAATGTTGCCGGTGTGGAGGGACAGAATCGACGAGCGTTTCGAATGTCCCAGAGCAGCCACTCGCAAGGGTCAATCGTGCCATCGATTCCTGCAAGCGTACATCCCACATGATGTCGCCCAGATACTATTGGCCATGGTCGCTCGAGATATGACGGGAAAATACGTGGCAGGCTCATGACACATAGCGTCGTGCCATATCCCATGATAGTCGCTCGGAAAGTGCACTCCACCAATGTTCACGCGCCGTGGACTTATGGCGGCGAAATCGCCAGTCCGTTCATCAGCTTGGGAAGAGGCTTTCTCCGCGCATTGTTTGCCGTCTTCGACACCCGAGGGGCGCCATGGATCATGCGGGGCTCCTTCATCAGACTGGTATCGAGTTTGGCCGGTGCTAGAAAGTATCTCGTTAGTGTCGAGGGCTAACTAGTCTCGAGAACGCCGGAGAAACAAACCTCGGGTGACGACGCGGGTGTAATCTCCAGAGAGATTCTGCTGGCCCCTGCTTCCTGGCCCGAACGAGGTGGCACTGGCGGTTCTCCATAGATGATTCGACGTGTCAGACAGGAAATCCGTCATGCTCCGGCTCGAGAAGATCGACGACCGCCCGCGGTTGCGTTTAGACAAAACGATCTCATCAAAGAGCGCCATTCTTGGATCTCTGGATTTGGGATTGACGTGTTCCCTCTCGCTAATAAATTCGTTGAATCCTAAATCATACGGTTAAACCCAAGACCGAACTCGAAAGGTGAAATGGAATGCAAGGGGAAAGATACCTTGTGTTTGCTGCAGAATGGAAATGTACTCCGCATGCTCGCCTGGCAAACTCTTCATGAAGGCATCCATGTTAAAGCTGTAGGTCAGGCCTGCCTTTTTCTTGTCACCCGAGGCGGGTTGGAGATACTTTTTGTAAGTATAGAATAAGCTGGCAAACAGTCTTACAAAGGCCGCTCGAACTTGTTCCGGATGGAAAGCAGCGGGACAAACCAGGCAGATCTGCAGAGCACAGCGATTGTGCACCAGAGTCTTACAGGCAGTGCATCGGTACATGCCTTCCTCGGCCCGCTCGTCACATATAGCACAAACCGCTTTCTCGTCACACGGCTGCAGACGGAGGCAGTGACCCTCGACCCAGCACGTGCCTTCCGAGTTGTGAATGGGCTGGTTAGACGCCTGAGGAACGATCGTTGACGCGGCCACTGTGGATTGCGCGTAGACAGACGGTGCATATGTGGACCCGGAGTTGTAATCGGTGTTCAGGGTGGTTACAGAGAGGTTGGGGGCATGGCCGAGGAACGGAGCGCTCGGCCGCCTTGGGACGCCCTGGCGCATTTCCATTCCGAAGGACGAGCTTCGTCGAGATGCTGCATCGAAGTGGCCCGAGCGCTTTTCACGCAATGAGGCCTGCAGAGCCAGGCCGGAATCATTTCGAGAGTTCGGCGTCGGCGGCGGTGGCGGGAAATGACCAGATGTAGGGGATATGTCGCGCGGCGACGGCGGCGAACCGGTCTTGGAGGTTGAGCCGGTTCCCGGACGGTCGGATCCCTTGGAGGAGTACCCTCTGGACGGAACCTGCTCGTATCGAGCGTGCAAATAGGCGTTGAAGACCAGCGGCTGATACGAGCTTGGGGGCACGGAGCTCTGGCCGAACGCACTGGAATTGAGGCTGACGTATTTGGCTAGTTGCGTCGACTGTGCCCGGGAATTGAAGATCGACGAGTTTTCCGACGAGAAGGCGTCGAATGGGAACGTCTCGATCGCGTACGCAGGCGGTCCCGTGGGGACTCCGAATCGACCGTGATGCGGAGCCGCGAGTTGGAGGAGCGATAGAAGCTTCCTGCGCTGATGGCGGGGGAGGGGCGTTGGCTGAATGGTGCTTTCAATCAGATCGGCATCCAGATCCACCAGGACGAAGTCGTCGGACGGAAGCTCGACCTTCTCGTACCGGCGCTCGATGCCGACGATATAGGGGCAAGGGGCTTCGATGGCCTGGACCAAGCGCGCAGGAAGGACCGGAATCAGCACCCCCGACCAGGGAATGGGGAACAGCAAGTCAACCAGGGCCTTGGTGGCCAGATAGAGCATCGAGGTATGCGATGACAGAAAGATGATCCGCGACTCGGTGAGAGCGTACTCCAGAAGGATGACAATATTCGACAGCGAAAGCGTGCGGAACAGAGCATAGATGTCGGTGTTGCGGGCGCCTGGGAGCTCGTTGGACGCCTCCTTTCGGGCAAAGAGACGCAGCTCACGAACGGCCAGCTCCACCTGGGTTTTGGAGGTATTGGGGCTGAACGCCTCCGTGCAAAGATTCATCACATATCGCTCCAGGGGCTGCCAAATGCCCATGCGCGGCGAGCTTGGGGGAACCCGCTGAATGCTTCCATCGGTCATCGGTACAATGACGGCCTTCAGCCACTCCTTCCAGAAGCTCGTCATGTTCTCTTCCCGGCCAAGAATGCCGTAGGCGCGGGGTATCCAAAATCCCGTGTCACCATCCGTGAGGCCTTCGATCTTCGATGCCGCCCCGTGACGCACCGGGCGTAGAAGATCGGTCATCAAGCCGATTTTCTCTTCCACTGCGCTGATCTCGTCTTCCAACTGCTCTCTGGATTCCGAGCCCGAAGGGACCGTCGGAAGTTGAGCCAGGAGCCTCGATAGCTTGGCCCTTTCAGACGCCAATCTTTCGCCGAGACTTGCCGCCAGCTCGCGCTCCTCATCCGTCATGTTATCTTTGCGCCATTCCTCACAGCGCTTCTCCAGCTCCTCGGCGGCGCGCTGGTTCAGCGGAATCCAAATTATCACGCAAATGGCGTGTAGACGCGAGCCATTATCCGTAGTCATGGCGAACCCGTGCCACGTCGACCGGGGTCTTTGGTCCGAGGAAACGATATTGATGTCGTTGGGGAACGCGAACATGGGCACGTAGTCGGGAAAATTGCCGCGCTGCTTCAGCTCGTCGGACATGTTCCTGGTGGGGTATCGATCGAGGAGGACGGGTTCAAATCTCCGTTTCAGAGGGTGCATGCTAGGCGATATCTCCAGCGGTTGCGGGACCGGAATCACCGAGTTGTAGTTGCTCAGACGTCGTGAGGTACGAATGGACGCTACAGGGAGAAGCGACGTTAGTTCATATCCGGAAGAGGGCCTAGGAACCCTTGCCGACCCGAGCCATCTTCAGGATCCGAAGTTCTCTCACCTTGACGAGCAACCGAGGGTTGTCTTTTCATGCTGTTCATATCCCTGAACGCCATGTGACGTCGCACGCTTCCGATGCCGGATCGAAGCAAGCTGGAGGGCTGCGAGGGGGATTCCTCGGAAATGATCTTCTGGGTCCGTAGTCGAGATCGGGGACGGGCCTGCGACTGGGGGGTGATTGCGCCCGCGGTGTGACTCAAATCCGACAAGAAGGAATCTCGTTCCGAGGCGAATTTCAACAATGCCTTATCGAAGTCGAAGTCCTCCAGAAAGGACGAGCCCCGCGGGGACTGCGCGCCCTTGATGGTCATGCTGCTCCGATTGCTGCTCGAGCCATTCTCGTTGGCGTCGGGGTCTCCCGAGCGCATGGAGAAGCGCTGGAAGGAATTGCGCCCGCCGGCCATGGAGTTGGGTCGGGAGAGTCCATCTAGGCGGGGGTCGTGGGCCTCCTCTGCGTCGGCATCTTCTTCAATGGTGTCGGTGACGGCGGGGCCGGGCGAGGTAGCATTGTTGGCTCGGTACTCGTCCCCTAGCCTTTGGAAAGTGTCCAATATCTCGGTCCCGTCGACACCGGCGATCCAGAAATAATCGGCGAGCGGGGTGGTGGACACCTCGGGGGTTGAGGAGGAAGAGGAGGAGGAGAAGGGCATCTCGTCAAGTCGTCGCTGGCCGGGCGCGCGGGGTTATGATCATCAAATCGTCACAGAATCGTGGACGTCGTCACAACATGGAGCGAATCCAACCACTGGATACTAGTAACCCTTCACCGGCATCAATTGGAGGAAGGCAAGAGGTTCGCGGGCGAGACTCAGCGATCAGGGGATTCGGCGTAGACAGGCAAACGGTTGCAGTAGTAACGAGAACACATAAGTCTGGGGATCGCGACGGCGTCGCAGGACCGGGGAGGGGGGAGGATCAGAGGAAAATCCTCAACGGGACGAGATGGAGGCGAAAGGGAGACAAAAGGACGAGGTGCAGCGTAGAAAAACCAGGCTGGGGGGGTGGAGGAGGGAGGTTGTGCAGCTGCAGCATTCACCAGAGCGAGGGGGAAGCGTTCCGAGGAAGGAAAAAAAAGGAGTTGGTTGAAGAGCGGATGAGGGGGTCGGAGTTCAAGAAAAAGGAGGAAGGGTTGACACCTGTCTCTTTGTGTAGAGCCCGACGCGGCGGTCGAATTGGTAGTGGCTTTAATTTTATGTTTGTATTTTTCTGCTGGGGTGTCTTTATTTTATTTTTATTTTTAATTGTTTTTTCCAGAGGGAGACAGGGCAGGGGAAAAAAGAAAAGGGAAAAAACGACGATTACTAGGATGGATTCTGCCAGTCCCCCTGCCATCCCGCACGACACCAAAGACGGATGGATGCGTTCTCTACTGTCCATGGATTCTTACTGGCGAAGGATGGAGTATTTCCCCCTCCTCTCGGTGCACGCACATTGCCTTTTCTGTTTTTGTCTGTGTTTTTATTTTTATTTTTATCTTTTAGGTGTTTCCTAAAAAAGGTCGAGATCGTTGCGACTGTCAGTGCACCTTTCCAGGACTACGGAATATACGCCGTAACTATAGGTCGCCTTACCCACTACTTCTCTTCTCCTGCTCTCCCCCCCAAAGGCCTGGGCTGGGATGCAGCCATGGATTGAACACTCCGGATGAAATCCAAACAAACCGAGGATCCTAGAAAGGGACCCAAACCCAAACCACCGACGGGAGAATAAACGTGCAGGTTGCTCTGGTCTGCTTTTTTAGCCACTCAAGAAGAAGGATTTCTGACACCGACGCAGGAGCAGCCCAAGTAAACGAACTACTGCGCGTCTACGGAGCCCCGTTGCGGCCGCTGGGGATTTTTTTTTTTTTTTTTTTTTTTCATTTTCATTTATTTGTTTATTTCATTTCTTTTCTTTTCCCTTTCCCGTCGTTTCTCCTATTTTACTCAAGTAAATTGATTTATTTATTCCCCCCGTTTCAATGGTGGTTTCCCACCGGCCCTGCATCCAAACCAACCACCGCCAACGAACCCGGTACCTTACTGACTGAGCGACCGAGCTGAGGTGCGGATACAGCCGGCATCAAGTTGTGCGACCTTGGCCCTCCATCCATGTTAGGGACCAGGGGGGGCCGGGAGAATATCAATCGTCGGGGCTTCGGGTGGATCCAGTCGTGCACAATTGCTTGGCTGCCTTTTTAGTGTTCCTCTGGCCTGGGGGTGAAACTCTGGGACTGGGAGAGAACCATCGTTCATGAGAACCATGGGAATTGGAAACCCTGCCACTTTGCGTTCTCCAGTTTGGACTTTCCAGGTGGTTTGCCGGGGTGGATCCGAATTCCAGAGTGGGACTTGGAGCGGCGAGAACAAAGGCAGGACGAAGGAGATAGGAAGAACACCGCGGAGACGGAGAGCGAGTGCGGCAAAAAGCAGAAGGAAGAAAAAAAAAAAAAAAAGGTGCTGAGTGCTGACCCTTGCTTCTGGCCTCCAAGACGCTTTGTTTCAAAGGCCCCGTCAATCCTTTCCCCCATTAGGGAGTTCCACAATGTCAATTCAACTGATATGACACCAATCCCGCCGTAAAGACCAACGAGAATGCTATTCCCTACGGAGCGGATGCTCCGTGCTCGCTCAATGGTGCAGAGAGTAGTATTTCCACAGCCAACGCCCTCATTTGGCCCATCTTGGGGGCCGTTTCCATGTAGTCTATCATGACGACGACAGCGGCGTACCGAGACCGGGATGATGGACCAGACGGACCCTCATGAAGTCTGGAGATTGTCGGTGGGCGTGGGATGATTGGACGAAGGGCACTTTGGCAGAGTCATCGATGGAGCCGAATGGCAAAAGGCACGACTGGGGGACTTGCAGGGCCACCGTAACCGAAAGGGGCAAGGCAACGCCGTCTAGCGCCGGTCCTGGCATTATTATTCATCATGGGATGGGCACAAGCATCCCAAGGAATGGGAAAACAAAGAAACCCAGAGCATGAAGGGAAGAGTAGATACGGGTTTGCGGCGCGGAAGATCATCGGCAGCCATCCTGCTATTATTAGATCGGGGGAGACCCCAAGGCGCCCTCACAAAGCCTATCGACGTCGCTTGTACTCCGTAGGGGGAAAAGGAGGCGGTCGTCGGGATTGGAAACTCTTCACCTCCGTCTGGTGCATAAAAATGTTCCTGAACCGAACATGAAGTGGATCCAAGACACACGACATGAGTCTTCCATCATTGACAGGTCCGCTTCTTCTCAATTTTGAGCATCTCAGGTGTAATTGCGATGAACATGTTCGACCATGAAAATGCCCTGGGCCCGCCGTTCCAAGGGGGAGGCCCGATCAAACGGGATCATACTCCGCTCCGTAGTACTAGGCAATTAGATACTACGTATGTACCAAGTGAAGTCTCCCCGACCCGAGGCAACGAAGTAGATCTCATCTGCCGACCAGACGATCAAGGCGTTGCATCTCGTCTCGGATCTCCCCTCCGATCCTATCTTTTCCGGTCGACGCGAATGGGAGAATCAATCCCCTGCATTGAACCACCTGTGACCATTGGGCCTCAATGACTTCACCGTGCACGGGAAATGGCAGGACCTCAATGGCGATACTTAATCTATGGTGCATGAGCAACGATGCAGGACACTGGGGACCAGGTTCCTTACTCCGGAGTGCATGCACCATGCATCGTATTCGTAGGGTCTGCGGAGACCACTTGCCGGCATTGACTCTGGCGTAGAACTATTGACCAGCCATCCCCGGGCCAACAATGCTAGTCAGTAGGTGGGAGGTATGGTTCAAACGGAGGACCCGTAGATCGACCGGGGGTGACATGAAGAACTGGAAACGTGCGACCGTTGGAAAAGGGGGTGGGTGCCTGAGGCGCCAGTGCGGCGAGAGACTTCCAAATGCGGGTTCCTCCTGGCGAGGATGGAGATCGTCCAGCAATACCCGTATGGGAGCTGGGGATGGAATCCTAGGCTGACGGGGTCTACGGCGTACGGCGTACGGCATTCCCATGTCGGGGACTATGGCGCAGAGCCTATTTCTCGACCGACCCCTGGAGGCGATAAGGCCATTGTGTGCATGCAACAAGGCAGGAGGCAGTCTAGACTCTGCCGTCATGCGAATGGCGGTCAAAATAGGGCCAATGAGCATGCGGACCCCGACACTGGGGGCTAGTGTGGAAGGATTTCTGACGATTGTCACCATCGCGGCCTCGTCTGCAGATGGACATGGGGCAGAGAATCGGATTCTACGACGGTCTCGCTGGGCTTGACGGATCCGGAAGCTTGTAGATTTAGCCCGTACTTTTGGCTGTCTGATTGCTACATGAACAACCCCCGGGAGTGCGTGTAACAGCACCGGAGGGGGATCCGACGTGGCTGCTGCTGCATCGGTTGCATCCGTGATACTGGTGAAACATCGAGAGCTTGGCTGCGTCGTGGGCAACGACAGAGCTTCCGCCCGCTGGCATCCTTCGGTGCATCCACCTGACACAGGGAACTGCGCGAACTGCGTTCACTCCATAGCCACAACTGTTTCACCTTGGTGAGCCAGGTGTCCACACGAATGATGATATCATGCAAGAACGGGCAGTCTCATGTTCGTCGTCGCGTGAGTAGATTGCCGGTGGTCAAGAATCCTTTGTCCCCCATCGCCCCCCTCCACTCTATGGATAGTTGTCCAAGGACGGCTCGCCCGTCCCGTTTCAAATCTTTCTGCAGAGACTCCAACCCTTCCTGTTGTCCTTCCTCCTGCTCAACAAGGAATGCAACCTGCAGGACATCGCGTGGATTCAAGGAAGGTGGCTGCGAATCGGACTGATCGGGTCGCTCCAGGTCCCAGTTCAAGGAAACCGCCCTGAATGGGGGTTTCGGATTGAGTTTTGTTTGCTGAACCAAGTATTAGAAAATTCATCGGCAGGCTGGACGGAAGACACTCGCCCATCCTCATCATCATACCTTGACTACCACGGCACCATCGCCCACGTTCTCCAATTGTGCCTCGAGAGCAAATCGGAGCAATCGAGTTTTCCCGTAGGGTCCCAAAGTTTTGTTGTCAACCTCCAACGGCGGCAGTTCGGACGACTTCGTCCGGACACTCAGGCAGGGTTGTGCAACGAACTGGTATAGTTTGCGGAATGTCCTTACTCGCCCGCTGGCCGCCTGCGAGTCGGAGCCGATTAGGGTTTCCGTGTAACTGACGCTGACCGCTAAAATGTGATTCCCCTCCTCTTTGAGATCAAAGCGAACGATCTTTTGTAGGGACTGTCCTTTCCGTAGCCCGTCCTGCGCAGACGAATCATCCGCGGGTTCTAGGTCCAGCGATGCGACTTGTGAAGGAGTCTGCATTTCTGCGACGATGCGGACCGACGTGAGGACGCGCGAGGGGTCATCCTCCGAGAGCTCATTGTTCGCGCTGAGGGTACACGCGAATGTTTCTCCGACATAGGCGGATCCAAAGGCAGGAGGGAGTGTCAACTTCCGACCCGTATTAGCAGCAGAATACCGGAAAGACCAGGCATGATAACCGTACGTTAGGAGTAAGAATAAAGCGATCATCGGTGTTGTCAGAAGGATAACTCAACGACGCCTTACCAGAGATATTTGCATTCGATGCTGGGAGAGGGTACTGATAGGACAAGGAAGGCCGCGATAGCCTTACAGAATCCGGGACGTCATTAACAACGGACCAGTTTACACCTAGAGACGCCGCTTACCGGAGCACTGGACCTTGATCAGCCACGCCACTACTCGCAGGGGAATTTCTGCTTGTTCGTACCTTTCAACGAAACCGCGTGTGGCTCTTTGGGGCCATCGGCCCCCGAATGTGCCCGAGGACGTGCCATTTGAAGCTGAAATACGTCTCTGGGCTCACTGCATGGAGCTCACACGTCGCGCAGTCTGTGGATATTATCGTTATCGGGCCCGGGCGCTAGTGGGAATGCAAACTGGGCAAACAAGGCAAACCTACCAAACCTCCGCATGACTCGTGAGCCAGAGCTCCACAGAGTAAATCAGTACTCCGGAGCATCACCAACGAACTTCCATAGCTGCACCTTCTTTCGATTCTCCAAGATAGCTATTGCGGACCGAACATATCCATGCGGCGCAATTGAAGGATTATGTCAGCATTTTTATCGGAAGATCTCAAGCCAAGCGGATCGTCGTGAACAGCCGCCACTTGATAGATACTACCATTAGTAGTAACTTCAATCCATCAATATTGCCTTCTCACCATTGGCCTACGCCTCAAAAACAGGTATATCATGGATACTACTCCAAAAATAACCCCGGCTTCCCGCAGAAATGTCGTCAAGTCATCGCCGGCGGAAAATTCTCTAGCTTCACAATCTCGAACGGCGAACAGTGCGTCCACAACAGCAAAGAGAAAACGAAATGCCGAAATGGAATCTAATTTGCCAACAACGCCTGCGCCTGCCAAGAAGACAAGCGGCAAGAAGAGCACACCCAGCCCAGAGGAAGTGATCGACTTGACAGGGAGCTCTCCCACTTCCAGTCCGGCCAAGAAAAGGAGAAGCCCCAAAAAGAACGCGTCGCCATCTGAACCTGCAGCTGAACGCAGGGCCAGGATCTTTCGCAAGCATCCACCCAGATCATTTTTGGAAAGGCACTTACGGGCCACGAGTCAGAGGTATGGCTGCCATAATGATTCCATACCCCCGCAAACGGTCTAACCATGTACGCTTGGCTCTTAGGATGTTTGTTGTCGGGCAATCGGTCACTGAAATTGATGAAGCTCCTGAGATGACATTTGATATTGTTGGGACGACAGGCAATATTTACAAGACGACTATCGGCAAGGTGCCCATGTGCGATTGTCCAGATTCCCAGAAGGGAAATCAGTGCAAGCATATCTGTTACGGTAAGTACGGGTTTCAGCTTACTGGGATGTACGTATAAGCTAACTGTCTTGACCAATAAGTTCTAGCCATTGTGCTCAAGGCCCCTCCGCATCTCCAGTACCAGTTAGCGTTTTTGTCATCGGTGAGTAGCCCATAGATACGGCAGGTTGCCGCGACTTTTCCAAGCTGATAACGGTGCTCTAGGAACTCCGCCAGATTTACCAGCAGTCGTCCTTAAGGGTCACAGAGACGACACCCGAGAACAAGGATGGTAACCGAAAAGCCGTCGATGGGGACTGCCCCATTTGCTTCATGGAATTCGAACCGGACAAGGAGGAAATTGTCTGGTGCCGAGCAGCATGTGGAAACAACATCCACAAGACATGTTTCCAGAAATGGGCGGCTACCCAGCGAGCCCAGGGCGTGACTTGCGTATACTGGTAGGTGTCCTTGGCGGCCAATTGTTTTCTCGTCCCACCAAGTAACTTTTGTCTCTAGCCGTTCTCCCTGGCAGTCAGACACCAGTGATTTGAACCTCGAAAATCTTATGAAAGAAGGCACGGTGAGCCAAGAAGGTTACATCAACGTGGCTAGTCAGATGGGTCTCTCAGGTGAACGCGGTACGGAACCACGCCTGTTGCGGTTTTCATCTAACTTGTTCAATACATAAATGCTGATCCTACATCCAGATCATTCGACCTATCACCAGCCCTGGGTTATCCGACAGTCATATTCGTACAGTCGGCGTGGCCGTGGACGACAGTCGTATCAGGACTATTATTAAGGTTCTGGGGCAAATGGGCTACAAAAGTCAAGAACGCTTGCAGTAATTAGGGCGTGGGATCACTTTGTGGGTGGCAGCCGGGAGTTGTTGAAGTGTTTATTGCTAAATTGGTAAAGCGTTAGATACCCATTGCTTGACTCAGCCAAATTATTTTTACTCTTATATTATATACAAAGACTTCTGAGTATTCAAATAGTGGAGGTACTGTGAATCCATCATCAAAGGAATTGATGCATGAAGCATTGCCATGGCATGCTAAGGATGTCTGTTCGGGGCGCGCTCTTCCTGACAAGAAGAAACTAGGCACTTTCAGAGTATGGCCTCATCAAGTAAGGTATCGAAGTGTGTTTTAACCCCGAGCGTCCATATGAGGCCTCAGTGAATGGAGACCAGAGTGGGGAACCCAGACGGCGAGTGGGCTATTAACAACCCGGTCTCTGAAAGACTGGCGTTGTTTACTCGGCTATATGGCCAACTGATCACCCTATTAAAGGAGCATAGAAGAATAACAGTGTTCAACACGGTCAGCTCATCCACCGTCTTGAACAACGCGGCCACCTCGATGCACGACGGCAACACTGACGGCTTCTTCGCCGGTCATCCATGAGGGCATGCGCTCTGAATCGACGATACCCAATTCAGCAAGCTTGCGGATACCGCTGATAACGTCTGAACCGGCAAAGGTGAGAGAAACGGCGGGCTCTCTTTGCTCGGCGGGATTGTCGTCCGTTTCGGCAGCCTCATCGGCGCGAGGAGAGTCAAGCAAGCGGACATCGAAGCGGTCCAGAGGGGCAGAAGACAGCGACCCGGAGGTACCGAATCGAGAATCAACAGCAAGCTTCCGTTTCTTGGGAATTTGGGGGTCGGAATTCAACTCTCTTGCTCTTTTTGATGACTGAGGTCCGGTGGGTTCTTCGTCGAGATCCCGACCGTTCTGATCTCGGTTCTCTTTATCCCTATCGGCTCCATGGTTCATGTATTCTTCTGGGGATACGGTGCTAGATGGTCGTGGGTCCAGGGGACTACCTTCGACCACGGCGTCCGCGAAAATGCTAAACGCCCCAGCAGCTCGGTTCGACCGGCCCGGACCTCGCAGAGCAAGAAGAGCCTGAAGGCTCTTGGCTGTCAGGGCCGTCGCTTTTAGAGAGTATCTCTTTTGCGGCGCGGACAGTGCCACGGGAACGGCATCACGCACAATGCGTTGCAAAGTCCGAGGGTCCGTTGCGATTGCCTGGGTCGAGGATGCGCTCGCCTTAGAGCCGGTAGACGATGCGATCGAAGTGTATATGAACGGACAGCTGTCGGGGAAAGCAACATATATCACTCTCGAGGAGTCTGTTAGCATTTCTGGTGCTTGTCGGGGGTGCTTGTACGGTGAATTGGTGACAAAGATGCGAAGGAATGTGATCGGCAATACGTTTGAGCGTGCGAGGTGGTAATGTGCCTTAACCAGCGGGGAGATCTGCTGCTGGAGGCTACTCAGGAAAGTCATGGTGTGAACGCGGGGTATACAGGCGGTCATCTCAGCGGATGCATCTGACGAGGGACTGCCATCCGCGCCGATGCGATAGAGCTCCAATGCCGACCATCGCAGACTGGACGGATGATCATCCATATACCGTAGGTCGACCATTGCAAGCTGGCGCAGACTGATACCCTGGCGCCAATCGCCCTCAAAAATCCGATCAATGACTTCGCGCTTTCCACCCCTCCTGACCTGCAGGTCCTGGTATGCATTCCGGACATCGTCGATGGTTCGCTCGGCCGGGTACGGACTAAGCTCGTCTTCTTCCCCCTTATCAACGTCATCCTTCTCTAGAAACGGCGGGAATGACTGCACATTGCGGTCATCCAGCCAGTAAAACACGAGGTCCAACAACGCCTGACGCGTGAGTTTTCCAAAGGACTTGACGAGCGACGAAGTTGCGGAAGGGATGCGAAGGTCGCTGGGAAGACTGGCAGTTGTAGGTGCGCGGATGGACTTTGAACGCGCCATTGCTTCCTCGGAGGCGAGAAACGAGACAATCAAACGCGATAAACTGAATGCGATACCCCTCAATCCGAGAGTTGCACCGTTGACAGCTGCGGCGGGATGGAGGCGATGCGACGCACTGGCACGGTCCATCACGAAATCACCTGACAAGAGGGTATCACGTGGTGATAACCAGCCAGATTAGCGCCTCAGGCATGCAACCGACTGACTAATCACGCTACTCCGTGGTTGGCTGTACTCCGCTAGAGGCGAATTAATTTAATTTACTGATGTTTGCTAAGATCCTCGAGAGGTTGGGAGAGACTAAATTGCGGCATATGGCGACTGCATATAGTAAATAGATCCATCGCTGGGCCGGAGGCAGCACTAGGAGTCTAGGAGACTGTCGTAGAGCTTAGCGGCACTATTCCAGGACCATGTGTAATTCCCAAGTGTACAAGAATGCAACGGTCGGGGACTGATTGGCTGCTTCTTATCGTGAGCATTATTAATGTGCTTGATGGAGAAAGTCAAGCATCAGCGAAACCCTGTCTTAGTCCATCGACTTCCCGTGATTTAACTACGCGCGAACCGCGCAACGGGCAAAATCCGAGGGTGAAGGCCGACCGAGCATATCTTTAGATTTTTTTTTTCTTTCTCCTCTTGCGATCACCTTATAGACATTCTTAGCAAATGCAAGGCGGCGGCTGGCAACAAACAATGCGCGCGGCGGCTTGGAAAGAGAGGAGACAAGCGACCAACATTCCACCGCAGCAATCTAACGGCACGACGGGCGCAAGGGACGGTGGACCAGCTAGCTGAGAATAGCCATGGTACTCTCAGAAGTATGAGAAGAACGCACGGCCGGGAAGTAATGCCCAAATAGGAGAACTCTGGGTGGACGGCGATTGGCTTTTGCTTCGACACTCTCTGCTTAGTCTGCTTGAGTTCCACCGAAATAAACTCCCTCGTTCACTGGTTGGGAGGAGACCGGGGGGGGGGGGGGGGGGGCCATTTCAACTCTTTGAGTCTTGCCCTCGTCCTATGGTTCCGTTTTCCGACTTCGGCCACCGGAAGAAGATGGATCGGAGTCGATGTCATGACCCAAAAATTGCGGGTGGCAACAGGCCAGGACTGGGAAACAGAAGCCGGAAACTGACCCTATGATGTTGATATGACCGTAGGCTGGGAGGATATACTCGACCATGCCAGGCTCTACTGCCCGAAGCAGCAGGTCGCGGAGTAGACAGGCAGGACGGAGTCGGAGGGCCAGGTAGCAGTTGTTACTCCGGAGTAGTTGAATGTTGAATGCGGAAGAGGCAGGTTTGTCAGCGGGCGGCCTTTGTTCGGGATTATTCAGCCTCTCCACCCCCACCTGCGCAAATTCCAATCCCGCCCTTCATCTCCGATCTCCCACGTCCCACTCCCACACTGCTTCAATTCAATTGTCTCCCCTCTTCCCCCGTCGCCCCGTTCTTCCCTTCTCCATCGAACTTCCGTCTGTACGACCCCGACCAATTTCACATCCCTCGATTGCGGACACAACCTGATATCACCCTCGCGGAGGTCTCCGTCGAGTCACTTGTACATCGCCACCGTCGACTAGAGCACAAAGAACCGTTCTGAAACGGTCGAAACGTCGAATCGGTTTGATCGAATCGCGAAATTTCGAGGTCATCAAACCCCTCGATCCCGGTGCATCATGTCCGAATTCAACGGCCGCCGGGCCCCCAACTTCTCCCAGTACCTCAACGATTTGAATGCCATCCCTTCGCCGTACGACCAGGCCGTTCAGCAGCAGCAACAGCAGCAGGACTCGTTCAACCTCGATGCGGATCTCTCTCTCTTCACCAACGCCGAGTTCTTTGATTTCGATAAGTTCGGGGATCTCAACCTGCCCGCTTTCGACTCCGTGGAGGATGAGAATTTGAAGACGGAGAACAAGCAAAATGCTGGTCAACGGTCGGACATGGAATTCTTGGACCTTCTCGGTGGTGGTAAGTTTAGCAACTTTCCTTGAAGTTATGATTTTTTGAGCTTTCCTCGGATCCGGGCTGGTATCTCCTGGGTCATATTCGTTTTGGACCTGCATATACATTGGTCTATCTGGCTTTGGTTCTACACTTATGCCGCTTGATTTTTGGTTGCTTGAAATGTTCTGCATTTATCCTTGTTTCCCTTGATTTTCAGTGTCTTTGGTATTTGTGCTTCCCCTCTCTTTTCTTTTTCTTTTTGCTTTTTCGCCTCTCTTCCTTCTGGTGGAGCCATTCTCTGTGCTACACCTCAATCCAACTCGGGTCTATATCCCAAGACAGCGAATGGATCCTACCGCCCTTCATGCACCATCTGCACGTGCCATCATTGGCCCATTTCTGCATCAGCCCCCCTTGTTCTGTGCGACGATCCCTATAAGTTTCGTGCTACTTGCATGGGCCCTACCACCGGCGCCGATAGCGCAAACGGTCGACGCTATGGCGCCATCACACGTGACTCGGGCTCTAGTGAATAGAGAAACCCATTCACTTTCACTGGCCGGGAGTCATGTTGTGTGCCGTGTGGGGAGGTGTGCGAACTTACATTGCCCATCTTGTTTCTACCAGCCGGGATCTCGGGGATATGCCTCGATTCAGTCGAAATTTGATAATGACCATGTTCTAACTGTATGCAGAGGGCTTTGGCAACATGCCGGAGTATTCAGCACCGGAGTTTGGTTCTGTGAACCCCTCGTCCCAGCAAAACCCGCTTCCCAACTTCTCCGCTATCCCGCAGGTGCCTAACGGAGGCTACAATGCTAATCATAGCCCGAGCCAGTCGTCCGCCTCGTCGCCTCCTTCTGCAACCCCATCTCAAGCTCCTGCTTCGGCCCCTACGCCCGCTGCCAGCACGCCCGCCGCAGGACCCAAGCGCAAGAACACGCAGAAGACGCCTACGCTCAGTGTCGAGGAAGCCGCGCGCAATGTAGCTGAAGAGGACAAGCGCCGACGGAACACGGCCGCAAGTGCTCGATTCCGTGTGAAGAAGAAGATGCGCGAGCAGGCATTGGAGAAGACCGTCAAAGAAACCACGGACAAGAACACCGCGCTGGAAGCGCGCGTTACGGCACTGGAACTGGAGAACCAATGGCTGAAGAACCTGATCACCGAAAAGAACGGCAAGTCGGCTCAGGAGGGAAAGAAGTCCGAGACGGACATTGCAGACATGTTCAAGAAGTTCCTCGCGTCTCAGAAGGCCAGCACCGACCGGAGTAGTTCTGAGTCGAAGATCGGCGTGGGCACTGCCTAAGCACGATGAAACTAAAGTTTCTTTTGAATTCCCTTTGCTTTTGCCTTCTCTGATTTGATGCTTGCTCATTTCTTGTAGATGTTCTTCTAGCCTTTTTTGATTTCGTCTGTTCATAATTAATCTGGTTTATTTCGGAGACTTGGAGGCGGCGTCTCATGGAGCACGAATGGGTCGGGTTGGGGTGGATGAGTGACGCTATGTTCATACGTTTTTCATATGTTTTGATCTGAAGTAGAGACTCCAACTGGAGCTCGATGATTCCCTTCTCAGTAAAGAGAAATAAAAGCCACAAATACGATTTATGTCTCTATTCTATGTCCTCTTTTCTATCATAGGCAATTTTCTAGAACAGGTTCGATTGACAGAGTCCAGCAGAACGTGACGGGCCAGCATGCAGGTACAGACCAGTGATCTACCTCGACGAAGCCTTGATGGACTACGTGCATTAGTTCTTGTCAATCGAAAGCAGGCTCTGCCAGGGGGTTCACTGTGAACAGCCAATCCCACTGTGGACGACATACGAGGGACAGAATCACCACATCGCCGCGCTTCCATAGCAGGTACTAGTTACTGACCACCTAACCTCGCAACCACCACGACGCCGCGTACAACACCACTCCGGGCCCACCAGTCAAACACCGTTGCGGCGCCGCGGAACTTCCCACCCACCGACATGCCCATGCGACGCAGCCGCGCATCCTTCTGGCGGATGAAACCGGCCAGTCCCCCGAAGACGTCCTCTGAGATATCCGTCACTGCGATGTCATCGATGGCGTAGCCCGCGCGCACCAAGAGGGCCTCGTACTTGGTTCGCGTTAGAAAGTTCGCGAACGGTGCCCCTGTCATCATGCACACGCCCCGCAGCAGTAGCCTCTGCCACAGGGTGGCGGTGTCGGATAGCAAGAGGTCAAACGCCATAAAGGAGGCGTGGAGTTCGGTGTTCGCGTACCGGAGGAGCGGGGCTCTTGAGGGTCGGAAATGGTACAGAGTGTCGAGGGCGAGGAGCCACGTCGTGGTCCTCGTCGGGGCGTCAGAGTCCCGGACAGGCGAGGAAACAACTGCGCGCTGAAGCTCCTTGTTCCAGGAGGCTGGGTCCGCGCCGTCGGCGCAGAAAATATCAACTCGGGTTGGCTCTATGGGGGTCCCTGTATTGGTGGGAGCCATGGCATTGGATTCTTCCGTGCGGGAAGAAGCCTCGAGGCGCTGCCGCGCGAGGTCCGCCTGCTCGGGGAGGAGGGTGATTCCGACGTAGGAGTCGAAGAGCGGGCGAGATTCCATCGCAGTGGCATCGCGTCGGTCATAACTCGGTGCTTGATGATCTGGCTTCAGTAAATGGACTAAGTGCATCGTTTGATCACCACATCCGATCCCGACATCTAGGAGGTGGACCTGTCGGTCTGTGTGCACCGGGTGACCGGTGGAATCAAGGAAGCCTGCCGCGATGAGGACTTGGTCCAGGAGGGCTCTACAGGCGCCCGGAAGGTTGGTTTCATCCTAGATCTATGGGTTCAGCGGGGACATCCTTGGAAGCAGAATCAATGTCAGAGGCAGTCGGCACCTTCCAGTACCCCATGTTCATCCACATGCTTGGTGGGGGGGCGGGGATGTTGAGAACCGCATGGTCGAGACCATAGATGGACCGATCGCTAGACGGTGGAAATATAAATGTAAGCAGGGACTTGAGCAGGGAAAGAATCCATTGAATGGGATTCATGTTGGATCGGCATCTTTCGATGTCTCTTTGGCATCGACCGTTTGGGTAAAGTGGAGGGGTCACATGAAGATAAGAGCGACACGGTCCGATAAGGTCTGCTTCGGTCCTCCTTCTACTTCTCCTACTTCTCCTAGCATCCGTCAAATTACACCCAGAAGCTGAACCATTGGGCGGTCAGGTGGTGTTTCCTAGGATTGAGCTGTGCAGACGGGTAAAATGAAAGAACTAGTGATGTCATATTGGATATTGTCAATTGTCTAGACCATCATCCGACCAAGACTCTGGCTTGAACTCATCAGGCGCAGGCATTGCAACCCCAAGGAAGCCAGGTACGAATGCCAACTACCAACAACTGCCAATGATACCATCATATCCAGGGAATCTCCACATCTAAGTCGGCTGCAACACGCATCGCCGACACAACACATCCCTCCAACAGCACCATGCCATCCCAACACCATCCGCCCGCCAGGTAGACCCCGTCATCGCCGCTGCGCCATCTCTTGGATCCATCAACGAACGCATCTCGCTGCGACTCTGTGTCAGCGGAGCCATCCTCCCTGAAGATCTCCCGGAGAATGCGCTGGCTGGTCGGGGTGCGCAGCACGCGCGTGAACACCGCGGACCGGATGATGGTGGTCGGATCGATGGGCATGAGCGGATTGGTCGTGATCAAGATCCCGTTCGGCTGGGCATGAATAGCCTCCGTGGTAAGACCGTTGCTGCAGAAGCATATCATTTGCGGAGAACAGGAGTCGGGGGGCATCGTGACCCCGTCCTGCAGCCGCGCAACGACAGTCGAGAAGTCCGTGTGAGCGACAGTCTGGACAGTCGTAGTAGGCACATCCCGCAAGGATGGCCGAGCCGCTCTGAAGATCGCGGCGGCGACGTCTGGGGACACGGCCAGGATGACGAGGTCGAAGAGTTGAGTACACACGCGGGTGGCGTCGCGCAGAGTGAGCTGGACCCCGTGCGAGGTTGGCAACACTTCAATAGTCTCGACGCCGAGACGCACGTCCAGTCCGCGCAGCAATTTCTCCTGCACAGTATACACGCCATCGGGGACGACGAAATGCGGCTGCTGGTGAATAAGTCTCTTGTACGCGATAATATCTGAGGCGGGGAAGCGTCGCAGCTCCACATGCGAGCAAGTACAGACGCTAGACATCATCGGCAGCAAGTAACTATCGACATAGTACAGGGGCAGGTGGATGCGACGCACATAGTGATCGAAGGATTCACCTTCCATGTCCCCAAATACCAGCGGACGGACAAAGAAACAGCAAAGAACAAACCACCAATAGAAGAATAAAACATATATCGCCTCCCAGATCCACCGGACGAGATCGCCGCGAGGGATCGGGGGAGTCTGATGGAAGTTGGACGCGTGAACCATGTAGGGCACCACGGCATGACTCTGATGAGCTGAGCGCCGAGAAAAGCTGAAGACGAATGGCTGTGGTCGGTAGTGAATGCCCAAGTGGTCGTACATGCGCAGAAGATTGTGGTAATAGCCACCAGCAAAAGCACGCATGGGGATGTCAGCCCAGGCCGATTTCTTCGAGACCGGATGAGTGGAAGGAATAGCGATAGATTCGGCACTCAGCGAGACTCGGGGACTCTATGCGAGACCTACGTCAATGGATCGCACATCCGAGGCCAAAGGCCCGTGGATCAACAGGGGGGCACAACAAACCTTGTCCAATAGATGCACCCTGAATCGCTGCTGTGGATCGTGATGCAGCAGATATGCAGTCACTAGGCCAGCCATGCCCGTGCCCACAACGGCCACGTCGCGCTTGCTCTCCCCCATAACCACATTGGCACTCATTTCTTTGGAGCGATTATGGGAGTAGGAGATGGGATCGAAAGGCAATACACGGGCGAACGCAGAGATTGTCCACAGGTGGGCTGGGCTATCACCCTTGAAGTGGTCGGACCGCCGAAGTGTTGACGCCCATGGGTGTCCAGAGTGAATGTCAAGGTCAAAAAATCGCATTAATTCCAGTACCGTTGGATATCAGATACATTGCATGAATTCACTCCAACCCCAGCCGAACCCACCTAACCCGTAGCATCCCGGAAAAAGCAACCTAACTCCATCATGAATTTGTCTCTCTATCGAAGCCTCCGCGCATTAGTCGTTATATGAAAGAGAGGATCGGTAGGAAGTATCAAAGAAAGGGCGGGCGAAAAGTAAAAACAAAAAGAATATACACTGCAAGCTCAGTCTGTCCGTATCTGGGAATATTTGGCGTAACGTCGTCCATCATAAATTGGTCCCTCCCTTGCGCTTCACCTCATCCTCGTAAATTCCTATCTTTTTCGCTCCCCTGATTTCTCTTCCTCGTTCTCGTCGCCCGGGATCTCTCCCCAGCCCGAGCTACGCCGGCTGATTCGCCCAGTCGCCATAGGTTGGCCGGCAGACGGACCGCTCAAGGGACTGCCAATGCCCCCGGATATACTCGCGGCATTGCTATCATGTCGGCCATGCGATTGGGCAGCACTAATAACGCTGGCCCCGTCCCCGGTGGCCGAATTCTGCTTGTTAGCATAGAAGCTACCGCGCTCGCCGTTTCCGCTGACCGGCGCCGCGCCCGAGGACGAGTAAACGCTGATCCGCTCAGCACTGGCCAATCCAACCATGCTCGGCCGATTCAGGACCCCGGGGTTATTCGGGGATTCGGCCACGCTGCCGCTAAGCACGCTTAAAGGCAAACTCTCTCGACTGCCACCAAACACTGACGAAGGGGCCAAAGCGCGCACCGACGCGTTCGTATCCAGCGAGTTTCTTCGGCGTCGTTTGGACGAAGACGCTAGCGTCAAAATCGAGGCATTGTCGGTCAAGATATTGTTGGCGGTGGCCGTGCTGTACGTGACGGAATGACCGTGAGGGGCAAGGTGGGGCGGAACTGCGGTGGCCGGAGAAGGGGGAAATTGGTGTGTAAATTGCACCTGCTGGGTCGTACTGCCTTGCGTCGGATGTGCATGATGATGAGCATGGTGTGCGTTTTGCGCGTTGTAGAGATGGCCGGAGGGCGCCGCCGATTGCACGGTGGTCAAGGTCGTGGTCAGGGACCGCACCGACGGCGCCGGGGATGAAAAGGTGCTGCCCTCGCCGCCTCCATTCGAGCTGATGCCGCCGCCGGCCGTTGCCATCGTCCCGGCTTTGGAGTAGGCGGCGTCCGATATGGCGGTGTCGCCGTTGGTGGAGATGGTGGGCGCGGTGGACTTTGCACTGGTTGCCGGAACCTGATTCTCGTATCCCGAGTATGCAAGGGAGGGTTCGCTCTGCGAGCCCGACCGTTCTTCGCTAACCTCGCTGGCATCCGAGGTGTTGTTGTCACTGTTGTATTCGCTGATGACATGCGTGGTGCCCGAAAGTGGGTAGGGGTTGTTCTTCAGGCCTCGGCCTCGGCCTTTGTGTTTGGGCATAGAATGGAGTTTGTTGGACCAGCGGATGCTGCCTGAATCGGTCGAGTTTTTGAGGTTCGCGAGACGCTTCATCCAGCTCGAAAATGGACGGCGACGACCGTTTCGATCTGCGGGAATCAGGACGTTAGACAACCAGTAGATCCTGGCAAGAATGCCTCGGAATACTGTACCGTGCGCCCTCGCGGGGCCCTCAGCGGTGGCCATCTTGGCCGATCAGGCAAAGGAAACCAGAGACAATGACCGCGTTCTCCAAGCTGAATGGGCAAGCACGCAAATCAACCAGACCAGCAAGCTTGTGATGCTGAAAGTGGGTTGCCACTCAGGAATCACCCTGGGCGATTCTAATGCGAGTGGCCTAGGAGAAGGATGATCGATTGCGGGGCAGTTCAAGGGCACCAGAAGCAAATTCAGGGGACCGTTCGCAGGGACGCGCAGCGACACAGCGGGTGAAATGTCAGGGAGTCAAAGGCAGCAAGCTAATTGAACGAGAAGGATGAAGAGGGATGCCAGCACTTCGTCAGGAGTCAACACGAGCGGCCGCCTGATGCACGTGATGCCCGCGGCGTCGGGGTGATTTGTGCTGACTCAGCAGCGTTAGTCACCTGCCAGTTATGCATAATGCACAATCCCACAAGTCACTGCATAATATGATGACTCATCGGTGGATCACATGCGCCGGTCTGTCGGCCTCCCGCAAGGAATGATCGTCCTGCAGAAATGATCCTTAATGATCCCTTCGAGAAGAGAGAACTGCCCATTCGGATGAGATAAACCACTGAGTATCACCATGCCGCCGTACTCCTACGCAATGCAACCATTGGCTGCTTATCTCCCCGATTTGCCGCTGCCTAGGCCGCAATCTAATTAACTCTCCATGGGATCAAACACGAAGCGAGAAAACGAGATGCAGGCACGGCGACGAGTCAGGCGTTGACGCATCTCGTGTCACTTCGCTGTGAGGCTCGGGTTTTCTATTTGTTCTTGAGTTCTATATATTTTCCTGGGAGGATCCCAGATCCCAAATTCCAGGCCCCAGACTCCAGCGGACATGTTCTTTCTCTCGCGTTGGCAATACTGTTCGTCTGGGTGGCTGCTGGCTCCGCTACTAGTAAAGTGGGCCTCGGTGGATTAGCCGAGGCTGCAGAACTAGTCGTACTGTTGTAAGTAAAAAGGGAAAAAGCCAGACCCTGGCAGGGCCGACCGATCGATTTCTTGGAACCCGCCCGGTCAACGTGGCGTACTGACTTCATCCAACACCTCATTCTGCCATTCTGCCACCTACGACTGATTACCACCGTATCTTTCTCATCATGTCTGCGGCGCAAGAGTCGGCGCGAAAGAAGGTTGCGATTGTGGGCTCCGGAATGGCTGGTCTTATCTCGGCCTTCTTGCTGAGAACCGACCGCCGGGGCCGGTATGATGTTGAGATCTTAGAGATGGTACCTGTTTTCTGTTATGATACCCATGAGGCAGACGAACGCGTGCTAACACACCCTGTTGGAACCATTAGCAGGATCACTTGTCACTCGATTCGGCTTCCTATACCCTCGCAACCAAAGATGGTCCTTCCTCTCAACAATCCCGGCTGGATTTGCCCATGCGTGTATTCGCGGGTGGTTACTATGAAAATTTGAAACGCATGTACGAATATTTCAACATAAAGTTCATCTCACCACGATTTATATATACCCTATCAAGCCTCCCCAAGTCGGAAGGGCAACAAATCTCTCCCCACTTTATCCATTCGTCCAACAACCATACAATTCCTCCGCTACAACCGGTCGAGAGCTCGTTCGGTGCGTGGATTTTAGAACTCGTTTACCTGGCGATATGTTATTTCTGGTTCACGGCCTGTTGCTTCTGGGTCAAGCCCAGACCGGCGCCTACTTTTGGAAAGGACGAGTCGTTTCGCCAGTACCTGGAACGGATTCGGTTACCCCGGTACTATGTCAACAATTATCTACTCCCGCTAGTGTCAAGTGTGACAACATGCACACATGACGCCGTGCTTGCGTTTCCTGCAAATGACATTGTCGAATATGAAAGGAGGACCTTCAGAAAGCCCCATTTCCTTGTCGTCGGGGGTGTGCGCAAAGTTCAGGAGAAACTGGCCGAGAATCAAAAGGTACACTATGGCGCCAAGGTTTCGCAAGTCCAGGACATCGGCAACAACGAGGTCCAGGTGAGTTGGACCACTAGAGACGGTCAGGCCCATGCCGAGTCCTTTGATTTTGTGATTATGGCGGTCACCCCTGATGTCGTCGGTGCAATCTTCCCTCCTCTACGGAAAGTCATGGCTGAAATACCGACTGTCCCTGTGGAATCGGTTGTACATTATGATTTCTCCCGCATATCTCGATGTAGCAATCATCTGAAGCAGCAGATGCGCCCGGACCAATCCAACTCGTCTGTGGGGTTCAATCTTGCGCAGCCAATCCACATCTGCTCCGATTTATCAGCATCGGAGTCGATACACGAACATCCTTCATCTGCCCTTATAACCACCTTTCCGATTGGCCCCATTGATCCGGACAAGGTCGTCCACCGGGCCAAGTTTACTCGTGTGTTGCGAACGACTAGGAGTAGGGCCATCGTCAACCGCGTGGTCAACACCACGCCCTATCAGCACTTCCTGGGGGAGAAGCAGGAAGCCTGGAGGAATGGAGACGGAAACGTCTTCCTCGTCGGGGGCTGGTGCTGGGATGGCATGGTTATGCTAGAGGGTTGTATCTTTTCAGCCATGCGAGTCGCCAACTGTCTCGATGTGGAGATCCCATGGTTGGCCAACAACCCTCTTTCTCGATAGTTCGTGAAACGATACCCTGTTTCCTCGTCGTTCAACCGTACACTTAGTGAAGTACGTTCTGTTTCACCTCATGTTCTCTAGAGACGCGTGACGATGGTTTGGGAGTACATACATGCGTTTTGGTCAATAATACTATAGTAATAACTCATGTCCATAAGGGACTTCAAGATAGACACACGGCATGAGCTAATGACAGTGATATAGTGTTCTTTCTTCCCAGACTGACTTGGTGGGAGGGGGAGTGGTATCTGGGCTGGGTAGATGTAGACTTGAAGAAGCCCGTCTGCCAATCGCCCCGTGAAATGGGAAGTGTCACGTGCCAAGGACGACATCATCCTCCGTTGCTTCCCCGAAACTACTATTCGTCCTCCTTCTCAGCCCGACAACTCACCATGGCAGTGCTTACCCTGTCGACGTCTTTCCTGCAAACATAATACATCTTGTGTTCGAAATGTTTTATGCTCAGTCAGCCCTCTCTGCGACGTCCCGCTGGTTATTCATTGATGCCAGCGTAGCAGCTGCACCAACGGTTCGCCATCATGCCGAATGAAGTACTCCAGTGCTCATATCCGGCATACCAACCCACAGAACAGCTCTTGAAATGTCTTCAAACGATCAAAGAATCGAATTGCTTCCGTCCGAAGTGGTAGCGAAACTGAAGTCTTCCACGATCATCACGCATCTGAATGGCGTGGTTGTTGAACTAGTGAAAAATGCATTGGATGCAAATGCCCATGTCGTCTATGTCACGGTTGACTTCCAGCGGGGTGGCTGCGTGATAGATGATGATGGGTATGGAATTCTACCGGCTGAGTTTGAATCCGACAGCGGCCTGGGGAAGCCGTATCGTATGTGCGACACTAGCCTGTCAGCTGCTTGCGCCTATTTGCTCATCTGCAGACAGATACTTCGAGGCTTCACTCGGGGCGGGAGGTGTATGGGCAGCGAGGATCTTTCTTGGCTTCATTGGCCTCTCTCTCGTTACTGACCATCACGTCTCATCATATCCACCATCCTAGCACTAACACACTAATATTTCACCACGCAACGCCGGTTGCTCGACTGGTTCCGGCTCCAGCCTCGCGAGGGCTGAGGTTTAACAGCCATGGGACCAGCGTTACCGTCAATGATCTTTTCGGAAATATGCCTGTGCGCGTTAAAAACCGAGCACTAGCTCTCCAGAAGCCCGACGAAGTCGATCGTCTGTGGGATGAACTCAGACAGCTTTTAGTCTCTCTCATGCTGGCAAACGATAGTCTTACAAAGCTAGTAATATCTGATGCCAGTCGAGATAAAAAGCTCGTCATACGTCCGCGCAATCAGAGCCAATCAGCAGATGGTACGTTAGATTTGCAGCGCATAAGCTCCGTCCTTGCGCAAGCAGGTTTAGCCGAATTTCAAAACACTCAATGTTGGAACGCTGTCTCGGCTACTCTTCCCGACCTCTCGATCCATGCTGCCATATCCCTGAAGCCAAGCCCCGCAAAAAAGGTTCAGTTCATCTCGATAGGGATGAATCCAATCTATCCACGAAACAGTGCAAACCTGCTTTATAGCGAGATCAACAATTTATTCACTTTATCGGATTTTGGTGCTATGGGAGGGCCACCGATGCCCTTTCTGCACACGGATCTAGCCGAACCTCTTGGTGATCATAGTGGTGCAAAATCCAATCCAATGGCCAAAACTGTAAACAAGTGGCCGGTGTTCTATATACGCATAAAAACCAATGCCCGAGAAATTAATGATGGCGATCATTTTCCCGAGTCAGACAAATCCATCCAACGCATCATGGACGTACTTGCAGCTATGATAAATGAATTTCTAAAACAGCACGGTCTCCGCCCACGCGCAGAAAAAAGGAAAAGGAAGACGAACCAGGCACAATTGGCCGCCCAAGACACCGGCAACCCAACGGTGGCAACAGGCCATTCAGACAACTTCAGTACCGAAGAAACGCTCAATGGTCATGTTAAGCTACCCAGCTTTCCTATTCCCACAAGGCGCAGCGGCGAGGAGTTGGGGACTTGGTCTAAATTCAAGAGTGCCAAAGACTCTCTTAGCGCACATTCTGGAAAGTTTATTCCAGAGAGTGGCCCCGGTCGCTCATTGAAAGTGGACGAACAAACTACCATTGAAGAGTCTCCATTGGCTATGTCTATGGCCATCGAACAATCGAAGCCTGCAGAACCGCGGCAAGATGGAAATGACAACCCTTCAAGGATATTGTACGACAAAGATGAGTCTACAGCGGATCGAATAGTGCCCTGGACTGATCCCTATACTGGACGAAGCCACTTGATCAACTCGCGAACTGGCCAATCAGTCAGCGGGGCTTCACACATTGTTACCAATCTGGCAGACCAAAGACCTCGATCAACAGGGTTTCTCCAGACTGCGCGGACCTTGAGGCTTGGAGATCGTCCAAGGTCAGCGGTGTCTGCTCAAAATACATGGGTTAGCAACCTTTTAAATCATTGGGAAAATCCCACTTTTCGTCGCTCCGAGCAGCCCATACATGCAATTGATGCAGGCCACAACAGTGTGCCCGACACCATAGAAACCAGGACCCGCGACGTATCAGGTGAGCTGTGCGGCTTTGAAACCGCTAGAATATCGAAGTTTCGGGGCAAACTGCTCAAGCAAGACCTTGAAAATACAGAAGTCATTGCCCAGGTCGAACAAAAGTTTATCTTGGTCAAACTAAAAACCACCCCTGTCCACGAAGCCAGCGAGGCCCTCGCAACTACATTGGTTCTTATCGATCAGCATGCGGCAGATGAGCGCTGCCGTGTTGAGGCCCTCTTCGAGGAATTGTTCGTACCTTCACCGGGTGATTCCAGGCGTATCCAATCTGTCCCATTGGATCCATTGGTTTTTGAGATACCTTCTGTAGAACAGACCCTTTTTGGACGGCACCGGGACTTTTTTGGATCCTGGGGTATTGACTACACCGTTGAGCAGAAACCTGGGGAGAGATCCGCCTTTATCTTCGTGCACAGAGTTCCTTTGCTCATCGCCGAACGATGCCGGATGGAGCCAAATTTGGTAATTGAACTGATTCGCGGCGAGCTTTGGAGCCGCGAGGAAACGGGGAGGCGGCCGGATCGCACAGACGAAGACCAGGGATGGGTAGGCCGGCTCAAGGGATGCCCACAGGGGCTGATCGACCTGCTGAATTCTCGCGCCTGTCGAACGGCGATCATGTTCAACGACGAGCTCACGGTCGAGGAATGCCAGCATCTAGTGAGCCGGTTGGCGCAATGCGTGTTTCCATTCCAGTGTGCACACGGACGACCATCGATGATTCCCATTGTTGATGTGGTTGGTAAATTGGATGGTGATGAGGAGCACGGAGAAGATCCAAGTGAAGACGGATTCATGGGAGCGTTCCAAAATTGGGAGCCTGGCTTCTAAACCAGCCTTCTCGGGAAAGGAGCATACCAAACAGCCCTACGAAGTCGGGAATATCCAAGAACGATAATGATAGGACACATCGATGATATTAGTCGAAGGTGTCAACCAACCAGATATATATACAAGATAAAATACATGCAATCCTCCCAACGCTAACCGGTCATCCATTCAAGTCCCAACCCGTATTCCTGCCGTAGCCTTTCCAGATCCTATCCAATAACCCAAAGTAGTAACACAGTCCTTGCGACAGCCAAAACAAAAACAAAAATGTATCCAACATGTCCAAAACCAGGGTGATACATGAAAAGGTATAATCCGATGCAGAAAACAAAAAAAGCAGAGGTATAAAAAGAAAATAAGAAGACAAAGAAAGGAAACGGAATAGACAAGGGGCGTGGATAGTCCCCGTCAAATGTGTGCAAGAAGATTCCCAGCCGCGAGGCTTTGATAGTAACCGTGTATAGTATATCCCACTTTTTGTGATTTTCCTGGCACCGATTTGAAATCACCCTTTTGTTTTGAAGAATCCGCTGACTCCATCCGGCATTATCCTGATCCAATGTCGCTTTTGTTCAGAGCAAGGAAAGAATCGTTGGAATAGAAAAGATATCACAAAGGCCTCCCGAAAAAAGAAAAAGAAAATATAAGTAATAAAATATGCACAATAACAGAATGGTAAGGGAATAAGGAGGTGGTGCGTAATAGTGATAAAGATAATAACTCCGTATGAGATAAAAGAGAGCATTATAGAAGGAAGATGGCTGTCGTAAAAGTCATAACACGGCCGTTAAGCGAAGAGTCACCCGATTTAGCCATTCGTCGCTACCGACTTGGCTTTGGAGGGATGAGTCCAGGACAGGAAATCAAACTTGTCCTTGGCATTCTCCAAGATCGACGAGGACGAGCTGGTCTCGCTCTGCAGGTTGGGTCGCTGGGTTGCGTGAGATTCGCGAGGTTCCAGAACCAACGATCGGCGGTAGAACGTCTGCAGACTCTTCTCGCCGTTCGAGCGCACGCGGATCAGCTCGTTCTGCATCCATGCCTGTAGTTCGGGAACTTCGGTTAGGCGGTAGGGGATCTGGAATCGCTGCAGCTCGCTGATAATCTTGGCCGTCTTCATATGCTTATCGAAGTTGATCACGGCCATATCGCCATCGTCCGTGGGGAGGCTGCGTAGTGGCTGGTTGCCATGGTCGACAAACGTGAGGTCTGTCAGGTATGTGCCGACGAAGGGCAGACACGGAGGGACGTGGCCCTGGAGCCGTTGCCGGAGAACGGCATAGTTGCGCGAGACATCCACGATACCCCGGAGAAACTCGAGCGTCGTCTTGGTCTTCTGCGACACCACTTCCCATGTCCGCTTGAGTCGGGAGATCATGGATGAGTTGAGCGAGCAGATGATGGCCATCAGGGAGTCATAGTTATTCAACTCCAAGCACTTGTTAGCAATCTTGACCCAGTGCTTGATAATGACCGCGCGTTTCTTCGGCTCCTCCAATTGAAGAATCGAATCGGCAACCAGGTGCGCCAGGTCCGTTGACAGAGTAGACATGGCCCGGACATTGACGGCCAAGGAGGCCGATTTCTTCATCCATTCTGTCGCCAGTAATTCTTCAGGAAGAATGGCGCAGAAGATGCGCGATTCCTTGATGGTGAACTGACGGGCCAGTTCCATGGGATCGAAATCCAGGATCGTGATATTGGCTTCGCCGTTCTTCCACTGTTTGAGCAGGTTCGCCTCCTTCTTGGTCAGTATGGGGGGCGGCAAGGGCGTGTCCGGATGCACGTAATGTGCCGTTGCTGTGTTGGTCTTGCCCATTGAAGACATCAGACGCGGTACAACGGGTCCATGGACCTTCGAGACCTTGTCCGTCAGCTCCGCCAGGCGTTTTCCGGCGGAGGGCAAGTTGTGCATTAGCGTCGTGTTGGCGAAGTTGACAATATAATCCAAGGCCGTGTTGTCACAATCATGGCGCCAGTGGGCCTCCAACCAGCCCTTGAACACGTTGTAGACCCGGAGACGGACGGGGCCTGCGGCGTGCGAAGTATCGCCGATATAGTTGAATCGATCCACAAGAGTTTCCGCGAACTCGAGCGGGGTGGCAAAGAGACGGAATGTCAGGTAGAATGTCGATACGAACATGGCATCCGGGGTCGACTGGTGGGCGGTGAGTTTCTCGACGAGAGCGCGGATGCTACCGCCCATGATCTGACCATCCTTGAAGATAAGCTCATGCGCGTAGGTCTTCTCAAGGATGTTGGCTTCCGTCTCTTCGTTCTCCTCCGCGAGAGTCGAGTGGCTGACGCTGCCTTTGAGGGATGGCACCTGGTAATGGTTTCCGATGTCCGGAGACGTGGCCCGAGTGGATGTCTGGGACACCCCGCTCATTTCTGAATCCCGAAGGTGGCTGTTGTATGTGAAACTGCTGCCGGTGCTCGTAACGCCCCGACCGAAGGACTCGCTGACCTCCGATTTAGGGTGGCTGTTACGATTGGGGGCATTCTCCGCAGCTTCTTGCATCGAGGATGCGAAGGAGATCTTGTCTAGGCTGTTGGATAGAACGGTGGTAGAGGGCATGGAAGAGAGGTCGGCAATGGCAGTGTCCGGGGTAGCCATTCCTGCGCGAGAGTTGAATGATGACGGCGTAGTATCATCGGTAAGGCCGGGGGTGGAGGTAGAGGAGCGGTTACCGATGGGAATCTGGAGGGGAGGAGGCGGGAGTCGCAGGGACTGGTCCTGGGAGCGAGTCTCGTCTGCGGTGAGGCTGCCAGTTCGCTGCGGTTGCGGAGTGGCGTTGGCATCTGGGGTCGTCGCCGCGTCGGTGGGAATCGGCTCCAGTTCGAAATCACCGCACTGCTCAAGCACCCGGCGAGCTTTGGCCAAGCAATTCCCGGCTCCTCTGACACAGTCAGTGGCGGCGTCGACCAGCCGCTTGCCCTCATCGGGCAAAAAGACCAGCTCATCCTCCGGGGAGTGAGCGGGTCGGAAGGCATCCCGTGCCGCATAGACAAGCTCGGACAGTCTTTCGTACATGGTATCCCGTGCTTGTTCCAGAAGTCCGCTGCCCTGCGGGTCGTGTTCACAGACCGCTTCGACGACCGTGAGCAGGCCGCGGCAGGACCGCACGGCCTGCTCCGTGGTCACGACCAGCTCTGTCGAGGGTCGAGACTGTAGATGCAAGCCAATGAACGAGCCGAGCACCCCGAGAAACGCGTCGTAAGTGGCGTTGAGTCGCTCGGACGCCAGATTCGGGTTCCGGGATGCGGCAGCGGGACCGGAGTAAGACACCCGATGGGAGATGGAGATCCGCTTGGTCGTGACCGATACGGGGCGAGGCGGCTGGGAGTCCACCGTGTCCGTTCGGTTGGATGCACGGCTCATGTCCAATCGGCTCCGGTTCAAGAGTCTGGACTCGTTTCGTTCGGTGTCAGCTTCCGAGGCAGCCGTGTCGAATGTGTCAGATGCGGGTGTAGGCGGCAGGTCGAAATGGGTCGAATGCTGCTCCAATTCGGCAATTGTACGGCTCAAGCCCACTTCCTCGTTCCAGACGTCAAGGAATCGCACCCCTCGAGTCACGATTCGGAAGGCCTTGAGAAGCATTTCATCCATCATGTACACCTCGTCCTCCGTGGCATTCCCGTTGGACATTTCTTGGCACTTTTTGGTGGTTCTAACGAGGGAAGACAGGTCTGCGAGCAACGCTTTACGGTTCCTGCGCAACCCATCATGGCCCCTAATCAGAATCGAATCGCGGGTCAGACATTCCGATTTTTCCTAGCAAACATCACGGTTAGAACACCAGATTCTTGCTTGTTTCCTTTCCCCAAAAGAAAAAGCAGCGAACACTTACAAGGAGGAACCGGACACCCGCAATCAAGCCTTTCACATTGTCCTGATTGCAGAAGTCCCTCAGAGGGAAGTCACATCCGCCTTGGATAATGTCCCAGAGGTCGGTCAATGCCTTCAGGAGCGGGCGCATCGGTAGTTGGTCGTAAGCTTCGCAGTAGTTGGTCGGTAGCCAGCCGCGGGCGCCTGTATCTAGTAGCGTGCCATCTGCCCATCCGTTGGTATGAACTGAATGCACCAAAATGATGTCGCCCTGATCCAAGGGCAGCGTGACGGTGGAAGGGGACACGTCCCCAGTGGGATGAAAAGGATAGAATGCGCGAAGATAGTTGTGGAAAACGGCTCTCGGAGTTTCCGTTCGATCCATGGTGTCGTCTTGAGACGTGGCGGTGGTCGTATAAGGTGTTAAAGGAGGAGTCATTTCAGACTGTTGTTGGGAGGAATAGTAGCGGTTTGTGTGGAAGTTTGAGTGTTCCTTTTCGATTTTCAACGGCGCAATGTGTGCCTTCATTGGTTCCATGTCTTCTGCAGTCCAATTGATAATTTGAAGGTCGTTTTCCTTGGGTTGGTCCCGCCGGACACACGAGGTCACTGACCACAGAATTAAGCGAGAGTGAGCAAGATTGACATCCTAGAGTATCAATTCACCGGGAACATGAGAAACTGTTTGTACTGGTAATGGGCCAAAAAAAAAAAAATTAAGATCAATGGCGCTGAACACTCGGGCAGATCAAGGCCGTGAGAGTGATAGATGTGTCCGCAGTCAACGAAAGTTGAGATGATTTCGGAACCGACAAGATTGACAAGCACAAGAATGCACAAGTGTCAACGGAAAGGTCCCTCGTTTGCACGAGAGGGCTGGGAGACAAGTGTTTGGGAAAGAGAGGGAGTGTTTTGAAAGGGAGTTGAGCATCACCTAGGGAATGCCGGATTCTAGGGAGGGGAAGGAATGGAAGGAATGCCGGGGAAGGGCAACCTGGTAACCAGACGTACCTTCCTAGACACGCATAGAGCGAAATGATTGGGATTTTAATTTTAATTTTTTTTTTTCTAAATCTCCCTTGAATCGACCAGGCGTGACTGTCTCTGGCACCAGCTACAGACACGTTCTCGAACCCGGATTCAAAACGAGGGATTCCAGGACGGAGAGGGAGACCCGACTCGCACGAGCACGGGCAGTTTAAGGTGGTTAGGAGAATAGTAAACAAATAAGAAAGGGCCAGGAGACGTCGACAGGGCCGAAGACTCAGTCCGGGTGGGATGAGGAAAGCCTGCCTCCTCGAACGAGATGATGGGATGGCAGCAAGGACCACGATCCGGGGTCGGAATCTTGCGAAAACAAGAATCGAAGGGGAAAGAGAGAGCAGAATCCGGATGCGATCGACGAAGATGACGAAAGAAGGAGCACCGAGAATCTCGAAGACCCCGAGGGAACGCGGGGGAGAGCAATGTTGATCTGGGTCTTCGCAGCGAGGATACGCAAGGGCGAGAAAGGACGTTCAAGACACGGCGCAGCAATCGGCGAGGAAATGAACGTTCTGCGGACGGAGCTCGGTTAGAGTGGTCGAATGGGAGTTTGCCACCAGCAGCAATGAAAGACCGAAAGACCAGCAATTATCCAGACAAGGAAATTGATTTCAGAACAAGGACAAAGAGAATAAGAAAGAAGGAAGGATCACAATGTCGGAGGGAGTGACAATTGGGGGAGGGGAGGGAAGGAGAGAGAGAGGGAAAGGAGGAGAGAAAGATGGGAAGATCCAGATGGATATGGGGAATAGTTCGGGAGGCGAGGAAGAGCCAGAATAAAAATAGGCCGGAATAATAACGGAGGGTGTTATGAAGGCGAAATAAAGAACGGTGGAGGGAGGGGGCACAACGGGACGCAGAGGACCCAGTCGAGTCCAGAGTAAAGTAAAACCGCAAAGCCAAAGCCAGTTTCTCCAGACTAGCGAGATGGAGAAAGCAGAAGGGCAGTTGGAGCAACTGACCTGCGTCGTTAATGTTATCCACCGGTTCTCGGGTGGATCATGTCTAGATTAAATCACTAGGTCGCGGTCGACCCAAGCAAGAGCACGACTATAAAATCGATCGCGTCAAGTCACCGTGGGCGACGGTCTACTAGTAGCCAGATTTTCAGTCGGCAGACTAAGCCGGACACTTTGCGAGACGGAAGAAGACGAAAAGATGATGGATGGCGATGAGGAAGAGGGCGAAGACGAGGGTCGTGGAGCAGGTGATCCGTGGGTTGGCCTAAAGGTGCCTGAAAAACCTGAACCAAAAAGAAACGGAAACCGAAAAACAGCAATGCTCTGCGATCAAATATCTCTGATTTGATCGACGATGGAAGATGCAGAAGAGAGAGAAAAACACCTGGAAAAAGCAACGATGAATGCCTGCCAGAGGAAAAATCAAATCAAATAAAAATAAAAATAATTTAATTAAAATCAAAAAAATAAAAATAAAATAAAATAAAATAAAAACCCAAGAAAAAATATAAAAAAAAAAAAAAGAAAAGAAAAGAAAAAAAAAAAAAAAAAAACAGAACAGAATAATCACACTAAGCCCATTCCAGCACTAGTGGCCACCCAAAGCAGGCGCCGATCGGCCATCACATTTTCTTCGTCGGCAGCTTCGATCGAATTGAACGCTTTGCCAGGCGGACTCGACAAGCCCTGAGGAAATCCGCACGGGAGTCCCTACGCGGTCGTTCTTTTGTTCGTTTGTTCGTTTGTTTCTCGACTCTGCTCTGCTTGACTCGCCCGAACAACGTGAATCCTGCCGCCTGGCTTCCCTCCGGCCAGGACTAGTCGGATTAATCTATTTTCTGGGTTGTCCTCCCCCCCTCTTTAGAGTGCAGACACCAATCATTAATTTATGTCATATTAAAAACGGCTCGAAAGGAACCAACCGGACCACGTCCTGCCCCTTAATTGCCGGTACTTTTGCAATCCTTATAATAACCCTAATAATGGTCCTGCCATCATCCCATATTAATTTTCTCCTTTTCTGGAAATCCTCGGTCGGAGGGGAGAGAGAGCGAGAGAGACAGAGAGAAGAAAAAAAAAAAAACATTGAAAACTGATACCTGCCCCGGCGACGAAAGGACTGACTGACACTGACAGTCAATAGATAACCCCGTTCCCAGGCACGGTTCCACCGATGAAGAGAGAGAGGTGTGCAAAGACCTGCATGGACAAAACAAGGATGCGCGGCCTCGCTGATTGCTTCTCGTCCTTTCTTTTCTCTGCCTGTCCGTCTATCTGTCGGGCCGGCTGGCTTGTCGAAGGATTGCCCTTCTAATTATGATTGACCATCCGACAGGCCAAGACACTAATTGGCACCGGTGGCGAAGAAAAATGCTGCCCTTGATCTGCCTTTCCCCCCCTCGCAGGCACGGCCTCGAGGCTGAATAATAAAGCATAACACGCCGTATGGCGGACGGGAATCATGATCATATGAAAAAATTCGGAGGACCCCTACAGACCCCAAAAAGCCTAATGACAATCCCATGATAACAAATAGCTGACAAAATCCAAAGACGAGGGCCAATTTTTGGGGGCTTTGGTGGGGATCGACATCGCAGCAACCGTCCCACGGTTGACAGAACCTTCGTCCCCGACAACCAGATAAATGCTCCAAAGTCCCATGCTTTGGGGTTTCTGATTCATGCGATGCTTGCCCTGCAAGATAGCATGCGGTGCTGCACGCGTCTGGTCCATTCTCAAAAATCAGAGCCAGGGGGACGGCTTTGCCTGGGCCTGGCCTCAATGTAACCTCGAAAGCCGGAGAGAAGGAGAAAAAGAGAGAAAAAGAAAAAGAAGAAAAAAAAAAGGGTATTTTTTTTTTTAGAAAATAGTGCCACTGGGTCAGGGATTGGCACTAAGCAAATAAATACTCATAATAATAAAGGTTGAAATTTAGACGATTCGACATGTCGACTGTCACGGGGAACAGGGGGAAGGGGATGGAGCGATGCATCACGGCCGGTCACCGTACGACGGTCTCCCCAAGCTCAAGAGACTAAACCACTAAAGCTGACTAGGTCGGTCGGGCTAGTACTTCTGGAGCAGGTTGGTCCATACGAAGGAACTAGCCTGCGGGCAACGGCCAGAATCTAACCACTTTCCAGACTCTTTCCAAGACCCCGGCTAAAATAGGTGCGGCGGATGCCCTCAGCCTTACTTTTCGCCCGCTGAATATCACAGACTCTCCCCAAATAACGGCCGATGTTCTTGGGGTTCTTGACGGAGGGCAGCGTGTAGCACAAAGCGAACGCAGGTAACCTAGCGATCTGCAGAGGCACGCCCTGTCGCGGGTGGTGGAGGTGCAAGAGCGATGAGCCAATCCTTCAATTCCGTCATGATGCATGCTCTGGATCCCTACGCGACGGGATGTTTCTATTCTCAGTGGGATCCTCTTGTCGTTATTCATCAATGACTTTCATAACTAGGTTAAGGGACCACGGAGTAGTGAGTTACTCCGTGGGAACTAGCATGGTGAACTAACTAGCCGTATTAGCCCATTAGTCAAAAAAGGCAATAATAACTAATTCAAATGGCAAAGGGCGATAATTGCGACGCAAGGGTAAAAATCCAAATTCAAAAGGGCTTGTGCATACCAGACTGGCGGACTTTACACTTTGTGCCCTCTCCGTCAATGCGGGTTTATGTTTACTGCGTATACTTGCCCCAAAATTGGAGGGTGACTCCATTCGGTGCATAAACTCTACCTGGGCAGCTCCAGGTCCGGATCGTTGGAAAGATGGTGTGCACGGTAGCCTCGGAGGCGTACGTGACAATTTTTGGGTCTTTCGCAGCTCCGGTGATGTCTCGGAGTTGGCGCTGGGTGGCTGTTCCGGGTGGGATCCTTCCCCGGGATAGAGAGGTCCTTAGCAGGTAACCATCTAGCTATCTGTGCTCCATCGCGTGTTTCTGATCCACAGTTGGGAGTCAATGATCGACGACCCATCCACCGCGTTGAGAAATCCGGTAGGGTAATATAATGCTGCTCATCCACATACCCTACGCGATGTCAAAGCACTCCCACTGCTCTCCTCGATGACGATAGACATATCCTCAGGACGGACGTACATAGACGCGTTGCATCTGCAGCAAATCCATCGGCCTGGTTCCTGGGTTCTGATCATCCCTACTGCCGCAGCAGTAATATCCCAGACAGGGGAGGAGAAATATGAGATATGATGTAGCACATGCATCAGGCCAATTCGAGGCCTCCGGGGCGCCCGAATCTATATTCTATCGCTCATTCGCCATCCAGGGCTTGCCACTCCCCTTCCTCTCATCGAAAGCTATTGCGTTTCCCCGACCGATAAAGTTTAGACCATTTCGAGCTCAAAAAGACAAAGACTCGACCCGGATGATGGTTCCGATTCCCTGTCCTCTTTGTAGGAGCTAGTCGTTTTAGGATCTGGCGCAGTCAAGGCAAATTTTGTGGCGCCTGGATCGTGGAGTGGCGTCTAGGGCTTACGCCGACTTGCATGTTTTGACAGTCTGACGGTGCCATTGCCATGCCTTTGGCAGAGGCGATATGACTGATCTGGCACGGTCGACGTGATCTTCTGAATTATTGAACCATGGATCTTTTTTATTTTCTTCCTATGTGCGGCGCACGGAAGGGGGCACACAATGGCTTCCACCAAGTATACAGAGTACTGCCTGCGTACAGTGAACTCAATAGGTAGGTAGGTAGTAGGACCGGGTGATACCGACCGTTAATGCCGCGAATCGTCCAGTCGAGGCCACTATATGATCATGAGCCATGAATCATACCCCATGAGCTAGGACGCCGAAAAAAAAGAAGGGAAAAAAAAAAAAAAACAGCTCCGACGGTCCTCGCCGGCAGAGAACAAAGAACTCGTTAGCCGGGTCTTGGGGTCAATGCTTGGACGAGCGCCAGTCACAGGCACGTGTTCACTCTCGTATGCGGGACTAAAGCGCTGGCCGGTCACCAATTGGCACTAAATCCGCCGACTAAGTCATTAGTAGGGACTAGGGAGACTAGATGATCGATGGACTGGATATATGGGCCGGGGAGCTGCGACTAGAGGAGATCGAGGCCAGACATTGCCTTCCAAACGATGGAACGGCGCATGCTCCATCGGCTTATCTTTCTTTGTATACTTCGTCGGGCTCCTTTCGTCCATCCCGGGAGAAATGCAATTGTGACGAGACCGCGCAGCTCGATTTCGGACGGTTGACATCCACCTTTCCCCTGGATCGCGACCGGGAAGGCAGGGATCAGAACCGAGGTTCAGGCGCTTTCTGTGCCGCAGGAGCACGCGCCTCGCTCCCCACTCGTCAATCCATGGTCGCGTTCCCTGGGACGGGATGTTCCTGGACCAACAAGATGACATCTTTGGGCGACACTGGCAACAGCGTCACCCCACCGGAGGAGCAGACAACGTAGCAACGCGGAACGGCACGAAATGAAAAGGACCTGGCCGTGGTCGCGGCTTATCTGCCACGGTCGCTTTCACAAAGCGAAAGCCAGACTCCCGTGCCGTGTCCGTCTGGGCGATGGGATGATCAATCCCTGTCGGAGGGAGCGACCGTTCCGTCCTGCGCAGGCGATGATATCAAGGGAGGAAACACGGAGTTATTCTGCGTATATCCAAAGCGTCCAAAACTGCGAGGAACCGGCAAGTCACGTGCCCCGTCATCGCAATGATCGCATCCTCCGTCATCGTTGATCCAGATCTCTCGCACCTCTCGAGAAATGAACCTGCTGCGGACACCATCAGACGATCAATGACATCGTCCGTCACCCTTTTGTCTGTTCTTCATCCACCCGGCGGTGCGTTTCATCGCCCGCGGTTTCTCTCCACCGCCCCAGCGTGTCCACCCGATGGGGTTCTTGAATTCCCATCTCGACGATGACTGGAGCGAAAGGAGGCGACCGACTCAGGGACTAGCTGAGCTCGGGACTGAAGCTCGCCAATGACCAAATCCCGGTGGCAGCGCAAACCCGATTCCGCGCCTCCTTATCGCGACCGTCCCATGATTCCCCCGGAGACACCATCGTATCCATTCTTTTTTTTTCCAGCTCCAAGATGTGATGGGCCTGCCCGATGGGCGCGAGTCAGATCGTCGAACGGTGGACACAAGTTGGATTCGCGTCTATTCCCAGACGGTCGCGACGATGGATCTGGACGGATCGTGGACGCTCCTGCTCCTGCTCCTTCTGTCCTGTCTTCACGGTTCACGTCACCCCCTTATATGGAGTACAATAGAATGATGTTATAGAACCCTTCCTTCGGACCCTGTCGGTGTATGACTAACTCTGTAGCCCCTATACGCAGTATGCGTACTCCGTACTCCAGAGATCTATGAAGAACCCTCCATGAAGCACACTAAACCATCCCTCCCTTCATCGTATCCAGTTACACACTCCCCCAGGGATTCAACGCTGACAGGAACAACAACAATGCATGGTTTTCTTTGCGTAGGATCGGGGTCTCGAGCAAAAGGACCGGTCGCAACGAATGCCCCTTCAATCCGTGGGTAAGGGTGGACCCCTCGAGGGCGACTAAGGATCTAGCGCAGAGACCAAGAGCTCCTTCGCGCTGTCCATCACTGCGTCCCTCGTGCGCTCCACCTTCTGGGATAGGGAGTTGGTTGGAAGTTTGGAACTATGTACTCCGTACGCAGTAGTACTGCAATAACATGGAGGCAAAAGGATTTGGCATTCTGCACGAGCTCCGATTAGGCTCAGCCCTTGCCGTCCCAAAATAAAAAAAAAAAAAAAAAAAGGAGAGAACGACGGAGCATATACGGAGTAACACTGCGAGGATCGGAGAAAATGAGGGAGCGAAGCAAAAGTCCTGGACAGAGTCGGCTCTCCAAGGGTTCCCCCGTTGTCGGCCATTGGCCCTCGGGCTCCAATCTGCCTGCAGAACTAACAAGACTATTTACTCCCCGCGACTTGCGGATGGACAGGGGCCATGACAGCTCTGGATGGAGTCTGCACGCAGAATTAGCCGGATCCTACTCCGCAAGGGGCGGTCTCACGGTAGGGATTCGTTCTATAAGTAGATGGCCCGAACCGAGCCTGCGTCGCCGATCCAGGCAGGTTGCCTGGATAGGAGGTTCTGCCGACCGATCAGCACGGTGGTATCCTGTCCACCGCACGAATAGATGCCCTTGATTGGGTCGTTTGCCCAGCCTTGCTTGTCTATCAAGTCCCGACATCTGCACGAGCGCTCAGCCGTATGGCGAGGCGGGGTGTGGGTTGGTCATGAAGGACTGGATCGCGTCTCAAGTAAGTCATCACATCACAAGCCCTATTACACACCGACCTTCTTTGGCTGTCTGATCGGAGGATATGTGGCCTATACCTAGGCAAAGATGCTTGTGACGGCCGATCGATGGCTTTCTCATCTCCGGACTAATGATGAGAGCAGTTGACTTCCGCGGTCAGGTCCGTGCAAGTGATACGGCTGAGTTTATTCTCCGACGAAAGACGTTCCGATTTCTACATGGCACTCCGCAGCAGGTACGCAGTGGATGCAGGTGATCTGTGCTGGATTGACTGGCTGATTGATAGTGATGGTTAGACCGCTAGATTCAGATCCCCTCGGCGTTTGAAAGACAGAAAAACAAAATAGCTGAGACCCGACAGCTGAGTCAAAAGAAAAAAAAAAGTATTGTCAGCTGCAGAACCAATCAACCCTGGAAGATTCTTCCGCGACGCTGCAGACAATGCCGGTCAAGTCCAGCCGCTGCACGCTCCAGGATGCGAAGAAACAAACACCTTCAAGTCGAAGCCGACGCGCGTTGACGTACGGTACTTTATCCAACATCCATTCCTGCCCGAGAGCCCAAGCAAGCCCAAGAAAAAGGCCTTGACGTTGAAAAGGCAGGGTGTGCAGCAAACACGCCGAGCAGAGTTGGTCGGTCAATCAATCTGCACTATACCACCTGCACTGCGGCGGACTGCACGGTACCTACAGGACCTCACCGTCTGCGGGCAGAACATTAATTAAGGATTCATGATGGATGATGAGGGGAAAAGGACACTAAAGATGGCTCGAGCTCGGTCCCTCCCCAGTTCGGTCAAGTCCAGTGGAGCGCTGCGTCTGACAGGAAGAAAAGACACAAAAAGACCGCCGCTCGTGGATGTCCATTCGTCCACTTTTTGCAGGCCGTGCATTTACCTGCCAGCCAATGGAGGCCATTAAAGGGTAAAGAAAAAAAAAAAAGTGTGTGATTCCTCGTGCAGCTGCCAATGCAGCCCCGTCCTCCGCCATCACGTTGCATTGTGCATTGTTTGTTAAGGTCTTTTTGCCGGACAAAGCAATAGACCTATGAATCATCTATTATTAATTCGGGAAATCCCATTTTGTTCCCCTCCCCGGTCTGGCGTCGGGACAGACATACTGCATGGGGCAAGTATGTGGACAGGGGATCCCCGTGCGACGAAGAGACTTCCTGCATACATGAACTGGCGGTGCCAATCTCTCTGCGCGCGACACGCGTCGTGAGAAACCGAGGCAGGAAAGAAACAGAGTACACCGTACTGACTGCTAGGAGAGACTCACTCCTTGGCCAGTTAACCCTACTTTACCCTAAGTAACCCTACAGTCCCGGTTAAGACATCCCTCCCTTTGTAGTATCCAGGACAAGGCGACCGACCACCCTGATGTCCAAGGCAAGTAATAAATCACCGTAAGACACTGTAAACCATTGATCAAAGACACTGTGCAATAGTCAACATTTCCTAGAATGTCAATCGATCGCATCGCGCAAAACGCGTCGAAACATACCATCTCGATGGCCACATACCAATTCATCCCAGCCTCCCTGATCCCAGGACAAAGTAGACTGGTATATGAATGAAATCCTATCGAGGCTCAGGACTAGAAATTCAACTCAATTCAATTACTCTTGTCTATTATTCTACTTGCCATCCTCTGTCTTCATCTTGTCCATCGCGGTATAGTTATCCGCTTCGCACGATACCCGTCCCTCCATACAAATATATAGTATAGTCTACTGCACTATACCACCTGCAAAATACTTCAACCACCACCCTCACCATAAAAGTCCATAACCACTACAATTCAAAATGAACCTCTCCGCCGTCGTGACCATTTCTCTCGCCTCTCTCGTCCTCGCCTACCCCATCCCCTTCCAGCACCGCCGGGCCTTGAACCCGTTCGCGCTGACGGAGAAACTGATGCCTCACTCGGGGATTCCCCAGACGGTCGGAAAAGTGGGCAAGATCCTGCAATCTTAGGTGTGTGTTGCTGCTTCTATAGTTGAACAGGGGGTTGGAGTGTCGAGAATGAACTGACAGTTCTTTCTGGTAATAGACAGGACTTGGCTATGGGTTGAAGGATGATGGATACTGATACTTATGTTACGGTTTTATGACTTGACTTGATTGGCTTGTTTGGTGTCTTTTTTTTTTGGCTCTTTTTTTGGATGAACATTTGATGCGTTGTAAAATGGAACGGATTATTGATATCACATGTATGCTTCGGAGTGGAAATAAATCAATGGTATTCAAGACTTCATGTCCAATTCGGGACACAACCCCCTCACATTAGAACATGCCCTCCATGTCGAGATCCAGAAACTCCGGATTTCCCACCGTCATGTCCGCCGCACTCAACATGTCGTCGATGTTGGTGTCGAGACCTCCGCCCATGTTCTGCCCGACGCCGCCGTCCATGCCCACGGCCGCCGCCGCGTTGCCCATGATGCGGGTGAGGTTGGTCGCGTCGTCTTCGCCGACCTCAGGGCCGGCCCCCGAAGGCTCCAGATCCATCTGTCCGGGGCCCTCGACGCCGAGCTGCATGTTCTGGATGATGTTGCTCATGTCGAGGTTGGGCATCTGGGTGGTCGGCGCCGTCAGGGCGTTCACGCGGCGCTGCAGGCGCACGACGATTTCGGCCCGCAGCGGATCCTTCTCCGACATCTTGGCCACGTTCTCGTGCTGGATGAGGAGCGCGTCGCGGAGGGTCAGGATCGGGCAGCGCGGCAGCGCCTCCTTGCTGGGATCGACCGGGTGGTAGTGGCTCTGCTCGACGGCGAAGGACTCGGCCAGCGGCGAGCAGATCATCGTCGCCGCGATGTCGATGGTAAGCGGGCCGTTGCCGGCCTCCGTCTGCAGCTTCAGCTCCTCGATGAGGGCTCCAAGAACGCGTACGGAGCCCAAAATGCGAATGCCGGCGATGAGCTGCCGGTGGGTATACGCGGACGGCGTCATGCTCACGTCCGGGCTGGTGCTCCAGAGCATGAGTGCTTGGAACGTGCTCCGAATGCTACCGAGCAGGGAGCCAGGAGCTTGGGTCCAGCCATCCAGCTCGGAACGGCCACAGCTGCCGGTCCGCTGGAAAGAAAGGCAGGGTTCAAGAGCGTCGAGGATGGGTTTGAGATCCGTGCGGGACTGCTGACGCGTCCGGATATCTTTCAGTTGCTCTTCTAGAGGACGCGCGGTGATGTTCAACACCGTCCGATGGATCTCCTTCGCCTCTCCAGAGATCGAACTGGGGCTCACGAGAGAATGTAGCGCTTTCAAGGGTATAGAGGGATCATTTTCGCTTTCCCAGATATGATTGCCCAGCCAGGCTAAAGCAACCACTAGTGACGGAAGAAGGAATGGTTCAAGCAAATCTGATCATACCAGTCAGTGTCCTAAGTTCCAATGTTTGCGTCCGCATTTTAAAAACTCACATTCAAATCCTCCTTTGAGCGTTTCGAATTCCAATTTCCCCGCTTCACAAGCTCCCAAGCTCTGGTCAAATAAAGTGGCCACAAGAAGATAAAATTCCTGTGGACTACAAGCCGACATGGTTTCCTCACTGATGCCCTCTGCGATAAATAAGGCACCAATCCACGACGCGAGGTTTTTATTTTGCTTCTCGTTCAGATCCTCTAGCTTCTGGCTGCAGGATCCACGCTCAAGCAATTTTAAAACAAACGAGTCATTGTTTCCGATCCCAAGGTCGTATGGTTTCAAGTCGTATCGATATTTAAAGGTTAGCACCAAGAGCAGAATGCTTCCAAATTCGTCGTATACAGGCTGACTCTCCCCTTGATCTTCGTCCCAGTGCCATGAATCCAGCAAAGCACAAAGAGGTTGTAGTATCTGCCTTGGGCTTCGGAACAGCAGGATCACATCCAGAGCTTGCGGGCGGCGGGAGAGCGAGTTGCATATATTCTTCAGAGTCATGGTCTCTTTCTGGTTGCACAGGTTGAACATTACCTGACGTACGATTAGTTCTGATTTAGTCAACACCAAGAATCGGTGTCAGAAACCATACCTCGGTGATGGCACCAACAATCGCTCCCGCATTCCCCTCTGTAGATTCAATTTCACCGATCAACTGCTCAGTGCGCTCTGGGTGCATGTTGATCTGCGACACAAGGTGGTCTTTGTTATGCCCGACGGGAACAGTCTGCATGGGGTTCTCGCCGAGTAACCGTTCAATGCTGGACTCGGGTATCAATTTGTGAGAAGCGCAGGCAAACAGAAACTCCTGGCGCACATCCGACAGGACTGTGCTGCCCTGCATGGAAAACATCTGCGAGAAAGACGGGAAGATCCGGGGATCCAACCGGCTTAGCGCATGACTGATGCATAACTCCATCGGTAGGGACACTACCGATGCCGCGAGCATGGCGGCAAAAAAGCCCGGGAGTTTGTTAACCAAGAACGAACGGAACAGAAACATCGTCCGACTGGATTCGTTGCGATACATTGCATTGGAAAGCACGTCGAAGGCGGCAGTTATGATCTCCTCGATCAGCACCTCATTATGACCCTATGCAGATCCGTTAGCATATGAATAACGAAAATAAAAGCACCATCAACCTACGCCGTATCGATTGGTCAGAAAATTGAGCATCATAGTGTCATCGACCAACGGACGGCCCGCAAGCTAGAGAAAAGAGGTCAGCAGAGACTTCCAAGATTTGTGGCTGTTCCTTACCATCGCGTTAATATAAATACAGAGACCAGCTCTCGAGTTTATTATAGGGCCATCCATCACGGAAGCCTCGAATTGTAGCGCATTCACGTTCACATTGTCCATCATGGATTCTTCCAAGGACTTGGAATGCGGTTCTCCGTACAGATTAAATTCCTTCTGCAGGCTGTCCAATCTGTTCCGCAGGGCCAGCGAGACCTCCATACAGAGAGGCAGGTACCCCGATAGAGCCTGGCCCAGTTTCACCTTCAGCGCTAGTGAATGTCAGTCAAAGATGAGCATGTCAAATAAAGCATCCAAAGATTGATGAGAGGTACCTTCGTGCGAATTCGAGGACAAAACGTCCAAGCCTCTAGTCGTACCAGACAAAGCTGCCAGAAGAATTCCCAGCGACTCGAACAAGGAGACCGCGTCCGGGGAGCTCAGCAGCCCTTCCGCCTGCTGGCTGGCATCTAGGTGATTGTTGTGCCAAGAGACGACGGCCTGCATCCAATCCACGATGGCAGCAAGGATGCCGACGGCCTCGGCCAGGCTCTTTGGGGCGTGCCCCGTGGAGATGGAGAGCATCGCATCTTGGATGATTCGGATATCCGTCATGAACGTATAGCATTTCGACGGCTTCTTGGGGTTGGCAGCCGTCTCCGAGTCGGCCGAGAACGGTCGATCATGAATGGACGAGTATTTCAGCAGCGAGTGCAACACCGTCGACGTCTGCACCTGGCCCATTTTGCAGAGGCAGTCTACATAGAGCGGGAGCAAAGGATCCCACTTGATACCGGTTGCCAAGCGCGTCTCGAGCAGCACGTTCAAGAGCGGCGTCTCGCCTATGGGGCATTTTTGTAGGAGGAGCTTTGACAGGTTCTTGAACTCGGCTGCATCGATGCGATGCATCAGACACTGATGGAGGAATGTCCCCCATTGTTCGGAGGACGTCATGATCCGGGTATTCTGGCCTTTTGCCGCGGCTTCAGCGCACTCATAACAATCCAGAAATCCAAATGATTTAGCACATAGGTCCGGGTTGATGGTCCTGGTGCCCAAATCCAGGCATCTTCAATGTCGAAGAAGCGTACAAAGGTATCGGTCACGGGAACCGTCGCCCCAGCATTGTTTGGCAAAACGTCCCGGATTCGCACGTGACTGTGTTATATAATCTAGATCACATGATGTGGCTTGTGCAGTGGTGCCTCAGGCGATAACACGGTCGGCTTATAGTTGACGGCCTGACGGCCTGACAGCCGGGCTGACACCTGGAGATGATGGCACTGGCCACATTGTCATTGTCAAGCCTCCAAAACATCGGTGCGATGCCGAGATTCTCCCTCCGTACTTTACTTTACAGAGAACAGGCCCCGTACGGCGTACAGATCTCGGAAATAAATTCAGCCCTTCAATCAAGGTCCCGGTGAATACGACTACGACTACTAATACGGAGTAAGGAGAGTTAAAAGATTACTAGCAGCGCCCCACCACTTGAGAACCACGGAGTACCTACGGAGCATTACCTACCTCGAGGAGGGTTTCGATTATCGTCACATCCTCACGCCGAGTTCCGTCCAAGGTACTTCCGACGGCGAACCCACCGCGTGGTTCGCACCACACACCGATTGAGTAACCGATGTTTCCATGGATCCATCCAACGGCCTGAGGATAAGAGACCCGTTGAAACAAAGACACGGACGAAGGCCTGGTTCCAGAATAAAAAACACCGTTCAAAGTCCGGATTGGATACCTGATGGTGAGATCCCAGGGAACCGCGTAACGAAAAGACCTACTACGGGGTTGTCAAGCCAGTAAGGAGGACGGAGATAGATCTTGTGCGAATCTGGCATCATCTCCTTGCCGATCTCTCCCCCACCCGATTAGCGAGAGATCTTGGGAAACAGGAACATTTTCCCAGTGTAATCTATTGGTATTCTTTATTTTTGTTATGATTGTTTCAATACCAGTAGCTTCCCCCCGAGCGACTGAGGGGAACGGGAGGTCTACGGAACCAGTCTCCAGTTCTTTTGCTATCCTTTCACTGGCAATCCAGATGAGAGACCGGGATGGTACCGACAGCCTACCTACAGAAACAGGTCTCGGAAATATCCATCAAGCCCTATTTCCGAGCCTGCATGAGAGGTGTCGAACCGGAAAGGGTGAAGATTCTTTATGATTTCATAGCGTGCAATGCACTTGCATGACGGTATATGCACACACAGAATACACACTTGGTGACATAAATCGGGAACCGCTAGTACTCCGTGGTACGGAGTACACAACATGTGTTTACCACATTGATCCCGATCGTAAGGAATCCTCGAGCGTCATAAACCGCAATCCAAAACGGAGAAGAGGGGGCATGAAGAACAAAAAGGAAGAACCCAATTCAGACGAAAGCAACCACGCAAGGCACAGCAAATGCAGCAGAAGCCGACTAGAAACACCAAGAATCCATGACAGATCATTCCACGGTGACAAACCAAAAGCCGAACTCGGCAGATCAGCATTGACCTTCCAACGCACGACCCTGATATGCACGGCCAAGTCAATAATGAGGACATAAACCCTCGACTATTGAAACCCTCCTTGGTCTGCAGAAAGAACTATTCACGGATGGGCTGCAACTTCCCATGTGACCGGCATCTGAGAGACCAAAACAAGGTCCTGACCAACCAAACGACCATGGCAGAAGCTGCCAGATGACGCGTCAAAAACATGGCGCGAAATTTTTCTTTTTCAAAAAAAAAAAATACGGAGTAGAGAGAAACAAAAGCGAAAAAAAAAAAGAAAATCTCCGAACCACGCTGCTTTTCATGTGCATGATTTTCTTTCCCACCGGGTGGAGCCTGTTACCTGTCCAATGTGGCTAGCGGCGAGGGGTTCTTCTGTCTCCTGGATCATCAATTCATTATATCGATCCTGACTCCGTAATAATGATGATCCATGCGGCAAATGGGCTTCCGGCACTCCGCAGTCGGGAGGAGGAATTCCTACCATTACCACCGGGGGATGGCCTCTTTGATGTCAGCCGGGAGAAGTTCGCAAGACCCCCACTCTCAGGGATAAACAAGCGTACCCAGCAGGAATACCGGGGCCCTGACTGAGTAAGGTAAGGTAGTCCGCAGTCCGTAAGAGACCAAAAGGGAAATAAAATGAGAACCAGAACAACACAAAAAAGGGGGGCGGAACGAGAGAGGAAGGGGGCAGGACTCAGTAGGAACCTAGAACTTCCCGTCATTCCCATTGTGAGCTGGAAACTGGAAAGACATTCCCCCCCAAAAAAAGGGGGGGCGGACCAACAACATCGAGATCCGGGCGGACGGAGAGGTCATTGGACGGACTAAATCGAGTCTATCAGCGAGGAGAGCAAATCACGACGCGTAGGGGCACCTCTGGGGGAACGGCATGACATCGAGGGCCCTGAAACGGGCCAGAAAGGGGATGCGACCCATTGACCGTTTTGTTTCAGTTTCCGCAGAGTTGAAGAGCACAGCCAACCGCCGCCTGGAGATGGGGAATCTGACTCGCCGGGGGTCACCCCGATAGGCAGGCGCAGCTCAGATCGGGTCTTTCCTGACTAACCCGGTGGGCGGGGTGGAGTTGGAGGATGGCACTCTTCCTACGGAGTATGTACGCAGGATGTCATGTATCTAGAATGTAGGGAGATGGGTGCTACGTAGATATTTAGGTATCGTCATAGATACCTAGTACGGAGTATATGCCATACAGATCTGGAGGAGTACCGACAACAGAATCAGTCTGAAAGAATCCCCTGCGGGTGACAGGAATTGCTCCCGGCACCCCCGAGCGCGAACCCTCGATGGCCTGGAGGCTAATCGGTCGGCCCCGCCCCTTCAGCCCGCCACCGACAACCTTCCGATCCCAGTCGAAGACTCCAGAACAAAGTTTAAACCCTCGACTGGATTGCCCGATTTTCAGGTCGAGTCCTCTCGCATTCGCGTGGCCAGGCCAGAATCCGATGAGGATGTCGTTCACCGTCGGTCGCCCTGCCCCTCCCTGCTCCATCCAAGGGAAACCTTCCGCTCATACTAGGCAGGGACTCCTCCGTACGTACCAAACACAAACCAGTGGGGTCACCGCGGACCTAAGTTTTTTGGCGCTGCTTGTACCCGGAAGTAGACCCAGCAGTTCCGGTCCAGGGGGGAAGAGCATCCATCGGTCACCTGTTATTTCATTTTTATACGGCAGGAGAATCTTTGCCGCTGGCCTGATTGGAGTTCACCGAACCACGGGGTCTGCATTTCTGTCCTCGGTATTTGCTCCGCGGCTTTCCCGCACCGCAACATGGCTTGTCGAGATGAAGTCGGGGATTTTTTTTTCTTTCTATAGATAGAGATATATATTTGGTATGTTTTTTTTTTTTTTTTTTTTAAAAAAAAAAAAAAAAGTTAAATTAAATTAAAGTAAAGAGAAAAAAAAATCAAACCATCTTTCTTCCTCCTGCGTACTGGTTAGGCCTATTAGGTAGGTAGCCCCTGTTCAAAGACAAGCTGATCTCAAGGGCCAAGAGCCGCCTCGCTGCCTTGGATGTACAAAAGCCTTTCAACCCTCGGCAGAATTACACCGTCGCTTCATCTACGGAGTGCCTATGGGACTTTGGTCCCGTTTCAAAATATAAAAATAACAATGAAAAGGGGGAAACGAAATGAAACTTCAGGACAAAGGGGAATCTTTTTTTGGGTAGTTACGTCGAAAGGGTTAGGTACATTTCAAACATGGGGGGGGGGGGGGGGGTCCCTAACTAACTTTCTCCCGCGCAACCAGCCGGGATAAATGAAGCAATATATAGGTGGATCCATGAGATCTATCGCGCTCAGTAATCAAGAAAAAAAAATCGTATGATCGTCGCTTCATGGAGAGAAGGGTGGGAAACGCAAAAGAAGGATCGCTGTATCCAAGTGCCCACAGAACTCCATCAAATCGCCCTGCGCAGTGATGCTCAAGAATGATAAAAAGGAAAACGGATTACATATATGCAAATTAACCTCGCGCGCTGCGAGGACGGGACAGTTGAGATGACGAGTCTCGAAGGACGTCCGGAGCCCGAGGCCCGACCATCCAATCTTCCATGGCGAGCCAGTCACTCCAACTTCTCTCGGCGGCCTCGATCTCCGAATCCAGTGGCCCCTGGAGCGGACGTAAGAACGGAATGGTTTCAAGGGGCGGCATGTCGTAGTCCTTCTTCACCGAGGCCCAGCCACCACTTTTGGCGGCAAAGAGATAGTTGCGACGCTCCTGTTCGTGTATGTATCCAACGCCTTGCCCCCAATCGTCTCCGAAAAACCCATGAAGCACGCCGGGGAAGTCCATTCCGGTGGCCACCAGGCGACGGATGTAAGGTATCAACGACACGGATGGAGGTAGACTCGAGGTTGACGACGATGTAGACGGCGCCTGCCCGGCAGCGGCAGCGGCAGCGGAGGACGGATCGGTGGATGAATTGAATACGGGATGGGGTAATCGCTGAAACGGAAGACGGATGTTCAGGAAAGAAGAGAGCGCTTGAACCGAGGCACTATGCTGCGCATGATCCAGGAAATACCGCTGACAACTCTGGTAATGAGGATACCATTCGAAGATATCAGGACTGTCGCCCGTGGCCCCTTGCGAAGCCTCGGCAAGTCCAACCATCGCGGACGGGTCGATTTGCTGGGCGGAATTCATCGGGGGTCCGGTCGAATGGTTCATTCGGTATACAGGGTGTCTGCTTTGAGGCTTGATCTTAGCGTTTCTCCTTCCCTGTTTTCGTTTCCATTGGCTTCCGCCATGCACCGCCAGCTTCTCGCTTGCGGGGGGCATTTCCAAGTCACAACCGTTGTTGGGAGACAAACGGGTGTAAATGGGGGCAATTGACCATGAACCACTGGAGGATGGCAGTCGGGGATAATTTACTGGTTTGAGAAGGCAGTCCTGCCTCGTCGGATGAGGAGCGAGACTCTGCGTCGGGGGGATGGCGATGGGGAAGGGGAGGAACGGAACAAGTTCCTGATAGAAAAGCCTAGTCCTCTACCAGGATGAGATTCTTTCACGGACATCTGTTAAGTGGTCCATCTATAGAGAGGACAACCACGACTCATGACAAGAAGACGAATTCAAGACGGGGAGGACAAGGATTCAACGAGGACACGAGTGTAATTCCGTGAGACAGAGGGGGCCCATTTGAGGATATGGGATGAGGGTGCATGGGACATACAAATGGTTTTTTTCTTGAGACCCGTGGTAGGGAAAAAGGAAGAAAAGAAGTGAGGAGACAGGCGAGAATAAAAAAAGAAAAAGAAAAAAAAAAAAGAGAGAAAAACAGGCAGAGAGAAACAGAGACAGAACTGCGGAGCTGGCCTGAAGTGGACTTGTATATTTAGGTGGTGACTAGAACAGGAACGGGTCTACCCGATGAAGTAGGCAATCTTTGGAACGTACCTGGAAAGTTGAATAGGTTGGCCCCCTCGGTGATGCGATTGAAATAGTCAGGAATAAAAAAAAAAAAACCACCTTTATTTTTTTATTGTATTCCTACTTATTTTTTTTTTCGGGAAGAGGGGGGAATTGGATTTATCTTATTAATAACCAATATTGGCGAGTGAGCAGGAAGAATAATCCTGTTCCCACCCAGATCTGGTTCGGCCGGGTCAGTTTAATTCAGTCCAGTTGGTTGGGGGTTGACCTGAATTCGGTCGAGAGGGTTAAATAAATCGTGGACCAAACCATAGCGTAATCAATAATAAGCGCAGTATTTATGAAGTAATATTGAAAAAAAGAAAAGAAGGGGGGAAATAAAACCACAAAATAAATCAAGCCCAATGAAATACCTGAATTCACAGACCTGGGTATTAAAACCTACGGTAGGTACGGAGAGTACCAAAGAAACGCGATGCAAAAGGGAGGGAACGCCGTGCTTTAGTGGATGGCAAAAAGCGCCATGGTCATCGCGTGTCCTTTTGCCTGCTGCGAGTGGATCCGGGAAAATGACGATAGGGCCGTAAAACTAGATCAGAGATATCGGTGCAGGTGCATCGATGCTCCATCCAAACTCCCTCATAGGTCCCCTGCCTTCCGTCCAATGCTGGCCATAGACTCTGTGTCTTCCAAAACCGGGCTGGTAGGGATGGAGGTATCGTGCATACATTTTTATCTCGATGGGCAGAAGCGAGATCTGTGACTTGGAGCGCTGCTTGGGGAAGGATCTCCCCGCTGCTTGGTTTAATTATTATTTTTATTATTATTACTGAGGTTTAAGGTTTGATTATTGATTTATTCTTATATCTACTCCATATGTACCAAGTAGGTTCAAGATGTCGGTGCGAAATACCCAACAGCATAAGCATGGCCTTTTTTTTTTTTTTTTTTTTTTTTTTTTTTTTTTTTTTTTTTTCCTCAATAAAATCCTTGATCTTAATTTACATCTTACACTCCGTATCCCTGGACCCAAGCGATTTGGAGAATGTCCCGCAGATCTCTATGACATTCCCCCCCTACGACGGGAGAGAAATAGAATGCTAGGTATTTACCTTGATTACTAGTCGGAACAGAAGGAGAGAGAAGACGAAAAGAAAAGAAAGAAAGAAAAAAAAAAGCGGCACCTCGCTCAATGTGCGAGATTCACGATCGCCAAATCCCGATCCGACCCAGTATGTCCCGCGGTAGACCCCTTTACGGTACCAGACCGTTCAGGGACTCCATACAGTACCATGGTTGCGAAGGTATTAATAACGTCGCTGAACCTCCCAATGACAGGTATTCGTCGTGAACAGGACCCAGAGTCTCTCGCGGGGGGTTGTCTACTGCGCCTACCCCTTCTCCATCTGGACTTGGATTCCAATATCCACTGCTCTCATCTATAAAGGAGTGACGCTGTGTAAGTGGCGTTCCTATAGTCTTGTCGCCTTGTAGTACATGCTCTGCGGCGGCCAGAGCCCTCTTCACGGGAGAGAAAGTAGAGCCCTGGATCAGTACATAGGTAGGTAGGTAGATAAATATTGAGTCGGGGATGTCTTTGTAAAGTAGAAATCCATCGCTGCGGTTGCTGTTATTTTCGGATTGGTATTGTCGCTCTTCGGGTTTAATTGCGTGGGTATATTTAGCCACTAGGCCTAAGACTAAGTACCCAGAATATTGAAATCCCTCTCCGTTTCCAAATTAATCCATGGATAACCAGAGGGCTTGCAGAAACCAGGTCTCCAGAAGAGGAATGGATTGGTCAACGGTCACGACCTTAACTCGACAGCTGGAGGGGTGGAACAGTCCAATTGACGAATCTACACTTGCATCCGCACTCGCTCCGTATCCTGTTCAGCTCACGGTCTGGAATATAGCTAATAGCACGAACCAAGTTCCATTGAGAACACCCGAGTACCAAGCAGAGAAGAGAATGGCAGGAACAGGTAGTCGGTGGCAATGAGTCGGTAGGTACGTATAGTAGGTAGTAACCTAATCCGGTACCTGGTGGGTAGTCGAACAAAGAAACGCCTTCCTGCACGTAACGGCCCAGGGTACGTACGATACCGTAAGCTTCTAATCCGCCTGGTAATGACTGATTTAAATGCAGTAATTCCATGGAAGGTAAGTAGGTAATATTCTCGTCGTAATGGTAATGACAACGGACGTACGTGCCTCTTGAAGCCGAGCTCCGTCCTTTTTCGACCGACGGTTTTCCACCGACGGATTTGTTCTTCAACCTCCCTTCTACCATACGGATTAGGAATCCAACCCAGCATGCCCCTGTAACTCTATGCAGCGCGACCCGTTCCAGCAGGACAATTCCTGGAATCCAAAAGTCGCCACCTCGGGATGCGGAGTTTTGACACCGGCTCAGGTCCACTTGCTGCAAAATATCAACAACTGCATGCCGTTCATTCGCTGTCGAAAATCCTACATGCCGCTAGAGCTGATGATGCTCTACCTATCCAACCGCACGACTTAGACGACGCGACCCCGCACGCACAAAGGGCAATGCACCTCTGAAAAAAAAAAATCCATTGGAGTGAAGATCAACCCGACCATCGCAATCATGCAAGGTCATGTTCAAGATCCATCCAATAGTTTGGACTTGTATTTCATGATGTTTCTGGTTGACGGCTTACAAACACAGTCCAGTGTCTGCACGCCCATTCATAGATGTACACATGGTGGGAGAATGGAAAAGGAGCGGTGAGAGTGCCTGGCACAATCCTTGTCCTGACAGCTTTTGACAGGTATCGACAAGCCTCTCGAGTCTGATTGAGGTGGAATAGACGTATCGCCCGCCTTCGTATCCTGCACATCAAACCATGATTCGGTGCCGCGTCCTGCTCCGTGGCTGTTGTGTTTTGACCCCGTTGGTGGATTATGCTGACTGCGACTTGTTTCTTATCTAGCTCAGAACCATATGCAGTGAGACTGCGCCATGAGGCTTAGGACGGCATCATGACGATGCACCGGACAGGAGAAAGGTTGCTTTCATGCGAGACCACCGTTGATTGTGTCCGTCGTGCTGGAGGGTCAGCATCTGCCTAGCCTCTCCGGTAATCTTCTCTCGAGGCGGCATCAAAAGACCAGAGGTACCGCGCTGTACAAGTTTACCGACAAATTGTCAATCGACACCTCTTGCTCGCATTGAACCAGCCCTTACCGATAATCCCACATCATGCATCTCATGTATGCAGGACCGCATCCCGAAACCAAATTCGATATCAATTCCAGCATCTCAGACACATAGTCCCCTTTGGCACGTTCGCACAACTGGCTCCGTTAGTACATTTCAAGCTGGGTTTATTGGTGGTCTGACATCGGCGTAAGGGGCGAAGGGGCGAAGGGGCAAAACTGCATGGCGATATGCCAGAGAGAGAACGCACGTTTCCCTAAATGGGTAAACGGATATGGGGTAGCACATTGTTCTTCTGCAAGACTCGGATCCGAGAGAGAAAGGAATTTAGGTTTTCCAGCGACCCTCGGTGTACATTGAACCTCCCGTTCTCCTGAGATCGGTAGGGTTATGCAGGGCATTCCCGATTTGGCAGGTAGACATCAGCGCTAACTTTGCAGGTCGATGCCTGGTATCCAGCACCGAGGACTTTGGTCAGCCAGTGGTACACCTCGATGAATGCCACACAGACCACGCTAATCCAGGAACTCAGCACGGTCGGCCTATCATAGGAACCAGAGCATGAAACCGTGGAATAGGACCTACATGATGCTGTGCCAGTTGTGATGTCCTCGACTTCCTGCACGATTTGTCACCACCGGTTTAGCATTCAATCGATGGGTAAATCCCGCAGAGCAAATCATTCTATACTCGCCTGTGGCCTCAGGGATAGGGAGCGGCCGAGATCACGCAAGGAATTGTTGCCCCCTCTTCCCTGCCGTTGACCCATTCAGCCCGCCTCCATTGTTGGTCACTCCGTAGTGATTTCTTCCATCGGAGAATCCCGACGCCACAGGGATCGGCATGTTAGCCTCATTATTTTCTTGCCACAGTGGCGGAGGACTACGGTTCATAGCCACTAGCTTCACTAGCCTCCCTGGCATCCCTAGCCTCCCTAGCCACAGATGGCTGCATGGACCACTTGACGGTCTGAGCCTGACCTACAGATTATCCAATAGTGAGGCCAGTAAGCACTAACCTGTGAGGTGTGTCCAAGAGTCAACAGAGCAGCTGAGTGACTAGGCAATCTAGGCAATTGCACTTGCGCTAGGTTGGACCATTGATTGGATGAAAGGCTAGCTGATAACCAATGCTAGGTATTGCGGTACGGGATATGAGAATCTAGGGAGATATCACATAATCCTTAGCTATTGAGTGCTTTTAGTTATAGCAATGGAGAAATTGTTAGATGCAACCGGGTTACTCGCTTCATCCAGGGCCGGAATTCCGGAACCAAGGCTATGAATCGAAGCCGCCGTATGCTCTCTCGCTCTCTCTCTATTTGGAAATTGGGGTGACCGCTTTTTTCTAGAGCACGGTAATTCAGGATCAGAGCTTGATTTAAAATGTTCTTCCATTTGACTTCAACAGAGCCCCAGAAATCAGGTCTGAGTGCTATATGTACAGGGTATGGAATTGACTGCTCATATGTCTTTAAATCATGTCGACTCAGACTTTATTTTTCAGCAGCCGATTTTTCAGCCACAAAAATGACCAGAAATTGCGTCGGTTTCAATTTGACCCAGGAACACAATTTATATCATTAAAAAAAAAAAAAAAAAAAAAAAAAAAAAAAAAAAAAAAAAAAAAACGGCGCTCTAGAGACCATTCAAGCATTGTCCAAGTTCTGAAAAGAAAACCTACCTCCATATGGATAGGGCATACTGGCGACTCAATTATTTAACTATTAACAACACAGAGCTTTTTTTTAACTTTACATTTGACTGTTGATACTTATTGATATGCTTGTTTGTTCTTTGGGCAAAAATCCCGTTTATAGCATGCTGAGGTTGTTGCCGGTGCACAGGCACCTGCTTTACGACGGTTATAGGAGTAAGTGTCTGGAACTTTCGTAGATCTTTTATATTTAACCTACGATAATTCTTATATCGAGAAAGTAAGAAGCGATATGGATAACTTTGAAGATGTTGCACCATTGCTAGATGTTATTGGTCCAGAAATATCAAAGCAGAATTGCCAGACCCGGTCAACCTGCAAGACATTTACATACGCGGGAGGTGTGGGCAAAATATACTTGATCAATATTAGTTAGAATATATAGACCATGTCCATGTTCTATTATTGTCGATCACTTAAACCATTGCAATTTGGAGCATACGGCTTAGATTCGACGGCATGTCTGTAGGTATCGGAATCTCCCACTTGCAACGTAGGGTACACACTACAGACTACTTGAATGGATATATTGTGATATCAATTATTGGCAACAAGGATGTGGTATTTACGTCATACCTACCTAGGATCGGAAGTACATGCTGTGATTTCCTCGAGAATTTGTGTTTGCGATATTGGATTCCGGCTACGGTATCGGCTGCTTCGAGATGTCTTCAGAATTATCAGACAGGGATGTTCTGTAGAGAACCATCTACTAATCAGAATGATGCGACCCAAACAATGTCCTCTGTTGTTCATTCACAGTAGGTCATTCTTTTTCAATTCACAGAAGTATACGATGCATGCTGTACCGGGTAGACTAGTGGTGCTGTCATGTACAGGAGGCGTATCGGCGAACGAGGCTTATGAACCGCCGCAGTGGAAAGGCTTGGCTGGTTATGCTTATTCCCGATGTTGACTGTAGTGTTGGCGCTGGACAGGGATGTGATGCAGTCCGGCACACGTGGGGATTATCGACTCGGCATGACGGGCGCTCTCATCTCCAGTGTGTATGCCATGGGACGAGAAGTCAAGATGCGTGGGATATCCTGCTGGACTGTTGCTCATCTTAGAGGGATTGTCTCTCGGTATTCGACACTGCGACCATGCCAAGCGACATCGGCACTTGTCAACTGAGCATTTTATACAATTCTTACGAGCGCTGCACAACCCGAGAAAGCAGCATCATGTCATCCATGTTGACCCATCAAATTACCAGAACAACGACGGATATCCAGATAGAAAGACCGTTCATACAGTCATCTCTTTCAATACAACCTGGAAAGGGAAATGCGATACCGGCATGATCTCTAGACCAGAGGAAAGCGGGTGGTGCTGATGAATATGGCATGGCGCCTAGCTCGCTACAAACCGTTGGACTAGATTTGACCGGGAACCCATTCGGTCACTTCTGGCCTGGCCTGGACCTGTGCTCGGCTTCGATTCACTTTGAATCGACCATGAAGGAACGGTTACATCGGGGTCCATGAAACCCTGCAGAGCGACCGAATCCAAGGAACACAGCAGAAGCGACAAAGAGAAAGATGCGGAGGGAAGATTAAGCTATTTGAGGATTCCAGAAGAAAAATTGAACGGAAAAGAAGAAGAAAAAAGGAGGAAAAGCTAATGGAAAGGAAGAAAAAGGTCCCAGACTATATACCTACGGCTGGTGCGAAACCGGCCGCAATCGGGAACGAACCACCGACATACTGCGCGGGAGACTGCAGAGCGATCAGATGAAGCGCAGTGGCAAAGAAATTGGAACGGTCCAAAGCCATGATTTCTCTCGAGATGGGTGTCGATCCCAGCGATCATGACGAGCCCACGTCGTCAGCGTCAGCGGCGGCAACTTCTTTTTTGTCCCTCCCCCCAGGCCAGCTAATCAGATTCATATCATGATTCGCATTACACAAAAGCGGTGCGAAATCGAATCTGGAGGGTGTTCCCCCACACGGGACAGGCGGATAGATAGGAGAAGGCCGCAGTCTATTAGTCGGGGGTGAGGCGTGTCGCATCACCGATGCGGGGAAGGCATTTGCTGTGCGAGGCTACGGGCCACTGGGATTAGCGCCGAAGATAAGGACGATAGTGGATTTAATAATAAGGACACGAAACGGAAAGGCATGAGCGCAGGCCGACCGACGCAAGGATGGGACGAGAGGACAGGGCGGGCGCATGGGGATGGAGACAGCCGTACCCAAGAGCCGAAATAAGATGCATTAGTCGGGTGCTTGGCGGCCGATCCTGCGACCGGGGGGTGGAGACGCCGTCCAACCTTGGGTCGTGCACCGAAGGACAGAGAGAGAGCACGCAGTACTCCGTAGTAGACTCTACTACTCCGTGGGAGGAGAAGGGATAAATCCCTTGCCGACGGGGGCACTATTTGGCCACTAAGCGGGTTAGTCCCTTCCGTCCGGAGTGGCGATGGAACCGACAGGGAAAAAGCTTTGGGTTGGGCCCAAAACGTTAACTTTAATCTCGGACTTGAGATCCGATTCCCCGGGTCCAGCGGAGGAGACCAGGCCGTCAGTATAGTATAGACTGTATAGTATAGCATGGACATGGGAGCAGACTGCGTGTGTCCGATTGCGGGCAGACCACAGACGGGGAGGGTGACTGGGAGTCGCATGATCGGGATGGGATTGAATTCGGCAGAAGTTCCCCTCGTCCGCCTGGCGAATGAATGACTTGGCAGTCCCTCCGATATGGGGAGACCGGCGGCCCAAACGGGTTAAGCGAGGGGCGACTCCTGATAAGACGTTCTCCTCCTTGAGTAAAACGATCGGATAACCAGTCACGCGGGTTCTTGGCATGTATGGCATTTACGAGAATGTGCTCGGGGGATATACTATGGAATACCCATAGAATATACACAAGAGTATACGGAGGGAGATGATTTATTTACTTTCTACTCTATACTTTATCCTTTATCCTGATCCTCCGACAACTAGAAGATATTCAGGAAGATGGATGACTCAGCACGAGGATTTCCCGGAAGCCCAAAGCGGGCTGGCGGGGGGCGGGTTTCCGCCGATAGATAAGAGGAAAAACTGTGACCTTAAAGCATCGAATAACACTCCCCGAACTTCGGACGTGCCGGTCTTTCCGCCCTTTTCCCACCAATCGCCGCCCGGTGCAACCGTTCCTCTCGTCGCCCGTTCCCACACCCCGTCCAGTCCGACTCCGGCTGCCTCGCCTTCCTCCGCTCGTGCTGCCCGCGACATAAAGCCCCGGCCTCGTCCCCGTTCTGCCTTCCTCCTTCCCATCCCCATTGCCTCCATCTCAATCCTTCCTCGACCGTCTCTCTTGACTCCGAGTCTCGTGCAGTCCGGTTCCGAGTTCTTGATCTCTTCTTCCTTCTTCCCAAAGACAACAGACAACCAACCTCACAATGTCTAACCTCCCCATCGAGCCCGAGTTCGAGCAGGCCTACAAGGGTATGTCTCATCATCCCGTCGTTTCATCGCAACCCCATCCGAAGCGCGAAGGATTCTAACTCGCCACCCCCGCAGAGCTTGCCTCCACCTTGGAGAACTCCACTCTTTTCCAGAAGAACCCCGAATACCGCAAGGCCCTCCAGGTCGTCTCCGTCCCCGAGCGTGTCATCCAGTTCCGTGTCGTCTGGGAGAACGACAAGGGTGAGGTCGAGGTCAACCGCGGTTTCCGTGTCCAGTTCAACTCCGCCCTGGGCCCCTACAAGGGTGGTCTCCGCTTCCATCCCTCCGTCAACCTTTCCATCCTGAAGTTCTTGGGTTTCGAGCAGATCTTCAAGAATGCTCTGACTGGCCGTATGTCCCCCCCCCCCCCCCTTTCGCGATGTGACCCCGAAGGAATTGCTGACTGACGAGTGCAGTGAACATGGGTGGTGGCAAGGGTGGTTCCGACTTCGACCCTAAGGGCAAGACCGACAGCGAGATCCGCCGCTTCTGCGTTTCCTTCATGACCGAGCTTTGCAAGCACATCGGTGCCGATACCGATGTTCCCGCCGGTGATATCGGTGTCACGGGCCGTGAGGTCGGCTTCCTGTTCGGCCAGTACCGCAAGATCCGCAACCAGTGGGAGGGTGTCCTCACCGGTAAGGGCGGCAGCTGGGGTGGTAGCTTGATCCGTCCCGAGGCTACCGGATACGGTGTTGTCTACGTATGTTCCCAATGATTCTCCTGGAAACCCCCCCCCCCACGGCAGCAAAAAGCTAACAATCGCCACAGTACGTTGATCACATGATCAAGCACGCTTCCAACGGCAAGGAGTCCTTCGCCGGCAAGCGCGTTGCCATTTCCGGATCCGGAAACGTGGCTCAGTACGCCGCTCTGAAGGTTATCGAGCTGGGTGGATCCGTGGTTTCTCTGTCTGACAGCCAGGGTTCGCTGGTCGCCCAGGACGGCGCTAGCTTCACCCCCGAGGAGATCGACATCATCGCCCAACTGAAGGTCGAGCGCAAGCAGATCGCCTCCATCACCGGCACCGAGGCCTTCGCCTCCAAGTTCCGCTACATCCCCGGCGCTCGCCCCTGGATCCACGTCGGCAAGGTCGACGTTGCCCTCCCCAGTGCCACCCAGAACGAGGTCTCCGGCGAGGAGGCTCAGGCCCTGATCGCCGCCGGCGCCAAGTTCATCGCCGAGGGCTCCAACATGGGCTGCACCCAGGCTGCCATCGACATCTTCGAGGCCCACCGTGAGGCCAACCCCGGCGCTGCCGCCATGTGGTACGCTCCCGGTAAGGCCGCCAACGCCGGTGGTGTCGCTGTCTCCGGTCTCGAGATGGCCCAGAACTCGGCCCGTCTCAGCTGGACCGCCCAGGAGGTCGACGCTCGCCTGAAGGACATCATGGAGTCGTGCTTCAAGAACGGTCTCGACACCGCTCGCGAGTACGCCACTCCCGCCGAGGGTGTGCTGCCTTCCCTGGTTACCGGTAGCAACATTGCCGGTTTCACCAAGGTCGCTGCCGCCATGAAGGACCACGGTGACTGGTGGTAAACTGTTTCATACAGTCCACCAAACCCCCATCATTCCGTAATAAAAAAAAACCGATGGATGATGTCCCAAAACGATCTGTGATCATGATGACGAATCTCGTTTGATGTTTCTTGTTTCGGTTTCTCAAGCGCGTGTTATGGATAGAGGCGCCGGTTGTCTTTGCTTTTCATTGTTCATGTAGATAGGACGTGTTTTATGCCAGTGCATATATTATGAATATACCTACCTTATATCTTTACCTTGTGTTCTACTTGATCTGTTTCTTGTACTAAATAAACCCGAAAGTGTAAAAGGACCAAACAAAAATGAAAAATAGTATTATTATCATTACTTACGGTAAAATAAAAACTGCCAAACTTTACATCGCAGTATATGCTAGGTATGTACAAACACTCAATTCCAACCTGGTCTGTTTGATCCAGGCTGTTCGATCCTTCGCTCTTTTCTTTTCGTTCCTTTTTTTGGAATCGGGAACCGGAACCATCCGGTCCATGCATTCATGATGAATATCAAGATATAGATAGAACCATCTATACTGCGATTGAGTCCAAAGACCGATCAACTCCTCGCTGATGCAAAAAGCCAAAAAAGATGAAAGGTTTTTGTTGTTTTGTCTGTTTCAAGTTAAATCCGTCGCCACATCGGGTATAAATAGTAGCCGTAAGATCGTAAGATTTGGGTATCATGGAAAGGGAAATCGAGATGCGAGATAGATGGAGTTATAAACGAAAGGAAAGGGGACATCCACGACGGCGTTAGGATTCAGGCCACGGGGCTAAATCATGCATGAGGCCCCCCTGGACCGAGGAGCGCTTGGTGGTCGGAGGGTTGTTCGACTGCGACGGCGACTGGTCGGGGAGGTGCACGGTGGACAGCGGATCGGAGAGCACGCTGCGTCGGCGCGAGAAGACGCCTCCGACCGACGGATTCTCTTTCTCTCGCTGCACGACGCTGGGCTTGGCGCGACTGCGGCGTCGATGACGGCGCAGATACTCGTTCGGAACGGGGTCGACCTGTTTCTTGGCCGCGGGCACCAGGTTCAGGTACAGCGGGAAGATGGCCCCGGCGCAGAACATGGCCACTAGGACGCTGTAGGAGAAAGACACGCCGCCGGCCACTTCGGCGGCATACTGGGCAAAGGGGAAGCAGGCCCCGCCGCTGATGGCCATCGTCAGCAGCGAGGCGGCCGTCTTGGTGTGTTGCGCTGTGCCGCGCAGGGCGATCGCGAAGATAATGCTGAACGCGCCGCTTTCAAACAGATACACCATGAGTGCCATCGCGACGGCCGCAGGCCCGGTGGTCTTCATGCAGAGCACGGCGAAGACGATCATCCCCACATAAGACAGGAGGAGAATCCAGCGTGGTTTTAAGAACCACTGCAAAAAGGCAGCGAGGAATCGCCCGACGGCAAAGACCGAGTGACCAATGGTCAAATACTGGAAGCTGTCCAGGTGGGATCTGCGAAAGTTGCGTCAGTCACCGGAATGGGTCAACATATCATGGAAAGTCAAGTCTTACCCAGGATGGGCCGAGTCGACAAAGGTCGCAAAGCTTTTGGACAACACCTCCTGCCCAGCCACGTAGAAAAATTGCGAAAAGATCCCCAGCGCCAGGGTCACCCAGATCACGGGCACGCCCAGCACTTTGGTCATGTTGTCTGCGCGACGCCGGTTGGCCAGTTCCTCCAGGTCCTCGTCCGAGGCCTCCGGAATGGGGAGGTAATAGAAGGCCACAGCCAGCAGTACGTCGAATAGCGCAATGCCCAGGTACGTCCATTGAACATCCACCAGGGCGGAGACGTCGGTCACGGATCGGAACAGGACTTTCTTGGCCAGCAACGGCGAGAGGACACTGCCGACCGCCTGGACGCCCTGGGAGATATTCAATCGGATTTCGGAGTTTTCAAGCGGACCGCAGAGCGCAATGAACGGGTTGCCCGCGGTCTCCAGCACTGCCAGTCCAAATCCCACGATGAAGTTCGAGATGGTAAACGCGGAGTACGAAGTCAGCACGGCCGACGGCCAGAAGATCAGAGTTCCACACGCGTAGATACACAAGCCCGTGATGAAAGTGGCCTTGAATCCCCATCGCTTCAGCACGATCCGACCAACCAACGGCGGTCCCACCAAGTATCCTCCAAAGTAGACGGCGTGGAGGCCCAGAGAGCGCCAGGCATCTAGTCGCACAATCTGCTGGAATTGAGTATTGAGGATGTCCAGCAGCCCGTAGGCAAAGCCCCACAGGAAGAAGAGAACGGTGGTCAGGGCCACGGGAGCGATTGATTCCTTGTTGCTCAGTTTGAGCATGCTTGTCGGTTTCCGCATGTTAACAAAGTCGAAGAACGTAATCGTCGGGGGATAGGAGGCGCTGGTGATGGTTGCGGTGTTCGTCTCTGCGGCTTCGGCATCCGCAGGCGCAGGGTCGCGCGCCGTCAAGAACTGGAGCATGTCTATGGGGCCTTCTATTTCTCGCCGACTACCACTGCTACGACTGCCCGACTGCGAGTTTTGTTTACTCTGATGCTCGGTCTGAGGCATAGTATTCAAGCCGCTAGGGATTGCGTTTGGAGACGGGGGCTCAGCCATCTCAGGCAGCTCGGGCATAGCAGGATCTACCGATGGCTGTGAACTGCCATCGGAGTCGCGAATCAATTTGGGGACGATGCGAGCCACTAGTGGCTTCAGACTGGGCACGCAGGCGCATATGACGGAGACGTTGACTTCGACAACGGACCACATGAAAGACAAAGAGGCAAACCCTAGACCGGTCAGCTCAGGGGATCAATTGATTCGAGCGTGGAAGAGAAGGATAATACAATTGAAGTCATCACCTGGGGAATCTTGAAGGTGAAGCTCCTTCAAAGCCACCTGGCGCGAAGTTGCGGCATTCTGCAGATAGGCAATGCGAATGACATCCACAACGGCGACAAAGAAGCCGAAACTGAAGGTAATGACCAGGATGATCTTCTGTTTGCGCGGGAGGCGCATCTGCGTCAGGATGGGATTCGGCAGGAAGAGAATAGCCAGGTCGGTAATGATGTTGACGGGGGAGGACGAGAGGTACAAGGTGAGGATGTCGCTGCAGGTCGCATCGGGAGGCTTGGGGTAGGCGAAGGCAGCGCCGACGGGGCGACACTGGAAGACATTGACCAAGGTCAGGGCCAGACCGGCGGCGTTTACGACGGCGAGAGTCACGTAGTTGGCCCAGCGGAACACTTTCTCCCCTTGCGTGAGGGTCAGGTAGAAGACGAGAATGGAGGTTTTGACAGCCATCAGGGCCGGATTCTAGCGACGATAAGCGCGGGGGACTTTGGGCCAGGCGGATAGCACCGGACAACAGGATCGAGGGCACTCACGTAGAGCACGGTAAAGACATAATTGGCGCGATTGAGACTTGGACGAGCGGCGGCGTCAATGTCGGGGTCATGGAGACCCAGGCCTTTGCTGGTCGCATAGAAGAGGGAGAAGGAGAAACCAAAGTCAAGGATCTAATCGCAGAATTAATTCCTCCATCCAGCCGATCCCCAGGTATATTAATTTTTTTTTTCCCACGTACCCAGGCCAACAAGATCAAATAATCATGAGCACCGACTTTGCGCACGATGCAGAGACGCGACACGAAGCGCAGCGCGACGAAGACGGAGGCGATGACGAAGAAGACAATGGAAACGACCAAAACCTGGGGGCGATAGTCGTCCATGCTGAGCGATCGGAGTTGGCGGAGGCATTAACAGGGCGGCGCGAGATGATTCCACGTTGGCGGATCCATGGCGGGGGATTGGTTTACGATGGCAGCAACGATGCAGAACGGAGGGAGGGAAGTGAATTCCAGATAAGAAGAAGAAACCAGGACAATCCAGGAACGAAGAAGAGAAAAAGAGAGCGAGAGAGAGAAAGAGAGAGAAGAGAGGTTGGGGCGAGAAAAGAAGGGAAAGCGGAGAAGGACGAAGGAAAGGGAAAGGATTGTGTGGCAGTGGGTCAAGGGACTTCTTTGCCTGCGCTGGCTTTGGGTCGGTTCCTGGCCGATGATGTTATCCTTACTCCATCGGCTCTACGCGAGTATGTTATTTATTCGTCCTCATCTTGCGAGCATGAAATATTGATCATTCCCAGGCACGCTGCAGCCGAACTATCGATCGCCCTGCAGCGGCGCTTGCGGTCGAGAACTTGGCCTGGTCTGGCGTTCTCCTGCTGCTCTCGAATCCTCCGATCTGAGACAACCCTCGAGAACACAATCCCATTGTCTGGATGCCAGCCATCCCGGGGGTGGAGAGTGAAATCCGTCCCTTCGTGACGAAGCCATCCTCTCCGACCGGCCAGCAACCAACGCCATCCCCAAACCCCGATGACACGACCATTTCCCCCTCGCATCCTCTGTCAAGCCACTCGAGAAGATCGACGACGCCCCCGTGATCAATCAGGGATGCAAAGGAAATGGGTCCGGTCCCCACGGCGTTGGACCCTTCGGTCCCTCGCAGACCTGCAGCGCGCTAACTCTGCGATCTTCAGCTTCACTGAACTTTGATTGCGGAGACAATCCACGATGCAACCCACCGTCCGTCACATGGGTGACTGCTCGCCCGAGGGTATTAGTTCTCCCTATCGAAACGTAACGGTTTCCTCTGCTACCCTAGGTTGGAATCGGATGCCGACGGATCTTGACGGAGAAGAGAGGGGAAAAGTCGACAATGGAATTGAGGTCGCTTTCGATGCATCGAGCGGACTATAAAGCCGGCAAAATGGCGGGTTGGAGAGATCATTTGGGATGCGACAAAGGATTGAGTTTCGTGGCTTTGAACTGATTGCTCTGGAAATGAAACCTGCCTTTTTGCTGGCGACTCTGGCGTCGATTGGCGTGCAGGCCACCTCCGAGTCCGACTGGGCCTCATCCATCTGGGACGAGGTCAAGGAAGCCGTCACCTGTGCCGGCTGCGAAGGCCTGCTGGGCACTCTCAAACTGGTGGCAGATCTGGGCCAGGAGGCGTTGATCCGTGTGGTCACGGACGTATGCGTTATCAGTGGCGTATGTCTGCTCCCTTCTCCATCTGTCAATTCGATCTCCGGGGGATGCGATCACACCTGACCTGACCTGATCTGATCTGGTCTGATCATCCTGGATGGCGCCGTAAACTGACTGTCCCTCAGGTCGAGGATGCCGATGTCTGTGAAGGTCTCGTCGCCGCGCAAGGTCCGGCCGTGTACTACGTGCTCAAACAGCTGCATGTCGGCTCGCACACCTCCAAGACCTTCTGCGCACACGTCGTCGGCCTCTGCGACTATCCCCCTGTGCAACCGGACCATCTCGAGCTGCCCGCGGCGCCCTCGACGGCCACTCGGCCTCCTCCCAGCGGCCAGTCGCCCATCCGCGTCGCCCACATCAGCGACACCCACGTCGACCATGCCTACCAGCCTGGCGCCAACGCCTTCTGCTCCAAGCCGCTGTGCTGTCGGTCCTGGTCCGATGGCGATGCTCCCGGTCACAACGACGCGCCCTGCGGCCCCCTCGGCGATCCGCACGGCGACTCCCCCGTGCAGCTGGAGGCCAGCATGATGGCCGCCGTGGCGGCGCTGGACCCGGCCTTCACGCTCTACACGGGCGACGTGCCAGCCCACGACATCTGGATGGTCAATCAATCCTCCGTGCTGCGCGACTTCAACTCCACCTACGCCCAACTGGGTGCGCTGGGACTCGTCTATGCCGCGCTGGGCAATCACGACGCCGCCCCGGTGAACCTCTTCCCCTCCGACACCATCCCGGCCTCGCACCGACCCCAATGGGCCTACGACGCCTTGTCTGACGACTGGACGGCCCTCATGGGCGCCAACTACTCCACGCCGCCAACCGACGGCCCCGAGGGCTCCTACTCCATCCTCCACGACGACAGCCCCGGCGGCCACCCGCTGCGCATCATCTCCTACAACAGCGTCCTCTACTACAAGTACAACTTCTACGCCTACACGGACCCCATGCCCGCCGACCCAGACGGCCTCCTGGCCTGGCTGATCGACGAGCTGACCGCCGCCGAGTCCGCCGGCCAGCGCGTCTGGCTCGTGGCGCACATCCCCGCAGGCGGACCCGACACGCTGCACGCCTACTCGACGGCGTTCGATCGCATCGTGAACCGCTACGCCGCCACCATCGCCGCCCTGTTCTACGGCCACACCCACACCGACCTGTTTCAGCTCTCCTACCGCGACTACTCCGCCGACGGGCGCACCGCGCAATCCGCCTCGGCCGTCGCGTACATCGCGCCCTCGCTGACGCCGACGTCCGGCCCGCCGGCCTTCCGCATCTACGACATCGACCCCGTGACCTTCGCCGTGCTCGATTACACCGTGTACATCGCCACTCTGCCCGCGGCCACCGCTGGAACCGCCGGGGCGCCGCAAATCCGCTGGTCCAAGTACTACTCGGCCAAGGAAGCGTATGGCGGCATGGTCTCGCCACCGGTCACCGCGGCGGCGGACGAGCTGACGCCGGCGTTCTGGCACAACGTCACGGTGGCCATGGAGCGCGACGACGCCGTATTCCGGGGCTTTTGGGAGCGGACGACGCGCGGGTACAACGTGAGCGAGTGTACGGGGGCGTGTGCGCGCAAGGAGATCTGTGCGCTGCGCGGCGGCGACGCGCGGTTCAATTGCCGGTCTGGGGGCTGGGGGGTGGACTTGGCGAAAAGAGAGCGCGTGGAGGGCGCGGGTGGACATGAAAAGGGGATGAAGAGACCGGTCTGCGATGATGACGGGTTGGGCAGAGTGCTGGGAGAGATGTTGAGACGGCCCGGGGTGGAGAAGTTGATTCGCCAGAGGGCTGGACTGGACTGACCTTGTCATGCAGGGTCAGGACCTGTATATCTATATGTATATCCCTATCTCTGTCTACTGTGTATAGGTATATATATAAAGGACCGGACATGAAACATGGCAGGTACGAGGCAGATGGAGCAAAAGTAGATGATATTGTCAATATGCAACGTCTACAAGAATCTCAACGGTTCAGACAGAATACAATGTAACCAAGATCGATCTACGAATCTCAAAACTTTTCATTGTTCATCATGAATCAGTCTCCCGGGATAGAATTCCCGATTCTATCGACTTGCGCGACCTCAGCGTATATCCATCGTAGCGTCGTTTCGGAAGGCGTCCCGCGTGCTCCTTATCTTGTTCCTCGAAAAGCGAGTGAAAAAAAAAAAAAAAAAAAAGGTTTAAATACCCGAAAAAAGAACATAGAGCTTTATCCACATGAAGAGAAAGAATCAAAATCGGATGCTCCATCGGAGTTCGTCAACGTGTGAAGAATAAGTCATAAAAGAGTGACAAGAAAGTGAAGAAGGTAAAAGTTGGAATGGAAAGAAGTAGAAAAAGAACAAGATGAGGGTATAAGAAGGTCAAGAAGAAGAAAACACGCTTTCAGCGATCAACGCTTAATTCAATTGCCACTTAACGTTGGTAAGGCGACCCGCGGCTTCGGAAGCCAATTCGAGGAACATGTGACGGGACAGGTCAATGGAGCCGGCGTTGCAGCCCATGCACTTGTCGACAACCTTTCCAGTCGTAGTCTTGCCGTTGTACTCGATGGTGACGGTACGGCCACAGTCGCTATCCTTCATGATCGCGTGGGACAACGCAACCACGTTCTCAGTAGAGCCGTCGTTGGTAAGACCGCAGCTGCTCGGGCTGCCGGCGGAGGTAGCAGTGTCGTAGAAGGTCACGTCACCGGAGCTCCAGGATCCACCGCTGCTGCTTCCACTGCTGCTGCTGCTGCTGCTGCCGCCGCCGCCAGTGGTGGGAGCGGGCTGAGCAGCGGCAGTGGTGGTAGGCTGAGCAACGGCGGTGGTAGTGGGCTGCTGGGGTTCAGGCTGGGGCTCCGGGGTGTAAGTAGGCTGAGCCACGGAAGTCACGGCAGGCTGAGTGGGCTCGGGTTCCTCGACCTGGGTGGTGGTGGGCTGAGCTTCCTTGGTGGTGGGCTCGGGCTCCGGGGTCGGCTCGGGTTCCTGAGTCTGGATAGTCGGAGCAGCCTGAGTGACGGAGACGACGGTGGTCGGAGCAGGCTGAGTGGGAGCGGGAATGTTGGCATAGATGGTGGTGGTGAGGTCCACGGTGGTCCAGACAACGGTGGTGGCAGTCTCGTAGACGACGTGAACGTTGTTGTTGGAGTCACGCTTGTTCAAAGGAGCGGCCGAGCCAAAGGCAGCCAGAAGAGAGCCGGCCAGGGCCAGGGATTTGGCAAGAGGAGCCATTGTTGTTGTTGTTGTTGTTGTTGTTGTTGTTGTTGTTGTTGTTGTTGTTGTTGTTGTTGTTGTTGTTGTTGTTGAATTGGGATGGGATGGGTTGGTTGAAGGAGATATCAGCAAGGAATGTGCGGGCTGAATCGACCAAGGAATGCGATCAATCCGACAGACTGCACAGCAGTATCAATCAAAGATGGACACGAAGGAAGGAACGACAGGAAGCCTGTCTGGGATACCGAAGTATAGAGAAGGAGGTGTCGGAACACTTGAAAGAGAGTGAGTGTGGTGATCGAGAGAAGAGACAGAGCCGACGGAGCGAAAGAACGGCGGGTATTTATGAGGGACGTCCAGGGCAGTCCAGGGCAGTCCTGCCCAGAGGAAAAGCTCAGGAACTCCAATGAACACGCGGTGGAGACAGTGAAAGTCGGGAAAAGCCCCGGACCCACCGACCCTCGTTCTTCGTCCATGGATTCCGGTCAGGCACGCCTTCTGCTTGTACCTCTGGCGAGGAAACATCCAATCCGGTTCCCTCCGTCCTCCCGGCGCCGCCTCCTTTTCCCTCTCCTCAATTTCAGGAACCCGACGTCTTCTTTCACTCTTTCATTCTTTTATTTCCCGCGTTCATCCTGTCAAACAGCTTCCTTTTCCCCTTCCTTTTTCTTCTTTTTTCTCCTTCGTTTTTGCCCTTGCGCCGATCGTCCGATTGGCAGCCTCCACCCAACGCCGGTGTTACAGCGTGTCGTGTCCATTCCCTTTCCAGGGCATTTGGGCCTCGTTAACCTTCCACTAACCTTCTTAGCCCAGGCTTGGTCCTTGGTTAAAGCGTTTGCCTGCGCTGGTCGGGTCCAGGGGGATCATCGTTATTGATTTCGGATGTCTACGCCACGCTATCTAGTTCGACGTTTAGCCTCTTGTCTAAGGTCTAGTCCCGTCCGCTTAAACCGTTTCCAGTCGACTCGACTCGCGTCAGCTCCAGTCCGAGCTGAAAGAAAAGAAGAAAGACCCAAAAAAATTCCAACACAGAAAGCAACGCACGAAAGAAAGAAAAATCAAACAAGCCCAAGCGGGATCCACCCCGGGCACCGAGACACGCACAAAAAAAGAGAGAATGCGAAGAGACTAAGACTGACTGGCGCTAGACTCAGACTAACAGACCGGCCTAAGACACTCACAGCCAGAAGGCTTAGACGAGACACCGTTCCTGTCCGATTCGACGCATCCATACGATGACCGCAATTCCCGCCTTGTGCGACCCTACCGACACACCAACCCTGCAAATAGGCGTCCATGAAACAACCCCCTCTTCCCGACTGTAGCGTCCCCGTTCGTATAGCGCCGAGCTTCTGGCACAATGAATTCAGGTCCAGACCGATCCTGGGTGGTGGGCGCTAGATGGTCTGGAGCAAAATCTCTTCCCTGCTAGCCTGTCGATGGGTCTCGATCGTAAAACCCTCGGGTTGGGCTGGGTCGCTCAAAGGCGTGCACAACGCCACTCTGGAGCTGCGCATTGCTGAGCGTGAGACGTCGGCGGACCAGACCTGCATCCGGGACCTGACTCACTCAGGCACTCCGTCAATCATCGTCCGGCGTTGAAGAGGGGTGCCTGGCCACCTGCGCCGGCTGGACCTGTCCAAGGCGGGGGACTCTTGAAGCCCGAGAGATTTAATTCTCGCATTCCGATCTGTCTCGAGATTTTCCTTCCGATCATTATTAATGTGTTGCCGCGATGACCTCATTTGTGTGGTCCGAGCCCGACCGGATTTCCACGGACCTTTTTTTTTTTATTTTGATTTTTATTTTTTATTTTTCTCATGTTCCTGCCATGGAGGATGTCGAGTCTGACTTGACGTGCTGAGCGCTGACTTCCTGCACTCCACCCGGGACAACGCATCTCGGAAAACAACAACTGCCATTCGACACGTCAATCTATCTAACGTATAGATCAAGACCGCCACGAAACCCATCAGACTTGGAGGATGTCATCCCCAGCCTGGTTCGGACGAGGCCCTGTTTTTTTTTAGGTACACAAATCTCGGATAAATAAACAGTAAGTTCCGTAAGTTGACATGAGAAAGAAAAAAGAAATGAACAAGGAAATGAAATGAACAACAACAAAAAAAAGAACCCTGATATCCATCAAACTCATAATATAATTACATGCAAAAATAACAGAAAGAAATCCCGGACGCCACCCATCATCCATGTTACTCACGTAATGTCTAACCCTGGCACATTATACAGGCCTCCTTGTTCTCAATGCTACACTGGAGCACCTGCTGCGAGTAAATGTCATTCTCCCGCGCCTCGCTTTCCTTGGCACCGTCCTCGTCCTGCGATGTGCGGTTCTCGACCTCCTCCTCGCGAGGGGTTGCCGCATCCGCAGCGATGGTCCGAGGGCTGTTCTGTTCGCCATTGGTGGCCTCCTCGTTGTGCCCGTTGACTTCGCCCGCGGACGATCGGGGAACCGCCGAGTACGTGTTGGACGCCGCGCCGGTTGTCCGCTTCTTGAACGAGGCGCCGGCCCGAGCGACGTTGGTGTCAGCAACCTTGAGCTGCTCCTGGTCCACCGTGAACTGGATGGGGGCAGACGCGGCCATGGTCCGCAGGTAGTACATGCCGGTCTTCAGACCCATCTTCCAGCCCGCAAAGTGCATGCTGGTGAGCTTGCCCATGGTGGGCTCCTTCAGGTGAATGTTGAGCGACTGGGATTGATCGATGTAGGCACCCCGATCGGCCGCCATCTGCAGGATGGCCCGTTGGGAGATCTCCCACACGGTCTTGTACAGGCCCTTGATGTCGGCGGGAATGTTGGGGATGTTCTGAACCGATCCCCCATCCGCAATGATGCGGTTCTTCATGTTGTCCGACCAAAGACCAAGGTCGACCAGGTCCTTGAGCAACCAGGGGTTGACGACCTGGAACTCACCCGCCAGCACACGACGCGAGTAGATGTTCGACGTGTAGGGCTCAAAGCACTCGTTGAAGCCAAGGATCTGACTGGTGCTGGCCGTGGGCATAGGTGCCACCAGCAAGCTGTTACGGACGCCGGTCTGCGCGATCTTGGCCTTGAGAGCATCCCAGTCCCAGAGGTCGGTGGGAGTACGGTCCCACATGTCGTACTGAAGGATACCCTGGGACACGGGAGAGCCCTCGTACGTCTCGTAGGTACCGTGCTCCTTGGCCAGCTCCGCGGAAGCAGTCAGAGCGCCATGGTAGATGGTCTCGAAGATCTGAATATTCAGCTGCTTCGCCTCGGCCGAGTCGAAGGGCAAGCGCAGGGCAAGGAAAGCATCGGCCAGACCGTTGACACCGAGAGCAATGGGACGGTGACGGAAGTTACTCTTCTTGGCCTCGGGGACGGGATAGTAGTTAATGTCGATGATCTTGTTCAGGTTGCGAACCAGGACCTGCACGACTTCATGGAGCTTGCCAAAGTCATACTCGCCACGAACGGCGTCGACAAAGGTAGGAAGGGCAAGAGAAGCCAAGTTGCAAACAGCAACCTCATCCGGAGCACTGTACTCGACGATTTCAGTGCACAGGTTGGAGCTGCGGATGGTTCCCAGGTTCTTCTGGTTGCTCTTCTTGTTGCAAGCATCCTTGTACAGCATGAAGGGGTTTCCGGTCTCGGTCTGAGCCTCGAGGATGGCATACCAAAGCTTCTGGGCCTTGATAGTGCGACGGCCTCGGCCCTCCTTCTCGTACCTGCGTATCATCGTTAGCCAAACGTCTCGGCACATGAGGCATTGGGGGAACAAAGAAAAAAGAAAAGAAAAACTTACTGTTCGTAAAGAGCGTCGAACTCGTCTCCGTAAACATCGGCCAGTCCAGGAGCTTCGTTGGGGCAGAACAGAGTCCAATCACCGTTGGCTTCAACCCGCTTCATGAACAGATCCGGAGTCCAGAGAGCATAGAACAGATCACGGGCTCTCACTTCCTCCTTACCGTGGTTCTTGCGAAGATCCAAGAACTCGAAGACATCCGAATGCCAGGGCTCCAGGTAGATGGCGAAAGCACCGGGACGCTTGTTGCCACCCTGGTCAACATACCGGGCGGTGTTGTTGAACACACGAAGCATAGGGACAATACCATTGGAAGAACCGTTGGTTCCACCAATGTAGGATCCGGTAGAACGGATCCGGTGAACATTGAGACCAATACCACCAGCAGTCTTGGAGATCATCGCACAGGTCTTCAGGGTGTCATAGATACCGTCGATGCTGTCCTCCTTCATATCGACCAGGAAGCACGAAGCCAGCTGGGGCTGCGGGGTACCGGCATTGAACAGAGTAGGGGAAGCATGCGTGAAGTACTTCTGGGACATCAAGTGATAGGTCTCGATGGCTCGCTCGATGTCCTCACCGTGAATACCCACAGCCACACGCATCAGCAGGTGCTGAGGACGCTCTGCAACCTTTCCATCCACTCGCAGCAAGTACGACCGTTCAAGGGTCTTGAAACCGAAGAAGTTGTAGTTGAAATCACGGTCGTACACAATCGCCGAGTTAAGTTCATCAGCATGTTTCATAATTATCTCATATGTTTCCTTAGATATCATCGGTGCTGGCTTTTTATTTTTCGGGTTGACATAGTGGTAGAGGTCGGAGATGACCAGCGAGAATTGCTTCTTGGTCTGCTTGTGAAGGTTTGACACGGCAATACGTGCAGCGAGGATGGCATAATCGGGGTGTGTAACGGTCATGTAAGCGGCAGTCTCAGCAGCCTGAGAATGGCATTAGCAGTTGTCCCTACAGCATGGGTATCTTTCGGAAACCATACCAAGTTGTCCAGCTCGACGGTGGTGACACCCTGGTAGACACCAGAGATGACCTTCTGAGTGATAGCGGCAGCATCGACATGCTCGGGGTCGAGGCTATAACACAGTCTCGACACACGAGCAGTGATCTTGTCGAACTGTACGCGTTCCTTGCGTCCGTCTAGTCACGGTGGTTCTGTCAGCAAAATCTTTCATACAGCAAGTGGCAACGACGAGGAAAGCACGGCGGCGACAATCAAAGCCAGGCATTCCACTCGTTCATTCTTCGAGGGGGAGTGATGATCATGATTGCTTACCTCGCTTGTAGACAAACATTTTCACGGGTGGCAGGAAGTCAAGGGGATCGAGGAACGTGGGAGAAGAAATTAGGATAGGAAAGACAAGAATAGTATTACTAGGATAAAAAGATAATGAAGCTCTGCAAGGGGTATGAGAAAGGAAAGAGTCGTTGAAAGATGGAAGAAGAAGTTAGGAATGGAGGGAGGAGAGGAGAGGGATGGAAAGAGAGAGAAAGAAGTCGGAGGGGCAGAGGCCGTGGTAGATATTTGATGTCGCCGGGGCAAACGCGTTGCCGGTGGATTATCAACGCGAATTTTCGTGTTTGGACCAAATGGATTTCCCTTGCGCCAGAGCCTAAGGCCGGCTCCGGCAACGCGCGGTGGGCGCCGGTCACGTGCGCGCCTCACGCCACGAGACCGCGGCCGACCCGAGCTCGTCCCAGTATGGATCTGCCGGCGCTGACTCGATGCCGAACGGCCTTACTCCTCCTCAGGGCGTCCTTGCAGAATTTCGGTGGGTGAATGCGGCCTGCGTTCTCCATAGTATTTCAGGCCAACTGGGAAAGTGGATTCTTTGGGCCCATTTGGCCGGAATGTTGGGCCGCAGAATCATCTAGTACTACTGATGCCTATAACCAAGTACCACTATGTAGCAGGCGCTCATGGAACACCATTTCCGGGTCCAATTCTCTTTGCAAACATTTACCCTACTCTTCTTGGGCAGAAGCGTTTCAACTAATAGGCGATTCACGGAGAAATGAGATACGGATTAAATGACTGTGGCATAGCATAAATGGTGGGGATATCGAATGATAAATGGATCAGATAAAAGCGGCTGTGGTCGTTACAGCGTGGCTGCGAATCCGACGAAAACAACGGCCGCAAATGCAGCAGCAGAAACATGCTTATCGGACGAGCCAGCCGAGTTGGTCTGAAGAGGAGTTTCTTCGGAAGTCGAGCTGGGACTAGACTCGGCGTTGGAGCTCGATCCAGAGCCGGAGCCGGAGCCAGAGCTAGAGGTGCTAGTCGCAGAAGCAGTAGCAAACCCAGTTCCAGTCGTCGCGGACTGGGTGGACTTGGAGCCGCCGGTCGAGGTCCCGGTAGAGGAATCCGCGGAAGAAGTCGAGGAGTTGATGACTGAGCGTCACGTTCTGTTAGAAATGGTTCGATGTGACCGACGATCAGACATTATAACCCACCAACTTTATGGCCCGCGGAAGAGCAAGTGTCGGCGAATTGCTTCAGAGCATCCTCCTTCTCATCGTCACTACAGGCATCCTCGATATTCTTTCGCACTCTGTCGACGCAGACGGCCTTCAGGTCACCGGGGCGTTTCTCGGGGCTGTTGGTTGAAGCTGTCAGCAGATGGCCGGTATTTCAACGTCGCATTCCTCGTAGCGGAAGTGACTTGCCGTACCCTAGGGCTGAAAGAAGGCAGGCGGAGGAATCCGCAGCAGCAGCGATGTTGCCGAGAGCGAATAGGGACAACAGGAAGGCGGACTTTGCGAACAGCATGATGGCGTAATATGGCCGTCGGGACTTCGAGTAACACGCGATTAAGGGGAAAAGTGACTAGGTCAATCTCGCGGCGGAAATCGCAAGCGAAAGCACTGAAGAGGGGTTGATGAAAAGAAGGACTATATTCAAATGAATGTAAAGAGTGTAGATGGATAGATAGTTAAGGAACGACTGTCTGATCAAAAGGAGCGACAAGCAACGGTCAATCGGCAAACAACCCGTCTTGAAACGCTGAAGAATGGAAGTGGGAGAAGGAAACTAAAGACTCCCAAGAGGAGGACTGACTATCTCGCCCAAGACGGCCACGACCCTGCCGATCCCTCGGCCTTACCGCCGTGACAAACTTACCGTACGCCTTGGATTTTTCCCGGCGGGTCCAACTGCCCCGAGCGCTGCCGGCGAGCCAATCCGCTTGGCCACAGGCGACTGTTCGGGTGGAGAACCCCGGGTGTTTGATTTTTTGCAGCGTAACACATGCGGTATCAATCCGGTATCATCAAATTTGCTTGATCACCCTTTTACGTCCTAACGCTCTGCGCCCAGAACTTGGAGGCCCTTGCCTGTAGGTAAGGTGATAAGCACCTTACGTAGCTGCTACCTGCAATGTGGCAAATGGAGTCGGTAGATAATCATAATTATTCGGAATCCATCTGGAGCTGCTGGCTACCGTGGCTTGTTCCTATCCGCTGAATGGGGAGGATATATATCATGGAGTATTCGATGGACACTGGCAACAACATGCCGTGGTTCATGTTGCTTAATTTTGCAAGACGCTGATCTTCAGCACCGCTAGATAATCCCTGTAGACTTCTATACATTCTCTCAAATTCTCTCTAACTCTCTCTAACTCTCTTGTCGAGAAGAACCTTGCAGATTTTTCCGGAACTGCAAACGCAAACGCAAAAAAACATATATAGCTTGAATCTTCATGATCTTTATCCATTCATTGTCATTGTCGTCAATTCCATAACACCCCTCTACCGGTCCCACCCAGGGTCATAATTACTCGAAACGATTTCCTGCACGTCCAATCGCTCCTCGATGATCTCCTTGCCGTTTACAAGGTCATTCTCCGTTACGCGCTTGTTGGCCTCGGCCTCGTTCGGGGCAATCCCCGCCTTGACATGTCTTTGAACCAGTCTCTTCCGAGCGACCTCGAAGTCGACCTCAACCAGCCAGAGCTCGTCCATCAACTGTGCCGCCTGGTTCCACGGCGCTTTGTTCAGACTGAGGTAATTCCCCTCGAAGAAGATGACCCTGCGACTGGCCGGAATGGCAATATCCCCATCCACGGGGTCCTTGACCGCATGGTCGAAACTGGGCGCGTAGAGACTTTGCGACTCCGGCGTCAACGGATCCCGCAAGGCCTGTACCAGTTTCAAAAACTTCTCCCCGTCGAACGTGAAGGCCGCACCGCGCCGAGCGACGGCGTACTCCGGGTCGGGCATCTGGGCCAATTCAGCCCGCGTATAATGGTATCCATCCATCGGAACGACCGTCGCGACGGGTAGCGAGCCTGGATGTTGTGTGCTATAGAGGCTGTTGATGCGATTGGCCATCATGATGGCTAACTCTGTCTTCCCGGAACCCGGGATCCCACTCACTGCGATCATCAAGCGTGCATCACTGGGCGTGGCTTGAAATTTACCTTGAAGAAGTCTGTTAGCTAGTGCCATGGTCTGACTGCAGGATTTGTTACTATGGAAGGGGGGGGGGGAGGGGAGTGCCGATTGATCGAATGCGTTAACGGAGTGAGTTGCACAAGGCTCAGACCTGTAACTTACCCCATATCTTGTCCACGAGCCTGTCTACTTGGGAATCCATTTTTGGATATGAGGCCAGTATGCTAGGTAGCCGAGGCAGTCCAAACGGCGGTAAACGACCGGGTTCTATGGGGTCAAACGGTGGGAACCCCGCGTTGCTGTGCGCGTGGCCGGCTATAGAGAAAGCCGCGTTCCAGCGGACGTACAGGCAATGAAAGCACTATGGTTTGACACTTGAGGGCTAATTAAGTGACCAAGTCCAGATTTTGCAAAGAATGGATAGGAGGAAATATGTTAATGGGGCGAGAAAGCTCCGCGGCCTATTGAGATAAATAAAGGCAAGCGGCGGGGCTTGTCATCGGAGTGGGGTTTTGCGATCTGTAGCATCATAGCGTGGACCAGGGCATACGTCACAGGGGGGTCCTTCAATGTTCCGGTCTTATTTCACTTCGGGCTGCCCTCGTGGAGGACAAAGACGAGTCTAATAAAGGCCTGGGCAGTGACCCCCTTTTCTCTTCCCCTCCATCAATTGTTCCCTTATTCAGTGCGTGCTCGGTGAATTGGTTCAGCGCTCAAGAACCAGCGACGGTCCTGTCACTGCCTATCTTTCGATTTTTATGAAACGATCACAATACTTCCATTGCCTGGTATAACTGTTTTATACTATCTAGATATCAGAGACCCCAACAGATTATTCAATATCAAAGGTTTGGCGGTCTTGCCCATTGACAAGTTCCTTGCAAACCCCAGCAAATATTGACAGTTGATTTGTCACAAATCTCACAAATATGAATACAGGGAATTTGATCAGTATGAATAACCCCTCTTCATTGCCGAGTGCTCTCTCACTCTCTGCTGTAAATTGTAAGTCACCGCTTAAAACGAAACCAGCAACGCCGAAATGTAATATCCTTCCCAGCATGTCCCCATTCAACCCCGGCATTTCCCCCCGCATCCCGAGATCGGAGGGGAAAGAAAGCAAAAGGATGGTCAAAAAGCTAAATATTTAACACAGAATCATAAATTATGCGAAGATTTCTTTTACGATTGTCTCAATGGTCCGTCTGTACTGTCGGCGGGGTTGGTGGACTCGTCGTTGGAACCAGCCCTGTGACCGAGGGTCCGAGACAGCCCGGCCGCTGCCCACCAGTCGTCGGGGATATCCTCTCTCCGAGCGAGTCGATCCAGGATGGCCTGCATCTGCTGAAGATCGGGGTCGGGGGAGGAGTCGGGAATGGCGAGAGAGATTGTAGGAATAGGAGGATTGTTGCCCATAGTGGACTGCTGCTGAATGTTGTGCGATCGTCTCAGCAAATCGATCTGGCGCATTCGGCGGCGATAGCGTCGGAACAGGGAATTCTGATTGATCTCCTCGTCGGACTCCAGCTCTGAATCGGTGGAACTGGAGTAATCACACGGGTTGAGAAATTCTGGATAGGGGTCAAGGACCATCTGCACGGTTCCCGGGTTCGAGTCCAAAGAGCTTGGAAGGGTGCCGAAAGAGGTCATCGAGCTCCTAGAGGTACCGTTTCTTGAAGCGTTCGTTCCGGCAGCAGATGCCGAAGTGAAAGAAGAACTCGCGCTAGGAAGGGTGGTATCAGGGGTGATGGTCGTCAAGAGCGTCTCCCATGCATCATTGGCATGGTCATCATCAGGGCTCATGCTCCTTTGACGATCTCCAAGGCCATCAACGGCCGACTCGCGGTTTGCCCGGTTTGCCTCGTTGACGGATCGCTGGCCGACTCGGCGCAACAACGGAATGTTCGATGCAACATCCCCGCCAAAGCTCTCGGGTCGGGGAAAAGGCGGGGGAAAAGGCGACAAACGCACGACATCCGGGCGCAATTGAGGGGAACTAGTTCGATGGTGTACGACTGCAGGGTTGAACCGCGGAGTATACGAGGGTGGCTCTTGGTCCTGTCGGCTTGTCACATCGTCGCCAGGGGATGAGCGACGGTACAGATCGGGAACGGTCGGATTACGTGGAATTCTCAACCGCTGGCCAGGACGACTATGCCGGAGGACATCGTTCAGCAGCCGCTGACCGGCCTCGCGTGCGCTGGAATCCGTGAGGCCACTGGTCAGATCAAACGGGTCATCGCCGGAGCCCGAGTTCGGAACGGGAGAGCGCACATGGCGCTGGAGCCCGTTTGTTTCGCGTTCGATCTCATCCACTAGCGGCCGGGGGAAGGGAGGGCGCAGAGTTGCGCTGCGTAAAGCGGAGGAACTACTGTAACGCGAAGGGCGTCGGATGGTGGCCTGGCGACGGATTGCCGAGCGCGCAGCGGCACAGGGGTCTTTAATGGAATTGTTTTTGGCGGCCTCAGTCGAGGAGGGCTCGCGGAACATTCTGCAGAAAGTCAGTCATCACGATGGCCCCGTGCGCTAAACAGCGATGTCGGCAGCGCAACACAGCGCGCGTAAGTCCCCGACGGCAGCAAATCGAACGAAAGCAAGGCAAAAATAACAAGAATGGCAAACAGAGGATCAACTCACGGTATACCCATGACTACAATGAATTGTGTGGCTTTAACGGGGGAAAAGGAACCAAGACCAGACGTCGAGAGGACACCAGGCCAGAGTCACGCTAAAAGTGACGCGAAAGACAGGAAAGGAGGTTGCGGGGGAGAGGCGACAGGATGGATTCTGTTGATGGAGCAGCGGCAAGATTTGGTTTTCCTCTTAACGGTAAAAAGCGGAGGCAAAGAGATTGCCTGAGGCGTTCCCCCGATCGCGCGCCGGAAGGAAGCGCGGAGGCTGGGATTGTGGCGTAGCGAGTGGCTCCGCGTACAATTCAGTACGGCCCGAGTCAGGCACCCGTCGCCGCCTGAGGCACCCATAGCCTTATCACGGGAAACTCCGATAAGGCTTGCCCGGCGCATCGATCGGCGGAGTTTTCGTCGGGAAAGCGCTGCGTCGCTGGTCAACGGCGTCGGAAGGGATTGCAAGAACCTCCTCCCTGTCGAGTCTTCGGGTCCGTTTGACTTACCTCGAGCAATTCTCCCCTCGGGGCATGACATAACCCCCCTCCCTTCGTCCCGCTGTCCAGGATCACATACTTATAGAGAGAGGGATGATTGAACTCGGCCTGAGTCGCATTTCCCGTCTCGTCCAGCAGACATCGCTGAACTGGCAGGCCATCCATATTGCCGGAACAAATGGCAAAGGCTCGATTAGCGCCTATCTGTCCCATCTGCTGACGTCCGGGGGGGTTCGCTGTGGCCGGTTTACGTCCCCGCACCTGGTCGACCGATGGGATTGCATCACCATCGGCGAAAGAGTGGTCCAGGAATCTCTCTTCCGGCAAGTCGAGGCCCAGGTCAAACTGCGGGATCAGGCCCTGGGAATTGGAGCGAGCGAGTTTGAGCTGTTGACCGCAACGGCCTTTGAGATCTTCCATCATGAAAGGGTGGAGATAGGGGTGGTGGAAGTTGGCATGGGCGGTCGGTTGGATGCGACCAACATCCTAAAGGATGTTCTCGTGTCGGTGATCGCGAAGATAGGGCTGGATCATCAGAACCTGCTGGGAAACACGATCGAAGAAATCACCCGAGAGAAGGCCGGGATTTTGAAGCGTGGGGTTCCGTGCGTGGTGGACGGGACCAATTCCCCTGCGGTGATTACTACTCTCCAAGACCGTGTCAAGGAGCTGGGTATCGACGCAACCTACACTCGCCCGGAGACTCCCAATGAGCACGCTCCGTCGCTTGGCCAACTCTTCTCCAAGCTTGATCTCTTGCCGCATCAGCAGGCCAACGTTTGCTGTGCTGTATCGGCCCTCAAATTTGCCCTACCAAAGCTACGCCCCGATCTAGGGGTAGATTCGCTACTACCACATCTTTCGAACGTCGAGTGGCCGGGGCGCTTGCAAAGTATCTCCCTGGCGCCTCTCATTGCTCGAGAAGAACCTATTCTACTCGACGGTGCGCACAATAGCCAGTCTGCCGAAGTCCTTGGGCAGTATGTGGAACGCCGGCTACGTCCGCAGGAAGGGAGCGTTACCTGGGTCATTGCAGCATCGCGTGGGAAGGATATACCCGAGCTATTCGGCTCCATCATCAAAGAAGGCGACCGTGTCGCGACGACGGCATTCGGGCCGGTTGACGGGATGCCGTGGGTCAAAGCAGTTGAACCCGAGGAGCTCGCTACCTGCGTTCGGTCGTTCTCGGGCATCGGAAAAGTCCAGTCATTTGGGACGGACATTGTCGCTGCCATTGATTGGGCTTCGAAGGAAGCTAATGGCAGTCCGATGGTCATTGCTGGCAGTCTTTACCTTGTATCGGACGTCCTCCGTCATCTGCGGGAGGCGAAGAAACAGCCACGAGCCATGGTCCAGTCTTAGGTATAGTGGTGGAAGTATTAGTGCTAATTCCGACGATGATTATCTCAGTCGCAGCATTGGATTAATGTGTATATAATTTATTGGCGTTCTGCCAACCGTCGTAATGTAGCATACAGCGAAGAATTGAGCCTGGAGCATGCTCTATCTGCGTGCCAGATCCACGCGTATCCCCAAGCCTTAGTAATCATAGACCACGGTCTTAGATCAAGACCCTGAGCGACTGCATCGTAAAGATGAGACCGCTCGTGTTGAAACGAAGTGGAGCGAAGCAGCTGGCAGCCAAAGCGATAAGGCTGATCGGAGATACAGCACAAGCCGGGCGCTGCTGCGTCATGCGCCAAACCGCCGGTGGAGAAGGGGAAAGTTCAAAACACCCTTCAATTTGCTGCGCTTCCCTCAGCAGCCACCACGGTAGGTGCCACATCGTGCTCGATCGATCTTGTTTGTCGATACCGGTGGGTTTATCGACTAATTCAGTCTCCTCCCCCAGATCCTATCGGCGACAATCCTCGGATGAGAAGTGACGCGTTGGTCGAACGCGGCTCTATGGGTGTGAGAGCCCGAATTCCTTCCGTATGGCTCTTCTGCTTTTTGCTTTTTTGTATTTGCTTTTTGGGCCTTCCTCCACAATCAAGCGGTGATCATGCCATGGTTTTCCATCGGTGGATATGCCCACTGCCCGTGCTTGTTTTTTGTGTGCGCTTTCTTTCTCGCGATGACTGACAACTCACGCCCCAAATAAACAGGCTCGGCTGACATGAATGATTTCGACCGGTCCCCTGGCTCCTGCCTGTCCATACCTGCCGTCGCTTACCTGAAACCCTGCATTCCGAGACAAATCGGTTAAGTCGAAGCGATCCGAAGACAACTGAGGGGGAAGTTGATTCACCACCTGCCCGACGATGGTCTCTCGATCCAACGAGGGGAACGAGGGGCCTCCTCCATTCTCTAAAGCAACGAACACCCCCGCCAAAACACGGATTGCGAGACTCGGCTCCAGCCCATCAAAACGAGAAGATAAAGCAAAGGATGACCGGGTGATTAAGTCATCAGCCAAGGATGTTGCGGAACTTAAGGATTATGTATGGATCTGGACCCAGGGTTGCTCTCCAAAACAAAGATTCGGCCCGCTGACCTACCAAAGCAATTGGGGGACTGCCTGGGGAAGGGCGCGTTCGGGTCGGTTTACCGGGCCCTGAACTGGAACACCGGGGAGACTGTCGCTGTGAAGCAGATCAAGCTCGTGGACCTTCCGAAGAGCGAGCTGCGTGTTATTATGGTACTGGACTTTCGTTCCCTGATGTCCGGATTTCTGCTAACAATCGTATGCCACAGCTGGAAATTGATCTGCTGAAGAATTTGGATGTGAGATTTTGACATCTGAGGGTTTGTGCAGAGAAGAAGCTGACAAACTTTACTCCAGCATCCTAACATTGTCAAGTACCAAGGATTCGTGAAGTCAGTTGAAACTTTGAATATAATCCTCGAGTATGCCGTCCCCCAGCTCGGCACTTTGAGGTTGGATTGCTAATGGCGCCAGATATTGCGAGAATGGCTCCCTTCACTCAATCGCAAAGAATTTCGGTCGTTTCCCGGAGAACCTTGTCGGCCTATACATGTCGCAGGTGCTCCATGGCCTCTTGTATCTTCACGAGCAAGGTGTGATCCATAGGGACATCAAAGGGGCCAATATCCTCACGACAAAACAAGGCCTAGTCAAGCTGGCCGACTTTGGAGTGGCCAGCCGTACCACTGGTCTCAGCGAATCTAGTGTTGTCGGCACACCGTACTGGATGGCTCCTGAGGTCATTGAACTTTCGGGTGCAACGACAGCCTCTGATATATGGAGTCTTGGCTGCACCGTGATTGAGCTGCTTGAGGGGAGGCCTCCTTATTACAATCTTCAACCGATGCCTGCTCTTTTTCGCATTGTCAACGATGATCACCCCCCGCTCCCGCAAGGTGCTTCGCCGGTGAGTTTCTTTCTTTATTTCTTTTCCCCTCCCGTTTTCATTCACGATCGGAAGTCTCGGTCTCTGACAAGGATACTAGGCCGTCAAGGACTTTTTGATGCAGTGCTTCCAGAAGGACCCTAACCTCCGTGTCTCGGCAAGGAAACTGCTCAAGCACCCATGGATAGTCAACGCACGTCGATCAGATTCCGTGGTTCCCAAAAAATCGACAGAATACGAGGAAGCCGTGAAAAGTGTTCAAGAGTGGAATGAAGCCCTGCGGTCACCGAGTGCAGGAACCCTCCGGAAGACATTTAAAAATGACAGTCAATACCCCGGGGCCCTACCTTCGTCTCGCAATACGCCGACAAAGGACTCACTACCGTCTCCAATCGCGACTCATGTGGCAGATCGATTTCGGTCTCCGATCTCTCCGGAAGAGGATAACTGGGACGATGACTTCGCCACGCCCATTTCTCCCAGCGCTTTGCAATTGCCTCACCTGCGGCCACAGGACAACTTTGGAGGGATGCTGTCCTCTGAGAAGCTCAAAGCTTTTGCATCTCTTGATGGGACAGTATTGAGGTCAGAGGACAGCTTTGATGAATTTGAGGACTCTTTCCAGGACTCATTCAATTCCGGAGAATTAGATCCCCTAGAGACTATCCGCCCTTCGCCGCCGAAGCGAGCCACTGAAGGCGGGCAACCACAGAATCCCTCGCGGTACAATCTCCCCAACGGCTCATTCGCGCCGATGCAGAACGTGCCGATTCTAACACAGAATCCGGTGCCACCCATGAGGCAGCCACGCCCAGCATCGTTTTACAAGGAAAACTCAGTCGAAGATTATTCGGATCTAATCAAGGCCAACGAGGACGTTTTGGACCGCAAGCTGGGTGCTTTTCAGGTGAGCAATATTCTTTTAATTCAACAATCGCCAGAATCTGTTTCTTCTAACACCCGCCTAGGAGGTGGATGAAGACGCCGCGATGTTAGAAGATTTGGCCTCGAAAGATTTAGTTCGATATCAAACTCCGTCCGAGGACAGACGAGATCAGCAGCCTCAACTTAGAAAACAGATTTCTGTCAAGCGCCACCGATCAGCAATCGAGATCCAGCGCTTCACAGAGAATGAGACCGATGAGGATTTCTCTGACATCCTAGGCACAGATGCAGTTACTTTGGATAAGTCCGAAAGGAATCGAGCCCCAGACCCAAGCACGTTGATGCTGAACTCCAAGCTCTCGAACAATTCTTGGCTCGGGGACCAGGATGACGAGGATGATCCCTTTGCCCAGTTGGAGGAAGGGCTAGATGAAATGGATCTGGAGGCTAACATCGCCCGTGACAAGCACGCTCGACTCCGCAATCAAGTCGAGGGACTTGTGAGCTCTCTCAAAACTTCGCAGGACGAAGACGTTCTCGGGGAAATTTCAGAGCAGCTGTTGACGGTTTTCTGCGATCTCCCAGAAACGAAAAACATCATCATAAGTGCCCATGGGATGCTGCCGATTCTGGAAATTCTGGACATGTGCCGTCGACGAGACATTATCCTATGCCTGCTGAGAATTGTAAATGCGATCATTTTCAACGACTACGAAATTCAGGAGAACCTCTGCTTTGTGGGAGGTATACCTATCATCAACGAATTCGCGTCGAAGAAATATCCCCGAGAGATCCGACTCGAGGCCGCGGCATTCGTACAGCAGATGTATCAGACCTCTACACTTACCCTGCAGATGTTTGTCAGTGCAGGAGGATTGAACGTGCTGGTGGAGTTCTTGGAGGATGATTACGAGGATGAGCGAGATCTTGTCCTGATCGGAGTGAACGGCATCTGGAGTGTTTTCGAGCTTCAGGTAAGAACTTTCAGCAAAGAATGTAGGCGTGCAAATCTCACAAGTACTCCAGGGCTCAACACCAAAGAATGACTTTTGCCGAATCCTTTCTCGAAACTCTGTTCTGGACCCTCTGTCCCTCGTTCTCAGTCGGGTTTTGGACGAAGAAGGGGCCTTAGCCGAGGTTGTCGAAGGCCGTATAGCAAATATCTTCTTCATCTTCTCCCAAGCAGAAAACCACGTCAAGGAGATGGTTGCCGAGCGGACGGTCCTGCACAGTAAGTATCATCTGAGGTTTGATAGCCATGGGGATTTCTGCTGACAGCTCTTCCAAAGGGGTGTTGAAAGAATTGAAGCGCATGACGCCCGCACACCAGATCACCATGTTGAAATTCATCAAAAACCTATCTATGCTGTCCACGACGCTCGACTCGCTTCAGAATTCGAATGCGATTGATGTGTTAACGGATTTATTAAGATCTACCATTAAACGCCCGCATTTCCGAGAAGTGTCCAACCAGATCCTGAATACGATTTACAACATGTGCCGCTTGAACAAGTCTCGACAAGAAGACGCAGCTTTGAATGGCATTGTGCCGCTCCTCCAGAAAATCGTGAAGACCGAGCGGCCACTGAAGGAGTTTGCATTGCCCATTCTTTGCGACATGGCGCATTCCGGGAAAGTTGGTCGGCGGGAGTTGTGGCGCAACAAGGGTCTTGCGTTTTACATATCGTTGCTCTCCGACCCTTATTGGCAGGTCACAGCATTGGATGCCATCTTCACTTGGTCAGTGTGCACCCGCTGAAATCGAGCCTGCATATCGCTAACTCTAACTTGACGAACAGGCTGCAGGAAGAGACGGCCAAGGTTGAGGAGCATCTGCTAGAGAATCGCTATGACAAGCTATCTTTCACGGATTCGATTATCCGGTGTCTGACCTTGTCAAAGGCCAACGCATTTGAGAATCTCCTGGAGCCTTTGCAAAAGCTTCTGAGATTGAGTCCTCCGATTGCCTCGACTCTCGCTCGGCCAGATCTGTTCACGCGGATTGACCAAAAATTGCATCACAACAAAGCTGCCGTGAGACTGAATCTACTCCGCATTATATCCAGCATCTGTGATTCAAGTGAGGAGCAAGGCGGACTTCTCGCCAAATACGGCCTTTTGGATGCAATTGGAGAGCTCGAGCACGACCCTGCCATCCTCGTGAGGGACCTGGCCGGGAAGCTTATAAAATCCAACGAAAAGAGCGAGGCTTACGGACTCGGTAAACGCAGGCAAGGTGTGAGACGGATGAGCACCTCCACCACGCCGCCGGGGTTGCTCACCAGCCAGTCCAGTCCGACCACGCCCCAGTTCAACCGGTCTAGTCAATCTAAGGCATACTACGAGGGCAGAGAAAGCCAAAGGCATCCACGAAACCCTCTCAGCGGATCGGCACTGGCACTCCGGCCGGGGAGTAGGGACGGCGCCAACTCTGGTCTCGCAGCGGGATTGAATGGGAGTTCTGGCGCGTCAAGACATCGGATGTCGCGAGGAATCTCTGACAACCGGTTGTCCCATGTCGAACTGCTACCCGATGAGAACCCTCGGCCATCCAATTCGATGTCGCGCCGACCATCAATCATCCCCCGACGACGACGTACGGCACCGGCAGATGCAGACTAGGCGCCATACATACGCGGTCGTCTTTGCTGCATCGTTTCCCTCCGGTTTTTTTTTTGTTTCTGTCCCTGTGTCATGGGGAAGCTTGAACATTGTAGCTGTCAATATTGCAGAGGTGGTTTGGTTTATGTTCCAGTGCATTGCATGGGGAAGGCGCATTGGCGTTGTGTTTATAGTTGTTGGGTATCCTCCCACTGCCCTGGGTACTGGATATGAAGACGGGGGTTCTTTCCCGAGAATTCCCCTGTCTGATTCTAAAAATGAGAACTGTTCTCTGGCACCAGCTAAAAAAGACTCGGTCTGTTCCGACGTAGACTCCCAGTTTGACTCGAGACATGCTTGGCTCGGCGTGGCTTAAAGCGGCGACGGGTGGAGCACCGCGGGATTCTCTCTCGTGCCCTTCCGTCCCGGCGCTCTTCTACTCCGTACTTCCGCAGACCACCATGGCCTGGTGTTAGCAGCCCAATTCACTGGACCTCTGCTACCGGCTGTCTTACTCTTGTTTTGGTTCCTGGTCGCTCTCCATACGGCATTGCCCTGCATTCGGTATGAGGGCGGTGCTCCGCGCTCCGCTGCGGGCATCCAATTTTGATCCCGCAACGGCCATCCGATACTCGGCTTCTTCTTCTTCCTCTAGCCATTCGTTGCTGCAACCGCGAGCCCCTTCGATACTTCGCAAGGCGATTTCCTCATCTGCGCAAGGGTCACGAGGATCATACCGATCCCGCGTTCCAGGACCGATCAGACCCTTTGCGTCACACGCTCCTTTCTCCTCGAAAACGTCGCCTTTGTTAGAAAATGCCGGTAGTAATGCCGGGAAAGACACGGGTTCGGGTCAATCGCAGAAGAAATTCATAAAATATGTGGTCTTGGGGGGAACGCTGGTCGTCGGAGCAGTGGTATTCTCGGATGACGCTCAGCATATCTACCGCGCCGCGCAGAGAACGGGGAGGGTTGTCGGCACATTAGCGGTGTGTATCAACGAGTAAGTTGGAGATAACTTTGTGCTTTATCACTTGGCTCTTGTGTCCGCTCACATATGTTTGCGTCCGTCAGTTACCGAGTCACCCTCAAGCAAGAAACCTCATCGCCCGAAGAACGGAGTGAAAACATCCGGGCTTGCCACAAACGATGCGCCGAACGAACCCTGCGTGTTCTCGAGAAGAACGGCTCCATATTTATCAAGCTAGGGCAGCACCTGAGTAGCATGGGTTATCTGCTTCCATTGGAGTGGACGACGACCTTTGTTCCGCTGCAAGACAAGTGCCCCGTTTCGTCGATCGAATCCATCGAAGAGATGTTTGTGGCGGACACGGGCCGCCGCGTTGACGAGCTCTTCTCTTCCTTTGATTCGGAGCCCATCGGTGCTGCATCTCTTGCCCAGGTTCACGTTGGTACGCTGAAGGAGACTGGCCAGAAAGTCGCGGTGAAGGTGCAACATCCGGCGTTGGCGGAATGGGTCCCCTTGGACCTCGCGTTGACTCGGTTCACTTTCTCGATGCTGAAACGCTTCTTCCCCGAGTACGACCTGGAATGGCTGTCGAAAGAAATGGATTTCTCATTGCCGCAAGAACTGGACTTCCGCATGGAGGCGGACAATGCTACGAGGGCGAGCGAGTACTTCAAGGAGCATTCGGATGCCCCATTGGTTATTCCGGGTGGTACGTCAACTTGTTCATTTGCGTTGCATCTGTCTGATTTATGCTAATACCGCTTTAGTTATGTGGGCTCAAAAACGGATCCTCGTGATGGAATTCATCTCTGGTAACCGGCCTGATGACCTGGAGTTCCTGGACTCCAACCACATCAACCGGGACGAAGTTTCCGCGACACTGGCCCATATCTTTAACGAGATGATCTTCGGGGACAATGCTCCTTTGCACTGTGATCCTCACGGCGGAAACATTGCCATCCGGAAGAACTCCAAACGGCGTCACGGCTTCGAAATCATCCTCTATGATCATGGCCTCTACCGCGATATCCCTCGCGAATTACGCCGGAACTATGCCAAGATGTGGCTGGCCGTCATCGAAGCGGACGAAGGGCGCATGCGTGAGTATGCACGCAAGGTGGCAGGCATCACCGACGAGCAATTCCCCCTCTTTGCCAGCGCCATCACCGGTCGAGACTACACCAAGGTAACGAATAAAGACATCGTCACTCAACGCACCGACTCAGAGCGAGAGAGCATGTCCGGCGCACTGAGCGAGGGCATGTTGCAGCAGTTGGTCGAATTGCTCGGCCAGGTTCCCAGGATTATCCTTTTGATTCTCAAGACCAACGACCTCAGTAAGTCCATTCTATAACCACCCCTCTTGTTTGTACCCTATTCTAACATCGACTTCTAGCCCGCAGCCTCGACGAAAACCTTCACACCCGACAGGGACCCGTCCGCACCTTTTTGATCCTCGCTCGCTACGCCACCCGCACGGTGTTCGAGGAACAAATGGAGTCGATCAACGAGACGGGCGGGATCCTGCGTGTCAGGAACTTCTTCCGATTCCTCTGTGCATGGACCGGGTTCCTTCGCGTCGAGCTGAAGCTGTCCGTCTACGAAACCCTGCTGTCCCTCAAGACCCGGTTTGCTCAACTCTGGTGAGATTTTAAAAGCTGGAAATGGTAATAGGCCCAACACAATCATTACCATCCCTTCCTTCTGAGCTTCGCAAAAGCCTTGTACATCCCCTTGTTTCTGTTGCTTTTTCCCTCCATCCTTTTTCCCCTCCTCCTTTTTGGTATGATTTGATAGAACGGCACGGGTGGGTAAATCTGTGCATCAGATGGCGTTTATTTATTACTGTCACCTTTTTTTTGGCCCCTACCCCTGACATCCTGTTTGTTCTTAATATATTATTTTCTCTGTTTTTCCGGTTTCATAAAATGTGTGTACTTATATAGAAATACAGGTCGGCAGAATCGCGACTGTGTGAATAGACGGATAGATCAAGAGCTTAAATAGGATTTGTTCGGATTAAAACAGTCAGATGAATTTAAATGAAAGTATCTAGAGACAATATCGCAAGTCAAGCACAACCACGCCAGGTATCACAGGAACACTGCACGCAAGCAAGGGCATTCAATTGAAGAACTATCGCAGGCAAACAAATATCAAGCTATATCACAAAGCCCTTTTCTTTCCGTCTCGCCTTGCCTTGTCTTGTCAATCTGCCAGCGTGAAGTATTAAAAAAAAAAAAAAAAGAAAAAAAAAAATCTCGAAGAGAATGGTAAGTGAAAGAAAAAATCTGTACATCATTCGAGGGAAAAAATAAACAATTCCAATCTGAATTTGGAACAATCAAAGAAGAAATTCAACACAATCAGGGAATCATATTTGGTATCGCCTTGTTGCTTTCACCATGGTGTCTTTTGGTGCATGTTTTTGGTAAGATTTGAGAATTTCAATCCTTTTTTTGTAGGGTTTTTGTTATAATTATTTCTTCATTTTACAGGCTAGCGGAAGCACCGCCGGTCTTCTCAACCTCAACCTCGACCTGAGGCATGGAGGCACCGGTGCCGCCGAGGTCGGTCGAGCGAGCCTTGGGGTTCTTGGTGTAGTAGTCCGAGATGGCCGACTTGATAGCATCCTCGGCAAGCATGGAGCAGTGCACTGGATAAGTTCACGATTAGCCACCATATCTAATCTGGGTAGAAGGAAGATATAGAACTTACGCTTCACGGGAGGAAGGCACAATTCCTTAGCAATGTCGGTGTTGCGGACCTTGCCGGCTTCCTCGAGGGTCATACCACGCACCAACTCGGTGAGGTAGGAAGAGCTAGCGATGGCGCTACCGCAGCCGAAAGTCTTGAACTTGACGTCGCTGATCGTGTTCGTGTCCTTGTCGACGCGGATCTGAAGCTTCATCACGTCACCGCAGGCCGGGGCACCGACGAGGCCGCTGCCGACGTCCTCGTTGACCTTCATGGATCCGGCATTCCGCGGGTTGTTGTAGTGGTCTAGCAGTGCTGAGACGGTCAGTATTTTCCTCGAGGATCTTTTTCGTTTTCAAGAGGGTTGGAGAAATTCGGGGTTCGATGGACTGTCGGTGGCAACGCGTCCACGAATCCCTTGACGGGCGACCGGGGCGACTTATCTTTCTCATGGTAGCCTCTTCGCTGGGGGGCAGGAGATGCGCGGAAGATGGGCTGCTGCGTTTGCAGGCCGGACAGGGCCGGTGTGATACGAGGCGACACGAGAGTGCCGACAGAGCGAGGGGCGACTGTGACGAGACGACGGAACATGGTGATTGATGTGATTAGGAGAGGAGATTAGGGCGGTGTATTGGCGAGGAATAAAATGAAAAAGCCGTGAGAGGCGATGGTGGGTATCAGGAGGTGAGATGGTTGTTAGAAAGAGGAAGAAAAAAACGGCGAAGGGGGAGGAAGAGATGGCCGAGGGATGGTTAGTAACGCCGGTTGTGATGTCGATGAAAGATCGATCGAATTCATTCATTGATTGATTATTCGGCGCCCGTCGCCGGCGCTAAGCCGCTTTCGGAAACCCCGTTGCCTCCGCGGGTCCGGCCTCGGAGATGACGTTAACCCGAGCTCAGAGTCCGGTTCTCTGCGGGCAGGGAATGGTTCTGATTCGAGAGCATGGAGACACATTACAGAGTATGAATGCTTCTCATCCAGCACATCGGCCTTCTCCAAGAATCCCCCTCGGCCACGTCGTGCTACAGCGGATCGCAATTGGGGGGGGGCAGACGGAGTCTCCGAGGAAAACGACGGCGGATGACTAACGGGCCAGCAGTCCAGCCCCGGCGGTTCGTACGAAACGTCGCTTACCCGATCCACGGCAGTTGCATCCCTGTCGCAACCAACGGGAACGCCGCCGGACAGTAACGCGCCGTGTAATCAATACCTTATCTTCCGCCGCCTCGTCGCCCTCCATCTGATAACCTCGCGTCACGGGATCCCCTCCGGACGCTGTACACCGGGCATCATGTCCAAGAAGACCCTGGGTCGAACGTCGGGCGTAAGTGGGTTTCCATTTAATTCCATTTGCCCGTCTCTCTCCTCTGTCGATCCTGCATGATGCTTCTTCGTATGATGTAAACATATATACCCAGAGTTATGCATCTCTTGTGGTCGAAAGATGAATTGACCCCAGCTCCAGTCGCTCAATGCCCCCATAGCCGCCTTCACCATGGCCATCCTCCTCACTACCTACTGCGTCACCTCCATCAACAGTGCACGTCGTGAAGCCCAGGTCTCCGCGGCGAATCCTACCCCGACATCCCGTCCGAGAGCTCCGACGGACAGGAACGACCAGCCTGCCTGGGTTCGCCAGGCTCTCGAAGAAAGTCGAGAGTCCGAGCAAAGAAAAGGCTCTTAAACCGAGATGCAGGTATATCCTTTTGGAACTTACTATGTTCGACTTGTAACTACTCAACTACTGCGATGAGCATGCATCTGTGGAGTTTGTTTTTTTGGAGCCTTGGTATTGCGACAAATCGTGTCAAGAATTCTATTATCATGTCTACTACCTAGCAACAGAGCGGAATGTGTTCCTCCGTCAGGAATCCCGGAGACCTAGTAAATCAATGTTAGCAATGGACATTGCATATAAAACAACCGATGAATCAAGTCAGGTCGCAGTCAGTCCACGATCAGAATTTTCAGTGTATTGTAATAGTCATATCCGGCCCTTGAGGAACCGGATCTACCATTAAAAAAAAGTTCATCTTGTGGAATGGAGGGGCAATGGGAAAAAGGAATGGAAAATAACAGTACCTTTCTTGTTTTTCTCCCATTGGGTGGGTGGTTGGGTTCTACAGCAGAGCAACAGGTAACCAGAAAGGGGAAAAAGACCCCTGCCCAGAAAGATGCACCAGGTCAGAACGCGGACGAAGATGACGAACTCAGAGCATCTGATTGACTGCGTCAGGTCGAAGGATCTTCAATGTTTTCATCACCGTTCCACCGACTTGTTCGTTGTCAGGAAGTTTAAAAGGGGAAATCCAAAAACTGGAAAATTCGACTTTGTGGGTGTGTCACGTGTTTCGCGACTGACATCATCCCAGGCCGACACGGCTGCGTCCTGAGGCATCCCACCGGTACGTCGCATTGGAGACCCGCTATCGTTAGTCACTCCAGAAGTGCCACTCTTTGATAAATAGACATATCAAACATTTACATTGGTCCTGATTGTAGCTGCTGGGATGTCGAGAAGCCCTGAAGGCAGTAGGTATAAATGGAATGGATGTATGTACATTGCGAAAGCAAGTAAAAACCGAGTCAAAAGCAACGCTCAGAAAAACATAAGTCTTTCGCCGGGTAAAGAAGCCCACCGCATGACAGATGAAATTAGGAAATAAAAGATCTTCACATGTCAGAAAAATGCCTGACCACTCTAGTGTTAACGCCATGGTCCGATCACCATCGATGCCGATAAATGTTCGTTCAGCCGAGGCCGTTCCATGACCGGTTATGTAAACAACAGGCAAGTGAGTAGCTGGTCAACGGGTGTCAGAAGCGCAATAGGACAGGATGCAAAACAAGAAAATAGAAAGAAATATCTATAGAGCGCCTCCTCGCCGGGTACAGAGAGCGCAGGCCTTGTGAATCGTGGAAAGGTTGCTGACGTATTTTGCGTCGGCCGCCAAACAAGCCTCCGGGCCGGTTGAAGACGCCCTTCTCGTCCAATTATATTCCAACTGGATCTTCTGGCGTCTCCTCCTCCAATTTCCGCTTCAACGACCCTTCGTGCTGAAGGTTGCCGATGAGTTTGCGAAGATATTCATATGTTAGCATTGTGGTCATGGCAGCCGGAACGGCTCGGAATAGATTGGTGCCGATCCCGGAATAGAATGCGCGCCATCCTTCTTCTTTCAGAATGGTCTGGCATGTACGGACAATCCCTGTATATCGGGGTCGGTTAGGCATGCCATCAGACGATGCGGCACCCGGAGGCCTACCACGGTCCTGGGGGTGGTCCAGTCCGCCACGGAATGCAATCTCCTCGGGCGATGGCGCAGGCGAGGTCCTTTGCTGGGTTTGTAGCCTGGTCCGTAGTACCTCGTGGGGGTATGTCACGGTGCTCGCGCATATCTTGCTTAGGAACGTAGCAAAGGATATTCCGATCCAGTGGGAGCTTCCATTGTCGGGATGCTCTCCGATTCCATAGCCAGTCAGAGCCATTTTCAGATACTCGTACAGCGGGAATTGGATGGCCACGTGCGTCAGTCCTAGCAAGGCGGGTGAAAGTCCGGAGTAGAATGAACGGATTCCCTCGGTCCTATACATTTTGCGAGCCGCGTCCCACGTGCCAGAATATTGCCATGGGGCCCGGAAACCCTCGCTATTAGATTTGGTACTCTGGGACATGAGTCGTGTTTTGATCACCCAGATTGGATTGGTTGCTATCGTGGAGCAAGCACCAGCCGATATGGAAGCATAACCTCTCGAGAGCCACCAGCTATCTGTATGGTGTGTGAAGTTTAGCGAAACATTATCTCAAGCGGGGGGGGGGGAAGCGTAAAACTTAACTCACCGGTAGATTCATAAAAGTATTCCCGAGACCGGTCATACACTGCTAGATAGACGGCCCACGTGGGCAAATATCCAAGCAGCATGGGGCCCAGTCCTTGGTAGAGACCTCGAATACCATCTTCTCGCCATATCATCCTGCCCGTGCCCAGCATGCCTCGGTATAGTGTTTTGGCCTCGACAACATTAGGCCCTCTTCGTGCAAACCCTCCCTGAGCCTGCAGCTTGGTCTTAATCACGTCGAGGGGACATGTTACGATTCCAGATGCCACGCCGGCACTGGCTCCGCAGAATGGCGCGATGTAGAAATCGGGAACGCGCGCAGAGAGCAGCTCGATGCGAGTGCGGAACGGACTTGATTGCGCTTCGGGAGTCACATGGAGATTGGACGACGGGGGGCCGTCGGGATGTGTAACCTGCTGCTCTTGAGAGCCATCGGCACCCTTTGAAGTGCCATGGCCTTCTGAAAACATGTTTCTGGTGTCTCTGCCAGCACTCGGATCGATTTATCTATCCGTCTTAAATGTCACGAGGGCTCCCGGACCCGAGCATATCGGTGCTCGTTCCGGAACCCAAAAGAATCTGCTTTGATCGCGGTGGGTCGGATTCCGTCGTTCGGAGCACTCGTAGATTGAAATCAGGGGACGCAGGAAGGATTGAAATGGCGTGCTGGGTATTCCGATGCTGCCGGATCGTCTAACAGTTTGACGTTACCCTATCTGAAGCACAGACGGGGCGGGGTCTTGTGAAAGCAGCTCGGCTCCTCGACAGGAGCTAAAAAGACAAGGGAGGATGATTCAGCGGATGATGACCCCCATACCTAGGAATAAGGACAGTGGCAATCGAGAAAGGTTGATTCCCCAAGGGATCAAATCTGTTGGAAGCACCGGGGAGGAATGCGAACACGGGACAGCGCGGAGGATTGTGGACGAGATGAATCCAAGTTACGAGAGTCTCTGTCGGTCAGGTGGAGAGCGAATCCACCCCGGCTCCAAGCGCATGGCGGCCTGAGGCATCTCCGGTCGCTCCGGTCACGTGCAGCGTCGGGGCGGGCAGGGTGGGCTGGTGCCTGAGGCCGCCCAGATCGGATGTTTTTGGGCAAGTCAGCCGTCGAACCTCCGTTTTGCACAATCTCCAACGTCGGGCCAACTCTCGCTCAGCTTGACTGACACTCCGCGAACCCTCCTCCCACACCCTCCCGTCAATTGGATCCAGAACGTCTCCCTCGGGAACCATCCACCATGTCCGCTCCTTCTCTCACCAGCTACATCGTCAAGCGCCCCTGGCTCAAGCGCTGGATGACGCCGATTGCCAATTGGTACACCGACGCTGCCGGCTACCGGAAACTCGGGTTGAGGTAAGCGCTCATCCCTTCACGATTTCCAAGGTCGGAGGGGTCAGGTCAAACGGATATGAACATGCGATAGAGCTTGATTGCAATTGTCGGCTCTTTTTTTTTTCTTGTTCGGCCTCCGTCCCATATCCCGATCGACGCCTGTCCGCGGATCAATTTTTATACCTTGACCCCCAAAGGAAAAAAAGAAGCAACGGCACTGACAGTGACAAGGGTCGATGACTTGATCCCCGAGGAGAGCGAGACCGTCCAGACCGCCCTCAAGCGTCTTCCTCCCAAGGAGGCCTACGACCGTGTTTTCCGTATCCGCAGAGCTTTCCAGGTTAGAACCTATCCATCGTGATTGCGGAAGTAGCCAGCGATCTAACACTACTCATCAATCAGTGCTCTGTCTCTCACACCCTTCTTCCCGCTGCTGAGCAGACCAAGCCGAGTGAGGTGAGTTTGGATTTCGTATAATTTCGCCTACCAACCGTCCCCGTACCTCCGCAAAAGCCATCGGCCAATCCCATGAGCCGGATTTGTCAACTGATGCACGCCCCATATCCGATCGATCCAATGCCTCGAAAGGGCATTGGGGACCACTCTGGCGGTTATTCAAGGAAGTCGGAGCTGATATTAAATCGATAGGACGTCGAATACCTGAGCCCCATCATCCGCGAAATCGAGAAGGAGCAGAAGGAGCGTGCCGACCTCGACAACCTCGTCGTCAAGCGGTAAATGCCTACCTCAAATATCGCTGTCGAGAAATACCAATAGGAGCGGCATGGCAATAGACCGGTGGGATAGAGACAATGAGGGGATATTGGCCTTTGCGCGCCGCTGCGATGGACCTGTGCTGGAAGTTAATTGGTTTTGATACGTTTGATCACGTGTACTGATACTGTACAAATTCCTTTATCTCGATTTTGTTGACCATTACTTCTCTTCCCGTTAATCTCGAAAAGTAATCCGGTGGCACGAAATGAGGATACCTGGCTTGTGTGGAGGCAAGGCATACTGGCGCTGTTCCAATGCCCAACCTCAAGGTCACAGTAGTTTGGTGCTGGCATTTCTGCACGTGCTGGCATTCCTGCGTGCAGAAATGCCAGGTCATATATGCAGTTTGCTACCTAGGCGGCCAAGGGCGTGTTATCCAACGCTGTCATATAATACATGTTATACCAATCAAATGAAGGAACCCCTATCGACTCCAATAGAAAACAAAGGAAGAGATGAGATGCTCTCACTTTTTTAAGGGTTCAGTACGGCAATATCTACGTTCTCTATCCGCCACATGTACCACATGAAAAGGCTCCTACGTGTCCATGTAAGACTGGTGGCCCTTTGCCTTTGCTATAGGCCAGGAAAGGGGCACGTACCTATACGGGGCGAATTTTGCTGCCAACTCCAGCATGTCTTTCTCGGCCATATACTTGAACTTACCGCCTCCCTTGGCCTTGAGCTTGTTCACGTCCTTGCCCACGAACGCGGCACAGCCCCTCCTGTTTGCGAGGTCAGTCAGTATATTGCCAGATCTTAGTGCATCGCAACCACTGTGTGGGTGCTGTCGAGCTTAGAATACGATGGATCAGCTTACTGCACACCAAGATCGCCGGTAGAGAAGACATCGATTCGCTTCAGGGCGAAGCAGGCGAACATCTCGACGGACCACTGGCCCAGGCCTCGAACAGCAGTCAATCTCTTGAGGAGTTCCTCGTCGCTGGCGTTCAGCAGCATCCGCGCACTGAGTTCCCCGTCTGCAAACTTCTGCGATAGGCCTTGGATGTATTCGGCTTTCCGCTGGGAGAGACCCGCTGTCCGCAGCGTGGGAATATCAAACTGGATGATCTCCTCCGGCGTTGGAAATCGATTCCCCGCTTTTGCGTCGTCTCCATCGCTCTTCTCGTTAAACAACGCTACGAATTTATCGCGGATAGACTTGGCTGCGGCGCCCGACACCTGCTGACCGATTATGCTGACGACCAGACTTTTAAACGGATCGATCTCCTCGGCCAGTCCCCCTGGCGAGAAGAGCGGGCATGGGTGCTGCTTGATCACGGGTTCGAGTCGCGGATCTGCAGCGATCAAGTGCGCGATGGCTTGTTCCAAGAGCGTCCCAGTCGTGGCTGTCGGGCGCGGTCGGCCAGTCTTGCTGGGGGAGGCATCCTCGGCGCCGGGCGGGTAGGCAACCAGGGAAGACCCATGGGGCGTCAGGAGGGGGGCATTCGTTCCATGAAGCTCGACAGGTCGATCGAGGGGCGGAGGGGTAGAATGCGGCCTGTGTGTAGGGCCATTAGAAGTAGAAGACGGATCGAAGATGTTCTCGGGCGCTTGTCCGCCCGCGCCCTGCGCCGTCAAAGTCTTGCTTGGGAGGGCATCGGCCAGGGTCTTGTTCAATTTCGAGTTCCGTGCATTCTTGCTCTTTTCCGGCGCTTTTCGCGCCTTGCTCACTCCGTTGCTGCTGAGCTGAGCCCGGCTGGCTTTGTTTGTCTGGGTGCTTGGTTGCCACAGGGGCGATGCTGTCCTGCCGGGCGTTGCGCTCAAGCGAGCAGATCGCCTGAGAGCCATCATTCGGATCTATTTATATAAACTGGCCGCGTATGACGGGAGTATCTGTATATGCGTTGACGTGGATTTGATGGGTGTATGTCGATGTTTGAATGGCGGTTGGCGCTCGGCGGATGTGACACATGTCAGCGCGGATAAGTCATCCGTTGGTGCCTGTCCGTCAATAATGGAATTAACTGGGATCTATACGTCTACTTCACAGTTGAGAAGTTTCTATGCTGTAGGCTCGTATTGGACTTCGAGGTAGCCTGTCGAGTTGGCAGCGTTCGGTCTTTCTGGCATGCTCTCGATATCCATGGATAACAGCATGTATATATTGTTGGATAGCTCCGGCAAAACTTCGGCCAGTAAGATATCAGCCAGTGAAGATCTACAGGGCAACAACAGCGTAGATAATGATCACAAACAAATCGCCCACACTCTCTACGGCGTACGGAGCACTTCAAAGCCAAGTATAGCAATATGCACCAGCCGATCAAATGGTGTGGTAGTACCGGTTGGTTCTCCTCATCCCGTGGTTAGCCAACAGAAACATCATTCGTCATGTCTCACGTTCTAGCTCGGTCGCGTTGAACCTTCTCTTGCAGGGCACAGTTCAAGCTCAGTCTACGAGGTAGTGGTACACTGCACGGAGTAAGGGCATGTAAACAAAGAATTCATCGAGTGACCGGAGATCGGACAGGTCGAGTAGCACCAAGCATCCCCAGTTTGCGTCATCTACCAGACGTGGCCCACAAGTTGATTTGTTGGTCATCTATCCAAGACCCGACGACGAGGTACTCCGTAAAAGCACAGAAGGGCCTTCCTGTCAAATCGAAAAAAAAAGAGAAACAGAAAAAAAGGCCCGAAAAGGAAGCAAGTAATTAAACGGATCAGAGACTACCAGACCCCGGTGGAGATATCGTAATCTTAGAGCAGCTCAGTAGGGGTCACTAAAGAGCCAGGGACCAAATTGAATGCTATTAATACTCGGCCAGACCCGAGAGAAAAGGCCATGACAGGAGCAGAGGACCCCCATCGACAATTCCATCCCGAAGCTTCGCTCGGGATTCACGGTGGCCGTTTCTGGTTTCACATGGCCGACCGGAGAGCAGTGGGAAACCAACATTCACCCGTGGATGGGATGATAGGAGCCAAGGGGAGTCACTCGTAAGATAATAGTCTCGACTCTCGGACATCGAGCTAGTCTAGTACGGGAGTACGAAAGTAGCACCACCGACGTTAATCCACGGCGTGCAGGGATGAGTAAAATGACGATGGTCGCCCGAAACTCTGCTCTGCATGTCCATATGCAGATTTATGCGCAGTTTCGACGCCGTTACTAATGCTCCCTATCAAGCGTACAGCCACCCGAGTCTGGTGGCGTTGGGGGGAACGTGCTGCTGGTTTTGATTATCAGTACCATCAGTGCATCATTGCGGGATCCAGAAATGACATCGACACATGTAATATATCGATGATGAGCTCATGGGCCCGAGGATGAGACAATGGAGTCTGGCGAGAGACAACGATACTATATACAGCATCAATTGGCAGCGACCGTAATTAGCACGGAGGAGAAAGAAACCCCGAAATAATTGCAACGGATAGTTGTGGAGTATGCGACGGGGCACCCACCCCGGTGGAGAGATAAGTGAGCAACTCTAAACTGCGCAAGCGATCAATTCATATTATTATTCATAATCAGAATGCTAAGCATTCATCCCGGCGAAGGAGTGCAAATTTCGACCTCGAGCCGATGTCACAGGGTCTCGTCGCGGCTGAACTCCTTACCTATCTCTTACCTGTCTTCCGCAACGGCCGCCCTTGGAGTGCTTGATTCTATTTTCATGAACCAGCCGATGAATCTCGCACCCTCGCGTTGATGTGATCATGACGCCTCGCCACTTTGCAGGCAGCCGATTCTCCTATTCTCCGACGAAGGGAGGCAAGGACCTGAAGGCGACCAATTCCAGCAAGTTGCGAGTCGATATCGACAGTCCGGGCAAGAGAAGAGGACCATTTCAGGAGCTCGCGATGGGTCCGCCGGGTGGGCCTGCGGTATGGTATGTAACGCCGTGACCAGAGCATACCGCGGTATTACGCAGCACGTGACCTACAGTACTTGGCCGTAACTTTGCCACTTTATTATTATCTCGGCGAGAGGGGAAAGTGCCTTCCTAGTTCTGTCGGTCCATGGTCCTGGTCGGATCCAAACTCAATTCGCCGCCATGCCCTCGCACACAATCAGTATCCACGAAAGCATGTAACAGATGAAGAATGCTCGCGGCGATGCTCTCTCGCTGGCAGGTAAACAACCAGATTCCAACGTCCGCCCAAATACTCGGCTTCGCATACCGTCCCAGAGGCAGGGCCCAGAGGTCGGCTTGGAATTCCAATCGTCTCTGGACTGATCACCAGAACCCTGGAATTTTTCGGTCTTTTATTTTTATTTTTATTTCATTTTTGAAATCTTATTTCCAAATCGATTGATTTCTCGTGGGTTATTTTTGTCGTCGCAGCCTCTCGTTGGTTCATGACGACGACCATCGCATTCCGAATGCCTTTCTAGAATACCTATCAAATGGGATCAAAATGAAGGAGGACGAGCCTGCCGAAAACAGACGCCGACGGACGATCAGGCGGTCATTCTATCGAATGGCTGGACTTTCGTCAGGAATACACCAAAACCACGCTCCGTAATAGTCATGGCGATAATTCTGTCGACGAACTTCCCCGACTGGCCGAGCAGAGGAGCAGCCGCCTGGTACCAGAGTCTGGCCCCTCCTAGCGGCTGGACTAGTCGGCTGGTAGATTAATGTTGCAACCGATCTTCATGATGATCGTGGAAATTCAGCAAATCCGCCGTCGTTCACGCCAGGCACGGAATATCGTTGCTTGGTTGGTAGAGAGAGCTCCGGTACGACGGAGTCGCGAGTTACTCGACGGAGTAGGGATGCTTCGTGATGTGCGTATGGGGAGACTGCCCTACAGTCGCCGAGTCTGCAGAATTTGGGACTGCTGTTTGGAGGTGTCAACCAGGGCTTTACCGTACCCAGACAGGCCCAAGTAGACACCGTCGGACCTTACGTACTCTGGGACGGCGTCTCAAGTGTGTCAAGCAACAATTGCCATCTGTTTCAGATTGCATGAAAATGGGCAGAGAAAGGGGGGGTGTGGCCGGCGAATCAGCGGCGGGCGAAGGGCGCGGCCATTGGCGAGGTGTTACAGGATGGGGCCGACTAGCCACAACGGACTCGTTTCCGGCCAAAAGAAGGGAAAAAGAAAAACAGGATTCCTGCGTCAGCCTGCGGGATGCGCCGCGGGTTTTTTTCTTTTTCTTTTTTTCCTTATTATTTTTTTTTTACCCCCTCCGTTACTGTGGTCGACTCGGGGGAATTTGGTGAACGGAATCTTCTGCCCTTGCGAGTTCTTTGTTATTGTTATGATTGTTACGAGGTCCTAGATAACTGACGACTGAGTCCGAGGACAGGGATGCCATCCATCTGATTAATTGAAATAGGACGTAGTCAACAGTGCCTACCTGGAGGTACCTTACCTAGGTACCATAACTAAATACCTGAATACCAGGCATTACCAGCGCGTACCGTACCGTACGTCTGCCAGGCTCGCAAGGAGAAACGCCCCCAGTCTCGAAAAAGCCCAAAGCCGGTTCCACTCCTCGGGCCACGACGGTCTCCTTTCCTTGTCCTCCCTGAAAGCCTTCCTTCCCACTTCTGCTCTTTTTGCCATCCAGTCCTTCCTTTTCTCTTTCCTCTTCTCTTCATTCTTTGAGAACGTGCCTGCCTAATCCGTGCATTTCCTTGCCCAAGGTCCCGGCTGTCTTAAGCTTCCCCTTCGTTTGAAGCCGCCTCTCTTTTTCTTCCACTCGTTTATTTATCTTATTCGCTTCCACCCCTCTTCAGCTCTTTCGCTGCCATCCTGACCATATTGACTACAAAGGGCCCGTCCATCGCCCGATTATCATATCTCTTCCATCCATCATTGGTAAGTTGCGCCGATTCCCTCCCACTCTGCCACCCTTCCACCCTCGCCCAATCGAGTCGTGTTTGTTTACTACTTGGGTTGCCCCTATCACCTTCCGGTGTGCTCTCCCCCTGATGAACGTCTTGGGTTCTTGCACGCCAAGAAGAAAAAAACCTGTGCGCAGACCTCACGGTGCTAATTGGGAATTATCAACAGTAGTGCGAAATCACCTCGAACAATGGGTTTCTTCAAATATGCTCTCCCCGCCTTGATGGCGACTCAGGCCGTCTTCGCCGCCGATGGTAAGTGGCCGCGCAAACAACCTCTGGCGATGGGGCCCCGTAATTGACAATCTTACTAGACTGCGGCAGCGGCAAGACCATCTCGATTGAAAGCCAAGGCGATGCCGACAAGTACTCCAGCTGCAAGACCCTCAAGGGTGACGTTGAGGTCAGCGAGCACATCAACGGCGACCTGAACATCAACGGTGTTGAGCAGATCACCGGTAGCTTCACCGTCGACGGTGCCAACAACCTGAGCTCTCTGGCCGCCTCGAGCCTGAGCTCCATTGGTGACACCTTCAAGCTGAACGGCCTCACCACCCTCACCACCCTCAGCTTCGGTTCCCTCAACAAGGTCGGAACCGTCAAGTGGGCCGCTCTCCCTCAGCTGCAGAACCTCGACTTCAACAAGGGTATCACCGAGGCCGACGATGTCACGATCACCAACACTGGTCTGACCAACCTGGACGGTATCTCCCTGAAGACTGTCGGTACCTTCGACATCACCGAGAACCTTTCGCTCAAGACCGTCAACGTCAACAACCTGAAGAACGCCAGCGGTCTGATCAACTTCGCCGGAAACATGGACTCCTTGGAGATTGAGCTCCCCAACCTTGCCGGCGGTAGTAACATGACCTTCCGCAACGTTTCTTCCGTTTCCGTTCCCTCCCTCAAGGAGCTGACCGGTCAGCTCGGCTTCTGGGGTGACAAGTTCAAGTCCTTCGCCGCCCCCAACCTGACCGAGACCGGTGACTTGGTCTTCAACGACAACAAGAACCTTGCCAACATCAGCATGTCCAAGCTCACCAAGGTCAACGGTGGCTTCCAGATTGCCCGCAACAACAAGCTGGGCGAGATCAACTTCCCCGACCTCGAGACCGTCACCGGTGCCATTGACTTCAGCGGCAAGTTCGACGAGTAAGTTCCCCTCGAGCTCAAGAAGTCCAAAAATTGTTCATGTGCTAATCGCGTCCTTAGGGCCAAGCTTCCTTCCCTGAAGAACGTCCGTGGTGGCTTCAACATGCAGAGCACCGGTAACTTCAGCTGCAGTGCTTTCAAGAAGCTCGAGGAGGACAAGACCATCCGTGGAAAGTACGAGTGCTCCGGCAACAAGGCCCACCCCACCACCAAGGACGGCTCTTCCGGTGCCAGCGGCACTAGCAGCGGCAGCGGCTCTTCGTCCTCTTCCAGCGAGGGTGCCTCCGCCATGAACGTCGCCAACATGCCCGCCATGGGTCTGGCCGCCGTCTTCGGTGCCCTCGTCCAGTACGCTCTGTAAAGGCAGATACCAAGTTGATTGAATGTGTGTCCGTTTTTTATCTTTTTTCTCTTTTTACTTTATAAATCCCTGTTTATGGTCGTGTAGAGTCGTCTGATAACCATTGGGGCTTTTGTCCAGTACCTTGCTGTTCTTATGATAATAATTGAATCTCGTTTGAGCAAAACTCTTAATTTGGGGTTTGTCCTCGGATCCCGTTGGCGCGGAGTTTTATGCAGCGTTGAATACCCCCGGTGGACCCCTTCGCATGTCAATTTTGCCGCAACGCCCTCGATGGGGGCAGACGCAGTCCCGGTTGGACCAAAGCCAAGCTGTTTTGTTCTCGTTTGTGTGATAGACATTCCTTGCAGTTTTTACGTTTACCTGTTCATGATAGTCGTCCGTTTCAATGTCACCCTTTTCTTTTTAAACCTTGCACCACTCCTCCAGCCCCCCACGACCTAGAGAACTACGGAGTAAGAAGGACAAACCCGGGTAAGGAGCCGACGGTGGCGAGCACGGTTGACTGCACCTGATGGATCCAGTGCCAGCTGTTCACCCATGGAGCCACTGCACTCTCCAAATAGCTGGCCTTGGCGGAGACTTGAAGAAAAGCAACGGACGAAGTCATGCACGCTGTTGGACCCGAAGTGATCTCATCTCCATCGGAAGGGGGGGGCGGCGAATCTTGTACATCGCCCAACCCATCTCTTCCCATGAGGAGGGCGACGGCCCGTGAAGGGTATGTGCTTCGCACAGCAGCGCATGTCGGCCAGAACCGATCGATCAAGGTTTCTTTCCGCCCCGAGATCATGAGACGATGGTAAAATGACCAGTCAACTCCCTCGCACGAAATTGCCCTCTGGGTCTCTGCATGCATCGCCTCTCTGCCCGGATAGGGATTGCCACTTTGGAGATGGCGAAGAGACACATAGGAGCACCCGCTGCCGCGAATTTTCTCAGCCACGGCTCGCCATCAAGACGTATGGTATGCACATTGACAAATCCTGGGGCTGAGTGTGCCGCCATGAAGATACTCTCGGAGAATATACGGGCTTTGCCAGGATCGTGAACGATGAAGATCTCATACATATGTACTCATACTCAAATGGTATTCCTGGATCTATCCCTCAGGGTGGGTCAATAAATGAGCCCCATCCATCCATCCATCCGCGAATCGAGCCGGCTGGATCGCTAGTGAACGATGCTCAGATGCAGCTCTTGTGTATTTTCGACGTCGGAAATGGGGTGCCACCCGGGCGCAACAGCGGAAGCTGTGTGGCCGGGCCAAATACCCTAGGTTTTCTTAGAATGGGGTCTATTGATGCGTGGCAGGTGGATTTGGGAAGAAGGGGGACCCATTTCCACCTCATGTCCTGAGCTCCATGGGTCCATTGAAGGGAATGCAACCCCAATAGTAGGTCAGCAGGTACCTCTACCTATCGAGACGGCGGTCCGAGAGATCGGAGATGTTACAGCTGTGCCTACGGGAAGCAAAGGCCTCTCTCTGTCGGTTCTAGTCTTGCAGAGGCACGAGAGGGAAATGTATCCAAATCCTCCTGCTGCTGCTGCTCGGACCGTGAAAGCAGGCAACCAGATGGGTAGCTTTCATGTCAGATCAGTATGTACTACATGGCGCTACGGAGTACTAAAAAAATTAAAAAATTGAAAAATTGATGTCATCCCCCAACCGAGAATATCATTCACGAGAGGCCGAAGCGACACGAACTAAACTGGAACTAATTGGATCCCCGCACGCAAAGGACAGAATGGCGACGATGATCTCCAACTTTAACACGGTCTGTTTTTGTTTCTCTTACTTCGCGTGACTGGTGCTGTCGCGTCATCTCGCGTTCTATCTCTCCTTCGTTTTTTTTTTTTTTTTTTTTTTCTCTTCTTCCCCCCTCCATCCCGTTACCAATGGGGATATTTTTAGCATCCTCCTTCTCCTAGGGAGGGTAGAGAAACATTCCAAATACACGGCTGAAACTCTACGGGCAGGAGGGACTATTTGGAATGATCGTGGTGAAGATGATGGATAGATCGATGATACCTGTCGTATGCCTTGCATGAAAACGGGAGATGCGATGTGGATGCCTCAGGTTCCGTCCGTTAGGGTTTTGTCGGCACTTCCTTTCGTCAGTGGCAGCGACGCCCCATTCTCAGTCCGACGACAGGCGTCTAGGGCCTAGTGTCTAGTGTCTACGCCATGCGCGGGGAAACAGTAAAAAGAAAAGAAAGGAAAAAGAAAAAGAAAAAAGGCAGTAACGGGAGCTGGTGTGTATCAGAATTCGATCACGATCAGGACCGAGGATGCACCACCTGGTCCTTCTTTGCCTTCTCAGGGCCCAGAACTAGGGTCCAGTGGCAAGAGGGGATGGGATTCATCGATCGCATGAGCGAATTCGAATTCGGTCGACGGGGACGCCGAAAGGATAGGCTGACAAGAAACGACAGAGCAGACGACTCTATCCAGTGATCCTACACAGATGTACATCTTACTATGGAGTACTCCGTACTTACTGCCTGCATGCCCTTGCTAGGGGGGAAGGAGAGAGGAATAGAGGAGAAGAGGAGAGGAGAGGAAGGGAAGTAAAAGTGGACTAAACCTCCTCCCTAGCAAGAGAGAGAGAGAGAGAGAGAGCTCCCCTTCCAATGGACATCCAGAAGCAATGGAAACGCCAGAAAAGCAACGACCAAACCTGAAACACCGCACGAGTTGAATCCCAAACCCAACTTTTTGGATCATCCGAGGCCCATTCATTCTCCTCCTTCCCTGCAGAACTCTCTTTAGTGCTTGCAATCCTTTCCCGAATGGGGGCGTTGACGACGACCTGCGGTGGCTCCGTCGGCGTATCGCCGGGCCCCGGCAGCCGACCACAGGAAGGGAGTTTGATACAGGTTATGGAGATCTTGCATGCGTTTACCTAGCGTGCACGCAGGGCATCCCTGTCTCTTTGATCGTCTCGCCGTCTTGGGGGCGGGAGAGGGGAGAGTCCACCGTCCAGTGTTTTTGTCGTTGCGGGAAATGCATGTAGAATGCAGGTGGGCTAATATGTATGCGCTTATGCATGAGTATGTACGTTGGAGGAAAAAAGAAAAGAAAAAATGGAAAAAGAAAAAAAAAGAACGGTAGGAGGGAGAGTAAAAGGAAAATAATCAGAATTAAAAAAAAAAAGAAGGCAATGGACAGGTCGAGCGACAAGCAGCGGATGGACAACGCATTGACATCGATTGGGTTTAGGGTCGTTGCTTTGTGCGGTGGGGATTCTGATATATCATTTCGGGGCGGTTGAGCTGCGATTTATTATTGTTTTGGGTCTGGCTTCTATTTTTCTTCCCCTTTCGGTTGGTTTATTATGTCATCTTTTGTTTTGGTTTGGGATTATTGTGGTACACGCTGTCGGCAGGCCTCGATTTGCTCGGATGATAGGATTTCATCGAGTCCAGTTCGACGTGAACGTCAGTGGACACGATGTCATATTCACGATCACGCCGACCCGAGGACTCCATACATCGACCAAGCTAGAGAAGTCTACTCCGTACTAAGTCGACTACCTGCCGTGTCACCACAATCGGCCTAGAATCAATTTAATAAACTCAACCGGGCCAGGAACCGTTGGTGTGGATGGGATCCGAGGACCGTCCCAGACAATACCGCACGGATGAATGAATGGTCAGAAAGGAACCGAAGAATGACTTTGGCCTCCTCCCAAGGGAAGGGAAGCCCTTGCTATAGTTCCCCATTAAGGTTCGTACCATTTCCCTCGAGTCGTGGCCCTTCATTCGGCATTCCCGCCATCGACCGTCCGTTTGGGAAGCCCATGGGCGATTCGAGACCATGATATATCGGAAATTATCAGAAACTCGTCGACTCACAGGCCGTTCGGACATTTTCAATTGGACTGGGCTAGTCAAAAAGAAATGTGGGCAAGGCTGTACTACCTGCTTCTCTGCCTACTGCCTTTCCCCTCCCTCCCTCCCCTCCCCGTGAGTTTCATCTGCAGTAGGTGATGTCTAGTTTGGGAAGATCGTTCTATCCCTCCATTAACTCTCGTATCGCCGGTCTATCATGTAGTACGGAGTGCGTTCCTGCGGGGAACGTCGGACGATGTAACCGGAATCGTCAATAGTTCTGAGGGTCGAGTCTAGAGAACCTCAGAGAGAGAGAGAGATCAAAGTCAAACACAATCTGAAAAGGTTCGTGCCCGGATTGCGCCTCTACGTGCCGCCAGGTTGAACTGCTGCTCCCAGGAATTCAAACAGGGGTTCCTTTCGGATTTGTTTCAAGCTCTGGATCTGGCAGGGTGGAGTCGCCGATGGATGAAAGGGACTGCCAACTCATCCGCTTATGTACGTGCTATATTAAGAGCCTCCACTACTAACCGTCTGCCTGCCTAGACCGGGATCACGGCGTCGACCAGGATTCACGTCCTGTGCCACTGTTAAGTGTCAACTGCCAGCTCCGGCGTACGCAGTGCTAGGGTGTACATATGTACATCCTACGATGTAGCGTCTTCTTAGCGAAGTGTCAGCTTCCCGATCGGGTAGGACAAGCCCTAAGTCAAAGCCAACGACCACGCCGTCTAGACTCTCTCTACGCCGGGATTCACCCTACAAATTAATGAACAATAAGGACCAAGGGATAGGGCCAGACGTAGATCCGGGACCGGGTCCAGCGTCCATGGCGAATAATATTGGAGTGGTTCTCTTTTCCCAAGGGCTAGAGGCCGGAAGGGCCAACGTGGGGCTGGCTGAGAAGGAACCTCCAGCCATGAGATCCGTTGGATTCTTCATAAACGCGTTTTATAATCTTATAGATCCGGAGGCCACGAATATGACAGATCTTATCCGCCTGCCATGCGACCCGCCACCCCCGTCCTGGGGCGTAGCAGTTAAGTTACACATCACTATTGTTGCCCTTTGGTTCGCTGGCCTGGCTTCTCTCCTTTTTTTCCCTCCCTTTTTTTTAATTCATTTTTTTTCTTTTGCTCTTCTGCTCAAATCGTGACATACACGGCTTCTGCGCCCCCGAAGGCCCCGAGTGGTAAGGGGAGAGAGATCAAGTAGCACCACCATCGTTGGCGTCATCGTGGCGATTTGCCATGCCATTATTATCCTCGATGCAGGTCTGCGTATCAGCCTCAAACGCCATCTTCCTTCCTTTTTTCCCATCCGTTCTCCTGCCCTTCCTTCTGATCGTTTCGAGCGGAGTCGCCCGAATTCGTCCGTTGGAGATGTCACTCCCCAGATGATTCCAAATCACTCCTGCCTGGTTAGTGGTCGCGGCCAAATTAACTCGCCAGGGCGTACCGAATAGCCTGAACTCCATTTCTCTCCCAAGACAGGAAAAGTCCAGAACTCACGACGACTGGGTCTGACAGCCGTCAAATCCTGGTCACTGGGATCTCCCGGTGACCCAACTTGATGGGTCCTTTCTCCCCCCTTCCTTCGCTTCTCTCCAGTCTCCTCTCGGGGCTGTGGCGATCAAGAACGAATGTCTTTTTTTCTTTTTCTTTTGTTTTTTCTTTTTGCCTGAGTTTGGACCCTCCCTTGTTCCAGATGTGGTTCCTGGTTATCCCCTCCTATATTGTCACTATTATTATTCCTATCTTGCCATTGCGGGTTCGGTTCCATCCGGCTTGTATGTACGCCATGGGCTAGGATGTTTAGGATCTGATCTTCACCTCCGTGGACCGTCCAGCACTACCGCGGAGAAAGTACGTACATACATAGCAAGTGGCAGTCTAGAAAGTCCACCAGTCGCAATGGGTGATCAGTCCGTCCCCATTGCTGCCCGTTACCCTACCGGTACCTCCTCGCAGCAGTTGTCTCAGGTACTTTTGTCGTCTTGCCAAAGTCCTTGCTTCGTGCTATTGGGCTCAGATCATCTGCGGAGGGATGATCTGCCCTCGGGGAGCTTCCTGTGCGTCGGATGTTTATGTATAGTACACTACTATCCACTGGGATATATTTTCTTTTCTCCCTCTCGGTCGTGTTTTTATTATTTTTATTGTTATTATTTGCAAGGGTACTTTTGTCTCCGTCGAGCAGAACCGTCGTTTCACCGGATGGACTGGTACGTACGTTTTCTTCGTGTATGTGTCAACAGAGCCCTTGTTTCCCTTCTCGTGATAGCCATTGTGTCATTGACTATTGGGAGATTCGATTATACGTCCCTGGGGTACGTTGGTTCGGTGGATGCTCTCCCTCTCTCTCTTAATATACTCTCGCCTCACTCTACGATCCTCCTCCCATTTTTTTTCCCCGAGAAGCCTCTGGGGCAATTGTCTTGATGGCCACCTGGCTAAGCGCCGGCAACGTAGTTCCGCAACAAGCCACAAGGCATGGCGAGACCAGAAGTCCAAAGAGATCGCGCTTGTCCAGGACAATGGGAACGTTCTGGAGCTGGGGTCCCTCGGGACGCTATTCTCGGGGAGAAGGCATTCGGTGGCCGGTTGGGTCTGGGTCTGCTGGAAGGGAGAGAGTACTTCCATACACTACCCCGTATGGAATAGAGCGATTTTATTTTATTTTCCAAATAAAAACAGAAAAAGATCGAAAGAATAAAAAATAATAAATACAATACAATAAAATAAAAACGGAAAAGGAACCCAGAAGGTGGACACTCCGTCCCAATGGATCATGATCATTGGCTCGACGAAACTATCGATGGCTTGGATGCAAGGGGAACCGGATATACTCCATATCCTGCCCACTCTACCGACCTACCTGGGTTCTTGACTTACTCTGACTTCCTGCGTAGTTACTCCGTACTAGTCCTCATCTTTCGACCCGTGTAGATCGAAAACCCGCTGCAGCGGTGACAAATCAAGGGTCTTGAATCCCCCCCCCATTCCAGTCTGGTTTGCTCATCGCGATCAGAGCACGTTGATTCGTCGATCTGGACAGGGCTCGCCAGGTGATAGAGAATGGAAAAGAGCCAGATTTCGACCGCGAACTCCACTGCTCGTCGAACTCTGCCGGAATCTTCGTGATGCTTCCCCGCGTCCTCGGTTCTAGAGCCCCCCTACCCCCTTGGGGAGGAATCAGAGTGTTCTGGACGGTGAGGGAGGATCAGAGAAGGGAAGGTGACATCTTCTAGAGGGTGCAAAAAGCAGGATTTCGAGGGCAAGAGGGGCCTACTGCTACACTACTGGGGTGGGCTGCAGAAGGAGGAGGAGCCGGTTTACACGGTACAGCTGCATTACGTCCAGACGTGCAGGCCAGGCAAGGAAGAAAAAAAAAAAAATAGAATAGAATAAAAAAATAAATGAAAGGCGACAAGAACAACCAAATTAAATTAAATTAAATTGAAGGAATCCGAGTCATCGTAATAATAGCATGGTGGGAAAATCGATCTGTATGTCATCGCCAACCCTAATTTGCATCCAACTTTCCCCGTTGAGGTTGTCGCAGATCTGCTGGTTGATACATCCTGCTGGGTCGGTACTTTCTTTTCCCTGTCGCCCATCAGATTCTAGGTATCGATAGATTGCTGCAGTTCATCGAGTCTGAGCGCCACTCGAGTTCCCCCCTCTGCCTCCGTCGCCATGCCCATCCCCGAACAAGCCCCTCGTTCACCTTTCTGCACTCGAGATATAAAACATGCAGCGGATCGCACCGTATCCCTGGGGAAGCAAGTCGCTGTTGTTCATCTTTTCTGCACCTCGTGGATTCTCTCAGTCGCGATTCCGTCCGCCCTTTATTGCTTCCTCGCCATAGCAACCTCCCTTGATTGTATATTGCCTGCAACTCCTGACTTTGCATCCTATTATTATAATTCCTCTAATCTATTCTGGTACCTCTGACTCTATTGCATTTGATTTGATTTTCTTGGATCATCATTATATCATCCCCCTTGATCTGTCCTACATATACCTCTCTTGATATCCGCCTCAGACATCCGCTTCGTACATATCGATCATCCACTCAAGCACCGTCACCACTTTAAGACATACATATCCACGCCCCTCTCTCATTTCCCTCACGGCATATCGGCCTGTGCCATTCTCAAACAAGGACCATGATGACCGAAAACATGGGTCCAATCTCAGAAATCTCGCAGCGCTGCTCTCTTCCGTGAGTTTCCCGCTTTGCATCCTTACCTCTCTGTCTCTCCCCCAGTTCCATGCATAACTGACAGGTGTCTTTTTTCTTTGCCCACAGCGGTGTCCGGTCCCTGTCTTCGAATACTTCTGCAGCTGCAGACATGACAGAAGACCGCCGGCTACCGCCCCTCCCACGCGTCGACCCCCTGCCTCGGGGGCCCTTCAACCCTTTTGACTCCACCGCGCTGGCTCACAGTCCCCAGAGCTCGCAAGACTCGACATTTGTGGTCAAATCCTCGCCGTGGCCTGCTGGCGAACACATTGTGACTCCTCCATCGCCTGCCAACTCGGCCGACAGCACGTGGCCCGACTCGCAATCGTCGCAGAAGGCCTTTGAATGGCCGCAGGAACTCACCGCATCCGACCTGATGAGCCTGATTGCCCCGAAAGAGATCAGTCGGAAGCCCCCATTGCAGCAGCTGTGCGGTCGCAAGCGCAAGGGAAGCATGATCTCGGGAGAATCCGATGACCAGCGGGAGAAGCATCGCATTGCCGAGGGCAACCGGCGAAAGAACCTGAGCCACCTGCACCGGGAGTTGGACAGCCGCATCCATAGCTGGTTCCTGGAGCGCGCCGGATGGAACCCGGCGAAGAGCCTGCCCGAGTCCAAGGAGCACATCGTGCAGGGGGCCATCTACCTCATCGACTTCATGCTGCTGGTCATCATCCACCTCATTCGCCAGGAGAATGAGATGCCCCGACAACTGGCCGAGAAGCTCCAACCTCAGATGCGCTGCATGCAGCTCCAGCAACTGGTGTCCAACCTGCAGGAGCAGAACCAGCTGACCCAGCAGCAGATGAAGGCCATGAAGCAGGAGAACCAGATGCTCGAGGAGCGCAACCAGGCCCTCGAGGTCCAGCTGAAGTCCTACGAGCACATGTTCCGGTCGCCCAAGACGGAGCATTCGACTCCCCAGCCGCTGGCACCGCTGCCCGACCACAAGCCTCGCCACATGCTGCCCGGCCTGCGCGTCTTTTGCGATGAGATCGGAGCTCCCGGAACGGAGGCATCGCGGTTGGAGCCCTTCCCCACGGTGACTTCGCAGCCCTTCGGCCACTCCATGATCAGTCACACTCCTCCCATGACGGGGCCTTCGTCGCCTGTCTTCGTGCCGACCTATTCGGTGCCGCATTCACGTCGCCAGTCCGTGATTCCTTCGCCTTGAAGGATCATCCTGCCATGAATTTCCTTTGCATATCACATAGACTGGGGAAGCTCCGGAGCCAAAGGTTGTTGTATTTTTTTTTCCCTTTGTTTTTTTGTTCCTTTTCCTTTTGTTGTTGTCTCATATTCAACCGTCTTTCCTGGCATAGCGTGTGCGTTGTATCATCAATTCTTGACATATTTTGGGGAGACAGGAGGGAATTCTCACCGATGATTCCGCCTGTCTCGTCGAGTCTTCGGGCAGTTGGTTATTCTACCGGCTCGATCTCTCTCTTCATTCGTTTCCATTGTATTTTGAGCGAACTTGGAGAAGGCGTGGTGTACATCCAAAAACCAAAAAAGTCGGTCGGGGCACTTCTGGGTTGGTTATCTGTTTATGTTCCTTTCTTGTTGATTTCCTTTATCGTGCATAATTTTCCTTTCGCTGTTTATATTGGGAAGAGCTACTCCATCTAGTTCTCTTCCTCTGACTGGCATGTCTCTCTAGAGCGGTCATATATATACGCTGCCTGTCTATTAACTCTATCTCACACATACACGGGTGATTTCGGTTTTTGTTTTCTGCTGTGTTTTGTTGTCCTGTTTTTGCGATTTCCTGCGAGGGTTCTGGAGCGACTGTTGGTGATTTATCGGTGTTCTGAGGCTAGGAATATATGGGAATATAGAAGGGGGAAGCGACGAGAGACAGATCCATAGAGAGTGAGCCATGCAAATGACATTTATTCAATCTTCAATCGTCCTAGGATACTCCGTATATACTCCATTCTCCATACTCCGGACTCCGTAGTTCAGCTGTCTTTGCCCCTATCGTGGCTGCCAAGAATGCTAGAACTGGTCTGGGCGTCGTCCAAGTCCACCTGCGGCCAGACACCGATGGTTCGGTGTTCCCACGGGGTAAGACAAGTTGATGCAGTAGATGGATGGAGAGAGTATGTACATCTTGAGCCTCTGCCAGAGCCATCTGTGGAAGAACTCGACGAGGTTGCATGCCAATGAGCCTCGCCGACCGCAATCGATTGAATTGCGACGTGCTATAAAAAGCAACGTGACGGGCCCAACCGACGAATCAACGTCTTCCTTTTAGCCTTGTCGTTGCTCTCTCTTTCTCTCTTTTCTTTTCTCTCTTTTTCTTCCTTTTTTTCTTGTTTTGCTTTTTCCCTCTCTTCCTTCTGCTGCCCTCGTTGACCTCGATTGCCAGTCCATTCGTTTGGTGTTCTGCAATGCTTGAATTGTTTTCCAGTCCTTTAATTTGAATCCGTGGCTTTCTCTGCCGCTTCCCGCAACGTTCAACCTCTTTTTTTTTTTTTTTTTTTTTTTTTTTTTTTCTCTTAATAAACCCGAACCAAACCCTTTTTCGACTTTCCCGGCGATCGCGGATTTTCCCCTTCTCCATAATCGCATTATCGACCTCCTTTCGCGTCCTCCGCCATCCGGATCGTCCTCTTTCTATCGCCTCGAGGCTCTTTGGCACCTTATTTCGGACGCCACTGTCTAGCCCAGTCGACGGTCGCTCCTTAATTTCTCCCCTCCGGCCCGTCTCGCCCCCCCCATCCACTTCGCAGTCGTGTGCTTCCGCTCCAAGGGTCAACTTTTACCTTCGACTCGGATTGATCTTTGGTCGACCCCCCCAATCCTCCCCCGTGATCGTCGCCTGTCACGGGCGTCGACAGCTTGTCCATCGTCGATAACCCTCTTTGTCCCTATCGACTTTTCTTCCCTCTCGTCAATCCCTTCTCGCCCGCGAAGATGCTTCTTCCTAAGGGTGGTGTGACGTGGAAGTCGGCTAAGGCTAGATTGCCTCCATGGAGGGCCGTTCTTTTCCTGGTAACGAGGACTCGCTTCCTCGTGTCGGTTGCCCTGACCGGCTTGATGATTCTGTTCTGGCGTGGGATTAGCAGATCGGCGTCGGAGATGCAAAGGTAAGGACGCCTTTTCCCTTCAGACCCCGGGACACGTTTCACTCCGACCACTCGATTGCGAACTCGTCCGGTTCGCCATATTTGAGAGGGGGAGGGAGTCTGGAATTTCACTGACTCGTTGCGCTTTCTAGTTTTTACTGCTACGGCCCCCCTAAATCCCCCATGGATATGTCTTTGAATGAGATGGTTGAATGGAACAGCCATGCTCAATCCCCCGTCCTCCTGAACCATCACGAAGCCTATGAAGTCAACTCCAGCACCATCAGCCAAGTCGAACTGAACGGAATCAACTCGAGTCCCCAGGCCGTCGCCAACAACGAACGCGTTCTCATCCTGACGCCGTTGAGGGATGCGGCTCACTACCTGGAAAAATACTTCGAGTTGCTCTACAAGCTCAGCTACCCTCACCATCTCATCGACCTGGGTTTCCTCGTCGGCGATTGCAAGGACAACACCCTGGAGATTTTACTGTCGGAATTGAAGCGGATCCAGGAACAGGGCGATAAGGTCGCTTTCCACAGCGCGACCATCGTGAAGAAGGACTTCGGGGCCGATGTCGAGATGAGCGTCGAGGATCGTCACTCGTTCGCCGCTCAAGGCCCCCGTCGCAAGGCCATTGGTCGCGCCCGCAACTACCTGCTTTACTCCGCCATGAAGCCCGAGCATTCCTGGGTGTACTGGAGAGACGTCGATATCACGGATAGCCCGGAAAGTATCATCGAAGATTTTGTGGCTCATGACCGTGATGTTCTTGTTCCTAGTACGTTCTTACCATTATGCGTTTCTAAGCCTTTCCCAAATCGCGGGCGTGCGCTAATTATTCTCGCAGACATCTGGTTCCATCGGTATCGCGATGGTGTTGACATCGAGGGTCGCTGTAAGTAAAACATCTGGATCAGCTCCTAACCTGAGAATAATTTGCTGACCGGTGCACAGTCGACTACAACTCCTGGATTGAATCGGACAAGGGACGACGACTCCGCCAGACCCTGGACCCCGACACCGTCCTCGCCGAGGGCTACAAGGAGTACGACACCGGCCGCAAGTACATGGTTGGCATGGGTGACTGGAGAAAGGACAAGGATGAAGAAATTGAGCTGGATGGCATCGGTGGTGTCAACATTCTGGTCAAATCCGACGTCCACCGCTCAGGTACGTTGTGGTCCCTCCCCCCGGGGGTCCGTGAAGGAGCGTCGCGCTAACTGTCGTATAGGTATCAACTTCCCCTCCTACTCCTTCGAGAACCAAGCCGAGACCGAGGGATTCGCCAAGATGGCCAAGCGCGCAGGATACGGAGTATACGGCCTGCCGAATTACGTCGTGTGGCATATCGATACCGATGAGAAGCCTGGCAACCTCGGAGGTCGGAAAGCATACTAGATCTGACACCCTGACCGGGTCGCCGGACTCACTTGTCTATCTGTTCTTCTACCACTAAATACCCGTTACCGTGTACATCCGACGCCGTTACTGGGGCGGTTACATTGCATGGAGTCTTCCCTTCGCTGTCCCTTCTGATTTTATGTTTAGTTATCGTCGCATTTTCTCCACGGACGCTTGAGACGGAGATCTCAGGATTCCGGTAATTATTTCTTTTAACTTCATGTCGCGTGTTGAGGGTGGTTTTGCCTCTTTCTTTTTTCTTCTTTTTTTCACCTTTTTCCCCCTATCTTTTTTTTTCACTCTTGTTGGCGCTATGGAGAATAGTGACGTTCAGCGGTATTGAGGCTCATAGAGGAGAGAGGGTGGGAGGGTTGCTTTGAGCTCTTGTCATGACTGGGGCTGTGCCATGATCTTGCGTTGGAGGCCCTGCGGGCTTGGGTCGTGTTCTTGGACAGCTGCCGATGTTCTCCCCTACGTCTGGTCTGTCGAGGCAAATTTCCTCTGCCAGGGGAAAGATGATCTGCATGATCTGTGTCATTGTTCTTGCATCGCTCCTGAACTCTCAGACCGGATCTTGCCAAACACAAGAAAACAGGCACACGGTGCTTGGCGTCCATGTACATACATATATAGGCTACAATTTGTCGGGCTGTTATGATTGATTGATTGATTGATTGACTGATTGATTGGGCAGCGTCGATTTGGCTGCGGCGAATCTGTAACGTGAATTGAGACTTGATGCTGATACGATTCTGACTTGCCTGCCTGAGGCTGTAATCCACCCCGCAACCCCCACCGGATCAACTCTTCCGTTCATCTTCATTATTTCATCCATTCCTCCTGCCACTCCCTCTCAGACTCATCGGCTTTTGAAAGAAGCCCCCAGAACACTCGCAATGGCCCCCTTGAACGAATTCCTTTGCATCATCCCCGACAAGCCGGGAACCCTGCAGAAGCGACTGGAGGTTCGCCCGTGAGTGTTTTGTGCCGCAGACCTAGAGTAAAGTAAAACGTATCAACTGACCAACGGTTTGCATGTGTGATATGAAGACAACATCTCGAGGGTATTAAACCGCTCGTCGAGGCTGGTCAGGCCGTTTTGGGTGGTATGTTTGCTTTCTTTCTTTCCTGCTAATTCTTTCTCTCTTGGGTTTTTGTTTTTGTTTTCGGCTTTGATGCATCTATCCTCTCCTCTCTTTGACCATGTCTTCGAGAGAAACAAGTTTATGGACAGCTATCTACTTGTATCTACCTGAGGAGGGCAGAAGGAAACACAAAACACAAAACGAACGAACAGAGACTAATTGTATCCCCACAATCACAACATCAAGGTGCCATGCTCGACTCGCACCCCACGGAAGGCCAAACACCCTCGTTCAAAGGCACTGCCATCATGTACTTGGCCGAGAGCAAGGAGGCGGCGATCGAGTTGATGAAGAAGGATATCTACACGGTCTCGGGCGTGTGGGATGTCGACAACGCGCAGGTCATTCCGGTATGCGTCCCCTCCCCTGCTTCTTTCCCTTCGTTTCTTGTGATGTTCTGGGTTTCTGCTTGGTGGGCTTGGCTTTTATTTTGGTTTTGATTTATATTTCCTTGTGTATATGTTCGGAGAGAGTTGCTCAGGGCAAAAGCTGATGCGTGCTACAGTTCAAATCCGCCGTGAGGGTTGGGCTGTGAGGATCTTGATCTTGATTGTGAGAAAGTTTCCAAGTAGTATACATGCAGGTTTCTATAGTATACCATTCCATGCAATGCCACTTCGCCCCGTTTCTATAGTTTTGCCTTTGGCGTCAACATCGTCTCTGCTACTTTGCGTCGCTGGATCTTGCCCGTCGCGGTTTTGGGAATCTGTGCCACGATCCAGACCTACGATGCAGATTAGCTTAGCTCGTCGCAGGACGAATGCCATGGATTGGACTCACCTTCTTTGGGGTCTTGAATTTGGCCAGTTTGCTGCCCACCCAGGCCTTCAGCTCATCCTCGGTCGCAGCGTCCCGGCTCTTCAGCACAACCGCCGCCCCGATCTCTTCGCCATAGTGCCCCTCGTCTGGAATGGCGAAACAAACTGCTTCTGCGACCTGGGCATGATGCAGCAGTGTGTTGTCCAGCTCGATGGGACTGATCTTCTCCCCGCCCTTGTTGATGAGCTCCTTGATGCGCCCCGTGATGATTACGTAGCCGTCCGCGTCCTTCTTGCCCTGGTCTCCGGTGCGGAAGAACCCGTCCTGGGTGAACGACGACTTGTTGGCCGCCGGGTTGTTCAAGTATCCGTTCGTCACGTTTTCGCCGCGCACGCAGATCTCGGCTTCCGAGCCCTGCGGCACCTCCTTGCCGGCCTGGTCCAGAATCTTGACCTCCACGCCCTGCCCGATCCCGACGCTGCCGGGCTGCCGCTTGCCCGGGGGAAGAGGGTTGCTGGTCATTTGATGCGCGGCTTCGGTCATGGCGTACGCCTCCAGGACCGGGGCGTTCAACGCCTTCTCCAGGTCCTGGAACGTTTTCGGGGATAGTGGAGAGGAGCAGGAGCGGATGAAGCGGATCGGGGGGATGGGGTTGGGCAGGGGGGTCTTGAGTAGAACTTGGTGGATGGTGGGTACGGCCGAGTACCAGTTTGCCTTGTAGGTGACGAAGTCCGACCAGAATTGCGAGGCGGAGAACTTCGCCGGCACAACGACTGATCCTCCGGCGTACAGCGGCGCCAGGAACGCCGCCAAGAGACCGTGCACGTGGAACAGCGGCATCACCAAGTACGTGCGGTCTTGCGGAGTCAGTTGGTACGTATCTCGAATGTTTTCTGCATTATGGTTAGTCCATCGGTAATGCTATGGCGAAAGGCTGGGGGAGCTGCGGACTCATCGTGGTGGTGAGGTTTTTATGGGTGAGCGGAACCTAGGTATGCTCGATCAGCATCATGCTTGAACAGGGATCACGAGTAGGGAACGTACGGCTTTGGGCCTGCCCGTCGTTCCACTCGTATGCAGCACAAGAGCAACGTCATCGGGCTGTGCCTCTTGGATTCCGGCTCCTCCATTGCCGGCCAGCTTCCCCGACTCCATGACGTCCAACACGAGATCGGTGCCATTCCAGTAGCACTCGGCGATGGCCGCATTGTATTTCCTGGCCGCCCGGACGGCGGGCCCGTTCTGCACAAACGATCCCTGGGGAATCAGGACCAGGGTCGAGCTCAGATCGTCGATGTAGAACTCGAACTCCTCCTGCTTGTAGGCGGGGTTGAGCGGAGCGGCGATGGCGCGCTGCCAGGACGCCGCTAGGAAGGCGACGATGAACTCGTAGGAGTTGACGAGAGCCAGTGACACGGCGCCGCCGTGGGTAACCCCCAGGCTAGCCAGCTTGGCCTGGAAATTGGCGACATGGGCATGCAGCTGGGAGTAGGAAATCGACAGGGGGGCGGGAGTCTTGGGGACCAGGATGGCGACGTCCTGGCTGTCGGACGAGAACGACCGAGCCAGAGTAGTGGCGGCAGTCATCATGGGGGTGTGGATAAGGACCGGAATTAGTTGCTTTAGTGTACGCCGTCTTGGCTGGCAGGGATCTAGCAGGGAGAAGAGTCGCAAGAAGCAGAGGAAGAAGCAAAGTGCAGTATATACCCTCGAGTATGGAGAATCTACATTAGTAGTACGGAGTAGCAGAAGCAAGGAAGAGAGAACGAGACCCGAGGCCAGGCTACCAGATTGCCCAATCTTAAAACACACACCCTTAATTAATCATGAAGCCAGCCCATCTCCGGAGTCCTCCGCAGACCCAGCGGAGCTTCCGTCTTTCCACGAGAAATGCAAGTCACGCCGGAAATCCACTTGGCGCCGTTTGGCGTCGCCGTTGGCGGTGGAGCTGCGGCTGACTCAGCGGATGCAGGCAAACACGCCAAACTGGACAAACAGCGCAAACCCCAGGCCCTCTCCAGCAGTCCAGCTCGATCGATTCCCCGGAGATCGCATTCACGCTTCCACTCCCATCCATGCCGCCATGACGTCCGACTCGACCCCTTCTAAACCCGGGGGCATGCTGTCCCTGTATGCCAACCTGCTGGATCCGTCGGCCGACTCTGCGTCGCCCGGCACGATCTCGCGGGCCCCTGTGGTCTTCAAGCAAGCTGGCGAGGGCGAAGCGCCGGCGGATGAATCGGCTGCGAAGAAGCAGCAGCAGCTCAATTCTGGTAGATCCTATATCCTCCTTTTGATGACAACACTTTTGGCATGATGTGGATTGCTCACTTGTGTCCGTTCTCGACTCGATGATATCAGCCTCTCTACGATTTCAGCCGACAAAACGACCCCAGCTCGCCGCGCAGAAACCCAAAGCGAAGCCCAATCTGCCCAAGACTTCCCAGCCTCCCGTCACGTCAAACGCCCCGGTGAAGACATCGCTTGCGGACTGGGCCGCGACCGAGGATGACGATGTGAATGGATTCTATGCCGGCCCGAAGCGACAGCGCGGCGGGCGCAAAAAGCGCAAGAAGAACCGAGAAGCGGAGGAGATGATGCAGAACTGGGACGACATTTATGATCCGTCACGGCCGAATAACTACGAAGAATACAAGCACAGCGACGAACAGATATCCGAGGTGCGGGAATGGAAGGACCGCCTCTACGCACATCGCATGGTGCGATCGCCGAGTCGGGATTCTCTGAGCGACGACGATTATGGAAGACCGATGAACCGTGCGTCGATCCTCGTTGCCTTTCACTGGAGAGGCCCTAAAACTGAGATTGTACAGGACAATTTGCCCCTCCGAGTAACTTTGCGCCACCTCCGAATCTCAACGATATCCCGCCTGCACCACAAGAGGAATCGCCCCCGCCCGAGCACGCTGCTGTACCCCCTCCTCCCTCTGCCGAGCCAGCTGCCCCCGTGCCAGACGATCCCACAGGAGAGGATGCCTACCTGCGACGGATGCAGATGTCCGCAGGCCCTCAGCCACCGGCGGAGCCTGCCCCTCCGACTCGGTCTCTGGATGCGCTGCAGCCGGCCTCTGCGACGATATCTCGTGCGCCGGTGCGATACTCCCTGCCTCCCCCTCCCGAAGACATTCCTGCGTCGGAGGCGGAACTTGAGGAAGCCTTCGCGAAGGAACAGCCGGTAGACGACCAACCAGAGGGGGATGGTGAGCGATCGCTACGACCTGGGCAACAAGGATTTGCTGAACGACTGCTGGCCAAGTATGGCTGGACCAAGGGCTCGGGACTGGGCGCCACAGGCTCCGGTATTGTCAACCCATTGCAGGTCAAGGTCGAAAAGCAGAAGAAGCGACCGGATTCGGAGGGGGGTGGCTTTGCTACACCTGCTGGCAGGGGCAAGATCATCGGCGGCGCGAGGAAGAAGCAGGAAGAGGGCAAGTTCGGCGCCATGAGCGAAGTCATTATCATGAAAGGCATGCTCGATGGCATGGACCTGGAGGCCGAACTGGAGGGCGACCAGGCGGGTGGGTTGATGCAGGAAATCGGAGAAGAATGCTCGGAGAAGGTGAGTACATGCAAGTTAGTTCTGTTATATTTTGATCTAACCGGTCATAGTACGGCAATGTCGAACGAGTCTACATTTCTCGCAACTCAGGCCCTCCCGTGCCGGTGTTTGTCAAATTCACCAACCAGCTATCAGCTTTACGAGTAAGCCAGAAGTCATTTGCAATGGTATTTGTGCTCTGATACTGACAAGGGGGTCGATTAGGCTGTGAATGCTCTTGAAGGACGAATATTCAATGGCAATGCGATCACCGTTCGGTTTTTCGACTCGCAGAAATTCGAGCAAGGGATCTATGAGGAATGACCGACCATAGCATAGAGATGAATACTGTGGATCTGCGAAATGGAACCGACGACCTTTCTTAATGACATCTCGACCCAATAGATCCCAGTTCAGTTTCGTCAAGTGTCATTCGATTTTCCCCACGTTTGTATTCCTCCCAGCAGAGCAAGGAGAAGGAAGTCAAGGAGTCTATTCCCCCCATCAGAAGGTGATTTTATTGAAGAGGTCCAGCTCTTCGCCTCCCGCACGATTTGTACAGCGGAGAACTGGTGCATCGGTCTTGGTTGGAGAGCTGGTCGGGCTTCCTTCATGTATGCTTGTAGTTGTGGACGACCGACCATCCCCCATCAGGGCAAATAACCTCTTCTTCCTCGAGTTGTGGATCTTGCACTCGCGACACCGGCCGGTCATGGGGATTTCCCAGATACTCAGTCCGGAGCAGCTATAGCCCGTTCGGAGGATACTCTGACATGCAATGCGAGAATTATAGCATGGAGTAGTGTGGGAACAAATGGCATGATACCAGATAATTGCATGGCACATCGCAGCAAATCTCTGAATGTGTAAACCGCCCTACATGAACGGGAGACGTATGTATGACTTTGGACGTCCAGTCTTGATCGGATGATAGGATAAGAAGGGGGAAAGAAAATAAAATCATGTATGAAAGACAGGACCTGATGACATGGACGGCAGGCACTCTTGGCCTTTATACTGAGGAATGTGATAGCGTCATTCTACATCCACGGGGTAGGGCTGCCAAAGATGCCCAACAGCAAAGAACGCCTTGTCGTTGTGCATGAGTCTTTATTTGACGATGTGGTTGAAATTGATTCCTTTGTGGGAGGGCACAAAGACATGGGGGGCTGACAGCAAACATGGCTGGGCCCGGGCGATGACTGGCTGTGGGAAAGTGAGGCCGGGAGTGCATAAGTTCAGTAGAAGAAGCTCCGTCCCCTCGGGAGGTAGGCACCTTACTGCTACTACGGAGGAGGTAGCCTGGGCACTAGGACTAGGCAGCCTGGAGAGATGGTCAGGTGACTGCTCACGGCGATTGGCTGTGGGGCGTCCATCCCGCTGTACATCCGTCATTTCTCTTCACCAACGCACCTCCTGCTCTGTCTGCTGCTCTGCCATTCACTTGGCCCTCTTCTCCGTTGCCTCATATTCACCTGCATCTTGACACTGGATCCCCACTCCCCTGCTCTTCTTCGGGGTTCCCGCTCTCCTTCCATCCCCATACCTCTTCCTGGTCTCACCTGGGTCTCTCTCTTGCCTCCGAAGATCTCGAGCCTCGATTTCGCAAAGAACCGAAAGAACCGACCAAAATGTCGCTGTGTCAGAATCGCCTGACTGAGGAGAGGTATGTAGCAGCCGGCCCCCAGGACCCGTCGCATCCTCTCCAATTCCGCCCTTGTCGCAGCCGCTAATCGCGATCTTTCGACCCCGCACAGAAAGCAATGGCGCCGTGACCATCCTTTCGGCTTTTATGCGAAACCCAACCGCAACGCGCAGGGTGTCTTGGACTTGAAGAAGTGGGAATGTGGAATCCCGGGAAAGAAGGATACAATCTGGGAGGGTGGAATGTTCAAACTGGATGTCACTTTCCCCGATGGTGAGTCCTGCCGGGATGCGTCCTGAGTGGCGTTGTGTTGGGAATTGAGACTAATCGGCGATTCCAGAGTATCCTACCAAACCTCCTAAATGTTCGTCTGCCGACCCCCATCTCTGACGACCTGCACATCCCGGCAGAGCTCGTACCCCGTTTCCTCCTTTTCTATCTACTTGCGCCTGTCGAAAAGAGAAAAGCTGACCAGGTATCTGCGCTGTCGCAATCAGGCAAATTCAACCCTCCTCTCTTCCACCCCAACGTGTACCCGTCCGGCACCGTTTGCCTTTCAATTCTGAACGAAGAAGAGGCCTGGAGGCCCGCCATCACGATCAAGCAGATTCTGATCGGCATCCAAGAGCTCCTCAACGACCCGAACCCCGAATCGCCGGCGCAGGCGGAAGCCTACAACATGTTCCGAAGGGACCGGGCGGCGTATGACAGCAAAGTGAAGCAGATCGTGAAGGACAACCCGGGGCATTAAGGAAAGAGCGGGGAAATGATTGGGCAATGCGCTGGTTCTTTTTCCTTTTCTGTTCCATGATATCCTCTCTTATGTCTTTTCTTTTTTTTACCCCCTTTCTGTTCGGCTGCCATCTTGCATTTTTGCTCTTGATCTCCTGGATTTGTGTCGATCTCGGATGATTTTCTGATCAATATCATGAACCTATAAGTTGGGTCTTTTGTGAGGACCGATCGCAAGACACTTGCTCATGCGGGAGTTAGCCAGGCTGCATATCGCATTCTGTGGCGACGGAGCATCTCTTTCTTTGTCTTCTACTAGCGAGCAAGGAGTTTAGAATCAACTAAAATGGGTGGATATGCATGGCGTTTAAACCGGTCTTTTTTTTCTGACTTGGGGGTTTTTTTCTTCTTTTTCTTTTCCTTTCTTTGGCCATTTGACTTCGCCACGTACGGGTGATGTAGAAGTTTGACAATTGATTATAACCGGGCATATAACCACCCATTTTTGCCGCCAGCCAATTTGACTCAGGTCTAACATCTTGCAACTAGGTATCTATGCAAGGCATGGGTATTGGTGACGGATTGGGCGGTGGGCCCAAGGCCAAGGCCACGGCTCGGTCGAGTATATAATAAGCGCCAGCTACCCTTATTGATGAATGATGCAGCAGGAAGCACATTTCACCTACCTGCCTGAGATACCGATTTCCCCTCCCCTACATTCTTCAGAAATGACTTTCAAGCAAGACATTCACATTGGGCAGACTGTACTTGCTGGGTCACACATCTTAGGTGTGTCTTCTTTTCTCATACTAGTAGTTTCTGTCTAACCCGATGGCAGACCTGAACCAGAAACTGCACACTGTCCCCGACTGTAGAGGTCCATGTGCACGCTGTTTGCAGCGGCCATACCCAAGTGCCTGGGTTCATCCCGCGTGCTACGACATCTTGCGGAACAACTATGAACCCGCCACAATGCCTACCCTGGAAGATCTAAAGAGGTTGGCTGATGCAACCAAGCCTCTCTATAACTGTCAACATAAGGAACACAGAGAAACCGAGTCGGTTACAGAAGGACTCTTCAGCAATCATACGAGGGAAATCATCCAAGACAGCTTTAGACAAGACTTGTTGGCCCAATTGCCGGTTGAAATAATAACTATGATCTCCGAACTACTTACTCCATGCTGGTACCTGACTGTGCTTGGCGAGGCACGTCGATTGATTGAGCACCTGAGGGATAAAGGTGGGACCCAGAGTAAGCAGCTGAGTTTAGCACCGGAGATGTGGATGTCCAGAATAACATACCGCGGAACCTCTTACGTGACCCAGCTCAGCGGCAAACCGCTCGAATCAACAGGCCCCTCCGAACAACGCCACATCAAGCTACCTGACAATATCAGCACGATAATTCTGTCAGTTGACTGCATTGGTACACGCGGGATCCAATTCGTGGATCAGAAGTCGGATCCCACGTACGATGGGTCACCATGGTATGAGGTTATGGACGTGAGAGACGATGACCTGGAAGTCGGTGTGAGCTACGATGTATAGTTCCTCAACCGCAGTAGAGGAGCAGAAACTGACACAAACACACATAAACAGGGCCTTTACATGAGAGGCATTCAACTCACCTCAAGTAATCCATCGACATACAGGGCCTGGAGCTCTCCTTTCCCGCCTCTATTTCACCCATGGAATTTCTACCAAGTCCGTCCTAAATCTCGCCTGGACTACATTAAATTCGATTCCCACACCCGAGGTATCCTTGTCTGCTGTGCCAACTCCATGGCTGTTGGGATCCACGGTTTTTCAGATGTATCGAAAACATTTAGAGAATTCATCGATTTGATGAATCGACGGATGGGTAACAGCTACAAGCACTGGATTTACTTCCCACTCAATACCCATGAACATATAAAAGCAGCGTGGATCCGGAAGTTGAGAATGTGCCGTGGGCCGGCCTCTAACCCTGTCTTAGTAGTAAGTGCCTCCCCGTTCCTCCACCATAAGTGAGGATCACCAGTCAGCTCGCAACCTCGCTAGGAAGAACGATCACATTCGGACCCCAATTTCCAGCTCGAATTCTCGATCAATACGAGTACCACCCTTTGGTGCGGGACGGAGACGGGGCGATTTCGGGGATTTTCCATGACGGATTGAATCCAGCCGTAAAGTACACATCGGAATTTGGAGTGACCTGCAATGGCCAACGTCATGTCGAACCGTCGGAGCCTCCACCCATGGACACACCCATCTCTGAACCCCCGGCAGTCCCTCCCGGTCGAGGCTCGATCGCCAGTACGTGGTACATGACCCAGGCACCACTCAAAGACCTCGTGAAGGTACGGGTGTGCAGGGATCGAGAACAGCCACACCGTCCATGTCTGGGTTTCCTTCTGTTTTACAGCGACGGGCATATTGAGTCGATCGGACAGGTGCGCTGGGACTACGATCTAAACCAAGAGTGTTCTAGGCCTTTGTACGTCGAGAACGGCGTCGTCAGTGGACGGGATTACATCAAGGACATCCGAAGTGACATCGATGAGACTGAGATTCATGGAGAAGAAAGCAGATGGCAAAGGCTACCAGAGCATGGGATCATCGTTTGGCGGATTAGCCAGGTCGGTGACAGAATAATCACACATGCTGACCACATAGAAACGCACAAGGCAACATCGTATTCTGAGAATCAATATCATGAGATGCGCTCGACCGCGAGAGCCAGCTGGTAACCCAATTCTATCGACATGGCCGTACAGTCTTCATCGTTTGGACGGCTCGTCTGATGAGTTGAGCCTCTGAGTGCAGCTCAACTCACTCCCCCGACTCGAACATAGGGACAAGGCAGCTATCCAGTCGAGAGCACTGCTACTTTGCCTCTCGTGCCAAACGATGTGAATGCAGACACAGATTCAAACTCAGGGTGTTTCCCGAGATATGCTATACAAGCGTCGAATGCCCGGCCCTCGAAATTTTCGACATCTTGAGGCCCGGCGTTCAAGGCTTTCGCCCCGTGAAAGGCGAGGACATCTCGATTGCCATCCCCACCGAAATACTCTATTGCTACATATACCTGTCAAGGGCTATGTCCTTCCGGGGGAGTCTCTGGGGAGATAACCCATTCCTTCTCCCCAAAAAGGTGTCTGCTCCATGTGTAAGTCCATAGTATGGCGGAAGCCCTTTCGTCCGAAGATTGGGCCTGGGCTCTCAGCCAAAGGCCCATGAGGACTTCGTCGGTGATCAGAGACACTATCTTCTGATAGTTCGTTGTAGAACAAGATGTCGTCTTGGTGTCTTTCACATACCAGTCAGGCTTAGTTCGAGGATTGCAACCCTCTGGGTTGAGCTATCCTTCGTTGCTAACTCTTAGGTTATGACTTGGCATATTAACAAAGCTTTGTAGGCAGAGGCTTGATCAACTGAGTATGATAGGTTATTTTTATTTTTATTGTTATTTTTATTTTTTTTTTTTCTTCCAGTCGTGAATTTAGATGCTGCCGACATCTCACGTAGTATCCGGATGAGGGACGACCAGAAAGGCCGAGAGCGGTTATCTTATCGGTGAGTCAGTCGAAAGATTTGTGGCCGAAATCGCCCCTCGATTCCGTTTCCCGCCCCGCCGAACAATTTAAACCTTTCCTTCTCCCTCGCTCTTCCCGCTTAGTTAATTCCACTCTTCTCTGCTCGCTTTCCCCGGCTGCTGCTCCTGCTGTCTTTTCTCGTGCTCGTGTGCAGTCAATTGCTTGTAGCCAGCATGTGTGGTATCTTCGCGTGTCACCGGTAGGTCTCACTCATTCTCTGTCGCCTCCGTCGATGCTCGGTCAACCCCCGCGAAATTCCGGGGCAGAAGAGGATCGCCTCTAGTATAGTGTCATTCGCGCTGACCACCTCCTCGACAGGCACCCCGATGTGCAAAAATTCAAGCCGACGGCTTTGCGCATGGCCAAGGCGTAAGTTTCCCTGTTCTTGCCAAATGGCAGAGTTCTGGACTGACCCTTTTTCTTTTGTTAGTTTGCGCCATCGCGGTCCCGATTGGAGTGAGTCACATTGGTGCTGGGTATACCGTCATTGCATGTTAACAGAACGACAACAGGTGGAAACTTCATTTCCGAGGGAACTCAGGGAACCGGTGAGTCCACCTTTAACGACCAGACACTGCTTCCTCGGTTGGAAAGCTAATTCCCTCGGCAGTCCTTGCCCACGAGCGTCTGAGTATCGTCGGTGTCGGTACGTACTATGCCAAGAGTCCCGCTGCCGAGTTTGCTCGTTTAACACCCTTTTCCACAAAGACTCCGGCGCCCAGCCCCTGGTCAACGACGATGGCTCCCTTGCCCTGGCCGTTAACGGCGAGATCTATAACCACCGTATTCTGCGGAAGCACCTCAAGACCCAATATACCTTCAAGACCCACTCGGATTGCGAAGTGATCATCCCTCTGGTATGTACATCGGACTTTGGAAGGCTTGGGACGTATAACGAGAGGCTGACGAGCGTTAGTACATGGAACATGGCCTCGATGCCCCCAAGTTCCTGGACGGCATGTTCTCCTGGGTTCTCTATGACAAGAAGGAGGACCGAGTTATCGCCGCGCGCGACCCCATTGGTATCACCAGCTTCTACATCGGCTGGTCTTCTCAGACTCCCGGTGCCGTCTTCTTCGGCTCCGAGCTGAAGTCGCTGCACCCCGTTTGCGACAAGATTGAGGCTTTCCCTCCTGGCCACGTCTATGACTCCAAGACCGGCGCCATGAAGCGGTACTTCGAGCCCAACTGGTGGGACGCCGAGAAGATTCCCTCCACCCCCGTCGACTATAAGGTCATCCGTCATTCCTTGGAGAAGTCGGTGCGGAAGCGTCTGATGGCTGAGGTTCCCTACGGTGTCCTGCTGTCCGGTGGTCTGGATTCCAGCTTGGTTGCCTCCATTGCCCAGCGTGAGAACCTGCGCTCGCAAGAAGCCGCCAAACAGGCGCTTGCGAACCAGACCGGCGACTCCGAGCTGGTTGGTATCGATGACAGCAACGAGTTGTCCAGCGTCACTACGTTCCAGCAATTGCACTCTTTCTCCATCGGTCTTCCCGGTGCCCCGGACACGGAAGCCGCCCTCGAGGTCGCCAAGTTCCTGGGAACGAAGCACCACGCCTTCACCTTCACCATCGAGGATGGTCTCAACGCTCTGTCGGATGTCATCTACCACCTGGAGACGTATGATGTCACCACCATCCGTGCATCCACCCCCATGTACCTGCTGAGCCGGAAGATCAAGGCCATGGGTGTCAAGATGGTTCTGAGCGGAGAGGGTAGCGACGAGATCTTCGGTGGCTACCTTTACTTCCACGCTGCCCCCAACCGCGAGGAGTTCCACAAGGAAACCGTCCGGAGAGTGAAGAACCTGCATTTGGCGGACTGCCTCCGCGCGAACAAGTCCACTTCCGCCTGGGGTCTGGAGGCCCGTGTTCCTTTCCTGGACAAGGAGTTCCTCGAGGTTACCATGGGCACGGATTCCAAGGACAAGATGATCACCAAGGACCGTATCGAGAAGTACATCCTGCGCAAGGCGTTTGACACCACCGATGAGCCGGACAACAAGCCGTACCTGCCCGAGAAGATCCTCTGGCGCCAGAAGGAACAGTTCAGCGACGGCGTTGGCTACAGCTGGATCGATGGTCTCAAGGACCAGGCTGAGTTGCAGGTCACCGACGAGATGATGAAGAACCCCAAGCCCGAGTGGGGCGACGACATTCCCGACACCAAGGAAGCGTATGTTTTTGCCTTTTTTGAATAGGACGCAGCGAGTGAGATGGTCGGACGTGACTGACTGTCTTGAAACAGGTACTGGTACCGCACGATGTTCGACGAGCACTTCCCGCCCTACTGCGCCGGCACGGTCGAGCGTTGGGTTCCCAAATGGTCGAAACAGACCGATCCCAGTGGCAGGTGAGTACTGTTCATGGCGCCGATTTCAAAGCCTTGTCCCTCGGAAGAGTTGCTGATCGTTGCGTCTTCAGAGCCATTTCCACCCACAACGCCAAGTACGACAGTGCCGAGTAAAATGTATGAATGTTGGGATGCTACCTGGGTTAGGTCTGGACTTTTGGCATAGAAGCATGCATAGATTCGTTACTACCTGAGATGCTCAATTTGGGACATCAAAAAAGCGTTATTCCGCCCGGGGCGAGGCCGATGAGATCGGTCTCGTCTCCCGGGAAACCAAAACATAATTGATTTTCCTCATTTCTAGGGGTGAATATCAGGCGGGGAAAGAATCCCCGAAGTAGGTGTACAAACCTTGACCATGATTAGTGTTCGTAAACTAAGGCTGAATTAAGTTCTTTGGTGGTGGTGATCATGGGCTGGATCGGTCAGGAACCCATGGATGAGTCTACCGATTCAGGCTGTTGCGTAGGACTGTGAACCGAACGGAGCAGCGGTCAAGTTGTAGGCAGGCAGTCTGAGAGAAAACCCCTGGAGGGAGGAGGTAAGACGAGAAGACACGGCGAAGAAGTGCCAACAAACCGCTGGTCCATGCAAGCGCACAGGCATCCCGCGGGCCTTAGTCAGAGACCGGCCCCAGGCTGCCAGGCTGCCAGGCATCGACGTCACGGGACTTTGCGGCTTTTGCCGGCAGGCGGGCGGCAGCCAATCAGAGCGGCAGGCATTTCCCGTGGCTTCCCCATTGTTTGGCGACTCAACCTCACGCTCTTCCTTGCCCGGTTCCCCATCGCTTTTCTCTCCTTCCTTCCCTCTCCCCTCCATCATCCTTCCTGCTTCCATTCTCATTCCGACGTAATCCTCTCTTCGTCCCCCCCCCTCTTCAAAATGTCTGCTCCTGCTGCTTTCTCCGACATCGCCAAGGCGGCCAATGATGTATGCTCTGAATTTCACTCTGGCCTTTGCCTGCTGTCCAACTTGGCTGGGGACAGCTCCTCGGGAAGGGATTTTCGTGCTAACCACCGGCGCAACAGCTCCTGAACAAGGATTTCTACCACACCTCCGCTGGTATGTATCTTCTCGCCTTTCCTCCGTCCGCCATTGCGATCGAGCATTTAAATTTAGAGCGCATTAACTAACGGAGTTCTTTAGCCAGCCTCGAGGTCAAGTCCAAGGCCCCCAATGGCGTCACCTTCAACGTCAAGGGCAAGTCCGCCCACGAGGGTCCCATTGCCGGCTCTGTAAGTGTCCCCAATTCACATGCGACACCAACCCGCCTCTGACAGGTCTCTCTGAATAGCTCGAGGCCAAATATGTCGACAAGCCTACTGGTAAACGCCCCTTACGACGCAAACCACCTGACCCCAATTGCACACCGCTGCGCGAGTCTAAGCCCATGAATTTCATGGTTTCATGCGGTCTGGTCTCGTCCAAGCGGCTTCTATTCTTCTTCACTTCAAGAATCAGCGATCACGCAGTCAGGCTAATATTTCGTCCTCGCTCAGGCCTCACCCTCACCCAGGCTTGGACTACTGCCAACGCCCTCGACACCAAGCTCGAGCTGGACAACAACATCGCCAAGGGCCTGAAGGCTGAGATCCTGACCCAGTACCAGCCCGCTAAGCAGTCCAAGGGCGCCAAGCTCAACCTCCACTTCAAGCAGCCCAACCTGCACGCCCGTGCTTTCTTCGACCTGCTCAACGGCCCCTCCGCCAACTTCGACGCTGTCCTGGGCCACGAGGGCTTCCTCGTCGGTGCTGAGGGTGGCTACGACGTCCAGAAGGCTGCCATCACCAAGTACTCCGCTGCCGTTGGCTACAGCGTTCCCCAGTACACCGCTGCCATCACCGCCAGCAACAACCTGAGCGTCTTCGCCGCCAGCTACTACCACCGCGTTAACGCTCAGGTCGAGGCCGGTGCCAAGGCCACCTGGGACTCCAAGGTCGGCAACTCCGTCGGCCTTGAGGTTGCCAGCAAGTACCGCCTGGACCCCTCTTCCTTCGCCAAGGTAAGTGATCTTCTAGCCCGATAGATAGACCCCCAAGACAAGACTAATCAATCTCCGATGAACAGGCCAAGATCAACGACCGCGGTATTGCCGCTCTGGCCTACAACGTTCTCCTGCGCCCCGGTGTCACCCTCGGCCTTGGTGCTTCCTTCGATACCCAGAACCTCAACCAGGCTGCCCACAAGGTCGGTGCCAGCTTCACCTTCGAGGCTTAAGCGTGGCCTCCATATATCATTGGCGCCCCGTTTGCTCTTGGGAACTTCCATATAGCCTGAGGATCGCAGATTTTGAAACATAAATAATTGCTAGATATGTCGTCAGGATTGCGTCTGAAGAGGAGGGACATTCTGGAGTGAGTGGGTCGGTACTGAATGTCATTTCTATTTAATTATGTATCGTAGCCATGGACGATAACTGTATATCAATCAAGTCTACATTTTCTTTGTTGAGCTCGAGGGATGGTCCGAGTTAGAATATGTGAGGAATCTAGTAATGAATTATATATTCTATGTACATTGAACCAAAGATCATGCGCCGTGCATTGGTGATGGAAATGCACTCAGCGCAAAGTCATACAAAAGTCCCTTGGTCTACCAAAGACACTGGTCTGAGGTTGATTCTCCAGAGGAAGCGAGGAACTCAAGAAGATCTATTCTTCTTTCCGACGCGCAATGGGCTTGCCTACCCTGCTACCTTTCTCCGCCGAGGATCGAGTTATACCCGCCAGGCCAGCCGTCACCACCAGCATCCCGCAGACCACGATGAAGCGCATGGCAAAGTCCCCCGAGGTGCCGATGTACTGGTCGGTCGTCGCCGATCCCATTTCGCGAGACCGGCGCTGCTGTCGCCGAACATCCTCCGCCGTCTGCGTGCGGTGATGGCCCCGAGCATTAAAATGATACACGGGATTCCGATCAATGAATGACGTGGGATCGTCTTCGTGCACACGACCACTTGCTCCAGCACCGGCACCGGCACCACCAGCACCAGCGGCCCCAAACCCGGCCCCGGGTGGCGGTTTCCGATTCCCATAGCCCCCGTGGGCATAGAAACTGGGTGGCGGACCCCGGAAGGGACCGCGTCGCTTACTGAGGCCGCTGGCGGGTCGGGACCCGGCGTACGACGCCCCTGTGTTATGGAGATTGGCGCTGTGGCTGCTATAACTGCCCATGGGGTGCTGGCCGGGGGCAGCGGTGCTGTGAGTGGACATATGATGGGCTAGGATGCCGTGGTCTCGATCGTAGGTGGCGCGTTTGGTGTGGTTGCCGAGGACATTGTAGGCGGAGGAGATGCGGGCGAAGCGTTCGGAGGCGGTGGGATCGTCACGGTTGCGATCGGGATGGTGGCGAAGGGAGAGGGAGTAGAATTGTCTATCATTGGGAAGAGAAGGAGCGAGGATTAGTAGGGGCTATTTCTCAAATGACGTTGCCATTGGGATTGACGGTGGGTGGTAAGCAAGCCAGTGTGGAATGGTGGGAGATCAGATAAGATCTCTGGGTTCTTCGACGATGGTCACGCGAGGACCAGCGTTTGGCAGGCCATGTACAAGGGGCTGGAAGGACTGTGCTGCTCACTTCTTGATCTCCGCTCCCGATGCCGTCACCGGGACTCCCAGGATGTCATAGTAATTGGGTTCTCGGTGGGCTGCATAGCGAAAGGAGGCAGTCGTAGAAAAGGTGGCTGCGAGCTTGGGAGGAGGCGACTGGCGACGACTACTGCGAGGGGCAATCCGGAGTCGAGGGACGGTCCTCACGCGGGAGAATAGCATGCCGGTGATGAGAAGGGTTCACATTTGAGAACTGGGGGAGATGACGAGAAGTAGAGGGGAGAGGCAGACGGAGAGAGCCTGAGCGAGAGCGGAGGGACTGAGGCAACGAGGCAAGAAGGCACGAGTGGAATTCCGCTGATCGGCCTGCGTCATCGGTGCCTTAGAAACGAGGGTCGCCGTCCAGAGGGCCAGGAGGGCGTGTCCGGTGGGGACGGTTATGCCACCGACCGAATGGATGTGATGGCATGCGAATTCTGAGCGTAAGAAAGAAACGGGCCTCCAAAAGGCCCCCCAGCGTCCGTAGTTACAAGGCGTAGCAAGTCGGCCTCTTGATTAAGTCAGTCTTGGCGCCTGAAATCCCGACTCTTCGGCTTTTCCCCTCATTTTTCTTTCTTCCGCTCGCCAAAGTCTGTCCGTCCCCAACCACTCCCCGCCTGCTGTTTCTCATCCAACCATGGCTGCTCAGGCTAGTGAGAACCTGCAGAAGCTTGACCGTAAGTGGCTATGCGGCTCCCTTTTCCCCCACCGGTTCGACTCCGAACTTTTTTCAACTGATAAGATTCTTGCAGTGAACGGTCAGAGCGGCGACGTCAAGGCCGACGCTCCCGCCGCTGGTCAGGCCGAAGCCGGAGAGGCAGACGATGATTCCGATGACGACGCTGATGATGGAGTCCCTGCGGCCGAAGGTGCTGCCAACGGAGGTATGTTTGTTGGATATTGACCTCCCGATCGGGTCCTCCCCCACCATGCGCTGATCTCGGTTCTTTATCTTCCGCCAGCTGCCAAGAAAAAGAAGAAGCGCAAGAGCAAGAAGAAGAAGAAGGGTGGTGCCAAGGTCCAGAGCTCGCCTCCGAGGGTCCCCGTCGCGAACCTATTCCCCAACAACCAATTCCCCGAGGGCGAGATTGTCGAGTACAAGAATGAGAATTCTTACCGGACCACCAACGAGGAGAAGCGCTACCTCGACCGCATGAACAATGATTTCCTGCAGGAGTACCGCCAGGGAGCCGAGGTCCACCGTCAGGTCCGCCAGTATGCGCAGAAGAACATCAAGCCCGGCCAGACCTTGACGGAGATTGCGGAGGGCATCGAGGATTCCGTGCGTGCTTTGACGGGCCACTCGGGTCTTGAAGAAGGCGACAACATCAAGGGCGGTATGGGATTCCCTTGCGGTCTGAGCATTAACCACTGTGCTGCTCATTACACCCCCAACGCGGGCAACAAGATGGTGTTGCAGCAGGGTGATGTGATGAAGGTTGACTTCGGCGCGCACCTGAACGGCCGGATCGTCGACAGTGCATTTACTATGGCCTTTGACCCGGTGTATGACCCGCTTTTGGAAGCCGTGAAGGATGCCACCAACACTGGTATTCGCGTATGGTTGCCCCGAACGCCCTCATATCTATCCTCCGAGGGATTCTTCGAACTAACGTTTCGATATAGGAGGCGGGTATCGACGTCCGCATGAGCGACATTGGTGCCGCCATCCAGGAAACCATGGAGAGCTACGAGGTGCAACTCAATGGCACCATGCATCCTGTGAAATGTATCAGGAACCTCAACGGTCATAACATTGACCAGCACGTCATTCACGGGGGCAAGAGCGTCCCCATTGTGAAGGGCGGAGACCAGACCAAGATGGAGGAAGGCGAGGTGTTTGCCATCGAAACCTTCGGTAGTACCGGAAAGGGTTACGTGAGAGAAGACGTAAGTCGGACGACTCCTGTGTCTTTTCGATGCCCCCAGATTTACTAATGCTGTGTGTCCCAGATGGAAACCTCTCACTACGCTTTGGATGCCAACGCCGCTCCCGTGCCCTTGCGTCTGTCCTCGGCGAAGAATCTGTTGAACGTGATCAACAAGAACTTCGGCACTCTGCCATTCTGCCGCCGGTATCTTGACCGATTGGGACAGGACAAGTACCTGCTTGGGGTAAGCTGACCTTGCGGATCGATGCGTCTGGATACGACAACTAACGATGTCTCCTAGTTGAACAACCTGGTGTCATCTGGAATTGTCCAGGACTACCCGCCGCTGTGCGATGTCAAGGGCTCGTACACGGCCCAATATGAACATGTAGGACCCCAACACCCTGTTAATTGACCCCAAGGTCTGGACTAACCTGAGCGATGCAGACCATTGTCCTCCGACCCAACGTGAAGGAAGTGATCAGTCGTGGAGACGATTACTAAAGGAATTATCATCATGGGACGGCCAGGACTTGGATGGATATACGCAATGAACCAAGATGTGACGAACGAATTGTCTATAGTAGAAACATGCCTAAAAGCGAATGACACCGTTGGAATCTCGCACCTGGAGCCGTAGCGTAGGGAAACAGTCAACATTTCCAAGAAATCGGCCCATCCGTGGCGACGGGTAGCCCCACGTGGAAAGCGTGACTCCGAAGGCTCACGTTGTTGCGATTAATCAGAGCACTCCGATCACTCCACCAAACCAACTTTCTCCTTCTCCTTTCCTTCCTCCTTCGCCTTCCGTCCATGGCGTAGAGTCTCTCCATCCTCCTAACCTCTCCGCGCCCTCCTTATCCTCCCATTCCACCATGCCGTCCGTCGTCGCTACGGCTCCCACACCGCAACTCCGCGTGTCCGCCGCAAAGGGCTCCGCCGCCGATGGGAAGCCCTCTCCCCGAGTCCCTCCCCCCGAGAAGTCCGTTGTCGAGGATCAGTTCTTCTGGACGTACACGGAAGAACCGCATCGGTCCAGACGGCAGGCAATCATCAAAGCCCATCCCGAGGTACCGTGCAACCATCCAATGAGGTCCTATAACATCTGGCCTTTCTAACCCGTCGTCGCTCTCCAACAGGTAACCAAGCTCTGCGGACCCGAACCGCTGACCAAATATGTGGTACTGGGTGTCGTCTCACTGCAGATTTGCTGCGCATATCTGCTCCGTGACACGTCCATGTTGTCCTGGAAATTCCTTGCTACGGCGTATATAATTGGTGCGACGGCGAACCAGAACCTGTTCCTGGCTATCCACGAGATTTCTCACAACCTGGCCTTCCGGTCTCCCATGGCCAATCGTCTGTTGGCCATTTTCGCCAATCTTCCAATTGGACTTCCCTATAGCGCTGCGTTCCGGGTAAGTGCTCGAGTGAAAACTACATGGAGGTGGAGTCCATGCTAATGTAGACTTGCGATCCGATAGCCTTACCATCTCACCCACCACAAGTCCCTCGGCGTCACCGGTCTCGATACCGATCTCCCGACGGCCGTGGAGGCATTCCTCCTCGATTCCCTCCTCGGCAAGGCTTTCTTCTGCACCTTCCAGATCCTCTTCTACGCCGTCCGTCCCATGTTCGTTTACAGCCCTCCCTTCACGATCATCCACCTCGTGAACCTAGTCGTGCAGCTATCGTTCGACTACGCCCTCACCAGGATCTCTGGCGGCTCGATTCAGCCGCTCTTGTACCTGATTGCCAGTTCGTTCCTCGCCGGCTCGCTGCACCCCTGCGCCGGGCACTTCATCGCCGAGCACTACTTCTTCTCCAACGTGCAGCACGGCACCGAGTCCATCGAATACCAGAAGCAGAACAAGAAGCAAGAGCCCCACCCGCTCGACTCGCTGCCGCCCCCAGAAACCTACTCCTACTACGGCCCCCTGAACATCTTCACCTACAACGTGGGCTTGCACAACGAGCACCACGATTTCCCCGCCATCCCGTGGACGAAGCTGCACGCGCTGCACCGCATCGCCTCCGAGTTCTACGAGCCGCTGCCCTGCCACCGCAGCTGGGTGTGGGTGATCTGGACCTTCATCCTGGACAAGAACGTCGGCATGTGGTGTCGCGTGAAGCGGGCCCAGGGGGGCCGCGTTGTCGGTGGAGGCGGTAGTAAAAACGGACGAGGTGGCGAGGGCATCTCTGCCGCGTCGGCTGGTCCGGACGAGTCAGGCGATGGGTGGAAGGAGAGCGAGCTTCAGAACTGAGCCTCGCCGTCTCATTTCCTTTCCCATTTCTTGCCCTCTTCATCCTTTTGTTACATTATGTGGTTTGTATGGTCGGTTCACCGGTGCCCGGGGTCTTGTTGATATGGATATATGGTCAATGAATGTATCAAAATATACTAGAATGATTGATGTACTGTACTTCACCTTGTTTCTGTGTTTCAAATGTTGTTTATCGAGATAGACTTTCCTTGAATACCCACCCACTCACAGAAAAAAGCCACGCAACCATGAGATACACGATGGAATTATACAATTTGAAAGCAGTACAGGAAGTACATACATACATACACACAACATACACCATTCACTAGCGTCATCATAATTGACTCATGCGTCTGAGTGATGCAGGCAGACATTCGTCTCATTAATTACTCGCTGTTAGGAAGCAAACGCAGAAAGACAAGAGGTGGTAGGAAAAGTTATGGGAAGTCGAAGAAGCGTCAGAAGAGATGAAAAGAAAGCCCTCGGACCCGACCCGATCAACGCAGCTCTCACTTTTCCCGTGCAGACATACCGTACTGCCTGTTGGTCAGCGGCATGGGCATACAGACGGAGCATCTGAGAAGTTCCTGCGAGGAGTTGGGTGTTTTGCAATCGTATTTATGATGGAAGTGGACTCGCTACTCCCCACTTGGGTCATCTCGTAATAAAGTGGAAGGAAGAAAGGAAATGAAAAGCCACGACGGGGGAAAGTGAATATGAGCTTAGCACATAACTGGATGCTGATGCTGACAAGAAAGCAGAAAAATGGAAAACAAAAAAAGGGAACACTTTAGAAGGGAACACAGTTGGTCTGTAAAGTAAAATGGGTAATAGGAACAGAAGCGGTTTGCAGAAGTGAATTGAAAGATGACAATATGAAGGAAAATAAAGGGGGACAGAGGAAGCGATCGGCGGCTAGAACAAAAAGTAGGCAATAAGGAAACTTAGCAGGCACAAGCCGGCGACTATCTGCACCGGCACACCCGCCTCGACAGCCTGGGAGGATTGCTGTTGCAAAGCTGGCGCGGTGGACTTCTCTGTCTCGCCGGGGATCTTCCTCTGTCTGAGGCCCTGGTCCGCGAGCCGGTCCTTCAGTCTCTGGATCTGAGAGTTGGCGTCGGCAAGTTGTGATTTCAGGTCGATGCTCGACGGAGAAGTGGCTACTTTCGAAGACGCAGCCTCGTTGGCCTGTGGGGTAAGAAGTTCGCGCCTGGGCTTATCGCTGAAATCCGGCGGTGGGATAGGTGACGTGTCATTGGCGCCTTTGCTGGTCAAGCCCACGGCGGGCGTCTCGTACGTAGCGTTGGGGGAAGTGTAGGCAGGGGGCTCCTCCTCAGGGACACTCTGTAGCAAATAGTCAGTTGTACCCTCAAGATTGGGCACGTTGCGTGGGACCCGATGAACATACGGTGCCATTGGCTTCAGCCCCTTGCTCGGCAGGTTCGGAGTCCTCCGCAGAAAGCCAGTTCACGCGAATCTTGCGCTCTTGGATCGCCGATTTAGAGGCTTTCTCGAACTGTGCGTTTGTTAGTAAACCGCGGGTGAGGGAAACGAGTGTTCAGGGGGATTGGCGTACAATGGAGGTGACATTTGAGTATTCCATCTCAGGAGTAACTGCGACGGTCTGAACCAGGAACTTATCCTTGCACTTGGCATCGGTGGCAGGCTCATCCTTCATGGCCTGAAGAAGGACTGAACGAACAGGTAGTTAGCAAAACTCTCCCGGAGAAATATTGTGACATGTCCCAAAGAACAACCCACCCTGGACCTCGACACTCTTTCCCGGCTCAATACGGCCGGAGTTCGGTCGAACACAATAGCTAGGAAATAATTAGATGTCATCCAACAATCGAAACGAGGACAGAGGATCGGTGCGTACTGCTTTGGTGCGGTGGTTTTGACCTATTCGAGAGCGCGAGGTTAGTATGCGATCAATGATTCGAGGGGTTCCTGCCATCCGTACCTTGAACACCACAGACTCGGCGTTCTCATTGTTCAGGTGCAGGACCTGGCACACCTCTCGGTCGAAGGGGCCTGTGTCTGATCAGTACGGATGTCCCTGGTGATACGAAAGCCACGATTCCCGGGCAGGACTCACGCTGGAAGCCCAGCTCAGGCGGGTCGAGGATGATAGACATTGCGAAGGCGAAGGCAGCAGCGCGAAAGGGTCAGGGATGCGCGGACAGAGAGGCCAGACAAGACCAGATATTCGAAGGGTTGAGGGCAGGGGAGAGCGCGCGGTGGGGAACAGGTTGAGCGGGCGAAGACCGGCCAGACTGGAGTGGATAATGGGAGGGATATTAACAGATTATTATTAGAATGGAGAAGCGAAGCCGTGAGTGACTGCGATTTCAGGTGTCGATACGGGCTGACTCAGCAGGGTCAGGTGATGTCATCACGAGCCGTCTTCTCTTTCTTACACTTACATACGCATACACATTTTCTCATTCTCTCTCTCTCTCATTCTCTCTCAACTCTATCCTAACTCTCAGGACTATAAATGACTGCAGGCTTCACTCTCCCTAGTCCCCTCCTCCCCCGCCGAAACCGCCTCCAAACCAACTTCCCCAATCGGATGTATGGTTATCGGGATCCACCGGTGCGCATCCTCGGGACCTTTTCTTAGAGCCACTCCTGAGCCGCCGACTCGGAGCACTAGGCAATACATGTGATGAAGATCTTGCATCAGCTGCAGTTCCATTGCTCCCAGTTTGGCTTGGTGAACTCCTCGCCGGTTTCTTGGTCTTCGCGAAACAGTTGCGAAGCCAGATCCTCCATGTGGACTGATTCCTAACTGGAACAACCCGTCCACGTGGTTGATAATCGCCGGTCTTTTCCATGCTTGACATCGTGTACTCACTCCTACTCAGCTCGCTGCTCAGATAGTGGGGGACTCTTGAAATAGCAGCGGCGGAGTATTGGCAAGATCTCAGTGTAGTAAGAGTGCTGAATGTGACCTATTATGCTTGATATGAGTATTTGTCCTTTCTAGTACTTACTAGCCATATTCCTGAAAAGTAGACCAGTGGCCTTTTTATAGTTATTCCCATCACTGCACCGCCAGGTACATCACCTCGTAATTCCGGTGGGCAAATGAGCATAAAAAGGTGGCCATTCAATACCAGCGGGTCTTCCCGCGTTCCACCGTTTCCAGCGATACGTCACCTGCGAGCTCGAATCTCTTCACCTTTGTTACCTCCACCTCAACGGAGCTTCTCTTCCGACCTTAACGTCACCTCTTTGATTACTCTACAACCCCCCGTACACTTCTCCGACAAAGCGATCGCCTAGGATATTACCCCGCAGTCTAAAGCACCACGTCCATCGGTCGCCTCGATCGCATTCTTTCACCTTCCATCCACCAACCCCATCGAGTGCCGTGCAACAATGGGATCTTCCGATCTAGACCAGCTCATTGAAATGGGCTTTGACAAGGAGAGGGCAGAGTTCGCCGTGGCAAAGAGTGGTGGTCGTACGTATTTTCCAGTTAGTGTTTGAGTCGTCTGAGAAACCCCCACTAATTCAGACCCCGCCCATAGTGCAAGGTGCGCTGGAATGGCTCGAACAGAACCAAGACAAATCCATCGAAGAGATCAAAGCGACTGCATCCAACGACGCTGAGGAGGAGGGCCCCCCGTTGCAACCGGGCGAGGAGGCGAGAAGTCTGGTTTGTAACGAGTGTGGCAAGAAGTTCCGAAGCCATGCACAGGCCGAATTCCACGCCTCCAAAACCCAGCACGTCGACTTCGCCGAATCTACCGAGGAACTGGCACCATTGACCGAGGAGGAAAAGAAGGCCAAATTGGAGGCGCTTCGGGCGAAGTTGGCAGACAAGCGAGCCGGACAGTCTGAACAAGATAAGGCCGACAAGAAGAGAAATGAGGTAGGCGGATCCCTCACGATCGAAATTGGTGCATGACAGCCACTTACACACCCTTCTCTTTCGCAGGAAATCCGAAGAAAGAGCAACAAGGACTCGCAGGATGCCAAGGAGGAGCTCCAGAGAAAGCAGCAAATGAAGGAAGCGGCCAAAAAGAAGAAGGAGAAGCAGGATGATATCGAAGCCAAACGACGCGTCAAGGCCAAGATCGAGGCCGACAAGGAAGAGCGTCGTTTGAAGGCCGAGCGGGAACGAGCAGAGCGAGCTGGTGCAGCGCCTCCTGCGCAACCGGCCGCTGCTCCCTTGGCCACCACCTCCGGCCCCGTTGCATCCAAACCGGCTTCGGCGTACACGGAAACTCGACTGAGATTCCAAACGTCCAAGGGAAACGTCATGAAGACACTCCCCGTCACCACCACTCTCTTCGAGGTTGCCTCGGCTTTGGATCAAGAGGATGGGATCCAGGTACAGAGCTTTTTGCAGACATTCCCGCGGAAAGTGTTTGACCAGGAGTTCTTTGGGGAGTCTCTCAAGGACCTTGGTCTCATCCCCAGCGCTAGTCTCGTAATCCAGTGATTTCCGCTGCTACGGGCCAGTGTTACATCAAGTTACAATGAGAGAAACTTTTTTTATGAGATTGAGAAAAATAGAAGATACTCTAGAGGGTGAAACCCAGAATAGATGGCAACTTCCCATGAATCATCGTGAATTGTAGTAAATGGAGTGACATTGGGCGGTGGTGACGACAGTGCACGTGATGTCGCGATAAGAGCGTGTCGCTTATCGGGTCAGTCACGCGTCTGCCTCCTCCGCTGCCTGGTCTCTCTCCTCCATTTCACCCATTTCTCCTATATAACTCATTCCTGGACCCGTTGGATGGTTTCTCACCACTGGGATCATACTGTATTGTTATTATGCCCGCGTGAGTCATCCCCTGTCTCCCTACCCTTACTATCAATACCCACCCTGACTAGAGCTAACCGCGTCTGCAGCGTTGGTGACCAACATCGCGGTGGTCCGAAGAGCGTCATGATGCCCAACGCGACCGGTTCTGCTACGGGAAACCCTTTCGAGGAGCCCCAACGCCGCATGAGCGAATACACGGTCCAAGAAATCGCCACCCTCCAAGCACGACTGGATAAGAAACTCGGTCCTGAATACATCTCCTCGAGACCGGGTGCGGCTGGACAAAGGGTGCATTATCTGTCTGCTGACAAATGCATCAATCTGGCGAATGAAGTGTTCGGGTTCAATGGCTGGTCCAGCTCGATCCAGAATATTCAGATCGATTTTGTATGTATCATGGAACCCTTTGCTGGCCGGGTGGATCGTTTTGGGAAACTCAATGCTGATTCAAGTTGTCTCGATAGGTCGAGGAGAGTCAACATACGGGCAAAATCAGCTTGGGGTTGTCCGTAATAGTCAGGGTCTCTTTGAAGGATGGGACTTACCATGAGGTATGCCGGCCCATCATAGCAGCTTTACTCGAGACCAACCCAGAAGCTCACGCATTGAATACTTTTAGGACATCGGCTACGGTCACATCGAGAACTGCAAGGGGAAAGCTGCGGCGTTTGAGAAGGCGAAGAAGGAGGGGACTACTGACGCTCTCAAGCGTGCGCTGAGAAACTTCGGTAATGTCCTGGGGAATTGCGTCTACGACAAAGATTATGTCTCAAAAGTTACCAAAGTGAAGCCTGTACCGGTATGTATTTATCTTATACACATACTGTATGCCCATTTGCTGAACCATCTTGCAGGCAAAATGGGACGTCGACGAGCTTCATCGGCACCCCGACTACGCTCCAGTCAAAAAGGAACCCGTTCAACCTCGACCGGCTCCAGAGGATGACGATCTCCCCCCTCGTCCAGCGAATGCTACAAGGAACAATAATTCCAATGATTCTGCAGCGTTTGATGCTGACGGGGAATTTGGAAGTATGCAACAAGGAGTCCCCCTAGCCACCCTGCATTTGCTAACGATAATAGGTGACCTATTTGATGAAGCTGATTTTGGAGTTGCTACGAATGGAAATCCAGACGAGATAGTAATAGGCCCAGAAACCCAGAAATTTCAACAACCACCCACACCCCTAAACGGACCAAATGCCTACCGAGGACCCCAAGGAAACTATGCTCGGCCCCCAGCGCGATCCGACTCGGCGGTTGTGACACCTTCCAAACCAGAAAGACCTCTCCATCAGGTGCCGGGCGCCAGGCAGATTCCGGCGCCTGCCCTTAATGCCAGAACCAATTTCTCTGCGGCACCAAACCCGCAGCAAAACTTCCAAAACGCAAGGGCTGTGCCAGCACCAGGCCAGCCCAGACCCGTTCAACCCTCCGCATTAGCTGGCACAGGTGGTCAAGTACCGGTCAAACGAGAACCGGGGTTAATGTCCAACGAAACCAAACAACAAGACATGCTTCCTCCCGGGAGCTCACCCGCTCCATCGGCTGGCTTCTTTTCGGCTCGGGCAGTCGATATGATCAGGGATAACCCGAACAATGTCTCTAATGCCGCACCTGCTTTCGATCCTCATGCCGAAAGCCCGTCCATTCGCAAAACGGCCGGCGTCGACCACACCAAAAGCGTACCAATTTCCCGGCCCATGCTGGCAGCGGCCTCGCCAGCTACGAACAATACCCGTGACTTCGTGAACCCATCTACAGACGCGCATCGAAGAATTGGCGCTCCTGGGGCTAGTGGAATCGGTAGTCCCATGAACAGGGGACCGTCAACTTCGTCCTATCGCCCACTGACGCGACCCAACATCGATCCTCGCGCCGTCAACAACGCAGCAGCAGCATCAAACGGAGCCAATATGGGGGCCCAGGGCTTTCCGCAGAATATGAATGGCAAGCGACCTCCCCTAAGCGATGTGACGAATGCAACGCCGCCTGGCGGTAGCGGACCTGTTCCTGCTGGCATTAGTGATCCCAAGAGAGTAAAGATGGCCGACGGTTCTACGACACAGCAACCGCCGCAGCAACCACCCCGTCAGCAATGATAGAAGTTGATCGGATGGAAAGAGAACATACCCAATGGCCGCGCTATGTGATGATTGTCAATTTTTCTTCGGTATTTGAATGGTGACTCGGCGTTCGGGATACAAGGCAAAGGCAACGGAAAGGGAATGGGTTTTCTTTTATAGGATTGTTGATTTAATTTGATTTTCGTTGGCATCGATTGGCCTTGTGTCGCTTTTGCTCTCTAATTTTTCCTGCTTCTTTACATCTGAACTGTGTCCTTATCCTCTATATGCATACATATGCAACGAAGGGCCGAGGCATGACAGCAAGTTTGGCCGCTGTCTATCTTCATGGCCTGAGGAATCGTACCGTAAGATTAATTCAAAGAACAAATCATGAGATTGAGCTAGACCGCCCTATCGTACATTCATCAACGCATCTAGTTTCCTACTCCATGTCCCCTTTTTTCAGCCTTTCTATCAGTTGAGAGGAGCACGTGAAGCAACATAAGACATCGCCCGTAATTTTAAACAAACAGAAAAAACGAGGGGAACTAGACTCTTAAGTATCGCGCACGGCATGGATTGATTTCTGAAGACTGCTGACACGCTTTCTGGGATTGGTTGACTGCGACGACGAGGATGAAGGCGACGATTGAGCATAGCGCGATTGCTGCAATGGGTTTGCATTAGGGTCCCTTATTCGAATAGGATTTGTTGGGGCCCGTGGACGGAAGATGATGCTGTCGGGCAAGATGGTCTTGGGGGTCTCTGGTGTACTCGCAGGAGTAAAAGCCCGAGGCATATTATAGCCTGTGAATGCTGCACGTGTTAGATTCAGACCAGATGGCTTATAGGATGGGGTATTGAATTTCACTGCACCTATTTCTAATGGTGCCATTGTGGGTGGTTTTCCTGATGGATAACCTGGAATGAGGATTGGAAGGAGCGAGGCAGAAGACATACTGTTCACTACTAGTTCCTCCGGACGTCCACTTCTACCAGGCAGCAAGTGGTTCCCATATAAATGTTCGGGTTGCGATCTAGTACCAGGGGTGTGTTCGGATGCGGGTCGTGCTGCCGGCTTTTTATCCTCAACAGATGCCGCATCTTCCGAGGAATCACTTGCAATGCTGCGGGTTGGCGAGCGATGGTTTTCGAAACTAGTCCTTGGAACAAATGCAGTGGCCTCAACGTTCAAACCACTTGGCGGACTCAATGCCGATGCCCTATTTCCAGTTGGCGTGCTCACGGACCTGTTGGCTGACTGGGATTTCTCGGTTCCAGGACGTGCAGGTGTAGGTACTTGCTGGCCGTTCGAAAGCTTAGTTTGAAGCTCATTTTTACATTCTTGAAGACTTTCTTTTTGCTTTTCTGAAAGGCTTGTTGATGCCAGAAGCTTACAGAGCATATCCATGGTGGTCTGGGAATCCTCATCGACAACGGTTTTGGCGGCTGAAACATCATTTCTGACAGGATCGCTTCTTTGGGACTCTGCTGAAGCAGCCCCAAAGGTGAGTTTTCTTCTCGGAGTCGGCTGAGACAGCTCCTGCTTTGGGGTCTGTGCCTGTGGCAAAGGGCTGGATCCCATAAAATCCAAACCTTTAAGATCTTCAAACGCAGGACTCATCATGGGATCATTCATATTCCCGGTCTGCGTGGAGCTTTTTGTAGGCGTGGTGTTGAAATCGAGCAGTACCCCAGGCTTCTGTTGGGTGTTATTAGCATTAAATGTATCGCTCTGCTGCTTTGTAGGTTCCTTCGAAGGGACTGGGGCTTTGGGCTGTGCCGTTGGCATTGAGGTTTGTACACCCTTTGAAAGCTTCAGGGTTTCCTTTGATTCTGGGTTTTTGACTGGCTCGGATGTCCGTTTTGATTGAGAGTTGTCAGCTTGCGGCCCATTAATTGAACGATCCAAGGATGTAGGCAGTCGACTCGGGGGAGATTTCGCAGTCGACTCGGGTGATGTCTTTGGATGAGAGGTCTTGATGCCCCCGCTTGAGTGACCCAAGGAAGTTGTCGACTTGTTCTGAGAACCTTCTGCTAAACGCTTCGAAGACTCTGTAGAAGCAGAAGAGCCGTCATTCTTGAAAGCCTTGCTATCAAGAGACTTTTGAACTGAATTGCCCAAGGAAGTAGTCGTGCCTGTAGGGGCAGACTTTTCGGGCAATTTGGATGATGGCTTTGAATTCGGCTTTCCATTATCAGAATGCCGATGAATTGATTCGTTCAATGAAGTATGGAGCTTTTTCTGCGGAGGCCTTTTGGTATCTGATGGAGAGTTGTCGCCATTATGATCACTGGAGATTATTCCGCCAGACATCAGAGTATCCTGTGTAGACTTGGGATTGTAAATGGTGCGCGCCGCAGCCAGGAAACTTTCCGGGGAACTGACCTCCCCTACAAAGTCGGGCCTGTACATAGGGTCAGGCTAGGGTCAAACATGCAAAATGGGGTAGAAAATGAGACTTACGCAGGTCTTCTGGTTCTCAGGGAAGCCGGGGGAGGTTTTTTGAAGCCTGGGATTGAGGGGAGAACGCACTCAGCTCTGTCACACTTCTGAAATTCATGCAACAACCCACCTCCTTTGTTTGCAAAGTGCTTTTGGTCATTGACCTCTCTGTTTTTCTGGTAGCCACTGGGTGAGCCTCGCGATATATTCACTGAGGGCTTTCGAGATAGAGGGGGCTGCTTTGTGAAAGCTTCTCTATTCGTGCCTCTGGCAGAAGTACTAATGGTTGTTAATGTTAATCTGCGTAGATCATCAATACAAGAGTAGTCGCAACCCACCTGCCTGAAGTTCCAGTCCTCTGGTGGTGTTTGTAAGCACTCACGCCAGTACCATTCCTTGCGTGCGTCGAATTCTTAGACACCGCAGCTTTGCCCTTGCCGTATTCTTGTGTGTAGGGTTGACCACCGGATCCGCGGATGGTAAGGTTCAATTGGGACCGATGAGTCTGGCCGTCGAGGAGAGTGTCCAGATTTTCCAGATCTTCGGTGTCTCCTATCTTTTTGTGGACGTCTTCCCTCCAATGTCAGCCACAAGAGCCGTTTCAATGATTAATGCCGAGTGGGCGTACTTACTGGCCCATTCAGCGAGCTTGTCCTTGTTGGCCTCGGCGGTGCGTTGTGCTTCCGAACCACGCACATTTGACATTCGAGCCGCCTCTAGAGCTTGCATCGAAACCTGCCTCATCTTCTTGTCTGCGGTAGAGATATATTCGCGCCTAGCAGACCCGAGGTCCTCCTGTGGATGGCATAGTCAGTGTCTGGCGAACGCAAGCAATTATGGAAGATCTAAGAAAACAGCCTACCATCTGCAGCTGCTTGAGCCGCTCTGCGCGGGCTGCGGCTTTGGTAGCTTCCGTATCCATTTTCTTTTTATCCTCAGATGAATGAAAAGTATGAAGGTAGATCAGAGACTTCAGGTGAAGAAAGGAGATATCAGTGCTAGGGGACAAGATAGAGCGAGAAGGGATAGACGGTAGGTGAGAAATGGGTGAAAGGATCAAGGAGATGACTGCTGGCCTAAGAGCAGACCGGTGAAGAAGCAAGATTAAGAGACAAGAAAAGGGAGCGGGGAGGGAAAACGTGGGAAGTGAGACACCGAGCCTTATGGAAGAAGTGAATGAAAGACAGGCGTTGTGAGTCCCGAGACACAGCTCGGTGAGCCCAACTTGATGGGGATTTCCTGGAATGAGAACGCAATGCCAATGAACTTGTACAGCTGATGAAGAGAATGAATGTGAAGGATGTAAACAAAGGAGGATGGGAGGAGGGGTGGGGATGGTGAAGAGGAAGAAGAAGATGGGTGAGGGATGGTGAAGAGGAAGAGGAAGATGGGTGGGGGATGGTGAAGAGGAAGAGGAAGAGGGAGATGGGTGGAGGGGGAGGGAAAAGGTAATGGGCTGCTGGTCGTCGTGGTAGCAGAAGACGACAAACGCCGAGCAGAGGAAACCTGCCAGTGGTTTGACAGCATGCCCACTCCAGGGTCTCAGTCTCGTTTGTAGCAAATTTGAACGCTGGCTTGATGATTGAGAACGTGGAAAAACTGACTGATTTATCTGACCTTGGCCTACTGTAGGTTATAGATAGATTTAGTCTATCATAACTAACTGATGTTGAATCCACCCTTGGAAGGAAACGCCGGTGAAATTGTATAAGACATGTAGATTTAAAGGACACAACCGGTGTCTACTGATTGATGCCCATATCTAAGGCCATATCATGCTCAATTATGAACCTCCAATGAACGCAATTTCCTTGACTCCAGAGGACTATGTGGTGATCTATGGCTGCACTTGATTTGTCTATTTACGAAGTGTTTGTTACATTTGGTCTAAAATGATCCAGTAATACATCGAGTCTCCTTCGAGCTCAGAGAAGTCAGAAAGACCAGAAATGGTGACCCATGAGACCCTGGAGCTTTGGGTACAGGCATGGGCATGTCTATGTACAGTTGCCTAAGAGCAGTAAAACAAAAGTTTATCCGGGGAATAAGACAGATTTACAATGATTAGGCACTACAGGTGCTTGCGCCTCCGTCATCTATAAAGCGAGGGTCGGCTGTCAGTAATCTTATTCTCGAACGTGACGAATGAATGGAGGTCGTGGACATACTTCTGATCATCTTGGCAATGGCCTGCAGGAGACTAACGCCCATGACGGTTATTCCAAAGGCAATGCACAAGTATGCAGGAATCTTCGCCTTCCGGCTGCTGTTACTCAATTTGATGTAACACAGAGGCGGGAAGATATATGCCAATGCAGAGGCACTGGTTGCCCCGATCAGCTCAAAGACCGCGCCGAGATCGCAGGTAACGAGAGCCATGCCCATCGAAGTCAAAACCAGCGCGGTGGTGAAGATCAGATGACGGTTCATGTTGAACGGCTCATCCGGGAAGTAATATGTTGTCATGACTGATCGACATACAAACGCCTCTAGAGGCAATGTCGTCAGCATGTTCAGGCCGAAGCAACTACTGCACGTTAGCTCCACCGATAGTTATAGCAGACGGTCACGAAGTCTTACAATCGCGCAATGTTAACCATGATGTTGTCGGACGGAAAGTTGTTGAGTACGTTGCCCTGGGTTTTCGAGCCAAAGAAAAGAAAGCCTGATATACCCATTGTCAAGCACATCAGCAGCGAGACTCCCGTGGAGTAATGGGTCACCATCGCGAAGCGGTCCATAGTTGGTTTCTTCAAGGACCCATAGATGAGAAGGCTGTTATGGTCTTTAAACGGTCAGTCTGCTTCACGATCTAGCCAAAGACACAGGACTACCTACGGCAAACAAAAGCTGTACAAGGTTAGCTTGATAAAGTCTCGCGGGCAGCTAGCACGGTGACAGGATGACATACCGAAAGAAATCACTCCTACGGCTTGGAAAAAGCCTGAGTTTACTAGAAGCAGGCTTTTGACCTCTCCTCGAGATTCCGACGGAACACGGAAGCCTTGCGTGAGTACAGCCACCAGAATCACGACCATACTAATCAAGGCCAATGTGGAGGCTTTTGCGAGCTGTCTGACTGTTAGAAGTTGAAGGTCCGAGATCGCGGGAGATCAAACCTTCGCTATGTCTCGATACAAAGAAAGCGGATACGAGATGCCCAGGACAAAAATCACGATGGTAGCTCGCCTGTCGGTTAGAAGCCAGAGAAATGACGTGTCCCGGAGGGAGGGGAACATGGCGCTGAACACATGTGGAATGGTATCTCCTACAATAATACAGAAGGCAATCATCCCGCCGAATGCAAAAGCCCACTGGGCAATTGAGATGGCGATGAGGCCACTTTTACCAAAGCAATGCTGCATCGTGGCCTGGAAGGAGTCCGCACCGCTCAGCTTGGAATTGACCACGATCAGACGGATCGTCCAATCCACCGCGATGGTCAGGGCAATCAGAAGCGCAAGGCCCATCATCATACCGGCCTGCTTCAGTGCGTAGGGCTGACCTATAATCCCGGCGCCTATAATACTGTTGGCCATGTTCATGAATGCCATGCGCATTCCGCTCCGAGGCCGCGCATCCTCCAGGTATTGCTCGGGAAAGAAATCCTCGGACGTCGCAAGGGTCACACTCGGGGCTTCAATGTCCGTCAGAAGAGGCACCATCTGTCCTCTGGGGTGTCTTCCAGGCCGAGTTCCGCCGTCGCGAGCGTAATCCTCATCCTCCAGCCACGACGAGTCCTCCGAGTTGCGAGCATATGCGGCCGGTTGCTGCTCATCTTCCGTATCGTCCTCAAGGTCGAATCGAACTCGATTTGTGGTGCGAGGAGGGCGACGTTGTCCGTCCGGCGTGGGCTGGGATATGGCGGACTGTTGCGGCGCTGCATTGGGGACTGCGGAGGGAGAAACCGGGGCTGCGTTGGCCGGGTCCGGATGGGCTACAAGCTCATGCTCGTCGCCAGGGGTTCGTGGGAATGGATAGGAATCATCCGGCCTGTCCAGGCCATCATGATCAGCCAAGAGCGATTCCTGTCCTTCATCCCTGGGCATTGCGGGTTGTGATGTTGTCCTCTGACAGTTACAACTCCACGTGTAAATGGATGTTTTGGGGCCAGGTAATCACGGGGGAGTGCACGTGATGTCTTATCGATAAGGAGCTATAGAGATAAGATAAGTCAATAGGCTGTCAATAATTTCTCTTCGGGTCCAAACAGACTTCGTTTTCTCAGGATACTGTTTTTTCTCTTCTTTCTTTCGATGTCTGGGAGATAAGTGGCGCAGGTTCATCTGGGTAGGATGCGAGAAAATATTGTCCTCAACGGCCAATATTAAATTCAATATCTTGGAGGATTGAAATTGTATATCTCCAGCACCGAGAGCAACTTGAAGAGTGGAAATGGAAAGTCCCGTCGTTTTCCATGTCTGCCTTTCCACATGACTTCGTTGTGCCTTGTTGCCATCTCAGGCCGACAGGCATCTACTACTCCCTTTCTGGTGCTTCCAAGCTGGTCCACACCCACACTGATTTTACACTTTACACCTCATGATGTATACCCGAGTTGTCTTTTGGCAATCCCTATAGATGCTCTTACTATAATGACATTCAATTTTGACCTCGGGACAGAAACCTTCTCGTTAGCCACCTCCGACTTGGATTTTATCCTCCACGCTTCAGCGGTCATTTCCACGCCGCCAGGGACTTGGAACCCATGGAGCACCGAGTCGTTCAGAAAAGAGCTCGTTGCAGGAAGCATATGGGTCGACAATGATGCCTCCCTTCAACTACATTTATACATCAGCTTTGATGCAGAGTCAGAGTTGTCTAGCTCACGCTCGAGGTTCGTCTCTCGATTGGGCGACATTCTCTGCAAGTCGAAGGTACTCTATCCAGCAACTAATTTGGATCTCTTCGCATGTACGCATCTCATGCTGGATTTGTAGTTCTGGTCAGAGCTCGGTCTCGAAGCTTCGTCCGCAGATTACAATGACGGCTCGCATGGACACTACCCTCCAACTTCGCACCTATCATTCAACTTACGCAAAAGCAATCGGACATCTACGATATTGAAGACGTCGAGAATACCGGCCGCGCTACAAAGCCCCGGCGATGCACCCCCTATCGATATTTGCCCTACCGTCTTCCTATCAACAGTCAAAGTGAGGCTAGAGTATACCCGTTCGAGCCTGCCCACTTGTCACCTACTACCATCTTGCCCGATCCCTGAAACAGCGCTTGCGCCCATTCGACATACCGGTTATAGCCATCAAAAGATTGCGTTCGTTCCCCAAAGTCCAGAGACCGCCATTCAATTTGAGCAGGCTCAGATATGCCCAGACCAGCCACAGTCTGTCGCAAAGGAATTGGAAGCCTTCCACTGCCTGATCCCAGAAACCGACCTACATCCGGCACCCAATTACTTGAGCTCCTCAAAAGAGCTTAGTACATTGATAAGCGCCGCGTTGGAAACCATGATCGTTGGAGAATCCTCTCACAAATGCCCTCCGAAGGTGCAGAGCTCTTCAAAACAAGCACTAGTACCTATATCCCGGATTGCGCCTTCGATTTTCAGTCCCGGATACCGCGAAGTGAGCTTCCCCGAACGCACCTACATTAAGTCAAATTTGACGGGCCAGCTAATGTCAATTTTTCCCTCACAGTCTGTGAACCAGAGAGTCCAGCTTATCCCGTCCATCGCTAAATCCCTCTCGTCAATTATAAAGCATAGTCGGGACCCAAGTCTCCAGAACAAAGCCATTATATTTCAGAGCTCAGGCGAGCCCGAGTCCGAGTCCGAAGTAAGTAGCAATGCGCGTGCTCGCACCGCCACCGTGAGCCTCAAAAGCAGGTTGAAGGCCTCGCTCTGGCGTGTCGCTGCCAACCAGGTTCGTACAATGCAGGGCACCCGAAAGCGCAGTCCCCTGATCCCGGCACCCACGATGAGGGCAGAGAGTGAGGATGAACAGTCTTTTGAAGATGAGATCCTGTTTGCTGCGACACCACCGGAAGAGAATTTATACTCTCAGGATACTGGAATAAGTGAGGACGGAGGATGCTCTGATCAGTACTTGGGGACTGAGGAAGAGGTTTCCGTCTCCGGCGAATCGGAAGCCAGTTCCTTTCTGGCGATGGATGAGGAGCGTAGCGACAGTTCAGAGGATTTATTCAGCTATCAAGATAGCGAAATGAACCAGGTAGCGCGACCATACAAGTCCATATTTATCCCAGGGGACTCGATGTGTCAGAGTTCGCAACAAAACTGGGAAATGTTATCCAATTGTCTCGACTATCCAGAAAGCCCTCTTCTCTTATCAGACCAGTCAGCTTTGTTTGAGGAGGAACTTTTCGAGGAAGCATGCGATAAAATGCTCTGTGAATAAGACATATGCATGGTATATTTAATGCTCAAAATACCTATATAACGAGAATTAGTATTATGCACTAAACGATCTCAAGAACTCTGGCGATTGGAAATTGTCAGAACATGATAACGCGGCGATACCCCAGTAATGATGACCCGAGACGACCAGAGTCTCACATCGGACTGCAGTAAAGATCTAGAGATACATGGTTATAACACAAAAGTCTTAAATGAGCAAGAATATGACATTAATGGACCGTCCATCAGGGTCCTTCGCTGTCTAATAAGAGGAATCAAGAAGAGTACACCAACAAAGATAAGAACACAAGTGCGTCAAATCTCCAGCATAGCTTCCAATTCCAACGCGCCGTGTCTTTGTCGGTAAAAAGATTAGGAGAAAGTGGGTTAGAAAGTCGAAGATAAATAGCAATTATTAACGTTGCGCCGGCTCAATGCTCTGCTCTTGGAACTTGAAACAATAGTTTCGTAATTCTTGAAAAATTCGCTCATCGGAAGAAATAATCAGGCCGTCATGAAGTCATCATTTTGCAGCGGGTGGCTGTCGCTTAAGACACCTTCACTCCGTGAGGCGCAGGGATTAGATGTCTTTGGGGCTTTTCTTTGCGCTCTTTTTGCTCCGAAGGTTTGGTCGGTTGCCACAAAGCCGCGCCGGTGGTTCGAGTTAAGGAACGGAGCCCAGATGCATCGAATGCTTCGATGAACTTCTCATCTAACGCTCTAGACTTGGGCCATGAGTAGCTTAGGTATTCGCCGAGAACATCACGTAGTTCCCACCCCTGAAGCTTTCGGAAACAGCCCACCACACAGCCAGTACGGTGCTGGGTGAACGGTCAGCTCACAGAGGCATACAGATGTGGTAGTAGCTGGAGACTAACCTTGCCCTTATTGCAGTGGACAAGGACAGGATGATTCGCCTTGTTGAGAAGGATCTCGAGAATGCCAATCATGATGTGGTCGGGAGTCTTGATGGCAGGATCTTTGTTTGCCGGGATGGGGATGCGAAAATGTGCGATCCCATTCTCCTCGAGAAAAGTCGTATGACTTGCGGTGTACGGCTCATCCACCAGAGTGCTGTGTTGTTAGGATATTGAACCTCCAAACCACGAGGACCAAGCCACGTACACAATAGTTTTTAACCCCAAATGCCTGAGAGCTGGGAGGTTCCAAGGATGAGGGAACGCGCTGCGATAGATGCCCTTGACAACCTCTCCAAAGTTGGAAGGCAGCTCTGAATGCAGAAGCTCGGGTTCCATCGACGAGGTAACACGATAGGTTTGTCTCTCTACCGCAGAGCAGATGTATTAGTGCACTCGTGTTGTTATTTACAAGAAAGAATGTTTTCTCTTCTTCTTTTGTCCCTGGATCGTTCTTTTGGGGGCGGGGAGGGCAGAATCAGGAGACTCACCATTCTGCACACCAGGCGAGCCATTAGCAGTGCTCTCCGTCAACGGGAGAGGCCTTGTCGCATTGGCCATCATACAAACGGAAGAACTTGAGCCTGACATCTTCGAAAACGCTTTAATAGTCTCCATCCAGAAGTTGATCAAGCTTCGTGGACAGTCTCGGGACGCGGTATCTCAGAATAGGGAACGCGAAAACCGTACGCGACAGAGCTCCAAACACAACGTGGCTTGATCAGAACCAAGTTGATTTTTTATCTGGAAATTCAACAGGTCCTCGACGGAAGCGAATAGACGGAGTCTAGGGAACCTGAGAAAGACTTGAGAAGTCTAACTCGCGAGGTTCAGATAGACACGAGAACTTGAGGGACCGACATTGTGAACAATGGGGATGGAATTGTTAGAACCGACAAGAAGACGCGTAACAAAGCGTGCAGCTCAACCTCCAGGCAGATGCCAGAGGCAGCAATCAGAGGGAGAAAGAAAGGTGAAGGGGCGAAGAGAGGGAAAAGGGGAGTGCAGTTGCAGATATGGGCGGTGAGCTGATGAAAAAGAAGGAAACTGGGGAGCTGCGCTCAGAGGCGTCTGCCGGCTGCAAACTCAAGGCAGCAGATCACAAGCCGGAAAAGTTCAAGACTGCAAGATGAAGGCGATCTAGAATCCAAGACACAAAAATGATTTGCGAGGGTTTATTGGTGGGGAGAAGCTCTATAGCTATCCACTTTGAATGCCAGAACGTGCTTTCCTCCACAAAGGAAAGGGGCCAGTTTACCACGTATACTCCGGAGGCGAGTTTGACTCATATGTTCTCGTCAGACACTGGTCAATTTGTGGTCATCGAGGCCTGGAAAAAGCCATGGTTTGACGGAGGTTCAGCCACTGGAAATGACCCAGGGTTCGGTTGAGTCAAAGGGAAGGGGCAAGCATTGATTAAACCCATTATCTCCGTGGGGCCAAAAAAAAAAATAAAAATAAAAAAAATAAAAGACTGGATGTCTTGATCAATTCTAAGGCAGAATTTATGTGTATATGGAAGATGACAAGAAAAGGAAGCAAGGGGGTGATGTCTACGCTCTCAGCAAAAAAGAAAGTCAAATCAAAAGGGTGTCAGGGCTCAGAGAAGAGTATACGCAGAACTTTGATCTACGACGCTTCTTCCCCAAGTCCGAACATTCTAATAGAGTTGTTCCATGCACTAAAGAAGATTAATCAGTTCAAGGCTTGACTCCGACAGGGTGGAAAGGCACTTACGCTTCGCAAACCTCCTCCACGGTGATGTCCTTAACTTTGGCGATGACATGGGCGACATGAGAAATTGCCACAGGCTCGTTACGACCCTTAACCATGCATCCCTTCTGCCATCTCTCTTTCTTGACGGCCTTCGGGAGGGCAGTTGCCCCTTCCAAGTATTTGGCCGATGCATGGGAAGGTCGGATTTCGCACTGCGTCCCAAGTCCAGTTAGCAACCCGATCTCGTCTGTAGGCCCGGTATCAGAGATTCCACAAACCCAAGGTCCATCTGTCTCGATCTGAATTCGGTCAAGCGGAATAGCCTTGACCACTTCTAGGTTTTCCTCGGTCTTCAAACTGCACCCGTTGACCCCGATGTCGAGTCCAATAGCCACCATTCGATTCATCTCTTCCAAGGTGCCTGTAAAGCTGTGAACTAGGCCTCGTTTGGGGAGCTTCGCTAGTCGAGGTGCGAGTAGTTGCTCGAAATCCTCACTGGCTGCTCGCGAATGGAGGAACAGAGGAAGCTGGATCTCGACCGCCAGATCTAACTGGGCTGCGAAGTATTTGAGTTGAGGTTCTTTGGGGCTGAGAAACAAGCGATCGTAATCAAGACCTATCTCCCCAAAGGCAACGGCGTGTCCGGCCTGTTTTGACTCCAGCGCGATGGTCTTCACCTCTTCCAGCATTTTCGAGGCGCCCTCAGGATATTCATCGAATAGCTTTGCTTGGCACGGATGTACTCCAACAGTCGCATAACAGAAGCCCGCTGGAGAATTGCATGTCAGTCCACCGGGCGTAGAAAATAAGATTCACCAAGGCGGTGCACATACGGTAGGCCTGGGCAAGTTCAACGGCACGCCGGGACTCCTCCAGGTCCGAGCCGGTGACCATAAACTTTTCGCAGCCCCCATCCCGCGCCCGCTGGATGATGTCGTCTAGGTCATTGTCATGGACTTGTCTTCCATGATACTCGCCTCTGAAAACCGGGTCACTGAGGTTGATTCCAATCTAGAGGTTAGGGGTGATCCCCGTTAGTTACGAGAACGAGGGCAGGTTCATATTAATTGACGAATAAACCCACATCGACGTATCTCAAAGGTTTACTCGAGTCTCCCATTTTGACTGGTGAGGCGTTTCGGGGGAACGCTGTAGAGAAACGGAGGCGGGGTTGAGCAATCAAGAAAGACTGATGTGTGACAAAGAGACTACTGCAGGATACTGTGTCTAAAGTGAGCTCGAGACCACCCGTTCATCGCCATCGTTTGATGGAGTCCAGAATGAAGCCAGTTCTCCAGTCGAAACTGGCAGGTGCGGAACATACCTGGTCTGGAAAGAGACCGGCGTTGATGCAACCGAGCCGTGCGTCTTACGCAGCCTAAGAGGGGCGTTTTACTATTCCCGAGGGGTCTCACAAGATTGCCTACGCCAAAAGCCACGTGCATTGAAGAGCGTTAGCGTGCTGCCCTTGTTTGCGGATGCGACTCCCTTGAAGCGAGATGTTCTCAAAGCAAAAATCTTGGGATCCCAGCCACGCCCAGCTGCGCCTCGGTGGCTGGTGGTGTTACATAAGCCGTCGGTCGGCAGTCCGAAAAGGCATCGGCGATGGTCCGACTTGCAGGCACCCAGGCACTCAGGCAGACAGGCACCCGGGGCTGGTCGGCGTCTTTTACCCCGGAACGCAGGCCGGAGTGGACCCTCTCCACACTCCTCGTCCTTGATAATGCGGAGGACCTGCTTTCTCGTCGACTTGGGTTTCCATAATTCCCTTCCTCGCTGTCAATTACCTCCGTTTGGGTCGCACTCCTTATTGAGACCTTAACCTGGCCAGAATCTGATCTATCTTTTCGAAAGGTCGACAAACAGGATATTGGCTCGGGGAGGTTCCGTTCACCGTTTACCATGACAGACAGCAAATTGGTGTCGACCAAGCAGGTCGCGGAGCACAATACTCCCGAACAATGCTGGATAGTGGTCGACAACCAGGTATGGGACGTGACTGACTTCCTAGACGACCACCCGGGGGGCTCTAACAGTAAGATTGACCCTATCTGCCCAATCCAAGTGTGCGAGCGCTGATCTTCTACGACTCCCCGATCTAGTTATTCTCAAATACGCTGGCCGCGATGCCACCAAGGCCTACTCAGAAGTCCACACACCCGGCGTTCTCAAGTCTAATCTACCTCCGCAAAAGTTCATGGGCGTACTGGACGAGTCAACAATCGACGACGACTGGGCGAAGGGGCCTCCAGCGGAGAATCCGCAAGTGGTCCTAGAGAATGAAAAGCCACCGCTTCACACGCTGATCAACTCGTACGACTTTGAACTGGTGGCTGCCAAAACGGCCAGTAAAAAAGCGTGGGCCTTCTATTCCAGCGCGGCGACGGATCTTCTCACGCGCGACGCAAACAAGTCCTGCTTCGACCGGATATGGTTCCGCCCACGGGTGCTGCGCAACGTGCGCTCGGTGGAGCCCAAGACGACGATGCTAGGTGTGGATTGCAGTCTGCCGCTGTTCGTGAGCCCGGCGGCAATGGCCAAGCTCATTCACCCCGAGGGAGAACGGGCCATTGCCAGGGCTTGCGAGAGCAAAGGGATTATGCAGGGGGTATGTTTCATGACCTTTCACAGCCCGACAAGTATCATCCGTCTAAATCATGCAACGTACAGGTCTCCAACAACTCTTCGTACACGGTGGACGATTTGAGAGAGGCCGCCCCGTCGGCCAGTTTCTTCTTCCAACTCTATGTCAACCGGGACCGCGCCAAGTCGGCGGCACTTCTTCGGCAATGCTCCGCAAACCCAAACATCAAAGCCATCTTCGTGACCGTCGATGCCGCGTCGCCGGGAAAACGGGAGGCCGACGAGCGCGTCAAGGCGGATGAGACCTTGTCGGTCCCCATGGCTCCGTCCAAGGCGAAGAACGATAAGAAAGGCGGCGGTCTGGGACGGGTAATGGCCGGATTCATCGACCCCGGGCTAACATGGGAGGATTTGGCTTGGGTACGAGAGCATACACATCTCCCCGTCTGCCTCAAGGGCGTGATGTCTGCTGATGACGCCATCCTGGCGATGGAGGCGGGGCTGGATGGCCTGCTACTGAGCAACCACGGCGGGCGCAACCTCGACACGAGCCCGCCATCGATCATTACCCTGCTGGAACTGCAGAGGCGCTGTCCGGAGATTTTCGACCGCATGGAGATCTACGTGGACAGTGGGATCCGGCGCGGCACGGATGTTCTGAAGGCCATCTGCCTCGGGGCCACGGCGGTGGGCATGGGCCGAAGCATGCTCTTTGCTACCAACTACGGCCAAGAGGGGGTGGAGCATCTGATAGATAGTAAGTGACGAGGAGCCTTTTCCCTGTCGTCGAGGTGGACAGCTGTTGAGAGAACTCACACCGCACAGTTATCAAGGACGAATTAGAAACGGCCATGCGCAATACCGGAATTACCTCGCTCGACGAAGCGAGCCCCGACCTGGTGCATACCGGGGATGTCGACCACCTGGTGCCTCGTGCCCGGCTACATCCATACGCGCGCAAGGTCGCCAAGGGACGTCGACCGGCATCCCATCCATCCAATCCCAAGCTGTAGACAGGCTCTTGCAGCTCTATCGCCGAAGTCCCGATTGATGAATCTACAGCGGATTTGACGTCAACCACAGTCACATGGATACATATATACTAGATATAGATATATCACCGACGAACAGGATGAATAGGAAGAGCGAGTGGACTAATGCAATGCTAGTAGGCTGCATGGCCTTTGAATGCCGAAGCTGAGCCATGTGCTGTTTGCGTTTTCTCTGGCACTTGATAAGACTTTTTTTTCTGCGTGTCGCATCCTGCAGCCCTGCCTGAAACCCAGCCGAAGTTCGCGAGGGAAATCGAATCATCAAGCTGGGATCATGTCCAGGCAGAAAGGGGAACGGGAGCAATCCAGGGGTCCCCCGATCGGGACTAGCGCCGCGCAATAAATAGGAGCGACTCCGCAAGGATCGCCCTCACGTGCGCCACCCTCCCCACTCACCGCCTCTCCGGGCTCAACTGTTGAGGGCGCAAAGTCAGGCAATCAATCAGCGCCATGCCAATGATAATCCGATAGTGCTCGATTAGTTATTCTGATTTCTGACACGGGAGACTTAGCCTCCTGGTCAATCCGGAAACCCCGGTCGCCTCGACCCGTGGACGGCGTTTCGTTCCCCGCGGTCCTTTTTCGAATCATTGCGTCACTACTGGTTACTTTCCGTCCTGTCCGGGGGTGACGGAGCGAAAGTGAACGGAGATTTACCTTTTTTCCCCGGCGGCCATGGTGTAGGTAGGATCTCGTCGGTGCAGGAGACCCGTCAGCATCCATCTGCCAACCCTCTTTTCCTCTTTCGCTCACCCGAGATCGACGTCTGTATGGACGCATACCCGTACTGCAGTATCATGCGTCCTCAAAGACGCAGTCTTCGGCGTTTCGACCGAACACTCCACGTCATGACCGGTATCGATTACACATCGACTAGGACAGGTCTCATCGAGCTGAACCTAAACCCACCCGCTCGTTTGAGCTGGCATCGCCCTTCCAAGGCTGCATTATTCTGTCGCGGAGGGGGTCGATCGGTCGTTTGCTCGTTAGCTTCGGGCCTAGAGATATCGAATGATCGATAGTCCCCATCGGTCACCATGCGCGGGGCGGCCTGAAAGTTTGGTCCATCCTCCGTAGTAAATCGTAAATGGTACAGACAACCGATCAACCATCAAACATGGGGAAAGGACTATCCTTTCCGAAGACGAGGAACCAAAACAGAAGGATCGTCTATCATGGCTCCTATCACGATGTGAGATGGCCCATTTTTCCGACGGGTGGTACGGTTACAGAACGCCGAGTCCGCCAGGGATCCCCAAGAACAGAATGCCAAAAGGACCGGGATGAAATGGCAGCATGAAGCGGAGAGAAGGAGGGGAGAAACAAGGCTGACTGGCCAATGCGACAGAGATCATCAACTGACCTTTCCTTCGGTGTAGACGAGGAGTCATGGAAATGTCCGCATTGCCTGATCGATTGGCCGGTTGGACCTTGGTGGCGCCGGGAGATATGCAAGCTTGATGGAGGGTGATGGACAGGCAAGACTGGCAACTGGCAGCCAGGGGCACGAAGGGAACGGTATTGCCGTATTGCCGTATTGATGGTATTATTGGACGGATGCCTGACGATGCAGGCCACCCTCCCGACGGCCAGACTTGGGCCGCCCCACCGCCCGCAGGTGGAGCCCAGTACCGGCTCTACTGTGTAGATTGAATACCTTCTCACCTTACATGCCCGTTTGATGCTCAACCCCCCCAACCTTTTGGCGCTCCTGCGTGCTTTAAGTTGAGCTCTCCCGTCCTCCTCTCCTCTGCTTCTTCTTCTTCTTCTTTTCTTCCATTCATCCCCGTTCCCCTGGTCCCTGTACTCCCCTGGATACCTCCGTCACCCAAGCTTTGTCCTACCTGACAAGACTCGGTACGACCTCAACTATACATTCCTGAGCTCAACCAATTGCCTATCTATTTATCCTCGGTCATCTCGTTCCCGTTTTTCAATCCATCTCCAATCCATCTTCTGTCACTCCAGTTTCAATCTTCCCACATTCACATCATGGCTGCTCCTCGATCATCGTCATTGCGTGCTTTGCGCCTGCTGTCTCAGCAGCACACTGCCACTCCCAGCATCCGCCGAGGGTTACACATCACCGGCGCCAACTCGGCCCAGCCGGCCAATGTCTCGGACAAGAGCACTTTGTATGCTGCTCGCAGTCTCCCCGATCTCAAGAGCGAGTGCCAGAAACGGTCCTTGAGAGCCAACGGCAGCCATCCCGAGGTATGTTGAAGCACATCTATCTACTTCTACTCCTACTCGCGTGGTCGCATCTGCTAACCAGTGACTTCGCTTCATCCAGCTCGTCGAACGTCTTGCCAACCATGACTTCCTTCAGTCGCGGGCCTTCAGCATCGCCATGCGGAGAATTAACGGCAGCTCCACTTCCGAGTAAGTTTCCCATCTACCCGTCGGTGATCATCATCGACCTCCTTCCTTCCCTCGGGGAAACGGCAGAAAGACTGACACCATTCCCCTCCTCATTTTCAGGAAAGCCTCGGGTCGTCAGTTTAACACGTCTCGGGCCCAGAAGGCCGTAAATGACTCATCGACCGTGGACTTTGCCTACCTGCCGTCCCTGTCGGACATCGACCCCCCGGCACCTCGCGCTGATCTGCGCATCCCGGTCCTTCCCGACGCCTACAACCACCACGAGACTGGCACCCAGGCCACTAGCTCGCCGATGAAGCCCCAGGTCTACACGGTTTCCGGGGAGGGGGCCGACGTCTCCGTCAGTCCGATGACGGAGGTCGTGGACAACCACTCGGTGGATATCGACCCGTTCTCCCTGACGGAGGCGGTTGGCAAGTCGCGCTTCGAGGCGCAGCTGCAACAACAGAAGGCGGCGTCCGGTGAGCCCGGCGTCGTCCGCGAACTGTGGACGGGGATGTGGGAGGATATCTTCCGTCCCAGTCAGTCGAGTCATCAAACTAAACAGTGATTCGAGCTGGTCTTGTTGATTTCCATTAGCGATATAGTATTACTTCAATGTCCGGGGTGACTTGGTTTCATAATTTTACTCTACGGAGCTATATGTCCGGGAACATATTTGGCATCTACAATTGATGATTTGAGTTGTTTCAAGGGTTTGAACTGTTAGTCTGTACACACGGTAACCGGTAAACAAAATACCCTCAGTAGTTCCTCGTAGTTTCAACCTAGGCAAAAGCCTCCCGAGATCGAACGACTTCCGGCCTCCGATCCCTTCCGACGCGACCTCCATGTGAAACTGTCTTCCCATGTTGATCGGAGAGGGACTTTTGTTCCTGCAAGATGCATCGATGACTTGCAATGCGATCTCCATCTTTCATCCGCCTCCGATATCGTTCCTGCCTCGTCGGATCCCGTGATTCGGGGCGCAAGGGATGGTTCGTAACGGTGGCGGACCGCAACTCAGGAATTAATTCTCCGAGCTGAAGAGAATATGTAATAATTATGCATGCACCTGGTCATATTGCAGCGGACTTCTATATTTATCATTTACCTCACCTTCGGCCTTGAGGGAGCTACGCCGTATCATCAGGCCCGAGGGAAAGTGGGAAGCGCGGTAGTATTATGTATAGATCCCCACTGTCCCGTGACATCATCACCTTCAAGTCCAGGGCCTCGCACGACTCGGTCTCAGTCTCGGTCGCGACCTCTCGTGCTTGATAAAACCGCATGACCCGACACGGAAGGCGACTCGTCCGAGTAACGACGGAGTGGTCAAGGCTGAGGCGACGGATGCGTTCGTCGAAGCTTAGTTGATCGAATCTCCACACGACCCTAAATCGCCTCTCGGACGAGAGATGTCAACGTGAGGTCATTATGGAGCTGGTATAAAGTATCCCGCGATATCGCCTTCGTTTTATTTCGTTTTGATTGCAATTGATTCTACCCGTGCAATTGGTCTATTCTTCCTCCCATTGAAAAAGGAAAGAATAGAGAGATTGAACATGAGTGACCCTACCAACCCGAGCATCCAGCAGCGAACCACGCCGCAATGGGGTCTCTATCAGCGAGAGAACTTTTGGAGAGTCAACGACGGCCAGACAGTGCCGTTTAACACCGGTACGCCTTCATCCTCTTGTCCCTCAAGCATTGCAACGTGTTGAGATTATATACTTCCAACCACACTTGTCTGACTGACGATGATAGACCCCAAAAAGCTTGAAGAACTGGCCCACGAGAAGCTCAGTCAAGGCGGTTGGTTCTACGCATCCTCGAATGCCGGCATGTCGCAGACGCACCAGGCGAATCGGCAGGCGTTCTACCGGCACCGGCTGGTCCCGCGGCAGCTGGTCGACACCAACCGGCGCGACACGACGACGGAGATCTTCGGCCACCGCGTGTCGGCGCCCATCGGCTTCGCGCCCATCGGCATCAACCAGATCTACCACCCGGCCGCCGAGGCCGCCGTAGCGCGCGTCGCCGGCGAGCTGAACCTGCCCTACTGCCTGTCCACGGCCGGGTCGACGCCCATCGAGACGGTGGGCGCCGCCAACGGCCCCGGCAACCCGCGCTTCTACCAGTTGTACATGCCGCACGACGACGAGCTGACGCTGTCGCTGCTGACGCGCGCCCGGGATGCCGGCTTCGACGCGCTGCTGCTGACCACCGACACCTGGCAATTAGGGTGGCGCCACGACGACGTCGCCCACTCCAATTACGCCTTCTACCGCGGCCGCGGGGCCGACCTGGGCCTGTCGGACCCGGTGTTCCGGCGGCGATGTCAGGACGACGGCATCGATCCGGACCGCGACGTGGTGGCCGCGTCGACCAAGTGGATCGATTCCATCTGGCACGGGCGCGCGTGGTCGTGGGAGAAGATCCCCTGGCTGCAGGAGCAGTGGCGGCGCATCTCGGGCGGGCGACCGTTCGCCATCAAGGGCATCCAGAGCGTGGCGGACGCGCGCAAGTGCGTGGAGTACGGCGTCGACGGCATCGTGGTGAGCAACCACGCGGGCCGACAGGTGGACGGCGCGGTGGCCAGTCTGGACGCCCTGGAGTCCATCGTCGACGCCGTCGGAGATCGCATCTACGTGATGTTCGACTCCGGGGTACGCGGCGCCAGCGACGTGGCCAAGGCCTTGGCGCTGGGGGCGCGGTTCGTCTTCGTGGGGAGGCTGTGGATCTGGGGGCTGAGTATCATGGGCGAGGAGGGCGTGCGCCATGTGATGAAGTCGTTGCTGGCGGATTTCGATATTCTGATGGGGGTGGCCGGGTTCAATTCGGTGCAGGAATTCGATCGGTCCATTCTAGGTAAGTCTTTTTCGGGGGCTCAATGATGGGCGGATGAAACTGATGATATTCAACAGAATCGTATCCGAAGATGTATTCGTTGATTCCGGATAAGGTGCTGTAATGGAGTATATAGACGGGGGGTGGCAAAAGTATATAAGGTTTCCAAGATCTAGAGATGTCTCTGGTGAGAAATGTGTATAAAATGTGATATGAATATGTATATGAATGCGAATGTGAACGATGGATATCAGGGCAAGACCATGTATGAACAGGCTGCGGTCCCACCCGTCCCACCGACAAGTGAATTAAAGATAGAAGAATCGAGGTCCAACCGTCTAGACCATCCCCAGTCCAACCACGCACAACAGCGTGGCCACCAACCAGGAAACCCTGGGCACGATGTTCGCCGCGCCGCCAGACGCGTCCGTCTCGCTGGCCGAGCTTCCGGTCGAGGTGGCGGTCGAGGTAGCCGACGAGTCGTCCGAGTCCGAGTCCGACTTGGAGTTGGAGTTGGAATTGGAATCCGAGTTCGAGTCCGAGTTGTCCTCACCATCGTCACCATCGTCGTCTCCGTTCGAATCCTTATCCCCGGGGTACGCTCGCTTCGCCAACCCAATTCGGTTCTGATCGTAATCAAACACCGTATACACATTCTTCAGGAACACATCCCCCACCAGCCAGACGTCGTCGCCGAACATGGCGTGCCCGATAATCGTCGAGACGCAGCCGGACCCGGACTTCGACCCCACATAGTCTTTGGGCGAGATGGTGTAGTTGACGCCGGAGAAGCTGAACTGGATCTCGGCGGAGGTGTTGCAGGGGATGATGTGGTTTCGCTCGCCCTGAGGGGTGGCACCGGGGATCTTGCCGTTCAGCACCTTGGCGTCGTCGGGCGGGATCAGCATGTAGGAGGTGCCGGTGTCGAGGAAAGCCTTCCTCCCGGAGAAGCTGCAGGCGGCGCCGTCGACGGTGGCGTCGTCGAGCGGAATGCTCCAGTGGTCCTTGGACCCTACGGTGTCGGTGTAGCTGATGTCGCCCGTGAACTTGGAATCGTCGACACCTCCGAAGGTGACGGAGCCGTCCTGGACCTTGGCGGAGCCGCGCGAGAGACTGAAGCCGATGACGTTGGACGACAACAGCTTCTGCTTGGCTACGGCGTCCATAAACGAGTCGTGGCCAAAGACGCCCTTGCTGGCGCGACCCAGGCCCAGGATGCCATCCATGGGGTAGGACTGAAGCTCGTCGGAGGCCTCGGAGGCCAGACCGAAGGTCATGTCAACGGAGATGTTGGCGATGGAGAGAGAGTCGGAACCCAGCAGGCCGCTGACGGTGCCGGTGCCGTAGCCGACCTTCCACTTGTCGCCAGACATCTGCAGGCTGGCGGAGGCGGCCTCGCCAAAGGTGTTGTGCACCTGACAGGTCTTGGAGGAGCAGTCAGAGGCGTACAGCCAGGTGTTGGCGCCGCCGGTGTCCAGCATCATCCAGAGGGATTGGTTCTTGGAGCCGACCTGGACGGCGGAGACATAGGACAGGTCGTTGCCGTCCTGGTTGAAGGGCACGGTGTTGGGCTCGGACGAATTGTCGGAGCGCACGATCTTGTAGCGGTTGTTGCGACGTTCGAGGACGGGGAATCGACGCAGTTCGAAGGTCTTGGAGGTGGCCGGCAGCTTCTCGCCGGCGGACGACTCGACGTCATCTTGGAGACCGTCGGTGAGGGACCAGGGGACGAAGCGGCGTTCGGGCGAGTTGGACGACGAGTCGGCGGAGAGTTCCAGCTCAATTGTATATGGAACGAAGGCGTTGACGCTGGCGGACAGATAGGGGATGGCGGCAAGGAGCCATGGTAGATGCATGGTTGTTTGTCCACGCCAGGAATCTATGAGTTGACGGGGAGCATGGAGCGATCGAATTAGGGGGTATGGAAGGATTAATTAAGAAAAAGAGAGAGAATCTAGTCAGGATAGCAATAGAGATGGACGGAGAATTCTATGAACTACTGGAACGTGCAACTGGGAGGATATAAATAGAATGGAAGAAAATGAAACGAGCTGAATCCAGGAGAAATGAAAAGCAAGCGCTAAGGCAGACAACAAAGAACCAGCAACGGGGGCCTGAGAAGTGTAGAGAAGAAAGAAAGAAAGAGGGAGAGAAGTCATCAGACGATGGGAGCGTAGAAAGAAAAGAGACGAGATGATGGGAGTACCTGCGACCTGCGCCGTCAACGCGGAGACTAGGTGCTACCAAGTACTGGGTACATGCTCCCTACCGGTTCTTGCCCCTCGAACTGCAGATCGGCGGTGATTGGCCAGGCTGTGGGTCTTGGCGGAGTCTAGAGTTCCTCAGGCCTTCGTCTCTCTCGCCTCTTCTCTCTTTTCTCTCCCCTGAATTCTCTCGGTTCTCCTGTTTCCTCGACTCTCTCTACCTTATCACCGGTGGACAGACAGCCATCGTGACTAGTCCCTCTCCTCGAAACATCCCAAGAGTCCTGCCACGTCCGCTGAAATGCTCAACTGCCCCCAACGGCGCCTAGGATGACGGTTACATCGCCCGTTGCCGCCCAGTCTCTTGGGATCGTCATCCACCGCGAAACTGGATCTGTCATCGACACGTCCATGGCCACTTTCCTCACTCCTGACCCACCCGGGCTTTCATCCTTCAGCTTTCCACTTTCAGCCGGAGACACCTGATCTGTCCATGTCGATTGTCGACGGATACATCCCCGAACGTACAGCGGCAATCTTCGCCGCACTGCGCCTCGATCAACTGGCAGCGGACAGCGGACAGGAAGAATGCTCCCTCATGCATCCTGTCGGCCAAGAATTGTCAGCCCCAAAGTTGGAAGTGGATCCCAGATCAAGGTCACGTAGATTGCTCAATATTGAGACTACTGCGCAGGAGCGACCGCAGGGAAGAATCCCATCTTCCGCACGACTCATGCTTGGCATGGAAAGGCAGCCTTTCACGACTCTTATCTCGGATGAAGATACGGATAGTGAACTACTCCGTAGAATTAAGCAAGTCCTTAAGACTGCTAAACGCTTTGGCGTCACCCGAGATGCTCCGGCGACCTCGGGAACGCCGCCCGACCCGCCCGCCGCGTAGACTCTCATCCCCGTCAATCACTGCTCTCGATCTCTCATCATCCCTCCTGCATCCTGCATAACTCCCCGCCTCAGATCGGCATCCAGCATCACCCCGTAATACTACGTGAATCGTCATGCTGGGCCCAACTACCCGGCGCTCCGCCGTCACGCCCGCCAAATGCCTGGCCGCCGCCCGCAATGTCACCGTCCGGAGAACGCCGGGCGCATCCTGGATCGCATCCAAGGACTTTCACTCCAGTCCGGCCAAGGCGGCCTTCCGACCAACGTGGATGCCCATGCGCGTGAAAACCCCCTGGATCGAGGCCCTGACGAAGAGTCGCGAGAATGCCCAGTCCGGCCAGGCCTCGTCCACGCCGCTCGCCAAGCCGGATTTGACGCCCAAGAAAATGTCCGATAGCTTCTACAGCGCGGTAGGGATGCTCCATGCCTTGGATCGGGATGCCGTGAGCTAATCGGTCTCCCGGCTTAGATTCTGCCATTGGCCCAGGACAAATGGCTGCTGGATAGCTACCTCAATGCCTCCGGGCATATCAGGTATGTGCGATAGATCTCCCGCTGCCGAGCGTCGAGACTGATCCAGCTTTTGCAGACTAGGGTCGTTGTTGATGGATCTGGATGCTCTGGCCGGCGTCATCGCCTACAGGCACACCGGCGACTCGGTGACGACCGTGACCGCCGCCGTGGACCGCATCACCATCGAGCATCCTCTGATGGAGATCTGCGATCTCGAACTGAGCGGCCAGGTCACCTATGCGACGGGCCGGTCGAGTATGGAGGTCTCGCTGCAGGTGGCCAAGGTGCCTGCGCAGGGCCAGCAAGCGAAGCCAGAGGACGTGCTCATCACTTGCGCCTTCACGATGGTATCACTTGACCCGGCAACTAAGACGTAAGGACCCTTCCGCCCCTACGCTGTTTGAGGTCTCGGATAACTCTGCTTACACGTCGTTCAGCCCCGTATCCGTTGCTCCGCTTGTGATTGAAAGCGCCGAGGAGCGCCTTCTCTTCAAGCAGGGCGAGGAGAACTACCAGGCCAAGAAATCCCTGCGAACAAAGAGCTTGCTCCAGAAGGCCCCCGGAGACGAGGAGAGCGACCTCATCCACTCCATGTGGACCAAGGAGATGTCATATTTGAGTACGTATCCTAACCCTTAGAATGTTGATCGAGAATAGCATACTGAAGAATAACCCACAGACCCCGAATCCCCCGCCCAAAGGCCCTCCAACATGATCTTCATGAGCGACAGCGTCTTGAAATCCGCCATGATCATGCAGCCGCAGGACCGCAACCGCCACAACTTCATGATCTTCGGCGGCTTCCTGCTCAAACAGACCTTCGAGCTGGCCTTCTGCTGCGCCGCCTCCTTCTCCCACGCCCGTCCCAACTTCATCTCGCTCGACCCCAGCACCTTCGAGAACCCCGTCCCCGTCGGCAGCGTGCTGTACCTGCGCGCCACCATCGCCTACACGGAACCCCTCGAGCGCGACGGCAGCAAGTTCACCAAGGTGCAGGTGCGCGTGGACTCGAAGGTGCGCGACGTCGAGCACGGCACGAAGAAGTCGACCGGTCAGTTCAACTACACTTTCCTGGTGGAGAAGGACATCCAAGTCATGCCCAAGAGCTACGGCGAGTTCATGCTTTGGACGGACGCCCGTCGACGTGCGCAGAACGCCGCAGCGATGACGCACGGATCCAAAGAACCGAGCGCTCTTCGGAGCATCAAGGACAGCGTGACGGAGTAAGCTGGCCGGGAGGTTTAATATCGATCGTTTTCTTCTGTTGTTTCTTTATACCATAAATTCCACCGTACATAGACTTGTTTTACCACCAACAACCACAACGCATACATCTTTCCCTGGTTATACTCTAGTATCTCCAGATCAATAGAAATCCCTTCCAGAGTAGTATGCAGTCACATGACACCATGGGTCCGATCTCCCCACATCATCGATAAACATCGTTATCGTCCATCCTCAACATCCCACTTGACCCCTCCAGTCCAATCCCTCATCAATTCCCATCCCCATCTCTCCGATCTTACCACTCCTCACATGCATCCATAAACTGCCCTATAGAATGTCCCTCCAGAATATCTGGCATCTCCGCCGGGTGGCCGACACCGCCGCCCGGGCCTGCTACATCTGCTACAAACCGTCCAGTAGCGTGCTGATCACCCCGGACAATAAAGATTTCTTCTACGTCTGCCCCGTGCATCTGAAAGATCGCAACTTCTGCTCGGCGATCGTGGACGTGGAGGAGCAGGAGGTGAAGCGCAAGAAGGAGGCGATGGACGCGGAGATCGAGAAGGTCAAGAGGGAATACGAGGAAAAACAGCGGCGGAAGAAGGAGAAGTCAAAAGAGAAAGAGAAGGAGAAGGCCGCTGACAAGGAAGAGGACAAGAAAAAAGATGATCAGAAGTCGGCCTCCGAGGAGAAAGATACCAAGGCTGATGAGAAGGAGAGAGATGATAAGGTATGTTTATAGTTTTGGCCCTTTCCTCCACCTACTTCTCTACCTTCTTTACTCTATTTACTTTCTTTGGTTTATGCAACCCCGACTGGCTAGCTGACTGAACCAAGATCGCATCCATCCAAAAGTCCGAAAGCACGCCCTCGGCCGATGACTCGCCTCGAATCTTCGCCTTGCACAAGTATGTTTCCCAATTTAACCGGGTCATAGCCCTATCTTTTCACGCCCTAACCTGGGCTGATCTGACCTGAATGGTTCCACTAACGTCTCACCGAGTTAAGGAACTTCTACGCCATGCGCCTCGAACGTCTGCGTAATGCCGAAGCCGCCAAGCGCAACCGGCAAAGAATGCAGGACCCGTCTTTTTTCCCGTCTGTTCCGTCTGGGGGGATTTGATGATGACTGCATCTTTTCGTTGACGCTGTGGTTGCCCCGGTGCCCCCCTCTTCTCATCATGGATCTTTGCTTACTTACTTAACTTGACCTGGCTTGGTCTGGATTGGATCATGTCGTCCTTTTGTGATCCTGTACACTGCACATGACATGACAGGACCTCTGTCGACAAATCACCACGCCGAAGCTACATCTCAATGGGGAAATCCCAGCGGCCATGACATGGTTGATTTCTTACTTGCAAGCTGTCAGGCCTCCCACTCTACAATCCATCCCGAATAAAGTAAATTATCATGCCGATCTCAAGCTGACAAGCAAATAGAAGATAGAAAGAGGACCAGGGGCTCGAGAAGTCTAACGGGCCTGGTCTCGACGCCGCGCAGTTGGTTCAATTGTCTCTCTGTCTCATAGGCAGGCACTGTGTTATCTGCAAATGCCTAGATTAGGCAATTGACGGGCTTCTGAGAGTTCCAATGTCTGACGAGACGTTCGGTCAGACTGACGATTCTCAATGGAATTGCCAATTTCCATATGCAACCAGAATACGACATCCACATTCAATTCTCAAGCACAATCGGCAAAATTTAGAAATATAAGCACTTCAGTCTTGACCATACGACAAATACCTTTTTAAAGACCCATGGTTTCATCTCAAACTACATCCACATCCCAAAGACACGTTTGCTGATACCGTAGTATGAATAGTTTGTCTTTTCATATACAGAGATTCTATATACACAAGCCCAGCGCCCGGGATCATACATGTCTAGGCACAGGGGGGTAGTAATAGCAAATAAACAAAGGTAACAATAGAACGATTCTGGGTGAGAGAGCTCCCAAAGTGCAACCCAGTCAAGGTATACCAAACAAAACAAGAAAACACGAGTAATAAAGCCAATGCCTGAGCCAGCAAAACAAAGCAAAACAGAAAAGGAAAAGAGCAAACCGGTTGTAGGCAACAGACAATCAACCCAATACAACCTCCCACCAGAAATGTCCCCCCAAAGACTCCGGAATTTTCCATCACCAATATCCAGTGCGACCAAAACCAACATAAAAAAGCAAAACACAAAAACAAAGAGTCATGTCACATCAATCACTCTCCTCCAGTCATTTCGAAAGTTTCCTTCCATGTCCTTTTGTGTATCCAAACAGCCGCCGATATCATGTCACGACGATCCAAAAACCCAATGGCGCAAGGAAGGAATGATGTCGTTGGAAAATACAGACAAGAATAGAAGAATGGTATCCAATCGCCTAGAAAGTTAATTCCGACGTGGTTGCCATTGAATCTTCCGGATGGAATTGAAGATGTCAACTTTCCAAAAAAAAAAAAAAAAAAAAAAAAAAAGGTCAAAACGTGGGTAAAGATAAAGAGATCAGAGAACGATGCAATACACGTATTCCGGGGTATTCTTTTCGACAAGCACACTGACTCCAGCAAATCGTCTATGAGATAAGGTGACCATGGGAATGAGAGAGACTTCGTTGTAATCCAAAATTGGAGTTGAGCATCGTCAGACTCCAGGAGAGAGAATGTGCACCGACAGAGCGCAATAGTTGTCAGCAGCTACCGAGAACCTCGTTGATTTTATTCGACGTAAGCGTCCCCGAAGTCGCAGAGCCCGTGCTTCCGCCATTGTTGGAATTCTTGGGCTCCGGAGGAGCTTCTTCCTTCATGCAAGCATTCTCCAGGATATTAGTCCATTTTCCACTCGTGCCCGCATGGCTGTGTTTGAGGTGCTGCCGGAAATGATCTGCGCGGAAGAATTTCTTTGCGTTGTTGCACTCCCCAAACTTGTGCACGGCAGTCAGATGTTCGAATCGACGATCCCAATCCGGTTGAGGGAAATTAGAAAATTCTTCGCCGCAATATCCACATGTGTCATGGGATGGCCCCGAGCTCGTTTGGGACGATGGAGACGATGAAGGATGAAATGCGGCCTGGAACCCAACCAACGCCGCACACGACCAAGAGTGACGTCGCAGATGAAGGGAGTTTTGGTGGCGCTCCGCTTCGTTCTTGTTCTTGAACCGGTTGTTGCAGAATAGACAAGAATATTGCTTCTCCATCTCATGTGACCTATTTTCATAGAAGATTGAAGTTAGACAAGATTCTTCTCTAGCAATCAGTTCCCTCCAAAACTTACCGTAGCTCCTCAGGATTGTCGAATTTCTTAGGCTTCTTGGGGCAACAATCACAGATATACAAACCTCCTATCTTGGGGCCTGTCGGCTTTGGCACATTGAGAGTCGTTTGCAATGACATTTTCCGGGCCGTATTTGCGCTTGAAGGCTCTAGTGTACTCGGGTTTTGAACAGCCCTTGCAACCGATGGGCCGATGGCTCCGTTAGGGGAGCTAGGGTTGAGAAGCGACTTATCATGGAACGGATCCGCATCTGAATTTGGTGAATGCCCTCCAGGCGAAGGGCGATCATAAGCCGACATACTGGTCATACTACTTCCACCGGCCGAGAGAGCAGCTGATGAATATGATCCCGATGTTCGAAGGCTGAGCGACGAAGCAGCTGAGAGACTCCCGTGGCTGGGGGCATAACCACTGTTGACGGAAAGGTTGTTGGTAAACGGATGGCCACTGGTTCGTCTCTGGGAGAGGTCGCCGTTACTCGTGGTGATATGGAGCGTGTGCCTATCGTCGCCTATCGGTTCCCTGGGTGGCGAAGAGGCCCTCCGTTTGATGCCCGATTTCGATGCCCCTAGATACGGCGGTGTTGCTTCACGAACATGGAACAACCGAGGTGGCAAATGTTCATCGGTCGAAAAGTCGCCTTCTATGTCCGAAAAAACGCCCTGATCATAGCTTCCTCTATTCGATCGGCTGGGGAGGCTGAGGGTTTCATCAAACTGGGGTGTCGTTCCACCTACTCGGCGGCGGCAGACATCTCGAAGGTAGGCAGAATGGTCATAATCCACCGCGGACGACGGGGCACTGCTCTCAACACTTGGACTCCGATATCCGATGGATTCTCTCCAGCCAACCTTCGCTCCGGGTGACACGGCGCCAGATTGGAAACTCGTCGACCATCTGACATCGAGTGTAGGACCGTCAGAGCCCCCCGGGGAAGGCAAACTTCCCAGGGTTCGGGACGGAATGGGAAGGGTCGACAGGGAGCCTTTGGTCTCCGGTCCAAGGCTGATGGACTGTCGCGGGGAGAGCGGTTTGCCTATTTTGGACAAGAGGTGCTGATCATATGCATCCGACGAGTCTTTCACGCTGCGCCGCGAGAAGTCCCGCTCGCCTTTCAATATCGGGCTAGTGTTACTGACTTGCATCGAGTTTCGGAAACCTTCGTCGGCTGGCGGTGGCGGCTCGATCTTGATGTGGGCTTCGGGGCTTCGAGAAATGGGCAAGCCACTTTGCCTGCCATCTAGTTCGTCGATCATCATTCGGTCACCCTGGGGAACTGGTTCGGGACGACGGTGGCCGCCAAATAGACTCGAGCTGGGGCTGATTGGTGCAAGTTTGGTGGCTCCGACGGAGCTTTTCGGGTTCGCATGCAGCCATCCAGCATCATAGCCATTTTCCAAATCGCTGATGCGCGGCGGCGGGGGCAAAGGCGGCGGAGCAAAGGTAGCTATCGAGCTAGTCGGGATGGGCATGGGCCCGTGAGGTGAATAGGACTGTCCAGACATAGTATACGGTGATCTATCAGCGGAACGAGGATAATCATAACGATTATTGATGTCATGCACGTGAATCGAAGGTGGCGAAATTCGAGGGAAGTCCATCGTAGAAGCGAAGATCGAAATAAGCTATGCTAGCTCATCGGCATCCAAAGGAGAGACGGGGTCGAGGAGCACGGCACTAGGATTTCGTGAAAGGTTGACGGGCGATATGGTCGTTTGCCCCCAGTCGTAAAAGCCGGATGCGAATACTTAGATTGCCCGGCTGCTCGATGCTTCGATAGAAGATCCCGCTTCTAAGGCCGAAACCAAAAATAAACCCGCTGCAATGACTCTTAAGGAAAGAAGGAACTGAAAGGTTTTCAAAAAAAAAAGAGAGAAGAGGAAAAAAAAAAAAAAAAAGAAGAAGAACAATAAAGTTAAGGAATGATGGGGAGGTGAGTAAGACCACGGTTGTCGCGGGAGTCTGAATCGATTTGGTGGAAATAAGTTGTTTGGGTCTACCAACGCAGTGAACCAAGGTGTCAGGCAACTTTGACGGACAGGCAGTAGGGCTGAAAAGCGAACGTACCTCGCCCAAAAATTTGGAAATGTTGCTTGTTAGGAATCCCAGGAGATTGAACCAGCTGTTCGCTACCTCAACGGCTCTCTGCAACAGTCGCGCGCAACCTTGCGAAACCGGTTGTGTGCCATCAATTCGCCGGACAGCGGCAAGTTAATGACGGAGAACGGCGCAAGGACCACAAAACATGCTGGAAGCGTGATTCGGGGGGACTTGTGTTTTAAGTAGCCGCTGTAATATCAGACGGAAGAGGTGATACAGCGCAGGACAAGCCGGATATGCAATGAGCGGCCCTCGAGAAGAGGGGACCGAACGGGATGTTAGACAAGGACTGCAGGGCGGTTTCCTCTGGGGCAACGGCCTTCTTTTTCTCGCGTAAGAATACAAGAGTTAAGGAGTAGAAGAGGAGAGAATAATGGGGGGGAAGGAAAAGGAAAAGGACAGAGCGCACGTGTCGGATGCGCTTTGCTCTCAGGAATCGAATGGAAGGGAGGAGGATGGGAAAGGTGAAGGCAAAGTAGAATCAAGCGACGGAAGGACCAGTTGTAGTAAGAAGAGCAGCAGCGTAAGGCACTGGGGGAGTGGTACTTCGGGTTGGCCTTCAAATTACGCGGAGGTGCAAAAGAGTGGTAAATTTGCAACGCCGCCCGGTACCAGCAGGAGGTAAGGCGTAAGGATGGGTAAGGATGTATAAGGCGAGACAAGGTGGGCAGAGATGGTGGTGCAGCCTGCCGCCTGATTGGCCCCTTCGAGGCTGGGGAAAGGAATGGGTGTACGGCGTAATTTGGGTGAATTAAAGGCAAAAAAAAAAAAAAAAAAAAAAAAAAAAAAAAAAAAAAAAAAAGGCTTCCGTCCGTCTCACGTCCTTCCTTTCTTTTGGGTCTGCTTGGGAAAGTAAGCCTGAAGGTGAGAGAGCGGACCCCTTTTTTATTTGAATATTTATTTTTCGCTGTAATTTTATTCTTTTGCTTTACAGCTGGAGAAAGTAAGAAGTAAAGAAAAATGCAATAAACTCCCATCTCAGAAATAAGGTAGTCCATACAGGAAGAATTATTTCGTAGTACTGCGTAGTATACGGACTCACGGAGTACGATTGACTATTCAAGATGATACAACGCTGGTACTTGGGGATCCGCTCACAGCTGCAGATTGGTCTGGGTGGACACCTTTCCAGGTTAGACGGACCAACTAGGATGAAGTCCCTTGGCTGAACCAGGAGAAGGGAAAACGGAGGGCAAATGCAGAGGGGAATTTTGCAAGTGAAGAAAATGACCCGACGCAAGAAGGCGACTCCCCCCTTGTGGTCCTTTGCCTTGCCTTACTTGCTTCCTACGCACAGTTTAAACTTCGGGTTTTCCAGCTGGAACCAGTGCCGCTTGTCAGATTCTTGCAGGATAGACCAGTCTGGCGGTATTGAAACTGACGATACCCCGTTTTGTAAAACAACCAGGGCCGATCTGGCGGGCGTCTTGACGAACGGCTATGATGACCTAGAAAAGCCCGTCGTAAAAGGATAGCGATGGGGTCGGTTTAAGGCATCTACATTCTATTTTAGCTATGGCCGGTCCAATGTTTTCGATATTGATCCTTGTCATTTAGCAAATTAACCTAATCGTTTGGAGCTCAAGAACCACGCCGTTCCATAAATCCGCGCGGGATGGCAGGGCTAGAAGGGCACCACGTTTGAATGGATCGACCAGAGTCGGCGACATCAATCATCCGTCGATATCTCGATTCGTAGTACGGAGTACACTCAGGTGATAGCGCCAGACGGTGGTTCGCTTTTCCGTCCTCTCGACTCGGGCATTTTGAGCTACTACGTATATCGCAACGCATCCCAGGGGATTTGCCAGGCAACTTGGATCCAGGAGAATTTTCGTGCCAATCGAATAGGGGTGGGGTGGGCTTAGAAGTCGTTCCAAATCCAGGATCCCCATCAGCCAGTCCCCGTGCAGGCAATTTATTGATCAATTTATCGCTGCGATCAGTGCCCCGGGAAGGACGTCACTATCACGCTTCCCGTCCCATCTTAGTATTGAGTATCAACGCACTACCGCAGCATGTACGCAGTATGTCATTCCAGCCCATTCGATGCCAGATCGACTGCCTTTTGATCCTCCACGGAGGCAAATGAGTCGGAAAGGCGAGATGGGGTTGATTTGGACGACGACGTCCCACCTAGACCACATCCAGAGCGGTGTGCATCGCCAGGCTAGCCGGGGTTAGTCCTGACAGTGGAAGGCTACGGACTGGAGACGGGCGGTTTGGAATGAGGCAGTGCTGGTAGATTACCTGCTAATAATGCCACTCGAATGGTTGCTCCAGTCGACCCCATCACGCTATTGGAAGTCGGAGTCTGAGTATGGGGACGCAATCAAGGTTTCTACAGCTGCCTGCCTAATAGTGATGTCTGATATTCGGATCTTTGCCACGAGAGGTTTTTTTTCTTTCCTTTTCTTTCCATTTTTATTTTCATTTTCCGTCCCCCTCTTTTTTTTGCCTTCGCCGTGAGTACGAAGTATGAAATCCTCGCCTTGAATCTACCCTCCTTACGGCGTAGTAGTATTACTCTGTAGGAGGAAATGGGTTCCTGTATTTTTTATATTTTTTTGATATATTGTCCGCATCTCCCCCTCATCACTGCATGTCGTGTGCACAAGATCATAGGTAATCTGTAGCAGTTCTCGTTCGGAGTACACCGTCCATCGCGGGTCGTATCGAGACGTCCCATTCAAATTTTGAGATGTCCCGTTAGACACATTTTCTTAACCTTTCTCTCAGCCAGTACATGGCATGTTTTTTTTTTTTTTTTCTTTCTTTCTTTTTTTTCCCTCCTCCCTCTGTCTCTCGTTAATTTATTTCACTTTCTCCTCGGTCTCTGTTCCTCTCCGTAACCAAGGGTCAAACTGCAAAAATACGACTCATGACGACGACGAAAGCGGTACCAGCCGAAACATGGAATCGTCAGCGTCATCACCATATGGCAATCCGATTCCAGAAGGAAACGCCATAATTTCACCCAGGGATTGCAAGGCCCCGGGGCAAAAAAGAAAAACGAGCACTTCCCAGGGTACCGAAGACATGCAACCTGACTTCCATGTGCCCCACCTTGAATGGGTGCCGGCCAGCGACAGCCAACAATCACCGGCCTTGTCGAGCTTGACCCGCCGCCAATGCTGGTCTAGTGGGTTCCACTAGCTCCTTAGATACATGCACTGCCACATTGCTGTCATTTGGCATTTCCCGTCGCACCTTGCGATCCGAAGAACTCCCTGGATACGAACGGATAATATCCTGTTACAGGAGGGAAAGAGGGGGTTCGGAGAAGGATCTTCCTCGAGAAATTTCCTTTTTCTTTCCCTTTCCAAATCATGGGAAAAGAGGATTTATTTGACGGGTTATCTGGGACACACGTAGATTTCATTGGGCCTGGGATCCTGTTTCGTATACTCCGTAGGGCAATGGGCCCTGCGGTGAGAGACCTAAACGCCCGTCCAGATTTAATTCTTGGGACGGATTAAGAATCATCGCTAAACCCAGAAATGCAGAACAAATGGCTCTTTTTTCCTTCCTTTTTCTTTTCTTTTCTTTTCTTTTGTCAAAGAATACCTTGGCTTTCCAACGCTCCACATAATATTCTGGTACACCCCCCTTATCCGCTTTCGCCTTCTTTTGAACCGAACCCAAAAGAGCTTATTCTTGGATTAACAGCAATCAAATAGTAAGCATGTTAGAACTACGAGATTTTGGCCGAGTTCAGTCTTCCTAGCCGTACGAAAATATGCTCGCCCAGTTTGACTTTTTCTCTCGATAATAATGATAATAAACCGCAATATAATAAATAATAAATTCTAATAAAATCAACCGGCAGCGAAGGGGCAGACAATCAAACCGATCTGCATGATATTTTCGCGCCCTATTCCGCTCCCTCCAGTTGTATATCCGGATTTTGACTTTTCCTTTATTTATTTTATTTTATTTTATTTTTGTTTGGTATTTACTACCACCAACGGGACCCGTTGCCACTTGCCAGTGTCCTATACAACGTCGGCAATAATCATCGGATGCGTTACCAGGGTCAATTCCATCCCAAGCGTTGTCCCTCGCCATTGGGGTAAAAGGAAAAGCCAAGAAACCCATTTTCATCTGGATCATGCACTTTCTGCAAATCTTACGAGCCCACCGACCAGCACACGGACAGGACACGCATGCATGCATCCACAGGTGGCAATCCAACGGATTGGATTCATCGTGCTAGCTTCCCGCTTGTAAGGCGAGAATTCGGTTTTGTTTTTTCGCGAGGTGTATTGCCATTGTCTCATTATCCGTCATGGAGGGGAAGGGGGCTGACGCTAGGCATGGTTTTTGAAATCTTTTCGAGAATCCTTGCGGGCTATTCACGGAGCATTTTCGTAATGATTGATCTAGCAGATCCGGAAAGGGGGGAGAAACAAAACCATAAAAAAAAGATCTAGAATGGTCAGCTCGTAGCGATGAGAATGAGGATTCACTTGTGGACTATATATAGAAGGCGATGTTGGACGGAATCTACACCTGCTGTGCCAGTCAGCCGGATACGATGACTGGATGACGAAGTCCCCTGTCTTTTACACAGAATGCGCGGTCAACAATTTGCAGGGACAGGGAATGTACGAGGCAGGAAAAAGTAAGTCCCACGCAAGGTTGGGCCAGTTAATCTCAAAGTCTGTTCCGTAGGAAGTGCCGTCAGCCTTAAGCCCTAAAAGGCTGCAGGCTAAGTCTCGTGCACAAGACACAAGTACTATGTATTTCCTCGCTGGACGGGCTAACAGGGCTATTGTATGACCGGGCGCCCTAAGAAGCAGCAGTGGTGTCTTATGTTACCGCCGGTTTTCTAAACGCACGGGGTCTCGCTATACCAGGTAAACTTTTTGGTGCTGGATCCATGCTCGTTTCTTGCGATCATACCGCTACCCTTATTCGGTCTGTATGTCCCCCCTCCATAATGTCGCGAAGGGGAAAAGTCAAGCATTATTTACCTAGTCGAACAGCTGTAGTGATCTCTTGGCCTGAACGCGTTGCGCGTTGTCAAGGCCCCTCCAAGCAGTCCCTGCAAGTATCCTGACAACTCGGGACCCAGTTACTGACTAGGCGTCGCTGGAGACTCTAGTTCGGCCTGTTAACGTCGCAGGAATGGGACCAGCGCTAACAGTCGGGAAAGAAAAGAGAAAAAAAAAAGGAATGGAAAAAACACCAACAAATAAAAGGTGACACCAAAAGTATATACAGGGACAGTAGTAGAAGAGAGGGTCGCACAGACTCAGGATTGTTCATACCGTGCGTGGATGATCGATCGACGTGGACTCTGTATGGCGCGGTGCATATCTGAAACCCGCCTTTGAAACCTTGGCGCTAAGGGGACACCAATCATTCTGTGAAGGATTCTGAGGTTATCCGATGTATTCCCGCTTTCCAGTTTCCGCGGATGCTGGCGCTGATGAGGACATTTTGGCACATCATCTTGCATAGATTGGACCCTGCCGCAGTAATCACGTTCAGACTCAATTCAGTCGTACGCCCTACGTACTCCGTAGGTACGGCTGCGGTGGCTGTATCTTCCTCCCATCCAATCGCTTGTCAGGCCCGAGCTGAGTATCTAGATCTTGCCACTTTCCAGTACGCCTGGAGCCCCGAACAGAGTTCAGACTGGAGGGGGTCCCGAGGTATCACCTGGACTCTCACCCGCTCTCTCGCCATGCGTTTGGCTTCGATGGAAAAGCGAATCGAGTACAGGGTCACACCAAAGTGGGTGACTGAGTGACGCGCGCGATGAGGGGTAGCTTATCTCATGGTTCGACTCATACTCCGTAGTCAGGCGCGGGATCAAGATGTCGGGCGGATTTCGGACTCAAGACTGAGTCAAGAGTCCAAGACTCCAGGGTCAAGACTAAGACGAAGGCGGGACAGATGTTTGCGGGGTCTCCGATCTCCTCCGTCTGCCTCAGGTGTCCACTACCCGGGGACTGCCCTTGCCCTAGCCCTCTACCCTAACTCTCCGTCCGTTTCCGTGCCGCCATGCGATCACTGCCGGAAGCCAATCAGCGGCCGACACTAAAAGTCTTGGCTCAAGACATCGCAACGTCTAACCCGAACCAGCGGCGCCCAATCCTATCATTCTTGTCCTGCTTCCTCCGTCGTAACAGGACATTCGATCTGCTGTCCACGCCACCGCCTTAGCTTGTTATCGAGTTGTATGATTCTATCAAATTTGATCAACCATGGCCATGGATCAGATTCCTGGGCAAAACATCTACATCGGAGGGTTGGTCTCGCCTTACCCGGAGTATCGAACTTGCGCCGCGATCCTGGCCATAGCGGGGCATGGGTGCCGGACGCTGGGATCAAAGGATAGAGGGGATGGAAGAAAATCGCTTTGACGGGTTACAAGCTGACAGATTGGTCTGAACTGTAGCGTTTTCGCGCTCAAGAACAAAGCGGCCCTGAGTCGAGCAAACATTACCCATATCCTTTCAGTGGTCCGACTACAACAAGTGGATGACACTTTTGCATCTTACCAGCATCACCAAATTGATGTAGATGATATGGATGATGAGAACCTCCTAGAGAATTTCCCGTCTGCCATCAATTTTATCCAGTCCGGTCTGGATAATGGCGGAAGCGTGCTTGTTCATTGGTCAGTTAACTCATTCCCTCTGCTCATTTCTTGATAATCCTCCATGGCTGTAAAAACAAGAAAGAAAAAGACTTTCTCTTCCCCTTCTCCCTGACCTTCGTTGATGTGGATATTACTCCATCCACGTACTCCTACTTCCCACGTCACGTGGGTACACATTGATTGCCCCCAAATGTGTCTCTGCTTCACGGACCTACTATCACGAGTCATGAGGAATAATCTTTATATTGAAACAGTTTATAGCTGACTCTCAATAGTGCGATGGGGAAGTCCCGCTCAGCCGCAGTCTGCATTGCCTATATGCTCCACCAACAACCCAGTGCACTAACACCAGAGTCTGCTCTGGCGGTGATCCGCCAGAGTCGAGCGTTCTGTGAGCCTAACGACGGGTTCATGGAGCAATTATCCATCTACCGTGAGATGGGTTGCCCGGATGACGTCACAAGTCATCCTCTCTACAGTCGCTGGCTCTATCGCCGCGAAGTTGAAGATAGCGTAGCATGTGGACGGGCGCCGGAGATGAGCTCTGTGCTCTTCGAGGACGAGCAACAGAGGTCGCGGGAGACTACGGATCGAACAACAGAGATCAAGTGCCGCAAATGCCGGTGAGTATCACAATAACCCTGGTGGTCATGCATCTTCCCTGGAAGAATCCTCGTTGCCACTCATTGGCAAATGCTCACACGGTTTCAAACAGACGGACGCTGGCAACCACGCCATTCGTCATTCCGCATGACCCGAAAAGGGGCGCAAAGGCATCGAATGATTGTGCCCACATCTTCCTGCACCCGCTGACATGGATGCGCCCGTGCCTCTTCCCCAACAGTGCCCCTGACGCATCGCCTTCCGAGGACGCACCGCTTTCCGGTCGCTTGACTTGCCCGAACACAGCCTGTGGATTCAACATCGGCAAGTTTGCGTGGCAGGGCATGCAATGTAGCTGCAGCGAATGGGTGGTACCCGCCATCGGGCTCGCCAAGGCCAGGGTTGACATTTTTGATCGAGTCAACACGGGACATGGACCCGGACGGTTGCCGCCGGCAGCATTGGGCATTCGGTTGCCGCCTGGCATGAGACCCAATAGCGTGGAGGAGCCGAATGGGGGGCGGGGGAGCCTGTGAAGACGGCGATTTAACGCTAAAGGCAAATCAGCGTGGCTGAGCCCATATCAGTCGACGAAGGATCGCTCGAGCACTTTACAAACCAAATTTTAATAAATTGAGCAGCCACATTTAACGCGAGGCCTTGCATCCACAGACGTCACGTGGGATTGCGATCTTCGCCAAATTTCTTCACTCATTTGGTCGGGGAGAGTGGACAATCTCACAAAGCTCAACGCCACAAAGACTAATGTCTTTCTCTGATTCTTGTTCTTTTCAGGGGTTGGGAGCAGTGGGCCCGTTGGACTGCCAAGGAAATTTTGCTGAATCGCCAGATGGCAAGAAGACCGAGGACTTTGTACTTGGGGGTATACTCCGTAGACTAGGGCGTGCGGACTGCGGACAGTCATTTAACTAGCATAAGAAAAGACGAGGCTAGATTGGAGAGCATTGATAAAGCATCTTTATATCTAGACCATCCTATTAAAATTGAGCCTGGTCTAGACTTGTTTCAGTCGGACTTCGAAACTGCGCGTGGGTGATTTCAGAGGACCCTGATGTCGATCATGGCGGGCGGCCTAAGACGCGCCGTTATTCTTCAGAGAGTAGACAGGAAACAGGAGTTAGCAAGTCGGCCGCGCGACAAACCATAACCCACTAAAAATCTACAACTTCGCATGCCGACCGGCGACGTCCAATCATGCCAACCGTGTAGTCTTCAATAAGGATGGACCCCTGCCTCCAGCTTTGCCTCGAAGCGCTAGAAACCTGTCAGGATCCAGGGCTCAACCCCACATCTCCATGAGGCTGTTTTAAGGCAGCCCCACGAGAGCGGGAGGCAGCCAATCAAGGCGGCCAGCAGAGCCGGGATCTGCGGCGTGGGAAGATCGGGAGAACAAACTTTCGTGGTCTTTCGGTCTTGCACAGTTCCTGGGCCCGATTATTCAGCCGGGGTGGGCAGCCGCCTAGCCTCCTGGTCATTGCGGTGGGGGTAATTAGTGGTTTCTTTTTTTTTTTTCTTTTTCTTTTTTTTTCCCCTTCTAAATTCCTTGGACAGGATCAGTAGGGGACGAGGAGACTGGGAGACTGCGAGACGGACCTAGTCTAGCCCTTTTTCCTTAGCTCCGGCACGGGGGCTGTGCAAACTACTCTTACGCAAGACCCATGGATGGAATCGCTTCCGTTGTCCGTCTCCATCCATCTTACCTATCCCATCCTAGCCTTACCCAGGACCTACCGAGCCCGGTCTAGTCCGGCCGGTACCTGAATCTGCAATCTTACCACGTATCCGTACGGGTAATTTTCATTTCCGCCACCGTGGTAATTCAGGACGCCGACCAGACCGCCCTCGTTGCTTCCTGCAGTTTGGGAATCCCCTTCCTCAGAGCCAATATACCTCGAGCAAAAAGCGTTGACTCGAGTCGCTTGGCCCCCCCTGGTTTCAGGGCCTTTGGCTCAGCTGCATGTGGGAGGGACGCGCCTTTCTGGACCTCTTGGCCTGATCGACCCGGTGCGACGCTTTCTGATTCAGGAATCCGTCCAGAAATCATTGCCTCGAAGGGAATCCCTTCTGGCTGCATCAGGCAGGTGACGTCACACCATCTGCATTTTTTTCTTCGACTTTTCCCTCTTCGAAAGCCCTAACTCGGTCTTTCCCCCTCCAAACGATGATCTCCATAATCTAAGTGCTAGACTGATAGTCCAGGTACCAGCCCTCGATTCCAATGTCAAGCTCACCCAGTCGTTATTGGCAGTCGGTCACCAATCAGTCTCCTGCATTTCGACTCCATTCAACTCCAGATCCCATGTGCCTGGCTAGTTGCTTTCTACCCGGCATCTGCGATAACTTATCTGCCATCTGGACAGCCCAGCATCGGTGCAACATTAAACCACAGTCTTGGATAGGACTCTACCGAGACCTCATGCGTGGCGGTATCTGCCCATCTTCTTTTCCCCCTACCCCTGTCCCTGACTCCCCTACGCAGATTTCCTCGGTCAGTAGGTCAGTAGACCACTCCGTCCCTCTGACCGATTTGACTGGATGAAGCTAAAACAGCACTGCCTCCTTCGGTCCCCACTATCTAAGTATCTCCTCCGGACAGGACAACTTCTCTCGACTTCCTCGCCGTGGCCTCTTCTGACCGAGGGGTCTGTTTTAATTTCTGTTCCCCCACAGGAAGGGTGATCCGTTTGGTATTACATCATGGCGCCGGTCAGGAATTTCTCGGCGTCTATTCCTTTTTCTTTTTTTCCTTGTCTACTCCGTAATGCCTCCTCTCTCTTGTTTCTCCCCCTTCTCCGTATGGACTATGGTGTGGAACTGGTCTGGTGCCGAACGGAGGACCCTGCATGCGAACAATGCTGATTGACACTGGGCCCCCGGCTCCATCTGACGGATGGAGAGAATATATTCCAAGCACCTAATGTAGTAGCCTACGCCGCGCTCCTAGGTCATAAGTAGTACGCAGGAGGTATAGATGATTTGTCGCGTTTCGTCTCCGGGGCAGATACTGAGTCCGGACGACGGACGTTCTACGCTGGTCTAGGTGGCAGCGTTAATAACGCACCTGCTACGTACGTACTCCATTATGAAATTGAATGCCATTGAACCAGAACAATGGAATCTTCAGGGGTAAATCAATCAGCCAGTAGGTGAAGGTGAAGGTCAGGCACGTACAGAGTACATACCTACGTTACCTACCTTCCTACCTTACCAACCCAATCAAACCCATCTCCAGCGTATTCCTCTCTGGCCCCTCTCCTCCTTCCAGACCCAATAATCAGAAAGGAGGGGGGGCCAAGAGACAAACCATCCGGTCTACGAAGCTATTCTCCACCCCTGCATGCCATTCGCGCTGCGGTTGCCTCGTTGCGGGTGATGACAGGGGCCGATTTGGTGGCATGAGAGGGGGAGCAGGAGCATGAATCGGTATAGCATTAACTAGAAGCTAGAGCGGTTCGCCTCAGGGGCTGGTTACTATGTATAGCGTATGACGAGTCTTTTTGGTCTTGAACTTTTGACTTCGGGCTGTGCAGGGGTTTAGTTTGAGATTCTGGTTTATTCGTTGTGGTTGGGGTGGTTGGTTGGGTGTATGTGGGTGTGTCCAACTATGGAGTTCTATCTTAGGGCCTGGTCGGGACTGTACGACCAGGGCGGCTGGGGGTAGTTTGGTGGTTTTTACTTTCTGTCTGGGGATTTCGTTACAGGCGGCTGCTGGTTTTGGTTAGATCATTGTGTTTATCTCTTTTCTTTTCTTGATCTGTGAGGGATGCGTTGAGTAGGTGCTCTTGTGGCTTTCCCTGGGGATACGATCATGGGATGCGACAAGTGTAGATACTAACGCTCCGAGAGATGTCCATGGGGCAATGCGGTTACACTCTTGGTATCTTGGAGTCCATCCCACTCCGCATAGCGCATAGTAGATAGGTGTGGATATCTTCGGCTGAACTGTCATATCGATTATATGTTCTGTCGGGTTCTCTATACTTGGTGCATGGCAAGTGATACGAATAACTACGCTGTTAGACCAGCAGTCTTGGTTTAGACGGCCAATCAAGGTAGACACCCTACTGTTCATGTCTCACTCAGCATGACGGATTGAAGACCAAGCAGTTCAAGAATATATATCGACTCTCACACGACATCGCTATAATTTGCTGCGCCTTGAAATGACCAAGTAAAAATGTCGAAAAAAATCTATTTGAACAGCCTCCACCAACGAAACGCCGGGGAAATAAATACTATACTCTAAACAAGAAGGTCGTGACTTTTCAGCAACATGGTTTCGATGAAAATAATAGAACATCGTTAAAACACACCAGTAAGAAGAAGACTGCATCATGCAGAAAAATGCGGAAACCCCCCAAATGCAGAATCAAAATGTCCGTCCAAGTAATCCATGTGAACGGAATGCATAACCTACTCTCACTCGTCATATTTCATTGCTTGTTGAATTTGGCAATCTCGTCCTCAACAATACCAGCTGCCTCTTTAGCTAGTCGGAGATCTTTTCCGACAAGCCCAATGTCCTTGAGGTACGGATTGAATGCAGATAGAAGATCGGTGAGAGAACTCTTCAACGTGTCTCGAACAAGATCCACTTCGGGAACCTTTCGCGCCTCCAGCTGCGCTTGAGGGTTACTTTCGGACGGAAAGTAGACATCAGTCCAGTGTACATCCATGCCATTGTTGACAAACGGATCCAAGGTCAGAATGGTATCGGTGAAGAGACGCACGACGCCGGGAACATCCGCTTGGACCTTGCCGTACTGGTCTTCCTGTAGACTGGCGATGAGAAGACGGGTGAGCGAGTCGATGGCATCAACGATAGTACACGCAGTGGAATACGGAGCACCGAGGACGACGGCCGACAGCCGGCGTGCGTAGGTTTGTCGAAACAGCCAGCCTACCGGCGAGCGGAGGAAAAGAGCGACGAATGGCTGGACGTTGGCCGGTTTGCCGGTCGAAATCCCGGTGATAATCTTGAGCTCCCGGTAAGAAGTCGACGCACGATTGATGGCGTCACGGGCTCGAACACGGCTTCTAGGCGACCAATCTGGCCAGTCGGGAGGAGATTGGCCGTAAGACTTGGCTGCCGAGCTGAGTGCCTCCTCAAAATGCTGCCGGCGGGTAGCAGCCTTGGGGGAGGGCGCATAAATGTCTATCTCCTTGGGCGGATCGGCGAGACGAGGTAGGGTCTGTAGAACGGGCGGAGGCTGTTCTGGTTGCGACAGCTTCGAGCCTGGTTGGGGTTTCTTCTTTTCTTCGATCCGAGTTGAGATGCCCTTGATCACGTCGCTGGCAGACTGCAGGATTTGTGTCCACGCCGGCGCACCCTCACGGTCGATGTCGTTGAAGATTCCCTTCCGTCGGTCAGGGAATTGTTGACTGATAAAAGATAGCTCCCAGAAGGCAAAAGCGCGAACGGTTTCCTTTTTCGCATTCAATCCGGTCAGAAGGCTCCCGTTAGGATCCTTCGCATCTGCTGTCAATGGCTGACCCCTCTTGAGGGGCTCCTTGCTGAGGAACACAGAGAAGAAAAGGTTAGCTGTCTCCCAGCAGACGACTAGGAGTGTTCCCGAGAACAGAGGTCGGAAAATGTGCCAAAAGCCGAAGCTGGCCAATGCTGGCGGGTCCGCGGCGGATTGTGGGAAATTCCAGAACAACTTGGCGAAGGACATGGTGAAGCGCCAAGCCGTGCGCCTGAAGAAGATCAAGTATAAGAAAGGTGAGGCAGCGGCAACTTTGGCCGCCCGCTTGAATGCATCACTGGCAATTCGAGGCAGCGCGAGGTGGATCTGCTTAGAAACCGACGCGACGGGGTGCCTTCTCTGATCACTAGCACCGGCGGCGGGTTTGGCAACGGGAATGGGGACGTGATCGAAATCATAGTAAAAGTGAACAACCGACTGCACAATTGCTAGAACAAAATGGCAGGTGTAGAGGTAAATCGGCCGCTCGTTCAGACTGACTCTTTCGTGGGGCCTAATTTTTGGTCGCTTAGAAAGAGTCCAACTTCCGAGTAGAACGATGGATACTCGAGGGAAGAACGACGTACCTTGCTTGGTTTGCCCATTCTAAATGTGCGCTTCTAGGAGATGACCATTTATAGATCTCACTGAACCACCAGGCCGAGAACAGATACCAAGCTGAAGTCTGGACCACCTTGAACGGGAGGGAGTCTTGCAGAGTAAAAAGCGGAGAGGTCGTTGTTCTCGAACCAATGTGCATCTGGCCAACACGCAGAACGAAAACGACGAGACTGGAGACGAACAGAAGGACTGTACGGATTCCACATGCTCCAATTGGAAACCATGACCATAGGACTAAAGTGCGAACGAAATCAGCAACCCATCAGCAATCTGACCAACTTTTTTCATGCTTATTTTTCTTTTCCTTTTTTGAATTCCACCGTCACTAGAGTGCGCTACTTACAAGATGATTTATCACCGATCAGGAATGCAATTACATAGTTGACCAGCAGCGCCAAAGCTGAAGCATGGACGAATCTTCGGTGCAGGGCAGACGTCAAAATGCGCCGATATGGGCGCGGCCCGGCGGCCATGGTGGGAGATCGAGCGAAGGACTGCAAAGTCTCTGGTAAGAGAGGAGATTCACTCGAGTTTACTGCATGATCAGCCGGGGAGTAACGCAGAGAGAGCGACGGGGCCAGAAGCGCGGGGGAGCATGCGACAAGTGAAATAAAGCTTTTTGGATGGAAGCTCGGGAGAAGCAAAGCATCACAACACACCAGCCACAGCCTCACCGCCCTGAGGGCTCAGGTGACTACGCTCCAGCCACACATTGCATCATGTGATGGTGGCCTGCAATTCCGGGCATCAACCCCAGGCACCGCCGTCTTGACGCTTCTCTCCTCTCCTTTCCTCTCCTCTTCAATCTCCCTTGCTCAACTATCGATTCCCCACCGGCTAAATCCATCATGTCTTTCGACCGTCTGAACTCGCTGGAGTCCCAGCCCACTACTATGCGCCGATCCGATGATCCGCAGTATCGCGACGACCCCGACTTCCACCGTCTCACCGAGGCCCTCTCTAATCAGCTGTTCGGCCTAACCTCTAATATTACTCGGTTGTCGGATCAGATCGCTTTGCTGGGCACGAGGAGAGACTCCGAGCGAGTGCGCGAGAGAGTCCATAATCTCCTGGAACAGGCCCGATCGGGTTTCAAGGAAGTCGGAGAGGGGATCAAGAAGGTTCAGACATGGGAGGACGTCAACGTACGTTAGACCCGCATGACAGGCCCCCTTTATCTATGCAATGTCATTGACCCATCTCCTCCAGCCATCCCAGAAGTGGACGCAGCAAAAGCTGTCTTCCGAATTCAAGGCCACTCTAGAAGAATTCCAGACTGTCCAGCGCCGTGCGCTAGAAAAACAGCGCGCATCTGCAGTAGCAGCGCGGACTGCTGTGGATGAGGGTGAAGTACCTCCCGAGGATGCCGAGGCGTACCACCAGCAACAGGTGCAGCAGCTCGAACAACAGCCTCGACTAGCGAATCAAGACGAGGTGGACTTCCAGGAGACCCTGATCATCGAGCGTGAGGCGGAGATTCGCAACATCGAGCAAAGTGTCGGTGAACTCAACGAGTTGTTCCGCGATGTGGCCCACATTGTCCACGAGCAAGGCGGCCAGCTCGATATCATCAGTGAGAACGTTGAGCGGGTCAACACCGACACTCGAGGCGCAAATGTCGAGCTACGCGGAGCCAGCCGGCATCAGAAGAATGCACGAAACAAGGCCTGCTGCCTGCTTGTCATTCTTGCAGTCATCCTTCTCATCATTGTGCTGGCCGCTACTCTTGGTTGATTCGTTCGTTTCGCGCCTGGATTGTTCGATTTCCCTTTTTGTCGCGCATCTGTGATGTGTTTTGATATGATAGCTTTTTTCTTCCTTCCATGATATCCTCGTGTACGGTTATGTGTACTCCCTCTCTTCACTTGTTCTTTGCGGTCGGCTTAGTCGTTTTGTTTTCTTTTCCTCATGGCTTCTTTCTTTGTCTTATGATCTGCGGGCGTTTTGGATGAGGGAAGTGCTATCTGCATTTGTTGTTCTTCGATCGTCTTCGCCCCCTAGAGACGAGTATCATACATAGCTTCTGTGTTATACAAGACTTTATACATCAAGATCATTGCCCGAACCCGAAACCCAAAACTCCAGTTTCGCCTTCTATATGTGCATCATGCAAAGATAAGTGGACGGCGCGAGGTGCCTATTAAATGCCCGCAAACCGACTAAATCTCAACCGACAGCCTTCCCAGCTGTTCAATTTCGGCCGAACATCCAAGTAGAAACTCAACTTGCCGGGCCCGGCGTTGGCCGCCAGCCCTCCCGAGGAACTCCCACCGGAGGATTTCCCCTGGTAGAAATCAATCACATACTCGATCCTCTCTCCGCCACAACGTTCCACCACCCAGTCGTGTCGATCAAAAGGTAGCTGATACCCCATGAGGCTGTTCACGCGAGCACGCGGGCTCAGGAACTGAGGATCCGTGCCCAAGCCACGGAAAGAGTACAGGCGCGGGCCTCCACATTTCTTGCTGCCGGGGTCTGATCGGGGACCTTGTTTCTCCCACTCGAGAATCTGATGCCATGCGCGTTCGTTGACGGCATTGTGGATTGGGATGATGGATGCCACCGAGGTTGCTAATTCGGAGGCGGAGTTGGTGGACGAAGGGGTGTTCCCCTTGCGCATTAAAGCTTCGAAGAACTGACGCTCGGAGGGATAAATCCAGTTGCCAGTATTCTTATCATGGCCCGTTTCGGTTTCTGCGTTCGACGGGGTTCCATGCGATGCAGCAGATGCGGCCGCATATGGCGACGGAGGGGCTTCCGGGGCTGGTTTCGCCTCGGCAGTGTCGATGGCTCGAGGTATCGTGCTCACTTCGCGATCGGTGGAAAGCGGACGGTGCATTTTCTCCTTGGGTTTCTCATCGTCCGGAGGCATCGGATGGGGAGCACCGCCCGAAGCCTTGTGCTGTTGCAGCCAGACTTCTCTGGTTTTGTGGTCGACCGGACATGTTGCCGGCTGGGAGGGCGATGGAGGAGGGGGCGATGGAGTACTTGCGCCGGCACCCATTGTGGGAGGGGAAGAGTGGTTTTGCGATTGACAATGGAGAGAAAGGACGAGCAATGGAGAAAAACGATGGAAAGCCCGAATAAACGATGGATTATTAATTGCGACTCTGCGAAATCCAATACAGAAGGCGGTGGCACAAGTCTAGTTCCTCACCGCCCTTGGGTCCCAACGAATTTCCCGACGGGGTAATGCGATTGTCTTCATCTTCCCCCTGCGCCCCTCCTGCTGCATTTCTCGCTCCAATTCCCTTCAACAGTCTCACTATGGCCGCTTCTTCGCAGGACAGCACGGTCTTCCGTGCTACTACCACAGCTCCGGTCAACATTGCCGTGATCAAGTAAGCAAATCGATCCTATATCCATCTACCCCTCCTTAAATCAGTTTGGATGATTGGCTGGTGGGTTTCTGGCGGTGTTAATCAGTGTTTGTATAGATACTGGGGAAAGAGAGATGCTACGCTGAACCTCCCTACCAATTCTTCGCTCTCGGTCACCCTGTCCCAGCGTTCCCTCCGCACTCTCACCACTGCCTCCTGCTCTGCCAAGTACCCCACCGTGGATGAACTTACTCTCAATGGCAAGCCTCAGGAGATCCAATCCTCCAAGCGTACCCTCGCTTGTCTCTCGAACCTGCGCTCGCTCCGTCAGGCTCTGGAAGCTGCGGATGCATCTCTCCCGAAATTGTCTGCTCTTCCCCTCCGCATCGTGTCCGAGAACAACTTCCCCACCGCTGCCGGACTCGCCAGCTCTGCCGCCGGCTTCGCTGCCCTCGTTCGGGCGGTTGCAGACCTATACCAACTCCCCCAGTCCCCCCGCGATCTCAGCCGGATCGCTCGCCAAGGCTCTGGTTCCGCTTGCCGGTCTCTGATGGGTGGATACGTGGCATGGCGTGCTGGAAGCCTCACCGATGGCAGCGACAGTCTGGCCGAGGAGGTTGCGCCTGCCGAGCACTGGCCCGAGATGCGTGCGGCCATCCTGGTCGTGAGTGCCGAGAAGAAGGATGTTCCCAGCACCGAAGGAATGCAGACCACGGTCGCTACGTCCAACCTCTTTGCTACGCGGGCCACGTCAGTCGTGCCCGAGCGGATGACAGCCATCGAGGAAGCGATCCAAAACCGGGACTTCCCTGCCTTTGCGGAGATTACTATGCGAGACTCCAACGGCTTCCACGCCACCTGCCTGGACTCCTGGCCCCCCATTTTCTACATGAACGATGTCTCTCGTGCCGCGGTTAGACTCGTACACGACATTAACCGTGCCGCCGGCCGCACGGTTTGCGCCTACACCTTCGATGCTGGCCCCAACGCCGTGATCTACTACCTCGAAAAGGACTCCGAGCTTGTTGCGGGAACGATCAAGGCTATTCTCGGCGCTACCGCCGACGGCTGGGACGGCCCCTTCTACGAGCCCCTGAAGAACTTCACTGCTCCCGGGGTTCCCCTGGATAGCGTGGACTCCAGAGCCGTGGAGGTCATCAAGGACGGCGTCAGCCGCGTCATCCTGACCGGCGTTGGGGAGGGCCCCATTAGCGTGAACGACCACCTCGTGAGCGAGACCGGTGATATCCTTTCTCAGTGAGGTGCTCCGGGCAGGCCTGCATGAATCGGGTTTTGTCGTATTTGGAAGCATCTTCTTCCGATTGTGATTCGAGCGTCATTTGCATGAAGGGATTCAGCTGAGAGCAGATACCCACCCCATCCCTTGCATACTTCTGTTGTCGTACGAAAGTGGCTCAACCCACATTGCATGCCCGATGTTTTCAACGAAACAGAAACTGGATATGTTTTCTACCTAGGAATTATCATCATACGTCTAGATTGATTTAATTTAATTTTTGTCTATATGGAATCGACGGGAGTCAATCCCCGGGGAAACCATGAGGAAGATCACTCGCCGACTTTTGATATGCCTGAAACCTGTTCTAAACCAGATCTGTGGAAAGAAGAAACCATCCGGTCCACACGAAGCCCCCTTCTCCCCTTACCTTTTTGTCGTTATTTCATGTTTCGATGTGTTGGTCGATGCACTTCAATTCAACAACGCCGACGGCTTCATCGTTTTGACCGTCGGTATTTGCAGATTCTGCGACGCAAGGCTGTTGTCCGCCGCCACGGGGGTCGCGAACTCATGTCCTTCCTCCTGGTCCTCGGGCTGCAGCGCAGGCACCCGGGGAGCCTCGACGGCGGCGGCACCAACGATCTCCTCGCGGCTCTCAACACACAGCTTGATGACCTCCTGCATGGTTTTCTCGACAGCGGCGGCGCGCTCGCGCATGTTCCGACGCAGCAGCGCATCCACCAGCGTCTCGACCTCCGGCACGGTCGTATTTGCGCGCTCGATCAGCCGGCGCACGCTGTTCACCAGGTACTCCTCCTCGTAGACGGTGCCCTTCTTGCCGCGCGCGCGCTTGCGCTCCTCGCGGCGCCGGTTCTTCGACGACTGCCGTGACGAGCTGGTCTTGCCCGTCTTGCCGGTCTGCCCGGTGTACCGCGTGAACATGCTGCGGCCGGCGAGGGTGGACGCGTCCGTCGGGGCCAGGGACACGTTGTCGGGGATGTCGACGCCCAGCTCGCCGGTCGTGGGGTCGCCGCCGAAGTAGGCCAGCGGATCGGTGATGCGGCGCACGCGCAGCTCCCGGATGCGCGGCACCTGGGCGTTCAGCTGGGCGCGGAAGTCGGCCAGGAGATCGGTCATCGAGCCCATGGCGTCGGCGAGCCCCGCGTCGACGATGTCGGGGATGAGGGCCTGCTGGCCGTTCAAGGCCAGCAGCCGGGTGGCGTCGGCGAAGCGTGAGCCCCGGCAGAGGAGTCGGGCGGCGGCCGGAAGGTCGTGCAGGTGCTCGGCGTGGATGTGTGCGGCCGAAACGTAGTCGCGGCTTTCCTCGGTCAGGGAGGTGGCGAGCGTGACGGCGTGTTCGTGCAGCTCCGACTCGGAGAGAGGGACCATCATGGCGCAGTACAGAGACTCTCGCCAGAGATGCGCCAGGTGGTAGGATTTGTATGCGTCGGTGAATATGGAAAGGGATTCGTACGCTGAGCGAGAGTTAGCATCCGGGCTGAGAGAAGGGAGACCCGCGTATGGATAGAGTCTTTCTGCATCAATGAAGGGGAAACGTACCGATGCCTGCTTCCTTGTACTTGGATTCATCGTAGAGGTAATCGGCATAGGCGTGGGTGATATCGTGCAGCTGTTCAGGCTGGTACTTGTAGAGATCGATGGCATTCTTGTATAGAACGTGCTTGACTGCGTATGCCCGAAGCTCGTCGTGGGCGTTGAGCGTGTGGAGATGTTTGATAGCCTTGGTGTACCGTCCAAGATAATTGTCTATTTCGAAATGGCGTCGGGTTTCGGGGGCCTCTTGGAGTTTTCGTAGGAATGGAACATATTCTCGGGGATCCTGAACAACGTTAGTATTGGATTTGGCAGGGCTTGGGTGCAAAACGTACCCTTTGAGCTTGTTGGGCAACCAACAGCGTGAGCTCAAGATCGTAAAGTCCCAGCGCATGATCGTACAGGCGGTTAGCATCAGTCAGGAAGCACATGTGCTCAATTGCATCGTCCGCTTGATCAGATGCTTCCTCTAATCACTTAGTTAGTATCAATTCAACAAGATCACCATTCGTCCTAGACCTACCTCTCAACCGTGCAACCAATTGAAGTCCAGCCTCAAGGGCTGGTGGCGACTTGCAGACGTGAGCAGTGATGAGGTTGTGCAAGTTGGTGTCTAATCGCTTCTCCAGGGTGGCCAAGAATGCATCACAAATGCGATTTACTTTGCTTTCCTTGGTAGGAATGCTGGCAATTGCTGCCTCTTCAGCCTTCTTCTGGAGAGTATCCTTGTAGAGGGTTTGGGAGACGTCCTCCTCGCTTGTGGAAATTAATACAACATCGTTGAATGGGCTCAGATAAATGACATACCTCAGACGCGAGATAAATTCATCGATGAAATCGATCCGCTTAACCTGGTCAATGAATAGCGGGATGTTCTCCATGAACTGCCCGGGAGCATAGTCATGAATAATGTTCATGTCCACCATCTGGCTACGGCAGCTCAGGAATGCATTCCTGTAGTCCTTTCTATCGATGAAGTTTCGGATGCCGGCGAGAACCAAGGCGCGAGGATAGATGGTCTCGATATTACCCCGAGGCATTTGCAAGACAACTGCAAACGTGGTGGGAATGACGCTCACCAAACGCCCGCCACGCTCGATGCTTCTGCATCTTTCGTCTAACTCGGGGGTATCGAGAGGCACATCCATGGCTAGAATGAAACGTCAACTATTTGTGGGAGACAATTTCGTGAGGATCCTAATCACCTTCGGGTCTGGTCAGATGAACGAATTTTAGAAGGTGTTGAGAGGTGGTAAACAAGATGTGGGCCTGGGTTGCCATGAATGAAGTGCAGTTCTTCGCGAGCAGTGTTTGATTCGCATAGAGAGCACCGGTTTTCGTCAGAGAAACCAGGACATGCTTGAGACAGTTAGCAGAATAATAGAAGTCGAAGAAATCGGCAGGTTTTACCTCGTCTTCGGATATTTGAGCAGCTTTAGCCCAGTAGGTATCGGCAGCGGGGCTTGAGGCAAAGGGGACAATATCAACCTCGTCCGGGGAGATGGTGTTGATGTAGGAGTAAGAAATTGGTTGGCCAGGTTTATTAACGTGTGAGAACCATAACGCCTCTTGACTCAGAGAAGGCAGGATTGAAACAACTTGCTCCCAATCGGCCGCTTGATACACGACACTGGTGGCTCGAGTCTCCAATGCCGTTCGCTCAATATCGGTACTATTGGGCCCGCTGCTTTTGAGAATGTAAACCTCAGTCTCATTGACGAAGGCGATTTGTCGGGGTCGGCTGTTGGGCGTGTTCGACAAGGGATAGCTCGATTCAAGTATAGGAGTGGCCACGGGTCTAGTCTTGAAGGACCAAAGATAGATAGAGAAGCTGTCTTCTGTGAGAACGGCCATTCGAGTTGTCGATTTGCTAAACGCCACATCGATGACATTCGAGTCTAGGGCGACTTCATTGTGAGCCAAAGGAGGCGGCACCCCCGACAATCTCAATGGGGTCAATTTCAAGATTTCTAGGTCAAGTCAGAGATGATTTTCGGGTTTTCTTGGAGGACGCAAGTGACCTACTTCCATCAATCACAGCCACGGCGCCGACATCACCCGGAGCAACCGTCGAGCTATGAGCAACGTCGAAAACAAACTCGACGTCGAGTATTGAGTCTGTCCAAAAGATATTAGTCAAGTCCACGATCTGTGAGAGGACATTAAATACCTGAGGCGCCGGCGACAAAGCGCAAAGCCTTCTCCTGGTGCCATTTGAAAGCAAAAGCATGAGCAGATTCAGGGTTTACTGCCACGGGGACCTCTTGCTTGAGATAGTAATGGTAATTGCCCATCGTCCAGAACTGGATCTTATCCTGGAACTGAACGGCGAGCACCGTCGAGTCGACGTTCCAGCTGAGATGAATGTTTGACGCCCATGACGATCGTTCCTTCTCGGTCAGTCGCAGGGTGAATTCGCCATGACGCAGACCGTTTCTTTCGAAGAACACAACGTCAATTTTATCCTCGAGTCGCTGAATGCTCGCAATGAGATTTCCATAGGGCCTCCAACTCAGAGCCCCCTCCAAGCCATCGACGGGTTCGCTGACGCTGTCCAAAGTACCCTCTCGCGAATAAACTCGGATAGCACGACGGATCCCGAACTCAACTCGGTTCACCGCAACGTAGGCGCCATCCCCGCGCCAGCTGATGGAGGTCCGTCCATCATCGTTGCTGCTTAGTTTCCCTTCGTCGACCTTCTCGGGGACGGTCGGATCCCGCAGAGCCTTCGCCCTCTTGCCCTGGAACTGCGTCTCCCGCTTACCCCAGCCCACCGACACGTGCTGGGACTGTTGCAGATTCTCGGGTGTCAAAGTGATGTCGGCCACGTTCTCAAACTCCCTCGTCATGTACAGGAATGTGTCAGCGCGAGTGGTAAGAGCCAGCAGCTCCTCGTCTGGCGACCAAGCTGCCGCCGTGATACCCACATCGACCGAGCCCACAATCTCGATCTTGTCCTCGCCGGGCAGCGGTTCTTCGCGCACGATGACGATGTCACCTCCCTCGAGGACCAGGCAGGCTGTGAGATTGTCGGCAAAGTAGTGCAGCGAAAGAACGCGATCACAGGGCAGGTCCGGCAAAGGACAGGGCGCATCCCAGGATGCGATACATTCAAAGGCATCGGCCGCCACCGGGTCCGAAAAATAGGCATCCTGGCGCTTTCTTCTCAATTCAATGACCGGATTGGCTTGTGTCGGACCAAAGGTGCAAATGACAGCATCACAGGCGGTATCCCAGGCCGTCGCAGTTAGCGGAAGCTCATTCTGGAGCTGCACCTCGGCGAGGCGCACGTTTTTGAGGTTGCGCATGTTCTAGAGAGAGTATTGGGACTCTTTTTTTACCCCGCCATGAATCGACCGCAATTTGACGGGAGGAAACGACGGTCACGATGATTCCGACCAGGATATTAAAATAGGAATTAATTAAAATTCCCACGGTGCTAGAGAATCCTCCTGGGTCCGTCAAGAGGGAGAGATGCGGAGGGGAGTCTTTCTGGAGATTGGCGGAGCCGCAAAGACATGCCCGAATTTTGATTTTCCTCCCCCAAAAAAGAAAAAAGGAAAAAAAAAAAAAAACCAGCCAATGACTTCATCCAGATTGAAGATGCATCGGCCCATCCACAACCCCCGTTTCCACTCGTCATCACTACGCTTTTTTATACGAGCTCTCTCCAGTCTCTACGAGTTCAATTCAACCAGAAAAAACATCTCCATTTCCCCAACAGGGACAATTCGCTAGCTTTATACAGGATATCCGACCGCTTCCAATCTAGGGTACATTTTCGACCGTTTCCCAAGATCCCATGGTGCGAAGAAACACGGCGCAAGAAAGCATTTACCGGGTCTTGTAGGTCTGCCAGACTAGAGGAAGGAAGAGGGTTAGTCAATGGAACAGCGCAATCCGTAGTGGGACCCTGAACATACCAGCAATGCCGAAGGGAGCACCGAATCCGGTGACTAAAAGGCATGACGGTCAGCACAATCCATCTCGAACCACCCCGGACGTCCCTCGATCGGGTCCACCTACTCATGAACGCCCAGTATCTGAAGAAGAAGTACTTGGTGTTGGGGTTGAAGGGAATGTTGGAGCGAGGGCCCTCGGCGTAGTGGTACGGGCTGCCGAGCTGGGCACGGGTGGTGGAAAAGCCACGGCGGGCAACGAAGGAGGTGGCCATACGGGCCCGGAGAGCGGTGGCGGCGTTCATCTGGGAGAATTGGACGTTAGAGACGATGCCAGGCCACGGACGGACGATTGGCAGCAGCAACGCACCTTGGAAGAGGGACGGTCGGCGAGGATGGGAGAGAGCAATCAAACCATCGACGGAGAGCAGGAGCGAGCGGAATCATTCGATCAGCCGGTCGGCGCGGCTCGTCCGGCGCTCACGTGAAGCGCCCCCGAACGGCAAGTTTCTCCGGCGGCGAGAGTTTGCGCTGCCCAATCACACGCCGCCTTCCTAAAAGAATCATTGAAATTTCTCCGGCTGCGTTTGAGGAAGCACAAAGAACGTCTCGCATCCACACTAGTCGTGTCTCCCAGGTGGCTGACCAGCGGCAATGGATGAGCTTTTCGACGTTTTTGAGGACCAGCCCCAGCCGGCCAAGCCCGCCGGGGGTGCGCCTAAACGGTCCAAGAAAGACAAGAGCAAGAAGCGGCAGGTCAATGGCGACGTGAAGGACCCCGTCGATGTCGCAAAGGTGAGGGAGGAGGAAGCTCCCGCGGTTGATGCGCCTGCCGAGGAGCCTGCGAAGGAGGAGTCCGAGGAGGCTCCGGTCGCCAGTGATACCAACGATCAACCGGATTCGAAGCGGCCGCGACTCGAGAAGGAGAAGGAAGAGGACCCCGTGGTGGCCGATTCGTTCGAAACCGCCCAAGAGCGCGAGATCACCGGTTCTACAGGCCTTCAGGCGGCGAACGATCCCGCGTCAGTCGTCGTGTCTCACCAAGTGCGACACCAGGTTGCGATTCCTCCGAACTATCCTTACGTGCCTATCTCCCAACATAAACCGCCCGAGAACCCCGCCCGCGTGTGGCCGTTTACTCTCGATCCCTTCCAGCAAGTCTCGGTGGCATCGATCCAGAGAGAGGAGAGTGTGCTGGTGTCGGCTCATACCAGTGCCGGAAAGACGGTGGTGGCCGAATATGCGATTGCGCAAAGTTTGAAAAACAACCAGAGAGTCATCTATACCAGTCCGATCAAGGCTCTCAGCAATCAGAAGTATCGAGAATTTGCGGCCGAGTTTGGAGACGTTGGTTTGATGACCGGTGATGTCACCATCAACCCTACGGCTACTTGCCTGGTCATGACCACGGAGGTAGGTTTGCTCCGGTATAGCGACAATCTGCTCGGGCTGATATGGTTTCACCTATAGATTCTGCGTTCCATGTTGTATCGTGGCTCTGAGATCATGCGCGAAGTCGCATGGGTGGTTTTTGACGAAATTCATTACATGCGCGATTCGAGTAGGTCTCATCGAATTGGGCGTTGACTTTTTTTTTTTTACGATCACTAACAGGCGACGCAGTACGAGGTGTGGTATGGGAGGAAACCATCATCCTGCTACCCGATAAGGTTCGATATGTCTTCTTGTCCGCGACAATCCCCAACGCCTTGCAATTCGCCAATTGGATCACGAAAATGCACAACCAGCCTTGTCACGTTGTGTACACCGATTTCCGACCGACGCCCCTGCAGCATTACTTCTTCCCTGCCGGATCCGAGGGAATTCATTTGATTGTCGACGAGAAGGGCCAGTTCCGGGAAGAAAACTTCCAGAAGGCAATGAGTGCCATTGCAGACAAGAAAGGCGACGACCCTGCTGATGCATTGGCCAAGCGGAAAGGCAAGGGCAAGGACAAGAAGCTGAACAAGGGTGGCAACGACGGTCCGAGCGACATCTACAAGATTGTCAAGATGATCATGCTCAAAAGCTATAACCCGGTGATTGTTTTTGCCTTTAGCAAGCGTGAATGCGAGTCAGGTGCTCTGCAGATGAGCAAGTTGGCTTTCAATGACGATTCTGAAAAGGAGATGGTTTCCAAGGTTTTCAACAGTGCGATTGAGATGTTGTCCGAGGAAGACCGCAACCTGCCTCAGATCCAAAATCTTCTGCCACTTCTTCGAAGAGGTATTGGTGTCCATCACTCGGGTCTTCTTCCGATCTTGAAGGAAACCATCGAGATCCTTTTCCAGGAGGGACTTATCAAGGTTCTCTTCGCCACCGAGACGTTCTCGATCGGTCTGAACATGCCGGCCAAGACTGTCGTCTTCACAAGCGTGCGGAAATTCGACGGCTTCAGTCAGCGTTGGGTGACGCCGTCTGAATTCGTCCAGATGTCCGGTCGCGCGGGTCGAAGAGGTCTCGATGACCGTGGTATTGTGATCATGATGGTGGGCGAAGAAATGGACCCTGCCGTAGCGAAGGAGATTGTTCGCGGTGAACAGGACCGATTGAATTCGGCGTTCCATCTGGGTTATAACATGGTTCTGAATCTCATGCGTGTGGAGGGGATTTCGCCCGAGTTCATGCTTGAGAAGTGCTTCCATCAATTCCAGAACACGGCGGGTGTCGCCGAGCTTGAGCAAGAACAACGCGAGTTGGAGGTGAAAAAGGCCAATATGGAAATATCCGATGAAGGCACCATTCGCGATTACTACGATCTAAGGAAACAACTACGCCAGTTTTCGGACGATATCCAGGCGGTCATGAGCCATCCCAACCATTGTCTCTCCTTCCTGCAGCCCGGTCGGTTGGTTCACATCACATACAAGGACCAAGACTTCGGCTGGGGAGTGGTCGTTAACTACAAGCAACGTAAACCGGCGAAGGGCTCTTCCGAGGAATTTGTCGACAATCAAAAGTACATTCTCGACGTTCTATTGAACATTGCCGACGGGCCATCGGTGGCCACCAAAACGTTCGAGGACTTGCCCGCCGGGGTCCGACCAGCGACGGAGAACGAGAAGACCCGGATGGAGGTTGTTCCTGTCACTCTCAGCTGTCTGCGATCGATTTCGCACGTACGAATCTTCTTACCGAAGGACGTCAACTCCAAGGACACGAGGAACAGCGTGAAAAAGGCTCTGGCCGAGGTTCAGAAGCGTTTCCCCGATGGCATCGCCGTGCTCGATCCGATCGAGAACATGAACATCAAGGATGACGGTTTCAAGAAACTGCTCAGGGTAAGAAAACGGCACTCGTTCCGAACCCCAGAATCAAAGTATACATGCTAACATGCGAGCGAACTACAGAAAGTGGAGGTTCTCGAATCCCGCCTGCTCTCAAATCCTCTGCATAATTCGCCCCGGCTGCCCGAGCTCTACGAGCAATATTCCGAGAAGGTCGAAATCGGTAATAAGATCAAGGCCACGAAGAAGAAGATCTCCGAAGCGATGGCGATCCTGCAGCTTGACGAATTGAAATGCCGCAAGCGAGTACTTCGTCGGTTTGGATTTATCAACGAGGCCGAGGTCGTGCAGCTGAAGGCCCGAGTCGCCTGTGAAATTAGCACGGGTGACGAGCTGATGCTCAGCGAGCTCCTGTTCAACGGTTTCTTCAACAAGCTGACCCCGGAGCAAGCGGCGGCCGTTTTGAGTGTCTTTGTGTTTGAGGAGAAGACAAAGGAGACCCCTGCACTGACGCGAGACGAGCTTACGAAACCCCTCAAGGAGATCCAAACGCAGGCTCGGATCATCGCCAAAGTGTCGCAGGAATCCAAGCTAGCGGTCAACGAGGAGGAGTACGTCCAGAGTTTCCACTGGGAGCTGATGGAGGTCATCTACGAATGGGCGAACGGCAAGTCGTTTGCCGACATCTGGTAAGCTTGCATCCTGGTGGCCGGACTATGACGTGTGTCAAGATTGCTAACGGGATGGAAAAACAGTCTGATGACGGACGTCTACGAAGGCAGTCTCATTCGAGTCTTCCGCCGATTGGAGGAGTGTCTGCGACAAATGGCACAGGCCGCCAAGGTGATGGGAAGCGAGGAATTGGAGAGTACTTTTGAAACGGCATTGACGAAGGTGCGCAGGGACATCGTTGCTGCCCAGTCCCTGTATCTGTAAATCAACTCGAATCAAATCCAGACAAGGGAGAGGCTGTATGTATGTACTTAATGATTGGATTGGATTGATACTCCGTGGCACCGGGGTCCTTTGTGGTCGCATTTCCCTGGCGTCGGAGACGAGGAAACCCAAAAGAAGAGAACGACTTCGTGTGATTTTAAATCGATATGATATTTTCATTCATAGGAATGTAGACTCCGTAATTTCCTAATTTCCTAATTTCCCATGCCCAGGATGGGAGAATGACACTGCAGGTGACATCGTGCCGACGAGATGAAGATGTAACGACCGGCCGGTCAAAGTAAAACCGCAACCTGCGCAGGTGGTGCACGTTGCCTCCCGCAACCAACCGCCTTCCCACCGCTTCTCTGCTTTCTTTCTCTCTCGCTCGCTCTCTCGTTCTCTCTCGGCCTTTCTCTTCCCCACCAACCCAACTCGGCCTTTCTCCTTCATCTCTTCAATCCTGCATTTTGTCTTTCCCTTGCGTTATCTCGTTCTCTTTCTCCTGTCCTATCTCCTCCCCCTACGCATCACCCCCCCAATACTCCCCTACCCTACCCTACTCACTTCCTTTCTCTCCCTCGTGCCCACGTTTGAATTTCCTGTCAGCCACCCCAACCCGGTTTCGCTCGTTATTTTCTTGTCCCATCCTCCGGCTGTCTGTGGTCAGTCATCATGAACAGCGTGGTGGCTACACCACCTGTGCCTCCCCATTTTTACGAGTACTCTCGTCTGTCGTCTCCTCGTCCAAGTGAGTCCCCCCAGCCTTCGGTTCACCGCCGCTGCTTTTTGACCGGCAGTTTTACTGACTCGAGGTTGCTCTAGTGTCTACACCAAGCCACACTCCCAACAACCGAAAACGGAAAGCCGACGACGATGGCAACGATCACGATGGACGCATGTCAGCGTCTCCAACCAGTTCGCCCGCATTCACTCCTCGATCTCTTCCGCCCGCGAGAACATGGAAACGAGCCCGTCCAAATGTGAGCGGGAGGCCTCTGGCTCTCCCCCGGTTGCTGGAGACTTTGGATACCGATGCTCTCCGGGGCGTCCTCCGATCCATGTGCGAACGTCACCCGGCTCTAGTCGATGAAGTCGTTCACACGGCTCCTCGCCCGAGCGTCTCCGGGGCTCTTCAGGTGCTCCGCAACTACCAATCCGCTCTTCAGTCCTCCTTCCCCCTGGGTGGCAACCCCGAATCCGATTACGCCTACAACCGAGTCCGACAGCCTCTGGGGAATCTTCTCGATGCCCTGGGTGATTTCACGCCACATTTCCTTCCTCCCAACGAAACGCAGGCTTCGATATCCTTGAGCTACTTGGACGACGCCACCGAGATCATCCATGCATTGCCACGATGGAACACCCCCCAAAACAACATAGAGCGGGACTCTGCGTACGACGAAATCTGCAAGGCTTGGATTTTGGTGATTCGGGAGGCTGCTAAACGCGGCGGGGGCATTCAACTACAATACGGCGGCTGGGATCAGAAGTTGGCGAAACACAACCAGAACTCCGGTGGTAAGCTGCAGGCGGCCGTTCACGAGCTTGGATCCAGCCTGGGATGGATGCACGGGCCAGACAACCAGGGTTATGGAAACCCAGGGCATAGCAACGATTTTGGTTCTATCCGGGACCAGCTCCTGTCGGGCACCTACGGACTCGGAACTCCCGTCAAAGTTGGGCCATGGTAGAGCCCCTATTCATCAACGACCTATTCTCACTCCACCATCCATCATCCATCATCCAAGCGTCATCCACAAGTCTCATTCAGAGTTGCTGTTTGGATGCTCGGCCGCACATGTCCACGTATGATACGATCACGATACCAACCGCATTAACTAGACAGCTGGGGGTCAGCTTGGCGTTTACATTGTGCTAAGAGATATTATGCGTCTCTTCTTTTCTTTCTCATTTCTTTTTTTCCCTTTTTTTCTTTTTCTTTTTCATTTTCTTTTCCCTTCTGGTGTGTCACATTTTTACCAAGCCAAGGCCAGACACTTTTCTCGTTTCCTTCCTCAACATTCCCCACCGTTCTTTTAGATTTCAAGTTGATGGTTCGGGGTCTTATTATTAGCCTGTTTCGTTGCATCATGTCATTGCATTGGTCTAAGAAATCGCGGCTATCGTCATTCGTTGACATCTCTTTTCCTTTCTTGTTTTCGTTGTCCACAATCAACATCTCGGAAGCTTCGTGAAACTATGTTCACGTATTACTGGGCCCTTCTGTATGTCTTGTATACCCTTGTCATTTTCCTTTTTTTAATCTTTTCTTTTTCTTGTCCTTTCGTTCCTTATCCTTTCCTTGTAATTTCTCTGAGTCTTTCTGGTGGTTGGCATTTTGTTTCATCCAGTTTTCTGTTTCCGATGTCATTTTCCATCGCTTGGGAGGATAAAGTTAATATGGCGAAAAACATCCAATCCCCGGGTCGGTTACGTGTCAAGTAAAAAAAAAAAAAAATCAAGAATACCCCTACGAATTACGCCGGTGCTTATGGGCAGATTACGCAAAGATGAAACCGGCCAACTCATACAGGACCCATCTCAGATGCAGGGGTGCGACTAGCCAGAGTGAGGCGAGTTGATGGATCCGTCCAAGAGGCTGGGAGAGAGTTATTGGTATCTGAAGGTAATTGAGGTTGATTCGGTATGGGTAGTATGGGGCAAGAGTACACAAGAATATGCTTTTTAGGGGGTGCGAATTGATTTGAAGGCGGGTGCAATAGATATGTCGCAAGTGTATGTTGGAGACATTTCCATTCTCGCCTCGAAGTAGATCTTTCGCAGTAGTATTTTAGACCAATAAACCCAGATTAAATGAGGTACATGCGCCTCTTTAGAAGGCCAAAAAGAGGAGGGGGAAAAGAAAAGAGACCAGTAGCATCGACTTCTACTCTGTAGAGTTCAGAGTTCAGATCAAAAGTCGTTTCACCGTCCGGAACAACCATCCAGCATCCTCCCAGCCTCCCAACTCTCCAGGCTTCTCGCCCACGGTGCCGACTTCTATCTCGCTCGCAACAGAAACACCATCGTCATTATCCACCGAGCCCGGCCCTAACGTATCACCGCTATGGTCACCGATAGTCAACGGTTCCTCGGTAGTTATCTCCACATGTTTTGTCGGACGCTCCGCGGGATCGGGGTCACTGGAAGACAACAGCGGCCAGTCCTCCACGCCGAATAAGGTCCATTCTACCATGCGATCGATCCAGCTACCCAGCCCGAAGCCTCGCTCCCGCGTGAGACGCTGCAGCTCCTGCTCGTCCATCTCGTCTTCTGAGTCCCAGGACTTGTCTGACTCGGACGTAGAATACTCCTCTGCCTCCTGCCGGATGGATTCCATCTCCGCACGGATCCGCTCGTCCACAAAGTCTGGCACCAGATGCCGTCCTTCATCCGCCGGACTGGCTCCGTGGATGGGAGTGTGACTGCTGCCACCGGCCACGGCGGAACCCATGTCGAGACTGGTCATGGCCAAGTCCGGGCGACTGTTTCTTCGGCTGACGGCGCGCGAACCATGTCGAGAATGCGCGAGAGGTGTAGACCGGCCCGACTTCGTGCGGCGATTTGACCTCCCATGCAATCCTGCCGCGCTGTTACCATCATAGACCCCTTCAGAGACTAGACTTGTCGAGCTTTCCCTCTTCGCCAGCCAACTCTGCCCTTTTTCTTCGCGGGTCGACGATGCCAGCGCGATGCCCGCACGTAGCATCCACTCGGTATCGCGACGGCCCGTCGACTCCGACGGGTAGCCTTGTTTCACCGACGAGGAATTACGATGCTTCGACAGATCGTCCCCGACGTGATGTCGCTGGTGCTGGTGCTGGTGCTGGTGCTGCTGATGATGCAACGGCTGTCCGGCTGCCACCCCTTGGCCCTGAAGATTGGTATCGCTCAGATTCATGCGGCCGGAGCTCTTACTGCGCTGGTGGTGCCGCACGCGGGACCCGCTGCGGGAGTGCGAATGGGACAGCACGCCCGGGGTGCCGGGGACGGAGTAGCTGGACAGGTAGGAGATCCGGGGCGAGAAGGCGGACTTGTCCTCGTCATGATGGGGATTACGCGCGGAAAAGTAGTCACCTCCTGCGCCTGGCGAGAGATCATCCTCGTCATCGTCGATGGGGAAGCGAGGCGTTAACGGGGCCAACGAGATGTGGTTCAGTGATGGGTAGGAGCGGCGCGAGCGAAACCCGCCCGGGGAACGGGAAAACTGGGGAATGGCCATTGATTAGTTATTTGTTGTGGTTGTAGTAGGTAGTGCCCCTTGACCCGGCTTGGTATTAGATTTGGGGGTTTAATTTCACGTACATCCATTCAGAAAGCGGAGGGAGAGGGAGGAGCTAGTAAATATAATAGAGGTTTTCAGGACAATGAAGGAACCGGAGGCGAGGAGGAAGAAGAATCGCCTGACGTCGAGGAAGGAGAAAGCCGGCGCTCGGTGGCATGTGAAATGCGGGCACCAACGGCGCTTCTCCCACCGGCCTGGTGGTGTGGTCGATGGCAGTCGCTGGCATGGTTTTCTTTATGATGAGCAGGATATCTATTATTGGACTGTCGGATTCTGATGGATGGACTTGATGCAAGATCGAAATTACCATAGCATCAGTAACTTACCCAGCAATTAATAGTTCTACGGAGTCACAACCGGCGAAGGGAAGGAATCCCGACTAACGATAATTCCGGAGAAAAAAGACCAAGTGGACTCACCGCCTTGTCCCGATCGGGCAGCTCCCCACACCGCCTCTTGTCCCGAACAGGCCTAGCGCGGTCACCGTCGATCCCTGCCGAATCCAGCGCCGGGAAGCTGTGCTGTGCGTCAACCATCGCCAGCCAACTGGTCCAGACGCCATCCCATCCTCCCGTCGCTGCGGCACTCTTTCAATCGTTAATTGCCGTCTCGGTCTCTTCTCTCTCGTTTGACTCCTATCCACTATCTCTAAAGTATCTGCAACCCCTCCCTCGATTCGATCCCTCTTGCCGCTGTCATCGTCGTCTCTCCACATCGTCCTCCCCACATCCCGGGCCCAGCCATCATGGCTGAAGAGGAAAGTAGGCCTCTGTTGCAGGAGGACCACAGCAGACCTCCCATTCATCGATCGGCTTCGACGGATAAGTCATCGCCCTCGAACTTGGCCGAAACCCCCCGACCATTCGAACTGTCCTCGGAATCGACTCCTCTGCTCCTTCGTCGGGAAGATGAGCCGTGGAACTATGGCGGCGTTGAAACGAGAAGGTCCTCATCATCCGAGGACCATGACTCCTCTTCCGATGGGAACCTGAAAACTCCCCGACGCAAATTGGGCTGGCCCCTTTTTTGTATCGTCCTTACCCTGACCGCTATTCTGGCCATCTTGATCTTTGCCTTTGTGGCACCGGCGGTTGTGAAACAATACGTGAAGGAGGCGGCCGTCTTCCACCCCACAAACGTGTCCATTGAGTCCGCCACAGAGAACGGAGTGCAGACCAAGGTCCAAGGCGACGTCGTGCTGAAGGCAGATCGCGTGCAGCGAACCTCAGTGCGGAACTTGGGTCGGTTTGTCACCTGGATTGGGAGAGAGGTTGAGACGGGCGAGTCGGACGTCCAGGTATACCTTCCGGAATACGGAAATATCCTCGTCGGCACGGCGTCTCTACCTTCGATCAAAGTCAACATCCAGAATGGCCATGTGAATCATGTCGGTTTTCTGGCGGAGCTGGTGGCCGGCGATATCAAGGGGATTCGCGCGGTGGCGATGGACTGGTTAGACGGAAGGCTTGCGCGGTTAAGGGTCAACGGGAAGACAACAGTAAAGCTAAGATCGGGAGTGTTGGACTTGGGAGAGCAAACATTGATGGAGTCTTTCATCTTTGAAGGTAAGCTTCTCGGATAAGCCCTCCGGGTTGGGGTGTCACTCACACGATTTACCAGGAGACGATTTCCCTCAGCTGCCTACTGTCAACATCTCCAGGTTCGATGTACACGATGCAGATCCGTCGCAAGGGAAAGGGGCCATGGAAATTGACGCTTCGGTCGCTTCCTTCGTCAATTCACCTTTTGCTCTCAGAATCCCCCCTCTGGGATTTAATGTACTAGTGCCTAATTGTTCACCTGGTGACCCCTATATTTCTGTCGCGGACGTCACGACCAAGGAGTTTCCAGTCACCCCCGATCAAATGACTTCGGTTGACATCGTTGGGATCATTCGGGGTCTCTCCGACGAACTGACGAAAACTTGTCCCGGAAAGAAGACCTCGCCTTTGGATTTCCTGGTGAAGAGTTATATTCGCGGTCTTCCAACCACAGTTTATGTCCGTGGAGCAGAAACGCCCGTCTTGGGCGCCCCCGAATGGATGGTGGATATCTTGAAAAGCGTGACAGTTCCCTTGTCGTTCACGGGACACGCCCTGGATAACCTCGTCCGAAATTTCACCATGTCGGACGTTCACTTTGCGCTGCCGAATCCTCTCGCAGATCCCGACTCCCCGGAGTCTCAGCCAAGGGTGTCCGCACTGTTGAAAGTACTGATTGGATTACCGAAGCAGCTGCATCTCCAAATGGATGTTCCCCGTGTTCGCGCCTTCGCCGACGTTTTCTATCACGGGAATAAGCTCGGTGTTCTGAGGTTGCCAAAATGGCAACCGGCCAATTCGACCACCGTCGAAGGGAAGGACTCCCCTGGTCTACTCGTGGAATTCGGCATGAAGAATGCTCCTTTGGACGTGACAGATGAGGACGTTTTGACCGAGGTTCTCCAAGACTTGATCTTTGAAGGAGAGCCAGTCAACCTCACAGTTGCCGCGAACGTGGACGCTGAAGTCTCCACAGGACTAGGGAAATTCGCCATTCGTGGAATCCCAGCAGAGGGACAGGTCAATGTGAAACGTAAGTTGTGGAAAAATAATATCAGACCCGGAAGAGCTAGTCATTGACCCATACACAGCGCCTTATGGCGGCATCATCGACCAAGTCAAGCCGCAGATAGAATCGCTGGCGCTGGGGCCTACGACTGAATCATCGTTCGTTGTGAATACGAAAATCAATGTCACCAACCCGTCTCCATACTCTGCCTCGGTGCCATTTGTGGATCTCCTGCTGGTCTACAACACCACTAGGGTCGCCCATGTCACTGCGCGTGACTTAACGCTTGTCCCGGGTGTGAACTCGGGCCTGCCCGTTGACTTGAAATGGAGCCCTCTTGAACTAGACGGCCCTGCTGGTCAGGGTGCAGGCCGAGAGTTAATCTCTGAATATATATCAGGTGAGCTTAGTAGTAAATGCGCGCCGGGTGATGTGCTTCGCATCTGACACTTTTCATTAATAGGTGCAAACACTACCGTCACAGTCCAAAGTTACAACGGAACAATCCCCTCGCTGCCGCAGCTTGGAAAAGCGCTGTCTAAGCTCGGGTTTGATGTTCAGATCCCTAGGGTTCCCGTCCGACGGGCTCCTGGCAAGGAGCCGGAAGACGATCAGGGGCCGGGATTTATTCAAGATGCCACGGTATTATCTACTTTCATGGAAGTTGTTTCTCTTCACGACGATCACACTTCATAAGATCCGTGTAACCTACGGGGAATGTGCCTCTGTTTAAGGACTGTGCTTCAAGAAGAGAAATCTTTCCGCTTTGGCTAACTTGCAGACTGCCACTAGCTACATCTCTGGTCATCAACGGCCGAATTCACGCTATCGTCGCCTTTACCCAATACTACCATCGAGATTACCTCGATAGACGCCAAGGCGTTCTACGAGCACGACGAAGAGGTTGGCAGCATCAATTACTATCGCCCCTTCGAGATACCGCCGGGTCTCTCGCGGACTCCTCGGTTACCCGTGAACTTGGACCTCGATGGGATTGGCTACGATGCCCTCAAAAAGGCCTTGGGGGGCTCACTCGCACTAGATGCGGTGGCCAAAGTTGGCGTTCAGGTTCGAAACTACAGCGATATCATCATATATCATGGCAAGGGGATCAAATCGCGGGTTCGAATCTAAACTTCCCTGGGCGTTATATTTATCAGGCGTATTTTGCTTTCGTTTACCCTGGTTGTCTATTATTCCCCGGCCATTGCCATTCGTGCTGTCCCCGGGGATCTGGGTTCTGGGGAGGTTGGCGTTCACGAATAGATTTGCTGATTTTCTGCCTGTCAAGATTGCATCAGGCTTTGGTTAATTTTTTTTTCGGTCAATTCAAACATATTGTGATCATATTGGTGTCTTTGAAACGTTTTCTTTTGGAAATTTTGCACCAGGACGATGTCTAATCTTCACGATCACCTTAATACAAGGATGTTGTTTCAATTCACTGAGAAAGGTACAAGACCAATGAGGTATGCATTCACAGCATCCAATTGGGTTCAGAACTGGAGCCGATGGACAATTAAAAGATACAGGAATAATTAGAGAAACAGAATGCAGGAGTCCAGAATACCTGATTCTCGAAGCATTGGGCAAATGTTACAATGGAACTAGCTGCTTTAAAACAAATTTCTTCATATCGGGCATAGGTTCTTCTTTTAGCCGGGAGGAAGGGTGCTGGCATCGACGACGTCAGCGGCCTCCTTCTCGATCTCCTCATGGGGCTCCGAGAGGGGAGAGCGAGGCAGAGCCATCAGACCGGTTCGGGTAGACTCCAGGATACCAAAGGGGCCGATGAGCTTCATGAAAGAATCGATACGGGAGGGCTTGGCCGAGCTATTGACAATCATTAGCAATCGTTGCGTTACCTCGTCTGATCTCGGTGCAAGAAGAACTTACATCTCCACAATGCAGTTGTTGGTGCTGATGTCCAAAACCTTGCCGCCAAACTGATGAGTCAAGCGGGTGATGGCATCGAGATGCTCGTGCTTGTGTCTCAACGCCTGACTGTGAGGCAGGTTGCGAGGGTGGTATTCGGGCTTGCGGGCCTGAACTTCGCCCTTCTCCTTCTGGCCCTCGACGGTCTCGCCGGGGGTAGTGATCTCGCGGTGGTGCTGGAGCAGCTCCTCGAAGAACTCGGGGCCGAGGATGCTGACCTTGGCCAGGAGCAGCTCACGCTGCACCAGCGCCGAATCCGTGTAGTCGAGCACGGCCCACACGGGGACGAGATCGTCTAGTTGCCGACGGGCCTGCTCGACGACACCGTCTTGACCCTGCAGCACGATGGTCATACGGGACAGGTCCTCAACCTCGGTGTTGCAGACGACCAAGCTGTCGATGTTGAAGCCTCGGGCTGCCAGAATTCCCGACACACGGGAGAGCACACCGGGCTCGTTCTGCACCAGGCAGTTCAGAACGTGCCGCTTCGGCGGGTTGGTCGGAGTAACGGGGGTCTCGTACAGAATCGACGAGACGGCCGTGGGAGCGTCCCATTGCGGGGAGGCATCCGACACGGGTAGAGGAAGGGGAGAGCGGCGATGCAGCGCCTTGTAGGCGAGGGCGGAGGTCGAACTGGACGAGGCGCGAGAGGTGGTGAATCGGGGAAGCGTGGCTGCGACACCAGAAGTTTTGCAGGCCACGGACCGGAGAGGCGCCGACGCTGTCGACGACAGCATCAGGGGACGCCGGAAAGCCATGATCTCCCGGATGGTTACCTGCAACCGACAGGCAAGCAAATTGAGGGGGAGATAGGACTGAGAGGAGGTGAGACCGTCGACTGGGGAAACGGGTAAGAGATGAGGATTGCAGTCATCGATCGCATTTTATGCTCGCCTTCCGACGTCGGGGGCGCTGACTCATCGCGTATGTCACGTACGCCGTGACAGTACCGCCAGCCCCGGTTGGGCCTAGCGCCGTTACGGGCACATGATCGCCAGCGTCTGCGACTTTCGCCTTTCCTTCTTTCGGACTTTTTGCGCTTCGTCGTCGAGTCGACGGAGTATATTGACTACATCAGACCAGCTGGAGGCCTGCCTTGGATTCTGTTCTCTTCTGCCCTGGCTGCTAGTCAATCCCCAATCTCCCCTCGGCTCTCTCACTCTCTTGCGCCATCTTAACTACGTCGCCATTACCATTGGCTCTGGTGCGCTAGCGTCCACTAACCAACCGGACTGATTGTCTGAACTCCACAGACCTCCGAGAAAAGAAAGTCCTTCAGTGTTGTTCTGGCCCGTCTGACTAGGCTTGCCTATCCCTGCAGCGCATCTTCCCTTTTTTCTCTCATTACACTTTGACATCCTCGGTCACCGTTTGGACCGTCCAATAACCTCATCATGGCCGACGACGACCGCCGTCCCAAACGTTCTCGCTTCGACCAGACCGAGCCTGAGCCGCGCCGGCCTTCTCGATTCGACCGTCGTTCTCGCTCTCCTTCCTCGCGACAATCCGAAACGACTCGCACTCGCAGTCCTCTCAGTCGAGAGGCGCGCAGCCCCAGCGCAGGGACCCCGAAGAACTCCGCTGCGGATCCCGCCGCTGCTGCCGGTATGATAAGAATCTCCCTTGTCCGTCATGAGAGAGTGTGTGGGTTCGGGAAGGCTGACTGGAGGCAAACGTCACAGCTGCCGCTGCGGCCAAGATCAATGCCCAATTGCAAGCGAAGAAGGGAATCCAGCACGTGGATGTTCCTCCGATCCGTTCGGTGAGTCCAATACCGCATTGCGATTCGGCCATTTGCTTGTTCGGGTTACTAACCATCCTATTCTCTACCTAGACTGACAGTCCCGCGCCCCAATCCGGTTCGCCGTCCGGTGCAGATGCTTCAGGGAAGTTGAATGAGGAGATATATGTTGCCGATGGTGATTATATCCGGGATATCGAGATCAATGACCTGCGCAACCGCTATACACTGACTAAAGGCTCTACTCAAAAGATGGTAATTATTCCTGTTGCATCCGCTGATATTCCAGGCACCTTTGCTCGCAAACCGCCTTCTGCCGTGGCCATTCTCTCTTTTCTTTCCTGCTTCTGTTCTTTCATTTCTGTCTCTCGTTTGGTCGTGGCTAAAGCTTACCCGAGTTTTAATCATCCATAGCTTCCCACTTACCCTCATTTGCATCTGCTGACCTCCGCTACGTGACATCTAGATTAAAGAAGAAACTGGCGCCGGTACGCCTTCATTCCATGTTCTACTGCTGTCAACGTTATATTCTAGGAAGGAAGCTCATGATTATTCTAATTAAGATGTCACCACTCGAGGAAATTATTACCCGGATAAGAGCATGGCCACCGCTGCGGTATGTCATTATGCCCTTCTGAGGAAGGAAACCTTGGCTAACACCGGGATATTACTTTTGACAGAATCCCCCGCTTTACCTGCATGTCACGAGCACGAACAAGGACGGGCTGGAGCAGGCCGTGGTCTTGATCGATGAACTCATGAAGAAGGAACTCCCCAACTTGGTCGATGAACGGCGATTCCGTCGTCGGGAACCAGAGCCGGTGGAGCGTGACGAATATGGCCGTGTACGGAAATGCTCAGCGAGCATGTCTTTGAATGTGAATTGCTAATGTGCTGCAGCGTAAATGGCCCGAGGAGCGAATCCCCGTGGACCTCGAGCCGCTTCCTGGCTTCAACCTTCGTGCGCAGGTTGTCGGACAGGGTGGCGCATACGTCAAACATATCCAGCAGAAGACTCGGTGCAAAGTCCAAATCAAGGGCCGTGGCTCCGGGTTCATGGAATCCAGTACCGGCAGGGAAAGCGACGAGCCCATGTTCCTGCACGTGGCGTAAGGATTCCTTTCCCTATCTTGATGGATTTGAACGTTATCATTAACTTGACCGTGACACAGTGGGCCCGACCCCAATGAGGTCCAGAATGCGAAGGAGCTCTGCGAGGATCTTTTGGCCAATGTCCGAGAGCAATACCAACGCTTCAAGGAGAACCCACCCCAGCACAACTACGGCGGCGGAGGCTACGGCCAGCACGGAGACCGTTATCAATATGGAGGTGGGAATTACGGCGGTGGATACGGAAACCACCAGCACCAAAACTCGCCCTCTGCCTCTGCGACCCCGACTGCGCCTGCAGCATCCACGGCGTCCGGAGCAGGAAGTCCGACGGACTACAGCGCCCAGTATGCGCAATACTACGGATCCGACCCTTACGCTGCCTACGGCGGCTACCAAAACTACGTCGCCTACTACCAGTACTATCAACAAGCTGCCCAGCAGCAGCAGCAACAGTCACAGAGCCCTGCTCCTCCTCCCCCTCCTCCGGCTAGCGAAGCGCCGCCTCCGCCGCCTCCTGGCTCGGGTTCTCCCCCTCCCCCTCCGCCTGGTGGCAGTGGCTACAGCGCCGTAAGGACAACAACCCCAATCCCAGATTCTCAAGCAGATGGATGATACTGACCAGCAATGGATTAGGTCCCTCCGCCGCCCGGACTATAGAGCTCCTCTAGAACGTGCATAGCAAACGTCGTTGCATGCTAGAGCTGGTCCATGGCCTCGATGTCTCAACAAGGCGCCCGCATACGCCGCCATTCGACATGAAAGTCAAGCGTGGTGGCTTCCGTTTTTGTAAACCTATTCTATCCTTTCTTCCCTTCCTATGAGTTCAAATGATGGGGTTGATTCGCCCTCCCGAAGCCTGAATAACACAAATTGGAGTCGAGTATTTCCCTTTCTGTATTGCAGGCCTGCTTTTGGTCCAATGTGGGTTTTATCTACGTAGAGGGTCTAGGCTCCCACAAATCCTAATTGCTCGATCTATTGGCACGTTTTGTTCAAACTCACTTCATAATCGCATTAGTAAACATAAATCCTCGTCCACCGGACATCAATCTATTGTACACGATAGGGAAGAAATGGAAACCTCAGAAGCCAAACGACCCCGGAAACATGTCCCGCATGTAATACGCGACCCCGGAGTCCATGGAATTCTCCAGGTCGTTCTCCGGCGGCATTTTGGCCTTGCGCTTCGCCAGTCCTCCCGGTCCTTCTTTGCAGAAGTCACAGGCAAAGTCGCACGGCGAGGAACTGCCGGGAGCGCCGTTTCCATGTCCAGGCCCGGACCCGGGACCTTGCGAGCCCATCATTTCCAGCTCCAGGTCGCCGAAGAATTCCTTGATCATGTCGTGGCGGCATCGCGAGGTCGATTCGCAGTACTGGATGACTTTCTGGAAGCTTTTGAGTCGTGCGTATTGGTTTTCCATGTTGGAGAGGCGGTTGCTGTTGCCATTGCCGTTGCCGTTGCCGTTGGGGTTGAGGTTTTCGTTCGAAGCCCCGTTCCCTGCGGGTCGGGTGCCTCCGGCGCGGTTGTATGCGTTCTCGACGTCGCGGCGGAGTCGGTCGAGGACGCGGTCTCGCTCTTGTGTGTTGTAGTAGACGATCGAGGTGGCGGCGCGGCCGTCACGGCCGGCACGGCCGGATTCCTGGACGAAACCCTCGAAGCTGCGTGGGGGACTCCAGTGGACGACAAAGCGGACGTGCGGGTTGTCGATCCCCATACCGAATGCGTTCGTCGCGACGATAACGTAAAATGACGGCGATGGATGGCTTGTGTCAGTGTCTTGTGTGCGCTGTTGAGGCGAGGTCCATTCCGTCTGGATGCGGGTGCGATCTTGAGAAGAGAGGCCGGCGTGGTAGGCCACGGCGCGGATGTTGTCGTCCCACGCCGATGATAGCACGTTGGCGAGCTTTTCAGAGGCGGAGCGCAGCGACACGTAGACAATCCCAGAGATTGGGGGCAGGGAAGCCGCGGTGGCGGCACCCAAACGTGCCTCTCGACGACTTTGGATGGACTTGAACCACGAGACGAGATCCTTGATCTGGAAGTCTTGCGGGTCTGCGGCATCTTCGACGTAGTCTTGGAGAAAGCGGATCTCATAGTGGATATTAGGACGAGCCGACGGGGTGTTGAAGATGCGCAGATGCGCAGGGTCCAACCCGAGCAGATTGATGATATCAGAGCGGACGCGCGGGGTGGCCGTGGCCGTGAGGGCGCTGATGGGCACGGATGGGGTTTGAAGAACGCGCTTGAACCAGGAGAGCTCCTTGTACGCGGGTCGGAAGTCGTGGCCCCATTCACTGATGCAATGAGCCTCGTCGATAGCGATGCGCGTTAGCTCTCCCTGGCTATGGATGGTCTGCAGGTTTCGTCGGAAGATCTCAGTCTGGCAGAGTTCTGGCGTCACGTAGAGAAGACGGGTTCTGGGATGGCCCGAGAGAAGGTCTGACATGATCTCTCGTCGCTCTGCCAGCGGCGTGGTCGAGTTGATGGTTGCCACCGGGACTCCTATGGCTTGAAGGGCGTTGACTTGATCTGTCTGCATGGTGCGCTTAACACCCGGATCTTTTCCCTGGCAAGATGCTTGATCCACGTGCTAGACTTACCATCAATGCGAGAAGCGGCGAGATGACAATAGTGACTGTCAGAAGCAATCATCTAAGTCAGATAGAGTTCTCGAATGCATATAGTGGAGGACAAACCCACCGCCATGGTTGATTACCGCAGGCAATTGGAAGCATAAGCTCTTCCCAAAGGAGGTCGACGCCTGCAAGAAGACATCATGTCCTTCGACAGCTGCTGCAACTACCTCCCGTTGTAGAGGGCTACCAAGTGTCCCCGACATTAAGAGGGTTTTCGTTAGCTGATGAAGGCCATGCTACTGTTCAAAAGGGTTACTCACCGGAACGACTTTTTGCGGAAGACTCGGTGCAGGTAAAAGTCCAAATCGACCTTACGGCGCTTGAAGTTGGCGCTTACCATTTTATTTCCCAAGCATCTTTGGGGATCGAAGAAGTGCGAGAGATCGAGGATGGATTTACTTCGGGGGAAACCGCGCGTCGCGAGGAAGAACGCGATGTCACGTGTGACGTCCGCTGTTTAATGGATTTCGACTTCAATCACCACTAATTAATCAATGATTAAGTATTACTTGCTTACAGCATGGCAATTAACAGGATCAACAAGCCCAAGGATGCGTATGCCAAATAAAGTAAATGAAAATGTCTGTTATAACACGAACCCGTTCACTGTACAAGATCAAGATATGCAAAAGATCGGAGGGTATATAACAGGTCTATTATAATGTACATGCTCCGAAAGCCTTCCCCAATCGTCTCTCAACTCTGCCTCCGATTCATTTGATAATCAAGTTCTTCTCGGACTGCCTGCACGTCCAGCGCTTTGCGTTTCTGAGGCTGCCATAATTTCTCCATCCGCAGCCAGACTTCCATAACCGCCTTGGGCCCGCAGCAGGTGCCGAAGGCTCGAAGAATGATGATGATCATCCGGCGGCCTAGAAATACTCCGTTCTCGATTTGACGTTCCAGAACGGTGAGATGGTCGGGCTCAGGGTGAGGTTCCTGTGTGGATTTGCCGAGCAACTCGTCCGCATCCACCTCATCACCGGCTTCCGTCGTCGAATGTTCCGGTTCAGTTTGTTCTGGCGCTGCTGGCTCGGGCGTTTCTTCCACGGGGTCTGCCCTTTCCACGTTGTTTGACGGTAACGGGGTGTATAAGCCACTCGGTGCCCGTGTTATAGTACGGGAGTTTCCTGGAGCACCGCTTTCCAAGGGGTTCTGCCAGACCAACGTCCCCGGCTTGTAAAATCGCTCGTGGAATCGAGCCCGAGATTCGTAGAGGACCGCGAGATACGCTCTCCACGTCTCTTGCAGCCTCTCAGGCGTCCAGCCTTTCCGTTTTCGGCCGTTGTTGGCGAACCCATCAAACAGCAACAGATAGATCATGCCTCGAGGGGGGATTGTGAATGCCATTTCCATGTCCTTCAATGTCGACATGAATGACTCCAAGCTGCCGGTTTCATAAGCATGATGTGAAAGGAGAATGTGGAACGTCCGCGTGTCAGGAACCATGGGAAAGGCCTGCTGAAGAGCACGGTGATGTTCTGGTAGTTGGTCTCTCAGAGCCGAAGACAATTGCAACACCTGATTGAGATCCCGAGCTTTGTCTCGATATTCGATGAACTCGGACGTGTATCCGGGTCCGTGGATGTGACGCTGTTTCCCGGTTTTCTGGCCGTGGATCATGCGACGATACAACTGTTCCGCGGTCTCTGCCTCCCCGGCGCGAAGAAACGACACCAACAGACAATTGAGTACCGCCGTATCAACAATTTCTCCGCTGGACACAAACTCATCGAAGGTCCGGTGGATACCTTCGGCATCCTGCAACAGCCCGTGGTAGTATATCTTGGAGACCTTTCCCGTGCGACCAAAGCTGATTTTTCGCCTTGTCATCTCCTCCACGAGGCGGTCCGCCACCGTGAACTGGCCCGCTTTGATAGCTATGTCGAACAGAATGGTGAATACAACCCCGTCCCCCCGAATCCCACCCAAATGCTCCATCTGCTGCCAGATACCTATCGATCTCACGAGGTCCGCCTTGATGACATTCCCTGACGCTCGGCCTGCCAGGTGAATGGCAGAGCTCCATAATGATCGAGACATGGGGAGTTTGGAGACAATCATATCCTCCACCAAGGCGAGATAGCGGCGGGCATCCACCCAGCGACGGTTGGGGGGGTTGGCGAATCGACGTAATAGAGTACCTCGTGAGCGCTTCGAGAGGCACGCAACTCCCGGGTGAGGGAGGTCTCGATATAAGCGAAAAATGTAATGGTTGGATTTCTTTTCATCCCACAGAGCGTCAAGAAGCTTCTGGACCGCCAAGATATCCGTAGCATCTTGTATGTTATCCGCACGTGGTGGTCGCGGTTCAATCCACCTATTATCTATGACGCTCCTCACAGCCAAGTCGCGGTCAAGGGATTCTCCAAATGCTTGAGCAAATAGTTTTTTTGTCGATCTCAAGAGAGATACTCGGGGGTTCGTCCTCCCTTTATAGCTGTGCCTTACCGGTTCATTCGTCTCCTCCGCCTGGCAATCCACCATTTCATTCTCCGAAATAGAGTTATCGTCCACACCACGATCGAAATCCCCGAAGCTAATGCTGGATGATGGTGGTCGCGTATTCGAGTCCTCCGGGACTCGCTCCTGTGTATTTTCGCCTGCGTCTTCGCATCGATCGGATTCCAGATCTTGCTCAGTTAATGGCGTCCCCGATTGTCTTCTCGATGCGAGCGTTGGCTCGTTTTCGTCATCTTCAACCCGCTGCGCGACACCAGAGCTAAACATCTGGTAGGTCTTCGAATGTTGTACTACCCCCGGCCGCTGAGCCGGTGACCCGAGATACTCTAAACGTTGTCGCGACAATTGCCTGGTATTTACTGTCCTCCGCGGCTGCATCCCGCCCCTATGACCCCCCGCAGTCTTCATCGAAAGTGTCGACAGCCCTCTACCACGGGGGGAATGCTCATGGCAGTACCCGGCGATCACCAAGGAGCCGACAAAAATGTCTGCTATAGAGGCAACCGTAGGGCGAGGGCGTCTGGAATTGAACCTTCGGAAGGACGCATTGTGAGCGAATGGCTCTGGACTAGCCATCGAGCTTCGGTGGAGGGGGAATCGCGAGTCCAACCCCGGCGAGGACGGTGTTCGCAGGTTGGGAGAGCTCTGGGACCTGTTGGGAGGAGGCATGAGATGGCAGACATCGTGGCATCGACTTAGCCTTGCATGTCCCGAGAAGGACTCGAACAGCTTGACAAAGGAAGAGCCGACGGGCTCCTCCAGCGACGAGAGAGGGGAGAGAGAAAAGAGAGGAGAGAAGGAGGTGGAGGGGAGAGGGACAGGGGGGAGGAATCGGAAAGGAAGAGCGAGAAAATGTTGATGTTATTCTGCCGGCGTCTCTCTGGCTTTGCACCGGAGCGGAGCCGCGGTCGGGCCAATCGGAGGCCGCCATTGCCAATCCTCTTTTTCACCCGCAGAACCTCGTCCGCTTCAGGTTGCGTTGCTTTGCTTTCCCTCGCCTCGCCTCGCTCCCCACCTGTTGGCCCGTCGTTTCGCTCCGTTCGCCATGGGCAAATACAACCTCACGGCTCTGCGCGTTCGCCAGACCGCCATCCAGCAGAAGCTCGCCGGCAAGATCTCGAGTGTGCCTTCCTGGGTTCACGCCATCGCCGATATCCCTCCGGCCCAGGTCCTCGTCCGAAACCAACCACAGCAGCATGAATTGGTGCGCCAGCGATTGAGGACGGTGCCGGGGTCCGCGGAGCCGCAGGTCGTTTTCGAAACCCAGGAGAAGCCCAAGAAGCCGAAGAAGGCGAGCCGCATGTTCCAACCCGTTCAGATCAAGTACGAGGAAGACCAGCTGCGACAGGAGTTTTTCCGCGATCATCCCTGGGAACTGGCCAGACCTCGTGTGCTGGTTGAAACGTCCGGCAATGATTTCACCCGACACAACTGGCGCCAGCTGCAGCAGAAGGGTAGAAAGCTGGACGGAGAGAGGTATGTCGGTGGCTGAATGATTCCGGTGACAATGCTGACGGTCGCCCTTTCTTTCCGGGATCCAGTGTTATCCAACGACAGCTCTGGCTCCTCAACAACGTTACCGACATGACCAAGAGTGAGGCCTACGATATCGCTCGTCGCGAATTCTACCGTCTTCGACTGCAGGAGGACATTGAGCGACGAGTTGCCGCCGAAGAAGCCGAAGCCACCGGTGCCACCTTTGGACCGACCCGCCTGCAAGTTGGTATGGAACTTGAGAACAAGGAGTACGAGCGCTGGAAGGAATGGGCCAAGCTGCAGGCCCAGCTTCAGGGCCAGAGGGCGGCAAACTTCGCTGGTGCTCCAGACACGGGAGCGGATGATCTATTGGAAGCCGATGAAGGCGAGGAGAACACGGCCGAAGTGGCATGAGATCGGACATCAAAAGAGGGATTGGTATAATATTTTCGCTCAGTTAGCCAGAGGGGGCTCTGTACACCTTGATGGTTCATGTATAGTACGGGATTGTTTTTTTTTTTTTTTTTTTTTTATGTTGGCCTTGGTTATATTCGTTGTCTCTATTTCATTTCATTTCCGATTTCTTCTGTGTTCCTGATACACCTCTGGCTCTCAATAGAACTGAACTATGAACTACTCGGTACCTGGGTAGTATACTGGTAGTGGTGATCGTAAAGGGCGTCCAGATGGCTGGTTCCAAGTGTTTGACGCTGGCCAATCAGCGCAGGCAACTTATCGCTCCCGTTCCGACCAGGTCGGCTTTTCTTCCTCTTCCTCTCCTGTCACTCGGTCCTCAGCCAGAATTCCCTTGGACGTTCTTTGCTTGCTAGACCTCGTTGCTTCCCTTATCTCTAAGCGATGGATACTCCGGGTCGCATCTGATTGATCTGCCTGCGGTGGCTTCTTATTTGACAGCGGCACTTTTTTCTCCGCGTTTCACTAGTAACTAAAACCCCCCCCCCCCCCCCCCCCCGACTTGCCCTGATTCGAGAAGATCAGATTTGAAGGTTGAAACAGCCGATTGCTCGCCTTATATTTATTATTTATTGCCTTGAATACAACCTGTCAGATTGACAGCTCAATCCGTCTGCGTTTTCCGTCGGTCGCTTCTCCTCCTGCCTGTCTTTTCGTCTTGGGCGAATCCTGGTCGATTTGGAACCCAACGGAACCCATCGGGCTTTGGTCCTCGAATTCCAGCCGTACCCTCGCAGTATTCACACTCGCTTTGATTGATCCGATTTCCGCTTCCGATCCTTCGATATAACTGCCGTGGCAGCGCCCGTTGATCATGCTTCGTCGCGGTCCTCATGCACGTCTCACGGATACTTTAGTCATCTAATTCGATCACACGCATTTCCGGGGATTCAGGCAAGCGAAGCAAGGCACAAAGCGAACGAGGGGAATTTCCGATCTAGTCGGGTCGACTGATTTCGTCATCGGCCATGCTTTCCACAATGGTTCGACCGGAGGATGCGATAAGAATGCCTCGTGCATACCGTGGCGACGCCGACGAGGATGACAGAAACAGGCGAACCCCGGAGCAGAACGGCCCATCCTCTTCCTCTTCGTCCTTGAACAGCGAGGGTCCAACCAGCCAGGACGACGAGTCGACGATAGTTGCTGGGCCTGCGGGAGATGGCAACAATGGTCAGAACGGTTCTCACTTCGGCCCGCGAACCCTGTCGCCGGACGAAACCATCGAACTTGCCCGACGCGCAGTGGAAAATGGAATCCAGGAAACAAAGCGCTCTTTGGCCGGAAGCGAAGCAGTCCGGGATGTAGTCAAACCGAAATTGACTATCGACTTGGGTCACTCCAATATCTCGCGTATTCCCGAAGCCGTGGTGGACGCTATCAAAGACGAAGTTGAAAGGTAGGCGCTGCTCCTCTTTATGATGTGGTCATCAAGACGAAGCCCGCGGGCTTTGTCGGACAAGACGAGCGACTAACGATTCCCAGGCTTTCTCTCTCAAACAATCAATTATTCCACATCCCCTATCGCTTCGCGGAATGCTCCCACCTGCGATACCTTAACATCCGCTCCAACAATTTCCGCGAATTTCCCAAAGGAGTGAGTGTCGCCTGGACTGTTACGACCTGAAAATGTCCAACTGACTCGCGTTCTAGGTGTACAAATTGCCGTTTCTCGAAATTCTGGATCTCAGTCGAAACAAAATTAGCCATCTACCAGAAGAAATTAAACGATTGAGCTCCCTACGAGTTCTGTCGGTGATGTCAAATCGCCTTGATGACCTACCTCTCGGAGTTTCCGATATGAACAAACTTCAAATCCTGAAAGTGGCTGGAAATCCCTTGCGCTATCCTCTGCGACGACTGCTTGAGACCTCGGAGACCGAAATTGGCCCTTCCACCATCACCGACAACGAAAAGGAGGTAGCGGTTACTGCCGAACTCAAAAAGTTCCTGAAGACCAAACAGCCTGTTGCGATGCCGGAGAACGAATCTCGCCTGGACATGAGGTATGACCCTGGAAACTGCTCTGGTTCTAATTGGAGGTTTTCTAATCGTGATGCTCCAGCGAGATTGTGCTGGACACCCCTAAACCTGTCAAACGTGGCATGAGTAGTCGTTTCCCTGTGATCCCGAGTACGGGAGACGCCTCGTCGGATCCCAAGTCGCCATCCTTATCGCGACCTCCGCCGATCCCTCTCAAATCCCACTATCGCAGACAGAGTTCCATCTTTCAGAGTGGCGTGCTTCAGCGACCTATTGCAACGCTAAATGAACGCAACCGAAGTAACAGCGAAGGCATCATCCAGTCATCCTCCTACGCCGCGCGAAATAAACGGATGGGGGTCATCAACCGCAAGAATACCGATCTAGGGACCTTGGATGAGACGCGACCTTATCGAAACAGCCATTTGCGAGGTTTAAGCTATGGATCGATCCTTCGGCCAAGAGCGACGGGCGCCGCGGGCGGCAGTAATTCGTCCAGTCCGAGTAGTCCCAGAGAACGCCGACGCCTGAAAGATGGCTTCGTCAATCGGATGTCGAGCTTGCCGGAACAAAAGGGCGAGAGGGATGCAGGCGAGCCTGTCCTCGAGAGTGCCAAAGGAATTTTATTCGCCCTGTTCCAGGTCCAGTCTCATGTTTCCGCCCTGATCAACGTTATCAAACGAGACGACGCTCGACGCAACAGTCTCGAAATTGTATTCTACAACGCTTCCACCCATGTCGACCGGCTCAACGAAGCGCTGGAAAGTGCGGAGAAGTCTCGACCTGGTGATGCGGAATCGAAGCGGCTGTCGAAGGAGACCGTCAAAAGGGAGTGCGAAACGTGTGTCATGGCATACACTCACGTTGCAACGCAATTGCGCAACAGCCTCGATAAGATCGTGGCCAATGGAGACTCGCGCTACGTACGTTCGCTGATGCTCATGATATATGGCAGCGCGATTGAATTACGGAATGCTTGCGTGAGCCTCGGAATCCCCATAGCTCGTAAACAGCCACCGGCTGCCACCAAACCGCCCATACCCGCAATACACAAGGAATCTGTGAGCTCCGACCGGTTCCCTGGCCCAACCGTAACACCAACGAGAGGAAGGGCACCATCGTTTGTGATTCGGCGGTTTAGGAGCGATACTACTATCCAGCACCCTCAGATCACCACGACTGGACCCTTGCCTGCAGCCGCCCACTTCCAGTCCGCGGTCAGCTCACCAGGCCTGACATCCACCCCATTCAGCTTTGGGACACGAAGCCGGTCGAGCAGTCGCTCGAATCACATCAACACATCAGTGCCATCTTCCCTGGCAACCCCTCGCTCCGGGGAATCGTTCCCCCAGATGCCGAACTCTGTTATACCCCGTATCAATCCTCTGACCGGTCTGGATGAAATCGAAGAGGAGCGCATTTTCGAACGCATATTCCACCAACTCACTTCTGCGTACACCGCTGCGCTTCAGGCTTTGCCGTTGGCGCGCCGGCAGTTTGTGCGATGCCTAGAGGTGGCAGAGCAATCTCGTGAATCCGAAGGCATTCAACTTCTTTGGAACAACCTCATTCGCCGCTGCCGGGTGTGCTTGGAAGTCTCCGACATGCTCGGGCAGCGGCTCTCTACCATGAAAATCAAAGAGCCGGGCGGAGGAATGCGTAACCAGCGCGAGTTCTGGCAACTCTGCAAAGGGTTCATGCAATCGTTCGTTGACCTAGTCACCGACATGCGGGAAGTCCGAAGTATGCATCTGCTACCTTCGGAAATTATCATCCTTCTGCGACCGGTTCAGAGGGCAAGTAGAGAGGCAGGTCGTTTGATCGAGGCTTCTCCGTGGTCATATCTCGCCGACATGGCTTCGGCTAATCCCGCAAACATATACGGCCCCCCCTTGCAATCCCAACATTCGCAACATCCAGGATCCGTGTCCACCGCGAACTCCTTTCACATCAGTTCGAGCTTGTCAGCACACTCCACTGCTCTTCCTGCGACACCCCTGAGCGCTGCCCTGGGTCCCGCCGCACAGGCGACAGTGCCATCTACCCCTGCAAGTGCATACAGCGACAAGTTCTTCGAGGGCGACGTCTTCCAGCGAGCCGATTCCCTGCTCTCCATGCCGAGCCAAACCCCTTTTTTCCGCCGGTGATGGGGAAGAACCCCGCCCTGCCATTCGTTTCCCAAGGAAATTTGTGTCCCCTCGCACACTTTTGTGCTACGCTATAGAACTTCCCACCCCTTGTCTTTTCGATCGTTGGCTGTTTGAAAGAGGGATGGAGTTTCCAATCCCCCCGCTCTCTCCCCTTTGATCAACGAGTTACGGAGCTTCAATTCACGACTGGTTCGGAATGCTCTAATCACAAACCTAAACCGGCCACATGCATTCATCCACACTCAAATAGAGACAGGGCTAGCTTTACCCTAGGCCGGTAGCCACGGCTTGTCCCACAGGCCGTGGCCTCCATTTCCCGAGTATGATTTGATTGAATATTTTAGATGTACATCTAGTCGCATGACTTTGTTTCGGGGGCTGCAGAGGTTCTAAACAAAAAGGAAAAAGAAAAACGGGTGATAGAGAAGACCTGAAAAGAGGACGGCGTCTGGATCTCAAGCGTTGATTGCCATTTTCTTGATCTGTTTTTGCATAGCGTGTCTCTTATATAGTATAGTATATCTTAACGCCTGATGAAAGCCAAGGAAAGACATAAATTACATCATCGTCTGTCATCTTCAAAGATGCCCGCTGCATCTTCCAGTTCATGGATCCATCCCACCAAGCAACCAGCAAGCAAGTCGTATCGAAGACCAGCCCACGCGACTGGCAAACAAACACCCTTAGGACGACACCAGGATTCTCAAAAATCCAAGAGGCATGAACCTCTGTACGCCCGTCCTTTTGATTTCTGGAGTTTGGTGCCGCCGAAGCTCGAGCTGCATGCAATGTAACCACCCATCTACCCCATTGCAGACACTGTGTCCTCCCCAACTTCTTCGGTAAAAACAAACGGTCAAAAAAAGAGAGAAAGAAATATTTCAAAACAGATGCCTACAACGGGACAACAGGCACGCGGCCCCGAGTCGAGGCTGACAAGACCTTTTGCCTTCCCGTCGCTCTGCCGTCCTCGCCAAAGACCGCAGTGTTACAGACACTGGTCCAGCGCTCTGCATAAATATACGTCTTATTGCATCTAGCTTGTCTCTCTACTTGGAGATGCTATGTCTAGCTTGTTTGCCTGTGGATACCGGCGCAAAAATACCCACAGTACAAACTTCCGCCGAAGAGTGAATGAATGGATTGGAGGTACAGATACAAACGAGGGGCTCCAGGGTCGCACAAGATCCAAGCTGAATACAACATACTCAATGGTCTCGCGTACAGGTGGTTGGGGTGCTACATTTCCCCAGTCCGACTGTTTTACTAGGTTACGTTGTGCTAGCTGGGGATGTGAACCGTTGGTTTCAGTATGAGAGAACGCCCATGAAAAAAAGTCTGCAAACGAGAGAGAAAGCAACTAAGCTAAATTGTGGCACACAAGAAAGACCATGTCTCGGGAACAGGAGCCAAGAGGCTTGCCTTGCAATCAGCCCTGACTGGAGGCTAAACGTGAATCTTGTGAGCCTATGAACCAGTTTACTAGTTAGTAGTTGAAGTTGGATGGACGGGATCATAGTATATGATATCAAATCCTATAATCTTAAGCAAAGAAAGACTGCAGTACTGATAGAGTATAATGTGGGGTATATCATTAGGAGCTTTTACCCAAATAAAAGACAATTATAGTCAATTAAGTAGGACATCAGCCAGAATTACCCCCGAGTCTATGCAGTTGTCAGGGTCATCTACATCTTCCGGGTCACAAGCAAAGAAACATGTGCTTGTCCATGTGGAGTGGGACTTCGTGGGAAGAAGAAAAAAAGAAAAAAGAATTGCGCAACCCGATCTGCCTGGACTCAAGACCCTCTGGCAGGACGATCGACTGGGGCATCTCCAAATCTCGATGCTTCATTCATAGGGCTCAGGGTTAGGGCCGGTCAGTCATGGGGCAATCACGGGACAGCCTCGTCGTCGTCCTTTCCCTTTCCATTTCCTTTCCTTGCTTTTCTTCTGTCGCCTTGCAAAATCCCCCCGATCATCTGGATCCGACCAGAGGGTTTCAGCCATCAATCCTTCCTTGCCCCGATGGCAGCATCACTTCCATCAGCCGATGCTGGCGATCTGCCCATCGTTACTGGCGCATCGCTGGACTCGTGCAGGTCCCATCTTCAAACCAGGATGGAACTTTATCAGTGGTTTGCTGGAGAAATTACGGAGGAAATGAGCAGATCTGAATTAACACCGCTCTTTATAGAGGCTCCAATGCAACCGGGCTTGGCTTCCCAATTGACTCGTCTCCGACCAGGTCCGGAACAATGAGGCGACCACGCGTGGAGTGATCATTGTGATCAGTGCACTCCGAAAGGGAGAAAAAAAATCAAACCAAATCAAAGTGAGGCGCCAAGCGGGTTTTCCCATGCTGTCCAGTGCCCACCCCTTTTTATTCATTGATTCATGCCGTGCCGGGCTCTGCGAGCATGCCTAGGAATCCAAAAAGGAAAGCAAATGATCCTTCTCTGGCCTCTTTATCGCCGCCCCTGACACGGGTGGGTTGTTGAAGATTTCAGTGCTTCCATAGGAGACCCCGAGTTTAAATGATGGATTCCATGTCGATCCCAAGCAGGTTTATCCCGAAGAAGTTTCAATAGCCTGGCAGTCTGGCACCTATTCCGCGCGGTAAATCTGCGCTTGCAGGGGTCAAAGGTCCAAAAACCGCTAGATCTTCTCACGGAGCAATGATGCCGACTCTCATCCAACCCACGCAGGAATTCACCCCAACTGACTAGCCTAGCGTTCGTGAGGATTTTATCTATCAAATATCTATCTGTTGGGGTGTGGATCATGACCTTCGCCTGCAGGCTCCCCCATGTTCCAGGGGGCAAAAAAGAAGAGGGAAAACACCCCCTCGGGGAAAAAAAAAAAGAGAAAAAAAAAAAGAAAGGCAGGAATCTTTCCTTCCGTCCCTTTCTCCCCTGTTCCCTGTCGCCATTCGCCATCCACAGCAGTTCTGGGACCTCCAAGTTGTAGCGCATGATTCCGACTGCGGGCTCAGACAAAACTTGAATGCGGTACCGAAATGTCGGTGGGAGAACGGACCCGGCGATGGGCATTGACCGCGTCCAAGACTACGTAAGAGAATTCGGAGTAAATGATGGCGAGAATCACAACGACTATACCAACATCAGGGGCGGAGGTGCCTTTTTAAACTCATTTGAAGGAAAGCCGAGAGGAAGCCGATGGACTCATTCGGCCACCGATCGGGAAGTAGGAGTCCACTCGAGAATTGCCCAGGATGAACTATCCAACGACTAACGACCTTGACATGGCCGCATGACCGACTGTCAATCATGCTTTGCCGCAATAAGCCGTGGATACACACTACGGTATAGACCCTGGCACGCATTTTTCTTCCGAGGTGTGGCCATACCACCAGTCAGAACAAAAAAAAAAAAAAAAAAAAGACAGGGAAATCCTCCCGACCAAGGCGTACAGTACGGAGTAAGATGCATGTACTCCGTACGAGGGTCCATTGCTCAAAAGACTACAGGATGGTTACAAGAAACTTCCAACTAGGATGAATGCGTGAAGATTGGTGGTGAAGTCGACGGATTGAGACTGGAATGTCCACTCGCTATGCTTTGGAGCACCCCCTGCTTTCGTCTCCTTTTCCTGCGAAAGGGGAAACCACCAGATACCCCAACATCTATCTGAACACAGTGGCGGCAGGCTGCATCAATCTGCACATTGGGGGGTGAATACACCGAGGACTTTCTCCTATGGCAAGGGAACGAAGTGGTACATTCTGCTTGCTCCCTTCAGTTATTCCGTTCTTCCCGCTCGTTCTCGGTTTGATTTTATTTTTTATTTTATTTTCATTTTTATTTTTATTTCACTTTTCTCCCCTTTGTTTCCAAATGACTTCCGTGACTAATGCACCTCCGACAAAGAAGCAGGTGGCGTATGGAGGGGGAGTTGAGGATTTTCCCCCCTTCCTCTCCCTATCACATCTCCCTGCTTCAAGGGCCAGTCGCTTTGGCCGGGTAGTAGCATTGTGTCTGGCACACACCCGGCCTTAGATCGTACCGTGCCCTGTCATTGTGAGGAATGCTGCTGGGCCCGCCGCCAACCCACCTGGAGGTCCAGGGATTCGACTTGGGCTTCTCCCCTCGCGGCCGTTAGGAATGATGCTTTTCCCCATCCACCGTGCCCACTTTGGGTGACTAGCACCAGATCGGATGTGAATTTGACCCAAGGGCCAAAGACAATTATGCAATTAATTAGCATTGCGCAGTCATGTTACTGCTTGCGTTCCGCAACCTCACCTTCTGCGACCAGCGACCCTTAGCAGCGTTGGATCGTGCCATCTGCACATACATACCTGTTTTCGAACGGAATTGGTCTGGTTTTTATTTTTCTGCACGGATTTTTTGGGGGACCACTACAAGAAAAAAAAAAAAAAAAAAAAAAAAAAGAAAAAAAAAAAGGTTGTAGGCAACTAACTGCAAGCGTTTACCCAGATCTACTAAATCAGCCTCACTTTTTATTTTTATCTCTGATTCCCTGGCCACTCCAACTAGTTCAATGCTGTTGCTCTGTTCTCGATGCTGAACCCAGCATTTCCCCATCATCGTCTCTTGGCTGTTTAGTCTTTTTTTTTTTTTTTTTCTTTCGATCGTCCATTCAATCTTTCATTAGTCCGGCCTTCCAAAGGGTCAAATTCTCAGAACTGATCTCCACCGCATGGTGGTTTTCTAATGTCCGAATGCCGTCATCAGTCCTTGGTTTATATCCAGTCTTATACCCTTCCCATCCCGGTTCCTTGGTCAATTGCATTTCGCCGATTTATTGGTCGCTGTCAACTGTATTCTTCCTGTTCGGCATTGCAGCAGTGAAGCTGCCGCCGTTTGTTTGCTAATCCGTGGCCCTGCTTCTGCTTCGTGCTTCTGCCAGCTCCTTTCTTTGTTTTTTTCCCTCTTCCTTTTCTTACCGTCCAGGTGGCTGTCGCATAGAAAAAAATCTCAGACGACAGAGGGTTAACAATCTCGCCCTTTCTTTTTGGCTTTGTCCCTACGTGTTTGTTCGTCTTGTGGAAGGGGAGATAACATACCTTCTATCCCTATTTCCTTGAACACGTCCTGCAGTTACTTTGACGGTACTAACACACTGGCACCTTGATCGACCGAACGAGAGTAGGAGGGAAAGCGAGAGAGGGAAAGGAGGAGAGGAATAGAAAAAACAAAAAACAAAAAACTTTTTGGCAGGAACTATTGCCCGTCCAGGATCGACATTGCCGATCGACGCCGTTTGTCCAATATCAGGTGAGAACTATTCTTTCTCCCTCGCCTGGTTGCCCCTCGACTCCCGGCAAGGACTAACAGGTGTGCAAGAGAGTCTGGTGTAGGGCTGCGGTGCCTTGCTTCCCTTCAACGAGAAATGCCCGTGGCCTTTACCATCTAACACTGCCATCCCAATCGTCCTCAATTCTCGTTGTCACCCGTTTGTCTCCGTCCACCAACAAACACCCTTCTCCCGTTGGTTCTCCTTCGCCTTGTTTTCCCCCATCCTCCCCTCTCCGTGCTAGCGTCAATCGCTCGGGGGTTTTCATTAGATCTGCAGCAAACGAATGGAGATGGATCTTCAGAAGACCAAAGAAGCGCGGCGGGATGCGCCTGGGAAGCAGGAGGAAGGTACAGATTGTCCTTTGGAAACGTACGGGGCAGGTGGTCACTCCAAGGACTCCCCGAAAAACGATTCTCTCGACCATCGCGATGCAAGCAGTCCCGGTGGATCGGCAAATGGAAGTCAACGTCGCCGACCAAGCGAACTGCCCTACGACCACGACGCATGCCCGAGCGAGTCGGCGCCCCTACCTATGACGACTAGGCTCCCTCTCCCGCCGTCCAGAACCATGATGAAGATCCCCGAAGCTTTGAATGTCGCTGCCAAGGAACAACGGTTGTTGGTCTCGGCGAAGAGACACCCTCCCGTCACTAAAAGCACGCTGAGCGAGCTCGACCTACCCTGCATCATGAGCAATATCAATCTCCGCATGGACGCCAATTTCGATCGCGACCTGCATTTCAAGCCCGATCTAGACGGGGAAAAGGGGCGGCGCAAGCGGAAGGAGGCGACGGACTACTGGGAGGCCATGGCAGTCGAGATCACCGTCTACGGATACTACGCCGCCCACGGGGAGGACAACACGGGTCGAGATGTCCCCGTCGATCGGCGAGAGTCGTTTGAGCCCCGCCTACCCGCCATGTTCGAAACGCTGCAGGAAGTATTGAAGACCCTCGTTCCGGAGCGCGACCACCCCAGTGTGATGCAAAACCTCGAGGTTGCGCTGCTGATGCAGCAAATTCAAAAGGGCGTCCTGGATATGGTAGGGGTAGCCAAATGGCTGGCGGCCCTGCTCAAAACCCACTGCGCCCCCATGCGCGATGAATGGGCCGACACTATGGTCGAGCAGATCAGCTCGGGGTCGCGATCGCAGAATTCCACCGAAGTGGTCAGCGGTCTCCAGACGCTGTTTGCCATTCTGGAGGCGATGAAATTGGTAAGGCAGGACTTGTTGCCGGGCCCCCGGTGACACCATATGCGCGCCAGAAGAAGAGCTAACGACTTGAGGGTCTAGGATGTCGCGAACCATCAAATCCGCGCTTTTCGGGTACTTCTCATCGAAGATACGATCCCTTTTCTGCAAGATTATTTCCGAGGCAAGATCGAAAGGGACAACTTCCGCGTCGAGTCCTCCCGGCTCTGGTATCTCAACCTCCGGGACCGGGAGCTACGGCGCACGGAGAAGCCGGTCCAGACCGACGGGTTTTGGCCCATCTCGCTGTTGTTCCGAGGCGTGGCTGAATCCCTACTGCAGTTCCACAACCCCGAGGGATTCCCGGAAACCTTCATCTTTGACTCGGACCGCTTGTGGCAGCTGCGGGCGTGCTTACAGAACCTCATCAACCTCGACATCTGTTGGTTCATCTTCCAATCGTACATCTTCATGCAAAAGCGCTACCTCTCCGCACCTGAACAGACGTACGCCACGTTTCGCTCGCGCATAGGGTCGCTGATGGAGGAGAACGAGGACTGTTTCCGGGGATCACCGCAGTGGACGAAAAACATACGCTGCATTGCGTTGGAAATCGCGCGGTTTGCCTGCGCGGCGTGCTCCTCCGACGCCATGGTATCGGACGAGCTGATTGCCACCATCGAGCGGCCGTTGGTGTGGCACCTGTCAAATGAGCGCGAGGTGTTCCAGTTCTTCCAAAACTCGCTGCGGGAAAAGCTGCTGGCCGCCACGTTTGCATCGGCCAAGAAGTACCTGAATATGTCACCGCTGGCGATCTGTGAATCCCAGCGCAACCACCCCCCGTCGCCCGCCTCGCAGCAGCACTACTACGACGTGGAGCGTATATCCATGCGACTGGCCCACATGGGCGTTCTCCACTGGAAAGTGTGGGCGCCAATTCTATACGTGCGTGAGAGCGTGTCACCGAGTGACGTGGCGACCCGTTCGGTATCTTCGATGATGATGACTGACGTGGCACGGTCGTCGCGATGAACGCTCGTATTTCGTTTTTCTCTTCTGGGGATTGCCCCTCCCCTCAGATTTGTGTCCCTCCCCTCTACTCGACATTTTGGATTAGCGAGGGGAGTGGAACGGAGTTAGGATTCTAGTTGTCGGTGCTTTTGAGATCATGACTTGCAGTTCAGCGCTTGTTCTTTTTGTTTTGCATTGGGTATTGGCGTCCAGCTCGCGGAAGGGCATATCACGGGATTCTGGGATTTCAGAGCATTCCAGTTTGAAGCATTGATTTCCAATAGACTGGGGATGTTTAAAAATGGGGTCACCCGATGCCTGCGCCGGTGTATACTACGTTACATAATCAGTTAGTAATCCAGTCTGTTTGCGGTGTTTGCTCCGTTTGTCCGGTTTGATAGGTGGTCTGTGCATGCCAAGCTCCTCCGGCGCGCAGCTAGGCCCGATGCGGCTAGCCCCTCCCGTGCCGTTCATTCTGTTTATACTTCCATCGTCGTCTTCTGCCCCGAACCTCCCTCCAGCGTCCCCTTAACCCGTCATGCGTCTGTCCCGATGCTTGCTGGCGGAGCTGCGATCCCGACCCAAACCTTCATGCAGCTATGAATACAAGCACCCCTGGCTGCGCGGGCTCAAAATGGCCCAATTGACCGAGATCGCTCAAGCAACCGGCATCCGGTCTGCTGGTCCGAAGGACCCTCTCTCCGAGCGACTAGATCAGGAATTGCAAACGTGGGAGCATGCATCCGCCGGAGTCGCGGAGCATGGTCGCAGCGGCCTGCCTCGGGGTCCCCAGCTCACTTCCACGGACTTTGCCCGAGGGATGAGCATCCTCAGCATCGATATGGGAATCAAGAACCTGGCCTATACGCACCTGATCGTGCCGGGGAAGGACCGCCAGCGCGAAGGCACAAATCCGCTTCCCATCCTGAATGCCTGGCGCCGGATCGATGTGTCGCGGCTCCCAGATGAGTCCCAGCTCTCGTCGGCGGACGCCCTGAGCACGCCCACCTTCCTCGACCACATCTTCTCGCCCCTCACCAGCACCGTCGCTGCGGAAGATGAGGAAATCGACAGCCCAATCCTCATCCAAGATGACGAATTCTGGCCCCTCGCCCTCGCGCCCCGCGCGTACACCCTTGTCTCGGCGCTCCTCGAGGCCTACAAGCCCACGCATGTGCTGCTCGAGCGTCAGCGCTTCCGCACCAACCGCGCCACCTCCGTCTTCGAGTGGACGCTCCGCGTCGGGGTCTTCGAGGGCATGCTCTACTCGACTTTTTTGGCCCTCGCCAGGGAACGGGGCGGGTCGCCTCCGCTGGTGGTGCCGATTGAACCGCCGCGGGTGGCGAGGTATTTGGCGCAGAAAACCCAGTCGAGTAGTCGGGACGGGTATCCTCTAGAGACGGAGGGAGAAGACGGGAAAAGATCCAGGAAAGAAGAGGTGGAGAAGAAATCGAAGGACGGCAAAGTGAAGAAACTCAACACTCGAGAAACAAAGAAGATGAAGATCGACCTGGTGGGCTCATGGCTGGCCTCCTCCACACGGCCTTCTTCTCACCATTCGGTCCCTGGAACAGAAACGCGTGCCTCTGCGCCTACCTCTTCGCCCTCGTCACCCGTTCCCACGGCCGGCTTCTTGCCTCAGCCTAAGCTCGAGATCGGGCGCGACGAGCTCCTGCACCGCTGGATCGACGTGTATCTCAGCAAATGGTCCGGTTCCGGCAAGGGTTCTCGGCGCCGAGGTGGGTCTAAGAAAGACACGGGCAAGGGACAAGATGCGGTATGGCACGGGGTGCCGAAATTGGATGATCTAGCGGATTGTCTGGTCCAGGGGGTCACCTGGCTGGATTGGATGAGGATGAGGGATCGCCTGGCGCGCGAGGGTTCTAGCGTGGTGGCGCCCAACAAAACGTCGAAGAAGAGCGGATGATGGTGATCTGAGAGGGAATGAACATCCTTGTATTTTAGCCTGCTTATAGACCTTCCACTGTACTATATTGTATATATTCTGGTCACCTGAGCGTTTCATCTGATTGTCGGTTGGTTCTTGGCTTGATCTTCCAACCGCCATGAATCTTTGCCGCCAGTCTGCACATCACATGGTCATTGCCACGTAAGGCTGTTTCTTCTGTTCCAATTTACTTGCACATACACACAGATACATACACAGCTACGATGATCACTACCACAGGAATTTGAAAAAGGAATGGAATAGATTCGCTTTCGTATCATCTATTTGAGGTCATCATGTTTTGCATCGGAAAGACAGATAAGAGCTCGCTTCTCGTCCCCAACCCAGCAAATCATGGCAGGAAAAGAAGAAGAAAACGCAGCAATCATGTCGGTCGTTCCTATCAGGCCCAATGGGCGCGGCCATCCGATATACCAAGGCTCCAAAGGCAAGTGTTTCTTCTCCGAGGCACGAGCGGAATAATGACAAGAAAAAAGGAAAAGCTCAAACGAAGATAAGCAAGATCGAAGAATAAAAAAGAAGCTTCGTTTGATAAAAGAGCAGGAATGCTCGCGTAGCCTGTTGTGCAAGCCGAAGAAGTGAAGAAAGATCAACCACCGATCCGAAGGTGGTTCAGAAGAAGCAGAAGTCTAGAGGTTTGGGTGGAAAGAGACGGTGTGTTTCTCTCGTGAAAAAAAAGCAAAGTTTGTACCAGAATGTTAAAGAAAAAAGTCAGGAAGATATCCCTCTCGTAGATACACTGCCTGCGCGCATATGTCGCCGCGGAGAAGAAACACAAGGAAACCTAATTACAGACGGTTCCCCCCGAAGTCACATATTGTGAATGACTTAGAGGTGACGGCGGCGGAAGGCAGTAGGGAAGGCGGCCTTGCTGCTCGTCAGGAAGCCGGAGGGCGTGGGGACGGCGCTGCTGCTGGGAGTAGGGATGGCGCTGCTGCTGGGGGTGTGGATGGGGAAAGTGCCGTTGCCGTAGGGAGGTCCGCTGGGGGCGGGGATGCCAGTGGCGGTGGCCTCACCCTCACCCTCACCAGCGCCCTGACCGGGCTTGCCAGTCTGCGAGGGCTTCTCGCTGGAGGTGGGCTCATCGATGATGAGGTTCTCACCGGGCTTGTTGGTGGCGGCAGGAGCAGCAGTCTAGCGAGACATTAGTATGCCGGCCAATACAGATCTCGATCTTCGGGGGCAAGACTTACCACAGTGACAGTTTCTTTGGCGGTGACGGTGACAGTCTCGGGCTTGCACTCTCCGTTGCCCTGGCCGCTCTGTCCGTTCTGGCCGTTCTCGCTGTTGTGCTGCTGGCCGATAGAGCCGGTCGAGGAGGGAACGGCAATGACGGTGACGACGGAAGTGGAGGTGGAGGAGAGAGTAGTAACGGGCTCAGAGCCGCTGCCAGAACCGCTACCGGAGCCGCTGCCGGAGCCGTTGCCAGAGTCGTTGTCGGATCCGCTGCCGGAGCCGGAAGAACCAGCGTTGCTAGCGGTCTAGAGATAAACATGTCAGCGAGAGCTCTTCAGGTCTAGAATCGAAGGCATTTCAACTTACGGCATAGACGGTGTTCCAGTTGGTGGCAGTCTTGTGGATAGTGGTGGTGACAACGGACTTGGAGACGCCAGTGCCCAGGGTGTAGGTCAGAGTCACATCCTCAGTTCCGGAGAAGATGTCGCTGGCGTCGGAGCCAGTGGAACCAGTGCTCAGAGGAACGGGAGCAGCGGTGATGGAGGAAGAGCCCTGGCCAGCGGCACCGGAGGGGATCTTCGAGGACGAAGGGTAGGGCACCACGATGGCGGACGAGCTGGCGGAGGTCGCCGAAGAGGACGGGATGACCGCGGTGGAGGTGCCAGGGATGGCAACGGCGGACGAGGTGGGCACCGCGGGGGGAGGAGGGGGGATGGCAGAGGAAGAGGTCTCAGCAGGGGCCACGGAGGTCTCGGCAGCAGCGGAAGTAGACTGAGAGACGGGGGTCTCGGCCGCGGGGGGAGTCTCGACAGCGGGGGCGCTGGGAGTCTCGGCCACGGGGGGCTGCTCCGGAGCAGCGCTTTCGGTGGGAGCGGGAGCCGGAGTCGGGAAGACGGTCACGGCAGAGACGGAGCCGGACTGCTTCAAGTCACGGTGGTGCAGGTTGCGGCGCACATGGCTGTTGGCCTCGGAGCCAGCAGCCAGAGCGGCCAGCAGAGCGATGGAGATCTTGGCGGTGAAGTGCATGATGACGGAGTGGACGATCGAAGATGCGACAATCAATACCTAGAAGAGAAGTATGGAGGTTGATGAAAGAGAACGAGTCTGCCGGAGAGTTGCAAAGAGAGTGTGGTGCGAAATCAATTCACACGAAACACAAAAACAAGCTTAAAGAGCGACAGTGAATGAACACCAGAAGGAGCGTGGAGGCAGAACGAACTCTGAAGCCGAGCAGAACGATAGGGAGGGAAGAGAAAGAAGAAGAAACGAGAAGGAAAACGAGGGAATGGAGTAGTAAAAGTAGTCCGATCCGCGGGCCGCAAATTAAAGCCGCGAAAGGAGACCGAATCAGTGTTTGATTTGATTAATTAATTAATTCTGGATGCAAAAACCCCCGACGCACGCTTTGGGGCCTGGACTCGCCAGGCATCCATCCGCCAGTCTGCCGTGTGGGATATTAACCCGATGGCATCACCGCTCAGGAGGGCTTTCATCTCTCGTCTACGGTAGGTTTTCTGCGTTTCCTACACACACACTCTCTCTCTCTCTCGTTGAGTCCATCACCATAAGCCTGGAGGAAAGAATCATCATGAATCATCAGGAATATACTCCGAAAAGCAAAAAAAAAAAAAAAAAAACAAAAAAGAAAAAGAAAAAGAAAAAGAAAAAGAAAACAAAAGTTCCCTCTTCGGTTGCTGCTTCCTTCCTGTACTTCGCAGTTGCATCACGGGCGGGTCCAGGCACTGGGCGATGATTGGCGGACCAGACACCCTCCCGTTTCACCCCCCGCAGCGCTTGCCACTGATTGGCCCACCCGGGGCCGGCTTAATCTCGCCGCGTGCCCGCCTGCCCGCACGGTTCGGTTGCCTCTGCCATTTTGACTTTCTTGGTTTTTTCGGTTTCATTTCTTTGGTTTAATTTCGGTTTCGCGCCCTTGCTCCTTTTTTTTTGTCGTTTTGTTTTTCTTTCTTTCTTCTATTTTGTTTGTGTCTTTCCCTCCTCCAGCACTCGACCCTCGCATGAGGATTCCCCCCCAAATCTCCCCATTCACTCCGATCCTGCATGTTTGGGGCCGCAGTTTCAATCGTCTTGGAAGTTGGAACGGCGACTCCGGGATAAGGGACCGCCAACTCCAACCGTGCCGGGGGGCAAATAAAGTGCCACTATGTAGTGCTACCCTAGGAGCTGCGCTAGTGCCAGGGGACGGTGGCATCATCCGTTCAACAGATGGTCAACTCTAATGAATTAATTTACCGTCCAGCGTAGCCCGTACGTCCAACGAAAAAAAAAAAGTCCCCTCTGGCCCAGCAACCCAGGATCCTTGGAAGTGAGCGCATTAATCTTAATTATCGATTTATCGCCCGACACTATCGAATTTTTTCCCTGGTGCCACGGCGGAAATGACAGCTTTGGGCTGGTGCTGGTGACTGGCTTCGACCGGGTGGAGTCTGGATGCTGGATATCACACTCGATTATATATTAATTTTCAGGAGAACGGCTCAGATGATGAGATGAATCCTATCATCGCAGTTATCTGCTATGCCCTACGCCGTAGACTATGTGACCGAGACAGAAAATAAAATTAAATAAATAAATAAAGGGCTGATCAGGTTGGTATGACTTCATGCACTTTGCTGGCGCGATTCATTCCCACTCGATACGAGACCAGTTCGGCGTGACGCTATGGAGGCCAGACTTTTCATTAGTTCCGACTCGTGGCCTAAGCGAGAAACATCTTCTCTTGGGCTTTCGGTGTCTTGAACCCTTGCCAACGCAGAGGCCGAAAACAAATCCAAATAAACAAATCAAGAAAACAAAGAAACACGGCGTGGAACAGCCTGGCGGTGAGGATGGCCTCTTTCTTTTTTCCTTCCGATGGAATGCATTGACAGATGCCGATCCATCGTGGAAATCCCAACGGGCCACGATGATCCCGACTCGTCCAAGTGGAGCTGCGGTCCTGCAGTCTAGACACTTTGCCCGCTGGACATGCGAATTTGCGATGATTCTTCCCCATCCCATCTGGGAAAAGAGCTCCCTGATGACCCGGAGGGATGTCAGATATTTCATCGCCTATCTGATACGTAGGAATCGAGCTCCGTAGCTCCTGCATCTCTAGAAGACCCTAGATCCCGAAGGACCCTCGCTACCATCGCGACATTCCTGATCCTCGCATACAGAAAAAAATCTCTCAAGCGGGAGCCAGTGTTTCAGGCAGATGAAGGTTCGGTGGTTCTGGAGATTGTACAGCCCCCGTCTTCGCAAGCCGCTTCCACTTCCCCTTCAAGAGCCGAAATTATCATCTGATGTTATCGCTGCCCCCGGCATGTTAGTCTACGATATTACGGAGCACCGAGCGATTAGATCAACACCACCGCAACCGAGTTCACGGGATCGGGAAGAGTCGAGAATCCAGAGGAAGAAGTGGACTGCGGCACTTGAGTGGATCGCTCTTCGTCAATCGGTTTCAGGCTTCATGGATGATTCCCCTTCCCTTCGCGCTCGTCCCGACGTTCCAGCCGAAGGTCTTCTGGTAGGTAGTAGTACCTAGTATATTAATTCCGAGTCGGCATCGAATCACACGGAGTATGCGGCGGCCTGTCGGGGACTCCCCGGCCACCTTCTAAACATCTAGAACCATCTGGACCTTCTACCGGATTTGCTATGTATCGACTATCGAGTCTGTCGACCGAAGCACTTATTTGACCTGTCGAGAGTGACGCGAGGTGCAGATATCGTGATGACCGATGATCTCTCGTATTGACCCTGCAGCCTCCCGCTCGATTGTGGTGCCCTTTGGCACTCCACCTGCTGCTGACTAGGGTTTTTTTCGATGACCTCATCTGGACGAGCTAAATCCCACGGCCAGATGGGTGAAAATATGCAGTTGTGATGGAATCATGGAAGTCTGCCGGACGAGGTGAAGATGGGGCAAGCCCGAGTCACATGAGAACGACCACGCCGTCAGCCTCGGTGGATGTCGATGATGCTCATCAGACAGACAATAATCTCTCCCTTGTCCCTGAAACTCCCCCCTTTCATCATGTCCGCCTCGTTCCAGAGCCTCCGGGCCAAGTACGGGACTGCGTTGAAACAATTCGTCCAGTCGACCCGCAACTTCGAGGTTCTGGCCTCTGTCTCAGCCGAGCGATCCCAGCAATCTCCCCCGCAGGTGCTGTACGTGCTGGATTCCTCCTTCAACCCCCCGACTCTCGCCCATCGTCGCATCGCCGGCTCCGCTCTCTTGGAGAATCCCGACCGTCCGTCTCGGCTACTACTGCTGCTGGCCACCCAGAATGCCGACAAGCCATCGAAACCGGCTAGGTTCGAGGATCGTCTGGCGATGATGGAGCTGTTTGCCCGGTATCTAATCGCGTACACGGGGAGTCTCCTGCCGGCCCCGGACCGACAGTTCCTCCCCGACGTCGACATCGGGGTCACCAAGAAGCCGTATTTCGTCGACAAGGCGGCCGATATCGACGCCGCCGGTGTCTACCCCGCGTCGCTCGAACAAGTCCATCTGACGGGCTTCGACACGCTGATCCGCATCTTCGACCCCAAGTACTATCCGCCCGCACATACGCTGCAGCCGCTGGAACCGTTCCTCTCGCAGCACCGCCTGCGCGTGACCATGCGTCCGGATAGCAACTGGGGGAGTCGCGAGGAGCAGGAGGACTACCTTCGCACGCTGGCCCAAGGCGGTCGCGAGCAAGAGGGCGGCAAGCGCGAATGGGCCGAGCGCATTCATCTGGTGGAAGGCAAGAAACCGGAGGAGCGGTCGGTGAGTTCGACGAAAGCTCGCGAGGCCCTGGAGTCCAACAATCCTCAGGATCTTGACTGGCTGGTTCCGCCCGAGGTGAGAGATTTTATCCTTGCGGTTGAACCGTACAAGGAGCAATGACGGCATTTGCCAACGATGTCTACGAATCGCATACACCCTAAGGTTGATTGGTAAAGTAAAGTAGAGAAATGTTGTCACGCGCTGCGCAACAACCCTTGGCATTAGATGCTTGATATTTTTCTTTTGTTTCCGACCCTGTAATGTACATGTGAACCCTGCTGTTTGGTTCACGAAACGACTCGACTAAATTTGGGCCCCGTTTATATATAATGTTACATCCGAAACACCATGCCCGCAACGACGCCGACTCCACGTTCGAAAAATTAAGAAAGTCGTAGTAGCATGACCACCCCGTCTGACAGCCAGCGAACTGATTTTTCTATTCCTCCTCGTCCTCCCTCTTGCCGAGCGTATAGGCGAGTCCACCGCCGACAAGGTTGACGAAACACAGACCCATCGTGGTGCCGCGAACAATCCCCCGAGCTCCCCATTTCTTCATGAACGGCTGTCTTCGCCGACCGGCGAGCAGAAGATAGAGTCCTGACCAGGCGGCGCTGATTCCGGCGGTATCGGTCTTGAATCCCAAGATGTTCGCATAGCTGGTAGTCAGCAGGATCGGAGCGAACAGCAGAGGCAACGGCTGCAGCGGACGGGCATGCTGGGCGGTGATGAGCGATGCCAGCAGGGTCGGAGGGAACGGGTTCTCTGTGCGAAAGCGAAAGAGGAAGTTAGACGACCGAACGAAACCAAGAGGCAATGGTTGTAGATTGCAGAAGCAGCTCAACAGAGCGGCGCATGACGAGTGCTACTCACCTCCCCACGCTCGGGCCTTCTGCAGGAGAGTGGTTTTGGTCTCTTCCACGGTAGACTCTGAGCCGGCCATGGCTGCCAAACAATTGTGTCTTTGTGAATAAAAGAAAAAGCGCGCGGCGATATCAATGGTGGGAGGAAACAATCCCAGACGGAGGAAGCCAGCGACTGCTCCGTGAGCTGATCGGAGGATTGGCATGACTAACGCAACTCTCCGCTTAGCGTCGCCATCTCAACTTCCGGAAGACACCACGTTGATCTCGAACTGAACGACTATACGCCCTGCTAACTCGCCCTCTCTCCCCGGTTCTAGACCAACCATCTTCCTCGAATCCGGGCAGCCCTACTCGCCGATCGCCGCATCTGTGCGTCGTTTTCTCCTGCCTGGTCAATATTCCGGTCGGACTCGACTGCGGAAATCGCCACGACTCTCCGTCTCTCTACTCGTCCGCTTTATTTTTTTTTTCTTCTAGCGACCGCCTTCCTCTCGTTCGCTCGGCGACCCCGAAGCCATCCTTCACCCGTATTTTCGTTAGGAGGGTCAACAAAACCGGAGTCATACGAAGGCGCAGAGAACCGTACACTGTCGGTGTTTATCCGCCATGTCGTCTGCCACTGCCTCTGGGGCAGACACGGGAGGCTCTGCGAAATCCCGCGAGCATAACCAAGGGAATCAGGACCGCAAATACACGCCGGATCAAAAGGCTGCCGTGCTCAGAATCCGCAAGTGCTCGACGACAGCGTTCTACGAGATCCTGTCGCTGGAGAAGACCGCCTCGGATGGCGAGATCAAGAAGGCTTATCGGAAACTGAGTCTGTTGACGCATCCGGACAAGAACGGATACGAAGGGGCTGACGAGGCGTTCAAGTGTGAGTCTATGGTTCAAGATGATAGGGATGTGATCTGCGTTGCTGACGTCGATGGCAGTGGTGTCGCGGGCTTTCCAGGTTCTCTCGGACCCCGATAAGAAGTCCAAGTACGATAAGTTCGGCGGAGACCCCGATAGCAGATTCACGCCCAGCGCTGGGCCCTCGGGAGGCTCGCCTTTCGGTGGCTTCGGCGGCGGTGGATTCCCGCGGTCTGGAGGTGGCCCTGGCTTCGAGGAGGAGATCTCGCCGGAGGAGCTGTTTAATCGGTTCTTCAACGGGGGATTTGGGGGTGGGTTCAGCCCGTTTGGTATGTTTTGCCCTTGGCGAATCGAGATACATGCGCTACGACGCGATCTTCGGGGGGAAGAGTCTTTGCTGACCGTGTCTTGCACAATCCTACAGGTGGTCCGCAGTTCGTCTTCAACATGGGCGGAGGCCCTGGTTTCCGAGTTCACCAGTTTGGAGGCGCGCGGCCGCGCAGACGACCCCGTGAAGCCAATGCGCAATCCGAACCAGTGCCGTCGGGCTGGGCGGCGTTCCAGCAACTCTTGCCTCTCATCCTTCTCTTCGTCCTCCCTCTGCTTTCCTCGCTTTTCTCCGGCTCCTCTACTCCCTCTGGTCCCACGTACAGATTTGATACCGCGGTGCCTCCGCATACGATGCAACGAACGACTCCCAAACTGCACCTCAACTACTTTGTCAACCCCGGCGACGTGGAAGACTACAGCGCACGGAAATTCCGCCAGCTAGACCAACGAGTGGAGGTGGACTACGTCTCGAAACTTCGATACGAATGCGAGAGCGAGGTCCATGCCCGGGAACGAATGATCCAGGAGGCGCAGGGCTGGTTCTTCCCCGACGTAGAGAAGATGAAGGAGGCGAGAGCCATGGAGCTGAAGAGTTGTCGGCGGTTAGACAACCTGAAAGGCCGGTATTAAACCCGCCTTCAGTATATGATCTGCGCATTCTTATCTAGCCATGCCCGTTGTTCTATTATACTTAATGGTTTCCCCCATCCTTTCGAGTTCTTGCATTGCTATGTCTTTTTTCTTTTCTTTTCTTTCCTTTCCTTTTTTTTTCTCCCTTTTTCTTTGGGTCTTGCATGTCCTAGATGATCCAGGAATGCAAGCGTTATTTTGTTACGGCGTTTTCCCCGGGCTGAGATGATGCTTGCAAGCTGAGAACGACTACTGTGTGGGATATGAAATGAGTGAACTGCCTTTGTACATGAGATGAGAAGCACCAAACAATGCACTGTGAAGTGAAGGACGATCCGGAGCATAAATGAACATATAAGCAAAGGCGGTCAGCGCGGCTTAGTTAATGCCGGCGAAACCCAGCGACTCGTAGAGAAGAGAAGTTCCGCCAGTCTCAAGTATCGTCGGCCGGTTCTCGCGCTCCTCCTTCCCCTCTCTGGCCTTGCTTGCCGTGGTAGATAGATTCCGTTAATTTTGGCTCGCTCGATCATCCTGGCTCATGTCCTTCATGCCATCTGAATTCTAATCCCACGTTGTCGAGACTCCGCATTCTAGCCAGCCCCGCTAAAGTGCAAGTGCCATCATAATCCTCATCGGAGATGTCTGACGGTCTCTCTGAGGCGGACAAGGTTCGATCATCCCTATTTTCTGCTGTCAACAGAATCGAACTTCCCTCGAGGTTTGAGTCTAATCTGTTCTCCCCATACTAGATCCGTAACAAGCGTCTCGCGAAGTTGGGGAACCCGTCTCCGCCATCGCCAACTGAAGGCGCTGCAGACTCGGCTTCCAGCCGACCGCCCACGCCTTCACAGCCTGTTTCTTCTCGGGAAGCTTCGCGCACACGATCCAATGTCGGAAGTGCGGCCAGCTCCCCTGCACCTTCACCTCGCCCGGAAGCACAGCAGTCGGAAGGGAAGCGGATCAAAATCACCCCGGCGACTTCCACAAATGCCGCCGCCGAACGATCACGACCTGCCACGCCGGTGGCCCCCAAGGCGGAGGAGACCATCGAGACCTTCGAGGACCGTACATTGAGCGCCATCTTCAAGCTGACCCTGAACGAGGATCGGCAGCGGGACATCCACGGACAGAGGCTGACCTTTTTGCCGGGACTGCGGAGCGAACTGACGGATGAAGGCCGGGAGCTTCGCATCGACACGTCGGTTCTGGACCAGGCACTGCTAGAGGCTGCGTCCAATACCCCCCAGCAGAAACCGTTGAATTATTTGCTCCCGTGCTGGAAGAGGATATCCAAGCTTCACAAAGGGTTCCGCCGTGCTCGGGATGACGACCCGAAGTTCTTGGTTCTATGCGAGGCTCGCCGCCTGTGCTTGAGCTACTGCATGTTTGCCATCACAATGCCGGAAATGTTTGGGTGCGTATTCGTTGTTATTTGTGGGATAATCACTCAAGACATTTCCCTGGACTAATTGCGTTTGTTGCTCTTTAGAATTGATCCGTCGGGACGGTCGACGTTGAAACCTTATCTACTTTTGGACCCCGAGGATGAGAAGGGCGTGGACTTCGAGTTCATCAGCGAGGCCGTGAAGAGGTTTGATGAGGATGAGAATATCAAGCCGGCGTTTATAGTTGCTGTCGAGGAAATGAGCCGAGAGCTGGCCGCCATGAACATCAACGATGATTACAAGCCCTACATGACAGTATGTCTGGAAGATCTGTTGTCTACCCAGGACTTCCCACTGATCTCTATTACAGGCTCTGCGCAACTTGGTGCGTCACGCCGTTATAGGAGCTGCCATCACGGAATCCTCCATCTTCAACGCGTCTCGCGATCCTGCGCTGTTTGAGAAGGAGACCTTGATCGGGCCATGGTTCCGCCTCTCGCCTCTACAAGGCAATGTGACCATGCAGTATTTCTCAAGCCCTAAGACGAGGGACCAGGGCTATATTCTCAGCGCACAACGGTCGCTTCGGATGATGCAGCAGATTCTTAACTCGGATCTACTAGACATCATCAATCATATGATCCGGGCGTCGAAAGATGCCAGGGACCGAATTCTAGACTGGTTCGCTGCGGCGTTGAACATCAACCACAAGCGACGGGCCATGCAGGTAGACCCCAATGCAGTGTCGTCGGATGGATTCATGTTCAACCTTACTACGTGCTTGGATCAGCTCTGCGAGCCCTTCATGGACGCAAGCTTCACCAAGGTTGGTGCATCCAAGCTCTCTTGTACCGAAAATAAGGTCACGAGCTAACTTATTCCTAAAGATTGATCGCATTGATGCGAACTACCTGCACCGAAACCCTCGGGTTGACCTGAGGGACGAGACCAAGATCAATGCCGATAAACATGCATCGGATGCGTTCTATTCCAAAAAGGCCGAAGGCACTTCAAACTTTATTACAGAGATTTTCTTCTTGACTGTTGCCGCCCATCACTACGGCAGTGAATCCTTGACCTCGAAATTGGATCAATTGGAGAAAGATCTGCGGCACATGGAGTCTACCATTACCAAATTTGAGGCCGAACGGCCTCGATGGGTCAACAACCCGATGCAGCTCCGGGTATTCGAGAATGCCCTGAAGAAATACAAGGACAAGCTGGACCTCGGCCTTGCCTTGAAGTACAGCCTCCAGGGTGTGCTGTTCGACGATCAGTGGCAGGCCCGCTCTATGTTGTTCATGCGTTACGTTATGGTGTGGCTGCTTCGACTTGTATCTGGTGTGAACTTCCCCAAAGAAGAGATCAAGCTACCTCTTCCCGAGCAACAACCAGAAGTCTTCAAGTGTCTGCCAGAGTACTTTGTCGATGACGTGGTCAGCAACTTCAAGTTCATCATGTGGTGCATGCCTCAAATCATCACTGCTACGCAGGGAGACGAGTTGGTCATGCTTTGCATAACTTTCTTGGAAAGCTCCGGTTACATCAAAAACCCCTACCTCAAAGCAGGCCTCGTTTCCATCCTTTTCCGAGGCACGTGGCCGCGCCCCGGTGGCGCCCGCGGTGTCTTGGTGGACCTGCTCAACTCCATGAAGTTTGCCAACGACCATCTGCTCCACTGCCTGATGAAATTCTACATCGAGGCCGAGCACACGGGCACCCATACGCAGTTCTTTGACAAGTTCAACATCCGATACGAGATCTTCCAGATCATCAAATGCATCTGGCCCAATACTTTGTACCGAGACAAACTGTACAAGCAGTCTAAGAAGAACCTCGACTTTTTCGTCCGCTTTGTGAACCTGCTTCTGAACGATGTGACGTTCGTGCTTGACGAGTCGTTCGGTGCATTCATTACCATCCACAAAACCCAGACGGAGCTGCGCAATGAGGGAGCGTCCATGGATCCTACCGCGCGCCAGCAAAAGGAGGAGCACCTTGCCTCCGCCCAGCGGAATGCGAAGTCCTACATGCAACTCACTAACGAGACGGTTTCTATGTTGAAGCTCTTCACCGACGCGCTGGCAGAGTCGTTCACGATGCCCGAGATCGTCCAGCGATTGGCCGACATGTTGGACTACAACCTGGATGCCATGGTAGGCCCCAAGAGTTCTAGCTTGCGTGTGGAAAACCTCCAAGATTACGGATTCAACCCGCGAGCATTGCTGAGCGAGATCGTCGACGTGTACCTGAATCTGATGAGCAAAGAGAGTTTCATCACCGCCGTGGCTCGAGATGGACGGTCTTACAAGCCGGCGAACTTTGCTAAGGCCGTGGATATCTTGCGCAAATGGTCTCTCAAATCCCCCGAAGAGCTGAAACGGTGGGAGAAATTGCTGGCGATGGTGAAGGAGGCCAAGGCAGCCGACGAACAAGCAGAGGAGGATCTTGGAGAGGTTCCTGATGAGTTCTTGGGTATGGCCCCTCCCTCTCTGTCCAGGGCCCATTGATCAATTGGCTAACCCGTTCCGCTAGATCCTCTTATCTACACCCTGATGGAAGACCCCGTCATCCTGCCTGGATCGCGGGTATCCATTGACCGTTCGACTATCCGGTCTCACCTATTGAGTGATCCCCATGACCCGTTTAACAGAGTTCCGCTCAAGATGGAGGATGTAACGCCAGGTGAGTCATTGTGCAACATCGACATATGATATGACCGGCAAAAGCTAACCTCGAATCCCCTGTAGACACGGAACTCAAAGCAAAAATCGAGGCATTCAAGTCGGAAAGGCTGGCCGAGCGGAGAAAGGAAAGGGGACAGGGTGCACCCGAGTCGATGGACACATCTACGGATTAATCGACCTCGCGTGCTTTAGTTTTCCCTTCAGGTGTACGGTGGTATAAACTTTCTATCAGGCAAGTTTGCTGCGTACTTGGCCTCGGTATGGCTTAGAATATGACTGGTCTTCTTTGTTCATTTTCTCATGGGATTGGATTGGACAGGGCGTTGATTTGAATTTATTTTTTATCTGTTTTTGTGATTTGGATCTGTTGGAAACTTCTGGATCCTCAGTAACTTGTTCATACAGACCAGAAAGACCCCAGCAATGCAATGACTGAATGACCTCCGCCAGTATCTACATGTCACGTGATGCGACACCCCGTGACATCATTGCCCGATGTAGAAAGTCTCCCAATCGCCTTCTTTTTTTGGTCCTCAACCCACCCTTCTTGTTCTCTTCCTCTCTCTCCTTAGCTCCTCAGCCCTCTGCCATATCCAATGCACTTCTTATCCTGCAATTGAGTTTCCATCTCGAGCAATCTACCATCACTCACCACGTCAGTACTTTCGCTTCAGAAATCAACATCACATACTGACTGACCCTTTCTCAGTCAGGTAGCCATTACTAAAGTCACCGATCAAACAACCATGGGATCGGCAAGTTCCTGCATCCAATCCCTGCCTCCTTTGAGGGACTTCTTTCACCCCACACTGGATGCATACATGGTCACACTCAACATCTTTCAGTACTTCCCCCTTGTAAGCCTTTTCCGAGCTTCTGTCTCCAATCATCAAGAACTAAATACTGACCCAACCAGGTCTCTGTCATCCAATGGCTCACGGCCTTCCATCCAGCTGGGAAAACCTCGCTGAAGAGGTCGTACCTCAACTTCCCCGGTCGACTCGGATGGTTCATCATGGAGATCGTCGGTCCTGTCAACCTGCTCTACATCCTCTGGACTCTCCCCCCAACCCTGAACATTACCTCTCTCCCCTACCCTAATAAGCTCGCTGCCTCGCTTTATATCATTCACTACATCAATCGCGCCATTATCTCCCCTTTCTTCGCCGCACCCAGCATGTCCCCTATCCATGCCTTCGTCGTGTTCTCCGCCGTCCTCTTCAACTGGCTCAACTCAACCTGCCTGGCCGGCTGGATTGTCGGATATCAAATCCCTATTGCCATCCCATCATATACGTCCACATCTCACCCAGTCACAATGGACCCCTCTCCTTCCTCTTCCACCCTCCTCCCCTCCCTTGGCATGTGCCTCTTCCTCCTCGGAATGGCAGGCAACATCCACGCCGAACGAACCCTCTTCCGACTGCGTCGTGAGGAAGCCGAAACCCGGCATAGCAAGAAATCCTCCTCGGCGCAGCCCAACGGTACCAGCAGCCAAGACAGCAGCAACAAATTCTCTAAAGTCTACGTCATTCCCCCGCCCACCGGGCTCTTCCGCTCCATCCTCTACCCGCATTATGTCTGCGAATGGCTCGAATGGCTCGGTTTCGCGCTCGTTGGGACAGCCGTTCTCCCCGTCCCTTCTGCGCTGGGGGGTGTTGCGGCTGCGTCCTCTTCGTCGTCCCTCGTTCTAGCGCCGTGGGTTGTGCCGTTTGCTCTGGGGGCGGAAAGGCTGCGCCTGGGACTGCCGTTGCCAGCGGTGCTGTTCTTTGTGAATGCGGTGGCCAACATGTTGCCGCATGCGCGATGGGGGAGGAAATGGTATGTGGAGCGGTTTGGAGCGCAGAGGGTTGCGGGAAGGGGCGCTGTGGTGCCGTTTTGTGGGTGGTTGTGATGTTTCTCCTCTTTCTTTGTTTCTTTTCTCTTCAATGTGTAATAAAGACCATGTAATAGATATCACGTCGGGTTTGGCTAATGCAGTGGCTCTTTACGAGTCGGCCAAGTATAGATGCACGTGACCTCGCGGGATTTCGGTGGTATCAGGTGTGAGAACAGATGACTAAGTCGAATACTTTAATGCTCATGCGAAATCTACGTTGGGAAACTAGGTCTACAATGAAGAAAGTAGTCAGGTTGCAATACTGCCTGTGTGCATTAAAGTAATAATACTAGGTGTTGACGTATCACAACCTTCAAGTGTGATATACACATTGTTGAAATTGAAAAAACCACCAGCAAGAGCTCAAATCACCGACATCCCCCACTTGGATCCCCCTTCACAATTTATGCAAAAAGAGAAACCAATTGTAATAGAAACAAATCAAACCAATGTTAAAACCACGCCTTGCAACGGAGGATCCGAAGCGTTTATAGGCATGTCGGTTTGATTCAGGCTCTCGCCAGTGTTGAAATTGTCAAATATGTTGAAAACTCCGTTGACCCCCGGATATCTCTAGTGCAAACCATGAACCCATATGTTGAACTTTTGGTATCATCATCGTAAACTCATCACATTAAAAAAATCGAGACGAAAGAAAAAAACGTCTCCCCCTTCGAGGCGACAGGTTGAGAATGTCGCCCCCATCATGGGTTATTGTTGGTATTAAAGAGGCACGCCATTTATTTGGCGTACTTCTGGCGGTAGGCCTTGGCCGCGTTGACCATGTTGGTCAGAGCAGCCTTGGTCTCGGGCCACTGGCGGGTCTTCAGACCGCAGTCAGGGTTGACCCACAGCTGGTCGACACGGAGGAACTGAAGCATCTCCTCAATGCGGTCCTTGATCTCCTGCTCGCTGGGAACACGGGGAGAGTGGATGTCGTAGACACCGGGACCGATGTGGCGGGGGTAGGCCTCGTCAATGAAGACCTTGAGCAGCTTAGCGTCAGACTTGCTGTTCTCAATGCTCAGAACGTCGGCGTCCAGCGCGGCAATGGCGTGGAAGAAGTCCTGGAACTCAGAGTAACAGAAGTGGGAGTGGATCTGGGTGCCGTCGGTAACGCCGGAGGTGGCCAGGCGGAAAGCACGGACAGCCCAGGACAGGTAGTCCTCACGCTCCTTGCCGGAGCGGAGAGGGAGACCCTCACGGAGAGCGGGCTCGTCGACCTGGATGACCTTCACGCCAGCAGCCTCGAGGTCAACAACCTCGTCACGGAGGGCAAGAGCCAGCTGCTGAGCCTGGACGGACTGGTGGACATCATCACGGGGGAAGGACCAGCGAAGACAGGTGATAGGTCCAGTAAGCATACCCTTCATGGGCTTCTTGGAGATCGACACGGCGTACTTGGACTCCTTGACGGTCATGGGGGCGGGACGAGAGACGTCACCGACAATGATGGGGGGACGCACGCAACGGGATCCGTAGGACTGGACCCAGGCGTGGGTGGTGAAGACGTAACCGGTCAGACGCTCACCGAAGTACTGCACCATGTCGTTACGCTCGGGCTCACCGTGGACAAGAACGTCCAGGTCGAGCTCCTCCTGGATCTTGACGACATCCTGGATCTCCTGCTCGATGAACTTCTCGTACTCCTCGGGGGTGATCTCACCCTTGGTGAACTTGTTACGCTGGACACGGATCTCCTTGGTCTGGGGGAAAGATCCGATGGTGGTGGTGGGGAAGAGAGGGAGGTTGATAGACTTGCCCTGCTCGGCGTGGCGGACGGGGAAGGGAGACTTGCGGTTGTGCTGCTCGTCAGTGACGGCGGCCTGGCGCTCCTTGACCTTGGGGTCGTTGGTGCGCTTGGAAGAGGCACGAGCCTGGACAGACTTGGCGTTGGCCTCGAGCTGCTCACGGACGGCAGCGGGGCCGTCAGTGACGGCCTTAGCAATGACGACAACTTCGGCGGTCTTCTCGACGGCAAAGCTGAACCAGTCACGAACCTCGGGGTCGAGGGTCTTCTCGCTCTCGAGAGTGTGAGGAACGTGGAGCAGAGAGCTGGAGGTGGCAACGATCACGCGGTCCTTACCCAGCTTCTGGACGGCCAGCTCAACCTTCTCGATGGCGGCCTTGTAGTTGGTCTTCCAGATGTTACGGCCATCGACAACACCGGCAGAGAGGACCTGCTTAGGGCCCAGAGCAGCGACGACGGTGTCAAGCTGCTCAGGGTTACGGACCAGGTCGATGTGGATACCGTAGAGGCTCTGGAGGGAAGGAAGGACATCGACGTTGTGGACGATGTCACCGAAGTAGGTAGCAAGGACAATGCGGGGAGCCTTGTCACCAAGAGCACCCAGCTTCTCATAAGCGGGCTTGAAAGCAGCCTTGGACTTGGCGGGCAGGTCGAAGACGAGGACGGGCTCGTCAACCTGGACGTCCTCAACGCCGGCCTCCTTGAGCTTGGCAAGCAGGTCAGCGTAGACGGCGACGAGCTCATCGATCTTGTCGATGGGGTCGATGGTCTGGCCACGGTCGGCCTTGGCGAGGGTCAGGAAGGACACAGGACCCAGGATGACGGGGCGGGTGACAACGCCGGCCTCCTTGGCCTCAAGGAACTGAACAACAGGCTTAGGCTGGTCGGCCAGCTTGAAGGTCTGGTTGTTCTGCAGAGTAGGCTTCACGTAGTGGTAGTTGGAGTCAAACCATTTGACCATTTCCTAAAGCGGGGTTGTGTTAGTCAGAGTCCCACTGCTAAAATCTGACGCGAGATAAGAAGTGGGGGGAGATAAGCGGACATACCAAGCTGGGAACGTCGATGGCGGCCTCACCATCCTTGGCGGGCTTCTGGAGACCACGGCCCATGGCGAAGTACTCGTCAACGGGGTGGAGGTTGTACTTGCTGTAGCGCTCGGGGATGACACCGAAGAGCTGGATGTGGTCCAGGACCTGGTCGTAGAAGGCAAAGTCGTTGCTGGGGATGATGTCGACGCCGGCATCCTTCTGGATCTTACAGTGCTCGAGACGGAGTCTCTTTCCCTCGCTCAAGAGCTCATCACGAGAGATCTTGTCACCCCAGTAAGCTTCGGTGGCCTTCTTCAGGTCACGGAGCTTTCCCATACGAGGGAAACCCAAGACGGAGCTGGAAAGGATGCGTTAGTACGATACAATGATGACGAGGAATGAGATGAGAATCACGTACGATTGAACCATCCTGACGGTTGTAGGAAGAAAGGGACGGTAGAGAGGGAGACTGAAGAGGAGAGAAATGATTCACACGAGAGGGATGAATCACCGATGGAAAAAGATCCCCAAAAGACAGGAATGGGAGGGAAAGAAGGGGGAGGGAGAGAGATGGAAGGAAGAAGAGAAAGGAAGAGAAGAGGGGAGGAGGGGAAGGTTAAAAAGGAGGATGGCAGAAGCCCCTCGTTGGATCCCCAGCGGACTAGACCGAACGGGGCAGGAACCGACCCCTCCAAAGTCGAGGTACCGCAGCAACAAATGGCGTGATTGCGACGCTTGCGATTACCACAATGCAACTTGTCAGCTCAGGCCCGCATCGGCCTGGATCGGCCGCCGGGATCGGCCTGCTGGCTGACTCATCGCTCTTCCGTTGGCGGCGGTTGTTCCTCTGCTGGACTGAGGGACTGTCCGTCGCATCACCATCCAGCAGGATTCCTCCTGATATCTCATCCATGGATGCATCGCAACTTCCCCGGGCTTGCAGTAGTCGCCCTGTCGAATGATCTACCATGTATACACTTGTGCTTGTACTATACACATGCTGTGCCTGCCTTTTCTTGTTCATACCTGCAGTCTCTGGACTGGTCCTTCCCAATATGCCAAATGGAATCACTTTCTATACTCGAGCATCTCATGCTCTCCCCATTCGCAATGCATCCCTCCATCGTAATCCGTCATCTCGGAAAATGAATCGGCCACCTTCTGGCTGCGCCGCATAGCCCTTCATGAGAATCCTCTTTTGTCCTCGGTTCTTCAGGAGCCGCAGTTCTTCGACCTCCTCGGACAGCCCGCAGACCTCCCGTTACCAGCTGGACCGGTTAGATGTGCCAGCGACTCCAGGTCGCTCTCCAGAAGGTGACTATGCGACCAATACACCCTCCTTTCCATAGTGGACTTTGGGTCTCTGACCACCGGCGCCAGGCATCACATCGTCCAGAGAAAATGCCCATTACCGTGACCACCGGAGCGACTCCTCCGCGGGCTTCTCTGATAGACTGCGCAGACGGTTTTCTCGAGAAGCAAATGGCCCTCACATGCGACCTCGAAAGAGTGACAAAAAGATCGGAAATTCAATCTTCCCATTCACGACCATGACCTTCAAGAACAGTCCCAACCAAATCGCATCCGCTGATATAGGAAGCAGTCTGATAAGCGAACGGGGTTATGACAGCGACGCACAGTGTATCACCACCCCCAAGCAGACCGGCAATTTCAGAGAGGAGCCACGCTCCAGACCCGGTATTTGGAGGGACATGTCGCCGCTGGCCCAGCCCAATTACGACTCAGACCAGGAAGCTCAGTACGGAAGGTCTCCGGCGCCGATGGATGAGGCTGGTAGGATGGGGAGCCATTATCACGGAGTTCACCGAGAGATGGAAAGACCACAAGCATCGTGGCACTCAAGAAATCAACCACGTTGGGGTCCACCACAAAACTTCTCTACCCCTCGCAATGCCTACCATGAAAACCGCCGGGGGAGGATGGGAAGTCCTTGTCCAAGCATGGCCAGCAGCGTGTCCCTAGACACGACGGCAGATGGGTCCAAGTCCACTGCCCAGGGCTTCTATTATCCTCGACATCGACAAGGCATTCAAAACGCTTCAATGCCCATCAATTACCCCAGAGATGACCATCAATATTCGCCGACTAACAATGGAGGACAGAGTCTGAATTTGCCCAACTGCACACCAACCTTTTCGCAGCCGTATACAACGTCCGCCGAGTCTGTAGTGTACCCGCCCTCCCAAATCTCGGTCATGAAAAGAAGACAACGGCATCAAAGGGAGCAGGATTCGGACGGACAGTCTATCCATCTGGTTGACATGAATATACCCCGGGCTTTGGCGTCGCACTCCATGTCGCCTCACGTTTTGTCTCGAAATCAGTCACTGGACCAGAATGAATGGAGCAATAGAAGCGAGGGACAAAGTATCACTCAGCCTGGTCATGGATATTCGAAAGTGGAAACATCCAAGGCCTCGGCTCACAATGTAGGAAAGATGAGCAAGGAGCCTTCGTCATCTTATTCTCGCAAGACGAGCATTTCCTCGGACTTTCCAGGATACCGCTGGGAAAACAAAGGGGTCAACAATACCTCTGCCAGCCCCGAAAAAGAATCTACAGGGGCTGGTTTCGACGGAACACAAAATCGTAAACCATCACCTCGGCCACGAGAAGTGCATGCTGGCCAGTCGAGCGAGTTCAGTCCACTCAATCCACGAGATCATGACGGCACCGACACCACAGATATCCAAAAGGGCAGATTCATAGGTCAGCTTGGATCGAATCGGTCGGTCTCGTCCCCCGTTCCCAATACCAATTGTGGCACGGACGAAAGCCTCGCGTCTCCGCGAAAAGTCAGTGTCGGCTGGATGTCAGGAGGCCGTCGCCTTGGCTATGGCTACACGATGGTACCGGCAGACGAATCAATTGAACGGCCATCTCACGGAAAACCAGCAACACCCTTGAGAACGGAAAGCAGACAGGGAAGCGATGGAGCAACTGCCGGCCATACCAAACAATGCTCGGAGAAGACGAGCAAAATTTCATTGCGCATAGGGGACTCGACATATGACATTTCAAGTATCATTCAACGCTTGAACCCACGCCATAGAGCAACAACATCCGTTGAGATCACCAATCGCAGCGACACGGCGAGTTGTGACTCTGTGACTTCTTCTCTATGGGAAAAGCTTGGGTATCGGAAAAAAAGTCAGAACGAACAGGAAACGGATGCCGACAAGAAGGTCCCATGGGGTCATTTCTGTGGTGTAGGTTTAGACCAGACCCTGCGAGAGCCACCGGTAATGAGCAAAGACGCACCTGCTTCCGTCGGGAGCGAAGACAGAGGCCGTTTGGGACTGAGTCGAGCAAAAACCATCTTGGCCAAAGGGCGCGGCGTGGGCGCAATTGCGCGCGAATTGGAACATTCAATTGTGCAAAGTAAAGGGCCTCGGGTCATGAAGTACAAAATACGCGACCTAAGGAATAGACGCCACAAAACTGACGATGACCGGCCGATCTTTGACAACAGAAAGGGTAGCTATGGGACTTCGCAGGACGGAGAGGAAAGAGAGTCGAATCCGGACATAAATGCGGTTGATCGAGACGAGGTGGAAGACCCCAAGCAACCTAGCTTCGATTTGGTGTCCGACGACTGGGTTGACAAGATCCACGAAGGCCTGGACATCCAACCGATCCCCGAGTAGACGAGTCAGCATGGTGTTGTGACAGACAATGGCTAACCATTCAGGCCTTTGCCCCCTATGGTGCAAGACAAATTGGCCTTTTCCAGTGTATATTATTTTGGTTTTGCGTGAACAACGGGCGAACAGCTTCTTGGGAGGTTCTCTTGTAGTTGGTAGGATATCATTTGCAGGAATTGGTAGGGAGTATGTGAATGATAGCGGCCCACACTGTTGTATTGGAATCAGCAGAGTATTAATGTCAATTGACAGTATTTTGGCCCAAAGACCGAACAAGTTCATGGTAGTCGTACATAGGTATATTGAAACACAAAACGCCCAAAAAAATAATCCCGGAAGCCGTACCCTCTTATTTCCTTTGCCGCTTGGCACTCTTATCACTTGAATTGCTCAAGACGCTGGCGGAGCGCTTATTGGAGGTATTTTCTCGGTCCTTCACAGGCGTGGGATCCGCAGCTCTCGCATCAGCCCCGGGTTCGGTACCTTTGCCTTCTCCTTCACCGGTTGGTTCGGCGCCCCCGTCAGCAATCGGCGCCGCAGGAGCAGACTCCGGGGCAGCGCTCGCCGTGGGCACCGAGTCATCCTCCTGTTCGGCCTTCACTTGCGGGTTCTCCTTCTCTCTCGCCTCTCTGGCTTTCCGCTCCCTTTCCTCCTTGGCGGCCTCGAGGACGCGGATCTCACTCTCCACCTTCTCGGCCACCTTGCGCGCATCGAGCAGCAGGTTCACCGAGTGGATCAGCTTCTCGAACTCCTTGCACACTCGCTCCGTGGGCATGACCAGTCGGAGCGGGATCTCCATTTCGGCGAGAGCGGCAGCCAGCTTCTGGGTTTGCACGTTGGATTTGGCCTGCGTCAGCTTCTGGGCTCGGTCACTGCGGAACTGGACGCTCGGAGCCAGACGGTCATGATGCTGGACACCGTATCGGGCCTCTTCGGCGGGTGTGAGCGTTTTGACAGCCTGCTGGGTGTCCTTGGTGGCTGCGGCCGCCGCGGCGGCAGCGGCAGCGGCAGCTTTCTTGTTCGTGGGAGCAGGAGCCGCGGAGCTGGGGGTTTCGGCGCGGCTTTCTCGGGCAGCAGGGCCGCCTGCGCTTGGAGCGGGGGTCTGTCCGGCCGGGCTGGGTGCTGCACCCTCGGGGCCGAGGATGGAGCGTCTCTTCTTGGTCTTGTCGGCCTGGAGGAGATTCTGGAGTAGCTGGGATAGTCCTTGGCTGGACTGGTACATGGTGGTGTTGCCCACACTGATGGGAGCTTCGAGGCGGGAGTACAGCTCCCTGCGTTCGGCGATGAAATCCTGCTCGTTGGCCGTGATGCGCTTCAGTTCCTCCAATAGAATGGTTTCCTCGCGCACCTCGTCTGCGGTGCGGTTGAGTTGCAGCGAGGCAAGATCCTTGCGGGTTCGCTCGCGTTCGGGGTCGAACCTCAACATCTTCTCGTGCAACTCGAACTCTGCCACAGACATCTCGGATGGCGGGTGCTCGAGGGCGAGCATTGAGGCAGCAACAAAGTAATACCGCGCCTTCATTGTTTCCATCGTGCGAGCGCTCCTCGCCGGTACGAGCGCGGTGGCATTCTCTGCCGCATCGACCGGGTGCGGCTGGTAGTCGTAGCGATCGGCAATCACTACCCATCGGAGATCGTACTCTTCAGCCATGTCCAGCAGGTAATCTGTCTCCTCCCGCGTCCAGTCATCGCTCCTCAGATGGCGGTTGTACTCCTCATCGGTGTATCGGTTCGGAACTCGCGGCTTGATGTTGTATTTGGCGAATGAATATTCTTTCTCAGCGGGTTTATCTGCATCTTCTTCCTGCTTTGGTCCGTCGGTGTCCATCTCCGAGCCCTCGATTGCTGCGGGTTTAGCCGTTTCATGTTGTCTTTGCCAGTGTCGAAGTACGAGGCCGTCGGATCGCGCATCGTTGGTAAACGGGGCCATGCTCCTGGCGGACGAAGCGGTTAATGAGCTGCGATGGCCAAGCACAAGGAACAAGGACAGTGTCACATACCATGGGCGGACTCGCAATTTGCTCATCCATTTCGGGCGGCCCTTGTATCGGTTCTCATTGATGGCGATCGGAGGCGCTCTTTCGCCAAGCAGGGCGTAAAGCTCGCGAGTAATACCCTCTTAAAACTAATGTGTTAGATATAACTTGTTCGGAATGGGGGACCATGCCCCATGCGAGAGACGTAGCGATCAACGAACCTGGTCTCTTCTCAACGACCTTCTGCTTCTTATGCGGTCGGGGTTGCTGGCCCTCCGCGGGCAGATCCAGCATGTCGCGAACATCGGCGGCGGCCATGGTGAATGGGCTCCCACCAGCGGTCGAGCGAAAAGAGGGAAACAATGAAAACTAGGCGAGTCCAAATTCGGGCAAGAATCCAACCGAGAAGATGGACGCCGATGCCAAAGGATGGGAGAGAAGGAGGGAGCGAAGGGGAGACGGCGAGGCGGAACGGAAAGTCGAGAATTCGCGCCAAGACTTTACCCGCTGGTGCCAGATTAATCGCTTCTCTTGTTGTGCTCCGGAGAGGCTTCATTCAACCGTCCCTCTTCCTCCGCCGTCTCTCTTCCCTTCTTCCTCAAAAAGCCAAGTCCCTTCGCAATGGCTCCGTCAACCTCGTCAGCCTCGTGGCTGTCTTCTGCCCTGGCCCTTTGCGCCATCTTGTGCCTTTCGGTACCCGTCAATGCCCTGTACTTCTACATGGACGGGCGTCAGACCAAGTGTTTCTTCGAGGAACTGCCCAAGGATACTCTGGTCGTTGGTACGTCACCAAGACCCTTTTCCACCTCTAGAAATGCTCCCATTCCCTATCTCCAGCCTTGTTCCTTCCGTTAACCTGAGCCATGTACAGGAAGCTTCTCCACCGAGGTCATCAACCAGCAATCGAACACGTATTCCGTCGACCCCAACCTGAAGGTCCTCATCACCGTCGACGAGATCTTCGACAATGACCACCGGGTCGTGTCCAAGCGCGACGGCAACTCCGGCCGCTTCACCTTCTCCGCCGCCGAGTCCGGCCAGCACAAGATCTGCCTGACGCCCGAGACCAACGCTGCCACCGGCGGATGGCTGTCCGGGGCCCCCGGCGGTGCCGTGCGCGTGTCGCTGGACATGGCCATCGGAGAGACCAGCAAGATCGAGACCGAGGACAAGGGCAAGATGCAGGACATTGTGCAGAAGGTCAAGGACCTGAACAGCCGGTTGCAGGACATTCGTCGCGAGCAGGTCTTCCAGCGGGTACGTTCACTCTTTTCCCTTTTTAACGTCCCCATGGCCTACCACTAGGTCTTCCTTCATTTGATCTCCTGGTGCATTCTACCGGAGATACTTTTCGCTAAGTGAACGTTGAGCTAATGTCCATGGACTCTATAGGAACGTGAGGCCGAATTCCGTGATCAATCCGAGGCTACCAACGGGCGTGTCGTTCGCTGGACCCTGATCCAGCTCGCCGTGCTGTCCGCCGCGTGCGCCTGGCAGTTGTCTCATCTCCGCTCTTTCTTCATCAAGCAGAAGCTGACATGAAGCAAATGACGATGGGGAGAAACGAAACGAGATAGAGACAAAAAAACACAAAACCATAAATAGGCAAAGGGACGAAAGATGTTGTTAGTGGTCTTGTACGGCGTATCGTGAGCATGGGATTATCTGGTTTCAACTTCTTCTGGTTATCCTAGGGTTCGATTCATCTTGAGCATCAATTGAGACAGTTCTCGCGGTCTGGTTCTTTGTCGGTCGGGGGAGGTTGGCTGTAGATCGGCCACATTGGCATTGGACAAGATGTCCTACGCTTGTCCGGTTGGCAGCACCTGTGATATAAATGAGTTTGATTGATGGGATATGGATATAATGACCTAAGCTTTGTTTCAAGCCAAGTTACTCTTTTACCAGCCACTGCAATCTTATCCCAGTTACTACTATACATCCTAGTATCCGTGAATTGCGCACGAAAAAAAATGAATCATCATTGTTCCAGTGTCATTTCTATGTGTAAATTATTAGCCTGATGCATCGATGCACCTAGTCTTCCTTCCCTCCTTCTCAAGTTATGGTCATTATTGATGCCAGCATGTCGCTCATAAATACATCAGACTAAAATCTCTAGTCGCAACCCAGGTTTCCATGTCCACGGTAACCAGATGTATGGCAAGTACCCAAAAGGCCCAAAAAAAAAAGAAACTAGGTATATAACGAAAAATCCAAACAAAAGAAAGAAGAAAAAGGAAAAGGTCATTAGAGAAGAGTCCCCAAATCACGGAGTCTTGATCATGAGTTCGTGGATTGATCAAAGGGCGGCGGTGGGTTACTGCAGAATCCCTTAATCAATCGTTCCAGGTCGGTCAATTTATATGGCTTGGTCATGTAGCCTTTCATGCCAACCTTGGACGCACGCGCCAGTGCTTCGTCGGTAACGTCGGCGCTCACGGCGAGCACCGTGGGAGACGAAGGCGCGGAACCGCTGGCTGCCCGACCAGGCTGGGGACTTGGCATGGTTTGACCGTGGTATTCATCGAACAGTTGGAAGATCCTCGAGGTAGCCTGGTACCCATCCATTTCTGGCATCCAAAGATCCATCAAGATAACATCCACTGGTTTCAACTTTTTGGGATGACAGGAGGAATCAGGGACTGGCGGGTTTCCAGCATCACCCACGCCTTTCGGCAGTTGCGGCTGGTTCCCAGTAGGAGTCTCTGCAGACCGCTGTGACGCCATGATGTTCTGCATGATCCTTACGGCCTCTTTCCCGTTGCATGCTTCGTAGACGTCTTTGTACCCGAGTCTTTTCAGCATGTTCACAAGTACGCGCCGATTGATTTTGTTGTCTTCTGCAACGAGGACGGTGAGCGGATGTTTTTCGCCTAGTTTGCTATCGTACGCGCCTCCACTTATAGGGCCCTGCGAGGTTTTGGCGGCAGGCACCGAGCGAGCAGGAGTGGACGCATGCGATGACTCGTCCGTGAGGCTGGGTGATGGCTGTTGGATCGGTTGTTGGGCTGGCAGGGGCGAAGGAGCGATCAACGGTTCAAAAGTCGCATTATTCCCGCTGCTCAATCTCGACGGATCGCAGAGCTGGGGAGGGGTCAAAAGTCTCGTGGCAGGCGAAAAATGCCTGGCAGAGGGTTCAGACTGACAGATCGGGATTCTTATCTCAAACTCCGACCCACGGTCAGGCCCAGATGTCGAGGAGCGAACACAGATCAGATCGCCACCCATCTTGCGTGCAAGGCCCTTGGCTACTAGAAGTCCAAGTCCAAGGCCGTCTTTGCTCCTGGTCGTCGATGCGTCCTGTCGAGCGAACGGCTTGAATAGCTTGGGTAGAAAGGCCTCCGGGATACCGGACCCAGTATCCTGCACACTGATCATGATATCGTTGGCTTTTCGACCAACTTTCGCATGTACCGTAATCGCACCACTGTTGGTGAACTTAACGGCGTTTAAAAACACACAGGAGATCAACTTGGCAAGATCCCGGTCGTCGACGTATAGCGTATCTGGTAAGGCTGCATCCACGGTCCAATCTATTGTTTTGGAGAAGGTCTCCCCACCGGAAGACCGCGACAGAACTTCGATCTTTTCGCCGAGTTCAGTGGCATTCGTCACGGCGAAATCGGGCCGACCCCCAACGTGTAAAGATTCGTTGATGACCAGTCGAAGTAGATCGCGAATCTTGGTAGATCGCACCGCCGGCCCCCGACTGTTGAGATTGATTCCTTCCAACATGAGGTGGGACGCCGAGCGCCGCGCCGCCAATGATGGACGCGACTCCACCATGCTCGCCATGACTGCCTCGATTTGATGGACCGGGGTCGCTTGGATGATCTTGTCGCTTTCGTGAACCGCATTCTTGACCTCTTCACTCCGAGGAGACAGCCCTTTCGGGCCCAAGACACGCGGGACTTTGTGTTTCAAAGCCGACCCAGCATTATTGTCGATAGGATTGCTCCGTCGCCGTTTGTACGGGTTGATTGTGATGTTGCTGCCTTCAATGAAGATATTTGGGCGGGTTTCGGGCGCATTGACTGGCGACTGGACGGGCCCGCCGAAGCAGTCGTTTTCGCGCTCAAACTGGGGGGTTTTTGGCACCTGCATATTCAGATCGTAGGCATGGACCACATTATCGGCAGCCTCGACCGCCCGTCTAGCACTGTCTACAGACAATCAGCACCGGCTTTCTAGGGGGATTATTGTCAACAGATCGGTACGAACCTTGAACCATCTCGATGCTTTCTTTCAAAGCCTGGAAGACACCTCCCGTTGTAGGAGGCGGCTTTCCCAGGATAGCTTCGCGGACCGTGGCATGCATGACATCTAGCATTCCAACAATTCCCTGCATCGGAGTTCGTAGCTCGTGGGACAAGCTTCGAGCATACGGCTTCAGGGCATGAGAAGAGAAATCAACATGTCCCTGCACGAGGTTGATATGTGTGTCGTCAACGACCTTCTGGCCAGTGGAAACAGTACTGGCCTCCCTGGTAGGTCGATCAGGTTTTGCATCGCCCGCTTCGTCGGCAATTCGCTTAACGATCAGATCTTCCAAGGAATGGAGAATCATTTCAAGAAATTGCCAGGAGAGGGTTCGTTTCTGCAAGCCGGGTCCAGACCACATAAGCCCAAGGTAGGCCGCACACTTAGTTTCCGAAAACAGTGGGACTGCCAGATAGCCCTCCGCAGCAAACGGGAGCTTGTCTTGGTCGAATGAGACAAACGACCCCAAGTTTTCGGGGATCAAGCAGGCCTTTCCGTGGTCCATATGGAATTGCGGGTTGCCCCCTGCGAACGATCGGTTCCTGTACATTCCCACCGTTTGGTGTCCATCGTTGTAGTAAAACGCAGTGCCGTGCAAGGAGGGACTTCGACCCTCCACATCCTTTGCGGCCTCTGTATCGCGAACCTTCCGGGCCACAAAGGCGTACTGGGAATTGCAGAGCGAAGCAAGTTGTTCCATGAGCCGGGCCCAGAACGATTCCGTATCTAAGCCGCGGAGCTCTTGCTTGAGCTTCACCAATCGATCGACTGCAGTATTCTGCGGTCCACGGGCATGTTGACTGACCGACGGGTCGGCTTGCGCGTCAGTGTTCCGGAGGGTTGCAGCGGAAGAATCGCCAGGAAGGCATTCAGATTTGCAGGGGAGAAATGACGAAGTACGCCCAGGCCGGAAGGAACTGGACCATTCTGATTCGACCGAGTCGGACATGGTGAGACTAACAAAAACGCCCGATGCCCAAATTCCAAATCGGCCAGATGAGGAGTTCCGGAGGGGGTCAAATTCCGGACGTAGTCGGCGAAATTAGGGTATAGGAGGACGCCAGGAGAGTGTTAGTGAGCAATGAGCGATCGATAAGTCACGAAACGAGTTTCTGATCAGGACACAACGCATGGCTCTCTGTCTAGGTCGAATCCGAGGAGTAATTAGCAACCGGTCTTGTTATGGGGGATAATTATTAGAGAAGAAAAATTGTCAACAACCCAGCAAAGTTGCGATTCCCCCCAATGGTTGATCGAGAACATACATGACCCTAGTCTGGCTGGGAAGACGACGCCCAAGGTGAGCCTCACCACGAGGATCGGGCGCTCGGCACGATGGGCGGCCCTTGGGTACTGCGGAAGAATCAAGCCGGTTCGTTTTTGAATTATCCAGCGTGGAAATAGGATGGAGAACCGATGGAAATTCGAGAATAAGGTCGCCGGAAATCCAGAGAGTCGAGGGGAATAATCAGTTTTTTTTTAGGGAAATTTCACTCTTGAAAAATGAAGAATAAAGAAAAAAAATAAAAAATAAAGCACAGATCAAATGCCGGGCCAGCGATGGGGTCGAGAAAAGGTGTCCACACAAGACAAAAGCGTCGAAGCACCGATGGACGGAGGGGAATTGGCAGATCCACCGGACGACCCCAAATGGGACGATGAAATGCAACGACAAGCAAAGGTCGAGGGGAAGCAGCGAGACGGAGGGGAAGGACGAGCAAAGGAGAGGGAGGAAGAGAGAGAGAGACAGAGGGAAAGGAAGGGGAAGACGAGGAGGGGAGAAGGAGAGACGGTCGATTTGCCGATCGGCCGGTCTAGACGCGGGGAGGCTGAAACGGATCGATTTCCACGCTTTTCAGCGGTGAGTCGTGCTTCTTCTCTTTCGCCTTCGTCATGGACCTGCGTCGTTGCAGGCCTGAGACATGATGCTCGATGGAAGCGAAGGAAAACTCTGAATTCACCGATCTACTGGCGACGTTAATTGCGGTGTAAGCGGCCGGATGTGGCCAGACCCGTCGAAATATATTAATCTTAATGTCTCCTGACCGACGATCCCCTCGCCCACTTCGCAGGCTGAGGAAGATCCCACCCCGCGAGAGCCTGCGAACTCTTTCAAAAATGGCCGTCCAATAGCAACATCATCTTCCTACTTAGCAAACATCTCTCCTGCCTCACGTGGACCGAGATCGTGGTACAAGTGACACAACCACCCCATCGTTAAGAACACCAGAAAACACAGACCCCGACCCGGGAGAATCATTTCGAACAAGCCCAGAAATCATGGCAAAGGCATTCGAAATCGCCGTCCCCGATGCTCAGCTACATCGTCTGCAGCAGAAACTAGAGACGGCATCCTTTCCCGATGAACTGGACGATGCTGAATGGAGCAGGGGCGTTCCCTTGGCTGAGATGAAGCGCTTGGCCACGTACTGGCGCGATGGATTCAACTGGCGACAAAAGGAACTGGAACTAAACCAGACACTAAAGCAGTTCATGGTTCCAATTACGGTACCGGGATTTGGTGAGCTGGACATCCACTGCCTACATCATACCAGTCCCAATCCAAACGCCATTCCATTGCTCTTCATCCATGGCTGTAGGCCTCTCCGGTTCTCGTTTAGACTCGCCATGGAAATAGTAACGATAACATCGTACCTGTAGGGCCTGGAAGCTTTCTCGAAGCGACTAAGCTTATCCCTTTGTTAACAGCAGGCAATGGTCAGCCTGCATTCCACCTGGTGGTGCCTTCGTTGCCTAACTTTGGCTTCTCCTCGGCCGTGAAACAGGTCGGTATAATATCCCCAGTATTCATTATCAGTACCAAAGAGACTGAACGCCGTCATAATATAGAAAGGCTTCGGCCTGGTCCAGTATGCAGAAGCCATGCATGCCGTCATGGCTGCATTGGGCTATTACGACTATGGTCTGTAAATGCCACCCCTCGCAGATAGAAAGGGAACAAAAAAGAAAGAAAGCAAGCAAGGGACAAGCAAAATGCTTATGTTTCGATAGCCATCCAAGGAGGCGACTGGGGGAGTATCATCGCTCGTATCATGGCACATCGCTACCCCGATCATGCCAAAGCGGTGCATATCAACTGCCTGCCGGTGATGCCGCCTCTCCCATGGCGGAATCCACTCCTCTTTCTCCAGTCTCTCCTGACCATCCCCTTTTCGTCTAGGGATAAGGCTCACCTCGCTGCCACGAAGCAGTATCTGATGGAAGGGAGCAGTTACTTCCATGAGCAAGCGACCTGCCCTCAGACGCTGGGGTATGCTCTCCATGATAGTCCCGTGGCGCTGTTGGCTTGGATCTACGAGAAGCTGCATTCCTGGACGGACAACTATTCTTGGACCGACGATGAGATTCTGACCTGGGTGAGTATCTACCAATTTTCGACCGCCGGGCCTGCGGCGTCCGTCCGGATTTACTACGAAGCGGCTCGAAAGGATTCCCCTTCGGCTTCCCCGGGTCTAACGACGGCCGACGTGATATCGACCGCTGCCCCCCACCGTGTCCAGTTCGCCGTGGCTCAGTTCCGTCGCGAACTGATGCCGGTGCCTCTCTCCTGGCGGTGGTTAATTGGGAACGTCGTTCGGGCCAATGAATATGACTGCGGGGGTCACTTCGCTGCTTGGGAAGTGCCGGAGTTGCTGGCTTCGGACGTGCAGGCGTTTCTGGGGAGAAATGGCCAGGCCCATGGTGCTGTTGCAGGAAAGTCTGGGTACTAATCGTAGTTCCACGCACAAGCCATACGCTGTGGACTGTAGGTAATAAGCCTGGAAAGGATGCAGAGATCTATATTTTGAAAAATCCCTGTCTTGCTGCCGCCCTTTCCCTTCTGTCCTCACTCTACTCTGCCTCCTCGCAATCGACAGTATGTAACATCAAGTGGAGACCGCAGACGCCAGAAGCTGCTCTCGACCAGCAGAGTATCAATCAATGGTAATGGTGCGTTAAATTAGAACATCGAACAGCATGATTAAAGAAAACATGGAAACAAAAATTCATATCCCGGGCTGGACCGCTCTAGTCCTGTCTGCCCTTCAATAACCGCTTGGTCACCTTGTCTTTCTCTATGATGTATACTTGGGCACCCCAACCGGAGAGGGCGTCTCGGTCGACCGCACTGAGGAGAGCCTGGGAGATGGTTTCGAACAGATCATCGGCGGCCTGGGTTTCGTCAGCATCGGTCGGGCACCACATCCCCGTCGAGATGAATCTAGCTATCATCCTTTCATCCACGAAGAAGGCCTGGAGAGATCAACTTACCAGTCCCGGCTCCCACAAACTCTCACAAGTACCAAACAGCTGCTCGCTGGCCGTCCCGCTCACGATGAAGTCCTTGGCAAAGTCGATACACCCGATGCTGTCGAATCCGCAGATAAAGGGCTTGCCCGTCGTCTGGTTGATACCGGCCACCACGGGGCTGACGAAGAAGGGACCGAATCGTCTTTCGTACAGCGATGAACTGACCAGGTTGGCCAGGGTCTGGGGGGCGATGTTCCGTTCCTCACGGAGTCGGTACATGTTGACCTTGTAGCGGAAGAGATCCGAGACAGTCGAGACATCGGTGGCCAGACCGGTCAAGCCGAGGAAGGTCTGCGGGCCGTAGTTGAAGATCTTGGGGAAGTTGTTGGAGACGGTCAGGGCCTGCATACCCAGGCGGAGATCACAGGCAATCGCGACGCAGTCCTTGCCCACCATGGCGACGCAGGCACCGCCATCTGCAGAGCAAGAGGGTTAGTACGGCGAGAAACAAAACAGTGTCAGATGGAATTCGAGGATCAAGGCATACTAATGTCGAAGGGAGAGCTCTAGGAGGGTGGTCAGCTTGCTTGCTTGGTCAGGCAGACAGAGGAAGGGCAATGCACACATACCATGATTGCGGCAGGAAATTCACAGAAACCGGAAATAAAAAGAAGCTCCCAGGAGAATTTGCAAGCCGATGAATCGCGGGGATAGGAGAATTGGGGGGAGAGGGGAAGGGGAGGAGGTTGAGAGGGACGGGGGAGAGATGGAAGAGGGAAGTTGGAGTCGACGGAAGCTCTCTCTGTCTCTCTCTGGCTGACCTGCCAGCAACGCGTGGAGCCGCCGAGCTTCTGCCGATGACGATGCGCCCGCTGCCTATTCTTCACCCTCGTTTCTCCTCCATCCAGTCAACACCCCTTCCGTCGTTTCTCTGCTCTTCCACGTCTTTCGGTATTACTGTGGTGCGGGAGTGCTCCGTTACAATCAGCGACCGGTCGCAACCGTTTGGACTCACTCGCCAAATCCCTTCATATTCTTACTTCCTGGCCCGTCATCAACCCCGCGATATCAACGCCGCCGTCTTTTGAACCATGAGCTCCCATGTCGTGGTCCTCGACTCGACAGCTCGGAGAGCTACGATCAAGACGACACCCGGAAAACACCTGACAGATATCCTACAAGAAGGGTGTAAGAAGTTAGGCGTTGACGCCAATCAATATGGGTTGAAGTAAGATCTACCACCTAAGGTTCCCTGGTTGACCGGAGGGCTGACTCCGTCCAAGACATAAAGGAAAACAACTCGACCTATCCCTGGTATTTAGACTGTCCGGTCTTACCTCCGGCGCAAAGCTTGAGTTAGTCCAACTCTCACGATCGCCTTCCGTGGTCACCGTTGCCCTGCAGCTCCCGGAGTCAGAAGCAGCAGGCACTCAGAACGGACGCCTCCTGGATAAATTCCCTAGTACGACCACGATATGGTTTATCTTGCGCAAATTTGAAGCCGGAGTTGCGGGGACGACTTCCATCCGAAATCTCACAGCCCGAGGCATTCCCGTTACGAGCGGCGGTACTGAAGCCGGAAGATTGTTTTACGAGACGCCAGTGGTGCAAATATTGGAGCGAGAGCTCTCGAGCTTCACCGATCTACAGAAGTCTTTAGCCCAGCTAGGCTTCAACAATGGAAACGTCTTGCTTAGATTGAGTTTCCGACGTACAGAAGAACCGCTGGAAGTGGCGATGGTGAAAATCCAAGACTATTTCAAAGCGTTTGGTGACGATGATACTCCTGCGAAACAAGAATCGCCGGCGAAACAAGAATCGCCGGCGAAACAGACACAGAAGGCTGAAGAATCGACTCAAATCGAAAACCAGCAGCCGACTCCTACTCCCGATATTACCTCGAATACAACTGCCGAATCGGAACAACCGGAAATTCAAACCGAACCCTCTGCAACCACTGAGTCCACTGAGGTGCCGACTGATTCCTCCCGCTCCATAACTGTTTTCGCGCCTCCGTCCAACGACACCCCCCAGTCCGCGCAAACTTCATATAGTGATAGTGATTTCGTCCCATCGGTGGACCATGCAAAAGCGCACCAGCGTCGCCTCAACATTGCCTCGCAGAACAAAAAGCTCCCGTCGGACGCAGAAATCGCCGCCCAAGCCGCAGCCGCGGAGGAAAGACTGGCCGCGGTGCAAGAAGTCGACGTGAAAGTCCGTCTTCCGGACCAAAGCCAGGTAGTAGCGAAATTTAAACAAGGAGATACGGGGGAAACGCTTTACGATTTCGTGAGGAACTGCCTTGCGGCGCCATTCGCCTCTGAGAAGTTTATCATCACACACTTGCCCGCGGGGCCGCCTGGCACGGGCGGTAGAAAGATCCAGAGCGTGGTTCCAGACTCGGATAAGAGCCTACTGATCAAAGACCTGGGCATGACAGGCCGAGTGCTTGTCAACTTCTCCTGGGACGCCAATGCATCGTCCGCTGTCCGACAAAGTCGAGCCGACCTGTTAAAGCCGGAGTTGCAAAATAAAGCACAGCAGCACAAAGTTGAGCAACCTCGCGAGGTGATGGACACCTCGGAAGACACAGCCCAACCAAAGCCAGGGGCGAGCCGACAGTCCGGCGAGAAACCGGCTCGCAAGCCTGGGACGCTACCCAAGTGGTTGAAGTTGCCTGGAAAGAAATGAAACCGCCGGTCTCTGCGGGTAGTTATGTCGTGTATGCTTTTAACCATGATCATGAATCATTGAATAAAATATTTCCTTAGATGATGCGTGGGAGACCGGGATTTACCCAATCGTTAAACTTATAGTGAAATATATAAACCCGACAGAAGACCATCACTTAACCTGGTCTAGACCTCTACAAAGGACCCAAGTCCGGGGTAATGGCATGGATCTGGCTCTACGAGTCGAGAACAAAGATGCAACCTTGAAAAAGAAAACAAAATCCCAGTGGTATTGAATTATGTTCCAGAGAACCATTTTTATCGTCCTTTTGCATCCAGTTCGTCCACGCCTACGGAATCAAATCCTTTGGCGACAGAAAACAGGGCCAGACAGGACAGCACAAGACAAGACACTCGCAGCACCATTTTCCCCTGCCAGTATTTGCCCTCCGGATATAATATTAATTTTCATTTTTTGTCATTTCCCTTCTACAACGAACACACGTCATTGCCAATCAGCCACACGAAGAGGGTTTAAATTCATTTGTTTGTTTTCGTCATTTCGTTCTTTTTAAATGTCTTGGCTAATAGAACTTTCATTGAACGGGAAATGAATTTAGTGAGCACCCACACGGCGGGCCTCGGCGATGACACGCTGCATGTCCTCAACCTTTCTCTTGCCACGGGTGAAGGTACCGAGCTGTGGAGAGAGTTATATGTTAGCCGGGATGTGATCCTCAGGGGGGTTGACAGGTGCTGTGTGGGGAGGTGAGGTGGGAGTCGACATGTCGGCATCGCTGAATCAAGCAAGGAATCCTTCCAGTACATCCATAACCCAAGATTGGAAAACCTGCTCACGCAGATAATACTAATCCTAGCCTCTTGCAAAGGCCAAGGCCCCGGACCGAATACACAGAAAGACATCCCAGTCATTGAAACAGAACGAGTGACCAGACACACGACTCCTCCACCACGGCCACCACAGCTGATCGGATCCAAGTAAAGACGTACTCTCTTCTTCGCGAGCTTACGAGCACGCTTGTCCTGAGTGTTTCTCAGGAGTTCGATGATGCGGCGCTCATAGGGGGCAAGACCAACAACCTCGCGGGCGATCTCACGGACGAAAGCGGTGCGGCGAGAGGACTGACCCTTGGTGCGGCTGATGCGGTTCTTGGGGGTCTGGAAAGGGGTGGTTTTCTATAAGAAGTATGAGAATTAGTTTCTTTGACCCCATATGAAAAAAAAGTCGCTGATGAAATTTTCTTTTCCCGTCCCGGTCTTCGGTCGGTGAGCAAGCGATTTGTCGTGTAGATTGTTGGATTCGAATTTCGTCGAGGTCTCATAGTGAGCCAAATTTTTAAGACCAATTTCCACCTTTTAAATCTTTCCCCTTATCATTGCTTTCGTTTCGGTTGAAGGCCGTGCGACAGCATATCCCATCCCCTGCTCATTCCGCTTGTTCTTTTTCGAATTCCAGGTATCCGGTTTCCATCCGATCCGAAATCAATCGACCGACTGACCAAGCTCAACCGACAAAAAAAGACCGGGCAAAGGACCAAGAAAAATCATCAGATCAGGTTGCAGGGAGAACCTACGTGGCCCTTGTTCAAGCCGACCACGATTCCGGAGCGTTCTTGCGCCATCTCGACGGTTGGGACTGGATTGGCGACGACGGTGGTTGCTGAGTGAGGTTGTCGAGTCGAAGGGCGTCGGTGCGGACGGTTATCGCGATGGAGTTTGCCGGATTTTGGTTGGCTCGAGCGTTCGTGCGTAGCGAGTTCTAGGGCTTAGGGCTTGCTTGCCGCCCGGCAGATTCCTGAACCCTGAGGCAGCAAAGAAGTGGATCACGGGGTTCGGGACGGTCGATGGCCCCATTCGGCTTAGTCGGTTTCTATCGATCGGAGCAGCGCATCGCAACCTTCAATAATCCATAGTTACTCTGTACTATACATGAACCTCACGCTGGGAGGCCGATTAGGTGCGGATTCCACATCCACCTCAACCGTCTTAACAATCCCTCCTTCCCGGGGCCGGGTCTCTTCCCCTCCGAGGCTGTTCTCGCTTGGCGAGCACCCTACGTTGGCTTTGGCTGTCGCATAGCTGCCACCCGGGTATATCTGTAACTGACAACCAGGGTATGGGCTGTTGGACACCAGCTCCACAGCACTACCTTGATGAAAAGGAATGTCAATAGTCTTCCTCGTGTCGCCACCCAATGAATCATTCTTTCGTTTGCAAGAGAAACATGTCGCAGTTTTCCGGACCACATGCTGGAAGAACTTGGGAAAGATAGGAAGGCAACCGGTGAGGAACCTAGAGGCCACTTGGGCTGCTCTGCACCATCATTAGCTCGATATATAAAGAAGCGACATGGTAGGCTTCAAGGAGACATGTCGTTCCATGTCAAGACACTACTTACGCCCTCAGAAACTTGGGGACCCTAGGAAGACAACCGTCCGCTCTGCTCTTTCGGTCGTTGCTCCAGGCACCGGCGGTGAGATACATGATGCTCGAGATATGCCTAGATCATGACATTTAGACTGGAATGTATTGTCAGAAACGCGCAACTGGGGTCTCTTATTTTGATAAGACTGGAATCATGGACAGAGAGAATACTTGCCAGACACCGGGCTAACCGCTAAGCTTCTAATCCCATACGTTTCCTATTCGACACTGGGAAAATGACTAAAGATAAGCCTAGAATAGGGGAAATTCTGATTCTATCCGATGCAAGGAGGCCCGATCAGATCACCTGCAGTGTTGCATGGGGGAAATTCTCTCACGAGGTCTTCCCCTGATGACTTGGGAGAGTCCCGAGGAAACGGGTGCTTACGCTGTTGTGCAACCCTATTTCAGACCGTGTGGATGCCAGGTGGTCAGCGTTGAAGGCCGCAAGGGGTTATCGGTTCGCCCTTGCAGAGTATTGATGACTCGTGGGATAGCGGTCAGGCTGGTTGGTAACGTTAGTCCAAGAAACAGTCTCAGGTGTTCCAAAATGTATATTTTCAATAAATGTATGGATGGATGTATAAATGTTATCTATGGATATGTGCCATCAGAGAGTAACGGAAAACAGCCCGGTAAGCCCTTCTTCCCAGCTCTCCATCAACTCGCCACAGAATATCTCCACAGCAGACGTGTCCATGGTCTTCTCCAGCTCAGCTCGAAGCTCGGCACCAACTTCGCCCTTACCATCACCACCTCCGACCAGGTCGATCAATGACCCAAGCATACCGGGTTCCGAGATTCGTGACTTCAGTGTGCGGACATTTACTCGGATTGCTTGGTGAACTTGGCGTGCAGATTCGCCCAGACGTGTTACTTGGTCCTTTGATGCCTTGGCGATCTTGAAGCCCTTTCTTGAGACAATAGTCGCGATGAAAATCACCGCCTTCAGGGACTCCAACACGACAAAAAGATCATGGAAGCTCTTCCAAGATGGAGCGGTTGGGGTTTCCGATTTCAAGAAAATCGCAGTGTTCGATATGGCGCCGGAGATTTGGCCGTCGTCCACAGTAAGTTCCCGAGACTTCTCATTCAACCATTCCTCAACCTCAGTCAAGCTGCTTTCGACTTGCTCAGGGGAAACGGACTTGGATCCACCGAGGAATACGGCCACCCGGAAGAGGTTCAGGTTAACCTTGGCACCCTCAATCTCGGAACCGGTCATCTCTGAGGCCGCATTCGACCCCACGAGATCTTCGAGGGTAGGCAGCTCATGCTGAGCCGTTATGGGTTTCTGAAGAATTATATTCTTAAGAAGCCCAAACAGCTCGTCTGCCATTCTGGTTGATTTCACCCATTGCTCCTGTTTTCCGTTAGAGATATCCAGCAAACCAAACATTGAAGGGCAAATTTACCTGAGGCAAGGGTCCCAAGCGCACCCGCTCCTCCAGGGTCGGCTTGCCCGGGGCTTCGCAGTTCATGAATGCGTCGAACACCCGCTGATCGACTAAGGGCGATGTGTCCCTTGCTGCAGTTATGTGTGAGCGGCTGTCCATTGCTTCAAAGGCACCAAAGCTTACCAATATCTTCGTGACCCATAGGATCGCCACCGACCAGTCTCTGAATACGCCGCACCTCGAGCGCCCAAAGCCTTCTACAGATGCTATTTTTAAGGCGTTTCTGAAGGTCTATTGTCCCTTCGATATTCACGTAGCTGCCAAGGTCCAACCCCTTAGACCGATGCCTGACCGTGGTGATATCGGCAGTCCGGTAAAAGTTGAGGGCCTGAACGAACGCGGACTGCGGGTTGAAGTCCTTGTATTCAGCACCCTCGATAGGCGGGGCCGACTGCGGATGGATCGTGGCAAGACGTGTGAAGAGATTGTGGGCAACGGTCTCAAATTGTATCTGCTTGACAGAGAGCTTGCTGAATGTCTTCAGAGCCAACGATCCTGCGCCCAAGCGGAGATAGATTCGTACAAGAAGAAGCAGTGCCTGGTAGTTGTGAGGAGAATCCTGGAGGAGGCGTTCCAGAATGGCTGCTGCGCGAATATGAATGAGATTTAATACTTGTTCCTGGTTGGTGGAAGCCAAGGTTTCACCGAAGCGAATCAAGCTCATAGCTGCGAGCAACAGTAGATCGTCGCTGGGCTGGCTCTCAATTGTAGACGAAGCAGCATCTCGTTCCGGCCGCTCCACATCCCGATACTTTTGCAGGCAGCGCGAGGCAAATTCTTCCACCTTTGACTTGGTCACATTTGATTCGTCAGCCGACAGCAGGAAGCAGTACTCGAACTTCAGCCCGTTGATAGCGGCAACACCCTTAAAAGGATCGTTCTTTTTCTGTGACAACCTATTAGCTTTGCGGTAAAAAAGCGCCACGCTTCTGGTGGTACATACGCCACTCGTTTCCCCTTGGTTCTTGGCTGTATACTCCACGAACTTGGACAACGAATCCTTATCAAGTGCCGACAAATACGTTTGCAGGTCACCGAAGCAGTATAGTTTGTTCTTATTAAGATAAAAGTACCCTTGACAGGCGGCAACCAGTTCATCTGCCTTTAGACTGCCCGACTGGAAGTTGAAATGGATCAGATCAAGACGGGCCAATTGTGCATTGCGCGACTTTGGCTCATATTCAATGAATCCATCAATAAACTTTTGGGTTTCCGCAAGAGTTCTGAGAAGACCTGTCAGCTACCATCTCGGAAGTAGTTCCATGCGAGGATCATGACGTACTCCTGGTTATTGATGTTCCGAACCGCAGCGACGAGTAGGCTCCAGACTGCCCAATCGTCATGCTCCTGGAGGGCCTTTCGTTCGTCTTCGGTATTGGGAATAGCGAGGAGGCTCTTTGTGTAGGACAAGCCCTCGGTCCACATCTGGGCCTTTTCGAGGCTGGAGAGCTTCTCCCCAACGAATGACCAATCATTTTGAATGATTCGAGAGCTGATCCCAACCGTTTCGCTATTGAGGATGCTCACGAGTTCAGAATGACGCCCTTGAGACTCAAAGATTTTGGCAAGAAGGAGAAGCTCCTCAGCATTTTGGATAGCTCGTGGAGGGCTTAGCAGCTCTTTCTGTTTGCATGGCATTAAACATTATCATCATGTCCCAAGAGCCACAGTAATATGTATGAGAGCACCAGCGGACGGAGTTCAAGCGTAGTGAGGAGTGTCATACCGGATCAGAAGGAACACTATCAGCAGCCTTCGACGCCATGCGGTAGGCCAAGGTTCCGAACAGCTTGCGCTCGGTCTCGGAGCTGGAATCGTCGACGGAAACGAGGTAGCTGAGGAAGATGGCCCAGAAGTAGTACTTTCTGTCTTTAGGGAAATTGCTCTGGAGGGTCATGGCAGCCTGTTCCTCACGAGGTTAGTTCCTATGTGGCCCAATTGATGTGCGTGCGAGCGAGTAAATATCCCGACCTTCTGTGCGGACTTCCAATCGTCACCATCGAACGCATACTCGAACCACTTCATCTGAAGATCTAGATCCTGGGGCTTGGCTTTGGAGGCTCTTTCCCATATGCTTCTCATGGCATCTGCTTGACCACCCATCTTCTGCAAGGTATCGTAAAGGATGTCCAGCGTTTCGAGATCCGTCGCCGGAGGATCCACTTTGCATAGAGCGAGGGTCTCGTCAATGCCGCGCTGGTGATGAGCGCCGTCGGCATGCCGAAAGAGAACGTGCGCCTTCCACGCCTAATATTTGGGCAAATACATACGATTCCAACAATCAGCCACTGGTTGAAATGGATCGATCCGACCGACCACTCACTCTGAGAAAGCGGGTATCCTCGCCCTTTTTCATGCGCTTCTCGATAAGCTGCAGGGCCTGCTTGAAATTCTGCCCGTCAATGGCATCTTGGATTGGCTTGTTCCGGCGGTGGAACACGGCGTCATTGGCGAACATGGCGAGAGAACAGTTGGATATCCAATTGGTAACTAGACGACGGGGACTCCGGAGGTCGGCTCAACAACAGAGGGGGGACGTGGGCGTATGCTGCGCAGCCAAGCACAGCACACGATATGCGGGGGAATTCGAGGATGGCGGGATGGTGGATGGTTTCCGCATCTGCTTGAATCTCCGGCGGTTTTTCATTGCGGGCGGCAGTTGCAAAGGCGGTGATGGCGGTGTCCCTCCACCGATTAGTGAATTTAATGGACTAATAGTGTTTTCATATTCATTTTTTTTTTTTTTTAAATTCTATTATATTCTTTAATTTTTGTGATATATATAGCACTTAGCCAGTCGAATATTCCCCGAGTTGACCGAAATATTGCCGTCTTCTCAATATCCTTGACATCGAACAGCGATCCGGATACGCTCGTTGGCATTGAAGAGGAGGCATTTTCATTCCAAAAAGAGAAATAAAGTAATATACATGTACCAAAACAATCAACCAAGGTAGACTGCGGCGACCAATCTCGGGATAACAGATCCACAATGCGACAATGCGCTTATCTCGTGGGCCAACTAGTAAACTGTATGAAAGTTCAACAGGATCCACCGAGAATGACATGTTTTTGCCTGCAAACTTATGTCAATTGGTCTCGATGCTGATCGGTGGACTAGAAAAGTGACCATGATCCATGTTCCATGGTGATGTTGAGTACTTTGGCTCGCAGGTCATCAGCATTGGCTTTGTGTAATCCATTTAAATGCTCACAATATAACTGGTAGCCTTGCCACAAGCATGACTATTGCTTTGCGGCCGGAGACCCAGCAAGCTTCTTTTGCGTCAACTACAGCGGCGTTAGCTACAAGACCGCTTCTGGGCCCATTGCTCCGAGAAAAAAAAGGAGGCCCCTCGAGGATTGAAAGTGCTCTGGGACAACCTACCCACTGCTTTTTACAGTCACGATAGGCTCTAGAAATACCTAGTCAGCGGTACTGTTCGGGGCCTCGTCGAGAAAAGCATGAACATACTGGAAATAATCGTGACACATCTCCCGGTCGTAGGCATTCCGTTTCATACATTTCAGACTACGGTCTGCAAAATCCTGACAAGGATCAAAGTACTCGCTTGCAGTTTTACTGTAGAGCGGACGTGGTCAGTTTGAATGGCAGACACAACAAAGATCCAAGGGTCCAAGAGATGAGCTCCAAAAAATTGCGAGATGAAAAAGTTGGATCTAGTAAGCGCGATATAGATAGGAAGAAAATGGAGCCTTCTGTTCGTAGCAAGTCCCAAGTCCGACTGCAACAGTACATCTTTGAAGAGCAGAAAACCAAACTTACTTGCTGAATTTGCGTTCCACATTTCCCCAGGAATTGGGATGGGCCTGCTCTGGCGACTGCTGTTCTGATTGAGATGACATTGCAAGCCGAATCAAAGTTGGCGATGAAATTAATGACGAGGAGTATACAGGAGCAATCGGGGTGTCCGTCTCCAATGCTGGCGGATGAAAGCGAGACGGAGGTTTGGCGGGCTAAACCACTTTCGGCGATCCCCGGTCTTGGCGCGGAGAGTACCTGTCGGCTTAGTCATCCGCACGTAGCCCTAGGATTTCGGGGTATACAGTTCTGTAGTTATCCGAGATAACTCCAGAGTATACAAAAGCCTCGGTGCCACTGAGACATGTTGAGGGGAAATAGTGGACTAAGGACGCATTGCCCACTGCGGATGACTGAATGCAGTTGGACTGGAAACTAAGTGTACAACAGCGCTTAATGTGTGGTGGCCAATGCTACTACGCCGTACACCTGGGGGCTGATGGATTCCAACGACAGCCGACTCCGTCATGCTTCCACCCTTCACGAAAAAAGATCTCGACTCAAATGCATTGAAAATACAGCATTAGTGGAATGTGAGCGACGCAGTCATCCGCTGGATTGGCCAACGTCGTGCTTCTCTCCGGCCTCCACATGCCATGTCAATTTGCCCATCCGCCATCATCGCATCCCGTCCATCACTGCATTAACGCTGACTGCAGCCACTAGTCTTTGATTCCAGAAGGGCTTTCATGTTGGCGTCACTTCACCAGGCCGGAAAAATACCTCACTTTCACCTGTGATAACCGTGCCAGTGACGTAGACTGTCCTAAAGCCAGAATTTTACTCTATACTACTCACCGATCGTGGTTGCTAGGTCAATCCGACTCTGGCTGGGAGACTAAGCGAAAAGGAACGTATACATATTCTTCCAGATGTCGAATTAGTTTCCCCCCCTCATGATCTTTCCAGGTTATGGAAGCAGGAGGGTAGAAAGTGAACGCTACCAATAAAGACGTAGAAATGACTTCCGCGATTATCAACTGGAGTGGTCGAAAGCGTGGTGATATCGCAAGTTTTCCCGGAAGTTGGATCCAGCAGGCCAGCGAGGGGCCAAGTCTAGTCAAGTCAAAATGCATGGTAAGTGGAACAACTTGCCATATGAACATGGTACCCTCTGGTATTTCCTGCTTATAGCTTCGAGGCCTGTCCGACCCTCAAAGAGGACCCTTGCCTGACGTTAATGAAGAAATATAGAGAATGTCAATACCAGAGTAACCAAATGGCAAACCACTCAATCAGGGATCAGGGGCATGGAGGCCTCGAAAAAAAGGGCACAGTAGTTGTTATGTCAAACGGCTTCACTGTTTGGTACTTTTGTAATCTCGAAATGACCAAGCAAGCCTTGACTGTTGAACACATCCTGCGGCAAGAAAGACATGCTTGAAGGCACGCGATGATAAGTATTGCCACGACCTAAGCGCCCAGTCCGGAACTCATCACACCTGGACAATCCACGCTGTTCTGACGCCAAGCAAATTATCCCGCGGATGCAAGTTTGCAGAACGCAGGGCGACACGAGCAAAAGGCATTAATTCTGACAGGAGCGCTTCTGATGCTCGTAATTGTCACCGTTGCAGCGGTTGTGGCTTCTGTCCTTGTTGGTTTCTCGGCTTGGCTTTTGAATACCGTAGAACTATAGTGCTCCGTACTAGTCTCCCTGTGTCCTGGAAATTCGATGGAGACCTGCATGAACAACTGTCGAATGCCATGACCGAGATTTAAACCAACCTAGACTGAGCTGGGAAGGTGTCATATCTCAAATGAGTTGACTTCTTGGAGTCCATCATCCGACGGTGAAGCGAATGGCGAGCGCATCGGAGTCGGGGGTTGTCAGCGACATATTTAGCCAGCCGAGCAGATCACGGCGTCAAGGACGGGGGTAGGCTAGGTCCAGAGGATCTGCCCTGCCCGAGCGACGTTGGCTGTTGGAAGTGTTGGACTGGACGGATCGGCCTGTGGGGACGTGCGAGGATTAATTAAGAGCGATCGGGCGGGAGCGTCACAGTCACGGGTCGCGCGTGTTTGTTCGGTTTGCGCGCCGAAAAGAAAAAGTGCCTGGCAATCGACCTGTCAGGACATCCTCGAACCTTGCCCTCGCTCTCCGCTGTTTCTTACTTCACCTCGCCTTTCCCTTCTCTCCGCGATAAATACTCGATGCAATCCGGCCGATTTCCCCCCCCTCCGATCCACACATCCTCGCGCGTTTCCCTTTGATCCGCCCCGTCACCCCCGGCTCAAAGAGGTGACTTGCCACCCTCTACATAACCTCTGCCAATAGCTTCTGGCACAACCGGAATAGCGTTTTCTCCTTCTTGTTTTTTCTTTTCTTCCTCACAGTCCTGGCACCCGCCCCGCGAATTCTGTGTCGGTCTTGTCACAAATTCCCTGTCACAATACCCAACGAAAAGCTGCCCCTCGTCCTTGGGCGTGAACACCGAACGCCGTTAGCAGATGTCGCCTACACCCGCTGGGCCAGCTTCGAGCACTGGCTCTAATCATGTAAACGGGGCAAGAGATGCTGTAGAATCGGCTGGGGATACTTCCGGGGTAAGCTGTTTTCTGAGGAGCACGGGTAAAAGCATTCTAACGCGCGTATCTAGCTCTCTCAAACATTACAGGGACATGTGGATGACATTCGCACGTTGATACAATGTGGCGTCTGCATCAGGCCATTATACGAGCCTTTCACACTTGTCTGTGGGCATACATTTTGTTATACTGTAAGGCCATTTGTTTCACGATCATCCGGATAAGGCTTACTTATTGTCTACCAGTGCCTGACTTCGTGGTTTGGGAGTGGAAGATCAAATAAGACATGTCCTGATTGTCGAGCACCGGTGAAGTCGGAACCATCGCCTGCATACCTTGTACGTGATCATGACCCATACGAGCCCAGAGAGCAGCGAGAAGAAGTCAAGATGAATACTGACATGTTCAAGGTCCGCGCAGTTGTACAACTCTTCACAAGTCGAGCCGAACTTCTAGATAAGGGCGAGACCACGGCAGAGCATATACACCACCAACGCGAGGAGGCTGCAAAAATCGACAGGGATAAGAAAAACCCCCATCCTAGAGAAGGGGGTTTGTTCAAGGGCACGTTCAATAAAGCAAGGCTACCACCAGCGGCACCTGTCGTTGATCTCGAGGATGGTGTCGTTCGATGCCCAATTTGCGCCTGGGAGCTTGAAGAAGATTCAAATTGCATACAGTGTGGTTATCGCCAGGATGAAGGGTCTGTTACTGATACGTCCGATTATTCGAGTGATGATCTGGACGAGAATTCCGAGATGACAGACTATCTTGATGACGAGGCCGAGGACGGGTTCAACGGGGCGGATGATTTCGATTACAATGGTTTCTATGATGGGGTCCCCATTGATGCGATGCCGTTCGACCTCCAACACTTATATGAAATGCATCGTAACCATTACCCACATCAACGTCCTAATCTTTCACGTCACGGTATTACATCGGACGATTGGGATGGCCATGATGTAATGTCTGCCGTCCACGACAGCGAAGATGATGACGATTTGGACGATACTGACATGGATTCTTTCATTGATGATGGCGAGCATTATGGTCACGGGGAATACGATTCCGAGTCAGATCGATCAACAGTCGTGGGGGCACCTGATAACAGCACGCAAGACCACTATGGGGAGGATTCCCATCAGTATTCCGACATTCCAACGCCTCTGCTCGGGGATCTGAGTGATAGCTCTTCGGACAGTACAAGTGACGAAGGAGATGAGGATGTCGACGACATTCCCACGTCTCAAATCGGGACACTTCTGAGTGATAGCTCGCCGATTATTACAGGCACTGAAGGAGATGGGAATATCGACGACATTCCAACGTCTGAAATCGGGACACTCCTGAGTGATGCTGATAGCGTGTCAGGAATTACAGGCACTGAAGGAGATGGGGATGACGACGATGGAAGTGAAGATGACGAGCCAATCCGGCCCGCCGTAAGCGGAAATCGACGCCGACCGAATACTTGGACAGCCCATGTCTCAAACTCGCCAGCGCGTCCATGGCGAATGAATTCGAATGGCCGCCCGGCTCAATCACGCGGGACGTCAAATGCTCGGAATCGACCGCCGGCGGGAAGTTCTATGGCGAACGCGATCAGGCTGGAGGATGACTCTGACGAAGGTCCTGTGAGACCCTCCAGGAGAGCAAGACGATAGAGCAAACTGCCAGGTTCCGGTTTGACAAATCGTTAATGGACTCATATTCTCAGATACGATGTCGTGAATAATTCCCCGAGCGTTTTCATAGCGAATATGTATGGGTTTAATCTGAACCGATCTTGCATGTGGATCGGAAAATTCTGCTAGCCTTCAGTTCTTTTTACTTTTTCTTTTGCTATTTTTCTTTTTCTTTTGTTTTTCTTTTCTTTTTCTTTTTCTTTTTCTTTTGGGATTTCAGCCATTGTCATAAATCGGCCCGGTCAATCGGTGGTGAAAACACGATAACAGGAGGTCTTGCTTCCTCTTTTCTTCTTTCCCATCCGGTCCTCTTGCGATGTTTTCTTCCTCTTGTCTCTTTCCCCCCGGAAGCACTATTTATACCCCCCCAAAATTAGTAACACGAATACCCAACTTGATTCCATCATCGAAGCTCATATTTCCGAATTCTTTGTATGTTAGCGATGAGGTCTCTCAAAATGTCATCTGTCATGCTGGCTGAAGGTCACATACTTTCATATGCGAAAATAATTTCGTATAAACCCCAGGAGTTGGTTTTTCAAAGGTAGCAACATGTACCAGGTGCTAGCATTTAAAAGCGTTCAATAAGCAGAGCATACACTTGGGTTCCGTTTATATATAGGTAGCGCTAGTACTCTCGAGCCAATAAAAACCGGACCCCTTCGAGTAAATCTCTTCTCCATCCCTTCGACTCCTCCAGATCCGGACATGTCGTCCAGAAGCCATGCGGTAGACCCTTGTAAACATATCTCATCGTCAGAACACCTTCGTTTGTCAACAGCTCATCGAACAAGAAAGCCTCATCCCGCCGGGGATCCCACCCGCAGATATAGAACGCGGCTCGGAAGGCTATGTTTGCGTGAGATTCAAACAGAAGGGGCGAGAGACGTTTGTCACTGGGTGGTGCTCCGTATTTCTCTGCACATTGGCTGTCAGATGGATATTCTCACATCAAAATCCTTGGAGTTGGGGACCTGCCTGCGAAGTAGTCGATCGATTTTCTCGTTAGGCCTGGAGCGTCGTTGATCTCATCTACGCTGAGGATTCGATCCCGGTACTGTGCTGGACGTGCGTCTGGGTGGCAGAAGCTGCCTGCTAGGAAGAGTAGCCCGGTCAGTCGGGGCTGGAGGCCATCATGAGCTGCTAGATGTGCGATTCCGGCGGTGAAGTTTGCGCCAGCAGAGGTGCCGCCTAGAATGAATCCCTTTTGTAGGTTGGTCGATAATCGCTGCTGGCCGGTGGGCGAAGCGGCCTAGACAATTATCGATCAGTCAGTCAATTAGTCTGGCAGACAAGCAACGCGCCCAGGAATGGGTCAGTGTATCCCACTTACCCAGTACACCACATCGCGACTATCTTCGAATCCCACGGGGAACCGATGTTCCGGCGCCAACCGGTACTCGACGTTGAGCGCTAGAAGGGGGATGTCGGCCGCGATGGCACGGCAGGACTCGTCGTCCGTTTCCAGGCCGCCGGTGACGAATCCTCCGCCGTGGAGGTAGATGAGCAGCGGGAGATTGGCCGAGTTGGATTGCTTGTAGGATCGCACTCGGATTGGGTGGTTATCGCGGGCTGGGATGTCGAATTCCTCGATGTCTAGACCGGGCTGTGGTTTGATGGGAAGATGGTCGCGTGTCATGGGTACCACGAGAGTGTTTGGGGGGAGGTTATTAGGGAACTATGACTGTTAGTGATAAGGGCTATATTGAGGACGATTGCAAAGGATGTTAGCGGAAGGGAACGATTTGCGATGCACTTACGTCTACCCATTTGGGATGGGGAGAAGCCAGAACACGATGCTCGGTCATGGTGATGGTTGACAGTGTGGGGATTCTGAATGAAAGGAGGAGATGTAAAGAAGACAGTCATATGTTAGGAGAGAGAGAGCAGAAGCTATTTAAAGGGATGGACATGGAGACCTGCATCTAATCAGATCATCAGAAAGATCAGATAAACATCTGTTGACCATTTTCCCAATCCGGAAACCCGGCGGGGGAGCCAATGCTGGCAAGCTCTTCCCTTTCGAGTGATCTGAGGGCGAGGGCAGTTGAATAAGGGGATATATAGCAGTGACCTAATTATATAATGCCAAACTATATTCTTTAACGGCATTAGCACATAGAAAGTATATATTTAGTCCAGAATATGACGACTACAATTCAGGCACCACGGCTGTCCGACGAGTATACTAGAGGAATCCCTAATTAGCTGAGGATCTTCTTGACCTATCTGCAGCGTAAATTGGACAATCGATCCAGAAGAGTTGTAAATTCAAATCAGAAAGGGAAAGAAACCAGCTTGCCAGTAATGAAAGGTGGATGAGTACTATCATGTCGGTCGTGTACTCCCGGTCTCAGTAGAGAGTAGTCGGACAGACTACTACTATTTACTACTCCACCTACCTAACTACTATGGGAAGGTGCTAAATCACTTGGGCGATATAATCGACTTACTGCGTTATTACATTCAGCGATGCTTGCTTTCGGATTTTGCACAGCCAGTACCTCAAACAACTTGTTCTCAAGCGCAGAGATCTTACCAATGAGAAGTGTTTGAACCGCGCCGACTTTCCCCAGCTGAGGGGATTCCATAATTATGTCGTCAACACCAACAATGCTATGTTCACCGCCCACATCATCGTAGCGTTTTATTGAGCTGTTTGGTTTTATCGCCCCACTGTCAGGTACGCATTCCATCCAACTTCGTCGACCCAATCTTCCCGTCTTTGGCAGACCAGTTCAACCAAGAACCTTTCTGTTTGTCACTATGTCCTCGAACTCGAGCATCAAACGCGATGGCTTCACCTCCGAATATGGCCGGTTCTGCACCGTGCGCGGTCGTATCCAGCGACAAGACGGCGCCTCTCTCCGATCTATGTTCTTGCCCAAACTCACCCCTGCAGGTCAGAGAACCCTGCGAGACCACCGAGACTTTGTTCGCGGACAGTTACAGCACTACGACGTGGCTTTTGAAGAGCCCCAGTTCACTGGCAACGGAACACAGCTGATGAAGAAAGCCCTCCAGGCGGGGAAATGCGACACGGTACCCCCGCATATCCTGGAGATGGAGATGCAGATGCACCGTGACTGGCTTGATACTTGTACAATAGAGCAACTGTCTCATGACCCTCAATGGATCATAGAGAAGCACTTTGGGAGTGCCCGGCAGCCGGACCGCACAATCACCACCACCGTTCTCGGGGTTCCGTTCCCCTGGTCCAGTGAGTATCGGGTGAGTCTGATACAGAATGCTGCTAGCAAAGTGGCAGGACTGCATCATGAGATAGGGCAGGGGCCGAGTACGAAGACGGTATTCGTGGGCTGGGATAAGGCTGCGGTAGAGAAAGCAGCCAAGGGACATGCTGCGAAGGAGAAAAAGGAAAACCAGGGATATGCTGCGAAGAAGAAAAAAGAGCTTCAGGCTGCGAAAAAGGAACGAGAGACTGAGCGTGCAAAGTCACATGCAGACTACCGCCGCCAGGCTCGAAAGGTGGCATCACCCGTCGGGAGCTACATGATTGATTGCAGAGAAATTGAAGAGCAGTGGCCTGATCAGGCGGAGGATCTATATCTTGATATCGACGCCACTGGTGAGCCTGGCGTTTTCAAGGCAGAGTTTGACTTTGGTGTCTTGGAAGGCGTGATGATCCTCTGTGCCGACAAGGCCATACTAGAACGGTACTGTTCTCAGGGGGATGAACCTAGCGAAGATGAATATGAATGGGACGAGGAAAGCTTGGAGGAGGATGTTTTCGAGGATGAAAAGCCCAAAGTAGGGTCCAAGAGAAAGGCGCCTGCTCCTCAACGTGGCGGCGGATCAAAGAAATCCAAGAACACCCCGGCCCGTACCTTTCTAGTGAAAATGAGGGGTCGTGAGACTGGTGAGGGTGAGATCATGGACGTATCGAAGAATGGCACCATCACATTCAAGGATGGCCAGTTTGCCAGCTTCATGGGCAAGGCTGACATGGCCTTGGTCGGTACGGGAGTGGTCTTTACTGCACGGAAGGTGTCCGATACATCAAGCTCACAGGGGGCGGAATGGGCGGACTATTCGGGGAGACAGCATGAGAGGGAACGAGTCAGCAGGTGGCACTGATTTAAGCTGATGAGCTAGTACTCTCTTCATTGGCTGTCAGTTTTTGTTCTCTCCTTACAGTCACATCGATATGCTTGATGAATGATGATCATGTTTTGGTCTCAAGCCTTGGTACCAGGTCATTTGATTATAGCAGAATTGACCCCATTTGCACGAAAGTTGTTGAGAAAGTCCGAAAGAGGCGGAGAGAAGAACAAGAAAGAGGAAGAGGGTAAGGAAGACGGTAACCCTAAAGGCCTCGAATCAGCCTTGCTGGCGGTCATGTGACGGGCAAGCACCTCGTATCCAAAGTGGCGATCGGTAACTCTAACCTTCTTCTCATTTTCGGCCTTCTAGTATATATCTTCCACGAGAGACAGAAAATTTGTTCTTCAGTGTCCGAGTGCTCATGAACAGAGTCCAGCCCGTACAGGTTGCAAATCAGAAAATATCATGCCTGTCGCACCAGGTCAACAAGTGCTGGTCCTCCACCCTAGTAAAAACGAGCGCATGAATATATCGAAAGATGGCCGCATGCTTCAGACCGTGTTTCGTTTACCAGATGAGAACAGGACAGTCCCGTACCATTCCAGACGACCTCATAAGAAATCCAGGGCTGGTTGCATAACTTGTAAGAAACGGAGAGTCAAAGTGTGGCAGTCATGATCCTGGGATCTACGATGACGACACTAATCTTGCTAATATAGTGCGATGAGAGAAAACCACTTTGCCATAGATGCGAAGTTCGTGGCGTGGAGTGTAATTATGCACCGGATTCTGACAAGAGTAGCCCTATCGAGATAATATCCAGACTCGAGAAGCCTAGCACAGCGGACTTTTCCTTCACTCTTGCCAGTATGGCATCGCGGATCGACGAGAGTCTCAGTATCGGATCCGATTTTAACTCACCGAAATCATCACAGCCCTATAGTCTGATGGCGTTTCAGCATTTCATGAAATGGTCTACGGGAACAGTTGTTCTTCCTGCCATTCGGGCCGTGATGGAAAGCGATATGGTACAGGTGGCTTTCAGTGTAAGTCTAGGCATTGTAAGGATATGTCACTATTGTTCCGCAGTACTAAAGCAGTACTATAGAGCCCTTACTTGCTGTACACGATCCTGGGAGTCGGCATGCTTCATTTGAACCGCGTCTCCCGATCGACGGAACCAGGCCGAAGATGCGCGGAGGCCCATTTCTGGCAGCAGGCGATCCGATTATATCAAAATGCATTACTCCCCGGGGTTAACCAGAAAAATTTCGATGCGCTCATTTCGACATGCATGTTCATGGGTGTGGTGTCCATCTGTCCTGAGAATTTCGAGCCCACTGATTCCTGGGTCCTCACTAACAACCCGGCCGACATGAACTGGCTTTGCCTGCAGAGTGGTCTGCGGTGCCTATTGGAGTCAGCATCCCGATACCTTCCGGGGAGTATCTGGGAGGCCGCATTTAAAGCGTCTGAGCAAGTTGAATGCCATCTTTTCAACCATGATGACCAGCTTGGACGAGAAGGCCTCGATCCGCTCTTTGCCGATTTCTGCGACATCGACGACCTCACGAGCAGCCTGACAAGCCCGTATTACGTTCCACTTCGGTCTATCACCACGTTGATCCAGCTGGATAAGAACCTTCCCAATGCTGCCCGATGTACTACCTTCATGGGGCGATTGGAATTCGATTTCCTGGATCTGCTTCGGTCAAGAGACCCACCGGCTCTTGTGATCCTTGCGAACTGGATGGGATTGATGTGCACGCTGGCAGAATGGCAACCATGGGTCGAGGGCAGGCTGAGGAACGAATGTGTGGCCATTTGTATGTATTTGGAACGCAGCACCGACCCCAGGATCCCGCCGCTTATGGAGTTCCCTGCTCTTGCGTGCGGGTATTCCCAGCCAGTCAGTATAAGCTGACTGCATCGTGGATCAATAAATGAACAAATGATGTGTTATGAAGCGTTTGAAATTGTACTATGTGTCTGGTGTTAACATGCCGCTATGTTTAAATTGGGAATCTATGTGTGTCATATCATAGAAGACATTCAGCCCATCAATGCTAGGAGAAATTGAAACCGTTCATCTCGAACTTCGAATTTGTGATACGATAGTTTCGAGACCAAACTGAAGCCAATAATCTTCTCGAGAACTTGTCCAGTGCCGAGAGATGCAGTTCTATCCCCAGGCCGCAGCGGCTTGGCGCTCTCGAGAGTACAGAGATACTACTGTTTCTTCACCTCGATTGTAGAACAAAGGTGGCACCAGCTCTTTCGCAAATATCTGGTTTGTAGATAGATATGTACATCCGGACCTGTCGGTCCAATATCACAGCAACATGAAGAAGCCTTCTAATGCGAAACTTTTAGAAAACAATATGCAAAGACCGCCGATCCGGGAATAGCCAAAGTACACAAGAAGAACAGTGAAATCAATAGATAGAATACATACGCCACGTCACCGTGATTCATCCCATGGGCCAATTACGCCTCCTTTGAGGTCACGCCCGCAAAGAACGGAACTTCAAAAACAACGGCTCCGTTGCGGCCATCCGCGGCGGCCCCGTCGTGATAATTGTTCGCAAAGCACTTCCAACGTCCAAACCGGTGCTCCTTGCCGACGGCTGCCACTATGCAGAGCCCACGGGGCTCAGAGTCTGAGGATTTCGACTTGGACTTGGACTTGGGCTCGGTCGATACCTGACCGGGCTTAATCGTGTCTGCCCGGCGTTCGAAAACGGCAATACCGTTGACCACGCCCTTGACCAGCGGCTCAGGACCGTCTTTGGCCTCGTCGGTCCGTGGCGTATCGATGGCCATATGATCTGGGTTGGCAGGGGTGTCAAAAGCGAGGGTTTGCTTCAGCTGCGCAGACGGTGTATCGGGGGAGACCACGTTTCCACCACCAACAGGTCCGAGTGGCAGAATCATCTTCTTATCTTCAGAGATCTTCCAGGCGCGAATCCAGCCATCCCAGCTTCCACTCAGCACAATATCCGTACCCGGCACAGTGGTTAGAGCTGTGATCCAGCGAGGCATCCGTCGAAGGAAGCGGGAGTTTGCCGATGCAACGTCCTGATCAACTTCGTTTGAGAGCTCATCGAGAGGAGGAATAGGGTCGAGGCCGTGGGCGAGCGGGATCGTATGGAGGGGCTTTTTCTTGTGAACGGACCAGAGCGAGAGAGCACCCGAGTCCGAGCCAGTAACAAAATGACTGGGAGGCAAAGGAGCCACGCAGTCAATGTTGTTTTCCTGGTACGAGTCCTTCTTCGAACCACCACGGAAAACCAGCTGGGATTCATCCACAACCTTCCATAATCTGGCCGTACGATCGCGCGCTCCCACACTGATACATTCGTCAATCGTCATTGCCGCCAACGACGAGACATGGTCCTGATGTCCAAACAATGTCTCGACATAGGCATGTCCTGCAGAGCTCAAGGACCACGTCTTGATTGTGCGGTCGAAAGAACCGGAGAAGAGTTGTTCTCCGGAGCTCATCGTGGAGATATGACGAGCAAAGGCAAGCCCACTGACAGAGTCCCGGTGTTGTGTAAAAGTCTGCAATGGCTTCAGGGTTGCTGCGTCCCAGATAATCAATCTGCGATCCTCCCCGCCAGTCGCCACGTACTTCCCTGACGGCGACACGGCAACAGATAGGATGCTCTTGGTGTGGCCATGTTCTTCCTCGCTCTCGGCAATCTTTTGCAAGCCCCGTGCGAATTTCACTTGTTTCGGCTTTCTCCGCTGCGGTTTCGGGCGGCGTTTCGACGAGTCCTGATCGTTTGTCGTAGCGGCTGCGGGCGCGGCACTGGGTGTAGCGAGTTCCCACTTGATCAGCGTTTTATCCTTGGACACCGTGTATGCGTAGGGTGGATGGACTGCAATAGAGGTGGTCGTCTGGGTATCCGCTCGAAAGAAGGTATGCGACGCTGTCGAGAAAGCCAAGTCCGACGCAATCTGACGGTACACCCGGCCTTTGAACTCGTCCTTTCCGAGGGTTAGCAACGTGCAGATCCATGACGAAAGCGCGGAATACCAATACATACCACATCTTCTTTCAGTCTCTCCGCAATGAGATCTCGGTCGATTTGCGCCGCATCAAACCCAACATCATCCACTTCATCCCGGATATTTTCAAGATATCTCTCGGCAAGTTTCAATCTTCGGTCTCCGGCCGTCTCTCCCTCATCGGATTCCGAGCCACTCTCCTCGGACAGCCCGGGCGCCTGGCTTTCTACATCTTCCCCATCCAAGTCACTTCCCGAGATCGATTCATCCCGCTCTCTCGAATTCTTCTCTGCGTCGACTCCTCGTTTCTTGGAGGCGGGGGCTCCGGCGCGGTCGTCTCTCTTGCGCTTCCGCTGAGAAGCGGGCAGGGTGAAAAAGGACGACATGACCGCGTAGTCTGGCGTCAGGTAACCGGGGGATTGGAACGGGCGAACGAATGCGAATGGGGAAGATGAAGCTTTCGCTCTTCACTTTTTTTCTGCCGGTGGCCCGTGCAGGCGGAAAGCGCAAGAATGTTACGCCTAAATGCTGACTCAGCGGGACAGCTCTCCGCCTCAGGCTCCCAAAGCAGCTCCCAAGGCAGTCAAGCTCCGCGCGGCCAGCAATCAGCCATACCCTTCCTCCAGCTCCACCATCACTGTCCCTTCGTTTCTTGCTCATCTCCTCACTACCTGACACCTGAAACTAGCCATGTATGATTCATTCTCCCCTGCCAATGCTTTTCACCCCCAGCTGATCGGTTGTTTCCTAGGGAGGTTCTACTCGGCATCACTGGCAAGGACTTTGTCATTGTGGCGGCGTCTAAGGCCACTATGAGGGGTCCGACTATTATCAAGGCCGAGGATGACAAGACACGACAGCTGAACAAGAACAGCCTTATGGCTTTCTCGGGAGAGGCGGGAGATACCGGTTCGTACACCCGACCCAACCGCAGATGACTCGGCAGACAGGTGGAAGGCACGGGCAAGCTGACTGGGAATGCGTAATAGTACAATTTGCGGAATACATCCAAGCCAACATCCAGCTTTACACGATGCGGAACGACACCGAACTGGGACCGAATGCAGTGGCCAACTTTGTCCGAGGAGAACTGGCACGGAGTTTGCGATCGCGCAGCCCGTACACGGTCAACCTGTTGCTGGCTGGCGTGGACCCCATCTCCGAAAAGCCAAACCTATACTGGATCGACTACCTGGCATCGCTGGCGCCCGTTCCATATGCGGCCCACGGATATGCCCAGTAAGTGGAGAGTTGGATGCCGGGTCATGATGACCTCGGCGTTAAGCATCGCCAGAGGAATAGGAACTAAGATCTCCCAGATACTACTGCTTGTCGACCCTCGATAAACATCACCACCCCGATATCACGCTCGAGCAAGGCCTCAAGCTCCTAGAGATGTGCACGGACGAGCTGAAGCGCAGACTACCGATCGACTACAAAGGAGTATGTTGCAATGGATCTACCGGTCGCTGAACAGGAATCTTACTGACAACCTCTAGGTCCTAGTCAAGGTCATATCCAAGGATGGCGTGAAGGAAGTGGACTTTGATAACGACAGGATCGTCAAGAGTGCTTAATGCGGTGTTGTATCATACCAATATTATGATGTCTTTTGTTTTCGGCTTTACGGGACCTGGGTCTTTTTCTTCCTTCTTTTTGAGGATCGATTGCATGGTAGAAAATCAATTCAATGAACTAGAACTCGAGCGTAGCTGTGATGGAGGTAGATTATGCCAGGCGATCCGATGCGAATCCAACCACGAGGCGTAAGACCAGCCATATGTCATAGTGCCGGCCGGCTGTTTGTCTTGTTTGCACCCCTCCGCCGCCCATCGCGTTTTCGCCGGTTTCGATTCCCGCGCCAGTTTTCACCTTCATTTCCATTCACCAAACCATGATGCCCAAAAGACAAGCGGAGTTGTCGCTGGAGGAGGACCTCCCGGCAGGCTCTCCTGCATCCAAAAGAGTCCGCGTGGAGGATGAAGCATCCGAACAAGAAGATCCGCGCCATGGGGCCCTACCGCTACGCCGAGCCAGTGGACAAGAGACCGAGCAGCACGAGCGCAATGGGGAGAATATTCTTGCTGCGGCCGACCAGGAGCAAGAGGAGCTAAAGGAAGCAGCGCAGAACGACGATAACGAGTCTTCCGACGGCGACGAGGATGACGACAAGCCGGTGATTGCGGCTCCGCAACGCCAGACGCAACCCATGGAGGGCTACAGCGACCTGTATCTCGACACGATTAATCGCGGAATCCTCGATTTCGATTTCGAAAAGCTGTGCTCAGTCAGTCTGTCCAACATCAACGTATATGCCTGTCTCGTGTGCGGCAAATATTTCCAAGGTCGAGGACCCAAGTCGCATGCCTACTTCCATGCTCTCGAAGTCGGACACCATGTTTTCATTAACATGGGCACCAAAAAAGTCTATGTTCTCCCGGAGGGATACGAAGTTCAGAACAAGAGTCTGGAGGATATCAAATACGTGGTCGATCCTTATTACACCAAGGAAGAAGTGACAAAATTAGATAAAGAGGTTCATGATGCCTTCGATCTTGCCGGGGCCCGCTATAGACCAGGTGAAGATTGATGCTCCCGACCTCCTTGGTACGTGATACTGACTCCTACTTTTTAGGCTTCGTGGGAATGAACAACATCAAGGCCAACGATTATCTCAACGTCGTAGTGCAGCTGTTAGCCCATGTTTTCCCGATTCGCAATTACTTCCTGCTCCATGATTTCCCTGCGCTGGGGACGCCACAGTTGGTGCATCGTTTCAGCACCCTCGTGCGGAAGTTGTGGAATCCCAAGGCCTTCCGATCCCATGTTTCGCCACATGAACTATTACAGGAGATTGCTATCCGGTCATCGAAACGTTTCACCCTCACCCAACAGTCCGATCCAGTGGACTTTTTGTCATGGTTTCTCAACAACCTACACCTATCCCTCGGAGGTTCCAAAAAGCCCTCGAAGAACCCGACGAGTGTGATCCAAGCCGCTTTCCAGGGCCACTTGAAGATCGAAAGTCAAGCGATCACCGCTCATTCTGATACCCAAAATGCCCGTCTGGTCTTCACCGAATCTGGAACCATCAACAGCCAAACCATCCCCTATCTCATCCTCACGCTGGACCTGCCGCCGACTCCTCTATTCCAGTCCGCCAATCGTGAATCCATCATTCCCCAGGTCCCCTTGACCACCCTCTTGAACAAATACAACGGGATCACCGCCTCGGAGAAACTCGCCCATCGAGTCCGGCATCGTCTCCTTCATCCCCTCCCGCCATACCTCTTCTTCCACATCAAGCGATTCAGTCAGAACCGGTTCGTCTCAGAACGGAATCCGACGATCGTCACCTTCCCCTCTCCTCGCTCCCTAGACATGTCTCCCTACGTAGAACCCAACCCGGAGATCTGGCCGCCGGGCGAGCCGATCCTCTATGACCTCGTGGCCAACATCATTCTCGACCCCACGGTGGCCGCCCCTGGGGCAACCGATGAGGCGGCAGCCGATAAGGGTGTCAACGCGGCCGGTGGATCGTCATCTTCCGGAGCCGGCGGAGGCAGTGAAAAGGTTGCCTGGCTCGTTCAGCTTCACGACAAGGCGATGGCAGCGGAGAACACCCGACACCAAAGCCAGCACGCTGGAGAGCAGCGGGGACCGGAGTGGTTGGAGATTCAAGATCTGTTTGTGAAACGAGCAGAAAGCGAGACGCTGTTCACCAGGGAAGGATATCTAATGGTCTGGGAGCGCCGGAAAATTCCTGGCATGTCGAACCGCAAGGGCAAAGCCGCCAAATAAACGGAGATCGATAATGAAAAATATAAAGACTATGTATGCATGTATTTTCTAACGGGAAGCACTTTGTCGAGACTTGGTGTTGAGGCCTTTTTTTTGTATAATTACAGCTCATGCTTAGGTACAATAGGCAAAATTTCCCCTTGCCGCTATCGTCGACTAATTTGATCTATAACTTATGTCCCTCAGTAGTCGACAGTTTCTAGACTACACAGACTCATAGAGTGCCCCAGCCACAAAACTTCCTTCCGATTTTAATAGCTGCACCGGAAACGATGCCCCAAACGCTAGCATTCACAGCGGCTTGCATGCCTAGCATCAGGACCATTTTCCCCATGTAGGCTGCAATATCAGCTCGCGAGCCACCGCCGCCCCATGCACCCAAATCACGAACGTCAGAGCTCAGTCCAGGAGGGGATTCTATGGATGACAGAAAGGCGGAAGCAACCGAACGCAGGTAGAGTGATTCAAGCGGGAGAAAAAGCACGCCGGTGATCATGGTTGCAAGATGAGACGCGAGGGAATCAACGGGGTGCGAAGAAAGGATCGTAACTCGGTGAGCGATCGAAGAGGAAGTGCTGGCGGCTGTTTGCTCGCGAACGTTGGGGTCAGAAATCCGCGGGTATATTTCTGAATCAAAATCATTTTCAAGGGGTTCCGGGTCAGGGATCCCGTCATGGTTATCTTCTGGGCCTGGCTCCTCGACACTGTCCGGCAAGATGCTGGCTAGTGTCGACACTGGCTCTGGACCATTGCCTGGGGTCTCAGCCCTCGGGTTTATCTGATGGGGTGAAATGGCCAGTGGGCTTTCTCCGCCTTCGGGTGAAATAGCGGCGGTAAGATTAGAAAGCCCATCACTGTCAACTGTATCAGGGTTGACAATGGCGGTGATGTTCTGACCTTGGTTGGCCAAAAGAGCATCCAAAAGGTCCGAGAATGACCGGCGGCCAGTTGGTATACCAGTAGCATTGGCCTGGTCAGCATCAACCGCTGCCCTCGTAATAAGCTGGCCATTGTTTGGTGTATTTCGGTTCCCCAAAAGTTCTAGTTGCATTGTGATAACATCGGAGTTCTGATGAATCAAGGAAGCCCGAACACGAGGTGAGGTCGGAGAGGATGTAGCAGGAGATGATGGTCGGGAGAACAAAGTATTGGAGCGAGAGCTCCGCCGGCTTTCAGAGGCATGTTCCCGGTGGTTATCCTCTGCATCATCCACAGGGGCAGGTGTGCCATTAGCGGGAGACACAGCATTCACTCGGTCCAGGGGAGCCAGGTCAGGGAATTCTCCAGCACTCATTTCTGCGGGTGATTGAGAGATCGGATTTTCTTCGCTGGGCAAGACTCGATTGCTGCCGATATCACCCAGATCGGCTGCAGGCGTTCCAGAAGCAGCTGCGTGAGCACGGATCACTTCTTCTGGGGGAGGCGGAACTGTCGACTGGAGTTGTAGCTGCCGGGCCCTAGTCTGTCGTTCATTTGACAGTTGCTCCACGCTCAGTGGTAAGGATTCGAGCCATTCTCGCCTGCGTCGTGCATCCACTACTTGCTCTGATGCGCGTGGTGCCCGTTGTGATTTGAAACCAAACCAGGACAGAACCCATCTGCGCAAGAAGTTCACTTCATACATTATGTCTTCGCCAAAAGACATGTTATTCCGACGGTTTTCCTCCTCGGATCTGCGCCCCAGCGTTGGAACCATCCAGTCGATAAGGTCGTTGTCAGTCGCCACTTTGATGGAAAGCTCATCGGCCAGAGTAGGCTTGGGTAACCGCCTGCGTATTAACCGATAGAGCCGTATTTCTATGACCGGGCGCAGGTACATATAGGCATAGAGCAAGAGCGAAGGTGCCTTTGCCAAGGTCAAACAATATTCACCAAGTGACTGAAGTGAGAAGTCCGTAGGCAAGGACGGGAACTGAATAGCGGCCATGTCACCGAACGGAATGAGAAATCTAGCTGCTGGGAAAAATGATGAAGGCACAAGATGAAGTGACTGCAATAAAGAAAACATGTATGTCTGTACAGCTAAAACAAGCAGCGTTCCTCTCGTCCTACGCAGTGAGTTAGCTGAGAGCATTCTATGAGGTATCGCGATCCACGTACGCAGAATGTAAGACGTTAAAAGACGCGCGGACAGTCTTGGACAATAAGTCATCATCCGGAAATTGGCTTTGTACCAATGAAATTAGACGCTCCAGCGGATGATGTCTGCAGATAGACAGGCATGTCGACATAGCCCAGGCCGGAATCCCTGCGAAATAAAACCTAGGGACACCAAGGAATGCACGCTCATAACTGATGATTCCCGACAAAGGAGCGTGCGTGTAGCTTTTGAAGGTCTGAAGAACCGACAGAAGTCAACTAAGGGGGCTAGGAATTCGTGGCAGCGACTCGGCATCAGACTTACTTGTATCCGGCCTGCGAGTGACGATGCCCACCACCCGCCGAGAAAGACCGAAACCTGGTCTATAGTAGCCATAACCAATCCGTAATCATTCTCGGCGGCTAGCATGTCGGCTCTCTGTTGTTCAGTAGGGCCACTGGCGGTTCCATCTTCACTGACGACGATTCCCATAGTTGAAAGAATGTCGTTTTTAGCTCGTCGAAGCTGTCTACCGAAGACTTTTGATTCGGGGTTGACGGGATGACCTCTTTCATCATAATGTTGGACATAATCATCCGCATGCAAAGCTGATCTCCTTCGCTGGGCAGGATGAGCAAGCTCTGCGGTAGGCCCTTGGGGACGCTCCGGAGCTTCATATGGGGACCGGCCCTGGAATCTGGTTAATCAGGCGCCCCAGGGTAACGAAGCCAATAAGCGTTATCAAGAAATAGATATGTTGAAGACCACGGGTATGACACAATCGTATAAATCTAAATACAGCGCAGGCTAACATGCGGCATGAAAAGAAACAAAGTACAACAAGTCTATATTCCGCTTCGGACTGCGAATATGGAAGTAAAAAAAAAAAAAAAAAAAAAAAAAATCACACGTGTACGCTGAGTCTGAATACAAAGCAGGGCATCAAGACTCAGGGGACAGGCTGGGACGCAGTGGCGCCAAGTAACAAAGCTGCAGTAATAGTCCAGGGCCGAATAAGGGTAAGAACAGGAAGTTGGAGCCTACCAGAGCCAGTCGATTCAAATACGCTTGTCGCCCCATCGCGTAGCAGTGTGATGGAGTTCATCCCCAGAACTCAAGAAAGCATTATGGCCGGACGACGTGGAAATCGATGATGATTGTAGACGATGAAGTTCTCCATTTGCCAGTCGGTCTTTCCAGGCTGCGGCTGCGGCGGCTGCGGCGGCTACTGCACGGGCCACTGCCGATCGGCCTTTTCGAGACAAACAGAGCAAACATGGCGAAAAAAGATTCAGAAGTTTCCGCGCGACGACACCCTCGACGCTCAGCAACTCCCGCGCTTTTGATCGATGCGCACTTTTCTGGGGTATATGATGGCGCTTTAGATTATCAGATACACTCCTGTCGAAACCCCCACACAAACCATGTCGAAAGCTGTTGTCAAGACGACCTTCGAGGCGTCTCGGACTCTTCGTCCTATATACACCGGAGGAAGTACTGCGCTGGATGCCAGTGGACGGCTGTTGGTGACCTGTATCGGTGAAGATGCCCTTGTTGTGGATCTTGAAACTGGTGATCAACTTGCCAGCCTAGAAGGAGTGAGTCCCATTTTTTCTCCGACAGCGGATCGCAATTCATTAATGAAGTATAATAGGATGGAGAGGTCATTACCAGCGTTGCCAGTACGTAGCGCATTTATGTTCCTTTGAAGTATGTTTTGGATTGTTTGATTTACTAATTCTGTCTCCAGTCACTCCGTCGGCCTCCCATGTCATTGTCTGCTCGCGCTCAATGGCCATGCGCATTTACTCTCTGACGCCTTTCGATGAATCTTCTCGAACGATTGAAGCGGAACTTGTTCGAAGCCTCAAACCTCACGTATCGCCGGTTGTCACGACCGCAACAGACCCCACCGGCACCTTCCTAGCCACTGGTGCCGCCGATGGGTCCATCAAAATCTGGGATGTTAGACGTGGGTATGCTACACATACGTTCCACGGCCACGGCGGTGTCATCTCGGCACTGTGCTTCTTTCAAATACCCTTCCAAGACGCAGAAGATAAGCCCTCTTCCAAGAAGAACAAGTCGAAAAGCAAACCGAATGACTTCGATTCGGACGAGGACATGGAGGATACTGGCCTCAACTCTGTGGACTCGGCAGATATCCTTCGGCTTGCCTCCGGAAGCGAGGAGGGTACAGTGCGAGTGTGGGATTTGAAGAAGAGGAAGTCCATCGCTACTCTTGAGTCTCACGTCTCGGTGGTCCGAAGCTTGTCTTACTCGCCGGTGGAGAACGCGTTGCTGTCTGCTGCGCGAGACAAGACCGTGATCGTCTGGGATGTTCGCACTTTCAAGACGCGCCGAATTATTCCAGTCTTGGAGAGTGTGGAGGCAGCCAGCTTTGTCGAAGACAGTGGGCTGTGCATGGTTGGCGGCGAGAACGGTAAATTGCGCGTATGGGACTGCAACCGAGGAGGAGAGGTGACCCACGAGCAAGAAGCCGGAGAGGAGTTCGAGGCGGTGATCGCCATCCAGTATTCCCCGGGCATGTCGTTCGCTATCACAGTCCATGCGGACCAGACATTGCGTCTTCACTCCCTCGAGCCTCTATCCAGCTTCAAACCCGGCTCCTCGATTGAGCCACTCCCCGTTATCAGGCGCATCTCAGGCAACGACGACGATATCATTGATCTCGCATACGTCGGACCTGATCGTTCCATGCTTGCGCTGGCCACAAACACCGAAAGTATCAGAGTCGTTTCGGTAGGGCCGTCAGGCGATCGGCCGTCTCTCAGCGAAGAGGACTATTTTGGCGCGGATGTCACCCATCTGGAAGGCCATGACGATATTATCATCTGTATCGACGTGGACTGGTCCGGTCACTGGCTAGTAACAGGCGCCAAAGATAACACAGCACGTCTGTGGCGGTTAGATCCAAAGAATTCGTCTTATTCCTGCTTTGCAGTCTTCACAGGTCATGCCGAGTCATTGGGTGCTATTAGTTTCCCTCGAGTTCCTCCGCCGGCCAACACCCCGGCGCATAAGGACCCGTTGAACCACCCCCCGGCTTTTCTGCTCACAGGTTCTCAAGACCGCACCATTAAGCGATGGGATTTGGGGAAACTGACCCCTCTTCAATCTTCGAAACCGCACTCTCCCAAGGCGATATACACCCGCAAAGCTCACGAGAAGGACATCAATGCCCTGGATGTCAATTCGTCCTCTACCCTATTTGCGTCCGCGTCGCAGGACCGTACAGTCAAGATCTGGTCCGCCGAAGACGGGTCAGTGATTGGTGTTTTGCGCGGTCATAAAAGAGGTGTCTGGTCTACACGTTTCGCGCCTCGGGGCACTCCAGTTCTCACCACCGAAGCCAAGAGCAGCACCAACAGAGGCTTGATAGTTACAGGATCTGGCGACAAGACCGTCAAGGTCTGGAGCTTGTCAGACTACAGCTGTCTCCTCACGTTCGAAGGCCACACCAACAGTGTGCTGAAGGTCCTTTGGCTCCCGCCTCCGGACCTGTCCAGTAAAGATGAGGATGAAGATGAATCCGCTCAGGGTCCCAACCTGACGTCGCAAGCACGGCCTCTCGTGGCATCAGCTGCTGCCGATGGTCTCGTGAAAGTCTGGTCTCCGTATACTGGGGAATTAGAAACCACGCTTGATAACCACACAGATCGAGTGTGGGCACTCGCCAGCCCCACGCCGTCTGGCTCGCGTGCCGATTCATTGACACCCTCTACCCAGAACAACTCCTCTCCCTTTGCGCTTGCCTCTGGCTCTGCCGACTCCACCGTTACGTTCTGGACTGATACCACCTCCGCTACCTTTACTGCCGCCGTCAGCGCAAACTCTGCCCGCGTCGAGCAGGACCAGCAGCTCGAGAACTACATCAGGGCAGGCGCTTATCGCGAAGCCATCACACTGGCTCTCCAGCTCAACCACCCGGGACGACTCCTTTCTCTATTCACCGCTGCCATCGACGCTGCCGATGATCCGTACTCGACTGATCCCAAAAAGGAAGAACGTGCCAACAGCTTGACCGGCGATGCCGATATCGACCACGTGCTTCAAACCCTGGGCTCTGAAAACCTCAGGAACCTCCTCCTTCGTCTGCGCGATTGGAACACCAACGCGCGCACCTCGCGGGTGGCTCAGCGCATCCTCTTCGCTTTGTTCCGCTCCTATCCCGCCTCGACCTTCACCGAGCTCGCAAGCGCCAGCATGGCCAAGCGAGGCGATAACGGCCGCACTGCAGCCGGCATGAAGGACATTCTGCAGGCCTTGGCCGCGTACACCGAACGCCATTATCGCCGTGTCGAAGAACTCACCGACGAGAGCTACCTCGTCGAGTGGGTTTTGGGAGAGATGGACGGTGGTATGGGGCTAGGGGCACTTAATGCCCCTGGGTCAGACGAGGTCCCTGAACACGAAAAGGACGTGCTTATGCTTGGAGTATGAAGAAGGCGAATTGTCCTTCTCCACCCCCCTGTGAATGAGGATATGTAAAAATAGACAGGATGGTTTTCTTTTTGCTCGGCGCTTTCTACTGGAGTCCCATTGCATTTTTTTGCATCTCAGATTCATTTCTTGGGAGAAGATAATGTATAAAGGAAAAAAAGTTTTTTTGTTTGTGTCTATCAGCGTCTCATTTGCATGCTTATTCTATAAATACTTATATTGATTCCCTATTGAAAATCCTTTTGATGTGGTTCGACATGCGGGTCTTTGCGGCTCGTGTCTTTAAGCTTCATCGATATTCAGTTGATGGCACACTATACGTGAGCAAAGGTCTCTATAGATTGCTCATCAGACGTGCTCTGGTTTCCCAAGTTCTATGGCCGTGTTCGACGAGAAGTTCAAGAACCGGATATTCCTCATTCTTCTCGTGTCGTCTATTGGTAGATACCCAGAAGTAGTCACTATTAGAAAAACGGAGCTGCATCAGGCTAGACGCTCGTATTGGACATAGACTGTACAGAATGATTGACGTCGATTTGACTTGAAGACCGATAGCTTCAATCGTCATATTTTCGTCGACGGTAGGAGTCACGATCACTGTCTCGCTCTCGGTCTCGATCCCGGTCATGCCGGCTAGAAGTTGAGGACGAGTGTCTCGAGCTATAGCGATCATCATCGCGATATCGACGGCTCCTATCTCGATCCCCATCGCGATCGCGGTCGCGATCGCGTCGGTCACGGTCACGGTCCCTGTCTCGTCGATGTCGGTCCTCTCGTCGATCCTTATCATCCTCACGATCGTCGTATCTCCGCCGTGAGTACCGGTCGCCAGAAGACCGGCTTCTGTCTCTGTCTCGTCTTGACGATCCCTTTCTCCGTCTGTCGTAACGATCGCTGTCATCTTCATCATCGTAATCCCGTCGGCGATAGTCCCGGTCTCGATCACGGCCGCTCTTTTCAAGATTTCGGTCCCGTCTCTCCTTCCAATCATCGTCGTCCTGCTTCTTCGCATCCTTCTTCGCGGCCGCGAGCTCTTCTTCTGTCATAAACGAACCCGTCTTCTTATTCTGCATGAGGACCGGCATGTAGACACCCTCGGTATTGCTCTCGCTCTCCTTGCCCGACTTCCTAGATCCCTTGCGCATCGCAGCTTTGCCCCAGGCCCCAAATTCCGCTTCAGCGCCCTTTCCTCCGCTGGATGTATCCTTCGCCCCGATGCCCAAGAACCCAGGCCGACGTTCGGGGACCCGTGGTTTATCGGCGCCAGCAGACGGAGCGCCGTACTTCCCTTTCCCGACAGACTGGCCCTCCTTCCAGCCCATACCTCGTAGCAACGCCGCTCCGAATTCTTCCACGGGAATCGCATTGTACTGGTCCAGCGACGCGGGCTCTGGCCGCGAAGCGATGTCCGCCCGGAACGATGTCGTCTCGTCGTAGCGCGAATCCTGGTCCCCGCCTGCCGACTCGATCACTAGATCCGACCGATGCTCCGGCTCCCCTTTACTCTCGCGAACCAGCGCATTCAGCGCGATCTCATCCTGCGTGAGCGGTTTCCGCGGTTCTTTCTCGGCGTCGGCGTCCTCCATCGTCTGATCGCCATTCACCGCCGTCGTCGCCGTCGTCGCCGATTCCTCGGTCCCCTCGTTCTGCGGTGTCTGTGCAAAGCTCAAGCCGTAAGACATGCTGGGGCGATCGGTCTCGACATTCTCGCCCGCCACCTCGCCGCGCTTCTCGGCCTCCCGGATCGCCTGCACTTCCTTGGGGAGGAGATTCTTTCCCTTCGGTCGAAGATTGACGCCGGGTCGATTGCGCCAGTTGTTGTTGCTTGCGACCGGGATGACCAGGTCGCGCGGCTCGTTTGATCGGTCAGCGGGGATGGCGGTGCCGGTCATGGTGTCGAAGCCGGTGACAGCCTCGTGGGCGGGCGCGCGTCTCTCGTCATCGTCGGACTCGTCATCGTCGTGGAGGGTGTGAGGGCGGCGGGGGAGAGTTCGTTTAGAGCTGTCCGGCTCGCGAGTGGACGACTGGATATTGAACGAGGTTTTCTTGGATCCGTTCGGGGCAGAGGCAGGTGCTCGGCCACCAAAGGACATGGTGAATGGTTTGCTGGAAGAGGATTGTGAGCGCCTGTCGCCGTCCTGCGGCGGCTGAGACGAGGACATGGTGGCAAATCCTCCGAATGTGAAGCTCGAGGGAATAATGGGATGGGAGTCCAAAAAGTAAGAGACGGAAGCGTGACGGAGCGGGTGGCGAAAGCTTCCTCTAAACGCGCGCTTAGATATGCCGACCACTTGGAATCGAGTATTTTATGTTTTTTGGCTCCGGAAAACTAATCATACAGTCGTAGTGGATTTCATTCCATTCCTTGCAATTCCAACCTTCCAATCCAGTCCCCATACCGTGGTAACCGCTTTATCAATACATGTAGTACAAAACTTTGGGCATTCAAATAGCAGAAGAAACAAAAATAAAGACAAAAAGGCCCGGTGGAACTCACTGGTCTTATGTCTAAGCGGCCAGAAGTTCGAGGCATTCTATTGCATGCCGGTGCAATACTAAACCCGAAATCGGCCCCTGAATAGGGCCATCGTGGCATAGTCGTGAGGTAAAAGGGCGGAAGAGGGATTAAGAGATAACGAGGCGAGTAAGGGCATAGGTGAGCTTGTCAATGAAAGAGCCTGCGCAGCATAACATTGAACTCCATCGGTCGTATGTAAACCGAAAGACAAACAAGGGGGTAATAAAAGGGTATGGTGAAGTAATCAAAATATTTACAGTGGAAAATTAGGATAGTGCATAAGGGGGGAAACAGTCATAAGACGCCTCGGGCCCGAGCATCATCTTAGCTACCGGCAGTCTGTGCCTGCGGCGGATTGGGACTCTTGCTCGAGCCAGGCATGGGTCCAGCCTGTGCACTCCCGCTGCGTTGGTTCTGTGGCGTTGCGCTTCGACTGGGCTGGGAAACGGTTCCGTTCATAGCAGGCGAGCTTCCGACGCCCACTCGGCCTTGTTGCGCATTCTGTGCCACACGCATCATGGGCGAAAACCCTTGTGCCTGTGGTACCTGCATCCCAGGGCCCCCGTTCATGCCAGGTTGAGGAGGCTGGAAGTTGCCATCATGAGACACTTGGTAATTGGCCGAGACGGCTCCGATGTTACCGGCAGCGGAATTCATGGCAACTTGCGACATGCGTTGCTGCTGAAATTGGTGCAATCGGTCCGTGGCAAGCTTGTTCACCTGCTCAGGTGGCATGTTGGGATTGTTCCTTTGTATCTGGTTTTGGATGCTGCTGATGGTGGGTACAACGCCGTTCGAGAGGAGATTGGGCTGTCCCATGCGAGGGGAGGGAGTCGACACCCCTTGCGATGTGCCGTTGTGAAAGGATGGGCTTTGCATTCCACCTCCAGCCTGCATTGCGGCCATCATAGCAGGGTTGTTCGGGGTGCCGTTCGTGCTGGGCATGTTCAAGCTCGGAGAATGGGATCCCTGTGGCACAAATTGCTGCTGGTTGTGGAACGGCTGCTGAGCATGCGGAGGTTGAGCTTGTTGAGGCGGTTGCGATTGCGGTTGCGGCTGCTGCTGTCGAGACTGCAAAACCCGCTGTTGTTCTTGCAGGCGATTGGCTTCACGAAGGACTCGCGCATTGTCCGGCGACGTTTGCATTGGCAGCGAAGGGCGACCTCCCGCATTCTGGGGCATGCCGGACTGCGGCATCATTTTCATTGCCATGGGATTGGGAGGCACCGGGCTATTGACGGGCCCACCGCCAGGCATTCCTTGCATATGAGGTCGCCCTTGGTTGACCCCAACAGCAGGTGGTATTCCGTTCGATAATCCATTTGGCATTCCATTCGGCATCCCGTTCGGCGTACCGCCCGGCATGGCAGGAGTTCCGGAATTGTTGGGCATACCATTCTGGTTACGCCCAGGAGCATTCATCATTTGTTGTTGATTAGGGATCTGACCAGCACGTTGAGCTGCCAAGTTCGCCTGGATTTCATGTCAGTCAAAATCAAAGCGCCAAGAGGCACAAAAGGAGCTCTCACTCTTTGCTGGGCTATCATTTGCTGGCGGTAATGTTCTTGCCTCTCCTGGAGCTTCACATCTCGCTCATACTTCAGCCGACTGAACTCAGCGGGCGTCGAAAGTGGCGGCTTCGGCTGGTTTGCCTCGTTGACCTTTCTAAGCGATGCCAGTTGAGAAGCTAAATCCAGCCACGAAAGATTAGCAAATGTGACATCGAACCCAGCCAGCGTTGTAATCCTTACCGTGCTGCTGTTTTTGAAGCATGGTTTCACGCTTCTTAGCCAGCTTCCGCATAGCGTCGAGCAAGGCGAGGTGCTTAGAGGATCGTCTGCGGTCAACACGAACTGGTTGTGTGCTCCTCCTCCTAACTGGCGGGAGTGTCTGAGGGTTAGTGTTGCCCTGTTGTTGCTGTTGCTGCTCTTGCTGCTGTTGCTGTTGTTGGGCAGCCTGTTGCTGCGCCAATACAGTTCGCTGCGCGGTCTCCAATCGTTGATGATAAGCTCGGAAGTATTGTGTCTTCGACAAGTCAGCTGGCAGGCCTTCCAAGCCGATCCAACGCTCGAAACATTCCCAGGGTGTTCTTCTCTCTGCGCCAGAGGTGAATAGAGATGAAGGAGTGAGACAGCTTGAGATGAGTGACCAGTTGTAAGCATATTCCTTCACAAGCCGGCGTAGCTCATCATCTTCCGCGTAGGTCCACTGGGATGAATTCCGTGACTCGAAAAATCCAACCGATGGCATGCTGTATTCGGCCGGTGGTCTGAAGGCGTGACCAGGGTGGATCCGATCACGTATGTGCTTGTTCTCGGGCCGAAATAAAGCTACATTAGTTTGCTCTGGAGGAAGGTCCACCACGCTATGTTCCGGGTCGGATTGGTACTGCGAATAGTCATACCGACTACGCTTGCGGGGCGGTCCATCTTCCTGGAATGCTATCTTGCCAGATACGTACTTTGAGAGCGGCAGGAGGTCGGTCTTCCAAGAAGAATCGGGAGGCTCTTTGAAGTCCGGCAGGTTTGTATCCGGGGCGAGATTGACTGGAGCATAGATTGGCAACTCATCCAAGAGCTTTTGAGCTGCCGGTGTCATGTCAAGGGAGAAATTAAATTCGTCGGAACCAAGGGAGAAGATTGCTGCTGGTGCAACTGTGTCATGAAGGTCATGACGAGGCTCGTCGTTGTAGCCCTCACTAAGCGAATCTTCCTCCATCGAGGGGACTAGATCCGGAGTAGGATGGGATATTGCAAGTATTTCATCGCCAGTCTCGTCTGGGGGCGACATCATACTTGTATTAGATTCGGTATTTTCTTTTGGTTTCGGCGTCGGAATTCTTGCGTGAACACGTAGTAACGAACGATGTTCTTGATCGCTATTGACGTACTCCGCACACCAATCTGCGCAACTCTTTGCAGCTGCAATCTTCCACTTTCGCTCTTCTCTAAAATCGGTACGCATCCATTTCACGTGATCCAAAAGAACATCCCAATGAGTGCCCTGGCGAGGTGGCTCGAGGGAGCGCTTGAGTTGGCGCAACGGCCATCTGTTCGCATTTTGAAGTGCATAGATGCGGCGCAGAGTACGGCTGTCCATTTGCTCATGATACTCAAGAAGGTGGTTTTCAGTTGTCAGTGTTTTATGAGCGGACGCTAATAGGGTATTGAGAGCCGAGCCTCGAGGGGGGGTATAAGCCCTGTTCTGGAACAGGATGTAAAGGTAATCTTGCTCCTCATTCAGTCTAGCAAGCTCACCGGACTGCTGACGAATAAGATCCATCGCGTCACTTTTGTCTGATTGCGGTGGTTGCTTCGGAAACACAACGGTGGACAGCTTGCTCCGTTCTTTCTCACGTGCTTTTCGGTCTTTGAGCCGCATCTTAGCTGCAGAGGTGGACGAAGCGTCAGAGACAGGCCGTGCGCTGTCGGCGAGCTTTTCGGTAGCATGGCCCTTATCGACTGGTGATAGAGCCGACTTCGGGGCTTCCCCAAGAATCTCAGAGACAGACTTGTGTCTAATGGCACCGGAAGATACCCTAGTTGTCATTCTCTCGGGTTGAGCTGGCACACTGGGCGGAGTGCCCTTCTTCGATAATGGAGTTGCTGGCCCTGTGGTTGTCTCAACTGGAGACGTAATCTGCGCAGATTTCTGTTGAGTCAAAACCGGTGATTCCTGAGCAGCCGCGACGGCTTCTTCAGGTTTCTTCAGGTCAGACGGTGCAGGTGCAGGTACCGGTTCTTGAAGTTCTTTCGACGAGTCCTTGGGACCACTCGGCGCTGGAACGACATTTTCTTGAATAACTTCATTGGTTGAAGGTAAATCATCGCCGCCATCTCCGATGGCTTTACTTGCTGCAAGAGTGCTTTGTTGAAGTGATTGGGCCTCTTCTAAACGAAGCTGTTCGTCCGGTGTTGATGGGACCAGCGTAGACGGAGCTTGGCCAGACTCCTCAGGTTTCTGTTCCGGAATAGCTTTGCTCACAAGTTCGGTCGAGTCCTCTGCAGGGCTTGTATCTGGAGACGCAGCGGCTGGGATAGGCGTGTTGCTGGAGTAGGGACCACCCGAGGAAACGGGAGAGAGCGGCTGTTCGACATGGACTTGACCTCCGGCAGCAATAGACGGCCGTTTCCCGTGCTCCACGCGCAATGATGGTGCTTCACTCTTTCCCGGGGCAACACCGACCGCGCGATTCGGTTTCGACTGAGCTGGCGAGACGCTAACCACCACGTTTTCCTGGCCCTGGACACTCGTTGGTGTTTTGGGAATCGATGGGTTTGCCTTCCGCTCGGAATCGTCCGATTCCGTCGGGATATTAGCTGCTGGCGTGGGTACATCGAGACCCTGAGGGCCCTCAGGCGCGATACCCGGGGCGGGTTGACGGGGAGGTTGCGTCGGTTTCAGTTGTTCCTGCGCAGGAGTCGCGGGCTTCTGTTCCGGTAGCTGCTGCACTTGTGGCTTCGGACGATCGTTGCTCGTGACAGGCTGCGGAGCAGAGGGCTTTCCTGCCGGGGGACTGATTGGCGTGGCATTGTTGGATTGAGATGGTACCTCGACAGGCGGTGCTGTTTCCTTGACCTCGCGTTGTCGGAGCGCTGCATAGTTGGTGAAGGACGGTAGAGTGGTTTCATTGAAGTAGCGACCTCTGTTGTGTTAAGCATCAGCAAGTGCGATCGAGAGGGGACCAGATCGGACCAGAGAGAAAGCATGTATACTATGTAGGAAACAGCTTTATCGCAATAATTACAAAAAGAAATGAGATAAAAGATGAATCCAAAAGAAAAGAACAAAACAGTAAAATAATATGAGAGGGGGACGAAAGATGAATGGCAGTTGAACGCAACGCGCGCAGTATGAGACTTACTTGGAGAGGTCGTTGGCGTCGAGGAACGCCTGTTCTTTCTGGTGATATAACGGGTCCGCCGAAGCGTTCTCGGTCGCGCCCGCGAAGCCTACGGTCGCAAAGTAGAGCTCGCTCAATTTGCGCTTCCGCGACAACAAACAACGTCTAAAATTCCAAGTAAGCGATAAATCGACACCGGGCAAGGAAGTGTAGAGTAATGGATCGCCGGGAGAAATTCAATACTTACGCGATCTCATCGTTCTTAGACTGAAGAAGCTCTTCCCGGAGCATCGAGTCTATTTCGGGAACACAGCATCCGATTAACGCGCTAAAATAAAGGGGGATGGATTGAGCGAAGTCATCCAGATGGAAAAAATCGCTCGAAAATGATGAAAAGGATGTGGTTGTGTGGTTATGGGATGTGAAAGATCAACACGCGCAACGATATGGCCTGAAGGGATTTTTTTTTCTGAGGGGGATTGGTAGAGAGATCTTGGACGGGTAGTTACTTCGGGGGGGGGGGATTGTGGTTGGCTGGCAGGCAGGGTAGAATGGGAGGGAGGGAGGGAGCAACACTAAAGGGTTGGAACTATGGGAGGGGGGGAGAACGGGGGGAGGTTTGAATGGGCGCCGGGAACAGTTACAATCGGCGCGTTGGCCTTGGTATGTCGAGGGCGTCGGTGACGGCAGGAGTCGGTGCCTCAGGCATACGGCACAGGAAAACGCCGGAGTTGATCTTTGGTTCCGACAGAACCTGGAACCTGAGGCACGCAGTACCAGGTAGCCGCTCGGTCCCGGCAAGTGAAATGGAAATTTTCGCTCCTCTGGCTGCCTCAGGCCCGCGGTTGCATTCCTCCGATCATAGCCGTATCGGGGCACGGATGCCCCAGGCAACACATTCTCAGAAAAGTCCTCACCGCCTGGTTAGCGCGATAAACGTCGGGCAGAAAAAAAAAGTTGCCCGCCTTCGAATATATGGTCTGGCCGGTAGTATCGACTTCCTCGGAGCATCATCCTGAACGAAACATCCTTATACCGAACCTAACGTCGTCATGGCCAAGCGCAAGAGAGAGGAAACCGCCAAGGAGCCTCGGGCTTCGGCTCAACCCTCCAAGGTGGTCAAGTCCACCACTGCCAACCCTAAAGCTTCGGCATCCTCGACGACCGAGAAATCAGCGCTCACGCTGCAAATCATTACGGGGTCATACGACCGAATCTTGCATGGCTTCACGGCTGCCGTCTCTTCCGATTGCTTTTCATCCACGGAATCCAAAGAATCTGCCGCCAGCTCGGTACAATTCACGGATACATTCCTTTTCGAAGGCCATTCCTCCGCCATCCGATGCCTGGCCTTGTCTCCTCTTGCGAAGACCGAATCCACCGACGAGGCGCAGAGGATCATTTTGGCGACTGGCGGAACCGATGAACGCATTAACCTTTACTCTTTGTCCATGGCCCCTCCCGCGGTGAACGACCAGTTTCCCTCGATCCCAACTCTCGGCGGTAACAAGATCCTGGAGAACCCGAAGAACCGGGAACTGGGAGCGCTGGTCCATCACTCGGCCAGCGTATCGGCCTTGTATTTCCCTTCTCGCTCAAAGCTTCTGACCGCTTCGGAAGACAACACCATTTCCATCGCCAAGACTCGCGACTTTACTGTGGTTTCTACTATCAAGGCCCCCCATCCCAAGGTGCAAGGAAGACCCAGCGGGGACACAGCCCCGCCCGGGGGCTCGCCTTCGGGTGTCAATGACTTTGCAGTGCACCCGAGTATGAAGCTTATGCTGAGCGTTGGAAAGGGAGAAAAGTGTATGAGACTTTGGAACCTTGTGACAGGGAAGAAGGCGGGCGTGTTGAACTTCAACCGGGAGATGCTGCAGGGTGTCAAGGAAGGCAAATGGAGTACCGGCGAGGGAAGAAAGATTGTTTGGAACACCAAGGGCGATGAGTTTGTCGTCGTGTTTGAGTGGGGTGCCATCGTCTTCGGAATCGTATGTTACTTTCTCTTCCTACCCTTTCAACAGATTCTAACCGTTTTCCTAGGATTCGACCCCAGTCTGCAGGGTTGTGCCTACCCCCCGGAGTAAACTCCATCAGATTACCTATCTTCCTCTGGACCCGTCAGCCGAGGATAGTGAGGAGCTGCTCGCGGTCTCGACCGAAGATGGCAGGGTAATGTTCTACTCCACCAAGAAGACACAGCCCGCTGAGAACGACCCTGATTGTTCCATTCCACTTGCCGAGTCTGTCGCTCAACTCGGTGGACGGGCTCATGGCTTCTCTGGACGAGTCAAGGACTTTGAGATCCTCAGCCTCAGGGACCAACCGTCGGTGCCCAAGGATGATTTCCTCGTGGTGACCGGGAACAGCGAGGGCATTGTGCGCGTATGGCTGCTACGCGGGGAAGAGCTCGTTGGAAAGAAGAAGAGCAAGAAGGGCTCGAAAAAGTCTAAGACCGAGGACGAAAAGAGCTCCACAACCGCACAGGTTGGAAAGTTCCTGAGCGAGGTGAAGACGGATAATCGGATTACCTGCTTGAAGGCGTTTGTCATGTTGCCTCCCGAGGATCCGTCGACGCTTCAAGTCTCTGAGGAGGAGTCCGAGGAAGAAGAGGAAAGCGACGATGACAGCGAGGAGAGTGAAGAAAGTGACGAGGAATAGTTGGACGATTGCTTAGATATATGTATACCCTAGGTTCCACATGATGGTAGATATGTGTACGATGCCGGAGCATGCTCTTCAAAACCGATTCGCGAGTGCTATTTTCTTTATCAGGAGTCTTTTTTCTTAGGTACAATTGATCAACACATATTGAGGCCTTGTCCCATTGCAAGGAAGCGCATTCTCCCTGTCGGATTCAGCAGTTCATTGTCCTGATGAGTCAGCATACAGACAATGGTTAGTGGCCTGAGGCAGCACTTGACATGGACGCTCAACATTAATGGAAATGAGCCACAATAACGTCAAGGGATATGGAGTCTCTCCAGCAGTGCCCCCAAGAATGTGTCTAATTAATTAACCAACCCAACAGTATAGCTCTCCAACAAAACAATAGGATATCTCTATGAGTCAGATTGTAAGTCGGCAGAAAAAAAAAAGACCGAAAAAAAAAAGGCGGCACCCACCGCCCGGACGCACTCCACTGCACAAATCAGAGAGAGAACCCCACTGACCGGCCAAACCCAAGCCCAAAGGCCATACCGAAGTATCAGATCGCCTCCTCCAGCAATTTTCATCCACACCCCCCAACTCATTACGTTACGGCAGTGACTCCGACACCGTCACTTCCTCCCTCCCCCCTATCTTGACCACCGCTCTCTGTCGCTGTTTCTGGATTTTCTACCGCAATCATGGCTACCAACGGCGATTTCTCCGACGAGGAGTCCCAGCCCGGCTCCCCCATGCTGGATGCGAACGGCCATGATGACATCGAAGAGCAGGAGCCCCTCGAGGGAAAGCCCTCCAAGTCTGCCTTGAAGAACTCGGGCTCGATCCCGCCTCTTCCTCAACAGAAGCGCCCCGAGTTGCCCGAACAGCCCGAGCCGGAGACCCTTGACCTGTCGACGTTGACTCCTTTGTCGCCTGAAATTATCGCGCGCCAGGCCACCATCAACATTGGTACCATCGGCCACGTCGCTCACGGGAAATCCACGGTGGTGAAGGCTATCTCGGAGGTCCAGACCGTCCGATTCAAGAACGAGCTGGAGCGGAATATTACGATTAAGCTGGGTTATGCCAACGCGAAGATCTACAAGTGTGACAACGCCGAGTGCCCCCGGCCGACATGCTTCAAGAGTTTCAAGAGTGAGAAGGAGATCGACCCGCCGTGCGAGCGCCCCGGATGCGGTGGCCGGTACCGTCTGTTGAGACACGTTTCGTATGTGATTTTCTTTTTTCTGCTGCCATGGATAGACGGGATTTTGAGGGGAGTTGGATACTGACTGCCGTTCTTTTTTTCTTCCAATTTAGTTTCGTCGACTGCCCCGGTCACGATATTCTCATGAGTACTATGTTGTCAGGTGCCGCCGTCATGGATGCTGCCCTTCTGTTGATTGCCGGAAACGAAACTTGCCCCCAGCCCCAGACGTCGGAGCACTTGGCGGCTATCGAAATCATGAAACTCAGCCATATCATCATCCTGCAAAATAAGGTGGATCTGATGAGGGAAGACGGCGCTCTGCAACACTACCAGTCGATTCTGAAGTTCATCCGTGGTACCGTTGCCGATGGCTCCCCCATCATTCCCATCTCTGCGCAGCTGAAGTACAACATCGACGCTGTTAACGAGTACCTGGTCTCCCACATCCCGGTCCCCATGCGTGATTTCACCGCTTCGCCCCACATGATGGTCATCCGTTCCTTCGATGTTAACAAGCCCGGTGCCGAGATTGAGGAGCTGAAGGGTGGTGTTGCTGGTGGTTCCATTCTGACCGGTGTGCTCAAGTTGAACGACGAAATTGAGATCCGTCCCGGTCTCGTCACCAAGGACGAGAATGGCAAGATCCAGTGCCGTCCCATCTTCTCCCGGGTCGTCTCCCTGTTCGCCGAGCACAACGACCTGAAGTTCGCTGTTCCTGGTGGACTGATTGGTGTCGGTACCCGTGTGGATCCCACCCTGTGCCGTGCTGATCGTCTGGTTGGTTTCGTTCTGGGTCACCGTGGACGTCTGCCTGCCATCTACACCGAGATTGAGGTCAACTACTTCTTGCTGCGCCGACTCCTGGGTGTCAAGACCTCCGACGGCAAGCAGGCCAAGGTTGCCAAGCTCAGCAAGAACGAGGTTCTCATGGTTAACATCGGTTCTACGGCTACCGGTGCTAAGGTGCTTGGTGTTAAGGCCGATGCGGCTAAGCTCAGCTTGACCAGCCCTGCCTGTACCGAGGTTGGCGAGAAGATTGCCATCAGTCGGAGAATTGACAAGCACTGGCGTCTGATCGGATGGGCCAACATCGTTGCGTAAGTTATTCCCTCTATCCCCAACCTTTCAAGTCCTCCCTAGTCGAGTGATGTGCTGACATTTGTGCCCAGTGGTAACACCCTCGAGCCTATCCTGAACTAAACGAATTCTCTTTTCTCTTCTTGTTTGTTGCTTGATTGTATACTCGGCTCGGTCCGGCCGGGCCATGGTTGGAAGGGACGGGGGGATTCCGCAGGCTGTTGGACTCCTAGTCTCTAACAGCAATACCGGGCGGTCACAGCTCGAATGGAAAAAGGTTTTTTTATTACGGTCATGAAAGGGAGCGTCGGATTACCCATGAATAGAGAACGCAGGATGTCCAAAATCCATCTCATCCACCTGCTGGAGGCCTCAATCCACCCTCGTGGTCCCAATGCAAAGCTTCCCAAGGGGGCCCGGACCCCCCGTGTCTCCAGCAGGTGGGAAAGATGGACTTGGAGGATGAGTTTACATGGATGGAGTAGAGGGCTACTCCTTTTGACGTGTGTTATGACGCAGTTTTGTGAGAAAAAATTTATTTCATTTGTTTATTTATTTTTTTTTTTGTCGGTTCATTCGTCAATTCGACCGGCATGGACCTATGTAGAAATGATATAGGGAAACGAGCAGATGCCATGAAAAACCGATGATCCTAGTGTACTTAGCCAGGATATACCAGAGCAGATTGACATGAAGATGTTGACACCGACGCATCGCAGTAGTCCGGAGCAATTATGCAAGATATGATATGCAGGTGGAGTCCGGGGGATGACTAAGTCCGCTCCATCAAGTTACCAGTTGGTCTCACTGTTGCTCTCCTTTCCACCTCTTTGTCCGGAGAATCAACAACCCTCCGCTTGGCACTTTCTCCAGGCACCTGGTCGCTGTGCTGTGGTCTCGCCATGTATATTCTCGAGGTATGTTCTTCTTGTCTCTGATTCTCTATCTAGCGCAATCCCGCATCCATAGAAGCGCAAACTAATTCAGCCCTACTTCACCTTATAGCAACTGGCGCGTCTGCTGGACCGCCCCTTCTTCCCATGGAAGAATGTCCTCGTGGGCTTCTCCTTGGGTCAGTTCATTCTGGAGGGACTTCTCTCGTTCCGCCAATACAAGGTCTTGCAACGGACCAAGCCTCCGCAGGTCTTGAAGGAGGAAGTGTCTCAGGAAGTCTTCGATCGCAGTCAGGTAAGCAACTCGACCAAGCAGGAAGCTTCACTTCTAACGAGAAACGCTTCTGATTTAGTCTTACGGTCGCGCCAAAGCCAAGTTTGGCTTTGTTGCTGGTCTTTATGGTCAAATTCAGAATCTCGCGTTTATCTATGGTGACATCCTCCCCAAGCTCTGGGGAGCTAGTGGTCTTCTTTTGGCACAGTATTTCCCTTCTCGGTTCCAGGGCGAAATTTCGCAAACGCTGCTCTTTATATTCGGGTTCAACATAATTAGCACGATTCTGTCTTTGCCGATTTCGTACTACAACACGTTCGTTCTCGAGGAGAAATTCGGTTTCAACAAGCAGACGTTCAAGCTGTGGGTTTCGGATATGCTCAAGGGTCAGATGCTGGGTGTTGTGCTGGGAACTCCCATTATCAGCGCCGTGCTCAAGATCGTCCAGAAGACCGGTAACTCGTTCTTCTACTATCTGTGGCTCTTCGGTGTGTTTGTCCAGGTCTTCGCCATTACTATCTATCCGATCGTTATCTTGCCCTTGTTCAACAAGCTGTCTCCTCTCGAGCCCGGTCCTTTGAAGGCTGGTGTCGAGGCCCTTGCCAAGAAGCTGGAATTCCCCTTGAAGGAGCTGCATGTCATTGATGGAAGCAAGCGGAGCGCCCACAGCAACGCCTACTTTTACGGATTGCCCTGGAAGAAGCACATCGTGATCTATGACACCTTGATCGAGAAGAGTGAGCCGGAAGAGGTGGTGGCCGTCCTTAGCCACGAACTGGGTCACTGGAGTCTAAGCCACACTACGAAATTATTCGGTATTGCTCAGGTATGTTTCCGCGAAGAGTCACCAGCATTGGGATTATGCAACTTAACAATCTAACTTTCAAATCCAGTCTCACATGTTCTACATTTTCGCACTCTTCTCGGTCTTCGTGAACAACAAGTCTTTGTACCAGTCCTTTGGCTTTATCAAGGAACAGCCCATCATGATTGGTTTCCTCCTGTTCTCTGACGCTCTGGCGCCCATGGATGCTGTGGTCAAGCTTCTGATGAACATTCTCAGCCGCAAGTTTGAATTTGAAGCCGGTATGTATTCTGATCTATATGGTGGTATCGCGAGTGAATTATGCTGATAATGCCACAGATGCCTTTGCCGTGAAACTCGGATATTCGAAGGAGCTCGCGCAGTCCCTCCTCAAGCTCCAGATCCAGAACCTGAGTACCATGGATGCCGACTGGATGTACGCCAGCTACCATTATTCCCACCCCATCCTGTCGGAGCGTCTTAAGGCTCTCGGCTGGGAAGGTGGAAAGGTCACCAAGGAGGCCGACAGTGAGGAGCCCGTCAAAGCAGCTGACCGAGAGCTGTAAGCGGGGGTACTGACTCATTTCGTTTGGCATTCCTGTTTCTTGTGTGTTTTTCTTGATTTTTCGGGTATGATGTTTGTTCGGAGATGTTCGGGTGTTTGGAGGCGATTAGAGCATATGGATGGCCAGTTTGGGGTCGTGGAGATTTTGAAAATCCCAATTGGATGGGAGTAATGAAACAAAGAATAAGAATAAAAGATATACCACAAGAAAACTCCGTATACATCCTGATATCGAATCACCCAATAAATGCGCCTATACCATATGCACAGCTTGTTTTATAGTCCCGACAGCCGAAGCAAATTTACTTCCACCCCATTTTATGCCGCAGCATTGGCCTTCGCCTTTTTCTCGGCCAGTCTGCGCTCCTTCTTCTTGCGCTTTCTCTCCTCCTTGTCAAGCCCGCCGGCAGCGTCGTCTTCGTTCAGGTCTTGTTGAACAGCATCAACCTCCATTGAGTCCTGCTGCTCGTCTCCAGTCGCCTCCTGCTCGAACTTCTTGGCATCTTGCCAGTCGCCGTTTTCGGCAGTAGGGGGCTGCACCGTTCCCTCGTCCCCGATGATGCTCAGGTCCCGGCCCAGCACCTCCCCGGCGAGACCGGCCTGCACGCGCTTCAAGTTGTGGAGGATCAGATTGGGGGCTGCGGCGGTGGTGCGCGAGACAGGTCCATGTTCGCTGATTCCGGCGTTCGGTTGCAAAGCGGGATCGGTGTTGGCGCGATCGAGGTAGGCGGCCAGGAAGTCGTGCGCTGCGGATTGAGAGATCGGGGTGGAGGAGTGGATGGTCGTAGGAGGGAGGGCGGAGGGTGCGGTCGCCATGATGGTTGTGATGTGGAGGGAATTGGGAGGTAGCTGAGTCGAGAGGAAAGAGTGAAAATGGAGGCGGAGGCGATCAAAGCCTCTGTTATCGAGTTTGAAGGTCTATAGATTGTGGCGGAGATTGGAAGGAAGTTGAACAGCAGCCAAAAGTGTAGGGAAAAAAAAAAAAAAAAAAAAAAAAAAGGCGGCACGTGGTCCGTGCACTGCGGAATTCCCAATTCGATCATTTCACTTCGACCTCATCTTCGTCTTCTCTTCTTCCCTCCGCATCGTTTCTCGCCCACCCGCCAAATCACCCCCTCGCAATCCCTCCACGATGCTCTGTATCCGCTGCAGGGCTCTGCCCTCCGCTCTCAGGACATTCTCCACGTCCACCCTCTCCCGGTACGTGACACCACATCGTCCACTTAACATTCAACACCTCCAGACCACGACAACGCCAGCCCCCCTCCATCTTCTCGAGTTCCCCAGACAAGACTAACAAGCAATTGTCCTATAGATCCTCGTCTCAGATCTCCTCGCCTCTCCGCTCCCTGGCGACCACTCTCCCTTCGGTCCGCACCCAATCCCCGACTCTCGCCTCTCTCCGTGCCCAGTTCCCCTCCAACAACGCCACCACTCCGCTCGCGTCCGCTCTCCAATCCCGCTCTTTCTCCGCCAGCGCCTCCCTCGGTGCTAAGCGCGACACCTACAACCCGTCACGGAGGGTGCAGAAACGGCGTCACGGATTCCTGGCGCGGTTGCGGTCGCGCGGAGGCAGAAAGATCATCATGCGTCGGAGGGCCAAGGGGAGGAAGAACATGAGTTGGTAGATGGGGTTTTTGGGCTTTCTTGCGACTGGGTTTGTCTTTTTTGTTCTGATTCAATATGAATAAATACCGGGGTACGATATTCTTCTGGGAAGTTATGGATTTTGTTCGAGGATCGAGTACTGTATGATTGATTGTTCTCTCTTTTTTTTCGTCTCCGCTATCGAGTTTTGAGTCTTCGTTGGCCTGGCGGTTTGTCGGGTCAGTTCGAGTCTCGTGTACCATATATACATACATTTGACATAGAATGGTTGACCGGTTTACCTGATTATATTGTTTACACGCGCTATGTGAAGATGTTCGTCGATGTCAACATTTTGATAGCTCCTTAAACGGTTGCTACTTGAAAAAGATAGCGCAAGCGCCAGTATGTAGCATGTAGTATGGTTTTCTACTGTAACTAATAGATTTGTAGATGCATTGCCGGCTTTTCTCTACCCATGCCATATCCGCCTCCTGCCCTGGTCTATTGGGCCTAGGTTTATATGTTACGTGACAAATGTATACCTTCCGAGCACCGTCCATTCGTTTCCCTTGAAAACATGCCTGGTTCGTTATTCTAAAGCATCACTCATCATCTTCGGAGTCTTCATCGTCGTCCTCTTCGGAGCCGGTTTCATATTCGTCATCATCGTCGTCGGATTCTTCGTCGTCGTCTCCAACCTTCAACCCGTAGTCGTCCTCGAATTCCTTGAGGGCCTGGACCTTGGGGGTGAATCCGGAGGCTTCGAGGCCTTCCTTGATGGTCTAGAAATCGAGAATTAGCACTAAAGAAAGAGAAATGGAGCTCAGGTGAAAACGTACCGTTTCAAGCATGGTCGTGCAGGTGATCACGATGTTGGCCGTGTCCGGGGCGAACACCGGCAGAATGATGCCCCGCAGGGCATTCTTGACATCCTCAACACCGATGTCGCGCACTTGCTTCAGCATCTTCTCCTTGTAGTCGGTCGGGAGCTTGCGGATAACCTGGCGAATGAAGCTGCCCTGGGCCGCGCCAGCTATAGTCGCTTGCTCGTTCGCGAAGCTGACCACAATGCTGCTGATCGCACCCTCCAGCATCAGGGGATCAAACGGCATGGCGCCTGAGAGGTGGTCCTTGACGATCTGCTTGCTCGACTCGAACGCCTTGTGTGCATTGGGCGACCGGTACACGTCGAAGTTAACAAAGCCGGTGTCGATATTGTAGGCGAAGTTGGTGCCGTATGCGAGACCCGTGCCGCGAACCGCCACCCAGAGAGGGCCCTCGACCGCGTTCATGTAGGCAATCGCCACCAGCAGCGCCGGAAGCCTCGGGTCATCGTACGAGTCAAGACCCCGAGCCGTAGCGTAGGCAAACGAGGAGTCGATCGTGGGCATGGGAACCACGAACGACTTTCCACCCAAGTTCTGGCCGGTCTCACTCAGCAAAGGTCTTCTGGAGGTGATGGGTTGAAGTGGAACCTGGGCACCCAGTCGATCAACAAACGGCTTCCAGGCTGACACTGGGTTCTGGAGCTTCTCAAGGTCAGCGATGACCACAACGCGCATGTTCTCGAACTTGAAGAGAGCATTTCGAATCTCTTCCATGCGTGCGACAACCGTCTCCGGTTCCTCGGCCAACTGACGCTTGATGCGCTTGAGGTAACGGGCCTTCACCAAGGTGCTGCGGGCTCGTACAATGGACTCAGGCGCGTAGTGGACCATGACGTGCACCGCCGCAAGCATGTCGTCGCCGGAACGCTTGGAATCGGGGACATCAGATAGAAGACGGCTGGTAATAGCCCGAAGTCTCTCCACGTCGAAGATCGAGTTCCAGGAAAGTTCCTGGAGCCAGGCGATTGCGGTGCTGTACTTCTCCAACTCGACTTGGAATGAGATGCGTAGCATTTCCGAGTTGCCTAGGCTCCTGGCACCTTCCATAGCATAACCAACGGTATCTCTCTCGAGCTCGACCACTACTTGTTCAAAGTTGATGGTCTTGCCATCACGCTGGACCGGCAGGTTGAAGAAAGCTTCCGTGTAGATGGACAAAAGAGGTCGCAGTTGGACCGGCACAGAGTTCGCCGAGATGAGAAGAGAAAGCTGGACGAAGCTGCTGGGGATGTGCTCGAAATGCATGAACAGGGGCATGTCAGAGCCGTCGGCGTCCACAAGCTTCTGAACCTTGTGCTCCGGGTGCCCGGCTTGCAAAGCACTGCCTGACCGAGCCGTGGTGGTTTCCACGAAATGGATCGACTCGATCCCGGGGATCTTGAAGCTCTCCAGCATTTCCTTGGGGATCTCTTTATCATTTTCGGCCTTGGCTTTTTCAAGCTTGTCGGCCAGCTGCGCCAAACCTTTCTCCCCGAGCCGCTTCTTCTGCTCTGCCACTCGGGTTTCCTCTTCCTTCTTCAGCGCGTCAGACATCTTCAGCGACGGCACACCGAGGATGGTGACATGAGCAGCATCGGATATCCACTTCTTGATGAAGGTGCGCCATTCGACCTCAGTCCACTTCTCCAGAACATCATATTCCTTCAAGGTGGCCACGTCAAGGAGAGTGGAGCCATCCCGCTTTCCGAACAGGAAGTCAGAAATGACATATTCCGCAAATGAGGAGGCAGAGCTTTCTGTGGAGAACTTCCAAGTACGTCTCTGCCGCTCAATGCACTCCTGAAGGTATCCCATGTCAAGCTCTTTCTGCATTGCATCCTTCAACACCTCGAAGAAGCGTTTCTCCACCTGGGCAAGTTTATCCGTCTCCACACTCGTCAGAGTAAAGCGGATCTCCAGGCTAGGGTGATCCTCAGTAGCGTAGTAGACAGCACTAGCGAGTTGCTCCTTTTCCACAAGGATGTTGTCCAAGAGAGAAGCCGATGACCCAGCCAGGTACAGCAAAGCGACATTTAGTGCGCCGGCTATTTGATCAGTAAGCATTGGCTCAAACTATAGGGTAGGTTTTAGGGGGAAACATACTTTGAATAGGGTCTGTGCAGTCCGGTCCCAGGAATCTGATCTCTATTTCACCAAAAGATTCATCTTCTTCGGGGAACTCTACAGTCTGCACGATGGACTTCTCTAACGGGGGTGCCTGCTTGGAATCGACCCAAGGTCGCTTGAACGGCGACTCGGGACTCGGGATGACATCAAGGATGGTATCCTCGAACTTGTCTAGAGTCTGCAGCATGTTCTCGTGATCTACCTCCCCCGTGATAATTAGGCAAAGATTTTTGGGCTGGTACATTTCCCGATGGAATGCTCGAATCCTCTCTGCCGTGAGGACGCGCAGCTGCTCCATCATACCGCCAGTTTCGTAGCGAAATCCCACACCCTGGGGGTAAGTCAACCGTCGAGCAGTCAGATCGATCAGCTCTGCGGAATTGTTCTGCACTCCCTGCATCTCCGAGTATACAACACCCGCATCATTTCCCGTGCCATCGATGTGGTGCACTTCAGTGTAACAGCCCTCATCGGTCAACGTCGGAGCAATGACATGCTCGAGGTAGACGGGCAGGATTTGCGCAAAACCCTCCCAGCCGGCGGTGTCAAGAGTATACGCCGTGTGGTCTGTCGCTGTCCACGCATTGGTGTTCGAGTAGACCCGCGTCGCGAGCTTGTCAAGAAACCCCTTGTATCTGTAGTTGCGAGATCCCATGAAACAAAGGTGCTCCAGTGTGTGAGGGGCGCCCGAGTCATCGGCGATTTCAGTAGCCAGGACAAAATACCCCGTTACCTTTGGGCCCTTCTGGTCAATGACCACGACCCGCATGCCGGTTCTCTCGGATTCATACTGAACGAACTCGCTCGGCGAATAGTCGGGATTAAACTTTTGAAGTAGTTTGAAATGACTCTTCTGACTAGGCGACATGATGGACAATGATCTTGAGGGCCTCCAGAGGCGCTCTTCCACCCCAGATCTCGTAATCGCTTCCTTGAACAATGGTCTGAGAAACGGTCAGTGATCCGGACGAGATAGGTTTGCGCCCTGTGAGAAAAGAAACGAAAAGAAAAAGGAATCGAATTTTAGGTAAGATATGAAACGAAGCAGACCATGCGATGTCTCGTAGGATTTAAATAAGTGTGCACTGGGTATTTTTCCAGACAATAATGCCGGGGCGGGTGCCATCTCCGAGCTTTGGAGGGGTTGGAGGGGCAGTTTTTTCTTCTCTCTTTTCTTTACTATTTCTTGAGTGATAGCAAGACGGGCATGGACTCACATGGATCGAAATCGCGCCCTAGTCAGGCCTCGTAGGGTAAGCCGAGACAACACGGTGGACGTTGCTGTACGGGCAAGGGCTTAATGATGCAAGAACGTGGGCTGTGGGCACAGCTGGGTTTCGAGCCTTTCAGGCCGTGACGACGTTCTGGAGTGGAGTTTGGGTCCCGTCGTTGGAATGAGGATCACCCTGTCACCGGTTGGTCAGATATTCTCATAGAGAGATCCAGGCAACGTCCACATGTAGCACAATCAGGAATGCGACAGGCCCAAGGTCAACAAGAAAGAGATTTGCTCGACTTCTCGCCGAACACGCCAATTTGCTGCTCATCGCTGGGCATCACGGGGCCAAGGCGGTGAAGGCGGTGAGGTCACATGGTGTTGCCAGCGCGTTCGTTGCGGCTTCGACGCTTCGACAACGTTGTCTTCTTGCGCACTTGCTGTGAAGGTCCCGGAACCTGTCTTTCGCTCTGTCGGCTGAGGAACTAGGGTTGGCGTGCGATAGCCTCCGTTAATCATGGCCAGCAAGGCTTCGGAGCATGAAATATGCCAGTCGGTGTTGGATTTCGTCACTGAGGGCCAGTATCCAGAGTCGGAGAAGCTTGTCGCTGCGGAGTTCCCCGTATCGGCCCTTTCCAAAGAGTTGGAGCTTCTGTCCAAGGCCAGAGCACAAGTGGAGGTGCGCATTGATTTTCTCCAAGACCTTTCACTCATCTTCGGGCCAGATCGCTGTTGTTGAGCGCTATAGTTCATTGACAACATGCTGACCCTCTTTCTCTCACGCAGGCTGAGATTAGCTCCTTGAGTCGGGAAAATGACTTCGATGCCGACGGATGGATATCGCAGGCCAAGGAACTTCACGCAGATATTGAACGGTCCAGGGTTACTGCACGGGAGATAGTCGCACAACATGAGAACACAGCCCCCCTACAGTCGAAGGTCGAAGATGCTGCTGCCAAAGTTGGGTTGATAGAGACCGAGATTGCCTTCAACCAGGCTGTGACCGACACGTTGGAGGAAGTCCAAAGACTCAGTCAGCGACTTGACGCCGGTCGGGCCATCCTTCAGGAGGGACAAGTCATTGGTGCAATTGACATATTGGAGGCGACAGAACAGGCCATACAAAAGGACAACTTGTTCGCCAACACAACTGTTTTTGTCATATTGTCCGAGAACATCAAGGATCTCCGAGGCGAAATTGCTGAATACCTCCGCGCTCGCTGGAATGACCAGCTCAATATCAACGAAGGGGAAGCGAAACTTGTCCTTCCGGAAAACACTGGTGAGAACCCTGGAACCATGATTCGGTGGTGTCACTGCTAACGCTCTGTAGAGCAACTAGAGGAAACTGTTACGGCATTGGTTCGATTGGAGATGCTCGCTCCAGCCAAGGGTAAATTTCAAAAGGATCTGATCTCTGCGATAATCGAACCGATCCTGCTACCTTCAGTCGATGGGCACAGCCGCGGAGTGCAGATTGAGGGAACTTCAATCCGCGTTGAACCCCAGCCATCGAAAGTTTCGGTTCCTGAGCTTTTGGAATGCATAGTCAAGGTCTTGGATTTCCTTCGCCAATACCTTCATTCGTCTATTCTGGATTCCCTTTCGCAAACATTCATTCCAATTCTCTCATCAAAAATCATAGCCTCGTGGCTCTCGTCGGCAATTCCGACGGAGCTCATAGGCTTGGGCGAATTCGAGAAAACTCTGGACAACGTTTTGGAATTTACTAACAGCATTCAAAAGTTCGGTTGGCATGGTCAAGAAGAACTTGTCTCTTGGGTCAACCAGGCACCTCGACTCTGGTTGACGAGACGACGGGTTGATTCATTAGATCAGGTTCGCAAAGTTCTTGCTGTCAGTGAGGGTAAAACAAAACAAGTGGAGAGGGTCGAAATTGAAAAGGTTTCCGCTACGGACGAGGCCCTGTTGGAAAAGACTACTTCCGATGATTGGGATGCCAGCTGGGACGACGACATGGTAGATGATTCCAAGGAAAAGCAGGCCGAAAACAAGGAAGATGAAGAAGACGTCAGCGCCTGGGGTCTAGATGATGATACGAATGATTCCCCGGAAACGGCGCCTGGTACCTCTGCCGCTGCCGCTGCCACTGCTGATGATGATGACGATGGCGATGCCTGGGGTTGGGGCGACGAAGATGAAGAAACTTCGGTCGACGCGTCTCATACCAAGAATTCGGACAAGACCAACCCGGTAAATGGAAAGGACGCAGAGCACCACGCTTCCCCGCGAGAAGTCACTTTGACGGAGCGGTATACTGTAACGGACATTCCTGAGGCTATACTCACGATTATCCGGCAGCAGGTGACGGACTCCGATGCCATAACGCATCCAGCGTATGTAGTATACTCTCTGTCGCCAATTTCTACGCTAATCCTATGCCAGGCACTCCAATTCACGCGTTGTCTCCTCGGGGGCTGGTCTTCTTGCTCTTCCAACGTTGATCCTCGCTATGTTTAAAGCGACCGCAACTTCGTTTTACGGCCTTAAACTTAATGCTGGGCAGATGTACCTATATAATGACAGTTTGTATCTGGCGGACCAAGTTCGCAACATTGTTGAGGAACATCAGCTGTCGAGACTTCAGGCGGATATTGAAGCGCTTGAACGATTCGGCAAACTGGCTTACAGCAAGGAGATGCAGACCCAGCGCACCATTGTGACCGATCTACTCGATGGTGCGCAGGGCTTCAGCCAATGCTCGGAGCAACCTTTCCTGGGAGAGTGTGAAAATGCAGTTAGTGCGACGGTTGACAGAATCCGTGACGTCCACAAGGAGTGGCAGCCAATTCTTTCGCACTCGGCACTCCTACAATCTGTTGGGTCCTTGGTCTCAACTGTCATCAATAAGATCATCATCGAAATCGAAGACTTGGGCGATATATCCGAGGCTCAGTCGCAACGGCTCGTGTCGTTCTGCAACCAAGTGTCGAACCTGGAAGATCTGTTCATACCAGAAATCTCCGAGAACGCTGAGCGTGTACCCATGACGGCTGTTTATGTGCGCAATTGGCTGAAGTTCCAGTACCTGATCAACATTCTAGAGAGTTCTTTGGCGGATATCAAGTTCCTCTGGGTAGAAGGCGAGCTGCGTCTCGAATTCTCGCCCGAGGAGGTCGTGGACCTAATCGAGGCTCTGTTTGCCGAATCCGACTATCGGCGAAAAGCGATTGCGGAGATCCGACGAATCTCTCGAAACCAAGGAACTCTTATGTGAGCGATGTACATAGATCATAGTTAGTACATACATATCTGTTGCAGAAAAGAATCCAGTTAATACTGCAAGGAAGCCGATTGCCAGCGCTGCGGGGAATCTCCGCGCTTTGCGCAAGTGGCCGCTTCGGCCACCGTATTTTTTTCCTACGCCCGTCGCAGTTTTTCTTCCACGGCGCATCCAGCAGTCCACGCCACCTCAAAGTCCCTCTCGATTGCTACACACTTCCAATATGAACGGGGATCAGGATTCTGCTGCTGCGGCTTCGCAGGCTGCTCAAAGACAAGTCCGCGTGCAGCTCACCAGCAAGCAAGAGGATATCGCGCTGCCTGAGAATACCGGCCCAATTTTGGTTCCCACTGGTGAGGTTCTACCAACGGACATAATTGTTCTAATAACTCCTGGTTGTCCCCCATATCCTAACTCTACTTTCTTTAGGCCTACGGAGATATGCGCTCTCGACGTTAGTGAACAACCTCCTCGGGTCAGCCAAGCCGATCCCATTTGAATTCCTCATCAACGGGTCATTCCTTCGAACTTCAATCGATGAATATCTGACGGCCAACGGAATCTCCGCCGAGACTACTCTGGAAATTGAATATGTGAGAGCTTTGATTCCGCCTCTTCACATTGCGTCTTTCGAGCACGATGACTGGGTCAGTTCGGTCGATGTACTCTCTGCCACTTCGCCCGCAGTCTCTTGGGCGTCCGCGAACATTACCCAGGGCCAGGAGAGAATTCTGTCTGGCAGTTATGATGGTCTTCTACGAGTGTGGGATATGTCTTCGCAAATAGTGGCAACTTCACCGTCGCCGACTGATGGTGGTCATACCGCATCTATCAAAGCCGCCAAATTCATCTCGCCGAGTTCGATTGTTTCGGCCGGACTTGATCGCACAATTCGTCTGTGGAAATACACGCAAAGCGAGAATGGATTCGAAGGAAACATTGCTCCCCAGCTAGAGCTGTATGGACACAAGCTTGGCATCAATTCGCTGGCGGTCCATGCACCCTCGAACCGTATTCTATCCGCATCGGCAGATCACAGCGTGGGTCTCTGGTCAACCAAAAAGTCCGATGCTCCAGCTGCTCCGGAGAACCTACTGCCATCGGCAGTCGCCAAAAGCTCTAAACGAAGAAAGCTGAACTCGTCTGTGAGCACCCCGCAACGTGGACCTGTCGCCCTTCTCTCATCCCACAGCGCGCCTGTGTCCGCCGCCATTTTCGATGCCAAGGACTCCACCGTGGGATACTCCGCGTCTTGGGATCATTCTCTGCGTACGTGGGACCTTGTCACTGCTGCCTTGGTGGATACCCGGACGACGTCGCACTCGCTTCTTTCCCTTGAGCACCTCCCTGAACATCACCTGCTCGCTACGGGTTCGTCGGCCCGTCACATCACGCTCATCGACCCTCGAGCATCTGCAACCACCATCGCAGCCATGACACTGCGCGGCCATACTAACGCCGTCGTTTCGTTGGCTCGTGATCCTAACAGCTCGTACGGTTTGATTAGTGGTAGCCACGACGGCACGTGCCGCATCTGGGATATCCGGTCGACCAAGACGGATAAGGAAGGTGTTGTGGGAGAGAGTGTCTATTCGATTCCTCGCAAGAGCTTGGAAGAAGGAGGCAAGGCCGATGCCAAGCGCGTTGGCGGAGAAGGTGTCAAGGTGTTCGGCGTCTGCTGGGACAAGTCGGTGGGTATTGTCAGTGCCGGTGAGGATAAGAGGATTCAAATTAACCGTGGAGAAGGCGTGTTGTCTTCTGCATGAAAATCAGTTGCACATCTGGGCCTGGCGTTTTATTGTCGGATGAAAAAGTTGGGCTGTTTTGGCTTTGTTTCGAGAACCTCCCGTACGAGTCGTTGTTTCCTTAATCTGTATGCAATATCAATCAATCTAGATCGTGATCTTATGAAACTTGTCTTCTTTTTTGACCTTTTTTGCTTTTCATTGTCAAATATAATACACATCATGAGATCTGAGGGATCCAAGTATCCAAGTACAAGAAATAGAGATAAACGATAAACGCCGATTCATGCCTCTCACAGCCAAAAACGATACAAGGCTCGACCAGCCATCAAAGACTGTCCAGCAGTTTCACAGTCTTCTCTCCATGCGGTTCAGCTTGACAGCGTTTTTGATCTGGGCGAGGCATCGTTAGCAAGAGCCAGTGTCAAACCAGAAACAACGCCACCTACCTGGCATCTTGTCCTCTGTCCCCGAACCGGCAATCCCAGCGCGTGGCGTCTACCACGGTATGTGCCGCTCTCCTTCAACCGCTTGATATTGTCGAGGATGTTTCGCCGGAGGTCGTTCTCGATTTTCATGTCGGACAGAGCAGCCGTGAGATCAAGGACCTGTTTGTTGGCCAGTTCGCTGACCTTGCATGTCGGGTGGATATGGAACCGGGCAAGGAGCTGCGACGAGGTCTGGTTTCCGATACCGAAGAAGGCTTGGAGCGATTTCTGGTGGAATATGTTAGACCGAGACGTCATCCAGGGCTTGGGATGTGGGTGTTGTTGCTTGCCTTGACAAGGTTCCGCTCGGGGAAGTTGACACCGAGAATGAAAACCTAACGGGCAGTCAGTGATCGGGAGTGCGCAGCTGAAGAAAATGAGGTTATACATACCATTGTGACCGATTGCGCGCAGTGATTCGGGTTCTCTGCTATACAGTCTGCGGTGTTGAATCTCCGGCGAGCGGGAGAAATCGAGCAAGCCGGCAACAACGTTTCTCCGTGGAGAACGTTGAAAGTTTCAACGCAGCCAGACGTAGATTACCGTAATATTTCATCTTGTCAGGTCAGGACTGCGCGAAACTTGCGTGCGAGATTACGCCTCGCGTCAGTGAAAATTACAGACCCCATTCCTATTCGGGCGTAAACTGATCTTGGCATCTCCGCATGCCGCGGACTTGCAAGCTGGCCTCGATGATGAGCATCTCTCTTCCCTCCTCATTGCTCTTTACAATCCATTGTTAGGGTTCCGCGAGCAACCATGAACTTCAAATCTCTCTTCCTGACCTTTTTCCTGGTCCTGGCGGTTGGACTTGCCCTGGTCCACGCCGAGGAGGCCAAGGAGCCTCGGGGTCCCAAGATCACCAGCAAGGTAAGCAAGCCTGTTTTCCGTAGGAATTCGCGAGATCCATCGTTGGAAAGCTAATCGGATGATGCGGCTAGGTCTACTTTGACATTGAGCACGGCGACAAGCCCCTCGGCAGAGTTGTGCTTGGATTGTACGGAAAGACTGTTCCCAAGGTAAGCAAACGATCATCCCTGATACTCAATGGGGACCTTATGCTGATCAACTTGATGCGTTCTAGACCGCTGAGAACTTCCGGTATAGTCTTTTCAACTTGGATCCAAGAAGTTCAATCTAGCTGACTCGAAAACTTTTCAAGCGCTCTGGCTACCGGCGAGAAGGGCTTTGGATATGAAGGGTCTACCTTCCACCGTGTTATCAAGAACTTCATGATCCAGGGTGGTGACTTCACTCGTGGTGACGGTCAGTATTCGGCGTACAGTAAGCTAGCCTCGAGACCGCGCATGCTAACGGGTGACGTTAAGGCACCGGTGGCAAGTCCATCTACGGTGAGAAGTTCGCCGATGAGAACTTCAAGATTAGGCACACCCGCAAGGGTCTCCTGAGCATGGCCAACGCCGGCAAGGACACCAACGGTTCTCAGTTCTTCATCACCACCGCCATTACTTCGTATGTTCACCCTGCAATGACCCTGCAGAGAAAGGTCGCTTGCTAACCGTTCACTTACTTAGCTGGCTTGATGGCCGCCACGTCGTCTTCGGCGAGGTCCTGGAGGGCTACGAGATCGTCGAGGCGATCGAGGACGTCCCCAAGGGCCGTGGCGACAAGCCCGAGCAGGTGGTCAAGATCGTGAAGAGTGGAGAGCTGGAGGCTGAGGAGACCCCCAGCGAGAAGAAAGGTAGCCATGAGGAGTTGTAGACCTGCACCCGGTCAGTCCTTGCTACTTGAGGAAACCCTAATGTGCTGATGCTCGCTGGTCTCTGAAGGAGAAGAAGATGAAAAAGAAGAAGCCATCATCACGGATAGCCCGCCAGAGGTTGCACCAGTCGTCCCAGCACCATCCTCATTTTCTCTGCCCGGGCTCGCCGTCTTTGTCGTTGCCATCGCGATCATTGTCATCATGGTCAAGAACGGCTGCGGAAGACGCTCTTGGGGAAAGGAATCCCACGAGAAGAGTCTCGCTTGAGAGTGTAGATCCAATGTCATCACCATATTTACCTACCGTACTCCCGAGGCTTCATTTTCCACATGTATTTGATTTCTTTTATTTTACTTTTTTGGGTTTCACCTGCGTCCTTCCGGGGCCAATCAGTCCGTCAGATCGGAGTAGTCCCGTTAGTAAACCGGTCGGTGGTTGGGTCTGTGCCATAAGAAGCGGTCAAAGGGAGCAGTGGCGACGTTAGTCAGATGACCCGGACCATGGAAAATCCACGGGGTGTGGCAAAAGAGAGGGAAAGGAGAGGAGAGGAGAGGAAAAGATGTGACTGTGGTGGCCACAGTCATCGGTAGTGGTGGTGGCAGTGGCAGTGGTGGTCGATATCTGACTGGTACTCCGGAGTAAGCAGGTGAACATTAGTGAGGTGAGATGGTCCCAAGATAAGTCGCACGGGGAGGAAGATCTCCGATTAGATCTTTGTCACCACGGACGACTAGCTGGACTTGGTCATTATTAGTGCTACGTATGTGCTACGTAGATGAGAAGTGGATATGTTTGATGCGGTGCGCATGCTCAGGATCTCGTCAGTAGAGATCAGAAGTGTCATATCATACCAGCCTGCGAAAGAGATGGAAGAACACTACTAGGTAAGAATACCTACGTATCTTGATCTACAGGTAAAGTACAAGAGGTAATAATGTCCACCGTCCAGTATGCGGATGGCATTTTATTTGGCCTGACCAGATTGGTCCGCAGGGACTTTAGGGTGCCATACTCCGTACTCCGTCCAGTGTACCGGCCAGGAAATCCACACTGGCAAAGATACCTGGAAGTCCGAATATTCTCCAAATCGCACCGTACAGGGAGAAATCAGAATTGAATCTGGTGCAGCCAATCCATGTAGCTTTCAATCCATAGTACTATTGGCTACCAACTTTACGTGGTGAACGTTGATTTTTTTTTTTTTTCCTTCATTTATTTCCCCACCGTCTGGCCCTTTCGCTTCTGAAAATCTGAATCAGCAACGGGAAGGGCAAAATTGAAAAAAATTAAAAATTAAAAATTAAAAAAAAAAAAAAAAAAAAAAAAAAAAAAGTTGACAGCGAAAGGGACAAACACAACAAAACAGACTAGAAATTGATTCACGCAAGAAAAAAAAGAAAAGAAAAGGAAAAAAAGAAAAAAGAAAAAGAAAAAAAAAATCGGACAATTAAATTAATTCAATCCAATCTGGCGTTGCCTCTTTTCCTCACCCACAAGAAAAGAAAATCCCATCTCCCTTTCCCTTTTTCTCTTTCGGTTTCGCTCTTCTTCTCTTCCACTTCCCAACTCTCTCATCCTCCCCCCCTAATCCAAATCGGTTCATTTTTTTTCTTTTCAATATCTCCACATATTATCCTTTTCTTCCTTCTTCTCTCTTCCCTTCTCCCCCGTCCCTCTCGTTTTCCCTTTTCCTTTCTGCAAATTAATAGAGGGTTAGATCTGGGAGATCACCTTGGTTTTTTCTTTTTTGTACTTCACCTACTCAGAAGAAAACTTCCTTTCTTTTCACTTTTCTTCCTGTCCTTTTTTCCCGTTGTGCTATTGTCCTTTTACTCGGTTCCTGTATCGCCACTTGATAGAGAACGGGGTACTATTTTCTTCAATAATTCGCACCACGTTCGTCTTTTTTTTCTTGTACAAAAGGAAAAAGAGATTTCAGGTGGATCAGATCGCGATTCTGCTCTCCGACTGCCAACGAAAAACGCATTCGAACCCTTAGAACCGTACGTCCGTCGTTGGTTTCAAGAGCCGATCGATCGTCTTTGCTTATCTGTCATATCCTCCTGCAGTTCGTGAATTATCCGCAAAGATGGCCGACGGATTGAAGATGGGAAACCTTTCCCTTAACGAATCTCAGCATGCGCCCGCTGCCCCCAACACTGGCCGTGCTGCCTACATCCCCCCTCATCTTCGCCAGCGTCAGATGGGCGCGAGCGCGAACATGGACGGTGCTGCCCCTCCCCCAGGCCCTGCTCCTAACTCCTGGGGCCCGAGGTATGTTTTCTTCTTTCTTAGCTCCTCCGGCTGCATTCGCAGTGATGCTGCATCAGCCTTCGCGTACTTGGAAACGAGGCTAACCGATCGGTTTTTTTCTTTCAAACAGAGGTGGTGGCCCTCGTGGCAACAACTACAACGCCAACGCCCCTGATTTCAGCCCCCGCGGTCCCAATGGTAACACAAGCTGGACACCCCAAGAAGGTCATCGCCGTGTCTTTAATCCAGATGCTTACGGAAACCCAGGTCCCGGAGGTTCTTACGGAGGAGGTGGTGGTGGTGGTGCTGCCAGAGGCTCTGGAGATGGCCAGTGGCGCGACGGCAAGCACATCCCTGGACCCGCCAATGCCCGTGTGGAACGTGAGCTTTTCGGTCTCCCCAACGATCCCTCCAAGCAAAACACCGGTATCAACTTCGCCAACTACGATGACATCCCGGTCGAGGCCTCCGGCCACAACGTCCCCGAGCCCGTCAATGCTTTCACCAACCCGCCCTTAGACGACCACCTGATTGCCAACATCACGCTCGCTCACTACCAGGTCCCGACCCCGGTGCAGAAGTACTCCATTCCCATTGTCATGAACGGTCGCGATCTCATGGCTTGTGCCCAGACCGGTTCCGGAAAGACCGGTGGTTTCCTCTTCCCCATCCTGTCCCAGGCTTTCCAGAACGGTCCCTCGGCCACCCCTGCTCAGGCGCCCGGTCAGTTCAGCTACGGCCGTCAGCGCAAGGCCTACCCGACCTCCCTCATCCTTGCCCCCACTCGTGAGCTTGTGTCTCAGATCTTTGACGAGGCCCGCAAGTTTGCCTACCGCTCTTGGGTCCGCCCTTGCGTGGTCTACGGTGGTGCTGATATCGGCTCTCAGCTGCGTCAGATCGAGCGTGGCTGCGATCTTTTGGTTGCTACCCCCGGTCGTCTCGTCGATCTGATCGAGCGTGGCCGTATCTCGCTGGTCAATATCAAGTACCTGATTCTGGACGAAGCCGATCGTATGCTGGACATGGGTTTCGAGCCCCAGATCCGTCGCATCGTCGAGGGTGAGGACATGCCCCACGTGAATGACCGCCAGACCCTCATGTTTTCGGCCACCTTCCCCCGCGACATCCAGATGCTGGCCCGTGACTTCTTGAAGGACTACGTTTTCTTGTCCGTCGGTCGTGTGGGTTCCACCTCTGAGAACATCACCCAGAAGGTCGAGTACGTGGAAGACCATGACAAGCGCTCGGTGCTCCTCGACATCCTCCACACCCACGGCACCAGCGGCCTGACCCTGATCTTCGTCGAGACCAAGCGTATGGCCGACTCGCTCTCGGACTTCCTCCTCAACCAGCGCTTCCCCGCCACCGCCATCCACGGTGACCGCACCCAGCGTGAGCGTGAGCGTGCTCTGGAGATGTTCCGTTCGGGCCGCTGCCCCATCCTGGTGGCTACTGCCGTCGCTGCTCGTGGTCTCGATATCCCCAACGTCACCCACGTCATCAACTACGACCTGCCCACCGACATCGACGACTACGTCCACCGTATCGGTCGTACCGGTCGTGCCGGTAACACCGGTATCGCCACCGCTTTCTTCAACCGTGGCAACCGCGGTGTCGTCCGTGACCTGATCGACCTTCTGAAGGAGGCTCACCAGGAGGTTCCCTCCTTCCTGGAGTCCATTGCTCGCGAGGGCAGCGGATATGGCGGTCGTGGCGGTCGTGGAGGCCGTGGCCGTGGAGCCAATGCCACCCGTGACATGCGTCGCCTGGGCGGAAACATGGGCGGCGGTCCTCCTTCGTTCGGCGGCAGCAGCTACGGTGCCCCCGGCGGCAGCTACGGCGGCGGCGGCGGCGGTGGCTTCGGCGGTCCCCCCTCGTACGGCGGTGGCAGCTACGGCTACGGCGGCGGTGGCGGCGGTGGCTACGGAAACCCTTCGGGCCCTACCGGACCTTCCTCGTGGTGGTAAATCAGAAGTTGTGGTCTCTGACGAGGCCGTCATGTCTGATTGGCTCCTCTTTTCTTTTTCTCTGTTATCTCTCTTGCCGGATACGATCAGAACGAGTCCTGAGCTTCGTCTCTTTCTTTCCCCCTTCTTCTCCCGCTTGACGCTTCTTCTCATCTCAGGACCGGCTTTGTCATGACTGCCACGACTTCCTTTTTAGAGTCTGTTTCATTGAGGATTTTTTTTCTTTTTCTTTTTGCTCTTTGTTTTCTCTTCATCTCTTTTCTAGGTGTTGTCCTTTACGAGCATTGTGCCCTTATTTCTCTTTTTCCTTTTCTCATTTTGTGTTATGCCCGTTATTTAGGCATGGTCTTATGATGCGCCCGATCTCACCATCTTGTGCTGCTCCTGATTATACCCACCATGTAATCGAGAGCATCCCGGTCGGCATTGCTTGAACATCATAGATTGCGTTGTCTTACTCTTGCACCCGCATCCATCAGATACCCTTTTTGTTTTCAGGCGGCCATATGGAGACCCGCTTGAACGACGCGTGCCCGGCCCCGGTGTCGGCTTCTTGCGTCTCAGAAAAGTGCTTTTTATGATTTCATCTGCTTGGTGCGGCGGCATCTGCATCGACCGTGTCTCGCAACATAGATTTCTTCCAGTTTTCGGTATCTCATGGCGGGTTGTTTCCCTTTTTCTTTTTTTCCTTCTCTCTCCGACGTCTCTTCGTCTTCCTTTGTTGCCTGCGTGCGTGCGTCGTGTTTTTGTTTCGCTACGAAAACGGCTTTCTTCTCGGGCTTTGAGTTCTCTCACCGGCGCACCCGCGGCGCGCAGAAGAGGGACCGGGGCTTACCTCGCAGCATTTGGAGAAACACATGGGCTTTTTTCTATTCGGCGGGGACTTGTTTCTTTCGCATTACGTCTGGGACCGATGGTGCACGAACACGTAATGCGAGCGATAGAGATGGGAATTCTTTGCATTCTGTATGGCGTTGGCTTGAGGTGTTGTGTCCACAAAAATTTTCCTCTGCACTGGGGTCCGCGGGGGATACCATCGAATGGGTTTCTGTTTCATTTGTCGGATCCGTGGAGGATGGGAAGCTGCTTTGCCGGCGCTTTTTGTTTTCTTCTTTTTGTGGTGATCATCGTCTCATGTCAGTAGCAGTCTGGGCTCGACGGGATATTGCCGAATGATGGCCCCTTTTTCTCCTGTTTTGTTTTCACTACCGAGAGACTCCGGGTCTCGAGAATAGGGAGCTGAATTAAAAAAACAAAAGTTTGATTCTGGTTTGATATGTCTGTAGTGCTGGGTCATAGTCCTCTTCCAGTAGTCTGCGATCGACGCTCGGTGACGTTGGCTAGGAGGGCAGTCAATTTGATCAATTCAATAGATAAATTGGATGGTTGCCCTGTGCAGTGTACGATATCGGGCTCAATTGGTTAATTTAGTAGATCTTACAGTCCAAAGTGCCATGGTAGCCCAGGTCAAGGTGGTATCTCCAGAACAACCGCCATGTATATATTGTAGAACACATCAGAGATTGAGATGAAAGAATAAAGACTAGGTAGCTCAGTGAATAACAGTAATAAAAACTAGCGAAATGGATTCATCCATCAAACAGCCAATATATTAACCGAGCATCCATGCATTGACAATTCCATTGACGGGGAGGGATCAGGCCAAGCGAAGTGGCTGGTGAATCGAGTTGGTTGTCGAGATCACCGGATTACGAAACTCACGTCTTCCGTAACATCGTCTGTCTTCCCTCCTTTCCCTTGTTCTCTCCCTCGCACTTCCCCCAACAACCGTCCTCGCCATCATTTTGGCGTCTTCTCCTCGTCTCTCCTCCTCTTTTTTCGTCTCCTTTTTCCTCCCTAGTCCTCAACCGCCGTTCCTCTCCGCATCCTACCTTTCCCGCACCTCCAGGGCCACAGGTTAAGCCTGTCTCCCGCCGCCGATTTCTCTGCGCCTGCCAGCCTCGAGCTGGACGACGCCCTGGCAAGGGCACGCGAACATCGACCTGCCATCCCCACAACCCGGAATCGTGTCTTTGAATTCAATCAACCACGCAGTCTGCGAGCTACAATCCAATAAACTTCCCTCCCCCCGTTTCCAAAATGGCCGAGGTCGAGCCTCCCGTCGGCGACGAATCGTTTTCGCATGCCGAGCCGAACATGACCGTGGGCACGAGACGTCAGGCCAACGGCACGATCGGCTCCGTCTACTCGGGAAATAAGATCAGGCACCTGAAAAAGGAGGATGGCATCCCGCTCTGGCGCAAGGACATCCAGTACCAATTTCTCAAGCTCGTCTTCGAGGACAAGACGCCGGTCTTCACTCGCTGGCCGGATGGGAAAAAGGGCTTCGACTTCGCCGACGTCTACATCGACGCGATGGCGCGCAGTAGCAAGACAAGCAAGATCCTCAAGGACAAGCTCCAGAATGATAAGCAGGCTGCCATCAGTATGGCCATGGTGTGTCTGCTCGTCAATTTTGGGCGAATGAACACTACCCTCAACTGTACGTTTCCTATTCAATTTCACCTTTCACCCGATTCTGGGGCCAATCGCGCGCCCTAGTCTGCTGGCCTGAACTGACACTTGTTTTCCTACTCTAGTTTTCCCCGAGATGCGAGCTCAATTGCGAACCTACCACTCGATTCCCTCGTTACAGGCGCACCAAGACCCCAATGCCTACAAGCAGTTGCAGGATGCTCCTCGTCTCAAGTCTATCCTCAAGGGTGCATCGGAGGATGTCGATCAGCCGAACACTCTCGAGATGATCAAAAACACCCAGATTCCCCGAACCAATCCCGTCAACTTGATCTTCGTTCTTGCCCAGTATGCCCCCAAGGTGTCTGAGCTGCACTTCTTTCCTCCACGCGATTTCTTCGATCTCGTAATGAGATCCACCCTCAGCAGCAAAAGCCGTGCGAAGGCGTTTCTCTGGCTGATGTGGTGGTATTTGGAGGGTGATTTTACCCAAGAGGCTGCTCTCAATAACCCATTCGGTGCGGGTCTGGATGGTGAAGGAACGGGAGGCCTGCCGATCAAGGTGCCCAACTTCGAGAGCCTCACTGAAGATCAAGCCAACGAAGAGAACGTTGATACGCAATCCGAGATTGAATATGGAGAGGCCAAGCGCTTGGAGCGAAAACGTGCGTTTTACGGGCCATTTTACGAAGTCTTTTTTTTTTTTTTTTTTTTTCGACCTTGCATGCTAACCTTGGCTTCTAGGTATCCTGGAGGAAGACGAGCCCCTTCCTAGGGTAACAAAACGCTCGAAAAAAGGTATCAATCCCATTTTCCCTCAACACTGTTCGATTGACGGTTCCTGACTGCAAAATAGTCTCGGAGTTTGGATATGATGAAGATCAGGCCTCGGGTGACATCTCTGGCATTGCCTCCGGTAAGAAACCTTTGTTTGGCGGAAGAGACTGTGACGGTCATTGACGATGTAATCACTAGGTCGAGGTGATGGCCTCGGGGGTCGCGGTTCCGCAATGTCAACTCCATTGCACCCCTCCTTCAAACGATACCCGCCAGACGACGAGGACGACTACCAGACTCCTGGTCAGTCGGCTCGTTCCCGGTATAAGCGTCCTAAGCGTGATTCATCCCTTAATCGTTCCGTCGGTGGTCAACGCATCGTCCTAAAAACTAAACTAGAGAACACCCCTGATGCAGCTTCGCCTGCGCCCCCTGGATCAAGCCATCCGGTCCTCAATCGGTTTGTCAACGAACCAGCTCTGCCCCAGCAAGGCTCTTCTCGTCGGCCCCGCCCTCTCACCCAGCATCAGCTCGCTGTCGAGCAGAACCGGCGGCAGCGCATTGAATACCTACTTGCCAAGCGAAAGACCGAGGCATACCGAATGCTCCGTGCGAAGCGGGAAAGCGAAATTCCTTTTGCTCGTTACGGCCGGTTGCTGCAGGGACTTCCGGACGGATACGACACGGAGGACGAGCAAAACTCCTGGGGCAAAGGGGGTTTGAACCCCAACCCGGAGGAAGAGGAGGACTTCGGGGAGAATGCAAGCTACTTTTTGTCCGTGGTTCGTAAGGCTGCTCGGCGACTGGATCGATGGGATCACGACGACGCCAATGGTCCTAAGAGAGACCGGAAAAAGGAACGAGAAGAGCGCCAGAGAGATCGACTAAATCGACTGACCGAAAGTGCTCTGGACGGAAGCGGTCGTGCGCCCACGTCAGCCCGCAGCCGCGCTCGAGCTGCACGCAATGCCCGCCGCAAGCTTGCCGGGGTAACGGCAGACGCCGCGTCGGGATCCACTCCCAAGGGACAAAGTGCATCGGCATCTCGTCCTAAGAGCAACCGGAGCCGCGGCCCTCGCGACGAGGCAGATGGGCAGGCAGCCACGGACGACGCCGCTCGGGACGGCCTGGGAGCTCCATCCCGGGACCACGAGCTTTCGCCCATGCCCGCCTCGGCGCAATTAGGGGACGATGATATCGAGGGTGAGGGCGAGGAAGGCCTGGATGATATTGACCGCGAGCTTCTCGGTGAGGGCAGCGGTGACGACGACGAAGGGCCATCTCGGCTTGGAGGGCCCTCTCGGCCGTCGGAGCCGGGCTACGAGGATAGCTTCCTGGAAGGGGCCGATGACGACGCGGACGGTCTTTCTTCCGACGACAACGATGAAGAGGCGGACGACGATGATCTTGACGAGGGTGAAGGCGATGAGAACTCCTCAACGTTCGACGGTGGACATGGATATGCTGCCAGCGAGGCCTCATCCGTTGCCCCCGAGCCGGCCGCCGACGCAGGGCGCCAGGCAGAAGACAAGGCGGACGAGACGATGGAGGACCAGTAAGAGAGAACGAAGCAAGGAAGAGGAGGAGCGAAGCCTCCCCGCACGGTCCTGACCTCGGGGTTGTAATTCTACACGTTCATGGATGTTTTCTTATGTCGGTCAACTTCTGTTTCATGGTTCATTGCCCAAAATATTTCCCCTGACCGACACTATGTGGTTTTTCTTTTCTTTGTGCCTCCCCCCATTGTATCAGATTCTTTGACTCTACCCTAATGTTTCATTTCCTTTTCTTCCAACATCATGAACGAAGATCCTTGTTCCCTGGTGGTGTCAGTGCGGCAGATTCACATGTCAACCGCAGCAGTCCCGAGGTCAGCTGACGGCACAAGTAACACCTTCAGGTAGTCACTGCAGCCACTGTAACTACGGAGGTGTCTACCACCTGCAGTCAGTAGTCACTGTAGTCACTAATGTACTGTCCTCCGGAGTAGGTAGTCGTCCTGGCTGGTCTGCATGTTCGGGCAGGCACCACTCCGCAGCAAACGGAACGGGTCTCCCTGCAGACACTGACTGGCATGCTCCGCCTTCGCGTCAAACCCCCCTCTCCCTCTACAAATCCATTTTTATCCTCCTTCATGAGTTGCAACTGAATCCTCTTCGATTCCCAGTCTGGATCTCCCACCCCCCCCGCTCGGTTTCCTCGTGACCGTTGCCCGTCGGTCTCCCTTCCCCAGAGGCAATTCCGGCGCCGATCCGCTGCAAATCTTGCGTCTCCCACCTGCACCGCCGGCTCCACCGCGCCAGCTCCGACGAACCGATTCTCGCCAACCTCCCCATTCTCAAGCCGTCTGTGCTGCTCCTGCCAGCAAAGAGCTGCTTGTTACCCTCAGACTGACACGCACTGGTCCTCGTTTCTCCGCCGCCCTGGCTAGCTTTTAACCCCTCTTTACTCCTGCATTTCTCCCCGACAGGCACGTCCGTGTGGCATTCGTCGTCAGAGGGGGATCGTTCCCTTCTTCGCCCTCCTTTTAGCCAGCGCTATTCCCCCTCGTGATCAATCCTCCGTCTCGACTTATACTCTTGCTCGAATATCTGATACGTCCCCGGTTTCTTCACGGAACCACAGGAGGCCACGGAAAGGGTTGTTGTCTGGCCCACCTCTCAAGGTCGTACGTAACCTGAATCGCCGGTGTGCGCTTTCTGGATATCTGAACTCGATTCATTGATCAGCTCGCTCGCTCGCCATGTCTGACGAACCTTCCATCATTCGACCCCGTCCGCGACGAGTGTTCGACCTCGCGCCCCCTTCCACCGACTCCTCCGAGACTTCGACGCCGGCGGAACCCTCAAACCCGGATCTCTTGACCCCCAAGGATGCCGGGTCAACCAGCGTCAGCAGGAATGGCTCAATCATGAACCTCACATCCCCAACGCTCTTCGGCATCTATTCGCCGACGGCTTTCGAGGGAACCCGAGATGAATCCAGCCCTTGGGGAACCGAGGCTCAGACGCCTGCCACGGAGGCGCCGAATCCTCTTCAACAAACGAAATCGGATGGCCCAGATCGTTTTGCTCTTCAACGGACACGGTCGCGGCTCAGTCACGGGCTCTTTCTCGGTGTCATTCTCCCCCAAGCGGTGAAGAGCGCGCTCCTGTTTGGGTTCGGTATTGTCTACGGCATCATTACAATTCATCTGCACGAAAACCACTGGATCACTCCGGTGAAGCTAGAAAACACCCATTACTACGGGTCCGCCGAATACCTGGCCTTCTGGGGGTTGGCCGGAATTGCGTTGGGAAATATTCTGCCGTGGCTTGATCTCTTCTCGGAGGAAGTGGCAACGGGTCATGCGCAACCCACGCAGCGATCGAGCAGCAATGAGGACGACGAGGAGCGTACCCTCTCGTGGGTTGCAGTGGTTCGGAGCGTAGGGGCTTTTGTTGGGATAGCATTTGCGATGGTAGGTGATCATACGGTGTCTTCGGTTTCCCCGACTGGGGTATTGGATATGAATGCTGACATTGACCCCTTTCTGTTCTAGCGGAGACTTCCCTGGCAATCCACCACCCAAGCGTCGGCGACTCTTGCTCTTGTCAACCCCGTCCTCTGGTATCTGATTGACCGCACCAAAACCGGCTTCGTTATGTCGACCACGGTCGCTCTGGTGGGAATGGGTGTCGTCTTGGGACTTCGGCCGGACTTGGTGCCTCCCTCTGCCAACTCCTCCGTGCCTACAATCCCCGTTTTGAACAATACTCTCCGGGAGTACGGGTTGACGACCGGCATCACGCAGGAAGGCATCGCAGTCCGCACCTGGGTGGCGAGTGTTCTCTTCTGCGCATGCGTGTGCTTTGGTAACATTGGCCGTCAATGGGCCATTGGGAGCCGCCGAGAGCACTTGAAGACATAAAGTCCAGTTGGCCAGGCTCCCCTGCAGCGTTCCATCTGTGTCACCCTTTTTTATTTTTGCACAGCATTTTTTCTTCCCATTAATTTTTCTGTTTCGTGTATTGCCCCCACTATTTGAAATTGGACACATTCTTCACTCATGGCCGGTTTGCTGGCTGTACCACCCAAGCATATGTAATAGACTTCTAGGCAGAAAACATCAGTCCAGCGCAAGGGCATTGCATTGGAGTGACGAGGTCATGAATGAGACATGCACGTTTAGACCATACGGGGACTCTGGGACCTTTTTACAGCCGACTACCACAAGCAGTAACTTGAGTAGGCGAGTGCTACTACGAGAAAAAAAAATAAGATAAAAAAAATGATTGTAGAATCAATCATTGCAATCCCTTCCATAAGACAAGATGTCGGAAGACACTGCACCCAAGATCGACACTCTGCGGTCAGCAGTCCTTCTCCATTCTTTATGACGATTTCCGTACTTCATAGGCATGAAATCCTCGTAGGAACGCTTTTTGAAGAATGTTGAATTTTGCGTTGTTCATGGAGAAGGAAAAGAAAAGAAAGAGGAAACGGGAGTGCGCGCGCGAAGTTTTTGTGTTGCCCGCGGGTGGCCCGTGCTCCCTCCCACGTGATGCATAGCGGGTCTGGCGCCGGATGAGGTCAGCTATGAGCGGATAACGCGTTATGCAACTAATGACATAACGCCGTTTGTAATGTCCGGTCCGCCTGAGGCCAGCGTCAGGGCCGAAAGCGGCGGACGAAGAACCCCGCGGCGGGACGAAGGCAGTCGCTCATATCAGCTGCCTTCCGCTGCTGCTCTCCAGTCCCTTCTGCATCCCGTTCCAGTCTACTTCTGAGTCCCGACTGTTTCTTCAGGTACGCCCGAATCCCCTTCCTACCTGCGGTTGCTGCGCTTGCGTTGTCCGGTCTTTCCTTTACCCCTCATACAGCTGGCCGGCGTGGGGTTAAATTCTTCCCCTCTTTTTTCTTTTTTTTTTCTTTTTTACCCTTTTTGCCTCTTCCTGTTGACCACCATCAATCAATTCTAACCCGCCGCTTTCTCTAGTGTCTTGCACTGTTGGTGTGTTTCAGGATGTCTCAACAAAAATCTGGTAAGACAATGCATGAATAGTTCCCTTCGTCTTTCCTTGCGTTCCTCTTTTTTGGCCCTTGGCCTCTTTCCCCGCTGGTTCAATATTGTGTGGATTTGGTCCGGTACCTTCCCCACACTGCTGCCATTTATGTGCCAGAATTGAATTGCAAGTATGCCTGGGCTAACGCATTCATCTTGCCTCTCCGAATAGCAATCCTCTCCGTCTACGACAAGACTGGACTGCTTGACCTGGCGAAGGGTCTGGTCAAGCACAATGTCCGTCTGCTCGCGTCCGGTGGTACTGCCCGGCTGATTCGGGAGGCGGGATTCCCTGTCGAGTGAGTCATCCCGGTTTATTTCAGTGATGGTGTACGAGGGACAAAATTGAAATGGGATGCGTTTGGCCTCCTGTGGTGTGACTGGAACTGACGTGGGCTCCAACAGGGATGTCTCTGCCATCACCCACGCTCCGGAGATGTTGGGTGGCCGTGTCAAGACCCTTCACCCTGCCGTCCACGGTGGTATCCTTGCTCGTGATATCGAGTCCGACGAGAAGGATTTGGCCGATCAGAACATTGCCAAGGTGGACTTCGTTGTCTGCAACCTCTACCCCTTCAAGGAGACTGTCAAGAAGGTCAACGTTACCATCGAGGAGGCCGTCGAGGAGATTGACATTGGCGGTGTCACCCTCCTCCGCGCTGCGGCCAAGAACCACTCGCGTGTTACCATCCTCTCCGACCCCGAGGACTACCCCGAGTTCCTGAAGGAGCTGGAGGCTGAAGAGATCACGGAATCCAGCCGTAAGCTGTACGCTCTCAAGGCCTTTGAGCACACCGCCGATTACGACTCCGCCATCTCGGGTTTCTTCCGCAAGCAGTATGCCGGCACCGGCGAGCAGCACCTCTCTCTGCGCTACGGCACCAACCCCCACCAAAAGCCCGCCTCCGCCTACATGTTCCAGGGCAAGCTGCCTTTCAAGGCCCTCAACGGCTCGCCCGGTTACGTCAACCTGCTTGACGCTCTCAACGCGTGGGCCCTGGTCAAGGAGCTGAAGCAGGCGCTCGGTTACCCTGCCGCCGCCAGCTTCAAGCACGTTTCCCCGGCCGGTGCTGCCGTGGGTGTGCCCTTGAACGAGAAGGAGCGCAAGGTCTACATGGTTGACGACATTGCCGGTCTCGAGACCTCGGGTCTGGCCCAGGCGTATGCTCGTGCCCGTGGCGCGGACCGCATGTCCAGTTTCGGAGATATCCTCGCTCTCAGCGATGTCTGTGATGTCCCCACCGCCAAGATCATCTCGCGCGAGGTGTCAGACGGTGTCATCGCCGCCGGGTTCACCCCCGAGGCTCTGGAGATCCTCTCCAAGAAGAAGGGCGGCAAGTACCTCGTGCTCCAGATGGACGAGAACTACGTGCCCGCTGCCGAGGAGGCCCGAACCCTGTACGGCGTTCAGCTCACCCAGCACCGCAACGACGTCGTCATCTCCCCCCAGAAGACCTTCAACACCATCATCACCCCCAAGGACTCGGCCGCTCTCTCCGACTCCGCTCTGCGGGACCTCACCGTGGCCACCATCGCCTTGAAGTACACCCAGTCGAACTCGGTCTGCTATGCTCTCAACGGCCAGGTCGTCGGCCTGGGCGCCGGTCAGCAGAGCCGTATCCACTGCACCCGTCTGGCCGGTGACAAGACCGACAACTGGTGGATGCGCTTCCACGACCGCGTGCTGAACATTAAGTGGAAACAGGGCACCAAGCGTGCGGACAAGAGCAATGCCATCGACCTGCTTTGCTCCGGTCAGACCCCGCGTAACGACGCGGAGAAGGCCGAATACGAGCGCGTGTTCGAAGAGGTTCCTGCTCCCTTCACCCTGGAGGAGCGCGAATCCTGGATTCAGAAGCTGAGCGAGGTTGCCGTCTCGTCCGATGCTTTCGTAAGTGTTTTCTTGTTACCGGTCTCAATGATGTTTTCCATTCTTGCTAACCATGATTCTCCTTGACAGTTCCCCTTCATCGACAACGTATTCCGGGCCGCCCGCTCCGGCGTCAAGTACATTGCCGCCCCCAGTGGTAGCCAGAACGACGGCCCTGTTTTCGAGACCTCGGAGAAGCTCGGCATTGTTTTCGTCGAGCAGGGCACTCGTCTCTTCCACCACTAAATTCCGTATTCCCCATGTTGCGACTTGCTAGTACAATCTTCTGTGTCATGAAGTGATTAGCTAAAAAAAAATATGCCAAAATAGTTCTATGCGGTGATGTTTGTGTGTTTGTGTGTGGTCTCACGACTTACTTTTTAATACCTAAGACTTGTTATGGAAATGAGAATCAAAAGTGATATGTATAGCATGGTTTGTGTTGGCGTCACCAGATGGTGTCAGTATGTTAGGGGAAATTGAGGAAGGAAATCATGCATTTACGCTTATTTCATGCTGAGGGAGTACTATTAAAAGGTGTAGTTAATATTTCTCACCTCCCCCAGCAACACATCGTGGCCTTATTATATATGCTACCTTGGTTTGCAATAGCTGCATCGTGGTATCCGCGGGGGTTTCCATGCATATCAACCATTGAATGCGTAAAAGAAGGCATATTGTGTGGACTCCACCCAGCAGCTTGCAGAGCGGGTAAAGCGGCGAGCATTCGTACCTGGCATATCCACCATGGTGCTCCTTGCTTCAAGTAGATCTGATTAATATCTGCTTGAACAGGATGTAGGCACCCGAGACATGTCCTCGTGTGGAAATTCCTGTTTTTCTTCCCCTTGCTTCCCAGGCGAGATTAATGATCCTGCCGTGTTGGAGACAAGCGCTTGAGTGGCCGGCTCCCGTATAAAATTTTATCCTGGGCCCTTTTCTCATTCATTTAATATTACTTGAGATTAATTCTACAAAACTGTGATGCTTCCGTTTACACCTGACGTCATGGTAGTGCGGATCTCTCGGAAGGCTGAGACCTGTTGGCCCCGTTATCCATGGGAAATCATGGCATGGCAAAGCGTGGCAAACGCACTGGTTTGGTTGATTTAATTAAACAGGGATGGTGCTGGTAGAAGAATTTTCGATGTCAAGTCTTGTTGGACAGTTCGCTATATTTTAAGTCTAGTAGTACGGAGTAATTTGTATAGAGACATGCATTGTAGACGGCAATATATATTGTATATTTTGAGAGATATATTGTAGATAAACCCCACCCCCACCAAAAGAATATAAGTATCTGATATTAGATGCATCTTTTAGACATATCTAGACATGGAAACCTAAAAAGGAAAGGGGTTTGAGAGCAGGATGTTCTAGGCCCTGAAGGACAAACAAGAAGAGAAACCCAACCGAAACTAGGATTGTTCACTGGATACTGACGATGGGTGAATAAGAAAAACCCCTGATTACTGCTCGATTCCAACAAGTTGATACAGGCCAGCATTCACTTGCTATCCCTTACGTGAATTCTGATACAGAGTAGATTTGGGCCACGGAAAGATATGCAAATCCATTGTACATAGTATAGAAATTGTATGAACTGGACATGCAATCCATAATTGATCTCTAGGTCAGAAATAGTTGAATGCAATTCTGCTGACGAAACCACCTGATTCCAATGGCCAGGAGGATTTGAAACTGCAGGCTGATCAGTGGAAATTCCCCTATTTGCTATTCTGGGCAGGAATTCTGGCTCGTGCATTTCTTGCCTAGACCGAGTTGAACCTGACAGAGAGATCCCATCACAACGGAGCTCAGCAACAGGCTGAAGTGAAATTGTCTCCGAGAAAGCAAAGTCTGAATCAAGAGTGAAAGCAAAGGAAGTGAAGTGAAGCGGCAGCTGTCGGGGAAGGCGCGGATCCTCAGGCACGCCCCCTGGTGCACGTGACTGCGGCCTCCCCGTAAGCGACACCTCAGCAACGACTCCCGCGGTCTCCTGAGGTCACTCTTTCCGCTTCCCCAGTCTATCTACAATCCTCCCTCTCCTTCTCCGATTCCCCCTTTCTTTCTTCTCTTCTTACCTCACTTTATTTCCCCTATCTCTAATTACAGCTTGCTGTTATTTCCCCCTCTTTTTCTTCCATCCTGGTGGATATATTTGCGTGGCGTTTTTTTGGGTGGATGAGGTCGTCCTGCGGCCCTACTAGTAAACATGGCTCCTCTACCTATCAAATTCACGGAGCTTGTTAATGTATGTGATCCTCCCCCTTGGGTCAATTCTCCGAAGAGTCGATCTAGAAGGCTGACTTGTTTTCCTACTCCTACAGTTGACGAATGTTGAAATCGCGGTATGTCTTGTTGCGTTGCTGGCCCGTTCTGCTCCACGTTGCGGTGGTGCCTGCCCAGCGCGCACCCAACCTGCGCCTTCCCTTCCAATGACCGGAACCACCCACTGACCATTTCATCGCTATAGCCGGCTTCGATTGGTTTCAACTCATGTGTGAGTACTGCCTAGAATTATCCCGCGTCCCTGGTTTCCTCCTTCACTCGCTGACTGTGTACCGTTTGTGACTTGAATAGACTCTGGAATCTGACCACTACGTCTGTGTCCGGCAAAAACTCAACGAGGAAGAAAAGCCTCAAGTCATTATCATCAACCTCAAGAACAACAATGAAGTCATCAAGCGGCCCATCAATGCGGACAGTGCGATCATGCACTGGAGCCGCAACATCATTGCCCTCAAGGCTCAAGGGCGGACAATCCAGATCTTTGACCTGTCGGCGAAGCAGAAACTCAAGTCCGCTGTGATGAATGAAGATGTTGTATACTGGAAGTGGTTCAGCGAGAAGCAGCTCGGTCTGGTGACGGAAACCTCCGTCTACCACTGGGACGTTTTCGACCCCACTCAGTCCCAGCCGCTCAAGGTCTTTGACCGACTTCCCAACCTAAGTGTAAGTGCTGTGCCTCCCCCCGCCCAATTCCGATACCGCACAGAAACTGATCCAAGGTTTCCTGTATAGAGCTGCCAAATCATCAACTACCGCGTCAACGATGATGAGAAGTGGATGGTCGTGGTCGGAATCAGCCAACAGCAGGGGCGCGTGGTGGGCTCGATGCAGCTCTACTCCAAGGAGCGTGGCATTTCGCAATTCATCGAGGGTCATGCGGCTGCTTTCGCTTCCATTAGAGTGGAAGGCTCCCCGCTGGAACACAAACTCTTTACTTTCGCCGTCCGGACGCCCACCGGCGCGAAGCTGCAGATCGCCGAAATCGACCACCAGGAGCCCAACCCGCGGTTCCAGAAGAAGGCCGTGGAGGTCTACTTCCCCCAGGAGGCGGTCAATGATTTCCCCGTCGCGATGCAAGTGTCTCGCAAGTACGACGTGGTGTACCTCGTCACGAAGTACGGCTTCATTCATCTCTACGACTTGGAGACCGGAACCTGCATCTTCATGAACCGAATCTCGAGCGAGACGATCTTCACTACCGCCCCCGACTCCGAATCGGCCGGTCTGGTTGGTGTCAACCGGAAGGGTCAGGTGTTGACCGTGAGCGTCGACGAAAACACCATCATCCAGTACCTGATGGAGAACCCTGCCATGTCTGGCCTTGCGGTCAAGCTCGCCTCCAAGGCTGGACTGCCCGGCGCGGACCACCTCTACCAGCAGCAGTTCGATAACCTGATCGCTCAAGGCAACTACTCTGAAGCTGCGAAGATCGCCGCCAACTCTCCCCGTGGTTTCCTTCGGACTCCGGAGACCATCAACCGCTTCAAGAATGCCCCGCAGACCGGACAGCAGATGTCCGTTATCCTCCAGTATTTCGGTATGCTGTTGGACAAGGGTACCCTCAACCGATATGAGAGTGTGGAACTTGTTCGCCCCGTGCTGCAGCAGAACCGGAAGCACTTGCTTGAGAAGTGGATGCGCGAGAACAAGCTAGAGGGCTCCGAGGAGCTTGGAGATATCGTCCGCCCTTACGACATGAACCTGGCTCTTGGTATCTATCTCCAAGCCAACGTGCCCCACAAGGTCATTGCCGGTTTCGCCGAAACTGGTCAGTTCGACAAGATCCTGGCCTATTCCAAGCAGGCCGGATACCAGCCCGACTACACCCAGCTTTTGCAGCACATTGTCCGCGTGAACCCCGAGAAGGGTGCCGAGTTCGCCGCCCAACTTGCCAATGAGGAGAGCGGTGCGCTTATCGACTTGGATCGCGTTGTGGACGTGTTCCTGTCCCAGAATATGATCCAGCAGGCCACGTCGTTCCTGCTTGATGCCCTTAAGGACAACAAGCCTGAACACGGTCACTTGCAGACTCGACTGCTTGAGATGAACCTGGTCAATGCCCCGCAGGTTGCGGACGCCATCCTCGGTAACGAGATCTTCACCCATTACGACCGCCCCAGAATCTCTCAGCTGTGCGAGAATGCCGGTCTCATCCAGCGTGCTCTTGAGAACACTGACGACAGTGCCGCCATCAAGCGCAACATTGTTCGCACCGACAAGCTCAGCCCCGAATGGTTGATGAGCTACTTTGGCCGTCTTTCGGTTGAGCAGACCTTGGACTGCATGGACACCATGTTGCAAGTCAACATTCGCCAGAACTTGCAGGCCGTTGTTCAGATTTGCACCAAATTTTCTGACCTCCTGGGCCCTAACCAGCTCATCGCCCTCCTCGAGAAGTACCGCACCGCCGAAGGTCTGTACTACTACCTTGGCAGCATCGTCAACCTCAGCGAAGATCCTGAGGTTCACTTCAAGTACATCGAGGCTGCCACTGCTATGGGCCAGACCACTGAGGTCGAGCGGATCTGCCGTGAGAGCAACTACTACAACCCCGAGAAGGTCAAGAACTTCCTCAAGGAAGCCCGGTTGACTGAACAGCTTCCCCTGATCATTGTTTGCGACCGTTTCAACTTCATCCATGACCTGGTTCTCTACCTTTACCAGAACCAGCAGTTCAACTCGATCGAGGTCTACGTGCAGCGCGTCAACCCCTCTCGTGCTCCGGCCGTGGTCGGTGGGCTTTTGGATGTTGATTGCGAGGAGAGTATTATCAAGAACCTTCTCTCGACCGTTGACCCATCTGTGATTCCCATTGATGAGCTCGTGAATGAGGTCGAAACCCGTAACCGACTGAAGCTGCTCCTGCCCTTCCTCGAGGCAACCCTCGCCACTGGTAACCAGCAACAGGCCGTTTACAACGCTCTTGCCAAGATCTACATCGACAGCAACAACAACCCCGAGAAGTTCCTCAAGGAAAACGACATGTATGACACTTTGACGGTTGGAAAGTACTGCGAGAAGCGCGACCCGAACCTGGCCTACATTTCCTACCGCAAGGGTCAGAATGACTTGGAGCTCATCAACATTACCAACGAGAACGCTATGTACCGTGCGCAGGCTCGTTATCTCGTCGAGCGGGCCGACACTGAAATCTGGTCCTTTGTCCTCAGCGAGAACAACATGCACCGTCGATCCTTGGTTGACCAGGTCATTGCCACTGCAGTGCCCGAGTCGACCGAGCCCGATAAGGTGTCGGTTGCTGTCAAGGCTTTCCTCGAGGCCGATCTCCCCGGCGAGCTTATCGAGTTGCTGGAGAAGATCATTCTCGAGCCGTCGCCGTTCAGTGACAATGGCAGCTTGCAGAACCTGCTGATGCTGACTGCCGCCAAGGCCGACAAGGGCCGTCTCATGGACTACGTCCACCAGCTGAATGAATTCAGTCCCGATGAGATTTCGGAAATGTGTATTTCGGTTGGTCTCTACGAGGAGGCCTTCGAGATTTACAAGAAGGTCAACAACTACCTCGCCGCCGTCAATGTTCTTGTCGAAAACATTGTCAGCATTGATCGCGCCCAAGAGTTCGCCGAACGTGTCGAATTGCCCGAAGTGTGGAGCAAGGTTGCTAAGGCACAGCTGGATGGCTTGCGTATCTCCGACTCCATTGAATCTTACATCCGTGCGGGTGACCCGACCAACTACAACGAAGTGATTGACACCGCCACCCACGCTGGTAAGGATGAGGATCTTGTCAAGTATTTGAAGATGGCCCGCAAGACTTTGCGTGAGCCTGCCATTGATACCGGCTTGGCATTCTGCTATGCCCGTCTTGACCAACTGTCTGAACTTGAGGACTTCTTGCGTGCCACCAATGTCGCGGACATCGAAGCATCTGGTGACAAGGCCTACGAGGAGGGCTACCACCACGCCGCCAAGATCTTTTTCACCAGCATTTCCAACTGGGCCAAATTGGCTACGACCCTTGTGCACCTGGAAGATTACCAGGCTGCTGTGGAGTGTGCTCGCAAGGCCAACAGCGTCAAGGTGTGGAAGCAGGTCAACGAGGCCTGCGTTGCCAAGAAGGAGTTCCGCCTCGCGCAGATTTGCGGTCTGAACCTCATTGTCCACGCGGAAGAGCTTCAAGACCTTGTGCGCCAGTACGAGCGCAACGGTTACTTCGATGAACTCATTGGTGTCCTCGAGGCCGGTCTGGGCCTGGAGCGTGCCCACATGGGTATGTTCACGGAACTCGGCATTGCGCTCTCCAAGTATCACCCCGACCGGGTCATGGAGCATCTCAAGCTCTTCTGGTCCCGCATCAACATCCCTAAGATGATTCGGGCCTGCGAGGAGGCCAACCTCTGGCCCGAGTTGGTCTTCCTTTACTGCCACTACGATGAATGGGACAACGCCGCTCTGGCGATGATGGAGCGTGCTGCCGATGCCTGGGAGCACCACTCGTTCAAGGACATCATCGTCAAGGTTGCTAACCTGGAGATCTACTACCGTGGCCTGAACTTCTACCTGCAGGAGCAGCCGCTGCTTCTTACCGATCTCTTGCAGGTCTTGACGGCTCGTATCGATGTCAACCGTGTCGTTCGTATCTTCCAGGCCTCCGACAACATCCCTCTGATCAAGCCGTTCCTGCTGAATGTGCAGACCCAGAACAAGCGGGCGGTGAACGACGCTATCAACGACCTGCTGATCGAAGAGGAGGACTACAAGACCTTGCGTGATTCGGTGGACAACTACGACAACTTTGACGCCGTGGATCTTGCGCAGCGTCTGGAGAAGCATGACCTCATCTTCTTCCGCCAGATTGCCGCCAACATCTATCGCAACAACAAGCGTTGGGAGAAGTCGATTGCTCTGTCTAAGCAGGACAAGCTGTACAAGGATGCAATCGAGACGTCCGCCATCTCCGCCAAGCCCGATGTCGTCGAGGACCTGCTCCGTTACGTGAGTTTTTCTTTCTGCTCCACCCAGCCTTATCCGAATTGTTTGCTGACCCTCTCCTAGTTCGTGGATATTGGCAGCCGCGAGTGCTACGTTGGTATGCTGTACGCCTGCTACGACCTCATTCGCCCCGACGTCATCATGGAGGTGTCGTGGCGCAACGGTCTCAACGACTTCACGATGCCCTTCATGATCAACTTCCTGTGCGAGCAAACGCGGGCGATCGAGACGCTCAAGAAAGACAACGAAGAACGAAAGAAGCGGGAGGTGACGCATCAGACGGAGGAGGATAACACTCCGATCCTGGGCGGTTCGCGACTAATGCTGACCCAAGGCCCGGCGGCCCCTGCGCCAAGCCCCATGGCATACCAACAGACCAACGGGATCACGCCGCAGGCGACCGGATTCCGCCCGTTCTAGATGCACGTCCGTAACGTCTCTCTTGTCATTTGCGATGGGATTTAGTGTATGTATAGCATAAACGATGGATGATCTACCCGCCGAGCCTGAGTGGGACAGCGAAGTTCGCCGAGAGGGGGTGGGCTTGTTGTTAGTTGCACTACGCTGGGCTATTCGGGGGACATTTGACGGTTTCATTCATTGCAGGGAGGGGATCCTCGATCTCGTTCTTGTCTAATTTTTCCAATTTTTTCCTGTTTTATCTCCATTTCAAAAATTTCTCTTCCTTCCGCTGCTTTCTATTATCTTCCCCTCGATGTATTTTGATAGGTTTTACACCTTTGTGGCCGTGAATCAGTACCCTCACGGTGAGCATTAGTTAATGGCATTGTTGTGATCGATTTCAAAGACGACTTTGGATCCCGGTAAACGCTGCAGCGGGAAATTTCCTGCGTCTTAGACGACGGCCAAAATTGCACTCGAGGCCAAAAGTACGTTATCTCGGTTCAAAGGAGCGAGATTAGAGAATATTGACTACGGCGGAAAGGATACTCGAGATCTAGGCCTGGGTAAGCAGGCCTTCCCCCTGTAGATGAGGGTGATTTTCTAAATGAGGAAGAGATTGGGGCGTGAATGCGACCGGATTGACTACCCCGGGGCCACGGACAGACGGAGGTATCGATCTCCGGGAGATGGATTGGATGGATCGATCAAAATGATGCACACCGATGCAGGAAGCGAGCAAGGGGGGGGATGCAGAATCAGCTCAGCCAGAATGCCGAAGACGAAAGACTGGATCCCCGGTGTGATATTTAGGCAACGAAATGCCCGCCAAGCTGCAGACGGAGAAGCAGAAAGTCTCGTCCCGTCTTGTCGGATTTTCATGCGCAGATTGGCAAACTCTGACGTGAAAGGATTGACGAGTGCCCGCCGGATCTGGCGTCACGAGAACAGCGGGTGGATTCAGATTTGACCGAGGTTCATTTCGAGGAATCAATAACGTCTGGCCCTAACGGAAAGCGTTCTCCGGGGGTGGGTTGAATGGCGTCGATCCGTTTGGGGCCAAGACTCCCTGCGGTCTTGTCTGTCTGTTTTCCCGCTCGGTTTTCCCTGTTCTCCTGGCCCTCGAGGTCCTCCCTGTCGTGTTTCCCACCGTGGGATCGGGGCGTCCAGAAAAAAATAAATAAGGGAAAAGAGGGAAAAGCCAATGGACGCATCCCCGATGTCGATCATCATCGCCCGACCAACCAATTCGTCGCGATTCCCACCTGTCGCCTATCTTCGGTGCAGAGAGCTCCTGCTTGGCCCGAGCGTTTCGTTTAGACTCGGTGACGCAGGGCCGAGCAGGCTTCCAGATCAATCGTGATGGTAGGGAGGAGGAAATTAACCCGAGCACCCGAGGTAGCAAGAAAATGGACGCTGAACCACCCGATAGGGAAGTCGGCTATTTGATTATGAGAATCGGACTGTCATGGTCTGGATCTCGAGGGAGAGAGTGGATCTCCGGGGGTAAGAGGTTGGTTCCCAGGAACTATGATGTCGTAGTGGCACTACGGGCGTTTAGCCGATCTGTCGAGCTGGATCAGAGAAAGGCCGGGAACTGTACAGGATTCTGGCAGGCCAGAACCACAAAATAAAATAAAATGAAATAAAATCAATACGATCGAATAAGAAAAACAGTCATTATCAGACGCGATAGCCAACCAGATGATTCGGACCAACGGAGCGCTGGGGTAATAGCCAAGGTTAATTAAAACCTGAAGAGCAAAGAGTGGGACATTCCATGGGCAGACATCCCACTTGGAGCTGACCGGTGTGCCGGTGAGCTGGAGAGACCCTCGTATGGGGACCATCAGCAGATGGCAGGACTATGTCGACCGGGAGTCGATAGACGACGGATGGCGTGAACAACGCAAGAGGAACAGGAAAGTTGGATCTCGATGGGGTCTTCGGGGTCATGTGCTCCTGGCCATCCTGAGGCCGCCCCCCAAGGCCCCAAGGCTCCCCTCGTCTCCTCTCCTCTCCGGTCGTCTACTTCCACCTCCTTCTATTTCTACAGCTCTCGTCGTCTTCGTCTTCTTCCATCTTTTCTTCTACTTCACCATCTCTCCTCTTCATCACCATCTTCATCCCCAACTCAACTCCTCTCCCTCCCATCCCTACTAGCTCCCTTTCACTCATCAACCGATCCCCACTCGGTTGATCGTCTCCCCTCCTCTCCCCGCGTTCTTCCTTCATTCCCGTTCCGAAACCGGGCTTTTTTCTTCCCCCCGGTCTGCCCGGCGGGTTCTTCCTAAGGTGACTCATGATTTCCGTCTGATGCCATTGGTTTTCCACGGCTAACTGTTTTAAATATATCTCCTCGGGACAGCCCTTCAATTCTTCCAGAACATCTGTGAACTTTCCTCTCTCTTCTTCCTCTTCCTTCCCCGCCATCTTTCCCCTCCCCCTCCTCCCCCTCCTCTTCCTCTCCCTCCTCTCACAATGGCTTCTTCTCTTCGCCAGCCCGAGGAGGCTGTCGATGACACCGAGTTCATCGATGACCACAAGGAACACCTCCGCGATACGGTGCACCACCGTCTTCGCGCCAACTCTGCCATCATGCAGTTCCAGAAGATCCTCGTGGCCAACCGAGGTGAAATCCCCATCCGTATCTTCCGAACGGCACACGAATTGTCTTTGCAGACCGTCGCCGTCTTCTCCTATGAGGATCGTCTCTCCATGCATCGTCAGAAGGCCGACGAGGCCTACATGATTGGCCAGCGCGGTCAGTATACTCCCGTCGGTTCCTATCTGGCCGGCGACGAGATCATCAAGATTGCTCTGGAGCATGGCGTGCACCTGATCCATCCGGGTTACGGTTTCTTGTCTGAGAATGCCGACTTTGCCCGCAAGGTCGAGCAGGCCGGCATGGTCTTCGTTGGCCCCACTGCCACCACCATTGACAGCTTGGGTGACAAGGTCTCCGCTCGTCGACTGGCGATCAAGTGCAATGTGCCCGTGGTCCCAGGTACGGAGGGACCCGTTGAGCACTACGAGGAGGTCAAGGCCTTCACTGATACGTACGGCTTTCCCATTATCATCAAGGCGGCCTTTGGTGGTGGTGGCCGTGGTATGCGTGTTGTCCGCGACCAGGCGTCATTGCGGGACTCCTTTGAGCGGGCCACCTCCGAGGCCCGCTCCGCCTTCGGTAACGGCACCGTCTTCGTCGAACGATTCCTCGACAAGCCCAAGCACATTGAAGTCCAGCTTCTGGGTGATAACCATGGCAACGTCGTCCACCTCTTTGAGCGTGACTGCTCCGTCCAGCGTCGACACCAGAAGGTGGTCGAGGTTGCGCCGGCCAAGGACCTGCCCCCTGACGTGCGCGACAAGATTCTGGCGGATGCCGTGACGCTCGCCAAGTCTGTGAACTACCGCAACGCCGGTACTGCCGAGTTCTTGGTGGACCAAGAAAACCGCCACTACTTCATTGAAATCAACCCTCGTATCCAGGTCGAGCATACCATCACCGAGGAAATTACGGGCATCGACATCGTCGCGGCGCAGATCCAGATTGCCGCGGGCGCCACTCTCGAGCAGCTGGGTCTGACCCAGGATCGCATCTCCATTCGTGGGTTTGCGATCCAGTGTCGTATCACCACGGAAGATCCCTCAAAGGGCTTCTCCCCCGACACCGGCAAGATCGAGGTGTACCGCTCCGCCGGTGGTAACGGTGTGCGATTGGACGGTGGAAACGGCTTTGCCGGCGCTATTATCACCCCCCACTATGACTCCATGCTGGTCAAGTGCACTTGCCGCGGCTCCACCTATGAGATTGCTCGACGCAAGGTCGTGCGTGCCCTGGTCGAGTTCCGTATCCGTGGCGTGAAGACCAACATTCCCTTCCTGACCTCATTGCTGAGTCACCCCACCTTCGTCGATGGCAACTGCTGGACCACTTTCATCGACGACACCCCCGAGCTCTTTGCCCTCGTCGGCAGCCAGAACCGTGCTCAGAAGCTGCTCGCATACCTGGGAGATGTTGCCGTCAACGGCAGCAGCATCAAGGGCCAGATCGGTGAGCCCAAGCTCAAGGGCGACATCATCAAGCCCAAGCTCTTTGATGCGCAGGGCAAGCCCCTCGATGTGTCGTCTCCCTGCACCAAGGGGTGGAAGCAGATTCTCGACCAGGAGGGTCCTACCGCCTGGGCCCGCGCGGTGCGTGCTAACAAGGGCTGTTTGATCATGGACACCACCTGGCGTGATGCCCACCAGTCGTTGTTGGCGACCCGTGTGCGCACGATCGACCTGCTGAACATTGCCCACGAAACCAGCCATGCTTTCTCCAACGCCTATAGTTTGGAATGCTGGGGTGGTGCTACCTTCGATGTCGCCATGCGATTCCTTTACGAGGACCCCTGGGACCGCCTTCGCAAGATGCGTAAGGCTGTTCCTAACATCCCCTTCCAGATGCTGCTCCGTGGTGCCAACGGTGTGGCTTACTCGTCCCTCCCCGACAATGCCATCTATCACTTCTGTAAGCAGGCCAAGAAATGCGGTGTGGACATCTTCCGTGTCTTTGACGCTTTGAACGATGTGGACCAGCTTGAGGTTGGTATCAAGGCTGTCCACGCCGCCGAGGGTGTTGTTGAAGCGACCGTTTGCTACAGCGGTGACATGCTGAACCCCCACAAGAAGTACAACCTTGAATACTACCTGGCTTTGGTCGACAAGATTGTGGCCCTCAAGCCCCACGTGCTCGGAATCAAGGATATGGCCGGTGTCCTGAAGCCCCAGGCTGCTCGTCTGCTGGTGGGCGGAATCCGTGAGCGCTACCCCGACCTCCCCATCCACGTCCACACCCACGACTCTGCTGGAACTGGTGTGGCATCGATGATTGCTTGCGCCCAGGCCGGTGCCGATGCTGTGGATGCGGCGACCGACAGCTTGTCCGGTATGACCTCCCAGCCCAGCATCGGTGCTATCCTCGCCTCTCTCGAGGGCACCGACAACGATCCCGGTCTAAACTCGGCCCAAGTTCGGGCCATCGACACGTACTGGGCACAGCTGCGCTTGCTGTACTCGCCCTTCGAAGCTGGACTGACCGGTCCCGATCCGGAGGTCTACGAGCACGAGATCCCCGGTGGTCAGCTGACCAACCTCATCTTCCAAGCCAGCCAGCTTGGGCTGGGCCAGCAGTGGGCTGAGACGAAGAAGGCCTACGAGGCCGCGAATGACCTGTTGGGCGACATCGTTAAGGTGACCCCTACTTCGAAGGTGGTTGGTGACCTGGCTCAGTTCATGGTCTCCAACAAGTTGTCCGAGCAGGACGTGGTGGACCGCGCCGGGGAGTTGGATTTCCCCGGCTCCGTCCTTGAGTTCCTCGAGGGTCTCATGGGCCAGCCCTTCGGCGGGTTCCCTGAGCCCCTGCGCTCGCGCGCTCTGCGCAACCGTCGCAAGCTCGAGAAGCGCCCCGGTCTGTACCTGGAGCCCTTCGATCTGGCTGCCATGAAGAACCAGATCCGCGAGAAGTTCGGTGCTGCCACCGAGTACGACGTTGCCAGTTATGCCATGTACCCCAAGGTCTTCGAAGACTACAAGAAATTCGTCCAGAAGTTCGGAGATCTGTCCGTGCTTCCCACGCGGTACTTCCTGGCCAAGCCTGAGATCGGCGAGGAGTTCCACGTCGAGCTGGAGAAGGGTAAGGTGCTGATCCTCAAGTTGCTGGCCATCGGTCCCTTGTCGGAGCAGACTGGTCAGCGTGAGGTCTTCTACGAGGTCAACGGTGAAGTCCGTCAGGTCAGCGTGGATGACAACAAGGCATCCGTGGACAACACCGCCCGACCCAAGGCCGATATTGGCGACAGCAGCCAGGTCGGCGCTCCTATGAGTGGTGTGGTGGTTGAGATCCGGGTCCACGACGGCCTGGAGGTCAAGAAGGGCGACCCTATTGCCGTATTGAGCGCCATGAAGATGGTATGTTACCTCTGAGTCTAATTTTTCGGGAAATTTCATGCTAACTAGGATCCTTAGGAAATGGTTATCTCTGCTCCACACAGCGGTAAAGTCGCCAACTTGGGGGTCAAGGAAGGCGACTCCGTCGATGGCCAGGATCTTGTCTGCAAGATCAACAAGGCATAAAAAGAACCAAAAACATATATTCCACGAGTACCGCGGTGGAAAAAATTTTGGATGAACGAATTTATGTGTTCTAGAGCGTTTTTTGTTTTCTGGTATTATTTTTGTTTGGGTTAGGCCAAGGATATTATTTCTATTATTATATTGTCGATGTAAAACCATGCACTCGATGGTTTTCTATCTATAGCGCAATCAATTGTGTCTGTTGACGGGTTCATGTTATTTCTATGTACGGGGGGCATGGGACTTGTCGATCTACCCAGCCCGAGGAAGTATCTCAATGCATGACGCATGCATTGTATGTACAGATGATGATGATCTGGGCTCTGAAAATCCCCAAACAGCATCATCATAGTTTAGCCACGGTCTCCTCCGGCTCCCCGACCTCGCGCAGTGCCTTCCAGACACGCATCGCCTCGTCCCAGAGCCCATCCTGCCAGATCTGGACCGAGCCATCTGGCTTCAAGGTGCGTATCTCCCTCGGGCTCGTGGTGCCCCAGTCAATGTCGGGTTTGCCGTGCACGAAGTCGATCCATGGATCGATCAGCGCCTTCCGAACGATGAGCTTCTCGCGCGGCTCGATGACCTCCCCGTTACCCCAGAACCAGATGTACTGGTCGGTGGCGTGTGTGACGCCCCAGGCAGGCGGGATGGACTTGTCGACGCACTTGAGGCGGTATTCGATGCGGTAGCGATAGAGGAGGTGGGCGGCGCCGCCCAGCGCCAGGGAGTGCACGAGCCCGCGCTGCATCTTGTGGACCTGCATGTCGGCGTAGATGCGGCCGAAGGCGTCGCGGTTCCAGTCCTGGCAGTCCGCGGGGAGGTTGCCGCCCGGGTAGTAGAGGGGGAGGAGGGTGTCGACGACGGGGCGCGGGTAGTCGGCCAGCAGGCGCTTGCGGAGCGAGGCGAGGGTGTTCTCGGGTGGTGGCAGCCAGGTGGCGTAGAGGAAGCGCTCGTCGCGACATTCGCCGAGCATGATGCGGATGTTGCGGGCGGCGACGCGGCGGCCGAAGGAGCCGTCGTCGAAGGACTGGAAGAGGGTGGAGGGGATGAAGGCGGAGTCCGTGGTCGGGCGGAATTGGTTGAAGTCGACGCTGACGGCGGCGGAGAGGAGGTCTGGGCTGGCGACGGCGCGGAGCCGGGCAATCTTGTCCGCCCAGGGGAGGCCCGCGGGGATGTCCAGGGCGGAGAGGAGCTGGTTGAATTGCATCTGTGCCGCGGCGGGATTCTTGGGCTGGGTGGCCGGTCCGTTCGACCAGATGCAGGCTTGGTTCACGAGGGCCTGGTCCTCTGGGAGCTGGACGTCGTAGGCTAGCTGATAGAATGCCGAGTATGCGCCTAGGATCCAGGCCGTTAGGGAGCTAGAACGATCTCGAATGGGGGGTGGCAATTGAAAACCTTACCGGCCGAGTATCCGGCGATGGTAATCAAGGAAGGGTTTCCCCCAAACAGGGAAATATTGTCCTTGGTCCATTCCAGAGCCAGACGTTGGTCCCAGAAGCCCTGATTTCCAACCGCCTCGCCCACAGAGGTGGCGTCATTCTCCAGCTCGGATGAATAGAGAAAGCCGAACACGCCCAGACGATAGGCAGGCATAACGATGATGGCGTTCAAAGCTCCCTCACCCAGCAGGCCGGCCGCCGAGAAGGTGTTTGGAGTTCCAAACTGAAGGAACCCTCCATCTGTTAGGGAGTTAGTTGCGTTCCAAACACCTTTGACTGGGAAAGGGTGATTGATAAACATACGGATGAAGAAAAGAACCGGCCATCCTATTCCGACGAACATCCATTAGCCACGTAGTTCACGCCTAGAACGAAAGGTTCATAGAACGACGTACCCTCTTTTGGAGGCTCTCCAGTTGGGACCCAGACATTGCACTGAAAGCAGTCTTCAGACCAACCAACCTCTTTCGAGAGATTCAGAAAGGTGGGCTGGGGACAGACGCCTGCGGGCCCTGTACAAGGGCACGGGTGGTCTTTGGTGCCATAGGTGTATGTCGACGGTAGCTTCCGAGCATTGCGCCATCGCTGCAGGGGAGGGAGGGCATATCGGAGACCCCCGAAGTAATGGCAGAGGGGGTGATCGGTTGATTTCTCGCAGAGTGTAACACCTTGAATATAACCCCGTTGGGAGAGGGACTTCAAGCACGGGTGTGGGTGAGTTTCCATGTCCACGTTGTAAACGGCAGGTTCGGGGTCAATTGATTGGTAGTCAAGTATAGACCGAAGAGGATGTTAGAGACGAGTCGTTGGAGGACACCAAGTCTTGCAATGAGAACTGGGGTGCTCTATATAGCTGTTGCAACATCGGGCTTGTTTCCGCGCAATGACACTTCTAGGCCAGCATGGCACCGATAAGGGGGATAGCCGAGCTGATTAGCGTCCGGGTGGGGGTGGCAGCGGAATTCGACGAATCTCCAAGCCGCGCAAGTAAGCAGGTCGGCAAACGGCGCGGAGAAGAGGAGCTTGGATGAGGAGAAGAAGACAGGAAGCGCAAAGATGAGACGTAGCAAGCCCGAAAGCCAGTCACGTTCCTGGCTCGGCGTCAGATCTGTGCCGCGAAGCCGTGCCTGAGGCCGACATTATGACTGCTGAGTCAGCAGGCAGCAGCCCTAAGAAGAGACGACGAGAACAACAGCAGCCCAGAGGGAAGACTACTTGTAAGGAAGATCCAGAGTCGGGAATGAGCAGTACACACTGGAAGTCCCAGGCAGCACGCATTACTAACTCTGTCATCTGCAGATCGAAATCCCTCCAGTGCGTCTCCCCGCATTTGGCAACGCATTTGACGTCAGCTGCCACCATCGGACTTCTTTGACTGGTGCCATGGATGATGGCTGGCCCAGAGTGCATGATTCATCGAGGCGACCATGGTCGAGGTTCCAGTCCGGCTGATTCAACAGCCATTATTGGATCGCCGTCGCTCGCCCCCCTCGCGACCAAGATGCATCAATAAGAGTTTGCCAGGATGATGCATTGATTCCTTCCATTGTTTCACGACGTAGTGGCTGCCACCCCCTCTCGCCGCCGGTCTGGAGCTTATAAATGTAGCGGGCGCCTGGAGAGATCCGTAGCCTTAATCCTCCGATCAGAATAGCCAAACAGATTGCTTTGCTTGGAAAACCAGTAAGTAACATTCCGCCCTCCCTTACGGCGTGTAATCCAGCGCGATGACGTCTGGATGCTTCGGTGGGCAAATAACCGTCGTCATCATTGTCGACTGAGCCAGCTTTTTCTGTCTCCATCCTGTGTTGAAAACATTCATTTTTCCCACACCTCCCGCGCTGTTTGGGCTCACTCTCGAGGAGAGCTGCTGACATATTTGCCAAGCATCATCGCCAAACCACTTGTGCTTCATCCGCAATGAGTAACCAACAACCCGAATCTCCCCGCCACTGGCACGGTTCCATTGGCGATCGCCACGAGCATCATAATGTCTGGGTAAGAGGTGGTGCTGCACAGGCCTATCAGGGCCGACGACCTTCTATGACCGAGGCTGTCAATGCCATGGATGACAGACGTGTATGTCTGCATAGTCTCCATCTCTGTCGATCATATCTCCGGGGTAAAGGTAGTGAGTGCTAACCACGAGGCCTCAACGCCATGCAGGACTCCGCGTCTTCCGCGACTTCTGCGAATAACAACAGTCCGCCCGTGGCTCCGGAGAGAAGAAGATCCAGCGGCCACGGACCGTCGACTCTTTTTGAGAGTCTGACAAGTCAGAAGCGGAACTCGACCGATTCAGCTCGTCGGGCAAGCTACCATGAACAGTCCCAGCAGGGCGGCTTTTTCTCGAAATGGTGGGATGGATATACGCGTGGCAATTAAACCGAATTCGTAGTTTGATAGTATCGTTCAAGGCAGGGAATAGGTATGCTGGACAAAGGTTCGTCGGTCGCATGTGGGACAGACATTATGTTTCCATCACTTTGATGTATTTGCTTTGCTGCGTTTTTTGTTATCACATAGGCATTGGATGAAAGTAACCAGAGAATTTGACATTCTGAAATAAATCAGAAGCAAGTGCAACGAAACATGACGGTCGCATGGTTTCTCCGTAGGTCGAGGGGTGATGGCAAACATGGAAGTCTCTCCATCGGGCCACAAGAGAAAAATGAGGAACCCCGTGATTTGATCCTCAGGCTCACCCGAGCTCATCACTCACTGATAAGCATCAATGCTACAAGATACAGACGCAAGTCGTTTATCAGAAGCTACAACTACGAAGCCCCATCAGTGACTCGTCCGTCAGACAGCGGGCTCAGTTTTCAAGAGAACACACCAGACCGAAAGCCAGGCGCCGGATCGATATCCGTACCATCCTGGTAGCCATGGGGATCAAAGTCCACTCCGTGGCGACATGCTGTTTGAGAGCAACGTCCCCAGGACGAACGAGGAACGCAGTCGTGCATCTGAATCTCAGAAGACGAGCAGCAACGGCCAGAAAAAAATCCCATGCAACACCGGGTAAGGGAAGTTGCATGGGGAGCATCATGTCAAACTTTTCATCAATGGTTATGCGGAAATCATCACCCTTTGTGAAGCCTTCATTGTGAAAAGTGGATGCATTGTGGAAATTTGATAATTTGATATCTAACACGCCTATTCCTCATGTCGTGGTAGAGAGCATTTTCGAAGCAGAACGCCGGTCTGCCGTTTTTAATCGATTCATCGTAATCACAAGCCGAAGGCTTTCCCCCATTTGACAACCCCGTCAATGAAAAAAAGCGCATTTACCGGACGATACCGTCGAAGCGGTTCTTGAACCACTTGATGGTCTCGTTCTGGTTGATGCGGTGCTGGGTACCAATGCGGGCCTTGCAGCGGCGACGCTTGGCAACACGCTCACCGGGGCGAGTCCTTTGAAAAATTGTCAGTCTCCCCACACAATTCTCGCCACCAGTCCCGGGGGTGCACTCACATGCAGCAGTAGAAGTCCATGCCGTAGATACCAATGCCGGGGTCGTACTTGATACCAAGATCGATGTGCTCGCTGATACCGAAGCCGAAGTTGCCGGTCTCGGAGAAGTTGCGCTTGCGGAGCTCGTACTCCTTGACCTTGAGGCCACGCTCGAGGATCTCCTCAGCCTTGGGGCCACGGACGGTGACGTGGACAGCAATCTTTTCGTTACGACGGATACCGAAGGTACGGACGGTGTAACGGGCCTTGCCTATATATCACGAAAAAATTCTCCCATCAGCCACATAGTTCCATACCGAGTATTGAATTTTTTTCTTATCGCAGAGAAAAAAAAAATTCCAGTCGAGTTTGGGGGTCCTTACTGTAGACCGGAGTCTGACCGCTCAGCTGCTCAAGCACCTTAGCAGCACGGGTGAGTCTATCACCAGACTCTCCGACACTGATGTTGAGCACGAGCTTCTGGATGCGCAGCTCGCGCATGGGGTTTGCGCTCTTGTCCTTTCCGTCCGACTGCATGGCGAGGATAACGTTAGAATCAAAAGTTCCCCGGTGGATTTGAAACTATGGCGAGAACTGGTGTGGTGAGGCAGGGCAGCAACATACCATGGCGACTACTTTGGCGTGAACTGGTCGACTCGTTGAATGGAAGATTCGAGGGATCAGAAAGAGTGTAAAAGAGAATGTGTGGGTTGGGAAAGGGAAGCGAGAGCCCTTAGCGTCTTGGCGCCGTCGGCTGGCGCTAAACCGCAGAGCCGCGTCTGGGTCACGTTGCCCGCAGCTTCAGCGAAGTCCGCGACTCTCTGAGGAGCTCCCGACCTCAGCTTTCCCCACGGGCGCATCGTGCAGATTCAGTAGAAGTCTCTCTTCTACCTCATCTCACATCTATTCTTTGGTATCCTATCTGGTTGTCGCATTCGTGCGCTCCTTCTCAGCCACCATGGCGGCCAACAAGCAAGGCAAGATGGTAAGTTTTGTTCTCCGACCCAATGCACTCTTGCATTCGGCCCTTGAGATATCATGCGCTAACTGGTCTTTCTCTCTAGCAAAACCTCGTAAGTTGCGACCGCACGTTGTCTTTATGCGCTTCCGGAAGTCTAATGTCTCGCAGATCAACTATCGGATGAGGGTGACTCTGAACGATGGCCGACAGATGACGGGCCAGATGCTCGCATTTGATAAGGTAAATCAGATCTAGCCATACGGATGGCTTTCCTCATCGCCTCCTCTCCCTTTCCCCCATGCTTTTACTCCTATCTCTTTGTATCCTCGGGGTCGCGTCGCTAACATTTAGGCGCCACTTTCAGCACATGAACCTCGTCCTTGCCGATACAGAAGAATTCCGACGCGTTAAACGGAAGTCCAAGCCTGCTGCTGCCCCCTCGACTACTCCTTTGGTGGAATCGGAAGAAAAGCGAACCCTTGGTCTGACGATTGTTCGCGGTACCCATGTCGTCTCTTGCTCCGTTGATGGACCGCCCCCCGCCGATCCTTCTACGCGACTTGGAACAAGCGGCCCCGGCGCTGCCGCCGCCGCCGCCACTCTTGCTGCCGGCCCTGGAATTAGCAAACCCGCTGGACGTGGTCTGCCCGTTGGCCTTGGTGGCCCGGCTGCTGGCGTTGGAGGGCCTCCTCCGCCCGGTGGTTTCCCCGGATTCCCCCCGGGTGGCTTCCCAGGTGCGCCTCCGGGCTTCGGTGGTCGTGGTGGACCCCCAGGAGGACCTCGTAAGTCGAAACTTTCCAACCCATGACGAGTCGTCTCGTAAAGTTGTGGGAATGCTAACGCGTGAGACACAGCCGGATTTGCTCCGCCTCCGGGATTTGCGCCTCAGGGCGGCCCTCGTAAGTCTCCGTCTCATTGAATGCTGTAATATGCTTGCTGATCTGTACAAATCTAGCGGGCGCTTTCCAACCTCCCCCAGGATTCCAGCCTCCCGGTCAGGGACGGGGTTTCCCCCCGCCAGGATTTGGAGGACGGTGATTTGATCGATTGGCCGACCCGGCATGATTGCTTTACCAAGTTCCGGCCATGGGTGTAGTATGGCGGCATACAAAGAATCGGAACCCAAATGAAAAACCTATCCTATCTACTACATACGCCTGATCGCGGAATAGGTCCAGCACAGCATCCCGAATTGAATCAGGCAAAGGCGTTGCGGCGTGTGCGGATGCAGGGAAATGCCAAGAAAAGAAACTGGTCGAGCCCCGAAGAGAAGTCGAGGACGACAGGTGTAATGCTAGATTATGCTGCACGCATTTATTCGATTAGTGAAATCCTAATACGTATGTATGTTCTTGTCTGGGGGCGGGTTGTGTAGCTTCTTCGCAGTATCTTCGTAGTCTTCGTGCCGGCAGGGAATCCTGGCGGGGCACGTGACATCTCCGGGCAACTCCGCAGTCGGTGATAGCAAAACGGCCTCCGTGTTTCTGACTCTCTCCATCTCTCTCTACCCTCCTCCCCCAGACAATTTCCTCTCCGTCAAAATGGCTGCTGTGGTTAAGGCAATCAACGCGAAGATCCGTTCCAACAAGGTTCTGGATTACTTCTGCTCAACGCGTGCGTACCCCTTCAGCGATCTTTCTCCCTCCTTATGCTCGTCACCGAGATCGGCCGGCAGTAAAGGGCTTGCGATGGGACATCTACTTATGGGCCAAGCCTGGCACCGGATGACGCCATTGAATAACGGGTCGCATGGATGAAACGTTTTCAAAGCAAGCAACACGGCATCCTAGCGATCAAGGTCTCATGGTCAAAATGTTCACGGATCCAGGGAGCTGACATGATCATCGTGCAGATTTCTGGGGCCCTGCCTCCAACTTCGGTATCCCCATTGCGGCTGTGATGGACACGCAGAAGGACCCTGAAATGTACGTTCACTTTTCGAGTTCCTATCTCTATATTTCTCGGATCCCCTCTCGGTTCATGGCCCGCCCGGAAGACAAAATATAGCTCCCGAGGAAATAGAAGTGTTGAAGTGGCGAGAGATCAATAAACAATGGCTGACAATACCTTCCCCATCCCAACAGCATCTCTGGACAGATGACCGGTGCCCTGATCATTTACGCCGGTACCTTCATGCGCTACGCTCTCGCCGTCACCCCCGCCAACTACCTCCTCTTCGCCTGCCACACCACAAACCTTGGTGCCCAGCTGACGCAAGGCTACCGTTATATGAACTACTGGCAGTATGTCCATTCGATCCCCGCCTGTGAAAAACCATTTCCATCGGAGGCTTCCCAAAAACACAACGCTAACATCATGTCCTCGTCATTAGCTGGGGTGGCCACGAGGCCAAGCTCGCCGCTCAGGCTGCCGCTAAGGGCAAGGATGCCACCGAGGCTGGCGCATAAACTCTTCTCCTCTGAGGGGTTGCTGTTTGCTTGCCTGCTGTCTTTTTGTCTTTCTTTCTTCCTTTGCATTTTATGGCGGGGCTGTGTAACTGGGAGGTTTGCCATTCTTATATATTCAGCTGTAGATTCTAGACAATACGAATATTTCGAAATGGCCAATTTTTTCCTGCGCAATATCTAGACCTTTAGGTGTAAGGAATTAGAAGAAGATGTTGTCTTGGTGGAACTAGTTTTAGGCTTCGTTGCTCAACACCCACCTGCTTAAGGGTGTTTTCGTAGTGCATTCCGCAAATAGCAAGGCTATATACAGTCGAACAAATTATATATGCGGAGATTCAAATACGTACCTGTATTCTCGGATATCTTCAACGCTGTTAAATCTTTGAATGGTTCGGTTTTACTATGAGATCTTGCTTCTGATATATATACTGGTAGCTAGTTTGGCCTCGGCTCTTCACAGAAACGTTTGGAAGACGAAATCAGCGATTGGGATTAATATAATTGAATAGCAGACAATGTAATTTTTTTAATAATTCTGATATTAGTCTTCTCTTAGCTAACATAAAAATAATAATAATAGTAGCAATACGATTTGAAGAAGAGGAAGAAGTAATATCCAAGAACAATACTATAAGACGAAAGAAATCCAAGGACAAGCGTTGACCAATTTGTATACAGCGTCTATCGATAACACAACAAGAAACGAAACGAAAGAAATAAGAACCAACAAGAAAGATGAAAAAAGACAGAAAAAAAGAAGGAAGGGTTCACATACTGGCTTCGCTTTGGCAGATGAACGTTGCAGCATAGCATCAGTCATTCACATAATAGAGGACGCGTATTCCAAAAGCGACCAGTGTCAGGGCACTAAAAATGTCGGGCACATCATTTGAAATCGGAGATCAGGAAGGACAAGTTTAGCCGGACTCCGAGTCGCAGTATCCCGGGGGCTTGACTTCTCCTCCATTCACCCAATTGGACATCGTTAGAGCAGTAGTATAGATACAAGAGACTACACCAAAGCAGGAAAGGGCAATGTCGGCGATCTGCTGACGCCTCGAACGAGCACAGGCTTTGAGGTGCAGAAGAGGCTAGTAACTCCTAGTTAGCGATGTCTGATAATCATGGCAAGGGGAAATCAATAAAGCGATGACCTACCGGGTACACGTAAATCAAAGGAACGCAGGCAAAGCTGCCGACCAGAGAAACGAATTTGTCCAGGTCGTCGGCTCCACCCCAGGCGACAAAGGAGCAAATCATCACCAGGAAGAACCGGAAGCAATTCTTTTCCCATTTGATCTTAGGGTTGTATTTGCCACTGCGCGTGAACAGTTCGTTTTCCATGATTCGAATGGCCGGGAACAGTTGCAGTGGGGTGCTCAGCAGAATCGCCAGAGAATAGAGGAATTGAACGGCATTTACGAATTTGTCGTCCTGAGGAAGGTTGAGAATAACCACGGTCTTCGTTGCGGATCCGTATGCCGCATAGCTGAGCGCACCTGCGGAAAGAAAGATGATCGTAATGATAACCATGACACCGGCAAGGACTCCCTGAAACTGCTGAGGGTGCTTCATGGATTCTTGGATGGGGATGATAAGTCCGATGCCCTCGTAGGTGAAGATGGCAGTTCCTATGAAGAGCGTCCAGGTGGAAGGGTTGAATGAAATGATATCTGAAATGCCGCCCTGGGCTGAGATCGTGAAGATATCGTAGTAGTAAAGATAAATCAGCCCCAGCAAGATGAAGACGTCCGCAATCAATGCCGTGAAACCAAGCTTGCTAATATCGCGAACCAACGAAAGGGGCAGGAATATAACCAATTGCATCAAGACCATGAACTTGATGTCAATGAAGGACTTGCACTTGCTAACAGCCAGTACAAATGCTTGCAGATTTTCAGCCGTGAACACAATGTACGCGGATACAAATCCTAGTTGACTGAGCACGATGGAGCCAAGGATAATGCGCCGCATGTTCTTTCCATACAGTGCGCCACCAATATCACCAAATGATCCATCAACCTTCAATCGCGTATTCACCAAAAGAATGAATGCGTAAAAGCTAAGCAGAGAGACCCCGAGCAAGACCATACTACTGAAGAGCATACCACCGTTGAGGAATGCTCTCGGTAAGAATAGGACTCCTGTTCCAACGAATGATTTCAACAAGAGAAGGGCTGCTCCTGTCCTGGTATTATTTCCAGTTCCTCCGCGCGGCTTTCGCTTCCTTCTGCCAGGGGTTTCTGGACGAAGAAGGGCGGAGTCCTCTCCAGGCTCTCTGATTTCTTCATCCCAAGTGTCCGATGAAAAGTACTCGTCAGGCCCCAAGACTTCATCGTCCTCTTCCAGCTCTTCGCCTGCGAAGTGGCCGTAAAGAGTAAGGAATTCCAGAAAACTGGTGGTTGGAAGCTGAGGCTGAGCGGCGGTCGCCTGCGGTCCCGGACTCTCACCGTCCCCAGGCAGAGGACCCGCTGCTCGCCGAATATAGTCTCGTCGGAACCCACCTGGAACTCGGATACTGTTGATATCCATCGTCTCGGTCTCGGGTGCGGGACGGTGAAGACTGAAACTCTTGCTTCGAAGGTGTCTCTTCGCAGGATGGCTCGTATCCGCATCCTCCGCCCATCGGTAAACCTGCCGTGTAATGTCACCTCCCTGGAGCTGCAGACTAGAGAATTCATCGTCCGCATTACTGGCGGCGTCCCCGGAAGAATGGATATCGCGGTTCTCGACGGTATTTTGCGGGTTCACCAAATGCCTCTTGATAACCTCGGGATCCTCATACGGTCCTGCCGAATACTCTGAGCCAGCCTTATTGTCAAACGAGCCATAATTGGATCTGATTGGCTGTGGCTGCTGCAAGGCAGGAGATGCGATGCGTCTCGGTGGGGTTCCAAGTCTGGGGGGCGAGCGTCCGAGGCTATCTTGAAGAGCCGATGCGATCATGGACTGGCCGGGACCGGGTAGCGAGGACGCGTTGTCAACTTTCCGATAGTCGTGCTCGTTATTGGGCACAGGAGCGTTGATCGGCACTGGCGTCGGTCGAGATGAATAGGAATTCGACATGGAGGGGACGGGGGAAGCCAGGCGTGCGATCGAAGCCTGTCTAGCCTCTGGACCAGGTGAGCCGGTCCGCATCGCGCTGGTGGATATAGGCGTTGACTGATCCTGCTGGGCCGATGAGCCCTCCCCATTGTCTGGTATACCGGGAGATGCCATCTTGACCGCAATTTGGGTACACTGAGAGAGATAAGTCTGGGGATCTACTTGGAAGGTCCGCCTGCTCGCGTGCCTTCGAACCCTTCTTTGGAGGGGTGTCGGACGATCGAGAGGAGGTAGGTGCTGACAATGGATGGTAAGGTGCACCAGGTCGGGAATGATAGAGCCAGGAAGACCGAAGGCAGAGAGCGGGTCGATGCTGGGACGTAGACAACAATCGCCCACCGCGAGTCTCAGCCGGACAAGACGAAGGCTGGTATAGGCGGAGAGTCACTGGACCGGCGGTGGGGTTTGCACTGTTTGCAGCCATTATGTCATGGACGGCGGCCCAAGCAAATCAACGCGACGACCCTCCGCCGTCCTTCGATCATCCGCTCGACGCTGTCCTTGGGACCGGATCCTGACGGTAGTTTAATCGAGTGGTTGATCGCTGGCCCAGATCCACTGCAGCCTTGGCTTCGTGCGAGTATCCACGGTCTTTTCACCCCTGTCAACGGGGTTAATTGTTTATGCTACTTACACCGCCGCTGGCCTTGTTCTCTGCTGCTCGTTGCAACACCCACCACCTGCAACCTATATTCGATGCCTAGCGGGCGGAACGAAAGCGGCTCGGAGTCTTTGTCTCGGAGGAGGCCAAACTTCTCCACGCGAACCGCCGAAGAAGATGTTTCCAGACTGGCCCCCAGCGACTCGCCTTGCGCCTCGCCCGAGGAGACAAGCAAGTTCCCCAACCTGAGAGCTGCGCTTTCATTTCGTCCCTACGAGCCATTGAATGTATCGACTCGCTCATCTGAGCGCCAACGCCACTCCCTGCCCTTCGATTTCCTCAGTGGCCTCTCGCAATGGGGGAAAAAGGATAGAGATGAAGAAGGGCAAGATGCGCCACCGGAAAGAACGCGTCCTGGTGTCCCAATGCCTGCAGGGCCACTCCGCGACTCAAGCACCAACCCGAAGGAAAAAGAGGATCAAAAACACCGCGCATCCGATAGCGATGAGAAGCTCGGAACGTTCTCTGGGGTTTTCGTCCCGACCACCCTGAATGTCTTGAGTATTCTTATGTTCCTGCGGTTCGGGTTTATCCTGGGACAAGCTGGTGTATTGGGCATGCTAGGTGATTTGCCTTGTTTCTCTTCCGTATTGCAATAAGACTGAAAAACTGACGATGCCCTCTAGGTTTGCTCGTTGCTTCCTATACCATTAATCTGGTAACTACAATGTCTCTTTCGGCTATTGCGACCAATGGAACTGTTAAGGGAGGTGGCGCATACTACCTGATATCTCGATCACTGGGACCAGAGTTCGGCGGCTCTATCGGAATAGTGTTCTACCTGGGTTATGTGTTGAACACAGGAATGAACGCTGTTGGTCTTATAGACTGCTTCACCCAAAATTTCGGGTCGAAGTCTGGCACCTGGGCTAATTTTCTCGAAGAAGGATTCTGGTGGCAGTACCTCTGGGGAACCATAGTCCTGGTGCTATGCACTGGGATTTGCTTGGCTGGTAGTTCGATCTTCTCTAGGGCGAGCAACGGATTATTCATCATTTTACTCGTGGCTACTTTCAGCATCCCTGTCTCTGCGTTGTTTATGAAACCGTTTAACATCCCGAAACTCGGAGTGAATTTCACCGGTATCCGGCTGCAGACGCTCTTGGAGAACCTCAAACCGAGGCTCACTAAAGGTGCTGCTGGAAGTCAGCTCAAAGGAAAAGAAAACTTTCAGGATCTTTTTGGGATCCTATTCCCAGCGACTGGCGGGATATTTGCGTAAGCCCTCTATCGCTTAAACTGCGGACAAAGAAGCTGATAAGCATACAGTGGTGCAAGCATGTCCGGTGACTTGAAGAACCCCAGCAAGTCAATCCCTAAAGGGACGCTCTCGGGGTTAGCTTTGACATTCATTACTTATACCATTGTGATCCTTGCAATGGCTGCCTCAGTAACAAGGGACTCGTTCTATAAGAATACCAACATTGTCCAAGCCGTGAGTTTCTGTGGATCCGCGCAGCTAATTAGACCCAAATGCTGATTCTCAAGTACTAGACCAATCTCTCGGGTGTCGTTATTCTTCTAGGAGAATTTGCCACATCTTTCTTCTCGTCTCTGATGGGAGTCATCGGCTCTGCAAAGCTTCTCCAGGCCATCGCGCGGGATAGTCTGCTTCCCGGCTTAAGTGTCTTTGGCAAAGGAACGAAGAAAAACGATGAGCCGGTCTATGCGATTATCGTGACTTTTGCAGTGGCCCAGCTCACAATGCTCTTCGACATCAATCGCATTGCATCATTCGTTACCATGACATATCTCATGACCTTTTTGGTCATGAACCTCGCCTGTTTTCTGCTCAAAATCGGATCTGCACCCAATTTTCGGCCATCTTTCCATTACTTCAAATGGCAGACGGCGGCAACTGGCGCACTCGTGTGCGGAGCCAGCATGTTCTTTGTCGATGGTGTATATGCGACAGGTTGCGTTGCGATCCTGTTCCTACTGTTCCTGCTGATTCACTATACCTCCCCGCCAAAGCCTTGGGGCGACGTCAGTCAAAGTTTGATTTATCATCAAGTGCGCAAATACTTGCTTCGGCTTCGTCAAGAGCACGTCAAATTTTGGAGACCTCAGATCCTTCTTTTCGTGACCAGCCTAGATGATCAGTTCAAAATGGTCTCATTCTGTAACTCTCTTAAGAAGGGAGCGTTGTTTGTGCTAGGTCATGTTCTAGTTACCGATGACTTTTCATCTGCGGTCCCTGAAGCTCGCCGGCAGCAGAGTACTTGGACGAAGTTTGTGGAAAGCTCCAAAGTAAAAGCCTTCGTCAACATTGCGATATCTCCTTCTCCTGAATGGGGCATCCGCAATGTGGTCCTGAATTCTGGTCTTGGTGGCATGCGGCCAAACATCGTCGTTATCGATCAGTTTCGCCGGGGTCAATCCTTGGCCGAGACTCTACAGCCTTCTGGCCACAGGAAAGATTCGAATGGCCGGCGTAGCTCCCGTGACAGAATCTCGGAAGTTTCTGAGCACGAGTCTCAAGAGTCATCGATAGAATGCCAAAGCTATGTGACGATCCTGGAAGATCTTCTCTTTAAACTGCGCATCAACGTGGCCGTGGCGAAAGGGTTCGAGAATTTGGAGTTGCCTGGTCCACAAGGTCAACACACGAAGAAATACATCGATCTTTGGCCAATCCAAATGTCGGCAGAGCTTGGTGCTGATAGCGAAAGCAAGAAAAATGTGCTGACTACCAACTTTGATACATATACCCTGATACTTCAACTAGGGTGCATCCTCAACACCGTACCGTCGTGGAAGAAAACCTATGGGTTACGGGTGGCGGTTTTTGTGGAGTACGAGACTGACGTGGATGATGAGCGTGGCAGAGTTGAAGCACTTCTCGAGAAGCTAAGGATTGAAGCCGAAGTTATGGTCTTTTGGCTCGCATGTGGCGATGTCAAGGCGTATCGAATCATAGTGAATGGCGACTCTTCTCCCGAGACCGAAGACTGGCAAGAAAGGGTTCACACGACGATGAAGGATGAGGAATGGTGGCAGGACATTCAGGCAGCACGCAGGACCACGACAGAGTCCCCAAGCGAATATACTTCGGTCAATCCTCTGGAGCGGGTCACCAGCTGGCATGGTGCCTCCAGCCTTGACAATCACCAGAAGCATCCAAACCAACTAGTTGGTGGGTTAAGGAAGTTTGTTCAGTCCACGAGACGACGGCGCTCGATTTCCAGCTTCCGAGGGTTTGGGGGCGTCAGCCTAGGCATGCAAACGCACCGATTGCTCGACGCTTTCGTGGATTACGACAAATCAGAATCGTCTACAAGTGATAGTGATGAGAGCGAGTTTGAGCCTTATCACAGTGACGAGGAGGGGGAGAATATCACCAAAGACTTCAGTGACGACGACAGCGTGGAGCCTGGGTCTGGACCAGGTTCGTCCCATAAATCCCGCAAGAAGATGCCCAAAGAACCATCTGGCGGAGACGATGATCGACCGAGAATTCCATCTATCGTCGCTCCTGGCGAAGACGAAGACCCGGCCAAAAGTCAAACCAAACCTGCCCGACCCTCGGTGACTCGCTCTCCCTCTAGCAATCGATTTAGCTCGGCGCCCATCCCCGAGGCCCGAGTCAATACGGACGAAAACGCGGGCCCGTCCATAATGTTCGCACCCAGTTCATCCCCGCCGCGGGGTGCTAACAGGATGGAGTCGATATATACGCGTCGTTCTTCCTCCGGAACGTCCAACCAGCAGGCGGCATCGGGATATCCTCGACAGGCGTCCATCCCGTTGTCGTTCAATGACCTGCCCAGCCGCGCCCAGCATCTCATTCTGAACGAGTTAATGGCTCAGCACAGTAGCGATACGGCTGTGATCTTCACGACACTTCCGGCTCCATTCGAGGGTACCGCGCAAAGTGAGGCGACGAGTGAGTCGTACTTGAGTGATCTGGAGGTTCTCTGGCAGGGACTTCCGCCTTGCTTATTGGTTCATAGCAACAGCATGACTGTGACGATGAACCTCTGACGACGTTATGACCTTTAGATATCGATGTATACCAAGGGCGGGCATATTTTGCAATTCTTGTATAAATCATACGCGCATGTTTATTGCTGTAGATAGCACCAAGGAAATAAGGAAACGAATTTCGTCTTCGTCTGTCTCCTCTGTACGAAAACATACCTACGGCATGCTCTCAGCTTGGGAATCCGTTAACCTGGCAGTTCTACTATGTTTCTCGGGGCATCCTGGAACCGTCCAGTTTAACTTCGCTCCCAAAGCCGCACAAGGATGATATTCAACGTATCACGCAAAGAACTTTATTGGGCAATCATATGATGTGCTATTCGGAGGCGACTCAGCACCTCCGCTCCAATTAGGGCTTGTATAGAAGGCTCAGGATAAGGTTAAAACCGTTGTTGAATGTCAACAAGGACTATAGCATAGGAATCTCCCCACATTTCGGCAGCTGTATCACCGCAGTCTTCAGCAAATTTAGCCAGTAGAGAGCTGACACGCTTGTTGGGCTCTTCCTGAGTTCGGGGCTGTTGAACCAAGGCATTTTCATCGTGCGAGCCTGCCCAGTGAAGGGCTACGTAGCTCAATATTCTTCCGACCCATGAGGGTATCGTGCAACATCGGGCGATGGACGCTCTGCTCGGCTACTTCATATATTCTACGGACTTTACAAAGGACTTCCATGTTGACCCAGATCTACTGCCTATATAAGCATGCACTTTGGGGCCGGCAAACCTCCAAATCATCACCCAAGATTCACAATACTTCCCCAAACATCTTCTTGAAAGCATTACCCAAACCCAACGAGGAAAAGCAACCACCATGCAGCTCAGCACCATTTTCCTTCTCGCAAGCTCTGCCATCATCCCGCTGGTGGCCGGCCAGGAGTGCTACTCCATTCAGCGGTACGGACGCCGCGACGACTGCCGCCGCTGCGATCGAGGCTATCGCTTCTACCGCGAGCGAGGCAGACGATGCCATCCCGATCGTCAATGCTGCCGTGGCTACTGCTGTACTGACCGTGACTGGGACTATGGTGACCCTGTGAGTGCTATCGGTTCCCCTGTAAGGATTGGAGTCTTTTAGATGCATACGTATGACTGAGTATACTTATTTGGAAGCAGGACCCCGAACAGCCTGATAGGCAGTGGGAGATGCAGGCGTCTCTGTTTTAGTTCCCCGATGACGCCGGGTTCAGGACCGAGGGCCCCCATGGCCTGTGGGCGATGCGAGATTGATGGAATGAGCAAATTGATTGACAGTTCTTGACGTTTGATTTATAAGTGGATACTAGGTATCACTACCTAGGCTAGGCAGTAAATTAGCTGAATGACATGATGTGCTTGCAGAGGTGTATTGTCTGTGGAGATAGAGAGTAACGTCATCATGAAAGACAATTCCACTGCGACGTAAGAGTGAGTGCAAGGAAGTCGGAGAGTCAGAAAGAGAGAAAAAAGAAAACCCGAAGTATAGGAAATCCCAAAGAGGAAAGGTGCAGCATCCCCAAGGGGCAGGTGTTTATGCAAATTACCAGGTATTGTGGTATTGGGAATACAGACAATGGGGATTCTGCTGCAGCCAACCAGAGGCGTTCCGGCGGAATCCCACTAATCCCGGCCTGCTGATTTGCCAGCTTTAGTGCGATCGAAATTAAATGTGGATGACTCATCCGCAATGCCAGGTCCATGATTGGCCCACAGTGACAGTGCTGCGCCCCCGTACGGTACGTGACGATACGAGCGTTAGCCAGAGGGCGGCGGCAGCCTAAGGCCACCCCAAGCAGCAGGGCGTAACGAGACGGCGACTTCCCCAAAGAATTGAATCGCCTTCGTTTCGCTCTCTTGATCTTGCCTTTCTTTTCCTCCTTTATCCTCCGATCTCAGCCTCTTACGGCGCGCGTCATGCTCCCTGTCAGACTCCTGCACTGAGCACGAGAATCCTGACCACAACCTCCACGTCATCTTACCCCCTCCCTTTCCCTCGTCTCCCCCTTACTTCCTGGTCGCGGTCCCAGGCCGCCATGCACAACGGCCGTGGACGCCGAAAGAACGGCAGCGTCAAGGCCAGCAAGGGTAGTCAGCGTGCCACAATCGTCCCTCCCGTATCCCAGCAATCTCTTCCGGCCCGTTCTAAAACCTCCTCCGCCAGCGATGACAGCCTAGACAGCTCCGACGCTGCCTCCGTGACCTTATCCACCTGCACCACCACAACCTCCTCCAGCAGTTCTCCCTCCAAACCCGTCGCCAACGGCGTGCACTCGACCTCCGAGAAGAACATGGCTAGGAAAACTTCGTCGCCCATGGCGCCCCCCTTCATGGTGTCCGCGCCGGGCAAAGTCATCGTCTTTGGTGAGCATGCCGTCGTGCACGGCAAGGCCGCCATGGCCGCTGCCATCTCCCTCCGATCTTACCTCCTCGTCACAACCCTCTCCAAGTCGCAGCGCACAATTACCTTGAATTTCAGAGACACGGGCCTGGACCATACCTGGAACATCGATGACCTGCCATGGGACGTCTTCCACCATCCCTCCAAAAAGAAGTACTACTACGACTTGGTCACTTCCCTAGACAACGAACTGCTCGACGCGATCCAGCCCCATGTTGATGACGTCTCCCCAAATCTTCCGGAGGAGCAGCGCAAAGTACACCGACGCTCTGCTCTGGCCTTCCTGTACCTTTTCTGCTCCTTGGGGTCCCCACAGCATCCAGGGGCCATCTACACCCTTCGGTCCACGATCCCCATCGGCGCTGGTTTGGGTAGCAGCGCAAGTGTTTGTGTCTGCATAAGTGCTGCGCTGCTTCTCCAAATCCGGACTCTGGCCGGACCTCATCCGGATCAACCCCCCGACGAGGCGGAAACTCAGATCGAGCGGATCAACCGCTGGGCGTTTGTGGGAGAGTTATGTACCCACGGGAACCCCAGTGGCGTGGACAACACGGTTTCCGCAGGTGGCAAGGCCGTGATCTTCAGACGCGAGGATTACTCAAAGCCCCCCTCCGTTTTCTCGGTCCCCAACTTCCCCGAATTGCCTCTACTCCTGGTGGATACGCGACAAGCACGTTCCACGGCAACCGAAGTCGCCAAGGTCGGAAAATTGAAGAAGGAACACCCCTTGGTGACGGATTCTATCCTGGATGCGATCGATAAGGTCACCGCCTCAGCGGAAGAGCTCATCCGCGGCTGCGATTCAAAGGGGGTTTCCAAAGAGACGCTCGAGCACCTGGGAACGCTGATTCGTGTCAACCATGGGTTCCTTGTCTCGCTTGGGGTCTCTCACCCGAGGCTGGAACGAATTCGTGAATTGGTCGACTTCGCCGACATTGGCTGGACGAAGTTGACCGGTGCGGGTGGTGGGGGATGCGCGATTACACTCCTGCGTCCGGATGCCGACGAGAACGCCGTTCGAGATCTTGAGGGCAGACTCTCCACCGAAGGGTTCGTGAAATACGAAACCACACTGGGAGGGGGTGGCGTGGGTGTTTTGTGGCCTGCAGTGCTTCGCAATGGAACCGACGAAGAAGGCGGCGAGGAGATTGATCAGCAGAAGTTCGAAATGGCAGACGGCCCGGAAGGCATCGAACAGCTCGTGGGCGTGGGAACGCAGGAAAAGCGAGATGGTTGGAAGTTCTGGAGACGCGCCATGCACTGAGCAGCGGACTGTACCGATTGATCTCGCCTTCCTTCATTCGCATTATCGCCAACCAACTCGTGGTCCTGCATCTGCGCACGCCAATTTTCGTCCTTTTCTCTCGCCCCTTACGACCTTACTGGGATTCACATATTATCTTATCATTCATGGCCTGAAGGAAATGGGACCTATTTCATGATATGCATTTAATCAGCATTTACCCTATCTTTTTCACATCGGTTGTTTAACTCCTTTTCACCCTTATCTTTTTTTATTATTATTTTGAATTCTGTGTATAAATACTTACGCTTATCATTATTATGTTATGACAACCCCACCTTTTTTATATCTTTGCATTTTCCACGGCTGCCACTGGCCTTTCGGGTTGATTGTGCCTTCATCTGTCTGCTTCGTCTTATTGTCGTTTTTCTTGTTCAAAAGAACGATGGTCCTGGGTGTGCTTGTCTTGCATTGGATGGATGAGATGTAGGTGCCAAGGCAAGGCATGAAAATTCTGGTTATTAGTTTTCGCGCAAATATTTAGGCAGCATTGCTATTCTTATATAAGTATTCTACTTTATGGGATGTTCCCGTCTAAAATGCTGCACAGATTCACCGGTATCAAGACGTATCATCATAATCAATTTCTCAATTTAAGTCCACATGATGCAATCAAACCATGTCTCCAGGGTATATCGTCCATGTATACAAGAATTATTTACAACGAAGTGAGTGAAAGACGACCGCATTCTTCCATGGCAGATTAAAGCCAATCCTATCATCCCATGGTCGTCTCCCACCCCTTCTCAATCATCACGTCCATCCAATAAACCCCCGTCTCACCGGCATCCATACGCTTCCACACCTCGCGCACCAGTTGCAGACACACCCCGATCGGCTTCGGCGGCAGGACATGCAGGAAAGAGGTCAACCGACCCAGCACGAACCGTCTCGTGCGGGAGACCTCGATGGAGTGCGAGGAAATATTGGATGCGGCGGGATCATCCTCGGACAGGGGGGAAGGGGGGCGCGAGAGTCGGAGTTCGCTGCTCGAGGCGACGAGGAGGAAGGGCTGGAGGCATCTGGTGCGGGATTCCTGCGGGATGGTCTTGAGGCGGGAGAGCGTGGTTAGGGCGAATTCGGTGAGCCAGTCGTCGTAGTAGGATGAGTCTGGGGGTTGCGGGGATGGGTTGGTGGAGTTCGTGGGGTCTGGGTCTGTGTTGGGGTCCGTGGGGATGAAAGACGGGTCGTAGAGCCAAGAAGGGTTGCTGGTGTCCGGATCGGAGTCTGAGTTGACGGGAAGGAAAGGGTCCGCTGGTGTCGTTGTGGCCTGTTGTTGCTGCGCTAGAGACGATGGGGCCGGCTCGTTGGTAGGATAGGAGTGAGACGAGGATCGAAGAGTTGGTAGGCGACGGCGGAGGAGGTCGGGAAAGGCTCGATAGAGCTGCATCAGTCCCGTGCAGCGGTAAACCTCTGCCATGGTGAGGAGATGCCAGACGGGGGTTTCGTCGTCGCCGGGGCTGACGATTTCGGTCTCGGCGGGATGGGCGAGGGCGAGGAGGCGTTCTTCGAGTTCACGGGCTTTGTCAATGGCTCTTCGGGCCTGTGTGATGTCGGCATGCGAGGTGAAAATCCTCAGGCGGATTCGTTTGCGTTCGCAGCGGACGAGCCGCCCGACTTCCTGGACGGTGAACTGCGTGTCGCGCGCAATCCCTGTCCATGGATGAGGAACGCGCTGCAGCACGAGCGATTCACCTGTGTCCATGGCCGTGTTTCCCGAAAGGACCGTTGCGTCATCTGCGACGAACGAGAGAAGCATTTCCCAGTAGACCAGGGCTTCTTCGAAAAACTGATGGTTATTGCCGTGATGGGCATTCGAATCCTTCAATGACGGCTTTGCGTCAAGGTGGTTCCGCAGGAGGTTGAAGAACGAAATCCCCAGATCTTTAGAGTCGTGCCAGCTGGCGCTCTGTCCCAGCATGAGTAAGGCCAGCAGGGACTTATCGTCCATGGCAGACTCCTTCGTGATGATGTCGACGGCTTCGTTGCGCAATCTGCGGCCCATGGGACCGAACTGGGGGAAGTCATTGACTAGAGTGGCCGCGGCCATACTTTGCATGGTCTTACACATGGCCAGCGAGGAACCCCAGAGGCGGGATACCGTGGAGCGGAAGGGGTTCATTTGACTGTCATAGCTTGAGAACAGCGCCGCCACTTCTTTGAAGTAGTATTCGATGAGGGTCCAAGACGGGTTGTTCATGGGTTGTGAGATGGACAGGAAGTCTCGATGAGGAGCACTGGATTCCGCAGGAGGGTATTTGCGTACAATGGCCGAAGGATCGAAGCCCGGAAAGCTGGGTGCTTCATTCTGAAGTGCCGGTGCAGCCAAGGAAAACAGATCCAAAGGACTGTCAGTCAGGTTGACCGATTCAAAGTCAAATAGCGGGTTGCCATGCTGGGTTCCCGGCATCGACGACGTCGAACCTGGCGAAGGAGGACATAAATCGGTCAATTCGGGAAGCGTGCTCGATTGTTGCAAGTTCCAGAGATTGTCGCAGAGGGCGTTTGTCTCATCTACTTCTAGCCCTTGCGATGCCGGGGTGCCGTTTGTGTTTAGGCCGACATCACCGCCATCCACCATAAGTGGGGAGTTTGCGAATATATCCGTAAGTCCTGGCGACCTGAGAGTGGGAGATTGGTTGGATCTTGATGATGACCCATCAGGTTTGTCCCGCGGGAGGATGACGCTCTCGTTCTCTCCATTTGCTGAAGGATATTTGGTCACCCAGCGCAGATTCTGTACATAGCCGGGGCATTTCACGCCAAGACGAGTACATCGACTACAGTGAGGCTTCTCTTCCCCGCATTTGACCTAGCGACGAGATCTCAGCTTTCTCCGGGGGCTTTTCGTTTCCCGACAGTGAGCGGCGACTTACCCGTTTGCTCTTGCATCGTGCGCAGCCGTTGCGGGATTTCTTGACTCGGCGCATTCTCGACTCACCCGGTTAGCGGGGGGATTGAAGGGATGAAGAAGGGAGGGGAAAGCGACGGTCTCATGATGAGGGTTTGGAAGGAAATCAATCTCCAACTGACACGGCGAAGAGGAGAGAGGAAAAGAGGCGGAGGCCAATCAGAGGATCCCCGGCATGCGGGGAAGTGCCTGAGGCCGCTATCTGCCGCCAATCAGCGCCGCCGGGGACAAATTGCCCGTTTGGGGTATCGGCCACGTGACCTGGTGTCTGCCGGGCGTTGTCTGAGCTGTCGAGCCTTTGATACAACTATTGAGAGATATGGACAGCTGCTGTGCGCTCTCTAGAATGACGGATTTGCGCAAATAGCTCTCTGGTTAGCACTGAACGGCGTGGTGATTGTAGTTGAAGAGAGCCGACTGTATACTCCGCCTGATACCGTCCCGATGCCACTACGGATGGGATGCCGAGAGGGTGGGACAGCAGGAATTACTATCGGAGCCTGGAAAAGTATCTTAGTGCCATAATTGAAAGCCCGACCACCCAAGCCGCGACGCAAGAATGGCCGACGAGGCGATTGTTGTTGATTGACGCCCGCCGGTCAAGTGACCGCCGCCTATTGTTCTGCGGATGCCTCAGGCCGCCAGCCCCACGGCGCATTTCTTCGCGGCTCCGCGTTTCTTCGTCTTGACGTTGCGGATCTATACTGGCTCCTTCTGACGACTGCTGTCGGTTCACTTTGCATTCCCGCATCGACACACTTTTGGTAAAATCGCTCATTGGTATTTCTCTTTGGCTACTCACTTCTCGTCGGCATCACCCGGTCATTTACCACTGCTCCTCCCAATGGCCGAGTCCTACTCGACAGACCCTGAATGGGCCGATATCCAACCCATCGAACTGGATGATGGCGCGGACTCTGGATCTATGCCGCTGGCGACGATCGCCTACCCATCTGAGTACCTCGAGGCTACCTCGTATCTGCGCGCCGTGATGGCCGCCAACGAGATGTCCGAGCGGGCGCTCAAGCTAACGGAAGATATCATCTCCATGAACCCAGCCCATTATACCGTATGGTAAGCTGCCGATCTCTCGTGGTCTATCGGTTGATACACGGAGATGACTGACACCGTAGACGACAGGATCTACCGGGCCAAAATTGTCTTTGCTCTTGAAAAGGATCTCATCGAGGAGCTCGAATGGCTGAATCGGATATCCCTGAAGTTTCTCAAAAATTACCAGATCTGGTTCGCGTCATCACTTTGCCCTGTTTAATTCAGCACACCTAATCCCTCTCAACAGGCAACACCGTCAGGTCTTAATGGCATCCAAGACCCATTTCCCAACTCTGCCGCCCAAGGAGCTAGACTTCCTGATGGACATGTTCGCCCAGGATTCCAAGAACTACCACGTCTGGACCTACCGCCACTGGCTCGTCCGCCGGTTCCAGCTCTGGGACACACCGCGGGAAACCCAAGACGTGGAGAGTCTGCTGACGTCCGACGTGCGTAACAACTCCGCGTGGAACCACCGATTCATGCTGCGATTCGGCCCGCGCGCCGACGAGCACGACGCCGGCATGCCTAATAGCAACGGGACTCCCGCCGAGAAGGGCAAGCTGGCCGTCGTCGATGAGGACCTTGTCGATGCGGAGCTGGAATACGCCAAGTCGAAGATCCTGCTTGCCCCGGAGAACCGCAGTCCGTGGTCCTATGCGCGCGGGGTCCTCCGGGCCTCGGGCCGTCCGCTGTCCGAGTGGAAGGACTTCGCGCAGAGGCTCGTCACGGATAAAGTGGAGGATGGGCAGCTGGTGGACGTGGAGGTTAAAAGTAGTCATGCGCTTGAGTGGCTGGCGGATGTGTATGCGGAGGACGGCGAGCCGTCGACGGAAGCCGTGCGGATGCTTACGCTGCTGAAGGAGAAGTACGATCCCATTCGGAAAAACTACTGGGACTATCGGATCAAGACGATTACAGCTCCTGCGGCGGTGGCGGCTTGAAAGTTGTACGTAAGTACTCTTAGTGGACAACAGACAACCTTGGCACCCTTTGGGAATAATCACTTTCATAACGACGTATCACATTCTCAATTAAATCGGCGTAATATATGGATAGATGTGCCTCTATAACAAAAAGGTACAGAATGAACAAAGGGTAAATAGAAACGCAATGGCCCGCCATAAGCATCAATCATCATAAATAAAAGCAAAAGAACCCGCATAATGCAAGATGTCCCTTCGGACCTTTTAATTGCCCCAACCCTCTTGGAGCATCTTCCGCCATTCCACCGCCGAATCAATAGTGACATTGCTGCCACCACACACGACGATGACCACGCGACTGTCGGCATTCAAGTCCGGGACGAGCTGCTTCAGCTTCGACTGCAACGGCGACGCCGAAGACGAGGAAGTGCCATTCGGCACCGAGTCCTCGGCCCCCGACTCGTTCTCCGTCGCCGATAACCGATCATCCCCGTACCCTTCATCTCGCGAGGGGTTGTCCTCCATCGTTCTCTTACGCTTCCGCTCCAGGGACGAAGGCACCGGGGAGGAAGACGATGCGACGGCTGCTTTGCCCGCGTCCCCGACAGCTGCCTCCACGCACACGCCGCACGCCAGTTCCACAAGCAGCCTCTCGTCGTCGACGAGCCTCAGCACTCCACGGGCCGCGTCGGCATCTGAAAGCACGGCGCTGTGCACGGCAATCCCGGCCGGCGGCGACACCGCATACTCGAAGGTCTTTTCGGAGACCCGGATGGCCCCTAGCGAGGTGGCCTGCGACGTGATCTTGGGCAGCGAGACGAGGGAGTTCTGTGCCACCGCGGCGGCCAGGGAGTCGGTGCCGTCGGTTTCGATGGCCAGAAGGTGGATTGGGTTTGTTTGGACGATATCACCACCGGCGGCAGCGAGCTTGTGGTTCCGTTTCTGCATTGCCCGGTGTCGCTCGATGCCCATGACCAGGCCGTTTAAGAGCCCGCCACCTCCTACGCTGCAGATCACCGCGTCCATGGGCAATGGCCGGCCGCGGTGGGTCTGTTCCTCATCTTCCCCGACGGCAGGGGGCAGCTGGGTGACGAGCTCGTCGACAATGGTGCTGTTTCCTTCCCAGATGGGCTCGTTATCGAAGGGGTGGAGGGCAATCTTCGCGACGTCGGGGCTTTCGTCCTCGGAGACGGTCTGCATGATCACGGCGCGCATGTACTCGCCAGCCTCGGAGAAGGTCTCGCCGTGCTGGATGACATCGGCGGCGCCGGCGGTGCGCAGCTTCTGCACCATCAGCGGCTTCGTGGAGAGCGGCACCACGACGGTGCATGGGTAGCCTAGGCTGCGGGCAGCACAGACGGCAGCGAGGCCGGCGTTGCCGCCGGAGGAGGCGTAGAAGTGGACGGGGCGGTCGGTGTTCTCGGGCTTGACGAGGTGTGAGAGGATCTGGTTGCCCATGGCGCGGGACTTGAAGGAGCCGCTGGGCTGCACGTTCTCCAGTTTGAGGAACACACGACATCCGGCGGCGCGGGAGAGGGAGGCTGATTCCACCAGGGGGGTCTGGACCCAAGGGGTCTTGAAGGAGGGCTTTGCCTCTTCTCGTGCGATGCTGCCCATGGTGAATGGGAGGAGGAGATGGTAGGAGTGTATAGATAGTCTGTTAGAAAAGAAAGGATAAGAAGTGTCCAGACGAGTATTTGTAGGAGAGAATCAAGATAAAGAAGAAGAAGAGAGAAAAAGATCTGTTATGTTGGAAGTAGTGTACAGGCTCAAGTAGTAGACTGGCTGGTAGGATGGAGGAGAGGAAGTATAAGAAAGAGGAAGAGCCGGGGAAAACAGAGACACAGCCAAGCTCAACAATCCGATATAGATAAACCCAGAAAGGAAAAGAAAATCAATAACACCGACCAATACAAACCCTTGCGTTATATGAAGCGTATAGTTCAAGTTCTGATATACAGACTTCGGTATCTTCCCGAAAAAGTTTGCCGCGGGAAAGCCCTGGGTTTCCCGCCCCGATATCAAGCATGTTTCATCATCGCGGATCTGGACCCAATTCCCGCTGATAACCTTGTGGGCTTGCGAAATTCAAGTCCGTGGGCCATGACATAACATAAATACTCTCATAGGAGCCCTCCCTTAGGCGTTCTCCAGCCTTGTAAGCTTAAGAAGTTAGTACCAACGACGACGAGCGGGAAAGCCGTTCACCGTTCCCAGCCGTAGCTAGTGCTGGCGGAGAAAAAAAAGCGGCCTTCATATATAGATGGCACAGTCAGATTCTTTTTTGCGCTATTTTGCTGTGGCTGGAGTCGGCCATCTGGTCTTTTTTTTTTTTTTTTTTTTTTTTTTTTGCGTTATCGAATCGGAGAATCACGACACTAAACATGTCTTACTCCTCAGAGATAAGAGGGGGGAACAGGACCGTCTTTCGGACGCCTTCCCCATAGTTTGGATCTGAACCTAGTTTCGCAGCCGAGAATCTCCGTCTGGAGGGATCCGTGCTGTCTACACAGAGGTAGTCTAGAATTTCCTTGGCCTTGGTGGGCATGAATGGCTGCAGCAGGATGCCGGTGATTCGTAGCGACTCGGCAACGTTGTACAGACAGCGGGGGGCGTTTTCCGCGCCCTTCCAGGGCTCAGATGCATGGATGTACTTGTTGGCCTGGGGAAGAAAGTTGTTAGCGCAGGGCGGTTTACGATCGGTTCTCACCACTCCAGCTTACCTGTTCAATTAAGGCCATGATATCTTGCAGAGCTGCTCGCGGGTTGAGTTTCTCCATGTGCTCCGCCACCTTGATGGGGGTTTCCTCAAGCAGTTTCTGGTACGCGAGATCGTCCTCATTAGCCGGCGCAAGACTGTCGGAAGTCCCGTTAACGATGTGTGTCCGGAGTTTGCCTTTGGAGGACCCCACTACTCGTGACGCCAGGTTCCCGATTCCCCATTGCAGTACTTTCTTGTAATCCCGGATAATGTATTGATTGTCATAGTCGGAATCTCCCGCGAGGCCACCTTGGTAAGCAAGGAAGAAACGCATGGTGTCGACGCCGAACCGGTCGATGGCGAAAAACGGGTTAACCACGTTTCCCGTGGATTTCGACATCTTCTCGTGGTTCATAGTCCAATGTCCGTGAACGAGGACATTGCGAGGCAGAGGAAGATCCAATGCCATCAGAAAGGCGGGCCAATACACGCAGTGGAATCTGGAAAAGATCGTCAGTCTCGTACATACTCCACCCGGACGATGCGGAAGGGAAAGCCTACCGAACAATGTCCTTGCCGACAACGTGTACATTGGCTGGCCATCCAAGTCTTCCCTCTTGACCAGGAGGGAATGGATAGCCTGCCTTAGTCAGGTAGTTGATCAGCGCATCAAGCCAGACATAGATTGTCTGCGTCTCGTCTCCCGGAACAGGGATGCCCCAATTCAACCGATCTACAGGTCTGGAAATTGATAGGTCTTGAAGGCCTGAAGAAACCGATTTGACCACATCCGTAGCGTAATTCGAAGGGGTAATAAAATCCGTCTTGTACAGGTCCAACAGGCGCTCTTGAAAGGCAGACAGACGGAAGTGATAGTTTGTTTCCGAGGACCACTCCACTTCTTTTCCGGTTTCGACTGACACCTATACACCATGAGCTGATGTTTTGTCATTAATGTGCTATTGCCATGACCTACCATTCTTTTCCGTCCGGTGGTTGGATCTAGTGAGTTCTGCACCTGGGCTGGGGGATAAAATGTTTCATCGCTGACAGAGTACCAGCCTTCGTGCTTGGCGGTATAAATGTAGCCCCGGTGGCTCAGCATTTCCTGGATGTTTCGTCAGAGCTTTGGCCTTTGCATTTTCGAAGGGGTCGAGAAGACGTCACATGACATACCCAGAAATACTGAACTGCCTCCTTATGCGCCGGCTCGGTCGTTCGAATGAAATAGTTGTTATCGAGATTCGCGGCTTTTGCCAAAGCCTGCAGGTCATGCGTCAACCGGGATAAAAGAAAACAAAGGGTGGTTTTGCGCGACGTCAGAGACACTAACCTCGAATGTTTTGTAGTTCATATCGCAGAAAGCTTGGGTGTCCATATCCGCGGCGAGTGCGGCTTGTTGGATCTATTGATTATGGTCAACTCGAGAAACCCCAATCAAAGAGCCAAATGGTAGGTACCTTCATTCCGTGTTCATCGGTTCCAGTCAAGAATTGAGCATCCGATTCTCCATTGAGTGTCCGCCATCTTTTCACCACATCCCCGATGACCATAGTATACAGATGACCGATATGGGGTGCTTCACGGCAGCAAGTCGGTCAGCAATCGCACCGATTGAGGGTATCCCGACAATAAAAACATACCCGCGTTGACGTAGAAAATAGGAGTCGTTACATAGTAAGGCTTCTTCGTTCCTTCAGACGCCGATGTCGCAAATCTACGCGGAAGAGCCGCGGAAGTTAGACGCGATGTCCTGCAGGAAGCGCATTTCCAAGACGGTCTTTGATGGGCTAGAAGCTGACTAGCCCACGAGAGAGCACGAAAGCGGTCCCTGGGGAGAGCCATTGCGAAAGGTGTGTTGCCGCAAGAAGGAAGAAACGCGAGGACATCGACAGGTGAATGACTTCGGAGGTGGACAATCTCCGGGTGGTCCAAGCTCCCCCGTACCTTTTTTTCTGGCGCCCTTCCGCCTGCAATTCCTTCTTCCTCCGTAACGCTCCCGGCTTGATTTTTTCTATATAGTTGCGACCTTCACATATTCACTTTTATCCTTATACTTATTTTATCCTATTTTATTTTGGACTTTTTTATATCGATATTGTCACCTTGCGAGATTCTTTTTATTCGTTTCGTTGGCCACTAGCCAGTGATCAACCGCGATGGCTCCCCTAGGTGAAGACACGCTCACGAAAGTGTCTACGAATGGTATGTTACTCCAGGATTAGAAGGGAATTTTTCTTTGTTTATTTTCTGACATCCGATCTTTCGTTCCCTAGCGGCCACCGAATTCGTCCAGTCTTTCTACCCCGCGCTCCAGTCCAACCGTGCCTCGATATCCTCGTTTTATAGCCAACCTACTTCTACCATCATTTTCAATGGAAACGTCGTCGCCGACGGTAGTGCAGTCCAGGAGATCTTCGTCAACCAGATGCCTCAAACACACTACGAAGTACAGTCATTTGACTGCCAGATCATCAACCCGACTTATCCTACCCCTACGACCAACGGAGTAAAGTCGCCCCAAGAGACAACCGCGAAGGACCTCTCGATTCTGGTGGTTACCAGCGGGTTTGTGCGCTTTGGAGAGTCGAGGGATCTTCCGCAACGCGGATTCAGCGAGACTTTCGTGCTGGTTCCGAACCCCTCGGCCGATGCTCCCAAGGGAAAACGCAGGAGAGAATGGCTGATTCAAACCCAAACTTTCCGACTTGTGGTCTAAACGGTTGGATCTCTCACGGATAGAACGGTTCATCTTGGTGGATATGCATTATCATGCGCTATGACGATAAAATGAATAATGGCCCCGGGCCCTGAGGCTGGATATTCACGGAACTCGCGTTGGTCTGATATACGACAAAGAAGAACTATTTTCTGAACGCCAGAAACACCCATAAATTTCGCGACAAGCGGAATCACCAAAAACAACTCGCGAGTTCACCAGAACTATGAGGAGGCAGACCTGCGCGGTACACGCAAATTCGCTTTGACTCGTGCGAGTAGCTCCTCGCGTGTGGAGCTTTCATTCGGCAAAAGCCCTCTCTATCAAGTCAATGTTAGCACAACTACTTGCTTTTCGTCTCGACTTTCTATGTTTGTATTTCTTTTGGGGAAAATCCGAAAAGGTGGGACAGGACATACGACATGAAGCCATCTTCGCATTTCGTCGGCCGTCCAATCGTTGGGATCTAGTATTACCATTGGGATCAGTTCATGCGCCCGGAATTACGCTCTTTGGTGTTTACCTCCGGTTGGATCTGGCTGGGCAGGGAGCATATCGCTACCCCAGATGGCCCAGACGGCGGCGGCCGTGACCATTCCCGCAAACCCTATGACATTTAGATTAGACAAGATCTCTTTTGCTATTTTGCTGAACGAAGATTTATATACCCAGGAACAGGTTCTGGGGGATTTGTTAGCTGGTACATGTGATCCGGGTTTTGTTTATGGTGCATGAATGGAATCAATACCTTGGACTGCATTGCTCGATCTAGGGGGGTGGGCATTGTGGGTGATATGCGAGTTGAGTAGAGGTAGAAATGAATCCAACGTGAAGAGAAGGTAGATCGGTGGAAGGACAACTATACTTCAACCGTATGGATGCATGGATGGACCATACAAACCCACTGCCGCCTGGTGCACCGCCTCCCCCGTTCCCCGTGACGTCGGGGCGGCACCGCCACCTGCGGAGGCTTGACTGTCAGGGCTCCGGCGGCGCAACCCTAAAGCGGCAGAATCCCACAATAACCGCCTCGACCAACGACGTCAAGATCGCCTTGAGTCTGCATTCCGCCTTCAATCCAACCTCACATCACGTCACAACCACCTGCCCATCATGCCTCGCGAAGTTTCCGACATCAAGCAGTTCATCGAGATCTGCCGCCGCAAGGATGCCTCCTGTACGTCTTTCCTGTGATTGCGGACGGCTCGGGTGCTACGGCTCCCCGGTTGGAGCTCCGGGCTGGACGTTTGGGAGCTTGCACCAATGCGAGAATGACCTCAACACTGAAGCTAACCATCCGTCTCCGTAATGCACAGCTGCCCGCATCAAGCGCAACCGCAACACCCAGCAGATCAAGTTCAAGGTCCGCTGCCAGCGCTTCATCTACACCCTCGTCCTGAAGGACTCCGACAAGGCCGACAAGCTGAAGCAGAGCCTGCCTCCTGGTGCGTTCCTTCACCCGAATTACACTACATCTGTTACGTGACCAAGGAACGGATGGCTGTTGGTCTCATTCCGAGACCGGCTGATACCTGATTGGACAAGAGGAGACCACGACGGTCGGAAATTGACAAGGACCTACGCTGACCGCTGATTCCTGCCTACAGCTCTCAAGGTCGTCGACGTCTCCAAGGGCGACAAGAAGAAGTCTCTGTAAACACTTTCCTTCATTGGAACTAGGACTATAGGACCGCGGGGGGAACAATGGTCGAAAGCATGATTCAACTGTCAAATGGGAATTAGCATGGGCATAATTGTCCCCTTGTGGGCCGACACTGGAATAATCGGATTAAAGCATAAATGATATGTGGAATTGACCATTTCAGCGTCTGTCACCGGATGCTGGGTGTGTGATAGTCAACACGATCGGCATTTTCTTTCTCACCGGCCAGGCGACCTACAAGTCTCAATTAACCGCCGGGGCATGCTTTGTCGGGGCACCCTGGATTCTACAACATAATAAAGATCAAAAAACAGTTGAAAATTTGATGCAACCCTTTCGGCATCCCGAGTGTACTATTGAAGGTGCGACAACGCTGGTGTTGATCACGTTGATCAATGGACACTACGAAGTGCTCCGTCGGCTTCGCCGATTTCTCTTTCAGGATGCAGCGTGGGTTTTGTAGAGAGTCTAGGGACTCTAGGGGATATGGTACAACTTGGTTCCCACCGTGTAGGAGCCACACATAGTCGAGTCATTAGTGACCTTGGTGGATCGATGGCCCGTAAGAGCCACCCGATGGCAGGCAGCTTGGCATGCCATGAAGCGGCCCAAATGCCGTCCTCAGCGTCGATTTGAGACAAGATGGAACATGTCAGGTTCGGAGGCCAGTGCCATCTAACAGCACCCGTAGTCTAGACAGTCGATGCCGACCCTCAGCGACGATCCTTTCTGACTCCATCAACAGAACAGCCTATTTGGGTCTTGGCAGGCTGGCGCTGAAACGCCTGCCAACTTCCCTTCAATTTCTCCCTGTCACAGGCTGGATGATCGTCGGTCATGGCTCATTCTCCAACACTCAGGGAATCAGGTTAACCCCTCCCCTTCCTGACCCTACTGACTCGAGTCTTTGCGAAGGAGGGGAAAAGAATGCATTGTTGGTCGACAGAGTACACACTCCAGGCAGAGTACTACTATGAGACCGTGGGCTGCCGGATTTTGCGCTGGCAATGCCCTGATGACCACCTGCCATGGCGGAGTTTTATACATCCCATCGCCTCATCCGTGGCACGGAGTAAGCCCCGTCGAATCATCGCTGCAGCTGGGGGCGCTTAAGCGCTAATCATTTCTATTCAGGTCACGGCAAGGTCCCGGGGGATGACGGATAGATCTCGGTCATATAGGGCTCCCACTTTTCCCCCCCATCGTTGAAGACCCAAGACGACCGGTGCGATTCCTTTTCAGGAACGGATGCAGGACGAGGTGGTCTAGGGGCTTCACCATTCTTCTAGTTCAGACTCGAGAATTGCCGTCGGTCCGTCATCCCGGCCTGCCCTGGGGGATCGGCATGGCTTTGTCCAGGAATAACTCAGCCATGCAGAATGCCACACGCTTTGTTTCTACCTCCCTCATTAAGGAGAAACAACATCAGTCCACTATGGGTCCCATTGTCTGGCGGGTACTTCCCAGTTCCCAATGTTTCCACACAACGGTCGAATGTGATACTTCTTGGCTCGACTTTTTTTTTTTTTATGTGCCAACTCCAAACCCTTGGAGTATTGGGAGTCTAGGACATCTATGAGGTGATGAGTTTTGGCAACTAATTTCCATGCTCAAGTGCAAGTGCCGAGAACAGCAATGGCATGCCATCATGGGTTACCCAGCAGGACAAGGAGAACAAGTCCGAGGGTTAAATGCAACTCGTGAAAGCAGGTTGTAACCTCGCAAGCGCTGGCCTTGATCCATCGTCCATCCGAGAAGGCCCTATTGGCCTCTGAGGCCCCATTATGTCGAACGGACCCTGCACCGTTGGGTTCCCGGATAATTTCACCACCTATTCTGGCGTTACGGACCAGACAGGCCAAGAGTGGAGCGTCCTCCTCTCTCTCAATGCTAATTATAACAAGACCTCCATCAGATGAGATATAAAAGGGCCCTCGAATACCCATCTGTCATGTCTCTTTTCTTCTTCATCCCCAAACTCATTGAACTCTATCCTCATTCCTTCTCTTCGCCTTTGGTCAAGCAGGACTCTTAATCATCGGCACCGGATTTGACATCCTTTTCTCTCTTTGAATCATACACAATGGCCCTCTCCAAGATTGCTTCCCTCACCGGCCTTCTGGCCTCCGCTTCTCTCGTCGCTGGTCACGGCTACGTCTCTGGCATCGTCGCCGATGGCACCTAGTATGTTCAATCAATCCCAGCCCTTCGTTCTATCCATGTATATAGTGGAAAGATGCTAACCATGGCACAGCTACGGCGGATACCTTGTTGACAAGTACGCCTACTCGGACAACCCCCCTGACACCGTTGGCTGGTCCACCAGCGCCAGCGACCTTGGTTTCGTCGACGGCACCGGCTACTCGTCGGAGGACATCATCTGCCACAAGGACGGCAAGCCCGGTGCCCTGACTGCCTCCGTCAAGGCTGGCTCGGACGTTGAATTCCAGTGGACTGAATGGCCCGAAAGCCACCACGGCCCCGTCATCTCGTACCTTGCCGCGTGCGACGGCGAGTGCTCGTCCGTCGACCCGACTTCTCTGAAGTTCTTCAAGATCGACGCCAAGGGCCTCATCGATGGCAGCAGCCCTCCCGGACAGTGGGCCACCGACGACCTGATCAGCAACAACAACTCGTGGACCACCACCATCCCCTCGTCCATCGCCAACGGCAACTACGTCCTGCGCCACGAGATCATCGGTCTCCACTCCGCCGGTCAGGAGAACGGTGCCCAGAACTACCCCCAGTGTGTCAACATCAAGGTCACCGGCGGCGGCAGCGCCAGCCCTGACGGCACTGCGGGCGAGGCCCTGTACAAGGCCGACGACGATGGCATCAAGTTCGACATCTACTCCGACCTCAGCGACGGATACCCCATCCCCGGCCCTGCCAAGTTCGACGCTTAAACACAAGATTATCAGGCTGGTTTCTGTTTTATCTTCTCGCTAGGTGGATTGGACCTTTGTCCATGGATTGACAAAGTCTTGTTAAATACCGGATAATGGAATGAGGTTGAGTTCTTTGAGCATACTAGTTTCCTTGTAAGGGCATTCGGTAGTAGTGCCTGTAGATTCTTAGAGTTCGATTCCCATCGTAGCTCGCATAGCCATGATCCACAGAACTCTTCAGAGACCAACGGCAACATGACCACTCTGTAAACGACTTCTAATCTCGTCCTTCTATTTTCATCGCCATGCGGATATCTAGTAATGGTCAACCTCCTGCTCACTCCTCCCATACTCCATCTCAACATACCCATTAACCCCGGCACTCTCCAGCCCCCTATTCATACTCTCCCTCCCCAAATCTGTCCTCCTCAACTCAAACTCCCCAAAATAATTCGGCTCCTCCGTGACCCTCTTGAACGATGCCCCCTCAAACAGTGCCAAACTCCGCTCATTCCCCTGACCGATCTTCACACTCAAACAAGAAAACTTCAACCCCCCTTCCCATTCCCTTTCCACCTTCTTCCCCATGGCCTCCTTCGCAACCTCATCGCCTCGCACAAACTCCTCCAAAATCTCACCCTCCCGGTCCGCTACATACCGCAAAAACGATAGTAGCGCAGCCTTCCCGAACCCGCGACGCTGATTGCCCTTCTCGGCGATCATAAGCTCGATCTCGCCGACGATCAGGGGCTCGGAGCCACCTTCCTCGCCGTCGTCGACGCGCAGAAACAAATTGATGTCTCCGATCATGTTGGCGGGGCTGTCGGCTTGGTCGGTGAGGGGCCCAGACACAGGCTGGCACACAATAAAGGTCAGTTTATCGGGGTCCTGGCGCCAGCTTTGTTGCATAGTGTATTCCTCCTCTAGTGTGAGGGGCTCCGAGGCGGTGGCTTCTTGGATTTCCTGGTGGGGTGGTTAGTGTTTTAGGTGGTTGTGGGCGTGTTACCTATGCTAGTGTACGGGTGGTGGGAGAATCTATATTTTAAGAAAAGTAGAGTAGGGGAGAGGATGTAGGTAGTAGACAATTCATACCGGGTCTTTCATCCACTCGTGATAGCGCGGGACATGCCATTTCGAGTATGGGACTAGAAGCACCTTGGAGGTGGAGATTGCTGGAAGTGGGTTCTGTGAGCGATTTCCCTGTTCCATGAGAGATATTGTACGCACCAGTCTTGGCATTGAGCAGCATGATGACTATGTTGAGGTTTTTGTGCAGAGAGGGAAATCGGGAGAATGGAAGACGCAGAAAGACAAGCGGAAACGACGATTTCCTGCCTGGTCTTGGCACGCGGCCTGAGGTGTATAGGTAGCTACCCTCGAGTTATATTATGCTATATTCGATGCGCTTCAGTTCGTACAAGTTACATTTATTGGAATATATAGCCATTAATGAAATCATTGCTTTTCTTCCTTCCCTGCAAAAGTCCCGAATTTGATCACCTCCGCCTCCAAGGTCTCTGTGTCCACTAGAACAAGCTCCCCGGTTTCGCGGAACTTGGGAATCGACAGAAGACGAACTCGCTGAGCCGGCGTGTTGTCATTCGAATCAGTCATTTCCGTGTCGGCTCCGTTGAGTCTCCATGGAGCATCACTCTCAATGACGGCGGTTTTAAATCCGGGTTGGTTGCCGGCGAAGAAAACATGGGGGCAAGATTGCATCACAAACGGATCATGTGTTTGGAAAGGATAAGACCCTGTTGTAAGAGGTTAGCATCGAGCGAGATTGAAGCATCGAAAGAGATCGGTGGACTTACAGATAGTATCAGGTGCCGTGGGGACACCGCATCTCCAGCGCAAGATAGCTTCCATGATTCGAATCCTGGCTTCCCCGTCTCCATTGGTGTCGATGTTTCCATCCTCATCGGCAAAGTCAAGGTAGCGAAGCACGTCGTCTACATTCTGTCCACTGGAGCCCCACAAACGCCACCCCTCGACGTCGCCCTCCCACGGGTTCGTGACACTGTCGAACCAACCTGGTTCGGGCGTGTCTTCGCCGGAGGGAGGTGGAGCGCAGTATGCTCTGGCCCGCGGGAACATGGCCCGGTGAATCCCTTGTTGCGGCAATGCGAAATTGGCGGGATCGCTTGCTCCCGGCATGAGAGTCACCGGTATACTAGGCAGAATCTCCGCGAGGAAGGTATCTAATTGGATGATGGGTGAGGCATTGTACGCCGAGGCGTCATATCCATACTTCTTCGGACCGCTCTTATTCTTCGCAGCCCCATTCTCATTGGGGTCCACGGTCGTACTGGCCCCGAGCGAGTTTCCCGCAATGACCAGCCTTGTGATCGCGGACGCATTGAATGTGCTTTCGTCGTTATTTTCCGACGAAGCGCCGGTGTAACCCAGAAGATAGTCGGTCAAAAGCTCCAAAGTCATAGTGTCGCTCGACGTTCCCGTTATTCCAAGACCACTTACGAAAGCGATCTTGCCTTTGCTCGTTGGACCCTTCGCCAAAGACTCGTCTCTCTCCCATCGACGGGGCTGGCGAGGTAGATCGGGGACCTTGATATCAATCGACTCAAAATCTCCGTTGGCATTTTCCGTTCCCAGAACAGCAACTATGGCTCCCGTTGCCAATTGTGTGGATCGTAGCATACTCCCTGTCAATCGCAAACGACCTGATTCGTCCTCGAGCATGATCTGAGTCGACTCGGGACTCGACGGATCGAGGTATGTGCGGCGGGGCGGAGGCGCCAATGTATAGTTCTACCGCTTAAGAATCAGCGAGTCGAAACATTGACGGGTCAAGAAGTCGAGTTTTACATGTTTCGTCAAGTCTTCGAGAATATTGGGTTTCAAGGGCATATCCATGTAGATTGTTCCGGCCACCCAGCAAAGCTCTCCCTGTCTCACATCCAACACTCTTTCTACCCGACGCGCGTGTTCTCCTGCAATCTATCCCAAGCCGAATCCGTCAGCAATTGGCCAGGAGACAGCTGTATGTCTTTTCCGGACGGCGACGATTAAGCTGTTTGACAGTGTCGTAACTGCAGAGTGTTGGCCTTACACTGAATCCTTCCCATGCTTCGATCGCAACCTCCTCCACTGCCGGTTTAAGTTTCGCGAGCCGTAGGAAATACATGTCGCCATATTGTTGTTGATAGTGCCGTTCTTGACCGGGGGGTAGTTGAAAAGTGTGAAGAGGGTTGTAATGCGAGGTTTCACGGTATACCGGCGTATGTTCCTTCTCACTGAAGTTGAATGCCAAAGTTAGCCATTGTACTTCTATTAAGAGCTCCGAAGGAAGCATTCAGGGCTTGAATGATCGCGGCGAGGGGGGTTTGTGAGCAAACCTTGGAGGGCGCATAAACTCATTATCCGTCGCGTCGGATGCCATTTTGTCGATTTTTCCGTCCGATCTTCAATCGAGTGAAGATGGTGACTGCGACGGAGGAAGGGCGGGGAAAGACGTGGTGGAGGATTAATTGATGGTCGGTGGTTGAAGAACTTCTGTCGGCGGACGCGAATCACGCGTCTTTTGGCGTTGCGTAATTACAGTACCGCTTTGGGCTTCTCCGCCCGCACTCAACGCTTCCATCTCTCCATCTATCGTCGTCTAGCATCACCGAGAGCAATGGAGCGCTCATTTATCAAAAGAACTCAATTACCAGATACTGAGATGAAAGACCTCGAAAGTCCATCACTGTTTGAGTTGCACCTACTGCCGAAGACAATTCTACATACTCCATCGTCTCGAGGACATGAACACATTTATCGGAGACAATAACAAAGACCCTACCCAAAAGGTCTAATGACGTCCTATACTCTGGAAATCATTGGATCCCAGTCCTGAAAATTGAGCGCTATACATATGGTGCTAGAAATAGTGGCTCATCAACCAAGGAGCACAAGCTTCCGAACGTTCTGAGATGATACCAGTGCAAAGAGTAGAGCAGAGTTGGCCCTAAGCGTACGTCAGAGGCTTACCAAGATGAAATCAAGGGAGACCGGCTTGCAAAGATGAATAACTCCCAATCGCGTGTCGGGAATTTCATCATATTCCGTCCTTGCCTCACCCCCACATGCCAATGGATCACTCGGTATGCCGAATGTTTCCCTCTTGAACACTGAAAGACATCGTTCGAACTGGCCGCATTCTCGATCAAGCGCGAAATTATTCTGGCCTGCAATGAAGGAGGGCGCTTTTAAGGTCGTAATGACCAGAATAGGCCAAGTAGAATACCATGGAAAAATACTTCCAGGCTACATTCCTATTCGGTCAGTGGTGTTTCTCGTCAGAGCATTGTTAGGTAGATTGGACCATTCTTGCCTCCTGTCGCCCTTTGGAGTTGATTTCTTTATTAGTCCCATGTCTACTTACTCTTCCCAAGCTAAACCATTCAACGACACCAGCAATCGCACTTGAACTTCTGACCGGGTTTGAAGATGAGAGCTTCAAGCCTACTTAGCTGCCCGATGGGGTGGTCCGCCACAATCCTCCTGATATGCACATTCACTACGGCCTTTAGATTTGATTTATTTCCACGAGACTTTCAAACACTGTTCAGGCGAAGTCTTCCGGGTGCTCTGGCGGTAGCCCCTCAAGGTGCAGTGGGCTACTATCAACCTCCACCAGGGCCTGTCACCTACAATTACAACCATTTGCCGTTGCCAACCTGGCCCGTCGCAGCTACAATGGGGACTGCGACCACGCCGACTACTACCCGCAAAGCATCTCAAGGAGCGGTTGAGGGCTCAGTGCGAACGGGTGACGTGCCAGTGAATGTGTAAGTCTGGATCGACCGGACCTCATGCTTGAAATAGCTGACCAATTCCCGTGCATACATAGTCCACGAAAGAACGTCGCTATCGTAACCGGAACTGTCACAAGGCCTGGCGCGGTCATGGCTGCGACACAGACAGCAATGGCCCGCAGGGATGCGGTCATAGCATCGACTAGCTTGGTGTTTTCTGTTTTCCTTGCAGCAGTGCTGGTTTGACTGCACAAAAAAATTGGTTTCGATGGGGCGAATTTGCTGGTAGTTATTTAAAACTGTGCTTGTGGCCCTCTACAAAAGTTATTATTTTAAGCGCGCGAAAATTACATAGAATTGCTGCATCTAGGACCGGGAGATTGTGTCCATTGTATTATAGTTCTAAAGCAGAAATTTTCCGTACGATGATTTTGAACTTTGTATTCCTAAATTCCTAAATATATAATCGGACGCCCGAGGTTGGGAGAGATTAAGGGAAGGGTTTGATGGATGTAGATGGCTGCTACGGTATAGGAATTTGAGCACTAGAGCAGACAGCAGATTTCAAGCTATGCTCAGTCGCTTGATACTCCTGAAACATAATCCTAGCCCTCAAAACAGGACGCATACTAAATAAGCCTTCCTGTCTTTGGATCAACCTGCTGTCGGCCCTTGAAATCCACCTTCAGCGACTTGGTGCCCTTTCGGACCAAATCCTGAAACCAATCCGGGGCACCTCGCTGACGAGTCTGTGAGCGATAGGCTTGTACCTGAAGGCAAGAAAACTCACCAAGCCTGCAAAGTAACCGAATATTCCGGGTAGGAAGATAGTCCGACTCAGCCCACTGTTGAGTGTATCCACAATCGCATCCACAACGGTGTCAACATGCAACAGAGGCATCAAGAACCGAGACTGGTTCGTCTCTCCTTTGAACAGTGGTGTTTTTGTGAAGCTCAGCACTGCCAGAGAGGTGCGGACTTTCGGCGCATTCTGGTCTCGGAGCTCTTGAGCAAGACACTCCACGGGTGAATGAGAAGATTAGCTGTAAGCTCAGACAGTAGACATGTACGGTACTGAATACAAACCTCGTGGAATGCAATCAATCCAGCTTTCGACGCCGCGTAATCAGCTAGTCCCGGCGGCGGGATGTAAGCACTCATGGAGGCAACGTTGAAAATATGTCCGTGATTTAGCTGGACCATGGCTGGAAGAAACTCTCGGGAGAGCAGGAATGGTGCCAGCAGGTTGGTACTCAGGGTTAGATTATTGTCACTGTATGTGCCTTCGACTACGGTTCGGCCGCGCGATAGGCCGGCATTGTTGACTGGAATCGTGTTAGCTAGAGAAGCAGGAATACCGGTTCGACTCAATGACCTAGGACCGTTGGATGGCCAATTTCGGATCTGATCTTTTCACAAACCGCGGAGATTTCTGTCTTGTCGCTGAGGTCGCACCGGTGGTACACGGTGCGTTTGTTTTCTTCGTGGCAGCATTAGTAGATCTTCGTTCATTGTAGGTCTTCCAGAGTAGGGATGACTTGTAATACCGGGCTTAAAGGTCAATGGGATGATATCTAACACAACAACGCGTGCCCCCATAGCAGCCAGACGTTGAGCAACCCCAGCACCAATACCGCCGCTGCCTCCAGTCACTACCACTAGCTCCGTTTCCAAGTCCCATGTGTCATCGATAACCCAATTGTTCCGGCTTTTAGTACTTAACCAATCGTTGAGCCATAAGAGGAGACTGAGCGCTGCAGTGAACAGGAGTAGCTTCTTGTACGGCGCGATGACGCCGAGTTTTCCGCTATATACCAGCTGTAGGGCTGTCAACGTGAAAATCGGGTGGAGAAGTGTTTTTCGGAGGCCTGCTATAATCGGATCAATGTATAGGCCCTCGCGGGGGAGGAAGCGCCGTTTTGTCGTGATCGTCATGTTTTTGGGGGTGGAAGTGAAACTCGGACTGTGGTGGATGTATGGACGAGGACTTTCACTTGTCTTCGGCATGTGTTTTAACCAGGCCTCACCAGAGCTCAAGGCAGATCTCGTGCCATTTCTCTCCTCTGGCTCGGAACGGAGCCGGCTGCAGTTGACTTCAACATCAAGGGTCCGGAATGCCTCCGGACTGGCAGCTGGAAGCATCCGAAGGGGTGATAAACAGTCGCTGATACAACTTGTGTCCACTTTGCCCTTGCAGTTGCCGGAGTTCGTCTCGTCGAATGGGGCTTTACGTTCTGCAACTATTCTTCACCTATTGATCCCGCGAAAAGCAAGATTGGAAAAGACAGAAGATGACTTCGGTAGCGAGCGATGCTAGCATCCGCAATCTAAGCGGCACCTGGGTGATGGTAAATTTTCACGAAATGTCATGATATGACGCTGATCCAAGCCGCTGGGAACAGGACAAGACCCGATCGTTCAACGTCGATGGAGTGTTGAAACTGGTAAGCAGCCAGATGCAGTGCCGACTACCGAAAGAAGCTGATCAGAGTGATCAGCAAGGCGTTGGCTGGATAACAAGGAGGGCTGTTTCTGCGGCGACGGCCTTTCTGAAAATAACCCAGGGTGCAGACGCCGGCGACGAATGGATGATAATAGAACCCTCCCTATCTGGCGTTATGAACGGAGGGCAGGAGACACGTCCATTAACCTGGGCCGAGTTCAAGCACAATGACGCACTTTTCGGCCTTGTCATTATCCGTACACACTACATTGCTGGAGCGAGGGTCTCAGATCATCAAGTCAGACCGCTTGTGGAGCTTCAGACCAAAAACGCCGGGTCAAATGTTGAGACTTTCTTGACCGAGGCTGTTGTCATAGACCAAGGGGTGGAGTATTCAGGAGAAACTGTTGCAAAAGCTTTCATTCATGACTTTGTCCGCAGCGTCAACTCTGGATGGACGGCGGAGCAGGTACGCATATCAAGGAGCGTCCAGCACCTCAGATACTAACTAGGGACTTAGATCTGGGCAGTGGAAACGGTTGGCGATGAAAAGTTCTTGACACGCAGAGTTGTGGTCCAAAAAGGCACTTCTTCCGAGACTGCTCACGTCTTTTACAAGCGTCAATGATAGCAATCAGTTAGGGTGCAGAGTATTCTCCTGTGGAGGCGTATTGATACTCATATTTTGATAAGGAACAGCTATCGCTGCCTTAAATAAGCAAAACTGCTCTTCATATACTAGTTCAATTTCATGCTCATTTTTCTCCTTCATGATGCTATACCAAGGAGTAGGACATTGTATATAGCCAGTTTTGCATCCTAATCCAATTGTCCTTTTAGTTGATCAAGGCTACCACGTTAATAGCTATGGGTCTTGGTCATAACGGATATAGACGGCTCTATTATAATGCCAATCACAGGATGAACCTGAAAAAGAAAGTATCACCCTGGTGATATCGATAAATTAAATTTTAAGGACTATCTATGCTAGCTAGAGCTGACCAACGAGTAGCTGAAGCATGAACCGGCGTGCACGGACTTTGCGCACCGCGTCCACGAATGAAGAATCCAAACAAGGTGTGATAGGCATGTCACTCCTTGAAGCAAGCTACAACAAAGTTGGTAATCGCCTTTGTAGTTCTGCTGGGGGTCCTCCCAGCCGCAAAATCCATCAATGGCCCGTCATGGGCCTCATTGGCCATATACAGAGTCACAGTCCCTTTAATCTTTCTCTTCAGTAAGTCGCCAAGCCGTTGTATATGGTCGCTAAAAACCTCTTCGTAGCCCCCGGTCACAAGGATACGATCAACGACCTCGAGATTCTCCCACCAGCCTTCCGGCACATCGAGTGCCATCCCCCAGCCACTCCCAGCAGCAATCTCCTCCTGCCAGGGAGAGTCCTTGACAAGGTAAACTCCCCATTCATCCACAACCCTACGACTCAGGACATCAGCGCTGAGCCACCGCTGATAGGAAGGGGTATTGAAGTCGAATGATGATAGTGGTGATACAAGGAAACACCCTTTTACCGGGCCCTGTAGGTCGATTGTATAATCTGCTTCCCCCTCAAAGTAGCGGTGACGGTGCAGATGGGATAGAAGACATAGCGATAGGTGGCCGCCTGCTGAGTCGCCACCGAAGACAACCTAGTAAGTCAGTCAGCCTTGACCTTGTAAGGAATGCCGTCTTATGAATAAATATACATCCGACGGCTTATACCCCAAAGCAAACAGATGCTTAAGTGCGAAGATGCCCTGCATCATCTGCCTAGGATATGGGTTTGCGGGAACAAGGTCTAGTTAGTTTGTCAGAAAGCATCCTTCCACTTCACGGCAATATATCACAAACCGTATTCAAGCATACAGACACTGAGCTCAATGCCAGCGTGGCCTGCCTCCTTCCTGATATGCGCCATCCAGTCCAGGTGCCCTTCAGAAAGCGGCATCACATATCCGCCGCCTGTAGCAGTTTAGTGAAGGCCCATGGGGAGAGCAGTGAGTCTTACCGTGGAAAAAAAGCACCACCTTGTTCGCTTTCCTGGGTCCCATCCACAGGAGCCGAGTTGAACGGTCAGCCGGTAGAATATCTACCGCGCGTCTAGTTCCATGGGACGATATCCATGCATTATAGGTCTCGATAGTGGAAGGCATGATGGCCTGAAGTTGGTGTGGGGGAGCGTTGGCCATCAAGGCCCCCGCAAACGCATTCCAAATGGAAGGCCCTAAAGGTAGTCCTCTTATCCGAGCACGAACAATGGCCGCTGGAATTCTGAGTGCTGCATGCGGCAGAACCCAGCAAAGGAAGGTAAATAGGAACTGCAGTCTCAGGAAGACTGATGCATTGCTCTTCATCTTTGCAGCGTTTCCATCCACCGTGCTTGTTGGACGTCAAGTTCAAGAGTTACCGTGGAGGATGGCGCCCATCCTGGGTATTATTCGTAGTAGAGACGATCCAGCCATACTGTCAGCTTTGTCAAAGTCTCACATACCAATCATTACCTATGTTGGAGAGGGTGAAGGGGGTTTCCCTGTCCCGAAGTTCACCACAAACTCCCGGAAACCACCCGAGAGGGCCGGGATGGTTCCGGTCCTTTTAGCAGATCCACGACCCGCTGCCATATTGAACCAAACCCACTTCCCAGCACCACAGCTGCCTCTCAAGACAAAGGCATCACGAACCGAGGCACAAATTAGCCTCTCCACGGACCATAGCGGGCTCTAATTAATGATAAGTGCACCCGGGGCAGCTTCGGACCCCCCCGGCTCCCACCCGCCCTTACTTGGCGCAGACAATGCCTCCGAAGGCGGCCGGAGACTGGAAGCGACGAACTACTGCGCGCCGTAAGGTCGCTCTGGCCTGCAACCCGTGCAGAGAGAAGAAGATACGCTGCGATGGGAGTAAGCCAATCTGTGGACCGTGTGGGAGGCGATCATACCGGAGCGACCAGTGCGTCTATAGCACGCACACGGATAATGCCCGCTCCGCGAGCAGGGACGAGTAAGTCCAACGAGCATACATGCATTCATTGGAGAGAAGCATGAATATAATACGTCTAACGCCAGTCAGATATGTCCATGCCCTCCATCAGCGAATCAGAGAATTGGAAGAGAACTGTTTGAGGGCCGGAGTCTCCATTCGGATGTCCTCAAACTCTCAACCCGAGACATCGAGTGGGCCGAATAGCCCCGACCGAATGCCACCGGAGGGAGTTGGCGTTCCTCCGACTGCTTTCCATGCTCCTCTGGAACCTGCCCAGAACCCGACTCCTACGAGTGTTCGGCGTGGGGCACCAGGGCATGGGTCGCAGGTCACACATGGTGGCCGAGACAACAGGCAGTCTGAACCGACAGGAGAAGGAACCGCAGAGGCCTATGAATCACCATTTTTCGACGACAGCGAAGGGCATGTCACGGGTATGGGCCAGATTATAGCGCCTGGCTCCGAAAACAGGGGGCAATTCTATGGAAGTTCATCTACTGCTTCGCTCATGCGGTTTGCCTCGGAATTGATGCCCTCGCGGCCAACAAATGATTCGCGTGTCGAACCCATCGCCGGCAGACTCCAGGATACATCGACTATCTACCGGCTTGATGACTTCGTGCTGCCGCCGCGGACATTGGCAGATCACCTCTTAAACTGCTTTTTCGATCATGTCTATATTCTGTATCCATTCTTTGACCGACCTGCGTTTGAAGCGGCGTACCGCAATCTCTGGCGCGCAGAGGATGAGCCCAACATCGCTCTCACAGACCAGAGAATCGGACTAGGATCACGCGCAGAGTCCGGGCCTAAGTCAATTGTCTTTCATTCTGCACTTAACTGTATCTTTGCTCTGGGCTGCCAGTTTGCGGATATTGCGTCCGAGGAAGTCGAGCTGGTCGCGAATTCCTTCTTCCTTCGAGCGAAGAGGTTTATTGGTCTTGATTTCCTTGATATTAATACGCTCGGTGTAGTTCAGGCATTATTGATCACGGCGTTATTTCTGCAAAGCTCGCCATATCCCAGCCGGTGCTGGCAGTCGGTTGGTGTGGCCTGCAGAGTTGCCTTGGGATTGGGGCTACATGAATCAGATACTCTGGCAACATTAGCCCCTTTGGAGTCGGATATTCGACGGCGGACCTGGCATGGCTGTGTAATGATGGATGTGTAAGACCTGCCAACCACTTCTGTTCTCTCCAACCGTGCTAATCCATGGCCCACAGCACATTGAGTATGACATATGGCAGACCAAGCATGACCAGCCACCTGGCTCCTTTTCCTCCCCCGAGCGACTCAGACGTACCCTGCCATCCGAACGGTCCCGGGGAGCCATCTCTCATGGCGTTCTACACCGAGTCCATCAAGGTTTACGATATCCTCGATCGAATCTTGTCTGATGTGTATTACACCTGGCGGGGCCGTTCCCGCCAGGATCAACTGCACCCTTCAACCAGAAGCCTTGGGGGTCTAGACACTGTCCTTGAAATCGAGAGGCAGCTTACCTTGTTTGAAGCGAATCTTCCTTCCTTCCTTAAGTGGACGTTGGTGCCGTCTGGAATGTCTGCGGATGGAGAATCAACACGAACCATCGCCAAACAGCGCAATGTTTTACATGCCAGGTGTGCTTCTCCTGAATCCCCCGAGTTAATGCCTGCTCACTGCCTATGCAGATATATTCATCTCCACCTTCTTCTCTACCGACCTATCTTCACCCAGCTTTACTCCGCAAGAGTCAGCAAGCAAGAGAATTCAAGTAGGCCGGAGTTTCAAAAAGGTCCAACATTCCAAAGCTGCTTGACACAGAGTGCCATATACTCCTCCGTTGCTAGTAAATGCGCCTCAGCATGCGTGATGGCAGCGGCCGATCTCACACACCTAGTCCATGAGACCTATCGGACCGATGCCGCCGATGCATGGTGGTACAACGGATTCTGTGCGTTGCCAGTGAATTCCACATCGCTCTGTCTATTATGCTAACTGTACTGGCTCAGACGTATCAACCGCTGCTATCGTCCTTCTCATGTCCCTCTCCGCCCCATCAATGCTCGATCCATTCACCATGGACAAAGCGCGGGAAGCCTGGAAAGAGGCGATGCGGGTTTTAGAATCTATGGCTTCATTCCGCCGTTCCGCTACCAACACTCTTCAATTTCTGCAAGGCGCGTATCGCCAGGCTGTGCCTGGTGATGTACACCAGACAGGCACGGATGTTACAGGTGTTGCTTCGCAGCTTCGAAGTGACGTCGCTCAGTTGAATGACACGTTCGACCATCCGGTTAACGACCCAACACAGATACCGTTCTTCAATTGGGAGGAATTCGCCGCCAGTATGGGTCCTGGGCTGGATGATTTGGGGTTCTTAACTAGGCTTGATTTTCCTGATTGCTTAGGCTGAGACCAACTTTGTCCATACTATACGTTTCTCATGAGTACGCCTGGAATTTAGTTTCACGGTTTCCCAGTTTGATGAATATGTACACAACTGGATACCAAGAATAACACCGCCAAGTCTCACCCCCAATATCATGAGAAGGTTAGCATCTAATTCAGCCTAGTCAGCAGACATAAGAAGGCTGAGCAGACCCTCGCACCCCTTCACTCCATCCTCTTTATCTCATTCTTCTTAGGGAGATCCCACCCCACCACATCCGTCCCATGAATCCAATCCATCAAGCCAATAGTCCCGTAGTTCACGCGGAACTTCTCATGATGCAAGTCATGGATTTCCGCTGGCGGAAGCTTCAAGAAGTCATATCCGCTATGGTCTGCCGCCGCCTCCCAGAGCTCAAAGAGAACAAAGGCCATGAGGGATAGCATGTGCGCGCCCTTGAGGTATAGCGGAAGCGTAATGGGTAAGACATTGGCGAGAAGATGCTCGACCGGATGGGCATACTCGGCTGCGAAAGCCACTGGCGCCGTGTATTTGTGGTGCATCTTGTGGATATAGACGTAGACACTGGGGTGGTGGAGGGCGCGGTGAACATAGTAGAATGAGATTTCTCGTGCTAGCAATCCGAATGCGAAATCCACGAGGAATGTCTTGAACGGGGGCACGATCGGGTCCAGATTCGTAATTGCGTGGTCGAGCCCTGTGAAGGAGAGCATCAGGCCGGCGAGCGCAACTGACCAGACATGATTAAACAAGGTCACTTTCACGCAGTGCAGGATCTGTTGACGGGTTGGTTGGCGGCGGGCGTCTTGGATTTTGTGGCGCTGGGAGAATTTCGGGAACAGAGTGTCAATCAGCAAGTAGAACGATGCAGGAATGAGAAATCCGACGATCTGAACCAAGATAATTGCCGCGAACTCGATCGTGCCCGGTCTGTATGTTGTGGTGGCATGAGACCAGGCGGCCTGTAGTTGGGAGTGGAGATCCATGGTTGTGGTGTCGTTTGGGGTCTGGCGACTGGCTGTCTTTAAGATTCAGGGATAATGGGCAAGGCTTCAAGATAGAACGGACCTGTTCCGATCTGCTTTCCAAAGACGCCGAGGCTGACAACCGGGACTGTCCCGAATGATGGTGAAATGCTCAGGCCAACTTCTCCTGTATGAGGGGGATTCTATGCGCAACTCCGGAAGCCTTCCGAGTTGACTTTGTGCTAACTTGCGACGACGGTCATACATAAATCTAATGTCGGGACCAAAGTAGAGATTTCAAGAATGGCCAAGTTCCAATTGGTCTACATTATTCCCCGATATGGTCTCCAAGTTCCCCGACGTTCCATCCTACAGCCAGGTAGCCTGTGTCGGTGCCGGTCTATCAGCTGTCGCCCTGGGAGCCTCGCTGAAGCGATGGTACGGTTTGGAAGACATCCGCTTCTTCGAACGGCATCCAACTAGCGGTGGGACATGGTACATCAGCACCTATCCAGGTCAGTCGGAGCCGCGTGCTGTGTCTCTCCCTTGGTCAACTTACATGCCGTAGGATGCGGTTGCGACGTCCCGAGCGCTCTGTACAGCTTCTCCTTCGCTCTAAACCCCAACTGGACGAAGCTCATGCCATCGAATACGGAGCTTAAGGAGTATGTCGATAACGTGGTCGATACGTACGACCTTCGTCCGAAGATGACATTTGGAACGGAAGTCGTCCGCAGCTTCTGGCGGGATGATGCAAACCGGTGGCTTCTCTACCTGCGCGATCTGAATACTGGACGCGAATATACCCATGAATGCCAGGTTCTCTTTGCCGCCACAGGACAGCTTGTCGAACCACGCCCCTGTGAGATCCCCGGCGCCGAAGACTTCCGCGGGCGTATCTTTCACTCCGCGAGGTGGGATCATAGCGTGAATCTTGAAGGGAAGAATGTTGTTGTTATCGGGAATGGATGTGCGTCCTTTGCTTTTCTGGTTGAAGGAGAAAGGCTGAAATCAAACCAGGCACTGCTGCACAAATCGTGCCAGCTCTCGTAAACGACAAAAAGGTGAAATCCATCACGCAGATTGTCCGAACCAAGCATTGGATATTCCCAGCTCCGAACTTCCCGTACCCTCGAATTCTGCAGTGGATCTTTCGCTATGTTCCATTAGCTATGAAATTGCACAGGCTCCACATCTTCTTGGTTGCTGAGAATGATTTTCGCTTGTTTCCTATGACCAAGAGCGCGGCGAAACTCAGGGAGAAGCGACGAAGGCAAGTGGAGAAGTACATGCGAGAGGCAAGTCCAGAGAAATACCATGACCTCCTGATCCCGGACTTTGACGTAGCCTGCAAGGTATATCTCCCTTAACTCTGTTTGGACGTCAATTATGCTGATTCAACACTCAAGAGGAGAATCTTCGATCCTGGATATCTGGAATCGCTTCACAGCGAAGCGGTCCTCCTGACCGACGCGAAGACCCAAAAGATCATTGCAGATGGCATTGAGTCAGATAAAGGCTTCATACCAGCGGATGTGATCGTCCTCGCGACAGGCTTCCAGACCAACAAATTTATCCCGTACATGGACGTTGTCGGACGCAAGGGCGAGAACGTCTCCGAGCACTGGAAAAGATACGATGGCCCAGCTGCCTATAACTGCTCTGTGTTAAGCGGGTTTCCCAACTTCTTCATACTCCTGGGACCGAACGCGGCAACCGGGCATACGTCAGCGATGATGGCTGCGGAGAAGTATGTCACTCGTTCTTATTTCTGTGCTAGATCTTGGAATCTAACAACTCTCCTAGCTCCGTCAATTATGCTCTCCGCGTCCTAAAGCCAGTCCTAGATGGCGACGCCGCTTCGGTCGAGCTCAAGGCTAAAGCCGAGCACGACTACGTGTACTGGGTGCAAGACGCGTTGAGTAAACGCGTTTGGAACGCTGGCTGTTTATCAGTAAGTTTACCGGAACACTGTCTATACTGTCCTCTTTCTAACTGATTCCCCAGTGGTATATAAATGACAAGAAGTGGAACTCCATGTCCTATCCCTGGACTCAAGCCCACTACTGGTGGAGGAGTCTTTTTCCCACCTGGTCGGACTGGAACATCAAGGTTTGCTCTCAACTTCGTTTGATTCGGTGCACATGGTATACTGACTGCAAGTAGAAAGTGGAAAAGCCATCGACCCGTTCGTCGCCCCGGATTTTGCTCCTGGCTCTATTGTTGGTTGGGATTTTGGGAGTCGCGCAGTCAAGTATCACTGTGAATATCTCTCTGAACCATGTTAAGGGTTATTTGGCTACAGTTCTGTCAAGGATACACAGCAACTAGACTTGCTCCGCCCGTACTAATTGTTTCATTATTGTGCCCACCTAAATGTCAAGTTCTAATTTATTGAGAGATACTTGAAAGCGAGAGCAAATAACGTTTCCTAAAGCACTTAATCGTATAGCTCGAATGTATGTTTTCTCGTATGCATGGACCTTTGGCTGCTAAGTGTGGTTAAGTACTCATGAAATGCTACAGTGGTGGTTGAAGCGCTTTGGGTTGTATGGTCCAGCCTGCCAAATGCTGGCCAGTATAATCGTCCTCTTCAGTGCTGACTTACTGCTCTGTAGTTGCAGCAGGGCATCAAACGCGCGACATTGATAAACAGACCTCGGGATGTTAGTCTGTAGCCGACACGGATCCAATCCATGCTGTCCCTGCTCCGTCCATGAAGGAGGGAGCAGGAGGGAGCGTGCGTTCCAGCGGACAATCCCGCTGGCAACGGGTATAGAATCGGATGCCAGCCGGTAAAGCCCATGGATTTAGTAGGATTCGGATAATACGGCAATCAGACGTCGCATCCATGGTGGAGTCGCCACCGGGATGCTTCCGGGCCATGGCATTACGCATATTAAGATCAGCCGGCAACACGCTGTTATCATGCTTGTCTCACCATGTTGGCTGTTATTTCTACATCCGTTACCGTGCTTTTCGTTCTCTACCTTGTCCAGCCCAGCATCTTCAGCATCATGAGCGAACACACCCTGGATTGGCTCCGAGAGAAGGTCATCGGATGGAGTCACACGCCTCCTGTGAACAAGATCGATACTCACCACCATTGCGTCCCGCCGTTCTATGCCAAAGGTAAGCTACCTACCCCTGTCAAGGTTCTGGTCGATCAATTAATTCCACACAGCGGTTGAAGAACAAGGGGGCGATCCCAGCGGCTGGCCTACTCCCCAGTGGAACCCACTGGCTTCCAAGCTGCTGATGAAGCGCGTTGGCGTGCAGACCGCAGTGCTCTCGGTGACGGCTCCTGGCGCCTGTATCCTGCCCGATCGTCAAAAGCGCGCCCAACTCGCGAGGCAGCTGAATGAATATTCTGCGGATCTGCGAGATAAGGAGCCTGATAAATTCGCCTTTTTTGTATCATTGCCCAACATTCTAGACACGGAGGATGCCCTGGCAGAGATCGCCTACGGGCTGGACACCTTGCATGCTGACGGGGTCACCCTTTTCACTCGCTACGGTGGCTCCAACACCTACCTGGGCCATCGTGATGTCGAGCCCATCTGGGCGGAGCTGAACAGACGCGGCTGCGTTGTGTTCATCCATCCCACCCACCCGGTGGACACCGACCCTGTCAACTCGAAGCTCCCACAGCCATCCATTGACTACCCGCATGAAACAACCCGCACAGCAATGGATATGATAGTGAGCGGAACCCGGCTCAAGTACCCTGCCTGCAAAGTCATACTCTCGCACGCTGGTGGAACGCTCCCATACATAATCTCTCGGGTCACAACACCGATGAAAAAGGCGCCTGATTTTGCGGTCTCGCACCGCATCGGCACAACCCATGACAAGGCCCTAGAGGCGTTCCGCAGCTTTCACTTCGATTTGGCGCTGAGTTCATCCTCGCAGGTCCTGGATATGCTGTTGAAGATGGTCCCGCCCGACCATATCTTATACGGTAGCGATTTCCCGTATGCGCCGATTCCGGCCTATCCGGCGTTCCTGGAGGAGCTCGAGAAGTATGCCATGGATTCGGAGATGAGGAATATGATTAATTACGGAAATGCACTGAAGCTTTTCCCACAGTTGGCGAAGCGGAGGGGTGGCAGTCGATAGCTCCGTGGGAGATCAGATGGGATCTTTCAATAAATCGGTCTGATTTTCCTGCAAACATCTAGTTAGCTTATAAGGCAATTCAGATTTATGAAAATATCTCGCTTACGTTCTAGAATACAATAATTATTCTACGAGTAAAACTGCCGAAAATAGATGATGCTAAGTCCGCTTATCTCCGGCGACAGGACAGCAGGGCCAGAGGGGAACCATTCAGCACCTCCAACCAGAAGCCCAGAGGAACGAACCTCTGATCTCGGCACGCGGGATGATCTGCAGGAGCAACACGACGGCCGGCGAGACAGAAAGCAGCCAAAGCGACGAAGCCTCGGTCCGGGGAAGCTCCTGGGCGCATCTCCGCTTCCCCGCATCGCGGCACGTGGTTTATGAATCCTTATGCCTTGCATTCGATTTGACCTCAACGTGGTCGCGGCCATCGATTTCGCATTGATTCTTTGAGTGCTTTTAAACAGCGACATTTGCCTATTACCATCAAACTTACAGGCATTGTTCATTTATAATTCCGCCACCACTCGTACCCCACCCTACTCCGCTGAACACCATTAGTACCCCCAACTATTACCACACCATACTACACCATACTACATCACACCATGTCTCTACAAACGCCTCTATGCTCGCTGCTCCGAATCCAACACCCTGTCCTACTTGCCGGCATGGCACGAGCATCAGGGGCTCCCCTTGCGGCCGCCGTCTCCAACGCCGGAGGCCTGGGAACCGTCGGCGGCCTGGGCTATAGCCCGGAGCAATTGGACGAGATCCTCACGGAGTTGAAATCCCTTCTGCGCGACCCGTCCCTCCCCTTCGGCGTGGACCTGGCCCTGCCGCAGGTGGGCGGCAGCGCGCGCGCCACCAACCACGACTACACGCACGGACAGCTGGACCAGCTCATCGACGTGGTGATCGCGCACGGCACGAAGCTCTTCGTCTGCGCCGTCGGTGTGCCGCCCGAGCACGTCATCCGGCGGCTGCACGACGCCGGCATCCTGATCATGAACATGGTGGGGGCGCCCAAGCACGCGGAGAAGGCGTTCGCGCTGGGCGTGGACATCGTGTGCGCGCAGGGCGGCGAAGGCGGCGGACACACGGGCGACATCCCCTTCTCGGTGCTGGTGCCGGCGGTGGTGGACGTGGCGAGGAAGTACAAGAGTCCGTTGACGGGGGAGCCGGCGCAGGTGGTGGCGGCCGGGGGCATCAACGACGGGCGCAGCCTGGCGGCGTCGCTGATGCTGGGGGCGTCGGGGGTGTGGGTGGGCACGCGGTTCGTGGCCTCGGAGGAGAGCGGAGCCAGTCGCTTGCACAAGGAGGCGGTGGTTGGGGCGCAGTTTGGCGAGACGCGGCGCACGTTGGTCGTCTCCGGACGGCCGCTGCGGATGCTGCCCAACGACTATGTCAAGGACTGGGAGAAACGCCCGCAGGAGATCGTCGAGTTGACGGCCAAGGGCGTGGTGCCGATCGAGCATGATTTCAACAACGAGAAGGAGGTCGACATTCCGTTCCTGATGGGCGATGTCTCGGCCATCATCAAGGAGATCAAACCGGCCGGGGTGATTGTTCAGGAGATGGTGCAACAGGCGGTGGATGTGCTGAGGCAGGGAGGTGGTTATATCACCAGTCCTGGAAGCAGTAAACTATGAGCATACTCTGTAGTAGCATCAAGTCAATAGGCCCTCAAATCTGCAGTGAACTTTTTTTTTTTGTATCTTCATGAAACCATGATACGTACGTTTAGGGTGCTGATCTAACATGTACAAGTACAGGACTGAATTGAACCAAATTAAAAATAGACCATGATGTCATGTGCAAAAACCTGATGGACAAGAGCGATGCACATACGACCGACTCAAAAGACTTCTTTTCCAGGAATCGCGAACAGAGGCAGGCACACTCAAAACATATCCAGTGTTATCCCAACTGTTTGCCAGTACACGTATCTCTCAAAGACAGATGGTATGTGCATCAGTACACAAAAGTATGTGCGCTCACCCTCGGATCGAACGGGGCCCTTTCCCCGACTGCTGGCCACAGGTCTGGCTTGGAAAAAAGCCCATGTCTCCCCTCTCATCCCCTCCTCTACCATAGGATTTTGCTAATGGCATCCATTCATCACCGCCTTGTTTCCGTTGGCCCGCGCCTCCAGCAGATTCGGCGGAGGAGGCGGTCCAAACACGGGCTTCTCCGGTTGTTGCGGTACGCTGCGGTCTCCGTTGATGTCGCGGTCGGTGCTTTCAAGCTCGTACTCGTCGTCGCTGATGCCCTCCTCGTCATCATCTTCATCCTCGTAGTCCTCATCGTATTCGCTCTCCGTGCCCTCATCGTCGCCGTCGAGGTCGGCCGCAAGCCCTTGACCTCGGCCCTGGGCTTGCATCCGCCGGCAAAGAGCTTCGAGATGATGGCTTTTCTTCCGCCATTTCTCCAGTTCTTCATGATTCCTTGTGCGCTCCTCCGCCATTTCCAATATATTGCGATTCGTCTGGTCGTGTTTGCGGGTGAGCGTGAGGTTCTCCTTCTCTAAGCGCTTCGTCTTCTTCGACATCTCCTCCATCTCTTTGCGGAAAGTAAGGAAGAGTTCGTTGCTGTTGTTTAGCGTATCCTCCACCTGCGATATTATTATTACCGGTGGGTCAAACGCGGGGTGGTCCGGGGACATACCTGTTTAAACTTCTCCACATAGATGTTGAGTTGACTGCGCAGCTCCGCCTCGGTGTGCGAGAACGTAGAGACCTGGGAACTGAGGGCGCGACAACGGGCGGCTTCGTTCTCCGCGGCTCGACGTTGCTCTTCGTACTTGGCGGTGAGACATTGTATCTCCGAGTCTTTGCTGCGGAGGAGCGTTCGATAGTGCCCTTCTCGCATCTCAAACTTCTCGCCGATGGTCTTGATCTTCGCACGTAGACTATACGGTATCCACACTCAGTAAACAGCATGGGGTGGGCCAGAGAGCGCCACTTACGCTTCGTCCAAGTCGATGTCCACCTTGTCGCTTCGTGAACTACCTTTGGCGTTCATGACCTCTTGAATGCCGTTTAAAAGTGAATCTAAGCGCTCGTTGACGATCAACCTCGCCTTCTTCTCCGTGTCTTCTAGTTTCTTGTTTTCGTCCTGTGGGTGTGCGAGTAGACCCATATTAGCCCTTGCCTTCCCGGGCAGACGAACGATTGTGGAAAGTGCGACACTGACCTTGACTTTTTTATTTTCTTTGGTAAGCTCCCTGCACAGCTTTTCGAGTTTATCCTTCATCGTAACGGTCTTGCTCAATTCCGATTTCCCCTTGTCCTGATCCTTTTGCAACTGGTCTGCCCGCTTTTTGCTCTTGGCATAATCGCGATCCAGCTTTTTCATATCCGCCAAAAGTTCGGTATACTTCTTGTGAACAGTCTCCAGGCGAGTCATCGGGGATTCAATGTTGCTGAGAAGTTGGTTCAAGTCTCGAGTGGCCTTCTTGACTTCACGCTCTGTAGTCATTTCCAGTTAGGATCCCAATCTCCGCAACAAGGCAGTAATGGACATGAAGCCCATTCCGTTCGAGAGAACAAAAAGGAACAAATCACGCACCGATTTCCTGTTCTTGGTCCTTCTCTCCGGCGGCATCTTGTTCCAACTGAGAGATCTTTGCCGCCAAGAGCTTCGACGTCTCATTGGGATCCGCCACCTTCTTCCCCTTATTCTTTTTGGACATTGCAGCCGACGACATGGCGAAGGACTTCTCACGCGGTGGAGCGGACCAGGTTGTGCGGCGTGCGGACTTGTCGGCGGTTGTCGCGAGGCTGGTGCTCGGAAGGGAAAAAATGCGAAGACGGAACGGTGGGTGAGGTTTGGTTGGATCCGGAGTTCTGACGCAAAGACACTACAACGGTCAATTCCAACCCCGGTCACACCGACGGATACGGAAGATCTCGAGGTTTCAAGAGCACACAAGGCGATCGTCGGCGACTCTTGGATCGAATCGACGTTTCGACACTAGCGGAGTACCTGGGTGGCCTATTTGACAGACTTGCAGAACTCGGAGGTAATGGGATCACACAGACTCCCGATGCAACCAAGTTCTGCAGAGCCAGCGAAAGTCTCACGGGCGAAAGCACACGGGAACCGAGAAATCGGGACAGAAATCGGGTCGTGGGAGGTCGCAGAGGGTCAAGATGTGTCGAAGAACTTGCTGGGGGAGAGATCGAATCCCGTCGTAAGAGGGGGCATGCGCACTTGACTCGCACTAGCCCCTTTGGGACGCCTGGCTTGGCGTCGATTATTCACCTTCTCCGAGCTGTTGGATTTCTGCTCCGAACAACCATTCAGTCCTGCTGCTGCCCTTCTCTCCTGAGCCACTTCCCTTGATTGCACGACCCCCTTGGTGCTGTCTTTTGGTTCATTCTTTTGCTGCTGGGGGTGGTTTCTTCGTGTCCATCTTTCGCCGCTCCATCCCGGTCCGTTTGCTCGGTACCCTAGAAACAATCTCGCTAACACGCTACGCGGAGAATAGCACAAGCTTGCGCACCTGATCCCGGGATTGCCAGTTCCTTTACATTGTACACTTAATCCCATCTTTCCCCTTTGTCGACGCGATGTTGCGTTCGTCGTTTGGGTTGGGTAAAGGCCGGTTGCCAGCTTTGCGGCAATCAGTCTCTGCTCGATCCTTGAACTCGAGGAACTCTGTCCTTGGCTGGAATCAGTTCCGACGAAATGCTTCGACTGTGACTAGTCTGGAGAACTATCCCAACGTGGGAGAAAGCCTGCACGGGTTCACCGTGCAAGAAAAGAAGCATGTCCCAGAACTACACCTGACGGCAGTGCGACTAAAACATGACAAGACGGATGCCGACTACCTCCATGTGGCAAGGGACGACAAAAACAACGTTTTTGGTGTCGGATTCAAAACGAATCCTCCAGATGCTACTGGCGTGCCTCATATTCTGGAACATACCACGTTATGTGGTAGTGAAAAGTAAGGCTTTCACTCATCTGTATCCGCTCCATCCGCAGTGTCCGGGGCTAACTTGTATGTGTCTATACAGATATCCCATTCGTGATCCTTTCTTTAAGATGCTTCCTCGATCGCTTTCCAACTTCATGAATGCCTTTACTTCCGCGGACCACACGACGTATCCGTTCGCCACAACCAACCAACACGACTTCCAAAACCTTCTCTCCGTCTACCTGGACGCCACATTTCACCCTTTGCTTAAGGAGGAAGATTTTCGACAGGAGGGATGGCGTCTGGGCCCAGAGGATGCGCGCGCCGTGAAGACGCAGGACGGAAAAGCCGAGGACGTCTTGTTCAAAGGTGTCGTGTACAACGAAATGAAGGGTCAGATCTCCGACGCAAACTATCTCTACTATATCCGATACCGAGAGAACATTTTCCCTGCCATCAACAACTCCGGAGGTGACCCGCAATATATTACGGATCTGACGCACAAGCAACTCGTTGATTTCTCCAAGAAGAACTACCATCCGAGCAACGCCAAAATCTTGACCTACGGGGACATGCCCCTGACTGGTCATCTCAAGCAGATCGGCGAGGTGCTTAATGGCTTCAACAAAGGAGAGGCCGACAACTCTGTCAAGCAGCCCATTGATCTTACCCGCGGCCCTCAGAACGTCACTGTTCCGGGTCCCATCGATACATTCTCTAGCGACGACAAGCAGTTCAAGACCTCGACCTCGTGGTACATGGGCGATGCCACCGATGTTGTCGAGACCTTCTCTGTTGGTATTTTGTCCTCTTTGCTGCTAGACGGTTATGGCTCGCCCATGTATCGGGCTCTGATTGAGAGTGGGCTGGGCTCGTCGTTCACCCCTAACACAGGGCTTGATCCCTCCGGAAGGGTACCCGTCTTCTCAGTGGGTGTCACCGGTGTGGGCGAAGAGGAGGCACCGAAGGTTAAAGAGGCCATCCAACGTGTTTACCAGGACTCTCTGTCCAGTGGCTTCAACGACGAGAAGGTCCAGGGATTCCTGCACCAACTCGAGCTTGCCCTGAGGCACAAGACGGCAAACTTCGGCATCGGTGTTATGGAAAAGACCTTGTCTTCGTGGTTCAATGGCACAAACCCCATGAAGGAACTCGCTTGGAACGAAGTCATTGACGAGTTCAAGCGCAGATACAAGGAAGGTGGCTACCTTGAGTCACTGATGCAGAAATACTTGATGAATGACAACTACCTCACCTTCACCATGGTCGGCTCGCCTACTTTTAACAAGGACTTGGATGATCAGGAAATGGTGCGGAAAGAGAAGAAGCTTGCGGAGCTTGTGGAAAAGCACGGCTCTATTGAAAAGGTCGTTGCTCATCTGACTGAGGAAGAGCTCCAATTGCTGAAAACGCAGGAGGCGGCCCACAATGCCGATTTGAGCTGCTTGCCCTCTCTTCGCGTTGAAGATATTTCGCGCGAGAAAGAGCGCAAGCCCGTGCGCGAATCTCGTGTGGATGACGTTGACGTGGTCTGGCGTGAAGCCCCGACCAACGGCATGACTTACTTCCAAGCATTGAACTCATTTGAAGACCTCCCAGATGATCTCAGGTTGCTGATGCCCTTGTTCAACGACTGTGTCATGAGACTGGGCACTGCAAACAAATCCATGGAGGAATGGGAAGATCTGATCAAATTGAGGACCGGCGGTGTTTCGTCGTCTGCATACAATGCCTCTTCCCCTACCGAACTCGGCAAGTTCCACGAAGGTCTGAACTTCTCTGGATTTGCTCTCGACCAAAACATCCCGGAGATGCTGGAGATTCTCACTACTCTTATCACGACAACGGATTTCACCAGCCCTTCCGCTCCTGGCATGATCCAGGAGCTGCTGCGATTGACCACCAACGGTGCTCTTGATGCTGTGGCTGGAACCGGCCATCGTTTCGCCCTGAATGCGGCAGCTGCAAGTCTTTCTCGGGGTCTGTGGGTTCAGGAGCAGCAGTCTGGCCTGGCGCAACTTCAGGCGACCGCCAACCTTCTCCGAGATGCCGAAACTTCTCCGGAGCGTCTGGCCGAGTTGGTCGAGAAGCTGCGCCTTATTCAGTCGTTTGCTATCTCGAAGACCCCAGGACTCCGGGTTCGTATGGTGTGTGAGCCAGGAAGTGCGCACCAAAATGAGTCCGCCCTGCAGAAATGGCTCGGCGGGCTGCCCCAGATTTCTGCGCCCACATCTGCGCCTGGAAATCCAGTCTCGAATCAAGCTTTCACCAAGACTTTCTACGATATGCCTTACAAGGTTTACTACTCGGGTCTGGCCATGCAAACGGTGCCGTTTGTCCATTCGTCCAGTGCACCCCTCAGTGTTCTATCCCAACTGCTTACCCACAACTATCTTCACCCTGAAATTCGGGAGAAGGGAGGTGCTTATGGAGCAGGTGCCAGCAACGGCCCCGTGAAAGGCATTTTCGCGCTGACCAGCTACCGAGACCCCAACCCCATCAACTCCCTGAAGGTGTTCCAGAACTCTGGCATTTTTGCCCGAGACCGCCAATGGTCCGCTCGCGAGCTCAACGAAGCCAAGCTGGGTATCTTCCAGGGCCTGGATGCGCCAATGAGTGTTGATGAAGAAGGAACTCGTTACTTCATGAGTGGTGTCACCCATGAGATGGACCAGCGCTGGAGAGAGCAAGTGCTGGACGTCACGGCCAAGGATGTCAACGAGGCGGCTCAAGCCTTCCTGGTCGATGGCTCCCGGCGGTCGGTTTGCATGCTCGGCGAGAGAAAAGACTGGGCCGATTCGGAAGGTTGGGAAGTCCGAAAGCTTTCCATGAACCCCTCCGGCGAAGGTGAAATCAGCGATGCTGCTGCTTCATCTTAAACGCGGATTCTTCTGGCCCTGTTGACTCTACATGATTTTGAATGTGTCGTTTACGCTCTCGGCGACGCAAGTATGTATCATTATCCCTGTATTTCTATTGATGTGTACACGCATGATAGACCTGTATATAGACCCCCTTCTGTACGATACCTCTTATCTCGGCTCTCTCTTTGTTTCCACTTTTATCTCGACTATTACGCGCGTCTCAAGAGCAGAACAATCACCCCGTCGCCGGTCTGTTTTCCTATGGCCGGTCGATGGTTGGTCTTCCGATTCCTTCGGGAATCAGGAACAAGCGCAAGAACAGCAGGAATGTGAGCCCCGTTGGTGGTACACTTCCTATCTCCGTTTTTCAGACCCTTCCTGAAGCTCTTTAGCGTCTCTCAGCCTACGCAGGACGGACTAAAAACGCGAGAACATGAAGCCCAGTAAAGTATAGACGTATGACACCTGTAGATTCTAATTTCATCCACACTCTTATTCAATCCCGGGGCCGTATAGATGGCGCAAAAGAAGAAATACATTGGCTATGGTCGCAGATAAAAAAAGCAAAGAAATGAAGGCTGCTAAAGAACCGGCCCTTTTAGGCCGCCCCTCACGTGGCAGCGTAACGACAACGACACCGCGGCCGATGTTCGGGTCTTTTCTGTGATGCCATCTCCCGATCAGACGATCCAAGAGCCTCGCTGCTCTCTTGAATTTCCCCAGAGTCATGCATGCCAGCAGTAATTGTTTCCATCACCATGAAGAAGACTGACACCATTGTGCTGGGACCAAAGCCAACTAAGGCATGCGGTAAGTGGATCGGGATGCATCATCATGATTCTTGTCGTGAAATGGCTGGACTAATGCGCATTGAATGCAGTTAATTGCCGCAGACTGAAGGTCTGAAAGACTGACCCAAGCAGGCCACTGGCTGGGTCATTCGCATGCTGACCATTGCCCATCTAGATGAAATGTGAGGTCGATGGCGTGCCTCCGTGTCGTCGATGCCGCCACACCAACACCGCATGTCTATTCAAGCCTCGGTCCAATGTTCGTACCGGTATCCGGGATTCCAGGTACCGGACTATGCTTATCCCCATCGTATTTTAGGCTGCTGCAGCGCACGAAGTGGTATCGATGCCACCTGGAGTCCAAAATCCGGCTTTCTACCCTCATGCAGCGCCGTCAGATCAAGACGCACAGTCCATTCTTGGCCGCCTAGACCGGATTGAGGCCGTTTTAGGTCTCAATAAAGAAAGGCCTACCACCGCTTCAATTAGCGTTGCGTCAGACCTTGACGAAGAGGCCATGGACGTGCCTTTCTATGACTTATGGGCAGCGGCAAAACACCTGAGGACTATCACTCGTCCTCCACAAGATGACAGTCTTTGGTCTCGTTCTACCATCAAGAGGTTATGGACCAAGTAAGTGTCTCTCGTACCAGACGACTTGCCCACGACTCTGCGAACAAGGCCTAACATAGACCAGATTTCTTGACAATCTGCCCCTTTTACATTTTCTGAAAGATCAGAATGCCTTTTCTTCCCCTTCGCCTCTTCTCCTCGCTTCTGTTCTTTACATATCTGCACTCCATAGTCCATCGGCTGAAGTCGCATCTCTGGCTGGTGGGTACTTTGTGGCCATCTGCAGCGCAATTGCTGAGCTTGTTATCCCAAGCCCCTTGCCAAACCTCCTTGACCCGCCAATCTCCAGCCTCAGAAATCACGACCCTTCCAGCATTGCGGATGAGCAGCGCGTATTCCAAAACATCCTTGGCCTTATTATGGCCAGCCTCTGTTCGGAGGCATTCGTCGAGACTACGGACAAGTGGATAGCTATAGCCTACCGACTTTTGCTCGATCATTGTCCAACTGCCGCGGATAGCATAGTCCAGGACTGGCCTGGCTTGTTCTCGGGGATTCAAGTAAGACAATCATTAGACCGATCGGGGGCTGGGACCGCGGAATAGCTTGCTCATCATGAAATAGGTCATCGATATCGAGCATGCATCAATGCACATGTGTCATCCTCTCCTACCTAGACAACCTCCTACGTCGGCACTACAGCAGTTGAACGGCCATGAAGGGGACGCATATCGTGGTCTTACCCAGATTATGCACCACGGACTGAGTCATTTTGTGAGACGAGGACTTCCTACTATTTGGTCCTTCGTGAGCGCAAAGGAGCCTGACATACTACCTTCCGTGCGGGCACCGTTCACTGATGAAGACTCTCAAATCATTCGTCTTTGGGCAAAGAAGCTGGACAACTGGCTCGTTCGGTATAACGGGACGTCGCGTAAGACATCATCACCTGCCAACCATAATGTCATACTGATGGTTGTACGTCTTAGAACCGTCCCCCTCAGATCGACAGGGAATCGTTATACTTCTGCAATACCACCTACACAAGCTATACGTCCTATCAATTTATCATCCGGCTCGAGGATTCGATCTCTCATCTGCGAATATAACTCCTGCCGAAAGACATGAACTATTGGTCTCAGCTCGAGCCGTGCTACGCTTACGCCAGGACGACGCCAGCATCTGGTCGAACTGGGATCTTATAGTGAGGATCCCGAACTCAATTCCCCAGCCCCTAAAGCAAGCTCTAACAGCTTGAACGCCAGATGATAACATGGGCCGCGATGCTCCTCCTACGCGGAGTAGAAGACGGCGTTACGCACCAAGACGGTATGACCAGCCCGCCCTAGTACATCCCCATACTTCGAAAACGCTCTAACCCACGTATATCCCCATTCCCAGACCTCCGTCTCATCCAATCGCACCTTCAAAGCCTTAAACTCAGCCACCCCTCGGCACCCAGCATCCACGCCGTCCTCGCCGACCGACTCCAATCCGGGATACAAAGCATGAACACGCCGCCGGACATGGGCCCCGAGCTATCCTTTCCCGGCCCACACGCAGACCACTCCTGGACCATCTTCGACCAGGAGGTCATGCCGCTCGCCAACCCGCCGTGGCTCTTCGAAGGCGCCGCCTCCCTGGCCTCAGTGCCGCCGCAGCTGGCGCAGCAGTCGCCCATCCCGTCGGTCGGGTATACGAGCAACCTGGGTGCCAGGCATCCAGCGGCTTTCCCTGCCGGCGAGCAGTGGGAGCATCATACGGCGCCGGGACCGCCTGTGCGTCCGACGCCGAGCTTTCATCGTGTGTTTGGGCCTGGGAATGTCCCCAATGAGAATAATAGCTATTTGATGTGAATGTGTCAACGGGACGTTTTGGGAAGAGGAACTTGGCCATTCTGTCAAGGCTACAATGTGGAATATATATGCTCTGTGCTTCTCTGACCATTATTTGTCTTAGCAAAGCCAGTGAGTGCATGTCAAAGCAGTACAAGGTCCGGGAATAGAGTTTAAAAATCATTATTCCTTCATCACATTGGGTATATGGTGTCAAATCATGAGTCATGTCATACTGTACAAAAATGCTATTTCTTAACAGTCAGCGCAAGGCCACTGTATTCAGCCTCGCTTCACTGCAAGGGTGTGATGTTTAGAAGAGGATAGGAATCAGAGCCGTATCGAAAGAGAAGGTTTGACCTGCAAACCGGGAGGATGAATTCCCGCATAGCTGATCCTGACGTGAAAATCTACTGTTTGTTGGGTCCATTATGAGATAGTTTACCTTTCACCGTGGCTCGTGGGGTCATTGGGGTGTGAGTATTCCTCTAAGGAGTACGTTGGAGGTTGGGGTTCTGTGGTCGAAGGAGGAGATTGGGGGAGAGGCGGGAAAGGTTCTGTTTCTGAATGATCGAGGGTTTGAGGTGTTCCAGTGCCGACGGATGGGATGTTTTCTCCTGCTGATTCCGCAGGAGTGTTGAGGGATGAATCATGGGCAACGTCTGACGAGACGGCCGAGGACTGGGGAGGGGGATATCGGGAGGTGGACTGATCGATGACAGGGTCAGTTATGGGTCTATTCAAAATAACATCAACCAGATCTCTAGACACACATACCTGTTCTTTACTGTGCTCGAACCCGCGAGTGGAAGCCAACTGTTGCGCCGCGAGACGTTTCCTTAGAATCTCCGATTCTTCCTCAAACGCTGCTCGTTCTTCCTCTTTCTGCAGATCAGCCATAGAGACCGGCGAATCTTCTGCGATCTCCGCAGACCCATGAGAGGCTCGGAGCCGACTACTCCGCTTCTTCTTACTCGGTCTCCTAGAATCCTTGGACGCGAGGCTGAACGTCCCGGACGTCGACCGCATGCTAGCAGGCTTATCACCCAGCTGATCATCCGACTCCAGCCCCGTCCCGCGGCGACTCTGCAGCGCCATCGCAAACTCGTCGTCGAGCGGCACGGCATCCTCCTCCTCGTCGCTAGGGATCAGATCGCCGCGCGAGCTCAATGAATTGGCCGTTTCGCGCGAAGACTGGGTGGAACTCCGATACCGACCTCCATTCAAGCGGCCCGTTGAGCTCGGACCCTCGATTTCCTCGGCGGCCTCCATCAGAGGTTCCTCCTCGTATGCATGGCGGCGCAAGCCCTGCGGGTGCTCCTGGAGGTCAGCGGCGGACGGCCGATACTTCAATCCCCGCGCGCCAAACCGCCAGGGGAAGCGCTCGAGGAAGCCCAGAAACGAGGAGCTCGGGATGACGGTGGGGTCGTCACGGTCGTCGACGGGGACCATCAGACCGCTCTTCCGGCGCGTGCGGCGAGCGCCGTAGCTCATCTTCCGCGGGCGTCGAGGCTGTTCGGAGCTGCCGCGCGTCAGCCCGCTGCCGGCCAGCAGGCGGTCGAGCTCGTCGGTGCCCCAGCCCAGGAGGCCGTCATTGGGGTCTTCGTTGTCCCAGTCGTCGTAGAAGTCGAAGATGGATTCGGCACGGCCTCGTCGTCGGCGACGGAGGTGGTCCTCGCGGCTCGGCAGGCATGGCGCGGCGCATGCGGAGATGCAGTTCCCGACGGTCGCGAAGCAGGGGACGATGTAGTTGTGGGAGAAGGTGTAGAGGCCCTCCTGGGCGGTTTCATTGGCGGTTTCGAGGTTGTGGGAGATTTGATTGATCGTCTGGCGGACGCGCGGGTCTCTGGTCCGCATCATGATGGGAAATCGGAACTAAAAAAAGCGTGTGCTCCGTGGCGGGCGGTAGGGATGGAGGTGAGGTGAGCCTGGACAACGCAGCGGGGAGAGCTGGGGAAGGGCGCTCGTCACTGTTCAGCCGGGCGCAGGCGGGCCCATTGAAGAGGAGCAGGCGATTGCAGGGATGGAAGGGAGGGGAAGTTGATGTGATATCATCAAATGGGCGAATCTGTCCAGAGGCGTCGTCTCGCAGCCTCAGGAAGAAACACCCGATCCGTTGGCTGCTGACTCACCCGGCACGTGCGCGTCACGGGCCCTGCCGTCATGGCGCATTCTCCGCGTCCCTCTGGAATATTTAATTCCGACCACTCGCCCGTCGCCATGGTCTACTATCTTCGCTTTCTGAAGACTCCCCGGCTCCAGAACCACAAGGCCGGCTCGACCACCGTTTCCGCCCTGGTCTGCATCACCACAGACCTGGGGGATGCTTTCCTAGCCCAAGATGTGGATCTACTAGTCTCCCTGAGCGTCGCCCAGACCGACCAAGTCCTCTATCAGGAGCCATTGCAATGGAAAGCGGGCAAGCGGGAACTTCCCATATCCCTGGGACCATTCCCAGCACGTATCTCCCAGCAGACAATGGTTCTCAGTGTGGCCACGCCGGACTCTCGCAAGCCCGGCCCGCCCACGCCAAACCGCCTCCTAGGGAAGCCGGGCGTCCCTCTCGTCCTGTCCGGCTGGAGCGCCCCCTTCGGTGGTTCAGAATCACCCGTCGCCGAGAAACTGGTCGAGCGGCGGTTTGGACCGGTTGAGGCGTTGGATCTACGGATCTGGGAAGAGACCGGCAACAGCATTGCTCGGCATATTTGGTGAGAGCCTCTTCTTGTTCCCTATAGATTCTCCCACCACTAGCTCTAAGATGGAATTACTCGTACCTTCAGGGATGCAGCTCTGGCATCGGTGATGTATCTCCAGCAAATCATCGCTGGACACCGCGTAGAGACTGCGCCGGCATTGCAGAATCTCCTACTGCGCGCACCCACAAAACCAGTTCGTGCTGTTGAGTTGGGATCTGGATGCGGCATTGTGGGCATAGCACTGGCAGAGCTTCTACCTCAATGCTCTGTGCTCCTGACAGACCTCCCAGAAGTCGAGGAGATTGTAACTCAGAACATAACCACTGCTAAGCCAGCGTCCGAATCTACTGTCGAGTTTCAAACACTCGACTGGGACGAGGAGCTCCCAGAGAACCTCTCCGATGGCTCAGTTGATCTGATTCTCGTATCAGACTGCACATACAACGCCGACAGTCTGCCCGCCCTAGTTTTAGTGTTGGACCGACTCGTGCAGAGGTCACCGGCTGCCATCATCTTGGTGGCGCTGAAAAGACGGCACGAGAGCGAGACGGTCTTTTTTGAGCTCATGGAGTCTGCTCGACTGTCAAAAATCCACCAAGATAACATCGAGCTTCCTTCGCAACATGATCAGTCGGATGAAATTGAGTTGCATTGCTTTGGGCGACAAAGCCACTAGACGCAATAGACGCAGTCTGCCACAACTGCTTCCTTAACAACCGATAGTCAATATCTATGCCACTTCCTTCCTTGGCATGGAATATACTCTTCCAGGTTCTGCAAGGTTAATCCCTTGCACATATAAATATACCCTTTTTGTCTTAGAACACCTGTGTTCATTTTGGTATGTATTTATTACAAGCACTATCATGATGATTGTTGTACATACGCTGGGGTGAGTGTGTCATGATCAAAACATCTTCAAAAGATTTAGCCCTGAAGAACCTCCAAAGCATGTCCAATCGAACAAAGGGTGATGCTCTGTTTCTCAGTCTCGTATGTCCTATGCACAGGATTAACGTCAAAAGGTGAACACCATGCAATGTAGTTATAGGACTATCCTCTCTAGGGACAGCGGTATGAATCTCAAGGATTTCTTCCATGTCTGTCCGATTGAAGTCTCGGCACTCCGGCAGCTTCCCTCATAGTGCTTGAGGGGTTGTCAAAGACCGAGCAGAAATTTCAGTCGTTCGCTTGGGGAGGAAGATCGTGTTGCCTTTCCCACCGGTCGATACCCACCTTTAAACGCTCTCAAGTTCGCGCCTGTACTGCGTGGCCAAGAATGCCACTTCCCTTTATGTGAGGATTTCCAGATTGTCGAGGACCTAATATTGCTCCAAACGTGTGGGAATGTCACACGGCTCTTCATCCCTCCTGATCGACCCTTGTGATCCATCAACTTGGAAAGTATTTGCTCCAGCGTAGAGTCGAGAGGTATAAAGTCTGTATCGTCCTCCAAGGCCGAGCTTTTCAAAGTGGTCAAGGCCACGATTGGCAAGGGAAATTGGGGTTTATCACTTTGGAAAACCTGCTTACTGTCGATGAGACTATGCGAGCGCATAGGAGGCAGAACGGGTAAACCATTCCCAGGGTATCTCGGCTCGCTTGAAGGGTAGTCGGAGCATCTGTCGCTTCGCCCGACGAAGGCACTAAAATTTGCTGCTAAGGTCACGGCACAGAGAGGAATGAAACCGAAAGTCAGGGAGGGGGTTGCAGCCGTGGCCGAATCACCATAGTTCTCGGGGAGAGATTTAAAGGATGCTTTGACACAGAGGGCCCACAAATCGGCATAGAGGCGACAAATGATGTACACGTCGCCATTGACTATTTGAAATTCATCTGGCCGAGGTGTTTCCTGATCAATCAAGGTATATAAAGGATCGATGCAAATGACCAGTGAACCCTCTTGGATCGCCCATCTCTCGTCTAACCCCAGACGGATATCTCTATAGGATTTCAGACGCGTACATAATCCTGGTTTCACCTGACGGTGAGAGATTTGCAATGGCGGTATATTCGGCAAACGCGCTTTAGGGTTTCTGAGCCATGAGGGCCGGGCTTCCATCTCGCTCAAAAGCAAATCTGACCATCTGCCTGGCTCATAGTTCTTCCAATCCCCCTTTACGGGCAGTCAGCGTGACATGATCCCTTTCATAAATCGTAGGAAGACTCACAAGCAAGGGAATCCCCTGATCTGACTCCGACGTGGATGAGTCAAAACTCGCCAGGAGATCTGCATTCGCGGCTTCCACTTCCTGGCATAATCGGTGCTCCTTATCGATAGTCGAAGAGAATGAACCCGATTGCCTACCAATAGTGTCGTATGATAACCTAGACTCACAGAGGTTGCATATTTCCTGGCTACTCAACCGACACATACAGCCGTCAGATGCTGCTAGACCTGAGGTCGGGTCTGTGCTCGACCGCCAAACAGGGGGCCTATGAAAGTAGATCGCATGGCGGCGTCTTCCGGCCACTGAATCCCGGGAGCTTATAATAGATGAGCTATCCATGGAAGCTAGGTGAGTCTGCGAAGATGCGTTCGAGATTGATGAGCAGCTGAAGAAAGCCTCGATGCCCGCATCCGTGAGGCCCGGTATGTCGCTTCCTAAGGCCTCTTCCCATAAACGAGACATTATGATGAGTGTTCCGGTATTGTATGTGACTTGTAGTGTCTTTTGGTTTGTGTCTAAAGAACAAGAAATGCAGGGGTTATGATGCGGACTAAGTAAGCAGAGAGGGGTGGATGGATGGAGAGGCATCATCAACATCATCGAGGTTACATTCGGTAGTATTTATGGGGATGTCCAGGGATGGCTCCTTCCTCTTGGAGCAACGGCTCGATGAGGCCTTGAGGAAGGCGCATTCTGCGGTGCCATCATCGCCAACAAGCCGTTTGTCTGATAAGGCTCTAGATGCCGTAGATGCCGTAGATACCGAGACTTCCCGGCATCCTTATGAGATCACGAACTTGAACTTGTGGAGTTGTGCGGAGAACAAGATTGAAGATCGACGAAGAATTGCCGAACCTCGGGAGTGGCTGACTCAGCGCCGGGGGTTTACTGCGTCGTCCCAACTGCTCAACGGTTGAACCCAGTTGCTCATCAACTCGTCAGCACCTCTAGAAACCCGGTTTAATAGAGAGTCATTCGATAGAACCTCTTCGTTATAACCACTAGAACCGATATCCGAGCCATTCCGACGCCATGGCCACTCCTCGCATAACGCTGTATCTGGACGTCGTCAGTCCGTTCTCATACATTGCATTTCATGTGCTGAGAGTAAGTATCTCATCGTTAGAAATCCTAGGACTCGGAAACATTTACTGGGAAAAACTGACCTGAATGAAGTATTCTCCCGTTTTCGCCCAATGCAATATCACCTATGTTCCCATTTTCCTGGGCGGATTGATGAGCGCCTGTGGCAACACGCCACCCATCAAGATCAAGAGTAAGATGATTTAAACGTCAGGGACGACACAACACGTCGGCTGACATTTCCGCGTGCCATTCTAGACAAGGACTTATGGATTAACAAAGAACGGCTTCGTTGGGCACGCTCATTTTCTGTCCCCATGTCGGAACACATGCCTGAGGGCTTTCCGGTGTTTACCCTGGCGACGCAGCGGGCTCTCTGCGCAATTTCTCAGAGGCGTCCTGCTCAGCTCGTCCCAGCTATTGAGGCGCTCTATCGCGCCTTCTGGGTCGACGGGGTCACTAATATTGGACAGCCGGAGGGATTCGGTCCCGTGCTGGAGAAAGTGCTTGGGCAAGCCGATGCACAGGAGATTCTGCAAACTGTACGAAAGTCCTTGCTCATTCAAATATGGCCTACTGAAACTAACATACGGGAATAGATGAGCCAAGCGGAGATTAAATCGCTTTTGACGTCAAAAACCGATGAAGCATTCAAATCGGGGGCATTCGGTCTTCCCTGGTTCGAATGCACCAATGCTAAGGGTCAAACAGAGGGATTCTGGGGCATCGATCACTTGGGACAGGTGGCCGAGTTTCTGGGCTTGAACCGTAAGGCGGACAGGGGCTTTAGAGCATTGCTGTAAGGACGGCCGTGTCTCGATTCAATGTGTTTTAACTGAGTGGTTCTATTGTCGATCAACAACAATACCAAATACTGCACAACATGAGCCAGCCATGACATGCGGGCATTAATCACGTAAAAAAATAAGTTATCGGCTTTTGGCACTTCGCCTGCGAAGACTTTTGTTTCGGTCTTGAAGAAACTCCACGATCTTTTCCTTCTCCATATTATCAATTCGCTCGATCTCTTCGGCATCCGGCTGGTCATCCGGATCTAGAAAAGACACCGCGTTAAGTCACTGACCACAAATTGGAAAGGGGGACGGAATTAAACGCACCTTGTTCGACATTGTTCGCGGCCTTCCCGCCCGTTGCCACAGACCGGACCTGCTCCCAAACATTCTGCACGGAATCGGAGGTGTAGACTGCGTTGAGCTTGTTCTTCACCTCGCCGACCGACGACCCGGCAATTTGGCCGATGCTGCTTCCGACATTTGACACGGTGCTGGACACGGATGTTGACGCTTGTTGGGAGGAATCGGATCTCTGTTCTGGAGAATGTTCGGGCGTTGTGTCCATGGTGGCTGGTGGGAGGATGCTCGCGTGGTGTTTCTGGCAAGACTTGCCCCTAGAGTGCTATTGAAGCCGTTCTTCAACCGAAAGCGATGAGTATTTATTGATGAAGACGGGGCGATGACATCAAATCCGTGCGATGATATCATGGCATCATTGGTGAAGCAGGGAGTGGGGCGCCATGTTCCACCTCCAGATGAGGATGTGCATCTTCAGGTAAGGCAGCAGGCAGCACCAATCCCAGACCCAGGGATACCGGGTTTAGTTGGTCAACATGCAGGGATTCGTTTGGCGATGGCCACGCGTCGCGGTCGAAATGTTGAGTTGTTTAGTTGCTTAGTTCCGTTGGCCTGGCCTTATCTCAGGCCCGTGACTGGCGGTGGATCCCGTGCCTCTGCCTTACGCCTTACGCCTCCCACAGGGCTGAGACCCATTCAATCAACGCTACCGACTTCGCGTGTCTGCATTTTGCAACTCTCGTGGCTTTTGTCTCTAGGCAATGGGAACTGACAATCAATAGCCTTCAAACAATTCACTCAGCAAAGTGTAGCTAACCAGCCTGCCCGGTTGTTGGACTGGCAGCTGTCTAGCAGTCCAGAACGCTGCTAGAGAGTACAAACAAGACAACATGGTTAATCAAACGAATGGACAACTTACAACCGAAATATGTTTACACTGACAAACTAGCAAAGACAAAGCTCTTTATCTAAAAATGGCAGCCACTGCACTTCTGCTCGTCTATATGGAGGCGGCATTTCCCACCTGCTGGGCGAGAAACAGAAGCACTCAGCCTTTTCGATATCCTCCAGTTCCAACTTCCACTCCAACTTGAGCAGCTCAAAAGTGCATCATCACCACAGCACCTCATCCGACAACATGACTCCCGGGTTTCTGGACCCTTTGGCCGTATTCCGCGACGATCCACAATCCCAGCAATACATCAGGTCCGTCAGGAATTCGGTCGGTGCAGGGTACCTGCTCGTAGGGGAGCCGGCGACGACCGTCATTGAAACCACGTTTGACCTCTCCTTGAAAATCACATACAAATTGGGACACAGGCCGGGGTCCAACACGACACCATCGGATATAGAATCGGTGGAAATGATCCAGGCATCTGGCGGAAGGACCTCGGGACAGCCGCTTCGGCATTATCGCATTTTCTCGGATTACCGGGCACTTTTCATTTGGCGGCGTGCAAATGACATCGGATCTGGCGAAGACAGCAATCTCAAGCCGGAGCAGTTTCTCTCCAGGTACCCTCCCGCCGTACACGACCTCTATGATACGTGGGTGAGGACGTTCCTGCACTATTTCACGGAGCGATTCAACGAGATGCACGAATACCCAGCCAGCGTGTTTCCAACCGTGTTGGAGGAAATAGCATGGTGTGTGGCTGGGTATCTGCTCGCCTGGCGTATTGCGATGGGTGATGGAGTGGGGGGTGTCGAATTCTCAGCAGGCGATTCGACATACTTGCTGGCGCCTGGGAGGGAGAAGAGGGCTACTCTCGAGTTCTTGACCGATCAAGCTAGGCTATTGTCGAGGGGGGAGTTTTCGGGATGAGGCAGACTGTCTTAATTGGAGATGATGCTTTTCTTTTCCTGTTGTCATTGATACTGTAGACAGATGAGTGGTTAGTGTCGCATAAGCATTTGTCTCCATTTAATGCATATCCACCCCTTAAAGCCTACCTAGGTAGTGAAATGGATTCTGGGGAGTATACGCAGTACGCCAAACGTCATTGGATCGTCTCCTCTGTATCAGGTTATTCCGATTTATTCCCAAAGGCTCCTCCTCCTCTCTTCTCCCTGCCACAACACATCACTTGCTTGACCAATGGCTCAACATCGTCATCAACCATCTGTAGAATTCATATTGGGCTTCTCACCGTCGCCGTTCTTAACTTCACACCAGGACCAACGCGCACAGTCACTTCTCAATAGACTTATTCAGAGTTATGGCCTCCAAAAGACTGCACAAAAGGGCTATAAGCCTGCAGTTCTTATCCAGGAAATATTCGAGCGCGTTAAAGCTCGAGAAACATTTCTGAGATTTTTCTTTTCGTATATTTATGATATCTCGGACATGTTTGAGCCAGGGCTTAGCCACCGTCTTGATGGCCCGACTATTGATAGTCCTATAAACGCCGTGACACTCACACTTGACTATCACTGATTATTTGGTGAATTCCAGATATGTTTTGAATCGACAGGAAGACCGCATGAATATAAGATCGATTCGCTGGAGCAGAGCTCTTTCCTACGTGATCCGCTCTTTCCGGTCACTCGCACTCTTACTTTAAGCCCTAGCCGTACAATTGATCCGCCTGACGAAACTCAGCGGTGCGGGTGAATATATTGAGAGAGTTCGTCGGGATATGGAGGAAGTGGATGTTAAGGCTGATGGTTCGACAAACTTGGGATATCTAATGGGGTTACGACTAGATGGCTGGCTGAACACGCTGACCGTGTTCTAGTTATATGGGCGTCGTATATTTCTGTACTTACTCATTAGCACATGCAATATCAGAAATGGCACTGCAAAGGAAGTGAATCCGATACAGGAGTATTTAATTCCGAGTTCGAGGGCAACTACCGTACCTAGTATGTTTTGCGGTACTATGACCACGGATGCTTTAATCGAGCTTGAATAACTCTAATCAAGAAATATCGTAGACCGAATCGTCGGTATCCGACAAAATTGTTCTATTTCATCCGTCCGCTGGACAACGGTCGGTCTCCGGTGCGTCCAAAAGCCGGGCGTTAACTCCGTCCGTCGATCTCCAATTATCTCCGCCGTCTTTACAACTACATCGAGATAGAGATGGAGATGGAGATGGAGATGAACGTCGCCTCCTAATTCTCAATCCCTATAAGTAACCATGTTCTTCTTCATCGTTCATGATCATCATTCCAATCATCCAATTCAATCATTACATCACCAGTGAACCTTATCCACTCAACACTACTACTCTAGCAGTATACCAACTCCAAACCACCAACCAAAATGTCCTTCCCCTACCAGCACTTCCTCCTCATCGGCGCCACCTCCGGCATCGGCGCCGCGATGGCCGACCGCCTCATCGCCAACGGCGCCAAAGTAACAGCCGTCGGACGGCGTCAGGACCGACTGGACGCATTCGTGCAGAAGCACGGCGCCGAGAAGGCCAGCGCCGTCGCCTTCGACATCAGCAAGACCGAGCAGATTGCCGGGTTCGTGGCGGACGTGACGGCGCGGTTTCCCAGCATCGACTGCGTGTTTCTGAACGCCGGACTGCAGCGGCCGTACGACCTCTCGACGCCCGAGGGCTTCGCGCTCGAGAAGTTCCTGTACGAGGTGCAGGTGGATTTCACGAATGTGGTGCTCCTGACGCATGCTTTCTTGCCGTTTTTGAAGAGCAAGGCGGAGAATGGGGGTGTTGGCGGGTTTCTCTTGTGAGTGTTTACGTTCATTCGGGCTGGAAGCGTTGCTGACGGATCTTGCAGTACCGGTACGAACCTTGCCATCGTCCCTGCAGCTCCCATGCCGGCGTATTCTGCCGCAAAGGCCGCGTTGAATGCATTCGTGCTGTGTCTGCGCCACCAGCTGCAGAAGACGAATGTCAAGGTGATTGAGGTGTCGCCGCCTGCTGTTCAGAGTAAGTCATATTCCTCCTCAGTCCAAGTATACATTGGCAGAGAGCATAAACTAAGATTCACTATAGCCGAATTGCACGACTACATGACCCCGGAGGTTGGACGCAACGTGGGCATGCCCTTGGACCAGTTTGTCGACCAGGCTTTTGCCGGTCTGCAGTCGGGCAAGGACCAGGTGGTTGTGGGCAGCATTTTGGCGGAGGACAGATTCCACGAGATTGTGAACAAGCGTCGGGAGGCGTTTGAGGAGCTGGCGGCGATCTTTGATAAGCTTCATTAGACTGGTCGAAGAGGATGCTGTTCTCATGATGTTTGGCGCTGTAATCGAGAGGAGTATAATTAATTCTGAGAGAATGATAATTTAGACCTACTATGAATATTACTGGTGAGAATTAATGGGGCTTACATATAGGCTTCGCCTTTTTTGATTCTTTGTTGGATGTACCGTAGGTTTTCATGCCAGAGAAGCCTGTTAAAAAAGTCTACAAAGGTAGTCAAGTATCTTAAGGTGTGCATGCAATATTCGATAAAAAGACTTACGAGATAAAAAAAAAATGAAAACATGTAGTGATGAAACATCTTTTACACTATTGAATAGCAACTATCTGGTCAACTATGTGGTCATCCCGGTCTTAAAAACAGTCTCCCTCGGGTCAACGACCAATCTCCAACACACAAAGACCAACCAGACATGACAATGTCGGAAGAAAGAAACAAAAAGAAGATCGGCTCACTGTGACCAAGTCTTTGAAGCTGACAAAGACAGCATCATCATTGTCATTCTTTACCAGCCGAGGACTTCGGTTCAGCCGACAGCTCAAAAAGATCGCTCCCGATCGCTTCGTGGTCAAGCGCATGTTGCAACAGATAGTTCAGATGGCGACGAGCTTTCCGCTTGATTTCGAGGGTCTGTTTCTTCAGTCTGCGATCCGTACGGACATTGATGCGAATCTCGCATCCCCATTTCTCAAGCTTCGGCGGTAAAAACCCCGGCCTGGCAAGGGTGTAATCATTCTCTTCGAGGTCACGCAATGCAGCTCGGTATTTGGAGGGGGCATGGTCACCTCGGTATGAGGTGCATGGAAAGTAAATATAGCCTAGTTCGGTGGGTGGAACTTGGCCTCCGAGGTGGAAAATCTTGGATACTACCTTGCAAAATGACGGCATTCTGATGGCGAGTCAATCGTCAAGCCAGAACTGCATTTGCGTTGGCAGCGTTGAGTGGTTGATATTTGCATGTTCGAGGAGCTATTATTTATATCGCTTTTGTGCATGGAATTTCGGTATTGTGTGCAGGGATGTACCTGTATAATAAGGTCGTGAACCGGTACTTTCCATATTGCTTGGCTTTTTGAGAACCATCAAAGAGAGTTTTGTGCGAACAAAAGGTGTCGAGACGGTCCGGATGTTTGTGATTCCTACCGGATCGTTCCTGGAGGTGTTCTTACACCCGCCGAGAAAGGAATCACTCGAAGGGACCCTATATCCGACTCTCGATATGCTCGATTGCTTCTTCCGGTATAGCGTTTAGACTGTCGCGAACAACTAGGTCGATGTGGCGCGCAACTCTCCTAATACATGAATCATTCAGACCCGCAACGTTGATACGGCCGTCAGAAACAAGGTATATGTTGAAATGTGCCGTAAGTTCGTGGCATTGCTGTGGCGTCAAGCGTAAATAGCTACTAGCCGTCAGCGTATATTAGGGGAGATTGAGGATGCTGAATGAATACCTGAACAGGCCCTTCTCATGGAGAATATGGCTCCAATCTCCGGGTGTCTAGTAAATTAGTTGTCGTCCAAGGAGAGGGAGTTCTTTACTTCCTCACCTCCAAAGCGAGAAATGACTCGTAAAGCCGTAGGCGGTTACGTTTCAATCTTGTCCTCATCTGATCGAGCTCCGCAGCCCTATAATTGAATTGTCAGTATTTCCTTTTAGAACAAAAGTTCTAGTCATACCATGCTTGCCGTAATGTCTGGTCCCTCAATATAATATTCACTAGGCGCGCTCCATACGCGGGTGACGAGGAAAACTCCGAACGAATTAATCGTCGAAGCTGGCTGAAGATGCATCCAGCTTTTTCTCGGCTCTTAGTGACGACATGCAATGCCCCGACACGTTCACCATAGAGGCCGAAATTCTTGGAGAACGACTGGCACACTAGCATCTCGAATCCCCGTGCTGCAAACAGCCGAATCGGATAGGCATCCTCATTCTCCCCTTCCCCCAAACCCTGGTAAGCAAAATCAAACATTGGAACATGGTTCCGCCTCTGCATCTCGTCGGCAATAAGTTGCCACTGCGGAGTCGAAAAGTCCGCGCCCGTAGGATTATGGCAGCAGACCTGGAAGATGAAGACGCTGTTTTCAGGCGCCCTTCTGAGTGCAGCCAAACAGCTTTCAATATCCACCTTGCGCAGTGCTTTGTCGTAGTGATTATATTTATCGAGTTGCATCTTCACGAGTTGAAATAAGGGCTCATGGTTTCCCCACGTAGGTGTTCCCACGTATACTTTCTGGCCCGGTGAGGTGGCGACTTTACTCAAGAACAATGCCCCTAGATGAATTGCACCTGTGCCTGCAATCGTTTGCACAGATGCAACCTGGGCCAAGATGTCAGTGAACCTGAATTGTAGGACTCTCCAATAGGTAATTTACTCGTTGTGATTTCAACGGCTCACTGTTAGAGCCAAAGACAAGCTCGGCAGTGTGCGTCAGATATTCTTCAATGCCAGTTGCAGCGGTATACTGAGATGAAATATGAATTAGTCTGAGTTGTGCTATTATATATGCCTTTCAGATGGGATTAGTACATCGTGGTCAGGATCCTCGAGGGCAAGCTTTTCTTTTGCCTAGATTAAAAGGTTAAAACGGTTTTTCAGTCACGGCATCTAGAGCGCAGTCCGAACCATAGTGATGCAGTAGGGTTCGTATATTTGTCCTTGCTCATTTTGGTAGACTCCAATACCCAGATTGACCTTATGAGGGCTGCTGTCACTATCTGCAACCCTCTTGAGCTCCAGCAAGGGGTCAGAGGGTGCCAGTGGGATCTTTTCGAACATATTGTAGCTTTTCGCTTGTGGCGCTGTTGAGAATGACCAAATAGCGATGGAGAACTGTGACTTTAGACGCGACCCATGAGGTCTCTGAAGGTGCATTTATTCAGCCATTATTTAGACTTTATGATACGCTTGCTGGGCCTTCCATGGTTTGAATCAAATGCCTAACGGTGAATACCGGCTCGATCTAGGAGAGCACCCTGCTCAACGTCAGTCTAAACTTTCGACGACAGCCATCAGAACCTTAATCCTAATCCCATACAATCTCCAGCTCAGCCTCTGACATGCTATTAAGCACACTGCCTTGCAATTCTTCGAGGTACGCAAGATCGGATGTCACATCGTATCCTTGGTCGAGGTGGCCGTGCCCAGGAACCCAGCCCACCAAATCGATCAAGATGGCAATAGTACCTTGTAGGACGATGCAAATGACAATCTATTTCAATCCGTGACGAACAGGGCTTTCAAAAACCGGATGTTTCAAGCTGCTCCTGAAGGAACTTGGACAGGGATGAAACTAGATGCCCTTCATTATAGTTTTATCATGCACGTAAGCACTAAATATCAGTAAGGGGGGGGCTGCTTCATCCCGGTGGTAGGGTCCAATCTGGTTCCCCCACCCCATATAGGGCGATCAAGTGCTGACCGGGGCAAGGTGAAGATCTTGGCCTGGTGGAGCAGAGTTGCAGAGGATTCTTGAGGAGGGCAAGTCCCAAACACTGGAATTCGGAATCACGCGCCCGTCAGGTGACCGCAGATCCCTCAGGCCTACCAATTCCCTAGAACGGCATGCCCGAGCGAGGATCCTTTCTCTTCTGTCTTACATCGCGAGTCGCATCCAAGGACCATCCCAGACGCTTGCAACTCAATGCTACAGAAAGATGGGGGCCTAAAAGATGGGGGCATTTTTGCTCTCTGATATAAAAAAGGCCGCAATATTCCGCTGCTGCTGTTAGCCTCTTGAGCAGAAACACCGATCAACAAAACGACGATGAAGGGCCTTTCTGCTGTCATTGCTTTCTCTAGCATCACCGGCTTGACCACCGCTGCAGGCTCGAATGGCTGTGGGAAACCGTTGCCCAAACATCAAAGCGCCGGAGGGGACAGCCATCAAACGCACTTCACGACGTCCGATGGTACTGAGCGCACCTATCTGATTCACATTCCATCCAACTACGACACGAATACCCCAGTCCCCTTGATCTTTTCGTTTCACGGCCGGAGTGGAAACTCGGCGAACCAGGAGGGCCTGTCGCAGTTCAGCAACGAGGATTGGAACCCAAATGGCATCGCGGTGTATCCCCAAGGACTAGATGTATGTCAATCCTTCTCTTCCTCAAAACGACCTTTTCGGTCATTCTAATTCAAAAATCCAGGAACAATGGCAGGGTGATCCGGCCTCTGAAGGAGTGGATGACATCGCGTTCACACTCGAAATGCTCGACCACTTCGAGGACCGGTACTGCATTGACTCGTCTCGCATCTACGCTGCCGGCAAGTCGAACGGTGGCGGATTCACGCATCTCCTAGCATGCGACAGCACTGCGTCCACTCGCATTGCGGCATTCGCACCAGTCGCGGGCGCCTACTACCAGGAGGTCTCCGAAGATGACTGTAATCCGATAACCGTCCCAATCGAATGCAATCCCGGCCGGTCCCCGATCCCGATCATCGAATTCCACGGCTTCGAGGACGAGACGATCCCCTATGCTGGAGGACCCAGACGCGGAGAGTGTCTTCCTTCCGTGCCCCATTTTGTGCGGGAATGGTCCAAACGGGACGGGTTCGGGCTGCACAACAAGACCACCAACTTGTACGATCACCAGGTGCAACGATACGAGTATGCAAGTGGGGATGCCTTTGGCACTGTGACGCATTATCGCATTGGAGGATTGGGACACGACTGGCCAAGTACGGGGCCAAACAGCGACAACCCGGACGGAACGTATCTGGACGCGACGCCGCTGATCATGGACTTTTTCAACCGATGGGCATTGTAATTGGTTATATTGTACGGATATAGCCTTGGTGCAATTATCATAGTAGGTAGTATTAGCATTGCTTTTAGCTAATGTCAAGGAAATTACATTTACCTCAGTAGGCTCATCTCTTGCCAGAACGTGCCCGAAGCTGGATTTGCCTTTTTGAATTTATACGAGACGTTGGAGAATTACCAGGTTAAAATGAAACCCCATTCTGATCAGGAATGAAGCAACACAGACTGCATGCTACGAATCCAATAATTCTATAGTTCGAAGACACCGTAATATAAGGCACTCCCGAAGCGGAATAGTGCCGATGCCCCGCCGCCCCGCCGTTTTTTATCGATTCCGTTCATTTCATTCCAAACCAAACCAAACCATCACTCACTCATTTCTTCATTTCCTTTCATTCCCCCCTTATAGACCAATAAACATAAAAGCAAAAAATGCCTCCCATCCCCGTAACCATCGTCACCGGCTTCCTGGGCTCCGGCAAAACAACCCTCCTCCTAAACCTCATCCCCCAACTCCCGGCAACCTACCGCCTCGCGCTCCTCAAGAACGAATTCGGCGACGTCGCCATCGACTCCCAACTCGCCTCCACGCAATCAATCTCCGGGGTCCGCGAGCTCCTCAACGGCTGCATCTGCTGCAACCTGGTGGGCCAGCTCAGCGACGCACTGGACCAGCTGCGCGCAGAGGTGCAGCCGGACCGCATCGTCATCGAGACCAGCGGCAGCGCGTTCCCCGCCACGCTGGCTATGGAGGTGAATCGGCTGGCGCGCGAGCAGCCGGGGAGTCTGGTGCTGGACGGGGTGATCAGTGTCATCGATGTCGAGAATTGGCAGGGCTACGAGGATACGTCGTATACGGCGAAGTTGCAGGCGCGGTACACGGACCTGATTATTTTGAATAAGTGGGAGAATGTGTCGGAGATGAAGTTTGAGGTGTGTTTGGATCGGTTGGGTGATTTGGAGGTTGAGACGCCGTGCGTGAAGTCGGAGAAGGGGCGCGTGGACAAGGATGTGCTGTTGGGGATTGATGGGGCGTTGTTTGGGAAGGAGGATGGTGTGGTGCATGGTGATCATGCGCATGAGGGGCATGACCATGCCCATGGTCACCAGTCTGAGGTGGAGGTGCTGTCTGTCTCGTTGAAGACTGCGCAGCCCGAGGGGACGGTGGATGTTGCGGCGCTGGAGAAGCTGCTGGGGTCTGCCCCGCGGGATGAGGTCTACCGGATCAAGGGCATACTGCGCTGCTCGACCCAGTCTCCGCCCGCCGAATCGTCGGAGAACCTGGAGGAACGGAAACCAGCGAGCGACCAGGCAGGCGCTACGGCATACTACATTCTCAACTGGGCCTTTGGTCGGTGGACGTTCACGCCGTCGGCGACTGTTGCGGAGGGCGCCGATCCCGCTGCGGTGGCTCGGATAACCTTCATTCTGGCGCGGTGCGAGTCGGCGAAATGGAAGAAGAAGCTGGATGCGGGGGGTCTGGTGCAGGTGGGCGAGGCGAACGAGGGTGCGGAGTTGGTGGTGGAGCGACTGGTATAGATGGAACTTGGATAGATGACGCGGTGCGTGCATCCGCCAGGCCGGGGAAGTTAGAAAGTTGGTCACCGTTGATAGACCGTGGATAGACCGTGGTTTGTACATAGTTAGAGACGAAAGATACCTCCATAGAACACCGAAAGACCATGTGGGTCTAAGCCAAATATTTGGACTATGTCACTCCTCAACTCATTAATGGACTTATTACGACGCAAAGGTAGTTTTTCATGGAGGAAAATTGGGTGGTAGGTTCAATTCAAGCCCGAGATCTAATAATCTATCGGAAGTGACAGAAGGCAAATGGTAGATGCCGAAGTAAGCGCGAGTTACAAAATGACCACAGAAATTCATCGGCAGGCTATTCCAAACACAAACGCAGAACAAGAAAAGTAAAGACAATAAAAATGAAACAGAGAAATCAATCAAGGGTAATGAATGTCAATATTCCAGAAGAGCAGAGGCGCCGGCTTCGCTCGAGATGTAGATCACCTCGTGGTTGTCGGAGAAGCCATTGAAGCGGGTCGCGCTGCATTTGGTGTAGGCGCCCATGTCTTCGAAGTATAGCCAGTCGCCCACATCCAGGAGACCGGGCAGCTCGATGCGCTGGGTGATGACATCGATGCCATCGCAGGTCGGTCCCCAGATAGAGTAGGCGATGCCCTCCGAAGTCGCAGGGTTCGGAGAAGCGGACGGCGAGCTGGCAGCCGAGCCAGACGCGCAGGTCAAGATCTGCGCCACCGGGTGTTGGTGGTCGAAAATGATGTTGGAGAAGTTGCCATAGACGCCGTCGTTGAGATAAATCATGAAAGCGTCGTTGGCAGGGTCTTCCGGGTCACGCACATCGCGGCGAGCGATGACGTTAGCGGCCAGGCTGAACGCACTGGCCACGTAGTAGCGGCCGGGCTCGGCGATGATGCGGATGTTGGGCGGGAAATACATGTCGAGGGCGTCGCCCAAGACACCGGCGAACCGCTCAAAAGTTTCCTGGGTAAATCCACCACCCACGTCCAAGGTGTGCAGCTCGTGGCCCACCTCGGTAGCCTGGTCGAAGACCCATCGAGCATCCTGGACGGCCTTGTAGAACGCAGCCGGGTCCTCAGCCCCCGAACCGACGTGGAAGCTGACGCCCACGACTTTCAGCTCCAGCTCGTGAGCGAGATCAAGAAGCGGTCGCGCCATATCGAGCGACGCACCGAACTTCATGCTCAAGCGGCAGAGACTGGTAGAATCATCGGTGAGGATTCGGAGGTAGAGTTCGGCATCGGGAAAGCACGCCTTGATCTTGTACAGCTCGTCGGCATTGTCAAAAGTCATCTGCTTGACGCCCTGTTGGGCGGCGTAGCGCAGGTAGGACTTGGTCTTGCAGGGTTGCGCGTAAATGATACGGCTGGGATCGATGCCCGTCTGAAGGGCCAGATCGATCTCGGACTTGGACGCACAGTCGAAGCCGTTTCCAAGTTGAGCCATGAGCCGAAGGATTTCCGGGTCCGGGTTGCACTTGACCGCTGCACATGTCGAGTCAGCATATGAAAGAAAAGAGGCAGGCACGGTACAACACAAAGCGCACGCAAGTTGTTTTAGAGTTGGAAAGCTTACCGTAGAATGGCTTGACGCGACCCAAGTTCAGTTTCCACCGCAAATGCTGTCGGTAGACCTCGCCCATATCTGCCACATAGAACGCATCCTCCTCACCAGGACCGCAACGGTCCACATCAACTTCAGCGGCGCGCTTCTTCAGCACGTCCAAGACAAGCTCCTTGGCAGCCAGCCTAGATTGCGAGAGGTCGTCCCCTCCATGATTGCTGACTTGACTAGCCGGATAATTCAGGTAGTCAGGTTTGTCGTACGCAGGTTTAACCATGCATACTGATTCAGCGGGTGAACACGCAGTCGGTGCCATAACCATGTGCGCTGCGACGAAGCACACGGGATAGGACTTTTTTTTAAAGAAAAAAAGAAAGAAAAAAAAAGATAAAGAGTGATCAAGAAGATATACGCGACTGCGTGTTAAGGAGGACGAAAACTTTCGCAACCGAAGTTGACTGGACCAAGCCTCCTAGACCCTTCCTCTTTAAGAGGAAGAACCTTCAGAGAAGTCCTATGCGGCAGCTCAGGGGGCGAGGGAATAAATTGAGAGGGCGTCAAACGGTTAAGAAATGGCGCACCGGACGAACACACGGGAGGCAAGACCAGCAGGAGGTGGAATGTTGTTAAGAGTGTTGCGGGAACGTCGCGGGGAGACAATTTGACGGAAAGAGAGATTGGAGGCTACGGGAGCCGTGGTGAGCTTGGAGAAAAGCCTTTGGAACTGGGGGATTCCAAAGGCCCGACAACTCTGGAACCAAGCGGGAATAAATTGGGCAAATCACCAAAGTGGCCCAAAAATTGAGATCTAGCGACGAGGGAGATGTGCGGTCAGCGAGTTTGAACGACAGGTACGAAAGACCGCGGGTCGACGACAGTATGAGAGATTTAAGGAATTAGGGGGTTGGTGGATGGTGGACGCCGTCTGGTTGCTGAGAGGTGCGTGCAGAGTTTTTTAACGACGGCGAAACGAGTTTAGGGCAAAGGGCTCAGCCATTAGGCAGAAACCGGGGGGGAAGGACAGAGAGAGGGGGGGAAGAAAGTGATACAGGTGAAGCTCGACGGAGAAAAGGAGTCGAGGGACGCAAGGATAGGTGCATGAGGGAAGTGAAAATGACTCACCTTGAGATGCGCGAGGTGGCAGATGGGAAGGAAAAAGCAGGAGAGCGTCAACGTTCGGGTGGTGAGTGGATGAAAAGGCGAAAGGGCAAGTCTGGTTCCCGTGGGGGATGCCGTAAGCAGTCCCCGGCCAGTTTTGAGATTTGTTGATTTGTTTGTCTGTCCGCCTTTGCAGCTGCAGCAGCAGTTCAGTTGCCACACGGAGCACGGAGTCGGTAGTGGACGTCTCCAACGCTCCTTCCCTCCGGACGATTCCGCCCCTGTCCATCTCAGGCACCCTCAGGCACTCTGTCAGGCACTCATCCGGTCTGGACTGGCGCTGTCTCTTCACATGGCCAGTCCAGCCGGTTCCAGCTGAGCTATAGCTACATGCCTAGGTCCCTGGGCCCCTGCACCCCGTCCATCCTCTTCAGCTGCGGGAAATCACTGCCTCACATGGACATGACTGCAGATGACGGATCGACTGCTCTTGCGCAATCGGATCTGCCAATAGGCTTTGGTGTCACCCGGCCCTTCGTCCGTTCAACCCTCACGCGTCGACGCCTGGCTCAATCTCCAAGTCCGAAACTTTCGACCAACTCCCCAATCGAGTGGCGATGAGGTCACTCGCCCGATTGACATTCAGTGCGCCGTGATTGGCCCGCGGGTCTGGCCGCCCAGATCTGCCGGCAGAATCAAAACAAGGAAGCGGACGGTGGGGCGGCGGGCCAATCAGCGATGCGATGCCCCGCCATGTGGATGTGTCAAGCCCTATTATGACGACGTTCACTACTTAAATCATCAATGGGAAATAGTAGATGAGTAGGTTTTTGGATTGAGAAGAGAGTAGGGTTTGAATAGCCCTAGTATCTTGGGGGTCTGTAGAGTCAGCTGAGTAAAAGTTGCTTTGTTGAAGTAGGATTATGCTATTGTTCAGCCAGGTGGAGTCTATCTATATATATCCGAACAGTCTCTATCAATGAAACCGAATAACTGTGGCATATTCAACACCACATCATACTACTTGAACTTTGAATCGGACAACTTAATTAGAAATTCTGCAAGCAAAGTATCTACTATAATGCTGAAAATCAAACAGTAATCGAAGTGAAATACAATACAACTAGGACAAGGAAAGATTATAGGTAATGAATCCTTTATATAAATCCAACACACTAAAAAAAACAAACTGTACGAACACCTCTTGTCAGCTCTCGCCAGAGGCATCGTAAGAGGCTTCATCGTCAAAAGCCCCACAGATACTCGCACTCCGAGACCGCAGCGGCGATTCCGGCTCGACAAACCGAACGCGCTTCGGCTTCGCACACACCTCGAACTTGGGACTCCCAGAGCCCAGCCCCCCAACCGTGTCCCCGGAGGTTGCAGCCGCAAACGCCGCCAACTGATCGAGACCCTTTTCCTTCTCCGGCAGCGCCCTCAAGGTCTCGTCGCCATTGGGGACTTGTTCATGGAGCAGGCGGCCTTCGGCGTCGCGCAGGTCCAGGTTCCGCATCACCGCGTTTCCAATCTCAAAGTAGGGCGTCGAGGAGCCGACGCCGGTCGTGACTAGGTTCGACAGCGTCGCGTCCTGCCCGTAGACGAAGCGATGCAGATTCTGCCCGATCTCGCACGCCGTCATGCCGATCTTGGCCCAGGCCTGGATATACTCGGGCAGGTCGATGACGGCGTCCCAGTTCATGCGGCCGGGCGGGCACAGCTCGTCGGGCAGGGTCTCTTCGCTGTGCTCGTCGAAGCCGTAGTGGGAGTCGCTGTCGCTGCTGCTGGGCGAGAAGGACAGCGGGCTCATGATTAGCTCCTCAGTGAAGTACTCCTCGGGTGCTTCAACGGTCGGGATTGGGATGTTGTCTAGCGAGCTCCCACGGCGGTACACGGCGTTGGACCGCTTGAGGGAACATGTGCTGTCGGTGGAGGAGCTTCTAGTCGGCTCGTGATCCATCGTGGATAGAAGTATAGTATATAGTATATGTAAAGCTGGGACAGTTGCGAGCTGCTCAGCAAGTAAAGGATATATAGATCTTGTAGTGATCGGTAACTATACGTGGACGACTTGAGTATGGTATGAAAAGGAGAAAGATTGTCCAGATCGCGCGCTTTATATCTCCAAGAACTGATAGAATGATGCAGAAGCCGGCGAAAACAAAGGAATGGCGAGAGACACAATGGACACAAAGAAAAGCATCACAATACCATGGAGACGTTCCTATCTCCCTCGCATAGTTCCGTTGGAACAATGCCATTATACCGGTCCTTCTCCTGCTTCTAGCAAAGAAACAATGACAGTAATGAGAAGTACCCTAAACGTCGTGTGCATCTTCAGATTTCTTTTTGATAGGCATTTTCTCAATGGAATTTCAGTTTGGACTAACATACAGGCTTTGTCCGATTGTCTAAAAACTGCCCAATGTTCCGATTTCCAAGAAACTCTGGATCAGGGCAACCAAGGGCACGTGTTGGCGAAGAGGCCGCAAGGTGGCTTTGCGGATTAGATATTAATTATCTGGAAGGCGTCGCATACGAGTGTCTGACAGCTTCTAGTTCATTGTAGTGGTGAAGCATCATGATTAGGTACGGATTATGATTATGTACAATTAGGTTGCGTGCAAAGGGAATATTGGGTAGTAACACAGGGTAGAAGAAACAAGAGAAGAAATATAGGTGAAGAAACAAGCGGAGAGAAAGTTAGACAAAAAAAACTTGAAAAAGGGGTATATAAAAACGAAAATCAAGTCAAAAGGGAAGGCTTTGCCAGAAGCCGAAAAATGGAGCCTCTTAGAGCCATAAAACCCATCGAACCCCAGAAATTACGCCGCGAAGAACACCGCGAACGATCTTGAACACCATGACAATCAACCAAACCCACCATAGTACTCCCACGAGCGCCCATTCGAGCATTCCAAACCCGGCACGGCGAATCCAACGCAGCCGCCGGTGGCGTTTTCGGATACCTCTGTCAAGTGTGTCATTCAGTTGCTTGACGGCAAGGGTACTGGTCGTGTTGAGTTGAACGCTGAGATTCTCAGCATCCTCGGCTGCAGCTCGGACACGCGGATTCAAGGAATCGTTGACCATATTCTCAAGGTCGTTGAGGCGAACCTTCAAGGATGACGATTCATCCCCGGGGTAATCTTTGATGGAATGCTGAAAGCGATCGTGCGATGTTTCAACTCTCCGGACTAACGTCTGCACGGCCAGCTCATACTCGTGACAGCGAGGAACAGGTGGGATTGGGCTGTTAGGCCCGAATGCTCGGTGGAGGAAATCAGGAGGACTCCGTACACTTTCCGCCCGCCGAGTAATCTCCCGTGCTTTGATCCCCGAGGAAAGCAAAAGAGCACGTGTACGTTCAACCTCTCGCTTGCTAGGGATTCCGGTATCGATGCTAGTGGATATACTCCGATCAGAAATGCTCCAGCTCCTTGACTGATTTGTAGTAGTTGGTCGTCTCTCTTGAGACGTTGAAGCAGGAGAAACCTTTGCTTGCGCAAGACCAGTAACCGGAGGATGCGTCATACTGAATGGTACCGACGGGTCTTTGATTCTGCCCTTCTTAATCTGTTCCCTGACAGTGTGTAGTTCGGGTCCGAAACTAAGAGATTTCTCAGGCTTGCCAATCGGAGCATGGGTGTTTAGTTTGCTGATTAGGGGAGTCGAAAGACTTTTGCCATGTCCTTGTAACTCCCTCGTGCCTTGTGTTTGTGAGTGCATATCCTCCTTGGATAGGCCACCCTGTTCGGACGTCTTATGCTCCTCTTCCACGTCGGCTCGAGGAGAGATAAAAGCCGCTGGCGAGGGCAAAGAGATCTCCGCAGCTGTATTGTCTGATCCTCTGTGCGCAAGACGATCCCCTTCATCCGACGAGATAGGCATCTGATGTGAAGGAACCGCCGAGCCATTGCTGCCGTCTCCTCTGATTTCCTCAAGACGGGCATCTTTGGTCTTGGTAGAATGATCCATACCATCGGAAACATCCCCTTCGTCTGTGGTAGCACTGGTCGCAAAAGACGATTGTCGAGAATGTTCAGTATTGTCTTTCTTCAATATCAGGCCTCCCATTTTCGACACCTCATTGCTGACTTTTTCTGCAATCTTTCCGGGTCCTTTGAGGATACCACGCAATTTGGATTCGTGTTGCATTGATCCCTTCCGAATATGTAAACTGGGTCTTGCGTGATCGCCATGATGAGCAGGAGAAACTCGCTCCAGAAGTGGGCTTGACTCGGCTCTCCCAGGGGGAGGCAAGACATCAGGTTTGGGGGCACTGTTGTTACGCAGTGCCTCAGAGTCGACCATGCTCTCGTCAGTTATATCCTTCTGTTTTGAATCATCGTGCCTGCCCTGGTCATTGCGAGAAGCAATGGTTCGTGAAAGCCGTCCCTTGGAAGGCGATGGTGAGCGACTCGAGGGAGATGATAAATTAGATGCAATGCTGGGGAAATAGCCCATATGAAGAGGTGTACTAGGCGCCTTGGGATCTATCGTTGCGAAGGATGGTAGAGGGCCGTGCCGATCCTCTCGGCTAGGTGCGGAGGATACAGAACCGCTCTTCTCCTCAACCTTGGCTCTGCCAGCAGAGCTTTGCGCTGGGATGACTGTAGTTTCCGCTGGCCTTTCTGCATGGGACGCCTCTGACCCTCGCAGTTTGGACACGCCAGTTGTTGGAGAAATGGATCGTCCGGAGCGCAGTACATCGTCCATGCGAGCAGTCCAAGACGGTACCTCATCTAATGACGATATACTCGATGAACTACTCGATACCATTCCTAGTTTGCGTCTTCTGGAGATTGATGATCCCTTCTTTGAGACACTGTGGCTTGGAATAATAGGCGAAGGACTTCGGAACCTATGCCGTCGCCTTCCACGACCGATTCTTTTGAATTCAGGCGCCAACCCAGGGTGCGCATCAGACATTGAGGTACGGGAAGTATATCCTTCGGCATCTAGAGAGTCTCTTGCAGCAGGAGGCTGCTCTTCAAAGGTTGGGAGGCTCTTAGCATCGTGATCGACCAGCACAGCGGGATCCGGATAAAGACAGTTTCCTTCCCTATCGATGATTTTGCTCTTATTGGGAACGTGTTCAACCCATGCAGCATCGGCAAGCAGCTCCGATGGTGATAATATCCAGTCGAACCTTGGCCTGCGGGCCTTAATGCTGCTAGTACGGCTAGCTCGCCGCAAGCTTGAAGGAGGGGAGCCAGCCCAGGGTTCCTCTTCGGTGTGCTCTTTCTGAGGTGCATTTTGAGCCCGGTGAGGAAGTGGGGGTAGTCTCAGGCACTGTGAAGGGCTCTGTTCCTGTCGACCGTATTTGGTCTCTACCGAGTCAACCCAATCACGAACACTGTCAATGTCATTCCATCCTTCTCCGTCCGGGTCAATCGGACACCGCTCTCGAAACCTGACTTTCCGGTTACGGATAGCTTGTAGAGGATTGTAGGACCGGCCTGTGTTCGAAGTGTCGTCATTGACAGGTTTGGTCTCAGCTGCAGCATTCGCATCGTAAGACCGGAGAGGAGGGAGGGACGGAAGGAGGCGTAAATATTCAGAGAACAGTTCGAAGTGCTGTTTGGCATGTTCCGCGCGGGCGAGTGTGCTATCTGAGAACACAGGTGGCAAAGGGTTGGATTCGGCAGATTGAGGCAAAAGACTTAACACAGAGGGTGCCGCGTCGGCCGAAGAACTGGCACGCCATGATCCAACAGCTTGCGTACGATCCTCGGTAGTAGAATGAGTGAGATTGCGACGTGGGTGAAGATTGTCTTGTCCAAGGCTACCAGCAGCAATCGGTGGGTGGCTCTCGGTATGAGGAAGCGAGGGTTGGCCAATTGCCGGGGCCCATCGTCCGCTGGAGAGACGATTTGAGGCAGACCGACCAAGGGTGTTGGATTTCCTTGATTCACTCAAGTTCAAGGCCAGATTGACAATTTGTAAAGAATCCCTATCCAAGCCCATAGAAGATCGATGATCGGCAGTCGTAGGTTGTGATTCCTGCGGCTTCACCTCCTGCTGCACGTGGGATGTAGGTGTCTCCTGAGCTGTTTCCCCCTCTGTTGATACGGACGGCGATTCCTTTGATGCATCCTTCTGGCGACTCCAAGGAAAGCGCGATCGTTTCTTCGATTTCACAATATCGTTCTCGGGGGCTCCACGTTTCTCTCTGCGGTCCGGTTCTGAATGACGCGGGCGGTGGTAGCTATTTCGCAAGCTTTTGGATCTCGGCAAAAACGATGAATCAAGCAAGAAGCCACTGGAGCCTTGCACACGTCGCTGAGCTCGACTGCCCCTGTCCGCGTCGCGAGAGCTGCCTGTGAGCGTACTGCCCTCCAACTCCCCGCTCTCGCGTCCCTCGTTCATCTGCAGGCCCTGTCGTCTATCGGACCCGTCATTCGACTCAGAATGGCGCATCGACTGCGGCTTAGCAGACCGCATTTGATAATCCGAGGTGCTAGACCGAGAGGGTGGCGCCGTGTGTGTTTCATCGGTTTCCTGCGACATCAGGGCCGCAGGGAAGTGATCTTCCGTCCCGTCGGATAGGAAAGGGGCAACGTTCGACAGTAAGAAAATTCATGAGGACTAGCAACCAGGGCGGCGCAGAATGGTCATAGCTTCTAGGCAGCAAACAAGGAAAGATGCGACATCCAAGACGAACAGGGGCTCGTCATTGTCTGGAAGTTTGAGGTGGTACGGTCGACTCGATCGGCAGGCAGCAGAACCCGGGGATGCACGTGCGGTGCAAACAGAACAAACACTACGTTTACTTGCCGACAGAATCAGGCACTCTACATCGCATACTGTGTCAAAACACAAGGAAAATTCTGGCATGGAGTCTAGTGAGGCAGAATAAGAACTAGAGATACAAGGCCTGTGCGAGGAAGGCAACAGAGTTAACGGAAGACGAAGGAAAACGCTGGATTTTATCGATCTATTCAACCCGGAGGCACTGAAGGCGCGCCTCAGTTTCAATGACCTGTAAACAGAGAAGACATTTCGGTTAGCCATTGATTCATGAAGAATCACATCATACTTCGCATGAGCAGATAACATACCTCAAGAGCCTGCTTGACCTCCAGAACCCGACGCACTTCGATGAGCCAATCCTTACTGAGGATCTTGGCCCATCCAGTCAGACTGTTCATCTCACGGGCAGCAGCGTCGAGCTTGCCCTCCTCCAGAAGGTTCTCGGTCCGCACAAGGACACTCTCAACATCATCACTACCGGCGACCACGTCCTTCTTGAACATGACCTTACTCAGGACGAAGCTGGCGGCGTGGCTTGCAATACCCGCATCCTCGGGCAGAAGGCTAGCCTTGCGAACTTCATCCGCAACGCGACGGAAACGCTCGATAATTTGAGGCGTGGCCGGGATTCCGCGCTGGTAGGCAGCGGGGTTGATGGAGGCGATGGCAGCATCGACAACAGCGTCGTCAGCGGCCAGCTCCTTGACAGCAACGAGCTCGCGGATGAACGGACGAGGAACCGTCGAACGCTCGAGAACGGAGCGCACAGCATCGACGGCGACCTGAAGCTGCTGAGTCTTGAGGTTGGTGTCAATGACATCCCTCCAGCCAGAAGTGAGCTTCTCCAGATCGCTGACGTTCTCAGTCAGTTCGTTCAGCTTGCTCAAGCGGCCCTCGCGCTCGCGCTCAACGAGATCCTTGACTTGATGAAGGTACTTGCGGTTGAGTTCAATAGCTTGCTCGACCAATTCATTCTGAAGACGTTGCTCGGCCAGCTCTTGCGCTCTCTGCAGCTCGGTCTTGATCTTGTCCTGGTAGGCGTTGGCCAGCTTCTCGCGCTCGGCCTCAAATTCCTCACGGAACTGAGCGGCATCAACGGAGCGGGCTTCGTTGAATTGACGGATGAGCTCACGAGCAGACTCATCGAAAGTCGAATGGGCCTGCTGGATCTCATCCTGAGCGGCGCGGCGAGCTTCCTCCCGGACGGCGATGATCTTGTCTCCAACCTTCTGAAGCTCCTCCTTAGCCTTTGTGATGGATCCAGCGTACTTGCCCGAGTTGTCATCAGCACCGATGACAGTGATGATGTCGTTGAAAGTCTTAACCAGCTCTTGCACAATGGCCTCGTCGCCCTCGTTCACCTTGGCGAATTCGAGGGGCGCGACAGCAGGAACAGCAGGCTGACGGGGCTCCTCCAGCTTGGGTGCCTCCTTGGACGACTTGTCGCTCTTCGCCGTCTCCACGGCGGCCGTCTTCTGCTCAGGCTTAGCAGCGTCGGTCTTAACCTGCGCTTCCTCGCTCTTCCGGCGAGCCTCAACAGCACTCATATGAGGGCCTCTCTGCGAAACATCGGTTCCGGCATCCTCCTCCTCCGCCACCTTGGAGGAGAGACCGCTCTTGCTCGGGATTGTGATCTTGGGGCCTTCATCCTTGGAGCCCCCGCGCTTCTGGGTTCCGAGGGTGTTGGGGAATCGGCGGTAAAAGTCACGCTCTTCGAAATACAAGACGGCCTCCTCACCATAGGGAACGTACTCCGTGAAAAAGTCGTGGAAGTTGTCGGATTTCAGAGCAAGGAAGATACTTCCACCGTAAGCGAAACCCGAAGTGAGGATCAAGTAGAGCAGGAACCGGCGAAAGCGACCGGTTTTCGGGGCCGCGACCGGGGCGGGCGACGGAGAACTCTGCGAACCTGTAAAAGACTTAGCATCGAAGACCTTGATGGGTTGCATTTGGCAAGCATTGTCGAACCTTGCTCGGGCGACGCCTTGGGCACGGTTTCGGGGGGAACGACCGAGTCGGAGGACGGGGAGGCAGGCGTCGGCGCACCAGTCGTGGGGGGCTTAGAGTCGGCAAAGAACCGCTGAAGGTTGAGTGAAGCAATTAGACCAGCACATCATAAAGGAGAGTCCCATGCATCGTCACCATACCTGACCGGAGAGCCGGCTAGTGGCTCCGGCTTTGGCCAGCCATTGGGAAGCTGTCCGTTGACGAGTCGAGGACAGCAGCAACTGCCGTCCTTGTGCAGCAGAATTGCGCAGCATGACGGGCCACACTACTGTGGAGATAAGCGCTGAAGGCGGGTGTATCCTGAGGGGATGATGTTGGCGAGAGAAAACGCGGACCGGAATTGGTAGATGCTTTAACGATCCGCTCCGATCCTGCACCGCCCGACTGTGGCTCAGTTCGGGTGTCTTCGCACCGCCTCCGCCTGCGCCAACCACCTACGGAGTATACTTGAACGATCGCATCCATGGATGGATTCGGCGAATTTACCTACGTTCAAATGCGACCGACACAAGCTGTCGACTGTCAAGAATTCAAGAAATATTATATAGGCATAGCATACGGGAAAAAGATTCCGGAACACTGGGATAGGAAAAAAGATAAGAGAAAATGTAACATGAATTCAGCCCAACAGAAAAAGAAAAAGAAGAAAAAGACGGATAGAGACGCCGATAATAAGGGAAACAAAAGCAAATAAGAACGAAGAGAAATGGTCATGTTGCAGGTTTCTTCCTGCCGCATGACCTCTAGAAACTGGATCCAATTAGGCGCCTGCACGGTCTCCGAATTTCCATCCCGATAGATAATTTCAAGAGTAACGGACAATGAACGGGGTGGTGGAATCCAGAAACCAGCAGTCAGTTCCTGAGGAAACGAGGATTCGGACCCCGGCGAAGACGCTGTGAATCCAGAAGGCCTAATTCACGATCATCACAACACCATTAAAACACGTGGCAGTCTGGTTGAAAGTTATTCATGGCGGCACAAACGTTGTCTGGCAGACCGATCTGGGGCTAGGCCTGAAGACATGCACCTTCTGCATCGAGACAAAGTGGAACGAAAGCATAGATGAGGACGGCAAGAGAAGATACAAGTTGTCGCAAGAATCGGCTGGGAATTAGACAATCTAGCAGTTGCAAGAGCCAGCGCCCTGGGTGCCGGGTGCCTCGGGCCGCAAATCCACACCGGCACGGGGAGTTGTCCGCAAGTTCCGGGGTCCGGCCTGATCAAGGGGCAGTTTCTTCGCGATGGCTGTAAAGAGATCCCGCACATTCGACGACGTTTTGGCGGAAGTTTCAAAGAAGAGCAATCCGGCTTCACGAGCGTAAGCTTCGGCATCCGCAGCTGGGATGGCACGCTTGTCGGGGTTTTCGGTGACCAAATCGAGCTTGTTACCGGCCAGGGCAATGACAATATTCTCGTTCGCTTGGCGCTGTAGTTCCTTCACCCACGACTTGGCTTTATCCAATGACGACTGTTTCCAGGTTGATTATATATTAGCTTTCCACGAGAACCTCACGTTGGATTCGGGGGGAAGGGTAAGCCGCATACAGCTTGTGTGATGTCGTAAACAACAACTGCGCAGTTCGCATTCCGGTAGTACATCGGAGCCAGCGACTTGTATCTCTCCTGACCGGCGGTATCCCATATTTCAAACTTGACCGTCGTGCTTTCGTCCAGGGAGATGGTCTGAGTTAGGAAGGCAGCGCCGATCGTCGACTCTCGGTAGTCATCAAATTGATCCTATGAGATGTCAGTGAATGTAGATTCCACAGAGATATGCGCCATTTGTCTCCTTTTTCATGAGGGCCAGGGTAAGTCAGTCTCACCTTGACGAATCTTAGTACTAGCGAACTCTGTTGCAGAGCATCTCCGTTAGCGACCGGCACAGGAACAAGAAATCAACCAACGTATAAAATGCCAACCTTTCCAACGGCGGACTCTCCTATCAAATGCGGAAACAAAAGGTTAGTACCTGTAGCATGCAGGATCCAGCGGAGCTATGATAGGATAAGCTAGCTCACCGAGCAAGACCAGTTTGAACTGGGCGAATCTCGCACCCGGTCGGGCGCCTGCTGCCGCTCTGGAAGCCATAGTCGGGATGGTCAAATGGGCAATGTGCGATAGGGCGAGTAAACGATAAACACGGCGTGGAAACCCGAGGGCGATAAGACGTGTCTCTGCGAGCGGACGGGGAAGGGGAGAAGGCGAAAGCGCTGAGGTCGGGGGGGAGAGATGGGGAGGTTTGACGGCGGCCTGCCGGGGCAGTAAGTCAGAGCGAAAGCATGACGAAGGGGACAGTCAGCCACGCCTTACTGTTGCGGGGCGGTGAGTGGCGGCCATTCCTTCCACATGCTCTCTCGCCTTCTCCCTAGGCTGCTGCTGTCTTGTTGGAGATCGTCAACTCCCATTATCCTGTCCTCCCTCTGTCTCTCCTTCCTCCTCCTCCTCCCTCTTCGCACCATGCGTTGATCTCCTTCTCCCCACACTCTTTTCGTCTCTGTTTTCTTTCCGGCTTTCCTCTTCGTCACCGTCCTTTGATCGTCTTCGATCCGTCTATTTACTCGTCCCTTTCCCTGCCCGATCTAGCAGATCCCCGGTACTGTGGGTATATCACCAACCATGGCAACCTCAATTCTCCCGTTTCGGGATATCAATCTTCACGCCTCTGCCGCTCATTACGCTTTTACTTCGCCCTCGTCGCCGAATGCTCCTGCCCTGGTCGTTGACCGACCGACCGGTGATCTGCGTCTGCACGATGGCCCTCTGTCGGGCGCCAAACGTATCTCCAGCATTGCCGGAATTCTGGGCATGATCAAACTGAAGCTCGGTAAGGGAACTACAGAGCCGTGGTGCGCTGTGCAACACTGACAATTGTAGACAAATATCTAATCGTGATCACCAAGGCCCAGCCGATGGGTCGGTTACGCGGCCACATGGTCTACAAGGTTGCCGGCACCGAGTTCTTGCCCCTTCGTGAACGCCCCCTGCATGATTATGATGAAGACACCTATCTCGCGCTCCTCAAGGAACTCCTCCGCACCGGGCCAATGTACTTCTCGTATGCGTTGGATCTTACGAACAGTTTCCAGCGCCAGTCGCAAAGCGATGCTGCTCTCCCGATGTGGAAGCGAGCTGATGATCGTTTCTTCTGGAACCGGTTCATTCAGTCGGACTTCATCGACTTCAGTGTAGGAGGACAGGATAACACGAGTCTTCGCTATGGCCCGCAGCCCGGAGTCGATCCGTATATCTTGCCGGTGATGTACGGCATGCTACGGATCACACCCGCGAAAATCAAATCAACTTCGTTCACCTTTGCGCTCATTACGAGACGGTCTCGTCATCGGGCTGGTACCAGGTATTTCTCTCGGGGTATAGATGACAACGGCAATGTCTCGAACTACAACGAGACCGAGCAGATTGTGATCTTGAACGACACCGCCGGCGGCCTGGCCGGGTTTGCGGGGGGGCAGTCCATGAAAGAGAAGCCCGGTGTGTCGGGCCACGACCTCCAGGTAATGGCATTTGTTCAAACCAGAGGAAGTGTGCCGGTGTATTGGGCCGAAGTCAACAATCTCAAATACACCCCCAAGATCCAGGTTCGTGGTGTAGAAACGGCCATCGATGCTGCCCGAAAGCATTTTACCGATCAAATTCGACTGTACGGCGAGAACTACTTGGTCAACCTTGTGAATCAAAAAGGAAGAGAAGAGCGTGTCAAATCGGCATATGAACAACTAGTACGCACATTGGTATCTTCGTCGACAGAAAACACCGAGACTGACGCAAAATCCCCCGAAAAGGTGCACGTTCTGGAATCCGACCAGAGACAGAATGAGCTGGACCGATTGCATTACGTGTACTTCGACTTCCACAACGAAACCAAGGGTCTCAAATGGCACCGCGCGGAGCTGTTGATGGATCGACTATTAGATGGACTGACGCGCGGTGGCTATTTCCGTGGCGTGGAGGACCCGGTATTCCCGGATGGCCAACTGGACATCCGATCCTCGCAAGCCAGCGTCGTTCGGACAAATTGCATGGACTGTTTGGATAGAACCAATGTGGTGCAAAGCATGCTTGGTCGGTGGGCTCTAACGCGGCAACTGACCGATGCCGGAGTACTTCGCGCTGGAGAAGCGGCCAACGACGATAAGGAATTCGAGGACATATTCCGCAACATCTGGGCCGACAACGCCGACGTTGTCTCCAAGTCTTATTCTGGAACCGGGGCGTTGAAGACTGATTTCACTCGTACGGGCGAGCGTACTCGTGCGGGTATGCTACAGGATTTGAACAACTCCATCACCCGATACATCCGAAACAATTTTATGGATGGTCCCAGGCAAGACGGTTTCGATGTCTTCCTCGGAACTTACCTTCCTCCGAATTCCACCCTTGGAAACTTGCAGGTCTTTATTGACCGGCGTCCGCTCATCATCCAGTCTATTCCATACATTCTGGCCGCGGGCGTATTCTTTATCATGATCTCCATGTTGACTAGGCGGCTGCCCGACTCTGCGGTCTGGCCTCTACGTCTGTTCGTTATCTTGTGGCTGGTTGTGTCTGCCTGGTGTGCGCGCTTCGTCCTTGTGCACGGCATGCTTTACGTACGTTCCTTTCCTTTCAAAAATTTCTCTCATTCCCTCCCCATTCATCTCCCGCTCCCTCGCTGACAATATGATATAGGTCAACTGGCCAAAATTGAACACACCTACGGCTGGTTCCGAAGGTTACCAAGATGCCCTTCTCAAGGCCCGAACCGACCCTGTCGTTGGCCAGTTTCTTCCCGCCAGAAGACACCAGAGAGGGTACAGCAACGCTCGCTTGGGCTTCCTGGAGGAAGGCAAAACGAGGATTGAATAAAGTTCTATAATTCTGCTCTGGCTGGGTCATTTATTTCATCTCACTTCTTCCAGCCAACCGTCTGTATTTGAAACATACGGTTCTGGCATGTTATTTCTTCTTTTCTTTTTTCTGAAACATACTGTCGCTATTTATTCTTCTTTTCTTTTTAACCACTCTATCTATATTGCATGCCCCTCTTCGTTTCTTTGCTTTTCATATAGTCGCCTCGAGCTTTAATGTCATTCCATTTCACACGTGTACAGAAATACTTGTCAAGTTTTCAATGCATGCTGAGCCAGGCCCTTAGCCTCACTGTTCAATGCTACATAGTAACAATAGGTGTTGAGAGTTGAGGGTGGCAAATGATACGAGTAGTTAGTCCCATGGAGTAGATCTGAGCTGCCAGTGCCGATATCGCTCACGTGATGCCGATAAGGCCGCGGAGGACGCCAGCAGACGTCGGGGAAATGATTCATTCACATTACCTGCTGCTCTCTTCGATGGGCTTGTGACTACGCAGTCTTCTTAAGCCTCCCTGATGATAGGCTTGCATATCACCTCTAGATTCTCATCGCGCAGTCAAATCTTTCGGTCCTTTTCGTCCTACCCCGCCATGTCTCGCAATTATGAGGTATGCGCAGACCTCCACGAGCTTACCCCAGTCTCTAGAATAGGCTTCTAATATTATGCATTTTAAAGGCTGCTATCGCAGCTCTTAATTCGCTGCAATCGAACTTTGCGACCGTCAAACTCCTGAATGTGCCAGAGACGAGGAAGGCTATGAACCTACAGTCCCTTCCCGAGACAATCGAATGGTTTCGACGCATAGGATATCAGCCTTCGGATTTGAATCGTCTGAATCCTGTCCACGTTGCCGGAACCAAAGGCAAGGGGTCTACGTCGGCATTTATCGCCTCCATCCTCTCTCAGTACACAGGGTCGCAGTCGTCTGGACCAGAGGCATCCCCGCGAGTGCAAAAAGTCGGCCTGTATACTTCCCCCCATTTGCGCTTCGCCAGAGAGCGCATCCAGATTGACAACGAGCCGATTTCCGAAGAGAAGTTCGCCCGGTACTTTTTCGAGGTATGGGACCGACTTGAGGCGGCCGCTCAAGCTGCCGGTGAAGATCCTACCAGCTCGCCAACTAAGCCTCAATATTTCCGATACCTCACTCTCATGGCGTTCCACGCGTACTTGAGCGAGGGCGTCAATGCCGCGGTAATTGAGTGTGGAATCGGCGGAGAGTATGACTGTACCAACATTATCGAGTGCCCGGCTGCGTCTGCAATCACTAGCTTGGGCATCGATCACACGAATATGCTTGGGAACACGATCGAGGAGATTGCCTGGCATAAAGGTGGTATCATCAAGCCAGGGACAAAGACGTTTAGCACCCCTCAACTGGCCAGCGCGGAGAAGGTTCTTTTTGACCGTGCAGCCGAAAAAGGGACGCAACTGGAAATCGTAGCGAACCACCCCGAACTCACCAGCAGCGGCGGCGTAAAGCTTGGCTTGGCGGGTGACTTCCAATACACAAATGCAGCACTGGCTGCTGCAACAGCTGCAGAATTCCTGAATAAGGTCGGAATCGAAGACGTCACCCAGGATTATCTGCAAAAGCCTCTGCCAGCCAAGATCCGCAAGGGATTGGAATTGGCTCGATTAGGAGGACGATGCGAGACCAGACATGAGAAGAACATTTCTTGGTACGTTGACGGGGGTCATACACTTGAGAGTATCAAGCTGGCTGGCCAATGGTTTGCCTCCCAGATTCAGGTCAACTCCTCGTCGGCCGATGCGGCGAACAAGAAATTGCGGGTTTTGATCTTCAACCAGCAGACCCGCGACAGCAATGCCCTTGCTCAGGCGCTACACGACACTCTGGTCGGGCCACTTGGGTCGGAGCAGCCATTTACGCACGCCATCTTCTGCACCAACGTCACATACAAGGATGCGGGATACCGACCCGATCTTGTCAGCATGAACACCAATGCGTCGGATGTGGACAAGCTGGAGGTTCAAAGGAGCCTGGCGGAGAAGTGGAGTGCCATCGATCCCCAGGCAGAGGTCAAAGTCTACGGCACCATCGAAGAGGCCGTGGACTTTACCCGACAGCTGGCCGCGCAGGAAAAGGGTCGTGTCGGCAGCGACGAGGCACCTGTGATGACCTTTGTCACCGGCAGTTTGCACCTGGTCGGTGGTTTCCTCGACGTGATTGAAACCAAACCCAGCCAGTATTAAGATGGATGTTTATTCCCACTTTCTCCTGGAAACGACCTACATGCCATTCAATGGTGTTCTCAACAACATTTAAAGATACCCAGCAAGGCTATTCTCCGTCCTTTGCTTGATCAATATGTGGAATGATTTATATACATGGCGAGGCGTTCGTCTTGGGGCTTCAACAAAACCTCTTTTTGTGCTAGAAATGCAGATTTATATGGAAATTGCATACCAATGTATGGAACTACTGAGTGGCCAGCAGGTGCTACTGAACCGTATTGTCCTCTTATATGGGCCTCTCTTTGCCGAGGTAGTAATCCTACGGACAGTAACCGTACTGTCTAGCCTAAAACAGTAGACAGATTAAATGTAAGCTGCAGACCAATTCATCTTCAAACGTCTTGAGTCTCGTCAGAGCCGAGGGACTGACGATCCCCGCGGAAGTGAAGAAGTGACGTGGGGCGGAATCTCGAAAACCAAACTTCCTTCCCGCACCAAACGCCATTCTGTCCTGTCCCTCAATCCCTCGCCTTCTCCCTCATCCAACGCCCACCATGTCGGACCCTAAGGATAACAAGGGCAAAGCGCCCCAGGACGTCAACCCCGACGGCGACGCCGCCCAATCCTCCTCCAAGAGCGACAAGAAGTCCAAGGATGCCCACCCCCTCGCGAAGATTACCCCTCAGATGGCCGAGACGCTGCTGGAGAACAATCCCGCCCTGAAGAACGAGATGCTCGGACTGGATAAGGACAAGGCAGCGGAGGCTCTGCGCAAGATGGATATCTCGCAGTTGTTGACGGGTCTATCGGTCACCGGCAAGAACCAGAAGGACATCGCTTCGTACAAGTTCTGGCAGACGCAGCCGGTGCCTCATTTCGACGACACCAGCAACGCATCGGGCGGCCCCATCAAGGTCATTGACCCGGAGAAGGTGTCCAAGGAGCCCGATCAGTTGATCGAAGGATTCGAATGGGCCACTCTGGACCTCACCAACGAGACCGAGCTGCAGGAGCTGTGGGACCTGCTGACATATCACTACGTGGAGGACGACAACGCCATGTTCCGGTTTAGATACTCGCAGTCGTTCCTGCACTGGTAAGAAACCTAAAGGGGATGGATTGGTGAGTTGCGCGCAGTTGCTAATAGAGGTGTTTGATTTAGGGCCCTGATGTCCCCCGGCTGGAAGAAGGAATGGCACGTGGGTGTTCGCGCTTCCAAGTCCAAGAAGCTGGTCGCCTCCATTTGCGGTGTGCCTACGGAGATTCGCGTTCGTGACCAGAAGATCAAGGTGACGGAGATCAACTTCCTCTGCATCCACAAGAAGCTCCGGTCGAAGCGATTGACCCCGGTTCTGATTAAAGAGATCACTCGTCGGTGCTACTTGAACGGAATCTACCAGGCCATCTATACTGCCGGAGTGGTCCTGCCCACTCCGGTGAGCTCGTGCCGATACTACCACCGTCCTCTCGACTGGCTGAAGCTTTACGAAGTTGGCTTCTCCCCTCTTCCCCACGGCTCGACCAAAGCCCGCCAGATCACGAAGAACCATCTCCCTAGTAACACGTCCACCGTGGGCCTTCGCCAGATGGAGATGAAGGATGTCGACGCCGTCTATGATTTGCTCGAGCGCTACCTGAAACGCTTCGACATGAACCAGGCCTACACGAAGGAGGAGATCGAGCACTGGCTGGTGCACCGGGAAAATGCGGACAAGGAGCAAGTTGTCTGGTCATATGTGGTTGAGGACCCCGAAACCCACAAGATCACCGACTTCTTCTCCTTCTACAACCTCGAATCCACGGTCATCCAGCACCCCAAGCACAAGAACGTGCGCGCCGCCTACCTCTACTACTATGCCACGGAGACCGCGTTCACCGGAGACATGAAGGCTCTGAAGGAGCGGCTCTTGCAGTTGATGAACGACGCCCTTATTCTCGCCAAGAAGGTATGTATACATCTTCGCTCACGGTAGTTGCTCAGACGCACGGATTTTACAGAAGCTAACGCGGTGATTTAGGCCCACTTCGACGTGTTCAACGCTCTCACGCTGCAGGACAACCCTCTTTTCCTGGAGCAGCTTAAATTCGGCGCCGGTGATGGCCAATTGCACTTCTACCTCTACAACTACAGGACTGCACCGGTCCCCGGAGGCGTGAACGAGAAAAACCTGCCCGACGAGAAGAACATGGGCGGTGTCGGTATTGTGATGCTGTAGTTTCCAGTCCTGTATCTAGCGATGCCAACCTCGACTGTACGTACGACTCAGAGGTGGCTAAGAAGTTATGAAATGAAAATTTTCGACGCAGCCATAGTTCAAACTAAATCTACCATGCAGTAAACGTGATCCCCCTTTGTTATCTCTGGTGTTCGATTTCCAGGAAGGGACAAGCTGGAGCCGAGATTTCATCGATAAACAGCGCCGAGGACCAGTGAAAATTCTCATCCTAGGCAACCTGCAACGCACCAGCTAGGTAAGGCCTCGCGCTTAGACAAGATGAGAGTCCTGACAATAACACATAGTAATTATGGTGACGAAGCACCGAAACAATACTCTACTACGGAATAGATATTGTCCCCGTCTAGTGCCTGGGCCATAGGTCCACCACCAGATTCAATTATTCGCCGGACTCAGTCCCCCTAACCTCCCTCTCTGCAAAGCGAGCAGAGGCAACTGAACGCCCGTAGCCAGCATGACCAAAGCAACGAGGGTGAAGCCCCATCCGCTTCCCAAGGCCGCGAGCAAGGGATCTACAAAGGCAGCCGAGCCGGCGGCGAGCAAGCAGCGGACGAAATTATTAGACGCCGACGCCGCACCGGGGTTCCGAGGATGCAGATCGACCAGGAGCGTGGCGGCACAGCTCAACGCGCCGGTGACGCCGCATCCGATCAGAAACATCAGCGTGACCGGCGCCGCCAGGTGGACGCGGAGGTCCAGCACCCACGCAAAGGCCAGAGTGCTGAGCCCGCCGGCGATCAGCATCGGTAGGGCCACGACACACCGGGCTTTTTCGATCGGGACGTTGTCTGGTGTCTTCCCGGCCAGCACGCGGTAATACGCATCAAGGATCCGTCCGGTGGTCGTCGACGCCACGGCGGCGCCGGTGCCGAGCGAGATGTAGCAGAGGCCGATCTGCAGCTCGTCGAGGGCGTAGAGGGCGTGAAAGACGGAGGGGATGGAGGCCATGACGCAGGTGTAGGCTGCGAACAGGATTCCGTTGGCGAGGAGCAGGATGCCGGAGCGTGGCTGGAAGATGATCGACAGGGACTGGACGGGGTTGAGGAAGCGGAATCGAGATCTGCGCTCTCGGCGCAAACGCATGGCATCGTCGGTCTCTGCGCCGGCGACAGGTGCGCGACGAGACCGTCGGAGATGGTGGATGAACGGGCGGCTCCAGGTCGGAGCCGGACGCGAGCCATTACCCACGACGTTACGCGCGGTTTCGGGGAAGAAGAAGAGAAAGGGGAGGAAGAACAGGCCCGACAGGATCATGAGACACCAGAAGATGGCGCGCCAGCCCAGATACCGGGCCAGCAGGCCGCCGAGGATGGGACCGATTGCTGGGCCCACGAAGGCGCCGGCCATGACGACGCCCATCGACGAGCCACGCTCCTCCTTGGGGTAGATGTCGGCGACGACGGCGGCGGACAGGGCGACGGTGCTGCTGGATCCGGCGCTCTGCAGGCACCGCAGCAGGAGAAGCGCGACGTAGTTGTGCTGCAGCGCCAGGCCGATGTTGGCTGCGATGTAGATCACGAAGCAGATGCTGTAGGCCGGGCGGCGGCCGACTTGGTCCGCGAAGGAGCCCAAGAAGGTGGGGGCAATGCCTTGCAAGATCTGGCGTCGATTAACTCGGGGGATCTGTCTGGCCGTCGCGAATGGATTACCATGTAGCCGGTGATGGTCAGGTTAATCAACGCGGTCGAGACGCCATAGTCTTGGGCCAGCACGTTCAGCACCGGGAAGTAGATTTGACTGGAGAGGGCGGAGAAAAGACCTGCCACGGTGACTATCAAGACGATGCATCTTCTCTGGACACGCGTGAAGACGGTATACGGGGGCGATGGGCCCATTCTCATTCGATTCGGGGTGAGTCGGTTCGCATGGCGACTTTGCATTGGATCGAGACCTTTATATGCGTCTCGGATCTCAACCTCAACCTTGGGGCTGATCATTACAAATAGGAGACATTCCTGACTTCAAGAATGCATATCATCTCAAGAGGGAGTCATTCATCGCCCTTCTGGAACGATCGGCAGGAATTGACTATTCCCGAGGCAAGGGATATGGGTAGATCCAATATGAACGGAGTAATCAATAATGACTATGGAGACTACGGAGTACTTCTAAATAAGATTCATACTAGATGTGACGTCTCTAGGCATGATGAACAATAAACTATTGTTATTTAAGATACATCATACGGTCCGAGCTGATATACATACCTTCACGGTCGACCATTGTCGTATGGCAATAAAGAGTCTGTGCAGCTAAAACCCTTATTCTCATCGAGAAAAGAGACGCCATACACAACCAGCGACTCATGCCGAGCTTCGTGCAGCCTGAATGACTACATCCTGCACCTGATAAATCGCATTGACGTTGACCACAGTCGACGTATCGCCAATACTACCCATCTCACCGGCCAGGATCTTGCGCAAAATCCGCCTCGTGAGCTTCCCCGAGCGTGTTTTCGGGAGATCAGGGACCACGTAGATAGATTTTGGACGCGCAAATGAGCCGATCCTGTTGGCGAGATGGTCTGAGAGCTGGGTCTGGATGGGAGGCTCGGGGACGGACGATTGTGGCGATTGTCGAAGGACGACAAATGCGACGAGGGCCTGCCCGGCAGCCTCATCGTCCACCCCCACGACCGCGACTTCAGCTACGTGGGGGTAATCCAATAATGCGGATTCGACTTCGGCGGTTAGAATCAAATGGCCGGACACGTTCACCCCGTCATCAACTCTCCCGCTAATCCAGAAATAACCGTCTTCATCTTTCCGCACGCCGTCGCCGGTGAACTTTATGCGTGTATGGGTTAGCAAAGTCGGCCAGAATGAGCAGGGACTGGAGAAGGGATTCCTCCTACATAATAGCCGGGATATGGGCGGAGATAGGTATCCATATATCTCTCGTGGTCTCCCCAGGCGGTCCGGGCAATGCTGGGCCACGAGCCCCGGAACGCCAGAACACCCGACGGAGCAGGCCCCTCGACTTCCTTTCCTGAAACTGGGTCGAGGATCACGGCATCGATGCCAAAGAAGGGGAAGGTGCAAGACCCGGGCTTGGTTGGGGTCACTCCGGCCAACGAAGTGAGGACCAACGACCCGGTCTCGGTTTGAAAGTAAGTATCCAGGACGTGGGCTCGCCTCCTTCCCACGATGTCACGGTACCACCTCCATACTTCCGGCGCAATAGGCTCTCCGATCGAGCCGAGTACACGCAAGGAGTCCATTCGGCGTGGGATCTCCCCCTCCGTCAGCTTCTTGAGCAGGCGAAGGGTCGTCGGTGCGGTGTAAAAGTGGGTGACGTGATGCTGGCTGCAGATGTCCCAGTAGCGATATTGGTCGGGATAAGTAGGGATTCCCCCAAACACGACGGTGGTGCATCCGATAAGCAAAGGGGCATATAGCGCGTACACCAGGCCGGAGATCCAGCCGATGTCTCCGGCGCAGAAAAAGACGTCGTCCGGATGCATGTCAAACACGTATTTTCCAGTCGCGGCGGCCCCGGTGAGAAAGCCGGCCGTCGAGTGCACCAGACCCTTGGGTTTCCCAGTCGATCCGGAGGTGTACAGAATGAAAAGGGGATCTTCGGAATCCATCACCTCCGGTTCAACATGTGGAGAGGCATGTTCCACCGTATCGTGCCACCAAACGTCCCGCCCTTCGGCCCAGGGCACTGTCTCCTTGCTGTGTTGGTAGACTAGGACTTTCTCGACAAGAGGGCACTTTCGGACAGCCTCATCAACCACTGATTTCATCGGGAAAAACCGACCCTCGCGCTGCCCGTGATCGGCAGTCACAACCACCCGCGCGTCGGCATCAAGGATCCGATCTGCCAGCGCATTGGCCGAGAACCCGTCGAAGACGAGAGAGTGTACGGCGCCGAGTCGATTAATTGCAAGAACAGTGATGACGCCCTCCGGAATCATGGGCATGTAGACTGCCACGCGGTGCCCCTTTTTGACGCCAAGTTGTTGGAGAGCTTTCGCGGTTTTGCAAACTTCCACTAGAAGTTCGCCATAGGTGATGGATCTCCCCTGATTCGGTTCATCTCCTTCATACACCAAAGCGATCCGGTCGGGGTTCTGGGCTGCATGCCGGTCGACACAGTTGAACGTCGCGTTTAGCTGGCCCCCAACAAACCACCGAACGTCACCGTTCTATAAAGTGCCCTGTCGGACAGTTTTGAAGTCCTTTTGGAATGTGAGAAATTCGTGGGCGTGCCGGTCCCAGAAAGCATCAGAATCCTTGATAGACATGTCATAGAGCTCGCGATACTGTTTTAGGTCTCGCAGGACGCGTCTGTTGTCGATTTGCGAGGACTGGGCCTCAGGAACACTATAACGGTATAAGTCAATTGCGTGGGAAGAAGGGTATTTTGAGGGATGGACGAACGGGTAAAGCGCCTGCTCCTGCGCCAGAGATTCAAGTTCACCATAGGAGCCCATTTTCGATGAAAAAAGGCTATATGTCTCGAATGGTTGATGGCAACGAAAAACAGCAAGAAATCAATTGTAGATCGGAGAGGTCAGGAGCAGATGAACGGACTTTATCTCCTGCTCGTTGAGTTCGTCATACTTGTATTGGCCTTGGATTTCGTTTTCACGTATAATACGGAGTAGATCTTTCCGATCTTCCGTTATCTAGTGACAACACATGGACCGATTCATACTGACCAAGGTAGGAAGACAACAAGTGCATGCATAATGGCCGGGGCAAGTGGCATATTCGACGCGTACTGACCTGTAGTTGGTTTAGGGAAAAGAGCGGTAAAGCCACTGCCAATGGCATCAAGATCAACCATGCAACCCAGTATGCAAAAAGGTAGTAAACCTGTTACCTCCCCGCGTGCAAGACACCACGAGATAATTTGCATAGGCGGGCGCAGGTGATCTTCGGCACAGTCAATGGGATTCGTTGGGTAGCAATGCGTGTGACTTGGGGTCAATCTCTTTGAGAGAGAGCTCTGCCTCTCAAGGGGCCCTAATGCGATGGTTAGCGCGTATAATGAAAATAGCCTGCAGTCGGTCAGAAACAGTTCTGTTGTGTACAGAGTGAGGGGAAAGTTGCAGGCGTCATACTCTAGCTAAATAGTGGTCGAATCCGCTGGCTGTTCGGACTCCTATTTCGTGAATAAAAAGAAAAGAAAAATTATGCGCCCCTCGGGGCAACATCCCCCATCTCTATCTGGAGGTTCATTGCACGCTGGAATGCAAAAGAATGCGGTCAAGAATCGTAGCTTCATGCTGAATGACGTCATTCCATATACATTTGAACCTGCTAGTAGGCACAATGCAGCTTGAAAAAGCCTCTGGACATCGGCCTCTGGTTTCCAGAAATCCCATTGCACTTCCAGCCCAGGGACAATGACGCAACTGTGGAATACTAAAAAGGTCAATAGATTCGCAAGCACGCGATTCACGATGTCCACAATTGTCCGCGCTGCCTGTGGCCAACCCCTGGCTCGATACTCGAACAAATTGGACGTTATCTTGAGCAAAGCTTCGACATGCCTCTCATCTCACGGGGATTAGGGCCCATGATCACAACGGTCTTAGTACGATTGGTGCTGAGCGTCAATCTCTATGGATGCAGTCCTTGGAAAGGTTCTGGACCGGAAGGATCATTGATGGGAACAGGGTTGAAGCCCAGTCGATCGCGATATTGAAAGCCGATGGACTCCTTCCTGAACCGTGACTTGGCGCTAACCTAAAGAGGATTAGCCCGACTTCCCCTGGAAAAGAATCGTGCTTTTCTGCTTTCCATAGCTTTACTTACTTATTTTTTTTAGTTCTTAGTTTCAATATACAAGGTAAGGTTTGAATCTTTTGATCGATCAAATACCGAGAATACCGGAAGTGTGGGATCCTGGGAAGTTGTTCTGGATTGGAATGGTGCCTGGCGGCTGAGGCGCCAAGGCTGTCATGTTTCCGCATGCGTGACGTCTTCGTCTCCTTCGCTCCCCAGACTGTTTCATGTCAACATCTCGCTCCTGGCCTGCCTCCACTGGATGTATTCCTGGCTGGTATCACCAGGACTGCTTGCTGCACATAGTATCTTTGCCATACCTCATCTTGCTCACCTATCCCCATATACTCCTAGAACGACCCCGATGTCTACGGGCTCCCTCTGTTGATGGTGCCATCCGTTGTGACTTATATGCATCAATCAACCCATCTGTTAATTTTATACCCTCTGGCTCACTGTGGACTACAATCGCACCTGAACCATCATCTTCACTATATTATCAAAAATGGGAGTAGGACCATCGTCCGAGAATCAGGGCCAGACCTCCTCGCCCGGTAAGTACTTAGTCCCGTCGTCTTGGTGCACGGGAGCCTTCAATCATCAATATCTTCAAAGAAAACCCCCATCCGATGAGATCAAGTTATACTGATCGATAATTAGAGGAGCTGAGCTATATTCTCGCTGAGCGTTTCGCCACGAAATGCTTCACCCACCTGGAGTTAACCCACTTTAAAGACAATTTCTTTACCCGTGCCATAGACCAGGGTGGCATGAAGTACTGGAATGAAAAAATCCTATCGGACTTTCTGGGTATCCCAGACAGCAGCGATGCCGACTGTCCGTTGGATGCGGGCCCTGTGATTTTCCGCATGGTCTCGTACTTGGGAGCATTTCCCTTCCAGAACACGCTAGCCCCGAGCGTTCTGACATTCGAGGCCATGGTCAAAGTGGTTGTGTTACTGACAGAGCGATATGGAAAGGTCCTGCGACGGGCTCGCAAGGACAGGATTAGACTGTTATTTGGCAGTCTTGCCGACGTTGGGCGGAGAGATATCGACAAGCCAACGGCCGATGAGAATCTCGATGAGAACCCTGATGACAATAAAAACGACGACCCCTTCGTCAAAACATATGCTTCGGGGTTTTCCATCGATGCACCGGCTAATGACAGCTACGAAGAAGAGGACGACGACGATCTCGCACTCGCGGCCTTGGAATCCTTGGACGCTATCGAGGTGTTCAGACACGACTCCCGCATTGACAAAGCCGTCTACGAAGCTCGCATTTCCGTTGCTACGTTCCGTCGGCTGTTGATGTTGCTCCTCGTGATATCACCGCTAAAATCGCTCCAGCCTGTCCGGATGTATACATCGGATTTGTCCGAAAGCCGCATGGAGAGCGTTCGGAAAGAAGCAGATAACATCTTATCAGCTTTCGCCCAGGAGGAATCCGGGGGCATTGGCTATAAGACATTTGCCACCACCATCGCTCACTGTTTCCCGTACCTATTTGACCCATTGACGCCATTATTCGAGCACCTGCTCTTCAGCAAAAATCTCAACCTGTCCCAAAAGCGCGCTTCAGACGACCCTACTACAACAGAGCCGCTCGAGGAAACGCCGGAGTCACCACTGCCACCCCCGGAATCTGTCATGCTCCCTGGTAGCTTCAAATCCGTCATCATAAACCCCAGCATCATATCACATCTTTCGTTCTTTCTCCCCTCCACCGTATCCAACGCAAATTTCTTCCACGACAACATGCGCCTGCACCCCGTCTTTTCAACAGCAGAACATGGCTCTTCCCTCACATCTTTCTCCCACAACGTGCTCACCTGGCAATCCGGCACGCTTCTGCTCCTCGAAGGCGTCGTAACCGAATCCCCCGAACAGGAAAACACAGTCCTCCTAGGCGCCTACCTTCCCCAGCCCTGGAAATCCTCCTCCTCCCACCCCTCCAAGTCCTCGGACTCCCCTGCCCTCCCCTGCCTCTTCCAGCTCTCGCACAAACACCTCATCCTCCCCGGAAACCCCTCCCCCTCCGTGCAAAAGCCCAACATGCCCACCGCCTATTTCTCCTCCACCGCCGGCATCGCCATCGGCTGCCAGATCCCCCCTTCCTCGCGAACCCAACCACACCCCCCTTCTCCCCACGGCGCAGGCAGCCTCACCATCGACGCCAGCCTGGAAACCGCCACCTTCTACGTGTCCCCCGTCGGACACAACGGCGTCTTCCTGCCGCCTGCTACGCTCTCCCCCGCAGAGACCACCACCACGGCCAAAACCCACATCGACATCTACAATCTCGAGATCTGGGGTTTGGTTCCGGACCCGGCGGCCGCGTCGTCCGAGCAGGGCCAAAGCGCCGTCGAACTGCAGCAGGCGAAATGGGAATTCGAGGCCCGTGAGGCAGAACGAAGACGGAATCTAAATCTAAAGGCCGGAGCGGGTGATAGCGCGGCGGAGAGCGCTCGGTGGTTGCTGGAAACGGCTGGTCTGATAGGTGATGGGACTGGTCGACAGGGGGGGAGTGTCTAGGGATTGGAGTCGACTAGGTTGTTGGGGTTGGGGATAGATTGGTTATATTGCTCTCCTCTTCTGGGTTTGGGTTTGCTTTTTGGTGTTGCTTGTTTGTTGCTTGAGTTATGTAGGAAAGGACAGTGTAGTTTGCCTAGGATGCTTGAATATGAATCCTTAGTACATGATCAAGCATGTGAGAAAGCACTGTAGAGCTACTACTTGATCCTTGTTGTATTCAAGTCAAAATATATCGACACATTTGGAGACACGCTAATATAAGCACACAGGCAAACGCTGAAGTAAATCCCAACAATATTACATCGGCCCCATGGGCAAGAGGCCCGTCGGGGCGCCATAAAAGTCCTTCAGTTCCTCCTCCTCTTCCTCGTGCTCCTCGACAAACTCGCTGTTCTCGGCATCCGATTCATCAACGGCAGCCTTGCCGCGGGACGGTCGATGTCGCCCAGTGGAAACGGGAACCGGAGTACCGGATTTCTTGGTATCCTCGGGCTCAGGCTCCTCGGGGATCTCTTCGTGGGGGAGACGGTATGCCAGGAATCCGTCGGGAGCGCGCTCAGCGCGATCCATGACTTCGTTCATGTACTTGCGAACCTCATCAGGGGGTTTCACGACGCGATTCAGAGGTTCGAGAACTTTAGGGTTCGCGCTGTGGATGCGGAAGGTAATTGGTTGGTAGTACTCTTTCAGATTGGCGTCCTTTGCATCTTCGGCTTTCTCTTTGGGTGCCTTTTTGTCAGCGTCGGCTTGGCTGGAGGTGGCATTTGCTTGGTCCTTTTCGTTTTGTTCACCTGCCGGTTTGTCTCCTTCAGCGGCGGGCTGCTTGGACTCCGCTGCAGATGGATCTGAAGCAGTGCCAGCAGGTTGGGAGTCGGTCTTGTCCTTCTCTTCGGCCCCTATGTTTTCTTCCTTCTCCTTCTCCTTATCCTTTGCTTTCTTCTTGTCAGACTTCTTGGACCGGGATCCCGACTTGCCTTTGGCCCGCGAGTTTCCTGCGTCAGGCGCGGTTTCGATGGGAAACGGTAGATTCGGATCAACCTTCTTCACAAGCAAGAATGATGCCAATACCGTATTCCCTCCCGGAAGCCATTCTAGGATCGTGTATTCAGGAAATAGATATCGATCACCAGATCCGGCATGTCCTGAGGTGCTGCTTCCATAGGGAGTGAGAGGCGAAGTGAACTCAAAGACTACCGATTTGAAATTCATGCGTGGAGGCGGCGGCGGAGGCGCTGGACGATAATAGGGAGCCGGGGAGCCGTACTGTGGGGGTCGCGACTGAATCGCAGGTGGATGACCCTGATACGGCTGCGGCTGCGGCTGCTGGTGCGGTCCTGGTCGTGGACCTTGACCTTGCTGTGGCGGTGGCATGGGACGGACCGCCGGGCTAGACTCCGCAAGAGGCTGGCCTGCTGTCCCGGGTTCTTGCTTCACTTGCGGTGTGAATCCGGACTTCTGCGAATTGGGCGTTTGAGGAGGAGCTTTGCTTGGAGTAGCTTTAGATGACGGAGGCGAATTCTTTGGAATTTGCACTTCGACTCGTGGATATGACGGGTCCCGCGCCTGTGATGGTGTTGGCGGCTGAGGGGTTGGCTGAGACTGCGGCGTACTCTGCTTCTGTTGAAGCGGAGGAGGTTGTGATTGTTGCGGTTGTTGCGGCCCTGTCTGCTGTCCATTCGGTTGAACGGATTGTGGAGGTCTTTGTGATGATTGAGGTTGTGGTGTTTGATGCTGGGATGCTGGCTGCGGCGTTCGAGGCGATGCTTGGGGCTGACCAGGGGTGGACGGATGGGATTGTTGTAGCTGCTGCTGCTGTCTTTGCTGCTGTTGCTCCCTTGCTCGGATAATAGCATTCAACTCATCGATGTGGGCCTGGAAAGCGCGAAGTTGCTCTTGCGATGCTTTACTCGACGCGACTACCCTCATCAACGCTTTGAGGTCGGGATCTGAGGCAGCACGGGTGGCAAGCATCTGGATGACCGGGTCCGGACTGGGCTTAGCAGGTTGCGGTGGCTGCGGTTGTTGGGAGGGAGATGGTCTCTGTGCCGACTGAGGACCAGGCGGCGGCGGCGCTGGCCGGGGAGGAGGATGGTTAGGGGTTCGACTCGGAGGCGGAGGCGGGGGCTGGTTATTTGGCTGGTGACCAGGCTGAGGAGAAGGCGCATGCGTAGGGGGAGTTTGAGGAGGGTGTTGTCGTCCATGCTGAGGCGGAGCGGGAGAGGGATAGGGATGGTATTGCTGGAAGTTATTCGGGTGGCCATAGTGCACCATCGGTCGTTGAGGCGGCGTGTACTGAATCGGCGGAGGCGCATTGGGGTCTTTGACGGTGTAGAGCATGGCATCGAACAGATGAGGACCAACCACAATGTTGCAGGGTCCGACTTTCGACATGGACTCCTTGGGCGGATTCTTCCCTTCGATTTGCTCCCTTTTCGTCTTCTTGGGTTTCGTCCAGTATCGCACCAAGATTCCATCGCTGAGCCACTTCTTCTTAGACCGCTCTAGAGAGGCAAGGAGAACCGCACTACACGCGGCGAATATACAAAGTCAGTTCCCAAGTCTAAGCGGCATCTATGCTCACTTGCACACAGTTCTTTCTTACCTTTCTGCGATCGACTGATATTCCTTGTCGGACAGGGTCTCCGACTGCGGCGACGATAGGGTAGGGAGACCTTCTCCATCCTTGATTTTCGTTGGCAGGGGCTTCTCGACAATTTCGGGCTCGGGTTCAGGGATTGGAGCTGGCGAGGGGGCTGCTGCAGGTGTCGAGGCCTTTTTCTTCGAGGACTGTTGGGATGCAGGCGCGGCTTCGGAGACCCGCCTCTTCGCCGCAGGTTCGCGACGTTCGCGTGCCGACAGACGGCGTTTCTCAGCCATGGTGAGAAACGATCAATAGCGAGTGACGGAAGGGGGGCGATCAATCATGGCGTCCAGAAAATAATGAGCGAGGGAGCGAGGATGCGAAGATACGAAGAAGGGTGTCGGAGTGAAGGAGAAGGAAGAAGAAGAAAAGAGAGAAACGCGGGAAAATTAAAAACGGTTAGGCGGCCTTCCGCCTGACATCACAGCACTTTTTCTTATCTTCGTCCTTTTCTCTCCTTCCTCCCGTCTCTTATTCTTGGTTCTCTCTCCGAATTCTCTCGATCGCATCATGGTCGAACTCCTCCCCATTTTCAGAAAGGCCTATTGGACGCTGGCCGGGGCCGGTCTGCTCTATGTGGCCTTTGTCTGTTCCATGACATATCCCGATGTACAACGCTTGTATGAACCCATGAGCGCACGTAGTCAACTATGCACTTTGTTCGCTAATCCCTTTCGCTGGTGTTGAATCTAGTCTCCTCTATGCAAACAAGATCAATCCTACAGTATGGGAGGATGTCAATTTGGTTGAGTCTTTCGGCTTCTTGAGTATGTACACCAAGACCCACTCTGATAACAGCCGTTAATTGCTCCATATAGAGACGCAGGTCCAGCCTTTTAACTTGGTGACACCGGACAATGAAACCCTTTATGGCTGGCATTTAATCCCTCCTCACCTGTGTCTGGATCATGAAGAGGAATTGGAAGCAAATGAGCCTTCCGGACCTGCCGAGGATTATACTAAAACGACGGCATACAAACTCCTCGCGAACGACCCGAATGCAAGGGTTGTCGTCAGCTGTAAGTAGATGGAACAGCACAAAGTATTATAGGCTTTGAACTCAAAGGCTGACCGATCTGACTGGCAGTTCATGGCAATGCTGCTCATCTCGCTTCTGCTCAACGACCCGAAATCTACCGTATGCTCTTGGGCTTGTCCACACCTTCTCATCCCATCCATGTGTTCGCCATTGACTACCGTGGATTCGGCGTGTCTACTGGCTCCCCAACTGAAGAAGGGTTGATCACGGATGGCGTTTCCCTGATAAACTTCCTCACTGCTGGCCCCTTGAAAGTCTCTCCCTCCCGGATCGTCATTATGGGCCAGAGTCTGGGAACCGCTGTGAGTGCTGCAGTGGCAGAGCGCTTTGCCTTCGGATCCCCGGACCCAACTGCCATCCAGCCTGCCCTGAAGGACCCAGAGCCCTTTGCCGGCGTGATCCTCATGGCGTCTTTCAGCAACCTACCCAGCCTGGTTGAATCATACAGCTTCAAGGGCTTCACGCCACCGATGCTCTCGCCCCTCATGGGCTACCCGCGTGTTCAGAACTGGGTCAGGCGCCACATTCTTGATCGCTGGGACACGGCAGCTCGTGTTGCGCGCTTGACCGGTGTTGGACCGACGGCGCAAAACGACTCGTCTACTGGATATGCTAACAAGGAACTGGATCTGGCTATCGTGCATGCGCGGAACGATGTGGAAATTCCATGGTACGAAGGCCATCGTGTCTGGACAGCCGCAACGGGCCAAAATAACAAGGATGCCCCTGGGACCATTGTCTTGCAAAAGAAAGCGGCTGAGGGTCCTGGTGAAGTGCTCGTTTGGGAAAACCGATCTCCGAATGGGGCTGGAGCGGTCAAGAAGGTCCGCTGGGAGCGCGTCACCTACGGTGGTATGTCCATTGCCCGCATCTAAGCTGACCCTGCCCTGGAAGACACAACTGACAAGGTTTAGGCCATAACCGTGTCGCCACTTTCTCTACCGCCGCACTATCCGTGCTCAGAGCATTCGAAGAGTAACTGATCCAAAAGTCCTAGGGAACCCTTTTTGAATCTATTATATTATATCCGGAATTTCCTACATACGAAAACCCACATCTGTCTGGGGTTAGAGAAAGAGTGTGAAATAGATAAAATATGGAAGTGAAATACATGCAATATACAATTCAAAACCAAATCAAACCATATTCTGTATCTAGATGACGAGAGGAGATGCTAATTAACACGAGACCAAATATGTACATACATTCTGCAACCTATTCCAGATATCAAACTGCTTTTGTTCCGCTCCAAATCATACATCCCGTGCAATTAAATGAAAGCCCACAGAAGCAAATGTCATCGTAAAGCCTCACAAGGTCTTTCTATATCTGTAAATAATACATGACTCTTCAAGCCGGAAAAAAAAAGTGAACGACTCAAGGTCGTGGTCTATTCAAAAAAAGTTGCCCAGCTCGGAGTCAAAAGGGACGAGGGGCTTGTTGTCAGTGGGTTGAGGTATCTGTCACAATGGATGATACCGAGGGTGTCTCAACCCCATTTCAGGTCATGCTGGCCGAGCCATTTATTTCTTGTGACGGTCGGCCTGGGCCTTCAGGTACTTCTGAATAAGCTCCTTCCTGTACGTAGAAGATTCCGATTAGTATTTCAAGCACATGAAGCTGGAGGGGAGAAAGAGATGGGTTAAACGTACTGGAGCTGAGGCTGGGCCTTCTCGTAGTGGCTGAACTCCATGGAGTATTCACCCTTACCCTGGGTGGAGGCACGGAGGTGGCTACTGAAGCCGAACATGCCGTTCAAGCTGCAGTCAGCGAACACGGTGAACTCGTCGACACCAACTTCGGAGTCGTTGATGGTGGCATTGCGCTTGTTCAGGAGCGAGATAACATCACCCTGGAACTCGGAGGGGGCGGTAACAACGGTCTTCATCATGGGTTCAAGGACCGAAGGCTGACTCTCCATGAAAGCCTTACGGAAAGCCTGCTGGGTAGCGTTCTTGAAGGCCATTTCGGACGAATCCGTCATGTGAGTAGCACCATCGTTGATGACCATGCGAGTTCCAAGCACCTTGTGGCCGATGAGGGGACCCTTCTCGCAGGAAAGGTTGAAACCCTTCTCGCAAGCGAACAGGAACTTTTCGGAGATACTTCCACCAACAACCTGTTCTTCGAAGTTGTTGTCCTCCAGCCTCTCCGAGGGTTCCATCCAACCAACCACACGAGCATAGTCACCAGGACCTCCCGACTGCTTCTTGAGCAGATGGTCGAAATCGACGCGGTGGCCAATGGTTTCCCGGTACGCCACCTGAGGAGGTCCAGTCTCACAGTCGACGCTGTACTCACGACGCATACGCTCGATGTAGATGGAAAGATGCAGCTCACCCATTCCAGAGATGAGGGTCTGTTCACTCTCGGCGTCATAGGTCACGCGGAAGGTAGGATCTTCTCTCTGGAAACGAGCCATGGCCTTGGAGAACTTGGCAGCATCCTTGTTGTTCTTGGGCTTGATAGATAAGGAAATGACAGGCTCAGGAACGAACATGGACGACATGGTGTAACCCAGCTGGCCGTCAGTGAAGGTGTCACCGGAGGCACAGTCAACACCGAAGACAGCACAGATTTCACCAGCGCCGATCTCGGAGACTTCCTCCATCTCGTTGGAGTGCATGCGCACAATTCGGGGAATCTTAACCTTCTTGTCGTTTCGGGCGTTGAACACGTTAGAGCCCTTGCGCAGGGTTCCCTGGTAGACACGGATGTAGGTCAATTGACCAAAGTTGCTTTCCTCGAGCTTGAATGCAAGTCCCACCAACGGAAGAGAGTTGTAAGGGACCAGCTTAACGGAAGCCTCGTCACGCTTCTTATCAAGGGCCAGGTTTTGCACCTCGGACGGGTTGGGAAGGAAGTCAACAACACCATCCAGCATGGGCTGCACCGACTTGTTGGCCAGAGCAGAACCCATGAAGACGGGCGTGAACTTCAGACTGACGGTTGCCCGGCGAATGGCAGCCTTAATTTGGTCCGGAGTGGGCTCAATCTCACTGAGGAAGAGCTCAGCAATCTCGTCATCAACATCCGCCAGGGTTTCGATGAGCATCTTCCTTCTCTCTTCCACAACACCCTTCACCTTCTCGGGGATCTCGGCCTTCTCGGCAATTTCCTCACCGCTAGGGCCAACGTTGATCAATGTCCTCATGTGGATCAGATCAACGACACCCTCGAATTCATCCTCGGCACCAATGGGCACCTGGACCGCGGCAGCGGGGATCTTCAGCTTGGTGTTGATCTGGTCGATGGCCTTGAAGGGGTTGGCACCCATACGATCCATCTTGTTGATGAAGGAAATGCGAGGAACGTTGTAACGTCTCATCTGGCGGTCGACGGTGATCGTCTGGGACTGAACACCGGAAACAGCACACAGAATCATGACCGCACCGTCGAGGACACGCAGAGCTCTTTCGACCTCAATCGTGAAATCAATGTGACCGGGCGTATCAATCAAGTTGATATGGTACTTTTGTTCCTTGCCCTCATCATCCTTCTTGACCCAGTCACAGAAGGTCGCCGCAGACTGAATCGTAATACCCTTTTCACGCTCCAGATCCATGGAGTCCATTTTAGCGCCAACCTTGTCACCGCCGCGGACTTCGTGGATGGCCTTGATACGACCCGTGTAGAAAAGAACTCGTTCCGTACATGTGGTCTTTCCACTGTCGATGTGCGCCTGTTATACCCATAACACATCAGACGGTTGGTGGTTTCTTCCGGAAATAAGACAGGGTCGCTTACCGCAATACCGATGTTTCTCACTCGGGACAGACGTTCCGCCTCGACAGGGTCAAGGTTCTCAATAATGGCTTCCTGGGACAAGGCGTCGGGGGTGGCGGCAGCAGCCTCAAGACTGTTTACGGCAAAACAAATTAGCAATCTGACTTGATATTTTGTTTTTCTATTCAAAGGAGAAGATACGAGGAAGAGAACTCACACGGCAGCCGCAGTAGACGAGGCATTCCTTCGCTGCTCCAGAGTTCTGTTCAGGACAGACTGATAAGCCGGAGCAGCCGTGGGTGAACGGAGCGCGGCCGTCGACGCGCATCGCAGCCGTTGCGACAGGAAGTTCTGAGACTGAAGACGGGCTGGGGATCTGGCAAAGCCGGAGACCGCACGGTATTGCAACCGTGCAAGAGAAGGACACCTCATGACTGTCGTCCACCCACCGGGAATTGGTCAAGACTCGAGAGCAGATGGAGATGCCAAATAACCTCCGCGCAGAAAAAAAGTTCGGGGAAGGCCAGGCACGCGTCACGTGAGGAAAGCTGATTGGCCATTCATTTGCTGCGAAATGCTAAGCCGGGTTGCGCGATGATTGGGACTCAGGGCCCGGGGTCAATGGATGCGATTTCGGCTGAGACGGTCATATTGATCTTTATCATATAAGACAAACTCTCTAAAACCATTCATATCGGTCGAGATCGTGTGTTGTGCCGGTGAAGTCCTCCGCGGCGTTTCTCGACCGTAACGTACAGAGATGTTTCATGACGATACACGAAGTCCAATACCTCACCGCCTTGGGTTCCGCCGTCAGAACATCGAAGGATTGATTGATGATCGTTTCGTCTGTTACTCCGAGGCCTTCCTTACTTCGGGATATCCGCTAAAATGCGACCGTCCATCCAACTGCTCGCAACTGTGTCTCGCGGCCAGCCGTCAAAGCTGCGGAAGCCCGCCGTTGGCTTAGATCATGTAAGCAGCTCCTGACCAGCTTTGGACCTGCGACTGATCAAAATCTAGTTTATCCAAAGGCAACGAGTGCTGGGCCTATGGCGTGAAATTGTTCGCGCATTGAACAGTTCGTTGTCCGGCCTGATGGGATCTATAAGCTCCCCAGTTTGCTGATTATATGAAGAAATTCCCCAATCGTCCACTCGAGACGAACTGCATAGTTACGCTCGCGATGAGTTTGAACGGCATCGCAATGTTACAGATCTAGTAGGTCATGTCTTATGGCAAGTTCTAAGCGTGTGGCTAATGAGAATTATCAGCAACATATACGATATTTACTTTCGGTAGGCTATATAGCTTCCTTATAGCCCAGCAGCTCTAATTTAATACAGACAGGAAAGGCCGAGTTCGACACAATGAGACGTTACATCGACGAGCAAGTCCTTGGCTAATTGCTTGTGAGTAGCTGACGCTCATTGTAAGATTAGAGACCTTTTAAGTGGTAGAAGGGTAGGAAATAGTTGGAGACGAGATGATCTCATGCAGAATAACACCTAAATGTATATATGTACAATATGATACCCAAACCAGGAACGATACAGTCCAGCAATTTTTCAACCATGTTCGCTCACATTTTACCTCTGCCTCGACATGAGCTCCCGGACGGCATCGAGAACTCCGATAGACTTCTGCTCAGTAGGCTCGACAACCGACCGAGCGGCATCCTGCTCGGGCACCGGCTTAGCAGCAGACGCCTTGCTAGCCTCCTTAGCCGCCGACTCGATGGCGGCATGGCGCTCTCGCCAGTCCCGGTCTTCCTTGTCTCGAATCTCCAACTCGCGCAGCCAAGCGTCGCGCTTCTCTTGACTCTTGCGCGCCTCCACCGCTTGCTCGAATTCCTTGCGCTGCTGTCGCTCCGTCTTATAGAACATACCTCCGGCAACCACGGCAACAAGCGTAAAGAACTGAGCGTAGATACGAGCACGGAACATCTTGTTCATCTCCACCGAGTCGCCGGCCTTCATAGATCGGTAGGCGCGGTAGAGCGCGTAACTAGTGGCGGCGCATCCTATCGACAAATTGGCAATCAGCACTAATCTGTTGAACTACACTAGCCTCTCGAGATATGAGTGGATTACCTAGTGGAATCAAGGGCTCTTCCTTGAAGCGTCTGCGGAACTTCTGGAGGGCAGTTTCCTCCTGGAAGTTACTATGGGCTTATCAGTATCCCCGCAATCACCACGCTTTTGAACAACAGAACAAGGGCGCGGATACGTACGGGCTATCCTCCAAAGAGGACGGAAGGGGCTCGCTAGACATTTTGATAGGCAAGAAAGAATAATGTTATGTCGTCTTTCGAGCGTCGTGGGAATAATCTTCCGGAGAGGATTCGGAGGGTGGTACGATCTGGGTAACCGTGGACAACCGGAGTCCAGTGGGTCTTTTCACATGGTTAGCTAGAGCACTTCAATATCCCTATCCCACCACGGGAAACACTCACATCTGCTGAGTTTTTGCCCTGGGCTTGGATAATAGTGGCAATGTCGTCGGGGACATGACGTCGCGAGGAGCAGAATATTCGGACTTTCGGATGAAGATCGGTAACTTACGGTATGTTACCGTATTACGGATTCACTTTGGGATTTACCAGTACCAGGTACCTACTGGATCGACAGTTTACCTTCTGCTGATATTAAGATTGTCCACCTAAGGAGTAGCTCAATGGTGTCAGGTGCCAATGGCAGTTCATTCTGTAGAAGTGAAGTCAAAGGGCAGCTAATAAGAAAAAGAAAAGTATGCTAAAGTAGTAATCCTGTTCATGGTTACCCTACTGTAAATATCCAGTAACTACGACTTAATAGGCATACATCCTTGACTGGTTGATTACTCCGGAGTAGATCTAGACTCACGCACCTGGCCAAGATTAAGCTGCTTATGCGGACTTCCATCCTTAACTCACCTGTAAAACGTACCATGTAATTGGTCGGAAAAGCCTTAGTTCCTCGACCTAAGGATGGATGTACTGCCGAGAAAGGCACTCGGCTTGTCCAGAACAGCACTCAAACAAGTACAATGGCCTATGCTACCATGGATCGAGATAAACTCACGGCCATGACGAGCCTCCATCCAATTGTTTCCCTAGAGAAATCCCGACAACCTGCTCCGACGCAGAAAACAACCTGGATCTGTTAGGGCTCGACTTCAGGGTTGATGACATAAACGCTCCCGCTCCGATCACGGAATTTTTTAGTCTCCCCGCGGAAGAGTCATCGGCGGTTCTTTGCCTTCGGAGGCGCTCCATCTCAACCCAGTCCTCTTCCAGTTCCTCTTTCGTTTCATACACACCATCATGTCTGAAGCGTCCTCCACGAATGGCGTGGCGACGCCGGTCTCCTCGCAGATGAACAGTTTGGCCCTCCACCAGAATGAATGTTCTCCTAATTCTGAGCGGGGCGAGCGCAAACTGTTTGGACTCGAATGGGGAATCCCCGATGCTTTCCTACTTCCCAATGGTTATCCGGACGTGAGTAATTCGCGGTGTCCAATTTCTGCGGTGGAAACTGCGGACGCTAATACGGTGTTCATGGGAAACAGTACCTGCGCTTGATCTTGACCTCCCGAGTCTACGATGTGATTGACGAGACCCCCCTCCACCACGCCGTCAACCTCAGCAACCGATTGGAATGCCGCGTTCTCCTGAAGCGGGAGGATTTGCTCCCCGTCTTCAGCTTCAAGCTTCGCGGTGCCTACAACAAGATGGCTCATCTGACTCATGAGCAGCGGTGGAAGGGTGTTGTGGCGTGCTCCGCAGGTGAGACCGTTCAACACGACCTTGGGTCGTGATCACAACCAGCTTACATGTGATGCAGGAAACCATGCGCAGGGTGTTGCGTTCTCCGCTCGCAAATTGAAGATCCCCGCCACCATCGTCATGCCCTCGGGCACCCCGGCCATCAAACACTTGAACGTTGCCCGTCTAGGTGGCAGCGTTGTTCTGCATGGAAACGATTTCGACGCAGCAAAGGAAGAGGCACACCGCTTGGAGATGCAACACGGCCTAACAAGCATCCCTCCCTTCGACGACCCTTACGTGATTGCTGGTCAGGGAACCATCGGCATGGAGATCCTGCGCCAGGCGAACCTGCAGAACCTTGAGGCAGTGTTCTGTGCTGTTGGAGGGGGTGGTTTGATTGCGGGCATTGGGGTGTATCTCAAGCGTATTGCGCCCCATGTCAAGATTGTTGGCGTGGAGGCTCATGATGCCAATGCGATGGCCCAGTCCTTGGGTTCCGGCGCGCGAGTGAAGTTGAAGGAAGTTGGACTGTTTGCCGACGGTGCCGCAGTGAAGAATGTGGGCGAGGAAAACTACCGACTGGCTCGTGAAGTGATCGATGAGATCGTTCAGGTCTCCACCGACGAAACGTGCGCCGCCATCAAGGATGCGTTCGAGGACACCCGTTCCATCATTGAGCCCGCGGGCGCCTTGGCTCTTGCCGGTCTGAAGAAATATGTTTCCTTGCACCCTAGTCCGGACACCAACCGCGAACTGGTCGCTATCACCTCTGGTGCCAACATGGACTTTGACCGTCTCCGCTTTGTCGCTGAGCGTGCCGCCCTGGGAGAGCGCAAGGAGGCGCTGCTGAGTGTCAACATCCCCGAAAAGCCCGGTGCTTTCGCCAAGTTGGTTGAAGTGGTTCTCCCACATGCAGTTACGGCGTTCAACTACCGCTATGCTCGTGATGATTCGGCCGATGTCCTGATGGGTGTTTCCTTGTCCGCTTTGACGGGCCGGGAAGATTTGGCCATCCTTATGCGCGAGCTGGAGAAGGGAGGAATGAGCACGAAGGACCTCAGCGATGACGAGCTTGCCAAGCGCCATCTTCGCTTCCTGGTCGGTGGCCGCTGCGACGTGCAGGATGAGCGCTTGTTCATGTTCGAATTCCCCGAGCGCCCGGGAGCGCTCGCCAAATTCCTGACTACTCTGCGTCCCAACCAGAACATCTCTCTCTTCCACTACCGTAACTACGGCGGTGACGTCGGTAAGGTGCTTGCTGGTATCCAATGCCCGAGCGCCGAAAAGGAGGATCTCGAGGCATTCTTGAACGACCTGGGCTATCCGTTCAGGGAGCAAACCGATTCACCGACGTACCGCACTTTCCTCCGCTCGTGAGAAAACATATACCATTTGTTCTGAGCCTACAGTGTAATTGGCCTTGTTTTAGTTTTATCATTTTTCTTTTCATCCGGGTTCAAAAAGAATCTGCTGGGCGGTTGTGGATGATTTCCAGTCAAGCTTGTTAGGCGTTTGGGCAAGAGAATTCAAATTATAGACTTTACTTGGTATCGTATTTTTCACGATTTTCTACTAGGTAGCCTGGTCATTTCTCTGCCAAGTGTTAAACTTGCTAATAACTCCTTGACTCTCTAGGCACCTGTAGACAATTGCTACTATAGTCAATTTAGTACTACGGTCATTTACTGCCACGGTCGTTTACTGCTACGGGTAATTACTGCCACAGACATTTACTATTACAGACAATTACTGGTGCAGACAATCACTACCACGGTCAAATTACTACTATGGACATTTACTATTACAGATAAATGACTACTGCAGACAATTATTACCACGGTCAATTTACTACTTCAGACAATTACTTCTTCAGACAATTACTGCCACGGTCAATTTACTACTATGGACATTTACTATTGCAGACAATTACAGCTATATGCATTTACTAGGTATTACAGATAAATTCCTACTTCAGACAATTCCTACGTCAGACAATTCCTACCACGGTCAATGTACGCCCACGGTCAATGTACGCCCACGGTCAATTTACTCCTACAAACGGGCATTTGCTACTACTGTTAAATTAGGCTAAAAGGTGTTCAGACCTCCAAGGTCCTCAAACCTCAGGCCACCACCGGCAAGAACTACAAACCCCGAGCTATGATTGGCCAGCCACCCCAACCAATCACAACAGCCCCGGCACGCCGGCGCAACCAAAAGTCCGACATCCAATCCTCGCCCGCCGCGGAAATCAAAGATCGAGAACGCCGCAGGGCAAGAGAGCGCGCGCGAGAGAGAAATCAACCAACGCCATCGGGTCGGTCCAATTTCCCTAGGTAACCCCGGCAGCCAACATACCCAGTCTCACCGAGACTTCTTTCTCCTACCCTGCCGACACCACGCACCCACGATGTCTCCTCTTCGCTCCATCCTCGGTTCCTCAACCGGCGCTCTCCGCCAATTTCTCCCTTCGCTGGCCCGCCAGTCCTGGACCCGCGGACTCTTCTCGACCCGGCCGTTTTCGCAATTAGCGAAGATCTCGCTCAGCAATGGGCTGCGGGCGTTGCGGTCTGGAGCGCAGAGCTCGAATGTCGGCGTTGCGAGCGTGGGGTCGACGGTTCGTCAGATCGAACAGGTTCGGGGGATGAAGACCCGGTCGGCGGTGAAGAGGTTGTGTGATGGATGCAAGGTATGTGGTTTTCACTTTCCTGGGGGTTGCGTTTTGGTTGTTAGGGTGGTTATTTGTATCTGGCCGATGTGGATTGCTGACTTGACTTGGTTGAAATAGCCCGTCCGGAGAAAGAACAGAGTCTACATCATTTGGTAAGGATTTCTCTGGCCTTGGTCTTGTGAGCTTGGATGTGGAGAGATGAGGCTAACTTTTCTTCCACGCAGCTCGAAAAACCCCAAGCACAAGCAACGTCAAGGAAAATAAACGGTCGCGAAGAACAGAATGGACGGAGAGAGATGGAACAACGCAGTGCGGGTTCGGTAGAATACTGGGATCTCGACTGTGGCTTTCGTTTTTATGGGCCGGAGAGCTATCTGCGCACGATAGGAATGACTCTGCTAGAGTTGTGAGACTGCTCTTTGCATATACTGGATATACCGATTTCTCTTCTCGACATTGACATGGGAAACTAACTGTGCATTTGCTATTTTGACTGGGATATGAGGCGCTTATGTTCGATTGTATCTATGTATATTATTATTATTCAATTGGTCTGCATTTTCTTTCTACATTTGATCCTACTGCATAGTTGTAGATGTTCGTAGATTTCTTCATTAATAAACAAAAATTTGTCTCCATACCCAATTCTTTTTTGCGGTATCCAATTACATTTCAATGTCTCATCGCACTTTTTTTTTTTTTTTACGTCTGCAGAGGCTCACCCATTCCTCCGAACGTAACGCTCTTGATCGTGAGGAACTCCTCGATGCCGTACTTGCTGCCCTCGCGGCCGAATCCACTCTGCTTAACACCGCCGAACCTGAGACGGTTAGTATGCGGTTGGTATTAAATATGGAAGGAAGAAACTTACGGAGAGGCAACATCGCTAATGAGACCAGTGTTGACACCAACCATTCCCACTTCCAAGGCCTCGGCCACGCGGAAGATCCGTCGAACGTTACCGCTGAAGAAGTACCCGGCAAGACCGACCTCGGCGCGGTTCGCCAGATCAACGACCTCCTTCTCCGATTCGAAGGGGAACAGGCCCGCGACAGGGCCAAAGGTCTCCTCGGAAGCAAGCAGCATGTCCTTGTTCATCTCGGTCAATACGGTCGGGTCGTAGAAGTTGGGGCCCAGATCGGGGACCTTGCGGCCTCCGGCGACCACCTTGGCGCCCTTAGAGGTGGCGTCCTGGACGTGCTCGTCGACCTTGTTGATGGCGCGACCGTGGATGACCGGGCCGTGGGTGACGCCTTCTCCGAAACCAGCGCCGAGCTTGAAGGTCTTGACTTTCTCGACGAATCGTTTCGCGAATTCGTCGTAGACGCCGCGCTGCACGTAGATGCGGTTGGCGCACACGCAGGTCTGGCCAGAGCTGCGGAACTTGGAGGCGATGGCGCCGGCGACAGCGGTATCGAGGTCCTCGACATCGTCGAAGACAATGAAAGGAGCGTTACCTCCCAGCTCCCAGGACACCTTCTTGATGGTGGAAGCCGACTGCTTCATGAGCAGCTTACCGACATTGGTTGAGCCGGTGAACGACACTTTGCGGACATCGGGGCTAGTGGTTATCGTCTCGCCAACCTCAGGGGTATTCTTCATAGCGGTGACGATGTTGAAAACACCCTTGGGAATGCCGGCGCGGTTTGCCAGCTCCGCAAGAGCGTTGGCAGTGTAAGGGGTCTCTCCGGGGGTCTTGACGACCACAGTGCAGCCAGCCGCCAGAGCAGGGCCGACCTTTCTCGTGATCATGGCAGCAGGGAAGTTCCATGGCGTGATAAGACCGCAAACACCGACCGGTTGCTTCAGGGTAATCACCCTGTTACTGGCCACGGAGGAAGGGATCGTGTCACCATAGATACGGGGGGCTTCCTCACTGAACCACTCGAAGAAACCGGCAGCGTAGTTCACCTCGCCCTTAGCGTCCGCGAAGGGCTTTCCGTTCTCCCAAGTAATCAGAGTCGCCAGATCATCTGCATTATCGATCATCAATTGATACCACCGACGGAGCATGCGGGCACGCTCGCGGGGCAAAGTGTTGCGGAATGTCGAGAACGCATCCGTAGCGGCCTGGATAGCCTTCTGGGTGTCTGCGGCGGTGAACTCGGGGCATGTTCCAATGAGCTTTCCAGAAGCGGGGTCTGTGAGATTCAGACGGAGTTAGATATACAATTCCCCAATTTCCACTGTTAGGGGAGGGATTGTCCTACCGTGGATTTCGAAGGTCTGTCCGGACTGGGCTCCAACCCACTCGCCATTGACATAGGCCTTGTCAATGAAGAGAGACTGATCTTTCAACTAGATGTCACAGATACTCGGTCAGACTCATATTTCTCTGCTCAGAACAAGGACGAACAACGCACAGTAGGTACCGTGTGGCCCATCGTGTATAGTCTTTTAGCGTAAATGGCCGGCGGAATCGAAAAAGGGTAACGTGGGCGCGGTCTCAAAAAGTGTCGAGAAACAGGACGAATGAGTCTTTCCATGGTGTCAACGAGCGTGCCTCCCTCTCAATTATAAATCCTATGCGCCACAGGATCTCGGACAGAAGGCCGAGCGAACTAAGTTTCCGTCTGATTCCTCGTTCTCCCGGTCGAAGAAATGCGGGGGATGATCTCGGGGTGTAACGGAAAGAAGGGCTGAGGAGCGACGAATGGAATGGGAGGAGTACTGACAAGAGAAATTGACTGCGTGAAATCTCGGGATGGCGGATCCTTATAACGCAATGGCAAGGGCGAGCGAGGAAACTAGAGTCTAACTATCGCCGTGGGAGACAGCCAGATTTCCCTCCGAGCGCTGCAGGCATTCCGCCAGGCGGGGAAGCTCCGCATCACGTGGACGACGTCATCGATCTGGATTTCCTTCTTCACGGTCGCATTCCGGGCATCAACCGGCTGGATTGCATTCTGGAGAGGATCTAGGGTGTGTCAATTCAATTGACCCTCCTTTCAGGCTTACTATCCCCGCCAAATCCATCCTATAGCATGTTGTTGTCTTTGAACGAGGCCTCGGGGATAATAAATGACGATGACGTATTGGCAATACCATATCGGCATGTCGATCAGCGCGTCGGAGCATCTGACCAATTATTAGCCGCAATATCGTCTAGCTACGGCACTTTGAACCAATGACAGAATGCTGTGTATCAAAACTGTACATCAGTTTACCAATAAATTACCTTATCTACATCCATGGATGCAGACAATAATGCTATTTGGTTGAAGTTGAAGCATACCAATTTACTGGACTTTCTATTAATCGTCACATGAATTAACATCTCACATAGTTTCAGTAGCCCAAAGATGTACCCAGAACAGAAATAGAGACCTGCTTCATTCCTCGTCTTCTTCGCCGCGCACCGAGGCAGAGCTTCTGGCACCAGTGCTTCTGGAACGATACCCCGGATGGACGCGCTTCATATGAAGATTGAGATTCCATGTTCGTGAAAATCCATTGGTGTGTCGCCGACAGCTCTTGATAGGGCAGATTAGATCGTTCTTGCGATGGGGTCCTTTGCCCTTAGGTTCGATCGTCGCCTCGGCATTATCATTGACAGGGCTGGTTGCCCGTGAGGTAGCGCGAGATGTAGCCCTAGAGGTAGCTCGCGATTTAGAGTCAGCCTGAACGGATACTGCCCGGGACGTCGTGCGGGGACGACCCCGTTTGGGCTTCGGTGGTGGTGATGGTAGAGAGGCCTCGCTCTTTTCGGAGTCGCTTTCTGCGTATACCCAGCCCGGCTTGTCGTCTCGTGTTTGCTGTAATGTTCCCTCTTTGAATGTTTGGAATGCCATGTCTTCGCCGAACAGGCCGGCGCATCTTTGTGCCGTGCGCATTACCACGGCGGGGGGAACCCCGACCATCGAGGCGACTCCTAAGACCTGGCTCCAGTCTCGGGCTCCGAGACGCATGCGACTAGCAGATCGTGGAGTCTTGCTACTGAGCGATCGCCCTCGTGAATTCGAGGCCCCCTGAGATTCAGATCGTTCCGTAGACTGGTATGTGCTCCGCGATCGAGTGTGCCTGGATTGAGATCCTTGGGATGATCTGCGTGTGCGTTTCCTCCCTCTTGATAGACTTCGATCACCTGAGCGCCTTTTCTTGGGTGAGAAAGTGCCGGAGACGACGCTATCTGCATCGGTCTGCCATTCACTGGCCGAGCTATCATCGGCGCCCATGACTCCTTTGCGCGCATGATGAAGGCCGTGGAGGACGTCGTCGAACTGAGTAATTATATTTCGCGTGAGAGGCCGTAGCTGCTGTCGCGACATATCGTCGTCCGCCTGGACGACTGGGCGCATTGGAAGTTCAACTGTAGTATCCGGTTCACTCTTCACATCCACGTCCATGCCAATGCTCTCAACCTTAGTCTCCCCTTCAGACACGGCGCCGTCCTTTTGATAAAAAAATCCATCCCTAGCTTCCCAAGGTCTCGAGTAGAATCTCTCTTTGGCCGATTTGATCATCACAGCCACGACAGATTCTTCCAGTTCTGCACTCGGCCGAAGGTCTGGCGGCATTTTCCATGTCCAGGCCTCGTCCTCTATTGTTCGAAAGTGCTCGCTCCCACGCGGCACTTCATTCGCAGGCAAAGGCCATAGCGCCCACCGCTTCGGGGGAGCGAACGCTTCTGTTTCATTTGCTGATTCATCATTCTCAGCTGCTCGTCTGGCTATCTCGCGAGCCCGCATCCGCAGAGCATAGGCGTTATACAAGTGAGCTGCGAGGTCCCTGGCCCGGATGTCTTCCAAGGCCTGTGCATTCTGCCTATCCTCGGCCGTCAACTTTCTCCAGGTAGACTCCGGGCCTCGGAATCGATTAGGACGATATGAAGGTGAAGATGGCGGGCTGCTGAGGAGCTGCGGTGAAGCACTAGTCGTCGCGATATCGCCCTTTCTGTCTTTTCTGCTCTTCGCAGTTGGAAGGTCTGGCTGAGCATCTAGGTCTGAGCCTTCATCGCCACTCTCATTGTAGGTAGCATCGTCATCGGAAAAGTCGTTTTCCTCGATCAAGGACCCATCTTCCATGATGGTATCGAGCTCATTTGGGTCAAACGCAGCGCCCTGCTGCGTAAGGGAATACGGTTCCAAGTCTGGTACATCTTGACTGCTGGAACCTCCAAACAGGGATGTGTATGGCTGCGCAGACTGAGGGGGGAGGAACTGAGACGATTGGCTGCCGGAGATGGAGGACATGCCTCGCTGCTTGGGCAAGACAGGGCGTCCAGTGAAAGCTCAACACTTGGAAACCAACGACAAGATCGAGCACAAAGTTTGAGGGAAGCCAATAGGCTCAAGCAGAGATCGGAGAATTGATTAGAACCTCTCGTGCGGAAGGTGATGCAATCGCCGAGAACAGTATACTAGCAGGGGGTCTCGACAAGGGCATGAATGTTCCATCAAGTAAAGAAGCAGAATTTGTTATGTGTGAATATTCGAAAGCAACACTCGATTTAAAATTACGGCGCAAGAGCCAGAGACTTGTGAGACATGGACGCGTCGACGTGCGCAATCCGAATATGATCCAGAGAAAAAAAAAGTTGATATCACGTGATCCGTCGCCAGGTTATTTCTGACTGTTAATTTTACTTTCACCAGCCGACAATCTCTAGTCGATAATTCATTTTATCGGACATTGATACTCTGTAAACTGATAGAAAATGGTTGAATTCCCTTAGCGGTGAAATACACTAGGAAGAGGACTGTACGCCAAGAAAAATACTAGACTACATTCTATGTGGAACGGTTCAATGCCATGGACAGTATAAATATTCAAGACGCCAATTATAAACGGTATCAAATCCAAAAAGGATATCAAATTTTGTCAGTCAACTTTTTTCTTCCTGTTTATTTCTGCTCGCCCTTCTCAAGCTTTCTCCGCTTCGATCGCAGCTTCGCGGATTCATCCGACTGCTTCTTGTTCGAGTACATCATCTTCTCGAGCAACTTCCGCTTCTTCCGGCTCATCATCATCTTCTGTCGCTCCAGTTCCTCCTCTTCCTTGCGCTTCTTGGAGGCATTCTTCTTGGCCAACTTGGACTTCTTCTTGCCCGACTCGTCAGTGGCACCGTTGGACGAGAAAGGAAGACCAGCAGCCTCGGCCTCGAGTTCCTTCTGGTGCTGTGTCCGAGCGGATTCCTCATCGTCTTCCGATTCAGAGACTGCGTCGTTATCATCGAAGCCGCCAAAGTCCTCGTCCTCCTCGGCCTCGCTCTCACTCTCGTCGTCGTCGGTGCCAGCAACATCCATACCACCGTTGACGGATTCATCATCATCTTCACCCTCAACCTCGGACTCTTCGTCCTTGGTGTCCGCCTTCTTGTCGTCGGTCGCCTCTTCCATCTCCTCGTCACTGTCCTCCTCAGAGGCCATCTCAGCCTCGCCCTCTTCCTCTTGCTCAGCCAAGCTGGCGCGAGGATCGTAGCCACCTCTGGAAGGCTTGACCCAGGGGCTCAAGTGAGGGGGCAGAGTAGCACCCGGAGCATAGAGATCGGGCCGGAGAAGCTTTCCTTCGTTGATGCAGTCCCAGACCCACTGAGGCTGAACGTAGGTGCGACCCGGAATCCGGGTACCAGGCTTGACCTTCTGTCCCGCACCCGCGCCGTCCTGCGACGCAGCAGGGACAGTGGGAAGAGCTCCCTCGGGCAAAGCAGGTCGGTCCACGATTTGGTGGGTAATCCGGGTGTCCGCCTCGTTATGCGTAAAAGCTCCATCACCCAAGACAGTATCCCAACCAATTCGCGTACATCCGAAAGCGCGGAGAATGAACTCCAAGGGAGCCTTAGGGGCCTCTCGGGAGATGTAGAAGGTGTAGGGCGCAAACAAGGAGCCGGCACCGTCCACACTCAGATCGGGCTGCGGCAGGGTATCGGCCTCGGGAGCGGTGGGCTCAAATTTGTCGATCGCATCGGTGGATTCCTCCGTTGTGTCGACGGTCTGGTCATTCTTCGCCTGGTCCAATTTACCCTTCTTAATCACCTTGTCAACCTTCGCCTGCACTTCGCGAGAAACCTCCTTGTTATCGGCGTTGCTCTTCGGCTTGTTACTCGCCTCAATGGCCTTAGGAGTGTTGCCAACCGCCTGGCCCTCGAGGGTGAAGGCGGCCAATTCGGCACCATTCTCGTCGCTTCGGGTGTCGAACTTAGGCGGGTATCTGAGACCAATGGTGGAGTAAAGACGGAAGTTCACAAATCCCAGCAGAGTAGTGTAGAAGTCGACGAAGGTAGCCATGATTCGGTAATCGACATCTCCGTTAACACGCTGCACGAATCGGTAAGGCACCAACCACATGATGTCCTGGCCCTGGATAGTCGCCTGGTAATAGATTCCCTTGATAGAAAGGAAGGATTTCCGCAGCGAGTTGGTGGTGATCAGGAAATGCTGGAACTCGTGGCATAGGCGCTGGCAAAGCGCAATGGTCTTGGGGGGAACATGCGTGGTCGACGGCAGGTTCGCGAACAGGTGCAGAAGCGACAGGGCATCGTCCAGGTCTCTCAGGGCATCAATGAAAGTCGGATAGCGCTCCTTGATCACATGGTCCAGGCTCAGTTTCGGCGCATGGTTCTTCTCCAAACGAGATGCGTCGCCGACTTCTCCGCGCCCAAGCGAGCGGGCAATCTTTTTGGCAACGGCCTTTTGGTCACGGAATTTCCGAAGCAGAGGTTCGTGGAGAAGATACTGGATGTCCTTGGTGTAGTAGAATGTGGTGTTGGGGGTCGAAGTTTTCGAGGCCTTCTTCTTGCTCCGAGGCTCACGGGGATAAATTCCTGCACGATCGCAAAAAGAACCACGTCAGAACAGCGATACTTGAGTAGGTAATGAAGTCTTCATTCGGCTCATACCTTTGAAGATACATAGTCGACGGAAATCAGGCAGGGAGATCTGAAGCTTGCGCACTGCCTGCGTCCTAGTAATGTAGTTTTTGGCCTGACCGGATTGGCCTACAAGTGATCAACGTTAGTAAAATAATTGTCGCGCATCCGAGAATAACAAATCTCACCCTTCTTCTTTATTTTACCCATGGTGGTGTGGATTGGATTGGGGGGTGATTGACGGGGTGGAGGGAAAGAGACTGGAAGAAGCTCAGTCTGATAAACCCGAAAATTTATTGTCGATAAGTTTTTTTTTTTTTTTTTTTTTAATCGGATGGGGTGGTCCGTGCGCCGCGGAAAAGGGAAATGCGCGGAGTCTTGGCGCTGGCCGAAAGGGACAGACTGCTGACTTACCTACTCCCGTCTGTCTCTCCGGAAGGGAAGGGTCGTTGATTTCGAGTCATCTTGCTGTTTACATGATGTGCGTCGGTCGGAGGAGAGCAGTCGTATTCGCAGGTGCCCTCACACTGCGAGTCCTGCTCATCCTTCTTTTTCCTTCTCTTCCGGATTTGCTTACGGGGAGAGTCGAGGTGTCGACTCCGGTCAATAGCTTCAAGAGACGTGAGTCCAATTGCCAATGCAAAGCGATGGAAGTTTCGACTGATGCCGCTAACACAATGACTCAGTGCAGGAAGGCCTGTTCCTCTATACTCACAATGTGTCCCCTTATGACGGAGGAGTCTTCCATCAGGTACGAAACCAGCCAGCGCCTCCTCCCCACCTCGTAACAACAATAGCGCCCTGCTTACGACTGATATGAAGGCACCTCTTCTCCTTCCTATATTTTCCCTGCTACCGAATGCCAGAGAACACCCTCTCCCTACCGCTCTATTCTTCGCGATAATTGACCTTGTGAATGCGAACGCGCTCGTCACGATATCGGACTCGAACCAGGCGGTATCGGGGAGATTGTACAGTGCGCTCCGCAAGCAGATTCGGTGGGATGGAATTGAAATCGCTGCATGGTACGGATGCCTTCACAATGACATTGGCCTGATGTCTCTGACGTATCAGGTTCCTGTTCAACCCATTTACGATCGCAACTTGCCTCGGCCGATCCACGAGTGTGTTGACTACAACCGGCATTCTATACGGTGTGTCCAACGCCGTTAGTGGAAACAGCATCAATGCCATGCTATCGCTCGGATTCGCCTCGTATTTGTCAATCTACCCAGCCCTCTTATTTATCCCGCTCGTCCTTTTATCCTACGACAGACGTGCTCAGGGCGTCAAACCCCCCTCCGGAATGGCTACTTTCGCAGTTCAACATCTGGTGGTCTTCGTGCTAAGCATAGCGGGCTTGCTCGGGGTCTCGTGCTTGCTTGTTGGCAACTTGTACGAGTTCGTCTCGGCAACATACGGATTTCAGTTGCTGGTGCCTGACCTCACTCCTAATGTCGGTTTATGGTGGTATTTCTTCATCGAGATATTCGACTCGTTCCGGGAGTTCTTTCTCGGCGTCTTCTGGCTTCATCTTGCGGCATACGTTGGAGCTCTTAGTATACGGATACGGCACCAACCACTCTTTGTCATTTCATCCCTTCTGGGAGTTTTCGCCATCTTCAAGCCTTACCCGAGTATCTCTGATGCGTCCCTTTATTTTGCGCTGCTGCCACTTTATCGGCATCTCTTCCCTTGTAAGTCCCTCGCGCCGTTATAAGATGACATGTCTAACATTCAGAAGTAATGCGCTACACCTTCTTCGCTATCTCCGCTTTACTCTACGCTACTCTCCTTGGTCCCGCGTTCTATCACCTTTGGATCTACGCCGGCTCTGGCAATGCCAACTTCTTCTACGCGATCACCCTGGTATGGAGTCTGGGACTTTCGATCCTACTTGCGGATACAATTTTCGCTGCTCTCCGAGAACAGTGGGAGCAGGAGAACCCTGAGGCGCGAGGCAAAGACGTGAGACAGGTGTAAACCCCCACATGCATTAGTTTGTATTACTGCGGCTCTACCGACTCCACCAATTCCTCGCCATGCGATTCTATGTACAGCTATTGTCCGTCGGCTCTCAATGACTTGGACATGATCCGATAGTCTGGTTCCTTAACCGTCCCGTTGCGCAGCCTCCGTGGCCTAGGGGAAAACTCATCTTCGACATAGCCAAGCTTCTCGTAAAAGCGCACCGCTTGCTTGTTTGATTTGAAAACCGTTAACATGGCTTTTTCCAGGCCAATTCGTTTTCCGATATTTGCGAATCTTCGCATCAGCTGCTCACCCAGTCCTTGTCCTTGGGCATCAGGAGACAGGTGAATCTCATAGCAGTAAAGGACTTCTTTCCCGTCTTCGTACGTCACCATGAAGGAGAGAAACCCTAGAGGCTGTGCGCTACCATCTTTGTCGGTGGCCCGAGGGCCCCGCCGCAGGATCATGTACCTCATATCAGGGAGTCGCATCTCCTTGACCTTTTTCGACGGAGACCAACCGAAACTGGAACCCGTGTAGGCGTTTGATGACGTGAGTTCGATGAGCTTGAAGCATGCCTCGAAGTCGGCAGTTGGTATTGAGTCGGCGGTGTAAATATCCAGTATATAGTCTAAACCTTCACTAGTGTGATCTTGCTTTTCCTGGGCAGCTTCATTGGCCGTAGGCGTAGTGATCTTGAATGTGAGCTCCTCGGGCGGTACATATAATGACAGGAGCTGGTCGAGTGGCAGTTCATTGGTGCGCTCCACCAGTGGAAGTGATCGTGAATCTAAAACGTATTAGGATCTCTTCAGTTTATCAATTATCTCCGATGATCTCTGAATTTCAAATTCAGAATAGAAACTCTTCAGTTCGAAAACTGTACATCAAGCTCAACCATCCAGCGAAACCCACTCACTTCACGCTTTTACAGATAAAAAGAAAAGAAAAAATGAAACGAAAATAAATTTGACGGCTGCAGATCAAGATCCTTACCTGTTTCACGATCAATGTCGGTCAGTTCCATCTTGTCCCTGGTCGAACTGCGCTGTGACGACCGCTTCGGTTTCGGCTTGGTCACTCTGCCTTCTTGGACGGAGGATGGCATCGTGAGGCTTCTTTATGTTTCAATTCTCCAGTTCCAGTCCAGTTGAGGCAGTGTTAATTTTGCCAGCTGATCTTCTTGAGTTGTTTGATGGATTGCGTGGGGTAGTGTTGTTTCGGAGGTTTTCCTGGCAGTTCCAAGTTGACAGGTCCGCGATCCCTTTTTTGATGTGGGTGTTTTCGGGTCGCGCCAGGTCGCCCTCCTCGGGGTTTGGATACATCATTTCTCATGTCGATTTTCGACAATCCCATGGAATTTTAATTTTTTTGAACTGATGTGAATCATTCTCTCATTTCTAATTTTGAAGGTTTCTAGCGAAGAGTAGCTAAACCGAGCTCTAGTATAATAAAGCCACGGGATATATATTTCTCCAACCATGACCGATCATTGCTACCAAGACAACTCACAGCTAAACACGGCCCAACCTATTTCTATGCGCTTGCTCTTTGACTAACTGCATATTCCTCCGCTCGTCGCTCAGCTTCCTCAGCGCCAAGTTCTCCAAAGACATCAATTCCCCAGCGGAAAGGGTAGCTGTAACGCTCATTACGTTCCAGTTTGTTCAGGGCTTCGAATTCCGCGTCGGGAATGACAAAGTCTAGTTTGATTAGCCAAACACGCTCGCACTGAGCATGGAATAGAAGCGGTCATACCTTGGAAGTTGCTCTCGATACGAGAGGCAGTAACACTCTTGGGCAAGACAGCAGTGCCACGCTGGACGGCCCACGAGATCAGCAAAGCAGCAGGGTCTTTGCCCAATTTGGTAGCGATTTCCTGGACAGTCGAATCATCGATAACACTATAACATATAATATTAGTGGGGATCCGAGGGTGCTTTAGAGACTAGGACGAGAAATACCGAGGGCGATTGGCGAGGTTGTTGCCCAGCGGGCTATATGCGACAGGGAGAATGTTCTATCGATAATGAGTCAACCTTGATCCTGGTTCACGGACATATATTCCTACCTTCTCCTTGAGAAACTCTAGCAGACCAGGCTGCTGCAGGTATGGGTGAGCCTCGTATTGGTTGGCAGCCGGGGGAATCTCGGCGGTCTTCAGGAGCTCCTGGGTCTTCTCGATGGTAAAGTTGCTGATACCAATGCTGCGGATCTTTCCTGCCCTGACGAGCTTCTCGAGAACCGCCCAGGTGTCAGCGATTGGGATATCTGCTAATCGGAACCGCTGCGTAACAGGGTCGATGGGCGTGAAGGTGTCATTTGCGTGCTCGAAAGCGATAGGCCAATGGATCTGATGCTTGTGTTAGATTCGTAACCATTTCAGTTCATTGAATGTCATCCATACCAGGTAAAGATCCAGATAGTCTGTCTGCAGCTCCTGGAGAGTCTTGTCGAGAGCCTCTTCGACGTGGTCGGGATGGTGGTGTGTGTTCCATAGCTTGCTGGTGATCTGTTTTTGAGAACGAGGAAAATATAAGCCGGGGTTATGCTGTCAATTTCGTCTCTGGCAGGGACATACAAAGATCTGGTCACGGGGCACCCCGGACTTTTTCCAGCCGTTTCCCACTTCCACCTCGTTTCGATAGACCGCCGCCCCGTCCAGATGGCGGTATCCTAGACGAAGAGCAGTCTCGACCGCATCTTCTACTTCATGAGGTTTTGAGAGCTATGGGCCCATCGGTTAGCATTGTTTTTACAATGAATCAATCTGTTGGGAGGTGTATACCCAGGTTCCCAGGCCAACGGCGGGGATTTCGTATCCGGAGTTGAGTTTGAAGGTGCGTCCTAGAGACATGATGATATGGTTGAATTGGTACTAATTCTAACGAAGTGGATTATAGAAAGGAAAAATCCCAACCGCAGAGCAGCGGAGCGAGAAGCTTGATATAAGAAGAGCGGAAGGGTCAGGGTCGATGCAATCCTTCTTCACGATGAGGAAATGAAAGACCCCTCCAGGATGACCCATCCCGATAAGAAATCGATGGAGATAATGCCGAGGCTTTGTGGCTGATTGGGCCGGATCTTGTTCCATCGCCTTGTCCCCTCATTGCCGCGATGGATTGCGCGATCCTTCCCGTGTTATTGGAGCAGTTCAGCGCCCATCCACGAGCGAGTCCAAACCACCTTGTTGAAATGCATCATGCTCGTATGCAGAGACAAAAGCTTATCGCAGAAGGTGTTCCTGAGGAGTTCCCCCTCAATCGATTTTCCATGTCCGATGCCTGCATGGATGATCAGATATCAGATAATCTCGCTTATTTGTTCCGGGACCTGCTTGTCATCCATTGCCCGGGAAACCAATCTATTATTGACATGTCGTGCTTGCTCTGTTAACGCTAAGGCTACCCCAATCCTCAACCCACTCTTCTCCAAGCTGGCGCCGTCGACTTACCCAACAGTCTTGATATGTTGCAAAGGCACGCCATTTGATTAATTGCTGATGCTCTCAAGAAATTTTAAATTATTCGTGGCCAAGCGATAAGCCTGCATTTGATCAAGGTCCCTCTGGTGGTCATAATGACTACTTGAAGCACCATTTGGTCCCGTTTAAATCCCTACGAGGCGTGATTCTTCTCCCTTCCGGTGCCGTTTCGTGGGGCAGAATGGGGAATGGCCCACGGAGTAGCCGCCCTTGGTTTGTATAATTCCCAAAGGCCTCGCTATAAGTAGGGATCAATGGATCTTGGTTCCTTGAAATATAAGCCCACTGAGCCAAGCGTGGGTCTTTGCTTCAAGCCATCCGCAAAGTCCCCATTTCGACTTGAGCCAAGCGACTCCTCAGTCATGGTGGCATGGTTGCTGCTATTTTCCATGCCTCTCGGAACTTCGAGGACACCGTAGTACCGCTTGTCAACTAGCCTGGCGGTGGTCGCATCAATGCCAGCAACGGGTATTCTTGACACAGCATACTCTGCAATATCAGTTCAACCGCATTTTCCAAATGGCACCATAAACAGAATCCGATGGCGCGATTATGCACTGAAGCGAGAAAAGTCGATATCGCAGGGGCCAGAGGCAGCACGACTTGATCAAGTGCTTCACAACTAACGGCGGATTCTAGTGCATTGGGCGAAGATCGGCAGTGAACAGAGACGAACGATTAAGGGCCCTCAGACCCCTTCGGGCTTCCGTTCTAACATCCACCGAGACGTGCATTAGCCTTGGCTGCATGCTTTCCAAAACCAACCCTGAATTCGACGATCTGCCCTTCACCAGGACCCCCTCTGATATTTCTATCCCGAATCTGTATTCGAGTCCGTTTGGCCGACTCCGGTTGCCCGAAGAACATGGCCCCCAAGGATGCAGTCGGAATTTTTATATTAATCTTCTTAAATCCCCGCACCTTATGACCTCCTTACAGGGATGGTGAGTTTAGTCCCGACCCGCATCCTTGTCTCCAGCTTCATACAGCGTATGACTCCACGTTGGCAAGGGGAAAACACACCGAAGCTTTCAGCACCCCTGGAGCTTGGCGTCTTTTTGCAGTTCGCTCGCTGCATGTCCTAGAGAATTTGCAACGGCTTGGGAAATATGTCCGGCCTGCTAGATGCCGCTCTTCACCAAGTTGAGCCCTCCGTGTACCCGTCTGTGCCAAGTACACGATGACGAGGCTTAATAAACCCGAGATCAATAATTTCGCTCCAGGGCAAGTGCGACAGGGTTGTTAATGATCGTCGGTCGAGTATCAATGAAGAAATTTGCCGAAGGATGAAAGGGTCGAAATATGCCATGCAACGCCTATAAGTTCGGTGTTTTCCAACAGTTGTTGGCCCTATGCCAAAGCAGTTTGAAAATCAATCACAACTCCTCCCACCTGTTCTTTCCAAACAGCCCTTTTTCTCTTCACTTCAGCCATGCGATCGTCGTGGCTCCTAGCGGCTGCTGCCTTGCCCTTTGCGGTGACGGGCCTCACTGTTGATGAGACTGATGATGGCATTGTCGTTGACACGGAGGGCGAAAGTGGCATCAAAGTGACTATCGACTCCACGGGATCAATCTCGTCAATTGTTTATCAAGGCGAAGAATATCAATCCTCTGATACTAGCAGTCACATTGCCTCTGGATTGGGCGAAGCCACCAAGACAACCCACACCACAGAAGGTTGGTTTCTCTGTGGAGCTTCATAATCAGACTTGATAATTAATCGATACCAACAGGAAATTATGCCGTGGTGTCTGCCAAGGTTGAGAGTGATGATTTCAATCTCACCCACTACTACGTCTTCGAGGATGGAAAGAGTGCCATTTACATGGGCACCTATACGGTTGATCAGCCAAGCGTGGGCGAATTGCGCTACATTGCCCGGCTCGTCAACCTTCCTCAGGCCTACAAGGAGGGTAAAGTCTCCGACACTACCGACGGAGAGACAATTGAAGGTAGCGATGTTTTCCTCGTCGATGGCGAGACGAGAGGAAAGGTACGCAGATTAGGAACAAACCCTGACCATGTTGAGACTATCATTGACTTCGCTTTCAGTTCTACTCCTCCCAGCGCTTCATCGACGACAGCGTATACTGCGCATATACGGAGGATAGTTCTGTTCATGCATGCTTCCTGTCCGACACCAGATCGCGTGAAAAGTCCTCCGGGGGACCTTTCTTCCGTGATATTGACCTCAACAATGGTGGTAGCTACCATTCTGTCACTTTCTACATGAACTCGGGCCATGTCCAGACGGAAGACTTCCGCACGGGCTTCTTTGGTCCCTATGTTCTGTCTTTTAGTGGAAGTGATATTCCTTCATGGGATGACTTCGATGTTTCTTTCTTCAATGACCTTGATTTGGAAGGCTATGTCGGCTCTTCCGGACGCGGCGTTGTTTCCGGCAAGGCCAGTGGTACTTCTGACAAATTTCCAGCCATCGTGCATTTGTACAACGATGAGTACCAATCTTGGGCCAACGCCTCCTCAGGAACATTTACCACGCCCGAGATCGTTGAGGGTGATTACACGCTGGCTCTATACCAGGGCGAGCTTCTCGCAGCCACAACCACCGTGTCCGTTGCGGCGGGCGAGACGGCCTCTGCCTCCATCAGCGCCACCAACCCCATCATCACGCAGGAGCGGACCACAGTTTGGCAGATCGGCGAATACGATGGCACTCCGCAGGGTTTCCTCAACGCAGACAAGCAGCTTCGCATGCACCCGTCGGATGACCGAATGGGTTCGTGGAACGCCTCAGCCTTCGTGGTTGACGAGAGCGAGACCGGCGACTTTCCCATGGCCATCTTCGCGGACGTGAACGACGGACAAGAAGTGCAATTCAGCCTCTCCGAATCCATTTCATCGGACGTGATAGTGCGAATTGCCACCACGCTTGCCTTCCAGAGCGGTCGGCCCCAGCTTACTCTCAACGAGGCCTCCTGCGACGCCCCCGACGCCCCCTCGAAGATTGACAGCCGGGGAGTGACCCGCGGCGCTTACCGTGGCTTTGGTGAGGTCTACAACTGTACCTTTGCGGCCGACGACCTGGTGCAAGGCGACAACACTTTGAAGATTAGTGTTGTGTCCGGATCCGGCGGAGAGGGATTCCTTAGCGCCAACTACGTAAGTTCATTCCCTTATATTTTCTACTTGGAAAATGCTGGGAAGCGGTGCTAATAATCGATAGATCATCGATGCGGTCGAACTCTACTACGTCTAAATGTCGTGAGGATATAATTAGAACTGCAATGAACTCGCTTATTGAACTTAATGAGTCGTTCGGCATGGCCTACTGGATTCTACGGAGAATACAACATCCTGGAATGAACTGTTTCTAACGAACCTTTAGCTAAGTGGCTTTACTGTTTTATCTTCGGAGAGTGTTTAATTTAATATGTTTCTCAAAAATTGTTCAGATTAGGTACTATGATAGTCTGTCAGCATTGACTCTAGGGAATTGGCTATCTGTATCATTTTGCGTTCTCAACATGGATACCGGGTTCATCAGCCAGCATGCCAAATCTAAATAAGCACAAATCCATCTAGCAATCATTCCAAATACGTGACTAATCCTAGTGAGGACAGAAAAGATAAGGAAAGAGACGACAATCACCTCCACACGCAGAGTAAAGCATGCTAGTACCACAAACAAAACTTCATCACAGCAAATACAGCTCAACATTGCAGATTCACTACGGGCGCAGGGAAAAGAAAGATGACGTGGACATGCAGGAGCACCAAGACCGACGAGTTTTCGAGGTAAATGCGTTGGAGAAAGATTTCTTACCCTAGGGCCAACTAAAGAGCAGCAGACGGGTTGTTTCGCGCTCCGTCACCGTGCAGATGAAAACAAAAACCCGAATCGCAGGATCCGTTCAGGGCCGCTAAAGCTGCGCCGGACTCTAGTGCTGCAGCTATTGTCGTGATCAAAGCAGCCCTCCGAGTTATAGACGTGTCTCAAGCACTGTGAGTCGTCGCACGGAATTCCTTTGTCGAGATGGCGTGTGCTGATCTACAAAAACACGTTGCACTAGAGAGAGTAACTAGGATCCCCGCACTCGGTCTTGTCCATTATGCTGGGTATCTTCTTCCTTTTCTCTCTTGATATTCCGTTTTCCATGTCACGGCCGCTTATACTCAGGATTACTTGAATCTCTACCTCGCCATGCGGAACGACAACCAAGAGATCGTATCCCTTCGCCTCGAAGCAACTAAAGCCAATTCCGGCATTTACGGAGGAGCTATGCACCCTGCCTTACAGGAAGCTGCCTTCGAAGACAAGCTCGAGACTTGCAAGCGTCTTCTTGACGCAGGCGCAGATCCCAATGCTCAGGGAGGTCGGATGGGCTCGCCGCTACACGCCGCGGTCTGGCGCGGATCTGTAGATCTCATTTGGCTTCTACTCAACTCCGGCGCCGATTCCAGTATCCGGGACAGGTCCGGACGGTCTGCACTCCACCTGAGTCTGGCATGTCGTCAACATGTACTCGTGCTGCTTGAATCCGGCGCCAATACAAACGTGGTAGATCGCACTGGGACGATGCCACTTCAAAGCGCCGCTCGCTCACACCCGAGAATAGTGCCACAGCTCCTCGCAGCCGGGGCCATGGCGGGGGTTCGTGACGGATGTGGTCGCAGTGTTCTCCACGCTGCGATGGGTGCCGACAAACTGCAGTTCCAGAACGTCCTTGATCACTTGCCAGAAAGCAGGAGGAAGGATGATCTCGAAGCTGCGTTACCCGCAGTGCTCAAACAGCCCGCAGAACCAGGCAGCGTCATGCTAGAACAATGCAAGCAGATTTTCCATCTAATTTTGGGAGAAGATAACATTGACCTCAGCGTACCGGATCCCAACGGCTGGACTGCACTAGAGCTTGCGGAATGCTACGGATTGAACGAGGAAGCCTATGTGCTCGAGCAGCGTGGCGCACAGAAGGGGAATCTCCAGCAAGCGCTGCGGCCATCTTGCTGGTCGTCTGCAGACCGAAACCCCGAGGTATTTCTCTCGGAGGACAAAATGGAGGCATGGGTGACCGCGATTTCCCCGAGCAGAGAAGTGAGCATGCAGCTGAGTAGTGCCATCTGAGCAAATTGCTGCGTGCCGATTCTGAAGGAAGATGATTTATTCTATTTCGAGGTGGAGGTTTTGGAATGTCAAAACAACAGGCAAGAAGAACCCCTTGTATTATTTCGAGCTTAATGACATTCTATGACTAACGCTTCTGAATCATTACTCGGCGCAATCGCAATCGGGTTCCTCCAAGAAGCCAACGCACTTGATGCGATGATTGGATGGGATCGCGGGACTTGGGGCTACCACAGTGACGATGGCTACATATTAAATGCCGATGACCAGCTCTGTAACGGTCCCATGTACCGCATCGGACAGACAGTAGGGGTTGCCCTGGATGCACACCAGAGACATATTTGGTTTTCAATAGATGGTGTTAGAGTCGGTGAGTTCTGAACCCCCACCCAGGGCCCGACAGGTTATTGATGTCTGAATTCTGCAGGCTCATATGAATATGAAACGGTGGGACAGCTGTATCCAGCGGTCTCATTTCATTACGGGGCAGTTGGCTCAGCTGCCCGTGTCAGAGCGAATTTCGGGCCAATCTTCAAGTTTACGCCCTATAGTGGCTCTGCATTGCCCAATCCCAAAGAAGGGGAGAATAAAAAAAGACGATGACGAGGATATTGAGGAGAAGAGAAAGAAGAAGGATAAAGAACAGGGCTGATGAAAGGCTCAATGTATGCCACTGTGGACTCTGTTCAAGCACGTACAGCCCCATGGTGTCGACCTGACCTTCCTGTCTGCGCAGCTAGTTGACAAATTTCAATCTTCGCAGTAAAGAAGGTCAATAATTTCAATTGAGAACACTGGATCCCGAAGAGCAACCAGAAGAATAATATAGAATTTATGTGAAAAATGACGGCATAGGTACAGGAGGACGAGCACCTGAAGCTCAGTCAACCCTCGAAAGGATTCATATACCACGTCAAGGGTGACTATCAACAGTTCAAGGTCGAGAAAGTATGCAATGGCACTAACATAAAAGAATATACTGAGGTTTTCATAGGCCATGAAGATACTTGGATAGGTCCCATCATGTGTTGGTGTTTATGCTAAACCGACCTTATTTCCATTCCAACAATCTGTTGGGGTAGCATATTTGCAACTACAGGATGAGGCCAGAAGTGATGATCTTAAATCACCATGCAGCTCGTATTTCCGGCCACCAATGCGACACTGCACGATAGTGGGGTTTCTAAACCAGACTAACCAAAGAGACTTCTTAATGAGTGGTTTCCTAGTGCTAAGATCCCTGCCACACCGTCACACATCAGTTTGTCTCTCCACACCGAATTGGCATTCATTTCCGTCACCATTCCCGGTCCATCTCCCTCTACTGCATCGACAAAATGCCTCCAATGTCCTTTCAACTGCTTGCCCGCAATTTCGATCCCATGCAGGCCTCCATCGAGCTGTCTGATCAGTGGAAGAACCCCAGTGACGTGTTCTCGGTGCTGCTGATTCTTGGCGGGGATATTGTCGCCAGAGCACTCGCCCAAGTCTCCGGGTCGCGGCTTACGCCGGTGGCATTTTCTTTTGGTTCGTTTGCTCATTGTACTATTATTGGCCATCATCTGTAATGTGTATAGTAATGGCTCGATCCACTTACTGACAAGCTACAGGATGGGTCGCATATGCAGTCACAGCAGTGGTTTCCGCGGTGGGAGAAAACAAACTCATGCCTCCCCCGGACTGTCCCTGCAAGGTCATCAATACGAAGAGTGGTTATTTACGAGACAATACCAGCTGGATTATCAGCCGCATTGTGCGAGACTATGAGTACTGGATGGACGGCGGTAAACCAAGCGGACCTATTCGTAAACATCTAGAAAAGATGATCGACGACCGTTGGACGCATGATAAACTCAAAAGTCCGGGACTCCTTCGGCCAACACAGGCTGGTCTTTGTGTGTCGGTCTACACAGCTGAAAAGGCGAACCCCGGGTATCCTGGTTACGATCATATTTATTTTGCAGGGATGTTCACAGCTGTCATGCAGTTGGGGCTTGCGGCCATTCCATGCGGCATATTTGGCGACTGGGGCATCATCACAGTTACCGCTGCAGGAATTATACTTTCCATGATCACCGGCGGGCTCGGTCAGTGGCAACGCGAGAAATGGGCTTGTCGTCAGGGCTCGAAAAAGACAGTCATCCTGACCAAGGGAAATGGCAGTCAACATGCGATTATGATTATCGGAAACGGTGAAGGGCTTGATCTAGAGGATCTAGCTACGGGCCAATCCAGCATCAATGTCTCAACGTCAATTTTCACTAGAGTCATGGTCATTGCGCTGGCACTATTTTGGATATTGCTTCTCATCACGGCGGCAGCCTTGACTCGGAACACCTGGTTCCTCCTCGCCATTGGCGGGATTGGAATGCTCCAGAATATTTTGACGGCTGGAGCTCGGCGAACCCCAGAAGACTATGGGGTATCATTAAAGTATAAAGAGGTTATTGGCCATCCGAAAGTTATGGAAACTCTTTTTCAGGTGGAAAGAAAATATCCGCGCGTGGGGAGGAGCATGCGGGATACTTTCTTCCCGGGGCAATTGCTTTCTGAAGAAAGGGATGAATGGAATGAACTGGCTAAGAAGGCCGACGCCTTGGACAATGCCAGCAAGAAGAAGCCCACAGAGGAGCGCGGTGAAGATAAACATAAGGGCGACAGTAGCAATCTAGCTACCAGGGCCTTCATTCCCAATCAATATTCGGAAAGATAAGATGGGGTCAGTTGGACTATTTGAAATTGGATGAATGGCCATATTTTGATCAACATATTTCCGTCAAAAGTGTAAGTTATATTGCAGTGTCTTTGTTATTTATCGGCCTGATGGCCGTTTTGGTGGAATGGACTAAATAGCATGCAATCCCAAAGGCAAGACAAGGAGACAGGTGTAGAATATATTGTGATGACCTAAAGGGGTATCTTGAATAGTCTGGAGAAATCTTTACCAACGTCTCGCAGGGAAATAGCTTCACGATGCTCTCTTTCTTACATCTCGGCCCATATGAGACCACCGTTTGGTCTGATTGCTTCGTATGCACGCTCAGAAACACACCCAACATCTTAACAGACAAAGGAACTAGCTAGATATTTAACGAAATCTTCATCCCTAGCCAGGTGCCAAAGTAAGGGGTGACACCTCGCCTACAAAACATTCATCTGCTTATCATCGCCTATTCGTGAGGCGTTAAGCAAGGGATGTGATAATGTTGTATACTGTGCTGTTTTTTCACACATAGAGGAAACGAATGTATTCTGATTAGCCATTGGGAATTCCTCATCTATATCTCGTGCGTCTCCCAGCTGCCAATGATCCTAACCACGCACATTCCATTCCCCCCACCTACAATTGCGGTGAACAACTTCTCACTGCGAATGAACCTGTTTCAGACTGTCTTAAATCTCCTGAAAGTATCGAGTTAGATTAAAGAGAAAGACACAATCAGGGCACGCTTGGATGTCTGAAATATCTTACTAGGAGGAAGGTGCGCATCAAAAAACCTTTCATCGAAAAAGACATCGAGAAAGTTCTGGTCCTCAACCGACCAAACAAGAACCTGTTCGCTGCGCCTAGGCATCTGGCATGTGGCCTATAATTGCCGGGGCGAGTTAGCCCTATACCAACACTCCGGGTGACTTCTAGGTTCAGAAATCGAACCGACTCGGAGCGGGCCGCATACAGGCGGGCGGCGCCGTGGTCGATAGTCGATTTGTAGCGCGGGATAGCTTTGTATGTTCCAGCTACACATAACCCCTTGCATGGCTCTGGCAATAGGCCTATCAATTGGGAGGGGGAAAGCTGGGGTGATCCGTTTAAAAGCCGAAAGTGTCCCACATGATAAGGATCCGCAGATCTAGATATCCTTTGGGATAGTCGATTGTTGATTTTGTCTCATTGCAAGAGTCTTTCACTCGTCAACTGGATTGTCATCTAACTCGTTAGGTTAGGGGCATGCTGGATTAGGTACTAGATAATGCATCAGGTGGACTTCTATTACCAAACAGTGAGGGTGAGAGGGCGGAGCCAATTGGCCCATACTAGTCGACATGAATATTCAGTGACATGCATGAGACTGGTTTGTTCATCAAGTATCACTGTGTCTAATCCGTACCAACTACATTACGGGGAAGCTGGAATCTTAACTATACAGGGTGGGTAGTAAACAAGAACTGTAGAGCAGAATTATGAGTGACATGCTTTGCTTAGGTTTAAGCGAGAAAAATGAAAACACCCCGGTGGACAGGTACATGCATCGGCAGTTCAATGAAGCAAAAGCAAAGGAGCAGGCTTTGCTGTTGCAAGGAGTAATAGTCACACGACGTGCCATTGAATCAAGGAGGTATGTCCACTAAACATGCTGTGTCACGATAATGATTTTGCTATCTAGGAATAGGCAGTAGGCAGTTGTCTCTCACTTTCCATACAAGTCATTATTCTCCCTTACGTCTACGGTAAAAGTCCACAGAATCTAGCGAATGACGATTATCAGCTAAGCTCGAATTCCTCTGCTTATATAAAAGCCTTGACCAGAGATTTAAAGCGACTGAATTCCCTCCAAACATAGAGCGAATTCAATATCCACTGAACTCACAGCAAAGTTCTTGATACGCAATCCTTCATAACGCTTACCTTTCTACCACTCTTCTACACCAAATATGAATCTTTCTGCTATCCTCTTGCCTATCCTCGCTGGACTTGGAATGGCAAGCGTCATGCATGAGAACAACGACAACGCCTTGGAAAAAGAGGCTGCGAGCTGCTGTGGCGCGACCCCATGCTTCGTGGGATGCAAAGTTGACGGAGTGTTCGAAGTAAGTTCATACATGTTGACTGGCAGTGTACACCATTGCTTGTATCAAGCTAACCCGGTGCTATTAGTTTTGCTGTTGATTCAGCCCACACAGAGGATGATATACGGTTACCCAAGAAACTATTATGGTATGTTAAGCCCGCGCATTAAACTTTGATCATGAAACTCGAGAGGGATAATTTGAAACTTACTTTACCTTCTGACTTCCGACTTGTGATAGGAAATCGTTCGGTGCTAAACATGTTGTTTTTAGAGCTTGGTATAGGTTTTCCCTAGCAGGTTAGGTTTCCCTATGCCTTTGTGTGAATGCAAAGTCCTCTTCTGTTATACTCCTGAATCTACATCAAGTCAGTTAAATGACACCCTAGGTTAATCTGTAAGAGAGCTGCCCACCCACTGGGGAGTAAAAAGATATCTTGTTTCTGAAGAGTAGCCTTGCGCTAGGCCATTCGACCACCGAGTGTAGAGTACAGGGCTTCCCGTCCGCTTAGCTATATTCAAACCATCCAAGTCCATCCGTACAGTTAATTCTCGAAGGGCTTTGAACCTTGATGCTTTTCTAAAGTGATAAGAATCTCCAAGCTACTGGGAAGACCCGGCTGGGGCGCGTGGCTTCCCGAAATACCACTTGGCAAACATTATGAAGGCGGCCGTATCTTTGGTGCGAAAATCATATAGTTTGATCGAGCGCACCATGATCGTAGGGTCTTCTATATGAGTTTGAAGAACGTGAGCATGCTGGGACCTTATGAAGGAAAACGCCTGCGTCTAGGACGGCATATTGAAGGTAAGCATTCACTTTTGAATGGAAGGGGACAGAGACAAGAACCTCTCAGTTGTATGTTTTGTTTTTTATTCTTTTTTGTTAAGGTCTATGAGAGTAGAATGAGGATAGTCTGCCGAGGAACCCAAGCAATTAATCTATTTTATATTAAGGAGAGGGCGATCTTGACCGTGGCGAGACGAGCCGTTCCGCTAGGGCATGCGGGCATCATGGCATGTCCTGTCGCCCCCTCCGATGACCCACTCTTGACGAGGGGAGATGGGCGAGGTGATCGGCAGGTTGAATTGCTGGATTCAGTGCGTATGGTCACTATGGTGTGATAAATGCATTGTGAATGTTGATGTTGATGCTAATGCGGTGATGGCTGTGGGCAAGGAGCTACTCCCTAGCCGAGGTGCGCCTGCTTACAGTTGTATATTACGAGAGAGAATAGAAACTGACAAGATAACAGGGATATTATTGATAGTTTGTTGTGCTATGTCAAATGCCTTCTGTCCTACTTCCTGATCCATCCTTCAAAACTATGGGGCATCCTATAATGTGACGGAGGAGGTTTCCATCTTACTCATCTCCGGAGGCGTACTCGCCCGCAGCGATCTTCTTGCTCAGCGCCTCGTTGGGGGTGATGTAGTCCTCCAGATCGGAGCGAGCGGCCACCAAGAGATCGGCCACCAGACGGCCAAAAACGACACCAGCGGCCTCGTTGATGTGCGTCTTATCACCGTCGGACAGGTCGTAGTTGGTGGCGCTCTCGTCGCCAATGGCGTTGATGTAGTCGGTGCTGGCGGTGGTCAGATCCAGGTACTTGATTCCCACGGACTTGGCGGCGTTGATGGCTTGGACTCGCCACTCCACAAAATCTTCCTTGACTGTATCGCCATCGAAGCGGCGGCGGCTTAAGGGAGTGATGATGATCTGATGACCCGGTTAGTTGAAGGGAAGGAATGAGGATAAAATGGAACATACAGGAGTGGCACCGGCTTCTTGGACCTCCGTAGCCAGACCTTCCAGGTTCGTCCTATACTCGTCCAGATCAAGGGCCTTCTGGTCGTTGTGGCCAAATTGCATGGTTACAATGGGCGAGTAGTCGGAGGCGGTGGAGTTGATGTTCTCCAGCAACTGGTCCCATCGTCCATTGGCACGGTATGACACAGTTGTGGTCCCGCTCTTGGCCGAGTTGACGCCGTCCGCAGGATCGGTCACGAATGACAAGAATCCGTCACCCCATCCTCCAGCGGTAGCGACGGTAGAATCGCCGATGAGGAGGAAATATGGTGGTTTGGATGCCCGAGTGACGGGAGTCGATTGGACAGCGCCAAAGGTTGCGGCAAGAATGGCAGCGATACTGGCAGGCTTCATGGTGTTCTTTCTGGCTGGGTTTTGGAAGGAAAACTGAGTTGAAAATAAGGGTTGACCGAAAGACCAAGAGGACTGTAGAAGAATTGATAATGGAAGAATGCTGGTGATTGAGACGAGACGAATTTGAGGCCCTATTTATATCGGAGGGAACCCAGGTAGTAAATTCAACTACAGAAGGGCAACAACCTCAAGCTTTGACGACATCATCATCTCCTCAATTCAACGAGACAGAGCGTTGCGTACGCCCAATCCTGCAGCAAACCGACGATCTCTGGTAACATTTGCGGACACAGGGAAGATATCGCAGGTGAGGATTCGTTTACTCGGGATAGATCATGCCGACACTCTCCAGGAAGCTTTCAAAGGAGTATACTAGAGCCTGGGGGAGGCGACAGAGAAGGTGACCACATTTGGCCGAGACCTGACGATCATCGCTGTTTGTGTAAAGGTTTCGCCCCTCTGAGATAGCTATCCTAGACAGCGCGATGACAATCGCGGACCAGAGGAACCTGCAAGAGAAATGTTGAGGGCGGATGAATGGAAGCAAGGGGTTTGAGGGCGAAAACAGGGATGATCCTATTCCTGGCCTGACAAGCAATGTTATGCTGAACGACGTGGCATTGGCGCAGCCAAGAATCCGGGGTTCTCCTAGTGCTGGATAGAGCGAGTCATTCGTGAACCTGGAGACTCCGCACGGACGGGAAAGACACGAATTCAGGATGATGCCCCCTACTGGTGTTCGTAACGTCCTGGTGAGATGAGAAATGAGCCGGGATGTCTTGGCCTATTTGAGCAAATATGCAGGCGATCAATTGCTTAACCGAGTTACGACCGAGACGATCCTAGGGCCAAGAGGACTGGGAGACTCTGGGCTCACTCCTGAAGCGACAGAATGGCCGTACGGATATTTTCTTGGCCGGTCATCCTCCGGCCGACATGACTAGGTAGGTATCTGTACTGTCCCTTTTTGTAATTGAGGATTGGCAGTCACTGCAGTGAAGCAACCATGGTCCGCGTACAGTCCCTCGTCATCCAAGCCAGTGCATGGGGACTGGATCAGAGAAGCTCAACATGGCTGTAACACAGCATATGTTCTTGAGTGGATAATTATAGGCACATGATTGACATATTGGTGAAGTGCATTTATATTCTGTTAAGTGCGAAGACGATGGTTTGGCATTTCTCTTTAACGCTGGAAGACGAGAATGACCGATGGTGATGGGAATACTTTCAAGGTCGCATTAAGCCATGCATGCATGTAAAGTAGACCGGGACAGTGATTCCAGGAGGCGACTCAAGGGGGATTGAAGAGGAGAAGAAAGAAAGCAAGAATCAATGGGGTTTGTTTGTGTTTGTCTGGTTTGTCTGGTTTGTCTGGTTTGTCTGCCCAGATTAGTTAGATTAGATTCTGCTGACTCATCCTGACTGTGGATGCTGATGCCTCAGGCATAAAAATGAGATCATTTCGACGAAGCGAGAAAGTCTCCGCGCTCCATCTTCAATCCACAAGACTCCATTTCACTTACAGTCCAACAAGCCCTTGGGTTTCTCTCTGAACAAAAAATATTTGTTTTTTTTTTTTTCAATGACTATTCATTTGCTACGGATTACTTTTCGATTGATGTTCAATCCTTGCCGAACACGATGGCATCCCTGCATGAATTCTGCAAAGGTATCCTGAACCCCGACTAAACTGGTGGGTCTCAAACGGTCGAACATCGGACCGTTTTGAACACAATCACCACCTGAACGACTCGGGTTAGAGATATTGCCCATCACCAATCGCTGAAGTCCGCTTTGAACTTCGATTTTCCTACCAGCTTTCTTTCACTCGAAGGGTCCTCGTTTCAAACGTTCGAAGCCCTCAACATGGAGACCAGCTCGTGGGATCCATCAGCCGGAAATCGATCCAGTTTCTTCAAAAGTCGACAGAGTCCAACGATAAGCTTCTCATAAGTGAAGAAATCTAGTCGGTGAAGTTCGGATGGAAACCAAATCCTGCCTGAAGTATTCGGCGATCCTGCCCTGCGGTGACTGAATTATTAAGCGTATCGTCATGGAAGTGGATCGTGCCCACTTACGTCAAGATCCGAGGCTGCCAATAGCCCGTCCTATTTAGTTGTGGAGATGCCCCTTGTCGACGGGAGTCAACTCATCAATTGAAAACTATCCAAAATTCGAGCTATATTCCTCGAACGCATCAACCATGGCACCAACTGGAACTATGAAGCAGTGGAGTGTGGCGAGCAAGGACAAGGACTTCGATGGCCTGTCCTATGGCGATGCCCCAGTTCCCAATGTTGGCGAGAATGAAGTTCTCGTGAAATTCCACGGCGCGTCGCTCAACTACCGTGACCTAATTATTCCCAAGGTCAGTTGGCTTCGTATTCTGTCGCACCCGTCTGATCAATAATTTCTGCTCTGAACTCTCGCGGGTACACAAAAGCCGATTGACTGATGTTGTCGTTACCATAGGGATTGTACCCCTTCGGCGTGAACTTTCCCACGATCCCCGGTTCCGATGGTGCCGGCGAGGTTATCGGCGTTGGATCCAAAGTAACACAATTCCGCAAGGGTGACAATGTGGTTACTTTGTTCAACCAAGGACACCAATATGGGCCGATTGACCTCGCAGCGGCCCAGAGCGGTCTGGGGGGTGCAGTGGATGGTGTTTTGCGCCAGTATGGAGTCTTTAACGAAAACGGCGTTGTTAAAAGCCCGAAGAACCTCAACCACCTGGAAGCAAGCACCCTTACCTGTGCCGGACTCACTAGTTGGAATGCCCTGTATGGCCTGAAACCTCTGCAACCCGGACAGACTGTGTTAGTGCAAGGCACAGGCGGCGTCAGTATCTTCGCACTTCAGGTAGGTTCCTCCAAAACACCATTTTAAATCCCAGATATAAGCGTGGATAAAGCTAATGCGGACTTATAGTTTGCTAAAGCTGCTGGGGCCTCCGTTATTGCTACCACCTCATCGGAAGAAAAGGGCAAGAAGCTGAAGGAGCTTGGGGCCGACCATGTCATCAATTACAAGACCAACCCCAACTGGGGAGAGATCGCTCGTACTCTGACCCCCGACAACGTCGGTGTTGATCACATCATTGAGGTCGGCGGTTCCGGCACCCTTACCCAGAGCTTCAAGTGCATCAAGTTCGAGGGAGTCATTACCATCATTGGTTTTGTTGGCGGTACCGACCCCGAGAGCCAGCCTCCCGTTCTTAGCACGCTCAACAACATTTGCACCGTACGAGGCATTTACGTTGGAAGCAAGGCTTTGATGAACGACATGGTCAAAGCGATCGAGGTGAACGACATTCACCCGGTGCTTGATGCCAAAGTATTCTCCCTAGAACAAACCAGGGAAGCCTATGAATACATGGTAAGTCCTTCCTACATTAAACCGGTATCTATCATTACATGTACTGACCTGTTGCGATGTAGTGGGCTCAGAAGCACTTCGGCAAGGTGGCCATCAAGATCGAGTAAATGGCGCAGAACATGAGTAACGACACATGCAGGAACATGGAATGCAGTTATTTATTAGTATAGACATGAATTGTGCAACCGGTAATGGTTATTAGTGTTCATGACCGTTGTTCATGTCCTTGTGTAGCCTCAGGCACCGGCCAATGAGAAACACCTCAGCCTTCCCCTCACCGCATCATTGCCACTGCAACCAACGCATCAACCATGTAGCGACCGTCTTATCCTGGTCCTTGCGAAACTCTCTGCTTCCATCCTTGCAACCACGGCAATCATCAAGTCGGTCTTGAAAGATTTTGACTCATTGGCGGCGCTCGCATTTCTCCAGATGCCGAACGCTGACATGACCTCAACCAGACCCATCTTTGGGCCCGGGTGTGATCTGCAGGCTTCGCAGGCACAAATAATTCGTCCAGCACAAACAAGCATGTTTGCTCGAGTAAACTGCTATCCCCCCTTGGGCCAAGTAACCTGTCCACAGAGAATTCAGAAGGCACTGGGATCCGGACAGGATGATACGGTAGGCTCTTGCCAGCCACGGAGCTGACCCCATAGATAGGCATTTAGTAACTTGTGCTTTAGATTCGATTCACAGTGGTTTTAGAGTCAAGCACTGCATTTCCTGAACAAACATGGGAAGTCGATATTTGGCATAACATCGCTGGGCCCGAATGGACTGCACTTTCTTTGGAAAAGCAGGATGGTCCCATTGCACCGCTTATGAATAGCAAGGAGTCGGAATACCAGTCATACCGCCATGTATTTTCTCAGGAAATCTCTCTCCCTAATACTGGTGGCCATTCTCAGTTTACCGTTCGCTTCCGCCCTGGCCCTGATGCGGACTGGCACTGGGTCAATGAGCAGCAGCATGTGGGTGACGGGGAACTGGTCTTTGCCCCGAGCGCGACTATTGAGATGTTCGAAGACTCCGGAGAGCAACTCCGCAAATACTTTGACCATCTATCCTCTGAGGTTAACATTGAGTCACGAAAAAGCGAAGCCCCAGGATCAGTCCTCTGGAAGCTTTCTGGAGAAATCGATCCCGCAAAAGATGGTACATCTAGCGTTAGGGCTCTACCTCTTGGAGCTCCATCCTCGGTCGCTCGATACTTTGCATTGGCCCGGGTATGGACTCCGTGGCTTGGGCCTCGGCATGGCCGCGACAAATTCAAATTGACTGAAGATGCAATTTTGTGTTCATTTCTTCGAACTGATGGAATCCATGTGGTTCTCTTGGCCGTTTCGGGGACATCTAACGTAACTGTACTTGAATCCGGAGAAGATGGAGAAGTGATAGTTCGGTCGCAAAGCGATTCGGCCGACTCTACGGAATTCCAGGTCCTGGCTGCCGTGGCAGATAAATTCGATGTGGCCATGAGCGCAGTGATGTACGAAGCGCGCAAAGCAGTCCGACCGTATGAAGAAGCTCAACCCTGCCAGCGTGTTCCAACACCGATCTCGCCCCCTGGCGATAGTTTCGTCATGGTTGAGAAAGACCCCGAGGTGCAATGGCTAGCAGATTGGTACGATGGCTTGACTTATTGCACTTGGAATGGGCTGGGCCAGAACCTGACCGAAGAGAAGCTGTTGGGCGCTTTGAAATCACTGAAAGACAACGGAATCAAAATCTCCAATTTGATCATCGACGACAATTGGCAAGCTTTGGATAGTGATGCCAGGCCCCAGTTTAAGCGACGATGGACGCAATTTGAGGCAAACCCGGATGCATTCCCACGTGGATTAAAGCATACAATAGAGAAGATTCGCGAGAGCCACCCCAATGTCGACCACATCGCCGTTTGGCATGCGCTTTTTGGATACTGGGGCGGGATCGCGCCAAACAGTGAATTGACTGCGAATTACAAGACCAAAGAAGTCAAAATCAAAGACCCTGCAGCCAGCGGGCCTATCGCCCATGCATTCGAAGATAAATCGCTGTTGGCCATTGACCCGGATGATATTCAGCGCTTTTACACCGAGTTCTATAGCTTCCTCTCCTCTGCTGGAGTCGACTCTGTGAAAACCGATGCCCAGTTCTTCATTGATCTTTTAGAAGACCCGAAAGACCGAAGAGAATTTGCAAGTGCATATCAGGATGCGTGGTCGATCGCCTCGCTGCGATACTTTAGTACAAGGGCGATATCGTGCATGTCTCTTTTCCCTCAGGCTATTTTCCACAACCAACTTCCAACAAACAAGCCAACCATCCCGCTGCGCAACTCCGACGACTTTTTCCCTGACATTCCAGAGTCCCATCCTTGGCATATATTCTGTAATGCTCATAACGCTCTGTTCACTCGATTCCTGAACGTTCTTCCGGACTGGGACATGTTTCAAACCAGCCATCCTTACGCATCCTTCCATGCAGCGGCTCGTTGTGTCTCCGGTGGCCCTATATATATCACGGACGAACCAGGAAACCACAACATATCGCTGATCAACGAAATGACCGCTCCAACGGTACATGGGTATACCGTGATTCTGCGCCCAAGCCTGGTGGGTCGCACAATTGACGCATTTAATGGCTACAACGAGGGCCATATCCTCCGCGTTGGCACATACACTGGCTGGGCACGAACCGGAAGCGGCATTCTGGGACTCTTCAATGTTTCCGCGACCAGCAAATCGTGTCTTGTCTCTTTGCTCGACTTCCCTGGAATCCACGAAGATTATACTGCGAAGTACATAGTCCGGTCCCACGCCCGCGGCAAAATCACAGACCCCATGACTCCAACAGACGCCAACTCCATTGTGGCAGTTAATCTTGAACAAAAGGACTGGGACATCCTGACTGCTTATCCCACTCGCACATTCACGCTCAGGGCTAATCCAGAGAGAAATATCCCGCATGACATCCAGACCGACGTCGCAGTACTCGGACTGCTTGGTAAAATGACGGGCGCCGCGGCGCTGGTTAGCTCTGACACATATGTGGAAACAAATGGCCGTCTCCGGGTGGATATTAGTTTAAAAGCACTGGGTACATTGGGAATATATTTTTCTAACTTAGGACATCGGAGCATCGCGCAGAACTTCATGGTTACGATCTTAGGAGATCCGGTCCCGCAGAAGACGGTGCAGCTGGAAAGGGGCGAAGATGCTCGCCTTTTGTCTGTCGACATTGCGGCGGCCTGGAAGGAGATGCGTTTGGAGCCTGGCTGGAGCAACGAGATTATTGTGCATGTGTTTGTGGGGTAAGATCATGTTGTCACGCACATGTTTGATATTATTTCAAGATTCGTTCGTATGCATATTTCTTCCATACATTTACGATGTCTTAAATCGGTGTATTCGATCGCCAGCCACCGCTACTCTAGAACCGGCCTCCATCCTCGTCTACCGGCAAAGCCTTCTACACCTTCGTCCTCTAAAACATCCTTCGCTGATCGCGCAGTCACAACGCTTCTCTCCACTTCAGGTCCTCGGACGTAGAAAGAACCAAATCCTACCAATTGACCTGTCTTTTTGTCCTGTTTACGAACCCACTGTTTTCGCCCAGACAGAGGGTCTAGTTTATCCATGAAGCCGGAGTTGACACGATCTAGACTGATGAACCAGCGTCTTTGATGGACCGATCCGATGGAGTTCGTGGACCCAGGGTAAGCGTTGTTCAAACGAATTTGACGATCTACACCATCTTCGGAGTCCGAGTGTGCCTGAAGAGAGGAGTCCAGCGGAGCTACGTCTTGATTCGAGTGCTGAGGTACTGGTCCGTCTCTTTCCGGCGATGAGCCTGACGATGAGGTACTCGGGGGCGGGGCACTTTTAGCATTGGAGGATATATTGCGCCTGCGACGCTTTTTAGGCGTATGGATTGGGTTCGTAATGTCCATGGCCTTTGCTAATCGTAATATGACAGTATATCCAGGCGGTAAGCGAGTACCGTGCAATCGCAGACGGATTTTGCGCTGAAAGCTTTTAGCAACTACTACTTCAAGGATGTTAGGCAAGGTAAGGTGGTGGAATACATTCTGGAATGCCTGACGGAGCTTTTCGCTCTCACTACCTTGATCTCCAGAAGCCGATAGATCAGAAGACGCGTTGGAGCGAGAGTCGTCGGTTTCAGGACCCGACGGCTCTTCATGATAAGGCAGAATTTCATACTCCCCGGTGTCCCAGATAATCATGCTCCCTGTTTTGGCGGAAGCAGTTTCTACCAGATGGTTCTACCGTAAAAATCAGCCAGGTGTCCTGATCTCTCGAACAGCACATAATCAACCAGAAACACCGATCATATGCATACCCATAAGCAATGAACCCTGGTCTCCGTGGCATTCCGATTAATCCGTCGACTATTAGGATCGCCGGGCAAGCCGTACATAACAGACCAACTTACGGAGCTCGAGCCCGAGAACTGTAGGCGAAGATCATAGTGCGGACCGGCGATGGGGTGGTCATGCTGATGGATCATGAAATGGCGTCCGTTGGCATGCTGGTTGCGATGGTACAGATCTGCCCAGTCTGGGATTTCGAGGCGGGGAGTTTGTCCATCTGTAGAACGAGCCGCTGCCCGAAGTCGCGAGGAGAAGATGGATAGATGATCCGAGACCTGTGCTTGGCCGGCCTCGATGGCGGCTAGATCGGGTCCCTGATCGGATTTCACCGTTGAAGTGGAAGAGGGTGGGAGGGTTGGTTGCTGATCTGCGGATTTCTGCGGTGATGATCGTATTCTGGGAGGAGAGACTGGAGCGTGGAGTGTAGAGAGTTTAACCTCCGCTGGTTTCTGGGGAGAGATAGACGGTGAATCTTCACGTGCATCATGGCTGCGCTTCATAGTAAAGCATGATCGACCCGATTATTTCTGGGTATAATTGCGGTGCCATCAATCGGGCGATCAATTTCGATCAGAATGACATGGAGGAGTTGAAGATGGAGGGGAATGGGATGAGTCAGCCGCTGAGATAAGATCCTCCGATCGGACTGTTTCTTCTCTTTCCTTCTCGATCTCTCTCTCTCTGATTTCTGAGTGCAATCGATCGACTCGTCTGCACTAGACTGGGAACTATTCAAAACCATATCGAGAAATTCGATGCCCCGATTAGCTTCAGGGTCTAACGCAGTTGGCGGGAGCTATTGATGGCTCAGTCCCACTAGTCGGTCGGCCAAGCTGGCTGATTTCTGGGGCACTCCACGGACTTATTCCAAATCGCCCGAATCTGCCAGGACAGCCCATTTGACATCTCGCGGATCGCGTCCCGAATAGGACATTCCTGTCATGGCCTCAGGTACGGCTGAAAGTGTTAGCCGCATGAAAGATGCATCGTTCCTGACCATTCCCCGCCGATCGATCATGAATTTGAGCTGAGATGGGTCGATCTGCTTGCATTCTGCGTGATGCCGAATTGAATCACTTCAGCCGCGATTGACAGGTCGGCATTTGCAGTCCTCTACAATGCGTCTCAGGATTCAAGCCCCTCGGCATCCGACACATCACGTAGATCTTTCCCATCTTCTGCAAAGCGAATGATCCACATGGTTAGTGATGAGAAGCCCGATTGCCAGCATGTGGATTGCAATACGAGGACAATTGGAGCTGGAACCATCTTCCGGGGAACCAGCGGATCTTTCTCGTCTTGGTTGTTGTTTTCCTGCACCCGGCCCCTTTTCGTCGGCAGATATAAAAGCCAGCCGAAACCCCAATTTTGAAAGACTGTCTTGTTTGCCGAGTACCCAATTCACCAGTTCGAATTGAAACTATTTCACTATGCGTGTCTCCGAGTCTGTCCTGTCTGTGCTGCTTGCGATCTATACAGGCCACGCCGCGGCCGAGAAGTACAATGGAACCTGTGAGGGTGACAACCCCGTGAAGCTGCGCATTGGAAATGGTGGTGCCGGTCAAAGCGGCTTAGTCAAAGGTTAGTATATCCTCCGACATAATCTATCTGGCTATGGCTCATCCAGGCTGACAATCGAATTTAGCACTGGCCGAGAGTTTCATCAAGAGCAAAACCGACGATTGCCAAAATGATCCTTTCCAAGTCGAATGGGTCAAGGGCGACACTACCGAAACGATCAACAACCTCAAGGACGGCTCAGTGGATATCGGCATCACCTACCATGAGACCGCGGAGAAGATTGCGATATCAGGTGGCATTGCTGAGGGATGCAAGTACAAGGACGAGAACAGCACCGAAGCTTGCTTTGAGAACTGCGACGACTACGTCGAGAAGCCGTGCTACACCTTCCGCGACCACTTCTACCTAACCGGACCGAAGAAAAGTTCTACCGGCATTACCGATGACGACGACATCACCGAGACCTTCTCCAAGATTTACAATTCAGCCGAGGCTGGCAATGCTCGTTTCCTCAGTCGGTTTGATAAGTCGGCTACCAACATCAAGGATTCAGAGCTCTGGATCAACATTGGACAGGTAAGATCATTGGATTCCATCGAGTGCAACGATCTCCAACTCACGCAATCAAGGTTCCCTGGGCCACCACATACTCCAAGTGGTACCATCAATACATGGACTACCCTCTCCAGGCCCTGAAGGCCGCCATCAACCTGGGCGAATATACGATCACCGACCGCGGCACCTACCTCACGCTGCAGAACCAGGAGGAAAACATTACAGATGACATCAACATTTACAAGAGTGGCGAGAACATTCCAGAGCTCCTCAACCCTGCCGATATAATCATCAGCAAGAAGGCCGAGGACAAGGACCTTGCATCTGACTTTGTCCAGTGGGTTCTTAGTGAAGACGGCCAGAAGGTCATCGTCAACTTCCACAAGGAGGATGGCTTCTGTCTGTACAAGGGCTTCCCTGTCGAAGACGGTGACGATGTCGAGCCCACCGAGTGCAAGTGGGATTTGAATGCAAGCGATGAGAGCGATGAGAGCGGTGACTTGAGTGCGGAAGCTCGCCGAAGCGTCCGTGCCATGCGATGGAGATCTTGAGGATTTCCATGAAGCAACATCAAGAATCTAGTATAATATTCCAGACTTTCTTCAACAGTACTTTTTATATAATGATTAATTAACTCAATGAAACGTTAGCCGAAGACTCGGTCTACAAATTTACTCACGAAGCAAGAATGGTACTGCCCAACATCGCCGTATCGGCGTTGTTATAGACGGATCATACTAATGGACTTCTCAAATTCGGTCAACTTATGAACAATAACCAAGAGCTTATCAGCATTCGCAAACAAAATCAGTAATCACCCGTTGGGACCCCATGGGCTGGAACATGTTGACCGTGGAACCCAAACGCCACCGGGCCATTGACATCAGCCCTGCCCACCTCCGACAGGTCATGGGCATCCAGACACAGAAGATAGCTTTTGCCCGTCCTCCCATTGAGCACCACGCTCAAAAGAACGCCATCGTCCTCGCTCGAACCGTCCGGGTCAGCCACAAATATAGGTTCACCCGGAGATTGGGCATGATGGGACCACAGCAGGGTTTGTTTCGTTTCGGCGTCGAATTTCACAATGCCGTCAAAAAAAGTCGACTTGCCTCGATTCACAATCATGTATGAGTATCGATGTTTGCGAGTAACACAAGTGGGATTTACGATCGGTAGATCTGGAGAAAGCTCTCTGCATGCGTTCCATTCCACGGTTGCCGAGTGTATCTGCGAGCTGGGGGTGGATAGAATGAGCGGGAAGCGGAATCGGGTGATCGCTCCACGATCGCGATCTTGCGTTGAGAGGACGCGCTCTTTGGCCTTGGGAGAGGTTGATACGATGTTCTCATAGAGTACCTGATGAATAAAATCTAGGTTGTCGTACGTGATAAGATCCGCCACGATATCATTTTTGGAAGAGTCGGTTGGAGAAGACTCCTCCCATGCGTTGACTGTGTGAAAGCAGAAGAACGCGCGGCTTTCATACGTTGCGACAAGGCCTTTGTCTCCTTGACGATCCACGACGTACCATGTTGCAGGCTTGGATGTATCGTATGGTAGAATCGCATCCACAAAGCTGTGTTTGACCTTGACCGGGGATATATGCGAGTTCCAGACACAGAAAAGGGCGTAGTTTTCGGTTAAGAGGAGAGAGTGAATGTAGGCAGGAACTCCTGAGAAGGTTGCAAGGATTGTGGTCTTTCCGGTGGAAGCAGATACACGGAAGATACGGTAGGTCGAAGTTTGACCAACTGTGAGATTGAAGTTGAACATGTCGCCCGTGACTGGGTCGGATCGAGCATGAGACGCAGAAAAATACCCGTCCAGATCAGGGTGCAAGCTTTTCTGTGAGACCAGACCAATTGGCTCTAGAGTCACCGGATCAAGCCTTTTGAAGCTGGTCGAGTCAGTCTTTGCATATAGAGTCCTGATGTCCGAGGAGCCAGTCCACCGGCCTCGAACCTCTCCATTCGGCTGAGTATAGGGTCCATCAAGACCCGGCATGTTGACCGACAGAGTTACCCCGATATTCTGCATTGAAGGGTCACTTGGCTCATAAGTGGTTTGAGCCTTCTGGAAAATAGTCTTGCATGGGTCTTGATTCTGCGCGAAGCTGAGCTTTTCCATCGACCCCGACCGTCGAACTTCCTCGATCAGATGGTCTGTGGAAAAGCGTGAGTTGAACAACACCCGTGCAGAGTTGGAATGGCCATCTTCAACCAGGATTTGAAATCTATGAGTCTGACTGAATCCGTCGAACCAGTGGGATACTGTAAATGTGTCTCCTTGGTCTGTATCAACAGACGACCTTCCCGGTCCTGTACGATAGAGGATACCGGCCGTGTATGCCGGAAAGCAGCCACTGACATGAAGCTCAACAGGAGTCCGCTCTTCATGGTTTGCGTCAAACTACTCGAGTCAGTGGTCGGAACTAGCAGGTGCATGAAGAGACATACCCCGATTTCATTTGGCCAGTCGTTGAAATGCTCCTGAAGACCAGTATCAACGAGTGAAGGTGTCATTTTCGTGTTTGATGAAATTGAATAATGGAAATGGCTCGAGAAGGAGAGGATGGGAAAGATAGCTAGCTGCCTATATAGACGTGGTCACCTGACAGGGTGAGCCATGCAAACGAAGTTAAGCTCTGATATGATAATCAGGAATAGGCCATGAGTTGGGGCCGATGACGAAAGGGAAAGCAATGGATCTGGTCAAGGCTAGGAGGGACAGCAGTACGAATTAATACTTCAGCTCCCCACGTGCTGTGGAGGGTGGCAAGCGTAGCTCTTGATCGATGATAGGGCCATTGTATCCCTGTCGGCAAGCCCCGTTAAGAGGTTAGCATGGGTCGACTATTGAGGATTCCTGTTGGTTGAGTCCTAGTCTCTGGCTACGGAACAGGAGGCTGGTAGCCGAGCTGTTCGTTTGCGCCACTTCCAATAGAGTTGCCTGAAACCTCCGGGCCTGGTTTTGATACGAGCTTTCTTTGTTGTGAGCGAAATGGACATGGCCTAGCCTTGCAGTCTCGCTTAAACCCGGTACGCTGCTTGTTTGTCTCGCATGTGGCACTCCACGCCAGGGTTGTCTCCATACTCGGTTGAGCTCCACACAGCTGTCATATGCGTGGTGCTATTTGTTCTCATCCAACGGCATTGGTGGATTCCAGGCTAACTCTTTTGTGGGAGGAACACCAATGATGGCTCAGGGACTCTCTTGCCAGACGGAGATTAGTATGCAGCTGAGCTATGCACGTTGCAGTGCAGTACAGAGGGATTTCGAATCCTATTGATATGATCACCAAGATCCTCTATTGACACCTCAGCTCATAGTCCTAGAGATCTAAACGGAATGATTATAATACCAAGTGATGACATTTGAAATGATCATACCACTGGCATATTCCTTGGTTTCACGAATAGGAATTTGTCGGAGATTGGCTTCGGAGCAACAAGCGCATTGCCATGAGAGAACTAGTAAACCAATGATCCTTGAACCCTCTGTTACACTGCATCCGATCGGAGACGAGATGTGGACATCCTGGTTGATCTCCAAACGGGCTGTCGGGGAATTGCAGGTCGCTCGGAGGTGGGCGGAGCAAGAATCGGAGATGTGAGAAGATCCGTCGGTCGGCCATTGGAATCAACCTTTCTGGGTCATCTGATATCTTTCGATAAACAATGGCGACGAAATTGTGAATTAATGTCTTTCGGTCTAGCAGTCTAGATTGCTTGTACTTGATCAATGATGATACCAGCTAGTATGGTCCAATCCAAAAGTACGTTGTAGTCGCCTCTATGTACTATTTCAAGTCACGGCATTCTACCAAGGACTCAGCCATTACAAAAGACGTTCCACCAATGCCCTGAGTTCAGCCTCGTCCATCTGCCTCACGCCTAGCAGTTCATTATCCAAGTGGGCCGAAAAGTCACATCCGTATTCAGGACTCCACGAGGCCAGAATACAGAACCCGAGCATTGCCGCATCAATGTCTGCCTGCGCGCCTTTCGCTAATTCGGCGAAGCTTTCCTGCTTGACTTCGTCGGTACTTTTCACAGCGGTCTGCCAGGCCTTTCCGTCCTTTTTTTCAGCATACTGAATCAGTCTATTCTGGGTGACCACAGCAGAATGGATGTAGACAATCCGATTCGCAGTCTCGGCCTGATGTTGAATGACCCCCAAAACCCCCTTGGCAACGTCCGCCAAAGTGGTAGCACTGAAAGGCACATCGCCGCCATTATATAAAGTCGCAGTATGATGTGTCAGATCTAGAATGATTTTATTCTCCAAGCACCAGTCCAGGAATAATCCGTTGGCTATCCCCGTGAATGTGAACTCCGGATTGGAAGTTGACTTGTCCAGGAGGTATTTCTGCGTCGCAGCTTTCGGAGCACAAACGGGGAGTTGCACGCTGAGAGGGTTTTGCGAATCCATGCCAAATTCTGCCGGGATGAATCGCTTGACGCCCGCTTCAACTGATGCGTCGATCAAGGGATTCTGGCTGCCAATGGCTAACGTGGCGAGGCATGAAATGACAACATGGACCCCTCGCAATGCAGGAGTCAGGGACTGGACGGAGCTAAAGTCAACCTCTTTGATGACAAGGCTTGGGTGCGGTTTCAGTTTTGATGAATTTCCGCCTATGCGTGAAAGGACTGTAACGTTGTAGCCTGTTCCAAGGAGAGCTTCGAGAATAGGGCGACCGAGATTGCCTGTAGCACCTGCTAGTGCGATCTGAACCGAGGCCATATTGTGTTGGAATTGGAATAATTCTCTCGTGAACTGTTTATAGATATTGAACGAGTTAGGGTTGATGCAAAAAGAAGAAGGATTCTCTCATACCCATTTAGATATGATAGATGGTAAAGAGCTGCGAGAGACGGATGGTTCCTTAGGATTTATACTGGATCGAGAGTCTCTTGATCGTTCGGAATCTCGTTGATAATCATTAGTGAGCATCCTTTTCATTTGTAAGCATCCTGCATGACTTCGTCGGCATTTTCTCAGTGATTAACTCGGAGTTTAGTTTCTTGATACTCCACCGGGTTGTTGAAGGTTGACTTCCTGCCCGCGACTTTCTTCTCTATAAGTCTTGATCAATCTTCCCCGCAGCAGAACCATCAACATCAATTGTTTTTATGTGCAGGCGCCTTGCCCCCTGAATTGATATACGATAATAAAAATAATGAATTGCTAGCACACCGAATACCTATCAATTGCCGAAGAACCCCCGACAGCTCAATCAATGCCACAGTTCACCACTGATCGCTTTCGCTGAAAACCACTTCTGACAAATTTCTCTTTCATATCCTCTTTGGTCTCCAGGTGCACCAAGACGCAGAATATCCACCACGATGCCTCCTCGCTCCTCCGAGCCTTTACTTTCTCCCTTGTCAGCTTGGACGGCCAGTAGACGCCCCAGAAATGTCTGCGTCATATCCCCTTCGGGAACCGGATACTCTGCGTCTGCAAGAACAACCCGTCGCAGAGACCCGAAGTTCCACGCATGAAGCAGATGCTTCTCCTTTTCCTCCAGTTGATGGACCAGTCCGTCTGGGCGGATGACAGCCAAATGCGTCAGGGTTTGGCAGCGCTGTGCGTCCTGAAAAAAGCTCCACCAGGACAGGTCGACGTCATACAGAGCTAGACGTCGCAGACGTGGCCAGAATGACCAGACAGAAGGCTCCACGAGGCCTTCGGTTATTCCGAGATACAGCTCATCCTGAATAGAGATGAATTCTTCCAATGCTGTGAGGCGTTCGAATGCCGTGCGGAGGAGCGGTCGCACATGAAGCTCGTCATCCTCTGGGTATAAGAAGCGCAGCGGTATGTCAATCACAAGGCGGGTTAAATAAGGACAGATCTGTGAAAAGAGCAGATCGATCTGGCCGGCGATATCCAGATGGTCCAGGTCCTCTTCCGGGAAAGGAGCCAGGAAGAGTCCGTGCGGAGAAGACAAGCCATCGCGAGCGATACTACCGAGTATGGCTTCCAAACGAGCACGAGAGTCGATGTAAAGACAATGTTTCAGCAGGAGCCGCTGCGCTGTGGTGCGCGTAAGCTTGCATACCAACGCCCAGCTGAGCAAGGTCTGGGTGACTGGGTCTGACTGCGAATATGCCACGGGAGATTTTTCCGAGGGAATGAGGCAGTCGATAATATGGAGAAGCAATTCCGGAGGCAGTCTCATTCTGGCAGGAAGGTGAAACATGGCAAGTTGAAGGAATGACTGCGACGGAGATGGGTTGGGTTAAATGGTGGAGATCCAACTGATTGTGGCACCCTCATTGGTAGGTCGCGTTGATGTAGGGGCTATTGGGGAATAGCGCTTATGACTCTGCGATCATCATTCTTATCGATATTTATCAACACTAATTACTGTTAAGATCAATTCAGAGCAGGAACTAATACTATGAATTGTTCCCAGTCACCGCTCCCCAAATATACGCCACCCAGCTACCCACTGTGACCGATAGCAAAAGACTGAAGCAGGACACCGAAATCCACTTGCTGCGTGAATAATTAGTCACTAGATGCTTTTCTCGAATTGCTGCGATGATCTCCGGACCCAGAGTTAATCGTTGTTTTCTGGTCCATTGCAAGGGGGCCAGGTTGTTGCTCGTCACAGCCCCGATCAAGATGGCTATACCAACAATAACGGCACAAACGGCCAGAAAGAGATAAACCCGGACGACTCGATCGTACGAATCGTTATCGGCATCTTGCAGAGCACCGGTGATAATTCGGATGATAATGCTCACACTGTTATTGTAGTCAGTGATCGATGATTTCTTTGAAAAGTCGCAGGCAAAACATACGCATTATTCATGGTCACCTTGAGGGCGTACGCCGACCCAAAGACAGACTGGTGCCATAGAGTGGTGCGAATGCTATCAATGATCGAAGTCGGGCCTAGGGACATGGCGATGGCAAAAATTCCGAATGATGCGGCGGTGCCAGATTTGGTGGCCGCGAAGTTGACTAGAATCATGCTCAGGAACATGCCGATGCCACACACACATACTGACAAAATTAATCGCTCTGCACATAGTAGATGATTCTCAACAAGGGAACTTACAAACACTCGCTCTGTTTCCGAAGACATCGATGAAAATGCCCAGACACGGAACCAAAAAGAAGCCTACCAAGATATCAGAATAATTCAAGAAACGTGCGCGCAAGTGAAAGCGACTCACCAGCATATTGAGACAAAGAGCTATACCAGCCCGCCTTGATCGAATCAACGTTGAAGCGTTTTTCAGCCAGCTCCGTCGAATTTTGAGTGAACACAGAGGCAGTACTGGTCTGAAACAGAGAGAAAGCCAGGACCGACCAAAACATCCACGGGAGTTGGAACATTTTCTGCAGCTCAAACTTCTTATTCTTCTCCGTCAGAGTCTCTTTGGTTGCTGCATCTTGTCTGCCTTTGTAATGCTGGTTACAGTAGCGGTTGAAAACCCAGAAAACGAAGGTAGCGGCATTGGTGAAAACGTTCATAAAGACCGATGTCCAGAAGACCCAGGCAAAGTTGCCAGTGTTCTAATTCGTCAGTTTTTATCGACTAAATTTCACAGAGATTGCGTACCTTTGCAATGACATTGGCCGTTGACTTTCCGACAAAACCACCGATCTGTATCCTAAAGTCAGATAGATTCCCACTTCGTGAATCGGTTGAGGGAAATACCTTTCCAATGGCCAGTTCGAATCCTAAGGTGGATGCAAATCCATTGCTGGGGGGGAACCATGACGAAAACATTTTGTATTGGGCAATCTGGGTGGCGATATCTCCGAAGGCCAGGATAATTCGACCGCCGATCATGAATTTGAAAGACCGAACGGTTGTTGCTGCTGCGACTAGGATGGACCCGATAGTATAGACAATGTTTCCGTACACGATCATTCCTGTTTTCACACTCTTCATTAGCGGACGAATCTATTATCGCGGGACAAAATCAATGGTACTCACCAGCTCCTCCCACGCGATCCGTGATGATACCGCTGGCCAACAGAAGCAGGGTAGCCATAAAGTCTTCACTTGCCTCGAGCAGAGAGAACTGGGTATTTGAGATGTGCATTTGCTGGGTTCGGTTAGTTCAACTCATCGCAGTGGCAGGCATCGTAATCCAATGACCCGTACCTTCTTAATTGTGCTTTTCATTGCGCCCGTTACTCCCGAACTCCAACGAGACCCAAAACTGATGCAAGAAATAAGGAACACAGCAAACAGCTTCGCCCAAAGAGGGGGCGGGCGCTTTCCAGCATCTTCGTCAGACTCTGGCTCCTGCGAGGGGACTGAGACAACAGGTTCTTTGGTTTCCAAAGCAGCTTTTTCCGACTCCATGGTGACTATCCACACTGTGAAGGAGGAACTTTGGCTCTCGGATTTGCGTAGAGACGATCAACAAAAATACAACTCGACATGGCGGGCACCGGGCAGCTAAAATATCCACGAAAATCCTGCCAACAAAAGAGCTAAGAAGCCAAGACCAGTTAAGGTGCGGATCCGGGCAAGGTCCGTTGGGAAAAACCCAGAATCAGATAAGATTGAACGATTTAAGCAGACGGCGACTCCGCAGACCACCTGGAAATATGTCGGCGAAACTGTGAGTGGGGGTTTGACCGCACGGGCGGTCATCATTGGTCCGAGTTCCTGGCGCTAGTTCGAGATTATCTACACTTTACTCTTTATAGTTGTGATTGATAAGATCCGGAGACTGTCCGAAATCCCTTGTCCTTGGCCTTCCCCTCCGAGTAGTGTTGTCCGATTGTCTCCGATGTCGACGGCCGATGCAGCCCACTTTGAAAAAAGAGTGATGTCTAGCCACGTGGATATGGATCTTCCGATGGGCTTTGTACGTGAGTCCGGACTCCGTACTCCGAGCGGTAACCTTTTAGAGTGTTCCGTTGAGTTTTATATCCGCAAGTGAGTTGGTTCTTAACCTATTTTATTGACCGAAATATGGTCCTACACAGGGTCGATTCCCCATATAAATATGGTAAGGTCTTCTCAACTCTTCAGTATATAGTTAAAGTGTCATAACCCGACCATCATAGCAAAGGACACCTGAAGAATGCATGAGGTAATTTCGCAGTTGAGTATCTTGCAGTCATAGAATATTCTTCTCAGCACATCTCATTGAAGACTAAAATTTTCATCTAATGACGTAGTTTACATTTGCACTCTTTTCCATCAAGTAAGTACTACACGGGTTCTTGTTGAATTTTCGAACACTTTTCTGCATCAGGTTTGAGACCCTCCACTCAGCGGGTCAAATAATATTGACCCACTCGGACTTTAAAATGCTAGCGATAACTGGAAGTTTCGACCGATGTCGTTATTTTTGATCAAGTTAACTAGTTTTGCTTTGTTGAATAAGGTAATCTATAAGCGTACTTGGTGTTTTATATCCGAGATGTTGAATGCGAATTTATTTTGATGGGGATTACTTTTGGTAGTCGCAATTCCCCGAGACCGTCCAGCTTCCATGACTGACCCATACGCTATTATCACTTTTTCTCTTTTCTGGTAAGTTAGGTCTTCGTGGTTTTAGAGAGAAATCAAACTACGAAAGTAGCGATACATGTTCTATAAGATAAAATTTGGGTCATGAATTAGAAGGGAAATTGATCTTTAGCAGATATTGATGAAGTAGATAAATATTATTTTGTTCTTATAGTCTCACCATTTCTTTTCTTTCGCTTATAGTAATAAGCCTTTCCTGAGTGTCGACCTGCAGTCTTCCAAGTACGGACTACGGAATAGCTATTTCTCCCTCCCTGTCTAGGCTGCCGTCCTCAATGGTTGCCTTCCGCCAGGCAGATAAATACACCTCGTCGGCTTCACTCACCGCAACATGGTAATGCATCATCATCATGTTGCGAGATTTGCCCGAGGAGATTTTGATCCTTGTATTTGATTTGCTGATTGAGAGAGGAAACCCTATAATAGACCAGCTCGATAATTTGAAGCATATCTCTAACGCCCGCCTAGTTTGCCGATTATGGAACACCCTAGCCACGGAGCATATGTTCAAAACTGTGAGACTGATGTTTACCGATGGAGAATACAAAGCCTGGAACGAGATGCTTGACAGCGAAGTCATCAAGCAGACTGCCAGAGGTGTTTATATTCATCCTGCGTCGGCCGATGATCATCCCGATGACATCTGGAACGCATATTCAGAATGCCATTATGACAACCTCATCCGTGCGATCAGCCGAATTACTGAGCTCGACCACATTACGGCGCTACATTTACGGTTTTCCAGACACTGTGTTGGAGCTAATTATCAGTCCTTACGTGACGAGGTTGTCGAAGATATCAGGAAACGCCAGGAAATCCTGGAAGCCGTCTTCCAGGCGATCCAGAGGCGCTCAAATGGTAGCAATGGCGAAAGTCCTATCCGCTCATTGACAATCCAAAACCTCCAGAATGCCCCTTTTTCACAGTTCACTCGCTCCGAGCTCTTCCAGGACGTCACTAGGGACATTGATGCTCTGCATCTTATGGTAGCTGACGAGCTTGACGAAGATGGATCCGTTGAAGACATGGACGGTATTGAACGCCGAACCTTTGAGTCGTTCCTGCATCACCAGTGGCTGGTCCCTCTATCCAATCACCTGGTCAGCCTGACACTCTCGTTCCGGTCTCCTTGGGGAACTATACCTGGCTATTTCGACGGGAGAGGTCTCCACTTCCCAAGACTTAGGACGCTTACTCTTGGCAACTTTGTTATCGGGCATCATGATCAGTTTGACTGGATCTTGAACCAGTCCTCGCTCGTGTCGCTCTGTCTAGACAATTGTTCGATTTTGTCATACATGACAACGTTCGGAGAAAGCCTTGAGGAATTGCACGTCCAGGCGCATGACTGGGTTCAGTATCCTTCGAGCTCCTTTGGCATTGATGACAACGTCGCGATATATGGCTTCTCTGGGACATGGGAGGTTGTTTTTGACAACATTCGTACTAGCCTGCGCGAGCTCCGTACATTCCGCTTCCATTATTACCGTGACTCTGAATTCCCAGTGGTCCCGGAGATGCAATCTTCCTACTTAGACAACACACGATACGCCCTGTATGGTTATTACGGCTGGAATCATGCGGATGGAAGGAAGGATCTGGTAGTCAGCTGTTGTCAGTCTATACATCCTGATGCTGTTAATCGATCCGAAGAGACAGAGGAGGGAGACGGCCGAGCGTTGGAAGCCCTTGTTCAGGAAGTTAGAAAGCGGGTAGATTAAGGCGCGGTGCATTTGAGTCTCTGCGCGGCTCGTGGTCTATCGGTTCATAGAAATATGCAGCTTTGCTATGGGAAGAGAACTTGCTAGATTGAACATCCGAATCTTCAGAGCGTAGCTTTGTTTAGAGTTTATAGTTTTTCTTTTATAGAACGCGTGAATCTTGTGCGGTTCAGAACGAGAATCGTTATCAGATCCAGCCAAAAAGCAGCAGCCTAATCAGATTGGGCCAAACCAGCCCTCTGCGCCTAACCTGGACCCACCCCGAATTGGCATGATCTCATATCCCTTTTCCTCCCCAGCTCAATGGACGATCTTAACATTCCAAGACTAGGGAATATTGAGTATGTCTCATCCCCGTCAGCCCTAGAGAAAAAGCACATCCAACAACTGTATGGAGTCCCACGGGGTTCATGAAGAGTCAACGGGATGGCTCTGGGACCCAGGGACTGCTTTTTTTGTGGCATAGATTTTTGGTCATACGGACAGCGCTCTCTGAGTTGTTCAATGAGTCAGTCGACGGGAATTAGAGAAATGTACTCTATAATACTTAGGTCGATAATTGGTTATTTAAAGCAAAGAGCTACTTGTCCATGTCTGTACTTCGACTTCCTCTATCAGGTAAACCAGCCCCGGGTTGAAATAGAGACCGGACATTGAGAAAGCTCGACACATATTGGCTTTCTCTAAATCGCAGAACAGTAACACTGGCATTAATCTAATCTTTCTGGACGTTGGTATCAGGATGATCTTTTGCTTGATTCTTCAGGTCCTTCAGAGCATTCATGTGGAGACATTTGTCAGCCTTTCGTCTCTAGGTTAGTATTTTATGGTTTCAACCCCCATTTCCTCTATATCGCATGAGTATGATGTCAGCGGACAGGTATAAGCATTTTCTCGTGTACATTGGTTTGCATGGTGACCTATGGTGCATTGGCCATCAAGATTGCGCTCTAGCAGAGATAGTTTTGACACCTTTCCGTCTTGGAGTTAAATTCCAGGAATCGCAAAGCCAGGCTGTACCTATCCAAGGCCCTTCCCGCGCCGGGCATGAAACACTGCTCAATACCGTTCAGATCGAATCGGCGGCATCAGCTGATGCTGTCATGTGGTCTTCGAGCAACATAAACCCCCCCTCTTTTCCTCGGTTCCCCGTCCTTCCATTCTCTTGCTACAACTCGTAATGGACTCGGTAATTGCGACACCAAAATTATCTGATTATATATTTCATTTCCATCACCATCATCCATCATAACGACAGCGTTGTTATCAACAATTCATTCCCAGGCACTGTATCCCACGCCCCAGCAATCCAAGAACGCTTCACAGCCATCAAACATTTCCCACCCATCTCATCTCAATCTAACAGCTAGGCCCATCCGCCGTAGTATAAGTACACCCGGGATCAGGCTGGTTGAACGGCATGGGATACGTATCCTGATTATTCTTGAACACCAGGGTATTAGCCTCCAACGGCACGGGAGGACCCAGCGGCGAAGCTCCACTGTCGTATTTGAACATGACGTGGCCGGAGTCGCAGACCGAGACGTCGGTTTTGCCATTATCTGCATCCGAGGAGGAAAGTTAGTGTCTGGACTACTGTGTTGCTTTCGCATGAAGTGGGTGGGAGGATAAAGCAGGATAGGGAGGTAGTCGAGGGGTGAGTTCTCGCAGCATACCGGTGCAGTGCATGCCATCCCAATCTCCGATGGGCTCGGAGGATCGGCCATTGCAGCCGAGCAGGTCGGTGAATTCAGCCCAGCAGGCGTTATCGGCCATCACGAGGGCGACTTTGCCGGAGTCTTGAGCGACGACGGCGGTGGCGGCGGCCACGAGGGCGGGAAGGAGAGCTTGGAGACGCATGGTTGTGGAGTGGGAGTTTGTGCTTGAGGCCTTTCAGAGAAGCTGAAAGATCTTCGAAAGAACGGGAGATTGGTTCCCCGTATATAGGACGGTGTGGGGAAATTCAAGAGCGTTAGTGACTGGGGAAGGATGGGCAGTGCTGCGGATCAAGAATGGATCGGATTGCGGGTGACATGATGCTCTGGAGAATCGATGCGACGGAGTGTAGTGCGGTTCCGCCTGCTATCCACGTAGTTAATTTGGACTGGTAGGGCGTATAGAGTACGAGAGGCAATTTGGCCCCAAAGCTGGGGGCGAGAACATTAGGCCGCTGGATCTGCGAAGGGTTGTTCAGGAAGTGTGGGCGACTGGAGAATAAGGATGTGCAGGAAGAGGCCGAGACCGAATCATAGCTCATCATGGGGAAATAGTCTCGGCCTAAATAGTCTAATACTTGTTGGGCTTCCTACGTTGGTTACACTAGACGTTGCATTCGAGCCCCAGGTGCTACTAAAGAAATGCGTTGGCGCTATACAACCGCAGTGGATCCGGCTGTTGGGGTCGAAAACTAAATTGGCGTCCTCCTTATTTTACTTTAATCCCGCATGAAGCTTGGCCTCCCTCGTGATGGGGTTGGGCAGTCTTCATTCTATCTTGATTCTGGGGAGTAGTCCTCGGTACTTGAGCTTGATGAGATCACTTGCTGGTGGTTCGTTTTCTTTTTCTTTCATACTTTCCTTCTTTTTAACTTTTCTTTTTCTTTTTCTTTATTTTTTTAAGATCTGGGTCCAGGGACCCAATTTATTAAAAAAAAAGTAGAATTAAATGGCAGCGAGAGTAAAATCGAGACAATGATAATACAAGTATACACAAATGACAGCCCCCCATCCTCATGCTCTTCCACGCACACTCTGCGGGTTATGAAACACATCTTTCGGATCAACCGCCGCCTTGATCCTTTCCAATCGGGGTAGATTCTCTCCCCAGTACGCACGCTGAGGGTCCGGCAGTTCCGGGTCCACGAATCCCGGATATACTGGCAAATCAGCCACAGGCTTTCCCAAAACCCGGGAGGTGGTGTTCATCAACCCATCGAGGAAGTCGTGGGGAGTCTGAGTGACAGGCAGCACCAAGGTACTAGCCAGACTTTCCATCCAGAAGAGGATATCTCGATGTGGATACGCGGTAGCATCCCTGGGAGTCTGACTGATGGCGGCCCCGGACTGGAGAAAAGTGACGAACCAGAGCGGGGTACCCTTGTTGGCAGTATCTAGATACTCGAATAGCTCGTCGATTCCGGATGATGAGAGAAGTGTGTCGCGCGTGAATCCGGTTCCTCTGTCCACAAAGCTCATGGGAATGTTGTTACCAACGTTTACCACCAGATCCTGGAACGCGTCGCCAACTATCCCTAACCAGTCGGTCAAAACAACCACGTTCCCCGGGTTCTGGATTGGGAAGCGATCCTCGAGACCAAAGGCTTCATATTCGGCCTTGGACCCAAAGAACACGCCAGTCAGAAGAATGGATTCCGGAAGCACCGTCAGCGTGGAATAAAGCTTGGGAGTCAAGTCCGGGTCCGAGATTAAGGCCTGCCAGTCTTTGAACAGCTGCGCCTTTTCGGCGGTACTACCAAGATTGAAGGCGTAGGAATACTGGACAGCACGGTCTGGCGCTAGTTCTGTGCGCACTTTAAACTCGGTGATGATACCGAAGCTGGCGGCGGCGCCTCTCACAGCGAAGAACAGATCCGCATTCTCGGTCTCTGAAGCCCGCACGATGCGAGAATCTGCCAACACCATTTCTACCTCGAGAATATGGTCCACAGCGAGTCCCCATTGTCGTGCCGTAGGCCCGCTTCCCCCAATAGTAAAGTGTCCGCCGGCTCCCAAGTCCGGGCACACTCCATGCGACATGGCACGGCCACCAGCGTTGTACAGTCGGGCATCGACGTCCCGAAGACGTGTACCAGCGCCAATGGTTGCGACATGGGTGTACTCATCCATGGCAAACTGTTGAAAATGCTTGACGTCGACGACCACGGCACCATCATTCCCTCCTAGGCCTACACCTCATTAGTAAATGAACAACTGCGTCACGGTCATCGTTGCAGGGACACCGACGAACCGAAATTGGCATAGTTGTGTCCGCCACTCCGGCCTTGGACCTTGCAGTCGTACTTATCGGCACATTTCACGATGGCAGCAACCTGCTCTGACGTCTCGGGGTACGTGACCGCTGCCGGAGTAACGGGATAGTTGAGATTGTAGGGGTGCACTGCCGTGGCTTGGTATAGCGGATCATCTGGGAAGGCCACAAGAGCCCTGTTGCCGCCGACGGCAGACAGAAGACATTCTCTTCCAGCGACGCTGGTCGTGTTTCCCATTTCTATCCACGGAATGGGGGTTGTTGGAGAGTACTATGCCTACAAAGGTCGGCATACTGCAGCGCATTCCTAGGAAAAAATATGTTGACTCAAGCGCTGTACGGGGCGATCATCAGGGGTATTAGGGGCCGGTATAGATCATATCGGAAGATAGGTCACACTGATCTGCGGCGTATAAGGCCAGCCACCGATTGAAAATAATGCCAGAATGGATCTGCAGCCTGGCAACTGCCTTAGGCATCGGGTACGAACAGTTCCGAGCTCGAACTGTATTATAACCGGAGATATGTTAAGTTACGGAAGGACAGGACGTTCATTGGCCAGAGTGGCAGTTCCCCGGTAATATCGCGGTATTCGGACAGGGTCCCGACCGAAGCGTTCTCGAAGGACTGGCGCAGTAGTTCGATCGCCGGTCCTCAGGGCAATCCCTCGGCACTCTGGTGTAACATTGGATGAATCAGGATTATCGGGCACTACTTCAGCGTCAGTCTTATGCGGATAGGAAGTTTTCTCTCGGCGAAGTGTTGCAGTGCACATCCACCTCGGTGAGCGGGTCTCATTCCCACTTTCGGGGACCAGGATGAGGATCACGAACCATGCAGGGATTCAGACGCAGGGTCCGAGAGAGCGCTATCGCGGTCTGAATCTGAGGATGGAGATTGATACAGGTCTGGTAGCACATCCTCCCAAGTAGACGAAGACACACCCCCCGCAATGTGTCTTTCGCGGAGCAGGACACGAATCCTCCAAAGGATCTCCGTTTCACGGGACGCCCAAACTCTGCTGGCTCGGGGACCATCTGGTCTTGACGCAATGGCAACGGCTGCCCTGGTCGCCGACCACAGAATCTGCTGATTCTCCCCGGTCATCCGGTCGGGATTCACCCTCTCGCCAGCCATCTACGTACTGGTCTTGTTGTTACTCATGGATACAACCACGGAGGTCGAGCAGAGGCAACTGCAGTTCAATTGAATTCATTGACAAGGGAATAGGGTTGGCATTTCACGCGTCAATGTTTACTCCCGTTCACACCTCCTTGGGAGCCCTGTTGCTCTTCCAAGGGTCAACCGGTCTCCTGGTTCACAATGGTGCCGTCTTTGGCATCTCCTCCCTGCTGTCCGGGTGTGTTTTCAATCCGAGTCGAGACAATGTGCCGATCATCGCGGGTCTGGTGTCCAGCGTGGTGCCCGTTCTGTTCTTCAGTCCTTCATTGATCCCATCATATCCGTCGACACCGAGCTCGTGGACGTCACTGGTTTCCACGCTGGGAACCGGGTTTTTGCTGGGATGGGGAACAAAGGTGAGATTGAACAACCCGCTGTTGAATTGGCAGACGTCTAACAAATAGATCATATAGAATGGAAGGGGTTGCACGTCAGGCCACATGCTTTGTGGCTTGTCTCGTCTGTCGCCGCGCTCCCTGATCGCAACCGTCATATTTTTCACCACCGCTCTCCTCACGTCCAACCTGGCTTCTGGAGGCCAGAACATTCCTGCTTGCGCCGATGGAATGCCATGCTACCTGCCTGTATACCCCACGGTCTCGGAGCTTGTCTTCATGGCTAGCACAGTCGTACTCACGTCCATTGCCAACATGTTCGTCGTGCCGAAATTATTGCATCGCTCAGAAATATCCAAGTCGATGTTCGCATACTTGGCCGGTCTGCAGTTTGGCATGGGCCTGTTCTTCTCGGGAATGGCAGATCCGGCCAAGGTTCTGCGCTTTTTCGCTTTCGTGACTGATCCTTCTCGATTTGACCCTTCGTTGGCTCTCGTTGTTCTCCTTGGAATCGGTCCGTCCGTCGTGGTTCACCAGTTGGTTAAACCTGGTCAGAAATTGGATAAAAATACAGATAAGCCTGCCAGGCCTACCCTAGCGGAGACTTGGCGTCTTCCCACCGCCACCGTCTCAGACATTGATTGGCGCTTTGTCACTGGTGCGGCGGCTTTTGGGTTAGCTTGGGGGCTACGAGGAGTGTGTCCAGGGCCGGCAATCCTGCGCTCAATATTGCAGCCAGTCTGGGGCCTTGCCGAGATGACTGGGTATATGCTAGGGAATCTAGTGTAGACATCGAATTTGATTCTGCCAGGAATGTGTCCCTTGCTCCACATTAAAGGAGACATGGAATGTGTTGACGGGACAAACCCGATAAAAGCCATTCAAAAGCTGTACAGACAAGCCAAAGTCAGCGCCACTCAGAAGCAGCCTTGGGTTATAATGGAACATATGCAACAAATTTTGTACATAGAAATAACCAGGAATGGAATTGACGGTATAGAGCGTGAATGCGGGTAGAGCTTACAACTCGGTTTTATCCCAGGTTGGCTCCTTCTTGGGTGCCGATCGTTTATTTTTGGTTTGTGTCGGCATGAAGCCCTCCAGCTCCATCCACTCGGCAGCGAACGCAGTCACGAGCATACTCCAATCCTCGACGGTGTTGCCATCCAAGTGCTCGCCGTCGTCCGGCACCCCCCGGTGGTTGTGCCATACCTCGGGGAATCCGGTGGCGGGATGTGCATCAATCACGTGTAAGATCTCCACGCCGCGGGCCATGAAGGGAATATGGTCGTCCTGTATAGAAAGCCAAGGGCTGACTTCATGCTCATTCTTTGAATCGTGTATAAACCATGCGCCTTCGGGGGAATCCTGCGGGGCGGATTTGAACTGTTTGAGATCCCGGAAACGGCGTTCAAGGGCCGCCAACTTCTTATATGCCCAATGGGTCGTGCCGAAGAACGATTGGATGGTCGGACCTTTGGCACCTAGCAGATCCAAAAGCACAAATAGGGATATCGAAGATAATGGAGATTTGAACGTTGACATGGCCGGATGAACTTCTGAGTCCCATTCTTGCGCCAAGGAGCGAGCACCGTAGAGCGAATCGGTGTCGGTCCATGCCTTGAACGCCTCCTCGCCATCCAGGAAGATGATCTGGATGCCCTTCTGTTCTTCCAGCGACGCGTGGGTCCGGCCCTCTGCTTTCATCGCCTTCCACTTCTCCGTCAAACCCGTATCGATACTGCGCATGGTATGCATCAACATAGCGCAAGGGGCTGCGCTATCAATGGCCCCGATAAATCCCTCCGGCTCGTATTTACTGTCATAATGCGCAACCAGTGTCAACCTTCCCACATCTCCCTTCTTTGCCCACGGGGGGTCGCGAGACGCGATGAAATTGGTGAATGGAACTTCTTTCCCGTTCGACACAGGGGTTGTATAGGTTGAGTTTTGGAGCTGAATGTTCCAGTCGGGGAGCGATGTTCGGACGAAGTTCGCGAAGTGATTGAGGACAGCAGCGGAACCCTCGGTGCCGGAAACACGGGGCCTCAGGATGGGGGACAATAGCGCTCCGTGGTTGATATCGAAGTCATCGTTCGGTCGGGGAAGGGATCGCAAGGTGTTGTCGGATATATCTTGGTAGGAGCTTCCCAGTTGAAGCAGGAAGAGCAATGCGACGTAGAGAGAGAGCAATGGGGATGACAGGCGGTGAGTTGACATGATGAATGGCGCTCGTGTTGTCACCACCTCAACCTTGGTGACGGTCCGGAGGGATGGCTCCTCGTTGCTCGTCAAGGAGAATTAGAGGCACAGCAAAGATGGCATCAAGATGCTAAGCATCAGCGATGTCGTCGGAAGATACGGCCAGTGGCCCTTAATTAATGGCAGGGGCCAAGTGCCAAGCCCGGTCACGTTTCCCCTGCATACGGAGTTCCCGTTCAGGACTAGCGCCGTTGGGTCGTCCTTCTTTGTGCAGGAATTATTGTCTTTATTGTGACATGCCTCCTCTTATTGACCTTATTGAAAGATCTTGCGCCATTTACAAACACCTTGATACTAGCCAAAAGGAAGCTTTCCAGATAAGAGACACCAGTTGATTATCGTCTACATATGTCCCATTTGCGGGAAATGTTCCAACGCCATCCTCCGTCGATAATCGTGAGCCCATGGCAATGCAGCACATCTATTCCAGCTTCAGTTCATCAAGAGGCCGGCCCTCAGGCACAATAGGCACCATTTCAGTCTCAGTAATCGACACCTCCAGCACGGCCGGGCCCTGGCACTGTAGCAGCCAGTGAACAAACTTCGAGAGGTCCTGCCCGGGTATATATTTTGCTCCCTGACATTCCATGCTACGGGCCAAAGTCACGAAGTCCGGATTGCTCTGTCTATTATGACATTCTCTTCCCCCATAGCCTGAATGCTGCAGCTGTGTGATCATCGCCTGCTGGCTATTGTTGAAAATCACGACCTTGACGGCGACGCCATGCTGCGACGCGGTAAGCAGCTCCTCCATGGTCATACAGAAAGAGGCGTCGCCATCAATATCAATCACCTCACAGTCAGGCCGGGCAATCTTGGCTCCGATGGCAGCGGGAAGTCCAAATCCCATTGTTCCTAAGCCCCCGGAGGTGATAAATGGACAGGCAGGTTGCCACTTGTAGTATTTGGCGGCCCACATTTGGTGCTGACCGACCCCGGAAGATAATAGGACGTTTGGATTCAAATAGGAGGTCTGTCGATTCAATTCGGCGATTACTTGTTGTGGGAGGGAAGCGAAGGAATGGCGTGTGGGAGCCATTGGAAGATGACGTTTAACCGTGTGCTCCGCCTTCCACTCATTGATCTGGTCGAGCCAGGTCTGCCTCTGTGGACTGGATTCCAGATCGGGAATGAGCAATGGAAGGGTCTCGGACAGATCCCCTAGGACAACCTCAGTCGGATGGACAACCTTTCTGATATGGTCGTGACTGATGTCAAATTGAATGATCCCCCCAGCTCCCTTGACTCGGGTACGAGGGGCGAAGCCCTGCGAGTTGCCGACGGCACGCTCGTCCAATCTGGCCCCAAATACCAGAATCAAATCTGCGTTTTGCACAGCGAGATTGGCCGGCGGTGCTCCGTATGTGCCTATCATACCCAGGGAGAGGGGATGGGTCTGAGCGAAACAACCCAGCCCGAGGAGTGTCGAGGCAACTGGAATACAGGCCGTCTCGGCAAGTTGCAATAAGGATACTGCACCGTTTGAGCTGGCGTGGACCCCATTCCCGACAACAATAACCGGACGTTCGGCGGAGTTGGTTATGATAGCGATGCGATCCAGCTGGCTGTGTCGGCTAAGAGTGCTCCGTGCGGAGATGTTCAAATGCTGACCAGCAACGTCTTCTCCCCCTACTTGGCCCGTTGGCTTCGGAGAAGGGCAGGTAAGTGCGTTCATGTCGAAAACCGCACGGCCAACATCCTTCGACACGGCAATAAGTGTGGGACCCCGTCGTCCATCCATGGCCCAGCGAAAGGCCGATTCCACAGCATCCGGAAGTTGGCCAATGGTTTGCACGCAAGTTGCCCATTTAGTACAAGATTTAGCCAGTTCTATGACATCGATCTTTTGGAAGGCCCCCGTCCCTTGGACAGCCGTCCCAACTTGGCCGCAGATGACCACCATGGGCGTCCCGTCAAGGAGGGCATTGAACATGGGCGTTACCGCGTTCGAACTACCGGGTCCTGACGTAACTAAGACCACCCCGGGCTTACCGCTGGCTCGCGCATATCCTTCGGCCATGTGACCGGCGCCTTGTTCATGGCGAACGAGGGTAAATCCAACGCTTGTCGCGTTGCAGATGCCGTCGAATAAAGGGAGGGCGGCACCTCCGGGATAGCCAACTTGGTTGTAGTCAGTTGCGTGCCAGTGCCCTATTTCAGAAGCAAGAGTATTACATACAGATGTGCTTAACCTGATGACTGCATAGAAGCTCACGCAAGGCATCACCTCCTGACAAGCCGATGAGGTTGTGTCTTTCCATCGTTGTCATTCTCTTGTGTCGTAAGGCTCTATAGAATCTTCTCTACTCACCTTTATGCTTCTTTGACTGTTTTCTCGGAGTACTCACTTGCCTTTATATATGTAAATTGTTCAATATCAGGTTTTATCTGATGACGCACTAGCAAGGGCTAATCTTGCTTACAGCAGGCTGCGCATGCCTCATGCATGTCATTGTGTTAGACAGCGGAATATCCCCTTAACCCCTCTGTGCTGCCGGAGTCCTTCATACAAGGCAGGAATGAACCAGAGATCACATTCCAATGGACTTTGGGTCCCTCATCCGCGAAAGGCCTAATTAGGTAACAAGGACTGATTGCTATAGAGTTTAGACCACGTCATGTGTAACTTAGATATCAAGATGTGCCAATGAGGCTGTATTGCAGAGGTAGGGTGGTAGTGAACCCAGAGTTCCTGGGCATAACTATCATGGCTTGTGAATGTTATCTAGAATTCCCGTGATGGAATCAGCTGCGGTGATGACACTGCCCGGAAACCGGTTGTGAGCTCAAAGCCGTTCCGTCTCAGGATAACAATCTCAACCATCGACCGCTTATATCTACCCCATCTTTCTTCAAGATACCTTTCTCACACCACTTATCTCCACTCAAAGACACCCTACATACACCACCCAATGGCCAATCAAATCTACCAATACTCGCTTCTCAGCGCCCTCATGCACGGCGTCTGCCACGAGGGTCCAGCAGTCCAGCAAGTTCTCAGCCATGGCGACCATGGTCTTGGGACCATACGCGGCCTAGACGGCGAGATCCTAATCCTGGACGGCAGGGCTTACCATTTCCCCCCAGACCCTCGACAGTCGCCCAAAATCCTTTCACCAACCTCGATCCTGCCCTACGTGATGATTACCACCTTCCAACCAACCCACCACAAACGCCTCTCCAGCGTGTCTATGTCTTCTCTCCCAACCGCTCTCTGCCCACTCCTCCCGAACCAGAAAAACAGCTTCATCTCCCTTCGTCTGGACGGGCTTTTTCAAACGATCCGTGTCCGCGTGATCCCAGCACAAAGCCGACCGCGAGAGTCGTTAAAGGCTCTCGCCGCGCGCCAGGTCATAAGCGAGTATCGGGACGTCCGCGGGGTGGTCTTCGGCTTCTGGTCCCCGCAGTATGCGAGCGGATTCAGCGTTGCTGGGTTCCACCTGCATTTCATGTCCGAGGACGGCACCAGCGGCGGCCACGTCGTTGGGTTTGAGGCGGGTGGCGAGGAGGTCAAGCTTGCGGCGGCAGTCATCAGGGATTACCAGGTGGAGGTGCCTGGTGGGAGTGAGTTCCATGAGATCGCGATTGGGAATGTGGCGGAGGAGGAGTTGCACGCTGCATAGGGGGCTTAGTCCATTCATTGCGTGTTGGGACGGATGGATGGCTGAGCGTCATGGTGATTCTAGATTGGTATGGTCTCGCTTTTCGGAATGTCTCCACGGTTGGCTGTCAGGCATCCCGGTAGTAAGGACCAGTAGCTTATGCAAGCATAGACAATAAACATCGACGAAGAGGCACGGGCAGAACTAATTACAATCATGATCGGCAGTGGAGATTCTTCCCGAAGGAGTCATATCATGTTACGTTAAGAGACGCTCTTCTAGATTGCCTGTATGTCTAGAGTAAGTAGAATGAATGAAAAGAAAGAAAGACGCCAAACCACAATTCAAAGCCCTTATCCATAACTACTAGTTCAACGGCAGGAAGCCACTGCTCTCACCAGACCCAACACTTTCCTCACTTCGGAAACTCCTCTCACTCGATCCACCGGAGATGATTCCCCACTGACGCATCCAATTGCTGACCCACAACGCATTCACACAGCCAACGCTGCGTAACTGAGGACTAGCCTCCTGCGTCCTCGCGGGTAACAACATCCGAGCTTCAGGAGACTCGTAAACGGCGTTCTTGAAAAAGTCAAGCAGCTTGGCTGCTGGAATATCTGTCGCATCCACCTTCGTTGTCTGGACGATGTGCTGTAAATTATCTACCCAGTTCTCGAAAGACAATGGCTTCATGTCTAGGTTATCAGGATAGCAGGCGAGCAATTCCGGCGCGATCTCAGACCAAGACGTCCACGATGGGTTGATGACGTGGTATACTTGTGCGTTAGCGGATAAGGCCTCTTGACTTGGCTCGGTAGAGTGGCGCAGAATCTCAAGCAGGACTTTGGACAGTTTGTCGACTGGGATCCAGTCCAATCGGTCTCTGGATGGAAATGTGACTGGGACCGCTTTCATGTGTGCCGAGGAGATGAAAATCTGAAAGAGTCAGCTATTTTCCTTGTAGCAAGTGTCAAGAGGGAGAGACTACCGAAGGAATATACTCGTTGGGATTCCAGAGGCCCAGAGGCTGTTCAACTGGACCTGCGACAATCCCGACTCGACAGCATGCGGATCTCACGCCAGAAATCTCGGCCGCTTTGTCGAGAAGACACTCTGAAATGAGCTTTGACTGGCCATATCCCATTTTTGCTGCAACGCGAAAGTCATGGATGGGTTCTTCGGGTACGGGGTTTTCCGAGTCCCAAGAGCCAACGGCAGAGACGCTGGAAATGAACGTGATGAACGAATGCCGCTCAGACGCGTGAGAGAAGTCAATGAGATGGCGAACTCCACGGATGAATGGCTCGAAACTGGCAATGTTCCAGTTGAAATTGACTGCCCATTGATTATCTGCTCGTCGTAAGTGTCTGGTCAACAGCGAGCTCTAAGAGTGTACTCACGAATGACATGGGTCACGGTCTGCAGTAACTCCCTATACGTCGCATCCTGAAGGCCAAACTGGTATTTTGAGAGGTCTGCCTGCAGGAATTCCACGCGGCTGGGTTCTATGGTGTTAAGGCCACGCTGAAGCCCAAGCTTCGCATGTTTCTGGGCAGCATCGGCGCTCCGATTGAGGCAGATGATGCGAGTTATGTTTTTATCCTTCTGGAGCTCGTCAAGAAGGTAGGACCCAAGAGAGCCTGTGCTGCCAGTAAGAATGACAACCATGTTGTTTGATGGTGGAAGAGGAACATGCTGGCTGGACCGAGGAAGTCCATCCGAGTATTTGCCGAAGAGCTGATGCATTTGCGCCAGCTGGGGGCTTTCTTCAGCATGGATATGACTATTCTCCACGAGCCGGTTGCTATAAGACGGCGCGGGGCTCAACTGGGCCAAAATATGGTCAGCCAGCTGATCAATTGTTGGATGGGTGTATATTGAGGCCGGAGGAAACATCGCGGCACTCTTATCCCCGATCCCCAGCTCTCTTGCCTGGAAGCGCAACTCTCTGGCGATTTTAACCACTTGCAGAGAGTCAATTCCCGCTGCAAAAAAGTCGGCATCTCTCTCCAGTGGCTCCATATTAGTAACCTGTTTTATCAACTCTTGCAACCACGAAGCAACACCCGCTGGACCATCAAGCTGCAAAGCAGGGAGATCCAGAAACTCAGACTGCTCAACGGCCTCATCGGCTGCCTTGTACAACTCTTCAATCTCGTCCTCGTACAAGCTAAACGTGCTTTTTCGCTGAATCTTTCCTTGACCGAGATACTTGATCGGCTTGGATGGGTCCGCGAACAAAATATGATGTTGGTCCAGCTTTCCGTGTGCTGGTGCATGCGCATTGGCTTCTTCAATTGTGGACTTCATGCTTTCAAGCAGCTGATGCTTTTCGGTCAGATTGCGTGGCACGTCAGAGTGCAGGTCAATGAGCACAGCTGGCTGAAACCTTCCCAGACCAACTACCATGGCTCCCTTGACGAGCGGGTGGCTCATCAGAGTTGCTTCTATCAAAGCAGGAGCAATCTTCTCGCCATTGCTAAGGACAATGACGTCGTCTTTTCGGCATTGATACATGTACAGGAATGGCTTGGAAGGGTCCGGATGTCGTGAGTAGAGGTCTCTCATCGACCACTCCTCAATTTCTGGGAATGTGTTGAACACTCCCTGGTAGAGTTCTAACCCTGGAGTGCGGACAAGGAAGAGCTCGTATAGCCCGCCTGATGTCTCTCTCATCTCAATGCCGGAGTGTGTTGGGTGCCAGTGGAAGTAGGGCCAGTCATCGATTGAAGGAGCCAGGCGTTGCAGGCAGGCTGTCTCGGTGGCTCCGAGATTGCAGATGACCCGTGTGTGCTTTGAGATGAGATCTCCTGCTTTGTGAGACAGGGGAGCTAGAGACAATTTAGCATTCTCGAGCCGAACCTAGGATATTGGAGGTTTCAGGAAGAATGAACAATCGACAACTTACCACCACTGGCAACAACATAGTGAAGCCGATTGACCCTCTCGAGCGCCTCCGGATCACGGCTCAGCTCTTCATATATCGCCGGTGCTCCCATGGACGCATCCACGTTGGCATACTGATGCATTTCATCTGCGTATATCGCGTTGGGAACTACTTGAGGCGCACCATATACCAAAGTGACTCCCAGCAGCATAGCCCAGGTGATTCCAGCATTCAGCCCGCTTGTGTGGAAAAGTGGCATTGAGGTATACGCTCGACGAGACTGTTGGTACACCTCTGTTGTTGGGACGTACCCGTCCACATGAGGAATGGTTCGCCACGCCTCATATGTACTCAGGATGCCAACCTTCCATGTGATCGGCTTCGGAAGACCCGTTGATCCTGTAGTATGTAGCACAAGACAGGGGTCAGACCAGGCTTCCTCGAAGCTCTTTTTGTAAGGATAGATTGCCACGGGGTAGTCAAGGAGAAACTCCTCGAGTTCCGGGATCACCCAGGAAAGCATCGGCCTCTCTTTGAGGATGGGATCGATATTCGTCTGTCTGGCTCGGAGAAACACATGGCAGTCCACGCCGGCGAGGACGTTCACATGAGCCTCGACATTGTTTCGAGGGGACACAAATAGCATCTAGAAGCCTAATTAGTCTCCGACTAGCCATACAACGACGAGCATCTCGCGGGAAATATGCTACCTTATAGCCCACTTTTATGGCCCCAAACATGAACAGAAAGTAGCGGATATCACCTTAAGGACATGGAAATCAGGAACAACTCGGAATAGGAAGATAGGATTACGCTCACTAGGACCCATATACGCAATAGTTTCGAAATTCTTGGGAGGCCCCAAGAGGTACCGCAAGTACCAGGCTACTCGGTTGATCGCATCTGCAAAGGTCTTGCACGATACGTCCACGAAGCCATCCTGGGGCTTAGTCGTCTTCGGGTATGCAAAGAGCGGATGCTCAGGCACTGCCTGTGCCAACTCATCTGGAATCAAATGCACCAGCCGGTCCGGGCGTGCATTGGCAGTTTGAAAGATGGGGGGGATATCTTCTCGGAAAGGAGCCGGTTGCGACATGGCGGACGGCACACTGGATATGCTAATTGACAGCACAGGTATCGGGATTCCATGAGGTTAAGTAGATAGGTGGCGAAAGAAGGCATCAGGATGCGCTCCGGCTCGACAGCCTGTTCAAATTGGTCCTATCATAGTCACAGCTTTGACTCGGACTATCGTGCTCTCATCTGCCGCTGTCAAATCTGTCGGACCTGTCTAGAATCAGATAATCTCAGGGCCATAGATCCATTGATCTTCAGACGCTAGGGCCATTTGAATCTCACCTCATACGGAGATTAGGAGGCCTTTCCGGTTTCAATGACCCGTGCGTATCTCCTTTTGGAAGCCCCGGAGCTCCGATTCTACAATATCGATTCGTTCCTCCGGAGCCCTCGTTAGGCTAACCTTGACAGTGGACCGGTAGACGGAACGGTCCAGCAACCGGCGGAGTTGAGATCAACATGAGCCCGGAGATGGCGATAGCATTCCGCATGGAGATTCACAATCACGGCTTACGTCCTTTGAAGATTCCGGCACTGCGAATGCATACGAGTTGGGGTCTGAATCGACCTTTGAGGCTCGGGAGCAGAGGAGTCGCCTATCTCAATGCACCTCAGCTCATCGTCGCCTGGAGCACAAAGGCGATTGAGGTGTGGAATCGAACAGTATAAGTATGCCGGCTGAGTCCATCTAAAGACCTCCAGAACAGACTCCAAGTTCAAAGCTTTCAATCCTCTACTATCAACCCATCTTTCAAGACCCTCATCAACCACACCACATTCAAGATGCTTACCAGCGTTCTCTCGTTCACGGTACGCAAGACCCAAGAGTCCTGACTTGACTGGCATAGCGACTAACACTCCCTGCCACAACAGCCCGAGCAGGCTGCTCAGGTTACTGAGTACTGCACTAACGTCTCCAACGATGTTTCCGACAACATGAACGAGCTCTGGAAGTGGACTGAGAATGAGTTTGAGGATGCCGACAAGATGTCCTCGCCTCTGCAGGGTGCCACCATGAAGTTCCTCGCCGAGCACCAGCAGGCCAAGAGAGGTAAGCTCTTTTCCAGCATTCCTGACCTCCCGATATCCATTCTCATTCTTTTCCAGTCCTCGAGATCGGCTGCTACACCGGCTACAGCGCTCTGGCGTGGTACGAGGCCACTGCTTCAACACAGGCTGAGATCATCACGCTCGAGCTGGACCCGAAGATGATCGCCGCGTCTCGTCGCACCTTCGACAAGTACGGCCTCAACGACCGTGTGACTCTCATTGAGGGTCCTGCCCAGGACTCCCTGCAGAAGCTCAGCGGCACCTTCGACATCATCTTCGTGGACGCCAACAAGGAAGGCTACGAGGGATACGTCAAGACTGTTCTGGACAAGAAACTCCTGACACCCAATGGCTTCATCATGTGCGACAACGGTAAGCATCCTTCACACTCCATCCCATGAGCATAATAATGAGCATAAAGCGCTAACCACATGAAGTGTTCGCCCGCGGCATGACCATCTCCGCTGATGCCAACCCGTACCTCCCTGAGAAGACCCGCGCCTACTGGACGGCGAACGGCATCGCGCTGCGCAAGTTCAACACCTTCTGCAAGAACGACGCTCGCATCGACTCCGTTCTCCTTCCTGTCTACGACGGAGTGACCCTGATCAAGTGGAAGCCTGCCATCGCCAAGGCGTTCGCCAATGGGACCTCGAACGGTGCCAACGGCAGCCACTAAGCGCTAGACTAAAGGGAGAGCTTATGCAGATACTAGAGGATTAGTTAGACCTAGGAGAATCTAGACCCTGTTTTTTGCCTATTCAAGAAATTATTTTCCGCGCTGCAGAACCCCTGCCACGTATCTGTCGATTCTCTTGGCGCGAGTCTTCGGAGTCGCAGGACTTACCCTTCGGGATGACGGAGCAGTGTAGCTACCTACGTAGCCCTGAGAAGTCCTGTAAACGGTTATAAATGGTGACCAGCGTGTCGAAAATAGATCCTTCAGCTGGTAGGCCCTTCTTCGCTACTCACACTGTTGAATAGACCATGTCGACTCAACTCCCCACTCGAGCCCTTGGCCGCAATGGCCCCCAAATCCCCGCGCTGGGATTCGGCATGATGGGATTAAGCGGTGCGCCTCCTTCCTCAACATGAAATCCACTACTGGAATTCAACAAATGAAACGAAAAGAAAATAAAAGTACTAATTCTCCGTAGGATTCTATGGCGTTCCCACCCCAGACGAAGACCGCTTCAAATTGCTTGATCGTGTTTACGAGCAGGGTTGCATCCACTGGGACACGGCGCAGCTGTACGGCGACAGCGAGGAGCTACTAGGCCGATGGTTTGAGCGCACGGGCAAGAGAAACGACGTGAGTTGACTGTGACAATATGAGACACTCCGATACAAGTAGCCCTAACAGTCGGACAGATCTTCCTGGCCACTAAATTCGGCAACAAGGTTGCGCCTGACGGAGGTCGTGAGATTCGAAATGACCCCGAGTATATCCGCTCGGCTGTTAAGGAGAGTCTGCGTCGGTTAAAGACGGATTATATTGATTTGCTGTATTGGTATGTGTCTTATCTGCGTCTTTTGTTTCTGAGAAGAAACTGACGAATGGTGTTTGCAGCCATCGATTCAGTGGCAAAACACCCGTCGAAGAGATTGTTGCCACCATGAAAGAATTCGTCGAGTAAGCGCATTCACCTCCTCTCTGACAAAAAGTCCCAACGGCCCAAGCAATTCTAACCGAGAGAACCAACCAGCGCCGGCAAAGTGCGCTACCTGGGCCTAAGCGAATGTGGCGCGGACACTCTCCGTCGCGCGAGTGCTATCCATCCCATCCATGCGTTCCAGATCGAGTATAGTCCGTTTTCCATGGACATCGAAAAGCCCGAGACGGGACTCCTAGCTACCTGTCGGGAACTGGGGATCGCCACGGTGGCATACTCGCCGTTGGGACGTGGGATGCTAACGGGCGCATACAAGTCGATCGACGATTTTGACGAGAACGACTTCCGACGGTCGATTCCGCGATTCTCGCGCGAGAACTTCCCTCGTAACCTGCAGCTTGTGGAGACGCTGCAGGTTATTGCTGCGCGGAAAAAGTGCACCTCCGGTCAGCTCGTGTTGGCATGGATGATGGCGCAGGGGGGCGATATCTTTCCAATTCCAGGGACCAAACGCATTGAGTACTTTGATGAGAACATGGGTGCGTATGCGGTCAGCCTGTCAGGCCAGGAGATTCAAGAGATTGCCGAGGCGATCGAGGCCGCGGAGGTGCATGGGACTAGGGTTGCAGCGCGTTTGATGGGGGATCTGGTGAAAGATACGCCTCCGTTGGGGGCCTGAGGGGAGAAGGATCGGTGTGAATGCCTTGTGTTGCAGAGAATAATTGCAGATGATATAATGCCATTGTTCGTATTCTGCAGGATAACTGACCATTCATAATTTCCGGTCTATAACGTAGAGTTGGATGTAGTCAGCACTAGACAAGCACGGATGCTGGCCTCAACCGCATATTTCTCCGGTCATGTCCAATGCGGGATAGTATCTGCACATAAGCTTATCAGTAGGCAGAGAGATACTACTGCGTATGAACCCGGAGATTAGGGAGTTCTTCCTAAAGAGGTATGAGCCTCGAGATCCGTTGAGCCCGTCGATCCTGCGCTGATCTCGACTCAGCCCCGCAATAGCTCCGGCGTAGAAAGACGTTTTTAGTTGAGAGTCCGACGCAAGCTCCTCTGTCTCCTTTGAGTATGGGTTGATGATTGTTCAACTTGTGGACTAGAGGGTTCCGGAGTCTCGTTCCTTGGAGTTTACTCGAATCTCCAGATTCATGAGTTCCTGCTATGCTTATCCATTTCGCCAGTCTCTCTCCAAGGGGCTTCGGAGTAAGACTGGAGATTCCTGTAAGCGGATCAGAGGATGGATGTCATGTATTTCGCCTTGAGAATAGGAAATGTAATGATTAGATTTCGAGGACGCGGCCATAAATTCTCTTTTGTCGAAGCGCCACCAAAAACCATCTGCCAAGAGAATTAGCCAGAGCGTGTGAAGTCCAATTCACTATGTCTCATCTATCTCAAGCTCACGTTAAACATCTATACGAACAGTTCGGGGAACTGAAAGTCCTCGACGACATTATCCGTCACAGGGCTGCCGATGATCCACCCGCGCCAATTCTTGCATATCCACGCCCGAACACTGTAGCAGACTATGAGTACTTCACGGGGAAAGATCTAGATCGACTGATCAACGGAGCTGCGTTGCAATATCTATCCCTGGGATTGAATCTAGTGAGAAATACCTTGAGAACATAGATTGTGCGCACATCACTGACCGCGGTAGAATGAACACAAAGTCGTTGGCCTCCTAGCCCCGTCTAATATCGACTTTATCGTCTCTTTCTTTGCACTTAGCCGGCTCGGTCATACGGTCTTGGCCCTGTCTCTGCGCATTGCTCCTGTTGCAGTGGTCAATCTTCTCAAGCAGACGGCATGCAGCACTATTGTGCATGGAGACACGACACAGATCCGGTCGACACTGCAAAGCCTTGACGCCGATTTCCCAATCAGCACTTATACCCTTCCCCTGCGCAGCGAATATGACCAACCCTCGCGGAGGCCCGAGGAGCGCCTCGTCCGGCATATCGACCGAGAGAAGGAGAACACCGAGATTGCGCTGATTATGCACTCCTCCGGCTCGACTGGGCTCCCCAAAGCGGTGATGCTGACGCACCGAGCCTTACTCACCCATCCCACGCAGGGGTCAGGATTGCACAATTTCAACGCCCTGCCGTGGTACCACCTCTACGGCGTGTCGACGTCGCTGCAGGCGATGTGGATGCGCAGGACAGCACATTTGTATAATGCCGCGATGCCGATCACGTCGGACGCACTGATTCAGATCCTCGAAATAGTGAAGCCGGAGGCTGTTCATACAGTGCCGTACGTGCTGGGTCTGATGGCGGAGAAGCCTCGGGGGGTTGAGCTTCTGCGAAGATGCCAGGTTGTGACGGGGGCAGGCGCACGTACCCCCGACGAGTTGGGAGATCGACTGGTCCGCGAGGGAGTCAACCTAGGAATTGTATTCGGGACGTAGGTTCAGACCCACTGCCTTGGTATCAGGTAATTGATGCGCAAGTGCTGACCGGGAGACGTTAAACAGGACGGAAGCTGGACTCGCAGGCGATACGATGCGACGAGCCAAAGGCGATGACTCATGGAACTTTATCCGAATCTATGCCAACATCCGGGATAACGTGGTTATGAAGGATATTGGTGACGGACTTTACGAGTGCGTCTATCTCAAGGGCCATCCGGCCTTGTCGACATCAAACTCGGACGACCCAGCCCCTGGATCGTGGCATTCCAAGGACGTCTTCATGCCTCATGCGAGCATTCCAGACGTCTGGAAGTACGTCACTCGCATCGATGATCGGATTACCCTCGTCAACGGAGAAAAGGTGCTTCCACTTCCTATTGAAGGCCGGATCCGCGAAGACGAGCTTGTTCGCGAGGCCGTCGTCGTCGGTGTCGATAGAACGATTCCGGGCCTCTTAGTCTTCCGCGCACCTGCAGGCGATGATATGCCCGAAGATGACTACCTCGATGCCATTTGGCCGGCGATTGCCGACGCGAATACCCGAGCAGAAGGGTTCTCTCAGATTACCAGGGAGATGGTGGCCCTAATCCCCTCGAACGTGGCGTATCCTCAAACCGACAAGAGGAGCATCATCCGCGCCCAAGTCTACCGCCAATTCGCGGAGCAGATCGAGAGTATGTATACGCGACTGGACGGAGAGCAAGAAGGATTACTCCTACTAGATCTCCCCGGATTAGAGGCATGTCTTCAGACCATCTTCCACGACATCGTCGGGGTGGCGGTTGAGTCTTTGGAGACGGACCTTTTCACGGCCGGAGTAGACAGTCTCAAGGCGATTCAGATGCGTCGAGTGATTCAGAAGACCATCGCGTTGAACGGCCATACCCTACCGCAGAATATCGTGTACACCAAAGGAAACATCCGCAGACTGGCTGGGTATCTGCATGCTCTGGTCAATCAGACTGAGAAGGTAGTCGATGACAAGGAGACCAGTGTGGCGACCTTGATTGAGCGATATTCTCGCTTCCAGGAGCACAAATACCTGAACGGCGTGACCAACGGCCATGGGCACAACGATCAACGAAATGCCGTGGTAAGCTCTTCCCTTTCCCTGATGCACGCAAGCCCCGAACGAATTGTGAATAACCTCATGCTCATCAGATCCTCACCGGCGCCACCGGCTCCATTGGCGCGCATCTCCTGCACCAGCTCCTGACCCTTGAAACCATCGATATTATCTACTGCTTCTGCCGCGGCAAAAATCCCATCCTTCGCGTCCTCCGCTCACTTGAAGCACGAGGCCTCACTCTCCCCCGACACCCTACGCGCACCGCCCAGATAATTGCCTTGACCACCGACCTCGACCAGCCCGATTTCGGCCTGGACCAAGACACACTGCGGCAGCTGCGTCGAGACGTCTCGCTGATCATCCACAGCGCCTGGCCGGTGAACTTCAACATCCCGCTGTCCAGCTTCGAGCCGCATGTCGCGGGCCTGCATCATCTGCTGCAGTTCTCACTCTCCGTGCACCAACACAATCCCGCACAGCTGTTCTTCTGCTCATCCATCTCAGCCGCGTGGAACGCTCCAGTCACCACACGTTCCATCCCGGAGACGGCGCTCGAGGACCTCAGCTTCGCCGCTGGCATGGGATACGCGCAATCGAAGCTCGTCGGCGAGCATATCGTCCGGAATGCGGCGCGGCAGGGCGCACGGAGCTATGTGCTTCGTATCGGACAGGTCGTCGGAGACACAGACAAGGGGATCTGGAACGCTGGGGAGAGTATCCCGCTGATGATCCAGTCCGCTCAGTCGATGAAAATGCTGCCAGATTTGAACGAGGTAGGCACACCAATTCCGTCTCTTGTGATGTCTCCATTATATGCTAAACACACACAACAGACATGCAGCTGGCTTCCAGTCGATATCCTGGCCACCGCAATCCTCGAGATCGCAACGACATGCGGTCGGGGTCCTCCGCCCCGAAAGACCAACGCCGCCCATCCCGCTGTCTTCTATAACCTCGTGAACCCGTCCGAGTTCGAATGGCTGGATGTACTTTCTCAGCTGCGTCGTGCGGGGCTGGAATTTGGAATCGTCCCATTCTCGCAGTGGTTGGATGCCTTGAGAGACAGCGCGGCGAGGGGTGAGGAGGAGCAGAATCCGGCAATCAAACTGGTCGAGTATTATGAAGAGACGTACGCGGCTGGGCGCAGGGGAAAACAGGCTAGGTTTGAGGTTGACTATGCGAGGAGGGATAGTGAGGTTATGAGAGGGGCCTGCGATGTGTTGGGGATGGGGTTGGTGGAGAAGTTCTGGGAAGTGTGGCGGCGGGAGAAATAGAGATGGAATATCATGTGCAGCGTGCTTCAAACCACCGAGGCCTTTGACATCACGTCTATGATATTTGAAGTAATCAATTCTTGCTTTTAAACTGAGCCAGGGGGGTTGGACCATCTTTGCTTCTGGCTTAGTTTTAGGATCTACTAATAATGATACCGAGATTCTCCACCCTCAAGGACTCGCTATAAATGCACAGTCCCTGTCATTGAACGACAGTGATTGAAATTACTCCAGTCTATTCCTCTGTACAGGAATCCCTACTTCCCTTGTGAAACAGTATATCCTGTCGTGGCTTGATTTCTATTTCGCATGGTCCAACCCGGATATTGCCAGCGGAGGTTAATCTGGGTAGATTTCTGCTATACCAAGGATGAAAGTGAGTTCAGCGTCAATCCAGATAGGTTACTTTTCTTGTGCGACATTTTTCAAAAGCTGACAGCATATGCTCCGAACAGCTAAGCCCTACCCATTACTCCGAGCTCCCCAGCATCAGTCGTGAAAGCGGGGAGGGTTGTTTTGTTGGATGTCACGATATATATCAGGATAACATATAACTAACCTCCACCTTAGTCTAAGCATATAAACCACCTTTGCACCCTTTTGAAAGCAAGACGTCCTTGTTTCCCATTATCCTCACAGGAGCCTCCACTTATCTGCAGAACGTACTTTCTCAAGTCGACTGCCATCCTCATCCTCTCCGCTCTCGGCGCCTCTGCCACCGCGGTCCACTCCAGCTTCCACGGCAGCCGCCGGATGCAGGATAGATGGGGCCGTTGGCATGATATGCCGTTTGGCTCTAGGGTGTACATCGAAGGCGGCTGGGGTTTCTTCGTGGTTGACCAGAGGGCCTGCAGCAAGAACTACGCCACCTACACCTGGAACCCGGGCCTTGGACGTATTTTCTCTCTGATTTCCCGACGGTGCCTGTGAACAGATATTGATATTGGGCTACAGATGTGTTTATTTACAGTAACGGCTATCTGAATGACGAATGGGGTGAGTTTAATGGTATCTTGATTAGTGGGTGGGAGAAAGATGCCGACGTTGACTGCAGGTAGACAGACTTCCGATGCTCACGTATGCTAAATGATGATGATTCTTTGCCAAGGTGGAGGTGCGATGGGACTGCTGATGGCTCAGTTGAACTGAAATCACTGTATATCACACAATCAGATCGTGAATGTTATTCCTCTGCCAATATCAGGCAGGACAGCCTGGCCATAATAGGACCTTTGGGCAGACAAGAATATCGTAGTCTACAGTAGAAATTCCCATAAGTCCCGCCAAATCAGTACGGATAAATTCGCTGACTACTTGAGTAAATATCTTGGATTTGGTAACAAATCTGAGGAAAGATCGGTCTTCCTACTACTACACACCAGTATATATACACAAACTATCACTCTTAATACTTCCATAACAAGCAACACTGCTTTCTTCGCTCTATAATTGATGATAAAAAGCCAGCCCATGGTTGTCGAACTCAGCAGGCGCCGGTGATGGCACATGCGATCTTCTCGGCCAGCGCATCTATACCCATGTCAGTTCTGCACCCACAGTTGGGTAGTTGGGGGGTTCGAGACTTACACACTGTTGCCTGAGGATGACCCGGCGGCAGCACCGGGAAAGCCGCCGCATCGACGACCCTCAACCCCTTGACGCCAATCACTCTTGCTTTGGTATCGACTACGGCCATGGGGTTATCCTTCTTCCCCATGGCACAGGTGCAGGCGGCGTGGTAGATGGTGTTGAAGCTCTTGCGAATGATATCCTCGATTTGTGCATCAGTTTTGATATGAGGGCCGGGGAACGCCTCCTCGCCGATCACGAACGGCTTCATGGCTTTGGAGTTCCAGAACTCGCGCACCCGTTTGAAGCCCGCGATGGAGACCTCCATGTCGGCCGGGTCGGTCAGCCAGTTGGGGTTGATGATTGGTTGGTCCGCGGTATCGGCAGACGCGATGGTCAAGTTGCCTCGCGAGAGCGGAGCAACGATCGCTACGGACAGCGAGGCGTAGTTGTAACCGTCGTGGGGATCGCCGGTGGCCAGGTTGGCTTGGTAGCCGAGGTATGCGCTCAGCGACAGATACTCGAGCTCTGGCCAGTCGGCCGGGTACGTGGCAAGGGAGGCAAGGGTCTCGTTGGAGAAGTGCGAGCGTAGATTTCGGGGCACCTTTTCCCAGGCGATCACGTCGGTGGTCGGGTTGGTGTACATCCCAGATGCGTTCTCGTTGAATTCTTTGGCTGCGGCGGCGGCAAAGTCGGGATATCCCAGCGCCGACAGCGTGGGCGCGTTGACGCGGTAGGAGGGTCCGAAGTAGATGTGATCCTCCATGTTTTGACCCACGCCGGGTCGGTCCGCCACGACCGGGATGCCTAACGACTCGAGCGTGGATGCAGGACCGACACCGGAGGCCAGGAGCAGTTGGGGCGAGCCAAAGGCACCGGCGGATAGGATGACCTCTTTACGGGCGTCCAGCTGGTAGCCGAGACCGTCGGTGTCCACGATCACGCCGGTGGCGCGCTTCTTCTTGTCAAAGATAATCTTCTTAGCCATGGTGGACTGATACACCATGTAGTTGGAGTGTCCAAGCCCTTTTCGCAGGAAGGACGTCTCGGACGAGTCACGCACCATGGTCGTGGCGTTGATGGTAAACATGCTGTAGGACTGTCCGAGAAGAGAACCACTCTGGAATCCTGGAACGATTGGAATCCCAATTGCTTGTAGCCCCTTGGTCGCCCATGTTCCGAACGCTTGCACGTAGTGGGAGAAGGTCACCGACAGCGGACCCGAGCCATCTCCCATGACGTGCGGATCGTATTCGGCGGACCCGTTCTTGAAGCGTAGGTCCATGTTCGGCCCGGTGAATTTAATGCTCTTCTCGAAGAAGGGCAAGAACTTTTCAAACCTATAGCTAGCATCTCCCACCATATCAGCCCATCGCTTGTAGGAGGACGTAGTCCCGCGCTGATAGACCATGTAGTTCCGGGCGGAGCTGCCCCCAAGGCATTTTCCTCGCGCATAGTGTAGTTCGTCTTCGTAAGAGCCCTACATCTAGTTAGACTTCATATCCCATATTCTGGAGCCGGAAACACATACGGCTTGAGGGGTAGTGATGTATCCCCAATCAATCAACGGCTGCCAGTCCGACTTGGACCGGCCGGTGTACGTTCCGTCCAAGGCAGGGATTTGGCTGATATTGCTATTGTCGATCTCGTAGAACCCGCCAGCTTCGATGACAGCGACGGAGCCCTTTTGCTGCTCGGCCAGCCGGGTGGCCAAGGTCAGGCCGGCCGTGCCGCCACCGACCACGACGTAATCGAAGGTGGCATTTTTCCCGGGGACTCCAAAGGAAGATCCTAACAGACCACGCGTTTTGATATGGAAGTCTGTTGGCACTGCATGAGCGGATAACGCCAACGCGGTTATCAGGCTCACAGCCTGAGCAAGATACATGGCGACTGTTGATGAGCACCGAAATCTGGGATCGAGGAGATGAAGCTGTGTCTGAGTCGCAGAACTGGATCTTGATGCTCATCGAATCACCCCCAATGACTTTATATCTCCCGGATTTCAAGTAGCACTACTCGCACAGAGTCTAATCAGCCCATGAATCTGAGATGAGATACATCTTCCGTGTCTAGAGCTCTAAGGAACAGCTCCAGGAGATCCGGAGGGATCAACTCCAGATCTCCATCCAGCACATGGCTATGAAGCTATTTCCCAAAGAAGACGGATTTGGCCCCCAAGCACTATTGATGATCGTATCGTACGTTCAGCAATGTCTCTTGGCCGGACAGGCTGACTTCCACGTGGATTATCAGCCTCGTACCGGAAAAGTAATATTCTCTAGGCCCGCTCGCTAACGGGAGCCAAGGGGCCAGAGGTGCCCCATTGTGTGGCAGCTGAGAAGAAAGACTCGAGCTCAGGAGCTGAGGTGAGACCGAAGGTTTGACGTATCAAGAGAGCTAAATAGTCACCATCATCAAGCCCCCAATTCTTTCCATAAGGAGACGGGGGACTACCTCATGGAGTAGAGAAGGATGCGGAGATTCAGTCCTTCGATCCTTCGCCTATCAGAATCCTCGCTAAAAAGGCTTTCATTATAGCCGCAAAGCCAAAAGTCTGTTCCTTCTTGGCACTAGTGATGCGACAGGTACCTAGGCACTAGGTGGCTATATAGATCATGCCCATTCCATTGGTCAGGTGTCGGCCACAGGCAGAAAGCTGAATACGCAGTAGTTCTCGTAAAGCTCGCCACAGCCATTCAGGCTAGGCTCGCAAGCGATTCTGTGACCGATGGAATGATGCATCTCACCTCAGCACTAGATCCGCAGGTTCTGGTCAGACACGTAAGAGAATGATTATCGGCGGAGATAGTGGTTCTATCTTCCCGAGCAGATGGCTTGAGAACAATGGGAGTCGTGGAGAATCCAACAGAAACAATAAGGATCGCCTGTGACAATGCGCCTTGATCAAATCGCTCGAATGCAGGCTCCAGGGTGTAGAGAGGGGCGAGGGGGCGATAAGGCGCAGTAGAGAGAAGCTTGAGGCGTCGATCGAAGCCGATTTGCAGGGAGTTGCGTGGCGGATGACAAAGAACTGAGTCATCCGCCATACGAACGTAAACATCCTCGCCGACCGTCGAATCGAATGTAACCTCAGAATCAACAACATCCACCCCGCATCAAGTGTGGTTCTGCAGCGTTGGGGATGTGCAGCCGAGTGCATCCATGTCGACCGTTCGGCATCCATGATCAGCCATTGGCCAGGCTGTGTCCTATTCTATCTACTTCTCCTCGTCTTTCTGAGGGAGGGGCTCCTTCGCCTTAGTATTAGTACCAGACCACCGCCAGAATCCACCCCGATCCTCTTCCAAGTCCACTGCCGAACAATCCGCCAGCATGTTCTCAACCTTTGTCGCCCATTCCCCCGAGCACGGCTCCACCACCTCCACAGTGAGCTCCACCTCGATCCCTGCCCGCTCCAAACGTCATCAAGTCGCCCGAGCCTGTGACTGGTGTCGGGTGCACCGCATCAAGTGTGATAGCAGCCTACCCTGTCAGAACTGTCGGAATCGAGGTGGGCCGTGTAAGAAGAAGAGCGCTGCCGAGATCCGCACGTTACCTCATGCCGTACGAGAGATCGAACGATTGCGCGAACGCGTACGCGAGCTGGAAGAACAAGTCGATAACCGTGCCCAGTCCGTCGCCAACGAAGACACCTACACAAGTCAGAGCCGCAGTCGACCGTCAGGGACAAAGAAAGGATGGGACGGCATCCACACTCGCACCGCACACTCGTCACAGACCCAGTGGTACGGGCCCTCGTCGGCCTTCTACTTCATCGGTCGCATGAGCGCCTATCTCAGCGCCGTCCTCGACCAGCCCGAGGACGACGATAACATGCAACCCAATTCCGCCTGTCGCGTCTTCACCAGTCCAACCTCGGCCAAATCCATTCCGGAGGAGCTGCCGGCGCCGTCGGCCATCGCAGAGGGGCCCGTGGGGTCGGAGACCTATCTCAATGCCATCGAAGAGGATTACTTCCTGAACCTGTTCTGGCAATCCTACCACCCGACTTACCAGATTCTCGACGAAGCCGACTTTCGCGAGCACTACAAATCGCTCTGGGCCGATTCGGCCACGACGCGGCGACCCTCGGCGCTAGTCGACATTATGCTCGCCCTCTGCATGCAATACGGCGTCGCCTTGACTCCGGACCGCAAAGTGGACCCCCTGGACGGCCAGGTTGATATCAACGACGCCAGTATCGCCGGTCGCTGGTACTACCGCCGATCGCAGACACTCTTGATTTCCGAACTGGAAAGTCCATCTATCGCCACACTGCAATGTCACATCTTCTCCGTTGTCTATCTGTGCAACGCCTCCTTTCAGAATATGGCGCATACAACGCTGGCGCTCGCAGTGCGCACCGCTCAGATTCTGGGTCTCCATCTCGAGCCCCGAGAGAGCCTACCACGTCCCCGACGGGAGTTGCGCAAACGCATCTGGTGGACGCTGTACGCGGTCGAAAGCAAGACATGCATGAAACTCGGCCGACCGTGCTCCATGCCGGACATGATTGCGACGTGCAGCCTCCCGGCCGACGATCACGAGCTAGCTCGACTGTCGGTGTCCAACATCGCGGCCTACGGGGACCGAGTGACGTGGCTGACTTACAGTCGCCTGGTCACGGAGCTAGTGCTGGCCGCGCAGACCGTGTATCGGACATTCTATGACGAGCGGGCGGAGATGCTGGCAGCGAAGGATGGGAAGAGCCTGTACACAGATCTGTCGTCGCTAGAAGCTCTGGCCGAATTCCTCACGCCGCAGTTAGGCTGTATCCGAAAGTGGCTGCAGAACGTTCCCGACGCCATGAAAACCAAACGCAAGGACGGCGAGCCCTTCTCGACCGACCGATCGGTCCTCGATCTCGAACGGTTTGCGCCTTCGTGGCTGCAGCGTCAACGGCTTCTCCTGGAGCTGCTCTACCACAACCTGTCGATGAATGTCTATCGGCCCTTCATCTGCTTCCCGTCCCCATCCGGTGACAGCGGCCCCAGCACGCCCGTGGCGGACGCACACGCCGTTTCGTGCGTCGACCATGCGATCGCCATCACGCATATCCTGCGCCAAATCATGCCTGCCACCGATTTCCTCAAAGGCTGGTACGAGGCGTTCCAGTGGCAATGGAGCGCCACGCTCTCCATGGTCGGTTTTATCCTCGCCTACCCCTCACATCCCACCACTCCGACCGCCCGCGCGGCCATTGACAGTGCCATCACTGTCTTCGAGGTCTTCGGCAACAACTTCGCCGTTGCCAGCAGCGCGGCTAACGTGACGCGCGGACTCGCTGCCAAGGCGGACTTCCTCGCCGGGCGATTGTGCGTCGGAACCGCCACGCTGACGCCTCCGTTCTCCGACCAAATGGAACCTTTTCTAGGGATCGGCACGGAGACAGGGAGTTCGTTGCTAGCGGACGAGCCCTCGGCCATGTTCCAGAGCACGCTAGCGGGAGCCATGGGGCTTGCATACAACGTGGATTCGTTCTACAGCTTCGAGCCCCTGTATGCCGGTTCAAGGAATCTTGCCGACGCGTGGAACTTTTAGCCATCAGGTCTTTTGACGCTCCTAGTGACTTACGAATCATGATAGAAGATCTAGCTATTTATAGAAATCTATATTTCATTTCGAAGCGTATATTTCAATGATTCTAACTCCACCCCCCTCGTCTATCTTGCGCCTCAGCCCCCATCGTGACAAATGCATCGATCTCGTAGATCCTTACTCCATGGTAATAACGGCCCTGAACCGCACCGTTCCCTTCATCATCGCGTCTGTTGGAGACTCGGTTAGCCCTGTTTCATGCTGAATATATCGGGGTGTCACAATCAAACGTACCAAATGCATCGTTCGCCTTTTCCAGGGGAAACTCTTCCACCATGCAGTCGATGTTGTGTAGTTCGGTGAAGGCGATCGCTTCCTCCGTGTCCGTGGCATGACCGGCAGGCCAGATCTGCACCGAGAGGGCGTATTTAAGCTAGACTTGTGTTAGTGGTGTCTATTCCGAGGAAATGAGAGACCAGGTCGGGTGCAATCCAGCTTACCATAACAGCTGTGTCGATGGAGACTTCGCCGGGTACTGTTCACACAAGCCATCGTGGGTTAGCTCATGGTCCTCACCATAGCGAGAGAGAAAAGAGGATAGGAAGGGTAGGAGAGAAGGGGACACTAACCCGACAAAATCAACAACTTTCCCAACATGCCCAAACCCTTCAACAACGGGGTCATCACATCCGCCGTCGGCGCCGTCGAGACGACCAGCGTAGCACCGCCCAGCCTCTTCAGCGCCGTGCCGGCATCCTCCTTACTCGAGTCGATGTATTCATGTGCGCCCAGCTCCCGCACGAACTTCTCCTTGCTGCCGTCCCGCGAGATCGCCACCACCCGGTATCCCAGCTTGCTCGCGTACTGGATGGCGAGATGGCCGAGGCCGCCGAGGCCCTGGACGGCGACGGTTTCGCCGACGGGCACCTTCATCTGGCGCAGGGAGTTGAAGACGGAAACGCCGGCGCAGAGGATCGGGGCGTATTTGGCGGCCGGGAGGTGTTTGGGCACGCGGACGGCCGCTTCTTGGTTGATGAGGCAGTATTCGCCGTCTAGCAAGTATCTCAGGGTCAATTCCGCGCTCGGGGTGAGAGAAGGACAGGGAAAGGGAAAGGGGAAGGGCAAAGTCTTACATCCGCCGTTCTTCGTCTCGCCGTTGACAACTGCCTCGTCGCACATCTGGAACATACCCTTGCGACAGGCCTTGCATGTTCCTGTTTCCCTCCGTCAGCTGAATTGACTCCGAGAAGACTTCGAAAAGAATAAGTAGTAGAGGTAGATGTACCGTCATGACCACCGTGCCAGGCGCCACCGATGCGATCACCAGCCGTCCAGCCAGAAACACTGGCTCCTACGGCAGCGACACGGCCAACGATCTCATGGCCCGGGACGAGGGGACTGCAATTGAGGAATCATCAGCACAACCATTCCCAGACAAAATCCCACCGATAAGGCGCAGTAAGAGAAGAAAAGACACGTCAGCGACCAGGCAGGAAATCAACATACAAGCCAGCGCCCATGATATTGTTCTGCACAAACATATCGGAAAAGCACACGCCGCAAGCCTCGACCTTCACGAGGATCTCATTGGGACCGGGCGGCGTGAGCGGGACTTCCTCGATGACCAGAGGAGCGCCGAGCGACTTGAAGATCGCGTGCTTGTAGGTTTGCGGGAGACTCATTTTGCTTGGTGTCTGGTGTTTTGTCTGCGATTGCTGTGGAGGTGATGATCAATTGGGTTTCTCCTTCTAGCTGGAGATAGAGGGAGAGTGAATTGATGAGAGTAATAGTATTAAGTTCTCAACTGAGAGCTCCAGACCCGGCGCGCTTGGCTGCATTATATAAATCGCAGACCGTAGCACGACCGGACAGCTCAGCTGCGACTCCGTAAACCACGAGCCATTAAGCGGGGTAGAGGCGACTTCTAATGCGGTTCCGGAGTGCGAATCCCTGCGCGAAGCGTCGCCATGAATTGCGATTGGCGATGGGGAGCTGCTCTCCTCGTCGCCCGTCGTCTCCAAGGAGTCGCCGGAGTTTTTAGGGCTCGGGGGTCTTGGCGTTCGATCGGGATTCCGGAGATCTCGACAATCGACACATGGAGATCCAGACATGATTCCGGTGTGATCTTCCGCTGGTTTGGGTAAATTTCAATCAACAGTCTATTGCTACTTTGTGCGACTCGGTCTCGACTCAGTAGTGTGGATCAATGGATGCCCGAGTCGACAGCCAAGAAAAGCAGAAGCACGGATACAACGAAACACTCGGAGAATTATCAATTCGACTATCTATAGTTTATTCTAGGCGCATTTTGTCTACAAAAATCTCCGGCGGGTCAGGAATAGCGAACACAACGTCCACAACGCCCCCGCCGCAATCACCATCACCCAGACATCGCCAATTGTCTTGACGATCGCATCCACACATTGAGTCCTCACCTCTGGCGTCACAGTCTGCAGCACCTCGCTGCGTGCCCCCGCGATTGCCGCCCGGATCTGCGCGTCCGAGTACGTCGTATCCCCGAGCACCTCTTTGAGTCTCTGCAACCCCAGGGTCTGGAAGAGACAGCTGGCGATAGCCAGCCCGATGAACTGGCTCGAGCCCTGCGAGATGTTCATGTACTGAATCAACTCCGCGACGCGGTCCGGCTTCACGAGAAGCGGGCCAACGGCATATCCGGCTTGCGTGGTGGTCATGCCGAGCCCCAGCAGCACGGTGTAGCCGTAGATGTTGGCCGCGGGGGTTGCGTAGCTCACGGTGTACATGGTCGCCGCGCCGCACGTCATGCAGAGCCCACTAAAGATATACCATACGTTGTGATATCCGGTGCGACCCATGACGGCGCCGCAGGTGAGGATAGTGGCGACGTAGAAGCAAATGAAGGGGAGGAGGCGGACGGCGGCCTGCGTGCCAGTGTCTCCATGCACGAAGAGGAAGTACAGCGGGATGTAGTACACCGAGACGAAGAGCGCGGCACCACCGCAAGCCATGCAGACGTACAGTAGCACAAGCTGGGGGTTGAGGAGGAATTCGCAGGGGAAGATGCGGTTGACGGGGCTGGTGAGGACCGAGTAGCGCTGCGCCACGCAGAAGATGATGGTGAGAACGCCGAAGACAACGAGCAGGCCGATGACGCGCCCGTCGCTCCAGGCCCAGATGGAGCCGCCGAAGGTGAAGGCCAGCGCGAACGCGACGTAGAGTCCGGCGTTCAGAACGATCCCCAGCCAGTCGAGGGAGCGCACCTTGTCCATGAAGGAGAGTTCCGGCCGGCGCGGAAGCGGTGGGAGGACGAAGACATAGATGGGAGCCATGGCACCGAAGATGACGAGATTGAGATAGAAGGCCTTTTACCAAGTTAGTGAGTCGGACATCTCCAAGGATCCTGTTGCTAATGACATACCCATCTCCATGTCGCCGAACTATCCGCCAACAAGCCTCCCACGACGGGGCCCAGAATACAGCCACTGCCATAGACGAACCCGGTCATTCCAATGTAAAACGGTTGTTCCTGAGGAGTACTCATGATGGTCACCAGATTGAGCGTCCTAGAAGGGTATCGTCAGCATCCCCCTTTACCTTATAAACCAAATAGGAATGCCATACCCCAGGTACATCCCAGCGCCCCCAGCACCTGCCCAGACCCGGCCCACGATGATCGCATTCATCGAGGATGCCGCACCGCACAGCGCACTCGCCGCCGCAAACATCGTTAAGCAGCTCAGAAACACCCATTTGGCGTCGAACGTTCCAAACGCTTTGCCGAGAGGCAAGATCGCCGCGGTCGACCCCAGCGTAAATCCCACACCCAGCCATCCCAACTGTGTCACGTTGTCGAACGTCTCCGAAACCACCGCCTGGATGTCGGCAGCGATGGTCGTGTCTAGTCCGTAGAGGACATTGGCTGAGAAGATGGCCACGCAAACGAGAACCCACCGCAGGCCCGTGACCGTGCGCTTGTTGTCCGCGTTGTCTGTGCCGGAGGGTCCGTCTTCGTTTTGGATCGAGCCGGATGATGGAGGAGCATTGGTTTCAAGGTCGGTACCTTCGGGGAGCGTAAACTTCTCCAGTTTGCCGTTGAGGCTGCCTGAGCTGGGCGTGTCGGATGGTTCAGTCATTGTGTCGTCTCTGGAGTTCATCCGAGTAATTGAAAACCCGAGAGATAGTAGGTGCTTTGTTTAATGAGGATGTATAAATATCGCAGCAGACGAGAACCTTGGAGATCAATGGCTCTGACGGCATCGTCCAAAGAGCTTGCAACATATTCATATTTAGTATATGGACGCCGATTTTGGATATTCGTGTTTGGATGTTTCTTGTTCTAGGCCGGAGTTGCCGGAGTCCATCTCAAATTGGTAACGAGAGACTAGGATCAATAAGCTAGAACACAACTCCGTCGTCTCCCTGAAGAGAAGCGTCTTGTTATTCTGGCCAATCTTTGATTTCCTTGAGAAAAAGAAAAAGAAAAACTGTGCAGATAACCAATTTGAGTTCAGCGAGAATTCTCCGGATGCTCCATTTGACAGACAGCCTTGCTGCACCGCATCGTCGCTCCACTCGCAAATTTGGGATTCACAGGCCACTTCTAGACCATTCCGTCATCTAGACTTAGTCTGTTCCGAATACCCTGTAAATTCGCTGATAAGGTATCTCGCTCAAGAACCTAAAAAGTATTAAAAGGCTCTCAACTGGTTGTGGAGTCATAGCGAAGGGTGGCCGACAATATCTAAATTAAACGCCACCAAAGCGTGTGATTGCGGTACTCAAGCAACTTTGAGCTGCGTATCATCATCGAAAACATCACGAGAAGTGCTATGTCCTTCAATCTAGATAATGTCATGTAAGAAATTGTCCCAAGACATGAGGAATCAAAGATACTATATATTTGTGCCTATCCGGCCAGCTATTCCCGAATATCTGCAGTCGTTTTCTGTTCCGCGATAAGTAACAAAGCACAAGTGTTGAGTATTCAATTGAAACATGATGAACAGTTCTTCATTGAGACCACAGGGTTGAAGGTTGAAAAGAATTGACTTCATCAGTAGTTAGTTAAAAGAAAGACAGGCGGATGACTAAGTGCGGATGGGCACGTGCCCACGCGTCTCCGAATGTCTCCAACAGAAGGAATGATTGTCTTCTTTTCTCCCCGTCGTGTCTCTTCGAACGTCATTGGAACCAACGCCAATCATGTTGTCCACCATGAGGCTGCGGCCTTTGTTTTCCTCCCAATTGCGTATCCCTTTCTCCCGAACCGTGCAGAGAGAGGTCGGTAGCAGGCTATCGATCTGGCGACTCGCGACTCCAAGTCGAAACTCATCGTCCTCGGCTGCCACATCGCATGCGAGAAATACTATGCGACGAGGTAGAGTAGCTTCAATGCGCACAGAAGCCGAATATAGCGCTAATTGCAGGCGACAGTACCCCCGGAACGTATCCTGGTCTACCATGCTGGGACCAAGAGAATAAATTTCATCGGAGCCATGCGGATCACGACAATCTTGCTATTTGGAACAACTTGTGTGCTTATTGCCCCAGCCATGGATGCTAAGGGTGAAGAGAGGTGGAAAACTGGCACTAGTATGCATCAGCTTTCTGCTTGAGGCGCGCCCGTCGAGCTAACCTCTACGTCCAGTCATCGCTGGCAGTGCCATTCCCATGTTGTTCGTTGCCTTCGTCGCCGCTCCTTATGTGAACTTCATACACCTCAGCCTTCCGGTATTTGCTCGACAATCGCGGGAACATGCCCTCCAATATGCACTAAATCCTCCCCCGACGGCAACCCTCTGGATCAATACCATGAAATTCTCGGCTGGCCCGCGCCTCACGAAGGTGCGATTGGCGGACCTGGGCCCTCACAAGTCTGGCTTCCCACCAGTGAATTTTTCGCTCCGCTTTCAAAGACAGCCCGCTACTACCATCAACAGCATCTTTGATCAGACTAAGTTCTTCGCTGAGCCGCAGTGTCCGCCAGGACCACCCGCAAGGGCCTTTTACCCCCAGGCCTGGGAGACCATGTTCAAGAATATCCAGAGTCAACGCCCGGGGTACCGGAAAAACGTAAAGTCAGAAATATGACCTTTTAGGTCTGCATGGGGCTTTCTTTGGTTCTTGTAATTGTAGGCAAACTGGAGTGTGCAGGGTTGGGTGACTGGGCATTCACCTGTCCAGTCTAAGGAACCCCCCGTTTCATTCTCACTTTCAGTTCAATTCACCTTCCCTCTGCTTGTGTTGTGCCCCTTCCACTTTCTGAAGGATCTTCTCCTCTGGCTCACCTCTCCTCTTTTGTCTTCCACGTCCTTGGTCCATTTTTCGTCACCACCTTTCCCGTTGGCCTATCTCAAGGACATCTTTACCACAACCTTCACCTCACTTGTTCCTCTTTCTTCAACACCTTCGATCATCATATTTGTCTACAAAAGTCCTTGGTTCTACCCACAATTTAACTTTCAATCATGTCTGCGGCTGCCAAGCTTAAGCCAGACGGCCTGCTGGGTCTCTCTATGGCCGAAGCCAGGGCCCTGCTCGTTGGTATTGCCTGTGAGGAAGGCGGCAAGGTGAGCTATTCACACTCCCCTGAAAGGTCCTGGAGCAATATAGACTCATGTCCTTCGTTCCGTCTCTTTTTTACAGGTTGACATGGAAAAGCTTGCCTCGAAGTACCCCTACAAGAACAGCGCCTCCGCTAGCACCTCCTACCGCAATGCCAAGCGCAAGCTCGTGGAGTATGCCAATACTTTAGGCGATGGTGCTGCTTCTGCTAGCAGTGCAGCCTCCCCCGGTGGTGCGACAATCTCCACCAGCGCAACTAGCACCCCCAAGAAAAGAACTCCCGCTCAGCGCAAGAAGGCTACATCCACCGACTCCGATGTTGCTGCCGACGATGCGACCGGATCTCCCAAGCCAAAGCGGCAGAGAAAGACACCTGTGAAGAAGAGTACTGATACTGACGCCAAGGTCAAGAAGCCTGTCGAAGACGAGTATGTCGTTCTCCTACACACCTGGTCTCACTACCCACAGCAGAAGAGCTCGCTAACAATCCAACAGCGACGACGCGGCCATCGATGGCCTGCTTAACCCTGAGTATCTCAACGATGACAACCAGACCGTCAACGTGAAAATGGAGGAGAGCTACGTGCCAATGAAGCATGATGAGGAAGAGCTCGGAAGCATCGACCTCGATGCCGAGCTTGATGCTATGGAAACCCCCAAGTCCGTCAAGCCCGAGGACGTTGAGGCCTAGACGTGATTTTCTCTCGCAGATGCCGAATTTTCCTTCGCGGATGTTTGTCTGTCTCTTCAATTTTGCGGAACGTGCACTGCGATTGGCCTATTTTTGTATCCATTCCCTTTTTCGTTTTGACTACGGTGGTGTCTCGACTGGTTTTAAGTAGCCTTGGGGATGCCTTGCCGACTGTTTACACATGGACGAGATTTGAGACTTTTTCTTGGTCTACAAAAAACGGTGGTTCTTTTCATGGGAGTGATTTATTGCCTGCTAATGCTTCTTTGTTTACACTAAGGGATGTTCATATGGTTTATTCAGTCTGACTGGCATTTCTCCTCTGAATTAGTGAGGTTGATAACGGGAATCCAAACTCCACTCTGTACTGCTATATACGCTCAAGCCGTAGTTTACCTTTAAGATCTCTGTAAATTTACAGAAGCCACATAACCGCAGCATAAAGAAGCGAGGCTCTACGCAACGCACCCCACCCAACATTCAAATTGAAATTTGTAAAAGAAAAAGAATATTGCACATCTAAACAAGAATGCAGATACAACATATACCCGAGAGGGGATCTACCCGTAATTATAAGACCTCGCTGGTCTAATCGCCATTTTTAAAGAAATCCACATCGCCAGCCCAGCACGCCGTACAGAATAAACAGACCATGAACCATCAGAGAAACGAAAAAGAGCAACAACATATGAAGGACAGGGTTGCACGAAATGAGAACACTCTTTCCATCAACTTTCCACGGGTTCGTACATCCCTCAAAGCGCCTCGATCGCCTTGCGAAGAACCTCAAGACTCCGGTCCGTGACCTTGTCCTGCGCGGCATCGCCCTCCGCCGACTCGGACGACTCGCGCAGCGCCCAGGCGACATCACTCCACCAGCCCAAGCCGACGAAGCCGCCGCCCTTGCGGCGCTCCAGGCTCTCCTTCAACCGACTGGTGTGTTCCCACTGCTTGGCGGCGTCTTCGGCCGTGTCGATGACCTTCTTGGGGATGCCGCACATGGAGGCGCAGTGCATACCGAAGCTACCCTCGGCGACGCCCTCCTCGAGCTTGTACAGGAAGGTGATGCGCTTCTCCTCGTCGTCGACGTGGATCTTCATGCGTTTCGGCGAGATCTCGGGGTGGCCGTCGAACTCGGCGGCGAGGGAGTGGTAGTGGGTGGCGAAGAAGCCGAGGGCGCCGATGTGCGTGGCGACGTGGTGAAGAACGGCCTGGGCGACGGCGACGCCGTCGTAGGAGCTGGTGCCTCGGCCCAGCTCGTCGAGGATGACGAGGGAGCGGGGCGTGGCTTCGGATAGGATCTTCTTTGTCTCGGAGAGTTCGACGAAGAAGGTCGACTGCGCGGCGAAGATGTTGTCGTTGGCACCGAGACGAGACATGATGCGGTCGACTGGGGTCAGGCGGGCGGATTCACAGGGCAGGTAGCAGCCGATTTGCGCCATGATGACTGCGACGCAGGTCTAGAGAACGATGAGGTTAGCGGGTTGGTTTCTTTTTAAGTGGACTAGGTCAAACATACCATGCGAAGAACGGTGGACTTTCCGGCGGCATTGGCTCCGGTAAGAAGGTCGATGTTGGCACAATCACCTCCCAGACGCACATCGTTAGGAATGAAATCGTCCACCGAGGAGAGTAGGCAAGGATGCCGCAGCTCCTGGAACTCCAGGACGCTTCGCTCGCCCTCGACGAACTCGGGACGGCAGCTCGGCTGTCCCAACGCAGCCGAAGCTTTAGCCAAGCTGATCAAGCAGTCCAGGTGCGAAATGATCCGAACAGCGGCGAGCCAGGTGGCGTAGTGCTCATCAAATCGCGCATAGAATCGACCAGCGACTTCCTTGACGATCTGACTGTGCGTTTCCTGGGTCTCCTGTAACTTGCGGATGAGAGCGCGCAATTCAGGAAAGTAGTAGCGCTTGACTTGCTTGGTAGCGGACATCTGGTCCCAGTTCTTGGGGACGTTCTTGACCTTGATGGGCACCTCGAGCTGATAGATCTCCTTTCCGTTGTCCCTGTAACATATGGCACTAGAGCCAAGCTCGCGGCGAGTTCGTTTGAGCAGGTTGTCCAGGTCACTGTGTAGCTGCTCAATGCGGTCCTGCGAGTTATCGAAATCTTCCTCAACGCCAGCCTTCGGGACCAAGATGCCATTCTCCTTGGCTTTGGTCCGGTCGAACGCAGTTTTCCAATACTCGAGCAATTCGTTCAAGTCGGGCATGCCATTGATCAATTTACCAATCACACCCTCTCCGGAGCCACTCTCTTTTAGAAGGCTCATGGTGTACTCGATCTGCTCAAAGCCCTCCAGGACACGCACAAAGTCTTGAGCCTTGCAATTGGCTGCGTGGATACGGGAGATGAGACGCTCCAAATCGGGCATCTTGGTCAACTGAGACGAGAACTGGTCCCGAACGCTGGGATCTGCGTTGAGGGAATCAACAGCATCCAACCGGGCGTTGATCTTCTTGGAATCCATCAATGGGTGGCACACCCACTGCTTGAACATTCGCTTGCCAAAAGGAGTAATGCAGCGGTTCAGAAGTTGGAAGAGCGTCCCATCTGCACCGCCATCAAATGAGTTGGCGAAAATCTCCATATTGATAAGCGTTTGACCGTCCAGCACCAGACTGGATGCCTTCTTGATTGGATCATAGGCAGTAAAGTTCCCGATGGTTATCAAGTCACGGTCAAGCTTCAAGACCCTCAGGTACTGGACCAAAGCTCCAAATGCGGACATGGCGAACTCCTTGTCGCGAGCCTCTCGCAGAACTTCGGGCCATGCCGTCAGATTGTCTTTGTCTTGAGAGACAAAGTACTCGCTCACATCCAGCTCTTTGACCGTAATGTCAGCCTCCCAGAACTCCTTGCCAGGTTTCAGGTGGTTCCAAATCGTCGTAGGACCGGTATTGTTCTTCAGAATACGGAGGGCTTTCGGCGAGACAGTCGACTTCTCGAGTAGCAGCTCTTGCGGGCGAGTCTGCGCAACGAAGGTCTCGAATTTGGTCATGTCGACATCATCCTTGAATTCAGAAAGGAAGAATTGGCCCGTTGCAGTGTCCACGAATGCGATACCAAATGTCGGAAGATCATCAATGATGGCCTCCTTGATTGCCACACAGTAAGTGGACATATCGTCCTGGAGCATAGAGCCCTCGACCAGAGTACCGGCCGTGAGAACAGATGCAAGCTCTCGCCTTATGACTTTGTCTTCCTTGCCACCCTTCTTGCCATCCCTTTCACGCATTTCTTTGCCCAATGCAGACTCCGCTTGGTCGACGCGAGCAATTTTATAGCCTTTGGCCACGAATTGATTTGCCCAGTGATCCAAACTCATTTCTGGGACACCGACCATACGCATGTTCACACGATCGGTGAGCTTCAGGTCGAACAATTGGTGACCAATAGTAGCGTCATTTTCGTAAAGCTCGTAGAACTTGCCCTTTTTGAAAAAGACAACGGTATCCCAGAACTTCTGCTTAATTTCCCAGTACTGCTTCTCAAAAGGAGAGAACTTCGACCAGGCTAGAGGAGGTATATAAAGCGTTCGGGGGTCATATTCCGCATGTCCGATGGGGTTCCCGTCAATATCGCGGATGTTAGCCAACCAAGCGTAACGCTGTTCCGGTTCCGTGACATGTGCCTTTTGCTTGACGGCACCAGAAGATGGTTTCGCAGAGGGCGGAGGTGTTCGGTTGTGGCGAGGCTCGGAATTCTCTGGGTCGTATGTCCATTTGAGCGCCGTTCCAGCTGAGCCTTCCGGGACGTCTAGATCTACCTCTTCGTCGGCCTCGGCCGGAGGGGGCAAAGAAGACGATTTAGGTTTCGCTGCAACTGATGGTCTCTTGCGCTTCTTTGTCGGTTTTGCCTCTTCATCCGACTCGTCGGCAACGACGAAGTCGTCCATTTCTAACAGTTGTTAACGCATGACCTTGGTATGAATAGAGCCCGACTATTGAACTGACCATCCTCTGAATACCCAACATCCGCATCACCCTGATCAAATTCGTCCTCGCTTTCAGGGGATGTCTTTCTCCGTTTCGACGCGCGATTGTTCTTTCGTCCCGGACGAAATATCACGTCGTCGTCGTCCTCGCCTTCAGAGTCGGATTCAGCATAGCTGACCTTCTTCTTAGCCTGTTCATAATCAGCACCTGTAAATTGAAAATCTTTCTTGATTATATCCGACAAAGGAGCGTACCCGACGAGATGGCGAAGCCGTTTGGTTCTTAGCCTAACCATGAGAGGTTGTCGTGAGTACACGAGTCCTAGCGCAGCGTCCGCATCGCAAGCCCAACCTACCTCGGTCTTGTTATCTTCATCCTCATCCTCATCAGGAATAGGCAGGTCGCTGCTAGGAATAGGCGTCAGGTCGGAGAATTCGGGGACACTCTTCTTCTTCGCAGCCCCTTTGCTGGCACTAGCTGTTCGCTGTTCCGAAGCTCTCTGAGCCGGCGAGGAAGCGGGCTCAGCGTTGCGGGCATTCGAGGGTGTGGACGGCGAGGACTTCTGGAAAAAGCCGAGAATAGACTTCTGGCTTCGCATGTTCTGGGCGCTCGAGGTGGTGCGTTTCAACGCCGCAGAGGGAGGAGTCGCGGTCGTGGGGGAGGATGCGGCGGGCGCACCTTTAGCCATTCTGAGTTAATGACAGTAAAGATGGGTCATTCAAATGATGATCTATGGGGAATGAGATGATATCACAGAGAAATACACGGGGAAGGGATAGAATTAAGTTGGTAGGGGCATCGTGGATGGGGATGTCGGAGGGTCGCAGACGGGAAAAGGTGATGGATCGCATTGGCGGGCGGCACGCGTCGACGCGTTTAGTGGTTTTTCGTGCTTCCCGCCGGACAGCGACAGCAGAGACCGTTTGCACCCCCTTTCCAGCCATGAACCAAGGGAATTCGTTGGGAGATTGTTCATCTGTATAAGCATACAGTCTCATTATATACATATGTCTATCTAATAATACATGGATGGCGGCGTATGACCGGTTGGTAGTGCTCTCTACACGCCATGTTTTTTTGCTTCAAATCCCGCCTTCAATCCTCATTCCTTCGTGGAATCGGAAGCAGTTGACTCGAATTCCGGCTTCTCCGGCTCCCATCCAGGGGCGCTGAGGCCGAGCTTCTTATACTCCTCGTCGCTGACAATCGTCACGACCTTGAATTTCCACTTGCCCAGCTTCAGGAACAGCATGTTGCCATCCACAACGAACTCCTTTGTCTTTGCCCCAGGCCACGTCGATATAGGCGTAAAGGCGAGGTCATCCGACATAGGACCACTGTCCCCCGGACGACTTCCGACATAAGCACCTTTCATTGTGGCGAGACGATGACCCTCAGTCTTCGAGGCCACTAGTCCTGCAGACCAAAGAACCTTATGCAATGGCTGGTTGTATACCAGCGACTCGGGCAGAGTAACATTGGCGCTCGGCATGTTAGCGAAGTTAGTTTGCGCGGCATAAATATTCCCAGATTGCGGGTTAGCGAAAGACGCGGCCTGCGTGCGCATATGGCTGGCAGGAGGGCTGGAGGTTTTTGGCATGGGTGTCGGCGGTGCCTTCGAAGATCGTGATCGGAACAATTGACGGTGTTGCATAGCGACAGCGTCCGCCTCTGCCTTGCCATGGATGAGCTCGACGAACTCAGATGCCAGGGCATGCTGTGCAACTCGCTTGGATGGGTCCTTGACCTGCTCCTCCATGATTTTCGTGATTTCAGGGGTGGGAATGAAGGTGAACATCTTCAGATATCGCTCAACAACGTCATCGGGGGTGCGGACAAAGAACTACAGCCAGTCAAAATCGTGCAATGGTCCAAAGGAGCGGGTCTGAACAAACCTGATACAGCTCGAATGTCGAGGTCATGTCTTTGTCGAGCCAAACAGCATTGCCGGCGGACTTGCCGAACTTCTCACCATTCGGAGCCGTCAACAACGGCGTAGTAAACCCAATGGGCTTGTCAATGTCATCGTCCAAAGGGTTGCGGACTTGCTCCAGACTGGTGTTTTTGCTAATAGATTTAACAGCATCCATTCCAAAGAGGATATTTCCATACTGATCCGAGCCTCCGACTTGAACCTGGACGCCTTTCTTGAAGAGCGTCCACCAGTCCCAGGCTTGCAACAGAGGATAGGTGAACTCAGCAAAAGACATTCCGTCGCCGTTGGCAAGGCGGTTCTTCACACTAGGCACTGGGTTAGCAACACTCGTAAATCGGAGAAAAGAACCTGAAAACTCACGTTTCTCTCCCGAGCATGGGACCGAGTCGCATATGCACGCAGAGGTCGCGAAGGACCTCAATGAAAGGTGTGCCGTTCCACCAGATGTTGTTGTTTTCCAAAGACCGCTTCCAGGCCTTTGTCTTTTCGTGTCCGTGTCTCCGGCCGTATGCGTCGATGCTGGCGCCCAGTTTCTTCAACTGCATGTGCATGCTAGCCATGTTCGCTTTGCGGATCGACGAATGGACTTGCTCCCGTCCCTTCAATCGCCCAGTAGGATCACCGACTCGCGAAGTCGCGCCTCCCAGCTGTTATCCTGTTAGCCATGTACCACGCGCCGTCACCTGTGGAGTTCCGAGGTGCATCACTGACCAAAAACGTGACGGGCAATCCCCAAACGTAGCCCCAAGCCAGGACCATAAAAGGCAACATATGGCCAACATGCATCGAAGGAGCCGTCGGATCAACACCAACGTAAATTCCCGTTCTTTTCTCCGTGAAAACCCTATGCAACAGATCTCGCTCACTGTAGAAACCAAATCAGCCCGAGAATCGGCGCATCTCAACTCCAGTGTCACTCACCCCACAACATCATGCACGAGCCCTCGCTCTTCCATAAACTCCAAAAAGCTCTGCCTCTTTCCCGCTTTGATCTCCTCCGCCATCTCAGCCCATTGCTTTTTTTCGTCCTCCAGCCGCTTCAGGTATTTTTGTGTGATTGCTCGTGTTTGCAGGGCATCGCGTGGGATAGTCTTCGTCTGCAGGGCTGGTCGAAGGTTCCTCGTCTGGAAGGGATTCGCTCGTAAGGACTCGGAGGTTCGCGCGTAGCTGCGAGCGCCGCATATCGTTTGGCGGACCGGGGATCGCATGGTTAACGCCTGAAGGCGCGCCCTGCACGGCAGGGAACCCAATTGTGGCCTCATGAGACCGGCGGTATGTCGGATATCAATCGATCGCGATATGCGCGATAAACTGAATCCAAATGGCGTGGGGGATACGAGGAAGGGAACTGCGGTGACTTTTTCTGGTTCTCGAGCTCCGACGATAAGAAGCGGATCCGCTGCTTCGCCGACGGAGAATCTTTGATGCGGACTTGGGATTTTCGGCCAGGAGATCAGGTCCTGTCATGGCATGCCGTGTTCAGTCTTAAAATGACTCTAGGTTGTGCTCATAAAATTAGAGAAAATAGAGGATCATGTGAAAACAGTCTACGGGGTGTTTTTCTACAAAGCTCGGGAGAGACCTGGCCGACGTGTACAAAAAACAATTCGGAAGGAGATTCAAAAAGAAAAAAAAAATCTTCATATTCATTTTCATAATTCATATCTTAAGCCAAGATCAGAGCCCTTTCACCACATACCCAACTGCCGAGCAGCCAAGTACCAATCCAGGGTCATTGACCTCAACCAAGGCCCGTCAGGGCAAACACCACCAAGTAATAAAATGGTTTCAGAGATGCCTTCATCACGTCCGTAAAGTAACAAGGTAAATGTGCCGAACGCATATATCAGCCTCCCTCCATCCGGAACCAAACAGCCCTTGAGCCCCGAAAGGAGAGCCGCAAAGCTCCAGGAGGAGGAATGGGTCATATAGAACACACTAGGCTTTCATCATCTAGGAGAAAGAATGGTTAGCTGGTATTCGAAAGGACAGAATCCTAGGAATACGGGAAAGGTATGGCTCACTATTCAAAACTTGGAAGGATGGAGAAAAGAAAGTCGGAAGGAAGAATTTCGCGCGTTTTTATTTGCATCGTGGGGCGGTCGCACTAGACTCGCCTGGGAAGGCGGAGAGGGAGCTGCCTCGCGATGCCTTTGCGGCTTCAACTTACGATATTCCGATTGACTGGTTTGCTAGCTTGGGTGGTTTTGGACTTCCTGCTTGGTCAATTCTTGTCTCGTCTTCATTCGCCGCACTGACAATGCTTCTCAGTCGAGCCGGGCGACTGTCTCCGCGCCTTTGCTCCAGCTACATCGAGATCTCGAACTATGTCCGCAGCAGACAAACGGCCTTGCGCTCCGGAGTGTATGGCAGCGTCATACCGAGGAAAGCCTTCCACGCGCGGTCGCATTTGCTCGAGGAGGCTCCGACTCGCCTAGAGCCGCGCCAATTTCTGGAGCAGTACAAGGCATCCGGTATGGATTCCATCCTCTTTCACTTGGTTACGATACTCTAATCGCTAACTCAGATATCGTCTAGTTGAATTCCCGTCTGCCACCTATGACTTCGAGACCTTTCTGTCGCAAGCCGCTCCGGACCAAGAAGTAGTCCTACATGGATACCTGGGTGATCGCAAGGACTTATCCAAGAAGCTCGCCTTCGTGCGCCTGACGGACCCGACCATGAGACACAGCATCCAGCTGGTATCACTCGCCAAAAGCGGTTCCTTGGAGAAGCTCAAGTCGGTCCGCCCGAACAGCCCTGTCGCAGTCCGCGGGAAAGTGCAGCAGAAGCAGTCCAAGGGGTCAGAGATGGAGAAGACCGATCCGTGGGAACTGCAGCTGGAAGAAGTCTACCCGTTGAACGAGTTTCCGAAAGATATCCTCATGAAGTCGGACACCGTCTTCGCGCCAAAGCACCGATATCTGCAATTGCGGGCTGATGCGGAATTGCGTGAAGCGCTGCGATTCCGTGCTCAAGTACACAACATCTGCAAGGAGGAGTTGGAACAGTGTCGTCCGCCGTTCGTCGAAATCGAGACTCCTCTGCTGTTCAAGTCCACGCCTGAAGGTGCTCGAGAATTCTTAGTGCCGACCCGGAAGCAGGGACTGGCTTATGCTTTGCCTCAGAGTCCGCAGCAATACAAGCAGATCCTTATGGCTAGCGGGATCCCGCGGTACTATCAGTTTGCGCGCTGCTTCCGTGACGAAGATCTTCGTGCCGACAGACAGCCGGAGTTTACTCAGGTAAGAACTTCCACGCCTTCCAACCGTCAATATCACGCTCACTGTCGTTGTCTCAGCTCGATCTGGAAATGTCTTTCGCTACTGGAGATGATGTTATGCGCACGATCGAAGGTGTCATTCGCCGACTCTGGTCAAGCCTGATGAAAGACCCTGCTCCTGAGGGACCCTTCCGAAAAGTGTCTTACGAGGAGGTCATGGGTCGCTACGGCTCAGACAAGCCCGACACTCGATATGGCATGGAGATCTCACGCATTGGCCACCTCCTGCCCGTCGACCTCGTCAACAAGATCACTCCACTACTTGATCCGATCGTCGAGGTCTTCAAGGTCGAAAACAATGAGAACGACCCCGCCGCCATGGCCCAGTTCATCAAAGAATTCCTCGACTCACCCGCCGGCGCGCCATTCAATGACAACCCCGAAGGCGGTCCGGGTGTCTTCGTGTACGACGCAAAGAAACCCCTCTGCGGACTACAGCCCTTCGGCTTCGAGGCTGCCGAATACATGGAGGAGCTCCTCGACCTCGACCACGGCGATCTGATCATCATCCAAGCGCGCGAACAAGCCCCCTTCTCCGGCGGCTCTACCCCCATCGGCGACCTCCGTCGTGCGCTGCACTCCGCAGCTGTCACCTCCGGGTTCAAACCCGCGCCCACCGGCTTCGACTTCCTCTGGGTCGTGGACTTCCCGCTCTTCTCGCCATCCAGCGACTCCGAGCCCGGCCAAGGCGGCGCCGCCGGTATCTCATCGACGCACCACCCTTTCACGGCGCCCAAGAACGCCGCCGACGTCGACCTCCTGCTCTCGGATCCCACGAAGGTCGTCGCAGACCACTACGACCTTGTAGTCAACGGCGTTGAGCTCGGCGGCGGCAGTCGACGTATTCACGACGCCGCCGTGCAGGAGTTCATCCTGCGCGACATTCTGCAAATGCCGGCCGAGCGACTCGCTGACTTTGCACATCTCCTGGAGGCGCTTCGCGCGGGGTGTCCGCCGCATGCCGGTCTGGCTCTCGGATTCGATCGTCTCGTTGCCGTCATGCTCGGTAAGGAGTCTGTGCGTGATGTGATCGCGTTCCCGAAGATGGGGAAGGGTGGCGAAGATCCGATGGTCAAGGCTCCTAGTCCGATGACGGAGGAGGCCTTGAACACGTATCATCTTCGCATGAAGGAATAAGCGATGCCGTAGAGAAGAGTGCGGCAATGTGGAAGGGGGAGAAACGTGTACAATGTGTATATATAGATGTATGATATAGATGTTATACCTAATCCCATCTCACGTTTTGAGCAAGGTATTCTTTTCATAAGAGATAGGGCAAATAACCAAAGTTGGTCAAGACAACAAGAGTAATTCACCGACCACTTCAGTGCACAAAGGTAGGTAGAACCTTCGTGGCTGCCCCTTACACACACTGTCATAAAAGGACTACCTACTCGGTCGGAGAATTAGCTGCTGTAGGCCTTTTAATCTTTCTGTTTGGTAGAAGTGCTTCAACGAACTGCCGTTTGCTTGACTAAGCGTAGCCTGCATGGAAACGCAGAAAACTGAGGTTCTGAAAGCTAGTTACAAGCCGAGGGAAGAACTGATTTCCTCTCGCAACCCTCTTTTGCATACAGAGGTATCGGGCGATAATCAGGTCACCTAGAATCAAAAGAGATGGGTGAGCCCTTTATAACACGCCCTAGGGCTTGCCTGTGATGGGGATACAATCTGAAGGAAAAACGCCTATTTATGTAGTTCTGCTTGCACCCACTCGTCTTGTTCGAGATCCATAGCAGAGCTTCGCTTTTCCGGCTCCCATTGTAGCATTTTCCGTACTAGGCGGAGAAACATTTCCTTTTCTTCTCCCTCGAGCGGGATAGGTTCTCCCACTAATTCTCCGGCGTGGAAATTACCTAGAATAGCAGAAATGTCAGCAATTGACACTTTCAATGGAGAGAATAATACATGAAATACCGTCATGTGAAAAGAGCTTTTGCGTCATATGACCCCGGGCAAGGAAACTTGGCGATGGTGGACCGAGTAGGCGTATGATTTCGGCAAGATGAGCCCGACTTCTGTAGGTCTGAAATTCTGGGTCCTGGCCACTAAACAGCGAGCCTCCTTCGAAAAGGTTCCAAATCTGACACTGTAAGCCTAGACAAATTTTGTATCGGAAGTATTCGCTTTCTTACCATGCATCCCACGTTCCATATATCAACGCTACATGACCATGGAGCTTGTAAGATCACTTCCGGTGCTCGATAGATATCCGGCTGAATGTCTTCCGAGTGCTCTTCGTCACCCATCACGGCCGAGCCAAAATCACAGAGAATAGGTGCGCCTAGGTTTTTAGGCATTCTGAGCTCGCGAGAGGTATAGATTGTCCTTCCATCTATCTCCTTTCTAGGACAGGGGTTTTGGAGTTCATTGTTTTCAAAGTCACCGAAAACAGACTCGTCAGCTATGCCGAACATAATGTTATCTGCTTTGATATCTAATGTATTGGTAAGCAAATGATTGATCTCAAAACCGGGAAGAGAAAACTATACCTGTATGGATAATCTTGCATTCTGTATGTAGATAGTCTAATGCAAGAAATAGACGATGAAGTGTCACTGCCAAGATTGGCGTATGCAGTCTCTGTACTGGGTTGCGGAATAAAAAATCCAACACACTCTCCCATAATGGAGGATGCACAAGACATCGATGTTTGTCTTCAGGCCCATTGATGTCAAAGTAGTCCAGCAAAGATCTGATGTACTTGCGACCTGGATGTTTTCGGGAAGCCCCTTCAATACGTTTGTATATTTTCAGCTCGTCGTCCAGCTGCTGCCCCATTGATGTGGACTTAATGAAAATCTTGAGAGTGACATAGCGACGATATCTGTACTTTTAGTCAGTGATAAGCTTGCGAGATCATGAAGATATGAGATGTTATGTCACTCCATGTCACGTGCGAGCCACACCGTTGAGCTGGCTCCAAATCCCAGTTTACTCACAACTTGGTACCGGTTCTTGAATATCTCCCCTATCCGAGTTGGATAATACCGACCCGCAATATAACCCGGAATAGTTTCCTCCTCGATTGCCGGGGTTGTCGATATCTGAATGGAACTCAGATTGGGGAAGTTGAGAGGTGTCCATCTTCGTCCGACCCGGGACAAGGACTGAAGGAAAGACGTCAACATTTCTGAGCAAATAAGGGCGAGTTTCTCTCTTTGATTTTCTTTTTTCTTTTCTTTTTTGCAGTGCTGTGTTTCAAAATATGGCTGGCGGGCAGCAATATGAGGACAGTAATGGGGTTCTGGGTGACAAAAAAGTAATTGAGCTTTTTCCTCCCTGCTCTAGCAATATGGAGTTATGAATTAATGCACTTGTAGCCCAAAATCGTAGAAGGCAAACATAATTATAGGTGAATATGCACTCGAGAGGGAGTTTGGCCGGGTTGAAGGTATACAGTTGGCGCGGCGTAAGGACTTTCTCGCGCGGTGTAAGAATCAATTAAGACGCGCTACCTCATCCAGTGTAAGGGGCAGCCATGAAGGTTCCAAGTTAGTTGCTCACAGGAAATGAAAGGCCAAGGGAGAAAAGAAAGAAGAGCTGTTATACAAGCGCTGTCCTATACCGGAAAGGGAATCTAATACACAGACGAATAAAAACAAAGAAAAAGCGGAGGGTCTCCAAACAGTTCATAATCCACTCAAGCTGTCGAGGGTTTCGGATGGGAAACTTGCGTCGAGGAAGAGCTCTGGTTCACTGCCTCGTCACCCTCTTCCTCGTCGTAATACACATAATCGTCGTCCTCCTCTTCCGACGTTCCAAAAGCGTTCTTCCAAACACCATCCCATAAACCCTTCTTCGTCACGAGGCCGCCCACCAGGAGAATGGGCAACTGCCAGATGCTAGCCCAGAAAAGGCCACGGGCCGAGCCATTCCCGCCCTTGTGTTGCCAGAAATGATACGCCTCCTTGACGAGCCAGCCATTGGCGAAGGTGCTGCCAACGAGGAATCCGTGGCCCACGACGCCAACCCACCAGAGACCGATGGAGATGGGGAACATGAGGACCGAGTAGCGCAGAGCAACACGAGCGTTCATCGCGGGGTTCACCCAGCAAAGCATCCTGTATCCGGCATTCCGGTAATCATCCCGGATGAGATGCGAAAGGGCGTTGAAATGGGGAAACTGCCACGCGAACAGAATTCCACCAAGCAGCCAGCCACCAATGCTGTTCTCACTAAAGAGCATATCGCGCCATGTGTCATGGCCCGTGGTTGCGGTCTGCCCGGACGCGGCAACCCAGCCCATCAGCGGAGGAATACCTCCGACAATGGCGCCCACCCAAGTATTGACGACATGAATACGCTTCAGCGGAGTATACACAAATGCGTACAAGCAGATGTTAGCAGCCGAAAGCGCCGTGACCGTGGGGTTGGTTCCAAAGTAGAGCAGACCGAGACCCGAGGCGGCCGTTGCAATCGCAAAAAGGATTGCCCCTCGACGCGAGACAAGTCCCCGCACCAACGGCCTGTTTCGTGTGCGGGTCATAAGCGCATCGTACTTGGGCTCCAAGGTCATGTTCAAGGTATTGGCACTGCAGCATGATAGGAATGTACCGGTCGTTAGGTAGAGAAAGGTTAGAGTAGATGTCGAGAGGGTGGGAAGTGGAGTCATGGCCGGATCGAGGGCGAGAAGAGAAGAGATCGGATACATTCCGTAGGCAGACGTCGTTGTCAAGAGAATCAGGAAGGAGAGGCGAGGCTTGCAGAGGGCGAAAAAGGCGGCCATTTTGCGGCGGAGGGACGTCGCGGGGAGAGCGGACGACAAAGACGACAATTGCGACGAGGCGTCAGGTGGCAATGTCGTCGCAGATCCATTATCGTGACCGGTCTCTTCCTTTAGACGTTTCCTCCGGCGATGGGGCAATTCTGTTTGACTCGACTCGGAAGCAGCGGGGCCGGCGTCGGTCTCGTTCTTTGATGATGAGGATAAGTCGGTGGAGTTCGCTTGAGCGGAGGAATTGACGGAGCGCAACGAGGAGAAAAGGTCGTTCTTTTTCGCTAGACCATCAACTCCTTTATTGGACGAAAAATATGTCTTGTTCAGGTTCGAAGGAGCGGACGGATTATCGGCGATGCTAGATTGTAACCTCGAGAACGAGATGAAGGTGCGGGCTGCGGAGGGCCGTTGAGAGCGATTGACACCCAGAAGACACTGGGAACACACGAGAGACGGGTCCCGAGGCGGTCCTAGCCTCCGCAGAGAGGGGCGGAGGAGGATCATGGCGATGAGGACATACACATACCAGGATCGGAGAGGCGGGAGAGCGAGTGGGAAGGGCGATAATAATCGTTCGTCAATCCCGTGAGGGCGGATGTCCGTTCGCGCGGCGGCAGCGACCAGAAGCGCAGTTATTTTTCCTGCCGGCAGTTGGACCACCTGTTCGTGCATATTTCTTTCGTCCCCAACACTCGACGATCGCTGTCATCGCTGCTCGCTGCTCCGCCATCCTTTGACCTCATCGCCCACAGGGCTCCTCTTCAGCCGCCATGGAACCTCTTCAGAAAACCCTCATCGACCCTCTCCAGCCCTACCTCCGTCCGGTCGTCTCGTCCCTGCCGGAACCCGTTCATGATGCTATCAAAACCTTGATTGGAAACACCTGTTACAACACACTAGTGGTGGATCTCGATGTCACCCAGGATCCGGCCTGCACTTCCCTTGCTATCTCTAAGGTTTTGGGCATTGCCATTGTGGGCGCAAGCGCGATTGTGAAGGTGCCCCAGATCTTGAAGCTGATCGGCTCCCGCTCGTCGGCCGGCGTGTCGTTTGTGTCGTACGCTCTCGAGACTGCCAGCCTGTTGATCACGCTGTCCTACAGCGTGCGCAACCAGTTCCCGTTCAGCACCTATGGCGAATCGGCCCTGATTGCAGTTCAAGATGTTGTGGTGGGCGTTCTGGTGTTGACCTTCGCCGGTCGTTCGGCCGGTGCGGTGGCGTTCATTGCCGTCGTCGCGGCCAGCGTGTATGCACTGCTTGTGGATAATACCCTGGTGGATGCGCAGACCATGTCGTATCTGCAAGCTGGTGCTGGAGCCCTGAGTGTGGCTAGCAAGGCGCCTCAGATCTACACGATTTGGCGCGAAGGAGGAACTGGACAGCTGAGTGCTTTTGCGGTAAGCTTAAAAAAAATAAAAAATAAAAAAAGGTAGAAGTTTTTCTCTAACGGATGATTCTTTTAGGTTTTCAACTACCTCGCCGGCTCTCTTTCTCGCATCTTCACCACCCTCCAGGAGGTGGACGACCAGCTGATCTTGTACGGATTCTGCGCCGGGTTCAGCTTGAACTTGATCCTTGCCTTCCAGATGCTGTGGTACTGGAAGACCCCGACCAAGCCGAAGAAACAGGCCACCAAGCCCAAGGCCCAATCCAAGCCTGTCGAGAAGGCCACTCCGGTGACTCCTGCCGCGCGCAGCTCGGGAGCATCCCCGTCCCCGAAGCCCTCTGGCAAGACACCGACCACGCGCCGACGGGGTTGAGCGTGTTTTCCATACTTCTTTCTCCAGGAACTAGTTAATGCAATAATAATTCCCGTTCCATTCATCTCTCCAATATACCCTGTCCGTAAACAATCACTCAGAATCACCGCTGCCCCGGCGGCGCCCCCGTAGTCATAAACCTCAAGATCTCATTCAACGGCACAACCGGCCCCGTAGGCTTCTGATGCGTCGCGGCCGCAATATCAAACTCCAAGCCACTCCCCGCGCCCGACTTGCGCCTCACGCCCACAACCTCCATCTCATCCTCGACCTCATCCTCCTCTTCCTCATCCGACCTCCCCTCGTCATCCTCATCCTCCAACTGCCTCTTCAACCCCGTCACCACATTCTGCACGCCCATGTTCCTCTCCTCCAGCGTGAAATTCCCACCCCAGTTCCGGCCCCTCGCCTGCTGATTCGCCTCCACCGGCGCCCAGTGCCACAGCTCCGCGAGCTGCGACTCACTGAGCCCGGCGATGTCTTGCAACGCGGAATCGCCGGCCTTGCGACCGCGCGCGACCCAGTCGTCGACGCGGGGGTCAAGTTTCGTACGGAGCAGTTGCTCCAGGATGTTCGATTGGGTGCGGCCGGGGTATGAGGGGCCCGGGTAGGCGACGAGAGAGCTCAGGAGATCGTGGTTCTCGGAGAGGTGTTCGGAGACGCTGAGGAGGTTGTTGGAGATGATGCTGGCTTGGGATTGGAGGGAGGACCTAGCGGGTTTCGTTTAGTATTCGAGGATAGGTGATTGGGGGCGTTGCAAGCTTTTGAAATGGAGGGGTTCGTGCGGAGGGAGGGGGTAGCTACCAGGGTGGAAGGGTCTCGCCTTGATGGAGACTGGTGATGAGAGAGGCGAGAGAGCGCGTGAGTTGTACCAGTCGCTGGCGGGATTGTTCGAGGGTTTTGATCTGGTCCTGGGTGGGAGCGGACATGATGGGTGGGAGTAATTGGAGGGATGAGGTGTGAGAGAGTAAGAGAGTTGAATTGAAGATTGAAGATGGAGATGGAGACACAAAGACGTCCCGATCGGGAATAGCCTCGTTTTTGTCTGTACTCCACGCTCCACCGGCATCACTTGGTTAGACAACCCTTCTGCATCCATGAAAATCAATTTTCAGTTCATCTTTGCTACCCTGTCGTTGAGTATCATAAAAAAAAGAACGAAAAAGAAAAAGAAAGCTCATGACCCTTAATATTTGGCCTTTTCTCAAAGTATCGTTCCATTTCAAAATATATATTGCGACAATAACCAGTGTGTATACTACATGGCACTCCACAGGTATTAGAGCCCTCTGTTTCTGATATAAAAGGGCATCATAAAGCCATGGGATCTGTGAAGCACAGACCTGTGACTTACTAAACAAGGAAAGGCAGTGAAGATGCCTAAAGTTCTTAAAGGGTGCCCAATATTTGCTTATAAACAAGGTCCCCGCAGAACTGAAACTGAAAGCACACAACTTCCATTGGAATCTTTGCAGTATCTCCGGTCAAATCGCTGCTGTTTAATCACTACTGATTTATTCAACATGAGCTCAAGCCCTTGCACAGCATATAGCTGGACTACTGGACGCCAAAAGCACTGTAACTACAAAAGCCACCTCAAATTATTCTATAAAGCAGGCGACCGAGGCGCCTGGTCAATAGGCTCAAAGTTGATATTGAAAGATCGAAGTCCTAGTCTTCCGACCTTTGAGGTACCAAGTATTCAATTTGTGCAGGAGCAGACCTCTATCCCAGTCCCCACTATTATCAAATCTTAGGAGGAAGGCGAACACACTCTCATATTGATGCGACGCATCCCTGGTGAACCTCTGAGCAAAGTTTGGTCAAAGCTTTCTACCGATGAAAAAGAGAGGATAGCAAAGCAGACTGCTGAGTATCTACAGCAACTTCACAATCTCCAGTCTGATAAAATTCAATCTCTCGGCGGTCGTCCAGCTTTTTCCAACTTCCTATTTAAAAACAAGGATTCCAAACCTTCCCAAGGTCTTCTCGCATCTGGTAGCAATCTCTGGGCTGATATGGAGCGTGGTTTGAAAGAAACGATCCCGGAGGCTGCGCGAGTACGGCGTCAACATTGCATGCCATCCGCTATGCCTTACACCTTTACGCATGGCGATCTCACAAATGTCAATATCATGGTTGAGAACGGTTCACTTACTGGTATCCTTGACTGGGAGATGTCTGGATACTTTCCAGTATAGTGGGAATATGTGTGTACTTCGGTGCCTGATAGTGAGGAGGACAGAGAGTGGAAGGCGTTGCTACGAAAATATATGCCTGACTATGGCGTCGCACGCGAGTTCTGGCTGGGCTATTATTATCTCCGCAGGGATTTATACAGTGAAAGAGCGATGAAGTTCATGAAAAAAAAAAAAATAAGGAATGAGACCCATGAAGGAGGGGTCTAGCCTATCGTTCAACAACAGCAATGCCCTCCCTCCAATGTCTTCGGCTTGCAATTCGGGGGATCCCAAGTGACGGAAATTTTATAGGTAGTCTGGCACGAGTTTCCTCGCCGATAATGACACCAGTCCAGGATTACTACTCATCAGATTATGCGGGGGCACAGGCACAGGCACAGATGCCAGCAGGCTTCTTCGTCCGGAGCTGAACACGCACACATGGACCATTGAATAAAGAAATGCAATCATTTTCCTTCCTCAATCCTCCACAAGTGATAAAACCTCAACCCCTCATACCAAGACCAAAAAACCGCTGCCTAGGACTCCGTCCGGAGGGGATCTCCTCTCATCACTCTAGCCCTACCCTAAGGATCTATACATAGCAACAACCATCCCCCTCGCAGGATGCTAGAAGCAAATAACAGTAACTAAGAAGACCAACCCCCCTCTCGATGTAAGTGATATCTTCACAAAAATCTATAAATACACCCCGTCACTCACCACCAGCCAATCAGATGCCCAGGACCAGGGTCCTCTCGCGTCTTGGGAGGCCATGGCGCGAACGCTCATTCGTCCACCGCGGACTTGACAGGCCGTGTTTATTTTTAGTGGGCGTTTGGAGGTGCTTGGCTGAGTGGGATTTCGGGGTTGGGAAATGACGGTGGGTGGTCTATATATTGGGCTGAGGGTTGGCGCTCTTTTTTTCTCTTTGGTTTTGTTTTGTTCTGGGGAAGGAGGGCTTTTTTCGATATATACAGTTCTTCGTTCATTGCAGTCATTTGGTTAGGGTTCTTATGGACAGGTGATATGATATGGTCGCTCGCTTGGTTGATCGCTTCGATTTCTTCCTTCCTCTCGTCCTTCTCTTTGATCACCTCGCTCGGTCAACTTCAACTCGACTCGACTCGAAAACCAAACCAGAACGATACCTCACTGTCAAGGAATGTGATGAACAACCAATAAGACACATCGAGTGATGTGTACTCGACGCTCGGACAGGAAAGGAGGGGACAGACATTAATGTTCCTCGGGTTGAGGTATAGGGTATGGGGTATGAGATATGGGGTATATGACATCCACCGCATGATCGTGACCATGATATCAAAGGAAAGACAACAAAGAAAAAAGCAAAAAAGGAAAAAGCGAACAGAGACCAAGTCAAAAGTCAACCACATTTAATGGTATGTTCTGACTGGCCCCGACGTCACTGATCTGTCTCACAGGACTCCATCCCTCATGTAGATGGTCGGTCTAGAAGAGAAGGAAGTGATTAATCTTGCGATTAACCATCCAATACTCTCCTATCTGGCAGTGGAAGAGCATGGTTCAAGTCCATTCACTTCTTCTGATCCTGCTGCCCCTGCACATCCGGCGGCGGAAAGTAAGGCTGGATCTGCCCGCCCCAGTAAGTCTGCTGCTCTGACCCCTTCTCCCTCTCGGGGGAATATGTCGAGTCTGGCGCCTGCACGGTCGACTCGCTGACCGAAGCATAATGGGATTTGGAATATCCCACATTATGCTGCGGGCGGCCATCACTGTCCACGAACCCAAACCCTCCCCCAGGCCCTACTCCTCCTGCCCCTTGCACAGCGCCGTACCCCTGCTGCTGGATCGCGGGACTATACATATCATGATACTGCGTCCAGCCATGTGCCGGGGTACTGATCGTGGTATCATTCCAGCGGGCATGCAAATGGCTCGAGGCGCGCTGTTTGCGGGCCTTTCTGCGACGCCAGCGGATGAAAAAGAAGCAGCCGACGGCGAGTGTGCAGAGCAGAATTACAAATCCTAAGATGGGCAGGGCAATTACCAGAGCCAGGTTGTTTATGCCGGATCCACCGTCGTCGGGATTGAGAAGGTCGACGGTGGATTCGGGCAGTACGGATTGGCTGAAGATGCGGGCTGGGTTGATGGGGAATTCACTTCCCGTGGGGACGTGGAAGTGGCAGTTATAGCGGAGGGCTTCGAGGACTGCATTCATTTGTGTCTGGTCAGACCCAGATTCCGCCGAAAAAGGGGGAAGAGGAAATGGACAACTTACAGTTCGCCATATAGATCTGCGTTGTGGTAAGGTTGTAGCAGAACTCGCACTGACTGATGACATTATCGGCAAACGACGAAACGCCACACCAGGTATCGAAATTCACGCCACTGGGATCCTTGAGATCGTACTCCAGCGCTGTGTCCAGACTCTGACAGGAAACGGTACATTGGGACGAGATATTGTTCACGCTCTCGGGAAACCCGTAGACGCAGCTAGTGAAGGCGTATCGAAGGTTATCTGCATGGATTTCCCTTGCATTAGCACCATATTCTCACCGGTAACAAGAGAAAAGCAAGGATTCGAGCCCAGAGGCTCAGAAAAACGCGAAAAGACGAAAAGAACTCACAAAGACCCCATTCGACATCCGTCTGACCCGAGGCCGAATCGCTATAATTACTGCGCAACTGACACTCGACACAGTTCTGGAATTTCGACCCCTTGGCCGTATTCTTGAACTCGTCGTCCAGACAGGCAATTTCGGACCCCGTCGTGCTATTTGACTGTCGATTGCAGACATCCACGCAGGGCGATCCGGCAGTGCTCCGCAATCCGGCAGCCGGGGCTGCCATGCCCAGCAGTAGCAGCGATATTATTAGGGCTACCGCCCATGTCGACGTAGATCTGGTACGGCTCGAACAGCCGAGCATTTTGGGCTGTGTTTTGCTTTTGAGGGATCGATCGATCTGACAGGATCTGGTTTTGGATCTGGTCTAGTAAACAAGAACCAGATGGACTCTCGTCCTTTCGTCTCTACGACAGCCAGACCAGGTGTCGTAGAGTCAACTGTGCTGGCATCGAAATCACCGGGCGGTGATCAAGATTCAAGACAGTCAGACGAACGATGCAGGAGATCAGAGGGATCCGACCAGAGGAAGTGACAAGAACCAAGAAGAGGCTATACAAACGACAAGACGGCAAGAACGGCAAAAGATCCCAGGGTTGGCATCTCTCGGTTCCTTCCGTGAGCCTGATAAAGTACCAGACCCAAAGCAGAGCAGACAATGCAGCGAGAGGGAAAAATTCGAGCAAGCCTCCCCAGCAAGACAAGAGGGAACAAGCATAGAGAGCGGGTACGAGAGGCGTGCTGGGCGCTAAGAGAGCCTGTCAGAGTGCACGACGCCCCCAATGCACGGTGATCCGACCCGGACCCCGGTCCATTGGAGTGGGAAAGGGACTGTGTGATGGGAAGGGAGGAGGAGATTCCGATTGTGATTGTGACGAGGCCTGCAGGTCGCAGCGGGCGCTGGTTGAAGCCGTTCATTTGCCGATCCTCGCTGGCTAGTCGAGGCTAACTGACCTGCTAACGAGCCAACGACACTAGAGAACTCGATGTACCCCTCACGGCGAAGGATTGCTAGCGATTGGTGGAGCTGAAGCCTCTCAGGTCGCGATTCTGTCTCGGATGCATCGCGCCGCAGGATGAACAAGGATCGTCACTGTGGATTGCCTCCAACCGACTTATGATGTTGCCGTTGTTGTCGCCGTGATGAAGTGACGGTCGAGCAGCACTAGGTTAGCGGTTAGCTGCCGGACGAAAAGCCTCCCAAAATCAGGTCGATCGCTTGGTTTCCCCGACGGAGAGTCATGTTACCCATTTTCATACTTGATCCCTACGGTCCAGAACCAAATAGCTTAAATGGCGTGCATGGATGCGGTAATAACTCAGGATACTTGCCGCCAATGAGGGATGAAGACGCCCAGTTGGTCGAGGCGCAGAGATAGCATAAATCTCATAAAATAAGAATGTAACATGGAATAAATAAGAAATAAATAAAATAAAATCAAAAAGCGAAAAATCCACCCCAAAATCAAAGAGACGCCACAATGCAGATGGTACCTTTTGCTTTCTCGCTGGTGGCCACGGAGAATTAGAAGAAAACAATCCAACGAATAATATCAACACCAAGAAACAGACAGAAAACAAAATAGATTAAACCAGACAGCCTGCCATGACTCGTAGTACAGCCCCAGTCCAGCCCAAGCCCTATCCGTAGAGCTCGTCGTACGATGGCACCAATTCCTGTCGCCGCGCCGACTCCGCTTCGCGGGGTTTGGCGCGTCGAGGCTGCTGCTGCTGCTGCTGCTGCTGAGGTAGCGGTGGGGGTTTCTTGTCCTGGTGCACAGAGTGATAGAGAAGTCGGGGTTCCTCGGAGGTCACCGAAGGCACCGAGGAAACAAAGCTAGAGTGCTTGGAACTGGCGGTCGTAGGCATCGTAGTCGGCTCCGTAGCCGTACTCTGCACACTGCAGCGGCGCATACGAGATGTCACCGATAACGGAGGCGACTTGGATGCTCGCGCATAGGGGTCCTCTTCTCGTCCCCCAGCGCGAGAGGCACCCTGGGGATGATGATGATACCGTCCCCGGGAGCCTCCCAGGGCAGAAGGCACGTCTTCCTCTTCATCCTCGTCAGCTGAGCAGTCGTCTGAGTCCTCCTCCCACGCCCGCGGGGAGTGAGGGTAGGGTGGCTTGGTCTTCGAACGACCGCGGAGTTTGGCATCGTAGTGGCCCGTGGGTATCGTCATGGCCGAGTCGACAGAGGCCTTGCGATCCCCGGAGCGCAAGGGAGTGGGCACGCGCGAGGAGCCTGCCGGTCGGTCCAGCGCATCGAGCGAGCCATGTCGTCGACTCTGCTCGGAGGGCCTTGCGGGCATGGCGTTGGGGACTCCCCCGGAGGACTGACATTGACTCCATGATCCCTCGGTGGGATAGCTGATAGACACGTCGCCCCATCGAGCATGAAGCTCGGATGACACCTTGCGCTTTCTTCTCAGCTTTTCAATGATGGCCGTCATGATTCTCCGAGAACCGTTCACGAACCGACGCCTGGAAGACCAAGGCTTGGTAAGCATCATGGGATCATAGATTACAAAAAGTCACCGGCCATAGGGCGAAAGCCCAAGTAGGCTGTGTTAAAAGCCCAAGACGTAAGACGTAAGAATAAATAAATAAATAAAAACCACCAAATCAAGCGTACAGAATCAACCAACAAAAGGAAGGGGGCAACAAATGGCGCATACCGAGGAATAGCTAGATAGGAGCTGAACAGCTATGTGCAGATTTCTTGGTTTCTGTTCCCCTGGGTCTACCAAATCCAGAGTTCCTTCCAGGAGCTCAAATCCAAGGAATGAAGAGACAGAAAAACGAGCGAACACAACAAGAAGAGGGGGGAGACAATCCACCGGCCTGCATGAGGGTGAGGATATATCAGAGCATATCCCAACGAGCGCAACCGTGGGCGCATGCCTCTCACGTCAAGTAGGGAATAAAAGATTTCGAAAAATCAAATCCAATAGAGCCAGAAGACTAAATGCAAACGGCGTGATGACGGGAGGATCGCCGCGAGCGAGAGTCAAGTGCAGGTCCGGTCAGGCAAGTGGTGTCCTTCAGCAGGAGGGAAACTTCCGACCTTCCCACTTTCGCCGAAGGGAAAAGACGCGTTGTCGACCCGACAGTCTGGGTCGTCCCCCTCCTTTACGCTCTCCTTTCGTCCCGGTGGAGGTCGACCGAAGGCTCATTGGGATCACCCGCGGCGGTTTTGAGGCGGCACGACCAGCGAGCAAACCACCGCTGGCCCTGTCGGATCCGGGCATGCATTGCTGGGATCCGGGAGCGTACAGAGGGCCAGGAAGCCATGCTCTCTTCCAATCGGGAGATCCAAGGGGACCATAGGGGACCATGACGAGAGCGCCGGGAAAATCAGAAGAGGGGAGGGGTTGCCAGAGGCGACTCGGCGGCGCAGTCATTGTGCTTGGAAACCGACATGGATATCGGATGCGGTGCACGACGCAACGCCGGCGTCGGGTCTCTTGGCGTGGCGCTTGCTGACCAGAGGACCCCTGAACGAGCCAAAATGTGGGACAATCAATTTCCCAATTCTTCCTGCCGTCGTCGTATCAGCCCCGCGACGCAAGCCAAGCCGTGGAGGGTTTTCTTTCCCCCGATCTCACTGGTGAGGTGTCAGACCAGTCGGTGGAGACCGGCGTCAGTAATCGTGACGAGATCTCTGGTCGGCCTGACTGACTGATCCAGTGACTGGACAACAAACCCATTCGGGTCTATATCGCAGGGTCGGGGAGGAAGGCCAAGAGCCACAAAGAGGGGAAACGACGCAGGTAACGAAGGTCGCGAAGGTTGGATCCAACGCCATCGCGACGCCGTCGTTGGCCGGTCAGGGAACAAGCACCCGGTTGATCGTCACGGTTGGCCCCGAACCATCCACAGAGCTTAACTAACCGCCGTGATGGGGTCATTGTGTCGTCGACGCATCCTATTGACTCGAATTCTCCTCATTGCCCAGTTGACCTTACAGTAGGCCCTGTACTAGAACTGTGCAGGTGCACTCTTGCGGACTTGGGTGCAGAATGGACGACAAGTACTTTGGTGCCGGGAGATTCAAGAGCCAGTCGCGACAAGGAATTGTCCTTCCTGATCAGGTCAACCTCAGCCTGCTAGACAGGGATAGTATTTGGAATGGGAATGAGGAGTGATAATTGATTAATTCGTTTGCCGGTGGCTTTGAGGACGAGACGTTGGCAGTCCGGCGATTCCTCGGCGTCGTGCCGTCGGAGTGTCTAGTTGTCTAGTAACGGTCTGGAGAGCTAATGACAGTTGCTCCTTCAAAGCTGGACCTGTTGGTCCGGAGTATTAGTTTGTATCTTTCGACTCTCTCCCCTGGCATTTGGCCTATACCTTTTGCTCTTCTGCTGTATCATATCCGTTCTCCTTGCTAGTGTGCGAGAAATGAAATCATCTTTCAATCAACACTGTCGTCCATCTTGATCTGTTTGATCGTTTTATCTGCTCTTGTGAATAGACCGTCTCTTAACGACATACCACTTACCTCAAATGAAGCCTTTCAGCCTTAAAGTGGGCGAAATGCAGGACACAGAACACCACATCTGCTGTGTCTCCATCAAGTCAGTTCCCTCGGGTCTACAAGGCCATCCGTCACCTGACAGAAGGCAATCAGAGGGCATGTGAATACAGCAGACCTAATGCTCAGCAGAAAGATCAGTCCAAATTTTGTATTTCATGTCCATCCACCGAGGAATGACAAGTCATTATCATTACTTCATACCATGGACTCCATGAGTATCCCATCAAACGAGTGAGTTATCCCAACCCAGTCCCAAACGCCAATCCAATTGAATCCCAGACGCCATCCAAGCACTTCAATCCAAGCCCATTCATATCTCATCATAGCAGATCAGATCACCAGATCATCACAGATTGGTAATCAACCTCGACAGAACCGGTTTCGGCCGTCGTGGTCCTCGCACCCCTTGACCGGATGATGCCTCCCCTCCCTCCGACTCCATCGACCTCGGCCCCTCCGGCGACGCCCTACCCAGGGACCCTCCCCTCTGATCCGAAGGCAGGTCCAATCCCCCGATATACGTCGTCGAATTTCGATGTGGATTGGCCCCCGACCCGGACCCTGACATGGACAATGACCCTCTACTGCTACCCTTCTTCCACGACGGCTTAACGGCCGCTGGCAACGTACTGATCCCGATACCCGAGTACCTCGAGGGATCATACACAGGCAGAGGCTGATAAGCAGGAGGGGGAGAGACAGAGTCGTGCGATTCCCTTCGTTGCCTTTGACTTTGACTTTGATTCTGATGCTGACCCGGTTCTGGCCCTGGACCTGGATTCTGCTCCAGCGACTGCGGCGCTCCGCCATACGTCCACGACAGCGACGACGAGGCCCTCGTATCTCCTAGCTCCAGATCCCCCGGGGCGAACCCATACGCTTTGTACCCGTGCCCGCTTGTCCCGTCGGCGGCGTGCGCGGCCAGAACTCGTTCCTCGTACCGACGGATGCGATCCCATTTGCGTTTTTTGAGCAGGACGAAGAGGATGCCAGCGGTGACTGTGCCGTGTGGTTAGTCTTTTGTTCTGTTACACAAGGCGAATAAAGGTGGGGTAAAGTGTCAATGTGCAGGTAAGATGGAGGGGCGCATAAGTCGGGTGGCTGGAGAGACGTACTCGCTATGGCGGCTACACCACCGACGACGACGCCGATGATAATCCTGTCCCGCGATGCATTGGAAGAGGAGGAGGTGTCGGTCGATTCAGGGTCTTCATATCGGATGTGATTGAGATGAGGAGCGTTCATGGTGAGTTCTCCCGGCCGCGCGGATTAATTAGGGCACGCTGAGGGCGAGTGACTGGACTTCCTAGGGCACCGAGACCAATGATAAACCCATCAACAGACCGACAGTTCGTTCCAGGCTCAAGGGCAAGGGTAAAGTCCAAAGCGAAGCCAACAAAAAGGAATGAGGAAATAAAACGAAGAACACGAACCCCGAACACCAACCGTTCGTGCTTAAAAGAAAGGCAAGCAAGCCAGCAAGCACTTAAGCTCCCCAGCACAGACCCTCGTTTCAAGAGCGAGTTCCCCTCTCTCATGCATCCCGTCAGCTATTTTAAACTCGAAACATCCCCCCGACCAGATCGGATCAATTGACCCGAAATTCTGCGAATCCTGCTCGCACCGGCGGCCTGTCAGACGGCGAAACAGCCGAGTCCAGCTCCCCTCCCCACCCAAAAATAGCCCAAAATTAACAGAAATAGCAGCGGAAGGATCCATAACTCTGCAGGATCCGGGAGACTCACTGGAGGGGAGGGCCTCGATAGGTGCGTGCCCAAGCGCCGACGTACAGCGCTGCTCGTGTCGGCGCCAATGAGCGCCAGCCATTCCCCGCTATTTGTGGGATGTTTGGGGAGATGCTATTAAAAGATCCGAACGAGTGTGATTGGGATGAGGATTGTGATTATCTGACAGATCACGGAGGATAAGGAATAACGAACAGCGTTCGAGCATTCGCGAACCCTTGGAGAATTAATCCTCTGCTGTTTCTAGCCTACCAGCATACTATAGATCAGCCCATGGATGTACAGGGCCCATACATTAAATAGACAAATCTCAGCAGTCTATCACTAGCCTCAACACCCTAATTCTTCCCCAAATGCTTATTTCCCCAAGCCCTACTCCGTCCTAACATCTACTCCGCATACGGTCTATACAACGCCAACCCCTTCAGCGACTCAAATTCCAACTCCACGCCCTGCCCGATAAAAAATACCGCTCCCTCCTTGACCTCCCACTCCTTCCCCTCGCCCTTCATCCTGCCCTCTCCCTTCGTCACAACCAACAAACTCGGCCCCCCAATCGCCTCATGCCTCTCCACCTCCCCACCCCCCAACCACGTCGCCAGCACATTAAACTCCCCAAACGGCGGCGCATACACATCACTCCGTCCCAACAGCCCCTTCCCACTCTTCTGCCTGCGCAACACAACCTCCCCCACACCATGCGGCTTGAAACTCAGCGCCTTGGCAAACAACCCAACACTGTCGCGGTCCGGCCGCGGACAAAACCCCGTGTTGAGCACATTATCCGACCGCGCCATGCACTCGACGATATCGCCCGACAGCCACGCATGCACACTATCCGCCGGGACACAGACGGCCTCGCCCGGCCCGATCGCCATGTAATTCATCAGCAGCGCGGCGACGAGGGTCCCGTTGTCGTACTCGGTGTATTGTGCGCGTAGCCGGCGCAGCAGGCTGGGGATGTAGGCGTTCGACGGCCCGAACTGCGCCTCTGGGAGGGCTTGCAGCTCGGAGATGGTCTGCGAGACGATGTTGGGTTGCAGGGAGAGGAAGGTCTGGCAGATTTGGCGCAGGTCGGAGTCGGTGAATTCGGTGTGGTGGACGGGGGCGGATTGGGAGGGGAGGTAGCGTGATAGCGGGGGGAGGGCCATGATGGAGCCGATCTGGGACAGGGGCTTGAAGCCGGCGAAGAGCTCGAAGTGCGAGAGCGCGATGGCGATCTCGGGCTTGTGGTTGGCGTCGCCGAATTGGTGCGGGTCTTGGGCGTGCAGCTTCTCGGCGAGGGACTTGTCGGGGTGGATTTGGAGAGGGAGGGCTTTGGCGAAGGAGAGGATCTAGGGATTGTTAGAGGGACTGGTATCGTTATCGTCGAGACGTGAGGTTGCGGGTGGTGGTAAGTGTGTATAGATGGGATGTGAAGACTCACCTTCGGGAGGAACGGGATCTCCGCGCCGCTCTTCTCCAAGGTCGCTTTGCCCACGAGCTGCGGGTTCTTCTTCAGGTAGTCGGATAGCAGTTCGCCGGTGGAAAGGAGTCGAGAGGGGACGGTGGGATATGTGCCTATCCACATCTATTCGGGGATGAGTCTTGTCCGGGAACGTGAACCGGGTCGAGAGAAACAGGCTACTCACCTCGGAATATGTCTCGTCATCCTTGAGACCTTCCGTGCCAGGGGTCTTGGACCAGAGCTGTCCAGCAATGGAGTCATTGCCTTTCTTGCCCCAGGGGTCGTGCTGGAGATGCGTGGTTAGTATACGGGATAATGTATAGCTGCGGATATTCGGATTGAAGGGAGGGGGAAGGGGCGAGAAAAAGACATACCTTGCACTCGCACTTCAATTGAACTATGGAATCGGCCATTTCGTATGAATTTCTAGTACTTGGGTATATGGTTCTCGACCTGGTTGACAGAAACCATCGATTCGGCTCTTATACTACATGCGAAACCAGTGTATGTATGTTGGCAGGCCGCGTTGCCACGACGTCATGATTAGACACGGCTATTTCGTCACAGCCAGATCACTCATCTCCAATGTCCAGGATAACATGATTCTCCGGACCTTCGTTGCATCTCGATATCTTTTTATGGAGCACGGGCCAATCACAGGCAGCGATTGGGATCTCGTCAGGTTGACGTCAACGAATGCGCTCGACTTACTAACAGTCTAACGGTCTAACGGTCTGGAAGTGAGATGTAGTCCATATTCATAGTATTCATAATCTCTTGATAGCTCATTCATATGTTCATATGGCCCATTATCAATGTGCGTTAAATCAACCGCCAACGCCTAACCCTGGCTCCGGTATGCTTAAAAAGAAAAACAAAAAGATCCGCCAAAATGCAATCCAAACGAAACAAAAATCATAAAAGCTCCCGCAAGAAGATATTTCTCATCCATAAATCTCATCCGCATCAGGAACCATGTCCGTAGTCATGTACCTCGTACTGGATCGATACCTCTTCTTCTCGGACGAGGAAGCGCCGGTATTGCGCCCTCCGAAGAGGGAACTCGCTCGCTGGCTGAAATCCGAGCTACTGCGGTATCCGGACCTCGAGAGACGAGAAGATGATCGACCGGGTCGATGCGAGCAGTACTCGTCCTCGTCTTCCTCGTTCAGGTCGTCAGAGTACATGGTCTGTCTGTCGCGGTCGCGACGATCGACGTTGACGCCGAGACGCACGCTCTCCCGCGATCGGGAGAAGGAAGTAGACGAGGAGGAGGATGAGTAGGGCGACGGCATCCCCATGTCTTCTGCGTACCGCGGCGTGGCGGGGATATACCGAAACCGAGGCGAGGGATGGTCGTGCGTCGCGGAGTGCTCGGCCACCTCGGTCGGATAGTCTTGATGGATAGGCTTATATGCGAACTCGGTTCGACTGGCCCGGTTGCTCTCGGGGCCGGCGAGTTCGTGGCCCGTGCTGTCTACTGCATGCCTGGAGCGAGGTGCGAGGCGCACTGACAGACGACGAGGGTTCAATGTGCTCATGGAGAAGGTGCTTTGCCGGGATGAGTTGACATGTCTAGTCGATCGCGTCGAGGGAACGTGGTCCTCGACGTGGGAGGCAGAGCCCCGGGGCGGGTGCTCGGGGACGAAGCCAGGACCGTAGCCTAGGGTGCGATGGGACGTCTGATGGGGATTGTCGAATTGGTTCCAAGACCCGTCGGTGGGAGCTGAGATGGTGACGTCGCCCCATCGTTCGTGGAGAGGCTTGTAGGCGTCGGACTTGCGCAAGCGGTTGAGCGGACGGCTAACAATGCTTGCCATGGTGACTTTATTCAAAGATGTCGAGATGAGAAAGGACGAAAGGAGAATGAAGATAGATGCAGAAGCCTGTATCCAAAGTCCAATCCGGTAACCAAATCAACCAGAGGCTTCTAATCGAAGAATCATGACAGCCGCTGACGGCCAGTTGCTTTGCTATACAACAACAAAAGCCCAAGTGAACTCAGCACAGACCAAAGCAAAAGCCCAGTAAGGTTTGCGCCCAGCCTTCCTTCGAGTTTCAACAATTCCAATTCGATCCATCCATTCAATCCTGCTAGCGGGCGGAACGGTCGATATAAAAGCTTATCCATCCAGATTGATCCCACGAACCTACCGACGAATCCGTAGGGGACTGTTTCAGAGCGTCGCATTGCATCGTGGATCCCTGCAAGTGAGTTTCCAACATTAGAAATCCGTAAATCACCCACAGCGTCACGCTCGCCGGTCATAGGATAGGCGCCCACACCAGCGACGGCCGTCTGCATTAGCCCGAGGGCGATCGTCGTCCGGAACTGCTGTGATTTGTCTGGCTCGTGTTTCCATTCTTAGCAAAATAATCTGGAACTGGTCTATATTAAGGAACTAACAGGGTCTAGGCTCCAGTAATTAGCGCCGTTCATGGGAAGCGGGCGTGGAGGGGGGAGGTTAATTACTTTAGTTCACAAGCAAAGCCCAAATTTAGAACATGAGGGAAGCGAGAGCGAGTCACTTGCATTGGGCGAGGCGCCGGACAAGGATGTTGAAACAAGCCACTGCGGATCCCCGGCGGATCGCTGGCAGAGCTCTTGCTTTGCAGATGCCCCGATCTGTGCGAGCGATCGTGACGTCGAAGGCGGCTATGCAATGTCATGTAGGTCAGGAAAGGAAAGTCGTGTCGCTCGTATGTCCAGTGGACTTTGTGTCGCCGAGACACCTTACGCGCGGAATACAGATATTAGGAGACGCTGCAAGAGTTGCAAGACAGTGTACATGGTATCTATGTTGACTCCTCTCAGTAACGCCGGTCTTCGAGATATAATGCAAGTGTGAGGTAGTGCGAGGGCGGCGTTAAACAGATCTAGGGAATCCCTAGGAAGGACCAAACTCCAAGGCTCGATAATGCGTGGGGTAACTAGATTCAAAATGCACGGCAAATGACTGAAAAAAGCAAAAAGAAGGTGACCAAGCGAAAATGAGGGGTCATCAAACGAAACGAAATCTGTCGCCAGCAGAAAGCTCCCCAGGAGCGAGTCAAAACATGGGTTTTAAATGTAGACGTCAAAATGACCTCGAATCTGTCTCAGACCAGATCTCCTGCTCTGAGAAAGACGCCGGTCATTTTCCAAAGCCAATGAAATCAGTTCTTAAGGTAGTGAAACGATGTATACGGAGCCCCCGCCGCCTTGGTAGGCGTCATCTGTAGCAGATGATTCTGATTCTGTGTCGGTGACATCGTCTTTGTGGAGGGTGTTTGGTCCAACGAAGAGGGTGGGTCCGTCGGCCGGGAGGAATGGCGAGAAAGCGCCCCAGTGGACAGTCGTCGAGAGTAGAAGGTGTGCGGCGAGACAGGCCAGTGGATCGGACGGTCAGAAGGTCTCGACTCCCCAGACGCCGGCTGTTGCATAAGCCCGGGTCGTTGCAGAGACGGCAGCAGCGGCTCGTCATCGCCGTCCGAATCCGCGAGGGATGACTCGTCGCTGGGACTGGGGAAGTGGCTATGTGGGCTCCCCGCGTGACGCTCGTGCTCAGGCTCCAACTCGTGGTCTGTCGACATGTCCGGCGAAGCGCTGGAGGACACAGCGCTGCATGTTCTCCTCAGCTCCGGTCGCATTGCGTGAGCCGCATTTAATTTCATCTTTTTGGCTTTTTCAACCTCGTGGCCGTATGAGCTTCTGCGGTTGAGCACGGCCCGTCGCACTCCATTGCGGTCGAGATTCTCTGACTGCCGGTCGGTCAAATGAAGAGTTCTCAAATCCACCTGACTCCGACTGAAGGTGACTCGAGTTCGCATTTTCTGAATAGCCGAGTCCAAGGCCAGTTCGATAGCACAGTGGTTTCGGATCTCCCGGATCTTCGGCCATGTCGCTCGCTCTCCACTGAGACACGCCTCCAGCATGAATTCTGTCGTCGGGTTCTTTAGGATGAGTGGGAAGTGATTGTATGGAACGTCGGGGTATATGTTGATGTCCCCGGAGTATTTCTGATTCACGATCGAGATGGCTTTGCTAAGCGAGGTTGGGAAAATTCCCATCTCCGCCATAACCATCATACGATGCAGCAATTCATCCTTCGCCAGCTGGGTTGCATTCTGGACCCAGTTCAAAGTACGAGAAGGAGCCTTCGTCTCGTTGGGATCAACGCTTTTAGGAAGGAATGGAACCACATGCGGATTAACCTGCGACACGATGAAATGGTTCACGTTGAACATTTCCGATAGACGGGTCATTGGCAGATCCCCGTCGACCGAGCCATCGATGTACTGTCGACACAGGTCATACCAAGGAACCACTTCCCCGGTCTGGGGATCTTTCGCCATCAGGTCGAATGGTCGAAACACCAAGGGAACCGAGCAGGAAACGGCACTAGAGAAAAAGAAAGTCAGTCGTTACTTCCAAGACGCAGAAAAACAATCGAGAAACTTACACCGCAGACCAGATGAGCACATTAGGCGCGGTGATATAATTCAACAGCCTGGGCAGTTCGTAGATCCCCGCACTGGAGACGCAAATGTTGAGAATGCGACGTGTGCGGTTATACGCCTCCTGGAATGTTATATCGCCCAACCAGCCTCGCATGAACTTGGCCAGATGCTGGATATCCATAAAGGTTCCATGCTTCAAGATCCGCGAGATCATCTGCAGAATACTCTCTGTTCCATCATCCTCACCGAAGACGTCGAAGTCTCCATAGGCGAAATTTTCCAGCAGTTCGGGAATCTCTTCCTCCGTGCGGGTGCAGAAAACGGAACACACGATGCTGCCCGCCGAGGCACCGGACATGATGCGAGGAAGGAGGTTGGCCTGCCAGAGAGACTTGAGAACGCCAATGTGATTCATCCCAAACGTACCCCCGCCCGAGAATAGCAAAGCGCTGCGTCCAAAGGCTTGTCGCGCCGCGAGAAGTTGGTCCAGAATATACCTCAGTTCCAGCCCGTCGCATCGGCCCTTCCCCGCAAGATCGGCCAGCGTCGAGATCGTCTCGACGGCCTCCGTGATGTATTTATCGACAAGCACCTTGGTTCCCGCATGGGAGTGGCTGTAGAGGGCGGGGTTGGACATGTTGCCCAAATCGCGGCTTAGTGACGTGCGGATGAGGAACAACATGCGACTGACATCGGAGCTGGCGCGCGCATCCTGGAGTTGTTTCAGGCGTTCTTGTATCAGACAGGCATCGTATTCGGTGCTCTCGAACGTCTTCTTCCAGGATTCGTGATCCTCCAGCTCATCCAACTTGGAGGCACAATCCTTCCACTCCTCGTACAACACAGCCTGAAGCATCGGAATCGAGTCAGATCAATGACACGCGATAATAATCCACGGATTCTGCGCAGAACAAACGAAAATAAAAGACAAAAGAAATGGAGAAAAAGAGAAAGCGGTCATGCACTTACGGTGCGCATTTTGAAATATAGCGACTGGCGGTGGGCCTCCGTTTCGGTAAGGCCATTGTGATTCTCCTTGGGACGATCCGACTCGGAAGTGCCATACCACCTATCACCGGCCCAGGCCAAAGAACCCTTAACCACAGAAGACAGGGATGGCAGCGAAGTGCGCTTCAGTAGCGAATTTCTTTGGCTCAGCGCGACCGGTTTCGGCTTGGGGTTGCGTCTGGCCTTGACATGGCATTGCGGGCGCACTAAGGCGCGATCAGGAAACAGAGACATGGCGAACGTCCATTTATCTGAACCCAAATTGGCTCTCAACCTAGGTAGGACTTTTGATTCGAGGGGAAAGAAAAGAAGGAAAAAGGAAAGAAAGAAAAGACAGATTCCAGAGATGGACAGGAAGAAAGAAGAACGTGGATACACCGTCAAACAAAAGGATGGCAAAGGGTCCAGTGAACAAACTAGCGGTAAAATCGAGAATAGGGTTAGCGAGATCAGTTCACAGGTCAAGGTCCAAGGTGTCCCATCAATCCGAATCTCCCCCATGTTTTTGGCGGGTCATCTGGGGAATATTCTTCAGCTCCGCCATTCACGCGCAGAGGAAAGACGGGGAATCCGCGCGATGACTGACTGGCCGGGCGACGTCACGAGCACTCGCTTCCCCGTGATTGCCGATCGCCACCGTCTTTTTTATTTTATTTTATTTTTCTTTCGTCTTCTTCTGGTCGCATCGGCTTCTCATTATGACATACCGTCATTGGAGACATCCGATCTGGATATTCTCGAGTTATCTGACTGTGCACATATGGATAGGATCCGCCTCTTCTTCCTCTTCCTCCGTCAGTCGGTCTAAAGGCTGAACATTGAGACTCCCCACCCCCACAATTTGGGGTAAGCGGGGCATCTTCTCAGGTACAGTCAGGCTGCCGATTTTACGGTCCTGGTCATCCCACCTTATTTATGTTGGAGATCATTTCTCTGTGTGGAATTCGGTCATTCGAGGTCACTACAATCCTACATAACCTCGAAATATTCTGAAATCTTCTGAAAATGCACACATCCCGATCATCACCGTCCTGCAGTTGAAGATCGGAGGGGCATCCCGGTGGGCCATCGACCGGGGTTCATGCACGATAACATCAGTGCTCAGCTGGATGGAGGCCCGGAAACTTGGAACGGCAGTACTGGTGATCAAAACAGACTAATCTGTTTCAGTCATCGTCTTTGCCTATAATCCCTCATCTGAGTAATCCTCTGCAACCCAATGTCCCCAGCTCGGATGCTCTCTCTGCCGCCCTCTGGCGGGCAGCCACGGTGGTCATGTTCTATTATAGTGGTCCAGCTGTCTAGGTTAATGACCATAGAGAGCTGCGGGGTAATGAAAACCAAAACCAACTAGCGGAATCAAGTAAAGGCATAAAGATAGAATGAAATCGGAAATCGATGGATGCTGAGAAAAACGGTCGGATCGCGCCTCAATTCTCCACGCCGAAGAACCTCTCCTCCCGAAAGTCAGGCGGTCATTTCCTTATCATCTAGATTGCTTCTGCAGAGGTCAATCCGTGCAGCCGCCACAATCTAGTCGCCAAGAAAAAAGCCCTTGTCTGGACGCTGCAGGTTTAGCCGGTGATCTAGATACGCAACCCGGATGGATGCCACCTGTTTCTAAGAAAGGGAATATAGGAGTCATGGATACAAAAAGGGTCGTAGCCTGAACAGAACGAGTCCTCGAGAGTTGTTGCAGACCCAAGTATAGGTAAAGACGTGACTCGATGACCGGCCGTGAGGCACAAACAATCCGAATCCTACCCAACCCGAATGAACCCTGTCCAATAGCGGCACTCGAGTCATCACGTCCATACCATATCTACCTATTGTAGAGTGAGAAGTGAGAACGAGTAAGAGACTGGCGGTCTCTTCCCAGAAGCCGCAGGACGTCATGCGAACATGCCAGTTTCACATGCTTTGCGACCGTTCGTGACATGTGAAAGGCCAGGCTTTCTCAGACTGCTGGTGACTAATGATTACGGACATATGCCCTCTACTGCATCTCACTGCAATGGATCATTCGCATGAGCAGCACATCAATGTATCTGACGCAACCACTCCCGGAGAGTAGCTCTGGCCTCAGACTCCGCACCGTGCTCCCTCCAGAAGTGTCCAGCCCCGTCGATTTCGGCCGACTGGAACTGACTACCGGGGACGCGCGCCAGCTCCTCCGACCACTGACGCAGCTTATTGGTGGAAGTAAAGGTATCATGACTACCATAAATGGCCAGGGTTGGGTTTGCACGGAGCTGGTCAGTTGGCTTGGGACAAGGGATATGCCTCCCCTCGGCGGAAGTCTGTGCTCCGACAATCAACGACAATTTGGAAAATACTGTCAAGAACATATTGATCGGAGGCAGAAGAGGTGAAATCAGAAGATAGGAGATCCTTGCGCGCGAGATACGGAGAGCTCCCTTGGAATTTGACGCCTCCGGAGATGCCGATAGTCGGTCTGGAGATTTTTGGATATCTGATGACAGCGCAAAAACTTTCTCTGCTTCTCGGCGGATCTGATAGGAAGCAGTTTCAGGGGTACTATTCTCAAAAAGATCGGCAATGACACCAATTGCCGGGAGATGCGATGCGATCATTGATCCATACGAATACCCGCCTAATACAAGATGGATCTTCGCAGGTCCCTCTCCAGACCCGGTCTGGGTCGTATCTACCGTGTCTTCTGGCTCCGGGTTTGATGAAATGAGTCGCGTTCTTAGAAGCTGCAAATAGCAGAGCATGAACCCGTAGAAAGAGACATAATCTGCCAGCTCAGGCCGTGCTGTCCAGCTAGTACTCCCCTCCGATTCTCCGGCTCCTCTATAAACAAGTGTGTTGCATTAGCGTGGATCTGTCCAGCCTCCAAGTCCCAGCCGTAAAGCTGGCAAGGTGGTGTTTACCGAAAATTAAAAGTCCCCAGCACGTAGCCGGCATCGAGGAGTTCACTCCCAACAAAATTCACGACGGGGTCATCGTAGCATCCACCCAGGGTGGCATATGGATGGGCAACTATAGCTCCGGATATTGGGCCCCGGTGTGGATTTTCGGGCGCACTCAGTTGGCGGGGCACGTGGAGGCGGCAATCAAGTTGAATACCATCGTAGACTGATGGGATGGTGAAAGTATAAGTGGGTTGAGGGAGATACATATCACCGGAATCAAATTTGCGGCGCTGCGATGAGTGTTTAGCGACATACCATCATCCCCAAGAATGGATGGTGAACGCAAGCTGGCGAACTCCCGCCGATTTGGAGAAAGAAAAGAAAAGCGGGTCCAACCGCCCATAAGGCATCATTCAGGCATCAGCCCTGCATACACCCAAATAACTCCTGGATTTTTCAAATTCATAATTTCAGTGTAAATAATCTGCTTGAGATGTTTCCTTGTCATCAATTCTACTATGCATTAGTGAATTTTCTGTGTGCATCGGTATGAATTTCATTTGAAAGAGTTTTCTCACGGCACTCCAGGACAATATATTTATTTTCTTCCCCACGTTTGTCTTGTTGGTTGGAATTTGCTCTTATGTCAGGTCCTCGACCCCAATAGCGTTAGCAAAATTCGGGATAAACAGAAAATTTAAAACCACTATAGCAATCTGGTCGTATTGGGTGCTGGTTGTGTGTTTTTTGCCTCTGAAGGTTAATGCTCGAGTCAATTCCGTTGTCTCCACAACAAGGCGTGGACGCTCATTCCCATTGATAGCAAAAACTTTACTCCAGCCATTTTTGACTTCGATTATCCTTTTCTTTTGACCTTCGGAGGCGACAAATTTCCCTGTCGCCGAACTACTTTCCGCTCACAGCAAAGTCTAGGACGAAAGGAGGACACAGCACGCTGCGTCGGATCAATGGATATGCCAGAGCAACATCTGCTCACTCTTTATGCAAAAATTCTCTTCGCTACTACCAATAACAGTGGTCTGCTCATGTGTCGATGCAAACAGGACAAGACGAGGGGCTAATGGTTCCCTGGCCGAACTCGGTGTCTTCTTGTCCGAACATTTCACGCTAGAATGTATTGGCGACTGCTGATCTCTGGGGGAGTTGCGTTTCCTATGGCCTTTGGATTCAATCCTGGATAATCCGTCGGTTAACGGAGCGTGTAGAACCGAGCCCCGGGGGTGTACTCTATTAGTCTAAGCAAGTGACATACTCCTAGCCAGAATATGCGGGGAACCAGCTGGGCAGAAGACGTTGTTAGGTGAGCTAATCATGCAGATAGTTTGAAGGCAACATATGTTGTTTTGCTAAAAGTCCATATTCCTGGTACGTAATTTGCTCATTCGCGGATTAATCTGACAGGAAGCCCGCAGCACTTCCTCCGACCTGATGATCATCCTAGGAGTAAGTGTATGCAGCATGGAGAAAGGGCCCATCAAGTATATATTCTGGGGCCCTCGACAACCTCTCGAGCTTATGATGGTCAAAGACTCATCTGGACTTTTGGGAACAATATGTCTCTTTTGTTCATCTTCTTGCTCTTTATCCTGCCAGTCTTCGCTGCCCCAGCTGTCAAAGTTGAGACCGTCGACGGCCGAAAGACATGCACGGTGACCAGTGTAGGAGACGAACAAAATGACGTCCCGAACATCCTGTCCGCATTCAAAGAGTGTGGTTCGTCAGGGACCGTGATATTTCCAGAAGGGGAAAACTACTGGATCGCTGAGAGATTTACAGTGGATGCTGAAGATGTGGATATTGAGTGGAGAGGGATATGGACGGTACGTTGTCTCCCAACGGCGCACTGGATTTAAACTTATTTGTGCTGATTGATCCTAGTTCTCTGACGATATCGAGTATTGGCGAGAAAATTCATACCCTATCACTTTCCAAAACCATGCGGCCGGTTTCATTCTGAAGGGAAATGGCATTCATATCAATGGGCATGGCACCGGTGGAATCAATGGAAATGGAGATCTCTGGTATACCGACGAGGCTGGAACTACTAAACCAGGCCGGCCGATTGTGAGTTCCTCGGCTAAGTCATGGCTGTTATTAGAGAGACTGACTGGAAAATCAACCTCAAGCCATTCCAACTCTGGAACATCAGCAATGTCATTGTTCAAAACTTTGCAGTCCTCGAGCCTCAGCTCTGGGCGATCAATATCATGAATGGTACAAATCTCGAATTCGAGAATATCCACGTTAACGCCACTGCTACAAAAGCACCTTCTGGCAAGAATTGGGTCCAGAATACAGATGGTTTTGGTATGTACAAAATTCCCCCTCTCTAGGCGCGTGCTCTCAGCATATAGACACTGACATACATGAACAGATACAATGGACACAGAAAATGTGCGACTGAAGAATTTCACGTATACCGGAGGTGACGACTGCATTGCAATCAAACCTCGATCCTACAACATCCACATCGACGGGGTGGTCTGCAATGGCGGAAATGGCGTTGCGATAGGCAGTCTCGGCCAGTACCTTGAAGACTCGAGCGTCGAGAGCGTGTTCATGCAGAACGTCAAGGCTAGTCCCAAACCCCCTCTTATTTAAACGAAGAAGAGCTGACGAAAGAAGGTCCCACGAACCCGCTTTGGTATCTACATAAAAACATGGATAGGCGAACTCGTCGAACAAGACGGCTACGAGAGCGGAGATCAGCCCAGAGGAGGCGGATGGGGAAACGTCCACAACGTTACGTTCTCTGGTGTCGACGTGACAAATGCCAGCAGAGCCGTTTTCATCACCCAGAACGAAGGAAATAATGGGTCGTTTGCCGGAACCAGCAAGATGGAGATTTCGAATATTGCTTTTGACCGGTTCACGGGCACCTTGGCCTCAACCAGCAACAAAATTGGCATCAGCTGTAGCAAGGTTTATCCTTGCTATGACATTGCCTTCAGTGACACGGCCGTGGAATCTTCGTCTGGAAACAATCTCACTGGGAAATGCACGTATGTGAAGGCAGATGGCGTTCATGGACTGTCCGGTTGCTAGTCGATAGAGTAACTCTAGAATGAATGGCAGTTGATATTGCATCTCATGACAAGAGCTCCTTACCAACATCCATCAACTATACCCATCTAATCGACATAGACCTTCCCCTCCGCCACAAAAGCAGCAGGGCCCGCAAGCTTAACACTCGAAACCCGACCCCCATCCTCAGCCAGCTCAATATCCACCACAATGTGACTGTCCCTTCCAATCTCTGACCCCTGATCGATCAAGAACCGATGCTTGCGACACTCTCCACCTTTCTGCAAAGCCAAATAAGCAGCAAGTGAAGATGAACCGCTGCCGCAGGCAGGATCCTCGAGGTTGATCGCGATCATGCGCACGCGAAGGTCCCAGATCATTGTATCACTCTCAACACGCGACCCCATGTTCCGATAATACATGGTCCCAACGAACGACGGGCCCCAGCCCTCGTCGAGATCGATCCGCGGGCTTTCCCCGGCACCGAGCTTGCCAAAGACGTCGGCATTTTCGGTCAAGTCGGCCAATACATAAGTGACTCCTTTCACGATGGACACTACAGGCCATGAGGTAGCAGCCAGCCCCGAAGCAGCACCTAGACAGGGCTGAACGGCCTTCAACGCCACGAGAGGTGCTTCCGTTGCATGCACGTGTATGTTATGCGGGACCTGCGCCGAGACAATCTGGCTGTCCGGGTCGAATTCAATCTGCACGGGTCCGGCTCTTGTCTCTAGGGTCTGAGTCCGACTCTGACCTGACAGCTTCCGGAAAAGTAGATGGCCGGTCCCGATGACCGGGTGGCCGGCGAATTCCATCTCATTGACGGGCGTGAAGATCTCAGCGCGAGGGTTCTGGTCTGGCCCTCCGCTGTGCAAAAAGACGGTTTCAGAGAGGTTAAATTCCCGGGCGATTTGTTGTTTGCGCTCTTGGGTTAGGGATAGGCTGCTGACGTCGACTACGGCGAGGGGGTTGCCTTTGAGTCTGTTGGGTTGTTAGTGCGCAGTTGGTAGGGTTAGCGGGTGCAAGAGCGAGAGTAGGTCGCGAATAACTGGAGAGATTCACGTACCTTTGCTCTGCAAAGACGTCGAGAATGACTGGATCTTATTAATATGATCTGTTGGTGGGGGTAGACAGTATGGGTATACTAACCGTATGAAGCCTGTGTTCCTGCCATTTTCTCAGTGCTGATCGATTGTTTGGATGTGGTCGATATAGTATTCTACAAGAGGCCTACGAGGTTCTATTGAAACTTATACCGATTGTCTGTTGGTCCGGAGGCTGTGAATCATCGTGGAATGAATCGAGATAATCGCCGGCTAGTATCGGAGTGGATCTCACGCCCTCTGAGTGACACTTCTTTTCCGCCGGAGAGCCTTCATTTGCGACGGTGAATTTTTCGACTGATTATGATTCGATAGTGTTGACTCTAGGTGAAAGTTTAATTCGTTTTGGAAATAAGTGTAATGAATTGTTTAGTATAGAATAATGTCTCCCATTAACCCCGCGCTATGCTTATCAATATTGTTTCGCGTTGCGTTGGTGTATCTTCAAAGAAGATACTTTTACCTTCTATGAAAACTATGTATCAGGACTCAGGCAGAAGCCAGGCAGGATCTGGATCTTCGTCATCCCCGGATCTAGAGACTGCATCGTGCGAATGATCCTCCGCATCCCTAAGTAAATCAGCAGGAGGCTCGGGATTGTCGACACCAAGAGGGTCAGCTTGGGAGTCATTGTCATCGTCATGGCGATTTTTCCGGGGCTCTTCTCGATCAGAAGACGGCCACAGATCTTCTTCAGATACGTTGAAGACGCCGAGCAGCATTTCCCTTGCTTCCCGTAGTGCTTCAAGTTCTGCCCCAATGCAGCAAACAAGGAGTCTCCAGTCTTTCTCATCTGCCAGTTCCAAGAATTGTTCCACACGGTCTGTTGTATTGCTCAGATCATCCAGGATAACCCGCGCCTGCTCATCTTCGGATCTGCTTCCAGAAGGTCCATCGGGCGCCAGGAGCTGGGACTGCCTCGTGATGGAGCGGTGCATTGCGGTCTTGAGTCTTTTTTCAAACCCCGTGACCTCTTTAACGACACGCTTCCACAAGCCACCTCCCTCCTCAAGTGCCTCTATTTCGGCATCGACTTCATTTTGACGCTTTTGAAATCTTGTTTGTTCCGCTGTCCAATGGTCTTGAGCCATGTGAAGGGTTCGACGTTTGTGATTCAACGAATAGAATGTTTGGCGGCCATTGTTAGTTGGCTGGGGTAGGATCGGAGGGTGCTGAAGGAATTTGCGAATGTCGGATTCCAGCAAGGCCAAGGATGCTTGGTAAGACGACAACTTGGATTCCACTTTATTCTCCAGTTGCGAAAGTTCTTGGGTAACCTGCCTCTGTCTCGCCTTCATTTGTGACAACCGAGTCTCCATTTCATGGATGTCCGACTCAAGCTGGTGGCCTTCATCTCGCAGCTCCCTGGAGCGTTGACTTTCCCCATCATTATGTATAGTAGATATTGCCCCTTCTAACCCGCCTCGTTTGGTGTCAAATACATCGATCTGTTGGAGCGCATCTTGTCGTTCATCGACACGAGTGGTGAGTACATCTCGCTCCTCCTCTCTCAGTTTCAGCAAGTCGGAGATGGATCGAAAGATCCCTTCCCGCGCTGCCCGTAGGCTGATCTTTTTGGCGGCGGGTTGTCTGATCGGAACTGTTGAAGGACCTTCTGCGTTGTTGAACCCTGAGCTGGGAGTACGACTCTCGCCGGACAGGGAGCTATCTTCTCCCGGCCCCTTGAGCCCAGCGAGGAGACCTTCGCTTTGCGCGTCGATAAGAGCCTGTAGATTACGTTCAAGGTGTTTTGCTTGACGATCAATATACACCAAAGGATCCTGGTGATGGGAGGATGCGCCGAGTGGAGGGGATTGTAGGCGGCGCTCCTGGCCTTGGGAGAATAATACCGTCGACATTGCGTCTAACAAAGGGGTGTGTCTGGTCTGGTCTGGTCTGGCCGAATGCGGTGGTTTCAACGGGATCGCGCTTCTCGCGTAGGGAAGAAGAGGCTGGTTGGGGCCGTAGAGCAGGAGGAGTTTCGAGAGTATGAAAGAAAACTGGGGCAATGAGGCCGGCCGACCCTTCTTAGCCCCGACGGCACCGCTGACCAGCAGTGTTTGCCCTTGTTGTCGCCGGTACTCGTGATCCGCGATCCCATGCCATCATAGCGCACGTGACCCGTTCTAGGGGTTTCTGCAGGAACCACGGGAACCTTTCGACAGCTTCCATCGCCGTTGACGTGTGCCTCGCTGGTACAAGCTTCCTAGTATCTCCAACCCTCCATCCCCGTCACCATCGATCCGTTTTTGTTGTTTTCTTCTGTTATTTCATCGAACCCGCTTACATATTCCGCCCATCCGGCATTCCTTTTCACCCCAAGGCCTACCTGACTAAACTGGGCCGACTCGACCGTCAGAGCTTCGTGGAAGCTGTCGCCTCATCCCTCCAGCGATAGCACAATCCGTCAGAGATGGTTGGACTCGCTTCGGCCGCTGGCCTTGTCGGCTTCCTCTCTGAGCCAGACCCCGAGTTGCGTGTCTTCGCCTTGAAGACTCTGGATTCGCAGATCGATCTTCTATGGACGGAAGTCGTGGACGCCGTTCCGCAAATGTTGGTATCCCTCAATTTATCCGTCTTACCTATCCCACTGCCACTTTCGCGTTGTTTCCATCCCACTCATCCGCAGTATCCGACGATGCCTTCTTCAATACTAACCTGAGCACTTACAGAGAGGCGCTCTACGAAGATGAGTCTTTTCCCGAGCGCGAGCTTGCCGCCCTAGTTGCCGCCAAAGTTTACTACCACCTTCAAGAATACAATGAGAGCATGGTGTTCGCTCTTGGAGCTGGCAAGTTGTTTCAGCTGGACCAAGGTGGCGAGTTTGAGGAAACTATCATCGGTACGTGACTCATGCCCTACTGACTATTCGGAAATCTACCCGGGCTATTGGGCTGATGTGACGTATTCTCCAGCGAAATGTGTCGATACTTTCATCTCTCTCTCTGCTGCCCAAAAGCCTGCTGCAGGTGACCAGCCGCCCAACTTGAACACTGCGTTCCCCACCTCCGGCGAAGGAGCCACGAGTACATCCGCCAGCCTTACGTCCCCTATTACTCCATTCTCGCAGTCGGCGTTGCCGTCAAAGTCGTTGCTATCTCGTCAGGAAGTCCCCGGGATTGATTCGGCTTATCCGGGCGGTGATGATGCCAGCGTCAACCAGGTGGAGACACCGTTGGTTTTGCGCCGGGGTGTCCAGGGTCAGCTGCAGGCTATCGTCGAGCGCCTGTTCGAGCAGTGCTTCCAGCAGAAGCGCTACCGTCAGGTTATCGGAATTGCCATCGAAGCGAAGAGCTTGGATGTCCTTCGTAAGACCATCATCCGCGCCAGTGAGGACGAGAAGAAGCAGAACGGCGAATCTCGCCGAAGCGAGGAGCTCATGGAATACGTTCTCGACATCTGTATGGGTATTGTGCAGGAGCGCGCATTCCGCAACGAGGTAAGAATCTTCCCCCTCTCATGGAAACAGCAAACTCGATCTAAGCTAACCATGAACTCAAGATTCTGAAACTCATTCTTGACCTTCTCAACGAGATCCCCTCCCCCGATTACTTCTCGATCGCCAAATGTGTCGTCTACCTCAACGAACACTCCATGGCATCCGTCATTCTTCGCCAGTTGGTTGAGAAGGGTGATGCCCGGTCACTCGCCGTTGCCTACCAGATTTCTTTCGATTTGTATGATAACAGCACGCAAGAATTCCTTCAGAAGGTTCGGCAAGAAATTGCCGAGCTTGTGCCGGAGAAGGACGAGCCTGAGGCCGAGGCAAACCAGGGCACGACTGAGGATGAAAATGAGCCCAAGGAGTCCGATGCCCTACTCGGGGACCAGTCGAGTTCCGAACAACCCCGGTCTATCGGTGCCAACGATGACAAGAAACTCTCCTCCGAGACACACACGGCTTTCAAGAACATAATCGACATCCTTGACGGCATCAAGTCCATCCAATTAAATCTGGAGTTCTTGTACCGCAACAACAAGGCTGACATTGCGATCCTCAACAAGGTCCGTGACAGCCTGGAGGCCCGGAACTCGATCTTCCACACCGCAGTCACGCTATCGAATGCCTTCATGCACGCCGGTACCACCCACGACAAGTTCTTCCGAGACAACCTGGAATGGCTCGGCAAGGCTGTTAACTGGTCCAAGTTCACCGCGACGGCAGCTCTTGGTGTCATCCACCGTGGCAACCTGAGCCAGGGCCAGAAGCTCTTGCAGCCTTATCTGCCCCGGGAGCATATCGCCGGCGTCGGAGGATCGGGCTCTGTTTACAGTCAGGGTGGATCTCTTTACGCATTTGGTCTGATCTATGCCAACCACGGTGGAATGGCTGTGGACCTTATTCGGGACCACTTCAAGAAGGCTACCGAGGAGGTCGTTCAGCATGGTGGTGCTCTGGGTTTGGGTGTTGCGGGCATGGCAACTGGTGACGAAGGTATCTACGAGGATTTGCGAAACGTTCTCTACACTGATTCAGCACTCAATGGTGAGGCCGTCGGTCTTGCCATGGGTCTGGTCATGTTGGGTACTGGCAACCTGAAGGTGCTTGAGGATATGATCCAGTATGCCCATGATACCCAGCACGAGAAGATTGTTCGCGGTCTTGCGATGGGTATGGCCTTGATCATGTATGGTCGCCAAGAAGCTGCCGACGAGCTGATTAACGGTCTTCTGGGCGACCCTGACCCTACTCTTCGCTATGGTGGTATCATGACAATCGCTCTGGCCTACTGTGGCAGCAGTAGCAACAAGGCCGTCCGCAAACTCCTCCACGTCGCCGTTAGCGACGTCAACGATGACGTTCGACGTGTTGCCGTGCTGAGTTTGGGCTTCATCTTGTTCAGAAAGCACCAGAGCGTTCCCCGTATGGTGGAGCTGCTTTCCGAGTCCTACAACCCTCACGTGCGATACGGTGCCGCCATGGCCCTGGGTATCTCCTGTGCGGGCACCGGTCTGGACGAAGCGATCGATCTGCTCGAGCCCATGCTTAAGGACTCTACCGACTTCGTGAGACAGGGAGCTCTGATCGCCCTCGCCATGGTGCTGGTCCAGCAGAATGAGGCCATGAACCCTCGTGTGAGTAGCTTGCGCAAGGCTATGATGAAGATGATTGGGGATCGTCACGAGGATGCGATGGCCAAGTTTGGTTGTGCTGTGGCTCTTGGTATCATTGACGCTGGTGGCCGCAACTGCACTATCAGTCTGCAGACGCAGACCGGTAACCTCAACATGCCCGGCATCGTGGGAGCTGCCGTCTTCCTCCAGTACTGGTACTGGTTCCCTCTCACCCATTTCCTATCGCTCAGTTTCGCCCCTACGTCGGTGATCGGTGTGGACCAGAAGCTCGAGGTGCCGTTCTTCAAGTTCCACAGCAACACGAAGCCCAGCCTCTTCGACTACCCGCCCGAGCAGCAGGTGAAGACCGAAGAAGCGCCCGAGAAGGTCAAGACCGCCGTTCTGTCCACCACCGCGCAAGCCAAGCGTCGTGCTCAGCGTCGTGAGAAGCAACAGCGACGGGAGAGTATGGATCTCGACCAGACACCGACCACCCCCAAGGTCTCGGAACCCGCTGACCGAATGGAAACGGATGAGGCTGTCGCCAAGGGCGAAGAGGAGGCCAAGGACGGAGACAAGGAGGCTGCTGAAGGCCAGAAGAAGCGAGTCGAGCGCGAGAAGGTTGGATATGAGCTCGAAAATATGTCGAGAGTGCTTCCCGCTCAACTCAAGTATCTCACCTTCCCGGATCCCCGGTATGAGCCGGTCAAACGGGTACGTATACACTTCCCACCCCCTCCCCTTTCGTGTAGAACATAAATTCGACTGAGGTGCTGACTGTTATTCTAACAGCCTACCGGTGGAGTGGTGGTGGTCCTGGACAAGACGCCTGAGGAGTCGCGAGAGACGATCGAGATGAAGGCCAGCAAGGAAGTCAAGCAACCCGCTGCAGCGGCGGAGACGCTACAGGACCGACTGCAGGCCGCCATCGGGGCAGCCGCTCTTCAAACTCCTCAGCGCCCTGGTCAAACTGCCGGGGCGACTGCCGGAGCCGCTGCGGCTGCGGGTGTTTTGACTGCAGTGGACGAGGACCAAGAAGGTGGTGAGGAGGCCCCGGTACCGGAGGAGTTTGAGTATGAGTCGGACGGCGAAGAGTAGACGCCTACATTTTTGGTTGTATTACTAGATTATCTACGGATCTATGTCTTTTTCTTTTCTCCGGTCAACGCGGTGTCGCGATTGCCTCATGCCTCACGGGTTAATTGCCAGTGACGGATCCATATCTACATCGGATGGCATATATAAACATCACTGCTTCATTGTTTGATCCACAATCCGAGATTGTAGTCGCGTTCAAATGTAGATCAGGGACCAGATGGACCGAGCTGGATCAGCAGAGGATAATCCTACTAGCGTATTGCGGCGAATCCTAATGGCGGGACCTTTCTGCAGCAAATCAGGATTCTGACGATGACAATCCCTCCGCTGAAGTTCACATGCCGAACCCCGTATTCGATGCCTCAGGTTGCAGTCCTGGCAGGACGCGATGGATACACGTCACGTGGCTCCACGGCATCCTCGGCACTTGCCTGATCGGGGAGGGCCCGGCGTGAGCATGACGCAGTGAGCTCCGAATCCGCCAATCAGCGGCGGTTCAAAAGCCGGCGGATGACCTCCATCATCTGGCCGAGGTGTCCGGCACGTGAGTCCCTGGGGGTTCTCAAGGGCATGTGAAGAGAAATCGCCCGTTTGGGCTGTTATTCTCCGTCATGAATTCCGGGGGAAAGCCCGAAGCTCCCGTTGCTCCATAGTCGTATATCTATCCTTTCCCTCGCCCCCGTCTCTTCCCCCCTTTACCCCGGATTGTGTTCTTTATTAGTACCCTTTCCCTTTTGTCCCTAACTGTTCTTCCACCCGTCCCTGTCCTCGGCCTATATTTGTCAATTGCGCCAGGCTTTGTACTATCATTCCTTGATATTCTCCTATATTGCACAATATGTCGAAGACTTTTTCGAAAGACGACGTCGTGTCGCATAGCAAACCAGATAATCTCTGGGTTGTGATCGACGAGGATGTCTACGATCTGACAAGCTTCCAGGATGAACATCCCGGTGGTAAAAAGAGTATGTGACGAACTCATGATTGTCAGCGCGGTCTCTGGGTATTGACGATGATGGCGCAGTTCTCCAGCGAGTCGCCGGGAAAGACGCATCGAAACAATTCTGGAAGTATCACAACGAGGGTATTCTTAAGAAGTACAAGACCAAGCTGCAAGTCGGCTCGTTGGATAGCAAGAAGGCTGCCGCCGCTTCGGAGCCGGCGCCGGCGAAGGAGGCCCCTAAGCCTCAAGCAGCGCCCGTCGTCGATGTTTCTTCTGCTAAGTCATCGGACCCTCAGGAGCCCTATGGCGACCTAATCCCCTTTGCGGATCCTTCCTGGTACCAGGGTGTAAGTACCTCTGCGGGGTAGAATGAATCCGGTGCGTTAAAAGGTTCCAGTGGCTAATATGCTTTCCCACGAATAGCAACATTCTCCCTACTTCAATCAGACCCATGCCGCCCTGCGCGCAGAAGTGCGGCAATGGGTTGAGTCTGAGATCGAACCCTACGTGACCGAGTGGGATGAAGGCAAGAAGGTGCCGGACGAGATTTACAAGCAGATGGGAGAGAAAGGATATTTGGCGGGTCTGTTGGGTGTTAAGTATCCTGTCAACCACACTCCCCACCGGGTTCAATCGGTGGCCCCCGAGAATTGGGATCTCTTCCACGAGATGCTCCTTACCGACGAGCTGTCTCGGGCTGGTAGCGGTGGTCTGGTCTGGAACTTGATCGGTGGTTTCGGAATCGGTGGTCCGCCACTGGTCAAGTTCGGTAAGAAGCCTCTCGTCGATCGCATCCTGCCCGGCATCCTGTCTGGCGACAAGCGCATTTGTCTGGCCATCACCGAACCGGATGCCGGAAGTGATGTGGCCAACCTCACGTGCGAAGCCAAGCTGAGCCCTGATGGCAAGCACTACATTGTCAACGGTGAGAAGAAGTGGATCACCAACGGTGTCTGGTCGGACTATTTCACCACCGCTGTTCGGACCGGCGGGCCCGGCATGAACGGCATCAGCGTCCTTCTCATCGAGAGAGAGGCCGGTGGCGTGAGCACGAGGCGCATGGACTGCCAGGGTGTCTGGAGTAGTGGAACCACCTATGTCACGTTCGAGGACGTCAAGGTGCCTGTGGAGAACCTTATCGGAAAGGAAAACCAGGGTTTCAAGGGTAAGTGCTTCAGAAGTATCTCGAGTCCGACGTCGCGGTCACTAACACCTTGGGATAGTCATTATGACCAACTTCAACCATGAGCGTATTGGAATTGTCATCCAGTGTGTCCGGTTCGCTCGTGTGTGCTACGAGGAATCAGTCAAATATGCACACAAGCGTAGGACCTTCGGCAAGCGTCTCATCGACCACCCGGTCATCCGTATGAAGCTGGCCCACATGGCCCGCCAGATCGAAGCTACATACAACTGGTTGGAGAACACCATCTACCAATGTCAATGCATGGATGAGACCGAGGCCATGCTCAAGCTCGGTGGTGCGATTGCCGGCCTCAAGGCCCAGTCCACCGCTACGTTCGAGTTCTGTGCGCGCGAGGCCAGTCAGATCTTCGGTGGCCTAAGTTACAGCCGGGGTGGACAGGGTGGCAAGGTGGAGCGACTGTACCGTGATGTCCGAGCCTACGCAATCCCCGGAGGAAGCGAGGAGATCATGCTGGACCTGAGTATGCGCCAGAGTTTGCGTGTGCACAAGATGTTCGGCATGAAGCTGTAAATATTGATATCCACCATTTTGCTTTTGGGTTTCTTCCCCTTTCTATGTGACTATGATTTTGGGGTGTATAGAGCTTGCGACCAGGATTGCAATACTCCGGACCTTTTTCTTTATCGGAGTATGGCGGTGTATCATATCTTGAGATTTCTTCCATCTATTCCATTTAAATTGTCTGGATTTCAGGAATCAAACTTTTGCTATATGGGCTTTTACCAGCAGCGAATTAAATAACCGGGGATATTCGCCTCGCAGTGTAGTAACATGGACACACATCGGATATTATGTTTCAAACAGAAAGCGAAAATGGCACATGTACTTGGAAATCTTTGGATTCCATGAAGCACTGCGCAGAATAAGTGAAGAACCGAAGAACCTCGTCTGTTGCGGGCCGCATAAGACGAGGCACTCCGGGAGCGCACACGGACCACGTGCGCAGCCCATGGATCTTTCCTTCTGCGACGTCCTTTTCCAAGCTCCGCAGCACTCTCAAACCTTCCCCTATCCCTCCTTTTACATTGCGGTGTTGGTGTTGCTTGGGTCCATATATAGGACGTGCAAACTGCCACCCTTTTCATTTAACTCACTTTGTTCTCAATCCTTTCACCAGTTCCATTGTCTTGTCGCGGTCGCGGACTCGGCGAACCACCCGGACAAAGGCCGCCCGCCTCTCTGGCCGAATCCATATCCAGTCGGCGGAGCATTCGTTTCCTGAAATTTTCCATCGCTTGTCCTGCCACCTCTTGTCTCCTGCTGGTCAGATAAGGTACTTACCTGGACCTCTCCCCCTTGACTTACTGGCATTGGCACCTTTTCTGCTCGGTCGATCCGTGGTTTAGCAAGCCAGGCATGTTAAGAGTGAGCTAACTTACCTGTCTTCTCTCTCACGTATACAGTTCAGATCTGTCTTCGTTTAACAACGCATCATCTACGCACTTCTTTCCGTCTGAAGTTTCAAATTCCGATAGCCCATCGCCTCACCAAATTCTGATAAAGAAAAATGTCGCGTAACGTCGTGGACCAGGACTTCGGCTCTGAAGAGGAGGATGATGACTTCAACCCTGTGGCTGCCAACGATTCCGACGATGAGGGTGGATCCAAGGTTTGTTGTCATCGGATAGCAAGTTCGGGATTGTGCTGACGACAGGGCCACACAGCCGACGTATCAGAACCACCACGATGACGACGACGAAGATGACGTGAAAGCTGGACGGCCGAATCGCGGCGAGGACAACTCGCGAGCAAGACACCAGGTTGAGGATGACGACGACGAGGAAGAAGAAGGCGAAAACCAGGAGGGCGAGGATGATGACGGGGATGAGGAAGAGGAAGAAGATGAAGAGGATGAGGACGATGAGGATGCCGTATCCGTGAGTGATATTCTGACGCGCTCGGGAACCCTTGTCGAGGTAATGTGGGAGACGCTGACCCTTTGTTCGTCTTGATTTAGGGTCGTCCACGGAAGCGAAGAAGACAACGAGCTGTTCACACCTTCATTGATTATGAGGCTGGTGTCGACGAGGACGAAGATGAGGCTGAAGACGAGGAGGATGAGATGGCCGAATTCGGTGGCGAGATGCATCCTGACGATATGGACGCCCTACCAGTCGGCGCTGAGACTGATGATCGCCGCCATCGCCAACTCGATCGCCAACGTGAACTCGAGGCTAGCATGGATGCCGAAAAGCAGGCGCAGATGCTCAAGGAACGTTATGGTCGGAAGAACGCTGCCGCCTCCGATTCAGTCGTCGTTCCTAAACGATTGCTCCTTCCGAGTGTTGAGGACCCAAGCATCTGGGGTGTCCGATGCAAACCGGGCAAGGAACGTGAAGTTGTGTTTGCACTTCAGAAGCGGATCGAAGAGCGACCTCCGGGATCCCGTAATCCGATTAAGATCATGTCGGCCTTTGAGCGCGGGGGTGCCATGAGCGGATACCTTTATGTGGAGGCTCGCCGACAAGCCGACGTCATGGATGCTCTGCAGGATATGAGCAACGTCTACCCGCGGTCCAAGGTCATCCTAGTTCCGGTGCGGGAGATGCCAGATCTATTGCGAGTTCAGAAGTCAGAAGAGCTCACCCCTGGAGGATGGGTTCGGATCAAGCGCGGCAAGTACCAGAATGATTTGGCCCAGATCGAGGAAGTTGAAACGAACGGTCTTGCCGTAACTGTGCGCCTGGTTCCGCGACTTGACTATGGAATGAACGAAGATACCGGTGCACCGATGGTTGATCCCAAGCGGAAGCGTCCCGGCGCGAATCCCGCTGTTGCTCGCCCTCCCCAACGTCTGTTCAGCGAAGCCGAAGCCAAGAAAAAGCATGGGAAATATCTCTCTGCGACGTCTGGTCTTGGTGGTAAATCGTGGAACTACCTTGGCGAGACCTACGTCGATGGGTTCATGATCAAGGACATGAAGGTGCAGCATTTGATTACGAAGAATGTCAACCCTCGACTAGAGGAAGTGACTATGTTTGCCCGAGGCTCGGAAGACGGAACCGCCAACTTAGATCTTGCATCTCTGGCTGAGACACTCAAGAACTCGACTGCCGAAGATTCATACCTCCCCGGAGACCCGGTCGAGGTGTTCCGAGGTGAGCAACAAGGCTTGGTTGGTCGCACGATTTCTACCCGAGGAGAAATTGTCACTTTGCAGGTCACAGATGGTGTTCTGAGGGGTCAAAGCATTGATGCACCCGTAAAATCTCTTCGAAAGCGCTTCAGAGAGGGTGATCATGTCAAAGTCATTGGCGGCAGCAGGTATCAAGACGAACTGGGCATGGTGGTGCAGGTCAAGGACGATACCGTGACATTGCTCAGCGACATGAGTATGCAAGAGATCACCGTGTTCAGTAAGGATCTCCGGCTGTCGGCTGAAACGGGCGTCGATGGAAAGCTGGGCATGTTCGATGTCCATGATCTCGTCCAACTAGAGTAAGTCGGCCCCTAGCTGAGGTGCCAGTCTTCTGATTAGTATGCTAACTACGGCCTAGCGCTGCTACCGTTGGTTGTATCGTCAAGGTTGATCGGGAATCGTTACGGGTTCTGGATCAGAACGGCTCTCTTCGTACAATCCTCCCCACCCAAGTTACCAACAAGATCACCCCCCGTCGAGACGCCGTTGCTACCGACCGTAATGGCGCGGAAATCCGCCATGGAGATACGGTCCGTGAGCTTTACGGAGAACAGAGAAACGGCGTGATTCTTCATATTCATCGCTCGTTCCTGTTCCTACATAACAAGGCTCAGGCCGAGAATTCTGGCATTGTCGTGGTGCGCACGACGAATGTTGTTACCGTGTCTGCCAAGGGAGGCCGATCCTCGGGACCCGATCTTTCGAAGATGAATCCGGCCCTAATGGGCAAAGGTATGCCCGGTGGCGGTGGCATGGGACCCCCCAAGAGCTTTGGGCGAGACCGGATGATTGGAAAGACGGTCATGGTCCGCAAGGGCCCCTTCAAGGGTCTCGTGGGTATCGTCAAGGATGCCACGGATCTTCAAGCGCGTGTGGAACTCCACTCCAAGAACAAGCTGGTGTCTATTCCGAAGGAAATCCTAGTCGTCAAAGACCCAGTCACCGGCCAGACAGTGGAGATGGGGCGCGGCAGGGGAGGAGGCCGCGTTCCATCAGCAGCTCCGCCATCTAGCTGGCATGGTGGTCGTACACCGATGGGTGCTATGGATTCATCCAGAACGCCTGCCTGGGGAGGTGCATCCTCAGCTCGCAGTAAGTTAAGCCTTCTCCTCGTTTACATATTTGAGATACTGAGATAAGTTTCTTTTGTTCAGCCCCGGCTTGGTCTGGTATGGGTGGATCTCGCACGCCCGCATGGAAAAACGACGGATCGCGCACCTCCAACCCTTACGACGGTAGTCGCACGGCCTATGGCGGAGGAGGCCTCGGATCTCGCACGCCTGCCTGGAATGCCGGTGCTCGAACACCGTACGGGGACTCGGGATCTGGATCCAGCGGATTCGATGCCTTTGCCGCAGGATCTAGGACTCCGGCCTGGGGCGCACAGAACGCCGGCAATCGCACGCCAGCCTGGTCCGCCGGGGCCACGGCCAGCAACGGTAACAGGGGCTACGATGCCCCCACCCCCGGTGGAATGTATTCCGCCCCGACTCCGGGAGCCTACGGTTCCGCTCCGACCCCTGGCGCTTCAGCCCCTACGCCTGGAGCCTGGGCAGACAGCGCACCGACGCCGGGAGCCTTCAACGCTCCCACGCCTGGCGGCCCGTCCAAGCGAGGCGCATATGACGCACCCACGCCAGCCGCATTCGACGCACCCACACCGGCCATGGGCGGGGTCTCCACGCCCGGGGCAGGCGCATACGGAGATGCTGATGACGGGGGACCGCGCTACGACGATGCAACTCCTAGTCCTTGAGCAAACACGGGGCAAAGAACCGAGGTTGCAGAAATTCCAAAGCTGTGGAGATGAGGAGAAATATAGCCAAAAGGAAACCAGGTTAACGTATTCCATTTTACTCGCATGTTTTTTAATCAGATAAATACAGGCATGGTTAGTCGGTCGTCTTTGTACTTATGTATTATTTTTGTGGCATTTATGACATCATCCATTCATCGACTGTTCTACCAAATAGTACGTTCCTTAACCTATTTTACCCACTTGATCAGCATTCCAAGTCAATCATTCCCTCGAGCCCTCACATCCCAGACCACCAAACTACGTGAACTAAAGAGAAGAGAAAAAAATGGTAATAGTAGATCACATTGCACATAATACACATTCATACAACTGCCTAGAGCTCAATATCGATCGATAATACAAGGTGAAAAAGAACCCTCTCCAGGCTTTAACGGAAAAAAAAAGATAAACACAATCGACATAACGCATCAAACTGACCTCGAAAAGTTCCATTTCTTCCCCACCACTCGCCTGAGTAGGTAGGTATATACCCAGAGAAGAAACGAAAACGAAAAATGAAAAAGAAAAGAAAAAGAAAAAGAAAAAACAAAGGGACATCATGCCATAAGTATGTGATCAATCAATCCATGACTTAACTAGGTAGGTAGGTAGGTACCATCGGTCTTCCATCTATGGGTCCGAATTTTGACGGAACAGAGAGAAGAGCCATAAAGAAGACAACAGAAAAAAAGGGAAGTTCATACATTACATTCACAGGGGCCTCTATCTGACGCGGCCACTGGACAGAGAAGATCAGAAGGGTGATAAAAAAAATGGAGGAGACAGAAGAAGAGGTAGATTATGGACAGAAACATCAAAAGGTAGATAAAAATGGGGTTGACAGGAATTTTCGAATGGAGATTGATTTGACAACGTCGCTGATATCACGGTGGGACCGCTCTTGCCAACACGCGAATATTATCCACGAAGCCCTTGACCAAGTCCTCGTACTGATTTGAAGGGTCGCCGGACATGGCGAGTTGACCTTGACGGCGGATCTCGGCGGCGGAGCATTCGATCTCGAGTTCATGTTCGAATTCACCTTTTACTGGGGGCTAGATGGGGGAGCAAACGACGTCAGTGGTCATCGATGGGAAGAAAAAAACGAAGGGTGGACATGGTAGAAGCATACCTCGGATTTGGCGACTTGCGTTAGATCGATTTGATAGGCTAGATGCCGATAGCTCATTCGATCCTTGTTACGGTCGCCGCCGCGCCCGCCTCGACTACCATCGAGCACGGTAAGATTAGAGACATCGCCTTCATAACTCATTTCCAGATTGACACTGATACGCCAATCGACACAGGTGTTTGGACTGAACACGTCAAGATCGGCAATTCGGCATTTGACAATTTTCGCGAGCACTTCACCCGTTCGCTGGTCGACGGTGACCCGAACTCTGGGCTTGTGACGGGGGTTGAGGTTCTGTCGGATAACAGGAGAAAGTTCACTAGGCGACACTTCATAGAAGGTGTCCCGTTCCTTTTTATGTGCGTATGACAACGGGACTCGGTCGGGTTTGGTCTGCGGCATGGACAGTTTCACTGCTTCATTCAGGAAATTATTCATCGCTCGATGTTGCGCCTGGAAGAATTGGTTAGCCGTGACGCTGAAGATGGAAGGCTGACTACGTACCACTGTCATCGTGCTCTCGAAGGCGGTCCGCAGGCGCGTGTTCTTCTTATCGACCACGCTTTCCGTCTGGATTGGAAGATGAAGCCTCTCGTTTCGATCCATATCGACCAGCTGACCCATCTTGGCTTCCACCTCAATAATTGCTCCCTGGCCCGCTGCCGATGTCCCCGCGGGAGCGGCAACGGCATCGTTTCGCAGGACAACGTGTTGGAACAAGAAATCACAGACCGTTTTGGTGATTTCTTCGTACGGCACGATTCCTTTTATCGACGGCTCCCAGGGCCCCAGACTGCCCGTCTGAGCTGCCTGGGCCGGCTGGGCCGGCTGGGGAGACTCTGGAGGTTGACTTGGGGCGGGAGGACCGTTGACTGGCGGCGTCTCGGCCTCCGGTTTGGCTGGCAAAGACGAGTCAACTGCAGCGGTAGAAGCCTGAGTAGACACAGACTGCTGGCGCAGATTCCACGGATTCTGTGCCGAGTCCCGGGCGTCCTTCGGGATAGGGGGTAGTCGGTTCGGGATCATCGGACATCTTCCTTTGGTGCGCACAGATCGTTGAGCGAAGATAGGCGGCTCGTTATACCTTCGTCGCTTCACCTTGGGGCCGGTCGGGCTGACCGCAGCCACACGTGGTTGTCTGTCTGTTGATGCCATCGGCGCCGATCGCGCCTCTTCTACCAGAAGACCATCGCGCGTCACCGATGCACGAGTCGATGGAGAACTATTTATGTGAGTCGCAGGCGGCCCGACGCTCGAGCTCTGCACGCTGGACCGGCGTTCCCTTGCCGCGAAACCATTTTCCACGGCCATAGGTTGCGGCGCGGCCGTCTGATCCGGATATGCGCCGACTACGCTTCCCTGTCGAGAATGCGGCGGAAGAGCCGTCTTCGGGCTCACGCTTTCGTCGGAAGTCCTCCGGTCCATTGAAGCCGATGACTGCCGGGGGGTATATTCCATGGGGCCCGAGTCCTGCCGCGAGATGCGGTGGACCGTATTCGGGGACATGTGAGCCGGCGCATCACTTCCCACCCACGGACTCGACGCTGGGTGAGAATGGGATTCCCGGCCCGACGATAAGGGACGGCCGGAGGGGGGCGTGTGTCGAGGATACGGCGCAGCAGCAGACGCGGTGGCAGCAGAGCCCCGAGGGGTCACAGGCATCGACGCCTGCGCGGAGGCTTGCTGAGGGGGGTACGCTTGAGGACCACCTGCGGGAGGGCTTTCTCTGAGATGGGATGAGTAGGTGGGGGAGAAAAGAGGGTTCGTAACGGACTGAATGGAGTGCGAACGCTGCTGCGCGTAGACAGGGGACTGCTGCTGGGGGGGAAGGTTGTAGGGGCCGGGCGCGCCGAATGAGTCACGCGACGCGGAGGAGCCATACGGAGCGGGATGAGAAGGTTGGTATTGGTAAGGCGATTGAAGAGAGCCGTAAGACGAGGAGCGCTCGGGAGAGCCGTGAGGATACGCGGGAGGATAGGAGGAAGAGGGCGACGTTGACGGCGCAGTCTGGTCGCGGGGAGGATAGGCGGGTTCGGCCGGCTTCGAGGACGAGGCGGCCGCATCGTTGTTCATGATCGTGCGTAAATCCATGGCGATTGGATATGCGACTCGCGGGGGAGAACTGGATTAATTGGATCGAAGGAACGTGCAGTCCGGGGGGAAGGAGCTTGGAGCTAGAGAGACCGGTCGATGGACCCCTGGGGACAGAAGGACGAGCGATTGCAAGGAGCGATAGCGTTCACGGCATGGAGGGGGTTGCGACCGGATGCTGGGATGGGCGAGAATAAATAGCGAGCAGCGGACGACGGCGAAAGAGGCGACAAAGCGAGCAAAGAAAGGATGGCGGAGGGAAGAAAGGAAAAAGCGCGAGATGAAGCAAAGGAAAGAAAAGAAAAGAAGGAAAGAAGTGAACGTTGGGCGGATTGCGCGTTCCTGATTGGCCCGTCGGGCAGCATACTTCGCTCTGCTTTTCTCTCTCTTCCTTTCATCGTCTCCTTCGTCTCCTTCATCTCCTCTTCTCTCCATCATCGCTTTCTGTTGGTTCTCTGTCATTACTGTATCACTCTCCCCTCGTCCCTGCAATCAGATCGGCCCCTGGAAAACCGCATCCGATGCACGAAGCCGCGGCTCATCAGCGTTGGCTGCGCAAACGAGCTCGGACTGACACACCCGAAGCTGCGAGAGAACACCTTACGGTCTTCCCCGAGCAGCTTGGAGCTGTCCCCAGGATTTTAAGCTCTCACAGGAGGATGCGAAGAAGTCTGCCCAGCCCGATTTGCACGTGCGACTATCTCGAGTCCAAATGTGTAGCCTTTTCGTGAAGCCTGGCGATGAGTCGGCGACACAGTGCGACCTCACAACGTCGTCTCAGGAGAAGGTGACTTAGATATTCATCCGTTCTGGACTTCGACCATCTTGTAATCCTGCTTCCTGGACCTGCAGCTCCCCGGAATTCTGCGCACGGGTATCGGAGTCAAACCGAAACATCGTCTTATACTGATCATTGGTCGAAGTTTATATTTAGGAAGACAAATTTAGCAGCAATCCCTAAAAAGGGGACAGCAGATGTGCTGATCGGCTACACACAGTAAGACATCGATGGCCTAGAACCGCCATCAGTCGTCTCGTGCACGTATCCGGCAAAAGCTATCCATTCATTATGCTGTCTCCCTCGCCGATAGAAAGCAACTCTGACAAAAGTCCCAATTTGTGCGACAGTTCATCCAGCGGACGGGACTTGATTCCGGTCGGCCTGGAGACTCTTTGATGGCCAGGGAGGGACCGATCCGATTGCGCAGACGGCACCGATGGTTCCCCCGTGGGGAAGCTGGCCTCGTCGACCTCTCCTGAAGTGGGTTATGTTTCATATACAGATTCACCCCAAAGAAGGGTTGCAAACAAAAAGTCAACTCTCGCACACCAATTGATTTCTATTCATTCACCCATCGGATCTTCTCCCTAAAGCAACCGAGGAAGAATGGATAAACGGTTATCACGACAGGCCTGCAATCGCTGCCGTGGCCTCAAATTGCGCTGCGATCGCAGTGCTGCAGCAAAAGATTGTCGTCGCTGCCTAGCGGCCAGGGCGACGTGTGTCTTCAATCCGTCAACTCGTGGGCGTCAACTTATTGGCGGCAAGCCATCACTCTCTACGTGTCCGACTCGCAAAGAGCTGGAACCTTGCAACTCTACTGAGGACGTATCCATTTCCGAGTCCCTTATCAAGGGCCCGGAAGTGAGTTCAGACACCTGCATGGGGGGTCTGCCGCCATGCTCTCTGTGCCAAAATGTCCAAGAATCGAGCTCCTTGAATACAACCGCATTGGCCCCAATTCCGTTGACAGACGTCGCCTTCTCCAACTTTTATTCGGCCGGGGAAACACTGAGCAAGAACAACAGAACTGAGATGGGCTTTCCCATGAATCCTCCCTCGCCACAATTCGCCGACAGCAATGTGGTGACACCCATGCCAGACCCGCAGACCCATTTCCAGGTCCAGTTCATGAAGGATCTCCTAGCGCTGGATATAGAATTGATCCAGCATACTTCCACCTTGATCGTTCTGACGGAAGACGGCCCCTCGAAAGCCTTCGTGGATAGAACATTGATCATCGCACAGCAAATGTTGAAGATCTTACATTGGGTGGAGTGTTGGGCATCGCATGCCAGCTATCCGCAAACCTGGTGTCTGTATCTACCCGAGCCATTGATACCTTCAGGATCGGGGCAGCTAGAGAAGCCTATCGATCAGGCATCGGCAATACATGTCCTGTCTACATATCTCCGCCTTCTCGAAGTCTATCAAAATCTTTTCACGCGGGCGGCCAGCAACTATAACCCGGTCGTTGCAAACGGCCTGCCGAATCTCTTTCCCTCATTTCATATTCAGGAGTGTACTGTCGATAGACTTGGTATGCAATCAGGGCTGTCACTTCAGTCGACTATGTCATTGTTGGACCGGCTCAGCCACACGGTGCAGCTGCTGGCGATGCCCTTCATCGAGGCGAACGTAGTAAAAGCCATGTTGGCAACAGCCCGAGAGCATGAGCTTCAAATGATGCAGAATTTTTCTCAGCTGCAGACGATAGTGTATGACAATGGGCTCTAATTATTTCGTGGATCCAATTCAATAATTTCAATCGTTGGGATCTGGTGCATTGCAACGTAGTGCCAAAACACATGATCGGCGAATCCCCCGGCCCTCCGAGCGGCAGAAGCAGCCACGTCCACTCCTCCTCCCTCCCTTCGATCTTCTTCATTTCCATCTCCCTCCCTCTCCGTTCAATTCCCATCGATCTTTCGTCTCGATAAGTCGACACTTGAGGCGGTACTCCTTTTATGGTGTCCAGGTAAAATGCTGTGTCTCATCGCTGCTTAGCTCCGCTAACTCAATCGCCCGCCGCCTTGAAGCATGCTGCGCCTACCGTCCTTACCCCGATGAACTGCATCTAGATACCTAGAAAAATAGACATAGACATCGTCCGCATTTCAGCATTTGATTTCTGGCATTGGTTTGTCTACTGAGCTGTTTTCGCGCCCTTTGCCGTCCGCGGTCCACCCTGGTTCCCCGTGTTACGCAATCCTCATCCCAACCGACTGGGCAAAACAGCAGAGAACACCAGTCGCATTGCACCTCCACCGCTCGTCAGATTCAATTCCTCCTCCATCTCGCCATGTCGCAACTCGACAAAGACCCTGAGGCATCGCCGGCGATCCATAATATCCCGCTGAACGATCTAGAATCGGGCACCCATCGCTCCCCGCATTCGTCGTTAAACTGGCCGACTCTCGCCGAAATCTCGCCGTCGCACATCTGGCCCCCGCAAGCCAAGCAGTTATCCGACAACTGGCAGGAATACCTGGAAATCGCTGCTGGAAAGCTGATTCTCGCCCTCACGCCAAGCTTTCTTCAACACTGGGTGGGTGGCGAACCGCCTAAACCGGCCAAACTTCATGGAATTGCGGCGCTGGATGGTCTGCGCGGTTGGGCCTGTCTGCTGGTCTTCAACTTCCATTTCCTGTTTACATATACGTGGAAGGTCGCCCTCGGCTGGGGGTTTAACAACGAAAATTGGCATCTCTTTCAGCTGCCCATCATCCATGTGTTGACCTCCGGGCACATAATGGTCGCCATCTTCTTCGTTATGTCGGGCTACGTGCTTTCTTATAAGCCTCTGAAAACGATCCGCGGCCGGTCTTGGGAGCAGACGTTCACGGTCCTGGCCTCGTCTACTTTCCGTCGGGGACTGCGCTTGTATGTCCCTTCAATTGTTGGCATTCTACTGGTCATGGTGGCTGTGCGCCTGGGTGTGTACAACTACTCGCACAAGGTGGTCGAGCAAGGTCTCACCATCCTGGGGACCAACGAGCAACACCCTCCCGTCATGAAATCTTTCACCAAGCAGTTCTGGGACTGGTACTTGACGGTGGTGCAGCTGATGGATCCGTGGAACTGGGGGCTTTACTACAACTACTATAATCCGCATCTGTGGACCATTCCGGTCGAATTCCGCTGCTCCATCGTTCTCTTTCTCACTCTCCTGGCTACATCCCGAGTGGCTACTCGTGTGCGCGTGTCCCTAGTTGGCATTCTCGTGTGGTTCTGTATGCGATGGGGCCGATGGGACGTGGTCCTGTTCCTCTCCGGCATGCTCATGGCCGAAGCTGACCTGATCAACGGAACTTGGGAGCGTCCGGCGGCGAACGAGAAGCCATGGAGCCACCGCTCCCCGTTCAGGCAGAGCGCATTATCTCGTCTATCGGGCCGGAGGTTTTGGATCGGACTGTTCTTTGTGGGCCTCTACCTGGGCTCCGCCCCGAACGTTGGCTACAAATGGACTCCCTTCTACATGTGGACCTGGAAAGTCACGCCCAAGACGTACCCCGAGCCGCACCGGTTCCCTCAAACCCTCGGTGCCGTCCTTATCGTCTTCAGCATCAACCACTCCAAGGACATTCAGAAACTCCTCACCCACCCCCTGTCGCAGTATCTCGGCAAGATCTCCTTCTCCTTCTATATCGTTCATGGCCCCATCCTCCACTCCCTGGGCTACTCCCTCATGCCCAACATCTGGGCCCTTGTCGGCAAGGAAACCAACTTCCAATACTGTCTCGGCTTCCTGATCGGTTGGCTCATCTGCCTTCCCTTGTCCCTGTGGGCCGGCGACGTCTTCTGGCGCGCCGTCGACGTCCCCAGCGTCAAATTTGCCCGTTGGGTCGAGGACCGCCTGGTTATCAAGACAACCGCGGCGACGAACCAACCTCCAAACCCACATCTACAATGATTACCCTTTTCTCTATATCCCACATTTTCGGCGGAGCTTTCTCGGTCGTTCCTTCTCCTTGAGTTATTCCTAGCCAGCGCGCACACTTACATCATACCATATCCATCACAGCAACAGTGCAGTACATATTCAATTAAAGCAAATCGCTGGACGATTGACTTTGTTTGTGTTTTTTCCTTCCCTTTTCGGTTTCCTTTCCTCCAGACGCTGAAATCACTCCCGGTTGTATTGTCAAATTTCTCTCTCTGTCGATTTACTTACATCATTGTATGTTCCATTAATCGAGGTTGATACATGGGTGTCTCATTGGCTCGGAGTCTCCATATAAGACCCGCTTAGATAGCATATATATATACCCTTCTGCTCCAATGCAATGTCATAGTACTAAAAAGACTGCATCAAAAACAACTAAGTAAACAAGTTTCGTTGTGGAGGTTAAGATTTGTTCATTCAGTCGTTCACTCGTACTATACCATACCATATCATGACAAAGCTCGACAAACTCCATGATCAAGTGAAAAACATCTAGATACTTCATCCGTGCAAATTGGGTGTCGGAGAAATAGAAGAATCAACAGGGAGGGATTCAATGCCAATGGGAAGAAAATAAAAAAAAAAAAGGGGGGATGAACCAAATATGACAGAAAGGAAAGAAACAAAAAAACACGAGGCACCTCGGTCTAAACTAGAATGCAGGGGCTAGATGCAGTTTTGATTCTTCAGAGTCTTTTTTTCCCTCTCTTTTTGTCCAGTCCTTTTTGGGTTTTTTCTATCGGTTGTTTTTATGGTGCTCATAAAGCCACACCCCAAACTCCGCGGCCACCGCACACCCCTAGCCAATCCCGAGGGTGCCCGGAGGGAGTGGTACCGCCCTGAGGCGACCAGCTGATGTTAGACACTTCATAGTCACATTTCCAGGCGGCAGCGGGGCCGCGCTCGGAGGTGACCGAAGGCGCGCCGGGGGTATGCACGGCGGGCGGGACGGGGGCAGCGTTCTGTTGATTGATCAGGTCCCAGAGGAGAACAAAGCAGTCGTCTGCGCCGGAGGCGAGCACGCCACGGCGATTGGGAGACCATTCAACGGAGTTGAGGGCGGCGGCATGCCCTTTGAGTTCGAGAAGGGCTTGGCCAGGTTGGCGAACGTCAAGCACGCGCACGATGTTGGAATCCTGAGAGAAGGTGGCCAGGAGATGGGCGTCATGAGGAGAAGCTAAACGATCATCAGAAACAGTTCTCAAGATGGATTCTTCATGTGGGAGTCCTTACCGGCAATTCGCAGCAGAGGCGGAGGCCATGTGGATGATGGAGCCGAGGGACTACCATTTCCAGGGCTTATCACTGTGTAAAAGGCAAAATTAGTATTTGACGATGCAGAGAGGATAGATGACAGTGAATAATTACGTTTTTCATTCTTGTCCGTCGGCTCGTAAATGATGGTGCTGTGCTCTAGACTGCGAAGATCGAACATGCGCACGCTACCGTCGGCGCCACAGCTAACGAAAACATCAACGCTGTTTGCGCAGAAGCGGACGTCGTACACTTCTTTGTCGTGTGCGATCAATTGTGTTTTAGCCGTAAGGGTAGGGATATCCCAAATGGTGCAGGTGGTGTCAATGCTCGACGTGATGATCAAGCTCGGGGAGATGGTGTTCCAGTCGAGAGAGGTGATGGGGGCGGTATGCTCAGGGGACTTTGAGTTGGACAACAGCGCCAGTGGAGACAGCTTGGCAGCAGGCAGTTCTCTTTGGTTTGCCGGTCGCGTAATTGAATTAGAATGTTGCAGGGGCGTGGTCGGCAGGGACCACAGTCGCAGATGGTCGCCCGAAGTCGCCAGGAGATCGGTCGACTGCTTCTGGGACGATGGTGGTTCCCAGAGAATTCGTGTTACAGGGTAAGAATGTGTGGCTTCCGCAGTCTTCACATAATCCAGTTTGATTTCACCGGCTGCAGCGTCAGGCGAGTCGGGATCGGGTTGGGTCCAGTGGGTATCGATGATTTGTATCTGCAAGAGGTTAGCACAACAGGCTGCAGTGCAAGTTCAACGGAGAATAATCAAAGTTTCGCCTACATAATTATGGTTGTCCTCCAGATAGCTTCCCAAGGCCAGTTTGCCTCCGAAGGAACTGGAGCTTCCCGTAATGGGCCACTTACACCAATCCACGGCGTAGATGGGCCACGGGGCAATGTAGTTGCTGTTGGTCGGCACTTGATTGTCGCCAGGATTGGGCAGCGACCCGGGACTCATGAGCTGATCATTCAGCAGGTCTCCTGATGGCCGGATATCCGACAGTCCAAGAGGAGAGTATTTGGCGCCTTGTGGAGTAACCGGCGGGAATGCAGCGCCGGGGGATGAGCCAAAGCGCGCGGTCTCCGACAGTCCGTGCGGCTTGTATTTCGACTGCTCCACACCCGCGGGGCTGGAACGGGAGTGACCATGAGAATTGGTCATGCCGGACCGAGGCGTCGTCGGAGGGGGTTGTTGGGGTTGCGGGGGTGGTTGCTGTTGCTGTTGCTGCGGTGTCGACAACTGTGGCAGCGTAGGGAGAACAGATGGGGCGGTGTTCACAGACATTGCGGGCGGGCGGTTGACGTTGCCCGGCTGCAGCGCTCCAGGCAGAGCTCCTCCGGCGTTATTTGCGGCTCCAAATTGATTCGGTTGGGCATTCGTCGGGTGGAAATTGATCGAGGGGGCATGGTTATCAGCACCGGTCGCAAATTCATGGGACATGGATTGCCGCTGTAGCGAAGCGCCGCCGGAGGGGATGTGAAGCTCCTCCGGTTGGCGACTATACATAGTGGCCCGTCGGGGATCGTAAGTTGGAGGGGGGTTCGACATGACGGTCGTAGATGAACTAGTCGTTCCAGATTCGTTTCGATAGAGGCTCAATGGATAATCACAGTGCAGTCGGATTGCGACTCCAGCGATGACTGTCGGGGAGGCAGAGGGAGATCAGGCTGGGTCTAGGAGAGGAAAAGGGCATCGACTAGAGGAATCCGACTGCACTGGCGAGAGGTGCAAGAAGGATCATGCCCAGACAGGGGGGGAGGAGGGCAAAGAAAGAGCGGAAAGAGAGGAGATCAGCAGGGGAATGAAGGAGAGGAAGGCGAGGACATGGCAGCAAGGAAGGATGAAGCGGAAGTCGCAGTCTCTCGACGGCGAGGGTCTCGTGCCGCTGACTCAGCCGCGGGGAAGTCGTCTTTCTCTTCCGTTCTTCTCTTCTATACTTCTTCTACTCTTCTCTCTACGTCTTCTCTCCCCGTCATCCCTGCCTGCTTTCGTTCGCTAGCGGGCTTCGTTTCCGACCGTCTTGTTTTCCCGCCTTTTTCTCACTGCATCTCCGGCTTTCACCTCTCCACGCTCCGTCGGTCGCTCTCTTTCTTCTGCCAGCTCCCCGCTGAGCTCTCCCCGCAAATATGGCAGCTTCGTCCGTCAGCCAAACCTCGGCTCTACTGCTGCTTCCACCCCCACCATCTGCTTCATTTGAACACTTCCAACAGGTTTACGAATCCGTTCTCTCCACAGTCTGCTCCCGACTCGTGCAGAATCTACAAGACACCCACCGAACGGCTATCCTGGATATTGTGCTGGCTCTGCCTGGTCTGCAATCGTCATCCTCTCAACCTCGGTCTCGGATCTTTGGAAGCCTTCAATCTTGCTTGGCCAACCTATATCGACTGCTAGGAGTCATTTCCGTGGAACGAGGTATTGAGCTGGACGTGTCCGGAGGCATCGATGCGCGAGTAGTGTTCCTCGACTTCGACTCGATTCACCGACCGACCGAACAATCGCGCGAGGGCTCCTCTATTGGCCCAATCGTTGATCTGCGGACGCTGGCCGAGTCGGCACGTCTGTGGGATTGGGTTTTCTTCCCGGATAACCACGTAGGCCAGACGCTGGCGACGGATTTCAGTAGTATCTATTCCCAGGCCAAGGATCCCAATGCCGGCGACGTACATCCTATTCCCGGGGCGCCCGATTGGACACCCTTCGATTCCTTGTCAGCGTCAGAGGATACCTCCGAACCCAAGGCACATTACTCGGTTGTTGTGGGTGGTACTTTCGACCATTTCCACATCGGACACAAGTTTCTACTCACTGCCACGGCGCTGGTGTTGCAACCCCTCCGGGACTCGGGGCCAGCCGAAGGATCGATCACGGTGGGAGTGACGGGGGACGAGTTATTAGTGAAGAAAAAGTATGCCGCATTCCTGGAGAGCTTCGACGACCGATGTAAGAGCGTGGCGGACTTCCTCTCGGCCATCATGGAGTTTGGTCCCCCAGATAGTACGGCGGGGGTCCAGCAAGTGAGCCAGCCAGGCCCCTTTGGAAAGTATATGCTGGTGAAGGTTCGGCCCGGTTTGACATTGCGCCTGGTCCAGATCACCGACGTATTTGGGCCTACCATCACCGAGGAGAGCATTAGCGCCCTTGTGGTTTCCAAGGAGACTCGCGCGGGAGGTGCGAGCATCAATCAGGAGCGCACCAAAAAGGGCTGGCACGGCCTGGAGGTGTTTGAGATCGATGTGCTCCTCATGGGCGGCGTGCCCGCTCAGGACGTCGAGGACTTTGCCTCCAAACTAAGCAGCACCGAGATGCGCCGGCGCCGGATGGAGATGGCCAAGAAATGACATGACTAGATTAATCCATGATTTATTGAAACTAGACGCGGGAAGCTGCTGGTTCTTCCCTGCAGCCATCAGATCCGGTCACTTTTTTTTTTTTTTTTTTTTTTTTCTCTCTCCCTCTCGTCTTCTTCAGTCTCTTTTTTTCTCTGACATCCCCCTGGACGACAGGGTCTCCGGTGTCACAATTTCTCCTGTATATCCCGTACGCACGACCGCCAGCAGCGCAACAACAACAACACACACCTGCGTCCATTCCGGTCTGGGAAAGCGTCAAACGGGGATGAGGTCGACATGAAGAGATGTAATCCAACGAAAGTCCCGAGCAGCCGATACCGTGGGACTTAAAGATGGGGGCCTGAACCGCTGCACCAAATGGCATTGTTGGCCACGACTCCGATCCTCTTCTGCAAACTGTGGCCAGTCGATCAGCGTCGAGGCGGGGTTTGGCAGCCGTAGGCGTCTGCAGGCAAGTCGGAGTCTAGTCGATTGGCTTTTCTCCTTGTCGCATCATCGCTGCGCCCCCCCTTCGTTGCCCTCCCATCACCCCCCTCCTTCTTCTCGTGCCTCTCTACCAATCCCTCTACGCCGTCACTCTCGTCTCCTGCAGGTTCGCGCTGGATAACCGCATGCTGCTTCAATCATGTGACTGCTGTGTCGTCCAATATCACCGTGTCCTGCGCCGAAATCAGGCGAGTTCTGCGACGGGCGTGGTTGAGTCTGATACTGACGACGATCGATGTGGGACGCTCTAAATCTTGTCAGACATGTCGCCCTCCAAGCGCTGTGTCTGTGACCGTCTGGGGAGTCGAAGAGCCGATGTATCACTCGCCTTGCTCTGTCCTGCTGCTTTCTTTTTCCTTTTTCTTTTTTTCCTGTTTCTCATTTATTTTTCCCTCCCCCTGTCGCCTTTTTTTGCTTATTTTGAAACATTTTTTTCTCCCTCTTCCCTGGCTCCTGCCGACGTCTCTCTCGTCATTTTCTTCTTATTAACCTGCCGTCCGTCACCACTTCATCTCTTCCTCTTTTCTATCTCCCTCTCCTACCATCGCACTGTCTCTTTCCATTCTCCTTTTCGCTTTCTCGCTTACTCCTAATCCCTTCATCCGGCTCGTGACCTGTCTTCTGGCTTCCTGGATCACTCGCTTCCGGTGCGCCGTCAATTCCTTTTCTTTGCGGGACGGCCACCTTTCCATGTGGTTGCGAGTGCCCCAAGCAGCCGAACACGCGGCTGCCTCGCGAAACGAACACGATGGATACCCCACGGCGCATTGACGACCTCGCCGACGAACTCATCAGTGACATCCTGTCCTACCTCCTGGGCTCGGAGTCCGTCGCATACCATCCTCACGATCCATCCCGCGGGCCCAATGGCAGCTCCCGCACGGCGTATGGCGAGAAGACGGAGCTGGATCGGTTTAGACTCGTGTGCCGGCGGTTCATGCGCATCGGGACGCCGCGAAAGTTCCCCCGGTTCGTTCTGCGCTTCTCGCGGGATGGATTCCAGCGGCTGGAGGATCTTCTACACATGCAGCTGGCCTGCCATGTCAGATATTTCACGTACATGGTGCGACCCTTCTACCAAGGAAGCGGTACCGTCTCTGCAGACCCGTCCCCATTTGCGCCCTGGTTCCCCTCGAACTGACAACCCCGCCTAGGCTGGTCCCACGCCCTGACTACTGTCGAATCGGAGAATCGCCCCGTCGCGCACATCCACCGCCGCCGACTCCACGATCAGAAATCCATCGTTGACCGAAATCACGATCTGGCGCTGTTGCGACGGGCCATTGCGGCGTTCCCTGCCCTGCAGCAGGTGAAGCTGCTGCGGCTGCAGGACGAGGCGGACGAGGAATTGCTGGGATACCTCCGAGATTACTCTCTGGAAGAGGACGCTCGATTGGATTGGGAGTCGGCCTGCACGCGCGCGGTCACCAGCTTGGGAATCTCCCTGCTCGATTCGAAATGTACCTCGGTGCGCTTTGTCGCCCCGCAAATCAGCCCGGAGGCAACGGTCCGACTTCTGCAAGCGCCCCCGACGATGCTGTCGGCCCTGGGCGCGCGATTGACCAGTCTGGACGTCACGTTTCACGCGCGCGCCGACATGACCACGAGCATGGAGACGCTCTCCCACGTGTTTTACGAGTTCTTCCTGGCCGCCAAAAACCTGACGGCCATCCATCTTGGCTTCCCCGCCAACCTGCCGCTCGACCTGTCCCTCGAGCGCATCTTCCACCGCCTGCAATGGAAGCGGCTGCGCACCTTGAGCATCCAGGGCTGGCGCCTGGGCTCCGACGAGATCATCGCGCTGGTCCGGCGCCACCGACGACCCCTCCGCGACCTCAGCCTCGCCAGCGTATACCTGCGCGCGGGCGGCCGATGGTGCGACGTTCTATCCGTGCTCCACGACGAAATGGACCTCCTCGAGCGCATTGACCTGCGCGAGATCAACTACGCCGCCCAATTCGATGCCGACCACCACTCCCACCACTACTCACCGCTCAACGGCAACGGCAACGGCAATGGCACCGGCACCGGCGACGGCGCGTTCGACGGGCCCATGCTATCCGTGGTGGCCCAGCCGAGCCCCGATCTCCCGTCGCCCGATTACCTGTCATTCGCCCCACGCGGGAACACCCGTCGGTCCTTCACCGACGCCACGCTGGAGAAGCTCCGGGTCCTGACGGCCGACGATCTCGGCGACAACGGCGCCAGCGTGCATCGAAGGCAACGATTATTCTGGGAGGCGTGGGTGCTGTCCAGTTCACGGAATAACATCCGTCGACGGTTCTGAGGCACGAAAACACAGCAAAGAAAGAAAAGTGGATAGGGTGGGTGGGGTTATAATTAGTCGACGATACATAAATACTCCTTTTTGTGGTTTTTGAATACAACCTTTTTAACGCAATGTGGTTTCTCTATTTTCTTCCCCCTTGCAGTTTTCACTTCCACTTCCTAGGTATTCACAGTCGGTAGCTGATAGGTAGCTGGCAAATAAAAAGAAACTGGTATCCTAAACAAACCTAACACAAACAACGCAGATATTCAGAGATGAGATGCAGAGATGCAGCGCCAAGACTTGCACGATGGAAAGTGGAACGAACAAAAGGGAGCACACACAGCACAGCACGCACAACTGAACGGAATTTCAATCATGAAACATCCACCAGGAAATAAGAAAGAGAAGTGGAAGCACATGCATGCTCGGGTCTATCTATATATACTTTCTCTTCAAAGCAGGCAGGTTTTTCCTTCTTCTTCTTCGTGTTTTGGTTGGCAACGCGTAAAAAAGTGAGCAAGTAAAGAGAAAAGGATAATGGTCATAACATGATGAACTGATAAGAGAGGCTTGGGCTGGATTGGCAGACGTAAAGATGATAGATACGTATCAGGAGATAAGGGGGGAATGAGAGAAATGAGAAATGAGAAATGAAACGAAGATGATGTAGAGACCATGTACAAGAGTTGTTTCGTATGGTATGGTGGGAAGAGAGGGGAAAAGAAAAAGAAGAGAAGAGAAAAAAAGGAACAAGAGACATCGATCATGATAAGCTGGTAGTGCTGCTCATCCCATTCGGATCCACCGCGACAGAGACCGCACCGCCCGTACTCGACGGTTTGGTATTCCGTTCCCGCAACCGACGACCTTCCATGAGACCGCGAAGACCGCGCTTCTGCAGACCGATGACGCTGCTGAGATCGCCGGTCCAGATCTCGCGTTGGGGGTTGATCTCGGCATCGGTGTCGCGACGACGGTGGCCGGGGAGCTCGGTGTCGGAGTGATCGAAGCTGGTGTTGGTGGATGCGGAGGTGGAGGTGCTGGCGTTGCTGATGGAGTCCTCGCGGTCGCGTTCGCGTTCTCGTTCGCGTTCCCGCTCTCGCTCCCGTTCTCGCTCCCGGTCGTGGCTGCTGGAATGGTTCCGATGGCGACGGCTGAAGATGTTGGTGTTGATGCGTAGGGGAATGCCCCGGGACTGGGTGCCGACGGCGCCCGCGGCACTGCTGGCGACCGACATGGCGGAGGTGGTGCCGTGTTCGGTGTCGGACGAGTCGGAGGTGAGACGGCTGTGCTGCGAGGCGTTGGTGTTCGTCCCCGTGGACGATTCGCTGGCGGCGTGCGCGCCGTTCAGCGCTTCGAGCGTGCCCCCGGGTCCGCCGGTGAAGCCGGTGCCGCGACCACCGCCGGCCGCCATTGCAGCAGCGTTGAAGACGGCGGCGGCGTTGCGACCGTCGAGCATCTGATGAAGTCGCTCGACGGTGGCTTCCAGGAGACCGTCAACCTGGTAGGGGCGAGCGAGTTGGAGGAGGGAGCAAAGGATCTGAGGGGTGCAGAGGGAGGAACCGACGGCGGGAAGGGAGGAGGTGTAGAGGTAGAAAACCAGCACCTGCAAGGTGAGATAGGTGTGGGGAAGATAGAGCACGCGAGGTCGGGAGGTTGGAGGTAAACTATGCGCAGAGGGTATCTCAAGATTCGCTAACAAGGACTTGTAGGGGGCGGCGGAAGGATTGCTGACGAGGGTGGTGGCGTTCGAGTAGTTGCTGTTGTTTCCAATGGACGGCGTGATGGTAATGCTCGAGTTGCGACTGGGATACATCTGGACTGCCCCCCGCAGCGTGGCCGAGTCCGAAACGCCGCCGTCGGAGGATTCGCGCAGCAGCTGGATGAAGTAGGGGCCCCATCGCCGAGTCAGTATGCGCGAGTTGACGGGGATGAGCTCGCCGCCCACCGCCTGCAGCTCCATATCGGCCATCTCGGGGAGCGTTTGGGCCAATTTTCCCAGCTCGTCCGATGCAGAGGAGAACGGCCGGCCTCCAGACGTCAACTGCGTCAATTTCTGTTGAAGCGAGGCTGGGACCGACGGGGCACTGTGCGAGATGTACCCGGAGGTGGGTGCGCTCCGGCACGGATTGTTGTACAAGCCGTACGCCTCCAGCTCCACCATGCAGACATGAGAAAAGTTCAGCCGGCGGTGATTGTAATCCTCTACCAGGCTGCGCTTGCGGTGTCCTAGTATCACAAACGTGTTTCTTCTCGCCCACAGCACCCCGCGGTTCCAACTGCCGTGGCCGAACACGGATCCACCGGCGTCGATTCGGCCCCAAGTGAGGGTCTTCAAATCCAGCGCCCACAGGGCATACTCCTGCTTTGACGAGGTCAAATAGGTCCCGCTCACGACAAAGTGTCCGTTGATGACGCCGCCGTTCGGGAACCGCAATCCTGGCGGTGATGCTTGGCTCTGCATCGACTTTTCGACTAGGCGGCCATCAGGCAACCGCAATTGGAGCTCGAGCTTGACGTCAAGGAAATTGTAGTTGGAGTAGATGAGCATCGGCGAGCCCTCGACCTGGGACTCCTCGGCCGGCTCCTGGGTGTCTTGATCGGCCGAGTTCGACCCAATATCCGAAACGTTCATGCCGACCAGGGGCGCCACCACGCTGCGATAAGCACCGCAACTTTTCCCGAGCGAGCTGGTGTTGGTCCATTTTAGGCTGCGCAGGTTGAACACGCTTACCTGCTCGATGTAGTGGTTGGAACTATCCTGGCCGCCCACGACCACCATCTCGGCACCTCCGAAGCCATCGATATCCACGCCGATCGAGCCCTGGTGCGGATTCGACGAGGCAGGATTATGATGGATGGCCGATAGCGGAGCACTGGCGGACGTGAAATGAGCGCTAGACGGCAAGATCGTCGCGCAATGGGCGTATCGACCCTGAGGCGAGTCGGTCGCAGGCACCCGAGTCCATGTCCGCGAGGGTACGTCGAGAATATGAATATCAGACATGACCACCACCTCCGGTTGCGCCTCTTGACCGGCGGCGCCGTTGGTCACGGGGTCCTTGGGGGCGTTTAACGCGGGAGACATGCCACCGTAGCAGACCAACTTGTTATCACCGAGAGCGCACACGCTGTGGAAATATCGCGGGCGGGGAATATCCCCCGAGGTATCGATTCTGGACCAATGACGCCGAATCAAGTCCAGCTCATACAGATCGGACGTCAACTGCGGACGATTCTTCGACAACACCCGGCCACCGAACACGTAGAGTTTGTCACCCAAAATGGTCGTCGTCGCGCCCACCAGCGGATGGGGTTCGCGGCCTGTCGTGCGGCGCACATTGCACACGAGACCCGACAGATTGATAGGCCCCGAGTTCGACGGCGGCTGCGCATATCCCGGCGAGGCCCCCGAGGCAGACGGGTCGTTGGGAGCATCCAGATAGCCCAGACTCGACTGGCTCCTGGACATCATCTTGGCGACAATGAATTCTCCCCGGCCGAGTCAGCCCTCCCAGGTGTGAATAATCCTTCGTATGCCGTATTCCTTGTCCACGATAACCTGTTTCCAAGCCCGTCGTATGCAACCACCTTCAAAAGAAGGAAGGAAGAAAAAAAAAAGAATAAATTCGCGGCTCGTTGATGTGCACGAGTTATTGTCGGTGGATCATGCCACACGAATCACAAGCGACGGCGGCAGAAGGGAAGGATCGTCGTCCAGACCGAAAGTTGACCCAAAACGAAAAAAAGACCGAAACTAGAGAGGCGTCGAAGAGGCACGGAGGGACGAGGAGAGCGCGAGATCCAGTCCAGTCGAAGCGAAGAATGGGGGGGGGGTTCAAGCCGATCGGAAGCGAAGATCAGGGGCGGGAAAAAGACGTGATCCGACGATGCGGTGACTGTTCAGAATTCCCCCAAAGCGAAGGGTCCGAGCCCGAGGTGGACAGAAACACGGGCGTCTGGTCGAAAAGAAAGAAAGAAAGAAATACGCTTGAAACGGGACTCGACGACGGGGGAGCAGGGGGGAAGGAGAGGACAATTGGCCGGCAGTCGAGCGAGCGACGGAGGAAAAGGTGCGGGATGCTGAAGGCGGTCCAGGCACCCGTTCACTTCAGTGGAGTCCAAAGTCAAATCGCGCTGACAGCTGCCGACTAGAAGCGGCGACGAAACAATTCGAAGCCTGTGAAACCCCCTCGTCGTATTTCCACCCACGCCTGGTTGCGCCTGCAATTCTGCGCCGACGGAGTTTTCCTCGAACGCTTGTTTGTCCTGCGTCGTGCTCAGTCTGTCCAGGGCATCCACCCTGAATGAGCCCTCGGAAGCCGTTCGACGAGCGATCTCGGGGCTTGGATTGTCCCTTGTTTCAAGTCGCTTCTAGAATATCACCGGGAACTGTTGGCAGTGCATGCTGACGGCGAACTCGAGCTGAAACCCCTTCGCATGCAGGATGACATCGCCCGTACATTGTCTTCTACGCCACAAATCGTGTTCGATGCCCGCCTGTCGCAGTTCCTGCAGCTGCGTCTGCATTATTGCTCTACAAGGCATTGGTCGACTGTAGATCACTGCTTCTTTGTCTTTTCCCTTTTCCGTTTTTTCTTTGATGCGATTGGTATTCGTCAAGAGGTATCAATGTACTAGAAAATTCATATCCATAACCTTCATGCCTCCTGTTTTCTCCCCTACATCTCCCGCGTTCATTCTGTGCTCGCAAGTTGGATTTCCCCCCTCAAAACACATCGCCGCAGATTTGGAGAGTCAGCAAGACACGGTCATAATTTACTCCTTCTTAAGGTTGGTGAAGCGCAGGTAACTAATGGGATGCTCCGTTAGTATCGCCCCTCATCCTCGAGATTCAATGGCAGAGTTCAACACTTACGGCTTGACGGTGCGGACCTCGCCGAACTTCTTCTGAGCGTCCTCGGTGGAGACGGGGGGAGGGATGACGACGTCGTCACCGGGCAGCCAGTTGATGGGGCAGGTGACGCCGTGCTTGTCGGTGGTCTGGAGAGCGTCGACAACACGCAGCACCTCCGCGGTGTTACGGCCGGTCGAGGCGGGGTAGGACATGATCAGACGGATCTTCTTGTTGGGGTCGATGATGAAGACGGAGCGGATGGTCAAAGCCAGGCCTGACATCGCGTTAGCGTGAATTTCGGACTCGACGCTTTCTTATAGACTACATACCCTTGGAGTCGACGTTGGTGGTGTCCTGGTAGTCGACCATGTCGTACAGGTAGGCGATCTTGCGGTCAGGGTCGGAGATGATGGGGAAGGTAAGCTTGGAGCCGTTGACCTCGTCGATGTCCTTGATCCAGGCGTGGTGAGACTCGGTGCCGTTGGCGCTCTGAATGCGGGGCGAAGCTTGTCAGTATTCCACGGTCGTTCTGTTCGGGAGGCAGCTGCGCAATCAACGTACCAGACCGATCAGCTTGACGCCACGAGCAGTGAACTCGGGCTCGAGCTTGGCGAAAGCACCCAGCTCGGTGGTGCAGATGGGGGTGAAGTCATCCTATTGAGGGGCATTCGTCAGCTCCAACTCCATTGAATTGGCAGATGCGGGGCCACGAGGGGTACGAACGGGGTGGGAGAAAAGGATGGTCCATTTGTCGCCAATGAACTCGTGGAAGGAGATAGGACCGTTAGAGGAGTCGGTCTGGAAGTCAGGGGCAGTGGAGCCGAGACGAAGGCTGTCACGAAGTCGTTAGTCAGTGACTCAGTATCCGGATGAGATGCTTTGACGATTCTCATGACGACCAAGCTGCAAGCAGAGGGGGGATCAACTTACGGAGCACGTTCCTGAGCCATTGTGGGAAAGTAGGGAGGGGATGAAGCGAGGATAGAGTAGGGGAGGGAGATGGAGATGGTCGAAGAGAAACAAAGAGACTGAGGAGCAGGAAGGTTAAGTACCTTGAGTCTATAAGGGAACGAGACCCCTCCAGATCGCCCTCCACGCAACTCCCGGCGAATGACGGCAATCAATCCCCGATCACGCAATCTGCCACCGCCCGCCTGGCAGAACGCTGCTGATTGGCCAGCCGTGAGCTCACGGGGGTGGGATGTTTAGCGCCCGCCCGCATTGGGGCCTCCATCCGTTCGCAAGTTCACGGTTCAGGGGGCTTCTGTCTGCTCCGGAATTGGAGCTTGGGTTGCTTCCAGTTGATCTTCCCCTTGGACCTTCAGGCGTAGCATCACCATCCAACGATTTGCCCATTAAATCGTTGTGTATAGAGTCTTACTCCGTACATACCTATTATTGTACCTTCCCTCCCACCCGAGTCTGTCGGCCGACTACTAGATCTAGCTCGACAAGAAAACGCTCGGCCGACAGCATTCACGGGGACTGGAACCAATGGTCACCGTGAGAAATGGCGCAATTATGTCTATCACTTGCGGGCATCTGGGTACCTTGGCTGAGATGGAGTAGACCACCTCAGCGAACGGAGCCACGGATGGTTTCTTCATGTGCCCAACACTGACCAGAGGACTCGGTATGTGAACTAGTCGATCCTGAATGGACCCACCGTCCTGTCGCCTTACGTTGATTGCATTTACATTTGGGGGCGATCCGAAGAGAAAGCAATCGAATCAAGTAGTCGTTCATGGGAGGGGCCCAAGGCGCAATAGTATATAGTATAGAGGGGCTCGGCCCTGAAAGAAAACTCTTACTAGTACGGAGTATGTTCAGTCTGTGGCATCTTATCTACCGATTATACTTTGACTAGTCCCGCTGCTAGAGACAACTTACAATCACAATTAGCATACTCTGTTGTCGACCACAGTGGGTATGGTCCAGCCTAATACTCACCTGGGCTCATTAAGCAGGGCCACACCTTGTCGCAAAGTCGGCAACGTTTGCAGACAAATGAGTGAAGTTACGAATGTTGATGCATGATTTCCTGAACCAATTAGTCACCTACCAAACAAAAACAGCGGACATCACATACACTGGCGAATTTACTTCTCGCACGGATCTGAGGTCCATAGAACGCCAACACCCACGGCACGACGGTTAACAAAACACCCTGGCTGGTGTTAGCACGGGAAAGACAACGCCATCGGACATCAGCTGCTTACAATGCCGCCCAAAAGACTAGAAGCAGCCGGGTACCCCAAATTCGTAAACATCGCGTTCGTCACCAGCGGGAAGATACCCGCAAGAACATTTCGACCTGTGGGTATGGGAATCAGCCTGACCGTCCATGCAGTGAACGCACTCGAGGTCATGGGTCGGTTGGAGACCTACAGAATGATTGAGCGGCGATGGCGGAGCTGGCATATCGATGGTATGTGTCTGCCAAGTAATTGAAAGCTGCCAGGTAGATGGTAAAGATCCCTATAGTTGCGCACCCGATGGCCAGGGTCGGTACAATCCAAGGGACCGACGGGAAGGTCGTCCACCCGAACCAGAACAGGCCGATGGGCATCAAGACCGACTCCACGCAGGTGAAATACAGCCGTCCTTCGGGGGTCCCCGTCATCTTTCCAAGTCGGGTGGCCAGATGTTCTTGATAAACACTCATCACGGTGGCTAGGATAGAGCCGATGGATACAGCTGCGGACACGCGCGATCAGCAAGGTCGGGCTGGTAAGACAGTGTGTTGGAAAGCTTACCTGAGAAGACAGCTCCGGATTGTTCCACATTGAAGTTGTGGTTCGTCGAGAAAACGAGGGGGATGGCGCTGAAGTTGAGGTACAGAATGGCCCAGCTAAAGGACACCCAGAGGGAAAAGAAAAACACCACCGGCTCGGTAAAGAGAAGGTCTGGGATAGTTATGTCAGCGCTATCGCTGGGTGGTCGGAAGATCACGCGCGCAACACTTACGAAACGGTCTGAAACAGGAGACCGTGAGCATCTGGGCCAAACTTTCACGCTCCTCGTCACTTTTTACCTTCCATCGGATGCGCTGGACATGGTGTTTTTCTACCGAGTCGCTTGAGTTGAACATAACTCCATGATAACCCGCGTTTTCTAATGCGTCGTAATACTTGTTGAGCACCTTGGCCTTGCGACTCAGGAGCACACTCCCCCGGGTTTCTTTCAAGAACAGGGTAAGAATCACAAGGAACCCCGCGGCTACGATGGCCTGCGAATAGTAGATCCAACGCCAGTCCGCACGATGCTGGATGAAACCAGAGATGAGCGGGCCTAATCCAGTACCGAAGAGAACGGCTCCCGAAAAGTACGACATCGGCGCGTTTCGATCCTCGGCGTGGTAGATATCAGCGATGATACCTCCGACCATGGTGGAGAATGTCGCTGAGGATGAGTGAGCACGGCGTTAGTCCAGTGGCTGACATGAACAGTCAAATTCAGGGCCATAAACATACATCCACCTATTCCTAGAAAGAATCTCGCCACAAGCATGCCTGCCAGAGACTCTGTAGCTCCGCACCCAATCAAGCAAACTGCCCCAACCTGTCAGCAACATAATCCTAATCCGTTTCAAAGGAAAGCAACTGAGTAAACTAACCGGTAAAAACAAGCCCGCTCGACACGAAAATCGGCCTCCTTCCATTGATCTCCGAGAACGGTGCCAGCACCATGGGGGCTATGGCAAACCCAAACGTATACAGCGTAATCCCCAAATTGTAGACGACCCGGCTGATCCCCCATTTAGCGGTCAACTCGTCGCCCGGTGGAGTGTATTCACCCGCTGCATATGCGGACATGGCCGTCACGCAGCAGCAGATAACGGTGATAACGCTTTTGCGGGCATTGGACCATAGGAACGGCGAGGCGTATTTGGTCAGATTCGGGCTTGACGGCGGTGTCTGCTGCCCCGGTCGTGGCGACGAGATGCCAACGGGATGAGGTAAGGGTGTGTCGAAATTGAGATACAAGTACTCGATCTCTTGATGAGAATCACCTGGCGGATTGACCGACCTGTCATGATTTGGTGCATGCTGCGAATCCGCATCGACGGGTTGCTCCCCCAAGGTCGAGTCTGTCTCCCGTGCGGGATTCATCTTCGGCTGGGCTGGATTGTCGAGTTAACCTCGGGAAGTCGATCTCCCGCATACAATCATGAACGGCGATTGGAATGCGATGCACAAGACCGTTGGGATGGCGATCTCATCGAATGGTCATTGAAGACATGTAGGTATCTGGCGCGAAGAGGGGGAAAAAGAAAGAAGAAAAAGAAAAGAACGACGGTCGAGGCATCCGTTCAAGGCGCTGATTGATGGGCGAGATACCCCAGGGTTCTCCGAGTTGGGGAACGAAAATCGCAGGGTGGAGACCGGGATCTACTGGGCGAAGACCAAATCGACGGTTGGGTTGGAGCCGGCCTTGTTACCGACACGAATCAACGAGCGTTAAGGTCAGGTAGAGGTGCGCCGTCCACCGCACGCAAGACGGAGATGGAGGCCTTCTCCCCGAGGCTGCCACGTCCGGAACGGGGAACCCCCCCCTCCAGGAATCCCGCCGGAACCGTGGATGATCGATTTCTTGCTGGGTTGACCCCAATACTTGGCGAGGTTATTGCCATCGGCTGAACGGTCGATGGACGCGGAGAGCCCCAAGATTAAGAACTGCCATTGTTAATCATCGATGGGAAGGAGATGACATATTCATCACCATCGACACTGACGGTGATCGACATGATCAGACATCCTTATCCTTTCCTGACAGAGCAGAATCATTTCCTGCGGACCAGGGGCCGGAGGAGGACCCATGGACTTGCCACCGACATTCTGTCGTGCTGCAGCGAGCCTTCCAGGAAATGAGACCGGGATGGCAGCCAGTGGACAGGTCTCAAAGCGCAAACGCATACATGCCATCGCCTGTATGGCGGTACTTTGGCCATCTGCCAAGGCTGCTCACGTGATAATCGCCTGAGGCCGCCGAACATGATGCCTCAGGACCGGCGGGCGCAAACAAAGCTTCGTTTGTCTTCCAGTTTTCTGGCTCCCTCAGTATTCCGGCGTATTATTTGGATTTCCCAGCCCCCTCCGGGATCTCTTGGACCAGTCATTCTCGCGTTTCCCCACGAGGAACGTCCCGAGCTGAAGCTACTACCAACGACCGTCCAAGACTCCAAGTGCTGCCGTACCTGGACGCTGTCATTCCCGTCTCCTCCCAAGGCGCGTCTGGATCGGGATCCTCTGCTCCCCCCGGCGTAACTCAGTCTCCCAGTCTCTCTGTCTCTCTGTCTTTTCCTTCTCCTCTTCTTCCCTCTTTCCCCCCCGCTTCCTGTCTTCTGACTGGCTGGACATCTTTCCATTCTTTTATTTCCCTTAGTTCCCTTTTGGATTTCCTTTTTTTAGTTTTTCTACGACCTGAATCGTTTCCCTCCTCCTCCCCCCCCTCAGATTCCCTTTGACTTTCATTTCCGCCGCTCGTTACCTTAGCTTTCTTCCTCCCAACCTCCAACCAAAAATTCCACAATAATGCCTCCCAACAACACCAAGAAGCGCAAGTCGGACGGCGCGTCGCTAGCCGACGAAGCCAGTTCTCCTAAGAGAGTACGTAGGCCTGATTCCCTTGTCGCGGAGTATTTTTTTTTTTTTATTGTTTTTCGCGTTCTGGTGAAATTGCGTTGAAGATCGACGGGTCCGACCTGAGCGAGCGCGTCATGCCAGGGCACCAAACAAATGGCCAATTATTGATCGCCGCTCACTGACGATTCATCCCATTCCTTGTTACACACTTTTCCCCTTTCTCCCCCAGACTTCACAAGCCATTTTCCCCCCAGAAAAATATCATTATTTCCTAAGAATCATCCACCACCTCTGTATCCGACAACAAATCACCCAAGACATTTCCACTTAATTCAAAGAAAATTTCTGCCTAAGCAAGAACTAATGTCGTCGCCACCCGAGCAGGCTGCTGTTCCATCCACCGGAGAGAAGAGGAAGAGGGGCCGTCCTCGCAAGTATCCCGAGGGTACGATTCCTAAGCCCTCTTCAGGCAGAGGACGCGGTCGTCCGCGCAAGGATCCCAATGCCACAGGTCCGTATCCCCTTCCCATCCACCATCCTCTCATCTGTCCGTCATCGCGATTGACGCGAACGCGTTTAACCCGTCATGTGTATCACGCGCGTTCTAATGAGAAAATAGACACTCCGTCCAAGCCCAAAACACCCCAAGAAGGCAAACGACCCGTCGGACGACCGAGGAAGTCTCTCGGCGACACCCCTCTGAACGGCACTCCCTCCCGATCCGAGCAACGGAAATCCGCGTCGGCCGACGCCAAAGCAGCAGAGGATGAGACCGATAGCTCTGGTCGCTCGTACTGGTTGATGAAGGCAGAGCCGGAGTCGCGCATAGAGAAGGGTGCCGATGTCAAATTTTCCATCGACGACCTGCGTGAGCGCAGCAAGCCAGAGCCATGGGACGGTAAGATTCTCCCGTGATACTTTGATTGATAAAACCTCCCTGGGCTGACACGACCTTTAGGTGTACGAAACCCCGCTGGTAAGACTAGCAAATCTGGGTGACCTTTCACGGGAATGATAGGCTTACCACCAATAGCACGAAACCACATCCGACAAATGAAGAAGGGCGATCTCGCCTTCTTCTATCACTCCAACTGCCGAGTCCCAGGAGTTGCCGGTATCATGGAGATTGTGCAAGAGCACTCGCCAGATGGTATGTGTAAACTGGGGAAGACGTTTTATAATTCGATGAGGTTATATGGACTAACTGTGGTCGAAACTCTAGAATCAGCCCTCGACCCTCAACACCCCTACTACGACGAGAAGTCGACGCGAGAAGATCCCAAGTGGGACGTGGTACACGTCGAGTTCCGACGCAAATTCAAGAACTTTGTGCCGTTGACCGACCTGAAGAGCCATGCCAACTCGGGCGGACAACTTGCAAACCTGCAGATGTTGAAACAGCCTCGACTCAGCGTTTCTCGGGTCGACAAGAAGGAGTGGGATTTCGTAATGGGTCTTGCCAAGGAGGAGCCCGAATCCGAGCAATCGGCCGAGTCATCCAAGGAGGATGCCAGTGCAGAGGATGAATCAAGCGAGTAGAGAGGACCGGTATTCTCCCAACCTGCTTTTTCATTTCATTGAGTTTTTCTTTCTTTCTGTCACCATCTCTCTTTTCCAATCTTCTTTTCTACTGACAGAGTCCTGAGCAAGGGTGTCTGTCGGATTTCAATAAGGGTATAGTTATTTTTCTTTGTGTACAATGAATGGGCCTTCATCATTCCGTTGATTTCTTGAAGGCCATCTATCTGAATACGGCAAGTTGTTGACAGGAAGGAGACCTCAAGCTGTTCAGGATTGACCCTAGTCAGCCGCAGAGCACGGTGGTCTCATCAAGTAACGAATAATCCACGAAAGTCGCCAGAGACCGAGAGGAAGCAGTAACAGCCCAAGCTTCTGGGCGTACTCCACCGGGATGGAGCTCGCAAGCAATCTCCGAGTCTACGTAGCTTAAGTCGGACACTGGAGACCCTGTTCCACCTTTCATCCACCACCCTCGTACGGAATACGGAGTGGCCTTAATACCAACTAGTCGTGAATCAAATTGCGAACCGCCCCGTACAGTAGAACAGTGGCACGGTGCAAAGTCCTCTCAATTCTCAGCATGATAACTATCTCCACTCCAACCATGGGATCGACACTGCATGGTCAGCGAGCTGATAAGTCCGGTTCGAGGACGACCAGTCGCCGGGGACAAAGGCCCTGATACGTCATCCAGGCAGGGTTTCTACCGGACGCCGTGCATGAGGGTGCCGGAATGGGGATTGAGATGCGTGTTATCGAAGGACGCTGGAACCAAGAAACACTTGGCTGGGAAGAGAAAGTGTATCCGACACGGAGGGGCGCTTAGTCACTCCCTCGCGGGGAACCAGCAGGGCGCAAGTAAATGATGCATTCTGCGGTGGCTTCCATTTGCCATCCCCATAGATCTCGTAATTATAAATGCCGTCGGCTTCCCCTCTTTTCTCGCGCTGCTCTCGCGCTCCCTCACTTCCCAAACCCCTCCGACCTTCCTCTGTCCCCTCTCTTTCTCGCTTCTTCATCCCCCGCCGACACTTCCATCCTTCCGTCTCCACCATGTCCGACGTCGCCCTGCAATTGACGGCCCCGAATGGGCACAAATACTCGCAGCCCATCGGTCTGTTCATTAACAACGAGTTTGTGCCGTCGAAGTCCGGCGAGAAGTTTGCCACTATCAATCCCTCGTAAGTTGGATGTCTCCAGGCCCATGGAACTCAAGCGAGACAAGGCCTGACTGGATAGGGATGAATCGGAAATTACCTCCGTCTATGCGGCCGGTTCGGAAGATGTCGACCTGGCTGTTAAGGCGGCTCGCAAGGCCCTCAAGGACCCCTCGTGGAAGTCGCTGCCGCCGACGGACCGAGGAAATTTGATGCTCAAGCTTGCCGACCTGATCGAGCAGAACAGAGAGACCCTGGCTACCATCGAGACGTGGGACAACGGTATGTCTTCTTGATTGACCGAGCTCTGTTCCGTCTGCTAAAGCTTTGTAGGCAAGCCGTACAATGTCTCGCTGAACGACGACCTGGGCGAGGTTCTCAGTACCTTGCGGTACTATGCTGGATGGGCGGACAAGATCCACGGCCAAACCATCAGCACCACTCCCGCCAAACTCGCCTACACACTGCGTCAGCCGATTGGTGTGGTTGGCCAGATCATCCCCTGGAACTTCCCCTTGGCCATGGCGGCGTGGAAGCTGGGTCCCGCGCTGGCCTGCGGAAACACGATTGTGATGAAGCCTGCTGAGCAGACCCCGTTGAGCATTCTCTACCTGGCCACGCTGATTAAGGAGGCCGGCTTCCCGCCCGGCGTGATCAACATCCTGAACGGCTTCGGACGTGTCGCCGGTAGCGCCCTGGTCAACCACCCTGATGTTGACAAGGTGGCCTTCACGGGCTCGACTGTGACCGGCCGGGAGATCATGAAGATGGCTGCGTCCACGATGAAGAACATCACGCTGGAAACCGGCGGCAAGTCGCCCCTGGTTGTCTTCGACGACGCAGACCTCGAACAGGCGGCCAAGTGGGCGCACGTCGGCATCATGTACAACCAGGGCCAAGTGTGCACGGCGACCTCGCGAATCCTGGTGCATGACTCGGTCTACGACAAGTTCGTCGCCCTCTTCAAGGAAGCTGTCGCCTCCACCAGCAAAGTCGGCGACCCCTTCGCCGACGACACCTTCCAGGGCCCGCAGGTCACCAAGGCTCAGTATGACCGGGTGTTGTCGTACATTGAGGCCGGCAAGAGCGAGGGTGCTACGCTCGTGGCGGGCGGCGAGCCCTTCAAGAACGTCGGCGACGGCAAGGGATTCTTCATCGCGCCCACCGTCTTCACCAACGTCAAGGACAACATGCGTATCTACCGTGAGGAAGTCTTCGGTCCGTTCGTGGTCATCGCTAGCTTCACGACGGAGGACGAGGCGGTGACGCGGGCCAACGACACGACGTACGGACTTGGTGCGGCCGTTTTCACCAAGGACATCGAGCGCGCGCACCGCGTGGCCTCGGACATCGAGGCCGGCATGGTGTGGATCAACAGCAGCAACGACAGCGACTTCCGGGTGCCATTCGGCGGCGTCAAGCAGAGTGGTATCGGTCGCGAACTCGGCGAGGCCGGACTGGAGGCTTATTCGCAGACGAAGGCGGTTCACGTCAACATGGGCAGCAGATTGTAAATGTAAAATCAAACGAAGGGGGAAAATTGCCAAAACAGATGGGCCCAACGAACAACCTTACCGAGGACGGAGTATTTGTTAGGCAGTTTAATACATAATGACAATCCGGAATGAATTCAAACATTTTCAATGCATGTCTGCCTGTCGTTTGCATGTTAAGCGCGGTCAGCTGTATACTATCCACCCTGCAGATTCTCTAGCTTCCTGACCTCATATGTCATGTGCATGTGCCAGGCAAAGCAAAGACCAAAGCCAGGACACCCAAATCTTAAATACCACCCCTGCCACCTCACCTACTTATGCACATCCACGCAGCGAACGCAAAACTGCAGATCCCATGCACGACGACGAATATAAAAACTCCGACAGGCACGAGGACAGGCAGACAGGCAGGCAGGCAGACCAGTCCAAAAGACTAAGGTTTTGTGAGTAGGAAGTATGGTCGATGGAATGGTACACCGCTAAATGGTAGGTATTCGGTATATATGTATGCATGGGGTTGTGTCGGTAGTCGGTAGGACACCGTGCGACTGGGACTTGGATGTCATGTGGTTGGATGTCATGTGGCGTGAATAGATTGGTTGTCATACTATGTCTTCACACAGTCTTTCTATTTTACTTTCGTGGAGGGTTATATTGGATGAGCTGGTTGGTTGTTATATCACGGTTTGTGTCTGTCTGTCTGTCTTTTGGATATGGCGTGTGCTATTACGTATATTTATGCTATACTTGCTTATAGTTTGGCTAAGTACCATCTAGCTATGTATTGGTAGAGTAGTGTAGACTAAGAAGTATATACTCAATTATATTCGTTTGTTGTTAACCTGCAGGATATAACACCGGTGAATATATATGTCATATAAACTTCAAGAATACCCAAAAAGGTAGAAAGAAGACCTCGAAACAAAGGCTAAGTGAGGAAATTATTCCTATATATGGAAACATTAGCACATCAAGACAGGAACAACAAATAAAGCATAGTACTGCATACCACATGTCATAGACCCTAGGCTGCAGCTTTGTGTCTGTCGCCTACTAACTCATGATCTAAGCGTGTTGCTGGGTAGTAAGCAAAGTAATGCACCAGTTAGTTGCATATTCAAACGAGCACTAGCAAGTTTCCGACTATAAATTTTTATCAGGACTTTTACCCTTGTGAATGAGCGTGTATACCATGCAGGTAGTAGAGGGAATGTAGAGCATGAACATCCAAAGAAGTACTCAGTCTATCTCCTCAGTACTGAACAATAAAGTATATTCCTACTACATGCAAAATACTTCCCTGCACCTTCATGCCGCATATATGTATAAAGTATATGTATATCTACCTAATAACTTTAATTCCTCAGCACTGCAGTTAGTACTTTTCCTACAGGACTACTACATCTTGAGATGAACAAAACCAACAGCCGCAATAAATGAAACCAAACATATAGCCCTGTTAAGTCATTGTACATACACCTACATACATCAAACCATCTACCAGAGCACAGCTGTAGATAGAAGATGAAACGAACAGCAAACCGCCAACTCACCATCTCACCGGAGAAGTATATAGCATGCATACATGCATCCAAGAAACCCAGCCAGATGGATACAACAACGCAACACAGCCAGCCATATACACGTACATACCTTTTTTCTATTCCCGTCCTTCCATATCCCGCCCACACACTCACCATCCCTAGTCCCCAGCCCCTTGTCCATAACTTCCTCAATAGGCTGGACAGCCTACTTCCTACCTACCAGATCCCTCCCTCCCTCTACTAGTCAAATGAAGCAAGTAACCTAGGCAGTAAGACAAGCAAGATCTAAAGAACCGAATTAATCCCTCCCGCCGAAACCGCCCTACCCTCGCCCATCAGATCAATGATCAGCTTACGTAGTACACCTACACTCCCTATAGAGTAACCAGTTTCGAACCCTCTCTCATCACTGGCCCAGCCCATGCACACAACATGCCGACATACGTAGTAGCCCTACTCACCCAGGGTCACAAGCACGCCGCAGGTAGGTGTAGGTATCCCCCGACCCATACTCCCTACACAGCCTAAACCTAACCATCAACCGTCTCGAACCCAACTAACCAAACCGAACCATGCACGTCAGCCAACTAAGCAGTGCAGCGCAGTACAGGACGGGACAGCGCATGGGACACGCCCACACGGGTAAGGTATGTTATGTACCCAGGAGTACCCTATGAGCTGGCATCGGCATTGCCCTGTCCTGCCCTGACTTACCTTGTTTTGTCGGACAATGCGGTAGCGGTGCGGATGCGGGTGCCTTAACGAAACTAATTGACTATTATCCACTTACCACGTCGACGGGCAGGTTGACACGCACGAACTACCTGATGACTGGGCCTGTTCCTGTCCCTGTGTCTGTATCTGGATTGGACTTGGGCTTGTTTCTGCGTCTGTGTCTATGGTGTGGGTATGGGTATGTGTTTACTAGCTGATGGAGACTCTAGTGTACTACCTGCTACTACTTACTGTCTAAACTAGGAGTATCAGGTATGAGGTTCTATTTTATTTTCAATTTTCAGCTTTTTCAACTTTTACGTTTCCTTCTCTCGAGTACATCCACTACACTGCATACTCTGAGAGTGGAGCGAGAACCCAAGGATCGTGGATTGCATATGCATGCATGCATGACACCCGAAGAAGAATTGGTCGGTCTGCTTTGGCTTATACTTACTACCTTACCTAGGTATGTATGGGGCATTTACGGTTCTTTACTTTACTTGACTAAGTCGATGTATGTATGTAAATGTAGTATACAGCGATATCTAGTTACGATTTGAATCTACCTACCTGGGGATAAGCCACCTAACCCTGAAGTCAAGACCAAGATTTCAGCCAAGGCAAAGCCTACCTAGATTATAGATTGCACCACCAAACCTATCTGGATAAGACAGTACGAAGCCAGGTATGTAAAGATTAACACCTGTACTCCGTACGAGATATACCTCGGTACCAGGCAGTACAAAAACAAGGCAAAGGAAAATGGCAACACCGACCAATGAAAAATCGCGAAGCGTGATGAGACTCGTGATTCGCCCATGCAACGTGCAACTAGGATCGGCCAGGGCGTACGGATCCAATCCCACGTCGGTCGTACAGATAATCCCCTGCAAGGTGCTGTAGGAAGGCCCTACCTTCCCACATAAGTGGGCATGCTGACTACCTTAAGTCGGTATCGCGCGGGTAGTAAGGTAGGAGTTTGTCTGTCGTGGCACCGAGACACCACCTTTTTAGCTCGCGTTCTTCGGTAGGTATGGATAAAAAAAGATAGAGGTGCAGATGCAGGTGGGGAGTTGGTACAGCAAGTCGGTGTCGTGGGCGGAGGGGCCGAGGGACATCTGAGCCTATATGCGTGTACTTCGGAAATACTACCCTGTCGGTGCGACCTTTCCGCATGCCGGTTCTTGACCTTATGTGCCTCCCATGTACCTCGATGTACCTAAACCTCCCGAGGGCAGGCCTATACTGCCTGCCGTGCCAGGTCAGGCAGCATCGGGATGGTATCGGGGCGTACGGGGGTTCCATACCGTATGTATGGGTACTGTCCGATACATACCCGTACAGGACCCGCGTGTCCTGCAGCCCTCGCAGATGGTAAAATATTACCTGCGTTGGTCGTGCATGCATGAAGAATCGGTCATGTGAGGCTGCCTATTCATTTGCCCGGATTGCGTACATCCAGTCTCCAGATTGACGGGCGGGCGGACGGACGTACATATGCTCATGGCTGCCGGTCTATCAGGCCTGCATACATGCTGTGAGGGGGATGGAAAGGGAAATGGAGCAGTACAGAACGAGAAATATGATGGCTCATTCTTAACGGTCGCACATCAACTGGGAACTGAAGGTCAGTGCCCAGAGAGGGGAAGAGATGTGAGACGAGACTTACGCAAAAGAAATCAAAAAGGAAAAATTAAAAATTAAAATAATCATATCCCCCGGCCACCAGCAAGCATACACCATACCCTGACAGCTTACAGGGTACACCGCATGTTTCTCTTCCACCGATTTTTCTCACGGGTGGATCTGACCTGAATTATCAGGCCGCGGTTGGATTGCCTTCCTTCTGGCCGCAGGATTTTCTTTAGTTTTTTTTTTCTTCCCTCGCCTGTACCTTCAGTGTCAAGGCAGTGTGTAGGGGAATAAAGATATGCAGAGAGATTAAAGATGGTGATACATCATTGACGTTATCCTGGCGGCTTCAGCTGCCTTTCTTCCCCACTCTCTGGGAATTGTTGCCTACAGCGGCAGTGCAGGTCAATCTGCGTCGAGGTCCGCCTATCCGACCGACGCCAAGGATGGAATGAGGGAATGCATCTATTCCGTGTTCAAAAAAGCTCGGTATCGACAAGACCATCTAGCTTGCTTCGGTGTGCGATCGGCCCTATTGGGGCGATCACCCCAGGCCTTTTCGGAGGACGACGTCGAATTCCGTTCAAAACGGACCGTTTCCTCCCGTCAGAGTCGTCGACTGGGTTCGAGGTCGTCGATTCTTCACCTATGATGTAACGTCTGTCTGACCCTGGACCATTGGTTGCACACCGCTTGGATATTATCAAGCGGACAACGCATGGTCCGTTGTCCCAGAAATCTGTAGAGCAATCCGCTCCTTAGGAGGGTTAGTATATATTCTTCGGGGTTGAGGTAAAGCCATTGGATGACTCTGTCTTAGTGCACCCCGTCGAAGGAATGGGTGAACGCGCTAGCGGAGGTGTTTTTTTGTTCTCTTTTTTTTTTCTTCTCTCCACCCCCTAACCATTTGGGTCTTTGTGTTATGTATGTGATGTTAGATACCGTCAAGACACTCGGGTATTCAGGTAACGCAAGAAAGAAATCCTTAACTGGCACAGACCTTCAGACAGACGAGAAAAAAAAAAGAACCGGTGATCAATGCAGGAATGTACACTGGTCGTTACAACGGCTGTGTGTCACAAGGCTGGATTTCCGCTGATAGGAAAGGATCCAACAAAATAAAAATAAGATAAAATAATATGATACTCCCCTCCCGTCATCGAACTATCCAAGACCTTTGGGGAAGGGGAAAGGGACCCTAGATACGCGTGCCGCCTCTGCATCTAAGGAACGCTTCAGAAACCAGGGACCGGCATTGGACCCATCCAGTCCCAAGCCCAAGCGCCCTTGTGTTCTGTCACGCAGCTGCTCTAAAGCCTAGGGAATGCTGCCGGCAGCTAGATATTCGTTTCTAGACTGCCTACGGCCCCAGATGAAAGGCAGGCCGGATCCGTTCCTATTCGTTCGTATCGCCCCATTTTGGGTTGTCTTGCTCCACTGGGGGAGGCCCTTGTCTGGAACAAATGAGGCGTAACACGGGAAGGATGCCGCCCCCCGGCAACTGTCAGCTAACGCTCCAAAGCCTGGTAGCTATGATGAGATTGAGATGGAATGGTGGAAATTTCCACGGGAGCTCTGGTTGAATCCATTAATCTAAACATTAATGGGCGGCTTGCTGAGAGTTGAGTCCGGCCCCCTTTTTTTCCCATCTCGTTCTTGCTCTTAACGATGTTGCCGTTGTTGGCTGCAGCCCTTCCCAATATTTGGTTCTCACGTTTTGCGGATTCCTCAAGTGATTTTTCACATGGCATATGATAGCTCAAGTGGTGGAGACTTTGCCTTGTTGCAGATTTCAATAATGAAGTCCACCAAAGGTCCGACGGAGTCAATAGTTTGACCAGCAAAATGGGCCGGAAAATTACGCTTCTGGGTTTGGTAACCTGGTAGAAATAGGACTAGGAAGAGTGTCGACCGTACTTCGTATCCTGCTTCTTGTCACTTTTTTTTTTTTTTTTTTTTTTGTTTCGGTTATCGGAGGGTTAACTACGGAGTAGTACTGAGTCAGTGGCAGAGCTGATGATGGAAGAGGAGGAAGACTAAAAGAGTACCCCGTAGCTACTAGCTGCAGCTCCAGGAGGAGCTTCCTTCGGTCCAGACTCCAGACACCGCTCGCTCAACAAATAAACGAGGCCACTATCTGTCGCAGATAGTGCTCGAGCCATAACATCATCGACGCGCATCCCCCAAATAGAGCGGTGAACGTGGCGACCCACTGATAGGTGCTAGTTGATTTAGTGCGGTTTAATGGGGGAAGCGAAGAAGGAGGAGCCGAAGCAGGGAGAAGAAGGTACTTTAGACTAAAGACTAGACTGCCTGCCTGGATGGAGATGAAGTGGGGACGGGAAAGATGAAAAATCCAGACAAGGATACGATGGGAATGGGATGGAAATGGGGGATTCGGATCGGGGGATGCGAGCGCAACTTTTGTTTTCCTGTCCTGCAGGCGGCCTTTATGTAAGCATCTGGGATGGCAGTTAGTGCCTGCCTAATGGGGAAAGGCCCCTGCGATAAGGCAAATGTCGAGTGCACAAAGTACGAAGACGGTTGGATGGTTGGAATAATTTTGGAAACTATAAGCCTTTTCTTGTCTGCATGTTGGCTAGCCCCTAGGCTGATGTCTCAAACAATCGGACAGGTCACAACCGACAGAGTGTAAACCCCATGCGGAGCACTGGCAAATACACATCGGCCTCAAACCTGTACCAAATCACAATGTTTGCTCATTTGACATTGAACCTAGGGGCGGATCACCGTCAAGGGCTGAGTGAATGACATCCCATGTCAATCTCTTGGGCTGGTTGTCAAAATTATAGCCAAGCCTTCCAAGATTTATACATCTCAAAAAGCTTGTAGTGCCGCAGCAAGAACAGAGGGATGTGGTTTCAGCCTTCTAAGTATGTCTTTTCTGTAGATAGGATACCCTAGCCAGGACTTCTCGTACTTTGAGTCAGGGAATTATTGGTGAGTATACTCCGTATTGTATACCATTGTGGCATATAAAGGGATATAGTTTCTCGGCCCAGCCATATGCCCGCCGAGCACTAGATTCCAGTATAATCTTGACCGTTCAATATAATACACACAATGGCATGTACCTTGGATAAAATGATAGTGTTACTAGAAAGCTGATTGAGACATTCAAGTGCACATGTCTTCAACGGCAGAAAGAACCCAGTCATCCGGTATTGATGGTACTCGCGGACTTTGTTCGGATCCGAAATGCTCGAGTACCAAACATGACTCCGATCTTTGCTAGATCCAGTCCCATTAAGCATGTAGTTTCGAGAACAATATTTGGTGCTCTTGGATGCCATCCGTTTGGATACTGGTCCAGTCCCCAGACCTGCTGTAATTGGCTGCAATCCCTGTCAACTTGCTTGCTAATCCCCCGCCAACGCAAATACTAGTTCAGTGTAGATATCAGGGGGGATAGTCAGTGGAGATTTGACATTGTTCCGTACAAGAGACCGTCACGCTTCACTGTTCGAACCCGAGGCCTGACGGGAAGTACCCGAGACACGCGCTTCATCCAACGCAATCGACACATATCCAGCCCCAAGCGAGCAGAAGAGGCGGTAGTAAGAGACGCCCAGAAAGGCATAATGTTTTGACGCTTTCCAGGTGGGGCCGACAACCCCGCAGTGGCCGTCACGTGGCCAGTCGGGTGAGGGCCCGACGAGGCCAGAGTTGCTCGTCGACGATTGAGTTGCCTCAGTAGGAGGAAGTAGTTTGATCCTGTTTCTTTGTGCTACTCTGCTGCTCACGGCAATTGTCTATTCGACGGGTGAAATTGCCGCCATTGTCGATCCCAGAACCCGAAAACACCCCCGCGGAGACAAGGGAATTGAATCTGTCCCACTGCCATCATGGCCACGTTCCAAAAGTGGACGGTATCCGAGGTATGCCTAAGGCTCCTGCGTTCTGAAACTTTGGTCGTGCCCGGGTGGAGGCCTGGGTATAGATGCATACCAAGACGAAGATGCTCATTCTCACGCCTCTGTCCCCCATAGCCGTACATCGATGTTGCGGGAACCCTATTGGAAGGCCCATTCTATGACGAGGCCAAAAACGAGTTTCGTTTTGTCGACATCTGGGAACAGAAACTCTATGTTCTGGACCTGGCTAAAGGCCCCGGCTCTCTGAAGACGTTGGATACGTCTGCGTCGATCGGGTGCGTGGCAGTCCCCTCTCATTCCCCCTTACAGAGTAGACAGAGAACCCCGCAGGGTGTTTCCTTCCCCGAGTAGGTATATTTCAGAGCTGATCAGTGGGAACCGGGGAGTTCATGTTTAGGGTCACCGCCAACATTGAACATGTTGATGCCGACAGCAACCAGGGGCAGATAGTGGTGGCAGCGAAGGAAGGATTTGCGTTTGTGAACCGCAACACGGGAGACCTCTCGTACATCAGCAAGGCATGGGAGATCGAGAATGAGCCGGAGAAAGCAAACAGGTAAGGCTCGAATCCCCTCGGTTGCGATATCTTGCTCTGCGATCCGCCTACCCCCGATCAATCTGACTCATCCGGAACCGCAACTAAAACAGAATGCGTTTCAACGATGGAGCGGTCGACAGCCACGGTCGATTCTGGGCGGGCTCTATGAACGATCCCAAGGTGCAGACCCCGGTCGACGAGGGTGTGCTGTTCCGGTTAGATCCCGATATGAAACTGCGGCGCATGCTCGAGCGGATCACCATCCCCAATGGGATTGGGTGGAATCTTGCCAACGACACCATGTACCTGACCGACTCACCCACGGGAAAGATTTACGCCTTTGACTTCCAGGCCGAAACCGGGGACATCAGCAACCGGCGTGTCCACTATGACCTGGGAGAGCCCAAGGAGCCCGACGGCTTCGCCATCGACGTGGAGGGCTGTATCTGGAGTGCGATTTACGGAGGCGGTAAAGTGATCCGAATCTCGCCCGAAGGGAAGCTCATTGGTGAGGTGTCGCTGCCCACCAGAAACATCACTTGTCCGGCCTTTGTGGGGACGGAGCTATTCATCACTACGGCCAAGGATGAAGCTAACGACGATCAATTCCCTGATTCTGTCCGATACGGCGGCCGACTCTTTAAAATTGACGTGGGAATCAAGGGTCAGCCCAAGCATAAGTTTCGCCTTCAGAGCTAACTCTGAAGGTCGGTAGCATAGCGAGAGACCAATGGAAATAAAACCAACGAGAGCGTGCGACTATTGCCTGGCTGACTATTGAACCGAAGAGGATGAAGCGAGGGATCCCTGTGACGCGATATTCATCCTTTCTAGATCCGTACTGAATCCTGCTGAGCCGACGAGCTCCTGGGTGCTGGTAAGCCAAAATTCTCATCACTCCAAGGGCTTGGGCAGGAACCGAAACCCAGCCAAGCCACGGTCTTGGACGTAAGCAGTTCCTCGATGGCCCCAGACACAGTCACCGGGAGTAATTTGGGGTCAAACGTACTTTGATGGTGTTGCGGGCTATCATTTCCCATAAAACATGAGGATTGATGCTGGTTAATGAGTCTGGTGTTTGGGTGGGATGTTTGAATGTGACAGTTCGACAGATCAACCGCGGAAATGCAGTGACGTAACGTGTGTGTTGGGTCAGGTCGTCCGGTACAGTATATTACTTGGCATGGTACAAACAATGTATACTGGACAATTCCAGCCGGGTTTCATTTAGGATTATACATCTGTTGCGATCTATCAGGGGCTAGAACATTACTTTTTTTTTATAAGTAGATTCCAGTGGGACAAGCACCCGGAAGGTTGGACGAGGCAAGGGGGAATGTTTGGCAAATGCCCAAAGGTGACGATTATACACATCCAAAAAGTGACGAGCCCAGCCGGATTGTATCGAAATTTATTTGGGGACTTGTATTCGAAAATGCTGGCTTTGAAATTATGAAATCAGATAGACTAATAATACTACGAAGAAAAAGGGAAAAAAGAAAAGAAAAAGAACACGAAGGATGATTCAATCCCTTCTATGTTGTACTCGGCGGAAAAGAAGTCCTCTATGCAAGCGGATACAACAGATCCGCACCTACTAGGGGTCCCATGTGTATAGAGGTACATTCTGGGTACTCATACATACAATTCAGCCCCGACCTTTCTGTACCTACATGAGTATAAACATAGAACTGAGTAGCCAGCTAACCATGCAAAGAAGGACAACCCCAGCTGCAGGAGACCAGCCCAACCTAAATCGCGCCCCGGAACGACGCCCCCGTGCCACCGCTGTAGGTAGGAGGGATGCAATCTATCGCCGGGATCTGAGATGTCGGATGCAGGATGCGCTGTTCCGGCCGGAGGTCTAAGTACCGCGATCACTTTCCCTCCCGGTGGGAAATTGGTACGAATTGGGCCTGTGCCGTCTTGTATGCATGAACAGGACCTGTGCATACAGACATGCATCCGAGGGACGTACGAGTGCTACCTACTCGAGTAAGGAGGGGAAGAATCTCATTGATTGTGACGAGACAATGCCAGCGTGCTGATGTTCCCAGGCATGCAGGCGGATGCAGACACTCGTGGAGGGACTGGGATGGTTCTTAGTATCATGTATTACCCAAGGCCTTACACGTACATACACATACATATGTCGTGTTATCGGTAGGTGCTAAGGTACGTTTGCTTTTTCCCATCCATCTTTTCTTTTTCCAACTCAATTTTGAGGACGGGATGCTGCATGATTGATTGTCTGGAGGTCAGGCACCTAGGACGGTGCTACTGCATACCACGCATGACCGATGAGCTGGTGGTACTCTGCCAGCGGAAGCAGAGATCTGAGAAGGGAAATGGGGGTTTGTACTCCGTATTCGGTACTTTGTGGATAATTTGACGAAAGAAAAAAAAAATAAATAAATAAAAAAGGGCCGATGACAGTCAGTCAACTAGGCCGATATTCCATGACAGGCGGTTACAGCGGCACCCGAGGGTGGATTCGTAATCCAGAGTACAGAGGGGAGACGGACGGATTTAGGGGCAGACGAAAGGAAGAAAAAAGAAACGAAACGAAACGAAACGAAACGAAACGAGTCAGTTGAAGGCGAACAAGAACAGGAAAAAGCAACGAGTGATGAGAAGGCCGATCGCACTTCTTCGCCCGTACACAATATGATTATTGATTAATTGATTGATGGATTGCATGGGACCCCTGGGAAATAGCATTAGTACCGTCGGATGTGACGTGCAGGCCGGACATTCTAGAACGACGGCCTTCCGTGGTACTACGCCGTGCCCTCAAGTGAATTGGCAATTGGAAAATAGGGGGACCAAGACACGGATTCCGATGAACCGTATTTCTGGGAATGCGACGCGCCCCCCAATCTCGAGCGTCCACCCACGCCAAACCCGGGCAGGTTAGGCGGCGGAACTAATGCATCCACTCGCACACTCGCCATGATTTCTTGCTTCATGCCTGGTCTAGGATATCCAGTATCCACCCGGGAAAAAGAACGAGAGAAAAAGAGGACAGAACAAGGTCAGGACTAGACGGTCCAACGGAGAAAGGAGGTCGAATCGATGCGGAATCTATTTCCGGCTGGAATGCGTTCCTGCATTTGATGCTGAGCATGAAATCGCAGGGCGCTCGGGTCGCCGGGAGGTACATACGGAGTACATCCATAGACAATTAGACATAGGGAGTTGACGGGTATCGAGACTGCCGAACATGGGGACGGTCCCCTTCGCTCCTGTCTCTTCCTTCTCTTCCTGGTGCGATTGATCTATCCACTCTTGGAGGTCGTGCCGTCCGTCCTTCTCGCCCCTGGAAGCAGCTGCTGACTGGCAATAGTTTGTCTGGCCTGATAAACTAACCCAACCAACTAACCGGCACTAACTCAATAACAGCCAGGCGCTACTAGCTGACTAGCTAGCTAGCCCAATAGACCATATGATTATGACACACATGACCCGCAGTGTTCCAACGGATTTCCCTCATTCCATGTTTCCAGAACCGAAGCACGCGTTTCTGCGGCCCGCACGATCTGCGGCGCCTGTACGGAGTAGTCGACGATTTCGCTTGTTGACGGGCATGTCCTTCTCTCGGATCACCCCTCGATCTGGTCCATGCGACCACTCGCGATTTCCGTTGCAATTGTGTCTGCCCTCGAGAAACTATTATCACTATCACTCCCCCTCTTCGATGATCATTCCCGAAAACTGCTGGCCTTGCAACCCTGCATTTCTCCGTGGGGGTGGTTGAAGCCAATAAAATCTATCGAATTGACCCGCGCCTCACCCTCAATAATACTCTCTGGCGTGGTAGGCAAGCACGGACTAGGGCCAAGGAATAGTTCTCGGTGGGCTCGCTTTGCTTCTAGCTCGGCCGTCTAACTGACTTCATCAGGGTGAAACCCACCCGAGGGATCGAGAGTCGGGATTCAGAGCTCGATGATCATCTGGAGAAACCCAAGAACGAGAAGCCAACGAATCAGTGTTTCATAGGAAGGCCATCGAGAAATTCAACGCCGACAATAGAGGGTTCTAATGCAGGAATTGTGCTCTCCGATCTGTCCCCCAGCGACACATGGGATTCGATAGATCGGTTTGAATGATCACTAAGTGATTTTCGCCCTTCCTTTCTTTTCTCTTCTGTTCCGTTCCCCCCCCTTTCCCCTCGTTGGTCGCCTCACGTTGCATTTCCTTTTTCAGAAATTCCTCAGGGTTTGGCCTGCCAGTTATCACATATTCCCGTCCACAACGTAATCACTTTAACTAAGAAGTGCGGAATGGCAAGAGAATAGAGAAAAAGAAACGAAAGAAGCAATTGGGTTCGAGAATTCGCGGGAAAAAAATAGAAGACGGAATTCTTCTATTGGCTGCTACAGATGGATTCCAAAGCGAAGCATTCTTGGGTTCTTCGTTAAGATGTCCAAAATCGAATACTCAGAAATACTGAGTTGCGTGAAATTAACCGACCCAGGACGAGCGCAGGCTGAGTCAAACTGAATTGACCCCTAAGCTTCTTCGAGGTGTTCGATCGCCTAGTTTCTCGGGAGCAACTTACGCTTTTCACATCAAGAGCTCTGATCCAGCAGTGATATCTACCACACCGGCACATTGGGAACCAGCGCGAGTTTGCTCTTCATACCGTGATACCCCGGATGCTCATTTCAGACATAAGAGTACTCCACGCTATAGTGGCATTGCCCAGCAAACTTTGTTCCAATTGATGCCCAATCATGACGTAGCTGAAACGCGCCTCCGGACGAAATTTGGCCCGATCTCATTGAGCAACAAAGCCCAAAGGGACGGGCAGGAGACGCTTCGTGGACCACTAAGGTCCAGCTGAGTTGGGGAAAATTTCAAGTTCCAGAAATGACCTGTCCGCTCTCTACCCTGCGGATGACAGTAAACGTAGGAACAACCACGGGGTTGAAATTTGGGTGAATTATTTGGGCTCTGCTTAGCCGGAAGGTGCGGTCGATTGGCTATAACGTCGCCATGGCCACTGGGGTGGACTAATAACGCAAAGTGAGCGACACAACCACCAGATCGTAAGAAAAGCAAGGCAGATGGAGAAGGGAAAAAAAAAAAAAAAAAAAAAAAAAAAGAGAGAGAAAGACAGAGAGAGAGAGACGAGAGCAACGGTGATCCGCAGTTAGAAACTTCCGGACTAACGAGGCACCCTCGTGAGGTTGCAGCGATGCAAACTCCATCCGTCACCCAATTTTCGGGGCAGGGAAAGTGAAGCACGCCCTCGGCATGCATGCAAAACATCGTGATTTGAGTCTGTCGACAGAAGCCCTGACTGGCTGGAGGAGGAGGTTTTGCCCCATCCGGCGATCTAAGCTAGACGGGCGCCTTGTTTTAGTTCCGCCGTAGGAATTGGCACGGGGGGTTTTATTTGCATTTTCTTCTTCTCGGTCTCAACCCTGCGGATTCCGTGCCTTTTGCGCCGTTTTAGGTAGATGGTAGACACGCAGGTAGACTACTAAGGTTAATTAGTGTTCCTAGGCAGACGGATGGGACGAGCCGCTCTCCCAAAGCACGAAGCTAGAAGGAAACTATGTATCTGGGAACTTTCGAAGGTCGCCACGGATCATCAGGAAGGATGCACGTAAGCCACCAATGCATCTGGTTCGGCCGCGGACTGATATCACTAATTGCGGTGTGATGCATGGAGCAATCAACCAACAAGCACACGGAATTGACCGTCCATTTCATCAATCGGGGATCGCCATTTGCCTGATAACCAACCAGGGCGAGAGAGGCGGAGGGTCGAAGGAGGGGGTCCCTCCTTCTGGCCTATTAGCTGAATGACAAGGTCGTAGAATGGACAGGTAAGTGGAAATCCTCCTCGTGGGAGGCAGGAATCCGATCCAGGCTTTTTTCCCTCCCCAGTCCTTTACCGATGATATTCGAGTGGTATGATTCGAGTACTTCATAATGGATCTATCGAGGCGGTAGAGGAGAAAGCTCTCTACGGAGCTGGCTAGTATAGAGACAGGGCCCCGACCCCTTACCAGAGGTAGTATGGACGAGAAGGTCTGTATTAACTCTTGCAACCGAAGGACCGGCCAGACGAGTTGACTGGATGGTAGAGAATCGGGCCTCCACCGATCCTGCCCACCGACTGCCCACAGCCATGGGCATGGGCATGGCATGGCGACGGCGTGGTCGAAAGTGATCCGGTTCACTTGCATCTTTCCCCAGCCCCGATTCCACTTTTTAGTGAGGACACTAGCCTGCCACGAGTGGGCTTTGTCCTTGGTCACCTCCATATTTATTGCCATTTATTTTATCTTTGGATTGACGGCGGTGGTTAGGTAACCACCTCTACGGAGTAGTTCCTCGGGCCTCTTGGGTAAATTAACTCATTAATTAATTCCGACTCTCGGGCCAGGGATCCGTATGGGCTGTTTTATAGCTTCCCTTCCACGGCCCCTCCTGAGGCAAGGAAAACCCCCTTCTCCTACTCCGTGCCACGACCGGCCGGCACTTGGGTCAGGAGTATATTCCGGTCAGGATAAGGGAGAGTTAGGGCTGGGAGGGCAAGCCGGGTGTTTCTCAGGATTCTGCCACAGTCCCTCCTAGCTCGCAAGTGACTGGGTTGCTTCCACCCAACGAATGACGGGCCCCATAGGAGCCCAGCCAGGTGAAGTTCCGATTCCCCCGGGCCCATCATGGCGTTCCCCTCTGGCGACTAAGTGGCACCTTCGGGCGAGTCTATGCATCCTCAGTTCTTTACCCCGTACCGTACCGTACCGAGGCTGCCGGTATCGCCAGCAAATACGGCATTACCGGTACCGTACCCCGTACCGTACGCCCAGCACGGTCGACCGCAGAGGTACCAGAATGTACCAGTACCTCCGGCGTGATGAGGTGGATGGATGCAGCTAAGATCCTGGTACTTGGCCGGTACGCGAGCGGCCTGGACAATTGGACGGACATCGCAGCTTCCATCGCTGTCGGATCCGCTTTTTCCTCTCTCTTAGTTGTCCCATCCCATACCTGTGGTTCATTCACGGGTCCACTGGGGTTTTTATTTATTTTTTTTTTCGGGTCTTCTTGTCTCTTCCCCTCCCCATATTATTTTCACACCGCCGAATTGAACTGCTTGGGTTAACGGCTGGATCTGCCAGGAAGCAATTCCGTCACCACGAACTTCTGATGTAGCAGTGGATTGATTTGGGTTCGGGAATTGAATGGTAATTATCACTCTTAATTATTATTTATTTTTTTGGTGATTATTTTTTTCTTTTTCTTTTTCTTTTTCTTTTTTTTTTGCAAATGGATTTTTAATGCCAGGCCAGTTCCCTCTGGCTTGTCCGATTTGCATTTTCATTTTTGGTCTAATCGGATGTTTTTGAATTTTATTTTATTTTATTTTATTTCCTTTTATTTTTCTTGTGATATTTCTTTTTCTTTTCTGGTTAATTATTATGGTCAAGGAAATATAATAATTCAGGAATCACCAGCTTCAACGTCCCCGTTGTCCTTGACTATTTCCTGTCCTTCCCGACTTCTTTTCTTTCTCCCTCCCCCTCGTCTTCCTGCTTTCTTGCTCTCCCTCTCTCGCCCTCTTAATTGAGTCCCTTTTCTAAACCAAGTTCTCTTCTCCGTCCCTCCAGTGTTGATCCCTTCTGTACTTCTTCTCCGTCGCCTATTTTGCATTCTGCCTTTGGGTACATATAATTCCTGTCGAGCGCTCTATAGTAATCTTATATTGCTCGCTTTTGACCGCGGTCATCAATTCAGACGCAAAAGTTGGCCGGAGACAGCATTTTGCCCGAATTAAGGCCCAAGTTATACCTTCTTATCGACATTACATTTATTCTTATCCTACTTTTATTTCTATTCTTACTTTTCCCCCCCGGTTTATTCCTTTCCCCTCCTTTCACCGTGGCTGCTCTAGGGATCAGTGTGTTGACTAGCCCTCCATACCCCAACCCGGTGCATTCCTCTCATCAATATCATTCGCTGTCTGGCTACCATCTTTCCCAACCGACCGGCTCCCTCTCTCACGCTCCGCGTCAAGAGTCTCGGGCTCAGCTGGAGAGAGGGGGCCCCGCGCCATGCCCCCAGCCCCTGCGTCAGTCCATAGAACGAGACTCGGAGCATATGTCGCAGATTTCCTCCGTTTCTGGCCCTTCAGCGGACGATGCACTTCTTCGATCAGACACTCACGCCATCTTCGACAAGAAACGGCCTCGCGTAGAGGACGAGTCGCCTGTGGAGGGTCGTGACCCCGTGCGCCCTCGGCCTCTCTCGTGGAATCCGTCTACTCCGGTGGAACCCCCGCTGAAATCGACGCAGCTTCGTCCCATCGGCGTTCAATCTATCTTGAACCCTCTTGCAAAATCAGGTTTGATTGCCGCCGTGGGCTCCGCTGAGGCTGCTCGAGAGGGCCTGGGGGACCAAACGTCCGTTCGTGCCCACCACCAGCGACTTCCGTCGTCTCCCTCAGTCCATCTCCCTTCGCCATCACTACATGCTCGGCGACTGTCTGCTTCTCCCGGAATGAGAAACCGTCAGATGAGTACACCTCTGTCGCCGTCGGCCCGCTTTGTCAACGCTGGGGCAGGACACCCCGGCAAACTTGGTGCCTCTCAATCTCCGTTGGCCCATGAATCACGACCGGGGTTGTATTCGGGGGCTCCTACTTCTTCCATGCCTCTTGAGTCGGTTCCCGGGCAGGCTCCCTCGGTGCCAGCACATCATCAGCCAGTGCCCATGTCGATCCATTCAACCCCGACGTTTCACAGCCGGCGAACAAGTGCAGTTCCGACACCGAACCCTAGTCCTCAGGAAACGAGTCCTACCACACCCATTTCTGCTTTCAGTCAGTTTGGCCGGTCGTCTCCGTCATTGACGGGCATGTCAGGACCACCCCATGCACCGCCGTTCTTGACCTCGTCCTCTTACACGGCCAAGGATCCCGTGCCCCGACTCCCCTCCGTCGTGGCTGGAACCAGACATGTCGGAGAGGATACGGTAACGGCAGCAACGACCACACCAGCGACAACGGCCAGCATGGGAGGATCTCAGACAGAAAACGTTCCTCTGCCTGGGATGATCCCGTGTATCCTGGATCTTAAGTCGGGCTCTTCCAGCCAGGCTGAGAAGCGGAAGGCCAACAGCGATGCGTCGAGGAGGTTCCGCAACCGGAAAAGGAACGAGATGCAGATGGAGCAAAAGATCACGGCCCAACAAGAGGAGATTCGGAAGCAGGCCGAAGCTCTGCAACGGCAGACCCAAGAAATTCGGGTCCTGATGCAGGAGCGAGACCATTATCGATCGGAAAGGGATTTCTATCGCGAACAGGCCAGCCGACTGGGTGCTTCCGGCCAGGGTTCGTCCCGACCGGCCTCACCTCGGGCTTTCCGCTCGTCGGTCGAGAATACGCCCTCTGAGCGAGATCACTGGCATGGGATGGATATTATGAGGAGAGCAGGAGATGCCCCGACAGGACCACATGCAGCCTCCTCAAGCACCCCTCCTCTCGCATCCACAAGAATGCCGGGCAGTTGGTCCTCTGCGTCGTCGCAGTATCCCTCTGCCATCAACCACGTCGAGCGTGGAGTTCTAGCCGACGAGCACCAGGCCAAGTCGTTGTCTCAATATCCGGGGCCATGGACTCGCTCTTGAAGAGCATGACAACGCTATCGGGTACTGAGTGTCGCTGTTTCGAGGCTTTCCGCCCTTGAAGGGCGACGAAGGACTTTCCTTATGCTGAAATGGTTCTTCATCTTCATTTTCATTTCTCTGAATGTTTTCTTTCTTTCTCTGCTTTTCCTTTCTTCTTTTTGGCGTTGGGATATCGACATAAGACTGCTTGATATTATTTAGTCCCGCCTGAGGCGAGGACTTAACAGCATTGGACGGCATTGCTCTCAATAGCGCGATCAACCTGGTTGTTGGCGAGTGCATTCGAGCGGGCGCGAAAATAAAAAAGGGGTTTGTTTTTCGCTCTTTTTGTCGCTTGGTTCAATCTGAGCTTGACACTTTGATTTTCCTGGATATACATTATTGCTTCCTTTCATTTCTGGCCATTTTTTTTCTGGGCTTTTGGGGATTTCTCTTTTCTATACGCGAGTCTACTTAGGACGGTATGGGTTGCCATGGTTGCCACGAGACTGATTGGATTTGCCCGGGTTGGGCTACTGGGAGGGCCTCTGATGTTAGCTGGTGTTGTTGGCATTTGTCCTATTTGCATGGTTGCGAACTGTTTTTAGACAAACGATGCCATGGGGCTTTACAGAGTCTGGGAGTTGAGCGATTCTCGGGAGAGCAAGACTCTCCGTCGTTCACTGCCTTGCTGGCTCTGTTCATCCCATTTGGCTTGTGTTATGGTGCGTATCACCATGGACTGTGTATAATAAATTCATACGGGTATTCAACGGATGCTTCTCACCCACTATTCCGACAGTAAAACAATAAGACAGTAAGAACGAGCTCCGAATCATACGAGAACTCCGCCGTAGTGACTAGTGACACTCGACACTGGCGGTGAACCACCCCAACCGGACGGACGGACGGACGGAGTCGCGTGTCGGCGATATCGGATGAAAATCATTGCTGTTATCAATCGAGTGGAGTGGCCGTCGCGATGTAACCTTATGCTCATGCCAGCATGCATCCCGAGTCTTCAGCCTTCTGTCCTCCGGGGTCGATACGGAGTTGCCGCTGGGTCGGGGTTTGCTTCGAATTTCTATCCATCTCCCTATGTAGTCTTCAATTATCAGCAGCACCCGATCGTTCTGATTTCCACTCGCATAACATATGAGTGTTGACTGCTTTGTCAGAGCATCTACACCGTCAGCCTGCAGATCCCCTTAGTGGATCCCAGCTCTTAGGCTCATTCGGGTCGAAATCTATGCCAAACCAACTAAGCATTTAGGGACGGATCTCCGATGCACGTCTTGCGAGTCTCTCTTGTTCAGCTGTCAGCCCACCGCCCCTGCGCCGGGGGAGTTCCGTCGTCTGGAGTCTTCCTTCTTGTCTATCCAGGACATTGAATTGAACATTCCCAGGGTTCTCCAGAGACAACCGGACAAGTCACGGGGGCCGCAAGAGCCCTAAGCCGTGTCCGCAAAGAGTAAGGAACGGTACCTCAGGCATCCAGGCACCACCTAGCCAACGGACAGCCCACGTGGTGTCCTCTGGGCCAATCAGAGGCCGCGCACAGGTAGTACCTGAGAGTGCCTGACTTGCGCGACGTGGACGACATCTTTCCTGGCCCCTTTTGATATCCATTCCTTTCTTTCCCTTCCTCAGCATGCGAAGACAGACGGAAAGACTTCCACCCGCTCCACTTCTACCCCGGCTAGAGTGAGCTTCGAGCGTTAGCCCTACGCGACTGTAATTGCGTTTCCACACCTCAATCAAACCCCCCTGGACTCTCCCGTCCAATCTCAGTCCGACTCCGGGCTGCGTGGGCTGCTGCGCTTCGGCCTGCGATCGACAGGCCCGATTACTCGCTACGGCTTGCACCCACCATGAGACGCCGATGATGAGGGGCCGCGTCCTATATGAGGACCGTCTGGTCCGGCGGACTTGTTCGCGAGCTGCCGTTAAGAAATTATTCGCCGCAGGCGCCATGGGTTTCGTGATGCTGTCGTTTGTGCTTTGGATCGGGTACTTCTGGAGGTGAGATTTCTTCCTATTTCCCTTCGGTTGCATGGACAGGAATAGAGGTGGGATTGTTGTAAAGTTCGTGACTAACACGCAGCATAGCGTGTCCGCCTCTCCGGTGGTCAATCAACCCGCGGCCTCGTGCAACACCGTGGGCCAAGGATATCAATGTTTCCCGCAGATATCGCATCTCTGGGGTCAATACTCGCCGTTCTTTTCCCTGGGAAACGAGTCGGCCTTCCCGCTGGATGTTCCCGGCGAGTGCCGGATCACCTTTGCCCAGGTGCTCTCGCGCCACGGAGCCCGGTATCCGACGGAGTCGAAGTCGGAGAAGTACGCGCGGCTGGTCGCTGGCATTCAGAAAAACGCGACCGAGTTCACCGGCAAGTACTCGTTTTTGAACAGCTACTCCTACGCGCTGGGGAGCGATAACTTAACGGCCTTCGGCGAGAACCAGCTCGTCGACTCGGGTGCCAAGTTTTATCGGCGGTATGCGTCGCTCGCGCGGCGGAATTTGCCGTTTATTCGGGCCTCCGGGTCGGATCGCGTGATAGCGTCTGGGGAAAAGTTCATCGAGGGGTTTCAGCAGGCGAAGAAGCGTGATTCTGGCGCGGCAGCAAATCAGACGGCGCCGGTGATTAGCGTGGTGATTCCGGAGACGGACGGGTTCAATAATACCCTGGATCATGGCGTCTGCACGGCGTTCGAGGACAGTGAGCTGTCGGATGAGGTGGAGGCGAAGTTCATGTCGGTCTTTGCGCCGGCGATCCGGAAGCGGCTGGAGGCTGATATCTCGGGGATTAAGCTGTCGGATGACGATGTGATCAGTCTGATGGACCTTTGCTCGTTCGAAACGATGGCGGCAACTCCCGACGCGAGCGAGCTCTCGCCGTTCTGTGCCCTGTTCAGTCATAGCGAGTGGGTGCAGTTCGATTACTACCGGTCTCTGAGCAAGTATTATGGTTATGGGGCTGGGAACCCTCTTGGACCGACTCAGGGGATTGGATTTACCAACGAGCTGATTGCCCGCTTGACCAAGAGTCGCGTGCATGATCACACCAGCACCAACAGAACCCTTGACTCGAATCCGGCCACTTTCCCCGTGGATGCCGTGTTGTATGCCGACTTCTCGCACGACAATCTGATGGTGTCCGCATTCTTTGCCCTGGGCTTGTACAATGGCACCAAACCTCTCTCTCAGACCGCCGTGCAAACCACCAAGGAGACCGATGGGTACTCCTCCGCTTGGTTGGTTCCGTTCGGTGCTCGGGCCTACATCGAGGCCATGCAGTGCAGTGGTGAATCTGATTCACTGGTTCGCGTGCTTGTCAATGACCGAGTTGTGTCTCTTCATGGTTGCGAAACTGATCAGCTGGGTCGGTGCAAGCTGGACGACTTCGTTCGTGGATTGAGCTTTGCTCGTTCTGGGGGTAACTGGGACAAATGTTTTGACTAGCCTGAGCTTTGCATTAGATTATGGCCTTAGATATTTGAATGTGCCTGGTTTTAGTTTTATGCTGGCGTTTTGTTAGCGGTAACCAGAGCACTGGCAGGCAGTCATTCACTCACCTGCCTTGGACCCTCTGTTTGTTGTCAGTCAGAAATTCCCTTTCACTGCAAACCATCCACTCAATCCCCGCTCCTTCTCTAATCATCTTTATTTCCTTTCCATCTGTTACTTCCCATCTTCGTCTCGCCAGATCATCCTCTCCCATCAGCTACAATGGCATCGCCCCTGGCAGACACTCCGCAGACCAGTCCCCGCCGCTCCAACTTCATTGAATCCGCCTCCAAACCGGTCATCGTGATCGTCTCCCCGACACAACCACCCCCATCCCCCGTCTCCGAAACTGAATCTCTCCTATCCTTATCATCCTCTGAGCAACCGTTGTACTCTTCTTCATTTCGGCCCTCAACCTATTCCTCCCTGCTAGCCAAGATCGCTAGAGACGCGCATCTCCTGACCATCACGTCGCTGGAAACCCTCGAAGAAGCCCTGACCCAGCACGGTCCCAAGATCGCCGGGTTCATCATTGCCTCGACCGCGATTCTGCATCCAGTTCACAATGCACTCGCCATGCGCCTTGCCGCTCTCGTGCACAACAATGCCCAAACCGTCTCATCCAACTCTGACGCTGACAGAATCTACACCGTCCTCTTTGCCCTCTCCTTCCCCTCCGAGGCCATCAACCGCCCTCTCCTCTTTGCTATCTTCATGAGGAACGTCTTCCATCTCCCCTGGCGCCTCAGCGGAAAGACCAGCCAAAAGGTGAAGACGAAGTTGCGGGTCTCGGTGCTCCGGAAGCTCGGACAGAGGGTGTATCGTGGGCGGTATTGCATGCGGAGCGTGTTCCTGCGCAATGTGAAGCTGGCGGATAAAGTTGTTGTTGCGACGGGGGAGTTTCCCATCGGTGGGCAGCGGTTTATGGGGCTGGATGTTTCTCGCTGGCTAGGTGATGGGGTGGAGCTGTTGGAGGATGAGTATGGGGCTCAGACGGAGAGTACAGACGAGGAGAAGGAGTTGGAGGACTGGCAGAGCGAGGAGAGTGATGTGACAGCTGTTGGGGGGGATTTCGGGGACGCGTACTCGTTTGGGGAGGCCGGCTCTGATACCTACCAGGGTGACGGCACTGGTAATGTTGCTGGTCCTGCTTCTAACCTTGTCGGTAACGGTGTTGGCGATGAGACCATGCAGGCCGACGAGGATGTGGGATTCCTGGGTGATGTGGAGGATAATGATGCCCAGGGTCTTGATATCCACCCTATCGTCACCACCACTCTCGTGATCAACAATAACCACACCCATACCCAACACGCCGACGACGCCCTCTCTGACAACAGCACCATCATCAGCCCAGCTTCCCTCCTCAACACCAGTCCAACCGCCGTATCCACCCTGGCCACCACAACCGAAGCCTCATCTTTCGAGGGAGAAGACAACGACGACGAATTTGGCGGCCAAGTCTTCGAAGACGAAGATGACGACGAGCTCACCTCCGCCATCACACTCACCCCGACCACCAACCCAGCTTTCAACCTCACCCACGCCTTCAACCCCACCGCCAACGCGAACACCAACATCCCCATGTACATCACCACCGACGAGGAGGACATTTCCGCACCCCTGCATCCAACCGGCTGGGTGCCGTCCGACGACGAAGGCACCAGCGTGGACGTCTGCTGCGCGGACAGCCCGATCGTGATCCATGAGTTCAAGAGAACCGTTGCGCGCGAGGGCGTCGAGGAGCTGGTGCCGAGCGGGTATGTCGGGTTCGTGGGCCATGTGGATGATAGTCGGTCGATGAGTACTTTGATTTTGGGGATGTGTGCGGTCCCGAAGTTTGTGGAGGGAAGTTAGGTTGGGTTTTGGGTTTGTTGATGCATGTTGACGCGGTTACACTGGAGAGAAATGGATAGGTATTGTGAGGGAAAAGTGTTCCCTGGGGGAAACCAAAAAGGAATAAAAATAAAGAAAAAAGAACTTCTGATGGGATTCGCATGACTGGCTACTGACTGGACTGATTGACTGACTGGTTGATACTGCAAAGACCTAGACAGAGAAGACAGAGATCATAAAAACAGAATAAGCATGAACAAGAGCATGAGCATGATGCAACACAATGAATGCAATGCAATCACCCAAAATTTCGATATCTAAGTAACGTAAAGCCCAACTCGCTCATCACAGCACAAATACATATGCATACAGCCCCAACTTCACATCCTCCCTATCATACAAATACATGAACGGAAACAACCAGAGAGGACTAGACCTGTCACCTCCCCAATCGACCAGATAGATAAGACACATCTAATTCCCGTCCTTCTTACCCTCCTGACCCGAGGAGGAAGGCGAACCCAATGACCTCGGACTTTTATTTCCATATGCTAGGAAGTCATCACGTCAGTATCATATTCATCAGGGGGGGAACAGAACACGACAGGACAGAACAATCAGCAGATAGAAAGACGGGGAATAGGGATAAGTGATAAGGGATTAAGGTCAAAAGATAACATACTCCTCTCAAAAAGCATATAAGACGTATACATCAGGATCGGCAGCGCGACGATCGTCGAAAGCCATCTATCTCATCCATTTATGTGTTAGTGGCTGTTTCTTGGGTTTCGTGTATATACCTTTTCCGCGCCCCTCCGAAAACCCCACGCGCAGTAAATCAAGATGAAAAGATCAAGACTAGGAATAAAAACAAATCCAACAGGCCCATCTCACCACCTAAAACAAGAAAGACAGACCGAACAACTCCGCCCAGACAAAAGACACAGAGAAAGAGGGGAAGAGGGGATGAGAAATAAAGAACTAACCGTCTAGCAGCGACCTTATACTCCTTCGTCTGGCGAATATCCTGGACAGTACGAGGGCGCGGTGCTGGCCGCGGACGCTGATAGTTGTGCGGGTCGAGGATGACGCGCGGTTGCTGCTGCGACTGCGGTGGTTGGTTCTGTTGGTTGGACATGCTTTCGATTCAGTCCTCTTTTTTGTTATGAGATATATTGATGATGGGTGGTTTGGTTGAGTGGATCGATTGAATGGAAAGAAGTGGACTTGTATAGAGAAAAAGTGGAGGGATGGATGGGATGGATCGATGCGGAAAAGTTCAGGTCAGGTGAGCGGTTGCTGCCTTGGTGCCTTAGTCATGGACTATCGTCCTGGGCATGGGCTATATGCAGCGAACGACACAGCCGGGCAGATGATTTCTTACAAGGGCATTCGTCTAAGGGTATAGGTTTATCAATAATCGGTAGATTTACATGCCTTTCCTAGCTAATATGCCCTCGCAGCGAGAGGGAAACGAACGAAAACAAAATCATAGTACATACACACGAGAACTGAAAGAAAGAACAGGATTGATACATACCTTGGTGATGCAAGAAAAAAAGAAAAACGAAGGTAATAACGAGCCCGAATAAAAACAAATAGAGTACAGGAGATTAGAGTATTTGTTGTCGTCACCTTTCATCCTCTTTCGATTCTTTCCCGACCTTGACGGGGCCTTTTCTAGTCTTTTTGATTCTTTCTTTCGTTTTTTGATTCCCCATGGCGTTGATTTTGTTTTTGAGTTGTTGGTTGTTTGACCTTTTTTTCTGTTCGTTTTTCTTGTTGAAGATTTGCCCATCAACGGTTGTGCTGCTCGACTCGTTGATCATCCGGGAGGGCCGAGTAGATAAACCCAGCCCGATCACCGGGTGATCAACGAGGAGCTGGTCGTAGAAAGAAAAGGAAGATGAAAACGGACGATCGACAAAAAAAAGTAAGAAATACAAAGAAGAAAAAGAGAAAATAGAACAGAACGCCAACCCAGACTTTCTCGCTATGCTTAAACAAACAGAATGCTCCAAGGAGCCGCCTTGAAACGCCCAAGTCATAGACCCGAAATGAACAAGATAAATCAAACAGGCAAAAAGAAAGAATGAAAATTTGAAAATGTAACCATTTTTCTTATTAAAAAAAAAATAAGGCAGAAGGCCCATCACTGGGCCTCCTCCGGAGACCCCTCCACCCTCTTTTTGCGTGCATTCGCACGCCGGGCCCTCTCCTGGGCATGGTTTTCAAATTCAGCCATCAAGGCTGCCGCAGCGCGGCGCCGAGGCCGAGATGAGGATCCTTGCCCAGGAGAGGCCGGCGGAGGGTTCTCCGGAGTGGCGGCGTCCTCTGCCACCCCCTCGCTGGTGTTGCTCTGTTTGGGGGTGGCAGGCTGTCGAAGCTTTAGCGTTGGCTGTTTCTTCTTGAAGGACAGGGTCAGCCGCGTGGGCTCGGTGGGCTGACCCTGCCCTTCGCCGCCGGAGGCCTCTTGATGGGCCTTCTGCCTTTTGGCCTTGCCCGGCTGCCCACTAGCCTCCTCGGAAGGACGCTTTTTGGTGTCTTTGGCGTCGTGGGCAGCCGGGCGAGGCATCTTTAAAATGAGGTTGGGCCTGGCCGGCGCACTGGGGGCTGCTGGCTCAGGCCGGCCAGGCCCAACCTCGACCTCCGAGTTCCCTCCCCGGACCCGACTGCGGCGCTGGGGTGACTCGGCCGGCACCCCGAACCCTTCAACGTGCCTCCTCTTGCGAGAGGATCTAGTGGCTTTTTCGTTGGTGGGTGGGTTCGGGGCGCCTGCCGAGTCGTGCTCCTGAATGAGTCCCCGGATTTCCGAGGTGGACATATGGCGGTCCACCGGGATGTGCCGCAGCCGGGCCTCTTCGCGCGCCCGAATCTTGGCTTTTTCTTCGTCGATGTTCTCGACAGAGAAGGGCGCGCTGAAGGCACGGGGGAGATTCCGTTCCCCCATGCGGGGAGGGAACCCGAAGATCCGATCTCTCTGCGCTTGCTCGTCCGACTTCAAGCGGACGGGGGGCTGGGGGAGCCCCCCGTCCCCGTAGGTGTTGTTGGGGCGGTACCAGTGGTAGCCTGTGGAGACTACCACCACCTCCTCGCCGAACTCATTGGTATCTCCTGTGTAAACCCAACCATCTTTGTCAGTCCTTAGTCCGGAGGACTGGGATTGGGGATGCCTACTTTTCCCCCCTTTTTTGTCTTCCCCCCCTTTGGCCCTTGCGCCGTCGGCCAAGGCATCCTCTTTGGGCTTGGTGGAGGATGCCTTGGCCAACTTGGACTTGCGAGCCTTTGCCTTGCGAGATTTGGCCTTGCCGGCCCTGGCTCGGGCCAGCTTGGCCTTGAGGGCTGCTTTCTTTGCGAGATTTTCAGCCTCGGCCTTGTCCTCGCAGGGCAAAGTCTCGCCAGACTTTTGCTCCGGGGCATTGTTGCCCGGTGTCTCTGGTGAGGGGTTGATATCGTGCGCTTGTTCAAACGCACGACGCAACCCCGCGAGGAACTTGTCGTCGTCGGCTTCTTCAGCGTCAGCGTTTGCAATCAGGACATGGTCGGTCACGCTGATGAGCCTCATGAAGACATCCGCTCGTTCGGTCGACAAGCCAGTCAGTGAGACGGGAGCATAGGGCGCAGGGTTGTAAGTTGCATGGGCAAGGGCTGCGGGGACAGGGGGGATCAAGGCGGGGTGAATCGGCGAGGCAGTTGAAGCCGGGCGAGCAAAAGCGGATTGAGTTGGGGCCGGGGTTGATTGCGAGCGAACCGAAGGAGGAAGGGTTGGAGCAGAAGGGGATGCAACAGATTGGGCTCTGGCAGAAGGAGCGGGGGTGGGATGAGCTGGGACGACAGCAGGGCCAGATTCATCGTCTGTGGGATGCTTCTTCTTTCTCTTCTTGCTCTGATGGGTGTCGGCCTGATCACTATTGGCATCGGTTGGTTTGGCGTTGGCATCAGCCACGTCAATACCGTTGCCGGTGCTGGCGGGCTCCTCCTTGGCCGCGGGAGTCCTGGTTCTCTTGCGCTGGAAGCGACGCTCAGATTCCATTGATTCCATGGCCCGCATGGTAGGCTTTCTAGCGCGTCCTGAAGTGCGCGCACCGGCAGAAGTGCTTGTTGCAAAGCTGGTTGGAGAGGTGGGACCGTCGACTTGACCATCAAGACCAAAGTTATGACCGTACATCTCAGAGGTGTAATCAAAATGGTAGTCATCGCCAAAGTCCTCTTCGTAGACATGGAGAGGAGTAGCCTCCACGCTTTCAGCGATCTCATGGTCGTAAGAGGATCCAGTGGTGTCCAGCGCGGCCGGCAGAACCGACTCCAGCGCCTTGCGACCCACGTTCAGAGTGATGGTGTTGCTCATTGGGCGCCGGCTGGCACGAGAGCTGTTCCTGACGGAACTTCCAATGGCAGAGGAGTTGGAATCAATTTCCATGGCATCTCCAACGGCAGTGGATGGATCATGCATTTGGCTGGCCTGATCGGCGACGGACTTACGAGTGCGGCGAGTGGAATTGATGGGGGTGAAGCCACGTGACGGGCCGGGCGTGACGGGCTTGTCTTTGCCCAACTTCGCGACCGAACTGGCGGTCGGAGTGGACTCGGAGCCAGCAAGAGGAGTGCCAGGCATGGCTGTAGAGGAGTTTGCAGTTTGCTGGGCTTTGCTCTTCGACTTACGGTCGGGCCTGGTGGACTGCGGGGTAGAGGCACGAGAAGAAGCAGCAGTACGCTGGGGCTTGGAATCCTGGTTGACAGTTCCGTTCTTTTTGGCTGGCATAGACCTTCGCGTCTTGCGTTTGCCGGAGAGAGAAGAATCGTGAGTGGAGGTATTAGAATCAGATTTATTTGAATCAGTCAAGTCGGCTTGGGATGCCAACGACTTGCGTCGATCTTGCGGATTCTTCAGCAAGAACGAGTGCAGAGTAGTTTGAGACTGAAGGCTGTTAGATTCCAATTCATGAAGGCCATGGGAGTCATGGAGAACAACTTACTGTTTGAGCTTCGCTGCTCAGTTTGTCGGATTGGGAGTTTCGGTTTTGATTACTCCTCTGAGTATCTGTAGATTTGTCCTGCAGACAGATTAGTTTCCATTCAATGACCATGGGAATCAGAGAATGACTTACTGCTTGAGCTTCGCCACTCAGCTTGTCGGGTTGAGGGGTTTGATTTCGACTACTCTTCTGAGTGTTTGTAGAGAGATCCTGCAAGTGGGTTAATCTCCAGTCGATGGCCATGTGATCTACGGACAATAACTTACTGCTTGAGCTTCGTTACTCAGCTTGTCAGAATGAGGACCTTGGTCTTGATTACTCTTTCGAGTATCTGTAGATGGAGACTGCATACAGATTAGTTCTCAGTCCATCGAATCGATGAGCGACCGAGAATCGCCAAAGAAAGGCTTCACTTACTATTTGAGCTTCGTCGCTCAGCTTGTCGGGATGAAGATCTTGATTTCGATTATTCTCTTGAGTATCTGTAGACTGAGACTGCAGACATATGAATTTCCGGTCGAGACAAGAGGGCTACTATTGCCATGGGAATCAGGGAAAGACTTACTGCTGGAGCTTCTGTGCTCAGCTTGTCAGAATGAGGATTTGGATTTAGGTCACTTTTCTGAGAAGGATCAAAAGGTTTGGCTAAGCCAGAAGGAAGATTCTTGCTTTCTGCAAGATTAAGGGATTTGTTGCTCTCGTAGGACAATGACCCTCGTCTCCGTCGACGTTTCGTCGAGGGCAGGGTTTCTTCAAAGGAAGAGTGGATGGGAGTGGTGGGGAGAGAATAAGATGAGCGAGATGGATTAGAGGAAGTATTAGAAGGATTAGAAAGATTAGAAAGATGAAGATCAGGAAATCTGGTTGATCTGCGAGATGCACGAGAAGAACTGCGTTTGTTTTGATTCTGAGGTGGTGAGGGTTAGGAAAGTTGTGGTGGGTGGGAGGAGGAAGAGGAAGAAGAAATACTGACTGAGGCAGAGGGCTCGACGAGGGAAATGGCGGGAGACCCCGGTTCCCGAGTAACAGAAGCTCTTCCAACCACTGACAGACTATCAGCATTCACTGCAATTTGGAGGGTTGTTCCGTGGGAGAAGTGACAGAGGCTTGATCAGGGCAACCCTATACTCCAAGCCCTAACCACCTCCCAGCGCAACGATTGGGCGCAACAAGGGCCTTCTTACTTTTGTCCGGCATGTGATAGCTACAGATCCCTCGTCTGATATTTGTTTCTCTGGGAAAACTATGGGAAACTTCCACTATCAACTGATTCCAGCACCCAGACTTGCAAGTTGTACGGCTCGGCGGATGAGGGAAATGGTAGGCCAACGTCAGCCAACCTCTTCTTCCTCTTCCTTCTTCCGACTTCCCGCCTGAACCGATTCCTTATCTCAAGGTGAATGGTGCTGGACTTTATTCGGGTTACGGAGGTTTCCTGTCAATATGCGCTTCACTGTTAGCTAGTGAACCAAACGAGGTCGGCCGACTCGGGAATGGAGGACAAAACAGGAGTGAGAACTCCCGTCAGCGACAAAAGGTATGACGCAAGCAAGGACAAGGGGCGATCGCAAGCACCACAGTATTCACACATACCTGTAGCTCCTATTACCAGTGGCTATTGTGACCAGAAAACCTCCAGCGCAGCACGTAGGGACTGAAATCACAGCGTGGCCCGTTCGGTGAAGCGGAAGGCGAGCGAGTCGGAACGTCAGGATGAACTTCGCAGGCGCAGGGTTACTCCCAGGGCAAAACGAGGGCGATCTCGGACATTTTGTGGCAAGGCGAAGGCGACTATCTAGCCGATCGAGGATCTAACGGGGCGTCGCAGTGAAAGGGAAAGCCGTCTAACCGGTCGAGGAGCGAGGCAGAATTGTTTGGCAGGCCGACTTGAAGATGCCGGGAAATTAGGGCTTGCGAAGGCGGGTGGCCGGTCACTGGACCGCCGCTTGCCCCAAAGCCGCGGGCGCTTATCTTAGCGCTTCTTCCGCATCTAAAGCGGTCGAACTTCCGGATCCTCTTGTTTGGTCGCAATCGCCCGGATCCCTCGTTTGGTTTCTATCGTCTCTTCCTTTCCCTTGCTTCTCCCCCTCCCCGTCAAAATGCAGCTTTGGCACACCCTCCTCCAGCTCGGTCTGCTGGCTTCGACCGCAGTTCCGACCGGGGCGGCTTCTTGGGGATTTACTGATGCCACCGTGTCAGTTCACACCAAGGGCGCCGGGGTTGGTTCGGGGTCCAAGGACGAGTAAGTCAATGTCTTCTGATATTGTAGCTATTCTACTTGATTTATCTCCGAAACTAACCATTACACTCCAATTGATAGCATTCCCGACAACAAGGCCCTCACCAAACCGGTCTCGCTCGGCGGCGCGGACACCCTAAAAGTCACCCTGACAGCTCAGGAAGGCCGCTCCGCGAAACGCGCCCATCAAGTGTTCCTTTTCCTTCAAGACCCTGAGACTGGCCTTGACATTTCGTATCCGTTCAATGTGAAAGAAAATGGCAAGTCGAGACTGGAGCTGGTAAGTCAGGGTGGAACAATGCCGCGTGATTGAATGGCAGCTAAGCATCGCTTTAGACTCAGAAGGACCTCCCCATCCAATTCCTTTCGGCTTCCGAACCCCTCGACGCGAGATTCCTTGTCGGTTCGTTTGGTAACTCTGAAGCATACAACGGCGCCGCGTTCCCTCTACTAGTGACTCGCGACCCTGATGTGCCGGTCCCTACGGTCGAGACCTCGAGATATGGCAAGCTTCCTGAGATTCACCACATCTTCAATGGCGACCCGCAAAGCCCTCCCGTTGTGATCACGCTTGCCTTCGTTGGCACTGTGCTTGCTGCTTTCCCCGTTCTGGCTGTTTTGGTGAGTATCGCTTTGGTTTCTGGTATAGTTGCTGGGCGCAATCTGACTGACTTTCTGTTAGTGGCTTTTCCTCGGCGCCAATGTCAGCCATCTTCCCACCGCTCTGAAATCCGCTCCTATTCCTCACGCCGTGTTCCTTGCATCGCTTGTCTCGCTCGAAGGGATCTTCTTCCTGTACTATACTTCCTGGAACCTCTTCCAGATTCTTCCTGCCGTCGCCACGGTCGGCACGGTTGCCTTCGTCAGCGGCAGCCGTGCGCTGGGCGAGGTCCAGGGCCGACGCCTGGCGGGTCTTCGGTAAATTCGTCCGGTACTGAATTTGCCGGCAGTTCGTTGGAACTGTCACTTTCGCAGCTGTCTTGCGCGATACCTCTTCATGTACGAGTCTCTATGTCTGCACATGTATAGAAAATGTAGCAGACGAACCAATCAAGATGAATATCTGTAGCAATTCTATGAATCAAATGAAAACTTCTAGCTTGATAATCCAATGTAAATTAAATCCGCGCTCTGGCGAGCCTGACGTCACCCGCGCGGCTACGGCGCCGACCAAATCAGGCTAGCGTGGCGGCTGCTCTGCAGAAGATGGAGGAGCTTCTCCGAGGTGCAGTCTTCAACTGTTCAGCAAGCCTAGTCTTTTCCTGTTGCACCACCCCTCGCATCCAGAACGATAGGCAAAAGTGCGCAATGGGTGCCTCATCGTCGAAACCCGTGAGGTCAGCCGCTCAGGCTGCCTCGCGACGTCAGTATCCGAAGCAACCTTCTCCTACGACCTCCGCTCCCTCCTCCGCTCCAACGCCGCCACCGAAGACTCACAGGGCACCGGAGACGAGTCATGCTGGACCGACGTATCACTCCAAGGAACAGCCATCTTTGGTGAAATCCAACGGTATGTCATATCACCCATCCACTCATTTGCTTCGATCATGCCACACCGCGGGATCCCGAAAGCGACGGCGGAACGAGGTACTGCTTGAACCCCTCAACTCAGACACTAACCATGCATGCCAATTCTTAAACAGCCATCGATATGGACGGCCGTGATCCTGATTTCGCCGCCTCCCTCCGCAGCATCGGACCCGTCAATCCTGTCCCGACATACTCCCCCACCAGCACATTCTCCCCGCAGCCCTCCCAACAGCGCGGACCGGCGCAGCCCGCAATCACCCCGGCATCGAATCCAGCTCTATTGGTGTACCACGCCCGTGAACAGATCAACAAGATCGCCAAGTACGAAGTTGAGAATATCGGCCGGCCGAGCTTTGCGGGACGGCAGTTCCTGGATGCGGTGACGATCCGACAGGCGCTGTCGATGCGCGATCGGCAGGGTATCCGACCGGGGGAGATTGAAAGGATTTTACGGCTGAAGAAGGGTGTTGTGGATCGACTGGGGAAGCAGGGAGTTGTCGCGGAGCTCTTGTAAAACAGCCGACCGACCGGTTGATTGGGTTGGCTGCATTGTGCATTTTTGGACTTTTCCATGGCGTTATCCTTCTCACTTATATGACCATCTCCTGTATAATATTTGTATATGAAGCTATGAAGTTAACTCGACGTTGATTGCGTATGGGTGTATAGATACTCCGAGGCCAGCTGCAGAGCAAACGGCAACAGGCAGGGCCCAATCCGCAAGGCGAGTCAAGTGACACCGTGATACCCTAGACCGGCAGAACATTGACTGCGGAAAGGAGAGGTCAAACCAAAGAGCTCAAAAACTACGGGTTTGCTCGGACTCCTGAAATTCAAGTCCTATCCAACTTGATCCAGTCTTCGAGCATTGACCTACTCGGCGGAATTTCTTGGTTCTCCCTTTCCCTCGGGCTGTCAGTAAAATCCGAGGATCCACTTGGAGCAAAAACATTGGCAATTTGAGACTTATTCTTAGATTTGCTTACGGACGCCACGGGGCGAGCCCCTGAATCCACCACAGGGGTCGAATGTTTTATCTTGATCCAGCCTGGTCATGTCCTTCATCTCCAGGGCCGCTAAGTTCGACCGGCTCGGCCCTAATATGGTTCAATGGGCGCATTGCCGTTAATTGGGGCTTGCTATCCCCATTGGTCTAAGGCTCTACCCAAGTGAGGAGAAATCAGGTCTGGAGGTATATTTATTCTGCAAAAGCCCTAAGATCTTAACGATGTTCTCCTCGTGGATGGAGGCGTATGCTTCGGGAGAGCGAGTCAATCGACGCAATTATGTCGTGCTTCTCTCGTCGCCTAGTCTTCGCATTGTTAATCTCATTAGGTTCGGTCCAGGAATGCAGGCTAGACATGGCACCCTTGTTCGTCAACGTGGAGATCGTCCGATAGACGGCCCTTAGCATTGGCACTTGTTTCTCCTCCGTCAGGACAGGTCTATGGAGGCCGGAGGGTCATTTCAGACGATCCTTTTCAAGCTTCGACAGGAATTGACCAGTATGGCAGGGATGTGTCGAGTCAAAGCCGCTAACCTTTTAGTAATAATAATGGGTCTCAGACGCAGCCATGGCCCCCAAATTTTTATACACTTTATTTTTCTTCTTCCCTAGTTGTTTTCGCAAGGCCAGTTTATCCGATACCTGAGCGAACATCTCCAGCTTTATGTTTGCTATCCAGCTTGGCGCCTATCCCTTGATCCCCCAGAACTACCCTCCCCTCTTTTTGATTATCCATTTTTACTCTTTTCTATTCCTTATTTCCTACTCCTTGGGGGTATTTTCCGGTGCTCATCCCCTAAGACAGTATCAGAATGACGAAAAGCCAACACTGGTCGTGGACCGGCCTCATCGCCGCATTTCATATTGGTTGCGCCGTCACATCGACGACTACTCACCCACCTTGGTTTAACGGATACTACGTGCATTTTCAGGGTGGCGCCACACAGAGTTCGTCTCAATCCCTCGCCTTCATTCTACCTACTAATACCCCTCCCAGCCGAGACGATCAGCTGTGAAAAAACATCCTCTTTCGCAACCTCCGGATCCTACGCCAACTGCTGCGGCACCAAAGGCGAAAAATGCCCCATGCCAACGACCTGCCTTGATCACACGGTGTATATGGACAATGGCGCATACTACAAATGGTATACTTACCCCATCCTAGAGACAATACCCTCAGAGAACGAAACTCCACCCAATATAAGACACTAACGCCCTCTCAGCGGCACATCCAGCGAATGCGCCACCATGACCGTCTACGAAACGTACCCGTTCGGCGAACCCTTCGTCAAGAACGTCTTCTGCTGGCCCGACTGGGACGCCCACACCGTATACCGCCAACTACCCACCTTCCCGACCTCCACCGCCGCCACAACAACCGGCCTCTCGGCGTCCGCCGGCTCAACCGTCCCCCAGGCGACCGTCAGCAGCACGAGCACGAGCACAGGCACCAGCGCTGCCGATTCCGATTCCGATTCCCGCTCCGACTCGTCCTCTAATAAAGGCTGGATTGCCGGCGCCGTGGTCGGGCCCGTCTGCGGCGTCGCGCTGGGCCTGTTCGGCGTCTGGGTGGGATATCGTAAGGCACAGAAGGCACGCGCCATGCAGGCTGAGGCGGCGCTGGCGCCGCAGGTCGCCCAGTCGCAGTATATCCAGGGTGGAGGGTATCCGCAGGAGGCGTATGGGAGGGCAGTGTATGCGCAGCCGCATGTGGAGTTGGATTCGTCGAATTTGCATCAGAAGCCTTGATCGGGTTTCTAAGTGTGAGAAAGTGTGCTGGAAGACTCCGTCTATAGGATCGATGGAGATGGGTCTGTCTGTAGATCATGTCTTCTCTAGGCTGGGGTGAGAACTTCTTTTCTATGTTTTATACCCTTTTTTGCGTGCGCAGAGGGGCTGGGCTGTCTGTGTATGAGGTTATGATTTGAACGTACTTATATGTTTATAGATTCTTCTGAATTATCAGGCGTCTCAGTCTCTGTGACATAAAATCAGCATTGAACTGACTGCCATGTCAAACTACCGATAGACACAACTGCATGGAACTACAAGAATCTCGGATGCCAAAGGAACCGTGGCTCTAAATGGTTCAAAACGAATCGTGCAAAGGTCCAAAACTCACTTGGACTTTCAGTCTGGTCCCAGTTTCGTACCTTGAACCTCAGTCATCAACAAAAGTACCCGGTGTCTGAGTACTTTAGGTCCTCTTACAAAAGGACCTTCAACATGTTGACAATATTCCCAAAAGAGAAAAGCACTCATCTTCTTTCCCAACCTCCCATAACCACCATGTCCAGCCTGATCCACATAACACTAAAACTTTCCAGCTACTCCCAATCCAGCAACCCGAGCCCATTTTCTTCATCACTAGTCATTCTCACTCGTCGTTCTTCTTTTCCCTTCCACCCGCAACCCCCCGACTCTAGAAACCCTCGCCCAGAGAGGAAATCCGACAGACATCCTCGATAAACCGCGGACTCCAGATGAATGGACAACCAGGATATCTTCTGATGAGGGCTTGATCAAGTGACATGGACACAATCGCGACTGATTCGACGCAAGCAGTTGAATTGGGCAGATATTTCGGCACACAGATGGACTTATCGTACCTGCTGAGGTTATAGGTTATGGCAGTCTAGATTACCAGATCACCAGGTTAGATATAGGCGTGGGGACTTACTTGAACAATGCTAGTCTCGCTTTACTACATGACCTATTACTGGGGTGGAGGATTTAGCCACTAGGTTAGTATCATGGGGCAAACAAAACACAAACCCATTGTCTTCAATGTCTGCCACACCCCAACAACAGATAGCCGATGACAACCGAGACAATCGCCCATCCACCATCCATAAGATCAAGATGCAACGAGGCAAGTAGGGCTAGAACTCGATCTAGACGGATCCTTGGCCGACAGCATGCCAACGCATCTCCCCACGTGAACAGCCTTCCACACTAGCATGTATAGAACTTCCGGCAAGTAAGTCTACATAAACCTGCGTGTATGCGTGACCGGATAAAACTATAATCTTCACCTATCGGTCTTGAATGCCCATGTTGTTGATGGTCTGTGTATCATAATGATCATGATAATCCCGGAGTATAAGGTAGACTAGACTAGGCTAGCCTGGTGATGCGCCCAATTAGCCTAATCAGTCAAGCGCACAAGCACCCCCTGCATTCCTTAACCTTGCCTTGGGTAATACTGTAGTGCCCTACGGGGCCGGAGGTTAGGCATCAATCTTACCTACATATTCTGGGATTCATGTTGATTTATCTCTTTTTTTTTTCATCACGAGACTTTTTTTGCTTCTACTTCTGCCATTCTAAATGGCTATGTTATAACGGACTCTGTGCAGTTGAACATTGGCTCCAGACCAACCCTACACGGTATGTAGATGGCCTAAAAGGGCAATGGTGTTGGAAAGACATCTTCCAATCAGCATCCCAGTTTCGGTCTGGATATCCCGGATGTGTTCGTATACTTGCCTATTATATTACACAGGCATATGCAAAACATTGTTTTATATTCGCTGCGCTCACTTCAGTCTCGTCGGGGTAAGTCAAGCAGATGATATTTATCCTACCAGGCCAGTGGGGCAACTCAGACGATGACAGTGACACATTCCATAGGTAGATCGGATTTATTCCAATCAGACGGCTTCCTACCAGTCGATAGAAATTCCCATTTCCACAGCCCAGCACGGTATTGACCTTGGGCAAATCAACATCCCAACCTACCGACTACCTACATAGTGAACAGAAAAACAAAACCCCATGACAACAGCAAAAAAATAAAATACAATCCAGTCCCACCAAGACTGTTTGCGGATCCCCCGCTACACTCAAACCCAACAACCCCATCCAAAGTAAATTACTAAGTAAAATAAGGCTAGCACCCCGACTCGTGATGAATCCCTGATGTCACCTACAAAGCGCCCACCTATCATGGGAAGTACAGCGCAAGTAGCAGGTAGAATGTTTGGGTCGGGTTCGCGTTACAAGTGGGGAAGAATATGTGGGGGGGATTCGCTACCCCGGATTTGGGAGGCTTGGCGGTTGTGAACCTCTCTTATTTATTTATTGGGGAGGGCGGGGGGAGTGGCTCTTGTGGTGGTTTTGGCAATTCCGGTGTTTGGGAGGAGATGGGTCAGGACCATAGGTAAGATATCCAGGTAGGTGTTGTTTTGGGCTGGGTTGGTTGGTTTGGCTTGGCTGACACTCACACTTATACTCGCGCTTGTACTCGCGTTCACTTGTAGGGGTGTGGTTTTATGTTGATTTATTTTCTGTAGTCATTTCAGGTGTACTCTCGTATTACCTCAGATAATTACCTCCATTCACCCTTATACCACCCAGTCCATGTACATTAGACGGAGGCAATGTATAACCCAAGAACCCTGTCTTACTTGACGCGTCAGTAGGGATAGGAGTGGGGTCATGTGCGATCCCAACCCCCCAGCGCTGTCAGATCGGACGCTAACCGGACCGATGATGCATCCTTAGGTAACTTTACTTGCTAGTCTGTGCTCCGCTGTGCAGGAGTAGGGATGATTGGGTTCTTGGGTCGGTGGTTTGGATTTTCTCAATCCCCCTCCCTCTCCACTTTCTTCATTCTCTCCCCACTTCTGATTTCTGGAATATGCACGCGACATCTAGGTTTGAAGTTGGGGAGTTTTGATCTTGGATAATAGGTGGTAATATTGTAGGATACTAGATACATGGAAGTGAAGAGCAACGGTCTAAAAAAGAAAAACCTGGTCAAGTCCAAAACAACCCCTTCCCTTGTTGCCCAAGTCCGAGCCGGTGGCGCTAGAAAAAAAATGAATGAAAAAAAATCACGAAAAAAAACACTTGTCGCCCCGGGATGAAATCCTGAGGATGAGAGAAATCAGACGTCATGACGATGGGTTCCCCCCATTTGAAATTCGAACCTGAATGTGAAACCACGCTCGATCGCTCGCTATCCCCCCGGACGCCATGCAATAGGAAATAAAACCGGATGAAAATTAAGTACGATGCAAAGTGAAATGGCCGTTAGATGCTTGTCGTTTACCAGGCGGCGTGGCCACCGTCCATGCGCAGATCGCTTCCGGTCATGAAGGTGCTGGCGTCGCTGAGCAGGAAAACGGCGGCGCCGCGGTATTCGTTGGGGGTGGACAGACGGCCCAACATGTTCTGCTTGGGCCATTCGTCGCGACGCTCGGGGTACTCGACGAACAGCTTCTCGACCATGGCGGTGACGATGTAGCCGGGGGAGATGGTGTTGACCCGGATGTTGTAGGGGCCCCACTCCATGGCCAGGTTGCGCGAGAGCTGGAGCACGGCGGCTTTGCTGGCGTTGTAGGCCGGGCAGATGAGACCCTGATAGGAGGACTGTGGTTAGCATGCTGTGATTGCAAGAATAGCCAATGGGGCCTGGGGAACATCATAAAGATGCAGGTGGCGTGGGAGGGAAAAGCGGGGAAGTCAAGAGACTCGGGTTGTTGCACCGTGTGGAAATGAAAGGGAATCGTGGGGAGGGAGGAAATGAGAGGAACGTACCCGATTGGCAACGGTGCCACTCATGCTGGCAATCAGCGCAATGCTACCGCCGTTTCCAAACCGAATCATCTGCTTGGCAACTGCCTGAGCGGTCATGAACACGCCAGTCACGTTGACTTCGAACATCGTATTGGCGTCCTGAGAGGTGTACTCGAGAGCAGGAGTCTCCTGCTGAATGCCGGCGGCGGCCACCAGTCCATCCAGGCGACCTTCGGTCTGGCCAATTGAATCGACGACGTTGTTCAGTAGTTCGGTGTCCCGGACATCAATTCGACGGTAGTTGAGTTCCGTGCCCAATTCCTCGCGAGCACGCTTCTGGATTTCGTAGAATTCCGGGGACTAAAATGGCGTCTATGTTAGAAACCATTCGTTGGTCTTTCATGGGGGGTTACACAGAGGCTTTTCTGGGCTCGTATAACCAGGCTAAGAGGTTGGGGTCACACTCACGGGTTCCTCCAACCGGTCCAAGGCGTAAACTCTAGCACCGGCTTCCAAAAGAGCTTCGGCCTGGGTCAGACCAAGACCGCGGGCTGCTCCCGAGACACAAACGACCTTTCCAGCCAGGCTGAACTCGGGCATTCTAGTCTTGGATCCAAGGCAAGGACCGTCCTGTACGGCGACAGGGGCGGGAGCAAAGTCACTGGTCTCAATAGAAACAGACATTATGATATGGGAAGTATATGACCAAAGAACTTGGTAGATAGAGAAGATAAGGAAGAAGTAGAGGGTTCAGAAAGAGCAGAAGATCCGACGTGGTTCAATTCACCAGAGATATCTGAGTCAAGATGAATGAATGCTTTGATGAGAGATTCAATTGATGATAGCAACGAGACCAATCCCTCGGACGAGGAGGGTTCTTAAATATTTGAACATGGAATATGGAGAGGCGTTCCCCCAAGGGCCAGGTGGTACTAGCTCTCCGGGGAAAAGGTCATGAGGACTCATGGAAACAGAAACGAACCCAACTAGGGCCGCCGCCCAAGAAAGGACCACTGCGAGGGCGGATTCGGTCTGGACCCAGCGAGTGCTGGCCTCTGCTCGTGGCAACAGGGAGGAAATGGGTGGATGGAATTCGACCCTACCACGGTCTTTGCACTGCCATCACTACTAGGTATCTATTCATAGATTCATGGACTGGCAGTCTTTTACCTAGTTTTCCCTGTCATGGCCATTCTGGACAGTTCTTCTGGCGAGATTCGACGTAATCCATAACGAATACCAGGATGACAAGAACTGCTCTGATCAAAAGTACGATGGAAGGGAATCCCATTTGCACTCGCGGTGACGGTGATGAAAGAATGACTGCCGGTTGAGCTCATTACTGGGCGATACCCTCCGCCTTCCAGAGACTGAGGATGCCAAAATTACCAGGCAAAATCAGGGCAGGCGTGGCCGCAGTGGACGGTCCGGTGGCAGATGCCCGGCTTGCCCGATTCGGCAATCCGGGGGACGGGGGCAAATCCGGGCTCGGCGCGCGGAGGACGCTAAGAGCGGATATGCGGATGCTGCAGGTCACGGGGGTCTCCGCCCAGGCGGTTCTGGAAGGGCATTTCATGCCGGTCGAAGATTCGATGGCAAGCCCTTCATGATCACGGGGCCCCTCGGAGATCCATCCGGCCAATCCGTCGTCGGTCTATTGGATATGACCCCGGTAGGACGACCGCTAGGGGGGGGAAGGGCGGTGTCATGGCCCTTCCTCTTACCAATCACCGACTGTCTGGACTCTGGATTTTCAATTCGTTCCTGTGCTAAAACCATCCCGGTAAGCTTATCATTTGCCCTTGGCTTCATTGGCCAATTCCATTCCGGTTCGGCGGGTTTTTTTTTTTTTTTTTTTTTTTTTTTTTTCAAGTGTGGCTGGGTTTCCTGCGCTGTCCGTATCGATCGTTCGAGAACCGGGGACTACTATATATCCGGCGTGTTTTTGAATTGCTTAACAGTGTTTGTATGTCGATTAGAGATTGGGGAAAGTAGAGTAGCCCGTTGAAGATTACTATGACCGGAAATCGCCCAGATGTCTTACTGCTAGTAAGCATGGCCTAAATATAGATCTGAAGTATAGACACAGTTCGGAGCATCAAAAACAACCGCGGAACCATGGATGCTGGATGGCAAGCTCAGTCAGCACATGTATCAGGCGTTCCACCCCAACAAGAGCAACGCTGTACAACTTGCTGTACAACTAACACCGGTAGTATGTATCTGTTGGATCCCGCCATGTTTGGGCAAATCCAGGGGTACGTTTATCTGATCGACATTCCGGGGCCGATCCGCAAGAGTACCGTGTGACCTTCAGAATTTTTTGGACATTGAAAAAGTGGCGTCCTCGATCCGGGGGCATGGAACCACAAAATCGATGAAGTGTCATGGAAAGCTACTTACCCGATTGGGAACTTCCGGGGAGCTCGGCCCCGGTTTTTCTCTCCCACGACACCCTGGCGTCCCTCCTGCCGTCTTACCTTTTTCACTGTCGCGCGGAAGCCAGATGAATATCCGTTATCAAGAGATGCACTAGCCAGGGACAACTGGTACTGGGAATTGTCCAACGAGGATTACTCCTACTCCCTCCGGCCCACACAACAGCTGTTGACTGTAATCTGAATGGCCAGATTCAGCGGTTTTGTTGTCTTCAGGTCGGGAAAACTAAATTAAACTGCCGCGGGGAATTCCCGAGTTCGAGTGGAAGATTCTGATGTGTTCTAGACCCCGCACTTCAAGAATCAGCTGTTTCCCTGATTCTAATGTCTGCGGTAGCTCGTTCCGGCGTTCTCTGAGAGCATTCGACGACCTACGGAGTACACAGTTCATAGTTAGACTGCCTTGCCTAACAGCCCCTATGATGTGTCCTTAACTAATGATACACCCTTTGTTTGAGTAGATTCAAAACTCAGCCCCTGAACCGAATGGAGACATGCTGGGTTCTCAAGGTCACCTGGACAAAAGGCAGCCGCCACAGAGCACGGACTCGCAGAACGGGACCTGCCCGCAATATTGAACTGCAAATGGGGTAGGCTTGGTACCCTTGTATAGTCGCTCGGTACGGTGTGCAGTACCTGACGATCGGAGATATGCCGACCTCACCAAGTCGGAAATATGCACGTGGAAACTTCTAGCATTTCTATCCATAGCACCTTAAAATAAATCGCCCAATACGGTCTTCAAACTTACAAAACACTCATTTTGCTTAGCAGTAGGCTGAACTTTAAGAGAATAATTAATGCGTTGGCGTCATTCTTCCAGTAAGTCAAACCACTCTGGTATCTCTTTGATTAGAGAATACATATATTTCTCCAGTTTGACCGCGCACTTGGCATATGGCGTTGTTGCATCATTATACTTCCGACAATTGCTAAAGATCAACTTGAGATCATTGACAAGGTCTTTCGGGGCAGAATAGGAATCATTCTCCAATTTTTGTTCCATGGTGGACAAGTCCATTGGAGATTCAATGAATTTGTAATAATCCGGGACCTCGTCTTTGTCAACTGGAGAGAGGAAGGGCCATGCTTGTTTGTGGGCTTGAATTTGGCTGAGAAAGCGTCGAAGTTCGTTAAAATGAGGCCCATGGCGTGGTTCCCGTGCTAGCTTGTCCATGTCCGGAGACCATCCAGTAGCTCGAATGGCAGGAATAGAGAGTGGATCAATCAGAGTGATGACGCCTTTAGCCCATTGCTGAGGCGGCGGATGTATGATGTGATTTCTGCTCAAGGGGCGCAGTTTAGCTAGAACAGTTTCCTTCTGCTTCAGAAGCATACGACCAACTTCGAGATACCGCATTCGGGGAACCATAGAGCATTGCATGAGTGTGCCGCCTTCATAATCCTTGATATAGCCCATCCAGATGGACCTGTCAAGCGTAATCTCTTTGGTAAACCCTTGTTTTTGGAAATACCCCGTAGCGTAGTTATCCGCGTAAGTCAGAAAATGCATCACGGGGGATGTGGCTTTGACATAGTCCTTTAAGTGAGCCATAAGATGCGCTCCGTATCCCTTCACCTGCTGGTCCGATGAGACCGCACAGAACACGATTTCAGCGAACTTGCGGTGTCGGACTTCTCGAAATGTAATTCCGCCAATAACTTCTAGCGGCGTTTTTACGATGGCCAAAGACAAGTGAGTACGATCATAGACGAGACGGGAGATGTAATCTTTGGGCATCTTCGGTAGCTGCTTCTGGAACAGGTTTTTGAGACCTGTCAGGATAACTGTACTCTCTGTAGAGCCATCATTATTAACAGTCCAGAATTCTATCTCGCCGTTCCGTTCTTCTACAACTGCAGGCTTTAAAAGAGTCAGAGGGCTTCAAGTCATTTCAAGGACTGAGCATACTTTCTCTGGAAAGGGAACAATTCGGGTTATCGCGGGAGGTTTTATGGTCGGCGGTGTCTCCCCGTCGTGAAAACTTTTGGTTCTTTTGGCATTGGGGGCAGCATTCGGCTCTTCAGGGGTCGTGCGCTTCGAAACGAGGGGGCTTTGTCCGCTATCGACTGGAAACGATTGCGACTCTTCTTCGTCCATCTGCGTTGGAAATGCCAACGAACCTGGGCGCCCGAAATGGATATATAAGCTTGCGCAGCAGTCCTCAGACTCTCTAAAATTATTGCTAGCTTTTCCTTTGAATAAAGGGAATGATGAGTGACTTGTTAGATGTTTCCTGTAATGCCAACCCCCTTTCTTTCAGACAGGTCGTCCACCCCACGCTAGTCCCGATTATAGGGTCATGTGACAGCAACTTTTACGAGCATCAGTAGCCATTATTTCCCATGCTCCCTCGTATGGATATTTGCTGCTACCATTGCTATTCATATAGAGCGTGGTTCACAATCCGACGCTTCCCCAGGGCCTAAATTCCCCACGAATTCGGGAGAAATGCCTGGCAACCAAGTTCGAGATGGTTTGGCGGCGCTGCAAAAGGTCATGAGGTACCATCGCATGTCAACATAAGATCTCGGTGAATCATTCTGAGACTTAAGAGGCCAGAGATAGTACCAAGCGTATGCAAGCGCATCGTCCTCCGAGTGATTATCTGCTGGGCAACCGCAGGGACGTGATGGCCACGTCAGCTATATCTATGGCGACCTTGGAATTCGGATGGTCTGTGACCGAGATGGCGCTAGTCAGTGCTAGGGACTGGACCGGGAACTGGGAACCAACGGTCTCCGCAAGACGCTCTGGATGCAGCACTCCATACGGAGGACATGGAGAGCAGCCGTTAGCAGGAACAGGGAGATACGCAAGGGAGTGGATCAAACTCTGCTGGTCACACGATCGGGATTGGGCCCATTGCAGTTTAGGCGGTTTAGCCCTGAAGCTCAATGCAAATCTGGAGTCTGGACTGATCTGGCCGCACAGACCAGCGGGTCTGGAACCGGGGAACCGGGGTATTTGCTCTCTATAGAATTGTTTATCTGAGACCGCAGTTCCAAGGTGTCTGCCCTAGGTCGGGTGCATTTTCCACATCCCTCAAGACGTGTTGCCAATTACGTAAAAGTCTCTGACTGCTCCGAAGTGGCTTGTCAGGCCTCAGTAAGCAATATTTCCATAGAGTCAGAAGAAGAGGGGTTGGAAAGAGTGTTCCATGCGCCTGAACTATTACTGCGGACTCACAAGACCCCGCTGCCTGATTTCGCTCTCCCGCTTCACTTCTAGATCATTATTCTACCTACCTTGGTAGCTGTCACGATCAGAGAGCCACTTGAGTCTAATTTCTTGATAGGTTTGTGCACTAGCACAGCATTCCAGATGATTTGGGTATACCTTTCAATTTCTATTTCCCCTTATAAATCCGAAAGTTCTCCGTGGAATTATTGTTCGTCGCCGAGTCACTTCAAGGTGATATCTTAATGTGAATCACTACATCCACTTACGACCAAATTCCAATAAAGACGGTATGAAATTACCTTGATATTCTAAAGTCTTTAACCTCCTAATCAATGGACGGTTTCAAATTGTGACAATGGGCACTGAGGCCCGGATACACCCAATCCTACTGAGATTCGGTGCCAACAACTCTCCCGCTTGAGAGTCTATCCAAGCTGTTGAAACTGTGTTGACTGTGTGCTATGCTAGATAGCATTTCCCCTTCTCATAAGACTTACTGAACATAAGCCTTGATGATCAGTGTGAATACTTTCGGCGCCTTGACCTGCACGTGGCCGTAATTGACTGATATAATCTGAATTTTAATCAATTTAACTCGCAATTTTAGTTTGATTGTTATCAGGACTAACGGTAGGTTACGATAAATCCATGCCATAATACCTATCGATGAGGGTTTCCCGGATTCTACGATATAAATGTAGATCTATCTTATTGAGCATCCATTGGACAAGAACCAAACAGAAAGATAAGACAAACCACAGGTTGAAAGGAAAAAGAAAGGAAAAAGAAAGGAAACAGAGACAGAGAGGGAGAAACTTTTAGTACCCATGGTTGTGAGTTGGAAGAGTAAGCGCATTGAGCACAGCGGTGGTTAGCATCAGTTCCTATTCTTTAGTTTTCCCGCACGTCTCTGATCACCCATAAAAAGCTACCTTCAGTCTTCAACCTCTTCGCTCACCATCTCAAATCCTTCGAGATGATTCCTTGGCTGAGCAGCATTTTAGGCCCCATCACGGCTGATCGACGCGATCATACGGCCGGTCCGCTCGTGTTCTGCTGACAGCCTGGCAAATTCAGCCTCCAAGGCTGCCATTTAAACCAGGATCGACCCTGCGCCGTTGCATAGTCCTACTACCCTCAATCGACTGTCGGTCATAACCTGCATCTTTTACATTCACAACCCAGTCAGGACTCAGAACGATGGCTGCTGAATTCCTTCCCGCACAAGCGCCCGCAGGCGTCCAATGCCACCAAATCGATTTCACAGCAACCGACCCACCTTTGCCCAAATACAAGGATCACTTTGCGGCTGTGATAGACAACATCCTGACGCCGGCAGAATGCGAGGAGCTCATCCGCCAAGCAGAAGCTTCCACTGTCACCCCCACTTCCACTACCCCGACCTGGGAGCGGGCCATGATCAACATCGGCAATGGACAACAGGCCCTAGCGACTGACACGCGGAATTGCGGGCGCATCATCTGGGACTCGCCAGAGCTGGCCCAGAAACTCCTGGATCGGCTGATGCCCTTTCTACGGGACTTTGGCCTCGACCGCATCGACAACCAAGTAGGCAACCAACTACTCGTGACGGGACTGGTCGGCCGCGGCAAAGTCTATCATCTCACACGACTGAATGAGCGACTTCGCTTTCTGAAATACGAAGGAGGCGAATATTTCCGACCGCATTGGGACGCTTTCTACCGGACTCCCGATCGCCAGGAGCAGTCCTTTTACACGATCCACCTATATCTGAACGGGGATGGGGAGCAGGATGTGCAGGAGTTGGCACGCCAACACGAGCGCGTGTTAAACGGCGGCGATGTGAACCTCAACGTAAGTGGCGAGCTTCTAGGGGGTGCCACCTCGTTTATTCCCCGGTATGAGGATCAGGAGACCCAGGTTCGCGTGTTTCCCAAGACTGGATCCATGCTGGTATTCCAGCAGAATGGCCTCCTTCACGGGGGAGACCCGGTATTCCGAGGTACAAAATATACGGTGCGCACGGATATGATGTATCGGGTGCAGTGATTTCTTGCCATCAAAGTGCATAATGACGATATAGGAGTACTCGGAGCAAGAAAAGCTACTCCGACGGCGGCGCAGGTGCTCCTATTCCAGGCTTGTGGATTCCAGGATGAATTCTCTCGAACTCCGAAGTTCTTCCGTGGGGGTTGGATACCTTCGTGAGACACGGTTATGTGATTTGCTCATGGCGAACGCTATATAAATTGGAGGACGATTAGAACAAAAACCGAGCACCGCAATTTCCACTCTGAAATCCGTATGGCCTAGGTCTCGAGCAGATCTAGATACAGCATAAACGAGCACATCAAGTCCATGAAACACAGTAATATTTTGGGATATTTATATGCAATGCAATGAATGAAACGCTGGCATGCTGGCGAGGGCCTGACTCAGCGATCCACCCTCAGGCCCCTCAGGCATCGAGGGCTCGTATTCGCTCTTTCGGCCTCTCACGAACCGGATTTGATTCTCTTCATTTCCCATCGACCCACTTGGACTCGCCCTTACTTTCGATATGCAATCGCCAATCATGCATTTCGCTTGCTGGTAAAGGCCCCGATATCATGACTGTGTGCTTTTTTTGGCCCGATTGCTTTGCTAATTCTAAAATGATCAGGGGTAAGGATGCTCGGCTAATGCCCGCGACGAGACATTCTCTTTCGGCCCTAGAACGTTTGCGGGTTCTAAATCGGTCGAGTCCACCAGAATGTGGCTAAACGAAGCTCCAATCGGTGGCTTATGTCGCTCACGATCTTCCATCGGCGGAAAAGCCGGATCCCAGCCAGAGCTTGACATCATGGATCTGAACGTGTGCCTAATGGCCCCCAATGACCATGGTTCCCTCGGGTCAGCTCGAGAAATGCCCCAATAACGATCCGCGGTGCTGCAGAAACCAATTTCTTAGTTGCGCTTCAAGCCTCCGTTGGTGCTTGGCCAAGCTTTCCGGGCCTCCCTTTAACAGACTGCGCCCCCCTGGCGAAGGGCGACCGCCGGAATTTTGGTCTCAGAGTGTTGGGTAATTTTAAAAAACTCCCTCTCGCTCACCCTTGCCTCGGGGCTTATTTCTTTTTGCTCTCACGCTCTATCTGCGCGAGTAGCTAAGCTCCAATAACGCTCTTCGACATGAAGCCCTTCGCAGCTGTGTTCGCTCTGGCTGGGCTGCTGTCCGGTAAGTTAGCCGACTTTTGTCTCTCCCATCCCTTCCCCCTCAATTATTGCATGAATTCAACTTTCTGACAATTGCGGGGTCGCTTTTTGATAGGCGTGACTGCTGCCCCTGAAAATATCTATGGAGAGGAATTGATAGCGCGGGCGCTGCCCAATGCACCGGCTGGATATAAGCCTACCGCCGTCAGCTGCCCGTCCAGTCGTCCGACGATACGCAGCGCAGCAAAATTGTCGCCGGACGAGTCGGATTGGCTTAAGAATCGACGAGACAAGACGAAATCGGCCCTGAAAGACTTTTTCGGCCATGTCACCATCAAGGATTTCGACGCCGCAGGATACATCGACCGTGTCTCGAAGAATACCTCCAACCTCCCGAATATCGGTATCGCAGTGTCTGGTGGTGGTTATCGCGCTCTTATGAACGGTGCCGGTGCGATCAAGGCCTTCGATAGCCGTACGGACAACTCGACGAGCAGTGGTCAATTGGGTGGATTGTTGCAATCCGCAACTTATGTCGCCGGTCTGAGCGGTGGTGCGTGGCTGATGGGCTCTATCTTCATCAACAACTTCACTACCATTTCCGACCTGCAGACGCACGAAAAGGGTAGTGTCTGGCAATTCCAGAACTCCATCTTTGAGGGCCCCGACGGTGGAAGCATCCAGATCTTGGATTCTGCGAGTTACTACAAGGATATTCACGATGCGGTTTCTGAGAAGAAGGATGCGGGATTCAACGCATCCATCACGGATTACTGGTATGTTTTGCGATTCCTTCGGAATCAAACAAAACTAATGCGTTTACTTCAGGGGCCGTGCGCTGTCCTATCAGCTTATCAACGCTACCAACGGTGGTCCCAGCTACACCTGGTCGTCCATTGCTGAGACCGAGGCATTTAAGAACGCAGACATGCCGATGCCCTTGGTTATTGCCGATGGTCGTAACCCAGGTGAACTTGTGGTGAGCAGCAATGCTACGGTGTATGAATTCACCCCGTGGGAGTTTGGTACTTTCGACCCTACTGTGTTCGGATTTGCGCCCCTTGAATATCTCGGCTCCTCGTTCGATGGTGGTTCTCTCCCCAAGGATGAGAAGTGTATCCGGGGATTTGACAATGCCGGGTTTGTCATGGGCTCTTCGTCCACCCTGTTCAACCAGTTCTTCTTGCAGGTCAATTCGACCTCTCTTCCCGATTTCCTCAAGTCGGCCTTTTCCGATGTTCTGGGGGCGATCGGTGAGGATGGCGAGGACATTGCGCTGTATACACCCAACCCGTTCTATCACTGGTCCAACAAGACATCTCCTGTCGCGAGCCAGAAGGAACTCGACATCGTGGATGGTGGTGAGGATCTTCAGAACATCCCTGTCCATCCTCTTATTCAGCCCGAGAGACATGTGGATGTCATCTTCGCCGTCGACTCTTCGGCCGATACCGACTACAGCTGGCCCAACGGTACTGCTCTTGTCGCTACCTACGAGCGCAGTCTTAACTCCAGCGGCATTGCCAACGGTACTGCATTCCCTGCAGTTCCCGGCCAGGATACCTTCGTCAACAACGGACTCAACACGCGCCCGACCTTCTTCGGCTGCAACAGCACCAACGCTACCGGCACCGGTCCCGCTCCCCTGATCGTGTATCTCCCCAACTACCCCTACGTGTCGTACTCCAACATGACGACCTTCGACCCTAGCTACGAGGAAGAGGAGCGTGACAAGACCATCCTCAACGGATACCACGTCGCGACCATGGCCAACAGCACCCGGGACGGTAACTGGTCTACCTGTGTGGGTTGCGCGATCCTCAGCCGATCGCTCGAGCGCACCAACACCAAGGTGCCGGATATCTGCAATGAGTGCTTTGATCGGTACTGCTGGGACGGCAGCATCAACGCTACCAAGCCTGCCGACTACGAACCTGCCGCCTTGCTGGGCGCCGGTACTGCTCTCAGTCCAGCCCTGTTCACTAGCATGTTCGCGGCCGGTCTGACTCTCTTTGCTCTGCTCTAAGGCTAGGCTTTTGGCAAGCTTTGTACATTGCTTTTATATCTATTGTTGTAAATTTGGATTTTTGTTGGAGCTCTGTTTGGTCTTCGCACATACCACGACTCCCTCTTTTTTGGATATCTTTTTTGGATATCAATATACCAGTACATAGTCATGGGTTAATACCAGGTGAATTTGGATAAGTCAAACAAATCGAATGGTTCATTTCAGGTTCAATAGACGCTGTTATTGTTAATTGTATAATGCAGCCTGCAAGTATATTTACTCCTGTATTAATATTCACAATCAAAACAGTACTATATATATACAACGCAGAACAAACAACATTGCCACGCAATATTATTGCTTGAGTATTCTAGAGTTGTGGGACCAAAGTAATTACGGAACAGAACAAACATGAAATAGGAGATGAATATTTCCATGTGAGCAGTATTCCCACCCAGCACAATGTTGCTTGAAAATGCCAAAACATGAGCGTTATGCAATGTTTGTGCACATGACCCAATCTGGCCTAGCGTCGCTGCCTGAGAGCCGGGCGATCCCCGTGACCAGGGCGGGGCCGCCATCACCCCAGTAACCGCCAGCTGGACGCCAAACAAGAAACAAGACCCAACGCCATCCAATAAACCCAAGCAATCCACAACCTCTGTGGCCTGGAATTATTATCTAACCTTGCATATACGACTTGCTTCGACTCGACCGGCCCTACCAGGAACTGTCATTGTTAACTGCACTGTCGGCGCAGGCTCACAATGACCATTGCGCCCTCTCGATACTAACCCACCTCCCTTTTCCTTCCCTTCCGACCGCACCACACAACAGCGGCACGGGAAGCAGACGACACTCCTAGCTTCTCGCGATACGAGAACGAACAGAATACCCGGACAATTAGACAGCAAGCTTACAGTCCACTATGGCTCGAGCAGCTGTCATCCCGAAGTCGTCGCCCCCTAAACGGGCCACGCGCACCACCGCGAAACGAGCGGCGACTACATCAACGACGACAACGACCACTAAGACTACCAAGACCGCTACTAAGCCGGCAACACGAACGACGACAAAGGGAAAGGCACCAACGTCGGCTACCGAAGCCAGGAAACGGGGCGTGCGCACCGCAGCGGCGGCGAGTAAACAGGCCGACGATAGCTCGGACGATGGAACCGATGACGAACTTGGAGATATTGATACCAAGCAGAAGAGCTCTACGTCGAGAGCTAAGGCGAAGCCGTCTGCTGCTACCGCTGGTCGCGGTAGACGGACGGCTGCGTCTGCCACGCCGGAGGTTGAGAGTGACGAGGACGAGGATGAGCTTGCCCAGACTGAAGCGCCGAAAAAGCGCGCGGGGAGGCCAAAGACAAAGCCAGTAGAGGCCACTGAGAAGACCTCGACTGCTCCTAAGACGAGGGGTAGGCCTAAGGGCAGCAGCAATACCAAGACTAGCACCTCTTCGTCGACTGCTGGGAAAGAAAACACACAGCGGAAGACGCGGACGCAGGCGAGTGTCGAGCCCGAGCCTGAAATCGAGCAGGCCCCGAAAGAAATATATATCGCGACAAACTCTACAAGCATGCGATCGAACATCCTGCGTGGGCCAGCCAAAAAGAAGAAGGTCACGTTCCGCGACCCCGATTCGGACGAAGACATGAGTGAACCCATACCTCCCCCGGCTGGACGGAGAAGAGCCGCTACACCTGCGAAGAAGGCTGGGCTCGGAGCCAAGCCTGTTCGCAGCTCTCCTGCTGCCTCCGGTCGGGGCCGTAAACCGGCAGCTGCGAAGAAGGACGCCTCGAAGCCTCTTTCACCGAAGAAGGCAACGCAAGTCGCCAAGTCTATCTCGTCATACGTCAGCTCGGATGGTGAAGACGACGAGCTGAATGTTATCAAAAGCCCGGTCAGAATTACTGTCGACTCTCCCACCAAACACGGATCAACAAATACTGGATTAAGCTCCCCGGTAAAACGAATCAACTTTGCGCCCACTTCGCCTCACAAAAAGGTCGACGAAAACGGAGAGCCCACCGCCCACTTCCCCATGCCGATGGATTTCAGCGAGTCGCTTTTCATGTCCAGCCCTGCTCGCCGCCCTACCCCGTCGCCCTTCAATTTCACGATGAGGGAAACCCCTAGACGTGGTGGATTCACCCTTCGGGAGGATATGAAGCCTTTGAGTCAGCCAGACCAGACGCCAACTAAGAGCTCGCCCTTAAAAGCATCTCCTAAAAAGGCCAAATTGGAGACCCCAAGGCGTGGTAATCTGGGCTTCCTCGACGAGAGCAAACCGCTCGCCCAGCCGAACTTCACCCCAGGACACAACTCTCCACTCAAATCTTCGCCTAAGAAGGGTCTTTTCAGTATTTCGCTTCCCTCACAGCCTGCTCCCCCTGTATCATCGACGCCATTGAAATCTGCGAGTCTACTACACAGTCCTGCAAAGAAAATCGCATCTCCGTTCAAGAGCTCTTTGATGAGGCGGTCTCCCTTGGTTGAAGATCATCCGTCAGAGACTGAAGACCATGAAGAAAGCTACACACCAACTCAAAGCCCTCCAAAGCCTATCAACTTTGATGATTTGGAAGACGACATGGAGACGGAGGATGATGCCGAGCAGCCCGATGCTCCTACTTTTGAAGAAGTCGCAGATGACTTCCCCACTGAGAATGAATCGCACATCGAACAAAAGACAGACAGCTACGCCCACCAAACCGAGGATCCTGAAACCTCTGACGATGAGCTTGCAGAGGAGCCTCAAGAATACACTTCCAAGGACATGGATGATCATTACGCAGCAGCTGAAGATGGCGTTCCTGAGGACCCTATGGATCCATTGGAACTTCAGGTGGAAGAGGTTGATAGCGAGCAACCTAAGGAGCTGGCCGAGAATGATTTCGAAGAGGACAAGGTGGACTTTGAGGACGATGGCGAAAACCCCGAATATGATGAAGAAAATGCCGAATCTCCTGACGATCATGTTGAAGAACTTACCCAACCAAACTTCGAATACCATGACGATGAGAAGGAGAGCCCTGTCAACGACAGAGTTGAGAACATCGATGACGAGGATGCCCACAACTTGGAAGAACAAATGCATGACGCAGAGGAGAACGACGACCCCGTTTCTGTCCTAGACCATGATCAAACTGACCGTCGTGCGGAGTCAGAGGAAGTTCAAGAAGAGCCAATGGAAAACGAGCCCGAGCAATCTACAATCAGAGAGGAGCCTGCTTCTGCCCGTCGACACAGCCTTATTGAAGGACTTGAAGATGTCTTTGTCGACGCCCCGCTTGCTACCAACAATATGAATGATGAACCCGAATCCATCGGCGGTGATGACATGTCAGAAGCTGATGGCGAGGAGCATAATATGGTTGGGTCCAACAACCAGTACGATGAAGAATACTACGACATTGGCGATGACTATGCGTTCGATGACGACGAGGAGACAATCGTGGCCTTCGAAATGACTGGTCAGCAAGAGATGTTTGATGCGCCAGCCATTGCGAATGAACAACCCCAGGATAACGCTCCTCAAGAAGTCGAAATTCAACGCTCACCCAGCCCAGTTGAATCGACGGGACAGGAAATGGTTCAAGCGCTAGTCAGTCATGAGGATGGAGTGCAGGAAAGCGCTTCTCATGAAGTCGAAAGCAACACTCCGCCAGTTCCATCCCCACGTAATGTGGAGAACTACAGGGATAATGAGAAGGATGAAACGGATTCAAACACAGATGACATGTCTGATTCCGAGCCTGCTGCTGAGGGAAGCATCCAAGCCAACAAGGATGCTAGCCCTCAAGTACAAACCCAGTCTGAGCACCAGTCTCCTGCTCCGGCTACTGAAGCCCATCGTGGTAACCGCCCACGGTTCACGCTACTGGCAGATCAGCTCAGTGGTTGGAAGGCCAGCAGCCCCGAAAAGCCTCAAGCGAGGCGGTCAAAGAGGAAGGGTGTTTTCTCTCTTGGTGGTGGCCTGAGAAGATCTAGCGGTGTTTCTCGTACTTCCCGTCTCTCTGGGCAGGTGTCATATCCTGAAATCCCCGCTCAGGAAGACAACGAAGCCCCAGGATTGTCTGATCAAGAGCAAATCCTCGACGCTCAGGAAGTTGCCACTCATGACGCTACGATGCACGAGCCTGAAGCAATCCAAGAGAATGCCCAGGAGACTCAGCCATCCATTGAGCAGCCCAACTTTGAGATCTTCAGTGACCCGGACCCTGAAGTGATTCAGACCGAGTCGGCTGAGCAAAAGGATTCTTACAACGCAGTCCCAGGCTCTTCAAATGAGGATCAAGGTTCAGCCAAGCCTGCATCTCCGGCTCAAGAGGCTTCATTTGAGGAGGATGACGACAAGGAGAACGATGATATCCCTCTTCCTGGACCAGTGACTCCGGTGAAGAACAAGAGCAACCAAATGCAGACATTCCATACGGTGTCAAAGGTGCCACTGAAGGGAGAAGGAGAGATCTCTCCCCTGAAACCATCTCGCAAACGAGGCTTGTCGTTATCGGGTACCTCGCCTACTCGGTCCTCTTCCAGAATCCGCAAGTCTTTGGGTCCCCTAGAGCCGGCTTCCTTGCGCCCACCTCGCAAACTTCCTCGTCTTGAGCAGGACTCAATCCCTAAGCTGCAACCGAATATGTCCCGAAGAAGGAGCTCCATAGCCCAACAGCCTAGAAGTGACAAGAAACCCTCGCGTCCTTCTAGCCCGACGAAGGGTCCCCGAAAGAGTCTGAATGCAGCCAGCCTGGTCTTGCGGGGGACCGTCGTTTTTGTTGATGTTCATACCACGGAAGGAGAGGATGCCAGCGGTATCTTCATCGAGCTTCTGCAGCAAATGGGGGCTCGATGCGTGAAAAACTGGTCCTGGAACCCTCGCGCCAGCGTTTCACCGGACGAGGACCCTCAAACCAAGGAAGCCAGAGTGGGTATAACCCACGTCGTCTACAAAGATGGAGGCGTGCGAACTCTCGAGAAGGTCAGACACGCCAGAGGCCTGGTGAAGTGCGTTGGAGTCGGTTGGGTTCTTGAGTAAGCATCACCCCCTCGCCCAGTGATTTGAATCTCAGTACTAATTCAGTTTTTAGCTGCGAGCGAGAAGGCAAATGGCTCGACGAAGCCCACTACGCAGTTGACAGCTCCATCATCCCCCGCGGCGGAGCCAAGCGCAGAAAGAGCATGGAGCCCCGAGCCCTCAGCAACGTCAACGGCACCCTCGTCACCAGCACCGCCGCGCGGTCCGGCGCAGACGTCGAAGAGTTCAAGCGCCACACCCCCACCCCTCCTCTCGAAGAGCCGTCCACCCCTACCAACACCCGACAGTACGACGCGGACATCAACGAGCGCTACTTCCAAACCCCCAAGACGCCGGGCTACGGCTTCAACATCGACGCCATCGGCATGTCCCCCGCTACTCCCTACTACCTTTCTCAGCGGAACAAGCTCGTGCAGCAAACCTGCCCTCCGAAACAGCTTCAGCAGGGTCTCTTCTCGAAAGCGGGCCCCTCGGAGGAGCCGTCGCAGAAGCTAAGAACGAAGCTTGAAGCCGCTCGCAGGAAGAGCTTGGCTTATAAGCCGAGGGTTGGGAGTCCTTTGATTGAGTGATCAATCTATCAATCAAGACTAAATAAAACGAAAAGAAATAAATGTACAGTTGGCTTGAGGATCGGTGTTGAGGTTGCTTGTCTTTTTTATTTTTCAAGTTTTGGGATCTCTTTTTGTGATGTGTTTCTATGTGTTGGTTTTGTTTTGATCAGATACATACCCCTTTGCAGAATGATTTTTTCTTTTCTTCTTCTTCTTACTTGCTTATAATTATGTTATTCATAAACTGTTGATTTTGAATTTGGTTCAGTGAACTAACTGTATTTATTATCAGTTTCATTATTTCATCAATTAAAAACCAATGTATTGAAAAATGATTTCAAATTGAATTTTCTAATATCCGCCATCTTTCCTTTTTCATCTTTCCCCAAGTCAAGAATAGCAGATAAGGTACGAAGTACTAAGTAACCATCGATCGCTCAAACCAACAAGCAAAGCAGTCAAGAAAGAAGAAAGGGTGAAAAGAAAACTCACGCGTTGATGATGTTGATATCATGTCTTGATTCTCGATCAGTATCAGACCAGACCAGACCAGACCCACCATGTTAAATGTATCCACATCCAACTTTTGTTTAGTATAGGTAAGAAAGAGTAATTGAAGAACATCCCGAAATAGTGTACTTGTAATCGCAAGGTCCAAATCCAAACGTGAAAGGCAAGAAGGCCAGAAGGTCAAAAGATAGATCGATAGATATTGGAATTGGAGAGATAGGTAAGAAGGATTGGTTGGGAAACAGAGAAAGAATGATTAGAGGTATGAGAAGCCGATAACCAAAGTCTCGTATCCCGAACGAGTGACTAAGTCATGCGATTTTAATTGCACCCTAGTGAAGTGAAGTCGAGTAAATAAGGGGAAAGAAAGGAAGGAGGCTAGAGGGGAGAAGCCGATTCATCCTTCTCATCCATATCACGATAGAACCCAGCCACTAGGAACGCCAGCTCAAGCGCCTGCTTCTCGTTCAGTCGCGGATCACAGAACGTCGTGTATCGTTCGCCGAGACCTTCCTCGGTCAGACCGGCGGCGCCGCCGACGCACTCGGTGACCGCCTCACCCGTTAACTCGAGATGCATGCCGCCGAGGAAAGAGCCGGCGGCGCGGTGGATCTCCAGGGCCTGTTTCAGCTCGGACAGGATGTCGCTGAAGTGGCGGGTCTTAACGCCCGAGGGGGTGGACTGCGTGTTGCCGTGCATGGGGTCGCATTGCCAGACGGGGATGTGGCCCGAGGCCTGGACGGCGGCGATGTGCGCAGGCAGGTAGTCGGCGATCTTGGAGGCGCCGTAGCGCGAGATGAGGGTGACTTTGCCTACCTCTCGGGTCGGGTTGACGACGTCGAGGAGGTGGGTCAGGTCGGAGGGGGTCATGCTGGGACCGATTTTGATACCGATGGGGTTGACGATGCCGCGGAAGAATTCGACGTGTGCGCCGTCGAGTTGGCGCGTGCGGTCACCGATCCAGATGAAGTGGGCGGAGGTGGCGTAGTAGGATGCTAGGGGGTTGGAATGCTGTGGGTTGTGGTTGTTATGGTCAGTTGTAGCGGTGGTAGTGCTGGCGGTGGCGGCGGAGGAAGGGTTTTTGAGGAGGCGGGTGAGCGATTGTTCGTATTCAAGAAGAAGACCCTCATGGCTGGTATAGACGTCGACGGTCTCGACACCGCGATCGGTATCGATACCCACGGTTTGCATGAACCGCAGGGCGTCCTTGACGCGGTTCACGATGTGCTCGTACTTCTCTTTAATGGATGGCGTGATAACATGGCCAAGTCCCCAGTCCAGCGGGGAATGAAGATCAGCCAGGCCAGACGATAGAGATGCCCGGAGGTAATTGAGAGTTGCAGCGGAGTGGAAGTAGGCCGACACCAGTCGTGAGGGATCCGGCTTGCGGGATTCAGGCGACGCAGGGAAGCCGTTGATGTTGTCGCCTCGGAACGACGGCATCTCCACGCCATCGATCACCTCCATAGGGCTGGACCGAGGTCTTGTATCATCAGCAAGTGACCAGCCATAATACCAATTCATAGGAAACTCACTTGGCAAATTGACCCGCAATGCGCGCAATACGCACAACAGGCCGATTGGCACCTATTACCAAGTCAACAACCTCCCATCAAACAAACACATAATATATAGCGACACAGAGAGAGGGATAGAGAGAGAACTCACCCCAAATCAAAACCAAACTCATCTGCAACAGCAGCTTAACCTTAGCTTCGATCATATCCTGATTACAATAGTCGAACAGCTCGGCGCAATCTCCTATACCATCATCAAGAGCTCAGACGCAAACCCAGACCGAAGCTAAGAAACACACACGACCCACCTCCTTGGAGCACGAAGGCCTTCCCAAGCGCAACATTGCGAAGACTCTCTTTCAAACTGGTAATCTAGTCACGTAGCACAGTCCAATTAGCCGACTTGGACCTAGCCACCCCCCCAAACAAGAAGCCAAGCCAGCACAGACATACCTCCTGGGTAGTAACCAAGGGCGGCAACTTGCCCAACTTCGTCAAGGCGGATTGCAACCCCTGAGGATCTCCGTAGAGGACGTCCTGCTTAATGGGCTTGGAAGTCCAAGCTAGAGGATAGCGTCGGGAGTTCAGTCAGTCAGGGCGCGCTAGATGGGGAACGTGGCTTTTCCTTTGCGCTCTTTTTGTCCGTTGGAGCCATTGATGTCGGGGCTGGACTCTTTAGAATGATAATGAGTTCACTCACAATTCGGGGTCCAATCGTCCATGGTCATGGTCGTGGCTCTGGTCATCCAGTGGGGATCAAACGTTTATGATCGACAGGCTATCCGCAGTAGATACGTCAAATAAAGTGGGCACTGCGGCGCATCGAATGGCGGGGCAAGAGAGGGAGAGAGATGAAAGACAAAGAAGGGGAAGGAGGCAAACCAGATGATTGGGGGAAGATTAAAGGAACAGTCGAAGTGCCACAAAAATGGAAGAGCTAAAAGAAAACGACACAACACGAGCAGAAAAAGGTCGAGCTGAAGAAAAGCAAAAGCCGGTTATTCGCGGCCTGAGTCATCGCTCGCATTATGTAAGGAGCGGGCCTGGGAGCCTGGCAGCCTGACAGCCTGAAGGTTATCGATAAGAAACGTCATGGCCTGGACTTCTCCATACATTCTTAGGTATTCTTCATCGCATCATCTACGCAAGGGATCCATCCATTCATCCATCTCCATCTCATCCTAACCATCTAACCCAGTCGCTTACTAGAGATCCAATTCGCAACCCAACCAAGAAAGCAAATCAAAGCAAAGCAAAGCAAGCACAGAAAATGTCCGATCCGATCCCCTCCGCGCACCCCGACCCGGACGCCGTAGACCAAAAACTCCCCGCGAACGCCGAAGACCGCAAAGCCGCCGCCGCGCTCTCCTCGCTCAACACCAATGAAATCGCCGCCGACTCCGACTCGGCCGCCAAACCGCCCGCGTCGGCCGACCAGGAGGCACTGGGCAAGGCGATGAGTCGGCTGGAGATCGCCGCGGGGACCGGAGCGGCGGGCAAAGGCGGGGCCGGCGCGGCGCAGAAGAAAGGAAGTGCCGGTGAGGTGGTGAAGAAGCAGGCGGTTAAGGTGGCGGCGGAGGATGTCACGCTTCTGGTAGGTTATGTTGGTTTGGACTGGGGCTGTGGGTGAGGTCGATTGATTGAATGGGTGATTGGCTGACTGGTGACAGGCTGAGGAATTGGAGTTGAACAAGCTCAAGGCAACGGAGCTATTGAAGCTGCATGATGGAGATGCGAAGAAGGCGATCAAGGCATTTGTGACGCCGGCGGTAGCAGCTTGAAGCTGGCTTACTGGCCGATTAAACCCCGTCCATGTGTATAATGGATTGATGAACGTGATGAAATCGTATATTTTGAAATCTATCAATGCAATCAGAAAGCAAAGTGACCAAGGTATCCCTGTCATAAACATGTCTCATAAATCGTCCGATATATTCCCGGTAAATCCAACCACTGTACCACCCTCGGTCATCCACTTGTCTCCGATATCCACCGCTCCGCTCACCGAGTATCTTCCGACTCCTCCGTCCGATCCGCATTCTTCTCGATCCCTCTCCCCTCGTAGATCGACCAAAGCAGCATCCAACCCACCAAAGCTTCCAGGGCCAGAGCCCACCAAATACCGCCGACCATGTTGTATTTCAGCCCAAGTCCCAGACCCCAGCCGCCAATCATCGGTCCTAGAGTACGAGCGCCGCTGGATATACTCTGAGCAACCCCATGGATGGTACCGAGAACCGAGGGGTCCGTGACGCTGTTATTCACGAGAATGATAGCGGCTGGGAGGGCAAAGGTGCGCGAAATAACTTGCAATCCGACCACAATCGTGAACGATGGCCACACTAGCCACGGGTATCGCGGAATCAGCACCAAGAAAGGCATCAGTGCATACGCCAGTGGCGAGAACGGCAGGAAAGTGCGGAAAGAAGTAAGCGTTCCCAGCCGGGATTGAATCTCAGGGTAGACAAATATCTGCAGCGGGAGGCCAATGACTCCAATGATGGCGGTTGCCAGGCCGACTCGAGACGAAGGCAATCCCAATCCCCCGCCGAAATGGAGACCTTCCCTGGTCTTTTCCGGGGCTCGCGGGGTCGGCAGAAACGTGAAGGTCATCGAGTTGAAAGCGCTGGTGTGGAATGCAAGCAGGAAATGCGCCAGGAGTGTAAGTAGCACATTGGGTGTCCAGATCTGACGAAATCCCGGGCGTTTCTGACGAGGCCGGATACGAGATCGAGCCGGGCTGGAAGGCGCCGATCTGCTGGCTATACTTCCATCGATGTACAGTGACTCATCATCGGCGTGGTTGACCAGTGGACGATAATATCGACCACCCCGCCGTCGAGATATCGATTTCGCCAATGTGCGGCCCAGTTTTCGGCCCCAGTCACCTCGATACCGTGCAACTTGATGTGTCTGTTGACAGGAATTAGTATCACATCTCATCTAGGAAAAGGACTCCACTTACTTCATCAAGTCCAAGGAGGACAGCAATCATCGAAACAAAAATGAAGATTGCACTGAGCACATTGGGCAATGCAAACGGCCACCGTTCCATCCACCACACTCCATCTTTACCGCCAAACACGGTCCCAGGACCAAACAGATGCGGATAGCTCTTCAGCGGATCCGCCAACATGCCTCCGAAGATAGGGCCGACAATCACACCGACATTAAAACACATCGGCAACAGCAGGAAAGCTCGAGATTGATACCTAGACAGGAACAGTTTCGTAAGCCAGTCGATCAATATAACGAGTAACCCCAGATCAGAGCAAACATACTTTTTCTCCTGGATAATCTCCGCAATCATAGTCCTCATCACCCCAACATTACTATTCAACACACCCCCCAGCGTCCGAAAGACCGCAGCCACGACAAACGACCTCGAGAACCCGAACCCCAAGCACGACAGACACGTCCCCAGCAGCCCGATCAGAAGCACGCGCTTCCGCCCCATCCACTCCGCATCAGCCAAGCGGCCCCACCAGACGGCGGTCAGGAACTGCGCGGCGGTAAAGCACCCCTGCAGGATCCCCGCCTGCGCGGAGATGGTGGAGTCCGGCAACGAGGGGTCGAATGATTTGAGCTGGTAGAACATGTAGGCCTGCAGCGATGTCTGCGTGAGGGGCTCGGAGAGACGCGCGAAGGTCAGGATCGCCAGTTGGCCCTTCTTAGGCAAGGAGCGCCATGTCACCGGTTTTTCGCTGGCGAGTTCGGAATCCGCGTCGTCGTGGTCGTGGTCGCTGTCGCTGTCGCTGTCTTCGCCGCGGCTAGGAGTGAGATCGGGAGCGGGCGCCAGGAAGCGGGTTTCTGCGGAGTCGCCATCGTAGATGACGGTGTCGATGCTGTCGCTGTCGTCGTCTTTGGGCGGTAGGTTGTGCCTGGCAGTACTCGAGGTGCCTGGAGGAGCGGAGAAGGGCTGAGTTGAGTAATTGCTCTCGTGAGCGCCGGAGTCTACATGCTGGGTAGACTCAGGCCGGAAGTCATTTCGTCCGCTGAATCCCATCAACAAGCAAGTATCGGTGAGTAAAACTGGAGGGGAAAGACAACGAGAATGGGATGAATAGGATCTTTGACGATTGAATGAATCGGTGTTTTGATGAGGCGAAAAAGTTTGGTTCGATCGGGCAAATCGATTTCTCAGTCCGGGGATTCGCCATCGGCACTAAGCCCGTTCGGGCGTTATCTTATCAAGAGTGCATAATTCGAGTTATGAAAACGTGCTTACTCATTTTCAGCTGTAATGCAGGATCTATCCAATCCCACTCGACATCACATTCAAAGCAAATAGTGTACACCATGCAACCAGGCCGCCAAACGCCTTTCCTGGGAAGAAAAAAAAAATCAATGAAAATTGAACGAATGAAGGGGGAGACACAAGAATCCGGTCCTTGCATGAGCTTTGAATGCCACTCGTCCATCAATATCACAAAATCAATCCTATGTAAGAAAGGAAAAGAAAACAAGAGAAGGATGTATAAAAGAATCGCAGAAAGAAAAAACAAGGTATCCATAACTAATTACGACGGCTGTCACCACTCCTGCCAGTCATGTCCATAGTGCTCTCGATGCCTTCCCAGGGAAGCTCTTCATCATCCGAGTCGTACTCCGCTGCAAGATTCTTGGGAGCAGACTTCTCAGTGGTAGCAGTCACGTCAGCCGTTCTCTCCGCGGCGGCGTCAATGCCAATCGATTGCAGGGTCATCTCCATCTCCTGTTCGGTCATTTCTTGTCCATTTTGCTTCTGGCCTTCGAGGACGTCATACAGTGCATAGATCTGGTCGGCCTTCATATCCACATCCTTCAGGAGCTTCTCAATCTTCGCACTCAGCGACTTTCTCTGCCGCTTGCTCAACGATGCATCCAGCTTGTTGTATGCGCCTTGGTAGGTTACCAACTGGATCTTCAGGTGCGCCAGCTCGTCCTCTAGAGCTTTCAGTACCGTGGCAAGAGCCGTGGCGGGCGCTTGGGCCGGACGTAAAGTGGGATCCTCGTTGTAAACAGAGGGCTGGGGCATACGCTCCGATACAGGAATAGGCTTGGGGATCTTCACAGATTCTTCGGTGTGGTCACAGTGATCCCCGGAAATGGTTCGCTTGCAAACGGTGCAGTTCTTCCCGTTATGCTGCGTCGCGTTATCAAGTGCCCGTTGAGCCGGTTCAGGCAGTTGTGCTGGGTTTTCAGCAATAAGATCAGGTCGGCTCAGGGTGATATCGGGAAGAATGAATGCAGAGGTCATGTCCTGCGAAGGCTGTCGTCGTTTCCGGGGCGCCGTCGAATGATCGGAGTGGCGGCGTGGTCGCTCAATCGGCACAGACAAATTGCTGTCTTCCTCGGCCATGCTGACTTTCGATGTCCCCGTCATGTCTCCCATAGCAGATGCTGGTCTCGCGGGGACTTGCTTGGTTTCCTTCAGGGACGACTTTCTCGGTGCGGCTGGCTTCGAAACACTGGCACGAGTAGAATTTTGGGTATCGTTGGGCGCCTCGTCTCTGGATGTATTCGACTGGCGTCGCTTGCGTGCCAGCCGTTCTTCTTCCAACGTCTTGCGTAGCTGAGCGATCTCGCGTTCCTGCACATACAGTAAGCACCAGTCGAATTGAGCCCAGGCATGGATTTTTGACTTACATCAACGAAGCTGAGGAGTGTATCATGCTCAGTTGCAGAAGACTTTCGAGTGTTGTTGGTGATCTCGCCAGTGGATTCCACAGGCTCGGTCACGTCCACTTCCTCCACAACAACCCTCTTAACGCGCTGTTTGCCAGTGTTAGATTGCTTCTTTGTTTGCGACCGCCTGTCGGCCTTCTCGGACTTCGACTTGGACGACTCGCGCAAACGTGGCATGTCAATTGAAAACAGCGCTTCATCTGCGCGCTCCTTTTCGAGACGGGAGATCTCCCGGTCAACCTGAGTGGAAATCTTTGCCCGAGAGTCATCCCGCTTTCCAGTCTTGGATCGAGAGCGGGCGCTCTTAGAAGTCACGTCCTTGGTCCCTTGGGAACCACTCACACTTTTCTGAGTGTCCACTTGGCTGTCATCCGAAGTTGCATCGCTTGCAGCAGTTCGCTCCGATCGGTAGGTATCTTCGCGGTTTTTCGAAGCATGTGAGCTAAGCTTCGCCAGTTGGGCCGAGAGTTCCGCATTTTCCTGTCGGAGATTCTTGTTCTCACTCTTAAGGTCCTGTGATTCAAGGTACGCTACTCCTAGCTGGGAGACAGCCATGTCACGCTCCCGGTTCAGCCTCTTGAGGGCAGTTTCCTGCATCTGGGCCTTCCGCTCAACAAGGTCGAGCTTGTTCTGTAAGGCAATGTTGGCCGCATCGAGTTCTAAGAATAACAGGTTAGCCGACAACCGAGAAAACCAGGCCACGAATGCACTTACTCTGATTCTCATTGATAAGACGGTCCTTGCCGTACTCATCTTCCTCGCTATATCTGCTCCTATCATGCTTGTCTTTACGAGACTTGCCCGATTTCAATGACGTGTTTTCTTGCCTCATTTCCTCAATTCGCCTTTCAGCCTCGGATTTAGACCTTTCGAGCTCCGAAACTTTGTCCTGAAGCAATCTCAAGGACACAAAGAGTGCCTTCTCGTCTTCGGGGATCGGCACGGCGTCGAGGGGGATGTGTTCGCGAGTCAAGGATACATCGGCAGTATCGTGCGGGGGGGAAACGAACCGCGTGGTACGCGCTCTGTTTTGCCGAGTATAAACTGGCGTTCCGTCCTCATAGACACCCGAAACCAACTCGGAAAGGTTAGGAAGATCCGGTAGCAGAAAAGATTGCTGAGTTGCGGTGTCCCCGGCAGCATTCATCGACGCGTGGCGGGAGTTGGAAGCGTATTTCCCCTTGCGCATTTCCCTCGCATAGGCATCCTGCGACGCTCTCTCCACGGCGTCGGCAATCTGGTTGGATCCGAATCGCGTCGAGCGAGCAGTACTCGTCACGGCAGGGGGTCTTTCATCGACCACGAAAGAGCCATCGTACGAGTCCCGGGCCTTAGCATGCATGTCGGAGAGCGTTCGTCGCTGGTCCTTGCGGTTCGACTTGGAGGATTGCGGGTCCACGTTTTCCTTCTGAGCAGCGAGACTAGCGCGTCTCAGCTGGGCATCTTTCCGGAGATTTTCGCTAACGGCACGTCGTGGCGTATTCCGCATCGCCGATTTGGGGGTGTGCGAGGTCGGGTAGTCGAGTCGGACGGCGGGCGAAGAGGACCGCACACTGTTTTCAATGCTCATGTATGAGTTACGCGAGTCATCGAGACGACGCGCCGGCTTCGTCGGACCACGTCCGACTTCCAAGGAGATGTCATCGTCGTCATCGTGGTCATTGTCCTCCTCTGAAGTACCAATCTGTGAGAATTCCGGGAAGTAGCGGTCCAGCATGGAGGAGTTGATCGCGTAGTCGGGTTCTTCTGGGTGAGACTCGTGGTTTTTCCTCGCGTTCGGCTTCATGTCGGGGAGCTGGAGGCTGTCGTCAATTTCCTTGGTGGACGCGAGTGCCTCGTGCTCGGGATCAAAGTCTGAACCAAACGACGCGAAGCTATTCGCCGTGTGGTCGCGCGACATGGCGGGTGTAAACGACGCGACGATTCAGGGGATAATCGATTTATGGTGTATAAGGCTAGGTTCTATTGGCGCCGTCTTTCGCTGGACATCAATAGGAAACAATTCGTGGCAGCCCTGGTTTGGGTGTTGGAAATCAATTAGAGTTGTTTAGATGAAGGCGCGCGTCGGCCACGGTTCCCGAGTCTCAAACGGAGAACAATTGCAGCGGCACCTGAAAAATCTTCAAAATAGTGGCATAAAACCGGAGACTGAAGATAGTATTCTTGAGTAGCAGGACAATGGCATAACCCGCTACTGCTGGATGCGCAAGACGTGGGATGACTGGAAAAACGGGGGTCGATTTGGAAATGAGGAGGTTGGGATTGGGAGTTGTTGGTTTGTTTACTTCCCGGGCGGAGCTGCCGCCGGTGCGACCGCCTTTTGGGGCCAGCAATAACAGTGCCCTTTGCGTGCATTCCGGCGGGAACCACCCACGTCCTTCGTTACTACGTTATTCATTATGCTTGGATTTGCTCTAGCTCACTCATTTCATTCTGTCTCGGGAAATACTATATTCAATAAAGTCTTGATGATAAATAGATAACAGCCTACTCCCGCTTTGTACATTGAAGATAACAAAAGAGGGAAAGGAACTAAAAAACAATTGCTGCCTCCAGAACGCCTTGCTAACAGTAATACTCCTTCAAAACCCAGAAGAACAAGGGAAGGGGACTGGATAAAAAAAAAAAGAAACGAAAAGAAAATCCCACGGATGCTAAGTGATTAAGAGAAAAGAAGTATGCAGGTGTTCAAAGATCGTGAGAATCATGCTCGTTAAACTGAAAGACGCACGCTCTCGAGACAAAAATGTCAAGAATGCAACGATCATAGCATAGCTTCTTCATGCAAGATGGGCATAATGAAGTAAGAATTTACAGTCGGGAGATATGAACCCTCAAGTAGAGTGGGTTTGTTGGTTGGTGGAGGGATTTTCAGGCGGATAGTTCTGGTCAATGGATTGGTGATTTATCGGAGTGGTAGGGGTGTTGTTGACGGGACTGGCGGCGTCAATATGGATGGTCGGCAGGGGTGTCAATTCACGTAATCGAGGAGGCTGCTCCCCGCGGTCGAGGACTGGACTCTCGTAAGGGGGTGCATCCCCCCAGTCCAAGTGCTCGTAGTCCGGAGGCGGAATGCTGAGCCCCCCTACATCTCCATCCTGGGCTGCCGCATGGGTAGAGTGGGCGTGAGATTCGGGTCGAGTCAAGGTGTCGGTTTCCGAGAAGTCGGACTGCATCGACGAGTAAGATTCTCCTCGAGAGTGGACGCTGGTCAGAATTGACCCTGACGATCGATCAGGCCCGTCAGTGTTGATCGAAGCGGCGTTGGACAACAAGGGATGGCGATCTGAATCAGGCGACCTAGCGCGAACACGCGAGCCGTCATGTCGAACCTGGCCCAATTCCGCATAAGAAACACTGGAGATCCTCCGGTCACGACCGCGAGACTGGTGCTCCGCCGCACTCAATGCCGCCGCCAGGTTGGTATTGCTGCCGTTGGCACCGTTGGCACCGTTGGCAGAGGAGCGACTTTCGGCGCGGGCGCGACTCTGAAGACGAAGTTGTTCCAGACGAATATAATCCCCCCGGGCACGGGCATCGCGACGCTCTTGACGCCGGGCCTCACGGTCGGCAATTTCCTGTCGCCGCTGCTGGCGTACCTGGTACAGGGACTCCATCAATTCTTCTCTTCGATTCTCCTCTTCCTCGGCGGTTTCGGGGAATTCCATGACCACATCCATGCCACCGCGCTCTCCTTCTCGGGCAATGATTTGCTCCTCCGGCTTCGGGCTCGACGAATATGCGGGCAGCGTGATCACAGAGCGGACCGAGGTGTCGCGACGGACATTACTGTTGGTGTTCATCTCTGACCCTCCACCAGCAGCGCTGTTTCCTGTCCTGCTCTCCTCATGGGCATTCGACGTCCCACCAGGGACCTGACCATATGCAATCCCAACGGGCCACCGGTTCCATTTGTCCTTCAGGTATTTTCCGGGAATGTATTTCGGGCGACAATTCATTCGACGAAGGGCGCGCAAGGCGAAGTACATCATGAGCATAAAAGCCAACACGAACACAAGACAAGCGGCAACCTATTGGAAAAGAATTGCGTGTCAGCAGTCTGCAATGAAATACAGGGAATCATACCCCGCACGGGAAAGGGGAGGGGAGAAGCTTACAATGATGAAGATATTATTCTTGCCGCCGCCTCCGCCGTCGGTTTTCTTGTCTTTGTCCTCATTCTGACGGGCCAAAAGCCGCCCGGGTTGAGGTGGAAGGAACATTTTCCGTGACGATCGATGATCCCGGGCAAGGCAGGAAAACAGAAGCCCGTGGGTATCTTAATCCGAGACCATGCAGAGAACGAGGCTCGGGACAATCGACCAAAATCAGGGGGGGGACAGAGTGAAGATCAAGTCAGCTGTGCATATACCCCGGAAGAAACGAAAGAAGATCAGCCGGGGGGAGAGAAGAGGAAAGGAGAACGAAAGGCAGCGGATATGACGGATGGGATGAAGTGGACAGAGGCGGAGGGGAGGCTCGGCGATGATCAATCTGACATGAGCTGCCGAAGGAGCCTTAAAGGAGTCGAGCACTGGTGGCGATGTATATATAGCGCGAACGATGGTTGGACGGAATAGGAGGTCGAAGTTGGAGGCTGACAACTTCCATGACCCAGCGAGGGACGATGCAGTTTTATCGGAGGAAGCCAGAGGAAACGAGAGAAAAGACGGGGAAAGGGCCGGGCGATGGAGACGATGATTTCACCGGCAGCGTCAAATCACGATGAATGTCCTCTAGGCACGGCGAAAAGCGGAGTGTTTTGTGGCTGGAAAAGGCTGGGCGGGTGTTGCGTTGCTGTCACGGCTGATCTTAACGATGCCGGCGATGATCTCGAGAAATCAAATCAAAGGACGAAATTGCGCCGGTCCTGAAACCGACTTTCATTCTTAATTCTTTAATTTCTCGTTCGGCGTTTCTGCGGGCCTCCACTTGTGCCATTTTTAGAAGGCGCTTTGCGCTACTCCGAGCGGTATTGCTCCGGCCAGGGAATTAACTAATTATCGCCCTTCATTTGCGATTATTCAGAATTGATTAAGGCGCGGTCCTTCCAATCTCGCGCTCTGGTTCTGCTCGTGGACCTCGACCCTTGGATCCAATGCGAAAGGATTTCAACGACCCTTACGTAGGGATCCGGACTCTGTACTGGTTCAGTGATCACCGTCCAGCGCGGCAAGCCACATCGTATTCCGCGGCTCCCCATAGACCCAGCCACCGGGGTTACCACAGTTCCGCCAGAATATATACTTTCCCCCCGATCTCGACTCTCTCGATTCTCTCAACTGACTCACAGTAGCTGTCTCCCCAGCTTCACAGCATTCTCACTCATTCCTATCATGCACTGCGTAGTACTCCCCACGGAGATAAACGGCGTTAACCCCGAGGTGACGCAGACAGCCCTGTAAACCCCGGCGGCCCAAGTCCTTTAAAATGGCAGACAAAGAAGCGCCCTTGGCGTTGCCTGTCTCGTTCTCCATCGCAGCACTCTCGTTCGAATAAGCGATCACCTCGGCGCCAAATCTCCATCGATCTGCGTGGTGTTCTATTTCTGTCTGCCTGCCGCCATGTCTTGTCCCGACTGCTTCTCCGGCCATATCCATGCGGGCTCGCCGCAGGGAACGGTGACTTTCCTGCATGGGCTGGATGTTTACGTCGCGGAGCCATCTGCCGGGGCGGATGCCGTTCGGGGAATTATTATCATCATCCCCGATGCCTTTGGGTGGGAGTTTGTCAACAATCGCATTCTGGCGGACCGCTACGCCGAGAAGGGCAGGTATAAGGTGTATCTGCCGGAGTTCATGAATGGTGAATGCTCCCCATGCTGTGTTTGGTCATGAGAGGGGGCCAGTCCGACTCATGGTGTCTATCTGTATGCAGGACGTCCCGCGCCCACCTGGCTGATCGGCACGATGCGTTCATTGATGAAAACCGATTCTCTGCTGGCCTGGCTGACCAAACCGTAAGTGGTGGTTCAGCGCCTACCTGTTCCCTGACTGTGGGAAGGGTCTGTCGGGCTAATGGATAATGGTGTAGATACCACCTCGTGTGGGCCGCCTCGGCCTTCCTCCCGTTCATATACTACAACAAGTTCAGCCTGTCGTGGCCGGTGGTGCGGTCGTTTTTCGCCGCGGTGCGCCAGAATGAAGGCGCTGGGCTGCCGATCGCGGCGGCGGGCTTTTGCTGGGGCGGCAAGCATACTGTCAACCTGGCGCATGGGGCCGAGGTGGATGGGAAGCCCTTGATCAATGCCGGGTTCACGGGCCATCCGAGTCTCCTGGAACTGCCCGGAGACATCGAGAAGATCACGATCCCCACCAGTTTCGCCATGGGAGAGCTGGACCGGGTGGTGAAGATGCCGCAGGTCATGCAGATCAAGGATATCGTGGAGACTCGGAACGGCGTGGGCGAAGTGAAGGTCTACTACGGAGCGGGTCACGGGTTCTGCGTGCGAGCGGACACGGCGTTGGACAATGCGGACAAGCAGGCCGTCGAGGCCGAGGATCAGGCGCTGGACTGGTTTAACCGTCACTTTGCGGAAGTCTCGTAGTGGCACGAATCATGTTCATTGGAAGTTTTCAACGCAGCTTTTCTATGAAACCATATCACTTGTCACTGGGGCTTTGATCCCCTTCCACCAACGCCTTCAGGCTGCCTCCTGGCCGCGCGAGGAGCCCCTGGTACGATCCGGTTTCCATGACGCGGCCCTGCTCAAGAACCACGACGTTGTCTGCAATCTCCATCATCTCCCTTGCATGCGTGATTATGATCACAGTTAGCCCTGATTGGGCCGCGACCAGCCTCTGCACGGTCTGCCGAATGAGCGCTGCGCTGGCTGGATCAAGACTGGACGTGGCCTCGTCAAGGATTAACACTTGCGGTCTTCGAATGAGCGCCCGGGCAATGACCACTCGCTGCGCTTGTCCCCCAGAAAGACCGACTCCCCCGTCGCCGATGATGGTCATGTAGTCGTTTGGAAGGGACAAAACAAAATCGTCGATGCCGGCAGCCTTGGCTGCAGCGCGTACATTGCGCAGATTGTTGAGCGAGGAATCTTCTTCCAACCCGTAGCTTATATTAGCTTCAATAGTTCCCGGGAACAGAGTTGGTTGCTGCGAAACAATTGATACTAGGGATCGAAGAGTCGGTGTGTGCAGACGGCGAATGTCGACACCCCCGAATGAAATACTTGGCTTGTCGTCGCTAGAAACCGGCGCCTCGTAAAGGGATAGTAGGAGTGATGCAATCGTCGATTTGCCTGACCCGGAACGTCCGACGATGGCCGTACACGAACACCCGGGGATGGCAATCGACACCTGCTTAAGAACAAGTGCATCAGGTCGCGAAGGATAGTGAAAATTCAAATGATGGATTTTCACAGGGATAGTCCGGGTAAGGCGAATGTCTCCGTTGTACTCGTGGGATTTCCCCTGGGGAAGGTTTGCAAGATGTAGGAGTCGAGAGCCCATTGTTCGCGAAGTGCTTATTTGCGGGACTCAAGGAGTGTCAGCATCTGGCTTTCAAGGGAAATGCATGATAGCATAACACTTACTCCATGATAAAACCGTGGCTGCATAGCCAATGCTAAATAGAAGCATGGAGAACACGGTCAAAATCCTATCGACTGTGAACCCTTCATACGAAACCAAAATCGCTCCATAAAAGAATATCAGGGCTGGAAGGAAGTATCGTTAGTACTTTCCAAGACACAGGAGAGACGTTACATACCGCTGACGAATATAATAGTGACTTCGACGAGACCAAACAGGACACCTGTGTAGACTGCCTTCCGTAGGCCAACAGCTACGCACTTCGCGGTAGCATTCAGGTGTTTCCGGTGAAAAAACGACTCTAGAGTCAAGGTTCTCACTGTCCGAATCTCCGAAAACATCTCGATAAGCAGTTCCGATGCCACATTCTTGGCCTCGTTGCATCTCCTCTCCCACAGTCCACTCGTGCCATCAAATCCCTTTGTGATAGCATATATGACCGGTCCACAGGCCAGTGCAACAAGTGTAAGCTTCCAGCACACAATGAGGCTCCATACGACCGCCATGATGCTGACCGCAGCAGCAACTAGAACGAAGCAACCGAAGCGGCCGACAATGTTCCGCATCTCCTCTCCATCCAGAGTAAGATGTGCAGCAAGCTGAGAAGAACTGTGCCCTTCCTCATCAAACCATTGTTTGGGTTGGTCCAGCACACGTTGAAAGCCTTTCTTCCTGAGACTATCGACCCAAGCCTGGCCGCATATCTCTAGGAAATAGTGCATAAAGAATGAGATAATTCCGTCACCCACTGCAACACCTAGCACAGCTAGCGCCCATTTCATAGAGCTGGAGTTCACATCGTAGAACGTCTGCAAAAGTTGAGATAGGAAGTATGAAAATAGAGGAGTCATAGTGGCATGGCCAAGAGTACATAGGCATCCAATAATCAAAAGATTGCGTTGTCCTCTCGTTAGAGACGGTACAATTGTCAGCATTATTCGGGCGAGTGATGTGGTGTTGTATTGTTTTGGATGCGAGGTCTCTGCTGATTGTTCTTGGGTTATTGGCTCGCTCGATCTTTGAGGGTGGCTGTCAGAGACAGATGCACGAAAATGTTTGGCCCGACTCGTGCCATCAGATGGCATGTCATCAAGCACATGCATTGGAATGTCAACTGGGCCGGTCGTGCCTTTTGCATCGACACTCCACCGAACGCTGTATGGTAGATCCCAAGGAGAGCTCAACGCAAGCGACATACTTGCTCGGGGATGCGCCCGTCTGTCGATTCCCGTATCCGCATGGCTCCTGGGGAAAGGAGAGATTCTGGAATAGAGTCCAGGTGCTTCAGCTGTAGGGACGGCCGAGCCCCTGCCTTTTTCAGGAACTAGGGTATCTGCGGAATCGCGATCTTTTTCGCCAACTGGGAACAACTTTTCGTTCCCTGGTGTCCTGCTGAGCTGGTATCTGTATCCCGCCTGAGCAACTGAGCCTTTATCCATAACGTAAACAAAATCATGATCCAGGATCTGCGTGAGGTCATGAGTGATGATGATTGTTGTTTTCCCCTTCCGCCATTTTCGAAGAGCTTTCATAACTTCAACACGATTCCTGTGGTCTAGTGCGCTCGTAAACTCATCCAAGATCAATATCGGAGTATCCCTCAATCTAGACCTAGCGATTGCCACCCTTTGTCTCTGGCCACCACTAAGAAAGCTTCCTCCGGGACCGGCTAGGGTGTCAATTCCATGAGGTAGGGTCTCAATCACACTCTGCAGCATCGCCATATTGATAGAGTCTTGGATGTCTTCTTTTTTGATTTCGTTGTAATCCCGACGTCCAAATGCGATGTTCATGAAAATGGACTCGTTAAACAAGACACTCCGTTGCTCAACCAGTGTAATGTTATTTCTGATCCAATTGATATCCAAATTCTGTATGGGAACACCATCGATACGAATGTCTCCGGATGTCGGCAAATAGAGCCGTGCGAGAAGCTGTCCAAGCGTGCTCTTGCCAGATCCACTTTCCCCAATGACAAATGTTGTATCCCCTGCCGGGAAGAACAAATCGACTGCGTCTAAAATCGGCCGGTCAGGCTGGGACGAGTACGCAAAGCCAAGCTAATCACATTCAAATTAGTTCAAAGCCGCTCCATACTTTTTTTTTCCAGTTGCGACTTACGTTCATGACCTCAATATCTCCTTCGCAATAGCGCGGGTATGATGTGCCTTTCATCTGCTCCATTTTGTTTTTGTCGGCTACGCCTATAATCTTCTTTAACGAGATAGCCGCAACTATTCCCTTTTCTAGCACGATGACTTGTGGGAGTGCCAGTTCCATGGACTGGGATGCCGACAGACAAGCCCAGAAGGTTCGCAAAACTTCTCCGGATGAAAGCTTTCCAGAAATAGCCAGGTTGCCTCCGTACCAAAATCCTTGAACAAACATGCCGAAAGTCATTAATCGTATTGTTGCTATTTGTAAAGCGTTAAGGCGAGCTTGTTTGAGATAATGTGATGCAGCTTGCTCGACCTTTTTCACAAAATTCTGAAGTTCGAAATTCTGTCCGTTGAGACACTTCACCGCATCTATTGAGTTGGTACTGTTGGTAACCACCTTCGAAGCTCGGCTCAGCTCTTCTTGTTGTTGCTTGATTTGAGGTTCCATTCTGGAGGATAGGAGTGAGATGATGCCAGAAAATATCGGTATCCCCGCCAGGGTAACGAGAGAAAGGCTCCAGGAGGTATAAAATGCTAGGCCCAGGGAAGCAAGAGCTTGGACGGAGTACTGAAGTACTAGTCCGAGGGGCTGGGAGGTTGCCATCTGCAACTCATGTAGCTGACTATAGGACAAAAATAACATAAGCATCAGCCAAGTTTGGGTATGTGTAAGAGTACTTACGTCTGCAAAGTAGAAAGAAACGTCTTTGCCCCAACCTCGTGGCTCTCGAACCATTCCTGGTCTCTTCGCAGCAAACCCTCGAATAGCTTCCTACGGGCCTCTGCAACTTGGAACTCCCCCATGGAGACAAAGAGTGTGAAATAGACTCCATTGCAGAGCCATCCAAGGATACCGAGGATTACCAGTTCTATGCAGCCATGTGTCGTTTTGTGAATCAGGTCCTGACTGGAGATTTGGTCCCCTCCGAACAAAGTGAAAGCATCGAATATTTGACCGAGAAAAATAGCGAACACTGGAATCACAAGACCTGCGGCTATGGTGACCAAGATAGCTAAACAGAGGAGGGGAATGTGCTTTTTGATGGTGAAATCGAAAAGGGCTGCCCAGCGAGGCTTTCGGTGCAAACTATGCACTAGATTCATCATAAAAGAAGTCATGATGAGAACTGACGAGCATGCGATGATGACCAGTTCTTTCAGGGACCCGTGAGAAAGATGGACGCATGATGGTCGAGATGCAGTAGGGTAAGGGCCTGAGCGAAGAAATGGCAAGGAAGCCGGAAGACCTAAGAACGAATACAAAGAAAAGGAGGGAAACAGGGCTTCGCCGTACACAGGAGGGGTCGAAGCACTCCTTCGAGGCGACCATCCCTGTTTGGGGATCCAGAAAGGGTAATATTGAAGTGATGTAAGCAGAGAGATCAATGGATCCCACGACCCATTGTTCTCCGATCAGCCACGAAGACACACGTGCCGCTCTATTCACCATTGTATTCTTTTTCGTCGACATCCACAGGCTGGATTGTATGATAGGTAGTGGGTAGTAGTATGTGTATGTACAAAAGAAATCTCCGGGGTAAATCCAATAGTTCCGCGTGTCGAGGGGAAATGTCTAAGCTCGGGTCAATGTTGGCTAAGCAACGCAAAGTTGCCGGATCACTCAAAAGAGAGAGCCCTAAACAGCAGGCACTTCCACGGCATTGGGTTTGGAGATGAACCCTAGAGCCATAGAAGACCGATCGATCTTTGCGCGATCTCGGCGCTATTGTCCACAAAGTCCCGTCAATTGCAGTCCCACACAGCCCTGAGAATTTGGAGGCTCACGGGTCCTGATATCAACTTTATTTCTGGTCGGGGTGCGATCGCTCGTAAACCCAGTCATTCAGACCGGCGCGGTTTCTGGGAGGCGTTAGACTTTTATCGTGGCTTATAAGGGTCGGAGCAGCGACTCACCTCGCAATCTCAACGGCATAGAACTGCATGCGCATAGCTATATTCCGCTCTGTTAGATAAATTCCTTACCATACACAGGGTCCGTCGTAGGCTAGCAGCTCACCGAAGATCGTAGTCTCCTGCTCGTATTCGAATTTGGGGTTCGACCGGAGCATGGTTCCGAAGTTGAAGTCGTTGATCTTGCCCTCATACTGGTTGATCCAGTTTCTCCACTTCTCCTTGCCAGCCTTGCTCTTCATTATGTCCTCGTTAATCGTCTCGGCAGGGTTGAAGTCGGGGAACTCCTTCATGAAGCTCTCGTAGATCTCGTCATCCATCTTGGTCAATCGAAGCTGCGAACCCCGAACCTTCTCGAGGATCGACCAGTACGTCATTAAGTGCTCCACGGCTGTACAAGGTGAGTATAGGGAGGACACCGGCAGGGGTTAAATGGCGACCTACCCTTGACGGCGAACTGCTTCTCCATCTATACATGGGGTCAGTTTGGCCCGATACCGAAATTTCGCGTGAAGTGCTGGCTGCAGAACTTACATCCTCAAAGTTCTCCGCCGTCTCCGGATCAAATGGCTTCGACATTTTGGCAGATGTGATGTTAACCGAACCGACTGAATAGGAAGGGGAAATATGAATGAGGTGGGTGGCTGTTTAGTAGAAAGCAACGACTTGAGGAAAGTTGTTCGGTCGCAAATAATGAGTTGCCCCGCGATCTTTTTTTTTCGGCGTCGGGCGGAGATTTTTCGCCCCGCCGGACTTCTCCTGTACGTCATCCGGTCTGTCCCTGTGCCTTAGATTTAATCTAGAATCTACTACGGAGTATTACTTGAATAAATCGAACACTGTGAGGAAATGGCAGAAAATTAAATAGCTTAATTATAGAGCACATCTATCGAAAGAGCCATTCAAAGTGCCATTTATTCCGGACGACAATTCCCAAAAAAAGCTGACCGTCAATGAGTAATCGAGCTAATATCAACATTGTTGCGAGGATGCCAATATACATTACCCATGGTGAGATTATAATTTTCTGTCCAGATCAAATAGATTCCCGTCAATTTTTTCCCTTAATAAAGTGCGTATAATTGGAAGAGATATATTCAAACAATGGAGATAGAACACCTGCAGCCATTATTTGAATAGCGTGGCCATCTAATCACTATCCGAATCAGACAGTTCTTGCAATCTCCCTTCATGAAGAGCTTGCGTAACTGGATTCTCAACGTTGAGAATACCGTTGGCCTTGGCCCTATTAAAGCATTAGTTATTGAATCGTGTCATGGGGCGACCGGAAAAATACCTCTCAAATAGAACGAACAATCTCTCTGCTTCTCGTTCCTTCTCCTCTTTAGTCATGGGTGGGCCCGTGTCCTGCTTCTCTGCGTCCCATCTCTGTCCAGTGACGGGATTCAACGCCGGATCAAATTCTTCGGCGGCAAATGCTTCCCCTGCTGTCTGTGGGATCTCCATGCCTCGGGATGCCAGCAAGCCTGCCGCAAATCCGTATCCGATATTCTTGGTGAGGTTTTCGGCGTTCTTCCCGGAAAGCGTGAACATGAGCTCGCAGATCGCAGTTTTCAAATTTGCGTATGGGGCGGTAGAGAGCTTGAGCAACTTGGACGACAGGGTATCAGATTGTCCGATAGGCCGACTTCGGTCGTTCTCCTCAGGCAAGAGAAGCCATTGCATGTACTTGCGGGGCCCATCGGGTGCCAGGTCATAGATGGTGATCAAAGAGTGAAGAAGTGGGATGGCCTTGATTTCCAGGTCACTAGGGCTGTACAGAGATGTTGCTTGGTCCAGGATGTTGATAAGTTTGTCAACGTTGCAGTTTTGATTGAAAGTCGGAAACAGGGGGCTGCTCTCAAAAGGCTTGCCCTTCTTATTCTCTAAGTCAAGGGTCGACAGGCAGTTGAGGAGATAGCTGAGTAGGCCATCCAAGGGCTTTGCGGGGATATCTATGCGGCTGATGATCTTGAAGATGTAGGGAATTGAAGGCGCGAAGGCTGCAGCAAGATCCGGATACAGCTTTGAGACATTGAAGATGAGCTTCAAGGTGTCAATCAGGGCCAGCTCATCCATTTGGGAGAGAGGTTTCTTCCCGGATTTGGGAAACTGCTTGGCATGCCGGAAGATTTGCTGCAAAAGGTTTATCAGCTGGGGATGATTGGTATTTTGAAACGCAACTTACATAATTGACATTATCTCCCAGAGAATGGGTATTTATGAGTTGCTCAAAGTCCATTGTAGTATCGTAGGTGGAAAGGAACAGTATGCGACTGGTTACCATCTCATCTTCGGATGACTCGGTCTTAGACGGTCAGCTTATGAGGAACATTCAGCCGATGCATGGATCTTCCGGGTTACCTTGAGCATTTCTGCAAGTTTCCCACCGTGACCTGTGTCGACAAAAAGTTGCCGCATATTTGGATCCAACAGCAGTGCATTTGCGACGCAGCGCAGCGCAGCGCGCCGTGTATCTACAGTGTCACCATCCACCCCATACTTAGCTAGAACTTCTATCCCCTGGGTCCGGTCAGCGGGCAAGTAGAGCCACAGTAATTGCTGGGATCCCCTTTACCTCTTTTGAGTATATAGGGCCGGCATTTTCTGGGTTAGTGCCATGGAGTCTCAACTGTAGAAGAATTTGCACCCGATCTGTGTGGTACATGGGTTAGACAAAGAGAAAGGATCAAGACAACTTGGTAGCTTACGAGAAGAGCTGAGCGACTTATCCTTCAAGTCTTTTTCAAGCAGGCCGAAGAGCTCCGTGACTTGCTGCAGCTTCTCTGCACCCAGAGTAACAATGGATGGTTAATACGATATCGGGCAAATTATGTCATATTGGCTGTGCGCATACCGGAGCCTTGAAGTGGCCGGACCTCCATGTTGGCTTTCTGTTCGCTGTCCTCTGTTTTAGAGAACCGAGTTAAGAGCCGGCGCCTCCTGCGTTGGTTTAGAGCCAAGTCCAAGCGCTAGGGGTGCTGCTTGGAGAGGGGACTTACAGAGCACCGGGAGCAGCGGGCCTCTGATTATCCAGAAAGAAGAGGCGGTGGTAAGGTCCGCTTAGAAAAGCAGTAGCTGTTGCAAGAGTGTATGCAGAGGAGAGTTTTCCGGGAAGGTTAGTAGGAAAGCCACGGGCCAGTGGAGGGAATCCCGGGGCAAGGAGGGATGTCGTTATTGGAAGAAGCTATTGTTGGATGGAGCGATGAATAGGCGGGCCAAACCCCACTAGAGCTCAATAATGCTAAAAGACGCCGTCGTTTTCCGGAGATGGTATTGCTTGACCCATCTGTAGAAATGGGAAAAGGGGTGTGTAAGGGATGGGAGAGAATGATGAGCCTTGCGGATGGATTGCGGAACTCTTTCTTTGGGACTTTCTGGCAAATGGGAAAGAAACGAGCCAGGGGAGGAGGCATTGAAGCCGCCCATCCACGGTTCGTGCCTAAGGCTCTTCCCTGGGGCGCTGGCTGCCTAAGGCACCTGTCGCGCCACAGCCACTTAACGCGTGCCTGCGCCACAGGCGCGTCCGGCGTGAGGGCTTGGCGCGGCCCCAGGATCTAATGTCTATCCAATAATTATTGCGATCTATCGCCTGTCTCAACACCGGCCTCCTCAATTCTCGCCTCGGTTCCGGATCTTGCTTGGGCGGACACGGTGGTCTGAGTGCACGATCGTTTGGCACCGCGATGTTCCTGGCCTCCTCTCGCTTTCAATTCTCCCCGTTCTCTCTTTCGATTCTGTGAAATATGGTGGACGTCTTCGGTCCTTTGTCTGCTCGTCCGCCTACTCCACCAAGGACATCGTCCCGTGCCCTGCCTGAAAAAGATCGAACGGAGGATTCCCCGGTTGTCGCGCAGACGCCTGGTCTCTCTCCGTTTGCGACTAATGCATCCAACGGGGTTCCGTCCAGTCGCCAGTCCAAACGAGTGAATTTCTCGCCATGGACGAAATACATCAAACCTCCCTCCTTTGCCAACGCTGCCAACACCATTTCAAAGCCCAAATCCGACCTCAAAACCCTGCCTCCCTCGAATGAATGCAAGCCCTCCAAATCGATCCTCAAGCCGACAAACTCCCCGGCCCCTGTTAAATCGCCGAAAGTCACGTCCCATACCCCCGAGTCTTTCGTCATGCTATTGAAGTCCATGGCATCGCAGCTGGCTGGCTCGTCGCCAAGTTCCAGGCTCGATGCCTACATGCAGTTGTTTGGTGCGTTGAGGACTTACGAGGGACTTCCGGGAGAACAAGAGGTTGCAGAGTGTTTAGGGTTGATCACGCAGTTCATCCAACGAGATATCAGTAGGGTTTCGGAGAACGTGGGACCTTTGGACACAAATCTAAGGATCCAGGCTCTGAAGCTCTCTGCGGCGTTGATGTGGCAGACCAATATTTGCGCGCAACTGTCGGATGACTTCAAGATCTTTCTTACCGATCACTCCATCAATATTCTCCACGATAGCAAAGTGCCAAAGTCGGTTCTGACGCATCACATGACGATCCTATCGACGCAGAATTTCAGCCCGAAAATCATGAACAATGCTCGTCTCTCACGCCTACTTACAGTATTACACGACCTTACGAATCGAGTGACCGGTAACTCCATCGTCTCGCACCGCCTGAGCATCTACGGGCGAGTTCTCAACCAAGCGAAATCTTTGTTCGTTTCACAATCGTTGTTATGGATGGATCATCTGATATCTGGCCTACTTCATCCTATAAAGGATATCAGAATAAAAGCCATCTCACTGGGCTTCCAGGTGTCGATGATCTTCGGACCAAACCCCACGCTTTCAAAATCCATTCAAGATATCTTTGATCGCTCCCTAGACAAGGGAAGAAAATTGGTCACTGAAATCTGCGAGCGAATGGCGCGGATGATGAGCAATTCCGACAGTGGTGTCCATGTTCCTCAGGTGTGGAGTGTTGTCATCTTGCTCCTAAGAAATAAACGTCTGAACGTCGACGATTGGAATCACTTTAAAGAATGGGTCCTCGTGCTCCAAAAATGCTTCAATTGCAGCGATTCATCTATCAAGGCACAGGCCATCGTCGCATGGAATCGTTTCGTCCTCGTTGTCAGTCCGGGTGAGATGACAAACCGCCCGTTGTTGAGAATGCTGAGCAAGCCCATATTGTCACAATTTGAGCGAAAGAAGCAGGACAAGAGCGGATCGCCGCCCAGTCAGCTGGTGATGTGCAGCTATTACAATCTTCTGTATTACGCCTTTCGACCGTCTGCATCGTTTCAACATCTTGATATCGTCTGGGAAGAGTATATTGCTTCCCCTTCATCGAAAACGTTTTCGTCCAGCTCTGCGTTAAGCGATCGGCTTGCACACATACTTTCAAACATGTTGTGGAGCCCCCAGACTAAAATATGGTCCGAGAATAAAGTGAACGACACCAACAAGCTTGAACCAGAAGAGCTGCCGACCTTAGATTGCAGGTGGATAAGGTCAAGAATTACATCGGTGTTGAAGGTTTTTGAAAACATATTCAGAACATCATTATGGGCTGAAAATATCGAGCAATCGAACATCGCTATTGCCTGGATTCGTCTTTCGAAGGCCTTGTCGAATGCATCCAGCAAAGAGATCACACCTTCTTCGGAATCTATGCAAACTGTAGCTCATGTCCTTGGTCTTCTTCAACGCCTCTGGAAAGCCGGCCCCTCTTCGATAAACGCTGTTGAAAAGGAATCCATGGACACGTTCTTTGAACGATTCCAGTTCCTATCTAGATCGATGATTTTCTCGCTAGGGAACACTCCATTCACAGAGAAGCTACTCCTGAAGAACGCAGACGCTACGTTTCAAGCAGCCAACACCCCTACACACCGTCACTCGCACTCGAACTCGAATCTAGACAGCCCCGTCCTGCATTTTCTTCGGTTGGTAAGCGATGTGTCTGGTATTTCAGAACCAAGCCCTGCCTACTTGCGCCTGATCAATTCAACACTCGAAGCCGCCTGTAATGGAAGAACTTCCAGAAGCTCTCGCCTAGAGCTCCTTCGACAATGCGCCGAATTACACTCAAATGAAACAACCATACAGCTTGGTGTCCATTCTTTTGCCCAAATTGTCTGGAGATCGGTAGCACATCTTGCTGCCGATTCTGTATGCTCCTACCCTATCGAGACAGCCCGTGAACGTGACGGGTCGGTTTCGCGCGATTACGAGAATACCGTCAAGATACTCTCTACGGGTCTCCGGTTTGCTGACGTCTTTCAAGTGTGGGACGAGCTTCTTGGTGCGTTCGTTCGCGTTATACGGACTGAAAAAGGCGACCGTGAGATTGCCAGCATGGTAGTGGAGCCTCTTGCTGAGTGTTTGATGGCTGTTCCCGCTCGCGATAGGTACCTGGCTTCAGCGTCCCTCTTTAAACATTCTTTGTCTATGACATACGGTGTAGACGGCAAAGAGCCAGAATACGCCTCTCATCTTTCTGCGCGTGAAAACTTGCCTGTTCCCAAGAAGCTGCTTGAACTTGTGGACAAAACACTGCAGATTTCCTACCAAGAATTCGATGCCACAGACACCAACGGCATCGCAGACTTTATTGAGTCCCTGACGTCCTTCCTGGGCTCTGGATTCACAGTTTTCCGGTCCAGAATTCTTGAAACCCTCCAGCAGCCCCTTACTATGTGGCTGAAGGACGAGACACATAAGCTAAATGTTGAGAGTGGGGTGGAAAGCAGGGTTCTTACTGCTGTAAGTGTACGACGCAAGGGGGGTTTCTAGCCGCTAACCTATGATCAGGGCCGAGCTCTTTCGTCAGCTGTCCTCAACATATTACAGGCGTCCTCACCTCATGATTCTCTGTGTCTGCAAAGATTCGAGGGTATCATATGCGCAGGTTTAGAGTCCTCGCATGCGTCTGTGGCAAAGAAGTTCCTTGAATTCTGCAAATCTTCGTTCGTCGCGCAATCTTCATCCCCTTACTCAGAAGCCATATCTCGTGCCGTGCAGAGGTTGGAAACTCAGGTAAGTCATGATTTAAGTTAATTCCAATTTCGTTCAGACTCTAAGAGACCACAGGCCGATACCCACGAACGCCCTTCTGATCCACAGGCCGGGAAAGACCGCCGTGCAGACATGTCAGAAAAATCCCGCATAGCTTTCATTTTGGACAATTCAAGTGGTCCTTCTTCTACAGGTTTCAACTCGTCGCCTGTTACTAGAGCACCCGAAGTATTGGATGCACCGGAGGACCTCTCAAAGGAAGCCCAAGACGAGTCATTGCCGGCCAATGACGACACACCAGACGAGCCCAATGGCGCGGAGGTTTCAATTTCTTTCGAACCCGCCGTGGAGAACCCCCCGAAGCGCAGTGAACTGTTCTCGATGATTGAAAACCTCCGATCATCATCGCCACCGACCAACACGCCGAGGGAGCTTGGTTTCATGACTCCCCCGCATCTGCGCAGTCTACGCAACCTGGATCGGGAGGCTGAAACTCCACAGACGCCTACTTTACCTGCTATTGCTGCGGACAATGACGAGGGCTTTCTTGGCTCCTCGCCTACTCCTGGCACCAGAGACCGTCCTCAAACCAGCGGGTCGACACTCCGTTCCTCCTTGGTAGCTCCAGCAATGGCCTCTGATATGGACATCGATCCTCCTTCGTCTCCACCAGATATCCGATCCCAGAGCCCGAACTCCCGGAGCAAATCCGCCCCTATGGAAGGCTCGACTTCCCGGGACAGGTCTGCCAAAGCTAAAAGAAAGAAGCAGCGAAGGAAGGAAAGGAGGTCCAAGGCGTCTAGGGCATCTTCTCCTGTTACGCAGCCTGATCCTCCGGCAACGCCCAAGGAGCTCGGCGAAACAGAAGTTACCGCCCAACCAGAGAGGCCTCCTAGCAGTCGCACTCGTTCCTCTGCAGGCAAAGTGCTAGAAGATACAACCGAGGAATCATCGGCGGGAATACACCAAGACCCGGAACAGTCGACGCAAGCTCAATCTACTTCTGATGATCAGGATATTGTCATAGAAGATGCTCCCAGTCAAGAAGCCCCAGAAATTGAAGTCGGCGGTGACCATGATGAAACACGCACTGAGGATCACGACATCCCAGATTCATCCAGCGACGATATGGAAACACAGATAGCGTCTCAACTAGAGCAAGACCTTGAGTTTGCAGTCGTTGACGAAGCTGACGAACAATCAAACAATCCCCCAGTCACACGCAAGAGAAAGCGCGAAGCGCGTGAAGCAACTTTCTCAACGCCATCCAACCAGGAAAGACGCCGATCATCAAGGTTATCTACTACTACAAAGGAGCACCCTGCCACAGAGGGTACAGAGCCTAAGAGCACCCGGTCCAAGAAGTCGAAGACGCCCAGCCAAATCGAGAAGACCGCGTCGTCGCCAGCCGAGGGCGGTCCACTCAAGCGAAGACGCCACTCCAAGGGATCCGTTGACAACGAAGAACCCAAGTTTGCGCTTCCCGAGCAGAACTCCTCCGTCGACGCAGATCAGCCTGCGGATTCATTGGAAACTTCATCCCAGAAGCGGAGGTCGAACCGCCTCAGCGGCCACGTAGCGCCGGCATCAGTTGCGGAAACGCCGCTTCCGAAGAAATCGTCTCGGCGCAAGCAAAGCACGAAGCAGAAGGAGGCCACGCCTACTGCTCCCCAAGCCGAAACCCCGGTTGTGAAGTCCAAGTCCAAATCCAAGTCCAAGTCCAAGGGGAAGGAGAAGGAGAAACGCAAAACACCGGAAAGGGGATCCGTCGACCGCGAGGACAGCGAAATCCCCGAATCCTCCGAATCGCGGATCAACACCAAACAAACCACCCAACAAGAAGTCGAAACCTCCCAACCGAGCGAACCCGCTTCTCCCCCAGCAGCGGCGCAACAACAAAACCAACCCTCACCCCAACCCCAAGACGACACTCAAACAACCGACGCTGTCGCCGCCGACCCACCACCCACCGAAAAGACCCCGAAGACCAAGGCCTCCGGACCATCCAAGGCCAAACAGAAGCCGAAGTCAACGGACGCCGTCCCCGACACAAACAGTGCCCCCGCCTCGGGCGAGATCATCCCCGCGTTGCAGCATATCCTGGACAACGTCAAAGCAGCGGCGCTGGACAGGAGCGCGCTCAAGCAGATCGACGACTTGTTGTTTGATATCCGGGTAGAGACGCACGAGGCATTGAGGCGGCACACAGGTTGATATCTTTAGTTGCATAGCGAAGGCGTTTTCTTATATTGTTTCTTGTGCTTTTGAAAAATCGTTTTCTCTCATTCACCCTTCCTTTTAAGCTTATTTTCTTTTCTTATTTCTATTCTTGTCATCCTGGTTCATTTTGTTGAGTTGGGTTGTTTATAAAAAAGCAAATAAGGAAACGGTATCTCTCTTGAACAGCCTTTTTCGTTTGCTTTTCTTTTTGTTTTTTTCTCATTCAACCAATACACGGTGGTCAGGAAACAACACAAAAAAAAGGAGGGGATGGCATTATCTTTTTGTTTGGTATCTGTGTATGTATATGCTTACTCATGGCAATAGTTGTTAGAATATAGTCAATTCTTGTTCCAGATTTTGTTTATTTAATTACATCATGGAGTTGAAGAGAGATAAATAAAACAGTAGCATGGTACTACCAGTTGTAGACATCCTAGTATATACATGGGCTGAAGTAGACTTATTGGAAAACTACCAGAAAGAGTGCGTGCTACTTCATTGTTGTATTTTATTTCCAACTGATGTGTTCAATAAAATTCCTAATTATGTAATTTCCAATTATTTAATACTCAATCAACACGGACATTTGAACACCACACACCACAAGCAGTTGACCTAGTCTAACCCCATTCCCAGCTCCCAGCCAAGCCCAACCTCAGCATGCTACTCTAGGAGTAGCAGCAGTGAGATAGAGCCGAGCATCAAACGCCTCACAAAGGGGATGCGATTACAATAGATCCAAACGCCAGGCCATTAAATGATGAGATTCAGGGCCCGTCTCCACCCAGGCATAGCGGCGATACGTTGGCGCTCGGCGTGGATCTCAGGCCAGTCGACCTCGCGACGACCGGAGTCGATATCGATCTGGCTGGTTCGAAGCCAACCCCGTCTCTTCCAGAGGAAACCGCAGATCCAGAAGAAAATGACGACGGGGAGGGCAAGGTAAGTTTGGAAGAAGCCTTCGGCGTCGTTGATACCGCCACCTGGTGGGCAGATGGCCACGTAAAACTGGGGATCAGGAGTGTTAGCTTAAGATCGAGGACGGGAGATAGGTAGTAGGAGCAGAACGGAGGCAATAGGTAGAGGGGAGAGGACATACCTGAGCGATCAAGACAAGAATAATAAGAGTAAGTCCGAGATAGGAACCGTAGATGCCGCCAACGGCCCGGAATGGGATTTCATCCAAGGTGCGGCCGTTGTACTTCCATGCATTACGGAAGCGGATGTGGGCCAGACAGATGGAGCCCCAAGTGAAGAGGGCGGCGAGACCGGAGAGGGCTTGAAGCCATGCGAAAATAACATCACCCTTAGCGTCAAGGTTGACATAGCCAAGCAGACCGAAGATAATCAAGGTGGCCACCGACACAAGAGGTCGGCCGGAGCGGTCAATATAGGTGAAGATTTTGGGGGCGTATCCTTGTTCGGCAAGCGCAGTCAAGGTTCTCGAGCCACCATAGACACCGGAGACGCCAATAGACAGCACTGAAATAAGAATGACGACGTTCATGAAACTGTCGTAGCCCTTGAGGCCGGCGTCCGCGGCAATGAGGACGAATGGGGAGGCGTTGACATCGATGAGGGCGTCGGCGCCCAGAAGGCGGTTGTCATCGGAGGAGACGAGAAGACCGACAAAGGTGAGACCGAGAATGTAGAACCTATGAGACATTGAAGGGTTAGTCAAGGCTTGTGGCATGAAGGGACCCGACGAGGCGAGGGGGGATCCATACAAGGTGATACGCCAAAAGACTTGTTTCACAGCTCCGGGCAGAGCCTTGGCAGGGTTCTGAGCCTCAGCGGCAGCAAGACCAACCAGTTCGGTTCCACTGAAGGAGAAAGCGGCCGTGACGAAGACAGAGCAGAAGCCGCGGAAGCCGTTGCGGAAAGCGCCCGGGTTGTACCAGGTACGCGCTCCCCAGTACTCGCTATAGATGCCGCGAGACGGACCACCGCCACAAACCAGGATCAGAGCAATGAACATAAAGACAATGATCGCGCCGAGCTTCAGGATAGAAGACCAGAATTCCTCTTCGGCATATCCAAGAGCGCCAAAGATGTTCACAATGATGATTGCGACGAGGAAAACGGTAATCCATACTGCAACGCTCACGTCTACCTGCCAGTAGCCTATTGTTAAACCGGCCACTGTGAGCTCCAGAGGAACAATGACAGCCCATTGAAAGACGTAGTTCCACCCCATGGCAAAGCCCCATGACGGATCAATGAATCGGGTTGAGTAAGTGTAAAAACCACCGGACACGGGATACATAACAGCCAATTCTCCGAGCGCGTAGACTATACCGGTGGCATTAGATTGTATGCGCGTAAGGGGGGAAGGGTTGCTGTAAACTGACCGACATTGAACATCATAACACCGATAATCAAGAAATCGAGGAAGAGCGTTGCTGGGCCCTGAATGCGATGTCAGTTTCGGAGGAAAAGCAAAGTCCACTGATTCATGAAAGCTTACTCCGGTGCTCAGCGCGCCACCGGAACCAACAAAGAAACCGGCACCAATAGAGCCACCGATTGCAATCATATGCATATGGCGAGTTTTCATGTTCCGATTCAACTCAGTAATACCACTCCCCTTTCTTCGCTTGAAGGAATTGGCATTCAGGCCATTGCGCGTCCAGAAATCAAGCTTCTCATGCTCATCCACTACCACAACATCGTAATTGTCTTGGGAGTAGGAAGGGAGGGACGCCTCGGCCTTGCCAACGTCCACATCCTTTGCCTCTAAGGCAGGTTTCGACTCCATCTTGGATGGCACCAAAAGAAAGAGACACTCTGAATCGGTCGGTCAAGCAAATGCGCACGGAAAAAAAAATTCCCAGGGGCTAAGAGACAGAAGGGGGTGAGATCGACGAGAACAGCGCAGGCCGCGTTACTTATTGTCGGGCCAGTTTGCCATCAAGATAACGGGCTTGGCCCATCGACCTCTCCCCGACCCCCCTGCAGGCTCTCCAGCTGGAGCACGATCAGAACCAATGTCATGGTTGAACCCTTTTCGGGCCACTAAGAACGGTGCACAGAGGCTGAGGTTACAGTGGGATCGCTTGGTTCGGGCCCCGACGGCTTTCCTCCAGAGTCTGGAATGGGCAGCAAGGGCAGCAATTGGAAGATGGCATGCCGTTGCGCCACGCGAGCCTGGGGGAGAGCGAAGGAGAGTGGTCATCCGGCGGCGATGCCAGAGATTGTTAGGGTTGAGAGGCTTCTTGGCGCCGCCCGCGGGAGTCTTGGCGCTTCTGGGCCGTTGCCCCTTTGGGCGCTGCTCCGCCGGCATCCAGCGTGAAGTCGTAAGGATTTCAGTGTCAGACGCGCCATGACTCGCTGGGTATCGTCGGCCTTGGTCTTGTTTCTGGAAATGTCGCATGGCTGAGAACTCGTGTTCCTCGGGTATGTGCTCTCCCTCCCTCCTGCTAGCCCGTCTGCTAGTCCCGGTCTCATATGGGATGAGGTGATCGTGGCAGCCTGGAACTCTGTCGACCGGAATGTGACAGAGCATACCACTTAATATGCTTTAATTAAGTGGCTTGGCCCCGGGGTCTGGGGTATGTCCCGTCTCCACCCAGATAGGCCCTGATAGCCCGTTGATAAGCAGCATTAATCCCGGCATGACTAACGGCCAGAAGGGGATAGGATTGCCTCGGTGGGAAGCCTGAGATGGCGATTCTTGCCCCGGGCCAAGCACGCCTTTGCTTGGTTTCCTCGGCTGCTGCCCCTATCATGCCAGCTGATGTTGAGGGTCTCACGAGCAGCTGCCTGCCACTTTGCGGGGTCTCCTCTTGGCCTGTCGACGGAGCTGGCCCTCGTATACGGGATAGTTCGCTCAGGAGCGGATCTCTTTATCCACCTGGATTCCACTTCGCTTGTTTGGATCGGTCGAGCAAGGAGAATCAATCCCCACGTCTCATATAGCATCATTCTGATGCCGTGATGTAGCTCTGCCCTCTCTTGTATACACAACTTCTGGTCCAATGACATCCGACGGTGTTGGCGGTGATGGGTGGCCAGTCGGAAAAGTCCTCTTCGGCCGCTCCTCTCGGTTACCTTGCGCCTCTATGTGTTGCGGTCTTTTTCGTCTTTGTTTGGTATGTCAATTCTCGTTCGATCACCCCCTGTCGCCTAGTGGTGGTTTTACTGACAATGCCGTTTCCCTACAAAGGGCAGCGGTCGGCACGAGACATCGCTACTTCCGCCATACTCAACACGCTGGAGCCGCTTTTGACCCAGAAAATCCATCTCCCCATGTGCGCTCGTCGCCTATCGCAAGAAGCGACGTCGATAAGCAATTTCCCTTAACCGAATACAGTGCTTGGTGGGAAGAGCGAAATCGTAAACTTGCCACCACACACATCACTCAGCCTGGCGCTTTGAACTCTTCCGCCGAAGATGGTAGAGGCAACGGGCGCACGGTCGATGCTGACGGAGATCACCCGCTCCCTTCGTCAGGCAATAAATCAGACGATGTTTCTCACGACCCGGGAGAGGATGGCGATGATGGACCGATAAACGTGCCGCTCTGTACTGGCGACGTCCACTCCTTGTGTGCCATTTGCATGGAAGGCTTCGATGCTGCCGACCTGATCAGACCCCTGACTTGCGGGCACATTTTCCACTCAGTATGCGTTGACCCATGGCTCACCAAGCGCCAGGCCTGTTGCCCCTTGTGCAAAATGAACTTCTCTGGATACAGAATGCACCCAGAGGAAGAAACACCTGCCAGTTCACTGGCGATCCCCGTGTTACCAGGGATCGCAATGGTCAGATCATCTATCATTCCCCACCGGGCCTAACATGCACCTCTTGCAGGCTATGTGCCTATCAGCCAGTCAGCTATCGGCGATAACCAGAGCGGAGCGCCGACGGTTTCGTTGGTGCCAAGATCAGGCCAAGAGTGGAATCCAACATCGTGACTTGTTTTCCGATAGCTCGCAATTGCGAATCTGATGCCAAGGAGTCGTAACTTTATCTATTTGTTGAGATAGGGTCACGTAGTCCACATAAAGTCAGTCGAACGACCGAATGGTCATTTCTGAGGAGACCCACGTTGCTATCTGTGCTCCGGGTCCAGGCTGAAGGGGTGGTTAGTCGCGGCTACTTTTCCAATCTCAAGGTCATAGGGTACGGTTGGCCCCTCGATCCTTTGACGATATTCATCATTCTCCCATCTCTGAAGTGGCAGCTTTCTTAGTTCATGGGCATCGCTCATGTTATTGTTCGAGCGCATGTCAATGTTTTCTCCACCACTCGTCTGTGGCTCATCAACAGGCCCTGTGGTCTTTTCTGGTTGTTCCTGCCTGCAGATGTGCAGATCACGAAAGACTGCGAATGCTGGTCGTGATTGCGGTCTGTTGCTCATTGTTATAGATGGTGCCCGCAAAGCACCTAATATTTCTCTATTGGGTCGATCTGCCTGCTGTCGGTACTGCCTGCTGCTGTTTTGAAATGCGCTGAATCCAAATAGCCGACGAAGCAAGGGCCACAAGCATATCAGGTTTGCAACATATATCGCCGTACTGGCTTCACGAATGTACCATATTTGGTAGATTGTCGTCAGTGGCAATGCAAAATTGAACGCTTTGTTGAGAATTGCAGAGACAATGGTAAACAGGCCAAGACTCATGACGCAGAACAGGGTGATCTTTCTTCTCTTTCTCAGCTGTGCCTTAATGAGAAGCGGAATTGGAACAACTAGCATGGCCACGTCAGAAGAGATATTGAAAACTGCTTGGGTAATGGAGTAATATTGATATGTTGCACACTGCATATTATGCACCGGCATAGCCCAGTATTGAGAGAATGGGCGACAATAAACCGCATAGTATGTGATCATGATTACAATGAAGCCGATGGCTACATATGCAGCTATGATCTGAACATAGATATGCAATCGAAGATTTTTCGTCAGCCGCCAGAACAAGGTTAACATGCAGATCTTTACTCCCCATGTGGAGAACAACATGCACTGCTCCAGGCCGATCACGATCTTGCTTCCAAAGATTCGGTTATCGACCTCCTGGGGGCTTGCCAGGACTTGGTCATATTCTGAGGGGTCCATGAGATTGGTCGCATATTGTGCGGATATTTGAATGAGGACGAGCATACTCGTGTAGATTATCTAAAGAGCATCAACGGGTTAATTCAGGATTATGCGTGCTTGAAGGTAGCAAACTCACGATCGTTGCAGTCATTACATAGTCATCGACTGTTTTAGCTCCAGATTAGCCTAGACTTAAACAGTGGGGGCATAAATGGCAGGTATGCAACATACGCCCTAAATGGTTGATGGATCCACTTGCAATAATCCGCGATATCCTTTTCTCAGATGAGCTCTAAGTTATGATTCAGCACGTTACATAACATAAGGGACGTACATTCTGAAAATGTATAGAGCAATTGCAATGCTCCCGAAAGCAATAGCTTCTGTAAGGAGTCTTTGCGGAGAGGGAGATGGTTTCCCCATCTCGCAGATGAAGGCCCCGAAGATGATGACCAATTATTTGTCACCGAGAGACCATGGGATCCAGAATAGATGCCCTGGAATGTAAAGATTTTTGCGGGAAAATAGAGGAACAGGGCTGCCCGGAGATATAAAAGGCGCTCTGCAGCACCACCATGTTGGCACCCTAGTACGCACTGATTAGCCTCGGTTACCAAGTCTGAGTACATGGACCAACAGACAGGGAAGCCCAGAACTTAGCGCTCGTGGCTCTTGAGCTCGAGTAGCGGGGAGGAAAAGCAAGGGGGCTCAGAAAGCAGAAGCGCCCCAGTGCAAGGGAGACCTCCGCGGCGAATCGCCGGGTGATAAGTCCAATCATTGGTTGCTGCGGCAAGCCTTTCTAAGTGCTATCGATCAAGACCTTGCCCAAATGCTCGACGAATCAAATTGATCGAGTATTGTTGGAATGTGCTTCGGGTTACTGAAGCTGTACGATTTGAATTCCGAAGCTTCATCGAGTTGAAATTAATTCTGTACTGGAGCGCAGTCTGTAGATCCCGTCTGAGGATTCTAAGGCAACTAGGGCTGCCTGGTTAGCATTCTTGGCTTGAAAGCGCAGATTGAGCGAAATCCTCGCAGCTCTTAGCATTCCTTGTCCTTTGTTGATTGCTGACAGCTGCTAGGTCTAGCCTCTGTTGGATTCAATTTTGATACGAGCTGAAATCCACAAACAGTATCATCATTGGTTTAGCAGTGCCAACCTGCAGGCAAACAAGGCCCGCGGTAAGGGATGGCGATGGACTTTTGCTCCCTCGGAAAGAACAATGGAAGGAATGCCATCTCCGATTTTAGCATTGCGAGCTCGCAAACACATTTAATTCTCCACGCAATCATGTGTTGGAAATCATTTATACGGAGGAATTCCATCGTGGCCTTCCGAATAACTGTAGAAGCATCCTTCTGACGGGAAGGCGGAAATGTCAGATAAGTGAGTAGGAAAGAGTGGAGGAAGAGACTGAGGAAAGGGAGGGAAAGAAGACACACAGAGCACGTGTCTCCTTCGACCTCACAGCCAAATCAGGTCGGAAGACAGTATGCTTCAAGCCACATCCTTTGCACGTTAGGGCGTCAGAGCCCATTATTTGGCTTCGTCTATCATCCAGTATTCTTTTCTGTCTATCCCTCTCCAATCTGGATAATGTTCTCGCATTGAAAATACTGCAAGACTGGAAAGGTCTTTTGGTCATAAGTAGAAGAGGCCGGTTCAACGAGGTAAAATAACACTACTTAAAGGGGTCTTTATATAAAGCTCTATTCTTTTTCTCATTTACGCCACAAGTCTTACACATCAATCAAGCAAAAAGCGAGGGAAGAATAAAAACAGATAGATATCTTCAAGTCATCAATCAATCAATCAATCAATCAGTCCATCATCATGATCGTCAAAGAATCAACAAGTTCTCCACGCAAAGGTACGTCCGTGAACACAGCACGCCACACCCTCCCTGACTCACTCATTACAACCGCGGCCGAATCGTCTGTCCACCGACCCAAGAATCACCGGCCTCCAGAGTCTGCCATCCAGCCACCGAGCCCGCCTCGACGCAGATCATGTTCTTGTACGCCTCGTCGGGCCCGAAATCCGCGATGCTCTTGGCCTTCTCGATCCACGGGTTCCACACCACCACGTCGCTGAGTCCTTCGCGGGTGATCGAGTACAGAGGCTTGTTGTCGGTCGCGGACGACACGACGATGGGGGCCTGCGGGTCGAGGGATTGGTACACGCGGTCTGTTTCCTGGGTGATGGCAATTGCGGGCGATGATTCAGTGTTAACGGAGCCGTTCTGGGTCTTGTCGGCGTAGGTTTTGGATTCGAGGCCTTGGACGCGGATTTGGGAGATGTCCTGTTGATAGTGGAGTCCGGTTAGCTATTCATTCACTCATTTGCGTTGCCTTTCTTTTTCACACCCCATGCCACAAGAAGTAACAGGTACAGGTAAAAAGAAAGCAAATGAACCCACCTCAACGGCAAAATACGTATGCATCAACACCTGGAAGTCGAAGTTCTGGCTGCCCTTGTTCTGCACCTGCAGGGACGTTTCCAGCCCCTCCTTCGTCAGGGTGACGCTATAAACGAGACCAAAGTCATACGCCCAGGCGTTCTGGAACTCGGGGCTCAGCATGGGCCGGGAGAGACCGAAGTCCAACTTCACGGCATCGTCGCGGTCCGTGCCCAGAGACTCTGAGGACTTCCCGAGAAACTCCCAGTTCGAGTTCCGCGCGAAGCCGTGTTGCGGGAGGGACGAGGTAGCGTGGTTGGGAGGGGGAGGGCCGAAGACCTAAGCGGGTAGGTATGGTTAGTGAATTTATTTATTATAGACAGGCAAAACGATGCGGATTGAGCTGAGGTGGTATGATATGTGTTTAAATATAGGGAAGGGACCCTGAGGAGTAAGCCAGACAAAGCTGACGTTAACGTACCGGGAAGACGACAGGAATGCCACCGCGAATAGGCTTAGATCCGTCCAACTGGGCTTTCTCGCTCACGAACAACTGCTCCTTTCCGTTTGCGAGCTTCCAAGACGTGACAGTTGCGCCGTAGAGATAGACCGTGACGGATTCGCCGGTAGGGAGGGTTGCGACGACGGTGTTGTCGCTGACTGAGACGCTGGGCTGGGGCAACGATGCGCCGACACCGATGGCGGAGGGTTTGTTCGAACGGTCCATTTTCGATGATATGGAAGGGGCTGGGAGTGAGATGGAGATGGAGACGAGAGAGGGAGAAAAGGGAGAGAAAGTTGAATGAAAGAATGGAAGCGCCGGCGATGCGGGGGTCGCGGAAAACAACAGAGCGGGGCTCTCTGAAGTCACTCGCAACGAGGGGATCCACTCCGCCTCTCTTCCGGCCGACTCTACGGAGTATACATGAGGTGTGGATACATCGATTAGGTAGGGTGATTCTGTTACAAACAATCCGTACACAATATGTAGTAAAAATAGCCATCCAGCAGCTTGGTCCCAAATGAACACCAGATATGCAGAGACCCCACCAGTTCCTCGTATATTCAATTGCTCAGTTGCAGTCAAAACATTTCCGTCAAAAAAAAAAAAAAAAAAAAATCAGCACCCGTTATGCTTATATGACGGATAAACAGTCTCGCCAACCATGATAGTCCTAGACGTAGAAGCAGCAGAATCATCGTCCGCCGTAGAGAGAGATGCATGTCTCCCGAAATTGATCTTGTTATTGATCTTCCTAGTTTTCGCCAGTGTCGAAAAGGGTTCCTCTCCTCGCACGCCGGAATACTGGTCAATACAGACCATTTGACATCGTTGGCAGGATCCCAAGACATCAAAGTGAACATGCTGGGAACCGACGCTGAACGATTGCCATTGATCTTCAATATAGGGTTGTTCGGTATTAGCCAGTTGGGAAAGATTCTCAGCAACCACAATGTTGGCGCGGAAAACATCGGCAGCGACCGCTTTACTGGAGCTCTTATAGTTGGCTTGGTTGGTGTTCTTAGGTTTAGGTTTGGATTTGATCGTTTCGTTGAGACGATTGACCGACGAACGGGAGATCAACAGTATAGGGCTTTCGTTAGACAACAAGATCCGAGTCTGTCCGGGCGCTGGCCCTGATGTATCTTGTGGGAAAGACCCCGGCATAATCGACTCTTCCTTATCTTGCGGTACCCTGACCTTGGAAGGGGAATATCTCGTCGAGATCTGAGGTGGAAACCGCGCAAGTGAGCACGGAACGCCCAGAAAGTCTGAGAAGAAAGAGGAGACAGTCGGTGAGGTATAAGCTTGGACGGTGACCTGGTCTCCACAAACAGTAGAGGATTTGGCGGTATTTTGGCATAAAGAAGTTGTAACCAAATTGGTGCCCTCGCGATCAAGAGGTAGTTCCAAGGAGGTTTTCCCCGTCCCTCTCCCACACGAAACCCGCAGGACACCTTGTGCAAGATCAACGAATGGCTGGATTAGCGCCATCTTAGGGTATCTCTTCTGATTCAAAGCTGTTCCTGTACCCTGGTGGATTAAACACCACTCGCGATCCCACGCTAGTCCCTCCCGTTTGATCTCCCATCGCTGGCCGTCAGGGATCTTGAAAGCTCCGCAGCTCTTGATGGGGTACACCGAGAGACTTTCAATATAGAATCCAGGCGGTTGCGATACTGCAGCATCCATCGGAGGTAGCAGCGAGCATGAATTTGGCGATCGCTCCACGTAAAACTCCTCCACAAAATCCACGAGTGTTTCGATGTCCCTGATGTTGGTCATGGCACCCAAACTAGCCCTCAAAATACCAGTTGGACGCCCATCCATCAGGTCATTGTCGTCTCCACAGCGCAGTCCATTGGAATAGTGTCGGATCATGTCGGGCCCAGTCCACCCAAGGCTATCTGCCGCACCCCCTGGGTTGCACAATGTTCCGGACCTGATCTGGATTTTCTTGACGCTTGCAAGTCGTTCGACTTCGGACTTGCCGATCCAAGCACCTTGGCTACTGCGGAGGTTGAATGCAAGAATTGGGCCTTGCGTCGACGTATCCTCGAAGTCCACATCAGGGGTCATATAGAACTGGAACACTTTCTGCCCGTTGAAATGCGTCAAGGCAGATAGACGCTCGTATAAAGCCTTGGCTAAGTACCGCGTGTGGGACGAGATATTCGCCATTGAACCAAAAAGACGAGCATGGGTATCGAAAGCGGCATCGAGTGCAATGATACTGTGGAATGGGAGCGTCCCATCCTCCAATCGTTCATGGATCGAGGTCTTCTTTGCATGCCATTGCATTCCCTGGGTCAAGACCAGATCCACCGTTCCACCGCCGAAAAACCTTCGTTTATCGAAAACGTGGCCTGCACGTTTCCGAACAATCAAGGCACCTAGATCGGGAAATCCGAAAATCTTATAGAAGCTGAGAACAGTAAAGTCCGGCGCAGCCGATGCATCGCTCAAATCCAGTGGCGAGGTCGATACCAGCGACGCCGCGTCCAGAAGCGAGTACCTGTCTCCAGCATCCCCATCTGTATTTCGAATTTGCCTACACCAGCGAACAGGGAATCGACGACCATTCATGTTCGACTGGGCAGGAAACGCAAACAGCTTCGGCCCCTCGTCTGGACTAGCATCTGAATCTGAAATCCATGTCTCGACTTCTTCATCGGACATGAAGCACCTACTTCCCGCATCTGCCACTTCGCGCGCCCCAACCAAGCTAGTGTGGGCTTCAACGTGGTACCCATACCAGAAGCCCTTTGGAGTTGCGTCGCGAAACGAATCGACGACTAGCTTGATCGCAGCCGTGGCATTTGCAACGAACACAAGATCAAACTCCTCCGGATCAGCATTGAAGAAGCGGAGAGCCCGTAGACGAATATCGTCTATTCGCTGCGTCGATAGCTGAGACGACGAGGACATGGAATGTGGATTCCCAAACAAGTTGGAGGTGAGGTCCCGTGAGAAGGACTCAATCAAAGACTTTGCGTACAGAGTAGTTCCTGCATGGTCCAGATATGTAGTATCTGGGTAGGAAGTTCAGTATAGAGTTCTTGCTCCCATGCAGGATGTGCACAACGCACCTTTAAGATGAGGATATTCGCGTTCTCGAATGAGATCCACATCTTCCTTGTATCCTTTGCAGTACTCCGTTCGCTGTTCATCATTTGTTCCGACCGTCATTGTGAACGACAGAAAGCGTGGGTCGATGTCAAGTTAAAGATATGTCAATTACAGCGATCAACCTAGCTGGTATCTGCTTAAGAACCAGGTGGCGATATAAAGGGATATGGCACGTTAGTCAGCCATGGGCGTCGGGAATGCACGTTGAATGGCAAGTGCTGCTGGCAGCGAGAAGACGATTAATATGCAGTAGGTAGAGACTTTGAGGAAGTCAAAGTGGGTGGTATTGTCAAGCTATTTGAGGTAGTCGAGGTGGATGTTAAGATAAAAGACCAGGTCGGAGCTTACCGACGGAGAGCTCCTCTCTGAGACAAGTTACCCATAGCAGATCAAGGCCTTTGAAGCTACCGAAGAAGAGGAAGGAAAAGAAAAGAGATCGAGATGGTCGATGGGATCTGTTTAAAGCACTAGCAGGTTTGCTGCATCGAATGATGAGAGGTGTGTGATGCATCAATGGTAGGATGCTCTTCGTGCCCAAGCGCGTCCCCCACTTTTGCCTCCTTATCGGGAGTGGGGTTCGGAAGCCACCGATGGGCGTGGATTTACCTGTCGGTGGTGGTGGGTTTGGTTAAGGGAGGTGGCAAATCTTGCAGACACGGAGCTCAGGTTATCGACACGCTGGATGCACGGGGATGCTGCGGTCTTTATGTTGCATTTTTACCACTGAGCTGAAAAAGGGTCAATCCCAGTTAACTAGGGTAATATGCGTAATATATAGCTCTTCTCACTGCAACACTTTATTCATGAGATCTGGCTAAAAGAATAAACCAGGACCGTTGATTCAGAAGGATTTGGTTGTTGCATGCGGGAAACGAGAAAACGCAAAACAAAAAAAAGATCGTCAGCGACAGGACTCGAACCTGTGCGGGCGAACCCAATAGATGAGATAGATGAGATCCATTCTAGTCTATCGCCTTAACCACTCGGCCACACTGACTTGCTTGTTAACATTGCTCATTTTAATGGGTTTTAGTCTAAGGCAATGTTCCATCCAAGAAAATCGAGTGCACTCGCCCAATAGCATAAAGAGCTCACCACCATGGCTATTTAGAAAATGCCACTTTACCACCTTCCATAGTGAGCATGCTAGCTTCATATTATCCTAGTGAAAACGATAAGATAAATATCTTGATTTTAAACCAAAAAAGAAGAGGGGGGGTGTCCCCAATTGTCTTTTGAGTGACCAAGTGATACTGTTCGGAGAACCAAATAGATGCTGGTCGAAAGCATCACTTTTAGTATACTGCAGGAAGATTAACCCGCTATCAGCCCACGAGAGAGGTAATTACATGATTTTCCATTGTTATATACTCATCTAATCAAATTCCATTCAGCTATACACGTGATTAAAAGCCTGTAGCTGCACTCGACAGAGAAATCCAAGGGGATGATGACGTAAGACCCCGCAAAAAGTACCCCTCATAAGTCACTTCCGGTGGCGAAAACGTCAGGAACGCTCTAGTGGTTTAGTAGTATGACACTACCCTCCCATGCAGGTGCAAGCCTGTGTATCCTCTGGGCAAGGTAGAGACTCGGGTGCAAATCCCGGCTGGAGCATCTTCCATTTTCTTTTTTTTTTCCATCCCATCCATCGTCTTCCTCTCTCTCTCTCTCTCTCCCCCCTGGTTACTTCATTTACAGCCTCCTATTATTGTTTGTTCTTCCTCTCGTATACGCTTTTTATGATGTGTTCTTCGACATGTTTCTCAACAGATTATCAATCAAGGCGTGGCTGAGTAGCAGACTCGATCAACATAACATATATTAATCACATCGACAACTAAGATGGCAGACAGGTCACGGAGACAGACTCGTATCCATTACGCTTACCAACGACCTCAAATCCCATCAAATGCATTTTGAACTAGCCTTGGAAACCAAATAACCAACTAACTAACATATTGTCTGTCATGTGTGTATACAGATCGCGGCGTGTAGTTACTCCGAATGAAAACCGGCTGGACTGGACTGGACTGGACTGACTAGGCCGAGCGGACAGACCTCAATCAAAACCAACTGACCCCTGACGGTCTTTAAAATCCCAGAGGAGAGGGAATGACCGGGAGTCTGGTATATTATTCTATAGGGACTGGCTCGGCTGCCTAATTAGTGAGTGACTGACTCTATCTATTGAGACGCCACAGGGAAATAGCACCTATCTTGAAACCGAGAAAGCTCAAATGTCAAATTATATCCATTGTACAGTACATTCAATTGAAAACACTAAGCGGTATCATGGAGAGATACTTACTTTAGATCCAGCCAAACAGCAGCCATGATCCAAAATAAGCAGGTCAGTCGCCTAGGTTAGTAGGCCGTAAAGTAAACTATTACATACAAAATCAGATGGAGACTGGACAAACAAAAGCAGAATCAAAGGCAAAAACGGAGACGTCTTCTGTCCTGTATGTAGCAGCATTATCATAACTCGTGGGGGTCATCAGTCAGTCAGTCACCTGTGTCGTAAATCGAAGAAAAAAACATCACCAGTCCAGATTTTCGTCCATGCTTCCTTGCTCTTTTATCTTGTTGGTCCTTCTTTTCTCCTGTGCCCTTGCTCTGATGAGATTCGTTGCTCGTTCTTCATTATCCTATATCCATATCCATATCCGTGTTCATGTCCAGGTCCATATCCATGTAACCCATGCCCATCAATCATGTCCATATAAATCATAATGTTTTTCTTCTTCTTTATTTCTCTTTTCAAACAAAAACCGAAAGAGGCAAGCACGCTCAAACCACATATTGCGGTCGTCGCGAACTCGAACTATGACGACGGTGGCCGCCATGGCCACGACGACTGCTGTGGCTGCGTCGGCGCACATGCGTTTCCTTGACGACAACGTCGCTGCGGTTATACATGAACAGGGCCCAGAAGGCGGTCCACGAGAAGAAGACGACCTCCATGATGCCGAACGCAAACGAAGCCTTCAGCATAGCGCAATGCTTGTTCATGTCCCTCGAGAGCGGGTTATCGGTGCGGTAACCGTAGGAGCCGAACGGGCCCAGGGAGACCCAGACGGAGCCGCCGTTCCAGTGCGAGCAGTCGGCATTGGCAATGAAGCGCAGCTGGTAGACGCCGGCGATGAAGGCGCCGAAGAAGAGGAGGTCGACGAAGGCGACGAAGATGGCAGAGCGCTTGGTGGTGGAGTGTCGGATGAGGGTGTCGAAGCACCAGAAGACGGCGATGACGCTGACGATGAAGAGAACGAGGATGTAGGTGGGGGTGATGATGTTTGCTTTCAGGTATCCGTCTACAAAGTAGGCCTGTGGAGGGTGGTTAGCGAGGATTGAGAATGGACGGGACAAAAAGAACCGGAGTGGCACATACCAGCATGCCAATGATGGGGATCAGGAAGACAATCTCCACCAGGCGATTGAAGATGAAAAATAGACTGCCAATCATTTTGGCGGGTCGCGAATCGATACCAGGCTAGATAAACTCCGGAATGTCGGTTGAGGGATGATAAGATCGCGAATCACAGATCAGAGAGATACTGGATGGCTGCAACGTCATGCCCAGCAGGAGGTGAAAGGAAAGAAGAGAGGCAAGGAACGACGAGTGTCGGCAGATTGAGAGACCGGAGCCTGGAACTTTGTCGCTGCTGATCGGATGCAGGCCAGCTCAGAATGCTGCACGAGGGAGGAGTGGACCACAAAGAAGGTGGAAAAGGGGGATAGATAGCCACGCGCAGACCTGCAGCTAGAGCGAAGAATTTAAACAACGAGGGGGATGAGAGAAAAAAAAAGTGACGATGAGGAGGCTGGGATGCGCGGGGTGGCTGGGGATTCAGCCTGGTGGAACTTGGGCCGAACGTGAATCGCTGCACGACACTTCGGCCCTGACATCTCGTAGATTTGAATGCGCCAATCAGGAGGGAAGCTAGGGACATGCTAACAGATGACCTTTTCCTCGGTTGCAGGCCGGTCATCCTCGAGGATTGCTCTGGAGTACTACCGCGTAGAGTATACTTCGTAGACCGTGGTGTTTAGCCGGGTGGGGCGTCACTCCCGAGTCGGTCGGGAGTCTAGAGCCACGGATCGAGGAAGTCAATGCCTTCACGCAGTAACCAAAACAAAATAAACAATCTCTAGTCGTACAAGATCGCAGGACTGTCTGTCCCGTGCCAGATCCACTTGTCCAGAAAATATCCACTGTTGCGGCCCAAAAGTTCCAGTATGTCTCATCCAAATACATCATTAATGGTCTTCGCTTTCCCAATTCCAATATGATCGTCACAGTCGTGGCCCTGGCAACTTGGCAGGACATGCCTACGCATTTCGCTAGAGCGGTCTATGAAACAAAACATAAATGCCACAGATGTCATCCCAACACCTACAATAAAACAATGAACATAACCGAAAATTGATTGCAATGCGCCCGTATTACACTTCGCGAGGAGGCACGTCGGTCAATTCGCGCCCGGGACCGGTGCGCGATGTCATTACGGCCGGCGGTGCGCGGAATCCAGCGTCGGGAGCTGTCTGGGAGGGATAGGCCGTTTCCTCGTAGTATCGCGGTGCGTTGAATGCCGGGTTTTGGGCCTGGGCGTAGCCATGCTGCATCTCGTACCCATCCGCAACATCCTCGCTAGACGAGGACCAATTCCCGTCGTCGTCGTGCGGTCGGCGCCCGTAGGCCTCCGTGGCGTAAGGATTACCGGTCGCAGAGGTATACGTCTGGTTTCGCGAGAGTCGGTGGTCGGCGGGCCCTCGAGTTCCAGGTAGCGGAGGCGGCGGATCGAGTCTCTCCTCCTCCGGGTTTCGCAACGCCGCGGTGCTCTCGCTGCCGACGCCATATCGGCCGGGGTCGTTTGGAGAGGCCGGCTCAGCTCCCCACGTGCGAATGGGGAACGCTCGTCCCTTTTTCCAGGGCTGGCTAAGCGGCGGGAAATATTGATGGTACGAGATGTAGGCACAGACAACGCCCAGAAGCGATCCCGTGATTACATCGAACGGATGGTGTCGCGCGTCCATAATTCGAGACACGGCAATCAACGTGGCGGCAAGACAGGGGATGATGACGATGAGCGCCTTCCAGACTTCACCTCGGTTATCCATGAAATGCAGCTTTCCTGCCAGCCAGAGCGCCAAGTAGAACAGACCGGCAAACGAGGCTAATGCGATGATAAGATATATGATTAGCATTGAAACAAGCGAAATATAACCAGAACAGGGTTGAGTTCTTACAGCTGCTATGGCCTAAAAGCATGGGTTAGCATACCCGATTCACAAACAGTAAGGAAAAAGAGAAACACACCTGACGGCCACGAACGAAAACCGTCCTTGATAATTGCCGGGTCGCCGGTACAGATCGAAGAATTCGACAAGCCGTACATCGCTGCATCCGCACTCCCTGCCCGAGGCTGACACCGATCGATGATATCCGGCCGGGGTTTCCCGCACGCATTCTTCAAGGCCTGGGTAATCAAAAACGCCAGACCCTGCGAAAGCAACAAACCCAGGAAGCCGCAGTTGAACTCCCACAACCGATCCTTCAAGCGGTATGGGCCCGACAATTTCCGTTTACCGGTCACGGGATCCTGCGGCTTGTTATGCGAAAACAACCCATCCACAAGAAGTGTGTAGACAGCGATTATGACCAAGGGTGCGACGCCCGAGATAAGTAGGGCCATCGGGATCGAAACTCGTTCAGGATCGGCATAGGGATACTGGAGCGAAATGTTCTGCAGCGAGAAACGTTGATGGTACGGTTCGATTGAATCGAGAATATAGAAACCGGCGATGCAGGCACTGTCGGGCGGAAAGCGATCGTTAGCAACCAGAGAGACTCCCGTGGGCGGAATCGGAATGGGACGACGAACACGAGGATCACATAGTCGAGGATGTATCTGGATATCGCAGGCGAAAATTAGCATCGGTCTGGGTAAATCCATCGCGCACAGGATCTAGAAACTCACGAAATAATAACCCTCGGTCGTAGACGCCGCTTCGAGAAGGGCAGTTTAGAGGGAAGTCGGTCCATTTGCTAGCGGTAATTGGAGGAATACCCCATAAACGACTAGATTAACGGACTGGGGGGGCATTAGAACAGAATGAATCCCGATCGCCGATTGGGGCCGAACCTGGGAAACAACGTCGCAAGGAAATGAATGCACACGAATTCCAATGACGGAATCAATTCAATTCAAGTCAACCCGGGGTAGCCGTGAACCTGCGCGGCAAACAACGGGACTCGCCTCTTAAGGGAACAAAAATGTAGGGGAGGCGGCAGAAGACATCAACAGACATGAGCAGGAATCATGAAACAGGAGAAAGAAAAAAGTCAAAAGGCACAGAATCAAAGGAACCGGGAGGAAACACGCATGCCCGCGGCGACCGGCAGCTTCAGGCAGCTGTGGTTGAATGAATTGTGGCTTGGACGGGGCCCCTGTCACCAAAGTACAATTAGCCCCGTTAGTCACGAACTTAGTTGGCCCTCAGTTGATAAGCGCCCAGATGCCCGGCGGGTCTTGGAGGCAACGGCCAAGAGGCTTTGGATTTGGGATTCGTCAGACTATGGGGTTGACCCTCCCAAGTCTGGACCCTTTCTGGCCGTCCCCGGTGGATCGTCCAGGGGATGTCGGTTACGGCGTATGGAGTAAGTCGTCATGGCGCACCAAGTTGTAGGTGTTCTTCGTCAATGCGACCGACAAACCGTACCACCACGGTCGCTCAAGGATGGAAGGATTCAAGATCATGGAAGGATTCAAGATCATGGAAGCGTTCAAGTCTTGGACAGGGAAGGCTGAGCGACGGCTGGAGTGGTGGATCTGCGGCCACCTTGCCTCATCCGGACGCCAAGTGGCATCCTTAGGCAGCATCATAAATAGAACGATGGATGGGGAGCCAGCAGTGCGGGCAGCTACCTGACCTACGATGTACCAGAGTAGATATCTCTGGCACACTATTTTAAGGAGAGAGAAGGAGCAAGAATTAATTGAGACCCAATTGAATTTGTATAGTACACTAGCTATGGCTGCTTTTCGAAGTGGAGGATACGCCACTTCCACTCAAATATCAAATTAAGATCCGAAATAAGTATGGCTGATCTGATCAGTAGTCTGATCGCCGCGGTCATCCGACACCAATTAACTTGGAGAATGGAGAATAAAAAGGAATGACTTCATCGCAGTAATAAAAAATCGTATGGTCCAAAAAGAGAAGCAAAAGAATTCAAAACAACATTATGGGTCCATGACTCATGGTCGCGTGTCGGATGATCTTGTATTATCGTGTCCGTCGGATTTAGCAGACGGTGATGTACAGACCAAGAGGAGAGGGGTTGTAGTCCTCGAAGAAGTCCAGCTCGGTGCTGCCGGAGTTCTTCATCTGGTAGCTGACAGCCTCGCCGGCAGGGCACTCGAAGGTGGAAACGGTGTACGAGTTGCCGGGCGAGATGGTGAACTGTCCCAGGTCCTCCTTGACTCCGGGGGCGTTGCTGTAGGAAGTCGACTCGTCGGCAACCGACTCGAGGGAGGCGAAATCAACCTTGCCGTCGCCGCTGAAGCTGTAAGAGGAGGTCTCGAGGTCTTCCTTCTTGGGGAAGAGGAAGACGAGGCTGCAAGTCTTGCCGGAGTCTTCCGAGGGGATGTCGAAGTTGAAGATAGTGGAGACGGACGAAGAGACAGTGCCGTTGTACGAGGTACCCGCGGCGTCATCCGGCGAGGACGAGTCGACAGGGACGATCAAGTGAGGGTATTCATAGTCGCCGGAGAGATCCGTAGGGCAGCTGCCACCAGAGGACTGGGTGCCAGAGGGTTGAGCGCCGGTCTGAGATGGCTGAGCGCCAGTCCCGGAGGGTTGAGCGCCAGTTCCGGAGGGCTGAGCTCCAGTTCCCGACGGCTGAGCGCCAGTCTGGGTGGGCTGGGGTCCCGTCGCAGTCTCAGATGGCTGAGCGCCAGTGGGAGTTTCGGGAACGCCAGTAGTACCAGGAACGCCGGGAGTACCAGGGATACCAGGGGTGCCAGGAGCACCAGGAGCACCGGGAGTGCCAGGGACACCAGGAGTACCGGGGACGCCGGGGGCGCCAGTGGTTCCGGGAGCACCGGGAACGCCGGGGGTACCAGGGACACCGGGAACGCCAGTAGTGCCAGGAGCGCCAGGAACGCCGGGAGTGCCGGGGACGCCAGGGGTGCCAGGAGCACCAGGAGCACCGGGAGTGCCAGGGACACCAGGAGTGCCAGGAACACCGGGGGCGCCAGTGGTTCCGGGAGCACCGGGAGCACCAGGAGCACCGGGAGTGCCAGGAACACCAGGGGCGCCGGGCAGGGTAGCCGAGTTAGTCGGGCAGTAAGTGGCAGTCACCGTCGTGTGGATCGTAGAGGTCTGGTCCGCGGGGGGCGCAGAGCCGCTAGGTCCAGCGCCGGGGACGCCAGGAGTGCCGGGGACGTTGGAAGGAGCAGGAGCGCTACCCGATGGACCGGGGGCATACGGGGGCACGGAGGCGCTCGACGACGGGTAAGGAGGCACAGGGATGCTGCTGGATCCGACCACAGGGGTCGACGAAGGGGCAGGCACAGAGCTGGAGCCGGAGCCGCCAGCGCCGGAGCCGGAGCAAGAGTCAGCGGTCAGCTTGATGTCTTCACAGCCGGTGGCATCTTCGCTCTCGGAGGTGTAGATGTTCATTCCACCGTTCTGGCCGGTCTTGCAGGCAACAAATTCGTTGTCGCCCTGGTACGAGAGCTGGCCCTCCGAGTTAATAGAGAAGCCAGGCGTGGGAGTAGCACCCTCATCGCATTGCCACTGGGTAGTAGGACCTAAAAAAGTTCAGATATTAGCTAAGGTTCATTGGCATATGGAGTTCTTCCTGCTTACCGGTCACGATGCATCCGCGGCCGTTGGCATCGGTGATGGCACCGTTGGAGTCGATGCAGAACTGAGCCTCGTCGAGATCACCGTAGACACGGTTCTGTCCATCATCAAGCTGGCCAATGGAGCCCGAAGCACCACCAGACGACTTCAGATGGAAGCAGCAGCTGTTGCCTCTGCCCACAAGGGCGTTGGCACCGGCAGCGAAAGCTGCAACGGTAACGAAGTTTCTCATTTTTCAGTAAGCGAACGTGAAAGCAACTGAAAGCGAATGAAACGGTCGAGTGAGATGACTGAGATATGTATGTATATTTTTTTTTGTAAATATAGACCGTGTTTTTGGTTGAGCTGCGAGAAGCTTAAGGTTGTTCACAAAATTCAGGAACAAGAGGACGCTGGATACTTATAGAGGATGGTGGATACGTGAAGGAAGGACGTGGGAATCATCGGTAAGCTGGACAGAGTAGGTCAATCAGGTCTGACCCCCCTCCCCACGTCGAGCGAAAATAGAAACAGAGGCAGAGCCAGTTGGGATGCATAGGCGAACATCATTGACCATGGAATTAAGGTGTGGATGACCGCCGTTGACCCAGTTTAACATGTCAGAACAAATAAACAAGCTGCCAGTTGTCCGAGAAAGCCCGGGCCTGGAAGCCTTCGGAATCGTAGGACAATGAGGAAGACGTCATGCACCTAAGCCATTGTGGAGAGAACCGTCCATGAGAGAGGTAGTTTTGGAAGTTGGCTGTGAGATAGAAGCCATATCAATGGCCAAGGCGACGCAGGGCACAAGCCATCGGTGGATCCGGACCCATCGGGAGGGCAGATGGATCGGCCAGGAAACCCTGCCCTGGTCATGGATTCTCGATTCACGGTTCTCAGGCAGCGACTGGCGACTCAAGTGGCAATATCAATTGCAAACCACGGAACCGTAGACGAAATCCACCACACAGGCACCGACAGAATGTTTTTTTGGTGGTTATCTGCGCGGATAGAAGCCGGAGCACCGTGGATCGCCGATTCTATCCATACAGCCTCCCCCAACGAACGCAAGCACCGGGTTGGATGGAAGACGTCGGAATCCGTTCCATGCCCACGCAATGGAGGGCCTGATCCAAGTACGATCCACGCAAGTCTTAGAAGATGGTGGGGTGAGGAGACCTATCGTCTGCAAGCCAGATTCAAGTCAGTTGCTCGGAGGCTGCTTAGGTGCCTTGCATCATTGGGTCTACAGAAACCCGATCTCTCCGCCGAAAAACCTCCACGACCAAGCTCCGTTGGAAGGAGGGGGTGCGTCACGGCGTGTTGCCGAGCAACATTGGCCAAGATCCATCGGGGGACAACAGTCGACTATGACTGCATCTCATGTTGACGTTGAGGTGTCTTGGATGATCAGGAAAGCGGCGAAGAAACGCCGCGCAAGAGAAGGCGAGCAGAGCATGGAAAGAAGTGGACCGACACTCGCCGGACAAACTGTGCCCCCGGGACTATGACGACACCGCCCGCCAATGGCACTGCTTGTGCTGCTCGACTATCCCCAATCCCCCCTAGCCCCTGATTACCTCAGCCCGATTAATTATTCATTCGTCTTGTTCCCTTTATTCATCGCAGTTTTGGTTCAGGAAGGTTCCCATGTTGATCCAGTCCTCGCCACGTCATGGTTGGCCTGGACCTCCTCCGAGAGATTCCTTTGCCAGGAAAAAGAAAAGCAGCGCTGCTCCCTACGGCATACATCCAGGCATTATGCAACTGTTGCCTAAGCCCATGCCTCCCGCAGTGCAGAGTATATATAGAAACAAACACGGCCTGAAGAGAACCAGTCACAATCCCTGACCTCGCTCTTGGCCGTGTCAAAGGCCTCGGGACATAAGCTTTCCCCGAATGCTGGGTGGGCTTGTTTTCGGTTTTTCGATCCACCTTTTGGTTGGTGAATTGAAAGCCCTAAATCGCTCTTTACAAATCCATGCGTACGCAGTATACCGCAGTAGTACGAGTCTCCATTTCTCCCTCCACTGTATTCCGTACTCCGTAGTAGGACCAAAGAACCCTTGAATCTGCCCCATAGAGGGATGATGAAAGCAAAGGGGGGCTCAATGATTTGATCCTCAAGTATGGTTCAATTATAATCTGAAACACTTCTTCTTAGAATTTCTCAACAGGGAAGCAGTGCCATTGGGTGGCTCCAATGCTCAGTCATACAATCGGAGAAACGGCCTCGACGCCGTTCAAGCCGCCAACCAGACGTGAAAAATGTGATTCACAAAGAGGGGAGGGGAAAAAAAAAGAAAAGAAAAACGAAAAAGCCCTTCTCCCCACAGCTCATGGTGTATACTCGAGTAGGCAAGTGTCTCGAGCGGAAGTAAACTTTGCGTCGCCCAAGACCGAAGTATTATCATCATCGACATGGGCCCACCGTCCAACTCGCCTGTCCGAGAGTGCCGAGTCTGCGAGAGTACGAGAGCAGGCTTGATCTCGGTCCGTGTTGTTTTTCCTTGTTATTGATAGATGATGTCTGTCTTATCCACTTTGCTTTTGTTTTCTTGCTTTTGTTTTCATTTTTTTTATCATTCTATTTTTTCTTTTCCTGTTCCATATGATGGCTGGTCTGATTGTGGCCGCGTAAGAATTCGCATGCGTCATCTATAAGCCTCAGGATCAGACTTGTGTTTTTTCTTTTCTTTTTTTTTCTTTCCTTTTTCTTTTTTTCTTCTTCTTTTGTATTCGTATTATTTGTCGGTTTCCCGGTTGCCTTGAAGAGTATTAGAAGTTCGGGTCAAGCGTGGAAGATGTCCGATCTATACGACGTACATGGTCTGCATCACTCGACGTCAAGCTTTCCCGGTCGAATTTGGTCACCGATCACCAAGCCTTGCTTCATTTTCTGTAGATCCATGAAAAGTCTTACAATGTGCGATTGATAGTAGCGATGCCGAACCTGTCTCAGTCCGACCTGCACTCGTATGCGCTTCCGACGTACCCCTCAAAACCTGCAGTTTCCCGGATCATCGGACGAAGCATATTGTTGCCCAAAATAAATAAGACATTGACGTATATGCAGTGCATGCATACCACCGCGCAGCCTGATTCGGTATGTTTTCCACACTCATACTCTGCTTTTCCTCTCCCCTCATCCAGGCCTTGCCTACAGGTGCAGCTCACGGTCTAGGTAAACTTAAACTATCTGCGTGATAGCCATGCATTCATCTACTGTAGCAAGGGCCTGCCTCGCGGTCCCACGAGAAACTATCCATAGCTCAAACCATGTAATCTACTCCGCACCGAGGTCGTATTCTTTGAACAGGCGATTAGCCCTCACTCCACGGCAATGCGGAAACGCAGCAGATCCTGCGCTAGGATCTCATCGAACCTGTTCTCCAGCTCCTTCGCATCTCACTTGCAGGACAAAAGGCGACCCATTCAGCGACTCCCTGGCTTTAGAGTTCTCCTCCCTCGTCAACCAGACGCAGAACGCACCTACTAAGTTGGGGTCAGGGTAGGTGTTGTGTGGGGGGAGGGGACGAAGTTGCGGAGGTCGAGGGCGTTGGATTGGCTTTTGGTTGGGGGCATGGTGGTTCGGCCTGGCACTGTTGCGATTGATTATAAGGGAGAGCTGGGTGATATCGTTGAGTTTGAATATGTAGAATGATCTTCTTAAACCAAGACCGGTCTAATTAACATGCTTGGTGTTACGCGGAGATAGATAGCACTAATTCATATTGGAGTCATCGTGATTGTAAGTGAACCGGTCTTATCACTTAGGTCCAATGCCATTGTGGAAGCTTTTGGCATCATGACGAGAAGCTGTGTTGTGGCAACTGTAAACTCGATCAGTGTTGGTATAAAAGCTAGTCGATCTATTTATATTAGTAGCCACTGGGGGTGGACGTGACACTCACTTGGGTGGCTGTCACTTACAAGAAAAACCCCTAAATTCCGTCAATCGTGAACATAAAACACATGTATACATCCAGAAAGAATGTAAAATATTGGTCTGAGATCCTTAAAGCTGAGCGACAAGCCCTAAATTCCATACTGGTTGATTGACCTGAACCAAGGGCTGAGACATATCTAATGAACTAGAACACTGGAGGCTATGGATATATCAATGTTAAACCATACCGGTTTTATTTGATTATATATATGACTTTCTTAACAATTTACGCTTGCAGGCCGATGCTCAACATCTGCAGTATGTTGGCGGTGAAACGTAACTGCGATCCCACGGATTCAACATCACCACAACATGTAAGTACCCAAGGTTGGGCCCAATACATACTGTCGATGACAAGAAGGGAAAGCCGTCAGAGAGCCCCCAGATTCAATCTTGGAATTTTTCGGTCAGTTATACCACGTGCCATGATATAACCATGATATATGAACGAGATCCCCGAAAGAACCCGTCAATATCCAAATTCCGTGGACGCTACTAGACGATAGCATTGCATCGTAATCCAGGCATATATTGAATGCATTTCGGGTATCTGAATTTCTAGGTCTATACTGTTTATACCAAGCTACCTCATTCGGGCAGCTTTAAATTTGCTCACTTTCTTGGGAGCCTCTTCGGTCTCGATGGGAACCATTTCAGGCTCGTTGTCCACGAAACCCTCGTTCTCCTTGATACGCCGATTTCTTGCGCGATAGAATTCACTTGCGATTTCTTTTCTGTGGAGCTGCTCGTCGAGCTCGTCTGGCTCGGGAGGGGCGGCGGCGCCTTCAGAGATGTCACGTTCGACGAGGGTATCCGCCAGGATCTTATCCTTGGGCCCCTTAGGGGTACGTGGCTTTTCGTCGATATCTTGAATAGGCTGCGAGAACGGCTTAGGCTCGGCTGGTGTGGCAGGGAATAGGGGCAGCGATGAGGACGGTGGTGCTGATGACGTTCCTGAATTCCGCTGTAACACACTAGAACTGGGTGCGCTGTCTGAGGCAACCACTGGTGCAGTGCTTCCTCCCGCAGAGCTTCGCGCACTCTTGAAACGGGAGGCCTTCTTGGGCGCAGCACTTGGCGTTGGGTCCTTTGCGACCGGCTCTGTACGTTCAACAATTGAGTCGGATAGAACCTGTACGTCTGACTGCCTGGGCGGAAGAGTTTTCTTTTCCGCGGTTGGAGACTTGGGAGCGGGAGCAATGTCCAGCTCATCAGCAAAGGCAACCTTCTTCTTAGGCTTCTTTCCTGCAACGGATTTACCCGTCTCCTGAGGAGGCTCTTCAATTCGGACCTTATGAGGTTGTTGAAGCTCTTCTCTCACCTCCTCGGGTAGCGAACCAGTATCTTTGCCCATGTTATACATTCCGCGCGCATTCAATTTAGCCTCCAGCTCGCGCATTTGTTGGTGATAATTCTCGTCCAAGACAGACCGTGTGCTCCGACCGAATTCATCTTCTTCCTCGCTTTCTTCATCGTCGTCATATGCGTATACGTCGGCGTCTTCGTCAACCGAGATGTCACTAGCACCCTCGTCCAGCTCAAGTTCCGCAACAACAGCGCCAACCTCATCAAGACTGTAACGAAGCATCTCGCTACGAAGTTGAGCATCTTCAGGGGATTCATCGACATTGGTAACAGGGCGCTCCTGGCGGCTCTCGGCTGACTGCGACGTAGCAGGTTCGTCTTCGAAATGATAGGTTCGGGGACCATCGTCGCTATCCATAGAATCGGGGGTGAGGATGCCTGTATGACCGGGTGCGGTTTGGTCCTCATTGTTCGTCGAGTCTGAGGCTTCAGTCTTTGCCTCATTCTGAGAGTCTTGCTGCACCTCTGCCTGGGTGTTCGTCTGCGAATTATCTGGCACATCCTTCACGCCAGCCTTCTGCAAAAGTTCCAAAAGATCGCCTGCCTCATTTCCAGGTGTATTGGTTGAGCTGGAAATAATGTTACCATCCTCATCCAGGTTTTCGACAATTTCCGTCATGGGAAAATCGGCCGTGGGTTCCGATGGGAGCCGCTCCATTGCATCCAGGTCTTGTAGTTTGTTTTCCGCTGCCCGTAGCATCTTCTCTAAAGTCGAGACATTTTGCTTCACGGTGTCGAGCCTCCTGACGATAAGTCGGATCACTTGTTCTTTGCTGCGAGTAGCATCCTGCCCTTCGACGATCGCGGCGAGTTCCTTTTCATTCAGTAAGGCCCAGTCGTAGTTGCGACCCACTTGAAGGAAATCATCTGGAGTCGCAGTATCATCCAGCTCGCCAAATTCTTCCGTCAAACCATCGTATTCCGCCTCCTGTGTCCTCCATCGGTAGAGGGATTTCTGGAGTTCCAGAACATTGACTTCGAGTTCGAGGCGCTGACGTTCGAGGTCTTGCAGATCACCGTTAGGGACACCCATATTGAGTGATTAAGAGAGCCAGGATACGAAATGGTTTATGCGCAGCTGCGCAGCCAGAGAATGCAGTGATCGAGGGGTGAAGTGGGAGAGAAAAATGAGGAAAGAAGGACTTTTGGCGGCGACAAAAGAAAAGTTTCCGCGCGGAATCCCCCGCCGACGCGTCTGATTGGCCGATTGGGGAGAACCCGCCGGATTGATCAGCCAAGACGCCCAGTGATTGAACTGTTCAAAGAAAGTACTCGCGTCATCGTCCTGGGTTCGCTCGGTTTCTGCAGGTTTGCGCTTGACTTGGTCCATAACTATACTCGACGGTTTTTCGCGGTCATGCCTCCTTCTCGAGAATCCATGTCTCATCGCGGAGATGACGATGGTAAGGCTCTTTACGCATGTCCCTTATGAACAAAGAACCTCCAGCTAATGAATCCCAGAGGTCTGTCCTGTCTGCAAATCCTCGCGATACCTCAACCCTGATATGCGCTTTCTTATCAACCCAGAATGTTACCATAAAATGTGCGAGTCCTGCGTCGATCGGATTTTCTCCTCCGGTCCTGCCAATTGTCCCGTGGCCGGGTGCCACAGGACCTTGCGCAAAGCCAAATTCCGAACGCAGACTTTCGAGGATATTCAAGTAGAAAGGGAGGTAGATATAAGGCGAGAGGTTATGCAGATGTAAGTTTTTTATGATCACCGGACTGATGGGCATCATCTAATCGCAACCTAGCCTCAACCGCCGCGAAGACGAGTTTGACTCCAAACGAGCATGGGACGACTTTCTCGAACAGCGGGAGGAGATTATCGCCAACCTGGTCCACGGCACCGACGTGGAAAAGACCAGGAAGGCCTTGGAGGAATATCGCACGGATAATGCCGACTCCATCAAGATGAACTTTAACCTCGCACAAAACGAAGCTTCGTCTTTCCGGGAACAGCAATCCTACGAGCAAGAGTTGGCACGTATGCGACGACAGGCAGCAAGACAAGAGTACGAAAAGGAACGACGAGAGCTGCTGGAAGGACGAGAAGACGTTCTTTCTCGTCTTGCTGCCGGCCAGCGGGGAGATGCTGCGGCGATCGCGCGAGAGGGCCGGAAAGTCTTGCTCAAGAAATCCTCCGCCCGGCGCAGCGAGGAGGAGCGTATCCGACAAAAGCAGGCTGCTCTACGCGGTTCCGACCCCAAGAATCCCGGAAAGGACCAGGCGGCTGCCAAAGCTGCAGACGCAAAAGGCCCAGGACTCATCAAAGGCCTCAAGAAAATCAAGACGCCAGAGCCGGAAAAGCCTTACGATCCGTTTGGTGGGCTGGTCCCGAACAAACGAGACTACTACACTTTGCGAGACCATTATCCATCCAGCTACCTGGACCCCATCAGGCAAGATACTCGTATGCAGGCTGGTGGATACGATCTTCGGGAATACTATTCCCGCACTCTGCTTGAGGCTTTTGCAGGACTGGGGTGCTTCATCGACGAAGAGATACCAAAGCGCGATGCATCGGACACACCAGAAGCTTCTAAACCCGCTGCGACCGAAGGCGCTGCAGTGGCTGCATCCTCAAGCGCTCCTGTGAAGACCGAGTAGTGCTATATACCGAGACATGGGTATGGATTGAACTATTTGATCAATCACATCCAGGCGAGAACCGTACAACTTTTTTCATATTGGAAGCATCCCCTTTTTGTTTTGGAGTTCAGGCAAAAGGATTGCATAGCGAAGGCGTTCTTATACTTTTGGAAGGATCAAGTTGACTGTATATCTAGTTATTATATTTAGAACATTACATTGTTTTCCAAAATCCTACACACTGGAGCTCATTGTCGGCTTCAGGTACGATACATCGTGGCCTCTGTTTGGCTGAAGACACGTACGTTATGCGGAGAAGGAAACCTACAACCTGTTCGCGAGATATAAATCAAGTTCAATAAATAGGCTCGACAAACAACGAAAAGATTTAGACATAGATGCAACGATAGGTATACACAACAAAGAAGAATAATAATCAAGCTCAAAAACTGGAGTAATATACATTGTCACCACAGCAAGGCCTTTTAAAACTTGCCACCCGTAATCTCCTCTCCAAGCTCCTTGACTCTTTCCTGGATGGTTCCCCAGCGACCCGATTCACTCCTTCTACCCATGTTGGTAATGCTTTGGAGCGAAGAAGGCGTGCCCAGGTTCCAGACATTCTCACCCGGCTGGTGGTCATTGCGCCACGCCGGGTTTTCGCCCTCGGGGAAGACCCGTTCGATCTCAGCCGCGAGCTGGGCCTCGGTGGTGATGAAGTTACGAGCATTCATGTACAACGTATGCATAGCGTCTTCCTGTTCCACCTGCTTCCGAGCATTGTGGGCCTCGAAGCGTGCCCGGGAGAGCGCAAGTCGTTCCTCTCGGGTCGGGTCGGGCAGGACGGCATTGCGATTGGAAAGCATGTGCTGGACGATGGAAGGACGAGTCAATTGCTCGTCCAGTCTGTCCGGCTGGTCCAGGACAGCCTGTCGCTGAGCCTGCTTTTTGGCACTCTCCTGCATCATGCGCTGATCCGTCTGCTTCTTCCGGCGGTGTAGTTCCGTGAGACCTTGTCGGAGGTTCTTTCTTCTCATATCGGCCATACGCCTCTTCCAGCCGATGTATTGGGCGTGCGGGTCATTCGGGTCGATTTCGACTTCCTTGGACGGAAGGGGAGTCGCGGCATCGAGGTACTCCTTGGACGGCTTGTCTGCTCGGCGGGCGGGGAAGAGATCGCGAGGAACAGGAAGGGTACCCTTCACACTGCGGTTGCGAACTTCGCCCTCCTGGATCATCTGAGGAACATCGATGTATCTGGGAGATTCGGGACCGGATCGAAGAGACGAGGACGAGGCGAAGCCACGGACCTGCACGGCGGCAGTCCGGCAGTTGCGGAGGAGAGACATGCTAAACAACCTCCGGTTACACCCCTAATGGCAGGGGGTTCGATTCAAATCGGAGGGGAGACACGGGGAAAGATGCTTTCCAAGCAGAGTGAGGAAATGCACCTCTTCGCAACGGGGCACAGACAGGGAATTGCGGAGCACCTGATGGAAACGCGGTTCTGTTGCGAGAGGCGGAAAAGATCGAAGCGGATTTTCTCGCGACTGGTCCGTGCACCACTAGCCTTGGCGCCCGTGTCAAAAGAAAAAAATAATTTCTCACGGGCAACCAACCTTTTCTCTCTTTCTTTTCTTCTTCTTCCTGCGCTCCGCCACTTTTTTTTTTCTACCCATTAATTCTTTCCCCTATTTTAAAAATTCTCTCTCGTAGAGAGTAGGATTCATCATGGGTACCGGAAAGAAAGAAGCCACTCGTAAAGAGCGGCAGGGGAAGGTTGGCGATGGCATGGGCAATGTCAAGGTCAAGGGTGAAAATTTTTACAGGTAAGGCAATCCTCATGTTGACTTGATCGCTTATGAATACTAACATGAAAAAAGAGATGCGAAGAAGTTGAGGACTTTGAACATGTTCAAAGATGGCAAAGCCCAACATGACGCTGCTGGAAATGTCACCAAGGCCGCCTCCTACCAATCCAGAGATGCCCCCGTTGCTAGGATCGAACCTCACCGTAAATGGTTTGGTAACACTCGAGTAATCTCTCAAGAGGCTTTGACCTCGTTCCGGGATGCAGTTGCCGAGCGTGCTTCCGATCCTTACCAGGTTCTCCTCAAGACCAATAAGCTCCCCATGAGTCTGATCAGAGACGGTCAAGGCGTCAATGGGCTGAAACAGCACGAAGCGAAAATGGCTATTGAGACGTCGCCGTACAGTGACACCTTTGGGCCCAAGGCTCAGAGGAAACGGGTCAAGCTTGGTGTGTCGTCGCTCGAGGATCTGGCTGGCGAGACGTCCAAGAAGCACGATGCCTACATCGAGAAGAACGACCAGGGCCTCCATGAAGATGGAACCCCTATTGTTTCGGGAGACACGAACCAGGAGGATCCTATGCTTGGTGAACACGCTATCTCTCGTGAAGCTGTCTTCCTGAAGGGTCAAAGTAAGCGAATCTGGAACGAGTTGTATAAGGTCATCGATTCGTCAGATGTTGTCATTCATGCACTCGATGCGCGTGATCCTGAGGGTACTCGCTGCCGAAGCATCGAGAAGTATATCCGCGAGGAGGCTCCTCATAAGCACTTGATCTTCGTGCTCAACAAGTGCGATCTTGTACCTACGGGTGTAGCGGTAAGTTTCATGTTGCCACTGCTTATTTTCCCCACTGTGTTTTTGTATTGTTCTTGTGTTTGCTTTTTGCGCACCGTTCGTGGTGTTATTACCTTTGATTCCAATCAGGCTTTACCCGCCTGTGCCATCGCTAAGTCAAGGCTTCTTCCTGCGACAGTATGTCGTGTTTTTCTCGATGGGAGTTTTGTCTGTTACAGCTTTGGTAGATTGACGCTGGCCCGCGCCGACCTTCTTTCTGAAGCTAGGCTGACTGGGTTTCGTTTTGAAAACCAGTCGTTAAGGGCTAAGTTGTGTTCCGTTTTTGAGTTGAGGCTTGCATCTGCCGTATGGCGGGCTTTCGTAGCAAGTCTCTTAGTAACGTTCCACACATTCTATTCGTTCCTTTTCTCTTTGTTTTTATTTTTGTTTTTTATTGCAATCGTGCATCTTGCCTACACTGGTGGACAATTACTAACTGGACACCAGGCTGCTTGGGTTCGTCATCTGTCTAAAGACCACCCGACTCTCGCGTTCCATGCTTCGATCAACAATTCGTTCGGTAAGGGGTCTTTGATCCAGCTTCTGAGACAATTCTCCTCTCTCCATACCGATCGTAAGCAGATTGCAGTTGGTTTCATTGGATACCCCAACACGGGCAAGTCCTCTATCATCAACACTCTGCGCAAGAAGAAGGTGTGCACTGTGGCCCCTATTCCTGGTGAAACCAAGGTTTGGCAGTACATTACCTTGATGAAGCGCATCTACCTCATTGATTGCCCTGGTGTGGTTCCACCAAACCAAAACGACACCCCCGAAGACATTCTGCTCCGAGGTGTTGTTCGAGTGGAGAATGTGGAAAACCCCGAACAGTACATGCCTGCTATCCTGAAGCGGGTCCAGCCGAAGCACCTCGAGCGTACGTATGGTGTCAAGAATGCCGAGGACCCCATCGAGTTCTTGAGTATTCTTGCCCGTAAGGGTGGCCGTCTTCTTCGCGGAGGAGAGCCAGATCTTGATGGTGTTGCCAAGATGGTCATCAATGATTTCCTGAGAGGCAAGCTCCCGTGGTACACTCCTCCTCCTTACACCCCTGCCGAGGGTGCTGAGGGCGAGAAGATCGAAGGCCGTGAAGGCAGACTCGGAGAGATGGGCCGGAAGAGAAAGCTTGACGAGACCACGCTGGAGGGCGCTGAGAAATCAAAGAAAGCCTCTGACAAGCCAGCTTCTGCGGCCGAGGACGATTTCGAGGGCTTCGACGACAGCGATGACGAGAATGACTCGATTGCCAACCTCGAAATCAGTGATGAAGAAAGTGGAGAAGAGAACGACTGAGCTGCGACTTCTGCCGTCGACCAGTCAATCATTTGCAACGCAAAGCACACCAAGATGGACGCAGTTCCTCTCGTGCCGTGAACCGGCATCATCCTGGGCGCCCGCCATCGTTCTTTGACATGGATCGTCTTCAACCCGTGAAGCCAAATCTATTCTCGGGCTGCAGACTCTCGGATCCCCCGAAAACCAAGGGGTCGAGAACACCAGGCAAACAAAGCGTCGATCCAGTCGTGGCATCCCACGACATCGGTTGGGCATGCCAACTACTAGGTTACAGTCTAGGTGCATATAGTGGCTCCAGCCCCGAGGGGTGGACTCCTCCATTCGAGAGTTGTCCCTCCATACTCTTCATTAGATACCCACCCATTTTTAGCAGATAGAAGAATGCAATTCGATTACAATTGTCCATTTGGTCTCCGAGTGGCTCTGTTGCAGGGAAACGCCAGTAAGCATCGGCTCTCGCTCTCACCGCCGTAGCTCACGTGGGGCTGATCAGCCTCACTTTCATCATTCCGCGTTGGTCGCACCACCACCACCTTGCCGATCTTCTCCTTCGTCTCCTCTATAAAACCAATGCCTTGCGGGCCTCCATGTCTCCAAGAAATGTGCGGTTTCTGCTTTGATAATGGCGGACGACGGAATGTCCATGATTCCTTATGGATCCTCCAATCTTGACGTCGTACTGTAAGCTCTCCCACCTGTTTTGCCTCTATTCCGGCAATTATGGTTCTAATGTGATCCTCGTCGGGCAGACGCCACAATGACTCCGTTGTGGTTTTCGATCGAGACTCTCGGCAATTAGCTCTCAGGAATGCGGCCGACAGCAATGGCGGCCTCGAGTTAACCGATTGTCCATATTGTCGTCGACCGCTGCGGGAGGACGGAGCGGGACAGGAGGGCCATCATGGTAGCCCAAATGCACCGCCCGAGTTCGTCAATCCGGAGTATTTTCGCATGCTCCATAATAGCCTACCTAGCTCTGCGAGTTCTTCACACCCTCCTTCTCCACGCCGTCGTTTTGCTCAGCCTGCTCTTCCCGGCGGCCCAACCAGCGACCCGGGCACCACGCGCGGGGCGTCTTCGAAAGAAGGGATATCGTCCGCGGCATTTACACCGGACTACTTCAAAAAGTTCTTTGTCGAAGAAACCGTGCTGGGTAAAGGCGGAAAGGGCGTGGTATTGCTGGTGAAGCACGTGTTGGACGGGGTCTCGCTCGGGTATTATGCTTGCAAGCGTGTACCTGTGGGAGACGATCATGGGTGGCTTGAAAAAGTGCTGGGCGAAGTGCAACTATTACAGCACTTGTCGCATCAGAATCTCGTATCCTATCGGCACGTTTGGCTCGAGGATGCGAAGATCAGCACCTTCGGACCCAGTGTTCCATGTGCGTTTATCCTCCAACAGTATTGTAATGCCGGAGACCTGCACAACTATATTTGTGGCTCGCTCCAGACTTCTACAACGGCGCAGCAGTTGAAGGAACGTCTGCGAAGGAAATCCAAAGGGGAGCCCTTGCCCCGTTCCGAGCTGCCGGAGGCTCGTAAACTACACTTTGACGAAATCTATTCGTTCTTCAAGGACATAACCTCGGGGCTTCGGTATCTCCATGCCAACGGTTATATTCATCGGGACCTCAAGCCCAACAATTGTCTGCTACACCAAACCAGCGATGGCATCCGTGTTCTGGTCAGTGATTTTGGAGAGGTTCAGTCTCAAGATTCGATGCGGGGATCGACCGGGGCTACTGGCACTGTATCGTATTGCGCCCCTGAAGTTCTGCGACGCGAGTATCCGGGAGGTCCGTTTGGGAATTTCACCTTTAAATCTGACATCTTCTCTCTGGGAATGATTCTCTATTTCTTATGCTTCGCCCAACTGCCCTATACCAATGCCGACCTGATTAATGAAGAGAAGGAGGATCTCGACCGTCTACGAGAGGAAATTAGCCACTGGGGTGGATTTGACGATGCGCGAAGGATGCGACCTGAACTACCTCAGCAACTATATACCTTTCTAGAGCGTTTGCTGTCTGTTGATCCTGACAGACGACCATCCGCGGACGAGGTTTTAAGCGGCCTGCAGGCTGGAGCCAATGCCAATGATAACATCAGATCCAGGAGAGGCAGTTCCTCTTCCTCGAGCCCGGAGGCGCATGCAGGCTCAAGGATTCATCCGGTAGAGAGCCCAGCACCTCCTTCATTTCCTCGACCGTCCCTCACACCCCAAAAGCCTTTTCCAAGGAGTCCGGTAGTACGTCAAAATCCCCAGTACGAGGCGAGCACCGATGATCTCCCTGCCCAGATCGAGGACATGGGTCCCGAAGTTGATCGGAGATTATCCTTTAGCCCTGAAAGGGATATGGTAGTTCGGCCTAGGTACTCTGGAACCCCTTCTCTTTCACCACCAGGGCAGGACGAACCTCGGGAGCAAATTCATCAAACTAACGAGCCTTCTCTTCGACCTCTATTACCTCCACCTCCAAGCAGATTCTCCCCGGCGAGGTTCCTTCCTCCTATGCCAGACGTCCTTTCAGATTGGCAACTGCCGTTCCCAGCGATCCATCTCGGCTTTTTCCTCGTCGAGGTCGTATCGGTTTTCCAGCCGTGTATCCCACTCGCTGTCAACCCGTGGCTTCTGTATCCTTTACTCTTACTGGCGGTGTTGAACCTGCGAACACAGAGCTTTCTCATGCAGGTGCTTGCCGTTATTTTTTATTTCACGGTGGTCAGTCTCAGTATGCGTCTAGGGAAGTTATGTATTTGGCACCCTCCAAGGTGATGTACCAACGGCCTTGTTCTTGTGTATTCATTGGGCGCTGTTGCTAGCGATTCTGTTATGTGTTGTTTCTCTATTTCCCATGTTTATTAAAAGTGAACCATGACATGATATGCCTTATTTATATACTTTCTGTTCCTTATCACCGTCGCTCGTTTTGTTCACAGCCCTTTCTATGCCAACTTGGTTTTCAGTGTACAGAATAGGGCATTTGGAGCCACGAAGCTGTATGTTACATACAACACAGGTTGAACTCGTGGTAGATATACCATCCTGCAAAATTTATATACAATCATGGGGGATAAATCCTTACTATGCCTCTATAAGGTTCCGGATATCATAATCGGCCGCTTTCCCTTCCTTCTCCAGCGCTAGGAAGCCCGGCGCATATTTCTCGATATCCTCTGCCCACGTGTCCACGTCCCCCTCGAAGGCAAGATAGTCGTTTTCAAACCCAGACTCGAGGATATCAAGAATGGGCAGATCCATATCCAGTCTGCGAAAGAATTAGCCAAATCTCGACCACTTTTCGGCTAAGCAAGCAAGATCATGACTTACGGTCCGTTTTGATCCTCACCTCGACCGGCCGACGACCCCTCGAGACGTCCAACCCCCCAGCCCAGCCCATTCACATAACTCATCACTTCAAACATGTTAAACGGAAGCCTCATGGTGCGCTTATCCACCATGCCATTCGTCTTGAATTCCACCAATGACATCCGCCCCGTGTCGATGGTATTCTGGTCAATGAAGTTGTACCCCATCATACCACTTGTGAAGAGAACGTGCCCGCTTTGAGACATCGTCATGCTCGTGAAGTCGGCGGTTTCGACAAACGCCCACATCATGAAGTCATCTTCAGAGAAGGTACTCGGGTCCGGGAAGCTGGCTGGGTTGGGACGGATCATCGTCGGGATTTGTCCGTCGCCAAAGGGGTGCATGGTCTCACCGTCTAGTTGGTAGCAGAGAATTAGGATCTTGATGAAGCGGGCCCGTTTGACGGGCGTGTCTATGTTAGCTAGACAGGAGAAGTGCTGGAATCGGTGCCGTCGAGTTTCAATCCGATGCAGAGCTGCGGCAGGATAATCCGTGCCTGATTTGCGAGGCGGTGCTCGGAGATGAAAGGCCTGGGCTGACGTGAGTCTTCTGGATGTATACATCTTCTGCTTGGGCACTGGATGGACTGTGTTATACTCACATCGCGAAAAGACTGCTCCGCCGAAGCCCATCGCTCGACGAGATCTCGACGTTGTCGCAATTCATAATCTTCGTCCTCATCCTCCGAGATGCCAGCTTGTTCGCGCGAGATCCACGTTTCCTAGATCCTTTCCATGAGCAGTCAACCCTATATACGATGCGCAAAGCACTTACCCTCACAAACAACAACCACCCCCTAGCCTCCTCCACCAAGACATGACCCTCAGGGAAATCATCCTCCCCATCCTCCTTCTCCTCCTCCGTCAGCTCCCGCAGCGGAAAGCCTCGCACACAACTCGGAATCCCACCAGGCCAATAAAACGTCGGATACGCCTTCTCCTGCCCCGGCAAAGGCTCCAGCGATACGTAGTTCATCCTCCGTTTTTCCTCCTCCTCAGGATCCTCATACCTCTCTGTCCCCGAGAAAACAGCCCCCGGGTATTCATGGCGCGGCACATATACGGGGTTCAGCAGGGCCCGGACATCCGTGACCGGCACGCTTACTCTACTGGTGAGCCAGTGCACGCGGACCCCCTGGACGTGGGTGTGTTCGACAATCACCATGGTTGAGCGGATAGACAGGACGGGCCCCTGGGGTTGAGGGTGGTTCCGAGCTGGAGGGCAGGCAGCTTAGGGACTGAAATTTTGCATTGGGGCCGAAATTAAGGCAGCTGGACTTGAGAGCAGGTAAACCTGGGTTTCGGGGTGAGATTGCTCCACTCGTGCTGACTGCTGCGTGGTAGCGGGCCGGCTAAAGGGTTAGCCTGAAGCTTAGCTTGACTTAGGGCGGTGCTGGGTGGGTTGGGATTTGGTAGATGGTGTTTTTGAGGGAGGGTAGAGGTTGGGAATTATTCTGAAGTTTGTCGATTTAGAAAAGGGTATGATTGTTGTTGTCATCTTTGGTTGTTTAGAGAGTGTAGAGCAAAGGGTGGTTTAATGTTGAGGAATTTCAAGTAGCATTTATGGGCTTGCTACTATACCTATTCCCTCATTTTAATTTCAATCGTACTTCTTCTATCTCTTGTTCTTTCAAGACCTAAACATCTATAGTTCCGTCATTACCTTCAGATTGACTTGAACATATCCCGTACCACGTGCCGGACTTCCTCCAAGACTATCCATTATCTACTCTGTCTACTCTCTGTCAACCCCGACAGCTCAACGCTCGCCAAACCCAACTTCCAAGAGAAGAATCAGACCTAAAATGAACTCTTTTCAATCTGATTTGAAGTTGAAAAGAATCACATCTATCTTGTACTCACTTCAATCAACCTTGTCCGATCCCAAATTTCATCTCTCACCCAGTTCAAACTACTTCAATCCTTGACCTCAATTCATTCACAAACTCAATTCGATTCATATCAACTTCCTCCTATCAATCTAACCGTCACTTCTCTCTTTCCTTGGAGTTTAAGACTTGGATTACTACAAACAGAGATCCTATTCGGTGGTAGTCCATCACCTTCTATCTACATCCTCTCAACATATCTCAAAATCCCATATCTTTCTCACCCGCCTCTTCCTTCAACAGAAGTTTCATATGATAATCTTCTGTCTCGCTTGAATCAAAGTCTCTACAGAGCTTACTCATACCTTAAAAAGAAAGTTTTCAAAGAGCTCGATATTCTTTCAATACCGTCTCCACATTTTAATATTCGAAAGTGCACAGGCAAGATGGAAGATTCAAGAAAGTCCGCTGCTGTCGTCCGCAGTCCGGTAGATAAATCTTGCCACTTTTTCTTCTTTGTGGAACGTAAAAAACAGACACTTGCGCTCGAAAAGCGTTCTACCCATATTTCCAAAGGATACTCTCCTTACGTGAACCATGAGATTGCCAAAGGAATCATCGAGCCTAACTCGCAGATTGCTGCAGTGCTGCAGAGCGACATGGTAGGATTTCGATCCCACTGGCTCTTCTTCGCTAACATGACTCCAAAGGTCTCCGTTTACGGTATAACCAAGCCAGACGAGAAGAAAAAGAATCTGTATCTCTCAAAGCTAAGCCCGACTCATAATATACTTGTCGACTCCATCGATAAGCCGATTATTGTCTCTGACAACTCCATGGCTGTGGCTTCATGCTCTGATGACCGAGAGTTAACTTTTGTTTACTATACTTCTTTGACTGGGTATCTAATCACTGAATTATCATTTATTCCAGACGGTAATCTAACATGATATCAACAGCCCTGGAAAAAGACTGCAGTTGAACGAATTGGAATTATGGGACGCAAGTAACAAAGGAATTTCGATGCCGATAGAAACTGTGCCCTGCAGGAATATATCTAGGCTTTGTGCAGTTCTCCACCGGGAAACGCTGGTAAGATTTGTGTTGTTTGCCGGCTCCGTGCTTGATGGCGAACCACACTTCTTATTCTGGACTTGCTCCGAAAGCAAATATGGTAAGTGCTATGAAACCATTTTAAATTCACAATAATTCAAAGATTTAACCTAATTCAGCAACACATTTTGGCAAATCAAATGTAACTTTCTCCAGTGACCTGGCGGTAGCCTCTACAGAAGGAAAGGATCAGTCGGGGCCTTATCTCAACATCTTCCTGTATATTGCCAACCCGGCTGAATTATTTATAACCCGGATTGTGGGGAGAGCAAGACGTCACCATATTACATGGTTTGGTAGTGGTCAAATCGACTTTCCAAGAGATAAAACATCTTCTCTGGCTGTCATCAGCGATGACAAGCGGAACTATTTATATTACAACCCTCCAGGCAAGAACACATACGAGGCATTCGTGGATGTGGTGGAAGACAAATGGTTCAAGCCCTAGAAGAAATGATTGCCTTTTCGCTATGGATGATAAGAGATCATTGCCTCAAACGGTGGCTTTTATCAACACATATTTTGAGGATCGGGACTTTTTCTCTTCCCTTTTCTTTCTTCGTCTCTTCTCTCTTTGATTTTTTTTTGGTGTGTTTGTGTCTTTTTCTCAACCTCTTTTTTGTTTTGCTTTTAGTTATGCTTTTTTGCATATACAGGACACAACAGCTTAATTCATGCATCAGGCGAAGCACTTTCTTGGAAGTCTTTGTACTTTGACCAGTCTATTCCAGCAAGCCTGATGTGTTCTTAAACAGTACAAAGAAGTTTTTACTGCAAGTTGAACTTGTAGGCACGGCTCTATGGTTGACTACCAGTTCCGGGGACAGCTAGACATGAGAAGTAATTATATTTTCATACCGTACTTCTGAATTGGGAGAAGGTCAGCAATCCTTTAGGGTCTGTGGACACATTCTGCCTGTTACGGATAACATTTGGTAGCTCTCAAAGCATAGCATTGTAGCCTAAGACAACTTGTTTGGTGATGTAGATAGCTCGAACTTTTGCAAGCGGAAAGGGAAGTTAATTTCGTGTAAGACGTGTTATGCAGCGGTAGTTTGAGCAAACCCTGGTCTTCGAGGGCGAAGAACATCTGGTTAAAAATATTAGGTCACTCACTCAATCAAAGTTAATTGTATAGTATGGACGGGGTGAATTGCTCATGTCCAGACAGGGTGTCTAATATCGATCTTGCCACCACATTGAACGGACCACAAGAGGCGACATTCACTTCTCTTCACCCTATGTATGCATACGATACCAGCCGAGCAATGATGTACATAAGACAAATGGTGGCCATTCAAAAAATATCTATTTATACATACACATATGAGGACAAGAACTCCGATTCCGAATCGACCTGTGCGAGTTGAGGTCCGGCAAAAATGATACAACATAAGACAAATCCCATTAGAGGATGGATATCTAACCGCCCATTTACCGCTTGGGCCACTTCTTCCAGCCACGACCGTGACCTCTCTGTAAAAAGCAACCAAGTCAGCGTTAACTCTTCTCAAACACCGTCCGTAGAGCGTGCTTACCTGCTTCCACAACCGGATCATCTCCGGCATCTCCAGCATAGCCTTGCGACGGTCCTCCAGACGCGCCTCCATCGTACGCTCCCACTTGTGACCCTTGACCTTCTGTCCGATACCAGTACCCTTGATCTGCAGGCCACGCTCCGCGCGCCGGGTCTCCTTGTATTCCGTCGACTTGCGGCCCGGCGGCAGCAGAGCCTCGACGTTGTATTTGATGGCCAGCTTCACCAGGTCGGCCTGCGTGCGCAGCCCAATGCGCGGGCTCGTCCACTTGCCCGTGCGGAAGTTCTTGTGCGGCAGGAAAGGATTGCGGTGTTCGGGGTCGGAGTGGAGGAGGGCTCTGGAGGGCGAGAATGCCTTGGGGTCGGGGTGCTTGTAGCCCTTGGCGTCTCGGTTGGGGGTGTATGGCGAGGGAAGCGACTCTTCGCTGACAGCTTCTGTCGTCTCCTCCGGGGAAGGACGGGGAGCCACGGCGGCGGAATAGATTTGCGGAGGATAGCGGGCGAAGAAGTTTTGGAGGCGGGTGGGCAGCTTGCTCACCAAGCTGGTGGTCGTCTGAGGGGTTGCCATGATGGAGTGAGACGGGATCGACTCCGGCGGCGAAAGGAATAGAAAACAAACGCTGGATGAGAAGGGAATGGAGAAGTCGAGAGGAAGTGAATGCCGGTGATGGATCTGTTGCTGTCGAGTCGAGAAATTGCAGGGCGCTAAGCCGCATCGGGGTGAGGCTCGGCAAAAAGAAAAAAGGGCGCGCGGTGTGGCTGGTCACTGGTCTCTCTCTTCTCCAACTTCTCTGCCCTTGTCTGTCTGCGCTTGCGCCTGCTCCCTCTCGTCCGATTCCTATTCTCTCCCTTTCTATCCATCCCGACTGTCGCTCGCCGTCTGGTGCGCTTCTCGTTTTGTTCCGTTTGCTTCCCCGGCTGGCATCATGGCAGATTACAACTACGGAGGCTCCGAAGAGGAGAATGCGGAGCTGAGAAAGCTGGAGGCTGAACTGGTAGGATCGACCTTATTACTGCTTTATTTCTATGGTGGTTTAGACCTGGACTGACTGGCCGTGTTCTTGCGATGTAGCTCGATGACCCCGATAACTTCGAGACCTGGGAACGACTGGTTCGCGGTGCCGAGGCCCTCGAAGGAGGAATCAATCGCAACTCCAACCCTCAGGCTATCACCACCGTACGAAATGTCTACGACCGGTTCTTGGCCAAATTTCCCTTGCTGTTTGGATACTGGAAGAAGTATGCCGATTTGGAATTTTCCATCACTGGCACGGAAGCAGCAGACATGGTATGGATATCCTCTTATCTTTCCCCTCCGACCGAACCCATCAGAACTAACAGCTTCTCTGTTGTAGGTCTATGAACGTGGTGTCGCTAGCATTTCGCCTTCGGTCGACCTTTGGACCAACTACTGCTCTTTCAAGGCAGAGACTTCCCATGATGCTGACATCATTCGAGAGTAAGTGGACAAATAGAATGCTGGTTTTTCTTTTCCTTTCCCCCCGTAACCACCAACGCAGCACGGCACATTATCGTGGTATCGCATCCGCATAATGCAACAGGTCGTTGATAAAGCTTCCCTCGATGACGGGTGAGATGTCGCCTTACCCGGACTCAAATGGAGTTTACTTCTCACCCTTTGGCTTCCTCAGGCTGTTTACTATCCCTTGAAAAAAAAAGAAAGAAAGAAAGAAAGAAAAAAAGATTGATTCTACATCAAACTTCATTCCTTGGACACCACAGATCAGTACCTCTGTTCGATGGATCCTTTTCTGCGAGCGATGCAGAGGAAAGGGGGGAACGTCTTTAACCATTTGATCACCCGAGTCGTTGAATTGTTTGGGTTCGCATGCACTGAAGATTGAATGCTTACGTTTGCCATCCTTGTTACTTCCCCTTCATTGCCCTTCCCTCGCCCTCCACCCTGCTCTGGTTCTGATTATCGGAAATACTAACACACCTGATGCAGGCTTTTTGAACGAGGTGCGACCAGCGTGGGTCTGGATTTCCTGGCCCATCCGTTCTGGGACAAGTATATTGAATTCGAGGAGAGGGTTGAATCCCCCGAAAAGATCTTCGGCATCCTGAGCCGAGTGATCCATATCCCCATGCATCAATATGCCCGATACTTCGAGCGGTTCAGACAGCTCGCCCAGGCCCGGCCCTTGGTGGAACTGGCTCCCCCAGAGACTCTGTCCCAATTCCGGGCCGAATTGGATGCTGCCGCTGGAAACGTGGCTCCCGGCGCAAAGGCGGAGGCCGAAGTCGAACGGGACCTCCGGCTGCGCGTCGACGCGTACCACCTTGAAATATTCCACAAGACGCAGACCGAGACCACCAAACGGTGGACATATGAGTCGGAGATCAAGCGCCCATACTTCCACGTGACCGAGCTGGATGAAGGCCAACTCTCCAACTGGAGGAAATATCTCGACTTTGAGGAGACCGAGGGCTCCTACTCGCGAACCCAATTCCTGTATGAGAGATGTCTTGTTACCTGCGCGCACTACGATGAGTTCTGGCAACGCTACGCTCGCTGGATGGCCGCCCAGCCTGGCAAGGAAGAAGAAGTGCGCTGCATCTACCAACGTGCAAGCTACCTCTATGTGCCCATTGCCAACCCGGCGACTCGCCTGCAATATGCGTATTTCGAAGAAATGTCAGGACGAGTGGATGTGGCCAAGGACATCCATGAGGCGATCCTTTTCAACATTCCCAACCACGTCGAGACCATTGTGTCTTTGGCCAACATGTCTCGCCGCCACGGTGGTTTGGAAGCCGCCATCGAGGTGTATAAGACGCAGCTGGATTCGCCGGAGTGCGATTTGGCCACGAAGGCGGCTCTCGTCGCTGAATGGGCTCGTCTGTTGTGGAAGATCAAGGGTTCCGCCGAAGATGCCCGACAAGTGTACCACACCAACCAGCAATACTACCTCGACAGTGGAGCTTTCTGGACGAGCTACCTGGTGTTCGAGCTGGAGCAGCCCACGAGCTCTGCCACGGAGAATGTCCAGTACGAGCGCATCAAGCAGGTTGTTGATGACGTCCGCTCCAAGAGCAGCCTGGGTGCCGACGTGGTGAAAGAGCTCGTCCAAACCTACATGGTCTACCTGCTTGAACGAGGTACCAAGGATGCAGCCAAGGAGTACATGACTCTGGATCGTGAGGTCCACGGCCCCGCCTCTGTAGCTCAGACCAAGACCGGCGCCGCGGCCGAGGCTGCTAAGCAGCAGGCCGACGCTGCCGCGGCTGCAGCAACACCCCTGGTTGTCCCCACGACCGCTGCGACTCCTCAACCCAACCCGTATGCTTATTACCAGGAGACCCCCGTCAACGGCAGTGTGGGTGCCTAAGCTGTCATGCTTGGGAGGTTTTTCTCCAGCCGATCTGATCTGATCTGTCTATGATCTACGACCGATGGGACGAGCGGACTTCCCCCTTCCGTTGACCGCTCCCTTTGGCCCCTCTTCTATGTGTAGAACAATGTTTGTTTCTTTTTTCTGATTTGCTTAGCGACTCTGCCATGTCTGGAAGGGAGGTTGCTCGCTACCATGCTAGTTTGCCTGATTCTTCGTGACAGCTCTTCTTAAATGATATCATGCGCTTTGATTGGGTGGGCTTTTATGACTTTGGACACTGGTTCCCATGTATTTTAATGCCTAGGTAGTGCGAGATAAATTATAATCTGCTTGTGGCCTGTAACCTGTTCTCGACTTTCTTCAGTTTCTTGCCCAGGATCGATACACCATATCGGACGGGGACTGCGAATTACTGGGTTTTAGCCTTGTCGCCGTGCGTGCGCTGCACCTCCTGGCTGTCCAATTCACAAGGCGGACTTGCTCAGATGAGATATCTTGATCAAGACTTTTGCTTTCATGGATTTGTGTCCTTTCCAATTCCTTATGATCATGAGGGCCACGGTACAATAACGCAAGAGTACCCCACCACTGGTAGGACGGTGTTGGCGAAGATGTACGGGTCGAGTTTATATTCCCTAAAGGGCCTCAATCATAGTCTTTAAAGTATTTAAGAAGCACCTACTCTGAGAAGGTATAAAGTATACTGTATGTTACAAAGTAGGTATTAAAAACGGTAACAAGTTGAAAAAGCCTGGTAAGATAAAATAACAAACTCTCTTTTATGGGTCAGGTGACCCACTCTGGCGCTTACTTGGCATTTTTAGCTCATTTTTAGCTTACCGGACTTGTAACCACTTTACGGGGCTACTCTTGCCCCATTCTGATCTCAGGACGAACTCGATTATGTCCGATCAGGAGATACTTGAGTTACGCCGACGTCTGGCAGAAGCTGAACAACGCGTGGAAGAGGCACAGCGACTTGAAAAAGAGGCACAGCGACTTGAAGAAGAGGCACAACGACGTGAAGAAGAGGCACAACGACGTGAAGAAGAGGCACAACGACGTGAAGAAGAGGCACAACGACGTGAAGAAGAGGCACAACGACGTGAAGAAGAGGCACAACGACGTGAAGAAGAGGCACAACGGCTGATCCAAGAAACCACACTTGCGGAGTTCCTTGATGCGTGCCATATCCATTTATCTCTTGGTCTGGTCATTCCAAAGAACGGAAAACCATCAACCCAAGGCGATGCAGCAAATGCCGACAAAAAAAAGCCGCCCAGCAAAGATTCGAGAGTGGTTAGATTTCCCGCAAGAGCAGGCGACAATTTGGGCAGATCTCATGAGCGTGGACTTTGTGGCAGAGCGCCACTTCCTGCCACTGATTGTGCTGCGGGAATATGGGAAAGGTGTACATCTGAATATACTGAGGTCGGGGCTCGATCTTCATCATTTTGAGCAGTTGACAGTTGAATGGCGTGTTGCCGACGTGATCAAGCAACTATACGAAAGCCCTCAACTCCGACAAGTCTTCCGCCTTAACGGACATGTTACATTTGAGAATCATGTGAATACATTAACAGATGAATCGAATCTTGCGTCAAATATACGGTCTCTGAACATATCAAATGCACTACCACGTCGCTCAGAATGCTTGGCTGTAAAGGATCCCCACAAACCCGGGCCACCACATCCAGTCCAACCTGCAGAATCAAAGACTTCTCGACCCCGTGCCGACCAGTTTTGTGTTTACAACAAGGGGCCTGAGGAGAAGATTCCTGCCTTTATCGTTCAATATAAGGTGCCACATAAGCTCACGCTTGCTCACATCAAGGCCGGGCTGCGGGACATGGATCTTGACCAGGTGATTTGTTACCAAGAAAATGAAACACCTGAAGACATATGCCAACGCACTGTTGCCGCGGTAATCACACAAGCATTTTCCTACATGGTCCAGGGAGGACTAGAACATGGGTATGTGTGTACTGGCGAGACGTTTATTTTTCTGCGAATTCCCCATGGGGATCCTTCAACAGTATACTACTACCTGTCTGTGCCAAAGGAAGATGTTGGTGACACCACAGGATGGGCTGCTGAACCAGCAGGTAATAATCGATTACATCTTACAGCACTTGGCCAAGTTTTAGCATTTACTCTCCGTGCTCTGCAATCACCCCCACGAGATATTCAGTGGAGACACTGGGCAGCCAGCAAGCTGGTGGTGTGGGAAATGATCTATGACGATCTTCTGGGAAAAGCATCGGAGCAGGATGTTTCTTCGTCAGTGTTCAAGGCCCCGAGAAGCAGGGACAGTTATTCTCGAATGTCTCCTGTCAAGACACGGTCAAAGTCTGTATTTGCAAGCAGAGGCTCCTGCAATCCATTACAAGTGTCCAGCTCATCTGGTTCTGGCGATCCTGGTGATCAACCCGATCTCAATACTCCCAGCCAAAAGCCCCAAAATCGCCATCTTGCCACTTCAGCCACTTCACAGTCTTCTGCACAAAAGTTACAGCCAAATTTTTACTCCAAAGGGAAATCACGACAGTATTGCACCCAGCAGTGCCTCCTTGGATTGGCTACTCAGGCAAGATTGGATCGGCAGTGCCCCAATGTACTGCAGCATGGATTTGATCGGCATTCCATTGACGGGCGAACACTCATCGAACTCCTGGATCGGCAACTATCCAATGATAATCCACAGCCTGACAAGGAGCTTGGATGCGAATCATTACATATCAATGGAACCCGTGGAGCTCTTTTCAAGGTGACATTGCTGTCCCATGGCTACACCTTTGTTGGCAAGGGGGCCCCTGTGGAGTTTGTTCAGCACTCTCGGCATGAACAGAAAGTCTATTCGCGCCTTCAGCCAATACAAGGGTTACATGTGCCTGTCCTACTGGGTGGTTTTGATCTTCGTCGGCCATTCTCTTATGATGGCATTGTGGACATGGTGCATATGATGTTTATGGGATATGCAGGGGTCACACTTGCAAAGCGACGTGATATCGACCAACATCAGCTAATTCGGCAAGCTGAGGAATCCCTGGATGCTATCCACAGACTAGGCGTGCTGCACAACGACCCGATTCCAGGGAATATAGTCTGGAATGACCAGAGTGGCACGGTCATGTACATTGATTTCGAACGGGCGGAGTTGCAAGAGAGACGATCACCGCTGGGGTCTCTGTCCCCGAATAATCGAAAACGCAAAGAAGAGGCTCATGTGTTGGGGAAAAGTCCTAGCAAACGCTCCAGATTTGATCTTGAGGCCCGGCGGATGAGACGAGGGTTAGATAGGAGGCCTGTTTACGTATAGTATGAGTTTATGTCATTACCTATGAAGAGTTACGAATTCCTGAATGGAGCATGAACATTGCATCTTCCCCGTGCTCGCCCCACGAATTGTTAATGAAGGAACATATTTCTCTGGCCAAACGTACTTGTTTTTGGAACCCATTTATAGTTTATACCGATTCAAGAACCCGATTAGGCCGGGGAAGTGCCCACGTGACTGCGCATCGAGCCGAGTCGCCCGCCGTACAAATTCGAGATTCCGCGGCGACTTCCTCATCCTCGGCGCCGTTTCTTTCGCCTGCATCCGCATCGCCGCCATGGATGATATCGTGACAAACGGGTCGACGGAGGACCCGTCCAGGCCTCCTCCTCCCGAGCCCTTCGAACGCCCTCCCACTCCCCCTCCGCCTCCTCCAGAAGATTCCGCCGCCCCTCCTCCGCCCCCGGACGTGTCCGCGCCTCCACCACCGCCCGAAGACCTCCCTCCTGCTCCACCCCCAGAGATCCCCAAGAAGAAGAAGGTCGGATGGGGAGGTACGAAGCGCCCGGCTGCCACGCCACTGAGTGTGGAAGAGTTGGTGCGGAAGAAGCGAGAGGCAGATGCTGCAGCTGCGAAGGTACGTCTCAGCAATGCTAGATTCTCAGCTTCTCTTGACAGCTTGGCGAAATGAAAAATACATCACTAACGCCTTGGATTTATCTACATTCTAGCCTAAATTCCTCTCCAGAGCCGAACGCGAACGCCTCGCACTGGAAAAACGCACCAAGGAAGTCGAGGCCACTCGCAAACAAGCCGATCGAGCACCCAACGGAACAGACCACAGCGGCACGCATTCTCCCTCGATAGCCTCCGATGGCCCCAACGGTGACTCGAGGTTCATCCCCACCGGTCCCCGGGCGATGCGCAAGGCTGATGTACCGACGGGCCCGGCTGCCATGCGGGGATCTTCGCACGCGCAAAGCAAAAACACCGATATGCCGCCGCCGAAGAAGGGCGCGCCCCGGCCCGTGGACGAGGAAGAGGCCGCTGCGCAGGCGGCATTGGTGAAGCAGAGATACATGGGAGCGGATCAAACATCCAATTTCTCGGCGAAGAAGAAGCGCAAGAGAACTACGGATCGGAAGTTCAATTTCGAGTGGAATGCGGAAGAGGATACGAGTGGCGACTACAACCCGTTGTATCAGCATCGGCATGAGGCGAAGTTCTTCGGCCGTGGTCGTCTGGCAGGCTACGGCGACGATGTCGCGGAGCAGATGGCGAAGAAGTATGCGCGGGCACTGGAGGATCAGGACCGCGAGGCCGGTGGCATGCGTGCGCGCGAGATCATGGAGATGGAGCGACGGCGGAGAGAAGAGGGTGCTCGGAACCAGCTGGACAAGCACTGGAGCGAGAAGAAGCTGGAACACATGCGCGAGCGAGACTGGCGTATCTTCAAGGAAGATTTCAACATCGCCACGAAGGGTGGCAGCGTACCCAACCCTATGCGGTCATGGGATGAATCGAATCTGCCTAATCGCTTGATGGAACTGGTCAACCGGGTCGGCTACAAGGAACCCACGCCCATCCAGCGCGCCGCTATCCCGATCGCCATGCAATCTCGAGATCTCATTGGTGTCGCCGTCACTGGTTCCGGTAAGACGGCCGCCTTCCTTCTCCCTCTCCTGGTGTATATCGCCGAACTCCCGCGCATCGACGAGTTCGAATGGCGCAAAAACGACGGACCCTACGCCATTGTACTGGCACCCACGCGTGAATTGGCGCAGCAGATCGAAATCGAAGCCAAGAAGTTCACGCAACCGCTCGGCTTCAACGTCGTCAGTATCGTCGGAGGTCACTCCTTCGAAGAGCAAGCGTACAGTCTGCGCGACGGCGCGGAAATCATCATCGCCACGCCCGGTCGTCTCGTCGACTGCATCGAGCGTCGCATGCTCGTCCTCAGCCAATGCTGCTACGTCATCATGGATGAAGCCGACCGCATGATCGATCTCGGTTTCGAAGAACCAGTGAACAAGATCCTCGACGCCCTCCCCGTCACCAACGAAAAGCCCGACACCGACGAGGCTGAGAACTCTCTCGCCATGAGCCAACACCTCGGCGGCAAGGACCGCTACCGCCAAACGATGATGTACACAGCCACCATGCCCACGGCCGTCGAGCGCATCGCCCGCAAATACCTTCGCCGGCCCGCCATCGTCACCATCGGTAGCGCTGGCGAGGCCGTCGATACGGTCGAGCAGCGCGTCGAGATGGTCGCCGGCGAAGACAAGCGCAAGAAGCGCCTCGGCGACATCCTCTCGTCCGGCGAGTTCCGCGCCCCCATCATCGTCTTCGTCAACATCAAGCGAAACTGTGACGCTATCGCCCGCGAGATCAAGCAGATGGGCTTCTCCTCCGTCACCCTGCACGGTAGCAAGACGCAGGAGCAGCGTGAAGCCGCCCTGGCCTCCGTGCGCAACGGCTCCACCGACGTCCTCGTCGCCACCGACCTGGCCGGTCGTGGTATCGATGTTCCGGACGTGTCTCTGGTCCTGAACTTCAACATGGCCACCTCCATCGAAAGCTATACCCATCGTATCGGTCGTACCGGTCGTGCCGGAAAGAGTGGTGTCGCTATCACTTTCTTAGGTAACGAAGATTCTGATGTCATGTACGTTCTCCCATCCCCACCCCCCTATACATCTTTCTACCTATCTCCTATCCTCTGATCTCGCCTTCTCTCCCTCCCACCCACAACAACAACACTAACCAAACCTTTCTTCAACAAAAACAGGTACGACCTCAAACAAATGCTCATCAAATCCCCCATCTCGCGCGTCCCGGAAGAACTCCGCAAACACGAAGCCGCGCAATCCAAGCCGACCCGCGGAATGGCTCGCAGAGGCGGCGGCGGTGGCGGTGGCGGCGACGAGAACTCCGGGTTTGGAGGGAAAGGTGGATGGTAGATTCGTTCAGCCTGGTTTTATTTGATCTCTTATGGCTAGATTAGATGCATTAAGGCAGCTAACCTCGGCTCGGATCAGTTCCGGCCGGTAAAGTCTGGCCTGCCTTACTTGCTACTTGGAGATGATATCTACTACCTACTACCTCCTACCTACTATTTACTACTTACCTACCTGCCTAGTTATGACTAGTGGATATAACACAATTAGCTACGTGGTTTATTTCCTTGTTATCTGATCTAGCAGTCCAATTTGCGTCCTCGGTTTCTATACTAGGGTTGTTTTGGTTATCAAGGCTCGGAACTAGACCCCCGATCACGTTGCTTTCTGACGGATCAATATCACGCTTTGTGAAACTCATTCAGTCAGTCAAGGACTTGTCGGTGGATCTTTAGTGCCTCCTCCCGACTAGCCCGGTTTATGAAACTTTCGATATTAGTAACTCGCTTGCTATATAACTTCATCTTTAACTTTCCCTCCCTTCGGTTAGCCAGGAGGAACATATAAAGATAATCTTCGTCGCGTCTGTCTAGCTTGTCCTGAGCGGTGGTCCCAGTAGACGCATCCTTAAATTGTTTTCAACGTAACATTCCGTCCAAGGGTTAACCGGCGAGAGTAACCGACACCAGTCGTTGTCTTGTCGCGTCCTGGAGAGTAGCGACTTCATCCTTCTCATATTTTCGGAACTTCCCGCGGTTGTCTCGCAAAGGCTTCCATAGGGTCTGATCCCGCTTACGGTCTTCTCCCTTGCGGTTGTATCAACGCGATTACCCATGGGACCTCTTCACTCCCAGCCAGTTAGGGATGCAGTCCTTTAGAATCCACTCCCGTAATTTAGGTTTCCGGCTGAACGTATTCACTTTTCAAGTGTCCGTTGGGTTGGAAGAAGTCGGGATAATCATTCGCTCGGAACTTTTTCCCCATGATGTGCCATGATAGCGTGCAAATTTTGAATGGTTTCAATCCGTCGCGAGGCTATATCCTTTATCGGGGGTGTCGCGACATTTGGAGGACTTGCTGGATCAGAGAGAATGTCCGTCGATTCACTGCCTGTGCATCAACGACATGGTTCATCGTGTAGATAATGGGGACATTCAGAGATGGAACGCGGTGGCAAAGACACAGTAAGAGTCATCACCGAGGTGTTGCGCATGCAGCCAGCCCATTTTTGGTATAAATTAGAGCGCATGAGACCCAGGAGCAAAGGTGGATTCGAAAAGCCCACTCTCTGATAAAACGACCTTTTTTTTAAAAAAGAAAACCTTGGCCACAGTAGGGTCGTAGAATGGGTTGCGTTTTGGGAGTCCTCTGGAGAATCGAGAAGTTCTCAAATTCGTAAACAAACCAAACTTGGTCATTGTAGTTGACGTTGGCAACTGACTCCCAGCGCAGACCATTCTTTGCTGTTCTGTCGAAATTCCTAGAATGGGACGGGAAAGTGAAAATCATAAGTATATGAGGGTACGTTGGGAATAGCAGCCCCAGCCTTAGGGCAAGACTCACCTTCGAATCCCTCAAAACACCAAGGATGTCATTAGGCCTATATGGCCACTAGTAGCCTTCCACACGTCATGTTCAAAGCCTTCTGTAACAGATCCACAGATATGGGGCTCACAAGATCAGGTCTTGCCAAATCTTCCACGCAATTGACGCCTTCAGGCTCATCTAGTAGTAGCCCAACAGGCCTGTAGCATTGATACAACAGACCCATCGGGCCGGATAAGTACCTGCTGTTGTGGGCTAGACGTCATTTCCTTGATCTGAGGAGCCGTACGACATGAATAGCAGGATGTGGCAAGGAGACAACTCATTCATCATCTTGCAGAATGAGGTCCCACAGCTCAGTATCCCAGTAAGTAGTTTGGGCTTCATCCACGAACCGATATGCTGGAAAGGCCGAGCCATGAATTACCGTCAATCCCCGTTCGGGACTTCAAGAAAGCCGCCCAGCTGCCCAACTGCCTGCGGCCTGGATCTCGCTTTTCTCCCACATATCGAAGGTTAATATCAGTTGGGGGGAGGGAGCTTGTGAGCTGCGCAACAGGTGATTGACTATAAGTCTCAAAAGAGTTGGTTTTGCCGGAGAGAAGAGAGAGGGGATAGACATGAGTGAGGAGTCGTTCCTGCTTTCATTATGTTTGATATGGGGATCCTAGACAAGACAGGCCATCTATTCTACTGCCTTGAGAGGTTAGAACTGATTTCTGGGTTTTTGGGGTAGTTCGAATGACGATACTATACCTGGCGAATCATCCTGGGCTTAAACAAACGGGTGTATCTGCAGGAAGAGATGGGAAGAAGGAGGAAAAGTCGGAGTTGGCTGGAGGCCACATGACCCCGTCTTTATGCTGTATGAAGTCCCTAACCTTGTCTTCACACCTTCTCATTCATCGTCAGTCATTCACCACCACAAGCTTATTAGTTGTCATTCCATCAGGTGTCAAATAAAGCCATGCCCAGGTTCATTTGGCCGTTGTTTCGGCGTCAATGTATGGATGTTCTTGCGAGCCAATGATCTCGGACTCGGTTCTTACATTGTGGATTGTATAATGCTGGTTAGATAGACACTTAACAACTATCTTCTACAATATCATTCATTCTTAATTCATGAATATATCATAATTTGAGCTGAGATTCCCATTGAGTTTGTAGGAATTCAGCGAAACTCCGGATGCCTATCGGAGCGTTCCGCTGACCTATCCCAAGATGATGTCATTCGATCATGTTTTATGGGAGGTTCCATTAGTTGATCACCGCCTTGATCAGCATAAATAGGGCCTTTCTGCGTGTATTTAGAGCTTCATCTTCAACAACCTTTCATCTATCTGTTTTCTAGTCAATTGAATTGTTCTATCGTGGACCACCCCCTCTGCCAATTTCCTACAGAGTTAGATTTCGATATAATATACAACAACCCCCCATCCAAGCATCCCCAATCCCAATCCCAATCCCAACAAAATAGATTCATCATCTCATATATCCAAATCCAACAAAGCATCCAAAAAGATATATATATTGATTAAATAAGATTATACAGCCCCGTATTTTCCGCTAGATTTTATATAAGATTCAAAAAGATAAAAGAAAACGAACCAACCTGCTTTTCCAAAGCCCAAAGCCTAAAGCATAACGCTTAGAGCTTGCTCTCCTTCAGCCAGGCCGTGACGTCTGCGCGGTCACGGTTCACCCAGTTGATCTTGGCGCGGATGGCGTCGAGACTCTGTTCGATGGAGCGGTCGAAGCCCTAAAGAGGAAGGGTAGTTAGTATATGGTCATTTGACTTGATTATCCTCAAAGGGGTGGAGATGAAAAGCTTACCTTCGTATCCTTGCTGGCAAAGAACGTCTCCACGTCCTTCAGCTGCGCCTCGGTACAGAAGCTAGCAGTGCTGAGCTGGACCACGGTGCCGAGCATGCCCAGACCGGGAGGAAGACGCTTGTACAGGGCGTCCCAGTTGTTCTTCATCCAGGACCAGCGGGCCTCGATACCCGCGGTGTGGCTGCGCAGGCCGCCCAGGGGCATGTAGATGTCCTGGTTCTTGACCTCGTCGCCGTTGGCGAGACCCAGGGTGCGCTGGATCAGCTCGGGCTTCTCGGCGGCGCCGAGGCAGCGGAGGGCGGTGGTCTTCTCGTCGGAGGTGGGGGCGTGCAGGAAGCGGTCGTAGACCACGTCGTATTCCTTCTCGCCGCCGTGCTTCAGGACGATGGAGTAGACGCTGCCGCGGATGTTGGGGTGGATGGCGCCGGCGTCGCCGGCGGAGAAGCGGGCGAACATGTCCTGGGCGGCCTTGACCACGACGGGATCGTCGGCCATACCGGCACTGCCGAACATGAGAGCCTTGAACTGCTGCAGAATGTGGCCGTCCTTCTCGGAGAAGTCCCAGCCCAGCTCGTGGGCCTTCTCGCTGGTCAGCGAGCGCTGGAAGGCCTTGAGGGCGTCCTTGGTCTTCTGGTCTTCGAAGAGCCAGGCGGCGCGCAGGGTGCCGATCCGGGTGAGGATCTCGTTCCACACGACAAACTCGGATTCGGTGGAGAAGCCCTTCAGCAGGGAGAGAAGGCCGGAGGTGCTCTGGTAGCCTGACGCCGCCAGGGCGCCAGCATCGGCGATCATACCGGCACGGTCCTCCACGGTGAGAAGACCCTTACCGGCGGCCGCACCGAGCTTGGTGAGACGCTCGGGAGTGTACGAGGTGCGGTAGATGGCGGAGTGGTCCGCGTTGAGCTTGAAGAAGTCAAGGTTGGGCACCTTGAACTCCTGCTCGCGCTCGGTGAGCATCGTGTTTTCGTCGATGCCCTGCTCGGTGCGCAGGCCCAGCATGACGGGGAAAAGCGTCTTGTCCTCCTCGGGACGCACGTCGCCGGTGCGCAGGAAGCGGTTCTGCTTCACCTTGATGGACGAGTTGCTCGGGTTCTCCGACACCGTCACCACGGGGAATCCGACGTTCTTGGTCCAGATGTCCATGACCTGCTCCACGGGCTTGCCGCTGGCATTGGCCAGGGCCGACCACAAGTCACCGGTCTCGGTGTTACCGTAGGCGTGCTTCTTGATGTAGTTGCGGACACCCTGGAGGAAGACATCCTCGCCCAAGTACTTGGAGATCATGCGCAGAACGGAAGAGCCCTTGGAGTAGGAGATGGCATCGAAGATCTGGTTGATCTCGTCGGCGCGCTTGACCGGAACCTCAATGGGGTGGCTGCTACGCAACGAGTCGAGCGAGAGAGCGCTCTGCAGGTTGTCGATGACGTAGGTCTGCCACACCTTCCACTCGGGGTAGAAGCTGTTGCAGGAGTACCACGACATCCACGTGGCGAAACCCTCGTTGAGCCAGAGGCCGTCCCAGAAGTCCATGGTCACCAGGTTTCCGAACCACTGGTGGGCCAGCTCGTGCTGGACGGTCTCCGCAATACGCTCCTTGCGCGACGCACCGCTGGTCTTCTCATCCAGCAGAACATCGACGATACGGTAGGTGATCAGACCCCAGTTCTCCATGGCTCCGGCGCTGAAATCGGGCACGGCCACCATGTCCATCTTGGGCAGAGGGAACTCGTTGTCGAACGCCTTCTCATAGAAAGCCAGGGTCCGGGCAGCCAGGTCCAGCGAGAAGCGGCCGTGCTCGATATCCTGGTCGGGAGTGGCATAGACACGGATGGGGACGCGGAAGTCCTTGGTCTCAATGTAGTTCAGGTGGCCCACGATGAAAGCCACCAGGTAGGTCGACATCTGGGGGGAGGTGTTGAACTTGACGGCCTTCTTGAGGCCGTCCTTCACGTCAGTCTCCGACGCAACGTCCATGTTGCTCAGACAGGTCATGTCCTTATCGGCGATAAGAGTGATTGTGAACTTGGCCTTGAGGGCCGGCTCGTCGAAACAGGGGAAGGCCCGGCGAGCATCGGTAGGCTCCATCTGGGTGGAAGCAAGGTACTTCGTTTGACCATCCTTGGTCTTGTAGGAGGAGCGGTAGAAACCGGCCATGTTGTCATTGAGGATACCGGTGAAGTTCAACTTCAACTGAGCGGAGGAGCCGGCGGGGATGGTGTCGGCGAACTTGATGGTCGCAACCTGCGTGTCCTTGTCGGTCGAGATCTCGGGGTTGGAGGACACGACGGCGCCCTGGGCCGAGACAGTGGCCGCATGGATATCAATTTCGTTGGTGTTGAGGGAGACGGAAGTGGTGTCCTCTGCGACCTGAAGACTAAATGGAGACGATTAGCTGCATGCCACCTGGACAATGCGGGGAGCAAGCATACTCAATGACGACGGATCCATCGTAGGTGAAAGCCTCGAAATTCGGCTCCAGCGTCAGATCATAATGAACCGGTTTGACGTTCGTGGGCAGCACCTCACGACCGTGGGTAAGGTTGGTCGAGCCTGAAGGCACCTCGGCACGTCGAGAGCTGCACATCCTGCGGTAGGAACAATAGCGCTTGGAGATCTGGGATAGGGGAGAACGGCGAGAGGAAAAGCGATGGAGCGAGGTGGGGGAGGAAGAGGATGAAGAAAGGACCGACGAGGAGCGAACGGAGGAGTAGAAGAGGGGACTTCTGGAGGGGAGAGAAAGCGGTGGCTTTGCTGAGTTCAGAACCAGCGGTAACCGCGTGGAGGAGGGGAAGCGACGCATCAGCCCCACCCAGAGAGGAAAGGAAGAGGAGAGAAGAGGAGGAGCTGGCGAGTGGGCGGACAGGGAGCTAATGCGAGGAAACCGAAGTATACAGACCGATTGCAGCCAAACAAAAGCCGCGGACGACACGAACAATGGAGGATTGAAGGCTGCCAGGTCACGCGCGGCGAAGTCAGGCAGTTTCGCCAGGACGGGCAGGCGGTGAGCTTTACTCCTGTTATATAATCATGTCATATGATGGTGCTACCTCAGGCACTCAGGCACTGAGCATTCAGGCATCTCTTCCGCAAACCGCCTAGCCCCGGACCATCGTTCCTCCGCTCCTGCCCTCTATTTTTTCGCGGCGATTTTCCCATTCTTTCCCCTCCTCATACATACATATACATTCAATCACCGCAAGTGACTTACCAGCGTATGCCAAACCTCTTCTCGGAGGGGTTCTCTACATGGCAAATGCCTGACGGGCTGCTCCTTGTGGGCAGTACTTGCCAGACCGAGCACCAGCCAGTTTGAGGGGTCCATGACTTGCACCCAGTGCAACTCTTCGTGAATGGACTTCCATAGATGGTTGGGACAAGCATATTTGTAATAAAATAGATAGATAGATATAGTACAGAATCGAATGCGAATTTTGATTCAAAGAGAAGTGGCCACAACGCTCTATGTTATGCAAAGCGTCAAACTGCAAGAGTAGAATATCGCCCAACTATGTAGCTTTTGGTCAACACAAACCGAGAAAAAAACCATGCCATAAGACATGCCGTAAATGAATATCACTGAACCCAAACTCCGCTGAAATGCCTCCTGGTATCTTCCTAGCGCTGTTAAAACATTAAGAACTATGGAATATAAATATGAAGAATGTTGAATCTTGCGTCATAATCCCGAGACGACCGAGCATCTCTTTTTCTTTAGGAAAATAGACTTAGGAGCGTTGTTGCTCTTGCTGATGCTGCTCCAGCTGGGCCAACGGAAGTTTGGTGAAAACACTCCGGGACCAGCCGTCCGCATCAACGACGGTTTCCTTGACCAGCATGTAGCGGCCAAAGCGAGGCATCAAGACGGCCCACACGAGGTAGTAAACGGCACCCGAGGCGAAGATCCCGATGGCCACCACGCAGTGCAGGTAGTACGGCAGCTCGTCGTAGACACTCTGGCCGGCGGAGGGAGGCACGTAAGGCGCAACCACCAGGTAGCACTGAGTGAGGAAGAAGAAGACGGTAACGGGGAGGGTCGCACGGATGCCGGGCGCGAAGTCGGGGAACTCCTTGGGCCGCAGGTAGATGTAGATGAGACCGGCGGACACGAAAGCGTTGACCCAGGAGAGGGGATACGAGATCAGATTGACCAGGAAGTTGTAGGCATCGCCGGGAGGAGGAGCCAGCAGGATAACGACGGAAACCACCCAGTGCTCGAAAAGACCGGCGGCAGGAGCGTGGAAGGGTTTGTTGCTAGCCCAGAGCTTCGAGAAGGGCAGAACACCTTCACGACCCAATTCTTGGACGATTCGACCCTGCGAGAAGATAACGGATAAGACGTTGCCAAAGGCCGACAACGCAACGAAGACCGACATGACCTTCTCAGCGCGCGAGCCGAACATGTTTCCGAAAAACGTAGCCGCAACCGTCTGTCCCGACGCGAGGAACTGTTCCTTGGGCACGGCGGCAAAGTAGGCGATGTTGCAAAACATGTACAGAATTCCCACCGCTCCAATAGCAAGAGGCGCAGCGATCTTCAGGGTACGGGTAGGGTTCTTGGTCTCGCTCAAGGCCTGTAAGGTGTTAGAATATCGGTCAAGCATGATAAACATATGCTGGCTCAAAGTCACTCACGTAGTTGGCGTTGGAGTATCCAATAAAGGACCAGATGACATTGTAAAGTGCCATCACGATTCCGTATCCACTGCCAGTCGTGCCCTCGAAAGCATTTCGGAAGTTGTGGGGAGGGTCGATCTTCATGTGGCCGCCCAAGGCGACCCATCCAGAGACGACGACAAACACGATGATGACCAGCTTCACGACACCGAGGAAGTTCTGAAGATGAAGACCCCACTTCAATGCGACGGAGTGAATCAGAAAAGCAGTGGTGAGACAGGCAAGACCGATGCCACGCTGGTTCCACCGGGTGACCTCAACGTCCGCGGCGTTGAGGATGTACTCTCCAAACACGACACTGTTACTGGCAGCCCAACCCAGCAGGACGACATAGGCGGCAAACATGGCGGTAACGAGGAACCGGGGCTTCTTGAAGACATATTCGAGGTAGTTCTTTTCACCACCGTTCCTGAACAATCGGTTAGAATCGAGGCAGGACTATGAGGTCGAGACGGATAAACATACTTGGGGATAGCAGTACCCCATTCCAGGTAGACAGCAGTACCAGCCATGGCGATCAGGGTACCGATGACCCACATGAACAGGGACAGACCGACACTGCCGGACAAGGACAGAATCGTACTCGGGGTCGCGAAGATACCAGTTCCGATGACACGGTTGAAGATCAGGAACGAGGCACTGACGACGCCGATCTGCCGACGGTCATCGGGCGTCGCGTCGAAGACATTACCCTCATCTGAGCGGAACGCATTAGACCCTGCACTAGAACAAAACCCCACAAATAGGCAAAGTGAATGATAGAAAGAACATACAGAGCTGAGAGACGCCGTCTGCTCTCCGGGGGCCGCCTTCCTCGACAGCCTTCGTGTCGGGAATGACTTTCTTGGACGAATCCGCGGTCGAACTCATTTTGCTGGATGTTGTAAAAGACTGTGCGTTTGGTTCACAATCAAGATCTCAGATCTTTCCAGGTCTCTCAAGCTATATAAGCTGACGAGAACACGAGAAAGGGGGCAACACGAGACCAAACAATCGAACGGTTAACGACGGAGGTATAAAAAAGAAAAGTGATGATGTGCTGAAACTAAATCTGATGCAATAGTCGAGGCGTCTTGGAAGGTTGCAGCAGCACAGACCGGACTGGCCGAACGAGCAAGCTATAAAGTGACTCAAAGGACTCCGATAGGGCCAGGGCTTGCTGGACAAAAAAGAGCGAAAATGATGCGATGCTGACTTGGAGGCTAGGCGCAGGATATCATGATCTAGTAGCTCTGCTCCGAGAAAGCTCCAGTGAATGAAATGCCGCCGCTGAAGCAATGATGAGAATGCAGACAACGAATGAACGTTGGTCTAGGAAAGCAATTGGACGATCAAGAAAGAAAAAGAAAGAATCGAAGAAAATTAGAGTCAGGAAGAAAAAAGGCCCATCATGACAGACGCCATGTGGAAAAAAAAGGCGACAATGGCGCGACTCATCGTCTTCGCGGCGAAAAGAAAAAAAAATTGGGTTGTGGCGGATCCACGATGATTGGAAGATCCACCGATGCAGAACCAGAGAAACGATGACTCGTTGGAGTGAATTTGCCATGACACACGGAAACCGAGCACGCAATTTTGGAGCCGTTTTCTTCATGGCGGATCCACTGTTGAACGCATGTTCGATGCAACTTCGGCTTCCCGCCTCGACTGCAGGGACTCCGTAGTGTCTCCGTACGAGTCTCGCCATCCACCGTCGTGCGTCAATTAGGGCCCTGTTCACGAGTTAGTCGGGTCTTACTTCGCAGCAGTCGTGAGCACATGCAATTCCAAGAATCCAAGAAGCCATCCAGCAGGAAATTTCTCTCATTGGTTTATGTACAGTTCAAAAAGTTCCGTCCGGGGAGTCCGCAGGCCCAAACCCTGCGCTCCCAGACTCCAATTCCATGGCATCGCATTCCATCATTCATACCCAAGTTGTGTGACAATTTGTAACCTCTTCCAGTCCAACGCCGAGAAAAAGCAACCCATCAACACGGAAAAAGACGTAAATCGAACATCACGTGGACGTGATGACTTGTATATGAAAAGTCCAAGAAAAAGAAGGAAAGAAGAAGGAAGAAAGCAAAATTAGACGGAACAGACGCTAATGGAATGGAATGAATCAACAGCCGGCGCCTTCCTTTCCCATGGAACCTCTCGCTGGGATTCATTAATTAATTATAAAACCAGAGAAAAAAAAGACGCAGAGAACGATAAGAGGGCGAAATAGAGGAGCTGCTATGTTCGGATGGGACATGTGCCTGCATGCATCGTAATCGAAAGCTCTCACTTCGGAGTGGCTCCCACCGCCGCAGCTGCAGGAACCACGTTGGACGGGGCCATCTTGCCCGGGCCACTCGACGGAGGAGTTTGCCGTGTCGCCAAGAGGTTGAGTTTCTTGCGAAGAGCGCCCAGTCGGCCGCGGATGCTCGACACCACTGCGATCGCGCGTTAGCATCCGGCCTGGAGAATCCCGGTCCGTCTTTCGGGGTGGCGAATGAGAATGGGACTTACATTTGACCACAACCTGCCGGTCTTCAGACTGCACCCCGTCCAGCATGATCCTGTCATGGTCCTTGCGGGGGTCGCCTTTGCCGGCGTTCGGACCCTGTCCCGATGGCGGTGCTTCCTCGTCCTCCAAGACCGCCTCCAACATCCGAATGGCTGTCACGTAGGCGATCTCGCAGCCGGACAGATCCTCGCTTGTCAGCTCGTTGATGGCAGCGGCCCGGCTCATCTCCAGGGCACGGTCGTACATCAACTTCTCGGCCGTCACCCCGGAACTGACGACGACATCTGCCGTGGAGCCCGACCCAACGGAAGAGCCGATCGAGTTATTGTTAGGATGGCTGGGGTGATCGGCTGGCAATCGCTTCTGTCCTTCGACCAACTTGAGACGGACGAATTCTCCTTTCTCCAGGACTTCGTTGAATCGATTCCGCACCCATTGGACAACGTTGTTGATCCGATTACCCACAAGAGCGCTGGTAGCATCGGTCCTGCTCAACCCGGATTCGCCAAAAGCTTCGCCGCGGTTCTTCCGTGTCCACCAGCCACCGGCGATGTCCATGGACTTGGCCAACAGGGACAGTGCCTTCACGTAGAGGACCAAGGCCTCTTCGGACAGGGTTACCACGGCATCGACCGTGAGTCCCCCGTCGGCCGAGTCGGTATTATCCCGCTCGCCCCCGGGAAGGTTGGCTTTGCCCTGGAGATCGTTCTGAACGGACGGGGCGAGGGGGATGAGTTGTTTGTATTTCACCTCGGCAAACCCGTAAACGACGTCGCTGCGAGTAGCACACTCTTCAATCAGCTGGACGATCCTGGTATCTTCGTCCATGGCCATGTTCGTCTTGGACCCGTCCCCGACGAGCATCATGTTCCCCTGAGCGGCGGGATATGCCGGGAACGGATTGTAGGCCAAGGGAGGTGAACGGCCGCCCTTCGAGATGGGCATGGGCGGCGAGAAACCCACTCCGAATAGTCGCCCACTGGCCATATTGAGCGCCTTCGAAATTGCCGACGTGGCCGACGTTGGGCTCTGTCCGTACCGCCGTTCGTAAGAGGGTTGTCGCGCGTGTGTTGAGTCGGCCCGGTTGCGTCCAGGAGCGACCTGCATTGCTTTACCGGTCGTAGCAAGAGGCGACGTGGCCGTCCCCGTAGGCATGCCGTGCGTGGTGGACCGGCGAGAGAGCGCGCCGGCCTGAGGGTTCTTAGTGTACCCGGTCTGAAAGCGAGGACTGTGTGCCAATTCATCTGCAAAGGCGTTCACCTCCACGGCGCGCTTCTCCACGAGCACGTAGTCTCTCTCGAACGCCACGTCTTGTGCCGCACGTTCCCTTTCCTCCTTCGTCTTGTCCGCCGTGGGTTTCTCTGATGGGGACGCCCCGGAGAGGGTGTTTCGACTTCTCTGTCGCTCCATGGCATGGGCCAGAGCGTGTCGGTCCACCAATTCCTGCCGCCCCGGCGCTGTGGCGGTAGCAACGGCGGGCGGTCTCTGCGGGGTAGCGCCGGAGGAGGGCTCTTTGGGAGAAGACGGAGTCCGGTCTATACTGCTGACTCTCCGCATGGGCGTGACCGTCGGGGGTGTCCCCGATCGGTTCGGATTACTGCTTGTGGTGCGATGCGGTGGGGGATATCCCTGTGGTTCGTCTCGCGTCTTTGCCGGGGTCGACGCTTCTTTCTCGCGCCGCGACCCGGCGGATGTACCAAGCCCGGTGCGAGATTCGGGCCTGGGTGTCGTTTCGACGGAGCCGGCATCGACAGGAGGCGAGGTCTGTGTTGGCTTATCATCGGCGATGAGGCCAGGAATAGGCTCCGTGATGATGCCAGAATCGAAGAAGTCGGAGAAATTCATTCGTTCCACGGGGTTCCGCTTCAAGAGCATCCGTATCAATGCCTTGATGTCATCTGAAGCCGGATTATCTTCGGGGAACCGGATCTTGTCCTCGCCCTTCTCGATCTTGCGCAGCAGCTCGACATGGTTTGTGGCCCGGAAGGGAGGCTTGCCAACTACCATCTCGTACAAGACCGTCCCTACCGACCATAGATCGGCCTTCGCGTCATATTTCTCGTAGCGCAGAATCTCGGGAGCCATGTACAGCGGCGAGCCACAGAGAGTTTCGGCCAGCGACGTAGCGGGAAGAGACCGAGCGAACCCGAAATCGGCGATCTTCAGCATCGGCAACGATTCGAGCCCCGTCGTGGGGTTGAACGAGTCTTCGTTGCCCTTGAATGGAACGACCTGGGCGATGCCCTTCCGGTACGATGAAGGAGAAGGGCAAAGGAGGAGATTCTGGGGCTTGATGTCACGGTGTATTAGGTTTCGATCCCGTAGAAACTTCAGGGCGCTGGACAGTTGCTTGAGAAAATGGCGAACCACCACCTCATTCAATGCGCCCCCACGAGGGTTCGGGTATTTAGCGATCATATCCTTCGTGTACCGATGCTCCCCGAGCGTCTCTCGTCGCTTGATAAACATGGACAGATCCCCCAGAGCACAGTATTCCATCACCAGATGGATATGCGCCGTCGTCTCATGGCAGTCGATGAGCGCAACGATGTGCGGGTGATACAGACCCTTGAGGATATGGATTTCCGACGAGAGGTTTTCTCTCAACTTCTTATTCAGCTTCGACAAGTTGACCGATTTGATGGCGACGTAAGTGCGAGATTTCTAGCAGGGAGAGAAAAGAATTCCATCAGTACAGCCCTATGTGTTGTCAAACGTCGCCAGGTAGCACGGGCACTCACCGTATGTACACCTTGGTAGACCGTGGCAAAGCTCCCTCGACCAATTTCATCGAGGCGAGTGTAACGACCAATCGGCATCTCGGCCTGAGGGGTGTCTCTCGACCGTCTCGAATGATGTGTGGATGCCATGGTTGCAGCACGGCCGCGAGTATATCCAGAGAGGGTGACGAACTACCGAAACCGACGACGCCCCGTCAACCACACAACTACCTGAGCAGCGGCAGCAACGACCAACGATCAACGAGGCCCATCAGGGGAATAAAAGGATCAAGGTCTGGCAGACCGGACGATGAAGGGTTCCGAGAAAGACTTGTCGGGACCGTAGGCGATAAGGAAGGTATCGGACGACGAACACGGAAAGCCGTCGGGATGGGACGAAACGATGGACAAGGGAGGGTCGGAAGGGAGTGGGTTGCAGCAGAAACGGACAGGAAAGTCCGGGTGAATCGCGAAGTATTGTTACTAGGCCCGCAAGGTAGATGGGAGCGGTGAGGCGGGAACGGGGATGCTATAAGAGACGGTGGTTGATGCAGCAGGGAGGGAAGTAAGTAGATAGCGTAGAAAGGGCAGAAAGTCGGAGAGTTGACAAGGATGTATGGGATGTATGGGATGAATACGGCGAAGATAATAGGGGAACCTAAAGATGTATCGTGCAGAAGGGAGACAATGCACGGGAGAGAGCAGGAAATCAGGGGGAGGGAAGTAGCAGAGGCGAGAGGAGAACGAGACACTGGGTTTCAAGATGATGTGATGAGGAAGAGGAAAGGCGGGAAGGACGAGGACCCAAAGAACGGCGACGGCGTGACCTGCGATAAGAGGACCCCAAGGCGGTCAGAAGGGCGGCGATAAGAGGACTGCATTCATCCATCCACCAACACTTTCCTACTACTTCCTAGGTAGAGTACTAGTAGTACTCCCTACGGAATACTCGGTCATTAATTTACGCAGTACAATCCCTCCTATGGTGAGAACACCACGACCTAGACTCCTGACTAGTCTGTTAGTCAACGGTCACGACCGTGGGAAATGCGACCACAGTATCTCGCGCCCCCTGCCAGGCCAATGACAGTGGCCACGGGATGGTCTGAGGCCGGAAGGCAAGGCCGTCTGCCTATCAAGTGAATCAAGCTATCAGATGGCGGTAAACGGGCGATCCAATTGCTGGCCGATCGTCGATCGTGGAATGCACCCGACCCGTGACTCATGATCCCTTTCTTAGTCACTCGCTCCGGCCATGACATCAACGCCTTGGACGCCCTGGTCATCCAGGACGAGGATCAAGATCCGATCCGATCTTGATCTCCTGCCTCTGGTCTGCTCCCCCTTGCCACGGCCTGACTCTGCCCGGCTCCGTCTGCTGGCAACCAGACTGCAGAAGCGATCCGGGGGTGTGATAAGCTACGCGGGAGTGGATACGCCTACACGCCGGGGGTTTAGCTCGGCGGAGAGGCACTAGGGGGCGATCAACAACGCGGTTGGCCCTGGTTGGCCCTTGACCCGGGGAATCGCTGCTGCTGCTGCTGGTACGTTTGTTGGGTGTTTGGGGTTTGCTGTTTGGGTGCGTTGGTTATTCTTAGTCGGCCGCAGCCCAACGTGACGACCCCGTGCGCCATCACAGCCTCGTCAGATGCCGTGACCCGTCCCTAATGATCGTGAAGAATCCAGAATCAATCAATGCTATTTTCTAAAAAATCCACACGAAGGGTAGTAGTCCCTACTCCATGGAAGTAGAGTTAGTCTTCTGGTAATCCACTTGGCTCCATCCCCGTCTCTCACCTTTCCAGACCTTCTAGAACTATAAATAGACGGACAAACAATGACACATGGTCGGGGACTGGCTCGCTCAATGCACAATCAATAATCAATAAACAATCAATGTACGGGGAAATGTGCACAAATAATGGGAATAATAAGAGAGAGGAACGAGAAAAAAAAAAAAAAGAAAGAAAGAAAAAATAATAATTCCAAGACTTCACACCCCCAGTCCTCGGACCAGCAGCCAGAGAATAATCGGCACGACGACGTTGTCGTTGCACCCGGTCAAAATGGCTTCCGTGGCGCTGGTGCCTGCAGCCGCAAAGGCCGCCTTGACCAGCGTCGCCAACCAGCCAGGATGGGCCTCCCCGTGGCTTCCACTGACGCTCCATTGGCCCACCGCCAGCCAGACCCGCGCAATCGCCAGTCCACTAGTCACGGCGACCGCAAAGGCCACGCTGCCCTCGAGCGATTTTCCGCCTCCCCAGAACCATTTCAGTCGCCCGAATCGCCGGCCTATGAGCGACGCCGCCGCATCTCCCATGCCGACGCAGATCACGCCGCTGACCATACTGACGTCGCGAGACAGAACGTCCCATCCGCTCCAGGGGCGATCGCCCGTTCGAGAGACGTCGGTCAACGAGAGCCAGAGGGGGATGGAACATCCGATCAGGAGAAAGATGTGTGAGACGATGACCGGTCCGCGATGATCGCGCCCGTCGACGTAGGGGGCCAGGAAATAGGTCAACGGTCGCGAAATGGGCGGCAGCTGAGAGGCCCGGAATAGGTCGAGGAGAAGGAAGATGGCGAGCACCAATCCCAACGCAAGGGCGCAAAAGGCAGGGTCGACGTAAATGGTCGGCAGAAACATCAGCACCATCATGCCATGAAAGACCTTGCGCCTGGTATCGACTTCCACGACGGCACTAAGCTGGAAGACCACGCCCAGACCCGTCAAAATGACTGCGGCGCAGTAGGCAATGATCAAAAGACGCGTGTTGGCCTCCCCAAAAGTCCATTGCCGGAGGTGCTCCACCCATCCTAGGGAGCAGGTCGCATGCATCATCTCGCGGTCCAGGCGTGCGGGGAGAACAATCCAGCTCTCCAGATTGCCCATCACCACCCAGAACCGAAACCAGGAGACGTTGCCAAGTAAATATCCGAGGGCCCATCCGAACGGTTCGGCGCCATCCAACGCCCGTTGGCCCACGTATTTACGGACTGGGCCTAGAATGATGGCCACCACGGCCAAGTACACGTAGAGAGCATAAAGCCACTTCCGCACCTGCGCTTGGGGTACCGTCAAGGATAGAAACGAGGCCAATCCCGGGGCCATGGAACGCTTTCGTCGGCCGCTGGGAGTGGTCCTGACCCGCTCCGAGCGAGCAACCTCGTCGAAGGTTGAAATTGTGTGCCGTCGGCGGCGAGCGGCAGGCTGCTGTCGATGTTTCTCCTCCGTGGGTCCTTTGCCAGCCGCAAAAGGTTGTTCTCCAGACGAGACTTTCTCCCGCAGCTCATGCGTCGTCCTGCGAGAGATCGGTGCCAGGTGACTCTCGGGCGAGTCGCTGTCCGACAGGAGCTCTTCCGAGGAGCCCGTTCGACTGAGTTTCTGACAGAGCTTGTGGTCGATGAAATTGAGGATATTCTTGGGGGTCTGGGACGTGCTGGGGGACCGTCGGAATTTCCAACTGGGGATTCGGGCTAATGCCACCTCCCAGCGTAGGATCTGTCGACAAGAGATAAAAATACAAATGCTTCCGAGCCATAGCAGCGCCTTGAGGATCTCGGCCTGGGGGGAAACCGCAAAAAGAAACAGATTAATGAGAGCAGTGGTGAGGAGCTGGAGTTCGGCCGGAAGGACACTGGAAGTCAACAAGAAATCTAAAGTGGGTATCAACGCTTGATGCAAAGGGAAAACAAGAGTCAAAAGCTCGGAATTAAGGCCGCGCAGGTTCAGAGGCAGGGGCACAGTGTTGTCCCCCGAGAGATGCTCCGAGACCACAATCGGAATCAACGTGATGATCCAATGCGCGATGCTGTCGCCATGCGTCCACTCGTGTAGTGGAATGACTGCGGCCGGTAAAGAAGAAAGACTGAGAAGAATGTTCGGTAGTACAAGAGCGGCGCTTTGGTGGGATAAAGACAAAGAAACGTAAACTGGTATAAATATCGGGTACAAGAGTGGAGCAGGATCGAACGAGGATGGGATGATAAAAGATGATAGTTTGGAAAAGCGCATGCGTCCGTTTTTGGCAAATGGGTAGGTCGCGTATAGTCCGGTGACGAGAAGGGCGTGGGTCAGGAGCTCTGCAAGAAGACCAGTCAGCAGGTGCGATGCAATACAGCCAGAAATCCCCAAAAAAAGAAGAGAAAACAGGTAGACCGAGTCATAGAAGCCCATTCCTACATACCTTTCTTCCATGTCCAGGCAAGCGACCTGGCACTCTCCTGCCCCAAAACAACCGCGCCCACGGAGAAGAGCAAGCCCGCCTCCAACAGTCGTCGCAGGATCTCAATGCGTCGCCTTTTGTTAACCTTCTTGCGCAACTCCGTCACGCCCGCTTCCACCTCCTCGCTCGAGCTCCGCTGCGAGCTCCGGGACGCAGACCGCACAAACGAAGGCCACGGCTGCAGCAACGGCAACCACTGGTCGGTCTCCGCGGCGCCATTCCAGCCGGAGCGCAAGCCCTTTCGCGGTCGCAGAGGCGGCGCCGGCAATCCCTTTAATATCCCCGTGCTCTCGTCATCAGCTTCAGTCCCGCTGTCGCTGGACGTCCGTGTCCAATGGGGGTGTTGCGAGCGGTCGCCCGGTTCCGTAGGCAGCAACTGCGGGTCGGGACAATTCAAGCCTTTTCGATAGTACGGGTGAGGCGACCGGGAGAATTGTCGAGGATGACTCGAGGAGGGTTTCCCCAGGTCAGCGAGATTATTGCTAGGAAGCAATCCCTCTTCTGGCGGGCTGGGCGAGGCCATGGCCCCATGGGACGGTTTTTTGTTTGGCGGAGGGAAGGACGGTTTACAGCGAAGTGTACGTCATATCGGAGAGGGACAGCACGTAGGCAGCAGCACACTCTAGAACAAATATCCGAGGTCAGTAGATTCGAGACGAAACAAAACTCGACGCAGGCGAACGACGAGGAAGAGGCAGAGACTTACCCAGTAGCGGAGCGACAGTGGCGTTGTTGATCTTAGCAGCTGTTGGCTCGCAGACGACGGAAGCGGGTTTTTTTCGCTTATCACATGTTCTGCGGGCTACTCGCTTTCTTCCTTTCTCGCATTCCTTCCTTCTCTTCACTCGACTCGCCTCTGTCTTCCTTCGTCTCTTTCCTGGACATCAGCAGATCGTGCTGGTCAGCCCAACCGCTTCCCAACGCCCGAGTCTTGGCTCCAGTCCCGCCTTCCGATGCCTTTCACCTTAATGTTCCGCAGTGGTTGAACCTATACATGCAGCACGCTTATCGTGGCTCCCCCGGCCAATCATCTATGGCACAGTCTATCTAGTCGCGCGAACAGTGCGATGTCTCCAATAAATACGCAATATGCTATCTCTATCCCGCCATCTATCCTAACCTTGCTGTATAACTACCCCGGCCGCCAGTCGTCTTCCTTGTCGGCCCCAGACTGACTGACACGGGACGATCTGGCCGGGCCAAACACCGCTGCGCAGCGGTTGCGCGGTGTATACGACGGCATGGACCTTTCCTGGCCGTTCGGAATACATTTCCATGGCCCGCTGCAGACTGGACTCTAGACTTGGTCCCGACTGGTCCTGGTCGATTTCAATGGCCGTGTAGCGCATATTCTCCTTGGTCGACGCATCAACCCTGCGCCCAAGATCGGTGTCTTCCGTGGTCAACTTTACTTCGTCGCACCGGTATCCCAGGCCTTGCCATTCAATGTCACTGCCGCGGGGCAATTCTGCAATCTGGACGGCGAAAAAGGCTGGTACCTGGTAGTCTGACTGCACCACCGAAAAGTTAGGGAATGTGGATGTTCCCGCGGGGCTTTGCTGCTCATGTGCGCGTCCTCCATATTTGATATCCCAAGCATCCAGTGCTGGCTCTTCGTCCTCTTCATCATCGCCTTCACGTCGACTATGCATGGTATCCCACAGGTGCCAGGCGACTGCGGCCTTCTGGTCTATTGCGTCTGCTCCCGAAAGGAATGCCACTGTCCCCAGCCACCAATCGACCTGCGTAGCTTTGCCAATTCTCCACAGATGTTGCAAGGACAGCACAGCTCGCAAAGCGTAGGTCTCAAACCAAGATGGCTTCGGGCCGGGAGATGCACTAGGCAGTTCCATTGAAGCCGGTTCGAGAGGTATTTGGCCCGCGATGTACACCAACCGCTCTGTTCCTTGCAAGGGAATCGACATGGCCTGCGAGTACGGTCCAATATTGGCCGGAGCCCAGTAGGACCGCGACTGAACATGAAGCCCCTGGCGTAAATCTCGAGGTCCCAAATCTACCACCAGTGAGACCATAACGTTCACCCCTTCCGGAAGACCGTCGCCACAAGCAACAGTAGCTCTGGCAGGGGGGTTGGGCTTCTTAAACAACGAGACGTAGATGCCGTTCATGGACGGGAAATCAGCCATAGACCGCAGTAACACCGTAGTGAAGACAATGTCTGCCGTTGTTCGCACACCAGACTCAGTATCATGAACCGTCGAGTCCAAGATTTTCCGGATCTTTTGTGCAATGGCTTCCATCTGCTCAGCTGCTCCAGGACCAGCCTCTGGCGCTGTGACGTTGGACACTGTCCATGTCCCTCCGTTCGTCGACTGCGACACATCAGAACATTCCCAAGGGCCAGTCTCAGCCGCCTTCTCCGTAGAAGAAAGCGAAGACTCCGCCGACAAGCCATCCAAGGCGCTTGCGAAGTCCTCGTCCAGCAAGGCAGGCCGCCTGACATCCTCCGGCTTCAAATCCTCCTGCTCCTCCTTATCCACACACCTCGCCCCCTTCAACCTCATGAACCCAACACCTCCATCCCCAGACCTCACCTCCCTCTCCTGAATCTCTATCCTCCGCTTCCACAAGAACCCCGGCCCATCCAACGCCAGGCTCTCATACTCCCCACCCTCCCCCAAGACAGCTCCGCGAATATCCTCCGCATCCGCAAACCTCTTCATTGCCTTCGCAATGCGTCTCCGCAGCGCTCCATCCGCCGACGAAACATCCCCCCACAAGAACCCCTCATCCAGACCCCCCGACGCCACCTTGATCACTCTCGCCTCGCAGCCGACGGCCGCCATATCCTCCAACAGCCCGGCATCCGCCACGTCCGGCATCATCGCCGACAGCTCCGCTCGCTCCCCGGGCGCCGGGAGACTCGGATACTGCCACAGCCAAGCCAGCGGAACCAGGCCCAAACGTGCCGCTACATTCTCGATCCGAGTGCGCTGGTACGTCGACAGGATGGCGCCCGCAGAGACGGCATTCGCTTCCGGATGAGCGCGCATGATGCGCCGAAGAAGCGGCACCAATGACTCAGTTTCATCTTCCTCCCCTTCCCCATCACCATCACCGGCACCAGAACCAGACCCAGACCCCCGACCAGCATCATCAGCCATCTGATCCACCGCATCCTCGCGATAGACTCTCGCCGTATCAACCGCCCCGCCTGTGATCGGCGCCCTGTAAAGCGGGATCCCCAGCGCCGACTCATAAAGCGGGATAACATTGTGGCCGATAGTCTGATACATGAAGCTGTCGATGTCGTCCTCTTCTTCTTCCTCCCCATCTCCGTCCGCGCTCGCACTTTGCTTCTGAGCAGGGTGCAGATTCCCCAAGGCTACCACGTTGTGGCCATTGCGAAGACAGTGCAAGATGGAGTACAAGGAATCCTTCCCTCCGGAGATCAGGGCTATGACGTTTAGACCTGGGGGGGTTGGCGTGATGGGGTTTGCAGGTGGTGTAGTAGAAGACATTGTATGAGTTTATGAGTATGAATGGCGGGGAAATATTCGATGGCCGGTTTAATTTAGATAATAATGAAGAGGGATGGATGTAAAAAAAGACGAGAAAAAAAAAGAAAAGGAATCAATCACCCCGCGTGTTCGATCGGCGGGGGCGAGATAAGATGAAACAATTGGGATTGATTAGTAGCAGGGCTGATAGGAATGAGTAGATGGGTTGAATGGAGGCCTAGTTAAATGACCATGGTTGTGTTTTGGTCGGGGAGAAGATGGGGAGAGGAGAGAGGTTTTATCGCCTGCTTGCGGGGAGATGTTCAGGTGAAGGTTGGATTTGGATTGAATGGGACGGATCTGCCCGAACTTCAACCATCAATGATTCTCATCCGCCATCCACGTCGAAGGCTCTTTCGCGAGTCCCTCAAGTCACACAGCCTCTCGTAGAATCTACTCATAAATTTATGGAGGTTTACGTTAATCGATGGAAAAGAATATTCACAAAATCCTCAATTATCACACTAGTTATGCCGCAAACGAATGGGACGCTCAACAATGAATAGCAGACAGGGGAATAATTATGCACATTGGGATAAACCACAAGGGGAAGAAATCACAGACAAGGGAAAAGGAAATATGCGCACAGGGGTATGAGGCAACGATTGGGGGAGATCGGAATTAGATTATACATGTGGCCAGCACAAGAACTGAGTTGGGTGCGAGATGAGAAATCAAGCAAGACCAAAGTCAACAAAAATATTACATCAGAACAAAACACAAGGGGTGAACGAGAAGTATGGATAGAGAAGAGAAATGTGAGGGTAGGAAAAGGGGAGGATGGTCTATTGACATTCCTTGTGTTCAACAGATCCATCTGGGGGTAAGTGGAAAATGTGTCAGGAGATTTGAAAAAAAGAAAAATGAAAAGACAGAAAAAAGAAAATCGGACAAAAGCAAGCAAACCCCAAGTCACCATCCTAGTCTCAAAAGAAAAAACGAGACATATGCGCTCTATGATTTTAGGCCAACCATGGACTCCGTGTGCGCCCAGAAAGCCGGTCTATTGCCTCAAAAAAATGCCGGTCATCCGCTGACCATGAAACCTGTATTATTGTCTTCTCTGCCAGCCGTGAGAAAGACTTTATGCCGTACACCTTCTGTCACCGCCAGTGTGAATGCCCGGACGCCAAATCGCAAAAGACCGATGAATCCAACCGATATCGTCGGTTGAAATGATTATATGTTTGTTGAGTATTAATTTATAAGGGGGTTGCTCCTGGTCTCATTTCATCGTGATAAGCTTCAAGCGGGTAACGCATAGATCAAAAGAATCTAAACGTTCTCCTCGCGCTTGCGCTTCTTGGCGGCTCGTCGGTCACCGGACGGGGTCTCGGAAACACCGTCTTCAGACTCGCTGGTGGTGGACTTCGAGGCGGCAGCGTTGGCAGCTTCGTACAGCGCGGCGCCCAGTGAACTGGGGTCCCGCTCGTCGAACGAGGCCCGTTGAGACGCATCAAGAACACCCATCACCATCGATCCACTGCCGTGGGTTCTGGCGTGCTGAGCAAGGTTGTCGCTGCGCGAGAACTTCTTGCCACACTCGTTGCATTCGAAGGGCTTGTCTTGAGTGTGCAGAGATCGGTAATGGCGCTTGAGGTGCTCCTGGCGACGGAAGCGACGCGAGCACAGAGTGCAGACGAAGGTCTTCGAGGGGTCATCAGTCAGCGACTGCTTGCGGCCCCGACGGTTGACCGACACGGGCGCAGAAGGAGCCTCGGACGGGCTGGAAGCGCTGACTTCCGAGTTGGAGCAGGCATCATGGTGGGACGATTCGACATTGCCGGAGCGAGTGCTGGCGGAGGCGTGGGCCTTCTTGCCGGCCTCATCACCCTCCGACCTCTTGAGCGACTTGCGCGAGTTGTTTCGCTTCTTGTTCATGTCGCTGGAGGCTTCGCTGACGCTGCTGGGGTATCCGGTGAATTCGGAGCTGTCCAAGGTGGGAAGTCCGGAAAGACTGGGGGTCTGGTCATCCGACTCATCCAAGCTCTCCTCGCTCAGGAATTCGTCCTCATCAAGCGAGTAGGTGCTCATACGCTGGCGCTTCTCGCCCAGGTAGAAAGCGTTACCACTGGGGTGGAAGTCCACGAGGCGGTTCACAAACTCGTCTTCCGAGTCCAGGTCAGAGAAGCTGTCGAAGGTGGGCAGTGTACTCAAGGGGTCCTCGGTGCAAGAGGTGAAGCAAGGCGAGGGGTTCTCATGGATTGGCAGGGTCACAGCCTCGTTGGCCAAGACAACCTTGGGCTCCTCCTCATCGCAGCCAAGGGCGGGCAGCGGGGGAAGATCGCCAGGGGTAGCCGCGTTGATAGACGACTCAACGGTCAGCTGGCGCGGGTCGCAGAAGTCCGAGCTAGACTGTTCGACGGGAAGACCCGTTTGCGACTGGGCGAGCAAGTTGGAGGAGACAGGAGGCGGCGAGGGGGAAAGGGATGGGCAGGAGCTGTTGGCAGACAGGAGATCGGAGCTTTGGCTGGCGGTGAGCGAAGGGGGGTGGATGAACACTAAAAGCCACTCTAGTTAGCCCTGAATCCCCTCATCATCTTCCCGCCGCTGCTGGCCTTCCAAGTCGATACTTACCAGGCGTCATGGGAGGCGAGGCAGACCGGGTCCAGTCAACGTTCGCCAGAAGTTCGGCGTGGACTTCGCCTTCGCAGCCCTCTTTCACACCTTCGACTTTCTCGAATGCGAAGAAGCTGTCTTGAAGCGGGGTGTGCAACGTACCGTTGGTCGACGGCGGGCTGCTGATCGAGCTTCCGGCAGTAGAAAGAGGGGGAGTAGAAGGGAAGGCGTAGTAGTCACTGCTGACGAACCGCGTATCCAGAGGCATCAGAGTCGAACCCTGCTGAGCAACGAAGGCGGTCTTCATGTGAGATGGCTGGGGAGAGGCGACGGGGGTCATGTTCATTGCCCCCCGGAACGCATTTGTCGTCGCCATCTGGTGCATGTTGAGCATAGGTTGCGTGGCATAAATGGGTTGCTCTGGTAGACCGTGCTGAGGCGGTTGTTGCTGGTAGGCCTGCACCTGTCCATAGTAGGGTTGCATATCAGAGGGGTGACTGGTGAAGTGCTGCTGTTGTCTCGGTTGCGAATCAGCAGCCGGGTAGTATGCGAATGACGGTTGTCCCTGCATTGTGTATGTTGCGTCCATTATTGGCGATCACTAGAACACTCTAGACAGCGCGCAAGTCAGCTCCCTCTTCTGAAACATGATCAATCACTCGAAAGGTTCGCACTAACAGATGAGATGTTTGAGGATTGGGCGAGAGTAGAGTTGACTCTACCCTCCAAGAAGATATTAAGTATAGTATAGTAGTAGTTTGGTGCGTCCGCAGTGTTGGATGCTCGGGTTAGATCCTGAGCAACAGACAGACGACGGTGTGAAGGAATGTATATAGTGTCTCTTGTTCTTGGGATGAAGGAATGACTGAAGAAAGAAGTACGAGATATAATATCGTCTTCCAAGCTTCGCTAGGGGGTGTTTCTTGCTATATCTGGTAGATGTGGTTGAAGGAAGGACAGGAACGAGGGTTCGATGATACGAGCCAAATCATAAGATGGGATGATTCGGAACGCTTCTTCGATCTCGGCACCGGAAGACAGACAAGTCGCAAGTTGTTAATGAGAGAGAGAAAAGATTGAAGAGAGAGACGTGGGAAAAGAGGGAACTAAGAACTAAGACCGAAAGAAAACATATAAGAAGGAGAGAAAAAAGGAAAGGAAGGGAATGGTAGGAGGATGATCGAGACAAGTCTAAAAAGGGAATAATAAAAAACTAAGAAATAAAGAAGATTAAATCGAAGGGCAAGGACAGTCGCGGGGAAAAAAAGAGAGACGAGGCCGATATGGGAAATGGAAGAGGGAAGACGGCCAGAAGGATGGAGCAGTGGATAAAAGAGTGAGGTGATCTGCCTGTGCTACGGAGGTAGCGCCATGAGTAGTGAGCAGTAGGAATGGAGCCGTACTTTTTAGTCTGAGAGTCTTTTTGGGAGAGAAAATAATGTGAATGGATGGCGGGTGGTGCATGCGCCCATCAGGTACTGATTTGCCATGTTGCCAATGGTGGTGCCAGAAAGAAGATTCCCCATGATAATCAATTCGTCCTGCCCCAAACCGTATGGTGTCATGAATTGTATTCCGTACTGGTAATTACTATTCTTTTTTATTATTTGATTTTTTTTTTAATTTTTTTTTTTTTATTTTCGGATTTTGGATTTTTTGGAATTTGCCATTTTATTTTTCTGCTTTGCAAAAAAGAACCACAAAATTACCTGTTCCTAAAAATTGCTCTTCCAGAGTCTGCCATTCCCCTGGGACTTGACGTGAAGGCTTTCTACTGCGTAATATTATTTTTCTCTCTTTTTTTTTCTCTCTCCTCTCGTCTCGCCAAAGAGGTAATTTACACCTCCCACCCTGGTAAAGTTGGGTAGTATAAATTCCTAGTCCGGGACGGGACAAGAAATACAAATTGGCGCCGGTGCACATCTCAGTTCAAACCAACCTTAGCCAGTTGGAAAGTTTAGTAGGAGCGGATACCAAGAAGACGGAAGGTGGGACTCTTCATCATCAGCATCATCATCATCAATCGTCGGCAGCATGAACAGCAGAAAGGTCCCCTACGACGTAAAGTTAGCGAAGAAGACCGAAGAGGACCGCGAGGACGACAGCGAAAGATGGAGACTGGAGTCTAGTGTGGTAGGATCCGAACTAAACCACTCCAGCGACGACGACGAATCCCGAGGCAGAACAGAGCACAATGCGACCCCACCCGCCCTCGGCCGCGCAGCCCAAAATGGTGCAAGTGCGTGGGGCGCATGAGCACGAGTGGGCACATTGGCGGCCCTCCTCCCAAGCCCCATCCCATCCGGCGATACGTACGGGGGGAGACGCTGGACGCTGACTGGCCGGCTGGCCTGGTACCATTACGGTCTTTGACCACCCATGGGCTGGCTCACTGGGGCTTCGTTCTGGCGTGAAAATTGGTACCTGCGTAAAGTTACCTACCACGTTACCACGTCTGCCCTCTGGCCGGGCCAGCCACTGGCAAATGCGGAGATGGGTCCTCGGCCTCAATAGCGATGGCATAATAATGGGATGGGCGTGGGATCGGCCGGCTTGACCATTGTTCACCTCACTGACCGTCCGCCAGTTCAGGACTCGTGGTCAAATACCGCATGGCCTGGGATGGATGGGGCCTGGTGGTGCAATTGATGGTATCTATTATTCACATGTATTGGATTTTATTTAGTCTGGCGGAGGCGAGGAACGGATAAAGTACAGGCTGACGGAGTCGTCCTCCGGAGTGCGACAAGTATCAGCGTAGGGCAGGCGAATGTCTCAGGTAATTTGATTATTTCGGTTTTTTCCGTTCTGACGGAGTAAATTAGAAAATCATATTAGATTACCTGATGGCCGGTCCGGTCATCTCATTGGTAATAGGAATAATTATTGACCATCGCACATTGATTGAATGGCTGTGAATCGCCACAGTTCATCCGAGACCAGCATGTACGCAGTACGCAGTATTATGATTGTTTATCTATTACCTTTCGTTTATGAATTTGATTTGTCGGTCCCAAAATAGCTCCAACATTTTGATTGCCCAGACACCCTGCCAGTCAAACTGCGTCGCTGCTACCCCTCCATCACCAGGCGTCCAACTTTTCCGTCTTATTCGCGCGCGTGCCAATGTCTGTTCGCTCTTACGCCATCCATCCATGAACTCGACATCAAATGTATGGATGCCATGCATTGGATCGTATGGAGGAGGGTGGGATGGTTCAGATGTCGGCAGTCCCATTGCCAATGAGAGCTCGCATCGCACTTTTAGGGCCTGCCGGGCTTATCAGCTCGGTCTAACAAATCGATTTGCCAGTCAGGTTATGCGAAAGACCATGGAAGTGGGGGCCTTTCTGCGCCGTACGACGGGAGTAGGGGGCCGGACGGTTGGTTGGCGTATCTTAGGATTAATAGTACTCCGTAGCTGCAGTAGTAGGCAGACAAGAAAACCAAAGAAAAAGGTAATAGGAGGAACATCCCGACCATTATCCAATGGAATGAGGGTCCCTGATAGGTCCTGCTGGCTCAAGCCGCCGTGACATTTCAAGCCGAAGGTGTGGTATGTACTCCGTAAGACTTGGGGGGGCGTGTGGTGCACCGGCGCTGCAGTGAGGACCAATAGCCTCTGTCTCTGAATGGGAGGGATTGACCTGCCGGCTAAGCTAGTCGGCCCCGCTGAGCGTCCCGTCCGCCATTTGGGGGAAGGGAGCCTTTTCCCGGGCGTGAGAGAGAGAGAGAAAAAATGGAAATAAAAATAAAAATAAAACTTACTTCAGCAGCCATGATCCACCTTACCCTGTTTTTCGTATTTGCTTTTTTTTATTTTCTTTTTTTTTTCTTTCTTACGTTGGTAAGGGTACCGGGCCATACCTCATCGTACAGTAAGATCAGCAGGCAGGACCTTGAATTGTGAATAGACTGACGGGACAATCAGTCAATCAGAATCATTTTCCCCGAGTTGATGGACTGCCAATCCGAATTTTGGTCGGTCGACCTGAAAGGTGGTCATACTTGGTCTGTGCCACCAGTCATATCGCCCTGGACTTTCCTTACCCTTGAGAGCTTGGGAGACCTTCCCGAGAGGGAAAGGCAAAAATTAAGAACGGCGAGTGAGGGTCGCATCAACAGTGGCAATTACTGGACAGAGTCCGCCGTACTACCAACTCCGGAGGACGGCGTCGGAGCTACCTGGTAAAATTCGAGAACCGACACTGGAAGAAATCATCCATACCAACGGTGAAACGCTCTTGATTGGGCCCACTTCGCATTTGGTGGCATGGTGCTACTTACGGATACCACGACTGCATAGTACCTTAGGGCAGGGACTAGACTGCCATCCTGCCTCCATATTGACTGGGATAGCGAGACTACGCTCCATTCATATGATCCTGGTCGTTCCCCGAGACTACGCCGTAAGAAGGATTAATGACTAGATTAATGCCGAGACCTAGGTTTATGAAACGGCTTTCTCTCTGATCCGGTAGCTTATCATACGCCTTAGGCCGCTACTAAGGAAGCTATAGTTCATGAAAGTATTGAACCTTAGTACGGGTTTCCCATTAGCCAGCGCCCAGCGGACAACCCAGAGGGCAGAGATCCATTCCCGTGCATAATACACCTCTCTTTATTCCCATCCATTATTTGTCTATTTTCACATGGATTTATGGGGACAGTATTTCGGTGGTTTTCTGGGGAAAGTGCAGTAGTGAAGTTTACTAGAGACGGTATCTACCAGCTCGCCGGGACAGCCCAGTGAGCCCCGGAAGCAGCGTAAATTAGACTTTATGAGATGGCGATTCGCCTTAAAATTTGGGATTCCGAGCCACCGAAACCCATAGTTAGTGCTATGGACCTTCCGCCTTTGGAACAAACAAAGAACACCGGATCGCTGGTGGTCGCTCACATTTGCGATTCGACCTGTTCAACGGCGGATGGATCGATCAGTTTTTCGTTGCAGTTGCTTTCCCACTTCTCGGCCTACTGCAGGTACCAATGCGGAGAAACTGTGTATGTGCCGACTCGTCGGAACAACATCCTGTCGCCCTTGCTTGGATCGGACTCTTTCGGGCGGTCGGTTACACAAGACGCGCATAACATTGCCACAGGTGTCAGGATTGGATTTTCTGGGAAATTCGACTTCAGGCTCTTCCCTCCTCTGTCGCCCACTTTCTCTCGAGAGGCAAATGTTCAAGTTCTGTTCTGCCTACCTGGGAATCCACCCGTCCACATCCAGAACTCTTTCGGGGTGGATTTGTCTCGCCCACATGTCGTTTTGATTTGATGTTTCCAATTTCGAAGGTTTGATTGGCACCCATCTGCAAGCCTTCAAGTTTTACATTCCAATAGTTTGACATGCGACTCAGTCGAGATCGCTGCAACATGCAACTGCCAGCCATTGTTTGCTCGGCTGACTCATTATTGCGTACATCCGCCCGGCTTTTTGTGCGCCGACATGTGAGCCCATATGCACCAGGCAAATCAACGTAAGCCAGATGATCAGCATAATCCGAAACAATCAGCAGCACATCGTGATGAACTGCAGCGGATATCGATAACGCTGACAGGCAACGCCACTCCCAGTCAGGTCAAGCAAGGGACTGCCACCAGAGCTGTCAGATCACAGGCCACCGACAAGCCCTGGTAATGCAACTCCGACGCAGCAAACTGCCCAGACGCCGCGCAATTCCTCCCACAAAGTATGTGCCCAATGCCCACAGCAAGAACAAACACCCTGTATCACGCAAACCGCAGCTGGGCAGGGTCTTTTTCCACTTTCCAGTTTCCCTGGACTCATGACTCGTCCGGCCAACTTTTTATTTTCCTAAAATCCACTTTTGCCCTCCATGCCCTATACTACGTACTCTCGTATACAATCCAGACCCAGCCATGGAGATTGCACTCTATCAAGGTCCTACTCGGAGATAGACCTTTGCCTGCATTTGGCGGCAGGTATTAATTTGATCATTTATAAAGTTCGGGGACTGGGGCCATTCACAGTGCCTGATTGGCCACGCTAAAGATAGAAGCGTCGCTACTCGCTACAGCGTATTAAGCCAACCCCACCTTACCCTTTGTGAACGAAGCTTCCGGGTGCTTTCCCCCCTCCCTCTTGGAGCTGGCAATTAAACTAGACCAATCTAAACCCAAAGCGACGCGCTGCCCGTGATAAGGGAAAATGGTATCGATGGGCGGATGGATGCGCCTTCAACGCCGCAGCAGTAAAAAAGTAAGACATTACGGAGACACAATCAACCATCGCCCTCCCTCCGAAGACCCTGGTCCAGTACCTTTCCCCTCCGTCGGGGGGTGATCGTAACGAGTAAACGGACAACCATCCATTTCGGCTGCTTCCCTGCCCTCTACTACTTTAGCCCCAAAAAGGGTCCATGCGAACAGTGGATTGGGCCTACATGATACTACACACCACAAAGGTTAGATCGCCAGTCGATTAATATATGCATGGAAACCGGTGACCTTCGAGAAGAGACCACGAAGGACCTTTTCTGCCCCGTCTTACAGTCTTACCATTTTCTTACCACCCACTTGTACGCAGTAGGTACCTCCGTGGGAAACAGCCCTGCTAAACAGTGCTAAGGGCCCTTTAGTTCTTACATCTTCCCTGTTATAACTCCACACGGCTTGCTCCATAGCAAAGGCCGAAAGGATATTACTCCGTAAGGGGGGGCGGATGGGATTGCACCGCCGCAAGCCCGTAACGCCGTCGCGTCGCTTGTTCTCGAGGATTCGTAGACACCGGTCTTGGCGCCTCGAGGAACTGGCAGGCTTTGCAGCAAACACCCCTGTCATTTGCTTCAAAGGAATGCGCCACGGCGAAAAGCCGTTGTAGCACAGACAGAAACTAGACCGAACGCCAGGATTGGTGGTTTTGAAACTGGTGATCGAGTTAGGGTTTGGCTGGCAAATAACCGGGACTTGATTATGGTGATTACGATCAAACACGACGAAGGATGGAGAGACAATCAATGCATTGATGGCCAGCTATGGAAAACGGTCGACTAACGGTCTAGCAGTAGAGTAGCAATCGACGACATAGAGGCCAGAAAATCCAACGTCATCCAAAACAGCGTTCAATAATCGGTTCGACATGACAGGTACGGCCTTCCCGACCGAGTGTTCTGGACGTGTCGGTCTCATCCGAAGTGGTCGGTCGCCATTATCGCCCCCCGTTATTTGTGCCCCTGCAAGTCCATGCATGCTCCGTATGCGTACTCGTAGCGCAGGTAATTTCATTTTCTACAGACGAAAATTTCTCACCTGCAGAACTGCACTCAAAGGGACATCTTCCCGAAGGTTTCGACTTTCGAGTCCAACAGAACAAGCCCAAAACCCACTTCTCAATTCCATAACTCCACCGTTGGAAAAAGGGCTGGAACCCGTCCTCCGTCAAGCACATCACGATGAGAAAAGACTAAAGAAAATAGTTTCAACCGTTGTCTTGCATCATACTCCGTCGTCGTAGTGCGACTCGGTCTGGCGCCGAGATGCGGCAACCCTAAGGGATGGGAACACACAGCGTCAGTGTTGCGAATTGCGACCTGCGACTTTTTTTTTTACACCGGCGATGGCGAATAATGATGGACAGGCGGCCGGAGGTCCATGCCAACGGGAGAGTCGCCTCTTGAGACGTTGACAGCTGTGGATTACGATGGAGATGGCGCGCATCCGTAGCCGGACGGGCGGCAAGGAGCTAAGTTGTTAGGCTAGATGGCTGTGCCCGTGGGATCCAGTCGGAATGGCAGTCGGACTGTCTGATAGCCAGAAAACTTGGAAGCAAGCGACCGTGCGGAAGTTAGCAAAGGGGGGAGGAAACAAAATAGATTTTTCAAGGCCCCGGGAGCGCCGCTTCCCCGACAAATCAGCTGTCATGATTGTCGCTCTGGAACCTCGATTCTACTCCGTATAGAGTGGGATCTTCTGCGAGGACCCGTTCGCGAGGAAGAGAGATTCTGTCCAGGCGGGAAAGGTTTCATCGCGGATTGAGGCCGCGGGCATCCGGACTGGGCCGGATTCGAACAGATTGCAAGGTGGGAATGGTCAAACATCGAGTACGCGGAGGAGTAGAGGGAATAATATAGAGGTGTTCCGCGGATGCCGGGCTTAACGGTTATCAGATAGTTACGATTCAATTTGCTGGGGGTGAAGATTACACGTTAGACCCTCCCACAAAAAGCAAATATCGACTAAAGAGATAATTAATGAAAAAAAAAATCAAACCAGAAATACGGAGCACTCCCTAAGGCAGGCTCGTTTAGCAGACCAAACCATACGAGGCATTTGGCGAAGTCGATAGTTGGAGCAATGGCGGATCCAAATTAATTACTCAAAGCAAACCGCATCAAGCACATCATGCAACGGCTTTTGCAAGTGGGCTCTTTGCTAAGTCGTTGACGGAATGTCTGCAAAGGGAAGGTCTTTGGACGAGCATGAGGGAATCATGATCGACCGATAGTGTGCCGGGCGACGCTGATGATCGCGTTAGGTAAGAATGAACATCTGTATATCAGTAATGATTATCATCTCTCCGGACCGCGTACTGCGTATGCGTCCGTAAGGCCAGTTCTCCGTTGTCTTTTGTTTTGTTTTTCCCATACTGGTCTGGGAAGGTGGCTAATAGTGCCCCGTCTAGTGGGAATTCGGGCTCCTGGTCCACCCGTCCACTATTCTTTCGGAGGAAATGAGGGTTAATTAACTTAATTTACTTTCTTTTTACGAGGTTTCGTTCAAACTACCCGACCTAGACTGACTCGCTAAGCTCCGATTCAGGATTCCGCCATCCCGACTCGCTATCAGGTGAGTCTGGAGATTGGAGCATCGTCCGATCGTCTATCGCCTGCCAAGGCGCATAGATTAATGGTGGGGGAATTAGACCGTGGTCAGAGATTCCTTTCTCTTACCTACCAGGTACTCCGTACAGTACCTTCGAATACACACCTACACCTGTAAGTCTCACGGTCCGACCGTCGGGGTGGATGGGAAGCTCGAAATCTGAAACAGACGACGCGTACGTCAATTCCCCAATCAGGAGACGTGGCGCCTGGAAGTGGAGGGCCTGAAACCAGTCAGAGACGCCGTGGATAAATAGCCCGGCTCTAGTCCCCTGGCGAGCTGCACCCCGTAATCGGCCAAGATCCAACTACTTTGGCTTCCTTCTTCGAAACTTCCATCCTCGCTACGGGGCCAACTATTCGACTCTGAGACTGCCGGGGTAGTTTGGTCGTATTGAAATCACCCTCACCTTCGGGAAGGGATCGTGAGAGGCCCACTAATTGTCATCCCTCGCGGATCGAACTCGCCATTGTCATTCGTACGTCGGAATATCCGGTGGCCTTCCGAGGCTTCCTATTTGAAAATATGTTCCGAGGCGCCAACGCTATTGTCGGCCATGTCAATCAATCTCATCGTCCTTCTGATCCTCGGGCGGATTTGAAATACCTTCAGTAATCCACCTTCCGCAATGACGACGGTCCATAAATCGTGGCGAACGCCTATGTCATCCGGCAATCCGCCGTTGGTTCTTTGTCGATTCTCAAGTAATGAACCCTGATACTGCGGATGTGCCATCTGCCAAGAGTATCTACCGTCGTGTCCTCAGTCGTCCTGCTCCTAGACCGGAAGCTGGATAGCACCGAGGACCGACATTGTGCCACAGCAACTTTCTTTTGCGGGGACTAACCAACACACCGTGCCCACCATCCTAGATGCATGCTACGCCTGCATGCTGCACTGCACCCGGAGTTCCTACGGTACGTTGTACTCCATCCTACGTGGACTAGTCTACGGAGTATGCTCATGGGCCTGGATAAAAGCCCGCTCCTGCGGTTTGCCAACGCGAACGAGGCATTATTCCTGGCCATGCCCTCAGACCAATTCTAGAGAAGCGGCTACCTTCGCGATTGCGGTGGATATGGATGAGCGATCAAATCATCCAATAGCAGCGCCCTGCGTTCTGGATAGTGCCGGGGAGGATTCCGGCACTTTCAATCCAGCCAAGAGTATCTCATCCAACCCTCTCGTTTAGGGATAGACAAAGAAACGAAAAGGGAAAAAAGAAAACGAAAAAGAATTTGCCACGATAGGCGAAATTGAGTTCTGTTCCTGGATTCTTGCAGAGCTAGCAGGGGTCGATCACAGAACATCGGACCTAGGTACAAAAGGCCTTTTTTACACGTGCGCCCATACGGGATAGAGACGAGCTGCTGGCCGTCCATTGGGGTTGCATCGTTGACGTGACCGGCTAATCTAGGCTATGCGTCTTGGTTTTCCGGGCGCTTTGCCCCGTTATGCAGGTCGGATGGGGACGAACAACCGCCTTAGCACCAACCATTCCGGGCTCCAGGTGGATATCCCACTGGCTGGTTGCCTTAGCGTCCCATGTTCCTGCGCCTGGAGATGCGACTGGCTGACGGGCATCATTGGTTCACAACCCCGAGTCTATTCCTCCTGCGGCAGGTGGTCGATTTTCCCGGTCCGCTGTTCAACTTTGGCCGGGGAATTGTGAGAACGTGGGATCTTCTTGCCCAAGGTCCTCGTCGCGTCCACCAAGAATGGGGGTGGTCGTTCAGCTACCGATGGATGCTTTGAATCAGTGGCTTGAAGAAGTGGTTCACCATTACGTCTATTATTGCTTTTCCGTTTCGCACGGGTATACCATAAACGGCCGAGAAAGAGTTTCGGATGCTCACCGAGTTCCATGGACACGAGAAGCACAAAAATAGCGCGAACCCTTCTCATGGGACAAGCTTAAGCTGCGGCTTGGTACGGGTGTTTGTTTGGTTTTTGATGCTATTTCCAGCTGCGACCAAACTTCAGCAGTGGTGCAAGCTGCGAGGAACATACGCCGTGGACAGGCCCGGTGGTTCTCTTCCCTCCAGCCCTGATTTACGGAGTAGCCCGAGGGCTTATCAATTGCCACATGAAAATCGCCACCGATCATCTCAGCAACGATGAACTGAAGAATGGAGAAAAAGCAAAAAAGCACACTGTGTAGTGTGTACAGCCCTCGGAACACTCGATTGAATGTTACATGCGTTCGCGAGGGCGGCCCCCAAACGTCATCATTTGACTTGAAGGATAGCGAACTCAATCCATGGATGGCAGGTCTGTTTTGGTTTTTTTCAAATGTCTTCATTATTTTCACTTCACGGCCTTTTCTCCAAATTTCAAAGACCGGTACAGTTTGTGAGCCGCCCAACTAGTTCAAATGATAACGCGCTTTTTTTTCTCCCCTCCGCAGATATCGAAAAATCAAATCTTTTTGGACTCGGACCAGAAAGGAATAGTGCGAACCAAGCCAGCAACTCGCTAGAGTCGAACTCTATCTCGATAGTTATCGTTGGTCCAACTCCACACAAACCGCAGTTGCATCGCCAGTGGTACGGAGCACGCAGGACAGGACCGGCCCCAAAATGCTTTTTCTGCAGACGTCTCACGGTGAGACCAACCTGCACGTTCTGCTCCAATGGACGCGGCGCAGTGCCGTGGGTCTAATGTGACCGTATGCAGGCTGCATGGAGTCATGGGGGTTCCAACCGGGAGACCGTGAAGGATCTTATCCTGTTGGTTTAACTAATCACGGGGCTGTAATACAGCGTATGATCGACGTCGGGGCCCATGGCTGGCCGGGGAGGGCGCGCTTGGAAAAGTTGGGGCTGGGGCTGCCTTTCGCACAGTGCAAAGCGGTGTGGGTTTACGGAAACTGGGACTTGGACATCACGAAAATGATGTGAGGCCCGGTCGAGTGGAGGAGACAGACGCACTGGGAGTGGGAGGAGACGCCGGGACGGCAGATAGATGCGCGCGATCTCGAGAGAAACCGGGTCAATGACGAGGATCGCGATGGTCTGATTCCTTCATTCCTTGGGTCCGGGTGGGATTTCGCTTCCTACCTGAGACAATATGAAGCACTTGCCAAGTTGACCCGATGGATATTCTTCCGAGCGCAGGGAACGCACGATGGTCCATGACTCTTTGTTCCGGTTTTCAGCTGTCTTTTTTTTTTTCGTTTGATTTTTTTTTTTATCAACCGAGAGCCTTGGGGCCAAAGGCTGTACCCTCAACCCTGGGCAGTGTTCGGCCCCAGCGTTGACGGTATCCTCCGTGAACCGAGCCAGCCGAGCCTCAGCCTTCCTCGTCTCGAGATAATCTAGCAGGATTTACAGGTACGAGCCGTATGAACCGTGGATCGGAGGTCTGCAATTCAGCCAACTCGCACCGCATGAGGTCACGGGCAGGCATTACCTATCCCGATGTGCAAGCGAAATCCGAGCCATGGGACCTGGACAGGCTGACAATGGCATTCATTAAAATGAGCAGCACACACCATGAGATATGCATAATCGAGTGCTAAGAATGAGCATCCACTACGAAGTTCTAATTCTTGGTTATCGGGCGACTGCGACTGCAAGGCGCAGTGCTACGTCCGACATGCAGACAAGGCAAATCCGTCTAGCTAAAATATGAAACCTGCCATCACGTCTGACAGGAATTTAGAATCATGCAGAAACGGAGATCAAGCAGAATCCAATCGCCCCCAACTCTGATCATCAAGGCTGACAAGAGGCTGGTTGTAAGGCTAACCACTACGCTGTAAGCTCGGACAGACCGACACAGCACACCACCTTGAATGCGCAAAAATCAGAACCCTCGAGAAGCAACCCCATGAGAAAAGATAAGAAAATCCAAAAAGAAAGAAAGATAAGAAAAGAAAAGAAAGAAAACGGCCTCAGTGGATGGTAAGTGAGATCACATATCCCAGTGGGAAATCAGTCTCTTCCTATCATATGTAAAACATCCAATAAACTCATCATAAGCCATAATGAAAGAGAAGAAAAGAAAAAGTTCCCAAAACTCTTCCACAAGAAAATTTCTCGCCAGAGCATCTGCTCACGTAATCACCCCCATCCCTGCACCAATCAAATCCACCCAACAGAGAGACTAAAACACCCGAGCCCGGAAAAACCGCCCCCGAGGGATCCGCCACACACATAAATAGCCGCCGGACAGGCGCTCGTTTGGAACTTTTTTTTCTCTTTCTTTCCTTCGTGCGGCGACGCAACTATATTCACCCGTGTTGCCTGGACATCATATTTCTCCCGTGATGTATCCCCAGGTGTCAGTTGCGTCACAGACGAACGGAATTGCACACCGGTTCTTACTTTATTGGTCTGCCTGTGTTTTCCTACTGGGTTAGGCCATTTGGTTTGGGATCGGACATACCTTTTTCCACTCTTGCTCTGTTGGTTGGTTTTTGGCTGGCCAGCTGGTGAGGGGTGGAGTTTTATGTACGGAAGTACATCGGCGCCTTTGTATCTCTCTTGATGTGGATTGGTGCAGGGTTTACTTAGTTATGGCTGTTATGGCTATTAGTAGAGTTAGTAGATTTGAATATAAATTCAACTTTTTTGAAGAAATTTCTATTTGTTGAGTGGTAGTCGGTCATAGTGTTCTATGTGTCTGCTGTTTACTTGTTTCTTGTTTCTCCTTGGTAGTAAGAGTTATCTGTCTCTGTCTGCTGGGAGTATCTGACTCAAATCGCATGCATGAATAGGTATCTACCTGTCGAGTCTATCATAAACGCAACAAACCAAATCAAATTTACTCGCCAGGCTCATCGCCAATCTTCTCCAGCTTGCCCATCTCTCTCTTCTCGCCAGTCTCGCCGAAGATGCGCACGCGATCCACCCGCAACTTCTCGCTGTCCCCGTCGCCATCCACAAAGAACAGCACCAGCGACGTGACGCTCTGGAACTTGACGAACCGCAGATCGACCTTGGCCGTGCCCGTCTTCGCATCGTAGTCACCGGGCTGGATCGTCACCGTCTGCACGGCGGGGATATCCTCCGCCTCGTCGAAGCCCAGCACATGCGACCGGTTCGTATACAGGTGCAGCGTCTTCGGACGCATGGGGCGCTCATCCTCGTCGCGGTCCTCGTACCCATCCTCGCCCTCACCCGGCACCAACGACGTGATCTGCAACGAGTGCACCTTGACCGTGCTCTGGAACGGCACGAACAGCATCAGCTGCTCGTCCGTGTCGCTCTCGACCCAGTCCGCGGCGGCCGTCTTGCCCTTGGCACCCAGCGCCGACGGCTTCGAGGGATCGAACAGCGTGCGCGCGACCCCGTACTCGCTGTCGCGGTTCAGCAGCTCCAGGCCCTTGGGGTCGTACTGGTCCGAGATGTCCGGGTAGCCTTTGGGCACGGCGGCGCCGACCCAGCCGACGCCGGAGGTCGTTTCGCCGGACGAGGCGGGCTCGCCGGGCGTCTCGTCGCTCTTGGTCGCTTCGGAGGCGAGCTTGCGGACGGCTTCGGAGAGTTTCTGCGGGTCGGCGCCGCGGACGGTGTTGACGGGGCGGCCGCGTTGGAAGACGATGAAGGTGGGCATTCTGGATGGTGTTTGTTAGTTGGGTTTGGTCGGGGTCTTTTTCTGACTGACGGGCGGGAGGGAGGGCTTGTAGAGAGGGTCTGTAGGGTTTGGAGGCACGTACGCCGTAATGCTATACGCCTTGGCTATGTCCTGCTGGTGGTCAACGTTGATCTTGGTGAATGTGATCCGGTTTGGGCGCGAGAGCTGCGCGGCCAGCTTTTCGTAGGCGGGGGCGATGGCTTTGCATGGTCCGCACCAATCTGCGTAGACTATACGAGTGGGAAGAAAAATCGTCAGTGAGATTCTTGCTTCTGAAGATAGGATCTGGCCTCTGGGGGCTGGTATGCAGGGTAAGGGATGATGAATGAGGTGGATGAGGGGAAGCGGGGAGACATGATGGTTTATGCCCAGAGCAACTCACAGTCGGCCACGACAAAGACAGAAGATGTCAGGAGGGAGCTGAATTGCTCCTTGGAGGTGATTTGAACGAGTGTTGACATCGTGGCGGTGGAAATGGGAAGGGAGGGAGGGGGATGTCGAGGAGAAGAAGTTGGTTGGCGTTGGGCTGTTCGGTCAAGCTGAAGATGTCAATATATGTCATCAGCAGCCCCTCCGCTGCCAGCGCGGGCTCGCCGTTGCGGCGTCTACAACAACCATGTGGGCTTGCTGACAGAAAATATGCCGTTGGAGTCTGGTTTCTTCTGGGTATTTGCTCAGATTTATTCTCATGTTGATTTGCTTCTAGTATTCTGGCCAAGACGTCGGTTCCTACGTCATGCTATGGGTTTCAGTAGCGAAAATATACCTTTGCGCTGGCGATTCACCAGGCAAGCAAGCAGTCTTCGTCTGAAATAGCCTGCTCTACACTCATCTATAAACCCAATCTTGTCCTAGTTTATATACATGCAGTGACACCCATGTCGTCACTTGTCCAGACATTCCTGGCAAGGAATTCCTTGCACCGACCAGTCCAGTTTCCGGGCGTGCGACGGTAGCTCGACTGCGACGTCCCTTGAGGAACAGTCTGCGGTCGTCTTTCCAAGATAGACCTGGCAGTATGATCAATCGTCAGAGAGATGAACCACCAACGTACCAGCTCACACCCAGTATAACCCCGTCCCTTTGGTCGGGCGAGGGAGAGAGAGAGAGAGAGCGAGCGACGGTAAAAAATCCCGCCATCAAGCCCGCTGCGCAGCAGCCAGCATAAGACGAAGACCCAAGAAAAAGATCCCTACCAATCGAACCATTCAAGTCTTCTGCTCCTCTCCCTCATCCTCATCCACCGCAAACAGAATCTTCATCCAAAGACTGCACCCCCGACACCCGATCACGATCTCGCCATGTTCAGCCTCCCTCTCCAGCTCGTCCTCCGTGACCAGAAACCCCTTGTCGTCACCACACCGACACCCCCGATACCAGACCGCCTGCTCTGCGTCCTCATCGCATCCTAGATCCTCTAGATCCACCACCTCCAAACCCGTATGGAACACCGTGCCTGTCTTCTCCCGCTCCGCCACCTTCGACCGATCGAGTCGGAGGCCGCGATCGTATTCCGCGCGCAGCTGCGGGTCTGAAAGGGTCTTGTAGGCGGTTGTGATCTGGTCGATGGTGTAGGATGTGTGGGCGCCGTCGCTGGACGGGTTGCTCGCGCTTCGAGGTAGGGATTGCGATTCGGTTTGTAGGCTGGGGTCGGAGGACGCTTTGTCGGGGTGGTGTTTTAGGAGGGCCTTGTGGTAGGCGATTTTGAGCTGCTGTTTCGATAGCGAGGGAGAGGACCCTGAGAATGGGAGGGAGAGGATCTCATAGTGATCGTGTGTCATGGTTTCTTTTCTTTTCTTTCTTTTTTTTTCTGGGTTTCCCGGTGGGATACTCTTTTTTTTTTTTTTTTGTCCCTCGACGGTCGCGGCGGGAAGGGGTTCTGTTTCTCGCGTTCAGGGTATGCGAGTGAGAATTTGCTTGGATTGAAGAATTGGGTGAGGGTTTGCGACTGCTGGGAGATGGGATTCGTGCCTGATGATCCCTTGGTGGGGTTTGATGTGGTGAGAAAGCGAAGAGCGCGGAATTGAAGACGCGGAGATTCGCATTCTCGGCCACCGCCGCCACTGACTGCTGCCTCGCTTTGCGAACCACGAGCGCTGAAAACACCATGGCTCAGTAAATTGCGCTGTTGATTAAATATTGAGCTACTGGTATTTAGTTTCGGTGATTTACGAGGCTACACCGGTGATGGTGACCTGAAAGTCGGCGCCCTGATTTTCAGGCAGTTGACGATGAACGAGTCATTGGAGCATGGTAGGTTTTCATTGTAAAGCATAGCATCTTTAACATGTCCCCATATATTGGCCCACCGAGTCTTCGCGACTTTTAGCATCTATGGCAGCTAAACATAACAGGACCATCCGTGTATGGCAAGGAATCTAAACGACACCATCACCGGATATCAAAACAAAACAGAAATGAAACAAACGCAGGGCTTCACGGCTAGAAAAGATCAAATCGGATAGGAAGCGAAATGCAGCATCGGACTCGTCAAGCCTCTACTCGGAGGTCTTGAAAACATAGCGGTCCTCGGCCTTGCTGGCGAACGGGACACCCAGCTCCAGGAGCTTGACGAAAACGTCGGAGAACTCCTTGAAGAAGACATCGCTGTCCTTGGCGTAGCGGTCGACGTGCTTCTTGAACTCCTTGTCCTTGACCATGACGATGTCCGTCGGCATCATCATCAGAGTCTGGGTGCTCTTGTCGGTGAACTGGGTCGGTCCGTTCCACTTCTTCTGCTGCCACTTCTCGTCGACCAGGAGACGGAAGAACTCGTTGGTGAAGACGGTAGGGCTGAAGTCCCAGGGCCCGTCGAATCCAGAGCGGTCGGCGTGAGCACGGCCCAGAGCGTGGGCGCCCACAAGGGCCACGATCTCCTGGTCGTTGAAGCCCATGCGGTAGAAGATGTCGCGGACATGCTTGTGGTCCTTGGTGGCGTCGGGCAGACGTCCGTCGGGAGTGCAGCCGGCGACGTCCTTATCCTGACGGCCGGGTCTCCAGGGGATAGCAGGGCCACCCAACTCCTGGATGGCGCAGGCGCCGCCCAGCGTCCAGAGGTCGGAGTAGCTGATCCAAGGGAACTGGGCCTTGATGGGCTCCAGGAAGTCCCGGGCGAGCTTGAGACCGGCATTGGCGCCGTGGTCGGACTCGGGAGCGAATCTCATGGTGGCGCCATTGCTTCCTCCAGTGCCGGTTTCCTTGTCATAAGTACCGCTTGCGTGCCAGGCCAGGCGAACAAGGACCTATTGTTGCAATGACAATCGATTAGCACTCTGATCGCTCAACGACGCGAGGGGGCCAGCGGAGAGAATCAATTGAGGAATCAATTGAGGAAAGAGACTCACCGGTCCATAGCTGCCATCGTCATAGTCGGTCTCATCTCCGAGACGACGAGCGATCTCGTCGTACACCTTCTGGTAGTCCTTCTGCGCAGGGACGAAGTTCTTGGAGCTGACGGAGTCGCCGCCGTTCAGGTAGAAGTAGGCACCGGCACCACCAGCGACGGCGAGACCAGCCCAGAGAAGGCCATTGGAGGACTTGCCCTGGCCAGCCTCAGAGGCATAACCGCGACGGGACGAGGCACGGAAACCCTGGGCGGGAAGAGCGAAACGCGAGCTGCGGACAGCCGGTCTGAAGGAGGCGGCCGGAGTGGAGCGGAGGAAGGCCCGGGAGGCAGATCGAGCAGCCGAGGCCATGATGATCTAGAATGGTACAATGGGACTGGGGAATGGGAGAAGAGAAAGAGGGTGTATTTGGGGGTGGAATGTGTACAGATCGTTGGAGAAGGAAGAGATGAAATTCAACAGAAGAGTCAATCACTGTTGAGAGAGAGGGAATGAGAGAAAAACAGAGGGAAGAGGAGAAGATGACCGATCGAAAGAAGGAGAGCGAGCCAGGCAGGGGGATACCGATAACTCCTAATAATAATCACCCATGGCTAAAGGCTTCGGCTTCCAGAGTCCCTCCTGCGCATTTCGCCGAAGCCAGGCACCAATCACAGCAGGCAGATTGACGAGCTCTGGACCCGAATCTTTTTACTCAGCACCAACTAAGAGAACTAGGAGCGTCTCTCCGCATTTTCCTGCACGTCTTATTACGTTCCTGCTGGAGTCGCGATGAGGAGAAGCTGCTGACGGGTTGCGCGGGTGGGATTGCATTATCCATCCTTTTCTTTCAGACTATCGTTCTGTTGTTGACTCTGTCCTCACTACAGGAGCTCCCAGCATAGACAGTCCCCTGTCCTCATCAACCGAAGTCCTATCTTCCTTCGACATCAAGAGGGGCAGGTACTAGAGCAACAGCTCAACCTCGGGTGGATTCCCGGCGTCATCGGATTACAAACCGCTCGTCTCTGTTTGGCAGACGAAGTCCGACAGGCTCCACCGGCTGGATGCATTACTCATCGATTGTCTGTCTCGATTCTTCAATAATCTGGTTAGAAATCGATCGGATTCCCCGTCCTGGCTATCGTGAAGTCGAGACTCGACGATGACTGATCGAGATTCATGATCCATCATCCATAATGCATGGTCGCACTCCGGGATACAGAAAGGGATGCTGCGTTGCCAGTCCGACTGGAGCGACATTCTTCTTATCATGCCTCCTTGAGACCCGTCTACATGTCCAATCCGGATGGCTACGAGAATCCTCTCCGACACGGTTCCATCCATTCACCAATACCAAGAATCTATGGGTATGTCCGTCGTAAAAAAGTCCTGCCGTTCGATCAAGACGAACACCAGGGTGGAGTAGACGCAGCTCTGCTAAAAACTGTTTGGTTTTGATCTCCCACTGAACGAACTAAGAAAAAGTATGCTACTTCGCCATTGAGGAGGCTAGAAGCGTACTGTGTGGTTTTGTTCTTGGAATTATGTGCCTGCGAAGCATAATGCAGGAGTGCTGTACCTGTACACGATACATAGGACGAGGTACAGGCAAGATCGACAAGGTCGCATGCGACGCTAGATCCAGGAGACGTCGACATCAAGACGACTCCGGAGGGTGTCTGTCGCTGGGTTGCGATGGGAGAAGAAGGGAAAGTTTTGACGCGAGAAAAGAAGAAATGTTTTTGCACTAGCGTGTGTCACGTGCGCTCTACGGCTCGCTTGGGTGACGCTAGGCCAGATGGGGTCGCATGTAAGGCTTCCTTTCTATTATCATTGTTATGACGAATATTGCTGGTTGCGGCAAGAGATCGATCGATATTATGTAGGTTGAATCATGGATGCTGGGATTATGGTTCAAGTTGATAGCCAATGGCATGGGGGTTGTCTTGATGGAGGCGTGATCAGAGACGGAGGCTTGTCTTGTTCTCAGACGAGCAGAAACAGGGCCGATATGAACTAATATGGGTAGGATGCAGACTTTCTGGTCTTAGTCGTGGCTTTTCAATGAGGGTCGCCTTTTAAAATGTCTATCATTGCCTTCGTTCTACCATTCCTGTGAGTTCATACGGTGTCCACTGTCCAGTAATTCGATCGGATACCATGCAATAATGCCTCAGACACCAACAAGGCCCACCATGTCACGTGCCACACCGCCGGCCATATATATCGCACACAAAATCCGCCCTTTCCTCTTTTCTTTTTCTTCTTCACACTTTTCATACCTCAGAACGCATAATCAACCTCCAATTCCTCCTATCATAGGATGGTAGGTCATATTGGCGTACTAGAATAAACACCCTAGGGCAATTTAAGGCTCCTCTACCGTGCTGGGTTTCTTCGGAGGCTTCAAGTGCGATGGTGGATGGTAGTCACCTGCTGCTCAAACATTCCACCTGTTCTCTCAACCTGTAGAAGGAGAGAAGGGTGCGTAGTATCAATCCATCTGGATATCGGTCCCGTATCTCCCGGGCCATGGCATTAGTGTCGACAAACACGTCTCGCCTGTGGCCAGACCGTGCAGAAACCATCTTCCGGCCATTGCGCAAACTGCAGAAACTTGGTTGGCAAATAGACCGGTCGGTGGATGAAGGACTTGCCCCTGATGCATGCGAGGGGCCGAATGTCACCTCCCAGCGTGTCCGGAATTCTTAATTTATCCTCGAGGAACGGAGTTGGACTCCGACGTGATAAATTAAATTCCTGTTAAAAAAAAAAGGCACATGGCCTCTATTAATAGCCGAGACACCGGAGAGGATCGAGCGATTTCAATCTATTGTACGGAGTCGACGGGATATACAGCGGACGGAGTATTCAAGAATATTCGGTATTCCTAGCAGACAATCAATCTAGAATCTATAGTTACGTGGACTATCGCCCATCCTGCCATCCCGTTGGCGATGCCCGTCGAATGCCACCAACCGCAGCATTTCCCCACATCGATCATCCCTGGCCACTTCCCTCCTTTTACTTGCCTGCTCCCCTCCGTCTCTCTTCGATCTTCGCTCTCAGCCCCCATCGAGTCCCGTCATCCTCTTTACGCCAGAATCATTCTCAAAAAAGTCATGGGTTCTTTGTAAATATGCTTCGTCTTTCTGCTTGAACAATCCCCAGTGTCCCGCCCCGGAAGCTCGGCCCGTCGACTGCGACATTTTTGGGTTTCATTTGTGGACAATTGCACCCTCTCCTTTATTCTTCTTTCTCGACTCGGTCGCCTCGATAACACAGACACGCTTCTCCTGATCTCCCCGCGAACATGGTGGTCGGCATCAGCAAACGGTCGCAGTTCCGCAATGAGCGGGCGCTGCAGGATCTCATCCGCTCGGTTCCTGGAAATGACCGTTGCGCAGACTGCGACGCGATGAATCCAGGTGAGTAGCCGTCCGGATAGTTCGGATTATAGGGATCAAATACTGACGGTTGACGTGTCTGCATAGGATGGGCGAGTTGGAACGTACGTACCCCAAGCGCGCTCGTTGTGTCGATCTAAAGAATGACCCGAGGCTGATCGAATGGAATTCAATATAGATGGGTATTTTCCTGTGTATGCGGTGCGCTGCGCTGCATCGGAAGATGGGCACCCATATCTCCAAGGTCAAATCCCTGAGTATGGACAGTTGGACGTCGGACCAAGTCGATGTGAGTGTGTCGTGTGAGCAATGGACAGGAGATAAAAGGGCGTGACTCTGATCGATTCCTTACAGAACATGAAATCGCACGGCAACAATCTCATGAACAAGATCTTCAATCCGCGAAACGTCAAGCCCCCCGTCCCCACCGATATCGACGAAGCCGATGCGTGTATGGAGCGTTTCATCCGCCAGAAATACCAGCACCGCTCCCTGGAGGATGGCAAACCGAAACCGCCCAGTCGTCAGGATTCCAACCAGGGCATCTCCCCGGAAGGATCTCCCCCTCCGTTGCCTCCGAAGCCTTCCCGACCTGTCGGTTTCGGGCTGCGGTCGGCTTCTTCTGCCGCGGACCTTCGTCGCATGTCCGTGAACCAAGGCGGGATTGGCCGGCGTGAATCGCCACCGCCGCCAGTTCCCAGTCTGGGCATGGGGGCCTCTGTGAATACTACTGGCAACCGGTCGTTCGAGTCGATGATGGCTACTTTGAGGGACATGGGCTTTCAGAATGAGCGCCGGAATGCGATTGTTCTTCGAGAACTGGAGGGTAATCTTGAAAAGTCGATCGAAACATTGCAGAGGTTGGGAGAGGGAGGCAATCCCCCATCGCAGGCAAGAATTCCGGCCCAACCAACCGGTGTGACCGTTGGAGCGTCCACCGGGGCATCCAGCAATCCCTTCGATCAGTTGGACTCGAGACCGCCTGCGCAACCCAGCAACCCGTCCTACAATCCGTTCGATATACCGACACCGCAGCCACAGGCTCCCCAGTTTCAACAGCCCCCACAACAGCCTCTGGAGCAGTCCTTCCAAAATCTCCAGGTCGCCCAGCCCTTACACCCTCACACCACTGGAGGATACTTTCACCAGCAGCAGCAGACGCCGTTTTCTCAGCCCTACTATCAGCAGTCGGCCACTCCTCCCGCCTCTGCAACCCTCTCCCAGGGCGCATTTGTGTCTTCGCCTCAGCCTACTGATGGTGGCAACAACCCATTCTTCCAGACCGGCGCTCAACCGCAGGCCAATTTGGCCACTCCGCCCGCCAGCCAGAATCCCGGTCTTGGTCAGACGAACCCCTTCTTCACGCAGCCGCCCAGCCAGCCAGCGCCAGCCAGCCAGCCGACTCCTGGGTTCCCACCGCCGCGACATGCGAACACCATGCCAACATTCTCTTCCACCACGGCCTTCGGTCAGCCTTCTCCTTTCCAGTCGCAAGCACCTCAGTCGCAAGTGCCTCAGCTGCAAGCGCAACCGACCCAGCAGAGCCAACCCACTCAACAGTCTCATAACCCGTTCCAAAGCATGACTGCTCCGACCACTCCACACTCTGCGGGATATCAAGCTCCGTCGCAATATGGGTTTCAGACGGCTACACAGCGTCTGGCTCCTCAGCCCACGGGCCGTCTGAACCCGGCGAACAAGAACAACATTCTCTCTCTCTACAACTTCTCCCCGACGCCGGCGATGACCCCGGAAAACCCCCAATTTCCACCTTCGACCGGTGTCAACCCGGCCGCTACTGGCACGGCCAATCCATATGCCTCTTACGGCTCTGTGCCTCAGATGCAGGCGCAGAATCAGCCCGGCACTTTCCCATCAGCGGCACCCCAATTCCAAACTCCGCTCTCCCAACCATCCGCCGATCCACAAGCCGCCGGCGGCTCTCGCAATCCTTTCATGAGCTCCACCGTACCAGGTGCCGGTGCTATGTCAGTCCCTCAACAGCAGCCGCAGCCGCAGCAGCACAGCATGGGTCTTAACATGCCCGGTCCCCCGACCGCAGGCGGATTCACTCGATCCCACATGAGCCAACAGAGCGTGGACATCAGCGGCTTCCAGAACGGACGGCACAGTCCGGATGCGTTTGCCAGCCTGAGTGCGCGGTACGGCTAAGGGGTCTACTTTCTTGGATATTCCTTTTCTACATCCACGTACATTTTGAACTTCACGGGTATATTTTTCGTTTTTTGTCTCGGCGAATGTAATTCTATGCGATCGTTGCATTTATTGGCCGGCGTTGCGGGTGATTAGGGAAATGGGCAGATTAACTAACATAGATTAAATGATGCGTCGAGCGTGACATTTGGTCTTTTTGGTTTTGGTCTTGGACACGGTTGCCATAGATGGATGGATGGATGATGGAGTATATAGCCAGTCAGTCTAGTGGGTAGTTTGTTCAATTTAGACGTGAATGAAAAGCATCTCCGGTGTCATAAGTTTGATTTAGAGACCTATCCCGAGTACATAGTCAATTACCCAGTCCAATATTTAATCCTCTCCGTTGAATCTTGTCTAGGGCCTAAGGCAACAAGGCCTATAGATAACCCCTGCAAAGTGAAAGAACCCACAGGAATTCTGCCCGCAATTTCTCCCCCCTTCCGCCCCGGATAAAACAGCCTCCGCTCACTGACCGCCCAGCCCTCCCAAACCTCAATCTTCCCAGATCCTAAGAAACCAACTCCTCATATCTTTATCGCCTCTCAGAGTCGCAAAAAAGCCGATATTGAACATCGGAAAACGTGGCTTCATAGCCTATAACTTTGTTTCATGGTGTCTCCATTATGGTAGAATATCCTCTGGTGTAGGGATGGCAGCACGCGAACGAATATTTCTCCCCATACAAATTCTGTTATTTGGGCATCCGACCAGACCCAGATGGTCATGTGAAATCTGTGGTACTTTAGAGTTTGGGTCATGTGATATATGGGACACTGCGTCGTTGGCTTTCTTGGGGTACCGTAGCTGTTGGACGGTGGTGCGGAAGGACCATGTAGGTAGGTCGATATCGCTGCTTTGCGGTCCTAAGGTAGTGTAGAGTGAATTGGATCGGAGCTAGTGATCTGATTGTGGATTTGTTGGAAGGAGGGATGTTTTAGGAACTGAAATTAGGGGTTTGTATACGTACGTTTTTTACTATGTTTTTGGGGTTTAAGATACTGCGATTTTGGACCGAGGATGTATATTAAGTGGCGTTTAGAGACATAGGGAGAGATTAAGGTGTTGATTAGAACTATATACTCGAAGTAAATCAGGTAAGATAGGATGATCACGGAGAAGAGAAGGTATCTTGTAAAAGCAAGAAAGGCGCCACAATAGCACCAACGTGATAGACCAGTACCAGTACAGGACATCCTACGTAGAACTCCCAACGAAGCAAATCAAGGCATGTCAGATCAGGTCCAATAATCCCGATCCTCGATCCTCGAATACTTTTTCTTCTCCCACAGGCCCGAGAGATCGGGGATCCGATCGTCCAGCCAAGCGGGCAGCTGAACGCCCAGGACCGTTCGCCTGCGACGCTCCCACGGCCAGTTCCACGATCGTTCTAGCCACGAAGAACTTGGAGCTGCCCACGGAGCTTTAGACGGAGACCAGGATTTAGGCCAGGACCAGGACTTAGGCCACGACAAGGATTTAGGCCACGACCAAGTTTTGGGCGCAGGCTTCGTCCACCGCTGCCAGATGGAGGGGGAGCGGTCACTCTGTCCCGGGGCCTGGCGTTTGATGTGCTCGATGGCGCGCTCGAAGTAGCGCTCCTTGGCTTCTCGTTCGCGGCGGAGCTTCCCGCTGGCCCAGGCGGCCTGCTCGTTGGGATCGAGACACCAGACGATGATGTCGCCTTTCCGGCGCGAGTCGTCGTGCCAGTGGGTATTGAAGACGCGGTGGCATTCACGGTAGGTGCTGGACCAGAGGATGTTGTTGAGGGTTGGTTCCAGGGCGGCGAAGAAGACGAGGTAGTCGGGCCAGGGGTGGAGGGACATGGATTGGAATTCGGTCGTGGTGAGAGATGGGGCCATGCGCGACGAGTAATGGTATTGTGGGTCGGTGTAGGATGGTTGACGAGGGACGTGGCGTGTACCGCCGAGCATGTTGTTGCGGAGGAACTGGGCCGGGTCGGCGTAGAATTGATCTGCTTCGTCGAGGTACGTCTCCTTTTCAGTGGCGTTGAGACCGACGGGCGGATCGCAAGAGAGAGCCCAGGCGCGGAGGTCGGGGTTGACGAGATGTGAGCGCCAGGGAGTGCTGTGGCAGGGCATGAGGAAGCCCGCCGTGGGACCTGCTCCGGGGTGGGTATTGGGAGCGGCGGGGACACGGCTATGGGATAGATGTTGAGAGCGGATGTAGGAGAGGACGGAGAGGGTGCCCGATGCGTGGTAGATGGTGGTGTATACAGCGACGGCGAGGTTGGCGAGGAGAAGGAAGAGCAGAGTGAGTCGTCGAGGCGTGTGAGATACCGGCAGAAAGAAGGATACCAGTGGCGGAGCGGTCAAGACATGCAACGAGGGGAGCAATGGGTAGATAAATCGCACTTCCTTGTGAGATATCAAGGAGAGGGTGAACGGCATGACCAGGCAGATCAGCCCTAGTTGGGTCTGCATTGAAGCTTGCGGGTTGTCTGACAAGAGAGACCGCTGCTTCAATGCGCGGTACAGACCAACAATGGCGAATGGGAGCGCGGTGGTCAGAAGGAGAGGATAGCCCTGGGAGATGTAGTAGTGCCAGTCATTCTTTCCATAGAAGACTGCCAGCGACTGCGCGATATTGAAGTAGAGGAACTTGAGTGGTGGGAAGGTCCAGGTGCCGTAAAAGGCGCGGTCCAGCAACGTCGAAACGGAGAGAATGGAAGACCTAGAGAACGCATAAGCTTTTGCATCATTATTGGATCTATTGGACTCACCCGCAAATCAAGACTTCGCGAGCGAGAGTCTTCCTTTGGGTCCAGTAGCCACGCAACCAGGCGACACTGGCCAAGCTCACCCAGACCAAAACATTGGTCGGACGCAGGATACAGGCCAAAGCGGCCAGACAGAGACACAGGCGCAATCTGAGTATAGTGAGTTAGCCAACCGATAGCAAACACAAGTTGTTTCCCATTCGTACCTCTTGAGAGGAACCCCGTCACGGGCCTCCGATTCGGGGTCCTTCTTGCTCGCGGCGCGCGTAACTCTCTTGGACCCGGTGGCCGAACCTACAGTCCCAAACCATTCCCAGGGCCACAGATAGAGCGCGACCACGGTGATGGTGGTTTCAAGGCAGTTGGACAAGGTTCTGGTCGAGCAGAACCATTGCCAGGGGCTGGCAATGGTCAAGGCAAGCTATCGCATTTGATCAGCCACATCCACGCCCATCGTGAACCCGGAAACATACTGTCGCCCATGCCTCATGACTCCACCGTCCATATGCCAAACGAGCTAGTTTCCATGTATAGAAATCCCCGACAGCAGCGAATAGGGCTTGTGTAACCTTGGGAGCGGCAACGAGGAGGTCGGCACGCGTCGCGGCGGACAGGTGGAGAGCTTGCACGAGGAAATCTGCGGTCGAATAAACGGCGGCAAACAGGAGAGGATGAATCGAAGATCTCAAGTGGTGTTTCCATTCCTATACAACAGCCATTTGATCATTAGCAACTTGTATTACCGGAGAGAGCCCTGCGGCCGGAGGTCGCGACGCGTTAACTGACCCAAGTGATCCACGCCCCCCGGTCCTCCCCAAAGGCCATCTGCCACGCGGGTTCCAGCGACTGAAAGAACTCATCGGGTTGGAAAAACGTGCGCAGCAACAGCGCATTCAGCAGGCGAAACGACACGAGCGCAAAAAAGACCGACCCGGCGGAGAGCCTGAGGCCAGCAGGCGCCCCGGAACCCCTGCGCACTCCACGATTCCCCGGCGTCATCGTCGATCGCTTATCTTTTTCTTCAGACTTGGTCTTCCGATCGCGGGCGCATGACCAGTGAATAATGATAGGGAAGAGCGCTATGTCTTGGGGGAGTCAACACGATACTGCAAGAGGACAAGGTGGCCAAGGGCGCATCCGCAGTGGAGTTGGCGACCAGAGAAACCACGGGTGATACTAATAAAAATGTGTAATGCAAACGGCGTGTTTGGTCGGCACGAAGCGGCTTGGAAGACAGAGTGGATCAGGGCGTCATGGCGTTGGACTGGGACGAGAACTAAGAGAACTAAGAAAAGTCACGGCTAGACCTGCGCTTAGAGGTTCATCTCAAGTCCGACGGCTAGACTTGCGCTTAGGGGTCATCCATGGCCACCGCCTGTACGCCTTGCAAAGCACCTTATAAGGCCCTGTCAGTCCCTCGTTTTCTCTTCGGCGATATAGATCTCTTGAACAATCTCTTCCTCTCTTTTCCCCTGCTCCCCCACGTCTCCGATTTCCCCACTTGATCCCCTCACTCTTATCTCTCTATCTATCTCTCTATCTCTATCTCCATCTATCTACGCCCCCATCGCCTGCCTTCATCATGCCGTCCAACGGTATCAGCAACGGCACCAGCAACGGCACCAGTGCTTACCACGCTGCGTCCACCCAGGAGGCAATCCAGGCTGAGAAGGACTTTGCTGCCCACAACTATCACCCTCTTCCCGTGGTGTTTGCTCGTGCGCAGGGTACGTCGGTCTGGGACCCCGAGGGCCGCCACTACTTGGACTTCCTGTCTGCCTACTCCGCCGTCAACCAGGGTCATTGTCACCCCAAGCTCGTCGCTGCTCTGGTCGATCAGGCCTCGCGACTGACTCTGAGCTCCCGAGCCTTCTACAACGATGTCTTCCCGCGGTTCGCCCAGTTCGTGACCGAGTACTTTGGTTTCGACATGGTGCTGCCCATGAACACCGGAGCCGAGGCTGTCGAGACGGGCATCAAGCTGGCTCGCAAATGGGGTTACAAGGTTAAGGGCATCCCTGAGAACCAGGCGGTGGTCTTGAGTGCCGAGAACAACTTCCACGGACGGACGGTAAGTGGTCTTATCCGGGGGGCGAAGCTAATGCAAGGTTCGTGTTTCGCTAATGTACGCCATCCCTACGCTTAGTTCGCCGCCATTTCCTTGTCCTCCGATCCGGAGTCGCGTGAAAATTACGGGCCCTACCTGCCCGGAATTGGTTGCACCATTCCTGGCACTGATAAGCCCATCACCTACAACGACAAGGCGGCTTTGCGGGAGGCTTTCGAGAAGGCCGGTCCCAACCTGGCTGCCTTCCTGGTCGAGCCTATCCAGGGAGAGGCCGGCATCGTCGTTCCCAGCGAAGATTATCTGCAGGAGGCGCGGGCGCTGTGCGACAAGCACAACGCTTTGCTGATTTGCGATGAGATTCAGACCGGAATCGCTCGCACGGGTAAGCTGCTCTGTCACGAGTGGAGTGGAATCAAGCCGGATCTGGTGCTTCTGGGTAAGGCCATTTCCGGCGGTATGTATCCGGTATCGGCGGTGCTGGGCCGCAAGGATGTCATGCTCACCGTCGAGCCGGGCACGCATGGATCGACGTATGGTGGTAACCCCCTGGCTTGTGCGGTGGCTATCCGTGCGTTGGAGGTTGTTAAGGAAGAGAACATGGTCGAAAGAGCTGAGACGCTGGGCCACGTTTTCCGTAACGGCCTGGAAGCCATCAAGAACCCCATGATCCAGACCGTGCGTGGCAAGGGTCTGCTGAATGCCATCGTTATCGATGAGTCGAAGACCAACGGACACAGCGCCTGGGATCTGTGCATGCTGATGAAAGAGAAGGGTCTGCTGGTAAGTAGTTGTTGGTTGGATGTTTCGGGAAAAATGCTGATGCGCGACCCAGGCCAAACCCACTCACCAGAACATCATCCGTCTTGCTCCCCCTCTCGTGATCACCGAGGACGAGATCAAAAAGTCTCTGGAGATCATCGAGCAGGCTGTGGATGAACTTCCGAGCCTCAAGGGCGGCGCACCTCCCCCGGAGAAGAAGGCCAAGACCGACCAAAATTAGAGCCCTGAATCAAGGGGTAAAAATCTCGGGGCGAACGACAAGCATGGGAGGCCGGTATGCAGTCCCAGCGATCGCAGGGTTTAACTCTCATCGCCCTTCTGCTGAAGACGGACCTCGCCGGATTATAAACCCTTTATCGTCAGTTGGTCTGACTTGACGAGGGAATCCTTCGCATCTGCTTGTCCAGAGTAGGTTCTCCGATTGATGGGAGCCTTTTGCTTGGAGAGAAACAGAGACAGAGCGATGGAATTGATGCTTGTCCTTACGACCTACTACTCAAGATTTATGACACTCAAATGCTAGCTTACGATTTTTAAAGAATTAGCAGAAGAATGACACATTTCATGACGATGGCATCTGAATTATAGAATCCATTAGAACTGGTAAATCTCTCCGTGCTATCGGCTTTAAATAAGATCGCTATGATCTCATCGCCTTGCAACTACATTGGCTTGCTGCTACTCTCGTGCCATTACAGACAGCACCGGGCGATATTACGGCGAGACACAGTAAGTGGAAGTACCATGAAACTCTCTTCACTAGCGAACGAGGATTCAGGGTCGATGTCCACTGCGTCCGATGACTTACACAGCCGAGGATATTCTATTTCGACGCGAGTTCGTGGCTGAACGAAAACCAAGTCAACCCGATGCAACCTGTAGGTCATGCATGAACTATCGAGGAATTATCAAATAACCCAACATCCAGATTGGCCCAAGACAGAAGAAATGGAGAGAATGAGCACACCCCCACTTTCCCATGGCAATGGTGCACTGAAAATTGACATCGGTGGACCATGATTGCCTAGGAAGCTTGTTGAAACTTGGCGAAGGAGTGTTGTTGAGAGATTGATATGCTTCCTGGCTCCATGTGTCTGAGCGGAAAATCAGGATCAAGGTTTAGGCGATGAAGAAAGTGGGTTTCCCCATTTTCCAAGGCACGAAAGAGAGCCCAAAGCACCTCGCAGTCCATTCCACAGAATCCTCTGGGTTATTGCAGATCCCTTACACGGTGGTCGTTGGCGCCGCCATCATACTTGACACGTCAGTCGGCGGCAGTCGTTTTTGGCTGCTGCATTGCCCATGCATATACATTGGATGCGACCCTGCTGTCTGGTCTAACTATAGGTTGCTCGTATGAGACTGGAGGAACACGAGAAGCGGATGGGCAATTGTTGTTCATCAGGGAGGAGGTTGTGGTGGTTTTGGACGGGGGTCAGGTGACAGCGAGAATCTAACGGATTACTTCGCACTCGTTCTTCTTTCCCCCGACCTTTTCCTCTTCTCCGAGGTCGTGGACGCTTAAACGTGGCGTCCACCGTGGAAAACGCCTCAATCCCTGATCTAATCATCCTGCACGATGTATCTTTTCGATCCTCCTTAATCGGACCTGTCCACTCCACCTGGTTTACCCAGATTGGTAAGTGGTGAACACAACGAGTCACCGCGGTTATTTTTACATGCGTCTCTCTCCCACAAGTCAATTCAACTACATTTATTGGCATGGTGCAGGCGGTGCTTGGTATTCTACTGGTGGAAGTCTTCCGGCCGGAGGGGGCTGAGGATGTTATGTTACATTCTATCGAGGATCTGCGCTGTCCCTTGCTTTGTGGAAAGCCTGCTGATGCAAGGACCAGTCAACCCACATTTTCTGCACTTCTAGTCTGCGTCTATGGCAAATCGTGCTATTCAATTGGTCGTGCCGTTGGCTTCGTTCTCTTTTGGCGTTTACTGGTCCTCATGGCGCGAGCCTGATGTCGAGCCAACGGTCAACGTATCACCGGGCAAAAGCAAGGAGGGACAAGAATGTACCTGTATACGATCCTTTCGACGCTTCGGGTCTGGTAAGATCCGGGCTACTCGTCACCGATCAGGAATCCGGATTACCTGATCTGATCAGGCGTGTGAATTCCACCGTCGCCACGAGACGCTACAAGAGAATCTCGCCCGATGTGATCCCCCGGGCAAAGGAAAGAGATTGTTAGCTGGAAGGCGCTCGAATGCTGAAATAGGCTTGGGGTACAGAGAAGCGACAGAACCTCCAGCCCTCCCCCTTCTCATTCTTCTCAACCCCGCTGCACTAGCCTTGCGCCGCGCCTGCGAATGTGCCGTGCCGGTCCTGCCTCGACGCCGTTACACATGGGATGTCTTGGATTAATTTAACTTAATCCATTTTTGACGAATATGACATACAACGCTCAAGAGAAGATCGCAATCCCGATTGCAGACGAGAAAAATGAATCTCAGTTCACCTCGGCGCGGACGAGTGTGCAGGAGAGCCGCCCTAGCGACCAACCGAAGCAGTCTTGGTTTTCCAAATTGCCAAGTCTGAATCCATTGCGATGGCAAAAGACTCCTCCGATCGCGGAGGAAAGGGGGGCATGTCGAGAGTATGAGGCTCGTTTGCCGAGCCGTATGTTCTTTCAGTGGATTGAGCCCATTATGAAAGTTAGTAAATCGCCCCATATTTCTTCCCGATAGTCATATTCACCCAAATATCTAGGTTGGTTATCTGCGGGATTTGGAACTTCAGGATATCTGGGCGGTCAACCCGGACAGGTCGGTTGATTTCGTGTCAAAAGAACTCGGGGCCAGCTTGGAACGGCGATTAAAACGCGGAGACAAGAAACCATTGGTAGGAGCCATCTATGAGACCTTTAAACGGGAATTCTGGATCGGTGCGATATGCCAAATCCTCGGGACGGTCATCATTGTTCTGTCTCCTCTTGTCATCCGCCACTTGATCTCATTCGCCATGGAGGCATACGATTCCAGAAATGGCACCCAACCAAGTCCGCATGTCAGCTGGGGCATAGGTTATGCATTGGCTATATTTTTCATGCAGGTGATCCGAGCCCTCTGCATGAGCCAGTCCTTTTACAAGGGGGATGTGCTTGGTGGTCAAGTGAAAGCCGCTCTTGTTTCGCTTATTTTCTCCAAGGCAATGAAGTTATCAGGGCGAGCCAGAGTAGATGGGCGCCAGTCTGGAGATGACCAAGCGGAGCCCACGAAACCCAGCAAGGCTGAGGAGCAGACCTCTGGCTGGAATAACGGTCGAATTACGATGCTAATGGGAGTCGAAGCGGATCGAGTTGATAGAGCCTGCGGAAGTATTCATCTTCTCTGGGCCACACCCATCTGCTTGGCTGTCGGCCTCGTTGTTCTCTTGGTCACCATCGGATACAGCGCGCTTTCTGGGTATGCGTTCATGTTTCTGGCAGTCATGGGGTTGACCTACATTGTGGGCAGTCTCGTCAGTCTACGGGTGACGGTCAACAAAACCACGGACGAGCGGGTGTCTTTGACCCAAGAGATCGTGTATAACGCGAGATTTGTCAAATTCTTTGGTTGGGAGAACTTTTTCCTGGAGAGATTGCGGAAGCTCCGACATGCCGAGATGCATTCTCTGCATAAACTTCTCGCCGTCCGACACGCTGTTATATCCAGCTTTGTATCAATGTCTACGTTTGCGGCACTGTTTGCTTTCATCACCTACGCATTTCAAGGTTACGGTGCCGCTCCTGACAGTATATTTGCGTCATTTGCCGCCTTCAACGCGCTCCGGGCGCCTCTCAGCATGATGAATTTGGTTATCAGTACTGCAACGGATGCTTGGACTGCTTTAGACAGGCTCCAGGATTTCTTCAAGGCCGAGGAGCGAGAAGATTTCGTTGATTGGGATATGGGTATGAGAAACGCCATCGAGATGAATCACGCATCATTTACGTGGGAGCAAGTGCCATCGTCTACAGGCTCAGAAGCCAACAGCACCGAATCAAGCCGTAGGGGATCGACCCACGAGTCTACGGATAGACTGGCGGATGCCAACAGGCGCTCCACCAGGACCAGTGCAGAGCAAGATCCCTTCAAAATTTCCGACATCGACCTAAATGTAGGTCGTCGCGAGTTGATCGCCGTGATCGGAACAGTTGGCAGCGGAAAGAGTTCTTTGCTGGGAGCGTTAGCGGGCGAGATGCGTTTAACGTCTGGAAGTGTCCGCATGGGCACGACGAGGGCGCTTTGCTCACAGTATGCGTGGATTCAGAACACCTCTGTTAAGAACAACATTCTCTTCGGCCATGAATACGATGAAACCAGGTATAACCAGGTGGTCGATGCGTGTGCCCTCCGGTCAGATCTCGCCATGTTTCCAGACGGCGAACAGACTGAGATCGGCGAGCGTGGGATCACTATATCGGGTGGCCAGAAACAGCGGCTCAATATTGCTCGAGCCATCTACTCAAACTCCGAACTTGTTCTTCTCGACGACCCCCTGTCTGCGGTGGATGCGCATGTAGGAAAGCAGATCATGGACAATGCCATTTGTGGACTTCTCAGAGATCGATGTCGAGTCCTGGCAACCCACCAACTCCATGTACTTGGCCGCTGTGATCGAATCATCGTGATGGACCAAGGGCGGATACATGCCGTCGACACATTCGCGAACCTGATGCGTGACGACGAAGTTTTCCGGACTATCATGGCAACCACCGCCCAGCTGGAATCTTCGGACAAGCAGACTCCCAGCCACAACACGGAGATCCAACCAACGGAGGAGAAACCCAAGAACGAGGGCTCAGGCACTGCCCTGATGCAAACGGAAGAGAGAGCTACGGCATCTATGGGTTGGGCTGTCTGGAAAGCCTACATATCTGCCACTGGCTCTATCTTCCACCCTATTCTTTTCCTGCTCCTGACACTTCTTGTCAATGGAGCAATTATCATGAACGGCCTGTGGCTGACATATTGGACGTCCGACAAGTACCCTTATCTGGGCATAGGAGGTTATCTGGGAATCTACGCTGCTCTTTGCGTGGCCCAGTTTGTCATAGTTTATCTTTATTCGTTTCAGCTCACCTATGCTTCTTCTAACGCTGGCAAAGCGATGCTTCAAGAAGCTTTGTATCGTGTCATGAGGGCGCCCATGTCTTTCTTTGATACAACGCCGCTCGGGCGCATCACAAATCGTTTCTCGAAGGATGTGCAAGTGTTGGACAGCGACCTTGGAAACTCAATTCGGATGTTCGTCATGATGTTCTCTATGATTGTCGCTACCCTGGGCCTAGTTGTTGCCTACTTTTACTACGTGAGTAACCAGCATGCCATTCTACTTGTTGTCAACATGATTCTAACTGTTATTGTCAGTTTGCCATCGCTATACCGCCGATGTTCTTTCTGTTCTGGATGATTTCATCCTACTACAGAGGCTCGGCCCGAAGTTTAAAGCGACATGAAGCGGTTCTCCGTTCTGGCGTTTTTGCTCGTTTCGGCGAAGCTATCACCGGCACAACATGCATCCAGGCGTATAACAGAGAAGACCAATTCCGGCAGGTCATCCACAAAGCCGTTGATTCCATGAATGGCGCATACTTCCTAACCGCGGCAACCCAAGCATGGCTCGTGGTCCGAGTTGAAATGGTAGGTGCCATTCTAATCCTCATAGTCGGCATCCTCGTCGTCACTTCGCGCTTCAATGTTGGGCCCAGCGAAGCAGGCATGGTCCTCTCTCTCATGCTCGGTATCACGCAAAACTTCCAATTCTGCGTCAAAGAGTATGCCGAAGTCGAGAACGATATGAACTCGGTCGAGCGCATGCACCACTACGCCAGCAACCTAGACCAAGAAGCACCTCTGGAACTGGGCAAGGTGCCCCCCTCGTGGCCCGAAAATGGCCGCATCGCCTTCGACAACGTCGAGATGTGCTACCGCGAAGGCATGCCGCCCGTCCTGAAGGGTCTCACCATGGAAATCCGCGGCGGCGAACGCATCGGGATCGTCGGCCGCACAGGCGCTGGCAAATCCAGCATCATGGCCGCCCTGTTCCGCATGAGCGAGCTCTCCTCCGGCAGCATCAAAATCGACGACACTGACATCTCGCGCATTGGGCTTCACGAGCTCCGCACGCGCCTCACCATCATCCCTCAAGACCCGACCCTCTTCCAAGGCACCATCCGCTCCAACCTCGACCCCTTCGACGAACACACCGACCTCGAGCTCTGGTCCGCTCTCCGAAAAGCCCACCTCGTCGGCCAGGAAATCCCCAGCGAAACCTCCACCACCCTCACCACCACCTCGCCTTCTCTCGCAAAACCCCCCAACCCCGCCCAGCGCCTCAACCTCGACTCCACCGTCGACCAAGACGGCCTGAACTTCTCTCTCGGCCAGCGCCAACTCATGGCGCTCGCACGCGCTCTGGTCCGCGACTCCCGCATCATTGTCTGCGACGAGGCCACGTCCTCGGTGGACTTTGAGACCGACGAGCGCGTCCAGGAAACCATGGCGACTGGATTCCGGGACAAGACGGTTCTGTGCATTGCGCATCGGTTGCGCACGATTATCAACTATGACCGCATCTGCGTGATGGATCAGGGACGGATTGCAGAGATGGATACGCCCGCGAGGCTGTATGAGCGACGGGGTGGAATTTTCAGGGGCATGTGCGAGCAGAGTGGGATTTCGAGGGGGGATTTTGCGCAGTAAGTTGATATGAACTATTTGAATGGCGGGGATTAGGGTTGTTGCAGATGCTGTGGGGGTAGGTATTGAAGATGTACAGAGGGTCTGGAATTGGGTATTAATGTGTTGATCTTATTGGAATGAATTAGATGGATAGATGGATGGACGAGGACTGGATAAAAGATGATGGAGATGGGATTATGCTGAAGATGTAGATACGGGGCAATGCATGCATGTTATTGGGATTCTTTCTTACACTAACTAATGAATGTCACATCTTACTAGTTCTCTAGTTCTACTCTAAGATAACATAATATAGATCAATCTCTCTTTAATACCTGACCTCCAAGCACCAAGTCCTACTAATTCAACGCACCCCTCACAAGAATGAAAAAGGAAAAAACTAACGATATCTCACGGACCCCCTCCTATGCTCCGAATACCTCCTCTCAACACCATAATGCTCTTCCTCTTCCTCTCCCTCATCCTGCCTCCGCAAACCCCCTAGTCCATGCTCCCCATTTCCATTTCCCTCCTCTCCTTTCCCTTCCTCCTGCCGTTCGCTAGGAAACCTCGGCGGACCGCCTAAACTGGCCAGCACGACTGCGTTATTGGCAGTCAGGTCATCGAGGATGTCGAGTTCGGGCTGCGAGAACCATTTCGGGATGATGTATACGCGGAAGGGGATCATTGCTGTGATGAGGATTGGGAAGCCTAGATATTATAGTGTTTTGTTAATGGTTAGGTTTTGTTGGGTTTGCGGATGTTGGTAGGGAGAGGGGAATTTATGAAGTAGGGAGGAACGTAGTAGGGTTAAAAAATATGACGGCGGGAACACGTCCCAGGAGTGGTATAGAGAACAAGGATGGGGTGAACGAACCAATAGCCGCTACAGTCTGCGACACGGCAACGCAAGCCGCAACACCAAAGACCTGGCACGCGACGTAGAGCAAGATCTTCCCCTTCCGCACCCTCAAGAGGGGCTCGTCTCTTTGCACGAACCGATTCTCTCGGGCCAGGAAGACCAGTTTCCCAAGGATACCGTTACTCTCGATGGAACCCCAGCCGACGATGAAGAAGACGCCGGCGAAGACGGCGGCCGGAATGGTGTGGAGCACGATCAGGAGGGGGCCGGTCATGGTGCCGATGATGGCGAGGCCCATGAGGAAATGGGAGACGCGCTGCTCGACGACGGCGGTGGGCTTTGTGATGGGGCGGCGGAGCTCGGCGCCTTCGCCTTCGGAGGTGGGGATGAGGGCAAGGGTGGTTTCGTAGATGGTCAGGGAGTCGGTGTGGACGGGCGCCTGGGGTTGGTTTCTTAGTTTTCTTTTTTGGTGCAGAGTCTGGGGGTGGTTGGTTTGGGGATGTATGTACCTGGGGAACGAGACCGTTGGGCATTGGGATGCCGGTGATGCCGGAGAGGAAGGTCGTGCAGCCGAGGAGGAAAAAGTCCCAGTGGAAGCCGCCGGGTTTCTTGAGGGGGAACTGGCGGGCTTGGGCAGTGAGACTGCTCACGTTCTGGGAAAGGTAGGTAAGTATGGGTAGATGACAGGAATGGGTAGGTCGTACATGGTCATAGTAGAATAGAAGCATGACGAGAAAGCCGAATGGCAATGCCGCAAAGACCCATTTGACTTCCAGCTCCCAGAAATGAATTAACCAGCCACGCGGTTGCGTAGGATAGAAGGCCCGAGTAATGGGGACGAAGGAGATACCAGTGGATTTTAGGTTTCCGGGGATATGGGCGAAGCCTACCCAGAATATGGTTCCGATCTAGGCGTGGCTGTTAGATTAGTTTACGATGGGGAGTGGAAAACGTACCACATAAGCATAGTCGGCCAGTAATTCACGAAACCATGGTCTGCAGATTGTGCTGGATCCTAGCATCTCCAATCCATAAATGGTCAGGAAATACAGAATGGCAATCATGGTGCTCATGAAGCCAGCTGCCGATCCGTACTCGCTGAACTCGTTGACCAGTTCCTCGACTCCTTTGACTGATTATCTTTAGTAAGTTATCTTTGAGCTAAATCGGAAGACCTACTGCAATATATGATCCCGACATAAGCTCCGAACGACTCGGATGAAAAGTCCGTCACATATCGCATGTAATCGCAGAGATTGCAGACAGCCACGATCCAATGAAATATGGCCGCCCATATAGCAGTCCAACACATGAAATTCGCATAAATCGCGGGTTCGTATCGAGTGACAATGTCGTAGATTGTGTAGTTGAACAAGGATATGAGACCAGTAATGCCGACAATGGTGAGCGGCTGCGCACCCACCAGACTGAAAATCATGGCAGCCATTGCCGAGGAAAAGAGCGCCTCGTTGATGCCATAAAACTCGCCAGTGCGTCGGTACATGTCCAATGTATAAGCGATAGCTGGAAGTAAACTGCAACTGCTGTTAATGCACATCAACCCAGCCCTTGGGGGAGACATACTTGACGAAGTACATCCGGATGGTGCTGGCAATCGTCCGATAGGTCAGGGCATCCTGGAAATCACTCCAATAGTAAGGCAGGCGCCGTCGAACATCATGGTACATACCACGAAAGGGTCGTAAAGGGCGTAGGCGTTTCCATCCAGAAAGGTTGTCGTAACTATATGAGACGGAGGATTTCTCCCTAGTAAGGTGGGATGAGTCCGACATGGTGAGATGGTTAGGTATGGAATAGTCGACAAAAGAAAAGGCGGGCTTTTATAGTTTTATCTGCGAATCAATTCGCTTAGGCATTCCCAATAGCCACTGGTCTCAATGTTGGGTGCGGGATTTGCGCAGTGCGGAGGTATAGGAGAGTGATGAGTGTAATGCTGCCAGCATGCCCACCGAGCAACACAAAAAGCAGTCCTCGGTGCTTCCGACGAGACGATTGTCAGATACCGTCTGTTTCTTAATCCTCACCAATGCCCATAGAGTTATTGTTCATGAGCACCTGGTGTGCACATGGATAACGTCATGGTGTGAGGCCGCTGACTCATCCGTTCTGCCCGGGCAGAATTCGCCATCGCATCTTGGAGAAGCAAGCGCAAGCATGCATATACTTGCGTTGGTGTCTGGTCCACTGCTGACATGGAATGCTCATCAATATCATCGGGAATCATATCCCAACTTTGTGACATCCTCCAGAACCGCGAGTTTCTCCCACAACTAGTATCGGCCCTCGAGGAGTCAAAACGGCGCCAGAACAATGGCCGCTTGTTCCTGCAAGTTAAAGCTTCTCTCTGCACTGTCCCATCAGCGGTGTCTCCTGACGGGTCCTTGATCTTGGTTTGTTCAACATGTTCGCTTGACTGATTCTGACTAACTAGTTAGGGCTGTGTCGATCTCAGCGACGGGCAGCTTGTACCTCTAGCGCAGCTTAATTCTATTCCCACCCCAGATCCAGAAGTAAGCATATCCATCGTGCTTCGTCTAGTTCTCATTAACTAAGCATCTATGCAGGATCAATCAAGGGATGGCGGTGTTATCCCTTTAACTCCGCAGTCTAGCATAGATGAAGCTTGCACTCGGTCCCCAAAACGTCGAAAGACCGTCAGTGGTCTTCGGCTTGCTCCATTCAAGTCGATGGTTTCGCATGACGGGGTGGATTCTGAAATCCATGCCCAAGATGCTCCAGGGAATAGCGTATCTGATTCCCAAACACACTCGATACGCCAAGTACACAGCGACACGGGATTTCCGCAGCGCAAAAAGCCGGGGCGAGATAACGCTGCTCCTGTGATGGAGCCCACATCAACTGATAAGCTGATATCTGGCATATGGCGTCAGGTATTCTCGCCTGTACAGTTGAGTCGGCTTCCTTCCGTATGTGACGGATTCTCCCTTAAAGTCAATGTTAGCCATGACTGACGAATGCACAGGTAATAGAGCCCAGTATCAATATCCGCACCGGGGTCAGTGGAGATGTATGTATGAATTCTCGGTGGTGGTATTCTTCCCGTTTAACCATCCCCAGGTCTTTCGTGCTGTAAACACGCTCTGTTTGAAATACTACAACCAAAGCCAGTCGTCTCGAGCCTTGGAAATGATCGTGCAAGCGTATTGGATAGAATGCTACGAGGCCCGCATCGCCGTAATCCGGCTTCAAAATCCGAATTTCTCGATCACGGAGGCCCGAATGATAGCGCTGAAAGAGGCATGCGCCGTGCTCAACTGGAAGGATAAAGACCTACGAAATCGAATGTCAGTTCATGCCCAGACCCTTCACCTCTCTCAGCACTAACCCACACCCAGTGCCATCTGGCGCGGCTACAAGGATATCAAAGACGCCGGGGGATGGGCCAGTCTGATCTTCGCCAGCGCCGGCGTCTACCGCTTCTGCAAATACCGCACCGGCTTCGGCGAGGGGTTCTCCACGCGTCTGCGCCATATCCGATGCAGCCTCGAAGTCGCAGCCGACACTCTGCATCCCGAGTGGCGCGACCTCCTACAAGTGATCGATCAGGGCGAAGCACGCCGGTACCACGGTCATCCCCACGAATGGGTCACGGTGACCGGCGCCCCAGCGGTCCCTTTAGCCTCGACATACGCCCATCTCGACCTACCCCACGGGTTCCAGTACCGGTTCATCGACGAGTGCGCCATCGACGCTGCAGCATTCACCGATGACCCGCGCCACATGCCCAGCCTGGACCCCGAGACCTGCCCCGTCTGCAAACAGCGGCAGTCCGACGAGATCGAGAAGAACCAATGCGCGTGCTTCCCGTCGCTGTTCGGCGGCATCCGGGGCCCCGTACCCATGCAACTCTTCCACACGACCAGCGGCAAGAATAACGGCGTCGTAGCCCGCACGGTACGTTGCCTCCCTCCCTTCAAACCCAAACCCTAAGCCCTGTGTCCATAGGAACCAAGTAACCAACGAAAGTATAGACGATCGAGCGCGGGACGGCCATCGGCGAATTCATCGGGCTGGTAACGAGCGGCATCTGCGGCGTGGACGTGATGCAGGGCGGCTCGCACAAGACGCGAACCTACCAGATCTACCAAGGTCAGATGGGCAATTTCACGCGCTTCATCAACCACTCGTGTCGGCCGAACAGCCAGTTCCAGCGATTCTACTGGCGCGGGGCGGAGCGCATCGTGGTTGTCTCGCGGGGCGTGGTGGCGGGGCAGGAGATCACGGTGGACTATTCGAATCATTACTGGAATCAGTTGGATAAGAAGTGTCTTTGCGGGGAGGGTTGTTGTCGGTTTGGGGGGAGATGAAGGGAGGGGGCACGCGATGAGATGAGAGAAGGTTGGTGGTTGCGGTTGATGATGAGGAAGACGAGATGGGAAGAGGGAAGAGGGGGTGGCACAGAGGTCACATGGCTGGCAGGTCAGGCTTATGAAAGGGCAGCGGAGTTTGATTCAATCAGGGAACAAGGGATATTGCTGGGAACATAGTTGTTTCTTTTCATCTGATATTATATTGGATACATGAATGATACCTGCATATCAAGATAACCAGAGTATTTAAGAGAAAACATGGCTGAACGATCCCAGCTTAGTGTCTTTAATAATCAGTAGTTGGCAAGGATCCAACATGGAAAAGGTTAGAAATATGCTCTAATAGGCTAGAATTCGAGCCCATGTTCAATGACAAGCACCGGTTGTTTTACGTGCTGCTGATCGGCTTGAGATTGTGTAACCTACTGGTCCAATGGCTTGGGCATGTCGCATGTTCTCCGTCGTCTGGACACTTCAGATTAGATAATATAGCAAGAACAGCAGGACTATGACGCTACAAGTATGAGAGTCTCTCGCCAGGCCAGACAGGTCCCGTGCATCCACCGATCCACCAAGAACGGGACGTTTGTGCCACCCATCAGCAAATCGCTACTGGCAGCAGCTGTCTTCCAAGCAGAGAACGGCCCCTCCTGCGGCCTGGACCATCTGACCTGGCCAGGAGGTACCGGCGATACATCCCAGCCCGCCTAGATCGACGCGACGAAACAAGTACCGGTACCTCGCGGAATCCCAATTACTCTACTCACTAGCTCCCCTGTCAACCACACCTCCAAGGCCAGCATCCGTCATGATTGGAGAAGAGACCCGTCATCGCCACCCCGAGCAGTTCGTCTCTCCGAAGCTGAGAAACCCTGCTGCCTAGATCAGGTGGATCTAGCGCCCTACACTCCAGGGTCCAGATGGAGCAAGACAAGGTCGATTGGAACGCAACGGAAGCTGACCTTAAATATAAGCTTATCTGGACGTCCGTGACGGACTTGTTTGACTCCAAACGCCTTCAAAGCATATCCTGTAACCCTATTTCGTCGACACCGACGCCTGGAAGGTGGCAAATTGTGCGGCAGGTAGGGCTCGGATGCTCGGGACGCATCACGTGCGCAGGACCAGGACACGACTTACAGACTGTCCCTGGAGAGAAATATTGACGGGAAACGAGTTATCAATTAGAGTTAAGTCGGACTAAGACCGGAGTGGACCCGTGCTGGAAGCAGGGCTTCACCCAGACGATCAGATGTCGTGTGAGTCGGACCCGGGCAATGTCATATCGGCTGCACACGGACCGCCCATGACGTGGACGTTCAGTTGGCGAGCAAGTTAGCAGGGGACCGTGTGTCAAGACCGGACACTATATACCGGGGCATGACAATCCATCCTGGAAGAGGTAATCGAACGAGGCCGCATTCTGAAAACTCTGCATACGATCGGCTGGCACGAGCGCTAGGAACGGTTAATGGGATCATGATCGTCGACCGGACCTGTCCCCCCAACCGGATGACGTTTGACAAGAGGAATATCATTACTGGACGACGGAGGGGGAGACAACCGGTCGGACTTTTTGTCCGCAGCCTCGTGCAATCCTGGCAAAGACGGGCGGGAGAAAAGCGATCAGCTAATATTAATAATGACATTCAGGGATACGAAGGAGGATTGATTGATAATGGAGAAATTGACGGAATTACGGCGTTTGTCGCGGTGGGTCGGACTCTCGGCTTCGCTGCTCCGAGACGGGCAGAGTTGCCTGATCCAGCCAGGCCGGAAAGAATGGGATTGAGAAGGGTTCCGGACAGATCCATGGACCTGGGCTCAACGGGCCTTCACGAGGGAATGCAACGGACGGGAGAAAAAAAATGAAAAGAAAAAGAAAAGGAAAAAGAACGGTTCCGAAGCCGAGCCGGTGCCTCCCTATAGGGCAAGGATTGCTAGTCAGTTAGTGCAGTGTTTAGTCGGACTATCAAGCATTGACCGCCAAGCCCGCGCCCTTCCTCGATGACGATATGTTATGGATCAGCTCACGAGTGGAGCTGCAATCCGTAGGGACTACTCCGAAGTAATTACTAGTCGAGGCACTGGCGAAAATATGGCTCAATGCCAAATCCGCTAATTGTAGCTACATTCGACTGCCCCGAGCACCGAAGCTCTTGGCAACAAGCAAGCAAGTAAGCAATGAGCTACTCCGGTGCTGCAGACGTGAAGGGAACGTGAAACGGCCGGCGAGAGGGGAAACGGACAGGGTGCTGAGGTGGCCGGAGGAGCACAATCCTTCCCAGCAAAAGAACGAAGCAGATCCGGCGACCCCGTTTGCCGTCTCCTGCCGCGCCTTTGTCCGCGCCTGCCACATCCGATTGATCCGATGCTTTCCAGATCTGGTGACGAAGAATCCACCGTGACCATCACTAAACCACCCATGGCAGGTCATATGGCAAATCATTCAATATTATTAGGATCCCCCGACGGCGCCGCCAGGGCCGTTGGCCTAGAGGGGCTACGAGAAAAATAAAAAGATTTTTTTTTCTGTCTTTCTCTCGCTCTCTCGGTGATGCTTATAAATTGTGCTTAGCCCCGCTCTTCCTCAAAGAAAAGACTGCAGTTCTGGTATGACCTTTTTTTCTCATTAGCAGCGGCTTCGTCCTCACATTCTCGCAACTGCGTTCCTCTTACGGATACCTCCATCTCTCTGTCCGCTGCTCACCCTTTGACCCCATCTCTCCTCCTGACATCATAATGGAAGGCCAACAAACGGTCTTGGCCTCGCGTCAGTCGGGGCGGAGCTCCGAAAGTAGCTCGCTGGATGCCATTGCGAACGAGAAGCAGAAGCTGGCCACGGCCAGCTCGTCACCGCAACGCAGCCTGCCGGATTTGCACAACTCCGCGTCGCCCAAGCGGTGGAAAACCTTCTGGAAATCCTTCCGATACCTGCAGAATCTGACCCCCAAGCAAGTGGACGACTTCATGGCGTCCTACGTCATCTATAACCTTGATTGGTCGAACGAGGCCCAGATGGTTGACGAATTGGGCCCCAACTACCAGGAGAAAGTCGGCGATTGCCTGAAGGCGTACTATGGCGTGTTAAACCACCTGTGCGCGCTAGGCGACGTCGAAAAGATGTACATCCCCCCGTTCATGAGTAAGAAGGCGACGGTGCTGGAGAACCAGCTGCTGTATGAGGAGTCGATCGCGGAGGACATTGGGTTAAAGAAGAACGATAAAGTGTTGGATTTGGGTTGCGGCCGCGGCCGCGTCGCCGCGCACATGACGCAATACTCCGGTGCCCAAGTCACGGGGCTGAACATCGACCCCAACCAGATCGCCCAGGCCACTGCCTACAACGCGGAGTTGGGTTTCAAGGATAACGCCTTTGTCGTCCAGGATTTCAACAGTCTGCCCCTTCCCTTCGAATCCGAGTCCTTCGACGCCTTCTACCAGATCCAGGCCCTGAGTCTCTGCAAGGATCTCCCCGGTCTCTTCAGCGAAGTCTTCCGCGTCGTCAAACCCGGAGCCAAGATCTCCCTGCTCGACTGGGTCAGCTTTCCGGAATATGATGCGTCCAATCCCGAGCACGCCGAGCTCATGCGTCGCGTGAAGCCCCTTATTGGAGCCGTGGGAACGCCCACTCCCGAGAGTCTCGAAAAGTCCCTGACCGAGGCCGGTTTCACGGTGACGCGATCGGACAACGCCAGCGTGGGTGGGTTACAGTCACCTCTCATTGAGAAGGTCGATTTCTACTTCCGATCCATGCGACAGGTCATCTTGGGGTTGGTCAAGACCCACGTGCTCCCCCGTCATTTCAAAACCCTGATCAACCGTCTGTGCTTGGATGGCGAGGCGTTCGTCAAGATGGACCAAATGCGACTGGTGACTACCAGTTATCGCATCATTGCGCAGAAGCCTCTCCAATGAGGGAGCCTCGCGCCAGGATGAGACTGGAGGAAAAGATTGCTGTGGTATTAGCCTGGATTTCTTGTTTAACCGACCGGATCGGGACAAGTGAATGATCTGTCTCTGGCCCTGGAACACCTGTCAGAGAAACATCATCCTCTCGAGTCAGAAGGGGAAGACCAACTGACGGACCGGTGCCGCAGTAGTGCCACATGTCCACTGGCTGGATATGAGATACTGGTCAAGACATGATCATTCGTCCATGCAGCTACGCGGTCGGTCGGGCTCGTTGCTCCCGTTTGAAATGCCGCCGTGTCGCACACGGCTCAACCTTCCGATCTTCCACAGTCCATTCCTGTCCAGCGACTTTCGACTTTTTGCCAGAAGGTGAGCATCTGGTCCGTTTCGCCCAGTTGTGTGTTCACCACGTTCGGTGTGATTCTTTCTCATTGTGGATCAAACTGCCTACCATGGCTTTTTGAAAGATGTTTATACCCCCACTCTATCTTTATCGCATAGCCTATATACCCTAATCCTGCTTAAGGCTTCTGGATCCAACTTCTGTTCCCGCAACGTGGTAAAGCGTATTGGTGTTTGGTTCAACGCCCTTGTCAGTTCATGTTGTCGACCATCCGGTTGGATCCGCCCGGCCAATGGCTACTTGAGTGGTTCTCATAGAGCTTGCTTTTTCACCTGCCCCGAGTTTACCCAGCCTAGTGTCGGTGTTAATGTTTTGTCTTGTTCACTACTTGTATTGCTTTCTTGCATTGCATATCGCCATCCTTTGTGATTTGAATTGACGGCAGGATACCCAAAGTTGAGTGGGATATCCGTAGATGCATACTATAGACTAATGATACTCCTTTAATTTCCATGCCGGTGGTTCGACAATAGCATGATCAAGTGGAGCGGGTGGGACTGCAGAGAAAATGAAAAAGAACCATGGATCCGGTCTGGCCCATTAAGGTGCATCTTACTCAGCGGTTGGTCTACTGCTACTTGGGCCATGTACTTGGGCCATGTACTTGGGCTATTGACGTGGGCTATCATGGGCCATCCGCCCTGCTCGGGATAACACCGCTCTTCTCCTGCCATCGACAGGCACCGCTCCACGAGACTCGAGCTTAATTCTCCGAATCCGGTTGTCCTGATTCTTTGTTCATATTGAAACTTGTCTTAAAAACAATCCACCCAAACTCAGTACCTTTCGCCAGGCTCAACCTGGCCATCCAAACCCTGTCACCGTGATGGTCCGGCCATCCCCACCTGCGATCTCAGCCTTCAATCAAAGCCATCCATTTGCGCACGTTGCGACATACTCCCGCCAATGGGCCAGCCATGGCCACGTTCTTCTTATCGGTCCGTCCCCTTTCCCCAATGACTCGTGTGGCTCTTTAAATTCTTCTTTCGAATCCATTGCCTTCTAAGGAGAGCCCCCTCCTTTTTAAAAACAATGGCTTTTCACGATGAACTTTGGCGGTGTCAAGAATGAGAATGACGGACATCCTGTCTCGCCCCTGCATGCCGATCTCCATGAATTTGGGCGGATCCGCAAGATCGTCAATCAATCCATACTACAGTCACTTCTTATCGCCGTCACATTAAGTTCCTGGACTCTGTTATCATGAGCCGCCCGCATTCCGTCCTCGATGTCCAGGACTGGCCGCTTCCTCCGGGGCGCCGCGAAAGTACCGTCTCGTCGTCCACGCAGTCCTCGGGAGCTCTGAGCTTTGCGTCCCTTCCTCTTCATCCGCCTCCTAGTCCTGTTACGTCCTCTACGGGGTCCCGATCACGGCAGCCGTCGTGCCATTCTCTGTCCGACGAGGTGGTCCGGCTGACGTTTAATCCTGCGGTGACCATGTATGTTTCCGATAGCTTGAATGTTTTGATGGTGTTTAATGGCTCTTTAGTTCCTTCGTGCGGCATAACAAGGTCTTCCGACTCCGATACGCCTTTATCGACATTCGCAAGGACCCCAGTGGCAGTTTGAAGTCGTTGGAGCTGGGTGGTGGTGTCGGCCAGCAAACTCCCTTCGTGCATACTTGTGAGTGATGATGTTCGGATGTACAGAGGTACCTAGCTAATAATCATGCATCCTAGTCCATACGACCAAACTGCCCGTTCCTCATCTCGAACACCCCAAACTACCGCACGAAGCATCCCTTCGAATTTCTTTTCTAGAAGAACAGACCGTTCAGACGGCACACACTGTTTTCGTCACCCAAATATCTTATATATTTGAAGATTGGAATGGTAAGAGGGACTCGGCCTTGAAAGATTCGGTGCTAATGCTCAGCCCAGACTGCGTTCAATTCCAAGAGCTGATCCTGGCATCGAGACTAGTCTTCATTGCCGGGATCGCCGAGGCAAAATCCAAAGGCCGCGGGGAGGAATGCATCAGTCAGAATCTGCGCGTTTTACAAGGTCCCAATGGCAAGCAAGTGATGTTGCTGTTTGCCAATTCGCAACGCAAGGAACTCAAACGCTATATCTCCATCCCTGGTACGTAATGGACAGTCTTGGCAAATAGGATAGCTCGGCTGATTGATACCAGTGACGTGCATTGAAAGTCTCAATCCAGGAAAGAAGGCCGGGCGACCAGTGGTGCTGCAGCTATCGCCTAACTTCGACCTTCTCGCCCAGATGAAAACACTACAGATCCAATTCCTCGACGACGAAGGTACGGCGATCTCCGATTCCTTTTCTCCGTAGTCCAGATCTAACACCCTCCAGATCGCAAATCCTTCTGCCAATTCGTAGCAGAGAACACAAATTAATCAGAAACCCAAGCCACCACCACTCTCACCCAAGAACCCAGAAAGACAAGAACAAAGACAGCACCAAATGACCTATCTCACGAATAATGTACCCAATATACCCCCGTATATAGCACTAGGCAGAGAACCACACAGCATGAGGGCGTCCCCCAAGGCACCCATTTCTTTGACAGCACGGTTAATCACAACCCATCACCCCCTAGAAGAGGTCCAACCGTCCCTCTGGACTGAACTCGCTTGTGATAAGTGGGTCGTATCGCCTTGGCGAGAGGCAGGCAGAGCTCTGGTCCACGAAGACGAGGCACGTGGAGGCATCTGAACCCACCCGGCGGGAGCTAATGCGCCACGTTGCGACCTTCTCCAATCAGGAAGCCCTGCGAATCGGCCGGGGAAGTCTATTCGACTGCCCCGGCCATTGGGATGCAAGCGGGTGTTGTTGTTTCGTAGTATGTTTGTGTGATTGGGTGGTTGGAAGGCTTTAGTTTTCTAATGGATGCTATGGCTAGAGTACTGCGTAAGTATCAAAGATTACTTCTAGATATGAAGGAGGTGATAAAGTTGATAATATTCATAAAAAGGATTGAGTCTATAAATATAGAGGGTATTTGCTACTTTGTGGAATATTAAAGAGATAGAAGTGATATATTAACATGTATCAGAGGGGAATAAGAAGGTGTTTAGGCATAAGTATCTTAATGCCTGCTAGTATTAACACCATCCTCACCTTATACACACGCTGAAAGGTTCTAACTCCTCTTATCTATGGTGGCATGTTGCAGCCTCCAACCCGATCCCAGTCCCTAGGCATCGCACCTACACACTTCCCACAGTCATGACAAACCATCACGGCATCACTGACCAACTCTCATACTCTCAGGCGGACCCAGCGTCGAGCTCCGATACCCCCCCCATATCCAGCACAATCTTCTGCAGAACAACCCCGGGCTCCAGAAGCCAGAGCGACAGCTCATGCGCGCCCGTCCCAACCACCCCCGCGAGCTCCACCACAGACGTCCAGCCGTTCTCGACCACCGCCCGCTGCCACGCCTGTCCCTCCTTATACGGGGGGGCGGACGACACAGGGCGAATGGTAACAGGCGTCGCTCCGTCCAGCGAATAGGCGAATTTGATCCACCGCGTGGGGTCGTGGTTGTGCGAGGCTCCTAGGCTGATGATCAGTCGCGCGCGGGACGACGCCGTCGTGGTGTACAGAGCGTATCGTAGCGCTGGCCCGGTGGTGGGAGATTGCGTTCCCATCGTCACGGGCCACGGCTTGATGGCGGAGCGGGTCCGGCCGTAATAAGGGAGTTTGATGTACGAGACGCCGTTTTGGGCCGAGGCGCTGGTGTAGTGGCTTGCTTCGATGGAGATGATGCCGTTTGACTCGATGAATCCGGTGTAGGTGGATGGGACGACGGTGTGGTTGACGGGGAGGACGAGGGTTGCGGTGGACCCGTCGCTGGCTTGTACCTTCAGTTCGGTGTGGGAGAGACCGGGTTCGGTGGAGGTCCAGTCGACGGTGATGATGCTGCGTATGTCGGATCCGTTGCCAGGGGAAGATAGCGACCCGGTCGATGGTGACACTGTTACGGAGGAGGTGTTGGAGGAGATGGAGAACGACAGGGTGGTGTTTTTCCGAGCGAAGATGTCAATATACCGGGACTCTGTCGGTGGCATGTAAGGGTCCATGGAAAGAAGGCGCAAGGTTTCCTGATCAGGGTAAGATGCCGCAGTGCCTTGGACGGCGACTCCTAAGCCCTGAGCGCCCTGTGAGTCTGCTATGTAGCGCAGCGCCGGCATCACGTTGGTGTTATCGACAGGGTCGTTCCATGAACTGTAGCCAACGTGGGCTTGATTCATGATCGGCCTCCATTTGCCTTCTTTGACGCTGTGGTATCGCTCTGTGATCGCAGCATCTTCAGCGAATAAGTCCCTCACTTGCTGGGCAAGGCGGTTTGTGCTTGTCCGCCCTTGCTGATGGTAGAGCTCGTTCAAGGCAGCCTTGGTGTAAAGATCCACGACGGTCTTACCGGCCAGCACGGGGTGCAAGACCATTTCGAAAAAGGGTGTTCGGGTTGCCTGGTCCAGGGAGTTGTAAACGCTCTGCGTCCGGGCCAGTAGAGTCTCCCATTGGGCCAGGTTTGTCTCTGCTTCGTCATTGTAGATCGTGCTGAATGCAAATGGGGTCTGGCTGAGTAATTCGTACTTCCGTCGCGCAACAAGGATTCCGTATTGATTGAGAATGTCAGCCGTCCGGTTGGCAATCCGTTGATTGAACTCCCCTGCAGCCCAATGCTGCAGCCAGTCTGTGGTGGCATCCGGACTCGTAAAGCGATCCATGTCGTAGGCCATATCCATGAAGTGTGTCAAGGGCACCTCAAGTCCCTTGATGTCTCCGACATTCGCAATCCATATCTGCCGAGCGCTTTTCTGGTAGGCTAGATGCATCTGCTCCCATGTCTTGACGAGCTGGATTGTGTTGATCCACTTGTAGCTCCGTGGACTGCCCACGTAGTCGAAATGGTAGTATACGCCTGCGCCGGCGACGCGAGACGTTTCATTTGCAATGGGCACGCGGATCAGATTGCCCGAGTTGTCATCGGTCCAGAGAAGAGTAACGGAGTCAGGCACCTCCATTCCCGCCGCGTAGTAGTCACTGACCTCCTTTATGGGCGTCGTCAGTTACATTTTAAGATATACTAGTGAGATGGACTAACCTTGTATAGAACCCAAGTCTGAGCAATGCTAGCGGGGTCACTCGTGTTGAATGAATCAACTAGTAGCTTCTGCTGCGCATGAATCAACTCCTCCAGATCAGCTGCCGTCAAAGTGGGAGATGCTGCATCCCCTTCTCCGCGCATGCCCATGGTCCACATTGTATCCCAGTCCTTCGCCCGATCAATTCCCTGCTGGAAGAACGCTTCGATGTTTGCCCGGTTCTCCCTCCAATTCCACTCTCCATCCAGATAAGTCTTTTGCTCCTGCTCAGACCTGGCCATCGGCTCGTAGTGGCTCGTGCCCATGATGACCCCGTAATCATGCGCCAGCTGCCCGTTTTGAACATCATCGACATAGAACATCTTGCCCCACATGGCCGGCCAGAGATAATTGCCCTTGAGCCGGAGACACAGCTCGAAGACACGCCGGTAGAAGGCGCTATTAAACGTATCCCCAAAATTCTCACCGACCCAGCCCGAGAGCGCCGGCGACTCATCATTGATGAAGAACCCGCGGTACTTCACGGACGGGGATTTCTGGAACGTGCCCTCCGGCGACACCCAGATGCCAGTCTTGGTCTTCACAGGGACATCCGCCCACCAGTACCAAGGCGAGACCCCCATCTGCTCTGAGATGTCGTAAAGACCGTAGATGGTGCCCCGCCGGTCGCTACCAGCCACGGCGAGGGCCCATGGAACATTGGGAAAGGGGCTCTGGACGACGCGAGCGATGTACGATTCCCAGGTTCCGTTAATCTGAGACACGTCGAGCGTCCCGTCGGAGACCAGCTTGTCGATGAGCGTAGACTGGCCGACCGTTCCGGCGAGGATGACAGCTTTGCCGTCGGATTCGGGGGCGTCGGGATCGAAGACCTCGACGGTGCCATTGACACTGAGAACGCGGCCAAAGTCACCGGTCAAATCGTGCGCGGCTCGAAGGACCCCGACAGGTTCGTTCTTCGCGACCCATACAGCCGGGGCAGCTGTGGTGTTCGCGAGTTGGTACTCGCTGTTACCGGAGGAGAATAGAAGGTACGGTTCGGCTGTTGTCAGGATGACAAAGAGAAGAGAAGTAGGCCAAAGCAGCTTCATAATGGCTGAGGGACAGGACAAGTGCGATAGGGTTTGTTTGTTTCAATTGGAAAGGAACCGGGCGTTTTTATCTACCCCGGACGCCACCACACGGAGGCTTTAGCCTGTTCAACATGAACACTGCTTTAGCCTGAAAGACGATCTGGGGACTGTGTTTCAAAACTAAAAAGGCCACCAAACAGCTTCGCGATAATGCCCTTTCCAATAGCCGATTTGCCGTTGTCGGTAAAACCCGAAAACACCGACGCGTGTTGCAGAAGCAGATTAGGATGATCGATTTATAGTCTTTATTCGCTGGCACATCGATCAGGACACTTCTGAAAGATATTTCGATGACGTAGAAGAGCTTCGCAAGTCAAGATGGCAATCGCTGTCTTAACCTTTAGGCTTATGGCTGAGCAGCTACAGCTAATGTAATGGGAGGGCTTCCACCGTTGGCCTGTATCGCCTGAATCGGATAAGCATAGGTTTTCGTTCCTTGTAAACTGCATGCACGGCCACTGGGATGTTCGTTTAACCGGTCAGGGGTGTATACGATGAAGCTGATGTCATGGTATACAGCCCTCACGGGCCATGAAATCTCTGGGCCGTATAGCTCGTTTCATGCGAGTGAATGCGTGTTCAGACAATCACTGGTTATTCATTTGGCGTTGGCAACGTAACAGGGCATTTCGCCATCTTCGAACCTCGACACGAGACTGTCGGGACTGGTTCAGATTCCTGCTGAATTGTTCTGAGATGACGGGGGCGCTGTCGAATTGGTTTAGTCTGTCTGTTCTAAAGGCCTTGTATGTGGCATTGGCGGAGAGGATGGATACGATACCTCGCACATTACGACCATGCCATCGGTTTTACGGGAATGATGCACTTACTCTTCCGGTTGTCCACTGGATAACCAGGAGCCGATTTCAAGAATGGCTTAGTAGACGTGTCTGTATAATCGTACGACGATGGTCCCCTTGCCGGTCATCTGCAGGAATGGGACGGGGACCCCAAATCCGAAGGCTTGGGTAGTACCTAGCGCTCGCTTGTATTGCGGACAGTCACTATTGGCCAGCTCACAGGAGAGATAGCTGCAGACTGACCCACCAGAGGCTTAGTGAAAAGTAAAAAGAACCCTTTGAGCTGCCTAAAGCGGCAATGATGACTGCCGGACAGTGTTGATATATTAATATTCACGGAGGAGTTGAGAGAAAACCCATGCGCCAGACCCCGTCGGGCAATGGTATACGAGTACGAGACTTCCAGGCGGTTCTGGGCTACGCTAATGCATGTTGCTGACATGGTGGATCTCCCAATGGACTTATCCCACGGTCGATCTATCTTCTCCGAGGCATGTGGCGCCAGCCCGAGTCAGCGAACCAATCCTTGCCTATTTGGTAATGAATGGATGGGATTAAGGGTCCATCGGATCTCCGAGTCATTTCGCGTTATGATTCAAGGGCTGCTCTGACTCGTGATCTCTTCCAGATCCGGGATATACTCCACCACGCACGGCTAAATGAAGACTCGCGTCCGAGCCTAAATAGTCTTAGCATGTTTCTCATATAGAGATGAGCTTTCCGGACGGGATGCAGTCTGGATGGAATCAGATAACATGCAACTCGTAGGGGGATGCTCATGAAGTATATAAGAACGACGAGGTCTTGCAGATGACATGACTGGAATCACAGACAGCCAGTCTCTCGTTCCTCTCTATTTGTCTGTGTTACAATCTCTACGCTTTGTTTCTGAGTACATCCCCTTCCTTACGTCTCTGTTACTTTGAAAATGCGGCTTTCCATTCTCACTGCTGCGGCCATCGCACCCTTGGTCTCAGCTCACTACTTCTTCAACACCCTCATCATTGATGGCCAGGAGACCAATCCGTACCAATATGTTCGATCCAACACCCGACCCCACAAATACAACCCTACCAAATGGATCAATCCTCGCGATGACATGACCCCCGACATGCCCGACTTCCGCTGCAACAAGGGTGCGTTCACCTTCGCCAACGAGACCTCGGTTGCAGAAGTCAAGGCGGGCTCCAAGCTTGCCCTGAAGCTTGGGGTTGATGCCACGATCGCCCACCCGGGCCCTGCATTCGTGTACATGTCCAAAGCGCCAGACACAGTCCGCACCTACGAGGGAGACGGCGACTGGTTCAAGATCCACGAAGAAGCCGTCTGCGACAAGGGCAAGGACTTTACCAAGAAAGCCTGGTGCATGTATGGCAAGGATCGCATTGAATTTACACTCCCTGCAGACCTCCCGGACGGGGAGTATCTGGTTCGGCCGGAGCACATCGGTATGTATTCCCCGCTTGGCATGTAACGCTAGATGCTAACTTGGTCGTAGGGCTGCATGTGGCGTGCAACGGACAAGCCGAGTTCTTTAATACGTGAGTCTCCCCTTACACTTTCCCCGAACAATCTGCGAGATACTAATGGGGATTCTCAGGTGCGCCCACGTCAAGATTGTCAACGGCGGCCATGGAAGCCCTGGACCTACTGTCAAGTTTCCTGGCGCTTACAAGCAAGATGATCCCTCGTTCAACTTCAGTATCTACGGCGGCTATAAGGAGTATCCCATGCCTGGTCCGGAGGTCTGGACTGGTGGAATTGGGAACTCTACCGCTGGGTTGGCCAATATCCATGCTACCAATGCTACCTCCCGTGGGGATGAGGGCACTTGCAAGAGAAGCTTTACCCACCACCGGCATGGTCGTCACTAGGTGCCTCTCGGCGCCTTAAAGCCCGGAGCATGCAGCATGGCGGCGTCTTTACCTGCTGTATACAGCTGGAGCTTTACAGATTTCAATATTGGCGTGGTCTATCATAGATCAGACCTACTACTTTCCGGCCTACCAGCAAAGTTATTCTTCCATTCATCTACATGTACCAACATTACGCCAGTGTGATGGTTCTCCATTGCTGGTCTTGTTTGTTTACCGTTTGTTATTTATAAGGATTTAAATAGCTATATATTATTTCCCTAAGTAGCCATGTCATTATACAGTAGCCTTTTTTTGGAGAGAAAGAAGACAAAAATTAAAAATAAAACAAAGTAGGGGGGGGATAGAAAAAAAGAATTTTGATAATTTCTACACCTCAAGGACAGAATGGCGCGTGAAAGACGCGACAAGGGCGGTAGTTTGGACATGCAAACAACCTTTGTCGACATCAAGACCTACTAGTAAATGCTTCATTCTATGTTAACAAAATAAGCTGTCGCCGATAATTTCATTCTTACTTTTATGGGAGCTTGACAAATACCCTTTTTAAATAGTCATAACCTGTTCGATTTCATGAATAATCTGAAATACGTCAGAGCACCGAGCTCCACTATTTGCAAACGAGAGACCAGTAGACACTGTTCCGTCCACACCTATACCGAGGTATTATTTCTGTGAGCAGAAAGTGACTAACTAATGTTGCATTTAAATCCACTAGTAAAAATGTCGGTATCCCTCAACGGCCATGCAAGGGATTCGAAAATGCGGGACGGGAATTCGGAGACGGATTCCGGCATGTGCAGAATGTGGGCAAGGGCCGAGCCGTATATCTTTTCTCTTTTTCCTTTTTCCTTTCTTCCTTTGCTTCATTTAGTAAGTGATATGATAATGGTACTTACGGCTTCTATAAAGATGAAGTAAATGAGTAATACCAAGGAATGTTGTGCCGTAGAAGAATGGGTCAAGTACAGTTTATTCCGCACAAAATCAAAAAAAAGGAAGAAGAAATAAAGAAAGAATAAGTAACTCAAACAATGCTCTATGTACGGATCATCGGCTCTTGATTATTAGGCAATGGCATTCATTCCGTCCATTCTATGACCCGCGTCGGATTGTTGGCGAACCAAGACTTTGTGAAATGTTCCCGGCAAGTGGGCTTTGACCGTTTCAGGAAATGATACGTAATTGACATGCTGTTTATCGACGGACGTAACGAATTGCTCATTTGAAGGGGGAAATCTCTGTTAATCATCTCTCTCACCCTCCACCACTGCCCAGTCTACCAGAAGGACACTGAGAAAGTTTATGAATTAGATTATACTCCAAACGCTGCCTCTGCATTTACATAACAGTATAGGAAAACCTAACAGTAGGGGAAAACCTAGACCAAGGCAGGAATTACACTGCTTGTGAGACTCTAGAAAACCAGTTCCATATGGTCACAGAAGCAGCTGTACATGGCCTGGTGGCCGCTTCGTTTGTGCTGAGGATAGCTTCATAGAGAATAGTCAGCAACCCGGAACTGTCCAAACGCGTAACGTAGCGAATCCAACCCCAGCAGAGCAAACTACAGCCTGCAAAACTTACCCGCGCTCTTAATTATCGCAATGCGCCTTGGGTCCTTGGCAGCTGCCACCGCATTTTTTAATGTAATCTGGAGAATTAACATCGTCGCAGTAGTAGAGCGCGTTATCATCATAGTTGATGAGATTATCGTAGCCTTCGATTCCAGTCAGCGGCTGATCAAAAGTAATCAACGACCTTGGCTCAGCGAATATGGACTTACCCATGTCTCTCAGGTTAATGCCACAGTAGCCATTGCCCTGCTCACATTGGTCCATGATATGGACTGGGACGGAGACCTGCAAGTAGGCCGCAAGGGCAGCAGGGGCTAGGCAGAGAGCGAGGAGAAAGGTTTTCATGTTGAGAGGTTGGGTTGGTTTATCCCTATGTGATAGTGTTTCGGAGGTGGGCGTGTATATGGACTTCTACCGTAGGAGTGAGAATATGTCCTCTTATATAGCCTCTTAATGCCTTTCAACCGAGGGTAAATTTAAAATGGTGACATCACTTATAGCTGCCAAAAGGTAAAATCGGTTCTTTTCGAGTGAGAGATAAAAAGAATTGATGTTTTCGTCTTGCAGTTGGTCCTGAACTATCACTATCAATTACAAAGTAGTGACGCAATACTACGCTCGGATTCTCTGGTACCCTGTAGAATATGAAAACAGTATCAAACTGCAAAGCTTTTGCTTTGCTTCAATGCTTGTTTCCGGCTGCTGAAGAAGATAGTGAAGTCACTGGGGTTGAAAATATGGATTGAGTTCAGAAATCATTACACTCCAGCTGCAATGGACCGTTTGGTCAGATGGTTTTTGGATGCCCCGATCTCCGCTTCCCGGGTCTCGAGCTTGGATTGAAGCCTGCGTCTACGATTCTTTTCATTTTTTTTTCTAGCCTTACGAGGCGCTCTAGGCGCTCGGGTAATATTTTTATTACTAGGCCTATCGTATGGTGCTTCAATGGCTCATGGTTACCAAGTAATAGAGCTGTAGTCATCATCGGGCGGTTAAATAAGGACAATATTTAGCTGGGATCGTGTCATACACTATAACAATGATAAGGTCATCAGAGAGCCGTTATAAGCGATCGGTCATCTTTTATGGCCGAATCACAGAAAGAGGATTGAAGTTATCAATTAAAGCCGACCTGTCCCAGGGTTGGTGCCTACGGTGTGAAACAATTCCGAATTTAGGTGCTTAGCAATTGTGGAATGGATATGCTCTTTTGTATAATTATCGTTGTAATTGAAAAGTCGAACTATTCTAATCTATAATCATGAGAATTCAATAACTAGGGAAGCCCATGCTGTACAAAAATTGTGGCGACTTGAGGATGTCCATTAGCGGGTGATGAGAGTCCAAAAGGCAAGGTTGCCTGATCAACCGGATTGAACTAAAGATATACTCTTCTTGTCTATTAACTCCAGTTTCGCAGTGACTCTTATTTTACTTTATTTTATTTTTTTCCCTTAAAAAATAATTCTACACCTCAGGGAGACGCGTGAAAGACGCGACGAAGGGCGGTGGAAGGGCACTAACCACTAGTGGCTTTTAAAGCCGCCGGGCCGCCAATTTCCATCCGAACCGCCACGTCGCACATCCCATTCGACCCCGGACTAGCATGGTTTCCTCCCTTGTGTCACCCTTCTGGGGCCCCCAGACCTCGTATCTGAAGTATGTTTGATATCTTTGTTCTCTCAATTCGTTTATAGTTGCTCGGTTCTCACTGACTCTGTTGTAGCTTCTGCGAAGAGGTAATGCAGCACACCCTGCCTATCTCGTATCTAACCGTTGACCATTGATCGTGTAAAAAGGACTACGTCGTAACTCGATATGTCGGCGAGTTTATCAACACTCTAAGCAGCTTCGTTTATGGTGAGCCGTGTCCAGGTCGGCACATCGTCAAGCACCGACTAATGCCTTCAGTCATCTACGGAATCTACGGTCTATTGCAGCTTCATCGGAATGGACGAACCGGGTCCCGATCGATCACGTATTGCGGGTTGATCGGGGTAGGCATTTGTTCCGGAGGCTACCATATGACACTAAAGTACCATACTCAGATGTGTACGTTTAGCTCCGAATCTCGTTTCTCGCTCGCGTTTCTCACAGGATCTAGCGGATGAACTTTCGATGCATCTTCTGACCACGCCCCTGCTGTATCGCATCCTTACTTTCCAGACGACTCCGCAGTATACCAGCATGGTGCGGGTCCTTCTCTCGCTTCTCTTCACGATCGTCATGGTTGTGCATATGGTCATGGATGAGTTTCTGCTCCATGCCGTCACGTTTGGTCTGGCGGTTTACTTGATCGCGACGCGAACGCTCAAGCTCATTCCCCAGCAAATCCCCGACCCTGTGACGAGGAAGAATATCCAAAGCATAGCTATTTTTGGCTGCTGTAAGTTTGGTCGATCTACTTTCTGGGATATTCCATTAACTCCATTCTAGTCAGTTTTGTCTTTGGTTACATCGTGTGGTTAATTGACGACTGGGCGTGTCAGTATTTGACCAGCACAAGGCACTTCATTGGTCTGCCCTGGGCATTTTTGTTGGAACTGCACGGATGGTAAGTTTTTCCGCTTCTGTCCCGCAGTTGAAACCAGAATCAACCCTAACTATGTTAATAGGTGGCATGTCTTCACTGCTATCGGTGGGTACATTGCTGTCGCGCTTATCGACATGATCACGTCGGGCGAAGTGGACAAGAATTCCACGAAACGTCTTGCCTGGCCTCTTCCTGCTGTGGCGAGGTTCGTGGGAACCGCCAAGTGAGATTCGAGGATTAGGTCTTGCTCCTCGATAAAAAGACAGTCGAGCAGATCTAGCCCTGGGGATTAAATGTCAACGCTACATCCCCAACAGCTACGAACCCCTCGATATGGAACACAGTGGCACAAGGTGATTGTTGTCATCTGTTGGAATCATTGACGACGTCATTCGCAGAGCCTCTAGTGACAAGCATTACAAGCTCCCAATATATGTATACTTTTTGAACTGAATATCATGTATAGACTCTACGTTTATTTTCGAATTGATTTCTGCATTCTGGACATGTCGGCGTTCACGTGACCTCCAAGCTTACCTAGCGGATAAGGTTCAGCACCTATCAAGTGGCCAAGAGTCCAAGACCGCTATACGAGGATTCAAATTAACACTAATATATGAGGTAAGAGCCTGGATCACAGTGGCAAGCTCTTTACCCCTACCAAGTCAGGCTATTCCAACAAGCTCCCATGTGCACCAAAGCTTCACTCTGAGAAGCCACACAGCGCATGATCTCGAATTGCCCGAGCGGGCGATTAATACGAGGAGTGGATCTCCGTATTTCTCGCATGGGAGGGGTGAACGGGGATGGAAACAATAAGGTGGGCCAACTCGAGATTATCAATCGAGTCCAAAGACCAGAAAACGAGCCATCGAGCAGGCACGTGGGGGGAGGAATTGGCCCTTGCATGCCTGAACCAGCGACCCACCGGCGGGCGCTAAAGCCGCACGTTGCGCCCGCTCCCTCGTCTCGCCCAATCAGGCGCCGGCGTTGTCTCCTGGCCGGCCTGAGATAACAGGCCACCCTCCATCGCGTTTTATACCTGTCGACTCTCTCCCCCCTCTTTGTTTCCTCCACTTCCTCTCGTCCTTTTGATCCATCACTTGGATTACCTGCATGGGCTCTAACCCCATCATGTTCGTTGTGGATTCGACTTGTTGGCAACGGCCCCGGAATGAATCTGTATAGATTCAGAATAGCATCGTCATGCCTAAATTTCGCACGAAATTGTACAAGACCGATCGAGCTCGGGATTTCGAGCATGAGCAGGTAGCCACTTCTTTGTTTGCTTTTACTTTCGGTCCCTGGGTTAACCCTTCTGGCTAGGATCGCCGTGTCCGCATGCGACAAATCTACGAGACGATCGATCGGCAGTCATTTCAATGGATTGTGGTACTTGTGGCTGGAGTCGGGTTCTTTCTCGACGGGTATACCGTGAGTTTATTCTTTTTAACTTTCCAGTTACATTTGATGGTTAATATGGTCCGTCTAAATAGCTGTTCGCGAGTAATATGGCCCTCCCCATGATCGCCTACGTCTACTGGAGAGAAGAAACGTCGTCGATGAGAAATACCTACATTAATATCGCTACACTCGCCGGCACATTACTGGGCCAGGTGATGTTTGGGTACCTGGCAGATCGCAACGGCAGGAAAAAGATGTACGGGGTGGAGCTGGTGCTCATGATCGTTTCGACCCTGGGGGTGGTGATGTCGTCGAGCGGCGAACACCAGAGCATGGATGTATTCTCCTGGCTTATCTGGTGGAGAATCATCGTTGGGATTGGCGTTGGTGCCGATTACCCCCTCAGTGCCGTGATAACATCAGAGTAATATTTTTGGCCTTCAGTTCAATTGTCTGCAACATACTGACGCTCTCAGATTCGCACCCACAAAACATCGAGCCCGCATGTTGGCAACCGTCTTTTTCATGCAGCCTCTCGGGCAGATCGCGGGGAATCTCGTCTCCCTAATTGTTGTCGCCGTGAGCAAAAAGCAAGGATTCGACGACCTCACACGCACCGTGGATATCATGTGGCGATGGGTCATCGGTATCGGAGTGATCCCCGGTGTCATCGCAACCCTCTTCCGATTCGCCATCCCCGAGAGTCCTCGATACCTCCTCGAAGTCGAAGATGACCCCGTCACGGCCGAATTCGACGCCACCACCCTGTTTCATGAACCCTCTTCTACATTCACCTCTCCCTCGATCCAAACTGAAGACAGCTGGAACCACCTCCCTCTCCCCGCTATATCCCTCACCACTCACTCCATCGATGAAGGCCGATCCCCTTCCCAAACTGAATTCCTCCAACCGGCCACCCTGAACTCCCACTGGCGCCTCAGCCGCCGCGACATCATCCAGTATTTCTGGACGGAAGGAAACTGGCGCACTCTGGCCGGGACCTCCCTCTCCTGGCTCCTTTTGGACTTTGGCTTCTACGGCATTGGCCTATCAAGTCCGCAGTTCCTCGCCAAAACCTGGGGCTCCCTGAATATCACGGGGAAAGTTCCCCCATGGCAGACCGACGACTCGCCCGGTGCAAACCTCTACCAGATGTTCTTGGACAGTTCAACCCACGCGCTCGTCATCCTCAACGCCGGCAGTTTCCTCGGCGGATTGGCTTTAATCCTCATCATCCACAAGCTCGACCGAACCGGACTCCAGAAAATCACCTTTCTCGCCCTAGCTGCACACTTTATCGCCCTCGGCACGATGTTCATCACCGTGCACAAAGAAGGCCCCGTCGCCGTGGCCCTCTACATCATCGGCCAGGCCCTTTTCAACTTCGGTACATCCCCCTCCCCCCATCCCTGTCCCTGTCCCCACCCCCTCAAACTAACACAAACACCCCCAAAACAGGCCCCAACGCAACAACCTACATCCTCCCCTCGGAACTCTTCCCCACCCGCTACCGCGCCACCTGCCACGGCATCAGCGCCGGCGCCGGCAAACTCGGCTCCATCCTCGTGCAGGTCTTCTCCGCCTACTACAACTTCGGCACAGGGGTCGGCAACGAACCCACCATCCGGCACGGCTGGATCCTGATTGTCTTCAGCGCGTGCATGATCCTCGGCGCGGCGGTGACGCATTTCTGGATCCCGCCTGTGCAGGTGCGTCGCGGGGACACGAGCGGACGGGTCAACATGGGCGCGAGGAAGAAGCGGGGACAGCTTTGGGGCGGTAAGACGGTCGAGTTGGAGGTGTTGGCGCTGGGGAGGATGCAGGAACGGAGTCTCTATTCGGCGTGGTATCTGGGAGGGTCGAGTGCGGGTGCAGGTGCGAGTGTTGGTGGGTCGCCGTTTGGGGGGATGGCTGTTGATGGGTGATTTGGTTGTTGGTATATTAATTAATGGATTGGGAGGGTATATATTTGGATTGGTTCGGATTGGTCGGACGGGTCAGTTGGAGTTCACCTGGGATATATATATGGTTCCCTGGCTGGCTGGGACTGCAAATAACTGGTTTTATATCTTTTGCTGTGGTATATTTATACGCATTTGAATAATAGATAATATTCCCCTCTATTCCGCAGCTTCAACCACTACTACCCCTTAAACATTCCAAATAGGATTGAAAAACAAAAACCACATCCTCCGGATTGGCGGTAGTAGGCTAAATGTGAAAAAGTGGATACACCGAGATAGCCCAAAACAAAAGCAAAAAAGAATGCATCATCCGTGAATCGAACACGGGCCTCGTCGATGGCAACGACGAATTCTACCACTAGACCAATGATGCTGTTCTTGAGAAACCTTTCACAAGATGAGTTCATAGCTTAGAGGGAGCCAGATTATAATGTGCTGGGCTTTTCGCATGTAGATGACATGATGAGGAAAGAAGACAGCACAGTGGAACTATCAATGAAGCATGTAATAAATATTTACACTTTGAAATTACCATAGAATACATTAACAATTAGATAGAACTTTTAGCATCCATTTCGCAACCAGCCCGGCAAAACAAACCGATTACGAAAAGCGCTTCTCGCATGTATAGCTCTCCGCATCCATAACATTACCCTCCCTATACACCGACACCAGCGGGTACGGACACAGATTGCGGCGTCGGCCATCGGCAGCCTTCGCGGCGATGGACTCCGGCGCGACGCCCTTCTCCACCCAGTCGACGACCGCGGCCAACGGATCAACGGGGATAGGGCCGTCACCGCCACGGCAGTGGTTAACGCCGGGGGCGGGGAAGAGGCGATAGAAGTCGCGGATGGAGGGGTCGAGGGCCTCGGCCTGGCGGTAGTAGCGCTCTGTGCCCTTGGGGAAGATCAGCTGGTCGGCGAGACCGTGCCAGGTGATCATCTTGCCACCGGTGGATTTGAAGGCGGAGAGGTTGGGGTTGTCGGTGGCGATGATGGGGTTGTATTTGGCCTTTGAGGCGGCGAAGATGGCGTCGAGGTCGTGGTGGTCGAGGGTGGTGAGGTCGATGGAGGGGTCCTGCAGGACGAAGCGGCTGATCCAGTCGGCGGAGATGCTGAAGGGGGAGCCGGAGCAGTTGGCGGAGGGGGTGGAGCAGGTGGTTCCGGCGAGGCTGGAGGCGCCCATGGAGAGCGGGGTGCCCTTGTTGAGGCCGAACCAGAGGGAGGAGCCGTTGGCGGAGGTGAGGCCTTCCCAAGACTTTTGGACGACGAGGGCGTCGTTGCGGGAGATTCGGACGGGCGTGCCGTTGCAGTTGGCGGTGGAGTTGACCATCGTGAGAGGGTTGAAGCGGCAGAGGTCCGGGGCGGAGATGACGCCGTCGGTGACGCCGTCGAGGGCGTCGCAGGCCTTGATGGTTGCGTTGGTGATGGCGTCCGTGACGCATTTGGCGGGGTAGGTCTGCAGCTGGTTCATGACGAACTGCGGCCAGTACTCGGCTACCAGGAAGCTGGGCCAATTGATGGCCGGAGCAGCGGCCATGATGCCGTCGTATGCGGTGGGATAGCGCTGAGCCAGCATGAGACCCTGTCGGCCGCCGGTGGAGCAGCCGTTCCAGTAGGAGAACTGCGGACCATGTCCGTAGAAGCCGTGGGTGATTTGCTTGCCGATGAGGGCGGCGTCGTTCAGGGCGATATAGGCAAAGTCTTCCAGCAGGGGCATGTTCACGTTGTTGTTGGCGTCCAGGGACCAGGATGTCGAAACACCGCTGTTCAGATCGTGACCACCGTCTGTGGCCACGACCGAGTAGCCCAGGGCCACTGCTTCTGCCAGGTAGCTGTCATCATGTCTCATGGCGTACCCACCACCGCCGGAGCCTTGAAGTCGTCCGCTCCAGCCAGAAAGGGGGAGCCAGACAGTGACGTGGATGTTGTCATCCTTGCCAGGGTGGGTGTAGGTGACGGTCAAATTGCAGAAGTTCACTGTCGAGTTATCCTCGGACTGGTAGTTGCGCACGGGTGACGCCGAAAAGTCCAGAATGCGACCCTCGGGGATCGACGGAGGAGCAATGCCTCTGGAGGAACAGTTTCCCGCCTGAGCGGTAGTACCAGACAGCAGAGATGCCGCTGCGGCCGTGGATGCCAAGGATTGCAGCTTCTTGTATAGCATGGTGATTGCTGGTCAACAAGAACAAGAGTGCAAGGGCAAAAAAAGTTTTCTCCTGATTTTTCTAGAACCTCGGGCCCTGAGCATTTATACCGAAGAACGGAGACTTTAACCACCCGATTTGGCAGACTTAGTAGCGAGTCAGGTTCTTTCAGGACGATCCTTGCCTGAAGGGATGGGCGTCCCAGACTTCGAGGGGATGATGTAAAGGAACCATGTCCCGGAGACCGACCAAAGACAGTGTCTATCGGCCCCCGAGAAAGTGACAGTTCATATTATGCATGCGCCGTGCAAATCATTCAAGCCATATACATGCTGCAATAACGATTCCCATCATTGCTCTGCAGGGAGGTTGTTTGCCGGCCATGTACGGCACTTGGACACAGCTCGGGAGCCGAGGAGGAGCAGATCTCAGATAGTGGAGAAGGCAAGATCCGTCTCGTGGAGCCACCACGATCTGAAACCTTCAAAGCCGAAAGATTGGCGATGCGCGAACCATGGAGGTGTCCGATCTGGTTCGGAAGAATTCCGTAGAATGGAGCATCCTTGCCGGTTCAGCTTTCGATTACCCATCAGGGGTGTTTGGGAATTGCCCTTGCGCAGGGGAGAAGTCGGCAGGAATAATGTTCCGGCGTGCAAGGGGATGGAAAGGGGGAGATGGAGAGGAACGGTGGGGACGAAGCCGAAGATGGCCAGAAGTGGCCAGTGACGGATTCGCGATCGGCAGCACTAGAGAGTGGAGGCCTGAGGTCTCCAGTCACGAGGAAAGCGGCGGCGGTTCGAATTGGCGAGAGCGCATTTCTTTCTTCTTTTCTGTTTTGTCATCGTCAATGGCATCAGCTCAACCTCCATCATGCAGCAGAGTCTAGATCCACCTCTTCTCCGGTTCCGGCGACTCTGCATAACTCCATCCAATCGTGCCGAGGCATCTGCAGAGCTGACCAGCGACTAGCAGGCATCCTGCAGACTTGCAGGGATAGCTGCCAGCAGACCCTCCACCACAGAATGATCTGTCGCTCAGCACAGCTGCGTCACGGGCGGGGTTAACGACGACGCTTGGGATTATTTAAGGCGACACGACGTCCGTTTCCCAATCTTCTGCTGGCTGTGACTCGGAGTTTATCTTCCCCGCACTCTCCCCGCCCTCGTCTCTTCCTTCGTCTCCACACTTCCACAGCTGGCAATTTCACAGCCATGGCCATCCAGTCGAGAGACCGTCTTGAACCCGGTTCTTTTAACATCCCCGCGGGCAAGCTCCCAAAGACCTGCACATCCACCGGTGTCGACCCCGACAAAGTCGCCGCGGAGCTGGTCGACAAGTTCAATGCCGCCGTCTCCCGGAATGACTTCAAGGCGGCGACGGACTTGTTCCTGGACGGAAGTTACTGGAGAGACCACCTGTGCGTGTCTTTGGATTTCAGAACCATCAAAGGACGAGAGAATATCGCCTCGTTCCTCCAGGACAACCCCCGCCTCGTCAAGCTCGAGCTGGATAAGTCCTCGGCCTACCGAGCCCCCCACGTGGGCCCCATCGACGCATTCGGGGAGGTGACGGGTGTCGAGTTCATTGGAAAAGTGACCAGCAAGATCGGGACCGGAAGGAGCGTAGTCCGTCTGGCCGAGCAGGATGGCGGATGGAAGTTCTTCACCGTGTTCACGACGCTGCAGGAGATCGACGGCTGTGAGGAGTTGACCGATCACCGGAGACCCGTGGGCGTGCAGCATGGCGAGCGGCAAGGTAGAACGAACTGGCAGGATCGACGGAATCTCGAACAGGAGGGTAAGAATGGGGATCCTACCGTACTGATCGTGGGTATGTTGATTGCTCCCCTATGTCTCTCCGAATAAAGCTCATATCTTTCAAGGTGCCGGCCAAGCGGGCCTGACTGCCGCTGCGCGACTCAAGATGCTCGGAATCAATTCTCTGCTCATCGACCAGAACGACCGGGTCGGCGATAACTGGCGCAAGCGATACCACCAGCTCGTACTTCACGACCCCGTGTGGTTCGACCACATGCCCTACGTGCCGTTCCCGGCCAACTGGCCCATCTTCACGCCGAAGGACAAGCTGGCCGAGTTCTTCGAGTGCTACGTCAAGATGCTCGAGCTCAACGTGTGGACCAAGACCACGGTGACCGGCTCCTCGTGGAGCGACCAATCCAAGCAATGGACCGTTGAGCTGCAGCGACGGAAAGGCGACGGCTCGACGGAGACGGTCACCGTCCAGCCGCACCACATCATCCAAGCGACAGGCCACTCGGGGAAGAAGAACATCCCCGAGTTCAAAGGCGCCTCGAGCTTCCAGGGCACGCGGCTCTGCCACAGCTCCGACTTCCCCGGCGCGGATCCGAACTCGCGCGGCAAGAAGGCCGTGGTCGTGGGAGCGTGTAACTCGGGGCACGACATCGCGCAGGACTACTACGAGAAGGGGTATGAGGTAACCATAGTGCAGCGCAGCTCGACCTGCGTGGTCTCGTCGGCGGCAGTGACAGACATCGGCCTCAAGGGCCTCTACGAAGAGTCGGGGCCGCCGACCGAAGACGCCGACGTGTGGCTGTGGGCGATCCCGCCCGAGCTCTTCAAGACGCAACAGCTCAAGATCGCAGACCTGCAGGCGGCACACGACAAAGCAACGCTGGAGGGACTCGAGCGCGCCGGCTTCAAAGTCGACCGCGGGCCCGACGACGCGGGCCTGTTCCTGAAATACTTCCAGCGCGGCGGCGGCTACTACATCGACGTCGGGGCCAGCCAGCTGATCGCCGACGGCAAGATCAAGGTGAAACACGGACAGGAGATCACCGAGATCCGGCCGCACGGGATCCAATTCGCCGACGGCTCCGAGCTCGAGGCCGACGAGATCGTGCTGGCCACGGGGTATCAGAACATGCGCACGCAGGCGCGGCTGCTCTTCGGCGACGAGCTGGCCGACCGCGTCGGCGACGTGTGGGGATTCGACCGCGAGGGCGAGTTCCGCACCATGTGGCGGCGCAGCGGGCATCCGGGCTTCTGGTTCATGGGAGGCAACCTGGCGCTGTGTCGGTATTATTCGCGGCTGCTGGCGTTGCAGATTAAGGCGACCGAGCTAGGACTATACTCCGCTTAGTGATTATCTCCGCTTTGTCATTCTGAGTAGCGCAGGTAGTTCATCTAGTTCAATCTATGGAAGTCAAATTGCAACAAAGAATATCAAGCCACCTCATACCTATAATCCACAGATTAATCCCTCTTGTGGGATCTTCAAACTAAAAACAGAAACAAACCCACCCCCCAATAATAACAGACCATCCCAACCCAACAAGACACAGCCATATCCAGTGTACTCCATATTCCAAACACAGTAACAGACACCATTTTCCCAGCTCGGAGTCGATAGGCATCGACTCCACCCTACCAGGCTACAAAGCACAAGCCTACACCTCAAACACGACTAAAGTATGACTGTGCACTAAGAAGAAAACTAGATGATCGACACCAACCATACCGTGCAGGTTCGAGGCTAAATCACAGCCTCGTCTTCGTAGGGCCAAAAGTAAATTACAACCAACATAGGTTTTACGGTTTACCGGGAAGGGAACTGAAGTCATTGCTTGATTCTGGTTCTGATTTTGATTGTCTGTCACCATCTAGGTAGGTACCTATTCTATTCTATGAAAATTCCGATCGCAGTGATCAACCAACGCCCAAGAATGGGGGGAAATAAAAAAAAAGGGAAACAAATGGTATACGCAACCCCAACAAAATCCGTAAAAAAAAAAAAAAAAAAAAAAAAAAAAAAACACCAAACACCATGGAAACCAAAAACACCAGCTAGCTACCTAGCAAGCTAGCACTTTCTAAACAAAGAAAAAATCAAGAAGAACCACAGGCTAAGCCCTAGCTCACTAGCGCCGAATCCAGCGCCCCTAAACAACAGAGCTAAAGGGTTCCCGCCCCGCGGACCACGGAGAAGTCTGTCACCGCAGGCACGGAACTCGGAACCTCCGCTGTAGGATAGGATCCGGACGGACCTCCATACTCCCGAACACACCGCATCTCAGACAGGCTCGGGCTCAATCAAACCCACCCCTCCAAGCGCGCCACATACACCCCCAGCGCCAAGAAACAGGTATACAGGGCCTGGTCGTCGACGGCGAGTCGCTCGGCCAGGAAGGCCCGCTGCCCGCGGTCCCAGCCGCCGACCATGAAGCCCTTCTTGGTGAGCGTGGCGAGCCACGGCCGGCGCAGGTGCGGCTGGTCCGCGACGTTCAGAACGAAACGGTCGGGTTTGCTGCTGCTGCTGCTGCTGGGGTCGGTCGTCTCGTCGGAGGAGGTGCGCGCGCGTCGCTCCCAGTCGAGTGCGATGTCGAGAGATTCAGGTCCGCCCTGGCCCTGGCCCTGGCCTCTGGAGGGAGGGGCGTCGGAGGTGGTGATTCCGTCTCCGCCGGCGCCGGCGCTGGCGCTGGCTGGGCGGGCCGAAGCCGAGGTTCGTTTTAGTTGGAATCGATACCCGCGGGGCGTCTGCGTGGCTGTCCATTTCAAGTCGCCGGTGGGGATGTAGACGCCTGCGTCGGCGGGGCGTTTTGGGTCGGTGTAGATGGCGCCGACGAGGTCGTGGAGGGGGGGTGTTTCGGTGGTTGTGTTGGATGAGGGGAGGTGCGAGTAGGATTCGCTCTGGGTGAGGAACATGTCGCGGGCGTGCAGCTTGGGGAGGCCGTTTGGCACGGATTTGCCGAGCATGGAGGGCTGGTAGATTTCAAGGACGGGGATGATGCGCGACGAGGGGGTGAGTTGTTGGATTTGGAGGAGGAGGCGCGAGGAGAGGCGCAGGCATTGCGAGGATTTGGGGGGTGGGTGGGCGAGAGGGAAGGTTTGGGCCCTGGATGATGTTGCTGATGCTGCTGCGGCGGCTGTGGAGGAGGCGTTTGAGTTGGAGGACCCCCTAGATTGGAGGTTAGGTTTGGATACTAGGTAGGATGTATCTATAAGGAGTAGTAAAGCTTACCTGGAAGACACGGTGCGAGATGAGTCGCTCATGGCGCAAGAATGGGTGGGATTGACTTGATTGGAAGTGACAGATCAGACAGGTGAAGACTGGCGAGGAGAAGAGGGCCAAAAGAAGGACAGCAAAGATATAATATAAGGAACCTCCCACAGGGCTGAAGACGACCCTGTCAGCTCCAACAGACCAACATCGTATTCGTATCATTCGGGGCGGTGATTCGCCGACGGATTCTTGTCTGCCTGACGGGGCATTCAAGCTTATTCTGCTTGGCGGCTCCACCGTTTCGCCCAAGAAGGAGGAAGAAAGGGTCTGCCAACGCCCCATGCGGTAGCCGAATACGGTTTACCAGCCTACGCAGTAGTGGGGAAATGAAAAAATAGAAAGTCGAAAACTCGGTCCGTGTTCGGTCTGTCAGGACTGGCAGTCTGGCAGTGAAACAGATGGGTCGCCAGCCTTGGCTCATTAAATTTGACACCGGCACGAACTGCCTCCGTATCTTTTACCCGCCTGGGTAGTGAGGAATACGGTGGACTGGCCCATGTCAACCTTGCATCCGATGATCCGACACAGCCACTGATCGTCACGGAGGATTCTGTTTGCAGTGATTGGTGTCTTTGGGCGGTGTTCTCAAGCTATCAATTGTTTCAGACAGATTCGTTTTCGCATCCGTATCGAATAGAGTGGTCTGTGTGGAGGAGTTCTGGAAACCCCCTTTTAGTCCGGCAGGGCATCACTGGATGAAGTTAGATTGTCTGGCTGTCCCCTGTCTCCTGATGAATTTAGTAGCTGGTACGGATACGCCAGGATCTCGGGAAAGAAGATCATCGGGAACGAAGAAAAGCGGCTGCCTTATCGTATTCCTATTCCTGGTGCCGTTATTGGCGCCGTGCTCGTGGAGTTTAAGTCGAGGCATTTTCCCTAGTGTCCGCGTTGACATCTTGGGATTTGTCGGTTCGTATTTCTGGTATACGAGTAAGGCCCCCTGCAAGAGTTGGGACACTGCGTTGTTGGAGCCTGTGGTGGGTTGAGGGGTCAAAGACGAGGCTGGATGACATCAGGTCAACAAGTAGATATCATATGATTGATATGAATGGTCATTGTGATAGGACCGTGGATGGAAGAGAACGATGGATCTAGACTTTGAAGAGGGATAACAGCAGAGAAGTTGGGAAATCTCGGACGGCGATTGAAGAAGAGGATTTGTTTGGTGTGTTTGTCTGCCCCGAACGTGGAGATAAAGTTGGTCGCTTCTATTTTTACTTCATATCGGGTTGATCTTCCTGCTCTAACCTATAATATTAGCAATGATCGGTCCCAGTTACACAGTCATATAATACCAATTTGAATCAAAAGATGGGCTGGTTGTACCATAAAACTAGCACTTCTTGGACACTAGACTGGGATTTGACACCACTACTACAAAGTCATCCTCCAGATACTAACTGTGTATAGATAGTACCTAGCCAAATCCACCGATCTTCTCCTTAAAATTTCCGACCAAAACCAACTACTGCAGGCAGAAAGGCCGCCTCCAACCCAGAACAAACACGAGGCCTGTTTCAATCAATCCAAAGTGACTGAAACCGACAATTTAACCTTATATAAGGTTGAGACTTCGCAGTGCCAAGACTACACAGACCAATGAGAACACTTTCTCAACTAGATGCTTCAAGAGCGAAAATCTACTTGCAGAAGCAGACCAATCATCAGTGCCTGTTGCATATCTACAACGTGACTAGACGCGTGATATCCTATTCTGACTGAGTATTGTATGCCGTCAATAGAGTAGAGAGAGTGAAGAGGATCCTTACTCGGACATATTTAGGCAGAACTCGCAGGATTACACGTAGGGTAGGTTATGTTGCTATAGTATACACATGCAGAGATGATCTGGTATAGATATCTACTTGCCTATTACCTCCAGGATTCCATGAGGTATGTAGCCTCTACATACACGCCATCAGCATCTCCTCAAGTCCAAACCAGATCCATTATACTATACTATACATATACACACCCAAACCCACCCGTCCTACATCCAACAAACAAACAAACAATCCAAAACAGATCACGCAAGAACCGGCCACCCCATGCCCGCCACCACACCAACCACACCCCCAAGCAGTGGGAAAACCCCCCGAACAGCATTCAACACCGCCCAGCGCTCCAAACCCTCCAACACCTCCCTCTCGTCCCCCTTCTCAATCGTAACACCCGCCTCCGCCCTCCCCAACAACTTCCGATTCGTCCCCGTCATCGCGACAATCGTCCACGGCACGATCCCAATCGTCAGCACCGCCGAAGCCACATACAAGAGGGCGCTCTCGCGCGTCGACAGCGCAGACACAGAGGTGCCGTTGTGGACTGCATACGCGAGGTATCCGAACGCAGAGGCCGTGAGGGCCGCGATGGGCGGGTTCTGCGCGTGTCCGTTGTCGTACAGGTTGCGGTAGTGGCGGAGGGTGGTGAGCAGGGGCGTGCCGTCTTGGTGGTGGGATTTTAGGAGTGCGGGGATGACGTTGACGCTGAGGGCCGTTATGTTTCCTGTACTTACTTTTATTAGTGTGTTTCTGGATATATGTTGGGTATGGGAGAGTCATAGTCATGGTGAATGCATACCGGCTAGCCAGGCAGAGCCGGTTAAGCCGACTACCTGGGCGACGCGAACTCCGGGGGGATAGGAGCTCATTTTGTAGGGCTGTAGAATTATTCTCTGATGATAGAGGGACAGTGAAAAGTCAAGTGCGAGTTAGGAGGAAGAAACAAGGGATACAAAGAAAAGATCCGGGACTGACGAGGCTATATACCTCCTCGATGTCATGACGTCATGGCCATGCTACTCCAAGACAATCAGGCCATGCGCGGTCAATCGGGGGCTAATCGGGGGGCTAGAAACTTAGTCTGAGTATTTCGAGCAGTGCGACAAGGCTCTGATGCCCTTGTCCCTCTCTAATGCAAACTTTGTCTGGCTGGGTTGCTGGTCGCAGGCGGATTTTGTCGGGTTTTGATCGGTCTTTGCGGGGGCCGACTTGTGGGGATCGGAGGATCGCTCGGTCGCTCGGGTTTCTTTTTCTTTCTTTCTTTGTTAGTTTGATAAACTAAATATCAGTTCAGTTAATTGGTGTTTTAGGTCATTGCAACAAATTCCTACGAGCCATAGTTCAAGAGTTATAGTTGGTTCATGTTGATCTTGACCTGCTGCTGCGGAATATCCGACCTACAAGTGTTTGTTCCCAGTTCATCACTGTTATGAGCTATACTACTGGTTTCTCATGCATAAATTCGTTGATCTCAAATCCTATCTACAAGCTTGAATAAGAATATCGATGGCGATGACTAACAGAAACCCAGGATCTAAATTAAAAGATGAATTGGCCAATCAGCGTACAGCGTCATGATTTGCCATTCAGCCTATAAATCACACATTCCTCTACGAATTTTAGGATAAACAGACCCCTCCTGGTGATTTTCACAATGATTTCAAGGATACTTACCACTTCAGAATCATTGGCTGCGTCAGACACCACCCTAAACACAACATGACCACAAAACTCATCCCGATCGACCTTCACGACCCAAGCCAATTCGCAGAGCTACTCGCCCAACGCATCCAATGCGGCTGGGACAATGACCCCGCACACCTACTGCACTGGCGCAGTAAAATCGACGAAAATCTCAAATCCCTCTTCTGGATCACTGTCACATCCCCAAACCCCAGTCTCTCCGACTACTCGTTCAGCGACAGCGACAGCGAGCCAGAATTCCGCGCCGGCCATATCTCGCTGGACTCGTACTCGGACTTAAATGACCCGCTACTCGCCAATCCCGACCGGTCCGCGCTCATCGTTCAGAACCTCTTCATCAAGCCCGAGTACCAGCGTCTCGGGCTGGGTCACAAAGCGATGAATTTGCTGGAGGCGCTGGCGCCCACGGAGCCATATGGGAGCCCGAATTGCAAGTATGTCACGCTGTCGACGTTGAGCAAGCGGCACTTCGAGGTGGATAGTCCGATGTGGGAGACGGCGAGGGCGATCTTGCCGCCTGGGTATTTGAATTTTTGTGTGCCGGAATGGTATGAGAAACGGGGGTATGTGTTGTGGAAGTCGTTGTGGAGGAAATATGAGCCATCTGGGGAGAAGAGGGGGTTGGAGTTGATGGTGGATTTGATGAGGAAGGAGGTGTAGTACTGGCCATGTGTTTGACTGTCCCGAGCCATGAGGCTGTGTATGACAGACTTGTGCGATAGAATTCCTGCAAGGTTATGTGTAAAAATGCAGGTGGCTCAATTGGCTTCCGATTACCTCGATGGAATGTAGTGACAACTCACACTAACTTCTCGCCTTTGGTATAGCTTCATCACGTTGGTTTGACTTCAATTCCAATAAACCCAAATAAACCGTTGGATTGGATTGGATAATACAAACTCGTTCTCACAAGCTCAAGGATCGAGAATGAAGAATGACAAATCCCCGGTTGGGATCTGACAGGCAGAAGATTTCCAAGCTCAAAAGAAATTGCAGTGCAAACCTCCGTTGGAACACCGCAGGACAAGGCACACATGCATTTCTAGACCATGGCGGCGACCTGCAGATTAATCAAACATCCCAGGATTATCCCGCCAGTAATCAAGCGACCGAGGAGTACGGAGCAAATGGAATGCTGCTGGACGAGTCACTGTTTCCCAATCAGTGCTAATTCATCAATTGAATAAAATGAGACAGAAACCCCTCTTGACTAGTGGTCTGGCATGATTTTGTCGCTGCAGATTAACCGACTCGTTATCGTCGTGACAATTCACGTAAATCACGGCAGAGTCTTGGGTTACAGCACTAACCAGAGAGACCGCCAATAGCCTTGTGCGACTGCGACGGGTATCACCGGCGAGGAAATGACCTGCTTGGCGTTTCGGCCAAAGGAAGGAGGGATCTAGGAGCTAAACCTTGAACACACTAATGCAGGAGACGTGATGCTGATAAGGGCTCCTTGCAATATGCGGGGAAAACCTGCGTCCGTTTACTTAACCAGCGCATTTCCCCTCTCAGGGGGGATTGACTGACAGGCCGACAAACACCAGTCATTCTGACCCCGTCATTATGAAGGTAGGCACTCAATTGCTGTTTCCTGATGCTTTTTGTCTCTATTGTTGCAATGGCTAACAATTGCCAGTCCGCTGCTCTGTTGCTGCTCCTGGGCCTCACCCAGGCCATTGAGGTGCCGCGGAAACCGTACGCGCCCACTGGCGGTGGTAAGAAGCGATTGACTTTCAATGAGACCGTGGTGAGTCGAGCAATTGCTCCCTCGTCCATCTCAGTCGAATGGATCGCGACCGCCCAGGACGGTGAGTACGTCTACCAGGACGCCGACGGGAGTCTCAAGATTGAGAGCATCGTCACCAACAAAACCACGACTCTCGTTCCGGCCGACAAGGTGCCCGACGACTCGTATACATACTGGATCAAGCCCGACTTGTCGTCGGTGCTATGGGCAACCAATTATACGAAACAGTACCGGCACTCGTTCTTCGCCGACTACTACATCCAGGATGTTGACTCCTTGGAATCAAAGCCCTTGGTTTCTGATCAGGTGGGCGACATCCAGTACGCGCAATGGAGTCCGGTCGGAAACACCATTGCCTTCGTTCGTGACAACAACTTGTTCACCTGGATCAATGGCACCACCACGGCAATCACCGAGGATGGAGGACCGGATCAGTTCCATGGTGTTCCCGACTGGATCTATGAAGAGGAAATCCTGGGAGGTCGGTTCTCTCTGTGGTTCTCACCGGACGGAGAGTACCTAGCCTATTTGAGCTTCAACGAAACCGGCGTTCCGACCTTCACGGTGCCATATTACATGGACAACCAGGAGGTCGCTCCGCCGTACCCTCGAGAGCTGGACATCCGCTACCCCAAAGTGTCGCAAACCAACCCGACTGTCCAGCTTAGTCTCCTGGAGTTAGGCTCCAAGGACTCGTCGGTTGTGCCGATTGACGCATTTGATGCCAGTGAGTTGATCATTGGCGAAGTGGCCTGGGTCACCGACGCGCACGCCAAATTGGCCGTGAAAGCCTTCAACCGTGTTCAGGACGAGCAGAAAGTAGTCGCTGTGGATGTCGCATCGAGCCGAACTTCGGTTATTAACGAGCGAGATGGTACGGATGGTTGGCTCGACAACCTCCTGTCCATCACGTATATCGGCCCGATCAACTCGAAAAATGCATCGTCGTCATACTTCCTCGACATCTCCGATAAGTCGGGTTGGGCGCATCTGTGGCTCTTCCCCATTTCGGGCGGTGAGCCGATTGCCTTGACCAAAGGAGAATGGGAAGTTACTTCGATTGTCAGCATTGACAAGAAGCGGCAGTTAGTCTACTACCTGTCGACACAGCATCACAGTACGGAGCGTCATCTGTACTCTGTCTCTTACCGTACTTTCAAGATCACCCCACTGGTTGATGACACCGTGCCTGCGTACTGGAGCGCTTCTTTCTCATCCAAGTCCAGTTATTATATCCTGTCGTATTCGGGCCCTGATGTGCCATACCAGGAGCTCTACTCCATCAATCAGACCAAGCCCCTGCGAACCATTACCAGCAACTCGGCTGTGATTGATGTGATCAAGAACTATGCACTGCCCAACATTAGCTACTTCGAGCTGGAGATCCCCTCAGGCGAGAAGCTCAACGTCATGCAGCGTCTGCCCGTCAACTTCTCTCCCGAGAAGAAATACCCCATCCTGTTCACCCCGTATGGCGGACCCGGAGCGCAGGAGGTGACTAAATCATGGCAATCTGTGGGCTTCAACGCGTACATCGCGTCCGACCCGGAACTCGAATATGTGACCTGGACGGTTGACAACCGGGGAACCGGATACAAAGGTCGCAAGTTCCGCTCTGCTGTCACCCGCCAGCTGGGTCTCCTTGAAGCCGAAGACCAGGTCTATGCCGCGAAACAGGCAGCCAAGCTCCCCTTTATCGATGCCGACCACATCGGCATCTGGGGGTGGAGTTATGGCGGGTATCTTTCCAGCAAGGTTCTCGAGACCAACAGTGGCGCATTTTCTCTCGGCCTCATCACGGCTCCGGTGGCCGATTGGCGCTTCTATGATTCCATGTACACCGAGCGGTACATGAAGACGCTCTCCACCAATGCCGATGGGTACAACACCAGCGCCGTCCATAACGCAGATGGGTTCAAGAGTGTGACCGGAGGGTTCCTTATTCAGCACGGTACGGGTGATGACAATGTGCACTTCCAGAACTCGGCTGCGTTGTTGGACCTTCTGGTCGGCGAGGGCGTTACGCCCGATAAATTGCAGGCGCAATGGTTCACCGACTCCGACCACGGCATCCGGTACCATGGCGGCAGTTTGTTCCTGTATCGGCAACTGTCGAAGAAGCTGTTCGAGGAGAAGAATCGACCTGGGAACGTGCTAAAGCACCAGTGGAGCCGCAAAAATGTGTAAATAGTCATGTAGTATTTATAGCTCGTTCAATTGCAAGTTAGGCTCATTGTTGATGTATACGTCATCGTAGCCTGTTGAGTAGATAGTATGTGTCATCAGAATGATCAACCAAGAGGTTGCTTGATAAAACTGAAGTTTTGGGCGATGGCTGCGAAAGGAAGATGAAGCGAGAAGCAGGTGACAGTGAGCTTAACACCGGAAGCCTCAGGCATTAAACTATGAATCCACTAGTCCATTTCAGGGATCCACTGTGGCGCATTTCGCCAGCCCCATTTTGATGAGTCACTGTGGCGGAAAGCTGCCTGTCCGGTAAGGCCACAAGTCTTCAGAACAGTAGTTACAACGACGTAGCATAGCTTCTTTCCTACCTTCTCGTATCGGTTATTACTCGCAGGTTATACTGTAATCCCAATTAGAGACGAAATAATTACTCTCGCTACTCAATGGTTGAAGAATCATCATATTTCGTAGAAAGGGCTGCTGCTGCAATGACGCAGTTACTCACGATCAACACCAAGTGGAGTCCATCCTGAAAGCTATCACAGGTGGATATTCGATTGCCTAACATTACGCCAACTGAGTTTGCCCATCTTTTTCTAGCGGTTACACCAATGTCCATCACACCTATGTTACTAGGCAACTAAGACAGTACAGCCCTGTCTTACAAGGATGCTCAGACGCCTTTGGGGCGGTGCTCAACCCCGCATCTATTTATGCTGGACACCCCCCAGCTCAGCTAGCTAGCTCGACCACTTTTCTCTTTCCAACAGACTCTTCACTGCAGATTCATCCACCATGGCGGCATTTTCCACCAAAGAAGTCCTGATTGCTGATATTCCGACTAAATCGGTCACGTTCACCACTGATCAAGTCACCGTTGCTCGGGAGATTCTCACCACCGTCCAGGTATGTTTCTTCCTGATGAGCCATCCCCAGCGATACTAACGGTCGCTCAGCCAGGTCAAAACGAAGTTACAATCTACGGCCTGGACCCGAACGTCGACGTCGACTCGATCCGTATCGAAGGGAGCGGTCCCGCGACCATCACAGACATCCAGACGCAGATCATCCCGCGACGAGAAAGTTCCACGGACGTGTACCCTGACGATTCCGACATCGAAGACGACAGCGATGAAGAGCCCGACGATATAGATTACGGGTTTGACGAGTCGGAGTTGCAGGCAACTCGGGAAAAGATTGCTCGCGGGCGGGCGAAAAAGTCGAAGGCCACCGATAACAAAGCCGCGGCTGCTGCGAAGCTGCAGTTCCTGGATAAATACGGCAGATCCATGAGTCCTGAGACGGCGGATCTGCTCAAGGTCAACGACTTCCTGCAGCTGTATACGCGCCAGCGCTCGGAAGCGGCTGAAGCGAGCCACGCGGCCGAAGTGGAACTTCGCGAGGTGGAGGACGAGCTGAAGGAATTGCAGAAAAAGCTGCTGCAGCTGGAGTCGAAACAGCGGAAGGCGAAGAAAACAGCTCTGAAGGATTTCTATCGCGTGAGGGAGGAGCGGCAGCGAGAGCGCAGGCAAAGGCGACAACAGCGAGACCGAGAAAGGGCTGAGAGGCGAAGATTCTGGACCAGCATGGTTGGTCAGGTGCGAGTGTCTCTCGACAGCAATTCCGAGCCGACGCCTGAATCGAGTCGACGAAACTCGGTCGCCGACGATGACTCGGCCATGGAGAATACGGGCCACGCCAAACCGGAAGCCGACGTGACAATCCTCCTTACTTACGTGTTGCCTGGGGGTAAATGGGCGCCACGGTATGAATTGAGCATCAATACGCCTTCGTCGACGGCGCAGATGGCCTGCCTCGCGGAATTCCGGAATTCCAGTTCTGAAACCTGGCGGGACACTCACGTCGCACTGTCGACCTCGAAAGCGTCCTTCTCCGGCCTTCGAGAGCGCGTGCCTTCTCTTGAAGCCTGGCACATCCAGCTGGACCCGGATAGCCAGACTAATAAGCCATCGTGGCATAATATCTTGAAGGGTGGAGGTGAACCTGGCGAGAAAGCACCGCCTGCGCCAGAACCGAGAGCCGAGAAAATCCAAAATTATCAAAAACAACTGATGATGCTACAGGGACAGAAGCGCATGCAAGCACAAGAAGAGCGCGATAATGCGGCACTCCAAGCACCTCAACAAGCAGCCCCGGGGGGTCTTTTTGGCTCAGCCCCCGGGCCTCGCGCTAATAGCCTGTTTGGATCATCGCAATCAGTGCCCGAATCACAGCCAGTCCGGAGTCTTTTTGGTGGCTTTGGACCGCGTACAAATGTCGCCCCTCCAACCGCAGATTCCATGGACACTCAACAGCCTACGCTACTTATGGCTGCAAGTGCTCCGGCACCCATGGCCATGTCAAGTAACCCCAACGCCGAGAGTGATGAGTATGAGGAAGAGGAAGAGGAAGAGGAAGAGGAAGAGGAAGAGGAAGAGGAAGAGGAAGAGGAAGAGGAAGAGGAAGAGGATGATGAAAACGACGACTTGGCGTTGCCTCCCGCCAACTTAGACCACCAGGACTCCATCACACAACAATACGGGCTTACCACAACCCATAAGCTCCCGGGTCGTCGCACCGTGATACCCTCGAGTGTCAACCGACGCCATACCCTCGCCGAATTGGAACTGGACTCGATGTCCCTTTCCTACCTCATCGTGCCGAAGCATCGCACCGCGGCCTTTCTCCGAGCCCGCATCCAAAACACCTCGTCTGCGCACATGCTGCGCGGCAAGGTGGGGTTGTCCGTGGACGGGACATTCCTGGGCGCGATTCCCATGCCCAGCACGCCCCCCAACGAGTTCTTCAGCCTCTCACTGGGAAGCGACCCGGCGATTTTGGTCAAGTACCCCAAGCCCACGGTGCGACCGTCCTCGGGGTCATTCTTCGTCAAAGAAGAAGCAGCCGTGTTCCGGCGCACGTGCTGGATCAAAAACACCAAGAACACGGCCGTGGATCTCAACGTGATGGATCAGGTGCCGCTGAGTGAGAACGATAAGTTGCGCGTGAACATCCTGGAGCCGGAGGGTCTCGGTGAGGAAGGGAGCGAGACGGATCTCGAGCTGAGCGAAGACGTGGGGGAGGGCACGGCCGTCATGGGGAAAACTGGGGAGATTAAATGGAGCATTCGGCTGGAGCCTGGCAAGGAGGTGCGGACTGTGCTGGAGTATGAAGCACGAGTACCGAGTGGGAGTGAGGTGGGTACGTCTTATGGATAGATGTTGAGGCTGGCCAATGAGCTCTTTTTGCTCTTTTCTGTCAACGGCGAAGGATCATTTCATTACTTTCTGTTCTTCGGTCCCGTTCAGGTGGACTTGATTCAAGCAATTAAACTAGGGGATTACTCCAGGATAGCAGAATACAACTTCAATGCATTCAAACAAAATAGGTCACATCAATTGATAAAAAATCTTTTCTGTACAAAAGACAGTCCTCTACCCCCACCATCTACCACCCCTCCTCCGAACAACCGTCCCGCAACCCAGATATATAACCACACGCAGCATCCAACACCTTTATTACAAACCAACAAACCCAATATCACCCTCCATCAGACATCGGAAAGAGACCCGACCCTCCATAATCCCTCTCCCTACTGCCACACCCGATAAGTTATTGCCGCCCCCCGACAAGATGACAAGGCGATGAGGTAATTGGCAAAATGGCCCGCGGCATTCCTGATTTTCCAGGCCGGGAGAGTGACGCCCGAGGCCAACTAGCCGGATCGGGTAACCAGCTGCCTGAGGCGGCTAGACTACTGCCACGGTGTCATCGTAACGGGCCCGCACCGACAGACGGAATCACCAGGTCATGATCTATCGATTCTTGGGCAATTGAGTTCGTGAATGAAGAAATGGTATGCACATTTGTCATTTACGTATCTACGATTCTATCCCACAGCTTGATCGAGGTCAATCGGGGCACCGAAAAACGAGGTACTCCGGGGGCAAGAAAAAAATGGACAGCTCGATCGGAAAGAGTCGGCACCGCAAACGACAGAAACCGTTAAGCGCGAGGATAAGCTGGCCCAGCTACTGCAGGTTTGCAGCTGTTCATCTTGCGTATCCCTGCAAGAGGCTACATATGTAAGTGGTCAATAGGAAGGGGATTCCCCTATCGGAGGGCAGGGATGGGTGTTACGTAATGATGCAGCGCGGCTGAGATGAAATCATCGCGATCATTTAATTTTGACGAACGGAGTAAGTATCAGGGGGAAGGAATTAAAAGTGGGATCCAATCCCAAGGGGAAAGGGGTCGTAGAAGGGAAATTATTTAAGTAGAGGCAATGGGCCACCAGCTTCAAACTGATCCATGAGAGAGAGGAGTGCGATTGTTTATTATTTCGTGGTGGGATTTTTTTTTCTTTTCGCCCAGATGGCTTTTTCTCCGGTGGACGGGGGATGAAGCTAGTGCTGACCAGGCAGAAAAAGTGAGGCCGAAAATCGCAGGAAAAATTTTCAGGTCACGCCGCGGACGGAATTATTAGGGGAAGGAAGCTACCTAGCTAGCGACAAGAATTACGCAAATGTTGGCTGCCGCGAAGCGCCTCTCCCCCTTTTTTTTGTCTGGGTGCCTGCGCGCGCGCCTCCCTGCAGGATTTTCTCTGATGTATCCAAAAAGATATATAACCCGGACAACCGCCCTCGGAAGGGGGTGAACATGTCCATCTGACCCTCTGACCAACCCTTCCTAGGCTCCGGAGCTTTCAGCGAGCCAGGGAGAAAGTTCGGGAGAGAAAGTGGATGATTGGGGAGGTGTTGTGGGTGGTCAGCATTCCTGACGGATTCCGAGACGTTCCAAATAGGGAAGAGTCGGTGAGGTCGGAGGGTTTTTTTTTTTTTTTTTTTTTTGTCTGGTTTTCATTTCCATCCAGGTTTGCTGCGTCTTTCCCGAGGGAAGATACGTCCACGAAATTATTTTTTCCATCCAGCCGAAAAGAGACCAATATCCACCAGCTCCATCGGGGCGACGCCCAAACAGAATTGCGATTTTGGCTGGGAAGTCCGGGTGCAGTGGAGCCGCATACCCGATTCGGCCCGGTGGGTTTGAGTCCGAGAAGAAATCCAGAAATTAGCATGCGCCTGGACTGCGTTGATTGGTTTCCGGCACAGCGCCATGTGGGTCCGTACCACTTTATCGGACCCAGTTGGGAACCTTGGGACCCACCGGAAAATTCTCTTTTTCTTTCTGACTGCGTTGAGCTCACCTCGCATACCTGGGAAAATTGTTTCCCTCCCTTCTTGTTGGTTCATTGTTGGGAACGGTGAAAGGGAGGCTGGTCAATTGATTGTAGAGAAGGAGGGAAGGGGAAAAAGAATGTAGGAGCAAGATTGTAGAAGCTTCAATTGCCATGGAAACACGCCCAACCACCAAATGGGTCAATTGGATCACCGGTGGACTCAAATCACGACTCGGGACTCGCGGACTGCTCACCTTCAGCTCCATCCGCGGAGCAGCGCGGCCGGCAAAGACCCTGAATAATTGGCTGGACCAGAAAGAATCCTCCCTTGGCCCCATCCCGAACGAACCCGATAAGTCGCAGGCGTCGCCAGGGCGAGGGGGACTCGAGGGATGTGCGTGGAAAAGATGATTGGGGATGGGAAATAATAGGGATAGGGATATACACCACGTAGGCCTAAACGGAGCATTAGTGGCAGGTAGGGCTTTTTTCCCAACCCGCGCAGGCGCACTAAGACCGACGGGGACGGTGGGTGGACACAAAAAGGCGAAAATTTAGCGGGAGAGTATTTATGTGCTGCTAGGCCTCTGTTGTCAACTTCTCCAGCTTTTTTCCCTCCCAAAAAGTTCTTCCTCCCTCCCTACCCTCTTTTTCCCAACCAACTCCTCTCAGAAACCAAAACCAAAAACAACCACCACAAACCATCACAATGTCCTCCACTCGTATCTTCGCCTCTCGCATGGCCTCCACCATGGCCGCGACCTCCAAGGTCGCCCGCCCGGCCACCCGCGTCAACGCCGTCGTCCCCAAGCGTACCTTCACCTCCCAGAAGAAGACCATCCCCATGACCCCCTTCCAGACTCTCAAGCGCCAGCAGCCCTCCAGCCTCATCCAGGCCAACGCTCGCCAGGTCTTCGCCAACCAGGCCGCCCGCCGCCAGTACTCCTCTGAGATCGCCGACGCCATGGTCCAGGTCTCCCAGAACATTGGTATGGGTTCCGCCGCCATCGGTCTGGGTGGTGCCGGTATCGGTATCGGTGTTGTGTTCGGTGCCCTCCTGCTCGCCGTCTCCCGCAACCCTGCCCTCCGTGGCCAGCTCTTCTCCTACGCCATTCTGGGTTTCGCTTTCGTCGAGGCCATCGGTCTGTTCGACCTGATGGTTGCCATGATGTGCAAGTACGTCTAAATTATCTGAAAAATCATGGTTTCATGAAAGAGAGCGACTCGGGGGCGGACTGTACGCGGCTGTCTCCCCCTTTTTTCTCTGGAGGGAGGAGGGATACAAGCGTGTGGGCGTCACCGCGGATGACTCTTTTTGTCAAGTCCTTGAGGGAATTGGTGTCGGGAAATCATCTGGCTCGGACGGGGTTTTCCGGACATTTGGTTCTCTCGTGAAGGAGGTAATTTGTGGTGGTCTTTTTATATATCATGTACTACAATTCCGTCTCATCTATCATCCGAATACATTTTGTACATATAGAGTTTAAAATGGCCACTAAAACTCCTTTGAGCCACCTTTCTTTTGTTGACACTGTTTTCTCATCTACTTCACTCAGTCATTGTATTACTCACGATTGCCTCGGTTTTTGCATTTGGATCGGCTTGGAGGAATTCGGGATCGAAATTGATACGTGCACTTCTGCCTTGGGGCGGTTTTACCCCGGACTTTTTCCCTACGTTGACGTGTCTTCACGATTCTCTATCCTCGAAATCATTCAATTGGCATCTGCCATCAGCTTGAATCTAGTCCGTGAATCCCGTAAGCTCGAAGCTAGCTGGCAGCTTTCTCCGGATTGTTCGTGGTAGCTCTCCCCTACAGCCTAGCTAGCTTCCTTTTTCCCGCTCAGACATGGAGACCACCACAGCCAGAACTTCCAGCACAGAGGTCAGAGACAGAGCTCAGCTCTGCTGGAGCTAGATTCAAACCAGACTAGACCCTCAACCGTGTTCACCGTACGACACCGGAAGAAAGCTGGCAAAAACAACAACAAAGCGCCGCCAGGAATAGCGGTGCAGGGCCGGAATGGACGCGCCTCCTTGCCGGAGCAGCCTCAAATTTAATTATGGAATGTGAGACGAGCCTGAGACTGGATCGGAGGAAGCTCTTGGGCACACGCACCCCCTGGTATGTGCACTCATCTCGGGTCTCGGTTTGCACACGGTCCTTCTCCCTTCCCTCCCGTCCGTAGCTGGCTCTGGCTCTGGCTACGTAGCTTTCCTGAATTAAATGCCCTTGACACGTTCGCTTCATTCAGGATAGATCACCGGTGAGATAGATCTGTAGACTACGGTGTAGATAGCTAGACCGTCCAAAGCGAGGTGTCGACTATCGACTCGCCATTTCCGACGATGAAACACGCATTCCTGGGGCCTTTTCCCAACCTCTCAATTCTTGCCTTCGCCTTCGCCCTCGCCCTTTGGCTTTTCTCCCGTGGTGGATCCTGGATTCGGCGATCCGGATCGTGAACGTCACCGTTGCCGTCAGGTCCGGTTCAGTTCACCCAGAGTCAGAGTGAGACTCAGCTCAGGCCGACGATTACGCTTCCACTCGCCCAATTGAGACCGAAAAATCGATCGGTGTGGACCACCACGGAGTGCTCTGCATACCTCCATAGACCGTATTCCGTAGACGCTGGACGAGAACTTCGACGTAGCGATATACTACACTGCACTACGTAGCCTCATCCTGTATGCAGGCTGCATGAAGAATTTTCACCTGACAGATCCATCCCAACCCAGGCAGACAACCGTAGGACAAAAAAAGGAAAGAAAAAAAAAAAAAAAAAAAACCTTCCCTGTTTTGGCCTTACCCTCCGTTCCTCGGTAAGACTTGCAGCTTAGCTTCTGTTGCCCTGGGCTAGACGCAGCCAAGAGCCGATGGGTTCGGACCAGTGAGTTGCGACATGCAGGTCCGGTCGGGGGGTCTTGGCCGGCGGTTCCGATTCTATCCTATCCTTGTGACGATCGAGATGTCTGACTTGCCGATTGAATCCTGAAGGTGCTGGATGGGCTTAGCCGAGGGGATCGGTGGAAGGGATATCCGGAATACTAAGTTAGTTGGTTCTCCTTGCTCAGGTGAATTGAATTGATGTGATGAATGGATGATGTTTGCTCTGTTTGAGATGAGATAAGCGGTCAGGTGACTTGTATCGTATCATGTGAACGGGCGACGGGCGATGATTGGACGATAAGGAAGTATGTTTGGGTCTGGTTATTTGCAGCGGCAGATAGGAGATGAGCGGTATCGAAGGTAGGTAGATTCTCAACTCCAGAATACTCCGAAATACCCACGGTGAAGCTTAGGATATATACACCGACAAACAGCAGTGGCCGATCCAATGACGCAATCCGCCCCAACCCCAAATAAATATCTAGATACTGCACATCAACCCGTCCCAAAAGACAAATAATCCGGCTCAAACAGCCCTAGAGATAACTGACTATTAAACAACTGCCACATCATGCCCTCTGTCGACGGCGTAACCTCAGCCGGATACTGCCCCTGCATCCACAGTTCCGCCGGCGGCCCAACAGGCGCCGCAGACGACACCGACGGGTTCTCGGCCCCATATGTACTCGCACTCTGCGCGGGGGTGGTAGTCTCCGGCTCGGAGGTAACGGACGGAAACCATCGTCGGCCTTGCGGCGGTGGAGGGTCCTGGTTCTCGACGGTCTGGAATAAGGGCTCGCACAGGCGCTGTAGGGAGGTGAGGAGGCTGAGCATCTTGGAGACGTAGGGGCTTTCAGTGAATTTGGCGAGGCCTTGCGTGATGGCGCGGATGAGGTGGTAGTCATCTTTATCGAGGGTTCCGATGATGTTGCAGACGAGGACGAAGAAGGGGGTGAGGGGGTACATGAACATGGTCCTGTTTGGATTAGTATTGATTGGTGGGGATGGGGGTGGAGAAGGATGTATGAACCATGTGAGGAAGAATGGATATGGGGTGAAATCAACCACATCTGCGAGGTGTTCCTGGAGGTATTGGAACGCTTTCAAGGAGCATCGGGCGTAGGAGAGGCATTCTCGATGTGTTAGCGGGCTAGGAGCGTATCGTAGACGTGTTCGCAGGATCTCGACGAGAATGGCGTAGTAGCAGAAGTCGACAGCCACCCAGTCACTTTTGATAATTTCAGGTATAGAGTCACCGCCCTGTGACAATATGTTAGCCGAGACTTGTGGACGGAGCGCTTCACTTACAGCTCGCAAATTGGTATAGATAATACACATTCTCTCTTGCAGGCTTTGACATTGAGATAGGACTTGGCCAGCACCTCTGTGCTTCCCGTTGAGTGAGATATCGAGCAGTTGGTCCTGGATTTGGGCCAGGTCTATTATGACGCGGATGAGCGGGGTATAGGGTACTGATGTCTCTATTCTGACTAGATCGGTGGGCGAGACTTGGAGATTGGGTAATGACGGCGGTCGGATTAGGAGGGCGCTGAGGGTTCGATCGACAAAGTAGCACCAGTACAAGACGCTCTTGACTTCTTCATCTTCCTGGGAAGGATCGCTTATTTCGTGATAGTTCAAAGAGACTATCAGGCGAGAGGCATAGGAGGCTAGAACCCAGGCGTGGTTTGCTCTTCCTAGGGATAGCATCAAAAGACCCTGAATGAAAGATGTCAATGCCAAAGACAAGCCCTTGAGATATCATGAAGACATACAGCAGATAGCAATGCATGAATTAAGGCCAGGCTTGGCATGGCAAGAATATCAAGTTGTTTGAGCGCATGGATAGCAGCCGCTTCATATAACCGTCTGGTATTGCCGAATTGGTACTGGAGAGATTTGTTTGTGGACACCCTTGAGAGATTGTATAGACGTGAAATAGCTTTCACATAGACACACACGGAGTATTGGTGAAAGATTTGCCCCCGAGACTCATCCTCTAGGAGATAGACTATCATTCTCTCCAGTGTCTTTTGTGAGATATGATCTGGCCATGTGAGACGATTCCCCGGTACTTCCGCGACCGAAGGCTCTGTTCTCCATCGATCAGTAAATTCCTCAAGTCAACAAGGGTTAACATATTACCTTCAAGAAGCATATATAATAATTCTCGCGGGGGCGCATCAGGAACAACAATTTTGGGGTCGTGGCTCGGTACCTGGGATGGTAAATCCTTCCCTGACTCTGAGTTGCTGTCTCCTTTGGCCATCCCGTCGACAAAGCTCAAAGCAGCTCGGAGGGTCGACCACCGCTCACGGCTGATATTTTCACTGCCATCAAGCTCGCTTTGGATGATAGCCTTGGCATATTTGGCATGATGAGTGGAGTCATCTGGGCCTCCGATTGATTCTGTACTGCCGTGTGGCGAAGTATGCTCGAGCTTTCTCCGTTTGACAAAGTGTTCGTCTTCTGCCTCATGGTCATGACTAGTATTTGGGCTTAGACTGGTCCTGCTGGGAAACATCAGATCGGGTGTTCGAATCAACAGCACGAGAGAGGATACCTTCGAGAGCTGGAGGCTACTTTTTCTAAATTCAAGATGCGTTCCTCAAGAGCCGACACACTGCTGATGTCAGCTTGCACTCACACTCTGAAGCTGCCAGCTAACATACCCCGACAGAGATTTCGGCTTCGTGGGCCGATGAGGCCGTGAACGTCGACATTCAGTACCGGCATCTGCGCAATTCGAGCACTTTTCTTGTCTATCGCACTTCACTTTTCTCGAATAGCACAGATCGCACTAACGGACCATTAGCGTGTAAGTAAATGCTTGACCGTAAGCTTACGGAAAAGGACAAATCGCCATCGACATCGACACTTACGGCAGGCAATACTTCCCCAGTCATTAGGTAGTAGCTTCAAGGGTAGCAAATCATTGATTTTAAGTGCGGAAAAAATTGCAAGCTAGAGGGATGACCTAGGTAAGGGGGGCCGGCGAAACAGATGAACCCGTGAAGTTATACGCGTCGGATTTAGTCATTTCGAGGAGTCGAGATTCTTCCGCTGACTGATGTCTTGGCGGGCAGCCCTAAATCCACTTGGGCCTTTATACATGGGTTGACGTAGATATACAAATGTTTTAACAATACAATGGTCGATCCGATGACTCATTCTGAGCCGAACCCTGCATCTTACTTTAGGACATATCGCACCCCAGACTCCAGCATCGCCTTGGCGTACTGCTCATGCAACCACACTACCGGCCCCGGCATCAACGACCCCTCTGCTTTTCCAAGACCCTGAAAGAACAAAGTCTTGAAGCCAAACTCAACCACTTCATCTTCGGATTTCACCTCTACACTGACTTCCATTAACGCATCTAAAGGCCGCAGGCCCTGATTCGAAACTACATCCCCGCCGCGGATGAGAATTGCACTCCCAGACTTCTCCAGGACATTGAAGTGATCGACGATCGTGGTTCCTGGCTCGAAATTTGACCCGAGAAGCTCGGATGGCAACCAGAGCTGCTGCGCGGTAGCCGGTGTTCTATGGAAACATGTGAGGAGAATGCGTTGAATTGCGAACCCTTCGCGATTTCGATCAGCTGTTAATCTACGTGAAGACAAATGTAAGCAGTCTTACCGAGTCCGGCCCAAACTCCACCGCAGTATCGCTCGAGGAGCTTCTGCTTGTCCTGCAAAAGAACAGGGTCTATTTGCGAGATCGGAACCTTCCGAGTATGCAAGTCATGGATGGTCGGGTTGTCGGAGGGATTGTAGCTCTTAAGGTAGTTGGTATGAAAGATTGGGTCGGAAGGAGATAGGGGAACAAAGTCAATGTGGCGGGTGCTGTAGAAAAAGCTTGTCGTTGCAAGCACTCCACCGGCTGGAATGCCTTTCAGTAGGAGATTCCTCAATAGGGGCATGTTTATTGATGTCACCGAGTTGTTTAGATAGGCGGAGAGAATTGGGTTCTGTAGTGGATTTAGGCTCGGTTCTGGCACGTTCCTGAATAAAAGAACGAATAGGAAATACACGACCGCCGGCTCAAGCCCCCTAAATCCGGGCTGTTTATAAAACAATTTACTTTAATCTCCCTGAAGAATAGTGGAAACGCTTGTATGAAGCTTCGGGCTCACCGTCGGAGGCCGAGATGTCGGAGCTCCGAACCAATTCGGAAAGGCGTCGTCGGAGAAAGAACGGACTACGATGAACTGGACCCTGAGATGACTGTTAATATTCTAGGCAGAAACGAAGATCTAAGAAAGCATATCGAATATCATGAAGCTGTTACTGCCTAATTCTGACTGTACATGTAGATCAACCAGTATGCTAAATGTGACTAAGCACGATAATAACCGGCAGAACATTTACCCCCTTATCCTCGGCTGCTGGATATAAAGCGCGAAGAATGTTCAATTTTCCTAACAGACATCTCTGAATCAGCCATGTCTCCTGCTCCACTATACACCCCTACAGAGGTCCCCCGCATCAAAAATGCCAAGCGTCTGACAGGTACCCGCACCAAGCAGCTGGTGCGCGCGGCTGAACGTGCCCATGATGATCCACCGCCGCCGCCAGGACTGGGCGAATGCTGCGGGAGCTCGTGCGATCCTTGCGTCAATGACCTGTGGAAAGAGGAGCTGGCATGCTGGAGGGAGCGGTGGGGCGAGGGGGCTATGGAGAAGAAGAAAGAGGAGGATCAGAAACCGCGCATGCCGGGGAGTTTCGATTGGTGAAAAATGGAACGTCTTGATCCATGCATGAAGAATTTGAATCTGCAGCCTGGTGCTGAGATGAGCCTATCTATATCTGTGGATTTTCCAAGAAGAAATCATTCAAAGAGGACGTGCGTACTCGCTGAATACCTGCCATCTCTAAGATATCTCGACTGAAGTGTTCTTTTTCTCAGATTATCGACGTCCTCCACGATATTGAACTGCACTTCCTGGATGTCATCTGCGAATAAACACCTGCGATTTGTCTAAGCGAATTCGCAACCGATGCAGAGGTTGAAACCCACCTAGTTCGGCATCATATCGGAGCACAATCTCTACAATAAAATCCGCCGCATTATCTTCTGTCGTCCGATGCCAGGTCTCTTCAACGCCATCTGCGCCTTGATAAACCAATCAACAATGGGTTCTCGCAAACAGGTTCCAGAATACCTGAGCGCAAATATTTCACCAATAAATCCCTGGAACTTCCGCTTATCAAATATATTTCTTTATCTTGACCCAGCGGCCAATCCAGATATACTGGGGGAGAATGACAAAAGAAAGGCCATCAAACCTGGAACCTGCCAATCAAACAGAATGAGTTTGAAGGACTTGTTTGCTGTCACCTTTGTCTGAATAAACAAGCATTGAGAAGTCAGTTGTATCTTACCATTATAAATAATAAGAGATCTCGCCTCTCTGCTTTCCACCAAAGCATCTGCTTCCACCATTCCAACTGCAGACTCAAAACCTCAAACTTCAAACCTCAACTGCCTAATCCTCTGTCTGATTAACGAAGCCAGTGATATGAACTATCACAATATGATCCATCAATTTCCACCTCTCTTTGCCCCGCTCTTCGCCGTGTTTCAATCCCTAAATCTATTCATGGCGCCGGGATATGTGGCACGGGGACGGATGCACCCTCCACGCTTTAGGATCTACAAAGTCCGAACGATAATCTACCTTGCCCTCACCGTGTCGTTTTTGGAGTTCTACGCCGTCGGCAAGCTGAAAGAGTTCGACCGTGTGCTCATGCTCCTAGGGGCTTGCATCCTCTGGGACGGCATGTTCTGGTGGGGATATCGTTTTGAGAAGGAGGCGTTGTGTCGATTCATCCCGGGCCTGGTGATTGTGTTTTGGGGATGGGCGAACCTCAGTGCTTGTCGCTGTCCACAAAGGAATGTGGATCCCTCTAGGGAAATTGGCAGAAATTACCGAACGTACACCTATCCGGAATATTGAGAAAGCGAAGGATAGTATCATCGTTGGAAGATCATACTTTTTCTTTTTGGTTAGCTAGGAGCTAGACAGAAGACATCTTTGTTGGTAATAATGATTAGTTCAGCAGACTTGGTTTACTCTTGTACCCTTGCCACAGGATGATAACCTTCAAAAATAAGATAGTTCAATGACCTCAGAGCTAATAAATAAGTACTAATAAGTGATAAGGGCTTTTATCCCTGCACTCCCTTGCTTCAAAGGCTCCTCCAGCCTCTGGCGTCGTCCTGGACTTTACCGGGTTGTCAACAACATAAATCAAATATATTCCAATTTTAATACGAGATAAATGTATATACGAACCTATATTAAATGCTATAAAATACAACGTGATAAGGCGCATTCATTTTAATCATAGTGTGGAGAGTCCTCGGTAGCACAAATGCCGCATTCCGCCCCAGCCTCATCCCTGTTTCTCCTGCTCCACAAAGGACACATATATAGAAACCTAAACCCGTCCATTCACCATTTTGAAGAAATCAGCCATCAATATACTTCGAAAAAGGTACCCAACATGTCATGCGCCAACTGCCCCCCTCCTGCCACCAAAGAAGCCACAAACTCGGCCCCGAATGAAAAGAGTCTCTCAACGCGTGCTCTTCAAGTGTGCTCGATAGCTTTGCCGGAGAGCTTCGCATTATTATCCTGTTCGTGCTGCTGGCTACCGGTATGGCCCTCTTCCATGTGGTTGTCTTTACACATAAATCTAAGCTGTTATGTCCAGACCATTCTGGATTTGGTATTTGCTGGCTCAGTGACGGCGGCTAGTCTGCAGAACCTGCGATATGTCTTTCTGGCTATTTCAATCTTATCGCTCGCGTGGGGACTACGCCGAGAAGGTCTCAGTCGCAGTATGATTTGCCGGATTGTCATCAGCGGCGGAATGCTGGCCTGGGCGCAATACAAGGAGCGAACAGAGGAAACGGTAGGGCATGGACATCATGGGTGTCATTGATGCGTTACTGTGGTTTTCTTCTGTATTGCATTTTGCGATGGGACGGCTATGCGAGTTATTTGGGCAGTTCAGTGTTTTATGCTGCGAAGTATAGTAAATTTTTTTTTTTAAATTCCTGTACGTGAATAGAAGATAGGTCGCTACTACGGAACATATGGACTTGATTTTCTAGCCAGGTCGACAGCCTTTACTTTCACTGAATAGACCTGAGCACGCCCTGAGCAGCGTGAGGCAATCACTGAGCACAGGATGAGCGGAAGAGGTAAGACGGACTATATATTGTTACTCCACCAGTCTACCTACAAGTCAAGGCACTCGGAGCAGTTTAATCTGAGGATCTAGCGCAGCGAGTAATGGCGAATAGTAAGTCATCTGATAGAAAGATAAGGATCCATAACATAACGGTCTCGGCAGCAATCCTTAGCCCCGTGAAACACTCTACGTTTGTGTCCATCCGAAAGTTCAACCCAGCTCTAGATCTATGAGTGTTCTTGAACATCTACACCAGTAAACTCTACTTTAGTGGTAACTAAATCTAATGACACTGTGCAACAAAGATCCTCTCTGGTTACCATAGCTTTTTCTTCCTGCCGTGTCTTCTACTTTCTGCGGCTACTTGAGCTGAGTCGTCCAAGCTGGCAATCCAGTTAAGCTGTAGTCCCGTAGCCGAAATCGTATGCCCTATATCATAGATTAAAGGCTAGTCTCAGCACACATCAAGCATTATTTGTATAGCCTACATGGTCCCTCAGAATAGCAATTGGTTAAAAAGCAACTAAATTATCTCAATACCCCCAATACAGTTCCCGATAGCCCCCCTGTAGAGAATATTATTTCAACAGGTTATAAGCCCAGAAACAAGCTCAAGAAACCGTATAATTCAAGCTCTCACATCCCTCTATCTTTTACTTTACTATATCATACTATGTCTCCTTTCTGAACTATCTTCTATTTATTCCCTAATACTATCATCTCCTAAGAATCTCTCCTCAGTCCCAAGGCCCCATCCTCCATCCTCAACTATTCTCCTACTCTACATCCGGCTTCCTCCCCACCACAGTATACCTCGTAAACGCCCAACAAGCCCCCTCCCGCGTCTCGCGCTCCACCTCACCCATCAGCTGAGCAATGGTCTTCGCCATGGGCTCGTCCACCGCAAACCGCCGCGCGAAGCTCGCGTTGATCAGCAGGTTGCAGTCGTGCAGCGCGAGCGCCAGAGCGCCGTCTGCGTCGCGGACGTCGGCGGTCACGGCGTCGTAGCCGGCGACGGAGAGCTTCGAGGCGAGATGAGGGACCCAGCGCGGTTGGAGGCGTGGGTCGTGGCCTTCGGAGAGTCGGAAGAGGCGCTCGAGCGCGGCGGTTGACGATTCAGGGCGAGGCGTGGCGGTTTGGATTCGGAACGAGCCCATGTCGACTTCTGACCATTGCAGGTGGCCGCCGGGCTCTGTGTGGTGGGTTAGTTAGTATGGGGCGTGGGCAATGGGTCTATATTCCGGAGATATTGTGCTGAGGGGAAGGGGAGGAAGGGAGGCCGTACTGAGCAGGCTCAGCACTTTCGCCAGCACAGGCTGGAGCTCTTCTTCGAGTAGAACCAAGCAGAAATTGCTGACGTGGACGATATCGTAGACACCGACGAGATCTGCAGGAACGTCGGTTTTGATGTCCCATGCGAAAGAGCGGATATTGGCTGGGAGCCATTCCTTGTGTGGAAGAGCCTCGAGCGAAATGTCGAATGCGTCAAGCTGTACCGACGGGGGGAGTCGTCGGGCAAGGTCTGTGAGCCAGACGCTATAATATAGAGGTTAGGGAGCTGATCGGTTGGCCCGGTTAGGGTCTGGATACATACCCGGTTCCTGTGCCGATGTCTGCGACTTTGAGGTGGGCGTTGTTGGTTGGGATGTCGGGGTGGGTGTGGTATCCGAAGAGCTCCACGCAGAGGTAGTGGTGGAGGTTTAGTCTTTATGGTTGTCAGTCAGTGTGTCAAATTCGGAGCTGTTGTGAAGTAGGTGAGGTGAGGGCTTACCGAACGTTGTCGAGGTGATCACGGGGGAGGACATAGCTTGGAGGTTGTGACATGTTGTTGATCGGACTTTGCTGGAACAAGCTCGAGCTGTAAGCTTGTAGTGTGATTTAGTTATTGTCTACTATCTATAAGTCCTAGAAGAGAAAGACCTGCTGCACCGCCGTGAAGGAAAGACTATATATCCCGTGGGAGGAACCCTACAAGTCGCTTGTCAAGAGAAGCCTGGAGCGAGGATTACCCCCAAACTCTCCAAGCTGCCTAGAACTAAGTCTACTGCGCCTACAACTTGCAGTCGGGTGTCTGGTAGTATTGGCCTGACATCTTGCTCTCATATCTCGACATGGGGGCGGCAGGTGACATAGGGCTTGGCTGCATATCAAGCCATTGAAACGGTATTTGGTTTTACCTGGTAATACCCAGTAATCGGCCATCTACTAACTAGAACTAACTAGAATCAACTCCAGCCTAAGTCGTTCTGGCTTGCATTAGCGCATCGGGGAATGTTGGGGAAATCTGTCAGCAGGAGATCCAATCCAACGTCCCCCGAAGAAAAAGGAAATTAACTAAAATAAAATTGAATTGACTCAAGTTAGGTTACATAGTGCGTAAAGAAAAGGTGGGAACTGCAGCCCCCAAGGATTAGTGCTTATCGCTCCCGAACCCCCGCAAGGAGTCCAGAGGCTTCAGGGCTGAAAGAAGTTGTGGATTCAAAGGATAGCCCTGTGGAGCCCCCGAGGGATAGAGGCATTACCACATGAATGGGCGTAAGGCGCCTAGGAGTCTTCCCGTGTATCTCCCGCTGTTAATCCGTGATGCCCCGATGTGGCTTCTTGCTAAGATCTCACACTGTAGTATTTGCTATTTACATGCCACCGATAGGTCTAAACACACCGGATCCACAAGGCCCAGGCTCTTAGCTCCAGGCTGGCGTGCAGCCATCTATGATTCCCCCGCCCTAGACCTGAATACCAAGTGCAGTGGCCCCGGAGTCGTCGTGAAGTAATCCAGCGACTCCGTGAAGAGGCCTTTTCCGTTCTCGCCGGGGGCAAATTCAAAGTCCAGCTCGGTGAGGATCAGGGCCAGCGCGACTCGGATCTCCATGAGACTTAGGTTCTTTCCAGGACATTGATAGTCGCCTAGGGCGCCGGGTTGTTCAATCATTAGCTCGGGTTTCTCATGGAGATCCACGTTCTCAGCTTTGGGGGGTATCAACTAACCAATGTTCCACGGCGTGAAGGCCTGCTTGTCCAAGATGAGATGGGGCTGGGTTGAGAAGCGCTCGGGAATCCAACTGTCTGGTTGTTTGAAATTCCTCGAGTCTGAATGCAGTTGAGCCGGTTAGCCAGTTATTATGCAAGGTACGTTGAGGAAGACGCGTTGGAAATTGCTTCCAAGGGAGTGGAATACCTCGACAGAGACTGTACTGAGGAACCGCGATGGTGGTCCCGCCGGGAATGAACTTCCCATACACCGTCATCCCTTCATAGGGAGAGACTCGTAGCCCAGCCGAGGCCACGGGAGGGTTCATGCGCAGGGTCTCGTAGATACACGCCGTCAGGTGCGTCAGGTGCTGCAGGGCCTTGTAGTCGCGCACGTTGATGGTCGCCAATTCGTCGCGGAGGCGATGCAGGTGATCGGGGTGCTGGATCAGGTGGTACATGATGTTCGAGAGGATTTGGCACATGGGCTCACTGGTTTTGCGTACTGAGTTCATGAACTGGGGATGATAGAGGGGGCGACTCACCTCCCCGCTGCCATGACGAGAACGAGATCGCCCATCAGATAGCGCCAGTTGGCCTCGATGCCGTCCGTCGCTTTGGCGTCGTCGAGAATCCACCTCATGATATCCGTTCGTTCCGTGCTTACTTCCTTCACAGGAGAAAGAACCATCGTTAGAATCTCAGCTCGAAGCAGTGGTCCTGTCTACCCAGTCGTCGCTCACTAACAACCAGCGGGTTGAGAGAACTTACGCGAATATTCCGGTTCAGCTCATCATGCGCCCAGTCCATGAACCGCTTGTAGGGTTTGAGCCGTTTGACTCCAGGAATCCCCATGAGCAGGTGCCTCATCCATGGGGCTGGAGACAAGGGACCCAGCTTGCGATGGGACATGTGAAACAGAGACAGGATCGGATGTGGCCCTGCTCTCTCGAGACACTCGAACTTGATCGTGAGGCCGAACTCCCCCATCAGATCGAAGGTGTAATACTCCATCCACGTGGAGATATCGACTGGGCCGTTCTTCTGCTGGTCCCGAAGCTGACGGACCAACAGGTCTGCTTTCTGGTATATCAGAGGTTCGAGTCTCTCGATTGCTGCAGATCATCAAAAGGTCAATTGGTTTCTTTCCCTCACCCCGCTGGAAAGACGGGAATCATTCGCCTACCTCTGATACTGAATGCTGGCTCCCAGACCTTCCGTCGGTAAGCGTGAAGGACCGGATCGCGAGCAGTGGCCAGCGAAATCATTGGATGCAGCAAGTCATAGTAGCTGGCGCGGGTACAGTGTGAACCTTTGCCATGAACTTGGTAGAATGCCTCGGTGCCGAAGAGGGTCACCTCGCTAGGGCCTAATTGCAATCCATTTCGATCAGCAATCTACTTCCACCTCAAGGCTCGTTCCAACGGCCGTGCTCGAGGGTATGGAAAAGGCTGACCAGTGCGCACAACATCTCCGTAAGTGTCGCGGAGCCCGTGCAAGACGTCGTAATTTTGAGTTCGCGCTTGCTTCCACACGTGGGTTAATTTGCTCAAACGCAGCGCAAGAGGTCCTTTGATATGATGCAGAGGGGAGAAGAAAAGACGGTAGAGAAGAATGCTCGCGAATAGCGCGGCTGTGTAGACCACGAGGAGCAAGGTCGTCTCCTGTAGTGCTACTCTGTAAGGCAGCTCTGCGAGTCTGCATTTCTGGAAGACGACGACGCCGCAGACCAGCAGGTGCACGCGCACGATATTGGCAGCAGCTCGGTCATGTTCCCCGCGGCGGAAAAAGGCCCAGTGGGAAATGAGCGCGATTGCGCCTGCGCTCCACAGTTCTTGAGTGAGGGTCATGGTCTAGAGCGATCGGAGAGAGCTCATGAACTACAAGAGAGAGAGGATGGAGTCTTGAAAATTGTTGGTCGAGATGGTAGGCCATAATATAGACGGCCCCTTGAGTCAGTAGACATGGGACAACTCCACGTTATGCCCGCTCATGTTTGCTCAGTTCGCTCTTTTTTTGCCTTGATTACTCGAACAACCCCACCCAGAACGCATTGGTTACTCCAAGATGGTGATTCAGGCATGTCTTGGCACAAGGCGACTTTTTAGCGTAGGCAGTAGGCAAGTGTATCAATTGGTGAAAGAACGGCGACAGTCCTCGGTATTGCCCCATGCGGAAGAGCCGGAGAATCACCACGACCACTGGTTGATAACACATAGACCCTGGACGCTTTGCACGTCAAACCATGGCGATGTAACATTAATCGACGACGGTTCCCTGGCTCCTTCTGCGCCTAGGTAGTCAATGGAGTCAATGCAGGGATGATCGGATCCTCAATCTCATACGGAAGCGGCCATAGTTGCGACCACATATGAGGACCGCGAGTGGATGGCGTACTTACCAGAAATTGGGGGCTGTTTGCGGGGACGACCCTAGAAATCCCCGCAGAAATTAAAAGTTGGTCTGTACGGACGAGGTATCCACAGGAGCCGTAGCTGGCCGTCGAGGCGGATTGGATTGCCAGATGAAATAAGATTAGATGCGAGATTCGATAGGAACGGACTGGCCTTAATTGGGGGCCAAATAGACTGGAGTTCGGTCCAGTCCGTCGCCCCACTGCATTTTGCGGGATAGAAGATGCATTTACCACTGGACTATGCGTTGGTGCAGGGGTGCACATACTCCGGAGTGAAGGAAACCCCGTAAGCGCTTAAAGTGCCACTGTTTATCGCCCCAATAAACACTACCAAACACGGCGGTATTAATGCAACGCAACCCGTCAGCCACTCAGCGCAGGGCTTAGCTTTCGTAAAAGAGTAAATATAGAACATTATAGCCCATCGTATGGACAGTATCAAGGTAGATACAGTGAGTTGTTGGTCCAACAAGGCCGTCTTTAGCCCCGCCTGTCTCCTAGTCCAAGGCAAGTCCTGTAGTGTAGCGATGACTAGTAGTACCTAGCTACCTTAGTATCCATGGGTCTAGTTACAGGCCTGGCCAGATTCACGCGAAGGGCTTTCGCAGGGGCCGCAGTTTATCGTACTCATGGCGGATCCGAGGCCCACTAGGATGGTGGGACTGTAGACATCGGATGTAGTGATCGTGCACAATGCACTGCTACGTGGCCGGGTTGGCTACGTTAAGATCGGATTTGTGTTATGGCCACATAGCAATTGGCCTTGCGCTCCCCTGAATGTACTATCTATTGACTCTTTGAAAAGGAAAAATCATACATTCGAGGGGGATAGAAAGACAATCTTCATTCTTAATCTCTAACAGCCCAAACAACCCCAGCAAGTAGACATGATAGCAAGAACCCCCTCTAGTTTCCACATGCCAATCCATGGATAATCTCCGCGACCTCCTCAGTCTTAGTGAAGGAAGCACAATGGCCCGTCTCCACCTCCCAGGTCTGCACCTGACTGCCAGCGTCGCGCATCGTCTGCACGAAATCCTTCTGGTACTCAAACGGCACCGTCAAGTCCTGCGTCGAGTAGATGTATCCGATGTTCGGGATACCGCCGTCCTTGGGCCGCCACGCGACATGCTTCAGCTTCTCGTCGAACGCATTCCCGTTCCATCGCTTGAACGTGGAAATGTAGGCGTCGACCTCCTCGTCCGTCCGTTCTGACGGCCCGATCAACAGCGTCTTCGGGTCCCGCGACACGCACGTCCGGTCCTCCGCGAAGTCGAACGCTAGGTCCATCAGATCGCCCTGGCCGTGGGCCACCACCACGTCGGTCATGGACGTTCCTTCCGTGACGGCGAACCCGGCCATGTAGACGAGGTGGAAGATACCGCCGGGGAGCCCCAGTTCGCGCCGAGTGTTGACTCCGAGCCCGTAGAGTGCGTTGGTCCCGACTTGTCCGCCGTAGGAGTGGCAGACGACCACGACGTCGCGGCGCGCGGAGACGAGGCTCTCGACGTAGTTACGGATCATGTCGCTGTCTTCTTCCAGGCTGGCATTTGGCGGGCGCGCGCCGTTTACGGACAGGAGGCGCGGGACGTGCACTTCATGGCCGTAGTTGCGCAGAGCGTCGGTGAAAAGAGAGTAGGAGGAGGGTTGGTGCCAGGCGCCGTGAACGAGGACGATGGCGGGGTTGGACATGGTGGAGATGTTGGTGGTGGCCATGATGAATGTTTAGGCAGGATAATGTACTTGGAGAGAGTTGGGAGGAATTGCAGGAGGGAAATGTTGACTGACCGTCGTTTATATATCGTGAGGGTGTAAGACTCCAAGACGCTAGCAAGACTCTAGCAGGGATCGTGCAAGGCTCGCTAGAGCGGCGTTACACTCGCTATCCCCCGACTGGCGATGGGTGGAGCCCTGGAACAAAGAGACAAGGACTGGGCATCCAGAACGAAATGGCATTAGAAACTAGTGAGATTACTTGGATTCCTTCGTTTTTCTCCGCCCCAGCAGCAGTAGTTCCGATCCCCCCACGTTCCTACCAGAGTATACATCGGTAGACCGTCATTGCTTTGCGGAATCCCAATTCTGCGACAGGTCCATCTTCACATGAACCGTGCCCACATCGCCCATCTGGTAATTGCTCTCGTCGGGGCTCGCGGCTTCGATGTTGGTGTACAGTCCTTCTCGGGACCCGCCGGTGCGCGATCGAATGGAGCTGGCGGCGCTGAAGCCAGACTTTCCGCTGCGAAAGGGCTTGACGAGGCTGTTCCAGCCTGTGCTGCCTCCAACGGTGGATCGATTTGCTCGGACGTACCGCACCAGGTTGGGGATCACGGGCAGACAGGCGCAGATGATGCTGATGTTCATTTCGATCATCGTCCAGATGCCCGGGGTGACGAAGGTGTCTGAGGGAGAGAATAGGCTCAGTACAGGGGGAAAGCAAAGGGAGGGAAACGGTCGAGAGTACATACATGTCAGATCGTTGACGTCCACCGTGGCCATGTAAACAAGCCGGATCGTACTGGCAATGCAGACGCTGCGAACACGGATTAGTACCAGTCTAATCGAATCGACGAAGGATCGGGAGAAGTTCACTCACAAGCCTCCCAAACTAAAGACCAGAGAAAGCAAGATCCGACGCTGACGGGTCTGATGCAGCCGCCAGACCATCGGCTGCGGCAGGGCCAGGACAGTCACATCGAGCAAGATGTTGACGATCCCCATGGCAATCCAGAAGCTCTTGTTATTGATTGTCGTATGGGGCAGCCAGAACTTCCACTGCGCTTGCACCGGGTTGGAGGAGAAAATGAGCCCGAAGATGGCGGCCATGCACGCCCCCACGGAAAGCCCTACAGTCACCCAGGTGCAGAACAGGAAGGCTTTGTTGATCGCGAAGATGCGCTGGTAGAACAGCAGAATCGAGATCTTGCTCAGTCCGACGCTGACGTTGTAAATCACATTGTTGGCGAGGGTGATCTATGCAAGATCACCTCTAAATGTTAGCCGCGCTGCATCCCTGGGGGGAGGTTTTCAAACCGACGTACCTGGAAGAACTTCTCGAGAACCAGCGGATCCGTGTACTGCATGAGGTGGAAGCCCGAGCGTCCCACGGTTGCGACGAGGGCAGTCGTGCACAGGAAGCCGTAGGCGAAGACCAGCGCAAGAAGGCAGAACCAGTCATCCCACTTAATGGAGAGCGTGTAGTATCGGGAGACAAATCGCGCAATCACACAGCATGTCGACAAGAAGGTCATCACCCCCGTTATCGAGAGAAATACAACATATAGAGGACTGATATGATCGGGAAGACCAGGCGGCGGTTGAGATTGAGACGCCATTGCGCGATATGAAAGAGTGACAGTGTTGGTGAGTGACAAGGAACAGACGCAGATGAGGGGAATATCTCAATGCTGGACAGGGGCATTACGCATGATTCGTCTTAAACCCTTCCAACTGACTGCAAGGGAATCATCGAGGCGGCTCGCTCGTTGCTACCTAAACCAGCCTGCAGAAATGGGGGCTAATATGCAGGCTTTTGGCCCTGTCGATACCACCGTAGCCACCAGGGCTGGGAGGCTGATGACAGGCGTCAGGGATGTGGTCTAGGTATGCAGCTGGAGAGAGAGTCCATCTTCAGCATTATTGTATGTATGCAATCGAATCCAATCTAACCCCGAACAGGTATACAATTTAGTTTCCAACCCCTTCGTAACATCGCGTCACTCCACGCCTCTCCCCCAAAAGACTCAGTTGGACCCCGAGGCAGACTGCCAGCCTGTCAGATCGATTAAGCCGAGCGCAGATGGCGTGTGCGGCGTACGATGGCGTCGATGGCCTGAGCGAGCTGTTCGACCCCGGCGCCATCAACGGGTAGGGTATGCCCGGCGTGATGAACCAACTCCACTCGCCCGTCCGGAGTACACATGGAGATGACTTTTTGGCTTTGACCCGGGTGGTCTAGATCCTCGGGGCTCCAGCAATGCACAGTGGGGATCTGCACTGGACGGGAGACCTGGGAGGGCGAAAGAAGCTCCACCTGGTCCCTCTCCAGCGCACTCCAATCACAGGGCAAGACGCTGCACAGAAGAACGGCGCAGTCAAACGGCGGTTCTGACAGGCCAAGTTGTTCATGGTTCAGAAGAAGTGTCAGAGCAAGCGCCGCCCCTAGCGAGAAACCCATCACCGCGTCGAATGGGCCATTTTCGGCCGCATACTGCGCTAGATCGGCCACAGCCCGCCGAACGCTCTGTGGGGTATCATCGCAGTAGGAGTAACACACCTGATCATGGCCAAAGACCTCTGCGATGCTGGGATATGCGGGCCAGGGGTGGGCCCCGTCCACGAAATCGAACTCATATTGGTCTCCAAGAAGGTATCGTAAACGGGCTGCTGCAGGTCAGGAAGGTGCGCGTGGAGACAGCCTCGGGCGATATACCTGTCTGGGCTTCAAAGATCTGGGCGCCGAGATCAGACCAATCGTTCTACTCTGCCAGTTGCAGTCTGCCAATCGCTCACCTCGCTGTTGGTCCCAATTCCATGTAAGCAAAGGACCCGCACAGGTCTATTCATGATTGCGTTGGACAGGGGAGAAAGGGTGGTAATTCGTGACTGGAGGACAAATCTGCCGACTGCAGCCAAAGCTCATTTAAAAGCCTCAGCCTGGAGGGTTTGATATCCTCTTGGGGGCCGGAAGAAATGGCCCCAATTGCTGGCGGTATTTCCCACGGCGTATTGGGATGACACCGCGGGCTCTTGACCGTATCTTACCGAGCGAGTCCCTGCAGCCAAGCCTCACCTCAATGGTCTACATCTAGACCCAGTAAACATTCATCTACATGGTTACTGGACCAAAGGCTGCCAAGGCATGCTCTACACCTTCCCACCGCCGAACTCCGGGTTGGGAGTGAGCGTGAGACTTTAGTCCGGTCGATGAGTCTCGCGGTACTAACTTGATACGGTGCTGTGTCTACGAGCGTTAAAAGGAAGAGAAAGACCATGACCTGCACGATGCGACAAGGTTGAACAAGATTTGTTGAAAGCGGTCTCTTCTCATTCCATTCATGATACTAGAGTAGGCTTCGGAACACATCGCAAATCAGATTCCAACATGCCTCTTATTCAAGATACGAATCCCAACCTCCCGGGCGACAGGGACGATGCGCCTGCCCTGGCTGTGGTTGGCCTTGCATTCGAATTCCCCCAAGCAACATCGAGCGATGAGTTCTGGGAGATGATCTCCGAGGGTCGATCAGCCAGCACGGACTTTCCCAAGGAGCGGATGAACATAGATGCATTCTATCATCCGTCGCAGGAGCGGCCAAGCTCGGTGCGTCTCCCTCGCCAGGACCAATCACTGCGGACTAACATCACACTGTGAAGATTCCCGTACGCGGGGGAAATTTCATTCAAGAAGATCTAGGGGCCTTTGACGCTCCGTTTTTCTCAATCACACCAGGAGAGGCAGCGTGTATGGATCCGCAGCATCGACGAATGTTGGAAACGACATACCATGCGCTGGAGGATGGTGAGTGAGCCCAGCTCGGAGACGGAGAGTGCGCTAATGTAAACCCCCAGCGGGAATTCCTATTGAAAAGTGCTCTGGGTCAGACACGGCTGTCTATACGGGTTGTTTCACCAATGACTACATCAACCTATTACAGCAGGACTTTGAGCTGGAACAGAAACACGCGGCGATGGGTGTTGCGCCCTCGATGCTTGCCAATCGGGTCAGCTGGTTCTTCAACCTGAAAGGCACCTCCATGAATTTAGACTCGGCTTGCTCTAGCAGTCTGATTGCCCTACACCTGGCGGCCCAAGATCTGCACGCGGGCAATTGTTCCATGGTACGTGTCTTCCATCGTCAATCAGAGTCTGCCGCCATGAGCAGGTCTTTGGTTCTCTCCCGGGGCTATGAGACGGTCAGCTAACTCCAGACAGGCATTGGTAGGCGGCGCGAATCTGGTCTATCACCCGCATTTCATGAAGATCATGTCTGCCTTTAACTTCCTCTCTCCAGATAGCCGCAGCTGGAGCTTTGACAGCCGCGGAAACGGCTACGCGCGTGGAGAGGGGCTAGTTATGCTGGTACTCAAGCGAGTTGACGATGCCCTGCGAGACGGTGATTGTATCCGGGCGGTCATCCGCAATACAGGGTCGAATCAGGACGGTAGGACGCCCGGGATTACCCAGCCGAGTATGCAATCGCAGCTGGACCTCATAAACCGCACATATCACCAGGCAGGGGTCTCCATGACGCCTACCCGCTATTTTGAGGCGCATGGGCCCGGAACGCCAGTCGGGGACCCTATTGAGGCAAATGCCATCGGGCAAGCGTTTAAAGACTACCGGACGAAGGAGGATCCGCTCTATGTTGGCTCTATTAAGGCGAATATTGGTCACCTGGAAGGCGCCAGCGGATTGGCAGGATTGGTTAAATCTATCCTAATCCTCGAACATGGTGTGATTCCTCCTATTGCCGGGTTCGAAAACCTCAACCCGCGCATTGATGCGACGAAATTGTCTCTGAAGGTGAGATAGAGTCACTATCCAATGCTTCGGCAGTGCAGCCTTCTGATTGTTCTCTAGTTCCCGAAAGAAGCTTTGCCTTGGCCGTCGACTGGTCTTCGTCGGGTTTGCGTGAGTATACATAGTCCACGAAATGAGCATTATACAGCGCTGATACCTGGCAGTTGAACTCGTTTGGTTTTGGTGGTACTAATGCGACTGTCATCATTGACGATGCTTACCACTATCTCAAGCACAACAATCTGAACGGTTTTCATCGTACCCGGCCGCTCCCTCCGAGCTATCCAGCACTATTGACAATGGGGCCAAACGGCGACTCTCAGATGACGACAGAGGCTTCTGAATTGCAAGTCCCAAGACTACTTGTCTGGTCTGCGGCAGACAGGTCGACTGCAGAGAAGCTCGGTGCAGCCTACCATGAATATGTACGCCAGTATCCGCAAGACATCACTGATGTGACGTATACATTAGCTGCACGACGGAGCAAACTATCCTGGAGAGCCTTTACCGTCACTGGCGTCGATGACCAGATGCCCGAGCTCACAAGACAAAACGCACCATTGAAGGCTCGGGACGGAGCTCGACTGGCATTTGTGTTCACCGGTCAAGGGGCTCAATACCTAGGTATGGGCCGGGAGTTACTGACACATCCTGTGTTCCTGAATACCGTAAACCTCATGGATGATGACTTGAAATCTCTTGGTTGTTCGTGGTCTCTTAAATGGCTGCTCGAAGCTTCGGAAAGTGAAACCCCCATCGACAGGCCGGAGTATAGCCAGCCCGCAACCACCTGCCTCCAGATTGCGCTGGTTGATCTGTTAGAGAGCCTTGGTGTGACCGCTGGGGTTGTTCTGGGTCATTCATCCGGTGAAATTGCCGCGGCATATACCACAGGTGCTTTATCGCGCTCCACGGCTGTGAAAGTCGCCTACTACAGAGGCCTGCTGTCATCACAGCTGGCTGAGCAGAGGACTGATCTCTCGATGATGGCTGTGGGTATATCTGCAAGCGACATTCAGCTCTACCTGGACCGACTTCAGCAGCTTGGGTCCTCATTGGAAGTGGAGATTGGCTGCGTTAACAGCCCAAAGAGTATCACGTTGACAGGCTCCATTGACCAGCTCAGCACAATCCAGCAGTGGCTGGAGAGTGACGGTGTCTTCGCGAGAAGACTGCGAGTTCCAACAGCCTATCACTCTACTGCAATGAAAGCAATTGCCGAAGACTACCGTCTAGCCATGGGGGACCTAGCTCGTGGACCCGCAGCAAAGACCATTCCCATGATCTCGTCGGTAACGGAGGATGTCGTTAGCAGTAAAGGCCTAGCCAGCGCGGATTACTGGGTTCGCAACTTGACCTCCCCAGTCAAATTCGAAGGAGCTTTGTCTCGTCTGCTGCTCTTGGCGCAAAACAGAATCCAGCCTCGAAAGCAGTTGGGTCGCAAGCTTCCCGTGGACTTTAACATCACTCATTTCCTAGAGATCGGCCCCCACAAAGCCCTTCAGGGACCCATATCGGAGACGATACGGGCTTCTCCTGGTTCTGGCAAGCCGACGTACATGCCTCTATTGGAGCGGAAGCAGGATGCACACATCACTCTGCTCAAGACAGCTGGGCAGCTGTTCTGCGCGGGATACCCCGTTGACATCCTCAGTGTGAACGGACTGGAGGATATCCCGCGGTCAATGCCCTCGAGCCTACCTTCCTACCCTTTCAACCATGAGCGCGTTTATTGGAAGGAAGGCCGCATCAGCAAGAACTTCCGGTTCCCGCAGGTAGCGCGGCATGATCTATTAGGAACACCCAATCTCGACTGGAATCCCCAGGTGGCCCAGTGGCGTAATGTTGTGCGACTGAATGAATTGCCATGGCTGCGGGACCATACCATCGATGGCCAAATCATCTTCCCTGGCACGGGAATGGTGATCATGGCCGTGGAAGCCTTGCGTCAGCTGCCCTGGGCACAGTCAAACCTCACCAGCATTGAGATTAAAAGCGCACAATTTCTGCATGCTATCCGCTTTCCGGACGGATTGGAGGAGCTTGAGACACAGTTGACGCTTACCACGGAAAAGGCGAAGGATTCCACGGAGATGCCATGGTCACAGTTTAGACTCTTCACCATCGAAGATGGCAGCTACATCGAATGCTGCCGAGGGCTCATCCGAGGTTCTGTAGATCGTGAGCCTCGGACTCCAGAGCTGCCCTCCTCAAGTGGCACATCTTTCGAGGATTGGGTAGCCGCACTCTCTGCTGGCTGTGAGTCGCCAAAGAACGCTTACGAGAACACTGGGAGCTCGGTTCGTTACGGGCCATGCTTTCAGAACTTGAAAGACATGCGACTGGGCTCTGGAGGCAAGGCATTTGCGCACGTTGACTTAAGTACGTGGAGGTCTGGTGAAACTGATGATTGGAGTCCGCAATACACCGTTCACCCCGTTACAATGGACGGGCTGGCACAGCTTGTTGTCCCAGCATTGGCTTATGAGTGTGACAATCTGCCTACCATGGTTCCCGTCCGAGCTGAAACAATCTGGATCAATCTGTCGGGGCCTTCTATGTCGAGCGACAAGGAGCTTCTGGCTGCGGCGCAATGCAGCACCCGCGGCAATAGAGGCGCCAGGGCTGACGTTGTCGGTACGAGCTCGGATGGAACCCAACTGGTCGTATATATCGAAGCCCTCGAGACGACCTTTATCGGGGAGGCCTCAACAAGTACGGGACAGGATATCGCTCGCAGCCTTTGCACGAATTTAGTCTGGAAGCCGGATGTTGACATGTTGAGCGACGAACAACTTCTTGAGGAGATCTGCCGTGGTAGACCCAGTGAGCCACACGGTTCTTTGCAGCGCCACGAATCCCTGCAGCTAGCACTTCTCAGTTTCTTGGATGAAGCTGTCCAATACGTTGACCAACACCCCGATTTGTCTATCCCACTGTATCTCCGGCGTTACGTCGATTGGATGCGATACCAGCAAGGTCGTCATCATGACAGTTCCCTCACAAAGGCCAATGACTGGGTCCTCCGCGACAGGTCAGCGCGTGATAAGCTGGCCCTGGACATTGAAAATACAGACAACGAAGGTCGCTTCTTTATTCATGTTGCGCGGAATCTGATTGCCATTCTGTCCGGAGAGTCGGATCCACTCGATGTGATGTTCAGGAACGGGCTGGCTGATCGTTACTATGAGCAGATGCTCGCGAGTGAACATCACGCATACCCTATTTCCCGGTACCTCGACCTTCAGTGCTTCAAGAATCCGTCTTTGAAGGTTCTTGAGATAGGTGCTGGGACCGGAGGCCAAACACTTGGCGCGCTGAAAGCCCTTTGCTCGGACGGGGTCCCGAAGTGTGCCCAGTATGATTATACCGATATCTCTCCGGGTTTCTTTCCTCAGGCCAAGGAGAAGTTTAAAGACTTTCTTGATATCATGCGCTTCCGCACGTGTGATGTTACGAAAGACCCGGTCACTCAGTCCTTTGAGCCGGGAAGTTATGATATTATAATGGCTTCTCATGTACTGCACGCTACGGACCGGTTGGATGTCTCTTTGCAAAATATCAGGAAGCTGCTCAAGCCTGATGGAAAGCTGGTCTTGATGGAGACGACCGATCCCGACGCCCTTCCGATTTCTTTTGCCTTTGGCCTTCTGAAAGGATGGTGGAGTCCTCTCGACCATGAAGAGCGCACTACCTATAGTCCATGCATCACGCTATCTCAGTGGGACGAGCGCCTTAAAAGAAACGGCTTTTCTGGCATTCAGATTGACGTTCCAGGCCAAGAGCTTCCGGTCTGCCGATACAGCAGCATAATCGTCTCGAGCGCCAGAGCTGAGAATAATGTGATCGATACCACGGATGACCTGATCGTGATTCGTGACCCAACCCGGGCCTACCAATGCGAGGTTGCAGCATCCATTGCGCTTGGCCGCCGTGCAGTGATAACTACGTTGGGCGAGGCGGCTCAGCTCAACATCAGACCGTCCACAGAGATCGTGGTTCTTCTGGAGATGGAAGCCAGTGTCTTATCTGACCTTAATAACGCCAGTTATACGCTGTTGCAGAGGGTCATGACCGCGGCCAAGAATGTTCTCTGGGTCACTCGACCACTTGTGAAGGGGGAGCGCCTCCCGCAACACTCTTTGGTAGAGGGCTTTGGTCGTACCCTCGCATCTGAAGACGCGACCCGGAAGTTCGCCACAGTGGCACTGGATGGTTACGAACCGGCGGACCAAGCTAGCGCGACGATTCTACGATTGATGTCTCAAATCGCCAGACGGCCAGTGGAAAACATGGAGACTACCTTCTCAACCTCGGAGGGTGTTTTGAAGATCCCTCGTGTTTCGCAAAACGAGGAAATGAATGAGGTAATTCATCAGTATACCCGACCTCGAAGGGAAGAGCAATGGTATTGTGATAGCGAGACAGATTCCATTCAAGGGGCTACCCTCGAAGTCGGCGCACCGGGAGGTCCGCACGAGGTGGAATACCGGGAGAACTGCGAATCTCTGTCTTCCACGCTTGCTGATGATGAAGTTGTGATCCAAGTGCAAGCTTTCGGGCTGACACCTAGGGATTACCTGATTGCAAGTGGTCAGCTGAAACAAGGTGGTTTGGGCACCCAGTGCTCTGGAATCGTTCGGCAAGCTGTAGCTCAGTCCGGCTTCAAGGAGGGTGATAGGGTATGCGCAATTGGGACAGCAATGGCCGGTACCTTGATTCGCGCAAAGTCCAGAGCCGTGATTGCGATTCCCTCGGATTTGAGTTTCACACAAGCTGCCGCCTTGCCCACACCCTTGTGGATGGCCTTCTACTCGTTGGACCACCTTGCGAAGCTCGAAGCGGACGAGACCTTGCTTGTTCACCACGCCTGCACCAGCGTTGGACAGATGGTTGCTCAGCTTGCCGCAAGGCAGGGTGCGCGTGTGCTGGCTACCACAACCAGCAAGGCACAGCAGACCCTTTTGTGCGCAACTCTCTGTTTGCCCGAGTCGGACGTTTTTCTGTCCAGCGACCCCTTATTAGCACAAAGGCTGAAGCAGATCACCGAGGGGCAGGGTGTGGATGTGATAGTCGGTTCATTTGACGCCGATGCTAGGTCTAAGATGGCACGATGCCTCGCTCCTGGCGGTCGGATTGTTGATATCAGCTGGGGTGCTAGCCAACGAGCCCAGCAAATGCCGCTCCCGAACACTTCGCATGCTCTGATCGATATGGTAGAGCTATTCAGCTGCAAGCCGCAGAGGGCTCACGCATTCTTCCAAAAGGCTATGAAGTGCTATTTCGAAGGGCAGAGCAAGCCGCCACAGTTCATTGATGTTTATAAAGCTGGGAAGGAACAGGATGCATTCCAACGATACCTTGATATGGATATGATCGGGGAGCTAGTGATCGAATTTGATAGAGCTACCGCTATCACGGTAAGTACCTCACTTGATGTAGAGCTTCCTCGTTGTCCTTATCTCACATTGTTTGACACAGGTGAATTGCTCCTCCAAGCCACGATATCTCTTCCCCGAGAACTCCTACGTCATTGCAGGAGGGCTCGGAGGACTGGGTCGCAGTTTCGCCCGGTGGATGGCAAGTCGAGGAGCGCGTCATTTGATTCTGCTCTCTCGCTCTGGTCCGTCGACATCCACCGCTCAAGCACTTGTCCATGAATTGGAAGATATGGGGGTCAAGGTTGCAACACCCCAGGTCGACATCAGTAACCTCTGCCACCTCGAGCAGACACTAGCTAAGCTTTCTGCAACTATGCCCCCAATCCGAGGATGCATACAAGCTACGGTGGCATTAAGGGTATGTGATAGCCAAGACCCCATTCGCACCACGAGGTACTGACAAGAGACCCAATTGCAGGATAACCTGTACGAGAACATGTCCTACGAGGACTGGACCATCAGCACCGACTCCAAGGTCACTGGATCATGGAACCTGCACCGCGCGCTCCCTCAAGACCTCGATTTCTTCATCCTTCTCTCGTCGCTGAACGGCATCTTCGGCAGCCGTGCGCAGGCCAACTACGCCGCCGGCAACACCTTCAAGGACGCGCTGGCCCATCACCGACTGGCGCAGAAGCAGAAAGCCGTCTCGATCGACCTAGGCCTCATGGTCGCCGAGGGCGTGGTCGCCGAAAGCGAGTTCCTCCTCTCCGCCATGCGCCGCATCGGCCACCTGATGGAGATCGCGCAGGACGAGCTCCTCGCCCTCCTAGACTACTACTGTAACCCGGGGCTGCCGCTGCTTCCCGCAACCGAGGCACAGATCATCGTCGGCATCGAACTCCCGGACGACATTACGGCAAAGGGAATCGACCTGCACCATTCCATCCGGCGCCCGATATTCAGCCACCTGTTCCGGATAGGGTCGCGGAATGGGACAGGGGCCAGCAACGGGGCTTCCGGCCAGGCTGTGGATCAGGCTGGGCTGATCGACCGGCCTGCAGTCCTGAAGGCACTGCCATCGGTCGGGGACGCGACGGACCAGATTGTCGAGTGGGTGGCGGCGAAGGTTGCGCATATGTTGGGACTGTCGGCCGCGGACATCGACCCCGGAAAGCCAGTGCACTCGTATGGAATCGACTCCCTGATTGCGGTGGACTTGAAGAACTGGTTCGATCGGGAGATCGGCGCCAGTATCACCGTGTTTGATCTGATGGGCAATGCGCCGCTGCAGCGGCTTGGGCAGGTGGCGGCCGAGAAGAGTCGGTATCGTGTTCAGTGATTATGCTAGGATTTAGTGGTTTAGTAATGTGTACGTAGTATTAAATAAGAGAGAGAGAAGGAGGGAGGGTGTTACATATATTTCTACTGGAGAATTCATACCACCGATGCGCAAAGATCCGTGAATAACTTACTACGATGATCTATCCCTTGCTGAACAGTCAAAACGCAGGAACCCATTAAACGCACCAGACGGGAAAATAAATCTGTTTTATTTAGGCCCTGCTTTGGCCACTCACCCACTACTCTGTTCAGGACATGCTCCTGTCTACTAAGAGCGGCCTGTGTCAAAAGTCTGTTTCGCTTTCTAGATGGCTTCAATAGACTGTGATAAATGAAGATTGGTCGGTTAAAATGCGATGCAATAAATAATTGAAGCACCTTACGTCATAAGCGGTAATATTGCACTCTATTTTACAACTGTATGCAAGGAAATCCCGACGTATCTAGATAGCTTTCATATCAACATCCATTCCACCTGGCACTGTCCGCCGTAACGGTAGGCGTCCCCGTGATTTTCCTCTTCTTCCGTCCGAAGATTCCGGTGGTGTGAATGGCTTTCTGAGCGAGAATAACTTGTATAGTATGGAATAAATCGCTCTTGGCACCGCCCTGGCCTGACATCAGCAGGTGCGTGTGGCTGGTAGGACCTACCAATGATGTACTTGGGAGGTCTGAAGTGTTGGAGCAACCCCCTGGGCACCCTGATTAAAGCGGCCCCATCTAAACAGGGGAAGTCAAGTCGAATCTAGAAAATCAAGTCTGTATAGCCACATATGCATCGGGTTTTCTACACAGCTTCAACACTTGCACTGTTGGAGCTCTGATTGACACTACTGGTTACGGCGAGGCCGAGGTTCTCCAACAGGGCACAACGCTTTATGCACTAAAGCTTTTGTTTCACGCGACTGTCGTCTGAGCCACGACTAACGGCCCCCAAATATACGCTTGATGACGCAATGCCAAGATATGCGGAGTTCAGCCTTCTATAAAGCGGCCCCAAATCCCCAGAGAACAATACTAATCTATCCTCGATTTATTTTATGATACTGTCTCCATATTCTCATTGTATCCTCCCTCTATCGAAATCGAAAGTGATCTTCAGTTGTGCCGCAGCCCTAAGCCAACCGAGCCATACTATAAGACCTCCCGCAATCTCTACCACGATGGGCCTCAGCACCGTCATGAAGTCCTTCCGCACCAGACCGATCAAAGATCCTAAAGATTTCACGCCGGAAGAGCGCGCCGAGTACGAGGAGCAGGTAAAGAAATACGGTCCACCCTTGAACATGAGTTCCAAGGATATGAGAAAGGCGACCTACTCGCAGGCGGGAGTACTAGGCGCGGTGGCAATGGTGTTTGGGTCCTCCTAGTATATATCCGATGATTTATTATTGCGGCTTGGTTTGTTGATTGAATAGGGTCGGAATATGACTGCCGATATCTATATCGACAATCTAGTCTATTAAGCTGGGGGTTGCATGAGGATACCCTCGGAGGGATGGTAAGCAGAGGAATTAATATCCATTTCACAATAGAGAGAATTCTAACGTCGCTTTATAAAGAACATTTTCCCCCAGAATTATAATCCGCTGGGTTAAAAAGGACATGCAAAGAAACAAGGCACTGATCATATTATAAAACCGACAAATATGCGAGAGCAGAAGAAAGGATAAGGGATCGAGTTTCATAGCTTAGACAATTCATAGGCAATGATTTTCTTGAATGAATGTCTCTACCGTGAATTATTTGACCTATGAGAGCTTTTAATGAGAGGAGACTGTTATTGATTCATCGCTAGAAAGGGGTTGATAATACAAAAGATTGCGCAGTAAACATACTGCCACTAAACAGCAAAGGAAACATTCGCTAGACCGCTGAACAAGCAATCGTTCATTCATCCAAATGGTTGATAAAGTCAAGGAGTGTCCGCAATGTTGTAGACCAACTTCTCGCCACTAACCTTACCTTCCTTCATCAACTTCAGTCCCTCAATTACTCCATTCAGTCCCCCAGCACAAACCTTCGGCGTATGGGGCTTGATCTTGCCCTCGGCCAGCAAAGGCTGCGCGATATCCCAGAACCACGCAGCAAATTTGAAATCTTCAGGGACTTCAGGGAACTCATATGGGCCATACTTAAAGTATTCACCGAGAGTGGCATACGCGAGAATCCAGCGCGACTTGACATTCTCTCGCTCGAGCTTGCTCAGTAGCAGAGTAACGTAGTCACCACCTTCGGGGGAGAATGCGCTATCGCAGAACTTGATAGCGTCATCCAATCCAATAGTGTCAAAGACAAGTTTCAGCCCGTCCTTGGTGTATTCGCGAATGGCCTTTGGGGCTTCTGGATCGCGATAATCGAAAACGAGATCGGCACCGAGCTGTTTCACGAAATCAAAGTTGCGCGGCGAGCAGGTCGTGATCACAGTATATCCAGAGAGCTTGGCAAATTGAATGGCCAACGAGCCCGAGGCCGATGAGCCTCCGTAAATGAGAATAGGCTCAGGCTGAGCAAGAGGCTTGGAGGGTAGTGCAAGTCCCAGTCCCTTGTCTTGATACAAAGACTGGCCGACAGTAGCGATACCGATTCCCAAGGTGGCGGCTTCTTCAAAGCTCAGCGAGTCTGGGATGAGAGCCGCCGCGTCGCCCTTCACCACGATGTATTCAGCAAATGCGCCGTTTTCTGGCTGCACAAGGTTGGAGCCATGGGCGAAACCACAGATGCGATCACCCTTGCGGAAAGGCTTGGTCACGCCTTTACCAACTTCCTCAACGATACCGGCATAATCGCAACCAATCACAGCGCCAGCGGGAGGATTGTTCTCAAGCTGCTTCCAGTCGGTCGGGTTCAAAGCTACGCTGACAGTTTTGACAAGGATGAAGTTGTCGCGAAGCTTCGGAATCGGATGATCTGCGACGAGAACCGGCTGGTGATCGTCGGAAACAACAAGGGCTTTCTGAGGCATGGTGATGGAGGGATTTTGAATGTGTGGCTACAGGAAAAGAAGCTGATGCAGGGATATCACCGGCATTTTATACGTTGATGGCAGGATATCGACATGGATGCCATCCTGTCAGACGTCAGCCGGATGATGAATGATGACAAACCCGGAGACTTTTGTCCCGATCGGGGCAGCAATTAGGGCTTGGGCGATTATTAATCACGGCGACTTCAGCTCCTTCGACGCCGATTCCGTTCCATTGTCCATCCAACTATCCAACATCTCTCCGGCGGATGGATTCAGGCTAAACGTCGTCGGATCCACCCTCGTGAGATCCTGTCAACACCCCTGACGTTAGCAGCCTCTCGCTATTGCCTGGCCTGTGCTGCACTTACGCCCCATCCGATGAGATCTTGGCATGCACCGTGATATGACCTATCGGGACTTGGATTAGCAAGCAGACTTACCGGTTGACTGCGACACGTCCACCGACCTTTCAGCCCAACACCGTTGCTTCCAACACAACCGTCGAAGTCCCGTCCTTGCCCCGTTCCAGGCCATTCGTATCATGAGCCCCTCCCCTCGGGAGCGGGTCCCTCGAGCCTGTGAACACTGCCGCGCGCGCAAGATCAAATGCAACGGCGAACAGCCCTGTAATGCTTGCTCACGAGATCCGCAGCGATGCGCTTACCGAACAGGTAATATCCGGAAGAGGAAAAGCCGTCAAACCAGAGAGGCGAGTCGGCCTCCAGCAGCGCTGTTGCCGGCCACTACGCGGTCTCCAATACCAATATCGACAGAATGGTCGCCGTCGGTGACGCTGATGGATGATCCGGTGCATTATAAACGGCAACACGAGCTCAGAGCCGGAATCGGCGTATCGAACCCGAAAACAGGAAATTTCCAATTCTACGGTGAGCAGTCCTGCTCCCCGTCTTGACGGTAACGGTCCTAATATCTCCAGGCCCTTCGTCTGGATTCTGCTTTCTGCAGCGGATTTACCAGCGTATCAACCAATCATCGTCTGGCCAATCGCTACTGGCGCGTCGAAGCTGCTCTGTGCCTGATGCATTGCAAAAATGGGGTATGGAGCGGTTCATGTTTACCGGGGATACGGATGGAGATATTCGTCCGGGCCAATTGCGGACGGAGGCATTTCTCCCGCAAGCTTTGGGAGAGAGGTTCATAGAGGCGTATTTCAAGATCATCCATCCGCAGATGTCGGTGCTCGTACACTCGGAGATCATGGAAACATGGGTTCAGATGTGGGAGTTCCCCGTGCGAGGTCGCAAACTGAAAAATCAGGAGATCCTGTTCATGGTGTTGGCTCTTGGGGCTCGCGTTGTCAATTTGAAAGACAAGGAGCCCGAGGCACGGGTCGAAGGCTGGGCCGAGCATTTCTCCAACCGTGCAGCCGAGGGGCCGATCTTTTTGCAGGAACCGAGTGTGAAGGGAATGCATCTAATGCTGCTGAAGGTAAGCTATTGCGATCGCGTGAGATGAGTTATTGCTGACGGTCTAGGCTATGTATTCTTTGCAACTCATGCGACAAAACGATGCGTATCTTTATCTTGGCCACGCGACACGCATCGCTATGGTGCTGGGCTTGCATCGCTCGCAAGTAACGGATGGACGAGAACCACACATGCATCGACTACGACTCACATTTTGGACCGTCTTTGTCTTTGAACGCATCTCATCGGTCTATATGGGTCGCCCCTCTGCCCTCTCCGACAATCAAATTGACACCGCATACCCTGAAGATTACCCCAGCAGCAACGACGAGAACATCTACCAAGCACCGTCCGTGGAATGCGCCTGGGTGCGAGCGATGGCCGAAATCGGAAAGCTCGCCGATCGAATCTCTGTGGATATTTACTCGCCAGCCAGCATAAAAACCATCGCCGACTTGACCACAGTTAACAACACCAGCCTGGAGTGCGACGCGGCCCTCCAACGCATCAGCAGCTCGCTCCCATCCTACCTACACTTCTTTGACGAGACCGTCCCCATCGGTGAGGACTGGCAAGAAATCCAACGAATCAGTCTTGGATTCAGCTACTACGTGCTTCGCATGCTGCTATACCGACCGGCACTGGTCCTGACGACGTTCTTCTCGAGCCCCGCAGAAGCGCAACAGACTGCAGTATGTGGAGTTGACATTCAAGCATGCATCAACGCTTCAACGTCTGCGGCCCGCAACCTGGTCAACCTAGCGCACGACGTATACTTCCGTCGGTTCCCAGACATTCGATACGACGGAGCACTTGCATCGTTCCTCGTCTCAGCGACCATGACAATGTTGTACGACGTTTTGAACCTTGGGACGGAGCCAGACCGTGCGCGACAGACCTTCGCTGTCGTAGAAAAAGGCATTCAATGCCTCGATGAGATCGAACATACCGGATACACGACAGGAAAAGTGCTCAGTATGGACTTGATGAAAGTGGCGAAGCAGGCGGTCCAAGCGGCAGACCCTGTCATCGACACGAACCAGGTCCTGGTGGATTCATTCCCCTGGCTAGAGTACGCTCCCCTCCCAGGAACCACAAATAAGCACCTACTAACCGATATCCCAGTACCTGGACCCCCGGCACCACCACCGACCCGAGCCCTCAAGCAACGTCTTATCTGTTCCCGCAGGACGGGGCCTTCCCTGGTATTGGCACACTCGCCGCCGACACAGCACTGCTGACCGGCGGAGAGGTGAACTTCCTCTGGTTAAACAACGGCCTGGACCCGAGCACGATCCCAGGATGTTTGTACTAATAGATAGCTATAGACGGGTAGATAGACATGTCAATGCATCCATTCTACGACCTACGCTTCTACCCCTTTTTCAAACCCACCTACGTTCCATTCAGAGCAAACTAAGAAAGCTTATCCCCCTCCCCATTTAGCACCTCCAGCCGACTTCTCCGCCAGCCATTCTCCAACCCGAACACCTCCCCCGTGGCGATCGCCTTCACAGTACAAAGACTTACCCAGATAGTGATCACGACCAGCAGAATCACCAGCACCGTCGACCAAACATGCAGCGCCGGCGAGTCCATGATCTTCCCCAACTGGACCGCACAGTTGGTATATACGCCCTAAGTAACACACCATCAATACCAGACTCGAACACGCAAGCCCATGCAACGCTCGCAATGAACAGAAACGAAATCAAACAAAAGAAAGAAAGATAAAGAAACCACCTACCCACGGAAAAACCAACCCCCAAGACGCCATACTGAACCTGGTCGCGCGCCACCCACCCCTCTGACCCAGCAACGTATGCACAATACTCAGAATCGCAAAACACCACCAGAAGGTCCCAAAACCCCAGGACATCAGCCCCGCCCACTGACTAATATGACCAATCGGCCGGGCCGCGTCGGCAGTAAGGAACGTACCCCGATCATACGCCTCAAAGGAGCCCTGCAGGACGGCGTTTCCGAGACTCTGCAGCGCAAACCCGCCCTGGCCGAAGGGCCCGCAGATGATCATGTCCTGGTAGACCTTTTCCGGGGTGGGGTTTGAGCGATTGAAGTGTTCGAGGAGGACGATGGCGGCGAAGGCCAGGGCGAGGGCGAACCCGGTGCCGATTTCGAGGTACGAGATGATGATGGCGGGGACTTGGAGACGGGGGCTGATGGGGGCAGCGGTGCAGATGACGCCGCCGCCTGCGGCGGAGGTGAGGGCTGCGATGACGGGGAGGAGGATGGAGGGGGGAATGTGTTCGATGCCCGGGGGCTGGAGCTTGAGTTGGATGTAGGGGATGGCGATGACGGCGAGGACGGCGAGGAAGGTGCTGATGCACCAGAGGATGTAGGCGGCGAGGGCGGCGTGGGATCCGTACTGGAGGCTGAGCATCTCGATGATGCTGGTGAAGGTGATGGAGATGCTGGCGAGGCAGGAGGTTTCGAGGAGGTTAGTGCGGAGTTCGTGGGAGACGTGCTGGGGGTGGATGATGATGCGGAGGGTATAGAGGATTAAAGCGAGCCCAAATAGGGCGATGGTGTAGATCCAGAGGATTTTGGCGAGGATGGGAAGTGCGCCGAATTGATAGTGCAGTTGGCGCAGGAGGACCGCGATGATGCCGGTTCCTTGCGGGATCAGGAACCATTGTGGGCTGAAGTGCCAGAGGGCGCGGGAGAATCGGTTCACGGGCGGAGGATCATCGTAGGACATGCTGTCCGGTGGGAATACCGGCTGGAGATTGGAGATTAGGGAGGAGGATGAGGATGAAGATCGAAGGCGAGGATCATTAGGGTTGCCGGGGACATGTGGTCGTGACGTCATACTCGAGGTGGATGATGCGGCGATGTTTATCAGAGAAAATCGACTTGATCTATATTTAAAATTTACCGTGGTAATGTTTATAATAAAATATAGAGTACTTTTAGTCTTTGTAAATTTCTCCAAATTCAATTCCTAGCTCTTTGAACTCAACTGCCGAATAACAAACCCCCTTTGCTATTTGTAGAACATAGTCCGGCGCTAACACCACCAACCCTGCAGATTAGCACGAGAAGAGGTCTGCAGTAAGCTGACGTGGCGACTAGTCACTGGCTCGCAATAGTTTGCAGCCATCTGACACTTTACGAAACACATCCTGGATGCTAATGCGGGGAATCCCTAACTAACTAAAGCCGAGTGTTCGTCCCACTCTCCCACTCCTCAGAATGCTCCCTCCTGCATCCAATCCATTAAAGCGATGGCCAACGGTGCACATCACTACACCGTTGACCGCATCGGACCTTCCCTCGTCTACGATGGCAGAGGCGTGAACGGACAACTGGCAGATCCAGCAGTTAAGCATGTCCCTTAACTTCCCTATCGTACTCATCGTCGCCGCGCCCCGCTGGCTATCGCATTGCTGACCGACCCCGATCACAGCATAGTATTTGTGCACGGCCTACGCGGCCATCCCCGGCGCACATGGGAGTATAGAGCGGGTGCTCGCAGCGCGGATAGAAACTCGAGGTTATCTGTGTTGAAATTCTGGTCGAAATCACCACCCTCCTCACACAGCGCGAGCGCGAGCGCGCCTGCTGTTAGCAAAAGCCGAGGCGCGACAGGGGTCTTCTGGCCGGCGGATCTGCTCCCATTTGTGGTTCCAAACGCGAGGATCTTCACGTACGGTTATGATGCCGATGTTATCGGGGGGATTTTCAACAGGGCCAGCCCGAATAGTATCTTGCGTCATGGAAATGATCTCATGGTGAGATTGGAGCGGGTGATGGATAAGGTTCGTTATCCTATCCGGCTTGCTCAAGAGTTTGGATTTAATAATGAATATTGCAGAAACCGATTATATTTGTCGCGCATAACTTAGGTGGTCTGGTTGTGAAAGTGGTAAGAAAACTAATCCCTCAATATCCAACCGAATTAATTCGATCCAGGCCATCCAAAGATGCAAAACGAGTCCCAATCCCAAACATCAGTCCCTTTACCGGCGCTTCGACACGGTCGTATTCTGTGGCACACCACATCGAGAAAGCGAAGCAGCTTCATGGGGACGATTAGCCCATAACCTGGTTGCCGTTGCATTGAAGGATTTGAATCCGAACCTGCTTAGAGATCTGGAAGTCGATTCGCAGATGCTTGAAATCATCCATAATGACTTCAGGAAAATTCTCCACGCGGGGAGAATCCGCGTACACACATTCCAGGAAGCGCAAGGGCTAACAGTAGTCCCGGGGCTCAATGGGAAGGTAGGATAAACCCTGGCATGGCTTCTCGCTTCGAGGCTAAAGTTTGATTGATTTAGGTCGTGGACAACTTGTCCTCTCGCATCGACTATAAACTCGAAACGGTGGAGACGATAAACGCCAACCATCGCGATATGGTGCGATTCAAGAACGAGCGAAATCCCGGCTTCCGAGCATTATCCGGAGCAGTGAAGAGCTATGTCTTGACAATAAATGAGCGTAAATGTAGGTTATAAAACATAAGGACCTCCGCAAAGGTATTCAGATCTCACAGCTAACTTAAAAAGACGCCGAATGTATCCGCAAAGGCAACGGGTACTTCAAACGACGCATCCTCTTTTCATTCATCCAAGACCGACAAAAGGCCCTCCGCTACTTCATCCAAGCATGTGACTTACTCAACCCTAACGACTTCGACCGACAGACATACGTCTACTCGAAGTTGATGTTTGTCGAGATCGAAATCAGCTACTACCGGCCTTTCCCGCGACCGAAGCAGGCTCAGCATTTGCACCAAGCGCACGGTTACGGGCTACAAGCGCTTGAAAAGGCACAACTGTTGAAGGATATCACCAAGGTCGCTGAAATTAAGCTTATGCTGGCGTGTGTGAAAGCCCGCGAGGTGAAGCTGGATTACATTATGGATGTTGATGATCGGATCTTGTCGAGAAAGCGAGAGCTGATCATGAAGGAGATCAAGGTCGCGATGAGTAATGTGCGGGCGATGGATCCGTCGAATATAAATGAGTTCGAGCAGTGGGGGAGGCGGGCGTATATGTCTTTACAGAAGTTGAATCTGGGTAGTCTTAACGAGTGTGATGGTACGCGAGATGTAGCATGGTGATAATGGATGAAATTCTTTGAACAGTTACTTCATGATTTGGATCCCGGACATGTCGCCCGCTTTGCTCCTAACTCGAGGACTATTATGATTGCTATAAGAATCAAAAATTAAGACCAAGCTTATACATCCAATGATCCTGAACTCCAGTACACTCAAAGTCTGCTGCCACAGCAGCCAGGCTTGTTGACTTGTACGGATTGGTTGCTTGCCAGGGTCGACGGAGGCACATCGATAGCCGGACTCCTAGTAAAAAAGTTGACCGGTTTCAAGGAGACAGTGATAATCTCCACAGGCCTGTTCATTGTTAGCCGTGCCTAGAAGCAAAGACGAGGATCCACCTACATGACAGGGAAATCTTCAATTCGAGGGATATGGTTCAGGCCGAATTGCACCCAAACCACAATATCCTCATTCACCACACTGTCTTTCCGAGCAACCCAGTTCTTAACCCCATGACCTCCACGACTCTGATTAGTGAATTTGCCGCCCGAGAAAAGCTCGTCCGACTGGTACTTCGTGACGTAGATTTCGTGGTCCGCAAATTCCGCGCGCTTGAAGTGAAAGCTGTCAGGAGAGGCGAGGAGCTTTTGCATCGGGGGAGCGTGGATTTTGTACGAGATGGGAAGGCCATTGACGGAGTTGGGAATGTTGGGATTCTGGATAAGAAAGTCTCGTCCTCGGTTGATGTCAAAGTCAAGGCCCTCGGACTTCTGTACAATGTTTGTTTTTGCAATGTAGCCGTTTCCGTGTGGGTTGAAGGCGGGTTCGTGGGGAAGGGCGTATGATTCTTGGTAGGCAAGGCTATTGCCGTGGGTGTAGCTGCCGATGGCTGGGTCGATGCGTAGAGATAGAATATGCTGGTGGTGTGTTGCCAGGACACCGGGGTGCACGATGGTTCCGAATTCGACCTGGGTATCTGGATCGATGGCACAGGTCGAAAGAATACCGGTCGCGCGGACCTGATAGTCCATTTGGCCGGCTTGGTTGAAGACAAAGGCGAGGATATACTCGTAGTTTGATACGGTGAGGATTGATTGAATTACTAGTTCACGGTTGCGAACAACGCAAGCTCCTGTATCCTGTTTAGTATCTTGGTAGCTTGACGATCTGCCTGAAAGGATCAAGCAACTCACGCCCAGTTCGATAGTTGGTGTGCTTCCAACCAATCCCATTGCCCTGTTCGTGGATGCAAATCGCATTCTCCTTGCGCAATGGGTTGCCCTGTCGGTCGGAGATAAAACCATCGAGGTACGCGATCGATCCAAGACAGTCGCAGCCGAGTTTGAGGTTATTAGCAACCAATCCTGCACCGACATCACCCAGATCAAAAGCTTGTTTGCGATGATAAGGCGCACGAGGATCCGCATAAGGGACCGTCATATCACTGAGACTAACACGGTAGAATAAAGGCTGGCCATCATAGCAAACGTTTCGCAGCACGATTCCCTCTCTGTAGTTGAAGCACACGCGAATGTGCCACTTTTGCCACCGCAGAACATTCTCATCGTCGATGGTAAACGATGGACCGTCTGGTTGGGAGACATGGAGTCTTTTCAAATTTGTCCGCAAGTTGTTGGCCTCGGGGACGTATTCGTTGGGGCCGTTATCTTCGAAAGGGCCCAGTGGCTTCAAAGCCCAATCGGCACCGGTAGGAATCAAGTCGATCCGGATGACCTTCATGCGTACGGGGTCAACGACAGGAGAGAAAGACAGCGGTCTTGCGTAGTGGTTGCTGTCGGGCTTTCCGACCTCCGAAACAAACATGTAGACTTGATACTGTCGCATTTGATCCGCGAGTCCGTCGGATCCAAAGCCCCAGGCCTCGGCGATCACAGTTAGATGGGGAGGCAGTTTGAGTCTGCGGATCTGCTCCAGTACAGCGTGATCCTGCATGACCATGCGTTCCACGTCGTCGACTTCATTGAAGTCCACGTTCCCGTGGAACTCTTTATCGGCGGCTTCGGATTTCGACACACGATTGGCTTTCAAGTCGACCCATGTTGTCATCAGAGTATCAGATGCTTTGATATAGTAGACGCAGTATGCAAGACGTGGTGGAGCGTCGTGAGTTTTGCCTGATAGCTCTGCTTCAAGAAATGGAATCATGACATTCTTGTCCGGTTCCTCTAGGGTGATGGCTTTGAAAACGAGCGCCTCGCCAGCGTGCAGAGACTGGACTGCGGCTCGGGAGCGGTGGATTTCGGATGCGGTGAGGTCGTTGAAGGGATGCATGGTTATGATTGATTTGCTTTCTGCTTGGATCTCAACAATTCATCATTCTCGCTAGTACTACTTATAGTTGAGTCTTCTTGACTTTGGAGAGGTATCAAACAAGCAGCGATAATTTTACCCTTTGGGGAAAAGGAGAATAGAAGGAAGATAAAGCTTGGTTGATAAAGCGCCAACGGAAGAGAAGGATAAAATGCGTTGTGATTCGCTGGATGAACAAGACTGTCGGTGCGCGCGAGACGCGCTCGTCGCTCGGATCCTGCAGGGGCTGTGGAAAGATAGTCTCATTCGAATCATGAACTCCGCATTTAGGCTTGATCCATGACGACACTGATTCTAGGACTGTTATCTAGGATAATGCTTTCCGAAAAAACATCAATGTACTATCGAAGGGTCCTAATTTGTAGAGAGGGGAACACGAACTCGGGAGCACTTTTGTCCCAAATACAGTTAACAAAAAAGAAAAAAAAAAAGAAAAGAAAAAGAAAAAGAGACAGAGAGAGAGAAGAAAAGAAAAAAAAGGCGGGGGGGACAAGAAAGTGTCAAGTGTCGCTTATAAGTGGTTATTATTTGAGGTACGAGTAGCACTCAAGACAGCCCAAGTACTCCCGATTGATATCTACAACGAAAAGCTGCGTATACATGAATTTGTACTTGCAACAGGCACAACTGATGCAGAATTTTCAAATAATGAAGACTATTTATGATAACCACATCAAGGAGAAGGAGAATTGAGGATAGAACGTGATCAACCAAGCGCATATAAAAGAAAAATGAAGAAAAGAAAAGAAACAAGAAAAAAGCCCAAGCAATGCCATCAAAAACCAGCTGGACACTGGCTAGTTGGTCCATTTGATTTGAACATTTCCTCATCTTCCCCAATCTCTGGATCATTCTTGCCCAGAACCTCCCGGCAAAACTTCTCAAATACGTCGCCCCAGAGGTGATGGCATTTGTAATTTGCAGTATCCGGAGGGAAGTTCCTCGTGTGATCCCACAGCGCTTCCAACTGCTCGGGCTCATGCCTAAGCTCCGTCATTGGCGTGAGATATGTTCGGACTGTGAATACATTTGCCTGTGAGCGAGGAAGGCGTGTGAGAGATTGCAATTCTGTTCGGATGTGAACCTGATCAATGGATTCACACTTCGGATATTCTTCGAAGGGCACGAGATGAAATATCTCCCCAACTGGCTGAATAAAAAGGTTGTTTCTCTGGATTGCTTTAGATGGCTGCAAGTTGAGGAAGAAGCGCTCCATGGATTTGCGCAACCTTTCCTTCCAGAGAGGAATCGGGTCATGGATTTGATGCAGATACCATCCGATCCGTTGTTGAAGGCGCCAGCCAGAGGGACATGCGAGGAAAGCACCGCGACTATATTTCAAGTTAGTAACAGCAATCACGCCCCGTTTTCACTGAGAGGCTATACATACAGAGTATATTGATCCTTTGGCCCGTTCTTCAACACGTAAAGATCATCCATTACAAGTAAGCCTGCCACTGCAAGTGGATGAAGCTCATATGGCTCGCGTATCCTATATTTCTCTTGCAGATGGTCGATGTACACGTAGTCATGATCAGCTCGAAACATGTCAGGATATCTTTTGGTGACATATGTGACAATTATCTCCAATAGTTCCACGGCCGCGTCGTCAATTCCATCAAGATAATCAACGTAATTATCCGAGTCTGGACTCGTGGCCATAGCAACCTTTTCCTTATGTTGGCTGTCAAACAACTCATCGTACTTGAACCAATTATTAATGTCAAGCTTGCGTAGTGCCATGGTCATCTGGAACTTTCCAGCTTTCCAATACCGTGGCCAATCTTGTTTTCCGTGGAGTGGAAGGCCCTTGAATGGGGTGATGTTTTTGAATCCAAGTGGATCTGGGTCATGGTTCGCCGAAGTCTTTAAAGAAGTCTTTGTTTCCTTTTTGGGCCTCTTTAGATAGACGAATTGAACGGCGCGAATAATAACGAAAGCTAAAAGAGGGATGGAAATGATCCTCAAGGGGCCTCCTTCTGCGAGATAGGGAATTTGAGAAAGCATGGTTGGCTTGAAGGGAGTTGTACTCGAGACGAAGTGAAGGGCTTTCCAATTGTAACATAAAGAAGAATGTTACTCGTGAAATTGCAGGCAGTCAGCACAATCAATTGAAATATGAATTGAATCTCACTCAAATTCAAGATAGATAAGAAAGCGTTGGCTTTTATGAGGGGAGTCATATCAGCGGCAAGTTGTAAGAGCCCAATGAGGCTGATCATGTATGTCCCTCGCTGAGGATGGTGTCTAGAAGACATTTTAGGTAAAGCAGGCGCGCTAATCGCGTACACGTACTATGGCTGTTAATAATATTCCCTGAGATCTTGTTCACAACGTCTTCCTAGATCTCTGATGTGTCTCGTTAGATACAAGAGGTGCCACTGGGATATTTCCTGTTCTGGAGGCAGTCTTATCAGCTGTAAATTACTTGGAGAGTTTGAACTCTAGAAAGACCTGTCTATCTGATAGATTCAAGACTCAGCTGCCTGTCATACCAAGCAAGCCGAGCCGGGGTTTGAAGAAGTGAGTCTGACTAGATTGAGACCCCTGATACTGACTGGTGATGTTGAGAAATTATACAATTTCACTGGAATTATACGACTCCTGACATTTCCAGAGACTGTAGAAAGTTCTATCGAGTCATCGCCTTCATCGATGTTTCCATTGTATACAAGGTGACATAACGCAGGCAGAAAGTGACTATGAACAGTTTGTGGGAGGTTCACCCACGAGATACCGTCAAGGAGGGGCCAAATATCTCCGGCCGTTCGGCATCTGATATCCTGTCCATTGATAGTCAGGATGAAGTAACCTGTGACGTTCTGCCATCCAGAAATGTTCTGCTACAGACCGGGGTTCCAAACCAGTTATCTCCTCTGACCGTGAGTGGCTATCAAACTCAAATCATCCCTCCCCCGCTTTATACCGCGAGGAATATCGAGGCCGTTGATAAGGACGTTTGGGTATAAAGCCCAACCTAAGAAGACTGTACTTTGATAGTCAGTTTTCGTGCAAAATGGCCAGTATTACCTGCTTCATAAGTCGCTTTTTCATCCCAAAAGACTCAACTATGGACAGTGGCAATAGACCACAGTCGACCTCGACTCCGACTGCCCCAGATGCCGCCTCAGGCGCTCCGGGTGACCGTGCCTCCACTCCAAAACAAACGACTACCAAAAAGCACGACGATAGCTTCATTATAGATAGTGAAAATGACACACACGAGGAAGCTATGATAAAGAATCTTGACGACGAGATTCTCCATCTTCAAGGTCATGATGCCTCGATGCCACGCTCCTTTTCCTCCGTCGCTTCTATCGGTTTGGCGTTTAGCATCACTGGCTCCTGGGTTGGTTATCTCAGTTGCTTCGGGGCCAGTATCACGTTTGCCGGTCCTCAAAATGTGGTGTTGGGATTGGTGGTTGGGACTGTTGTGCAATGGATTATAACCCTTGGCCTAGCCGAAATAGCTTCGGCCTTCCCCTCTAGTGGCGTGAGTGTTATACCAATTTTAGATACGACCAGTCTTTGCTCATGACATTTCAGGGCCAATACCATGCTGTCTTCTGCATGGCCAGTGAGGGAACACGACGCTCTGTCTCGTATTTGACGGGATGGTTTTCCATGTTGGCTTGGTGGATAAATACCTCTTCGGGCTTGATGATTGCAGCAAAAGCAGTCCTCGGATTGGCTTCGTTTTGCTGGCCAACCTATGATACTGTCAACTGGCATGTCTATCTTGTGTATCTCCTTGTCATGCTTGTTACCGCCGCTCCCCTCACCATGTCTCGGACTGTTCCTTGGATCACACAAGGTTGTCTATATATCTCCGTGTCAGGATTTTTAATGGCATTCATCGTCGTGATGGCCATGCATCAAGAGTTTCAGCCACAGGGATACCTACTCCATGCTTCTCATGGAACGAGCGGGTGGCCTCACGGGTTTGCTTGGATTCTAGGAGCCGCCAACTCTATGTGAGTCCATTACCCTGAAGCTCCTCTGCGGACCTTTACTGACGATATGCCCAGGTATGCTTACGTTGGTACCGATGGAGCAATTCATATTGCGGAGGAAATGAACCATCCCGGTCGCAGGATTCCGCAAATCATGAATCTCACCATGCTAATCGGTGTACTGTCGGCACTTCCATTATTTATGGCCCTGATTTATGCTATCCAGGATCCCGAAAAGGTGGCATCTGCGACTCTCCCCTCATTAGAGCTATTCTACCAAGCCACAGGGAGCCGGGCAGTTTCTCTATTCCTACAAATCTGGGTCACTACAGTCTACATATGTACGTTGAAGCCTCGGTGATTGACAGAACAAAGAGGGCTAAATTATCCCAGCAAGCATGACATCCCAGTGGGTGACATCTGGAAGAATGGCGTGGGCTTTCGCTAGAGATGTAAGTGGATTTCATGCTCAATTCATGTTTCGTAGCTGATTTTCATGCATCTCACAGGGCGGGATCCCATTTTCCGATTATTTCGCTGTGGTTGACGAACGATTCCAATCGCCCATCCGAGCAACCGTACTGTCCACGGCGTTCGCATCGCTCTATGGGCTGCTCTACTTGGCGTCGACGAATGCTTTCTCCTCCATCACCACTTCGGCGGTCTTATACTTTGTAAGCGCCCTTCTCGATGACTCTATATGTTACACTTCTAATCCCGAACAGAATATTAGCTACGCCATTCCCCAGGCCATGGCATTATTCCGAGGACGAGCAGTACTCCCTCGTCGCAGTCTGAATCTCGGACCCATCGTAGGACCATTCTGTAATGCCTTCACAGTGATCGCGGTGCTTGCGCTGGTGATTATTTACAGTTGCCCGAGTACTCTGCCCACGCAGGTAGATTCGATGAACTACTCCAGTGTGGTTCTGGTTGGGATATCTGGGATTATTTTGGCCAGCTGGCTGCTCGTTGGATCTCGATTCAGGGGACCCGACGTGGATCTCCAGCGCATGCACTTCCTGCTGTCTGCGTGATATAATTAGCCAGCCTAGTCTCGTTAGTTGAGTTGCTACTGGACCTGGGCTTATCATTTCCCCGCACTTTCTCCACTTCTTTGTTTGGTTTATCTCGAGGCGATCGTCGGCTTCAACTTGCCCTATCGGCATTCGCGCAGCTATCGGCCTCAGCAGGCATTCAAATTTCTCCTGTTCTGGTTTTCTCGTCTTACCATCATCTCATGTTTCTCCTGATTATGCCGCTTCGCTTTGAAAATGCAAAACGAGCCTCAATCCTTTCCCCGTGCCACTCGTAGCAGAACTGGCTGCTTCACTTGTCGGCGCCGAAGAAAGAAGTGCGACGAGCACAAGCCCCAGTGTCACAACTGCTTGCGAAACAACTTCGTCTGCGACGGGTATCAATCAAATATCGCATGGGAGCCAGGAAGGTCGAGAAAGAATAGCCGTCGCTCCCCAGAAACACAGCACATTCGAATACCAGGGAATGAGCCACCAGTCGATAATTCTACCTCACCACTGCAGCGAGATACGCCAGCACCAGAAGAATTAACCATGACGCCGAGACCATCTTTGCCATCTCTAATCAACGGCGTCCATACGCCCACCGAGAGACGCTTATACAATCACTTTTCGCAGGTCCTATCGCAACTCCTTGTGCTGCAGACTTCAAACCAATGCAACCCAATCGCCGCAGCGATTCTCCCACTTTCTACAGCCGACAAGGGCCTATTATCCCTCGTAATGACTGTTTCGGCGGCACACCTCTTGAAGCTCTTATTCCTCGGGGGTCATTCGATTGAAAACCCAGAGTACGTTGAGGTGCAACGGCTCAAGTGGAAGTTCTTCGGCCAAGGCACACGCATCCACGGCCAGCGTATTCAAGAGCTCTACGCAGATAAGCCCGTATCTAATAAACAATATACAATCGCGCTAGCTAGCACGATGCTTCTGTGCCAGTATAATACCGGAGAGGGCGGGTTTGACGGCGGGTGGAAAATGCATCTGGGCGCAGCGCACGAGTTAGTAAAATGTCTTAAGCGGCGGTCTGGTGCGTCGAATGTGACGTTTTCGTCTGCGGCCGTTCTCGAGGATTGGTTTCTTTATCACCAGTTGATTTCCAAAGTGACTGATCAGAACCCTTTGTGCCATGCAGACCATTTCGAGGCATCTTCCAATCCAAGCTCTGATCTGTTGCTCATCGGGTCTCAAGATGGACTTCTTTCCATCGTCGGACGCATAATGGATCTCAAGACGCAGATTCTCCTGGACGACGATCCCTCAGTACCGTCGTATTTGGGCCTCACTTTCGGGCTCGAGATCAGTGTGGACCTGGAGGCCTGGGATTACCAGTACCCGACGCAGCAGCAACGGGTCGTAGGGGAGTGCTATCGATGGGCGGCCTTCATATTACTTTACGCGACAGTGTATCAGTGCCAGTTGCTCGATGACAAGATCCAGACTGCGCTGGAGGGCGGGCTTACCTACCTGGACGACCTTTGCGATACCGACCATGCTCAGATCTGCGCCTTGTTTCCGATGTTTATCTTTGGGGTTTCGGCTGTGTCGAGGAGAGATCGCGACCGAGTCAGAGAGAAGATGGATGCTTATTATAAGTGGTCAGGGCTAGGGAATATTATCGAGGCGAAGACCTTCCTGGAGTTATGGTGGGAGCAATGCGATCAAGCGGAAGACCGAAATTGGTGGCAGTGGCATGCTTTGGCTTCTGAGACTGCGTTACAGCCTATTCTGACATGAATGATGTAGATAGTATGAAAAAATGATACGACTATTCTTCCTAAAGGCATATCAAGATGAGTCTGGTTCATTCATAGGATAGAGGGGCGCGGTTGAGCCGGTGTCAGGATTTAGTGTCCATTGAGCTTTTCCACTCGGACATAAAGCTCCAACCTCTTCAGAGAGGGATAATTCTTGGATATTTTCAGTGGCACTAGGCCACTAAATCATGTACTTAGATCCTGACGCCTTTGGAGCAGCGCGTGTCGCGCGCACCGACGGACATATCACTGGCTGATAACTAGTTGCATTTACTACGTCATTTCGCCCAGTCCTTAGGGATCTACTAGAGAGGCTAAAGCGTGTCGCGCGCATCGAATCTTCCAGACATTATCAAAGCACTTAGGCCTCTCGCAATGTCTTCAAGCCGTGATAAGTCGTCTGGAGAACGACTCCTATATAAAGTCAAATATTACTCGGCTCGATGGAAGATCCATTCTCAAACACAATCACAGTTACAATAGGATCACACTTCCCATTTCGCATTCGCTCAGAACCAAAGTCTCTTGGAACTGTCTTCAGGATGTCTGTTCAAACTCCCACTATCAAGCTCAACAACGGGACTGAAATGCCCATCGTCGGTTTCGGCCTCTGGAAGCTCGACACCAAGACCTGCGCCGACCAAGTTTACAGCGCCATCAAGTCCGGATATCGCCTTCTAGATGGCGCCTGCAGTGCGTTTACTGTCACTTTGTGGACTTCAAGACCATATCTAGTCAATAGATCCTAACTCTCGAGAACAGTCTACGAGAACGAATCCCAATGCGGCGATGGCGTCGCTCGCGCTATCAATGAGGGCATCGTCAAGCGCGAGGACCTCTTCATCGTCTCCAAGCTCTGGAACAACTTCCACGACGCCGACAAAGTAGAGCCCATCACCCGCCGCCAGCTCCAAGACTGGAAGATCGACTACTTCGACCTCTTCCTCATGCACTTCCCCATCTCGCTCGAATACGTCGACCCAGCCGTCCAGTACCCTCCCCCCGACGGACCCGAGTTCCCACCCGGCCGCGCCTCCGTCCAAGAAACCTGGCTCGCAATGGAAAAGCTGGTATCTGCGGGCCTGACCAAGGGGATAGGAATCAGTAACTTCAACGGCGGACTGATTCTGGATCTGCTGAAATATGCGAACATCAGGCCCGCTACCTTGCAGATCGAGCACCACCCCTACCTGACGCAGGAGCAGCTGGTGAACTGGGTCCAGGGCCAGGGGATCGCTATTACAGCGTATTCGTCGTTTGGGCCGTCGTCGTATGTGGAGCTGGATACGGAGGACGCGAAGCATACGCCGTTGCTGTTTGAGCATCCGGCTGTTGTGCAGTTGGCGGAGAAGTATGCGAAGACGCCGGCGCAAATCGTTCTGCGCTGGGCGACGCAGCGCGGTATCGCAGTCATTCCGAAGAGTGGAAATACTCAGCGTTTGGCGCAGAATCTGTCCGTGACGGATTTCGATCTGAGTGCGGAGGATTTGAAGAGTATTAGTGCGATGAATCGGAATCTTCGATTCAATGATCCAATGAAGGTATGTATATTTCGGTGTGGCATTGAGTTCCGAGTTATTCTGACAGTTCTTTATAGTTTGGAGAGCCGCATCCCATCTTCTTCTAGTTGTGCTCTTAGCAGACTTGTTAATGCAAGTATAGTACCTGGTTCTCTAGCTGTGGTGAAGAAGACGAGAATGTCCATACGTTTATGGGTAGAATCAAATGATATATCAGAAGAGTCTAGATTGAAATATCTGAAAACACATTAGTCAAATCGAAGGATCCGCAACTAGTAACCGAACTGCAACGCGTGAATGCCCTTTCGAGTAAAATATTATCCAATAAGGCTGCTTAGCCTTGGTCGACTCTGTACTCAATTGCGAAGGCACAGCTTGATATATTTTTCGACCGTTTCCTTGGCCTCGACTTCGTGGAAGAAAGACCTCTTATGACTGAAAACTCATTTGTTACTGCATGCGACATTCTTCCACCTTGTAAAAGTTTAGATTTTTTCCCCACTTACTCTACCCGCTGCTATCTGCTATCAAATTACCCTATAACACCTAACACGGCACTATCTATAAACTACCCCTGGTACCAAACTGCCAGGCACCGTGGCAAACGAGTGACTATGAATGAAAACCCCTACCACCATCTCTCCTATTCTTCATCTCCTATCCGGTGTTCAAAAGTCCATATTACCAGTTAGCCAGTTCCCGAGTCGCGATTCCATAAACCAAGTGATCTGTATCACCCTGACCCATATGCTTGGACCAGGGGAAGCAACTGTTAAGGAAGCATGTGAGACTCCATTTGACCATTATCTCCCTTGCTGCTCTTCATCCGGCGGAAGAAGACCCGTTTAACCAACTTCCAGAGCTCGACGCCCATGAAAAAGAGCAGAGCCTCGACAAACACAATGCCCCATTCCCAGGAGATAACCGTGTGCTTGAACACGACATGGTTGATCACAGGGATATATATGATGGGGAAAATGGTGATCCAGCCGGCCATGATGGACCAGAAGAGGAACTGATTGCGCCACACGTCGTGCATCCACTGCGTGAAATACTTCTTGGACTTGGGCTGCATGCGGAAGAACGATCTCCGCATATTAACCATCTCCCAGGCCAAGAAGAGCGCGAACCACGTTAAACAAACGAAAGTGGTGGCTCGGGCGCGGAACACCAGCTCGCATTCCTCCGAGTATTCGCGATTGCAGCCGCGGCCGAGATTGCCGTCGCCGAATCCCCACATGCGGATGGAGAATGCCGAGAGGCAGAGCGCGGCGGTCCAGAAGCCGTAGACTAGGGTGTCGATGATCACTTCCCAGGTGAAGATACCCTGCTTGGTTTGCGGCGGGCGGTCCATGATGTCGGGCGCGGCGACCTCCATTCCGAGACCCATGTCGGGCATTCCGGAGGTGATCATGATGATCCAGAGAATTTCGACAGGGGCGAGAGGAAACACGGATTGGCCGTCTTTGTCTTTGAAGGCTAGCCCGATCAACAGCGTGCACGCCTGCGCGATATTCTCAGCGAGCAGGTGGAGGACGAATTTCTGGATATTGTCGAAGATGCGACGGCCTTCTTCGACGGCGTTCAGGATGGATGCGAAATTGTCGTCCGTGAGGATGATATCCGAGGCGTCTTTGGCCACGTCGGAGCCTGCTTGGCCCATAGCGATTCCGACGTCTGCGTGTTTCAGAGAGGGTGAATCGTTGACTCCGTCGCCGGTCATGGCTGCGAAGCGACCGCGTCGATGCAGGGCATCGATCATTCGGACTTTAGTCTGAGGTGCGCATCGTGCGATGACAAGAGGTAAAGTAGGGAGAGCGTCCACTTCGGAGTCGGTCAGTTTGTCGAATTCGCCCGCGGTCATGACCATAGCTTCGGCAACATCAGCAGCAACGGCGCTAAGATCAGAGGGAACAATTCCGACTTGCTGCGCGATGGCCTTCGCGGTTCCAGGATGGTCTCCGGTGACCATGTGCACCTCAATCCCGGCTTGAAAGCACGCTTGAATGGATGCTGCAGTCTCCGGACGGGGTGGATCATACAGACCGATGAGCCCCAGGAAACAGAGGTCCTTTTCGATCTCGTCGCGCTCGAGGTCAGAGCCTTCGATGAGCCGAGTTTTTTCCACGTAAGGCCTGTGTGCTAGAGCTAGCACCCTCAGACCCATTTTGGCGAGCTCCTCCATGTTCTGGAAAATTTGTCCACGGAGATCATCGGTCATGGGCACGGGAGTCGAGGAATCTTGGTCCCAGATCACTGTGGTGCAGGATTCGACAATGCGCTCGACCGCACCTTTGGTGAAAACCATCTGGCGCTCTTCCTGGGATGTAATCTTGGTGAAGATAACCGACATCTTCTTGACCGTCGAGTCGAAAGGAAATTCTGCCGTCTGATGCCACAAGGCACCCGGGCCTTTTGTCCAGCGATCTCGGTTCCAGTTAAATCTCGAAGCGAACACTTCAATCGCAATCTCTGTAGGTTCTCCACGGGCACTCCATTCACCCTCCTCGGACTTATAGACGTGAGAGAGATTGGCCATGGATGCGACGTCCAAAAAGTCCTCGAGCTGGCGGTTTCCAACGACAAGATCCTCCACGCTTTCTGCAGGAGGGCCCTCCTTTTCGTCATCGAACTGCATTGGAGGCAAAGGCGTGAAAGTCACATCTCCGACCGTGGGATTGAAAGGCTCATTTGAGGTTCCGACCGAGTATGTTCCTCGAGAAGGAATCCACGCTTTCTTGACCACCATTTTGCCCTGCGTCAACGTGCCAGTTTTATCCGAGCAGATATCCGTGACTGCCCCCAAAGCCTCGAGCGAATCCAGTTTGCGGACTATCACGTTTCGTTCGACCATGCGTTTGGTTCCAACAGCCATGGTAATGGTGAGAACGACGACCAAGCATGCAGGAATCATACTGAGGCCAGTTCCGACAGCATACAAGATCACCTCGTTGTTGCTACTAAACAAGTTGGCAGCCATGACGACTATCGCAAAGAGCACCGCAACGCCGAACAATAGGATAGCGAGTTTAGACAGCTTCCTCTGCAGCGGAGTACCGACGTTGACACCCAGGAAGCGGCCTACAGCGTCGGTGCCAGTCAGGGTCCAAGCCTGGAGATACCATCTCTTCTTGGTCTCGCCGTTGGGGCCACGCTTGACTTGACGCTTTTTGCTATTACTGGCTCGCAGGGCAGCGGCAATCGAACCGATCTCAGTCGCCATGCCCGTTCCAATGACCACGCCTCGGGCGCGGCCTCTTGTCACAGTACTGGAACTGTAGGCGATGTTGAGACGATCTCCGGGACCCGTGTCTTCCTTGAATGTTGAGTCACATTCTTTGGTAACAGGAAGGGATTCTCCAGTGAGAAGCGCCTCGTCCGTATCGAAATTAACTGCTTCAACCAATCTATTTCTATCAGTATTTCTTGTTGTTTCTTTCACCGACGCCGAAATCCGCTCGCAGCCTCAGGCGGAAACTCACCTGATGTCAGCCGGGACGGTATCGCCAGTCCTCAACTCGACCATGTCGCCAGGCACAATGTCTGTCGACGGGATCGAGAAGGTATGACCACCACGAGAAACAGTTCCAGTGGGCGAGCTCAACGAATGCAAAGACTCCATGGTCTTTTCGGCGGCATATTCCTGAAAAAAGCCGACGACGATATTCAAGACGATGACGGCGCAGATCACACCGCCCTCGATCCATGACTTGATTCCAAAACTGACCGCCATGGCCAGCAGGAGCACCTGCAACAACAAATTGGATCAGATTCGGGGAGTCCTCATCACAATGGGGGTTCAGAACGCGGGAAAGTGGGCCCCTTAACTAGCATCATTGCGTTGGCGACCTGGCGCACCAGGATCTTGATAATGGATACGCCCTCGCCTTCTTCCAGTTTGTTGGGGCCGTACTGCTGGAGACGGCGCTGAGCTTCATCATTGCTTAGACCTTCGTCGACCCTGGTTTCCAATTCCTTGATGACCGCATCGTAGGAGAGAGTATGAGCCGGATGGCTCAAGAGCAAACCAGGGACCCCGGGGGAGACCCCGGGGCTATCGCGCTGTTTTCCGTCCGTCATATGCAGTTTTCCTGTCTCAGGGAAAATCCAATAGCACTTGTCTGAGGGAGAGAGCAGAAAAAACAATCCTCCTCGCGGTCGCAGCCGGGGGGGGGGAAGATCGAACTTATGAGCCGTTCAAGTCCATTGCCCAGAACCAGCCAAGAGGATAGGCTCTGTTAGTGTGAAGTACAGTCCCCAGAACCCTGTAACCTCCGCCAGTAACAGCGATAAGCAGCCGGGCAGGCGCCAACAGGTGCATTGATAGGCGGTCGCTGCCAAGGGTTTCCTCTCCATGCCAAGCCGTCGCCTGTGGGTGGACGAATCACGGGGCAGCGAGAGGTCCACAGGCTGCTAATACGAGGATTCCATTCCCACTACCACAAAGGCCCATCGGCCGATGAGATTTTCCACTTCAGTTCGGCCTTGGGTGCCGTCACATGAATCCCGGGTCCAGGAGCCTTGCCTTGCCTCCACCGTGCTACCCAAGGGCTCTGGGTGGGCCAAACGCAACGCAGTGAAACCGAAGCTTGGACACTGTTTGGCATCACTGCAGGGATGTGCAATATGGCGGGCGCTGCGAACGAATATGATACAGCAGATATGACATAGGAGCTGTCTGGCTCGTGTGGCAACGCTTCATGCTGTGTGGGGGGAACTTCTCTCCGGAATCAAGATGCAGTCGTCAGGCATCTGGGATTATTTATGTGTTAGGCAACTGTACTGCGTAGTGACGAATAGTGACAGAGTAGGAGACCATTTGTAGATGTTTGTGATACATCCAAGGATGTTCAAATCTCTTCCAACACACCCAAGGGGGCTGCACTGCGTGTGTTCACTCTACTCCGTAGGCCGACCGTTCATATCTCTCTGTAGCCTGTTTCTACTCCTTTCCCATTTTGTATCCGACTTGTCTCATTCTCTCGGGATTGGCGGGTTTGCGCATGGTTTTCTAGTATGTAGAGTAAGAGATTAGTATGTATTTGAACCAAAGAGGCTCATCCATGTCCTTCTGACATGCTGTACTATGATACATCAACTGGAGGATATTCTGTATATGAGTCACATTAGTAGTTCACAGATCAAATGATGGAATAAGACCACTCATGCCAATGGATACGATGTCCATCTGAGGATCCATTGTCGTGTTAGGATCTGTAGATCAAATGGCTTAAGATCTTCATCTCCTCAAATCTATCAAAATAAAAGTTTCATCCTGGAGTCCTTCATTCCATTCATTCATGACGGAAGAACCATTATTGAACAACAGTCAGTGAAGTAGTATTTATTGTTGAGAAAGTTGGCTAAATAAGGCCTGTCGAAGTTAGTCAATCAGGTGGAGACATCAAATATATAAAACGGTACTTATTTGAAGCAACGTGAACAATCCCCTCGATGGTTTCATCCTCGGACTTTTTTAATCAAAAACCCAATGATATTCTCTGACAAGTCACAGGAATGCATCCCAAAGATCATCTGCGCAATTCCATCATGAGAAGCAAAGAGCCAAAGAAACCGGTTTAGAAGGGAGGCGGTGAGGCCTCAGGCTTTTCCGCTCACTTCGATCCCCCGCAACTTCAGCTTCCGCTGTCATCGACGTCAGCCATCCCAGCTTCCCCTGAACCGCCTCAAAATGAAGATCCTCTACATCGGAGTATGTTGCTTTGGACGAGAATACATCCTCATCTACTGACTCGTCATCTCTCCCACCCAGGTCATCCATAATGGCCAACAGCCCGCCGTGGAGCTGTGCGCCGAAAAGGAGCTCAGCAGCTACTCACGCTTCACCCGGAGCAACATCGGCGAGTTTATGACCATGTTCAGCAAGACGGTCGCCGAGCGAACGAAACAGGGCCAGAGACAGGATATCGAGGAACAAGGCAAGTCCCCCATCACCCCCCTCGCCTTCGGTCGCATGCCCACCCCGGCCCCTATCCATGATACTAACCATCACGTCATTCACAGATTTCACTTTCCACGTCTACGCGCGGACCCAAAACATCGCCGGTGTCATTATCAGCGACAAGGAATATCCCTCTTTGGCGGCACACCAGATCCTCTCCAAGACCCTCGACGAGTTCCTCGCCCAAAACCCCAACGCCGACTCCAGGAACCCCGTGACCTTCCCGCCCCTGCGAACGTACCTCACAACGTATCAGGACCCGCAGCAGGTCGACAGCATCATGAAGATTCAGAAGGAGCTGGACGAGACGAAGATTGTGCTCCATAAGACTATTGAGAGTGTGCGTATACCCCGGGACTTGGTTGCCAAGGGGGCGACCGCTAATAAGAATCGTTGCATAGGTTCTCGAACGAGGCGAGAAGATCGACGACCTGGTCACCAAGAGCGAGGGACTCAGCGCACAGAGCAAGATGTTCTACACTTCTGCGAAGAAGCAGAACTCTTGCTGCGTTATTTGCTAGTTGATGTCATCTTGCCACACACTTGCTGCATCTCTTTTCTCTGTTTTTCCTTTTCCTGAACGGACGCCATGCTTGTGTGGAATATTACTCGGGGGCGTTTTATTTTCCCGATATCTGCCTTTGTCGCTTCTTTTTTTTTTTCGCTTTTACACAGCCATCTTTGCGTCCAATTTTGAAGTTCTCGCCGACCGCGTTCACCTGAGAAAGTTGTTGGTGATTTGGTCCCATTATGAAAGGTGGTCTTCCGTATGAGATACCTCAGGCATCCGCTCTCTTAGAGTTAATATATTGTTCCGAATTTCCTTGCCCAATCTTGGATTCTTGACGTGCTCTTCTGGTCGTGCGGGCGACAGTGAACGGCGCTAATCAAGGGACCATGACTAACTGATACCAGAGGGATTTATAATTTCGAGCACAAAGTAACTAGTGCTGCACCTTCTGGTCTAAGTGGATCAGGTATTGATTTATGCTTCTTCTGGAGGTATGGCTAACGGGGAATCATAGAAAATTGTGCATAGTCCTTCTACCCGCCGAAGATGATCAACAGGGACCTAAATCCAGCTTCTCGCCGACGAGGGTCATTCTCTCCATTGGAGTACTCCGCCGATCTGTCGCTTAATATGGCCTGAGAGATTCAGTTGATTGGACCCTCAATGAGATTTTGTATAGACACCCGGGTCTCCCCGCGAGTCACTCCATGTTCCCGGGCCGTCTCCATCGCTCCCTCGCTCCCTCGCATACTCCGCACCGTACCTTCAGGAACAAAATGCTTGCGAGCGATACAATCGTGTTGATTGCTGATCGTTGTTCCTTGTTCGCCCTGTTATGTTGGCTACTGGAATAGACAACTGCCAGCTGGTGCTATGTCTATGAGTTCGGTATGTTCATAGCATGGGCGTCTTGGATTCGCCGAGGTGCAGCGATTAGCAATCGATTATAGTAATCTAGCCTCACGCTAAATCGTGGACCTGAAATTGCGAGGCATCTTTGCGGTCTTGCCGGTCTCACCGATCCGACGCCAACACGTGACTCTGGCCTCGCTTACTAAGTGCAGCACAAATTTGTGACGTGTTTGTTGCAACCTGAACGAAAAGGCCGAGGCGACTTGCTTCGTTGACACAAATGAGCAGGACGGACACGACGGCCTTTTCTACATCCAACGACGGTTTTACCTATTTATAGGCCGACTTTCGCGGCGGTGCAACGATGAGGCGAAGTATTCCTCGGCCAACGCAGCGTATCCGTTGTCCACTCTGTCCAGTAAGGGATCCAGGGCCAGGTAGGGCAATAGGATAGGGCACCCCCCCTTAGGGAATCCCCACCCGCCACCGCCATTTTCCCTTCTAGAATCCGATCAGCAACTCATTTCCTTGGGTCGATAAGTTATCTGGTGGGAGAATCTCTCGGCCTCACAGCCATTCATGCTGGCCCCGAATCCACCGATAGTACCCGGGTTCCCGGCCCGGTCGCCTGCTATTGGCCGGCACCGCCGAGTGCTCCATGTGCAGAATCGCTGGTCAATCCATCGATGGAGACCCCGTATACTAATAGGAGGGAGTAAATAATGCGTAGTCGGACTGCGGGTATTGTGGGAATTGGGCGTCATTGATCTACTGCTCGTTTCAACCGTTACTCATATAGCCCCTCACTGATCTGTCCTCGCTCCTTTATCTCTATCAGTTCTCATCTTTCACTCCTTTCCGCATACTATTCAGCGCAAGGTGAGTTCCGTTCCAGCCCAGTCCATGACGACCGCAATAATTAACGGAATTTAGATTTCATTTGTTGATTTATACGACATTTTCGAGTCATTCCCAGGGGTTTCCCCTAATTCAGACGTTCTCTCCCGGCAACACCTGGAATGACCGCATGGTATCAACCATCATGGCACAAGATCTGGACGTCAAGTCGGCGCTGCGCTTCAACATGCGCAGGAACCGACTTGCAGAGTGCTTGACTGCGGATGCTTTGATTGCTGCAGGCTCGGCAACATTGGTCACCCCTTCGGTCATGATCCTGGATCGGTATGTCGTTCAGATCATCCACTGAGCCCACTTACTGACATGCACAGCCTCGTGGTTGAAAAGTCATCTCACAACCAACCTCTTCTCCCCGCATTCCGCAGGCATCTATGGGCCTCCATCACGCAGCCTGCGACTTTCCTTACGTCCCGACCCAGCTTGCTAGTTTGGTCCCTTTACGCTGCGACCTTTGCAACGGCAAATGCCACCGAGACCATCCTCGAGCGGGTATACCCTCATGTCGATCAAGCTATCGCGGGTGCTAGCACGTTCCTTTCCACATTTGTCGTCAACTCCTCAGTCGGCATTTGGAAGGACATCAAGTTCGCTCAGCTGTTCGGCCACAAACACACCACACCTCCTAACCCTAAGTCGTCCACGGCCTCAGCCACCTCCCCACCCTCACAGAGCAAGATCCTCCGCTCCGTGAGCCGATCCATCCCCGTATCGACCTATTCCGCATTTCTTATCCGCGACGGCCTCACGATCTTCGGCTCCTTCAGTCTCCCCGCCATGGTCTCGGCCTCTATCCCGGACTCCGTCGCCTCTGCTGGATACCTCAAGATCCTTATCGCGCAACTCGCCATTCCCGCATCCATCCAACTCATCAGCACCCCCATCCACCTCCTCGGTCTAGACCTCTACAACCGCCCCACGCCCCTCCCCGCCCAAGACCGTCTGTCCAGAGTCAGCCGGGACTGGATTGGCGCATCCCTCACTCGCATGTGTCGCATCATCCCAGCGTTCGGACTCGGCGGGTTCGTGAACACGGAAGGCCGGGCCTACCTTCACGATAAACTGCGGCGGTGCGGGGAGGAGTGAGCAATGGAAGGTGGCGGAATCGGTTTATCAGTGGATCCCGCAAGCCTAAAGAAACAGCGGATCCACTCACTTTCCCCCTTCCAGACCGCCAACTGGTGCCTTACGGAAACAGTTGGGTCTGGTACCTAGGGCTATGCTGCTGGGTTGCCCTATTTGCCCTACCCGATCGGGCTAGGTGTCACCCCCCCACCACGCGCCCTGACCGGGCCGGTTGCCTGCCGGGCTGCAGCCCTCCGGCTCGGATGAGGACGAGGACTGACTGGACTACAACACGACACGACACGTACGGACTACGGAGTACGCGGGTAGAGACGGCGGTTTTGCTCGGTTGCAACTGTACATATCCATGACGACTGGGAACTGCTTGGCGGTTCCCACGATGCTCGATCAGCGGTCGACTACTTGACTCGACCCCGACGAGGTACATATACATACACATAGACGAGATAAGATATCCCACGTTTAGATTATGAAGCGTACAGCTATCATCAATGAATTATTGATCCAAATTTGCCACTTCGAGAAGAGCATCGGCTGAACGTGCTCTTTTTCCGCATTCGGGATTAAACTTTCGGCAGATCTACCCCACGTTGGTTATCTGCCTGAGGCAACATAGCCTAGTCGTTCATAGACCGGCTTTATGAACAGGGCATAACCTGTCCGTCAACCGCACCATCAGGGCTGGTTTGTTCCAGATCGTATACACTTCCTCGTCATTTCACTTTCCGGGCAAAGCTCCATGTCAAAGTTGAACACCAATTTTGACAAGGTAAGGCGAGCCTCCAAGTATGCAAGGCTGGCCAGAGATTAGCAGGATTGAAGATGAAATGAGACAGAAAACGGCCAAGCATACCTCTTGCCTAGGCAATTCCTTGGTCCCAAGCCGAATGGCTGCAGCGCATCTTTCTTATCCGAGTCGAATCAACGGTCGGTTCCTAACCATCGCTCGGGGATGAATTGTTCCGGTAGTTTGAAGTTCGCAGCGGAATGGTTTGTAGCATATTGGTGGCCGGAAACGGTTATCTGGAGATTGTTAGATCGAGGGTATATGGCTATTCGAGACGAAATGAAGACAAATGCATCTTGGGGGAGGAAACGACCGTTAACGATTGCTCCCTCCTTGGGGACCAGCCGCGGTAGACCAGCAGCCGCGGGTGGATATAGTCGAAGAGACTCTTCAATAACGGCATTCAAGTACGTGAGACGGTTGCATTGTGGCGAGACGATTTGATCATCCGTTGAGAACTCGGTGCGGACCTCCCTGCATAGTCGGTCCAAGCAGTCACGATTTTTGCAAAGGTAGTAAACGCACCCACAAAGCAGTGATGCCGTTGTCTCGCTTCCTGCTATGGAAATGCTAAATTCATTAGTTCCCTATCATATTTCTCGCACAGAAGCATGCCATACAAAGAGGAATTCGCATAAAGCTCAGCTCTAGTCATAGTCAGCTGTCCTGCGATGGCTTTGGCGCCGGGTTCGTGGACCCCATGCGTCGAAACAACAGCCATAAAGTCTTCGTGATCCGATCCTTTCTCAAGCCGACGATCTGCCTTCTGGGAACTATAGTCAAAGTGCCTGAGCATTTTCCGCCGCAATGACTCCGGAAAGACAGCCTCTAGGAGCTGCCGAAACATAGAAAAACGATTCATTGCAGAGAGGACCGTCATCCCCTTTACGCTGTCGAAGATGAGAGCAATCCACGGATGCAAGTGACTATTCTGCAGACAGTCAAAAGGTTCAGAAAACATAATCTGGCCCGTGATGTCAAAGGTGGTGAAGTTAAACCAGGCTTTCATGTCCACTTTCGCCCCATGCTTTTCATCCTTTATCTGACCTCGCAGTCGCTGCACGAGAAGGCTAACGAAATAGACAATCGTCGCTTCCTGTTTCCGGAGGTATCATTCAGAAAACACGCGTGAGAGCAATCGCCTCTGCCTGGTATGTGCTTCATCATCGAGGTTTCCGGCAACACACTCGTCAATCCTGTTGAGTTTTGAGGCGTAAAACTTCGGGTCCTTGGGAAACTGCGGTTGGCCTGGGCGAGATGCATAGATATCCTGGAAGGCCTGCGGGCTGTTGAAGGAAAGTTCGCGGGGACCGACTCGCAGAGCAGGACCATACTGACTATGAAGCTCGAGGATCTTGATGTGGCTGCGGCCCCGCGTGATGCTTATTAGATAGGGTATGTTCGATATAGCCCATAGTTTTGGGCCTGGATATGGCGCCAGCGGGGATAGAAATAGGTTGTAAATAATACTATATGACATAAATAAAACCGTCTGGTTGGCGACCGCCTCTGTTAGCGTGGATGAAGGTGTACATTGATACAAGCTAGACTTACTACAACGAATATACCAATAAATAATCGGTAGCTATTAGAGACTTTGTATGCTGCAATCTTGATATCTCCAACTATTTCGAAAGTCATTGTGGTGTGTGGATAGAAATTGATCGTGTACAGAACTTGACTGTACTAGCATATGTGAAATCTTCAACAGAGTGTCAAGATTGCCTAGATACATAGTAGATAAGATTCACATTCAATTAAAGGCGCTTGCTTTGGTATTTTAAATTAATGACGCGAAGGAATGTTCTAGGGGGTAGAGATTGTGTCTGCCTGCATCTACACCTCAATCAGCTTAATATGCGACAGTGTAACACACCACGAATTTGGCCAGAAGAATGACGTCAAGCAAGGGATCACCGGGCAGCTTCCCTACCCAACAGATTTCATATCTTGCAATAAGACTTTTGGAGCGGTGGAAAAAACCCCCTTTTTCCAGCTTTTTTGTATTATTGGCAGACCCAATCAACCGGAAACAGACAAGTTTTCAATTCAATTTACACAGGTATGCTGAATTGTTTTCTGCATTTATACCTAAATATCTCGCACTGTGCTAAGAGACGCAAATGCGAGACGTTTAAGATTACTGTCTTTTATGTGGATTATATCACAAGGGACGAATATGATGTATTGCAGGATGAAGATGGTGTATTTGAATGGAGAGTTCAATTAGATTTGAATATTCAAGTTGGATACTGCAGGCAGAGACTTTAGGGGTATTTTTACTCTGTCCTCGGTGCTCCAGTACCAACGTCATTCAACACCTTCTTAAGCTGGAAAGATGCATCACAAAGAAGCAAGGGCATATCAGTCCGAGCAGTATTAAACCAGAGCAAGTAAGATTGCCGCATTCTATAATGTACATCTAAGGCAGACAAAATCCCCATCATGTAACACAGTATCATAGTATGTTAGGAAATATTTGGGCTCAGTACGAAATTAGAGCCATACTTTTAGCACTAATCAAGGTAGAAGTCAAACATCTCGTCCATGTTACATGTAGATCATCAAGACTTCCCCGATACCAACAGGACTCTAGCCCAAAACACAATAGAGTCTTTATAGTGTAGATACATACTATATACGGGGCAGTGGGATGGGCTACGGTGTTGTCATCCAGTCTTGAATGTGGTCACACGATTTACATTCTGGTTACGCACTATCTGCAGTGTGGTCGTATAGTATGTGGTGTGTTCATAAGGTTTGAAGTGTGGCTACATGATCTACAGTCTTTACTACATCGCGCTGCTCGCAGGTGAAAATGAGTTACATCAGCTATTATGTTTCTGAATGATAAAAGAGCAGTTTTTCTGATCGTAGGCGCGAGAGAAACAGTATATTCAATCCACAAAGCCCGAGCTCTTACAACCGTGTCCGAACCGATTTGATCAAACCGCATCTATTCCACAACAACTGGGACAGAAGTCTCCAGCAGCAAGATGCACGATATGGCCATTACTCCCGCTACGCTGATGGGAACCAAAGCTTCCTGTTCAAGTATGAAAGAGCGTTCTTCTGCGCCTTCTCGAATGGATATCTACCATTCTGCTATGAAGCTACCGTCCGACAATAGCACCACGCCAACTGCGCAACAAGTGTACGAAATGTGGACAGATAGATGGCTTAGCCTTGGATCAAGGGGTGTTGATTCCCATGAAAATGAAGCACCGACAGACGCAGTGAGCGTGAGACAGGCGCAGTGGAGTGTCTTTGCCGATGGCTACGCAATCCTCATAATGGCAATATCTTTAAACAACGTCTCTTTGCAAGGGAATGCTCACGAGTTGTTTCCTTATTTTAGTTCAGGGGACCATTTATCGAACCAATCAAGACATCTGTTCAGGCAGAATGATAGGAAGAATGATTAAAAAAGGTGGTGTTTGCGAAATGAGCTTCTGTGGGACGTGCTGCTTTGGTTATGAGATTTCCCAGCATATCGAAATAAAGATGTGGGACATCTGTGCTGCATGGGTAAGACGCGACGGCTCCTTTATGAATATCGCTTCATTGGCTGCATTTTGCTATGTCTTCGAAATTCTATCCCGAGTATGATATCTGAAAAATGACAGAAAACCGTCACAAAGTAGCAAACTAACCAAAGGGACAAGAAGGACTAGGACATGAAGCCCCCTGGAGGCGTTCTGGAAATGCTTGATTCGGCTGTCGGTGAATTAAGACGGCGTTGGATTCCACCATTCGACAAATCGCTTAGACATTTTAACAATGTGTCTAATCTGAAGAATAGATGCACCTGACTAAAAAGCCTAGGCGCTGGTGTTCGCCGTCTTGCCGGCCTCGAGACTTATGTTTTGGGAAATCATCGTGTTGGCTTCGGAAAAGATGGTTTTCTTTCGAATAATTCGGCGAAATCATCTGGAACATTCGAAGCGACATGTTTCAACTCAAGAGGCAAAGGATCTGCACTGGTTTGAAATGCGTTATATGAGTGCGGACATTCGCGGACATTTATCCAGGACCTGACTTTGCCCGTTTTTGTATTGTCATTGCTCATTTTCAGGTCGCCATGGCGTCCTGCTGTGGGTAGAATCTGTTTTTCCGATCTTTCTTATCGTATGTGCACTCATCATCGGCTATCGCTTCCACGGGATCTAGACGATCGAAGGCGCAGCGAAACGGGCCCGTATTGAGGATAGTTCTCCAGATTCGCGTAGAGCCTAGGGCGTTGAAACATGTGATTGCCTCGCACTTAAAGGCAAGAACGAGGAGGCGTGTCAATTTGTCAAAACGCCCGAGGGCAGAAGATAATATAAGGACCTGCGAATTTATTTCCAACTTGGGTCTAACGCTAGGGCCGGGAGTATCCCGCTGCCTGGATTACTCCTTGCACGAGGCAGACGCAGCCAAGGTATGCTCAGTTCCTTGAGGTCAAGGCGAAGGATGGTATCGCCTTGAAGTCTCCCATAAAATTGAAACTCTGGTGCTCATCGAGACAGCAATCTTGGAAAGTATGCTGTCCTGATTGTATCTTTGTCCGAGTAGCGGATTCCAGCCTGAATTTGCGAAATATACAGCCACAGCGTCTGATCTTTCTTGACAAGCTAGTTCAACTCAGTAGGATGTTTGTAGAGCAGCTTCAAGTAAAGTTAGTGGAAGCGAACATCGAGCTTATACAACAAAACAGATAAGGTACTACTCACTAAATAAAGGCGTGCTTTTGCCGAAGAGGTTTGGCCCAGCATTTCCGTCCAGGATGCTTTCAACAACCAAGGGTCAAGAAGAAGTTCCTGAGCACGGAGTACTTCTTCCATATCCTCCAAAGCCTTTTCCACAATTTGGAATGAGATCCCATTTCCTGTTCCTACGATGTACTGGCTGAAAACAGGGCTTGCCGGTGGAACCTAAGGCTGGAGGCCCAAGGTATTTGGTTGGCAGGAAATGAACTTCGTCAGAAAGGGTTGGCCACGTGTAAATCAGAACTGAGGAGATATGTAATGCGATGATCATCCAAATGATTTAGAAGCGGTAAGTGGGGATCTGAAAGAATTAGGAAAACGCCAAGGAGCAAGGCCAGTCGGATATCGAATGGCGGAAGGATTTTGTGTGCGATAAAAGAGGAACACAGTTGTGTGAGGCTGTGTCCGAAATATAAAATCTCAAGATAGACCTCTTGTCAAGATGAGGAAGATGTAGGAACGATGGTTGGGAGAGAGGATCTAGGTGGATGAAAGGGCTACTTGTAAGGGGGATTTTAGAGCGATGAATTTGCTTGGTAGTATAGATAGGGAATATATTTGACAGTATAAGTTACCGATTGCAAGATGTGAATGGGAATGGTGAATATTCGGGGACTTGTGGTGACAAAAGGTTAGGCTTGGGTGAATATTCAGCTGGTTGTAGATATCTGTAAGTCTGTCCTTGGAGATTCCATCTTCCAAAGGATAGGAGCTGAGCAGGTATCTATAACTGAAATGGATGTTTCTTCGAAGGTTCATACAGTATTTCATAAGCCTGGCTTGTGCTGAACCGACTTTCGTGTCCTGCTATATTATCTTGCCAATCGGGGTGCCGTATAGGGCAAGCTCAGACAAGGTTATTGTCTTAGAGGAGGAACATGTGGACGGATTCTCAACTGTAGATGTTTTACTTTTTTTAGCATTTGATTTGGTATCAATATGGCATTTCCTGGTGATATCTGGAAAAGGACAATCCTACAAATCAACCGTTAAACTGTACGAGCGTTTGGTCAAAGTCTGTATACGGAAAAGCGTCTTGACCACGATCTTGACTTAATCAGGCCAAGCACGTGGTGTCCCCTGCCCTAGACAGCCACGCATCACTGTCTGTTATTTCTACCATCGCTAGGATAGATAACCATTCTGAACTCAATCACAGCAGTCAAATCCCGGATAAGCCGTCCATCCAGAACAAACATATCCGACCCCGATTTGTCAGACAGATCCCACCCGAATCGATTCGCCAACAGCCGGATAACAAGCTCCCCATGTTTATCCGACACTAACGATTCCTTCAACGATCAACCAGACTCCTCGGTGGCAAAGTCCCATCACCATAGGCTCGGATAAAGCAGAGGCGTCCAACTAGCTCTCAAATACGGCATCATGATCGAATCATCCCCCGCCGATAGACATAGCCAAGCCGACCGAAGGGTCTTGGCCTGGGCGAGCTACAAAAAGCTTCTGGTCACCCCGCATCGGTCTGCGCTTCCCCGTGGGGAAGGCCCATGCTTTTGTTTGACAGGTGGTGGACAGTAGGAAGAGGAGCTTTTCCGATCATGCGTGATGGGCTTGGCTGCTGGATGGTTTATATGTAGGACATGGGAGGCGAAGATGATCTGTTTTCTGGGAAGACCTTCTGTCGCCTGTCAACTTGATCAGAGGCCTTGTCTAAATAATAGACATCGACGATATGGACACAAAGTCAAATGATATGGCGAAGCGAGGGGATGAACATGTTGAGCATGTCGAACAGCACGATGAACCGTTGAAGTCCACGACAGAATATGATCGGTTTGGATCGGCGAAGAAGACAGATCCGAAGGAAATTGCGCTGGTCAGGAAGATTGATATCTACATGATGGTATGTCCCCGCATATGGTCCAAGTATGTGATACTAATATGAACCAGCCCATTCTCTGGCTCATGTATTTTCTCAACTTCCTCGACCGAAATGCCATGGTCAATGGAAAGCTCAACAGTCTCTCGGAGGACCTCAACTTGAAAGGAACGCAGTACAACACCTGCGTCAGCATTCTTTTTGTTGGGTAGGGTGACCCTTCATACATCTTCTTTCTCGCACTAACACTCGACCATAGATATCTACTCGGTCAAGTCCCGTCGAACATGCTGCTTAACCGCGTCAAGCCATCCCTCTACATGGCCGGCTTCATGACCGCCTGGGCCATCGTCTCCATCCTGAACTGCATCGTGAAAGACTACCACGGCCTTCTCGTCTGCCGACTCGTCCTCGGCATTGTCGAATCCCCCTTCTACCCAGGCGCCCTCTTCATGATCAGCCAATTCTACAACCGCAAAGAAGCCACCACGCGCATGGCCATCCTCTACACCGGAAACATGCTCGCCAGCGCCTTCTCGGGCCTCATCGCCGCGGGCGTCTTCGCCGGACTCGACGGCTCCCGCGGCCTCGCCGGCTGGCGCTGGCTCTTCCTCATCCAAGGCGTCGTAACCCTCGCCGTCGCTCTCGCCGCCTTCTTCCTCCTCCCCAACTCGCCCCTCCAAACGCCCTGGCTAAACGAAGAAGAGCGACGACTCGCCCACGACCGCATCGCACGCGACACCACCCAGAAACAAGAAGGCACCAGCACATGGGTCGGCCTGCGACAAGCCTGCACGGACTACCGCACGTGGATCTTCGCTCTCATGTGCAACCTGCATCTCTCGGCCAACGGGTTCAAGAACTTCATGCCCACGGTCGTCAAAACTCTCGGCTTCAACTCCACCGTTACCCTCGTCCTCACCTGCCCGCCCTACCTCATCGCTACCTTTACCTCCATCGCAGTCTCCTGGTCCTCGGGCCGCTTCAACGAACGAACCTGGCACGTCACTGTCTCCAAAGCGCTCGCAATCGTCGGATTCGCCGTCGCATGCGGCACACTGAACGTCGGCGCGCGGTACTTCGCCATGGTCCTCTTCGTGGGGGCTACATACGGCGTCAACAATATCAACATCGCCTGGGTCGCCGCGACCGTGGGACAAACGGACGAGAAGAAAGCCGTGGCGATCGCGCTGACCAACACGCTGGGGAACCTGGCCAGTGTGTACACGCCGTATCTATGGCCGGACTCGGACGCGCCGCGATTCTCGCTGGCCATGTACTGCAGCATCGGGTTCTCGGCGGGTGTGGTGGTCTGCGCGTGGATCATGAAGTTTATTCTGATCCGGGAGAATCGGCGCATTCGGGCCATGGATTCCGAGGCGATTAACTTTTATGCCTATTGAGTGGGTCCGACCGGGGGATTTGGGAGATACTATGATTTATGTCAGTTTGTTATGAATTAATTGGAGTTAGGTTTGGGTTTATGATTTATTGTGTTGATTAGCTTTGGGGTCAATGATGAAACAGTTTATTGGGCAACATAGATTTCCAAGTACTGAGTACACATTGGTGAATCTTTTTTTTCTCTATATCACCGAGGAAAAAGGGCAACAATGAAGAGGGAGAAATTGGGGATTAAGTAGAAGATTTCCACTTTTCCAAACCTTCTTTTCAATTTACCTCTTTCCCTCAATGGCTATGCAGAACGACATTCCACTCCGAATCCATCTGCCTTTATCGGGCAACTATACTATCTAATCTAATCTGATCTGATCTAATCTACACGGTTGTTTTTTTTTATAGGTGGAGAAAGCAGGCCGAAGGTCAAAATCGCAGATTGAGGGTGCCCTACCCCCCACCCAAAAAAAGGAAAAAAGGGAGGACGAAAAATAGGAAAAGGCTCTGCGAACATAAGCGAAACGCTAGTGTTCATTCTGTGCTTCAATATCAGAGGGACGTCCCGTCAACGCTACAGTTTCCTCTTCAAGGTCTGTATTCATTGTCTGGAAACATGTTTGCAATTAGCCTTTCGCATAAAAAAAGATATGGAGCCCAAAGAAAGGTCTACCTCTGCGTAGAAGAGAACACGCGTTCCAGCAACTCCAGGAGTTCCCTGTCTAGATTGGGCATCGTATCTTTGCAGCAGGTTGTACAAAGGCAAGACCAGCGAGGATTGGTGACGGGCGTTTCGTTGCGGGGATGGATTGACCAACGAATAAGAATCTGGAGGCTGAGGAACGGCATCGGAGCCAACGGGAGATAGATGCAAATGTTCAGAACTAAGTTCGCGTTGGCTATCATCATGGCTTCTGTGTCGGGTATCCTGGGCTGTTAGAGGGAGGTTAATATAATGTAACTTCAACTGGTGGGTCAAGTTAAGAGGTATGCTCGAGAAAGGAATAAAGGCAAAACTGGACCTTGATGCCGATTCCACCATCGACGAATCTGGTCTCGGCGGTTGAGTACAAAGAAAAGACCAGGGAAACACGAAACGAAAAGAGCGAACAAGGCAATAACAGCCTCAGGTGATAATGACATTCTGGGGGAAAGTCAAAGGATATCGTTCTTTCTAGAGCTCGGTCATAATCCTGAAAATATACTAGGTAAATATGATACTTGAATATGAGAGGCAATCTGATCTCTAAACTCGAGTGCCAAGTTTAAGGAACAAGCGACGAAAAGAAAGACAACCGTAAAGGAATATACCTACAGAGTGCCCTGCCTTAGAGCTAATGCACAGGCACGGACTTGGCGTTTTGGCCCAATCAACGCATCTAGTACCTCTTCTGTAACCCCAGCGGCAACCAATCATAGGGGACGACTTGGTGTTAATATTATTGCGGTCAACCATTTAACTCGAAGCTAATTCTATAGCACAGATAATTGGTCACAAGGCGAGGCTTCCGTCGGTCCGGTGCAGGTTGGAGCTTTTGTCAATGCAACCCGATTGGTGCGCCTGTTAAATCCAGTTTTACGGAAGCTCAGGTTAAGCCACAAGGGGCCGCCCATCCAGGACTTGTGATAAAAAAGAAGAGTTGATTGTTTGGGCTGTCAGGCCTTCTGTTCTTTGACATCACCATTGCCTAACCCAACCAGCGTACGTTCTATACTTCATCCAGTTCAAAGATTTGTGAAGAGTAAGGTAAACCATGTAGTAAATAGACAGGCACGACTCTCCTTTCGTACTAGTCGATATTTACTTTTTCCGAGTCATGTTCTGAGTCCTTTACGTATATTGTAGAGGCTCAGCTATTTCTTTAGTAGTGAGTTGTCTACCGTTGCTGGTTCTAGTCTGGTTATAAATATCGCACTTTCAAGTGCAAGGCGTGAGTAATTATAATGAATTGAATTCAATCGAGCATAAGCACATTACCTGGGGACTGCTACATACTACATTAGGTAGAACCTTCATGGTCCCATGCTAAATATAGTAGGTATCATACTTATCAGTCTTGAACAGTGGTAAATAATAGATATACATGTGTAAACCATCGCTGAATGGGAGATTCGCAAAAGAAAAAAACAAGAAAACAAAAGAGAACAAAAAGGCAAAGACGAAAAGGCAAAAAAGAGGCCGAAAACACGCGGGAACCATGGATTGGCTGTAAAGAATGGGTATAAAGTGACGCCTTTGGGGAAAATACCAGACCAGTCTCCCATTTAAAAGTCGCTTCCACATAATGATACTACTGAATTCACAAGTCGGCGATCACGTCAAAGTTAACTTTTAAAAAACATAGTTTATCCCAACAGAATTGCGAATACAATCAAAGCATTGATTGGGGACTATACTCTGGATGGCAAATTTGAAGGTCCTAATTCAATGTATAAGGCATTCAATAATAGTGGGACCTTTATCTTTTCACATTACCACCTTATAACACTCTAAGTTATTAATGACTGCGAAAGTCAGTGATTATAACAAAGGACCTTTGAATTACCCATATGCTAGAATATAAATTTTAAAGAATCTTCATATTACAGACGGCCTACGAAAGTAAAGTGTAGCTAGATATGAAACTTGTAAGGATGTAGAGTTAGAAATCAAGGACACATATATTTTTACCAGAAAGTAAAACTAAAGAATGATGAAAAGAACGCCTGTCAATGCCGGAATTCCTTCTATACTCTCTGTATTCATGGTGTAAGGGGATCCTTTACTGTAACTATAGTATTCGAAAAGGTCCCACAAGTCAATGAAAGTGGACCACGATAAGTCAAGGAAAGCGAGAGTGGAAATGACTTTCTCATGAACAAAGGGATGATGGGATAGCGACCTTCTCGCTACAAGTGGTGATGGAGACCTAGAAAGGCCGTAAACCAAACGTAATCAAGTAAGCAGGTAACTCTAATTGTAGATGACAGATTAGACTTCTACTCCGAGTTGGTCAAAGAGGGAGAAAAAAAAAGCAGAGTTTGGGTCGTTATTTTTCTTTGTTCGCTGCCCTTTTCTTTCACCCCCTCCTTCGAAGTCTTCGGCTAGCAATGAATGCACGTTTCAATTATTACAGGTGTTGGTTCTTTAAACTGCATACAGCATATTTGCCGGGAGTTACACAAACACCAGTACATCCGCCTTGAATCACTTCTATATGCAGTTCGCCGGGGTCGAGTGTTGATGCCACCGCAGTACGCAGCCAGAATAGTAAGATACCATGGTCTTACAATCATTGCCCAAAAGAGTGATCTTCGCCATCGCCTTTGCGCTAATGGTGATGGTCATGCTATTCCAGCTTCCTATCGGCCGCGTGTATCATCTATGTGGTCCATCGCATTCCTCAGACCTCGACGACACGACCCAACCCATCGACTGGTCTCGTTTTGCATACGTGCAATATGTTACCAACACGCCTTACTTGTGCAATTCAGTCATGCTTTTCGAGACCCTTCATCGCCTGGGAAGCAAGCCCGACCGTTTGATGATGTACCCTGCCAGTTTCTCTGAAGACGCGCGAGACGATTCGACCCAGAGCCGTCTGCTTCGCAAGGCGAGGGATGAATACGGGGTGACTTTGATGCCCATAGAAGTGCAAAGCCGGAACAGTGGTGATCGTGAGTCTTCCTTTTACTACAGGCCCTTTCTCCATCACGTGGCATGAACCACCCAACTAATGCAGTACCGAGCTCAGGCACCTGGGCTGAGAGCTATACCAAACTTCTAGCTTTCAACCAGACACAGTACGACCGTGTTCTCTCCTTGGACTCAGACGCCACTATCCTACAGGTATGCTGATCCTGATGGCAAGGAATTATTCGACACTTTCATCGTGCTGACACACTCTTCTAGACCATGGACGAACTGTTCCTCGCTCCCCCGTCCCCTGTCGCCATGCCCCGGGCTTACTGGCTTAATTTCAACGACCACACCCTCAGCTCGCAGGTAGTACTTATCCAACCGTCCGATTTCGAGTTCACTCGCATCATGAAAGCCATCGACGAGGCGGGAAAGAATGACTATGACATGGAGATCTTAAATTCACTATATCGCGATAGCGCTCTTATCTTGCCCCATCGGCCGTATGGGCTCTTGACGGGTGAGTTCAGGTCAAAAAGACATACGGATTATTTAGGGAATCCGCTTGAGCCGTGGGATCCGGTGAAGACGTTCCGAGAGGCCAAATATTTGCATTTTTCGGACTGGCCGGTTCCAAAGGTTTGTCTTGTTGTTTTCCCTCCCCTTTTCAGCGGAAGAATAGTTCAATATTGACGACTGGCTCATTAGCCCTGGATTGCTGCCAGCCCGAACACCATTCAAGAGAAACAACCTACCTGCGACATGAACCCGCAGACCGGCGTGGAGGATGATTGTCGGGCTCGGGATATCTGGGTGGGAGTATATGCCGACTTTGCAGAGCGGCGGAAGGTTCGTCAAATAGTCTGTTTGATGCTTGTTAGCCATCCGTATGAATTCGCTGACCGTAAGCACCTAGAATATATGTGCCATGGAAATCATGAGCAAAAGGAATAGCCTTTCCGATCGTCGCCCTGAACCACCAGATTCGTACGAATTCATAATTTGAACCTTTGGGCAGGTTTCTGTTTCGAATCCGGCGGTTTGATCAGATCGAGGAATAAGTGATCCCCTGTAGCCTATCAATACTAGGTCTTATATATAGATAGATGCGTTGACCTCTTTTTTGGAGCAATCGGAGACGCTTTTTGTGGGCTAGGCGCATTGTGTGGCTTTTATCATCTGTTTAAAGTGTGTATATATACCGAGAGAGGGAGGAATGGCTGTATTATTCCAGAATATTAGCACCTCTTAGAGCTCTCCCTGGGTCACCAACGGCGAGGCATACCTTGTCTACCATAGGCAACCGCATGAGACATTCAAGGTCGAGAAAGCCAGATTGTCATGAGCAAAAATCCTCATGGTGGCACTATCACTAACATAAAGCCCGCGCTCCCAAAATAAACCCACCTTATCTCAAACACCGTAAGCTGACATTGACAGCCCACGGATCGCCCCCGCCCGCGGATCCCTCAACCACCTCCCATGGCATTTCCCCTTTCCGGCTGGGTCGCACCAGAGACCGATTAACGATAACGTTTCAGGGTCCCCTGGGGCGGTTTGAACTTTATTTGAGCTTCGTATTGCTGACAGATCTCTTCCCTCTATGTTTTCACGATTTACTGTTCCCGGCTAGTCCTGGCTTGGTTTGTCGGATCTGTAAGTTGGTCGAGGTCTCGCTGGTGAGGGCGGAATTTGACCGGCGCGGAGATTCCGCTCTTACTTAAGCTTTTAATATACTGCTTATGCCACGTTTTGGTGAGATCGGATGGTGTCTTATCTGCACTTATGGTCACTGGAATGCCAAGGTTAGAGGGCCCGGTGATTTCTTTTTCGGGGGTTTGGTACCGACGAGAACGGGCGATGTAGAGGAAAGATGTAGAGGAAAGATGTAGAGAGCGTTTGTGCACTGTGCTCGTGAAGGAATCCTGGTGCTGGATTCGAACAGCCACTGGTTTCAATGTCGGTCATGAGGATTTGGTTGTTGGATCCTGAGCTTGGCTATTCATCATCTTGTCGCGAACAAGGTGAAATGGTAGGCAAGTAGAGCAAGGAGGAAAAGTATAAAGCAGCCTCATTATCTCCTCTAGACTTGAATATCAGATCAACAACAAAAACATTCTCTATTCTCACATCCTCTCTCAGAAGACCACTCCGCCTCCAAACAAACAAACAACTCAACCACGTCAATCAACTCAATCAACCCTCAAAATGAGATACCCAACCTACATTTCAATCCTCCTTGCCGTTCTCGCGCTCGGTGTTAGCGCCTCCCCCGTCGCACAGGACGGATCCGACGTCCCTGACCCCGGCCACGGACAGGAACCAGGCCAGGGTGGTGGTGAGGGTGATGGCGATGGCGATCGTCCTGCAGTGACCGATCTGGCGGGTTTGATTCGGACAGCTGTTCACGCGATGCCGACCGCCTTTCCATGGAGAAACGGTGCTTGATGATGGTCGACTTGATGAGGCAGCGCCTTGTCAGTAACCTGCGACAACTGAGCTGGATGATATCGATGATGGTAAATTCGAAGTTAGATGGGTTGTGGTGCGAATGGTGGATGATGATTGAGAGACGGGATGCGGCGGATGCGGTGCGATATGTCGAAGATAGGATCTTGGAGGAGGGATTTATCTGTGAGGGAGAGCTGGTTGATTGTTTTGATGTTTCTGCTGATTATATACTGTTTGTATTCTTTTGCAAGGAGGGGAAGATGTTGAGTTGTAATTGATCGCATATCTTTCATTCGTCTCATTAATAATTCCTGCAATAATTCAAATCAGCACCCATTCTAACCCAAGAGACAATCAATCGACTCACCATATAAGCAGATTCTCTAACGCCCCCATAACATATAAAATCAAATGATCAATACCTCGACCCACTCCCCGTCTCCGGATCTACAGACCCACCACATTAGCATCTCCCCAGAAGACCCAACGAATGGGAAAAGAAAAACCTACATCCTCCCTCGACATCCCGATTCGCATTATAATGGTGCCCACCCCGCGACTCCCTCTGAAACCTGTCTAGATTCTTCAACCTCACCGAGCGCATGTAGAGTTCCTGGTCGCGCGGATAATTACATCGATCCTCGGTGTGGTAGGGAAACCATTGTTTCGTGAGGGCAGCGCCGAGTGAGACGGCGGCGAGACAGGCGACGACGACAATGACGATGATGGCTGCGGTGGGGATGCCCATTTGGTCGGTTGGGTTTCTCGAGCTGAGATTGCGGGGTAGAGTTGGATGCGATTCTGGGGTGGTCGGTGGCTGTGGTGGGGCGAGAGGAGATGAGATCGGATGAGATGGGATCGAGTCGGAGGTTTTATGCGCTGGATAGGTAGGCAGGTAGGATGTAAGATGGTGTGTGCTGTGCTTTGTTGGCAGATTTGGCTCTCGTGTCACCTAGTAATCGCTCGATAGGTAGATGAATAAATAGATGGAGATGAGCAGGGATGATGGCATCGCGGATGAGCAGAAGGAAGATGGATTGTTGACGGAGATGGAAAGGAGGAAGTGACGAAATGAGAATAAAGAAGAAGAAGAAGAAGATATCCGTGGGATCCGCAGAGAAGCAGTGCTATGTCAAGTGATCGCTTTCGAGCGGGGAATTCCACGCTGGTTGATTGGCGCCGGACGGTTGCACAGCAGGCGTCGTGCGTGGCGGTGTTGCGGCGATGTCTCGCTGGCAGTTGACGGTCCTTGAATGGGATGTTCCGTCAGTTTACAGGGTTCAATTGCCTAAAAGTACAATTGCAGTGGCATGTTGATCCTGTCATTGGTGCCAGAGAGTGTCTAGGCCCCAAAGCTTGGGTGCTACCTATAGTTGCGATCATTGTCAAAAAATGAATTTCTAAGCTATTCAACCAATAACCAGCCTGGAGTACAGTTAGTCCGATCGACACGAAACAAGCCGATCTGAAAACAGCCAGTCAGCGACATGCAAATCCACCCCTCGCATCAGATCTGCGTCCTCAGGCAACCACATTTTGAGCTTTCGTCTCTCTCTTCCTCAGAACAACCATCAGTTTCCCAATACTGAGGATGAAGTTATCCATCGCGTCTTCTTCAAACTGTCGTGGATTTTCGCCAGGAGCAAACTCGAAATCGAATTGCGTGACGAGTCGCGCAATGGTCGTTCGAAGATTCATCAGCGCGAGCGGTTTGCCGATGCAACCAGCTGGCCCTGTCATAATCGATATTCTTAGTTACACGCTAAGATAAGAGAAACGGAGCCATGAACGGTTCCTACCAATCGAGAACGGCGCATAGCCCGTTTTATCGCGGACCAGCTCCGGCGAGCGATACCATCGCTCGGGGATAAAGGAGTTCGGGTTAACGAAACATCGCTCCGCTATCGTGCGTTAGCAGCATCGAAAAATTGAAAATGTACGACAGAAAATAAGAGCCAAAGACATACATCTCCCGAGCACATACTGCGGACACATGACCGTCATGTCCCCGGGAATCCACACTCCCTCGACACGGATCCCCTCTGGCGGCGTCTTCCGATGCATGTGGCTCGGTACGACGGGATGCAGGCGCAAAGCTTCATTAATCACTCCATTCAGATGTGGAAGATGCTGGATTTTGATGGTCTGGAAGTCCCCATCTTTTTCAACGTGCGGTGCCAGTTCGGTGCGCAACTTGGTGATCTCGGCAGGGTTGTGCAGCAGCTCATAGAAAGTCCCCGTAAGCGCAGTAGAGCTGGTTTCGCTTCCCGCCCCTATGATCAGGCGGGAGTCGCCTCCGAGCAGTAGCAGGTCCTCCTCGGTGGGTTCGCGACCGTCGAGATAGGAGATGAGTGCGGCACTTATGTCGGGAATCGAAGGGGGATTCTGGGGATGACGATGGTAAGTCAGGTATGTTCAGCCAGCAGAAAACTACAAAAAAAATCAAGAAAGAAGGAGAGGGAACGAAATGGAGAGGAACTGGGAGTCTGAGAAAGGTTACCTCGATGCGACGATTCAACCTCGCGGTGGACCAATCCAAAATATCAAACCAAGGGCCCATAGCACCCGGTATACGAGTAATAAGACAAAGAGCCCACACCGGCAAACACAAGCCCACAAAGTACAACGCCGAGGTCATCAACTCGATCTGAGGAACGTGTTCCCCGCGCTCAATGCCTCCGAACCCCTCTCCAAATGCCATATCACCCATCACGTCGAAGGTATACAGACTGAACCATTTGGCCATATCGATCGGCTCGCCAGCCATCCCGACTAAGCGATCGAGGAATCTCTGGCGATAGGGGCGCATGCGCACCTCGTATCCGCGCAGCTGGCTGTCACCGAACGCAGGGCTCCAGGCACGCCGCCGGATACGATGCTCCGTTGGATCACGCATCGACTCGAGGGAGGTTGTGGGGTAAGTCATGTCGTACCAGGAGCCTTTTGTGCAACGGGTGTTGGGGCCGTAGATAATGGGGACGGCGCTGGGGTGGATGATGGAGAGATCTGAGGAGCCGACGCGAACAATCGGCCCGTACTTTTTGTGCAGAGCGACAAGTTTGCGGTGGGCATCGTGTTTGGGGAGCTGCGTAGGGAGCCATAAGTTAGAGATGCGCGCGCCGATCGGACCAGGAAAATGCCGGAGGGGGTGGAAGAAGAGCCGGTAAGTGATGAGACTGGAGTATACACCGACTAAATAGAAGACGGCGTGTTGTAATGTTGTGGCCAGGGCTGTATTCCATGCCAGGCCCTGTTGGTACTGAAGAAAGATAAATCCGGATGCGACGGCGGCAAAGAACGTTTGCACGTAGCTCATTCCATAGAGATGGTGCTCACCTTTGTTGAAAAAGGCGATATGCGACAGTACCCCTGCCACGATGCAGAGGACTGCAGAGGGCTGCATACTCATCGTGCTTGCGTCGACAGATTAGGAGTCTTATCCTCCCTGGAGGGCCTGCATTGGATTAATATGAAATTTGCAGCGTAGTGCCAACGTTGCATTTCTGTCTGTGCAACATACGATATTTTGTCCGATAACTGGACTGTATTCAGGTAAGGTGCCACAGAAGATGCTCAATACGTTAGACGTTTACTGGCGGCAGTGAAATTGGTACTACTTCGGCTGCTAAATGGTACAATGTAATTGATCCAGTAAACCACTAGGTTCCGGTCTGTGTAGCCCTGCAGTCATTTCGGTGTTTCCCCCTAAGCCTACAAAGCATCAACGATGGCGTTGTACGCGTCCTTGGCCCCGTAGTTGCTGTCGAACAGCAAAGGGGTGCTATCAGAGCGCCACGAGTCCTAATTCCGATCAGCTAGATTCTCAATATGAACGTTCAGCTGGGGCATACCTTGTCCGACACACCCCAGACGGTAATTCCGACGCAGGCTTCCTGGTCCAAGCAGGCATTCACGACCTATTCGGTTAGCTATTGCCCCGTGTGCCCACAAGTAAAACTCACATTCAAGTAATCTTCCGAGCTGGCACCGGCAATGTCAAGCTCCGTCACGGCAACTTCGGAGACGCCGGTGGAAGCAAGTGCGTCAAGAGCTGTGTTCGAGGTCAGCTTAGATCTATCTTGAGAGATCTGGGGACTTATCCTGAAACACCGGAAGAGGGGAATCCTCCCTCGCTGGACACGGTTAGTTTTATTCCTTATGTGTGACCATTGGCCAGCCTACCTGATATGGGTTTGGGATCCTGGGCACAGTCAGCATTTTGGTCACCGATAGCTAGATGCATAACTCACCAATTCCATCAATCGGAACACCTGCATCCAGCCACTTCTTGACGTAGCTCACCATGCCCTTGGTCTTGGCATAGTCGGCCGAGTCCAAGCTGTTGTCGTTAGCTTGTGTATCACCGATTCTGTCTTTCGATTCCTCACTTGTAGTCGTTGATGTACAGCTTCGCATCCGGGTCGGCCTCGCGAGCTGTCTCAAACGCAATGCGCACAAAGTCCTCGCCGAGGACGTTCGAGAAGACGCTGTCGCGAAGAGTTCCATCTTCGTCGAGGATCTCGTTGACGACATCCTGTGTCTGTTAGATCTTTCTCGTCTTGGTGGGATTGGAAATCATACCCAGGCATAAACCTTGCCCTTGTATTGGCCCATCACTGTGTTGATGTGCTCCTTGATGACGTCCGTCAGAGTATCCTTGTCGGAGATGCTCGACACCCACGAGGGCAGCTGCGAGTGCCAGACTGTGGCTATTAGGAAATTGCAAATGATATGACGATGGGGGTACATACCGAGAGTATGACCGCGAACAAGCTTTTCATTGCTCTGCGCATAGTCGACCTGGAATTGAGTCTCGTCAGCTCCCTGCACCCGGTCATCCAGCCATTGAGAATGAATGCACAAACCAAAGCATCGGCTCCGTCCAGAGTAAAGCTCCCCTGAGTGGCTACACAATTAGCACAGACCCTCCTTTCGCGGACTGAAATACGCACGTTCCGTCGACTCCCACTTCATACTGTTCTCCGGGGTCAACTGCCCAAAGTTCGCCGCGATGATCGCCTCATTCTGGCTATTCTGCAACAAACCCTGATCAGACGCAGTACCGAAGTACTTCTTCCCATGCGACGTGAAAGCCTCATGAATGCTAGCTGACGCCTGACGAGTAATCACTCTGGCCGAGGCAATCGACGCAAGGAGGGTAATAGTACCGGCGAGGTTCTTGATGTACACCATTTTGACGAAGTCGGGGAAAACCGTCGAAAACAAGGAGGACTTGAATTGAATTGATCTAAGCTGCGATCTTGCTTCATCTGTTGCTTGAGAAAAACTGCCGACCTTTTATATTATCTGGTCTCATTACCTTCAAAAGGCACAGCTAAGGTACATCTGCCGTCTTTAGCCTGATTTCCTCCTTTCCCAACTGGGAGCGGACCTAACCGCCCCAAACCAGCGCCGTTTCAGCCAAGAAGTCTCTGCACACCGGTGTAGAAGTGACGATCGACAGCTCGGCCTACCTCTTCAATTTCATTGTTTCTGATTCCCCGCTTCACGGACGAGGCGCCGTCGGCTGAATGGTAGTTTGATGTTTTTCTACCCAGGAGGTTCTGCAGAGAGTGATTTTGCAGCGGAGTATGGGTAATAGGATAAACGGACTTTTCCTGGATACAGCTTGACAGGTAGTTAGTATGTAGTCTTCAATTCAGGCGATTGAAAAGATATACAATTAGAGCCAAAAGGGTATATTGATTAACATCATCCGATCGATTCGGTTCTTCACCCGGAACTTTATTATCCGTTTTGGCGTCGGGAGGCACTTTCCATTCCCCGTGGCTGTCAAGCGTCAACTATTCGAATTGTGTCATAATGTTTTATATTGCTTGTGGTCCATCAAGATGCTTGGCGGCGCCTCCGCAGTTTTAATTGCAGGCGGGCTTTGGGGTCTTGGCTGCGTTGATGGGTTTGGGATAATAGTCGGAGGTGATGTTTGAGGGGTTAGCTCTTCTTTTAGGAGACTGGGTTAATTATAGAATTGGATGAATGCTTCTGAAGAATAGTTTATTAACAAGACGACTGGTTGGTTTGCGACATGCGCAGTGGCATTATTCCTGGCTCCATGGTTCTGCCTGATCCAAGGTGGTGAGGCATCAACCGTGGCCTGGTGGACCATAGTACTTCGCCTTAGAACTGTTCTTGTTAGTTTTTCAGGCTCTTTTTCTCTACTCCTCTGTTTCCCAGTCACATTCTCTTTCTCTCCCTCTTTGTTTCTTCTTTTATTTTTCGTTTTACTCTTGACAAGATGGAAACAGACGTTGACTGACGGGTACTCTCCTGGTGTTTCGAAATACATAAGTTTTTTTTTTATTTAAAAAAAGAAAAAGAAAAAAGAAAAAGAAAAAAAGAAAACGAAGATAAATCGTCGACATCCCAGACAAGGTGACCAATTGAAATAACGGACCAGAAAATTATCCAAAAATCTACTGATGATATCCCCAGTAAAAAGAGGACCATCTAGGCTCTATAAAGAAAGCAAAAACATAGAACAAATATCCCGGGCCAGCTCCGCCTCGGAAGGATCCGTGATGTGGAGACCGGAGTAGTCCGCAAGTGAAGCAACATGGCTCGTAACTCAGTCGACCTGGTAAAATATTAGAAAAAAAAGTTCATGGAACCAGTAAAACCCACAGACCTTACGCTTAATCGACTTTTGCTTGTTAGTAGAAAGTTTTCGTCGATACGAGCCCTAGAGATCGACATTCAAAGTCTGATAAATGGCAGTTTCCGGTACTGAATTTTGGTACTTTCTGAATGTTGTCGCAGGAATGCTAGGCTACTAGAGTATATTGGAGAATGATAGTACACGAAAACCTAGTTATTTATGAGAATTCTAATTCTGTTGACGCTTTCGGCTTAAGATGTCGATTGATGCTAGGGAGCTGGAGAGCTGCAGCCCAGCGAGGCTAGCCCTATAGCCTCCCCACGGGGTGGCTCCACGGGATGGCTCCAGATCGGCGAGATTGTATTACAGGTCATGCCCCTAACTCTTATAGTTATAATTAGTTCAATCTTTTCTATCATGCGAAGGACAGATCCGGGGTCTCGGAAGTATCCCGAGGGTCTTTATAGATGGATTTAATATCTAGGACCACATGTATAAAAACCATGAGATCTTTCTGCCGTGAGCCACCGTTCTGATAGTCAATTGTATACAAATCCGTTTCCAAAATGACATCCCCCTACCTCCATCCCCTCCCATCCTTATTCAACAACACCCTCGCAAAATGGGCCTACATCTCCTCCGCCGCCTTCGCCACCCTTCCGGGAACATTCAACCGCTCCGCCCTCGAGGCACCATGGGCAATAGACTCCATCTCGGATGATGGGCTCGCGCAAACATACCTCCTGCTTCCTTCTCCCCTTACCATGCATCCAAAAACTAACGCAATCCTCCCAGCCTCTCCTACCTAAACACAACCGACTTCATCGCCTACGACCCTAAATTCTTCGAACTTATCGGTCCCAACGCCACCGTCGAGCACGTCCAAAACCTCGCCTACCAGTCCCACAAAGCACCCTGCTACATCAAAGAAACCAACGAGCTGTTCTTCGTCGATTGGGGCCCACCCGGTGGCGACGACGGCGTTCACTCATGGCAGTATGTCTTAGATATCGAGACGAATGAACTGCGCAAGGTCGAGACAACTCCCCCGACGTATAATGCGCACGGATGTGTGTATTATAACCAGTCGCTGTACGTGGTTACAGATGGATACGCAGATAAAGAGTCCGGGGCGCTGGTGAAGGTCAACCCGAGGAGTTGGGAGCGTGAGACGCTGGTGAATAATTATCTGGTGCAGCCGTTCGCGGGGTTCAATGATTTGGAGATGGATCGGGAGGGGAACTTCTGGGTGACGGATTCGAAATCTGGTTGGGTAGGTCTTTCATCTTTCATCTTTCATCTTCCCCCCTTACCTTCCCCTGCCATGGAGGAGGTATATAACTAACCACGAGACGACTCCAGGGCCGAGGCATCACGACCTTCACACCCCCCACTCTCCCAAGCATCTACTTCATCGAGCACACCACCCTCCGCTCAAAGGTCGTCCAGACAACTACCGGCAACGCAAACGGCGTCGCAATCTCCCCCGACGGCAGAACCCTCTACGCTACGTCCCGGATACCGGCGTCTCGAAGTACTTTCCGCGCCGGAAGGACCCGTACGGGGAGCGCGAGCTGTGGGCGTTCGATGTGTCGGAGTCGCGATCAGTGCTGTCGAAAAAACGGCTGTTAAATAACCCGATTTCGTACTTTTATGACGGGGTGAGGGTGTCGAGGGGTGGGTGGATTTTTGCAGGCGCGGGAGACGGCGTGGATGTGATTGATCCCGAGAACGGGTTTACGGTGGGGAGTGTGAGGATGGGAGGGGGGGAGAATCTGGCGGTGAGTTTGGCGTTTGGGGAGAATGAGATTTGGATTGTGGGGAGGGGAGGAGTTTGGAGGGTGAAAGGGGTGAGGGAGAGGTTGGCGAGGGAGTGGTAGGTTGGTGAGAGTTGTGTTGTTGGTTGGGTAGTCGTTATATTAGGTAGTCTTGAGTATACGCAGTGCATCTATAAGGGTATCATCTATATAGAGGGACGGTCAGTTAACTTACGGTCAGTTCACTTGTCAAGAACTGACCAGGACCGCCGTTCTGTCCCACCCATGTCCCGTCTACTATCATCGATTTCGACCGGTTTAGGTTCCCTCTCGTCCATCAATTCAGTCCCCACCGTTGAGCCTTCTATCTCATACACGACTTTCGGCGACCCATGGACCTCTGACAGATGAGCTCCCACTGGCTCGCTAGGGTGTTGTGGAACAGTTCCCGGCGGAAGCTCTCCTGTCGTAGTAGAGTTACGCTTTCGTTTGGATCGGATGAAGAAGAAAGCCATCCCCAGGACGGCAGACACGCCTGCTACGACGCTGACGACGACTCCCGCGATAGCGCCGCCAGAGAGGCTTGATCCTGGGGACGAGGTGGAAGTGGAGGTCGACGATGAAGTGGAGGTGGGTAATGAGTTTGGAGATGCGGTCGATGTTCGATTATTCCGCTTTGCGAAGATGGCTTGAAGGTTGTCGCTGATGAAACCATCTTGAGGTTCGGAGACTGTTGCGCCGCCGGTGGTACTGTATTCGTCAGGATTAATCGTTTGAGATAAGGCAGCCCTGGAGGTAATTGGCTTACTTTCCGCCAATTACATCGGTGATCTTCGGTCCGAGAGTGTATTTTTCCATGTCGCCCGCATCATAATCGCTGCGCCAATTATGGTGGTTCAGATCGAAGATCCCGATGCCATTCGCGAACGTGCCCTGGTCACAACTGCCCGGCTTTGGCTCGTACTCGCTGTCGTCGGTCGGAACAGTGCCTCCGACAACTAACATATGATGTCCGATGACTTTGCACTGGTGCTTCACGCGCAGGTCGTTGCCACCTTTGATGCGGATCTATCGGAATGATGGGATGGAGAGGACGTAGACGTCGCCGTCGCCGTCGCCTGTTTTTAGGCCTACTCCGCCGAAAACGTATCTAGAGAATGAGCAGTTGTGATGTGAATCGAATGAGTGTCTTACATAGAAAAAGACTGGCATCATCACGCTGCATCCGGCCATTCGCCAGCTCGGGATATCGCCGGTCGTCGGCTGCGTGTACCATGTGGAGTTGGCGATGTCATACACAGTCACATTCTCCATGGGACTCTGTTGGGTGATTAGCATAGCCCCTACGGAAGAGTTTGAGCGCAACTTACATGCAACCTTTCTCTCTTCTGGTCCTGCACATGCCCATGCATCGAGAACCCGATAGGCCTTTGAAAACCCCCAAACGCCACCAACACTCCCTGCTCCCCGACCGACTCAATGAGACTCATATACCCATCTGCGATCGTCCCCCAAGTACCCACCGCCCTGCTCGACTCATTACTCCACTGCAGAGTCTCTTGGTCGAGCGTCAACAGCCCCCGAACCATGTAATTCGGGGCATTTGTTCCGTAGAGCGACGGGTTCCCTCCAGGCGTGACATAACCGCCCAGAAAATACGCCTTATTGTCGACATCCAACTGTGCCGTCAAGCTGACGCTCAGTCGCATGAAAAACGACCCGCCGAATCCCTCCTTACTCCACTCATCGCTGGCGATGTTGTACTTCCACGTCGAGAGGGATGGGGGCTCGTCTGGGCCGTTGCGCCCGCTGATATCGCCGCCGTAGAAGAAGAGGTCTGTGCCGTTGGAGAAGGATGCGCCGTTGTTCAGAACAGAAGGGTAGTCGCTGGGATGGGACTCGTTGTACGGCTTGGGGATGGAGACGAAGATGCTGGAGTCGAAGTTGGACCAGGACCGCGAGAGATCGATGGCTTGGAGATCGCGGACTATGAATTCCATGAGTTAGCTTTTGGGGTATGGGAGCGGCGATGGATTCATTACGGACTTGCGGAAGCAGTGATGGTGTCGTTTTTCTCTCTAACTCGCATTTATCCACCATCGATGTAGAGCGTTTGATTGTTTATGACCGCTGGGTTCGTTAATCTAGCGGCGCAAGCAAAAGACTGGCTGAGGTGAACACCCACCAGAGTGAAACTGCCGAGTGCAGTTTGTTTGTCCATATGCCCATGGGAGGATACCCAATATCCATATTGACGCGACAGTCCTCATGATTGGTTCAGACCAGGGGGAAAAAGAATGGCAAAAGATTAGATGTCTTTGAAACCCTTCTCTCAGGGATCATCGGGGCTCCGTGTCTGTAACATGATCGCTTGGGGTGATCAGAAGCTTACAGAGTATCCTCGGAGCACAAATCCTTCGTGTCATGCTCCATCCGCGATGGACATCCTCTTGGCATATCGAGATCGACATTTCAGAAACCAAAATAGATAAGTGTCATGTGTGTCTGGCCATTAAGCATCGCGGAAACGGCTCGGACTCCTTCGGGTGGGGATCGCGAAATGGTGGCCGTTTTGCTGTTTGGGGGCCAACGGTCATTTCATTGATGGCTCTCATCGGTGGGCTGCCGCTAACAGAAGCATGGGCTCGATTCAAACCGCAGAAATCATTCACTGACTGATGGAATTATGTTCCATGGTTATAGATTATGGAGTGCAAATGTTTGCTCAAGGTGGCTATCCATAAACGCAGGCATTGCTGCCGGCCCTACCAATAGGACTTTCAAACGCAGGTGAACAAACAGCCCCAAATATCAGGATCGCCAAGTAAAGCGATGTCAACGTCAGACGGCGGTTTGACCCTTCGGATAATTGCGGAAATCAATCTCGTTCCATAGTGGCTTGGGTTGCCGTTTGGATATGCAGCCTTGGTCGGCTTGCTGGGCTGAGATAGCATGACATCATTGTGTCACCTTTCGGCTGAGGTCTTTTGATTCTAGATTCCCACTTGATCCTGGATTCTTCTAGACCATCCTTTGGCGATGGATTCATTCGCTGCTTGTGTTACTTCATGGCTTTTGGGAATATCCCGATTCGCATTGAATTTCGGTGGCCAGGCAAACATGCATTCATCAGTCTCAGACGCAGGATGATATTAGATCTGATGATGAGAGATAATTGATTGGATCCAGGCTTTTGATGGTGAATTTTATGGCTTGCAATCTTGGATGTTAGCATGAAGTCAAACAGTGACAAAAAAGCAGGGAAGACAAACCATCCAAATATGCATCGGACAAAGCTCAAATACAGCCTCCACTCAGGGAAGACCATCTCTTCTCTTCTCTTTTCTCATCAAATGTTCACTTTGGTCGTATTTTCTATATACCATTCCCTCAATCGCATTTCACATCTGGAACCATGGCTTCTCCTTCTTTGTTATATTCCCAACCTTCTCCAAAAGCTGCAATCAGTCACCCTGGGCTTGCCTATATATAGGGCCTTCCTCTTCCCTCATCTCCGTCTTCTGAATTTGATTTCGATCATCATCCTTCCTCCTCTGTAGCCCTTGTCATGTATATACCTTCCTTGCTTTTCTCTTTGCTATGGCTTGCTCGCTCACTCGGTCCCTGCTGAGTATCACTTTTAAGCTGTTGTGTCACCCTGAGAATCCAAATTTGAATCAGCAACGAGACATCGCAGGTCGTAAGTTCAGATCCGGGATAGCCCGGTAGAGACAGTTGTGAGCTTCAAACCCTTCCTCCCACTCGACCCAGTCTGTCTGCACTGCCAAATTCGCTCAAAACATCCCTCGGCGTTGATTCAAAGTGTTCCATCTGCTGGTGCTCATTGACTAACATTTCGGAAATAGGGCATTCCTGTTTTTCATCTATACGAAATAATTATGGCGGGCTTGATAAAAGTGAGTACTCCTATTGATTCCCAATCACGTCTTAATCTGATTATTTAGATCACGCCTTCCTTGATAGAACAACCGAGAGGTAGCTCAAGGTCTCTTGGCCTCATGACTTCGGCTGGTGAACCGCAAGCCGGAGGAGGCCGACGGGGGCTTCTCCCGGCTCTGGATGTTAACGACTGGGGATTTCGCCGACTGCCCCCCACAGACTCGGGCCCTCGCCGCGCGCTACCTCGCATATGACTGCCCGAAACTGCGCATGCTGGCCAAGCTGCTCCACGACGAGGGGGCCTTTGTGGTGGACGGTGAACCGAATCGGTTCATAGTCTTCTGCCAGTGGCCGTTGACCCTCTGGGTCACGGAGCTTTTCATCGACGCGCTGGGGATCGACTATGAGGTGATCCGGAGCAGTGTGGCCATGGAGAAGCGGCCGTTGATCGCAGAGTGGTTCAACGACCCCGCCTCGACCTGTCGTGTCCTGCTCACCACGTAAATCGTGGGGGCATTCGGGCTCAACCTCCATGAGCGTTGTGCCTGGGCGATCCTTATGGAGACGCCCAATAACCTGTCCCTGCTCCTGCAGGCGGTCGGGCGGCTCCACCGACTCGGCCAGCGCTCCGAGCAGCAGGCCTGGCTACTCTACCAGGACCACACCATCAACCGCTGGCAGGAGTTTAACCTCGCCTCAAAGGCCGTTGGCCAGATTGTCGCTAGCATGCGGTACCAGGAGGACGCGGGCCCGGAGGCGGAGGAGATCCAGGGGCGCGTGTCGGTCCTCCTGATGCGGCTGCTGGGCCAGCGGCGCTCGCGCATGGGCGATGGTGACATTATGAAGCTTGGGTTGAGCGAGGAGACAGAGCAGGTAGGACCCACCCCATGCACCCACGCCGGAGACCCACCTGCTAAGCCGGCCGTTAGGTTGAGCCAACTTTCCTGGAGAAGCATATTGCGGTCGACGAGGCTGGAATGAGGTAGGTGGCCCTGCAGGTTTCACGCTAGTGTGAAATATCAATGTAGCCTTTTTACTGATTTTGTGACCAGGGCCGGCCAACACGACCGAATCGGCGGAAACGCCGACGTGTGGAGGTGGGCACGGGCGATGGAGAGGAGCCAGACGACAAATCCAGCGAGGATAACAGTAAGGATGACTGCGAGGAAAATATCCAGTCCTTGCCCCAGACACACGCCCAAGATTTCACAAAGAGGGACATTGCCATACACCTGGATGAACTCTTCTCGCCAACAGAGAGCGGGAACTCCATCCGGAACGGTTTCAGCGACGATGTAAGTGACCCCCCTGGCCTGGCATTTGCGAGATCCATGATCTGACTTGGCAAGAATGAAAGGAGGACTGGCAGAAAATTGAAAACCTCAACCGGAATATTCAGCAAATGATCCAACCTTTCGAATACGAGGCTACGACGAGAAGCCGAATCGAGGAGATCCCTAGTGGAAGGTGGTACACTGGGAGTTCCAACGCAAGTTCAAGAGCTTTTTGCCATTGACCGAGAGGTATGTAACCTTTCTTTGATGATTCCGAAATTCAGACACAGTAGAAGATCCCATCCTCTTGAGACGTTGCTAATTTTACTGGCTGAACTATCCAGACACGTCTGAAGATGGAGTTCAACATGATCGGCCAGCCTGCGTGCTGTGCATCCGATAGAAACCCACACTCATGTTTCGATTACCAACTGAAGCGACCAGATCACGACCATGACGCCGCTTTGTCACTAGAAACTCGACGGTACCAGGCTTCCCGTGATAAATATCGCACAGGGACCTAAAGGATGATCGTCCAGTTCATGTAGGATTGCTGAAAGTCATGAACGGCAACAACAGTCTTCACATGAAACTGTCTCTCCTAAATCAGCCACTGAAAATTACGGCTCCATGTCGCTTTCGTGCGACATATTCCCTCCGGTTGGGTATTTTCCGTCCACCTATCATCACACAATTTGCTTGCGCAAGCCAAGGTTTCAACGCCCGAGATGACCAGCAATTGAAGGCCGTTGGGTACTCATAAATATCTTCGGTGAAGGAGTCATCGACTGGATAGATGGTTCGATGTACAGGTACCCCTGGAAAAGCGGAGCCGATACACACCCAGTAACTACTGGAATCGGAGATCTAGACAATTTTCCAAATTTCGTCCACTCAAGAAGTTCAAGGCTCACATGGTAGCGATGATCTCGCATCAACATTCATGTCGCTCTATCCTGCATCCACTGTCCATATTAAACCCTCTCTTTTGCTGCATCCTCCCACCTGTTTCCTTCTCCCATTCCTACCTTGCCTATCCCTGGTCTTCGACCGTCTCATGTTAGCAGGTACCAGTCCCTTGTTTTCACCTTAGGGTGAAATATCCGGTATTTTTCTGCGAACTCTTGCAATCTACCAGACATGCCTGGCGCGAAGCATTCGTTTAGCAAGTCCACAATTGCAGGCAAGCGGGCTAAGCGGTCATCAGCCAAAGCGCCCTCGTATCCCGAGCTAGATCTCAAGCCAGAATTTATCAAGTCGGTCACGACAAATACGCCTCGTCTGGCCGGTCTACTTGGCCTCGAAACAAACCGGGAGCTGGTACTGATGGTGCCGAAGGATACTTCGGTATCGCCAATCTTTGACAGCTCCCTCGACAGCTACCGAGCGTCATACAACACGGATCCGAAAGGGCCGATTGTGGCCAACTACAGCCCGGAGACACTGTACTCCCTGTGTCGCGACCGAACATATGACGAGATGGTCTGCGCCCCTCAGGCGCCGGTACTGATGCCGGACGACTCCGTCTTTGACACAAAGAAGGCCATGCACAAGAACTTGGTGATTATTAACCACACCTTCCGATTCATGATAGCGAAACAGTCCCTGTTCGGCCGGGCTGATCTCCAGAACAGCAAGAGGGTCATTGACCCCGAAGATTGGTTCAAGGCATTCTCCACCGTGCACTGGGCCAACAAGGCGTGAGTTCGGCGGCAGAATATCAGTGAGGATGGCCAGGCAGGTGGACTATCGATGTAAACTCTGGCTTGCACTGCGACTGACTGGGACACAGGTCAAGAAAGCGACCCCCCGGAGCGACCGAGCCAGCAGACGGGCCAGCCAACTACGAGACATTTTGGCTTCAGAATACGGAGAGGCGATAGCCTGATTTCATCAGTCAGAACCTGTCTGTGACGACGTCAATAATTACTGTCCACAAAGAAACCCCTGGCCAGACCCAATATGCGTTCGAGGTCCGATGAGGGTTGAATATGTGTCTTCAAGAGCAATTCACGAACGACGAAGCAATATCTGCTGCTACGGTGTCTCTTACATCGCCTATATTGCCCAATTTATACGACAGCGATCCTCGGAGACAAACAATTCGTGACTTGACTGGTCACAATCGACGTTCCGAACCTTGAACCACCGTCCCTGCCGTACTATTCCAGATGGGCGACTAAAGCGTCCTATAAATTGGTGGCAGATATTAGAGGAAGACTGGGCCTTCCAGCCGTATCATGAGAAGCTCTCCCGGGATATTTTCTAGGACCATGCAATTAAATGTGCTGGGCGAGGCTCCGGAAGACATTATGGCCTGGCTTATAGAATCCATCAAAGCTATGGATGTATATCAGCGTTCCTCCCAGTGATAAGCGGGATCCATAGCTTTGGAAGCGATTCGCGCGTGCAAGAGGTTACCACCTCGCCCCCGGCTTGGTTCCCCTGGTGCAAGCCGATCATGAGCATCCGGGAGGCATTGGTGCCGGAGAGATTCGACATTGATACGACCAACAGATCCAGAAATCAGAACAAAATCATAGGCCGATCAAGAATGAGACAAAGTTTTCTTGGGTTTGATTTGTCACCACCACCCTATTTGATAGGGCGGATGGCCTCCTCATCGGCAGGTGGTGCGGTATAAGGCGCTTTTCGCCGAAGCACAGAGGAAGGTATATTTCTCTAAACCTCGCTAAGCCTCGACTGGCGATAACCTTTCTCAAGCCGGTCGTTTATGTCTACGTCAATTGCATAACTGTACTCATCATTGGGGGAAAAACGCACCAACATACCCTGGGAACGGCAGCGGCAAGGGGTGAAAAACAACCTCCGAATGGCATTTATCTGTCGAAAGTTAATACCTTACAACGAGTGCAGACACCCCACATATTATGAACAGTGAGAGTTATAACCGACCACTCTCATTCAGAGGCTTGACGGTTTAGATCAAGCGGGAAAGGACGGTTTCGCCCATTCGAAGAGGAGGACGAAACTGACCAGAATGACCGTGCTCCCCACGCCCCAAAGCTATAACAGCTGGGTGCTAAAGCCCCTTCGAGCCCCATACTATGCGATAGATCCGTCAGGAGAACAGAAGAAACCGAAGTTTACTACATACATAGCGGCCTGCTGGGGCACGCATTTTATGATGAATACTATACCCAGAAACGGAGCACAGGAACTTTTGTGATGTTGCTAATGGCGCTGGGGTAGACTGGGCATGCGGTTGATGATATAGATCTGGAGTGACGGCCTCCGCTCTAGTTGTTATCCAGTACACCCTTCTACATCACGCCAGTGGATGCTATTGAGTGGATGAAGCTGCTTTATGCGGAATGGGAGCTTGAGGATGGAAATTTCGGCGTGGTTCCGGATTACTTCAATGACCTCGCCAGGCCGTTTTAGAAGCCAGCAGTGGCGACAGAAAACCGGAAAAGTTCGATCCGTTTATCGGATGTGGCGTATAGTCTGGGAGTCTGCTTGCGCCAGACCAACGTTATCTGATGGCTTCTGATAACTAAGTGGCTCAACAAGACGATCTTACGACCGCCTCCCTAGACGCGATGTGAGATCAATTTCGCCGTTGGTAGCGCAGCGCAGGAAGCTACATAGGCCTTTATTAAATGTATTAAAAGGTTGGCAATCGATAACGGCCATGAATATCGGGGAATTGTTTCTTGCTGGAGCGCTTAAATGTCCCATGTACCGCCTGCGTATCGTCATGAACTTTCCCGGGCTGCTGATGTTCGCCAAAACACGAGGCATGCACGGACTGAGCCACTTTGATCAAAAGGGTGAAAAGATGCGAGACTACTACAAGGACCCCTGTCAGCCGGGCATCTGCAACCCTGGTGGCAACAGCAATGGGGCATTGTTTCAGAATCAGTCGCCAGGATACATGCAATCCTGAGGCATGACGAATTTGGAAAGACGCTTTCCAAGTTTTACAGCGCGGGATACAGAAAAGGCTCACCTGCGCATTTCCGAACAGAAGAGTTACTTATAAAGTGACTGGGTAAGGTTTTACCAGGCCTAACCAGTGGAATCAGATACTCTCGGAGCCAGGGCCAGGCTCCGACGAGGATTGACCCTACGAACCCACCGCCAATCAATTGAGACCAACATTTGTGTCCAGATTACGGGGTTACCTACCTCCTTAAGGAGCTCTTTGGTGATCATTTCAAGAATCTCAATAAGGAGTAGGACGCAGAGCAGAAACAAGGCGATAAGAATCACAAACAGACGGGTCCACAAGGGCAAAATGGCTGGCACGTGGCTAAGATCCTTCGCCTGGCAAGATGACCACAATCCTAACTCTCCATCTTCAAAACCACACTGTCTTGAGGATACGCCAGAGAGAAAGCGTGCAAAAACAAAAGTCTCAGCGCCATCACCTTCGCAATATCGAAATAATCGACTTGCTTCCAGTGCACGGCCGGGGAATTAGCGTCGGGAAAGGAGGCGTTAGCTTCCAAGTCCTCGTTGGGGAAATGCATGCTAAAACCAAAAAAGAATGCATCATCCGTGAATCGAACACGGGCCTCGTCGATGGCAACGACGAATTCTACCACTAGACCAATGATGCTGGTTGATATTATTCAGCATCCGTTGCTGAGACTGATCCCCCATCATCAATGCACCACGATTTGATGATCAACAAACAGAAAAAAGAGTGGTAGCCCGTCGACATAATCCAGAGAGCACGGCATGATCTTCCTTTGTTCTCGATAAAGTCATAGTGCGATAAATCATGAATATGTCCGAAACCTCCGCTCTGCTATCTAATGATAGCTAGCAATGAAAACAAGGGCATGGTCGATACTACGCAGAGCACGAGGCCAGGACGGATGGATATCTTCGAGGGAAAGCCCAGAAAGAGGTGCGCACCTTTATCAAGGTCAAGACATCCCTTCGGGAGAATGGCGAGGCAGAGGTCCGCGTGCAGGAGAGTGAACAAATGGTCGCATGGCTCAAAGCTAGTCCCAATGCGCCCAGAATGCTTCCATCCCGGTAAGCCGGTCATCCAGAATATAGCACTGAGGTTTAATTGAACTAATTCCGGCTTCTAGGCGCTTCCATGTGTCACAGGACCGGCATGAAATCTGACTGAGCTTCCCAGAGTACGATGAGGAGTACAGTGCTAGTTGCCGATCCAATTGCTGAACAGCTACCAGACTTTACTATATATAAGATGACGGTACTACATCGTTGGAAGAAACGGAAACTGGATAACGAACGAATCCTTCGGCTTGAGGAAGAAGAGGCACGCGATAAAGCCAAAACGATCACGTAGGCAAATCGGCGAAGGCTCCAAAAGATGAGTTATAAGCTCCTCGGCATGATCATCCCTTGACTGACCAACCGTCAATTTCCCTTTTCCGGAAAAGCCACATTTCTGGCCGCGACTCAGGTGTTTTTAGCTGGGATTTAGCTGAAGTTCACACCAATTCTTCCCAGCACAGAAGTCTAAAGTCTTGTCGGAATATATATATCGGCTGGCTTTCTTTGTCGCAAGCACGCACGACCTGGGATGCCCAAGTCATTCACGGTGGCGTCTTCCAGATCTAGAAACCATAACAATGTCGTCACAACGAATGATCATATAAGAAAGAATGCAACCAGCTCGATATGGACTTTCAGCCTTAGACTTCAGCAGATGCTTGTTATTCCCAGATCCCAGGCTCGAGACATTAAATATTCTCACCAAAATCCCGGGTTTTAAACAGCTTTTCGCTGAACCTTCCTAGCTATCATCGATAGGGCCAGCTCCTGGGGCAATTGGCTAGAGGCTCTAGCCTCACTGTTATCAGAAAAATTCGAACATTTCTTGCCCACTTATGACACCGATAAAGTATCTATAGGAGATGACCGCGGCTGTGAAGCTTCCATCTTTCTTGCCTTGTGCCATGGGCCTTTTTAGCATACACAACTCCAGCTCAAAAACCGGCATGAATCGGTTTTATTATCTGTACTCATTAGAGTACTCCCAACTGATTAGCTCAACGACAATGCCATTGAGCTCACGGTGATGACTCGCTTGCAAAATTCGTGCCTCGCTAAAAGTCGTTATGAGCAAATGACTTTCCAGCTTCTATATATCTATCAGAAAAGACAGACTTCAGATTCTGCAATATTTTCGCCTATCTTTATTTACCCATATGGCAGCTTGTTGTGAGCAATAGCCTATCCTTCGCACTCAAAGTCGACCCGTGCGTCATATTCAACCACAATATTCCACCATACTCCCTGCGACACAATGCCTCTGATCCCAACACGGTTCTCCGGGAGGGTCCAGGCAAACATTGATACTGGACTCAGTTGTTCTGACACAATATGAATAGTCCACCAGCGAAGGGCTATCCAGCCTATTCACAAATTCCCAGACCAGCTTATGCCTGTACAAGAATTTCGACGACTCACACACAGTAAAAACTTCCTCTTTTTCTCCCGCTTCTTTCTCCTTCTCTCTTCCTCTTCCACCATTTTCATCATCAACACCACCACCATCATGGCATAATCTCAGTAAGACCTGATCAGTTGAACTGCAGAGACTAATCCAGAGTCTTCGTAGAGCAACAATTCTCGCCGTCTGCCTCCCCCTCTCCTGCCACGCCTGACCGCCGTGCAGCTGCAGCTGTCCCTGGGCAACATGGCCAAGTTCTCCTCGATACATCCCCTGTCCTCTCGATAGAGAGCTGGGCCCTTTATTTGACCGTCTTATTCGCACAACGCAGGCGGGAAGGAACCCAGCGTTCTTGCCTAGAAGATGCTTAATCGAATTTGATGGCGATCGCGAGATATCGCAAGCAAAGACCCCTTACACGTCTCAACTGCAGGAATGGTACGACCTAGAACACAACCTCTACAGTGTGAATTGACCTACGAATGGACAAAGAACGATCTGATCACACATCTTGCTTTACGACGACCCTCTTCCCCAGAGCTTTACGGGCCCGTCTAAGAAATAACTACATCGTCCCGAAATTCGCCACGACATCGATAATAATGGCTACTGTGAGCTCTTTGATCGTCATCGAGATGAGCCTGATTGTATCCGGGATTTGTCAATACTAGACCCCCTGACGCATTCGTCTTACAACACCCAGTTCCACCGCGTGGCTGGTTTGTTATGCTGCAGATCTGCCGGAGTGTAATTGCCAGTTCTAACATCATTATCTTGACGCCCTACCGGACCCAAATGCGCCGGTATGAGAACACCCTTTCTGCACTGGATGCCGCCTTCCCCGACCTTCACCTCAGCGGCGTGATGCTGAGGACCGTGGACAGCTTCCGGGGTGATTAGAATGTTGTTTTTATTTTTGATCTGACGGTTGTTGACCTCGTTGGCTTCACTGGTAACCTGAACCGCCTCAATGTCGCCACGAGCCGAGTCCGTGTTATATATATTATGTCATAGCTTATCGGAAAGGGTATCGCCAGAAGACAACTGGTCAGAAGATCAGCTACCTCAAACACCTCTGCGAGTGTATCCAGGATACCTATTGCAAACGGTTCAGGCTGAACTGGCTCAATGATACTATCGATGAGATCGAAGCGCAGGTGAAGGATCCCGTGGAGCCAGATGCTTGGGCGTCACGGGCGAAATTCTATCGCCGGCTTCGGTCCTGTTATGACGACCCCCTTAACAAAGCCTATCTCCAAAAGATGTTAAGTTCGCAAACGGGTTCAGAAGCCTCTGGTATCAGCTCGTGCACAAAATGAAAGATTCAATTATATATCGAGTCCGACATGGCAAGCCTTTAATGGCAGTCATCTGGTCCACCACCCGTTCCCCACCGCAGACACCATGCTCAAAGCCATCGTCCCCTGGCTCGAGCGCCGAGAGCGCCACCGCTTGCGGCCCTATGAAGCCATCACATGTGCCAGTTGCCCCGATTGTCGACCGCCCTCCCAGACGACCAAGAGGAGATTCAATCGGTCAGAAAAGTGTTTACTGACTAACCGCTCGGATCACCGACCTTCAATGGATACCATTAGACCCGGGAGGGTGATATTATGTTGGATCGAATACACAGGTCTCGGGCTTCCTCCCATGTAATATACCTGGAAGCCTGGTATTTACGGATCTATTTTCACAAGTGTTCCCCGAAGGAAACATGCCCCGAGAGGGTAGATTTATCGGAATCCCACTGCAAGAAGCTACAGTCAAATCCAAGATCCTCCCAAACGGGTGCTTCTATTGTAATGGCAGCCCCAAGCTGCTGCTGTGCACCATGTGTAAGGTGACTGAGTTTGATTTGAGCACAAGCACATTCATCACGAAGCTGAACGAGCCAAGGAATGTTATTTCATAGCCTCGGTGTACAGGTTGATGGAGCTCTCATTCACCATGTACCAGGAGTTTCTAGAACACGACGCTACCATATAGCGGGCACCTGTTATCTTTTGCCTAGACCATTGAAAAAGTCCTATATTTTATATATCTTCTGAAAGCAAAGGAGAAGATATTTTAGGGGCCTGTTTCTTGGGGGACCGTCAAAATATATTAGTTCGGTCGTACGTCTTTGCAAAATGTATGGTCCGGCTGGCGGGAGGGGAGGCTTTTAACCTGGTTCTATGATATGTGTGCTGCGTCGATACGATCGTGGCCTGAAGGCCTTATATCAAGGGATCACGAATGTCTGTGCGACCATTCCCCTTCAAATATGGTGGATGGGTTCAACAGCAAGGTGCAGCTGGTTATCCCCACATTCACAATCATGCACCACCTCCTCCATGAGTTGAATGTTAAACCAAAATTAGTTCCCAAAATAAACATTTTGGGTTATTGAACGGCGGATAGAAAGGTCTTGGACATGATGTGACAACGGGGCCACATTGGTCTGTCGGCCGGAACCGTGGTCCATCATGTTCTGTCACTGGCCTAGCATCCTGTGGACCATCGAAATACTCATCAAACTGCTGGCTCTGGACCAGAAAGTCATGGGGTAGAGCGCCGAGGAAGACACCGGGGAGGGAGATTGCGCCGAGGAGCAGTTGCCATTCGTCTGTTTTGAGGATTGGAGTCCTTCACGACAGAAGAGATGATGGATGCTGGGAAGACGCCGTTGGGGAAGGTGACGAAATCTTTTTTCATTAGTATGATAGAGATGGGATAGTAGGTGGAAGGAGTACCGTATGGAAACCAAGCCCCACAAGTCCCAATCAACAACTTCCAATAATACCTCATCACCAATCCATACGGAACATTCTTCTAAATAGTACCGCGACAATAAAGCGCAGAGTTCAACACGCGGAATCGAAAGTAGAATACCGACAGCGACCAGACACAGCCAATGCCGAAACATACTCGCCAGAATGTACTGAAATCCGTTTGCTTACAGGCTGGAAAGACAATCAAGAATATCTCTCCTGCAAGGGACACTACTCTCGAACCACGGATTATCAGCTCTTTCGGATTGATAAATTGTCCACGTGCTGGGAAATTTCATAAGTAATGAAACTCAGTTTCACGGGGACCTCCCAACCCATTAGCAATTTCTCTACGGTCTGCAGTATGCTTGTTCAAACTTAACTCTTAAGTAAAAAGATACATAAAAAGATAGATAAAAAGATAAGGAATAAGGCACTAATAGAGCTTCCCTTTATGATAGCTAATGAGCAACCTATTCAACAGTGACCAGTCAATCTTTCAAATAAAAATAGAAACTCAAAGATTTGGCCTTGCTGTTCTCATAATGATCAATGCCAACGAGTTTGTCACCCGCCTCTCTCAGAAGACCCATACTCTTTCCCGTCCAAGGATCAACCACGCCTATCTCCACTGTATCATTGGTGTTAATGAGGCCTTCTTTCTTTGGGGCTCCCGGCGTCTGGAACCAAAAGTATGTCGGTTGATCCCTCAAGGACAGATAGTATGGGAAAGGGTCATCGCTGGTCTTTTTATCAAGAATACTGGGAGTGAAGCCAAGATACTGATCCACTCCTTGAGGTTTAATAAGCATCGTCGCCTCATAGTACATCTGTGTTTCTGATTGTCAGCAAACATGTTTCTATGGTGGTGAGAGAACCAATGAACATACGCGCTGGTCACCATTGGCAGAAACTGGAATGATAGCTTCCCAGACAGCATTCTCATGTGTTTTTGTATCACGTCGTACGCTAATTTTCGATTGCAAAGCAGCAATGACCGAACCTGTCGCTGGCATTCCAGTCTCCGAGGCAGCCTTTTTGTAATTATCCATCACTTCGTGGCCTAAACCCGGAAGGATAATTAATACTCTGGATGTGGTTTATGGTACCAGACAGGGAGAAGGAAATGAACACGCACATAATGTCAGGTCATCATGGAATGACTTCAGGTAGCCCTTGTCTCCAGCTTTATCTTGGACATAGAACTGGATTGTCTTGTAACTCTGTTGGGATTCGAATCCCTTGGACAAATGCTGTATGAACTGAGGACTTTGTACAACGGAAGTACGTCATATTGCTACTTCATCAGTGTTCCACTTTTTCATGAAGGAATTAGACAACTCACCTGGATAACTCTCCAGTTGTAAGTCACCAACAGTGGCACACCATGCGGCGGGGCTATAAAATAATGATGAGAATAGGGTCATGACAGAAAATTGGGAATGGACGTACTTATTACATAGAAGAGTATTCCCACCAGTAGCTTCCCAAGCCATCGATTGCGAAAATGTCTGAGATGCGTCGTTCTTGTTAGATCCACTTCCTCGTCCATAAGAATAGTCGCCCGATGCCTGAGCATATGAACAAGAGAACGAGGCAGCGGCAGTGGCCTTTAGCGAATTTGATTCTTTTGTGATGTCGACTACGGAATCGGCCGGCGAAAACACGACCTGTAGGTGTAGTTAATGTATATTCCATGATTGTCACGGTTCTTTCCGCTTCTCACCAAATTTCCTGCCAAAGTCTTCGTAGCTCTCCTTGGTACCGAGGCCCTTGATTGCCTCCTTACATTCATCGGTGATTTCCAGATTAATGTGATCTAAGAACAGTGTGACACGCGGGAACTAATACAGTCATTCAGCATCCATCAGTTACCAACAGACAGGTCCATAGCCTGACTTACATTGTAGGATATATTGAGCTTTTGGTTGTCCTCTTCAGTGGCGTGCAAGCTTTGGTTTGATTGACTCGTCGCGAACCCAACACTGACAGCAGCAGAGCCCCCCCACAAGCCAGCGCCCCTGCGAATCACCAAGCCGGTTAGTCCTATCAGGCAGCGACCAATACATGTCAAATTTCAAGCATCACTTACACCGAAGCATGTGCTGAATGTTCAGAGAATGAGCTTTTAGCGAGTGAGTGCTGTGAAGAGTTTTTCGTCTCGTAAACCGTCACATAGGAGTCATCGTCGACTCGGAAGCGCGGAATACGGTATTCAGGCTTGCGGATAGTCTATTAGCATCGGCAGGTATCCTTTGAGAATGCGTGAGGCCTCACTGCTGCTGGTTTTGGGGTTCCCGGTGCTGACGGTGCTGGCGGAACTATTGCTTCGGTCACCCCTGCGATCAGCGGCGGGGCTGCTATTTCGTATGGTTCAAAGGCTCTTGCTTTGAGCTTGAACGCTGCCAGGAACAATATACATCAGTTTTAGGAATAAAATAAACATTTCTCAGAGCGCATTAAAATAGAACTTACCAGTGTACGGACTGCGTCCTACTTTCATGAAAGCCTTTATCTGGCCATCAGGGTCTTTTCTCTGGACTTCCTCAAAGGTGTAACCATTTAGTATGGAGTTGGTGCGTGTTATGATACTCCAATGGTGCTCGGTAAAATCCGCTGGGTGACTAATCCTGGTTATTCAAAGATTTTCCACTGTTTCATGGAGAGGAATACGAACGACAAGTTCACTCCCGCATTAGCTGTCCACTGGCTAGCATTCAGAGTTGATTTCAGGAGAGAGCCGTCAACCGTTAAGACGTCCGGTGATTTCTGTTTGATGTTCATTGTTAGTGTGAATAAAGTCTGCCCGGCCGGCTTTTGTGTCTGTGACACTCATTTAAGGAAATACCTTCAATGTCAAGTCCACGCCTTTGTCGACAAAGTCTTTCTCCCTTTGGTTCAATTGTCAGTCGCTTGCCTTTTTTGTAGTAGACGTTGAGCTGTAGACTCTGTCCAGAAGTCTATTCACACAAAGCATAAAGGTCAGCTAATATCCCAAGGTTACGGTGGGAGTTTGTACCGGCTCCGGATCTTTCCAACTGGGGTCGAGCTGCTTTGAATAGGTAAAGATAGTCATTCTATCGGACACCTCTGTTCCCTCCGCGTCGCAGAATGGGCTCACGAAGATTAAACCCATTTGAAAACATGATCAGCTTGGCATTTCTAGATGGCGGAAAGAGTGCAATGGTGAATAAGAAGAGCTAAAATTTAGAAACATACTCCTTGGAATCGAAAACACGATGTTTCTTCAAGATCTCACGAATAGAGACCAGATTCTCGTTCTTTTCCGTTTTATCCTTCTCAATGATGCGGACCTTCCTGGTTGAGTTGGAGTTAGGGTCATAACGATGGACTCGTAGCACATCCTTTGACTCCATTTTGGTTCGGCTCGGATCTATAAGAAATGCCATAGGAGATTTTGGTCTTTCTAGACCCCTTAGCTTGTTGGAGCGGGGGGAGGGAACTGCACTTGGACTCTAGACTGGGTTGTTGAATATATTTGTAGGCTTATATAACATAGCCCTAATACAGGTCTAACATATTCAAATCACCATTATGTCGATAGAATCACGTCCAATGATTTGACAATTAAGCCAGATCTTTCCATGTTGATCTCGGCCCACCTAGGACAGTGTTGGCCTATCTCAAGTGGCCACACTGCAACTCCACATAGGATCGGCGGAGAGGCAAAAAAGGCCGCCCAAAGTCGGACGCAGATTTACTCACGCCAGCACAGCAAACCCAAAAGCTAATACTCCACATATGATCCAGAAAGTAGATTCACCCATACTAACACGATAAGCCAAACCTAATAATGTGGAATGCATAAATCGGGGTATCCACATGGTATCCCATGACAATGTAGAACCTATAATTACAGAAGCGACGACTAGGGTGACATCAAGCATCGAACAAGGTGTAGCCAGTGTTCCCATCAAGCATTGGAATTCGTTTAGGGAAGTGGAAGATTTCGTCTCCACGCCGTGGCTCATCATTTGCGTAGAACTTAATTTATAGCAAAACACCACTTCCCGTACACGTCACATATGTCGAGTGGATGTTCGGTTGATCGCCATTCCTTTTACAGCAAGCTGCAGGATAGTTAACTTTTTAATGTCAGCGGGACCATTTTCCGCCCGGAAAATGCCGTGATCTACTCCGTATGAGGGGTTCAAGGTGAGGCTGGCTGAAGAATGCTCCACTAGGCAATTGTTGCTTCGGATTGGCTCTCGCCTCAGCGCGGAAGCGACGGCACGGATCGCTAAGAAGATGGGGTGTGGAGTTGTTAAGGACTTATGAACCATTTAGATACCTCGCTTATCTGCACTATATGAAGGATTTATAAATGTCTTCAATAGAATAATTATAAATGACTGCTATAGATAAAGATTGCTAATTATTCTATACTATTAAAAGTATCAACACTGCAAATAAATACACAAAGAAAATCACTAGAGAGGTGGTTCATAACCTTATGGCTATAGTGATCTATTGGCTCCTGGAATATTCAGCAGGAATGGCAGTAGTCTAAGCCTATCATTTACTAGGACCCCACCTCTGGTATATGAATTATTATGAACGAGTATAAGTCATACTTGGACCCCGCATCTTTAATAGATCGAATCATCATAGCCTATCCTACTCACCCGCCCTTTCAGCTGATATGTACCACGTATCTAGTAGTCATGTCCTGTTTCTCCACCTGCGCCCCGGTGCCATATTTTGATTTGCCTTTAATGTGTCATTAGCATATTTTACCCGTTCATCCTTCTACGGGGTAGCTATGTACATACCTGCATCCATGCTTCTAGGAAACATTGGGTCTAGTTTTATCAAATTAGATATCACGTTAGGATTACAGCGATAGAACCTGCAAGTACCACAGTATTACAGTAATATAAATGAAGGAGGCGAATTCAAGTTGATTAACTGGCCAATATATTATGGATAACGTGAAATCACTCAGCCGGACATAGACCGCCCCGAAGTGATATAATCACGATTTGAAATGGGTTCCTAGGCATGGTAAAGCTATTTCCGGTAGGAAGGCTTTGAACATAACCGACTTTACTGTAATAGATTGATCCCAAGTACAAAGCAGTGGCTGTAGATTCTTGAACTTGTCTACACATAGAAGTTCCACCCAAGCGATTTGCCGTTACGCGCTATCTTTAGCATCTGCGTGGCTCCTTCACTCCCATTAGAATTACCATACCACGACTGGACAATCCGCTGCCAGCGCAGTTCCAGCATTATCTAAATTGATATGCCCTGGAATTCTCCTGCCATCCCCTAGAATGAAGATAAGTTAGCCACTTCCTAGACATAATGTGACCGAGCCACCATGAAGAACATAGTCCGGGAGCTTACTCAAATGGAAAAAAACTGTTATATGATTGATAGTGAGAAGATATCTTCCCTGGTGTCCTCTCAACAATCTCTGACTCTCTTGATAGTAATCATACGCATCCCCCAAGGCCCGGGTTGTGTTGTGATCCGGCCACCTAACAAGAGCAAACCTAGGTTAGTACTTGAGAGAACTAAAGATACGGGACAAACTCGAATTGCATACCGAATTGTAGCTCCAATAACTTCGGCTCCATTATTGTATCCGTTGTTGTTCAGCCACTGGATTCCTTGGTTGACTAAACCTTCGACTGCGGCGCGATTGGGTGGTATTTGTCTGTATTGCCAAACTATTCCTGCCATGGTTGTGTAAATTGACCGGAGATTATAATGGATAGATCCAACATCCGTTGCTGGTGCTGTAGAGTGACCGTATGGATCATATCTGGGAAAGTGGTTTCATCTTTATATACCCTATGCACCACTGATTATAACCGAAGGAGCACCAAGTGGGGCAGCCAGGAAGTGGGTGTTGCGGGTGACTCCGGCGCCATCTAGTACAGCGCACCCGGAGAGATCGCGCGACGGCGCCAGCGATCGCCAGGTCGCCGATTTAGAGGCACCTACCGTCCTCCTATTGAGGTAATCTTATCAAAGCACCACATATTCCATTCTTTCTTTAACCTTGACACATACGACCACAGGGTGAGGAGAACAGGGCTTCCCGTCCGCTCAGCCGTACTTAGGCCTCACGCCGGCCGGTTAGTAGTTGGGTGGGTGACCACCAGCGAATCCCGGCTGTTGTATGTTTTTGCTCCCCAAAATTGTTCCTTGTTTCTTTCCACCGGACTTGGATATCTACATCTAAGTTTTTTTTTTTTTTTTCTGGGTTCGCTAAAAGGCCACAATCATTAATTCCAAGACTGAAAGGTTTCATTAAAAGATACGTAGAGGCTGGATAAAGAAGAGCCCCTAGCAATGACGACTGTCCCGATTCAAATATATTTTAGCCTGCATGGCGTTCCTTTGCTACGCGGCTGAGGTTCGAGCTTCTTGCTGTTCAGGTTCCTGATTTAATAGCCAAATATTTCGAGAAGCTGATATTCAAAAAGTGATTTAAACAGGGCTGGTTCCTGAGCTGGAGATGAAGGGATAGCCCGTTGGACTACGAATAAAAAGACTCCGTCGGGCCGTTCAACTACTCATTGTATGTAGAAAGCCATTCCTACACTACGCACTTGAATCTGCTCCAGTCTTGAGACAGAATTGGACCGTGTGACGGATCACGTTCGATAGAAGCCCTATTCTTATACCTAGGTACATCCATAGGAAAGACCCTCTCTTTCAACGAGGTCAACATTAGTTGAAGGAACCCCCCTTTGTAATCTTTCTTTCGAGGCTCCCACTTATCGGATCATCCCGGTGTTTTCCGTTCGATACACAAAGGAAGTGCACGAATTAGTTGATATAAAAAGCCTGTCAATGAACTGGCTTTATGATGCTTCTGACAAGTCCAACAATTGCCTACAATGTAATCAACTGTTAGGATGGCGGAAAGGGGCATTAGTACACTTCCCGGTGAGTTGATCATCGAGATTGCACAGTTCCTAGATCCAGTTGGTGTCAGTCAGTTTTCACAAGCTCGTAAAAGTTTCTACGAGCTTTTACGCGCCCAGAGAAGAAGTGCTACTAGAAAACACTCTTGGTCACCTGAAAGGCATTACAGTCGAAGAAGGGTGGATCCAGTAATAAAACGGCTGCTACCGGAAGATGAGCACTATGATGGGCCGAATACAGGTCCGATCCCACAGCTGCTATTAGCCATACATCAAGGGCGTGCTGGCGTACTTCGGGGATATCTGGAAGCAGGTGTCGACCCAAACAGGTTCTGGGGGAGATCGCGGCTGCTGAGCGAGGCTGCCTATTCTGGCGACATGGAATGTGTCAAGGTTCTTCTCGAATATGGGGCAAATCCAGGGCTACCGGACAAGAAAATACGGGAAGATGATTGTCCACGGACAGCGTTAAGTCGGGCTGCATCTATGATATTTCGACGCCAATTGAGATTGAGAGCACTCCCTGGCTTCCAATATTCAATCTTCAACAGTCGTATATGGAAGCCGGGGTATGATAGAGTAACCCGTCTTATGAAGGCAGGTGTGAAGATCACTCATATGGGCGAGGTTTTGTGGACACGGTGGCAAGTCAATTTCTTAGATGTTCTCAAGCTAGCGGTTGAACAAGGAACCGACCTCTCGAAGTTGACTGTCCCATCCGGAACTACAGTCTTGCATATAGCAATTTCCTATGCACAGGAGGGCCATCCTTTTCGATTCTTCTACCCAGGAACGAAGATATTGTGTCATAATGATTTTGAAATAGTCGAGTGGATAATCACAAAATATCCGGATCTTATCAACACCAGCAATGCCCGGGGTGAGACACCATTCTATTGGGCGTTTGACATGAGGCGCTTTGACATCGCAAGGCTTTTGTTATTGCGCGGATTTGAGCTGGGATTTGCAGAAATATACGACTGGTATCTTGAAATCACCATGGGGGAGACGAGTATTGAAAAAGTCGAACTGTTGCTGGAAATAAGAGAGCAGCTCATGCATTACGACGGCGTGTATCACCCTGAACAGTTGAGAGAGCAAGGTCGACTAATGCTATCAGTATGACCTCTTTTCTGGGTAATCACGGAAGTATTTGGGACATTCAATTAACGATTGATGGTAGGCAAATACTGGCAGGAAATATTTCATTTGTCGGCATTGAACATGTAAAAATCACAAGAACGCCAAAGTACAACACTGAAGCTCATAAGAATCGTTGTAAGTTTTCACTTTCATTTCCCAACAGCCATGACTGGAGTCTCGCCAGTTGTAAATCCAATCAACAACCAAAAGGGTCGTTAATTAAGAGTAGCAAGGAGTCAAAACAGAAAGGTCGAACACTTATCCGAGACAACAGAACCACAGATGTAGACAATATGCGACAAGGCAATAGGATTACAAGTCAGTCAGAAATCCATCTTGTGTTAGTGTGAAGTGCTCCATTCCCAGAAACCTTTTCTTTAGGTCTTGGTCACTTACCTGACAATCCCTTTGAACTACTTTACACACGTTGGCCTTAATCCATCAAAATGAACAACCCAGAGGAGAAGGCCACTTTATAAAGTCGTCTAGAGGACATGCTCCTCCGTCCTCTCAGCAGGTAAGTTGACTTTATCTGTCTATGGAATGCAGCACGTCAGGGGACAAGAGTGAGCTAGCGAGTGCTGCAGCCGTTCATACATTAGATGATCTAGTAGCATATTTCAACACTCGAACATGATTTCTCTCCTCTTAAACTTGAGATGTAAGCTTTGACGGTCTCTAAGCTTTCCCTTTACCTCTGACGGTTTTTCTGTTTTATTCTCTATTTATTTATCCCTTCGCTTCAACGGTGAGCCAACCCGTGGCGCTGTCTCTTCACTGGGTTCCTAACTGAGATTCTCGTCCGCGCCGGTAGTATAGTAATCCCACACTTGCCGATGGAGTTTGGTTTTCGCAATGGCTTTAATCTCTAAAACCGCAATGGGCTCGGAAGTGACAGGTTTCCTGTCCGCCACTTTCATCACATTTGACTCGTTGCTCAACCGGAATGGTGGTGAAGTTGAGCCCCCTTATATGGAAAACGGGGTATGTTTGGCTGATGGGGGCACGGATTTTGTTTTCCGAGTCATGTCGTGCGATCTATGGGGCTGGCTAGACATTTACCCTGACGCAACATGCCGCATGTCACGACGAAGAGGATGATAACCTGCTATTCGGGCGTCACAATCCCCGATTAGAGGCCTACTATACACGAGCCAATCAGCTGGCGTCGTTGACGAGTCAGCAGCGGTACAGCATGGCGACCCTGCTGGAGGATCTTGATATTGTCTCAATTCGAATAGATGTCTCGAATAATGAGTATTCGCTGGTCAATTGTACTTCTTCTAAAGGCTATATATACCGCAAGTAACCTCACAGCAATATTTAAATATTGTCTTCCTATACAAAAGAATAGAGCCGACCTCACCGCACATTTAATAACCAATCCACCAACAAACTCGACCCACATCGATATCGAACCTCTTACATACCATCCGCAAGCATGGCATTGACAATCTGCACATGACGATCGCCATTCTCATCGCTCCACTCATTATCATAGTTCAAACCATACGGCCAGAAGTGACTCCCACCGCAGCTGATTTTCGCATCGTCACCATCCCACGACTGCAGCAAAGGCGTCGCCGTCGGCCAGTTATTATCCGCACAAAGCGTATCGAAGGCTTCTGTCTGGCCCACACCAAGGGTGTGCGAAATCTCATGCAGAGCCGTTCGCTCGTTCATGTAGGCGCGGTCCGAGCCGAATCGAATCGTGCCGTCGTAGTTGGCCTCCGCGGTCGGAACACCGGGCGCGTAAGAGACGTGAATCCCTTTGCTCGCGTCGCCGAGGCGAGCATGTCGGGCCACTGCGGCTTCCATGGCGGCCTCGATTAGACCGTAGGCTTCTGTTTCGTCGGAAGAGGGATCGGAGGCTTTGTCGAGCGACCAGGTCAGGGCAGCAGAGGCTGTCGAGGCAGCGGCGATCACGGTGACGAGATGGAGGAAATGCATGATATTCTGGCTGGCGAGGTATTGTAGGCAAGCGGCTACTTATTAGAAGATCACCGAGATAATGAAATAGGTGTGGAGAATGGGGAGGGCAAGTCTTGAAGGACACCCTGAATATTTCCGCGGTGCATTCTCCTCTATTTATATGGAGATAGTCCTCCGATTCGAAATAAAGGAGTGACTCGGAATGAAACTGATCAACATTGTGATCTGCGTTTTACCTCGGAGCTTTCTCTGACAGTGCCAGATACTTATTTGTTATGTCTCGCGGTAGCGCCTTGGCTCTTGGATAGCATCGTTTCAGCTTCATTAACAGTTGGGATATTCCACCGCTTGGAGTTTCTGACGGCGGGCAGAAGGCTTGGCAATCATGCAAGCACGGAAGTTCTGCAGATTACTCCGTACATAAATGGACTCATTGATTGGCATTTAATGAGAAAGACCCGCTGTATACTTAAATACTACCTTATATGGATTCCCCACCAATCCTGTAGAGGTCTGTATGGGGTGAAATATACGGTTTGTTTCTCATAATCATAGACATCCTACGAACATTCTCAAAGTAGTCATGCTTTCGGGAACCCTACAAGGCTTCGGCGTGACCTGTGGATAATGCAGACAAATTAAGGGTATTTTATTCAGCTATCTCTTCTGGACAGGAAACGTAAGGACTCGTCTCAATGCGAAACAAGAAGAGAAACTAATAAAGAGAAACAACTAACCTTGTCGGGAGTGGCTGTTGACGAGGGTTTAATCAACCTTGTTGTTTGTTTGTTTGCTTGTTTCCCGTGGGTTTTGATTCAGTGATCATCCCATTCCCTCCTCTCATCTAGTATTCAACGCATTATGAAAGAGACTATTATCGCGACAATATCGACAATCAGCAGTGAGGCCCCAGCCATCAAGAACCGTGGACAGAAGATAGCAAACACCATCAGATGGCGACGTAGGACACCCGCCCATACGGCCGTCGACAATGTCCAAACCGTGTAGACCAAAATGTGTATTGCGAGTGACTTAGTGACAAGGTGACTTTCTGGGGAGTGTTCATGTTCATCTCGTGCTGCGATTAGAGCGGTCGAAAATGCAGCGACAATTGGACCGGAAAAAGTGTTTAGGAGTACAAGCATCGGGGACCAAGGGTAGTGAAGACCTTCGAATGGGATATAGGCAGCGCCCCATTGGATGCTGGAGAAGGTTGCGTTATGCCCAGTGCCGAAGAAGTGAAGCGTACCGAGGAGCGCGGCGATTGTAGGTCCAATTGTATAGTTGGGAGAGCGATCGAGGAGTTTGCGTAGGCTTAGGATTTGGAGATATAGTGTCGATAAGGAACCGCCTCCCATCGGACCGCTCAGCAAACTGCAGATGACCAAGATGGACGTGGTGGTGACCATATTAGATTGCACGGAAGTCATGGTCATATTCCATTTTGGGGCGAGAGTCATTCCAATACCAGCAAGTGCAATGACTAGAGTTACCCGCGAAAGGAAAATCTGAGCGCGCTTGGATAACATGGTCAAATTCGTTCCTTTAACCCAATTGACTTCATGGACAGACTCGAGTGTCCAATAGACAGCATTGAAAAAATGTGCAACGGGCATACCAATGTGACACCATAACCAGAGGACCGGGGTTTGGTACGTCGAATCTGAACCGAAGGCCTTTCGAGTGATCGCTGGAATAAGGCCGAAAATGCACATACGCCAAATGTTGTAAGAAACGTTAACACAATCCGATCTTCCCACACGGTGTATGAATTAGATGCAAAGCCAATAGACAGCAGAAGAGTAAATGCGATCGTCAATAGGTCCAGGAATGTCAGCTTGTAACCATGCTTTAGTGTTCTTATCAGCCCAACAAGAGGAAAGTGACAGTTTAGTAGCGTCAAACTACTCATTGTGGTGCTCAGCATCAGCCCCTCCGTCACGGAAGTTCCTGCTGACCATGTCAAAGCAGTATGGAAAAAGAAGCTGACCACACCCGTTGCAACTCCTATTGCTATGGTGCCAGAAGAAGCCCCTGGGGTGATATTGTCTTCATCAGACCCACAGATACAAAGTAAAAGTGCGATAGCTCCAAATGATAGGATCAATAGCCCTTCTAGCATATGAGGTATGCTGAACTGAGCCCAAATGTGTTTGTAATACTGTAAGATCGTCTTTTGGTAGTCGCGTAATTGTCGGTATATGGTCTCCAAAGACGAGCTATCTTGGAAATCAATTCCTTGCCAAGAAGTACACCGAGAAAAATCCGTGTGGTCGTGCTCTGTGACATGTGGAGGATTTCCCGTCCTTGTATATTGTTGGTGGAATCGTTCAACCTGTGCGAGCGATAGCATTTGTGCATGCATCAACTGCCTCCAATTGTCCCCGGTAGCTCCAATGAAAGCCTCTTCGATCGGGCTACCTAGGCTATTGAAGGGAATTGGGATACCCAGAAGGAGCGACAAAGTTGGAACAATATCAATTTGAGCGATGGGTCTTTTGTTGATGTATGACGCCTGGTTCTGTGGATAGGGTTGCAAGTGACCGAAATGTTTGCGCCGAGTATACATCCACAATGCCGCCTGAACCTCATTATCGGTTTCGCCGCCATGATTCCCATGCTCATCCATCCCGTGATCACCCAGAACAACAAGAAGCGTGTTTTCGTCAACAAGATCGATAACCTGTCGTATGAGGCGGTCCATTTGCTTCAGTTTACTGGTCATTTCACCGTGTACTGGACCGAATCGATGGCCAACGTGATCAACACCGAGGAAATGGCCAAATATCACATTCCATTCATCCTGACGAGAGCTGATGAGTGGTAGAAGGTGTTTCTCCACGCCATTGTCTACCGTGTGGAGGTCAGAAACGAGGAAGGAATCGTACGCGTGAGACAAGTTCGGCAGGAAGTGATTCGGAAACAGCTTTATCCACGTATCGTCCCCAAGATGCACTAGTCCCTTTCCTGCTTTGTGTAGTTGGGTTACAATGTTATCTTCTGCAAGAGCGGAACCTGCAAAGTTGGCACCAGCCTCGATGAATGTTGGCAGTGTCCCTGTCGTCAATCCCTTTAACCGTTGCAGAGTTGTGGTAGGGGGGTCCGCAATGAAGGGAAAGAGAACTGCATTGTGGGGCTCTTGGGTTGCTTTCTCGTGTAGTATGGTGAGGGCATTGTGGAAAGGTTGAGGCGCGTCCTGTTTGGATGTCTTTGGCGAATATGGCACCGTGAAGTCATATCGTAGCGCATCGATAACTAGGATCACGGCTTTATCAAAGGACCTGGGCATCCAGCATCCATTTTGAGCGGATTCCAGATGGGAAGATTCATTTAGTTGGAAGTGTGGCAAGAGAGGACGTGTACAGGTGCTGGTGGACTCCAGAGCTCTTCGTGACAACAGGAAGCCCTTGGCGAAAAAGTAGAGTCCTACTGTATGAACAAGTCTAAAAGAAGGAAACAGGCAATTAGTAAGATGTCAAGCGGCTCAAAAATGTAAGTGGTATCGATCAGCCTTACAACATCCAAACGAAGAATGCAGGCGAGGCCCAACGAGCACTGTTGCTCGCCATTCTACTCATGTATGGGACAATGAGCACTAGTTTGGACCCTCTATCAAAGACGAAATCTGATAATACACGGCGATTGTAGTTGCGTGTTTAGCAGAAGCCTTAATGTGTATGAGGAGCTTAGCAGAGATAGAGATGACAGCGTCGCGTGGCCAGTCATTCTGCCTTCTTCAACCGCCTCTCTGACAAGCCTGAAGGTGACACAGACGCGTGATTTTCCTTCTCATCTAATAACAAGACGTATCGGATAATTAGCGTCAAGTATCTTGGTATCAAGGAAGCAATAGAGTTAGTGTGAAGCGTCATACCCCCATTGGGACTGTAGAAATCTAGTTCAACTTCGCAAAATCACTCACTATATTACTACCCTAATAGTACACTCGGCCATCCCCCTTCTACACCTTGCGGAAAATACCTCTATCCTCAACAGTAAAGTTAAAAGGACAACAGGCCGGCCGTGGTCTCGTGTCCGGGAACTAGGACTGTAATCACTTTATCGTTGCAAGAAGGTAGCAAAGCAAAGGAACTGAGAGCGGAAATAGCTAAGGACGTATCTGTGCTGAGCGCCCCTTGTAATGGTAAATTCTTCCATTCAATGGTGTTTTAGATTGAAGGGAAAGGTCCGGAAAGTTCAACATATCCGTCCTGAGACTCTCTCCAACCCTTCTACCTGAAGTCCGCACGTCAAAATCACTACAGCGGCCAGATATTTTCCAGTACTTTCCCATCGACAACCGGTGCTTGAGCCGGGAACATTATCCCATATACACGAGCCCATTCCGTCGACTCGTTATTCCAACTGTGCATCGTTGCCTGTTGTACCACCACGTCCCCTTCGGTCAAGTGGACTCTGGAGCCATCATCCAAGCCAAGAACCAGACTCCCCTTAGCAACGATGACATAGTCCAGGGTAATTGAGCGATGAAAAAGACCCTGAGACTGGGGAGGGAGGTCGTAGGCGGTGAAACCGGACCCGGTGGGTGGCATGCTTGGTTTTAGACGAGCTTTGTCTTCCGGACTGCTGACGTCTGCTGGTTGTTCGCCCGTGTACCAGAATGGGGTCAGACAGGTGCCATCGCCGTACGGCTGGACGTCGAGGTAGGAGTCATGTTGGACGGTTGCGTGCCCGTTCTTGTTATGGCCAGTCACGACGCGGCGGGGCTTCGGGAGGGAATTGGGTGGCGGTTGTTCGGACATCGTGGTGTAGAGGACGACGGTGGATGCGATCGAGGACAGAATTTGGGAGTTGGACTCTTTCGGCGTACTATTGCCGGCCAAAACTCCTTTAATAAGACCATTTATTGTACGGAATTGGTCCCATGTCGGAGTTAACGGTTAAATGCGCCAGTGAGTGGATCCTAAACATGGTTTGGTGGGCCACTTTTCTGTCATCCAGCGGTGTTCACGGGGTTAACACTAATTATCTGATCTCAGGACTTGTGGCGACAAAATGAAAAGAGAAAATATCAAAACAAGTAAACTTGCTAAACCAGGTATAAAGGGGTCGAGATCCTCGACCCTGAATGACTGCATTGATTTCTTACCCTAATTCTACTTGTCTTGACCTACGTCATCATGACAGCCACTTCCGACCTAAAAATTGTATTCGGTGCAATGACCATCGGCGAAGCTGGTGAGTAGCATTTCTGATGGCATGATATTGGAGAACTCACTGACAAGGCGATAGGTCTGCCGGGATGTCGACAAACAAACGAGAAAGAAGTCGCCGATGTCCTGGACAAGTTCCAGCAACACGGCCACCGGGAAATCGACACATCGCGCGCATATGCGAATGGAACATCGGAGATGCTGCTTGGACAAAGCGATTGGCAGGGGAGGGGATTGAAGATGCAAACTAAGATCTATCCCACCGCTGGCAAAGGCATGGACAATGAGAATTACACTCTCAACGCAGAGGATCTGCGTCGGGCTTTGACGGCCAGTCTGGCCGCGCTTCAGACCGACAAAGTGGACTTGTGGTATCTTCACGCACCGGATCCGAACACGCCTCTTGAAGTCACCATGCGCGAAGTGGATAGGTTACACCGCGAAGGTAAATTCGAGCGTCTTGGAATCAGCAATTTCATGTCCTGGCAAGTGGCGCAGATGTGTGAAACTTGCGACCGCCACGGATGGATCCGACCCTCTGTCTACCAAGGCATCTATAATCCGGTCCATCGTGCAATTGAAGCCGAACTGCTTCCGTGCTTGCGACACTACGGCATTGCGCTCTATGCCTTCCAACCACTGGCTGGTGGTGTCCTGACTGGGCGTTACCAGTACGACACGACGCAATTCGAAGCTGGGTCGCGATACGACCCCAACAACAAGCAGAGTGCATCGATGAATGCTCGCTACTGGAACAAAACCACATTCGAAGCACTCGATATTATTCGGGAGGCTGCGCAAAAGCACGGACTCTCTATGCCCGAGTGCGCTTATCGCTGGCTTGTGCATCATTCCCAATTGAGTAGTCTGCACGAGGACGCTCTGATTATTGGAGCGAGCAGCGTGGCTCAACTAGAAGGCAATTTGGCTGACATTGAGAAGTCTCCGCTTCCGAGTGATGTGGTGGAGGCATTCGAAGCGGCATGGCAACATATCCAACGTCCGGTTTTGAAGTACTGGCATTGAGCGTATTCACCGTCATGTGTACTAGGTAGATATAAATAAGAATTGAGTGAAGGACCTCCATCCAGCCCGACTGAACGAAACAAGAAACTGTCTAGAAATAACTGTTTGACTCCTCTTTTCTCGAGCGGTTCGTAGATGGTATGGTCATATCGCGACCTCTCATACTACATTCCCAGTGCTGAGGATTTGAAGGCTGGACCCAGCTGATCAAGCCACGATGACCTGCTGAATCTCTCTCTAAGAGGCCCAAAGCATCAAGGTTCCTGGGTAAACCTTTTACTCCATTTGAATTGATATGCTGGTGAGAAGGTGCGGGAAACGCGGAGCAAATATTTAGCTTGTTGTGCGAATGCTTCTTCTCGTATTATCGCCTAGTTTTCTTTCCTTCGTCTAGATAGGAATAAATTCCTCGACAGTGCACAATTATTATAGATGAAGACCCCACTTGCTACCAAGTTCCTCAGGTACATAGCTCGTGCAGATTGCCGTATAATCACCTCTCTGCGATGACGACTCCACACTGGCGGATTTAACAAGAAATTCCCTTAACCCCGAGACGTCCACCGAATTGGTTCGAATTATTTCAGGGACGATGAAGCGCACTCCAATGATGAATTCTTCAATTTCTCATAGTTTTCTTGCATGATATACCACAATGCTGTTGTCCCTTACGCGCATTGTGTGCTTTGTCTGGGCAGCTTCGGCGCTTAATATCGCCCTTGCCCAGACCGTTATACAAAGCTATCCGCTCTCTTTGATCAGTCGATTCTCATCGCCCCAAACCTTCGAAAACATAGCCGTCAAGTCGAACGGCCACCTTCTTCTCACATCAACCACATCCCCTACAGTTTTCGAGGTTTCTCCGTTCTTTGAAAACCGAAACCTCCCGCTCGTCGAAATCCCACAGGCGCAAGGGCTTCTCGGTATCGTCGAGCTAGAAGAGGATGTCTTTTACGTTGCCTCATCGAATATAACCGCCTCCCGCGGTACTCCGGGATCGAATGCCGTGTGGCGTATTGACCTTCGCAATGCTACCGCCCGGTCAACAGGGGGCGAAGTTTCCCTGGTTGCAAACATTACCGATGCGGGAACTCTAAATGGCATGTGTCGGCTCGGTCAAAGTGATCGCATGCTCCTGGTCGCCGATTCTGCAAAGGGCCAAATCTTCAGCCTGGACGTTGCAAACGGAGACTATAAAGTGGTCATGAATGAAACAATTTTACAACGCACCACGGACGGCTTGCCGGTTGCAGTGGACGGGATTCGCGTCCATGACTCCGATGTCTTTTTCACCAACTTCAACCAGGGCCTGTTTGGGAGGATTCCTATATCACCCAGCTCTGGCACCCCGACTGGGACTCCCGAAGTTACTGTCGCCAATCTGTCGGGTGATGACTTCCTGCTGTCAGATGACGGTAGCAGAGCGTGGATTGCCATGAATGGCAATAGTACTGTGGTGGAGGTCGACATTCTCAACAAATCTTCCAAAGTCATTGTCCAGTCGCCTCTCCTCGCAAGCGCGGCTGCGATCGCTAGGGGCAGGAGTATTCTTGACCGTGATAGCTTATATGTTGCCTCGGGTGGGTGCCTCAGTTTAAAGTCCAACGGCAGTAATGTCAGTTGTGAAGGGATTGTTGCACGCATTGATGTTCCCAGTCCAGGTGCATCTTCCTAACAACGTGGGTTCGAATCATAGTGGGATGTCCTTAGGCATTGCTGATATTTGTTACCGCATCAAACTACACGAATTTGCTGCCATAGTTGGAAATAAATCATACGATTTAGTGCGACGAGATTCTCTATACGAATAGTAGTCCAGGTATTAATTGAAGTCATGACAGATTGGGCAACGTGGGTTGCTGCTACGTGCCAGCAGAAGGATGTGTCTACCCTGTGCAGAAATATATCCATGGATAGTTTCCGAGGTACATTAATTACCATCCAACACAATGACGAACGAAGTAACCTTGTAATAGGAATCTTTAGACCACATATGAAATTGCTAGTGCATCACATGCAATATTCTTGTAAAGAATCATCCGTAAAGGAGCGTCACAAATTAAATAATTGTAATGCCAGTTTCGCGCCCCTAGGCTGCTACTCGGGATATTGTTACTACGTGCCGACATGGTTTGGGGCTTAGTTGGTGACTCTACTTAAATAATCGAGGGCATTACTATTAGAAAGATTTTTGAAATAATCATTCCAGAAAGATCTAACAATTAATAGGAAATGATAGCGTGTAACAGACAAGGGGAGTCTAGACTGAGTCAGAGGACCCACCGGATGCGATGTCAGGCCGTGTCAGGTGCCCCACCCAGCCCTGACTCCGGCAGATTCTCTGCTCTATAGAATGGATTGTATAAGAATGTTGAAATGAATCGGATCATTCCTACTAAGTGGAAACTAAACCAGCTACTGATCGCTACTCACATTTCATCATGTCCACCAAATCCTCAGAATCCTCGCCGGAACCGGAGCCGGAGCCAATCACAAAAGGCTGGCGTTTCTGGGTCAGTATACCCGTGTAACCATTCTACTTATGGACTTCATCTAATCCACTGTGATATGATATAGGCCATCTTTGCTGCTCTTACTGTCACCTCCTTACTCTCCGCGCTGGATACTTCGGCCATATCCACCGCCCTGCCCACTATTGTCCGCGACCTCAACTCGGGCGATTCCTACGTATGGATCTCCAACGCATACATGCTCACCATGGCCGCTTTCCAGCCGCTCTACGGTCAAACTGCCAATATTTTCGGTCGGCGCAGTTTGACCATTCTCTCCGTGGTCCTATTTGCCATAGGCTCGGCCGTGGCCGGCGCAGCCAAGAACACCGGGGCTCTCATCGCCGGACGCACGATCCAAGGCCTCGGTGGAGGCGGCATCAACGTGCTGATCGATATCATCGTCTGTGATCTGGTCCCCTTGCGCCAACGACCCAAGTACATGGGAATCATATTCTCCCTCTTTGCCGTGTGCATCTCGCTGGGCCCCGTCATCGACGGCCTCATGACCCAACGCGTCACCTGGCGCTGGATCTTCTACCTCAACCTGCCCATCTGCGGCGCCGCCCTTCTCCTCCTGATCCCCTTCCTCCACGTCAACTACAAAAAGGACTCCATCCGTAACATGTTCCGCCGCGTCGACCTCCTCGGCAACGCCCTCCTGATCGCCTCCGTCGTCGCCATCCTGCTGGCCCTCACCTGGGGCGGCATTAAACACCCCTGGGCCTCATGGCGCACCCTCCTGCCCCTGATACTCGGCATCCTCGGCCTCGCCGGCTTCCTCGCTCTGGAATCGTCGACGCTCCTCCCCACCGACGAGCCCACCATGCCCCTCCGCCTCTTCGCCAACCGCACCTCCCTCGGCTCCTTCGGCCTCACCTTCATCCACGCCATGCTCACCTACTGGATCACCTACTTCCTGCCCGTCTACTTCCAATCCGTCAAAGAGGCCTCTCCGATCCGCTCCGGCGTCGACCTCCTCCCCACCGCCGTCTCCGGCATCCCCTTCGCCATCCTCGCCGGCAGCGGCCTCTCCCTCCTCAACCGCTACCGCCCCTTCCACTTCGCCGGCTTCGCCCTCCTAATCCTCTCCTCCGGCCTCTTTACCCTGCTCGACGCAGACTCCTCCACCGCCACATGGGCCGGCTTCCAGATCCTCGGCGCAGCCGGCGTCGGCGCCCTCCAGACCACCACCCTGCCGGCTCTTCAGGCTCCCCTCGCAGAGGCCGATGTCGCCGTCGCAACGGCTACTTGGGCTTTCCTGCGCAGTCTGGGTGGTATCTGGGGCGTCGCTATCCCTGCTGCGGTGTTCAATAGCCAAATCAACAACTTGATCCCGTCCCGGCTGCGCGGTGACCCGAGCTTGCAGGCTCGTCTGGCGAATGGGGGCGCGTATGAGCTAGCGACTAAGGAGTTCATGACTTCGTTGAATGATAGCCCTCGTGTCAAGACTGCCGTTGTGGGCGTTTATGTGGATAGCCTGCGCATCGTGTGGTATGTTGGTCTTGCGTTTGCGATTCTGGGATTTCTGGTCGCGTTTGTGGTGAAGGAGGTGCCGATGCGGGAGCATTTGGAGACGGAGTTTGGGTTGGATAAGGAGAAGAAGAGGGAGATTGAAGAGGGGAGTGATTAGCCTTTCTGCTTATCGATTTGAAGCGGTTTGTTGCACTTTGAATAGAAAGGGGCAATTGAAGGCAGACTTGGGAATAGATTATATCTGCCCTGCTATTGGTTATTGATTGGGTTCGGGTTTCGGTATATCGTTACTATAGACAGTTTAATAATGTTCGCATTCTTCTCTCCCCAATGTGCGTACAGAAGCGTGCTTCTCAGTTCCTGTCGCAAAGTTACAAATTATCCAGCCTCTCTTCAGCAGGTTCAAGTAGCCAGCTGGGCACGGAATCGGTTTCCGCTAGAAAGCCCAGGGCCTCATACCAATTTCCCATCGGCTCGCCCGCGAATACACTGTGCGTAGGTGATGCAGGCGGGACAGAAACTAACGATGGAGCTGGCAGATCGCTCCCTCGAGAAATTGAGGACTGGTCTCGTACGGCATTCGAAGTCCGGCCATCCAGCAGCCCAGGGTTTGCCTGGTTATTTCCCTTGTAGCCGTCTTGAGCGACTAGATCCCATGCCTCAGAACGAGTCCTGTCCCCGTGACCATGGGACTTCCATTCGGGAACGATCCCACGCAGGTTCGGATACTGGTCTAAAAAGGACGGGGTCACGGCAAAAGGCGCCGAGGATGCCTCCGGAGAGAAGAGTTGCCTGAATTGCGGACTTAGGGTTAACCGGCGATCGGGGCCGACAAGATAGGCATCTTCAAAGTTGATTTCTGGCACGAAGATCATGCTCCGTAGGGTTTGCGTAGCGAGGTCGTTGCAGGGCTGAGTGTTGTAGCTCTCAACGTCCGGCTGCGAGAGAAGATATAGGCGTAACTGCGGCCTGGACGAGTCGGTCAGATTTAACCCGGGTATATTAGTTCATTGCATCAAGAAAGCTCACCATGGAAGCATGTCGATGGTAACATTGTGTCGAATACTACTTTGAGCCGGTCTGAGGCAGTATCAGCTGCAAGGCTGCTGAAGAATAGTCAGGGTAGCGGCCTCACGTGGGGTACAACCAGCCAGGGACATGGCTCAAATATGCTCGGTAGGTTTCTAGTTGAGCAAGCAGAAACTAAAATCAAGCCCGATGAGATAGAGCAAAGGAACCGGAAAAGGCACTCGCTCACTAGAAGAGACATTTGGATCAAATATAGAATGGCAAGCTGATCAATTGGCCTGACTAATGGTCGCTCGAGCATGAGCCTGCGATGAAGGTGAGCCATGAGGCGATGAACTGGCTCCTCCTGGACCGACACAGGAACATTCCAACCATTGAGGACACCGACCAGGATGGAATGAGGGTCTGTTAGGGGCATGGCCGGCGTGGGATGGGTGGATTTGAGAGCTTCGTAGTCATGAACAATTTCTCCTAGAAGACTTTTTCGGGTAGGCTGAGGTGATGAGAGGCCACTTCCACCGTTCACGGGACCTAAGGTGGTGTCTAGGGCGCCGGCGATGTTCAGAAGCTGATCAGCCAAGGTACGCAGCTGTGACCGTTCTTGCTGCATCTGCTTCATTTGCTCCATCATGGCCTCGTCACCACCGGCTTGCAGCTGGGCGATTTGATGCTCCAAACGGGCTACTCGATCTTTAGCACGATTTCTCGACGCTCGTTGGGCGGCCCGGTCTTGAGCACGCTTTCTCTCTCGTTGCTCTTCGTAGGAGAGCCTCGGCATTGTGAGTGTGGATGGATGGAGATTATGATAAATGACGATAAGAGGTAAGGCGAAAGTGAGAACGAATAACGATGAACGTGGTCAGTATTTGAATACGGCCGGACAGGAGCCAGCAGTAGGGGGCAAAGCAAAGGTGAAGGTATAGAAGCCGCCGCCACGTCTAGATTGTTTGGCACTAACCCAATACGGCAATCACTGTCACATGGCTAATTGCTGACTCAGCCACTGCTGATCGCCGACCGCCTGCCGCATTCAGTCGGCAGTCCACTTTCTCCGCATCGCCAACGGACCAACACCGTCTCGAGTCCATCAACTTCCCCAGATGCGGTGACCCGCCACGCCTGCTAGTCAGCCCGCTAATTCGCTCTGTTCCCAGGATATGTCTGGTGGCAATGTCATCCTATGATAGGGGCTTGCTGCAACGGCTCCCCGTCCGCATTGGCCTCAACGAGAGCATCCATCGCCCCTACTGGGATGCTCTCTCCGAAAAAGTTGGCCGCTTCCGCCCATTCACCCTGAGCTATCTTCTCTCGTTTCCCAATGAACTTATCCTGGAAGTAGCAGATCATCTGGACCTGCCGGATCTTGCCCGACTGTCTCGAGTGAATCGTCATTTGCGAGAGCTGCTCTTGCCGAGGGTCTTTCGAATCGGTACGTTCGGCCCGTGAGGGGTTTTATTGCTGGTCCGTGTCACTGATTAGCGCAGGAAGTAGGGAATCTCGTCGTCACAAGAAAACTGTCTGCTTCACATGGCTCCACTATGCCGCCTTTACGTGCAATATTCCGCTGGCACAACGATTGATGCTGGAGGGGTCGGATCCGCATCGAGTTGGTCGCAAACGGTCCTGGTCGCCCCTGTACGTCGCTGTGTTGAACGGATATGCGGAGATGGCGGAGGTGCTGGGGCTGGGTAGGGCTGATACAAAACAAACTTTTCTGAATGCCGACGTGACATTGCTTCATGCCGCTGTCGAAAGTCGGAACGAATATCTGATCATGCGGTGTCTCCAAATCGGTCTTCCCCTCGACGTGCAGGATGCTAGAGGCGACACGCCACTCCACCACGCGGCCGGGAATGGCGATGTCGATGTTGTCCGCTTTCTATGTCGACTGGGGGCGTCTGTCCACGTGCGGAATATCTCCGGTGCCACGCCGATGCATCGCGCTGCATCGGCCCGCATATCCAGACGCAGGCCCGATACTCGAGCGCGCACGATCGTATTTCTCTATCAGCATGGCGCCGTTGTCGATGTACGGAACCTTCAAGGCCAGACGCCCAGCATGTTCGCCACTGCGCGCGGCCACCTCGATCTGCTGAAGCAACTTTTTCTGCTGGGAGCGCGTGCGGACGTGCAGGATAACGGGGGTCGAACGCTTCTCCACGAAGCTGCCGTGTCCGGGGAGATTGGCAGCCGTAACCTTCGCATGAAAATCCTCACATATCTGTGCTCGCGAGGGGCGAAAGTCGACGCGCCCAACTCCCTTGGCGACACGCCCCTCCACTTTGCAGTGATTCGGGGTTTCCCGGAAGCTATTCGACGACTGGTGGAACTGGGCGCACCACGAGATTGTCGGAATGCCCTAGGGCAGACACCGCTGCATGCTGCCCTGGCGGGAGATCCCGCGATAATACGATTGCTGGTGGCGTTGGGAGTGGACATCAACGCAGCCGATTTTGACGGGATGACGCCGCTCCACGAGGCGATGTTTGAGGATTCGGAGGCTGCAGCGCTAGAACTGATACGACTGGGGGCGGACGTGCATATTTGCAACGTAGATGGGGTGAGTCCATGGGATATTGCGGTCTACGAGGATTTGGAGATGATAATAGCGATGTGCAAAAGCATGGAGTGAGGGGTTTACGGCGGTCTTTGTGCTCATTCTAATACCCTGATTTGTTGATTGCTCATTCACTAAGGAAGTTTTCGATAATATCATCCGGCAACATCCAGTTAGCCTGTCTATAAGTAAGATGTCCATCACCTTCCCTTCTGCTTCCTTCTCACATCTCTTTGCTTTGCCGCTCTCAATCCCATATCCATATCCATATCACATCACATCTATCCAAAATGAACCACGTAGCCGACTCCATCCCCTCCGACCTCCTCGCCATTCCTCCTCTGTCCTCCCAAACCCCCCTACCTCAGCCCCTCTACAAACCGATCAAAATTCTCGTGATTCACGGTACGTCATACCCATGCCCCTACACCCTCAAATCACCCCTTCAAGTCCCAAACTAACGCAATCTATACAGGCCACGGCTCCTCCTCCTCCCGCGCTTTCTACAAATACCGCGGCCTACAGCCTCTCATCCGGCACCACATCATGCACACCCTGCACCGCGACGTCGAGTTCTACTTCCCGAACGCCCCGCTGCTGCCGGCCGGTTTCGAGCCCGGTATGTGGACCTGGGGGCTTGGCGATTATCGCGTAGATCGCGTCCCGGGGCTGCAGGAGTCGGTTAGTTTCTTGGTGCGGTACATGGAAGAGCATGGGCCTTTCGATGGCGTTATGGGGAGCTCGGCCGGCGCTACTGTTGCTATTGTCGTGGCGTCGTTGCTCGAGGGCGATCTGCTCAGAGGGGGGTGTGAGGAGGTTAAGATGAAGGTATGTTCTTTCCTCTCCTTTGTTCTGAATGTATGGCGTTCTGGCATATATATATCTGTGCATCATTTATTCCCCGTCCCCGTCCCGCTGCGACAACATATGCTTCTAACTTCTCCGTCAACTTCAACCGCAATCCCAACGCTGACATAGATATGATGTGACAGACAAACCATCCCCCCCTCAAATTCATGATCTCCTACAGCGGCTTCAAAATGGGCCACGCGCGCTACCGCTCCATCTATCGCCCCAAGATCCAAACCCCGATTATGCATTTCATCGGCGAGCTGGACACTTACATCCCCGGTACTTTGACGCTGAAGCTGGCCGAGCGCTGCGTCAATAATCAGGTCGTGTATTTCCCCGGTGGGCATTATATTCCGCGGTTGAAGAGGACTACTGTCGCGGCTGCGGGATTCATTTGCGATTGTTTGGATATTGGTGGTTGTGATGATGAGAGTGAGTGGGAGGAGGTTGATGATGATGATTTGTAGATCTTTTTCAGACTTGTTTCTTTTTCCTTTGGTTGTTTTGTTTGTTGAAGGCGTTGCTTGGATGGCCATCACTCTGGTTTGGAAATTTCCAGTGATGGTGAGACCATGGGAGTGTCATATGCTGTTTGTTAGACATGAGTGGTTGTTTGCTTTAATAGATGTTATTGGTGTGAACATTATGTCCAGGCTTCAACGGTCAAGCAGAGTAATCTTGAAGGATTCAAAAGCCACAAAGCTCTGAGGGAATTGATATTGAAATTTTGGCTACAGGGAGATTTACCATGCACCATGAAAAGTATATATAGAGAATCGTAGTAAGAAACAAACTACACCGGCACTTTCCCCGTACTTTAAGGTTACAATAAAAATTAAACATTAACAAAATACCGACTCCACCCAGGTAAATGCTGGTATCAAATAGACCACGATCTAAAGAATCGATCCCAGCCCAACACACGAAAGCGTAGCTCCGATAAGACTGTCCGACTATAGCAAGGCTCATTAGCAACTTCTTCCACAATAGATACGCAGAAGGACTTACAGCATCACCCTTATTTCCTTGGCAACAGGCAACATTCTGCTTACACTGTTGATCCAGCACATCCTGCACGCCCAGCAGAAGCAGCACGGTTACTACCACCACTGTTAGCCTACTACCAACCCAATACAAGCCCCAAAATAAAAAAGGAAAAGGAAATGACATACCTTGCGCATCCAACTTCGAACACTCACTAAACAACGATCCGCCCTCAGACGCAGAACCAGCACCCAAGACACCCGACAGCTGCCCACCCCCTTCATGCACGTTGGTCGTGTCGCCTCCCTTGCTGGCTTTGTTGCAGCAGGACAGCTGTGCCTGCTCGCCGCATTTCGAGGACGCCTCGGTCACGGTCATGCCCTTGGGCGCGGGCCAGACGATCTCGCTGCTGGGCTTTTGTTCGGTCATGGCGTGGTCGGGGGAGGGGAGGGCTGGGGCTCCGGTGAGGAGGGAGATCAAGGGGAGGAGGGTGGTTGGCTTCATTTTTGGTGATTTTTCGGTTTGGGGTATATTTTAAAGAATGAGAGAGGTAATAGAGAACGAGTGACTAAAAAAGAGGACGAAAGGAACGAATGTGGGTGAAGGAAAAGTTGGGTTACGTACATGACGGCGGTATTTATTCTTCTCCTGGAAGGTCAGGCTAGGATTGTTTATGTTCGTTGATGGCATTCCAATGCCAGGACCCGAGAATATGTGATGCTCCTTGCATGCTTTGGCGGTTGTCGCTCATAGGATTGGTGGATGGGATATCCCTGGAATGTTGGTGCATTCCGTGGACCTTGTGATAGATAATGGTGGTATATTTGTGGTAGCTTCACTAGTAGGTTGTTTTGATTGTGCTTTCAACTAGTACTGCTTTTATCTGGGTAAGTAGGCTTTGTATCTTCACGGTCAATTAATTGCTGTTGGTTGTGGGAATGGCGTATAGCATTCTCATAATGCAGTTGGTTTGGTTTTTCTTCCGTGACTCAATCCAGTGATAAAAATAGAATCCCGATTGCCTCGCAAAATATATAATCTCCGACCACGTAGGCGCCCTTTGCTGCTGCAGGAACGGTTTGAAGCTCGTTAATCGGAGTAGATGGAAATGCGTCATGGCTATTTTTTATTTCTCTGTTTTATTATCCTTTATTTACTTAACTAATGCCTCGCTACAGGAAGGAATTATATACTTGTATTTGTAGTCCTGATAGCAACTGCAGAGTCCGATTGCCTACTCGACGCCTGGCAAAGGCTGGCCGGCCATATATCGCGGGAATCCCTGGTATCCAAGCCAGAGCTCACCAGTTCCCGGCGGGCCACCGACAATCTCCTTTTTGCGAGCCTTGAGCTCATCAACGTCCCAAGCCGCGAAGACGATCTTGTTTTTGAGAAATTCTGCTTCGGCCGAGGCGATCCACACAAGAAAGTCGGCAGGAAGAGACACTGCGCAAGAAAGTATTGTGAGCTACTTGCTCACAACACAGGATTGGCTAACACTTACTATCATCATAGAAAAATGGCAATTGGATCGACTCCGCCAGCTTAGCCGACATGGCCGTCTTGAGCAGCCCCGGATGCACATTGTGAAGACGCACCTGCGGGTTCTCGGTGGCGAACGACTGTAGGAGCTTGACGGCTGCCATCTTGCTGCTCACGTAGGCGCCCATCCCAGGGAAAGGGGGGAACAGGATGCCGGCTGTGGTCAGATTGATGAAGGTGATTGGCTTGTCCTCAGCTGTGCTGATGGTCTTGTTTGCTAGCACGACAGCCTGCGCCGTCACCAGTGTCCCGACTACGGTGGTCTTGTAGCCGTCTAGGAACGTGGCCGGATCTGCTTCCAGAAGGGGAACGACGGGAGCGAGGACGCCAGCACAGTGCACGAGGATGTCGATGCCACCGAGCTCGGTAGCGACCTTGTTCATGATATTTCGGACGGTCGAAACATCGCCTAGGTCGGCTTCGTGTGTTTGAATCGTCACATCTGGGTGGCTGGTGTTGATGATGCTGGCGGTTTCGGCTAGGGCGTCGGCGCGGCGACCTAGGAGGATGAGGGCTCGGGGGTCCGATGCAGCAAAGGACGAGGCGGTGGCTCGACCAATGCCACCTGATGCGCCGGTAATCAGCACAACCTTGTCTGAGGTGGAGAGGGCGGGCTGGCTTGGGTTGATGCCGGGGTAGGTGGCGGAGTGGGTGACTTTAGTATAAGAGGGCGGCGTTGCCATTATGTCGGGTTTGAATCTTTTGTCCCTGTAGGATTTGATTGCGGTGTATAGTACGGGGATGACCGTGTAAATAGTCAAACAAATTACATTTGAGAGTTGAAAGAGGAATTCAATAGAGAGAGAGGGGATATAAATACACCGCACTGTTAGAAGGATCCAGCCGATCATAAAAGTCAATTCCATTAGCCATCAGCAACAAGCATTAATGTGGGGCCTTTGTAGGCGGCAATCTAGATCTCAAGGCTACAGTCAGACGCTGGACTGTCTTCTACTGCGTAAGACATCCGTGTTGGTTGCTGTATGCTTGGGGTCCAAATTGTGGATCGGGCCAACAGACTAAACAAAATGGGCTACAAAATACGAGATTGATATGGAACAAAGGCCATGATTGCCTCAAATTCGCATATTTCCATACAATGGCAATTGGCTCCGGAGGATCTGCCCAGAATGAGCAGGGAAGGGCAAGCTAATCAGCGCTCCCACTGCGGATATCTGATGTTTAGCTCGCTACCAAACATGCCAGATACCAGTAGCAAAAGCTGGATGTGCACACACGCAGCTGGTCCTTTTTCTACTACTTTATCTTCTTCGACTGTTCTATCATTTTTGGCTTATTGTTTACATACAATGTAAAAGAGCTTTTAAGCCTTGAGGCTACTTACGTTATCGACACTCCGTCCGCCCGGTCATCAACCACAGCCGGCTGTTTGTCTCAGCGGTATTTTACTTTTCTTAACATTTATTATCGGAAATTTAAGAACAGATGTTCCTCATCCGTATATGAAATTGGCTACGTACACTTCAATACATTGATAATATCCCAGTTATTGTACAGCACTGGCGGCGGAGGCCACGACGTCCAATTCAGCGCTGCACAAAGGCCCCTTGGCCATTCCGTTCTATTGATTTGTATTTTAGTATATTTCTTGCCGACTATTATCGATTTGACGTTTTCTATACATATAGCATGGGACACATAGCTTACTCGTGTCCTGCTGTCCCATGTAGCTATTCAATTGTAACGCCGAGATAGAATGACATCACATGGTTTTGTTCAAAGCAGGATGTGCTTTTCTGGGGCGCCGGCGATATTGCACATGCTAGAGAGAAAGAAAAAAAGGCAAGCAAATAAGCCACATTAAAGCCCAGGATACTGTTAACTAATCCGACCTTGATGTCTTGGGAAACTTGATGCCTATACAGCTGGAAATGCCGAACATGTTAGCGCCACCATCGACGCAACCCTTCCGGCAAATGGCACGGTGCTGCATCAGTAGCTGACCGATCCATAATCAGTGCCTCGCACGCCTCGGCAACTTGGCCACTATCCCAGACCCCTTCTCTTCGCCCCAGTGAACGCAGCGTGGCAACGCTACGCAGACGAGTATCGCGGTCCTTGCAGGAAACGCAGATCAAGGCTAGCACGGGAACGATGTCACTACCAATCGCAAAGGTGCGATGTCTTTGTGACTCGCACATCGGAACAAGGGACTCAATCTTGGACAAGACTGATTCACAGCTGCCGACGCTGACTGGATCTTTGAATGTTGTCATTTCGGTTAAAAGTCCCCAGATACTTTGATCTAAAAGAAGCTTTGCAAACCCTGGTTGATGATTCTGTGGTTGCTGCTGGAGGTATTGATCGCTGGATTGCTGGAGGATCTTAAATCGCTGATTCCAGATGGATAATGCCTCTCGGGCTGACCTTAATGACAGGTATTCTTGCCGTGGAGACTCATTGGCTGTTATTAAAGAATGATCAGGAGCAGCCACTGCTGAGGCAAAAGAAATATTGTAGATAAGGTCAACCTGCCGTAGTGATTTCGAGGCTTCTTCATAACTTGCAAAAGGCTCGTACCGGCTGCCCATATCGGGGACAGGAAAGCCAGAGGCTAGATTTCCGAGTGCATTATTATTATTGAAAATCGCGCTGTCATGGCCCAGCTTGTAGAATACTATAAAGAGGGCGTTTTTAAGATCCGGCGCAGCTGATAGTGTGGCCCATGGTGCCGAGCGAGAGCTTAGTAGACTGCTTCCCGCTCGCAAGTGTCGCACAGACTCTGAATACCGACCTAGTAGGTTTTCGATACAGACGAAGATGACGCAGCACATCATAAGAACGTAGGCGTCCATATCGGAGGTGAAGCTCTGGGAAAAGGACTGAATATGCTCAATAGCAGCATTACATCTTTCAATAGCGGCAATCTCAGACCTTAGAATAAGATCTTTAGAGGTGTGGGAATTGCCGGGATCGCTGACTAGAAAATGCCAATGGGCAGCACCCAGCGCACAAATGGCGTACTTGAGCGGCGTTATACTATGCGCGAGAGGCATCGCATAGTAGTACCAAAAGTCCGTAGGGCCCGATCCCTCGGCCAAATGATTGATGACGAGGAGTTGGGCATGATGAAAAAAAACTGAATCGGGGTTGTTGGCAAATAAATTGTGGAGGATAGATTTTGGAACCGTTCCAACGCAAGATGATGGAGTTTGATGCGTGCCCGTCTGTGGCAATGCTTGTGCTGGTGGGTCCCTCCCCTTGGATATTCGTAGTAGATGAACCATATTGATCTGGGTATCACCACTTGGTTTCGGTTGCGTCTTCGGCTTAGGGCCAGGCTTTTTTCTAGGGGTTATCTTATAGCCGTCACATCTGTAACTGTCGTGCTGACATCGCTGACACGTTGGCTTGGTCTCATCACATTTCACATGGCGGGTTCTAGCACAATATTAGTGGGTCATCCGGCACTGTCCTGAGACTAGACCAGGTACCTACTTGCTAAATTACTACCAGCCAGTTAGTGATGTTGGGGTATAGTTATCAGGGTCTGTATCCACAACGCAGTCCCGCGGGATGACCTACCAAGTGACACATCCAGTTCTCACTCGCGGGGCCTTAGCCCGGGAAAGTTTGCTCTTTTTTGGCCCATGGTTTTGTGTCATCCTAACCTATAGTGCGATCTTCTACAGGTTGGCAACCGCTGAAGGCATTGTCGAATAGGTTGACAGGCAGGTGGAAGACGAATACCCGAATGAACGAAGAGGGCCGAGGCGGTTATGTAATGCATCGAGAACGGTTAGACTCTCGGGTGGACTCCGAGCAACGAGATACGCCCTCCGATTGGCCGTCTCGTAACATTTTATACTAGTTGCAGATCGGAGGAAATGCTCGGAGGGGCTCCACGTTTGATTGAGATGGGATGAAGAGTGAAGACTCCGTCAAGATCCCCACGTACTTTGGTTCTTGCTCTTCTGTTAATCAAAAATTCTTACGTGACTGCCAATAGGGGCATACTCCGATGCGGAGTCAGACAGTTACAGATAGTGTCGGCATGGATGTACGTCATGGCCTTAGTGCGCGATGTTTGGGGTATGGTGCGGAGTATCTAGGCATCACAGAAGAGAGAGGGATATAAAAGGGGCCTCCGGAAGCAGGACACTATCAGTCCATTCAGTCATTTATTCTCTTCTCCCTGCCTATATTTCCTCGTGCCCTTCATTCCAGTCATTCGCTTATATTTTCCTGGCTCTACATCACTCGTTAGCCAAAATGCAATTGTTGGCTCTAGCAGTCGCTCTCTTGGCTATGACTGTCTCGGCTAAAACGCCTGGTCAAGCGTCCAATTTCAACCTGTCTACCGCCGTGTATGAAAAGCACGGTTGCGGAACCGCCTGTCAAGCCAATCTGATGAAGGCTAGCGCCGAAGACCTGAAGGTTTTCGACACCCCATTCGACTTTGACTTCTACGATACGGCCAGCAACTTCTCATCCTCCGCCCCTGGAAGCCTTCTGAAGCTCAAGCCTCTGAACGGGACGGCTCTCGACATTCCCGGGGGCGTTTCAGTCTACAAGATCCAATACACCTCCCAAGACATCGACGGAAGCCCAGTCCCAGCCACAGGGTTCATTGCGATGCCCTTCGTTCGCCGCCAGAGGGACCCTTTCAAGCTGGTCGCTGCCGCCCGCAAGGCCTTCCCGCACGATCTGACCCATAAATGGGTGTCCATGGGCCACTCCCAGGGCGGTGGCGCCGTCTACAAGTTGTCCGAGCACAAGTTAGTTCAGGATGATTCTAGCGGTTACCTGGGCGGTGTTTCGCTGGCCCCAGTTGTCAAGCTCTACGATTCTATGATTTATAATACTCTTTCTTTCGGGGATGCCTCCTCCGAGGAAATGGAAGATTACAAAGTTTTCGGCGTTCTCGGCTCGATCGCGTTCGGTCTTCAGGCTCTCTTTCCCAACTACACCGCGCCGTTCATAGCTCCGCCTATGCGCCAGAGACTCGAGCTAGCCCAGATGGCTCAGTACTGTGATGTGGCGCTCTCTGAGACTGTGACTGGTTTATCCTTTGATGATCTCATCGGAAATATCACCGCGACCGACGTTGCGGCTCTCCAGAAGTTCCAGAAAATCAACAGCCCTGCACAGGGAGACAAGGCGTCGAAGCCACTGCTGCTGATCCAGCGTGAGAAGGATACCATTGTGTTCAAGTCATTGATTGATGATGCGTACAAGGACAGTTGCGATGCTGGGAACCGCGTTCGCCTTAGTGTCTATCCCGGACTGGATCATTCTGCGGCTGTCGGAGCGTCTGCTCCGGAATGGCTGTCATTTATCGGGGGACTATTTTCTTCGACGATCAATATGACTCATTGTGTGAACTCGACGATTACGCCATTCGATCAGGAGCATGCGGCATCTCCTCCTGATGATGTTTAGAATGTCCTCGAGCAGTGATGAGCTTCTCGAATGAATGGTCTATGCAGAACTCGAGGAATATCTACCGCATTTCTCTCGTTCTATTTGAATCACGGGAATCGTCTTCTTTTAGTTCTGTCATTTCCTCATGAAGTCAGCAGGGGACTGAAGCGTGGGAGGCCAAGTCATCTCTTTAACGGATAATTACAAAAGCCTCCCTGGTACGGCTAATGTTATGCAGGTTGCGGCCAGACATAGCGAATGCATGGTAAGGACATTGAGCCTTCTCCAGGACGATAGTTTACTCTAGTCAAGTCAATATATTATTTGCATAATAATTATTAAAACGGGTATCTTTACTTTCTAGATAGGATTACCTACTTGATTGATGAGAGCCACATAGGTCGCAGTCACTAATTGCTTGTATTCTGATCCATTGCCGTTACCAAGTCAGTCAAAACACTGCCGGCGGAGGCCACGACGCCGTATTCAGCGCCGAGAAAAAAGGCCCCTCGACGATCTGCTGCCACCAATCTGCATTCCAGTACGCATCTTCGGGAATATCATCGAGTTGAAATTCCCCAATCCCATTGCCACACGCAGGAGACAGATCACCCATGTCCTGCTGTGCCATATGGTCCTTCAACCACGACAACATGCTTCCCACATTCTTTCGGCTATTAGCCCATAGGTCGCCCCCGGTGGAAAGCGCTTCCATCCGGTTCAGGATTGCCACAGTGCTTGCGTAGACGCTTGCTTCAAGCTCATATGTTTTTGGACTTTCTTTGTTGGACAGCAAAAGGGCCTTGGAGAGGACTAAGAGCGCGTACCACGTGTACGTCTGGAACGGGAGCGGGAGGTGGACGACGCGGTCGGTGGGAATTTGGGGGAATGAGGCGATGAAGGCATGCGTTGAGTGGAGGAGGCTGTCAATTTTTTGCATTTGATCGAGGGTGAAGGTGGTGTTTTGATGATGGAGGATTTGGCCGAGAAGGAGGACGGGTTTGGCCTTTACTTCAAAGTAGTATGCCCCTATACTCGTAAGTAAGGACCATGGATTGATTGACTGGGCTGAAATACAGTTATCAATGAGCATCATATCATGTGGTACAGTATAGCTCTTGTCTGGTTCGCCCCGCCAGTTCTGTACGGCATCCCAATCAATCTCCCTGTTCGAGATGAAGACCGCATGGCGTTTCAAAGCCGGCGCGGAACCGTCTAAATAAGTCCTCAGAAGCCTATCAGTCGGATATTCCGGATTCTGAACCAGGTCTGCACAGCACTGGTCGATCCAATCCGTATATTTCATGGACAGCTGTGGGCGAAACAAAGACAATCTAACCCGATTAGTTGAGTCACGATTACATCAACAAGATGGATCACTCACGCCGAGCTGATATGGAAAACTCCCAGTAATGCCCGTTTCGCAGTCCCAGACTGATAGTCTCCGCTTCCACCATCCTTCCCCTTCACCTCAGCCACAATACTTCTCATCGTAAAGCCACTGATCTGATCAAGACCCAGATCCACCACCAGTGTAATCGCAAGTTGCAGACACAGATACATCTGAGTATGGACTGTCTGGTATCGATAATGGCACCAGCCCGTGTGCACCAGGAGACCGAGTAAAAGGTCCATGCTGCGCTCATCATTCATAACGATCCGAACGCTAATCTGTCGCTTTATCTCGGCATCCAGTTTCATCTGCAGCGAGGGGTCGTTTTCCATGCACGCCGCCATAATAGCCAGGAGCAGAAACGGAGACTGGCTCTGGAGCTGAGATGCAGTCGTTGTACCCGGGATGATAACGAACGGGAACTGGGGCATTTTCAGCGACCGGAATTTCTCCAACAGCGTATTAGCCTGGGCAATTGTAACAAGCCCGCCGGCGATGCAATCCCCATTTCTCTCTAGATTGATATCTAGATCCACAGCTCCGGGAGTTGCTGGTCCTGATCCTCCCGACGTAGTGGCAGTTGAGGATGCCCCGCTAAGGCTATTCTAAAAAACTGTTAAATATTGCTAACACGCATGGAATTAGCGTCCCACCTGAGCGAGCAGCCCATCAACCTTCTCTTGCAGTTGATCAATACGGCTCTTTCTGTACTCTCATCAGCTTTGTTCCAGTCTGTATGGAAGTAGCAGCAGCGTACGTTGGTTTTCGACGTACCGGCCGCTCCGGAAAGGCGCAGGCGTGGCCGAGTCGGGCGCAGCGCTGGCAGCAATCATCGTGCGGACCGGCAATGCATTTTACTTTCAGCTCGACGCAGCGGCGACAGGAGCGTTTGCGCGTGGAGGGCTTTTTTCCTGTCATGTTTGGTGTTGATGGGTTGTTACAGACGGAAAGGGGAGACGTCGGTCGCGCGGAAGCGGAGTCGGTAAGTCGGAGTCGGAGTCGGAGGTATTTCCTGTAGATTCACAACGATCTCCACTCAGTTGGATAGGGGGTTTTTTTTTTCTTTTTTTTTTTCTTTATATAAAGTGATTCTTTCTTTAGAATATCATTCAACGGTCAATTTTCTTGAGTTGTCTCGTGCTGAATTTCGGTGTCTACTCGAACGCAAATGTATATATTTCAGATCCTTGCCTTACAGCCCAAAATATAACCACTATATCACTAGATTCAAAATGTAATCGGGACTGACCTAATCTATAGATGAGAACCACTTCTATTAAGTTTACTATCTCAGCAAGAACACCACCGGCGAAAAGGAAACTGAGCAGGAATTATCCGAAATAGCGACAAACATTCTAGTTTACGCTATGTACAGGTCTCTAATCAAATCGTGACATTCTTCCACGTACAAAAATGATACAACCCGGTTGTATGGCTTCACGGTGGGGATATAATAGGTTCAACAGGCAGGAGGGGGACGCCCTCCAGGGATGACCGAGTCAAAACTCGTATTCCGCTGCAGGGTCGATGAAATGAATGGTTTCAGTTGTCAGCTAACTGACGTTGAAGAAGTCGAAGTTCAAAGGTGGGCTTCGCAGCGTAGAAATGTGCTAAAAGAATGATGAACCAACTGAAGAAGCTATGAGCGATACATATCGACGCTGGATCGACTGTATAAATTTAGAAATTTCCTCCAGCAATTTTGAACCCCCAGGGAATAACTGTACCGTCATAGCGAATAGAGATTCATCGTTATTGAGAAATATTATTTATATCATACTATGAAACAACTGCGTATCGGTTCAATAACATAGCCACCGGCAGGGTTCAAACCACAAAGCCACTAGCAGTATAATATTGTACAGGGATATTCCTCTTGGTGGCGGCGTAGTCACGGCCTAGTAAGGATTTGATAGGCAAAGACTGTGTCCCAGACTGCCAGGAATTTCCCCTCATTGTAGAAACCCAGTCGTGATAGTTAAGTCTATGGACGACTTTTCTAAAGAGCACTATGTCAGCATGGAGTGTTAAACCCACAGCCCTGTCTCTGTATATACTTCCTGACAATGTGTGTGTGAATGCTGGAATGTCATAGACCTAAAAGCTTTAACGCCAAGAAGATATACATTACGGATGTGCGCTACCTAAGCGCCGCCTTCGTTGTTATACCGCATACTCATGTTAATTAAATTTTCTTGGTGGACCCTAGCCATGTAGTCCTATAATCTCCTGCCGCAGTGTGCTGACAGGGTTAGTGTGGAATGTTTAGAGGAAATCCCCAACCCAGTGTGATCAGCTCAGGACATTTGCAGCAGCCCTGGCCCGACTTGGATAGACCCTGGCCGCCACGAATATTAGCGGCTCCACTAGGCCAAGCCTATGCTCAATGAGGACCGGTGTCCTGCCGCCGGCCAGGTCTCCGTTGTTCGTAGCGCTGGCTATTGCGAGGCCAAGAAGTTAGCACTCAGCCTTTTTGCTCCTGGCTAGCGTTAGCGGTAGTCCATTAAAATGATGTGCCATGAACCGCTGGGAATGATGTGCCAATCTACTCCTACGCGTACTCTTGTCTCCGAGGATGGCCTCATATCCATTCTCACACCGACGTCGAACCGCCTTAATCGGTGGCCTTTCTGCTGTCCTTCTGTGCGCTTTGTTCATCTTTTATCATCCAGAGCGAATTCACATCGGCAGTAACAACCCTTCTCCATCTGCGGAAACGCTGAACCTACCACCTACCCCAGACGAGGTGGATGATCTCAGTCTCCCAGAAGCCTACCTAACGCCCCCATCCGAGTCCCAGTTCTGCTCCGACAAATTTGGCACCCCATATCTCGAGAATCTGCGGGATGGAGCTGTAGAATACTGCAACTCAACCTCTCCATCATCTTTGGTGTGCTTCCACACCGCCATCACAAAAGACCACCGTCGCATTGATAGTTTTTGTTTCGGGGAAAACGCCGTCTTTGACCCTAAATCTCAAAGGTTCAACCTGGAATGCGACCTAGGGGAGCTCGAAAATCCTGGAACTTTGGATTCTATCCCCGAGTTTGGTCATTTCGAGCCATACTGGTATGAAACGGGGCCACAAACCATTCTGGATGGATGGGTGCAGCTGAAGAGCAGCCCGGGGGAGCGGTTACAACTGCCCTTGAATTACACAATATTGATCAAACGGGAAGGTTCGCGCAATATATGGCATAGCCTACTTGAAATTCTCAGCATGACTATGACACTGGATGTGCTCCAAATGACCTGGCGACCAGACCATACCCGACCCTTCTTCACTGGACTCGATGCGGATAACACGCAGGTCATCATCTTGGACGACAATGATGACGGACCATACTTTAAACTGTGGTCTATCTTCGCCAACAAGCCCACGCTGCGGTTGAAAGATTTGCCTGATAATCAGACCCTGCAAAATATTATTATTCCTCTGGCCGGCGGGAGCAACCCGTTTTGGCAGGGCGATTGGGAAGTTCTTCCTTGCAAAGAGTCGTCCCTACTACGCACCTTCACTCAACGTGTCCTTAACACCTTCGAATTAGGAGATTACAAGGGTCTGCAGAAAGACGATGTCATTATCACTTTCATCAATCGGGTAGAAAGCCGAAGACTGGTAGATCATGAGGATTATCTGGATCAAGTCCGAGCTACCTTTCCGCACATTAAAGTGCAGTCAGTCGACTTTGCCGCTATTCCATTCCACACTCAGTTGAAGATCATTCAAAGTACCACTGTCCTTGTGGGGGTGCATGGTGCCGGCCTCACGCATGGCATGTTCTTACCACCACGATCAGTCATGGTGGAGATCTTGCCCCCATCCTTGAACCACAAAGGGTTTCGCAATGTTGCCTCTCTGTTTGGACATTCCTATTTAAGTGCACATGGGTCCAAACCACCCAGTGTAAAGCGGGGCGACTGGCATGGAGAAGATGTTTATCTAACCAAAGAGAAGTTCATAGATCTTATGAGTGCTGCCGTCAGAATCATGTACAATTCAGGGCCCCGTGATTATGATGCAGTTTGATATGTTTCTATTTACAGCTTTTCTACTGTTTTGAAATCTGGATGCGGCCGTCTTGAACAGACGGTAACCTTGTACACTAGACTCTACCTATTATCGACTTTCTTTTTATTACCTTGAAGAAATTGCTGGTTTCTTTGATAGAAGACAACTTCTGTACAACTCCAGAATGAATGGAGTCCAACACTGCTGAAATTTATCCCGATCTGATTGGAGAATAGCGTTTCAGCCACAGTCTGAGCGGCTGATCGAAAGGGGGTAATAATTCCCATAGCAATTTCACTTCCAAGAATTATAATCTCCTTTTGGCCTATGGTTGGCGCCGTCTCTCCATGTAGCGTAGTAGCCACAAAGTATCTTTCAGGTTCCTCTTTGTTGCCGCAATCACTTGGCATCCGCTGTGTGCACTTCCTGGCTCATTAGTTGACCCATAACACATCATAGGGGATCTGAGCTACATGAGGCTACCTGGGAGAGTTTTCGTTTTGTTTATCGTCATTTACCCGGAGCCATGTTGACTCGGCGGATAGGTAAATGACACACCCCCTATTCTCTTTCGTGCCATGTAACGTTCGCTCTCTAGTTTAATTCCACACGTCCCCTCATATGGACTTCCAGAAGTGCATCACAAACCACGGCTTTTCTAGGTAAGAAGATGTCTGTAAGGCGGACGATCAATGCCACATTGATCCTGTTTGCACTTCTGGCTCAGGGTGCTCTATCCTCAAACGAAAGCCATTGCGTGCCTCACCCTATCGGAATAAAACTACAAAATGTTACACTTGGTGACAACACAGCTCGAGGGGTATCTCTAAGTCTGGGGACACCCAAGCAGCCTTTCGCCTTCCTCCCACAATGGTACGTTCCTTTCCCCGAACTTGACCATAACAATCCGGTTGTTTGAAGCCTTCAATTGATAGACCATGTTAGGCCCCTGAACAATACATTCGTTTACGGTACCAATGGACACTGCAGTGATTCCATGTCGGAGGCAGCTTGCAAAACCTTCCGTGGGGGTGCATACGACGAATCTACATCAACAACTCGCGACACAGCCTTGGACTCGCACATGGAAGAGGCTTCTCCTTATCCTGCCTTCTCCTGGGTGACAGATGATCTCATCCTCAACGACAATACGACGTTGGCGAAATTTCCCGTCGGAATAGCAAGAGACGACTGGGGTGCTCAGGGATACCAGCCTCAAGCGGCTTTTGGGCTGGGCAGGAACTCGACCATACTTAATGCACTTTACTCGGCTGGCCTCATTGCGTCACGATCATGGGCGATGTGGTGGGGAAGAACAGGCGCAAGTAAGACTACCCAGCAGGATGGGAGCTTTGTCTTCGGAGGCTATGACCGAGCAAGAGCTACCGGAGCGAACTACACGGATAAGCTGAACTATGCTAACCCTAAATGCCCTACCGGTATGCTCGTTACAATATCTGACATGGTGCTGAATTTTGCCAATGGAACAAATACCAGCCTGTTCAAGGGTGTACAATCGTCCGCGATGTCTGCTTGCATTGTTCCGGACTACCCCGTTCTGATGACACTACCGAGGGAGCCATGGTTTGAAACGTTCGAAATGTCGACAGCAAAATACACAGATGAGAGATCATTCGGCTTATACTACTATGGAATGCTATATGAGAACACATCCAAAGCGTACGTGTGATCTATGTGTCGACCTCGCCCTTACCCACGCCAAAGCCATACTGATCCAACCGCTTTTCCGTAGGTACACGGGCGACATAACGCTTTCACTTCTATCTGGCTTTTCCGTTCGTATACCGAATGATCAGCTCGTCGTTCCCGACGTCCATATTGACAAAAGCAGCGGAGCTCTCGTCGCAAACGGATCAACTCCCGAACTCGTTATCAATGCGTTGCAGCAGACCAATGCGGATGACTTGCCTCAGTTAGGACGCCAATTTCTCTCCAGCACATATCTCCTGCTCAATCAGGACACAAGCAGCTTTACTCTCTGGGAAGCGGCGAGTCAGGACGCTGATATGGACTTGGTTGCCGTTGACGAGGCAAACCGTCCACTGGACCAATTTTGCGATGTGACGAAAAGCAACGCAACGCAGTCTGTGGATTCAAGCAACAATGATCGCAGCCATCAAGACAATGGCCTGTCTGCCGGAGCGATTGCAGGTGGGGTGGTTGGATGCGTCGTCGGCGCTTCAATTATAGCAGGAAGTGCATTCATCTGGATGGCGCGGAAAAGAAAACACCGGAGTGGACCTAGGCCAGATGCGAGCTCCATGCATCATCAGTCGTCGGCGGTTACTTACACTACCGGTCCTTCAGATGAGCTTAATTCATACAATCCGAAGCCTGGTTTTCGGTATGAGCTTCCGGTGTCAAATCAGTCGACAACATCTTCCAGATTGCCGGAGTTACCGTGAAGCTGATGTACCTTCTTCCCTAATGAAGTATATATTTTGACCGTTTCCTGAAATTCTGCTCATGTCCGATGTTCGCAGTGATTATAGTAGTCTTAATCCCTTCGGGTATTCTGCTCCTTTACCTGAATACCTTTTTTGCCGCTTTTTTCTTGCTTCTTTTTACTTACTAGACCCCGTATGTGTGGGCTTACTACGCAGCAGAAATAGTTCGCTATCTCGGCAGTCATTAACCCAGACAAAAACAAGGAACCAACTACGGCAGCGAACAAGAGCAAGAGGAAAAAGAAAATTAAAAGGAAGAGAGAGAGACCACCCCTGAGCCTCGCAGAAGAATACCGACACTAACGCATGTCCGTCAAGATCCAAAGTCGAGACGCCGAGCATATCCGACCCCGACTGACGGGATCCACCTTCAGCGCATCCACGGTTCGCTTAATGAGGAATCAGGAACGAGACCGACCACTGCAGATGTCAGGTACGAGTGGAGACGAGGAGAGTGTCAACCAGGCACAGGCAATAGGATGGATGGCTGGGAGGTATTCCTTGGGTGTTGGGGTAGTCTTGTAACGGATGTTATGGAGGTTATGGAGACATGGACATATGGAGATGGCGGGCGCAATTATGGGAAATTCTATTTGGTCTAAATTTGAGTTGGAGATCTACAGAACGAGGGAGGATGATAATAATAATAGTAATGTACAAGAGTGTATTTGGTGAAATGGAATAGAAATCAAATAAATAGACAGAAAACACTGCCATAGTACTGTGTTAGAAATGAAGTAGCTACGAGACTAAGGAACAAAATCTCCGACCGTTAAGAATCTGACAGACGCATAGACCACGATCTATACTTAGACCAGCACAGCACTCCATGCATCCATGGAACAAACTAACACCATGTCTGCCAAATCCAGTCCGTCAAAGCATGGACTCCCCTGACCATGACCTCATGCCCACATCGTCGCCAATCACCATCCGCCATCACGATCAAGCCACGCCGAGCAGCCACGGAATGGCCGTCAATTGTGAGTCTTCCACGCGGCCTTCCCCACCGACGTCATGGACCGATTTCTGTCAGTGTCACCTCCGATCGACATGATATCAACGGGGTGGGGACTAGGGGAGCTGCGTATTCTCCGGTTGGACGGTGGCGGCGATGATCTCATTCGGCGTTGCGATCGATCGAGAATCCGGATTGTTGGTCCACCGAGTGGGGTGGCCTTTAGAGTGATGGATTAGGGGTTATGTTTAGTTTCGACAGACTATTGTTCATTGAAGCATTTCCCTTTACTGTATAGAGTGCATGTATGCAGAATTGACTGGAGCAGTCTATGGTGGTTGATTCTCAGTCCTTGACCATTCCAAACAATCGATCGAATTGATTCGCAGGAACACTGTTAATTCCACCAGCCCAAGCCAACCAATCAGACTGCCCTCCCGTCTCCAGATTTAATATAAATTAATTAATCCAAACCCAAACCCTCCAAGCTGGATTTAATGGCAGTAAATTAGCCCGACAGGCGACGCCTGACGCAATGATGACCGCGCTGACACGCCCAGCCCTACGTCCATCCCAGTTCTCCAGAGCCCAGTTCCTGGATGCCCCCAATTCCCATTCTCAAGTCCAGGCGTCTGCATTCTACCAGATAGGCATGTCGCTTGCCCATCAATCGCAAATTCTAGACTCTGCCCTGCGGATTCTTGCCCGGTTGCCATGTGGAGACTGTCTCCAAATGGCTGCATTTCCGGGGGGGAGTTGGCCAGTCAGGGAGCCAATTGTCCCCTTCTCCCCGAGTACCTGCTGGGTACGAGGAAGGAGGACAGAGTTCAAGAGGAGAGGTAGGGGTCTCCGGTCTCCCCATCCGACGTGGCTAGAGCTGAGTATGACGTGCCTGTATCACGCTATGCTGCGATCGAGACTCGATTGGCCGTGCGCGTCGTCGGCCTGCGTTAGAGGAGGGTTGATCATGACGTAGTGCGTTTATCTTGCTTTGTCTTTGGGCTGGAGGAGTGGGAGATATAAGGATGAGGATGGTTGGGGGTTGGACTTTCTTTTCTGTTTTGTTTGATATTCTATACTCAGATTGTTTAGTATTCGCTTTTGTCTATCCATTTTATCCTATCCTATCCTATTCTTTTTTATCCTGCCTTCTCTAAGCTGAGGATTATTCCTGTATACTATAGCACTTACTGTATATTTGTCGACCTATTGCCTCCCTATTGTCTATCTATACGATCTCACGACCGTCAAGATTAACGACCACTACACCAACCTCTACTACAGCTACTACGTCCACCACCAGCAAAACTGTCACCTGCATATCCATCATCACATCTATCCCTCGTCTCCGTCTACTCCTTCCAGACCTACGACGCCGATACCGAAACCCTCCACAACACCCAGTCAACACCCCCAACCACAAACCGAACAAACACCACCACCAGCATATCACCTGACTCCCACCTCACCACATCCAACAACCCCATCAACAACACAATCCTCCAAACCAACTCCATCATCCATTCCATCCAAAATGTCCTCCGGAACAGCCCGCAACCTCGGCTCCGGCTTCAGCCCCTCCCCAAAACGCACCCCCCGCAAGCTCAACGTCCCCGAGTCCACCCCCCTCAAGGAAAAAGACCCCGAGCCGCCCGCCACACCGTCACCCCATCGCGCCGGCTCCCAGTCACGGTCTCAGTCCCAGCTGGGCCTGAACCAAGGCGAGCAGCGCGACCTCACGTCCGCGTCGCCCGCCCCGGTCGAAGACACCCAGTCGCAGGCACAGTCCCAGGCTGCCTCGGCCTCCGGCTCTGTCGGCGGCCTGGGCGGCGCGATGTCGAGCATTGCGGGCGGGATCGCAGGGGGGTTGAAGAGCGCTGTGTCTGGTGTGAGTCGCGTCGGACGAGGCGCGACGGACACGGCGGGCGATACCGTGGGCCAGGTTGGTGAGACAGTGCAGCAGACACTTGATCTGTCGGCACTGAAAGGTCTCGAGGTCGGCCAGGAGGGCAATATTGCCGATTCCGCGGGCAATGTGCTCGGACGCATTGTGGAAGGCGATCCGGCCGATTTGGTCGGGTATGTGGTGAACGAGAATGGGGAGGTATTGGATCAAGACGGCGATTTGATCGGACGGGCGGAGGTCGTGCCGGACGCGGCGCAGAAGGTCGCAGGGGCCGTGGAGGACTCGGTCGCTGTGACGGAGCTGTCGGCGCTGAAGGGTAAGGTGGTGAATGATGAAGGACTGTTGAAGGGCGATGATGGCACAGTTATTGGGAAGGTGGTGGAGGGCGAGGCGAAGGATTTGGTGGGGTATGCGCCGAACGAGGAGGGCCAGATCCTCGATCAGGATGGGGATCTGGTCGGCAGGGTTGATGTCGTTGCGAAGGCGGCAGCGGATGACGTTGGCAGTGTTGTGCAGGAAGTTGGCGGCGTTGCCGATAACGCTGAGGCGAAGGCGTCTGGTGTTGGAAGCGCTGTTCCTTCCGGTGCTGGCGCGAAGAGTGGTGTTGATGAGGCTGCGGACGATGTTCAGAACTTGTCGGTTGAGGACAAGTCCAAGGCTGACGATGCCACGGTCACTGCTGATGAGTCGGTTTCGAACGTCGGCTCGAAGGTCGATGCTGGATCTAAGATCGAAGATGTCGGTTCCAAGGCTGATGATGCCTCGAAGGTCGGCTCAAAGGCCGACGAGGCAAGATCAAAGATCGATGAAACTGGCTCCAAGCTCGATGCTGGTTCCAAGATCGAGGAGACGGGCTCCAAGGTCGGCTCAAACGTCGACGAGACAGGCTCTAAGCTCGACGAAGCCGGATCCAAGATTGACGACACCGGCTCGAAGGTCGATGAAGCTGGCTCGAAGGCCGGGTCGAACATCGACGAGACTGGTTCTAAGCTGGATGAAGCTGGTTCCAAGATCGACGAGACCGGATCCAAGACCGATGAGGCTGCCTCGAAACTTGACGAAACTGGCTCCAAGGCCCCCGACGACGCGACCGAAGTATCCGGCGACTTTGAATCCACCAAAGAAGTCCAAGAGGGCGAAGAAGTCGAGCTGCCTCCCCTCTCCATCCTCGAGGGCCTTACCACCAACAAAAATGGCAACATCATCAGTCCGACGACCGGTAAGCCGATCGGTAAGGTGACTGAAGGCGACGTCAAGAAGCTCGCACGCAGCGGCGCCCAGCTGGACGCAAAGGGCCAGTTCTGGGACAACCGCGGCAACGTGCTAGGGAAGGCCGAGACACTCCCCACGCAGGAATACGAGGAAGAGGCGATCTTCGCGGGCCTGGAGGGCCTGCATGTCGTTGAGGACGGGTTCGTCGAAGACGACAATGGCAAGCGAGTCGGAAAGATCGTTCAAGGCGACGCGAAGAAGGTTCTCGGCCGCGCGGTCGATCAGGACGGAGAAGTCACCGATAGTCACGGCAATGTGATCGCGAAGGCCGAGTACTACGAGGAGCCGGAGGCGGAGGCAGAGCCCGAGCCCGAAGTTATCGATCTGTCGAGCTTGAACGGCCTTTCGCCGAACAAACTGGGTCTGGTCATCGGGCCGAAGGGCATCCCGATCGGTCGAGTTGTTGAAGGGAACCCTAAGGAGCTGGCGGGTAAGGAGATCGACGACGGGATTATCTATGATGGTCGCAAGCCTGTCGGTCGCGTGGAGCTGATCCCTGAGAACGAGCGCGAGAAGAAGGCCGAGGGACCGTTCGCGGGACTGGAGGGCCTGGTCGTTGATGACGAGGGCTTCGTGGTCGATGAGAATGGCAACCAGGTCGGCAAGATCACCGAAGGCGATATCAAGCAGCTGCGCGGCCGTAGCGTCGACGAGGACGGCGACGTGATCGACAAGTTCGGCAGCGTCAAGGGCCACGCTGAGCCATACTCGCCTCCTGAAGAGGAGCCTCAGCCGGAGGTCGACCTGTCCATTCTCGAAGGCAAGGTCGTCAACAAGGCCGGCAACGTGGTCGACGGGTCTGGCACTGTCTTCGGCCGTCTGGTTGAAGGCGACAAGCGCCTGGCCGGCCGCAAGGTGGACCGCTACGGCCAGATCTGGGGCGACAACGGCGAGGTGATCGGACGCGCGGAGCTCATCCCCGGCGCTGAAGAAGAGAAACCCGAAGGCTCGTTCTACGGCATCGAGAGCCCTGTTGTCGGCAAAGACGGCGTCGTGACGGACGCATCGGGCCGCATCATCGGGCGCGTGGTCGAAGGCGACGCCAAAAAGCTGGAGGGCCGCAAAGTCGACGAGGACGGCGACATCCTCGACAAGAACGGCAACAGCCTGGGCCGCGCCGAGCGCTGGGAACCCGAAGAGAAGAAGCGCACCGTGAACCCGATGTCCGGCCGCAAGGTCACCCGCGAGGGCGAAGTGCGCGACGCCGACGGCAACCTCATCGGCAAACTGACGTCCGGCAACCTGCCGACGCTCGTGGGCAAGGAGATCGACGACAACGGCTACGTCGTTGACAACGACGGCAACAAGATGGGCGAATGCACACTCATCGAGAACATCCCTGAGCCTGAGCCCGAGGAGCCGGAGCCAGAGCCTGAGCCCGAGCCCGAGCCCACGAAGGAAGAGCTCGAGGCGCAGAAGGACCGCGATCTGGCGAAGAAGATGAGCGCCATCATCGGCCAGACGCTGGACCGCGTGCGCCCCATTTGCAAGATGATCATGGACTATATCGAGAAGGCGAACCGCACGCCGCGCGAGGAGCTGGATGAGGAAGAGCTCGTCAAGAACGTGAAGCCCCTTCTCGAAGAGGGAGGTAGCATCCTGCAGGAATGCAATGGCGCCATCCGCGCGCTTGACCCCGATGGCCACATCGCTGCGACCGCTAAGGCGCGCGCGGCGTCGCATGAGGCATCGCCCGAGGAATACGCCCTCGCGGACCAGATCAAGGAACTGACCGACACTGTCGTGCACACGATCGAGACGGGCAAGCGCCTCATCGCGGACATGCCCCATGCTAAGAAGGAACTCAATCCCTTGTGGGCGCTTCTCGGCGAGCCCTTGTTCCAGATCATCGCGGCCGTGGGTCTGCTTCTGACTGGTGTCTTGGGTCTGGTTGGTCGTCTTCTGGAAGGTCTCGGACTGGGTCCCTTGGTGCACGGCTTGCTCGGTGGACTGGGTCTTGATAAGTTGCTGAGTGGTCTCGGATTGACATCGTTGACCGATGCGTTGGGAATCACCGGGAAGAAGAAGAAATAAGCTGGGAGAATGATATGATGGAAAATGGAGGCTATGTTTATGGTTTTGATTATGGTTTTGATATCCTTCAATTCTCGGTATTGCTTAATTTGCCTAATTTGTGTATGATAGCAAGATTCAATCTACTTACATATTGTTCAAGTATTTCGGGTCTGGACATGGAGTTACCTTGAGGGAAGTGTGTTCCACCATAACTTCCGATAGTGATACAGTGCTCGTTGATGATCGCACCACTTACGAGCACTTCGTCTTTGGCTTCTTTGCCTTCATATATCCCATTCCCTTTTTATTGATTTTCAAAGAACAAAGCCTAATTAATGACCAGGGCAAAAGAGAAAATGCTTAATACAAGCAAAAAACATACAACAGCCGGGATTCGCTGGTGGTCACCCACCCAACTACTAACCGGCCGGCGTGAGGCTTAAGTACGGCTGAGCGGACGGGAAGCCCTGTTCTCCTCACCCTGTGGTCGTATGTACCTAACTTCACCTCAACGTGGGTTATATAGTTGGAAGTTCAAATGAGCTGGGCAAGTTGACCACCTCGAGAATGTAATCTTCCGCTGACCAGTAGACAATGATGGATTGTCCCGGCAACCTAGGCTGCAGAAGGTCACATGGTGTCCTGCAGTAAGTAGTTCTTATGGAAGCCTTGTCAAAGGCACCGTGAAGTTAAAAATGGTGCCATGCCCGCGTGTTGGATCTTGCGTGCAAATCCCCTACTGAGCAACCTTGATAGCCCGACTACCTCCGCCTCGTCTCGCACGCCAAACCTTTTTTTCGTTCTCATTTAGTCGAGCCCTAGGACAAGATGCCCTGGTCCGCACAGATATGTCCATTCTGTCATAAGCGATATGCCAACAAAACAGCGCTTAAAAATCACCTGTCGGAGTACACTGGCAGATGGCGTCTCCCAGCCGATGGGCACCACGATGTCTTGCAGATTAAAAAGGTTATTCGCCGCCTCTATCCTTCTTTCTACGACAAGGATGAAGATCGCAAATACAGATGCTGGACATGTTCCAAGATAATCCCGTCTCGCCGACGGTTTACTGAGCATGTTGTTTATCGGAGCCACTGTGGATTTGACCCGGAATCATGGGAGGGAAGTCGCAGCCTCCGCAAATGGTCGCTCCCTTTCGATGAGGACACTGTTCTTCTTCGTGAAGACCCATTCCCGTTTCTTCATCTCCCTCCAGGTACGTAGTCAGCTTTTCCTGCTTTTCACCTTTGTTTTGGCGGGCAGGGTGTTATTCACTGCCATTATATATATCTTGGATGGGGCATTTGACTAACCTGAGATCATGGCTTGCATAGAGTTGCGATTCATCGTCTACAGATTTATTTTCTGCTTCGAGGAAGTGAGCTTTGGCAAAGAGCTGCGTCGCACATCAGTTGAACTCCACAGAAATGGGCTCTGGTTGCAACATAATCCCGACAACAACCCACTGGCCATCATGTCCGTAAGTCATCAGATTTACGACGAAGCCCGACGGACATATTACGCTGAAAACAGGTTCTCATTCGAATCGTTCGACAACCTTCCTGTATTTTTGGTCGGAATCGGAGTGGAAAACGCCATGCTCCTGCGTTCAGTGAGTTGCAAGGACAGATCCGGCCAGTCCCAAGACTGCACAGGTCATATTCAATCCTGTCTAAGACAGGCAGCCAGGACGGGAGATGTCTCAACCCGGGACCTACACATCCATCCTGTCGAGGACCTGTATCTGGATCTTGCGAACCAAGAGGCATTGAGACCTAGTTTCTTGCCCTTCTACTGGAGTGACAATCGTCGCCTGCTGCGTCCGGAAGTTACGCCCGTCAATATTTACCCGAATCGAATGCGTTTCATTCTTAGCGCCACCATTCGACAAAATGGCAACGACGGAGCAAAAGCCCATCGAACATATATCGCTGGGTTTGAATTAAACGTGCAGAGGAAGCAGGGAGGCTCTTAGGCGATAAGGGCAGCAAACTAGGAACGTATGCTCATGTAATCACCATCTTGTCGGTGGACGCTTCAAGGTGCCAGCCAGTTCAGTGCAGCCAGTGTAAGTAGAAGCCTGTTAGTTAAGCGCCTCTAGTCGAGACATTGGTAAGAATACATTTGGAATTCTTTGGTTCCTCAGCATGAGTCAGATTTCAGATATCCTTTTTGCCGACCTCTCGCTCTCACAAACCGAACTAGCATTAAATCCCACGTTCTGCCAAAATCACAACCAGGTAACTTGGCCGCCTCGTTGGCTTACGCCAAAGGCTATCACATACCATAGTAGTGTTATTGAAAAGCTATTTAAGGTGATAATGGTCTACGAGCCAAAGATTGCTCATAGACAAAACTCGCTTTCATGATCCTGATATATCGATCATTTCCATACTATAGATAACCAACAAACAAGGAGTTAGCTTTATAGTAATGGGAATAAAAGGACATTGTTGTGGTGCTCCAGTTTCTACTTGATCTTTCGTGTGTGGTGGAAATTCGCCTTGACCTATTAAGAGGCACCACGTGCCTTGTCATGTGCTATAAGACCCCGGATCCTCAGCCCCGCCCTTTTCCCCCACCAACCTCCCTGAATCCTTCATCTCCCCTAAAATACGAAGAGGTCCTTTCCTTTCCAACTACTTGAACGGTATCTTCTCATCCATCCGCCTTTACAAACTCCGTTGCAGTCAATCATGTTTCATCCTACTTCTCTTGAAGATGGAAAGCTGGCAAAGGCTGAGGAAATCATCTCTTATCGATTTGCGAACCGGCTTGGGCTTCGACGAGCCTTACAGCTAGCAGACAGCATCCACCAGAATGGGAACAAGGACCTAGCTCTGCTTGGTGATACTGTCATCAGGTTGATTCTTGTCAAGGAGGGCCTTCGTCGCGATGCGACACGTGGTAAGTGATGAAATGTGACTGGCGTGGTATATTACCCAACACTAATGAGCTTATCTGGTTCGCTTAGGCCAGATAAACAACGTCGTATCGGAGAAATTGTCCAACGCCTATCTTGCGCAGCGAGGATTCTTCAAAGGCCTCGCGGAATGTGTATTTGCCAATCGATCCCAAGGGAACACAGTCTACCCGGGCCCTATGGCCTCTACCGTAGAGGCTATCGTTGGGGCTGTCTTCAATGATAGTGGGGAGAAGATGACGGTTGTCCAAGGAGTCATGGAGGCTTTGGGCATTTCTTGGCCTGAGTGATCTCTTCATCGCAGGTAACGTTCTTACCCCCCCCCCCCCCCCCCCCCCCCTTTGAAGCAAGTAAAGTTCAGAGCGACTGCTCGTGTTAATAGGACTCTAGTTACTCACCGTGAGGGCCTACGGATACTCCTCTGCTGTGGCCAGTCGGTGGGACTATAAGGCGCGGAAGTCGATTTCGAAGCATGGTGATGTATCATCCACCTGCTTTGAAATGGGCTATCGCGCTTTGTGGTGTCACCCACTCGTCCCAGCACAGGAGCTTCCATATGCCCTCACGGGGATGAAGTAGGCTTCTCCAAGCTACGACGCCGTTTCTCATTATAGTTGGCTTGGATTGAACCGACGAGGATACCCATTCGCTGATAGAAACTCAGGCTGTCATTACCTGAAAGGTGACCCAGCAGACCATGTCTTCATCAACTGCAGACTATGGCAATTTCCTGGCTCCATGTCCCAGTCTCTCATCAACTGAAGGGACAGACGCTCATTAGATAGTTGAATAAAATGTCGAAACAATCATTCTCTCGGCCTGTGGAGCGTTCAAATGCACCAAGTTCAATGGAAACAATAATACATTAGATTTGGCATCAGTGCGGATTCTGGCAGTAGGAGGCCAACTCGGGACCATCCGCCGTGGTTTTCTATCAGCTCCACTAGGAAGTCTACAGTCCGAATGAGAAGATTTTCTATCAGCAATGCCATTGGCAACATAAGCCACTAGTGTTGGTGCAAGTCTTGCGTACAGATAATCCTCATGGTATAAATATATTGATTTTCATGTCTACCTTCTCGAGACAGTTGTCTCGCAAGAGAGCCCTCAGGATTAAGAACAGATCATATAAGTAGTAGAGTAACGTCCAACTGCGTAGGTCTGTCTAATGTAATATTAGGAAAGCTCTTGGGAACCCCTATCGTCTACCGACAAATCGCCTATACCAATACAAGAACACCACATTCAATCACAGCATAAAAGCCCCAACAGCAAACACCACACCACCAAGCAAACCCTCAGCGGGCCCAATCAAGACTGCCGCATTCGAAGTCTCAGTTGCCGTCGCCGTCGCCGTCGCCGTCTGCGATCCCGCCGTAGAACGAGCCCCCGAACGCGTCGAACTCGAGGCAGTGGCCGTAGCCTCACTGCTCGATCCATCGGTCGGAGTAGCCTCCGCTTTACTCAAGGCGGAGGAGACCCGCGCCGAGTAGTCGCTGGCCGTGAACCGCACCGTCGCGTAGCATGAATTGATGTCTTTTTCCGTCGTCCAGTCCATATTTGAGTCGGAGGTCGTGGTAGCCGTCTCGTATAGAAGCGCCGAGTTGGTGAGGGCTTCTTTGTAGAACCGCATATCCTGGACGCAGCAGTAGGCGCCTTGTTCGTCGACGACCATCCCGCCGGGACAGCAGCGTTCTTGCTTGAATTGGTTTGGAAGCCAGCCTGTGGGGCAGTTGTATTCTGTGGCGGAGGCAGAGATGGACAGGATGCTGGCTAGGAGGAGGGGTTTGAGGAGGGTCATTTTGAGTAGTTGTGGTGGTGGCCGTGGTGGTCGTGAAGCAAAGGGAAAAATTGGTCTTTTTCAACAGTCGTTCGGGGTGGTGGTTCTTGCCCCTTAATCCGGATAATTTGACTTGATTTTTGGCTGTACCTGGACACTAGGACATAAGGCTACTAGTGGATGGAACCCCAGGCTTTTTTGGCCCCTTCGCTTGGCTGGTTACACCGTAGGGAGATTAGTGCATTCCCACTCTCGTCGGGGATTGCCGACATGTCTCCACTCTAGAGAACAAGTGCTGATCTGGAGTCAGCATTGACCATTGTTGATTCATGTATTGAGTGGCAGATTTAAGAACGTTTCTGGTCCTGAACTATGAGGAAATGTATGTATTTTCTTAAAAAATATTCGATAGAATCCACGTGCCAGGGAGACAGGAAAGAAACATACGCGATAGACTGTATCATTTGTGTCTACCCCGATATTCGCTGCTCTTCCAGCTACCAGTTCCACTGTTCCGATTCTCAGGGAATTTATGACGGCCAGGAAAATCTAACGCATTTCTTGAGACTTTCTTCTATGTATCCAGGATGAGCTGAGGGGAGAAAAGCCGCAGTCACATGCCCTACTCATAGAAGGGACTGTCAAGCTGTTATAAGCTGATTACACAGACGTGCGCCTTGCGAGAGAATTGACTTGTCCTTGAGGACGATGCTCATGAATATTGTTAGATAAAAAGGCCTGTTCTATTCGGGTAAAAGAATATAATAATACATTTTTTAAGGAACCCAGAGTAACCTTAGTATTGAATATAAAGGGTATTATGAGAACTGGCATTTAACCAGCTAGCGTTTTTCGTCTAGGTAGCAAGACGTAACTTCTAACACTTCTGAGTATTAGAGGCTGTATATTCGAAAACTGCCTCTCATCCAACTTTTGCTTTAGCAGTATTGTTTATCTAGCCGAGTTCTAGCACCATGCCTTCCAAGTGTTGGAGACCCCAACTAGTCACCGCGCCCGCAATATTGCCATTCATTCCCATTCCTGTGTGATCACTTGAATCTGGACGCCTTAAGCGTTGTATTTATATGCTTGTATTATTTTCTCGGTGCGGAGATATACTTCTCTTTCGTTTTTCTGTGATATCATTCTAATAAATGCAGGCAAAGACGAAACAAGACCATTGATCCCGGTAAATCGAATCGCTGCGGATTCTCCAGCTAAAAAAAGACAAAAAAGAAAAAAGAAAGACCGAGCAGAAAGCCGAAGACACCCAGCCCAGTAATATGTAGACTAAAAGCCGGAGGCTTGACGAGTTTAACTTCTACTTCCGTCTTTCTTCTACCACCCTAACTTCTTCCAATACTGCCCCTTCTCAATAATAAGCAAGATCTATTTATTAACAACAATACAGCCGCTCAACATGACCGAGAGCCTTGGACTGGAGACCAGGAGGATCGAAAGGTTTTGGCATCGTGAGTGAAGACAGAAACGAGCGTATATTGCCTGTGATGGGCCGTTTGACGGATAATGATGCGATGTACATAGGTTATGGGGCGGCGAGGGAACTGCACCATTTCGATCAGACGCTTTGAATTAACTGTCAGCTCCTTGGCTGTGAGGGGGAAGGGTCTGGTGCTCCATTTTGCTCGGGTTGTTTTTGTTCTCTTGTTTTGTTGCCTATGCTGATCCCCAAGTTTCTGCGCTTGCCCGAGATGATTGGGATCTGAACACCCTACAGAGAACCACAAGTGGCACTGGAGCTATTATTTATAAAGAAGCCAAACCGAAAACTGTTCAACTACCCTGCGGAAAAACAAAAATTTAAAAACATACAACAGCCGGGATTCGCTGGTGGTCACCCACCCAACTACTAACCGGCCGGCGTGAGGCTTAAGTACGGCTGAGCGGACGGGAAGCCCTGTTCTCCTCACCCTGTGGTCGTATGTACCTAAAAAGATAAAAGTCTGGAATATGTAGATTGTTTACACATTATGTGCTTGCTAGCCTGTATACTAGAACCAGGGGAACCACCCGAAGGAGGTGTTTCAATTGAAATCAAACGCATACTAGTAGACGGAATACGGAAACTTACAAAAATTGAACAGCAGTGCGAAGGATGAGCATGAATTCCAAAATACAGGACACAAAAGACAAATATTCTTCCCTGGTGAAAGGTTTCACGTCAATGCAGAGGCAGATAATCCATGCGAAATAGAGGCTTTTCGCTCCGACTCGCCCGCCAGTGATTCGTAGAAAGCGCCAAATCATGACAATTCCGAATGACCCACCCCCAAGAACCGACGAACGCCTCAGTGACCTCCCACCCCGACGGGTCCCAAGGATCACTCCACACAATAATCCCACTTCTTCCCGCCGTCGAGCTTCCACTGCCCTTCATGTCTAGACAAAGCTGGTCTTCCTCCTCGAATTCACCGGCAAGGATTAAATTGTCCCTCATTTGAGGAACAGGAAGAAGGTCTAACCATGGGTGATGGGGTATGGAACGCTGGATTGCGGTGGGTTGGAGGGGCATTGGGAGGGTGTAGAGCGCGTCATTTTGCCATGGGCCGGCAATGCTGAATGGTGATATTGCATCATCGTGGAGCTGGTCGGATCTGAGACCCAGTATTCTTGTGTTTTCCATCAACGCCCGGGTGAAATTTAGTGACATTAGGTTGAGTAGGAGATCCGTTCGGGGGGAGCCGGTCGCGTAGTACTGAAGAGCTAGTTGTTCTAATCGGGCCATTCGGATTTTCGTCGCTGGAAAGCTAGACTCTAGGATGTGAACGGCCTCGATTTCTGCTAGGGACGAGACTTTGATGGCATTAGGCGTTGTTAGCGCTTCAGAGCTATGCGGAGCAACAGCAGCAGGTGCGAATGGCTCGTGCTGGTCATTGACGGAAGAGCTACCGTGGCCTGTTGTCGCGTTCTCTCCTGGATGATTCGGTGGTTTCTTATTCTGTAGTCCTATTTATGTAGAGGGTCAGAATAGTACCCTACTCGCAGGTAGTGCATGAAGAACTTACGTCGGGCCCTTTGATTCAGTCGGTTTTGGAGCCTGCGACGTGTTTTTGGGTCGGTGATCCCTGACCAGTCCTCGTCGGGCCATGTGCTACGGCGCTCTGAGAGTGCGAGCGATCTCAAAGCGATCCGCTTTTCTTCAGCGGATGGATCCATCTTTGGAGTGTATTCAGGGCACCGGGTTTGACGTTGTGGCCCAGAATGTCAAACCATGCAACTTGATGACAACAGAACGGTGAGTGGACTGTGGGCACGGCTGATGCGTGTAAGGGATGAGCAAATTGTGCACGGAGTAGTGAAAAGAGACAGAAACTCTCCTTGAGGGCGATTAATTTCTTGTCTTGAGCGATCCACTCTGTCATCACACTGCATGACGGACTAGACTGACGGAGATAAGGGAAACAGCCAACCATCTGTAACCTAAACGGACTCCGATGGTGTCGATCGACATGGAATTACCCTGACTGGAATAGTTCCACGCTCTCCAGGATGTTGATGACAATTCTTTTCTAATTGGTCAGTGAAGTGGGGAGTCCCAGATTTAGTCTAGGCAGTTGCATTCACATCTCCTAAACACCTTGGATTGAGACCTGATGCACGTCTTTTTAGGGGCTTGGTATACAGCGCTCTATTATTCAAGAAATATCGAGCCAGTGATTTCAACGAAAGGTACCTCCCCGATCTCTGAGTATTGCGTACCCCATGTGGAGCCCGCGGAAAGGGTGATGCGATAATCTGCGTATTATTATGGGCACGGCTTTCTCGGCGCGCAAGACTTAGTATGCGATTTGGAATCAGGGAGCTACCTATAAAAGCCCCATAGCGTCCATGAGACAGGCAAATATGTCGAGCAAAGACCTTTATTTAATTGCAATTGCTCATGTTCCCGAAAATGGCCCGATATCTTGTTTCCCTTGCGTGCTTTGTTACTTCGAGTTACGCTTCTCTTTCCGGCCTTGGAAAGGATAGTGACTCGTCTCGTCAGGATACCTCTACAGCCTGTCGACAAGCAGTATGTCCTGTAGCCTTCTACTGTCTCCGTTTCTAGCTGACATGGCTCTAGTGCTCTCAGCTTTCCTCGACTTTCGGGTCCGCATTTCACTGGCGCAACGACAATTTCACCATCTGGGATGCCAAACAACAAGAGGTTCACCCGACTTGCAGGGTTGAGCCATCGTCGGCCCAAGATGTCGCCAACATACTCGGCACCCTTGTGGACCACTGGTGCTACTTTGCCGTCAAAGGCGGAGGCCACTCCAGACACGCCGGAGACTCCAAACTCGATCGGCGGAGTAACAATAGATCTCGACCGCCTGAGCAATGTGGAAATCCTCCCAGGCAGTAGCAGGGCGCGCGTGGGTGGCGGCGCGACTACCCTTCAGGTATACGAAGCTCTGGAAACCCGGAATCTGTCTTTCGTTGGCGGGCGAGTGGGCAGCGTTGGCGTGGGTGGTTTCATACTTGGTGGAGGAACCTCGCCGTTTTCGAACAAGTATGGGCTGTCCCTGGACAATGTTTTCGAGTACGAGGTATATAATGAGTAGGTACTGTTGGTCATCCCTCCGCTAACCGCTGATACTACGATCTAGGTTGTTCTTGCGAATGGAACCATCACGACCGCATCTGAAGCGCATAATCCTGACCTCTACTATGCACTCCGCGGCGGCGGTAATAACTTTGGCATTGTCACGGCCTTTACCGTTCGAACCTTTCCTCAGGGCCCCGTCTTCACCAGCATGACTACCTACGCTGCAAATCAGTCAGATCGAGTTCTCGACAACGTATACGAATTATACACAGATGAGCGTTATACCAGTGACATGGATTTGGGATACGATTTATATTATACTTATCGCTCTCAGGGTAATGAGTTCATGCTAAGTGGCACACAGCGATATGCGAAACCAGTCCAGAACTCGGCTGTCTTTAAAGACATCAATCGCATTCCCACACTTACTCGAAGCACGAATATAGCTCCCATGAGCCAGGTGGTGGGCGGGACTGAGTCTTTGGGTACCACAAGGTATATTATCCTCCGAACAGCTTTCTATTATCTGAGAATAATACTCACGACCACATTATAGGCACCTTTTCGCCACGCTCACTGTCGCACCATCACGCTCTTTCTTATCGCAGGGTCTTAGAATCTTCCAAGAGGAGGTTGAAGCCATCAGGACAGTTCCTGGCTTGGTTCCTAACTTCATCTGCTACCCCATCCAGAGAAACGCCATTGCGGCTATGAAACAGCGAGGCGGGAATGCTCTGGGAATCGACCGAGAGGGGCCTCTCTTCTGTATGCAATCTCCTGCCCCCAACCGTGGTACACCTACACATTTGCTCACCCATTGCGAAGTGATCTTAATTTCTACAGCATGGTCAAACAGGACTGATGATGCTGCTGTTAATCGGATGACGGCAAATACTATTGAGAGACTGACTGTCGCAGCCAATGACCTGGGTATTGCGGATCGGTATAAGTATATCAATTACGCTTCGGCGGCGCAGGCTAGCACGATATTTGCTGGTTATGGTGATGAGAATCTACAGAGACTGAAGAAGATTCAAAAAAGCATGGATCCTCATGGAATATTTACGTCTGAAGGGTTATGGCGCGGGTTCGTCAAGCTGCTATGAGCTCATTACGCAGACACTCGCTTTGTGAGAGCGTTGATAGGTCTGTAAGAGAAATGGTCGGCAATGATGTTAGACGGAAGAGCGTATTTTGTCCTGGTAAAAGAATATGATGGCTTAAATAACGAATCCACAGTAAACTTACGGTTATTGGAGGCTATATATTCCAAGGCTGTGAGTAATGCTACCATAGTTGTTGTTTTCAAAATGAATCCCATTATCCTACCACAAACTATGAAGTCCTACATTTCGCTGTTCCAGCACACCCATATATCTCGTGTTAATCTCCCAACCACCCAAGTAATCCAGGCGTAATCTACTACCCCGGTGAGCTCGGAATATTGACACCTCCACTGTACAAACGCTTCATCTGCCTGATTTCTTCTTCCCCTGTCTTTCAGCCTTCTCCATCCCCACCTCCGCCCTGCGCGCTGCCTCTCTCGTCCCCTCACTCAAAGTCTCCAACACCCTCAACTGCCCAAACCGCCGCCTCCAAAACCCCAATCGCTCCGTACTAAACCCCTGCTCTTCCTGCCACATCTGGCTATCCTTCCCCCAGGACGTGGCATGAGTCCCCTCCGCACCTCGGAATGGATTATGCAACAAATCCTTGGCCGCGTGGATAAAGTACTGTCCTGCTGCGGCGATATTTCCATCCTGCTTTGCCGTCGGCTTTGAATCGTCCACCTTCGTCTCCAACGCCTCGACGGTCAGATGCAGCGCCCAGTAGTAGGGCTCCATGAGCGAAGATGATATCAGACGCCCCGTGAAAGCGTGATAGTTTACCCATTTGGCATACATGGGATCAGAGAGTATTTTGACCTCGTGGTATTGGGCTTCCAGCGCTGCATTGGTTAGCATTCGTTATTTCTGTGAGGGTGTAGAAGAAACATACAATCGCGTAGATCGCGCCAGACTTGAGGGAAGATAGTTTCTTTCTCAAGGGTCCAGTTCGCTTCGTCGGTGTTGAAGGGTGGTGGGAGGTCAAAGATCGCGTGGAGGAGTGAGATGATGTCCTCGTGGGCTTCTTCGTGATCCTTCGCAAGGAAGAGTAGTACCTCCCATGGGTAACAGGAGTAATCCCATCGTTGTGGTTGGGATGGGTCTAATAGCTGGGAGGCTGCGTCCGTGACGGGGATGGAGCCGTCCAGGTAGGATTGTAGGGTTGTTAGGTGGAACGGGGAAAATGATAAGCCTTCATCTTTTACCGATGTAAACCAATTAGTGTATATGCTAGTCATGGTGAGGGATTGGATGTGTTGAATGAGAGGAGGTGTGAGTCAAGATCATATAAGAGGAGGTTAGACAAGGCTGAGATTATGTCAGTTGGCGGGGCCCTCGGAATAGTGCCTTATCAGAATCATCTTCCCCTATATTTAGTTTGGTTCTGCCTTGATTACAATTGTCTTCCACTTGTGTGGCAAGGCTGCGACTATATTTTATCTTGGAAATGTCCTCTCTAATGAAGGGTGAAGATAGTGATACATAAAATTTAACAGCGGATCAAGTCCAATCCCGTCCTGTGTGCTCGCTAGATTATCTGCCTTATGCTGGAAATTCTGAAAGGTCAATTCGAATTATACTTGTCTGATAAGGAGTTAAGCTTCCATTTTTCTTCTTGTTCTCATGGTGCAGTCTAGACACTGCTTTAAGCACCGATATTAATAGGCTACTCCTAAGCGGCGCACTTCCAGGCACAAGGCATTCTTTCGCTAATCCTTAATATAAGAGTAGATTGTCCGCATGATTGCGTGCCCGGCGAACATGCAACTAACGGTTCATTGCGTGAGCCATTTATCTATTTCTGCTCGCATCCATAAATAGTCCAACTCCCTCTTTGGGTGCTCCTAGAGTTGGCATTCGGGACCGCAAAACCCGCATCCGCACCGCACCGAACCCTATGAGGTGCGGATTCGGATTCTAAAGGTTCAATCCGCAGCGGATTTGCGGATCCCCGAAATTTATAGCTTTTTAAAAAAAATTAATTAAAAATAATTAAAAATAATATATATATAATTTATATATTAATTTATATAAATATTATTCTTTTAAATTTTTAATAAATTTATTCGCTAAGTTATTAAAGAAAAAAGATAAAAAACAAGTTGGTTCGGAAGATTTTAATAGATATATATATATCTACCCGCACCAAATTAATTTGGTAGTAAAAAATAAAAAACTTGAACTTTTTATTAATTTATTTAACTTATTATTTTAATATTTCATTTTTTTGAATTACCAAAACTGCATAAAATAAATATAAAACATGCATAAAAATTGGCTTAATTAGGTTTGGCTTTAGGGCTTAACCCTGATACTAACTTAAATAGGCTAGACTGCGGATTTCTTGGCAAAAACCGCACCGAACCCGCCCCAATCCGCAACGGTTGCGGGTTCCTGATTTTCAGCCCGAAACCCGCTGCGGGCGGTCCCGAGATGGCCTTCCACCGCCCGAATCCGCACCGATGCCAACTCTAGACTCAATTATGTGTCTAGAATGATCAGATTGAGAGATATAAGCAGCTAGATATGCAAAGTTTAGGAAATCAGACCCTCATACATTCATTTAGTGACCAATGCATTGCTGGTGTATATATTGAATACGCATATTGTTTGACATCTAACCTCAGCCATCACGATCAAAATTTTCGCCTACTCAGTCGTGCAGATGGAATTGTTTCTATTTTTCTTTTTTTTCTTTAGATTTGAATATTTAGCAAGAAATGATCCTATTCCAACTTCGTTAGCATGCTCTTCGTATCTCTGTTGCAGGAACTGCGTCGTGAGCTGCGATGCTGTCTTCATCTCAGGTATTATCTCAGACGAGTCCTCCCGCGCAGAATAATGGAGATAATTCATGAGCATTTCAAGAACTTGATGTGTGCTTTCTATCACGCCGGTATTGATGGACCATAAATTCCAAGGTCGTGAGAAACTATTGTCTTGTTTTTGCTGGAAGGTTGGTTATTTCTGGGAGCATCACGAATGGTACACGCTCTTTTCTCGACGGCTCCGGCGGAGCCTGTGAACGATCAATAACCCTCTTTTCTTCCATTCCCTCAAATTCAATTGCATGCTTGTCTTCTGGAGAGAATTCTAGAACGCCTGCTGCTTCTGGCCTAGTTATCGCCGTGGCATCCGAGGTGGCTGCATAATTGGAATCAACATGTTTCTGGGCCCATCATTTTTGTCGAGGCTTCTAGGACCAAATGGAAATTTTGTGCGGTCAAAGTCTAGTTTCGTGCAAGACCCACGATCCCCTAAGACATACAAGATTAGCAAGAATGATAAAAATAACTAGTAGGGTGCTGCGCCAAAATTCCCACTTTCTTTCGCTGTCAACGCCATGCCAATTGGCGCACACAGTTCTGATGCTTTCTGATATTATATTTGTGATGATGAAGTAGGAGTGTCTCTCGTAGGAGATGGAAAATCGCTTGCGGACCAAGAAAAAAAAATGAAGTTAGATGCAATAACGTGGCACTAGTGGTGGGAGGCTGTCGATTTATCGCACGGGGAGGGGCGATATTGCACTGATTAATATGTATTATTACTTCTCGTCCAAAAGAGTTGAATAAATTATGTAGATTCCATGTGTTGATTGAGGCCGATCTATTATTTTGACCCCCATGTTCCACGACCAGCAACAGAGTGGATGAAGTAGTATTCAATTTTCAAACTTATGGGGACAGCAGAGTCCCCTAACCTATTGTTTGTTTGCTGGCTGCTACATACAAGAAATCTTGCCGTATATTCGATCGGGAGACCAATGTACAACCTTCACGCTTCGATTGAAATTGTTTCTCTTTCCTCCAAGACACACTAGTCCATTTAAAGTGTCGCTCTGAAGTGCCCCTATAAATTGCGCGTGCATTTTATGGTATGTAAAATTTATTCGAATGGGTTTTCGCCAGCAAATGGTCAGAATTGGCTCCGGCAGAGAATTGAGTCGAAGCGCATTAGAAAACAGAGGACCTGTCAAATGTATTGCTTTGGTTTTTATGATTTCTCATTCAAATCCTCCAGAACTTGCACAAGGTATGGTCATAATCCTTTTTATGGTATCGGGTTGCATGGATCGATTTACTAGGCATGTGTCTAGCCCTTCAATGCTCATGGCACATTCAACTGCAACATGTCCCAGACGGCCTTTGTGGGTGAATAGATGTGAAATGGCTATTTTGGCTATTTTGAGAAGCTTCATATCATTGACTATGTCATCTGTCATGTACGTCAATGCAAGCACTGCGTCTGGTCTTCGAGGTTGCTAATCCAGTCTTAGTTGTCTTTCGTGTATCAATGGTCGAAATGTGCACATATCTACAGAATCACTTCTACTGAGTGATCCGGGAGGGGTGGAAGTACAAAGATCAGTTTTCAGCAATGAGCGGACGCCTTATTGCCACCTACCAACCGCAGGTCCACCTTTGTCAGTTCCGGACTTGCACCGAATTTCCAACCCACCCGAGATAACGGCCACGGTACTCCAAATGAAGGATCATAGTTTGCTTGATAGTGTTCTAACTACGCCGGCAATCATTGAAAGCAAAGCCCGTTCAGTTGCAAACTCTTTGTTGAGCTTGCCCCAAGAACTCTCCTCAAAACCCTTAGTTGGTGATCATTCCAGCCAAGAAAAGATCAAAAGCGTTGGAAATGATCAGACTCAATTCTATACACCGCATTCAAACTAAAATGCTGTCTCTACAGCGAAACTGACATCAGCTGCCAGCGACGAGCCCATTATTACCGGTATACCGTTCCATTCTAATGGCGATGATATAAAGCCTTTTTACAGATCCGATGATTCCCCTGTATCTCAGGCACCAGGTATCTCAAGCCCCCAAAGCGTGTTCTATATTTCTCAGGTGCCTGGGTTTTCGAATTCAGGAGGTTCAGGCTCCCCGGATACCCTTTCCACGCAGGGTCCCCTGAGTGGACTTTGGGCTTCACGAACCAGAGCCCTGGGTGTTCTAATAAGGGGCACACTTAAACAGAAGAGAAAAGAGTTAGGAATCAGCCGGAAGTCCGTCTCTCGAACGTAATGCCCATCTGGGGTTCTTACTTCCATACCCCGGGGACAAGACGAATACAACCCGACAGAGTACATGCGCCATCTAGTCCACACCATCACCGCGATACGTCGAAAGGGTTTGAATTCTCTGATATCCTTCCAAGCCTGCTTGAAAGATGGACGATATTTGATTGATAAAGTGTATGAGTGGATCATTGGCGCGCAGTTGGACATCTCAAGCCGAGAGCGAGAAGTTCGACCCCAAAACTTTCCTGTTTGGGATTCATCGTTTGGAAGTGGGGCAGGGCTCCAGATTGCGTCAGAATTACAATGGAACGTGGTTACCAGCTGACTTTCCGGGCAAAGGACCGGGTGCAATTTACGGGTATTCGTAGCGTTCTAGAGACCGGCGGCGGGTAGACCGGAACGCTACGAATACCCATTTTTACGTTTCGGATTCGTGTGGCGATCGGCTCCCCGAGGAACTGTGGATCTCTTCTTACCGTTTTCGGTAGATATCACGTATTCGTACTCACTCTCGACCACGGAAAAACAAGGCAGCATTTTAGAAGCATTCTAGAATCTTGACAGGTCAGTATGAGATCTTTTCGATCAGATTAGCAATATTCAGGTTCTATTCTTGCCAAGTAACCCTGGGAAGGGGTGTTATAGGGTTTCGATTCGAATTTGGGCTACGAAGAGACGGGTATTAGAAGACTTCAAGTAATGTTCGGCAACTTGCTATTGATGGTCGTAATCGAAAAACTTGATGATCCCCTAATTCAAAAACCCACAACACCAAGCAAACTTGTGGAGCGGTATCTACTTTACTCTCCTATTTTTAAATATCTGTTTGCCTGTCGTACATAATCCATGGATGGATAGTGCAATCTAAAAATGCAGATCAATCAGGAGATTTTAGCATATAAGGGCAGCTCGACCTGCTCAAGTCCAAGTTGAATTATATCTATCGTTTATAAACTTTCTCCTCGAGTGTGACTTGCACAATGATCAAGGGGAAAACTATGTTTTCCCGACCATTTAACTGGTATGCATCTCTATGTTCCTGATACGCAACCTTGGAAGTTGTAGCAAATCCAGTATATTTATTATCTATCTAGGTTCACACTAGTGATATTCATGGGATCTGTGGTCGGTGCTACTCATTCGACCGAAATCCTCTGCACCACTCTTGTTAAAGATGGCCCGATGCAAATCACCCCCGACTGTGTTGATCCGATCTATAACTCCCCTATCTTCACCAACACCTCCGAAGAAACCTCACCTGTCACGCATCGAAAGGTGTCTGGATACTTCAATGGCACTGAGACTGAGTTCAACATCTACATGCCGTACGACGGCTGGAAAGGCCGTTTCTTCCAAATGGTTTATCCGGGGCAAATGGCTGTAGCGTCGTCCGGAGAGATCGAGTTTACTATTGAGGCCGGTGGCTACACTGTCCATGTTGGTGGCACTGGAGGCTATCGGGCTGATGCTGCCGTTGCGAAGATATCCCGGAAGCTTGCGCACAAGTTCTACAACCAGCATTCTCGCAAGATATACGGCTACATTTATGGTGGTAGTGGTGGCTCTTTCGAGACTGTTGGAGGTGTGGAAAACACCATCTCTATTTGGGATGGTAGCGTGCCTCTCATCCAGGGAATTCCAATCTCAGACCCTACTGGTGCTTCTATCACTGCATTTGGAGGATTTGTGATGGGGAATAAATCAAGGGATATCCAGGATGCGGTCCGCCCGGGCAGTATCCATGATCCTAAGGACATTTTGAACCCTGTCCAGCGTGCTGTGTGGAAAGAAGTCACGGCTTTAGGTATGCCTCCCGGGGCTTGGGAGGACTTCGACGGTAGTGGCCGTAATCGATCACAGGTTTATGAGCTTCTCCAGGCTGCGGCAGTTGGCCTGAAGACAACTGATCCTACTTACGTTGATGACTGGTGGAGTAAGCCAGGATATTTGGGAACAGAGGACTCGGAGCTGGGAGACCTGTTCCGTTCGTCCTTGATCGAGTTCAACGCCACTGTTTTTCAAGTCGATCGCGATGCCGACAACGTCCCAGTAGGAATGACTTTGAATGCATCACCGTTGGAAGCACTTCGTCGCAACTGGTATGACTTCACCATTCAGTCGGAATGCGAAGGAGTGAAGGATGGCGAATTCACAGGTCATATGGATCCCGACTCGGGCAAAGTTTCAATCTACTCCGATCAGAACAGCACCGTCCTCAACTGTTTGGAAAAGGGCATAAATGTTCGTGTGGATAATCGGTGGTACCTCGCTCTTCATACCTTCCACCGGCACGAAGTCCCTAGCAGTGGTGGGTACTACGCCTTTGATTACCTTCGCGACGAAGATGGAAAGCCTCGATATCCCCAGCGCAGTGTCCTCGCAGCTTTTACTTTCGCAGAGTCGGCGAGTGGCGGTGGAACCAACACTGGGAACTTCAGCGGAAAGATGATCGTCATGGACACCTTGCTGGACAACAAAGCTTTCCCGTGGCAAGCTGACTGGTACCGCGAGAAAGCCAAAAAAGCCCTTGGTGACCGATTCAATGACAACTACCGTCTTTATTACAGCGACCATGCCGACCATGAAATGGGCCCTGTTCAGGAAGCTGTGAAGTATCGCTTGATTGACTTCACCGGCCTCTTTGAGCAACATTTACGCGATCTCGCCGCTTGGGTGGAAGATGGAATTGAACCCCCGACACAAACTAGGTATAAGATCGAGAACAGCCAGGTGAAGGTCCCAGCTTCTGCCTCCCAACGGGGTGGCATTCAACCCGTTGCCCACTTGAAAGTCCAGAATGGCACTCGGGCAGAAATCCGCGCCGGATCCTCAGTGACTCTCCAAGCAAATATCGAGGTGCCTCATGATGCTGGAAAGATTGTCTCTGTTGAGTGGGATCTTTATGGAAACGCAAGCTTCGCGGCAGTGGACTTCGGACCACCCAACAGGCTGGTCAACGTGAATGTTACTCACACCTATGAAACTCCCGGTGTGTACATTCCAAGTGTCAGAGTCGCTTCCCATCGATCTGGTGAGAAAGGAAGTTCGAATTTTCTAGCATACAATATGGGTCGTGCGCGGGTCGTTGTGAAATAATGAACGATTGCTCTCGGCTCTTGTCCCGGTCTTTCTTTTTTCTGTTAAGTGGTCGGGTGATCCCTCTTATCTTGACACACCAGTCCTCCTCTCTTTTCTTTCTCTATATTTATTTCTCTCTTTTGTTTTTTCTTCTCGCCCTTTTTGGATGTTAGGTAATCCTGCTTCCTTGTTATCTTCGATCACTCGCTCTTTATTCTCCCTTTTCTTTTCTATATAGATAATTTTAAAAAGACAGCTTTTTGCTGATTGTTTTACATTGTATAATTCCCTCCTAAAACTTCTCTGGTGTTCAGATAGCCAATACAGGTCCTATTTCCTCTCCCTCTCAGCTCACTCATTGTTTTCCCAGTCGTGGTCCTTTCAATTTCGGGCTTGATTCCTTAACGGAATCCGCCAGTGTCCCGAATACGGATTTCAAGAAGGAATCAGAGCAATAGTGCAGATAGCCAGATGTATAGCTCGAAAAGCGCAAGGTGTCAGCTTGGCAGCCTCAGATGTTAAAAAGCTAAAGATAAATGAGATGTGTGTTTATAGATAGATAGTAGTATACTAGTATCTACTAGTACTCCTACTAGGCTATAGTTTGTTAGTAACTATAGCTATATCATGTACCTAGGTACTAGCAAGCGAGATCGCTGATTCTTCGGTTCAGAGCAGCCAAAAGCCGAGTCTCTAGAAAGGCTATGTAATCTTTGTCGGTCTCTTCAAATTAGAACACTGGATGACTTTTACTAGTAGAAATGACCGTGGCATAGCAATGATTACTAAAGCACACATGGATGCGACCGCGAGACGCGCCCAATGGTCCTGCCAGTGCCAGTGGGCAATAACATAGTTTATATAAAAAGGCCGGCGCTCATCCTTTCATGTTCTCATCATTTCTTTACCTAACCAGGCCATGGCTAGACGTATACTTGCTGGGACCTTGCTTTCTTGCTATTCTCATAATCGCAACGTCACCCCTATACTGAGTTTTAACCTCAGAGGTCTACCCTCAACCATTAAGGCATCTGAGCCTCATAAATTATCCGAATAATACACCTCCGGGCGATCGATGCGAATCATAGATCAAAGCTTGGTTAATGCCGAACTGCTCATTTAAACCGAGGTACTAGATATAATGACAGCTTGAGACACCGTGAGCGAAGACGGCATTTCAACGTTTCCCGAGTGCGCTTAAGCGCCTTCCTGCCCTGGCAGTAGAGCAGAACGAGAACGATGTTGCTAAATTCGAGAGACTGGCCGAGGGAGGCTTTAACCGAAGTTTTATGGTCACTATGCGAAACGGCTTCCGTTTTGTAGCACGAATTCCATACCCTATTACTGCGTCAAAATTCCCAGTTGTTGTAAGTGAAGTTGCTACGATGGATTTCTTACGCTCTCACGGTATTCCAGTTGTCTATATAGGTCTAGCACTTAGTATATAGGCAGCTTCTATAAGCTGTAGTCATAAACTAGTATTATAAGACTCTATAAAAAGGAGTAGCTAGCCTAAAGAATATTTAGGTTATCTTGATGTGTTCAATTGTGAGGAAAGTCAGCAGGGAGAAGGCAGTTACAAGGATATAGCACGCTTCCGTAGAGGGCTGGGAAGAGTGTTCTTGCACTTTGCTAGCTAAATACATGAATTATAATGACTGGAATGCTTTTAGATTAGCCAGCTAAGCCTAGTGCAAGAATTAGTTACGGAAGAAGTTTGAAATCGAATAAAGCTGGAAAATATTTCAATATGATATTAGCGGTCGCTATGATGCTATAGCAAGCCAATGCCAGGTCAAAAAGCAAGCCGATGCCCTTGACTGCGTGTTTTCTCTCGACTGACCAGCAGCTTTTTATAGCGCGAACAAATCTTCTCTACAACGGCCCTCTGCAGGGTTCCTGAACTATAAAGCCATTCTGCCTCCGTTCTTTTTGCCTGTTCAATCTTTTTCGTTATTCCCTTTTCCAAAGAACCCCGTAATGAGCGATAAATGCCCTGATTTGGATACGCAACGAGGCCTATGGTTGCCGCTCCCGTTTTGAGCGTGAGACTAGTCAGACCCTTTATCAGCCCTTTGCCCACACCAAGAGAACCCTGCTTTTTCATTCCCTGATACGTATAGACAAATATGTCGGTGAAACCTTCGTATATGCCGTGTGTGAAAGTTGACCACCCCACGAGGGTGCCGGTCCTCCAGCCCAAAACCGAACCGTAAGTTCTTACTTCTTCTCCATAAAGACCAGGGACAGCTCGCAGCCCTTCTACCGTGGCAAGAGGGAGATCGACAAAGGCCCCACGGTAGGACCGGCCTAAAAACTTTCCCAGGCTAGTTGCAGATGCGAGGGTCATTCTTTTTGCGTAGGCTAGTTGACTGACCTCAGGAATCAGGGTCGCGTCATTCGAAGAAACCGCTGTTGATGAGACTGAAAATTCCACTGAAGAAATCTCAGAGATGTTCGAGGGGCATTTGGGCTGGGAATCACAGCTCCATTGCTGTCTTTGAGAGGGCTGACCTGCCTCTCAAAATCGGTCATCTGCAGCTGGGAAGGATCCGGTGTTGTCGCAACGACAGCGACTGAGACCAGGGGCAGTCCGAAGTCGTTTGTAATATCGCTGTAAATGGATACAAATAAACGCTGCAGTATGCCTTCTGCCTGAGAGCCTGCGGGGATGCCCTCAAATCTGGACACGGTCTGCAAGACGGCATTTTCCAGGTCAAACAGCAACTGCTGAAGGCTGAAGGCTGTGCCTGACAGATTCGTCAGCTGAGCCTTCAGCTGAGCCTGGAGCTCTGGATGATTGTTCAAGTAGGGTGTGTCCAACTCCTCATTAAGGCTTTTCATGACGAGGTTGACGTTCGCTTGCACATACCACGGATCTCCGGAGGGCTGGCTCCAGACATTCCATGACCCCTGAGTCCACCCATTGCCAGGGGTGTTTTCGATCACGGTAAATTGCGAACAAAACATGTTGAACGTGACGGTCTTGGCGTCGTCCCCAAGGTCAACGATTGCAGGCAGGTTCTTAGGCATAACACCGGGAGGCAAGCCAATTTGGATTTGAATGCCCACCATGAACCTGGCAGCGGTAAGGGCTTGGATACTCTTGTCATTGTAGTCTGTACCTGCCGGGATCTCAAATGGATTGATGTTGTCCGTGAGTTTGAGTAAGTCCTCTAGACTGATCATGTTGGTGGGGTTCCCATCCTCATCGGCCAGAAAGCAGAGAAATTGAACGGGCTGCTGGCTCTCGCTCAGGAAAAGAAGAAGGTCCGAGTTGATGCTTGCCTGGGTGGTTGAAACGACAAAGTCATACCCATATTTGGGACTTGATAGAAAGGAGTCGGTCGAGTCCATCGCGAATGCTTGCTTGCTGCAGTAATAGAAGACGATATTGTGTTCGAGTGTCTCGGTCTGCTGATAGCTCCTTCCTCTACATTCCGGCCCCTTTTATATTGCTTTCGAGCACCTTCCCTTGTCCTCCATGAGTACTTTCGTCTCCGCGGTGGCGATCAAGTCACAATCCCCGACACTCTCTGCTGATCAGCTCTTGATTCTGCTTCGCGTTCATATTCATGTTACATTCCCCCACTCTGTGAATACTTGGCCCTGTGTAGTAGTACTAGTCTGTACTTACTAGGTGCAGCCAGGCAAAAAGGGCAGGATGTGCTCAGTGTCAAGTCGTTGTGATAGTACGAGACACCAAAGGATTTCGATACCCCTCATCCGCAACAGGGAAGTGGGAGCTGACGTGTTCCGAAGGAAAGTGTGCTGTACGCGTAAATGAATGAATATATTAAGGGGCAAACTAGGATTGATGTTGCAGGAGTAGTCCTTAGCAGCGGTGGAAGACCCCCGTTGCTCACTTTACAGAGTGGGGACCATTCGCCGCCTGCACCTGCGCCCGGCAGGAACAACCCACCCTTCAGCTCCACAAACTCGAGGTCCTGGACCAACAGGTACTTTTGATATATTAATTGTAACCTCAGATGTTTCAATTATGGATCGTGCTAGATACGTTGTGAAATGTATCGGAAATGTGCTTTTGCGGTCGTTGTTGATCATTTCCCTAACCCTGCAGAACATACACAGCGGTGTTCAGCACATGTAAGTGCAAACAACAGCGATACATGAGATAAACAATAGGCGAGCTCTCATGTCTCATCCAAATTCGGCGACATTTCAACCCACAACGTCTACACAAATTCCGCCCAGTTTTTGTCGCGCTTCTGACCGGTGAGCAGCTCTTTGAACCAGACCATGTGTGAGAGATATTCTTTATGAAGAAGCGAAAGCTGCCATCCCTGGCTCCATAGAAATATCCGCTGCACTTAGATATGCACTATTACCAGTCCCCTTGTTCATGGGCCATCATTGGCCTGAGCCCTCCTTCGATTCGTCGTGACAAGGGTGTCATCCTGGTGTTCGCAAGAACTGGAGATGACGCCGGTGATACATGCCCCTAGAGACAATTGAGGGGGTGAACCCTACTGCTGTGGCGGAGGTTGCATCGCAAATGAGCTCATAGCGGTCTCGACCGGTGATCGACCTCCCAAATGGAGTGAGATTTGAATCTTGATGTGAAAAAATATCCCTGAACTCAATCTCGCCGAGGACCCACTGATCGGACGGCGTTCCCGGGGAGGCGGGAGGCGGGAGACGGGCGGCTGAGGGCCCAACGCTAATTCTCATTCATCAGATATCAGCCCCACCTTGAGGTCTGTTTATCCTGATTTTTCCGAGTCTGCTATGGAGGCATTCGCAAAGGTCTGCAGTCCCTATTTTGATTACTGCCCCTTATACCAAGGGTGGCTTTTACTCCTTTGAGCAAGGTTCATGATCGAGACAGAAACGAGTAACGTCCAAGATGAGTTAGAAGTAGGAAGTATTTTTTGTTGAATCTTACTGTATGTACAGTTCCTAACAGGTCTGTCCTGGAGAGTGTTGCATCTACAGACCATGCCATCATTCGGAAATAACACCTGATATCCAATGTATCTCCAACACCAATACCGGATACCAAGACAAACATCCCCTAGGCTAGGCGATCGCCCTCTCGGAAATTTCTACCCACCCACCTGGGCCTGCAATGCGCCAAGCGAGCCTGCAGCACTAGGCTAGGTGCAGGCTAGTCAGTGGCTGGCTGATCGTGCTACAAATCTGAGTCAAACATTGCCCTGCAGGATCAATACCCTTGAAACTGGTGAGGGGCAGAGCTGAAGGGGGGAGAGACAAAACGGGTTTGAAGACACGCCCAAGTACCTCTACACTTAATATACTCGTTGAGTGGAGGATTTATTTTCCTGCCGCCGAGATTCAATCATTCCCTTGGACCCTTAGACGGATATAGCTCCGTCGGACCTTCACTTCTTTCGGCACGCTAGCCATCGGCAACCACCCCTGGTCTTTTTGCCACTCCGTGAGCTCGGTAATTTAGCATGTGCAGTATGTGACGGCATTGTGAGTCTTTCATTGGCCTCAACAATACTTAAGCTGAAATATTAGATTCGCCTACGACTCGTACCGCACGAGACCTTCTCCTGTGTCTATATTAGGCTTACCCACGCATTTAAACATCAGTTTTGTTGATCAGCACTCCTACAATGTTCTCTCAGAGAGTTCCAGCAGCACTAACCTCCATAGCAGTAAAGCCTTTGGGCTTATCATTCAATATCCTTCCTTTGTCACTCAGTTTAGTACAGTCGAGTGGACGGAAGCTCCTGCTATTTGTACGGCTGTCGTAGGTCTTGGAATAGAGCCAATGACGGGATATATGCCAGGACTGCGAAGCTCCTACTTGAGGGTAGTGCTGCTCCAGAATCAAGGGATAATAGCTGGAGATCTCCGCTGTCATAGGCCGCATATGGCTGTCAAGCTAATGTGAATCTCCTACGTGCATCGGACTGGCACTGCGGATGGGGTTTGACGTAGTCGCCATTGATCTCTATAGCAACTACAAGACCAGGTCTAGGTAGGACATTACAGATCTTCGAATATGTAATCTTGCCTTCGAAACAAATCAGTGCCTTTATGTCGGAGACATATTCCGATTTTGCCTTCTAACAGATTGATATAAGTTTTTTAACGCCAGTTCTCCGCGAAGGAGAACAACCTTTGTCTTCTTATATTATCCCTAATCTAATCGCTTCATACTTTCAAAACCTCTGACACCTTTGAGTATTTAGCAGCCATCATATCATCTCGTAAAAGCACCCTGTTTCAAGTAACAAAGTATCGCTATAATAGACTCCACCGCAAAGATCTCATTACCTAACCCTACCTATATTATGCTGTTCTTCATGGTCTGTATATAACTCAGGATCCTCTCTAGTTCTGGGTAATCGTAAATAATCATTATATGATAAATGCTGCAACCGTTGTCATGTTGCTTGACCTGCGGTTATGGGTTTTGCAGGGTACCATATGTCGGCTTCTTGTTTCCAGCTATCTAACTTGGTGATCTTTTATGTTAGTGACTTTAGATCCAAGCCAGCTAAAATGGGAAAGACTAATTGGAAGAAAAGTGCAATGTCTTCTTGGAAATACTTGGAAGGATTTGAAGAGTCATCCCAGTGAGGCTGCTATTCAACGGACTTCCTCATTGTACAGCGATGTAGAAAAGTGCTCAATCTCCCACCCATAACCGCTATAACCAAAGGTTTACCCACTTAAACCTTCATACTCGGATTCCGGGTCATACAATAAAGCTATATCTCATCAGCACTCCCTCGACATCAACCAATCAAGGAATCAAAAACATACCTTGCACTTATCCACACCATCCACACACTCAATCTCCTTGACCAACCCAAACCCCAACTTCTCATAGATCACCAAATTCGGCACCCCCTTCGAGCTCTCCAAATAGCACTTGACGCCCTCACGGTCCGCCCGGTCCGTCACTACCTGCACCAGCTTCTTCCCCACCCCCATGCCCCTCATCTGCGCACTTACCGCCAACACGTTACAGAAGTAATACCCGCGGGGATCCGTCCACACCTTCTCGTGTGTCTTCTCCTGCATCGCCTTCCACAGACGGTACCGGGAGAGGTTAAGGCCACCACGGCCCCCGAAGCGGATGTTGTAGAGAAGCTGACGCATCGAGAGGAGCCAGTCCTGGGCCCAGATGGACCAGGGGAGGGGCGCAGAGGCGGGCTGCGGCGCGTACCACCATGAGACGCCGACGACGCTGTGCGGGGGGTGTTTGTCGTCTGGGGCGGCGTTCAGAGTGGTCTTGGCGATGTACATGGGCATGTTGCAGTTCAGGCCGTAGTGGAAGTGGGCGGCGAGGGAGGCGGCGTTGCGGTGGATGTCGTACTGTGGGAGCAGGGTTTATCGGTATTGTAGTCTAGGGGAGAATGGAAGGAGGAAGGAGGAAAGAAAGAAAGGGAGACGGTTTCATTGCCATATATCATGATATAGAAGTTCACATATAGGTATCATCCCTGTCGGTTAGGATACTTACGCTGGCATCGTCGAATAACCACTGGAAATACGGGTCGTCGGCAAACGCCGTCTGCACGCATTCTACGGCCGCGGGGATGTCCTGTTTGGTGAGGGGGAGGATCTCGATGGCCATGATGAGGGTTTTGCAACAAGGAGTTGTTGATCTGTAGCGATGAAAAAGACTAGAGAATCAATTTCTACTGGCTCTTTGGGTGGGTTGCGATAAAGCGATCGTGTAGGCGTGCGAATGGCGGCGGAGGGGATAGAGCGACAACGCCATCTAAGTTGAAGACCTTAAGAAGGGGATACCGGCGACAGCAGAGCGGACAGGAATACTGAAGGATGGTGAGACCGGGTGAGACGTCCTTGCATGCCATCTATATAGCACCTCCCCCTTCGCGGCTAGCCCGCTCTGGGCAGTTCGACGCGGACGCCATCAGCAAGACAGCGTTGCACCGGCAAATGATCGGCGATCGATCGCCAAGCCGTTAGTCTCGTTCGGGCAGGTTGTGCCGGTTATCGCGTCACCGTGGTCGCTGGCTAGAAGTCTGACTCGTCTACTGGTCTTTGTGTGACGGCCGTGCAGTGAGGAGGTCAAGTGATGCCACCATGAGGGGTATGGTTCCTTCACCGTACTTTGGTTGAGGATCCTGTGTTGTTCTGCCAAGGCTGGAATGCTGGAATGCGTCGGCTCAGAATATAACTCTGGGTTGGTAAGGATCCGCAACTAACCACCTCAGGATGGTCTACTCTAGGCCCCATATGACGACATTCAGGCAGTTGCAGGAAATAATCCAGAGAAAATAAGACAGCAATCTAGAATAGACGAATGTTGGCGATCGTGGAGAACAAAGAAAGATTATCTGCAGAACTAAGAGGTAACCCTTGACTACCTTAGCAATAAGCTCTATGGATGGAGGCAGATGGCAAAGTAGCTATAACTGTTTAATCAAATCTCCGTCCTAGAATACTCACTAACATCAAAAAACAATACTCGGCAACGTTGCCGCTCGAATGCCGGATCGCTTATCTCCCAGATCATCTTATCTGGTTATCTGGCGTCGGCTATCTTAGGCTATCGGGTCAGCAACAATCGGATAAACAAGATAAGATAGAGATATAAGAGCACACTTGCCGTGGAATTCAGACAGACCAGCAGACTGTCAGATCACCTGTTTCTGAGTGATGAAAGCCAGGTGCATACTGGGTTATTCAAAGGAAGGTCCCCTTCTCCTGAACCATGGCCCAATGACCGAACCGCCGAGGCTACCGTGGCAGGCATGGTAGCTGTCACTGTGGTGTGATTTCTCGCTCGCACACGGTCCTCTCTGTAATAGACGATGCTTGATGATTTGTATCGCAGTAGACAGGCATGGCGACAGCTCAACCACGTCTCCGGAGCTCAGTGGATGGTGGGCTGCAGGTGGAGATGGCCAGCTGTTTTCCCCGCGGAAGCTCCTGCCTATAAAGACCGGTCACGCCCCTCCCCCTCCAAATCCAGTCTCAGTTTCTCCTTCTTTCCCCCTCTTCCTTCCTACTCTTCTGTTTCTCGTATTCAACCACCATCATGGGTTCATCCTCTCTCCACACGTTCTTCTACAAGCAAGAACATGCTCAATCACAGAAACCCCACCCCGCCGAGCTTCTCATCGACAATGAATTCCGTCCGTCCGCCACCCAGTCCTGGATCGATGTCCACGACCCGGCAACGAACCGTGTCGTCTCTCAGACCCCGGAATCGACCCCCGAGGAGTTAAAAGCGGCAGTTGACTCTGCCAAGAAGGCATACTCCGGATGGAGCGAGACCAGCGTCATGAAGCGCCAGCAGGTCATCTTTAAGCTCACCAACCTGATCCGCGACCACATGGACTTTCTCGCCACCGCGATCGTAAGCGAACAGGGCAAGACTTTCGCCGACGCCAAGGGCGATGTCCTGCGAGGCCTGCAGGTCTGCGAGACTGCCTGCGGCATCACCACACAGCTTCAGGGCGAGGTCCTTGAAGTCGCCAAGGATATGGAGACGCGATCGTACCGCCTGCCTCTGGGTGTGGTGGCTGCGATCTGTCCGTTCAACTTCCCCGCCATGATTCCCCTGTGGAGTTTGCCTATCGCTGTCGTAACGGGAAATTGCCTGATCTTGAAACCTACTGAGCGCGCTCCGGCTGCCGCCATGATTATCGCCGAGCTTTGTGCAAAGGCAGGTTTCCCGCCGGGTGTGATCAACGTGATCCATGGATCAAAGCCCGCCGTTGACTTCCTCCTCGACGAGCCGGCGATCAAAGCGATCTCATTTGTTGGGTCGAACAAGGTCGGCGAATACATCTATAACCGTGGGGTGGCGAACGGAAAGCGTGTTCAGGCAAACCTCGGCGCCAAAAACCACGCGGCTTTGTTGCCCGACAGCAACAAGCATCACGCAATCAACGCCATTACGGGAGCGGCGTTCGGAGCTGCAGGGCAGCGCTGCATGGCGCTGAGTGTTTTGGTCTCTGTCGGTGCGGCCAAAGAGTGGCTTCCGGATCTAATTGCCAAGGCCAAAGAATATCGGGCCGGCAGCGGGTTCAACGAGAAGTCGGATTTGGGGCCGTTGATCACTCCCCAGAGTCGCGATCGCTGCGAGGCATTGATTGCCAGCGCCGAAAAAGAGGGAGCCAAGATTGCCTTAGATGGTCGGGGTTGGAAGCCCGAGGGCTTCCCTGACGGCAACTGGGTATGATATTTCAATTCTCAAACCTGACATCAAGCTAACAAAAGTAGGTCGGTCCTACCGTTATTACCGGCGTGAAGCCGCACATGCAATGCTACACGGAAGAAATCTTCGGTCCGGTATTGCTCTGCGTTGATGTCGATACGCTCGATGACGCGATCAGCATGATCAACGCCAACGACTGGGGTAACGGAGCTGTTATCTTCACGCAGTCCGGATCTAGCGCATCCCATTTCCAGAAGAAGATCGAAGCCGGCCAGATGGGCATCAACGTGCCCATTCCGGTGCCCCTCCCGATGTTCTCGTTCACCGGAAACAAGCGGAGTGTGGCAGGAACCGGACTGGCGAACTTCTACGGCAAGGACGGATTGAGGTTCTATACGCAGTGGAAGACTGTGACGTCGCTGTGGAGATCGGAGGATGCGCATGCTTCTCAGAAGCCAAGCTTCATGGTTTAATACCTCACATTTTCTACGCAGTATATTAATAATCAAAAGGGGGTTGAATGATCATGTTGAGGAAGTATGAGATCGAACTATTTAGTTCTGTTTATCGTGCCCTGCAAGAATCTGCTTTTGTCCAGTAATCCTTGCTTAATTTTGCTTCTAAGGAGGATACGTTCCCAATAGTTCAATGTGAACATTCCACCAAAGCCGACAGGGAGTCTCTATACAGATCGCCCAAAGAGGAAGGAGCCAATCTATATCCGCACGCTAGCCCCTTTCGGTAAGGTTCCCTGTACGGGCACAATCCGGGCCATTCTTGTTCATATTCCACATTTCAACTATATCATATGGAATAATCACTATTACCAATCTCCATAAACTGAGCCGAATATCTTGGTTTCCATGTTAGAGAAAATAGGACGTGATATCTCCCTTGTTAACTCCCACCTAGCCCAGCATCCTGTAGAAACCCTCTCCATACCATATCAGCACCCCATGTTCCTCCATCTCCACTCACTAACCAACTATTTACTAGCCAAATGACTCACGGCCTAGACCGAATCAGGACCCCGTCTGACATCTTTAAATCGCGTGCTGCCTTCAACATGCCTATCATATTCCCAATAACCCGATCCACACTCCTACGACTTCACCTGCTCTCTCCCCTCCGCTACATCTCCACCACAACAACAACACCACCAACACCCCCATTGCCCACCATGTCCAGCGCAATCCAAATCCGCTACTCCACCGAATCCGACGCCCCCGCGCTCGGCCAAATCAACATCGACAGCTTCAAGCACCACGCCTACTGGGACAACGCCTTCCCCAACATCGACACCGCCGCTATCTTCCCGCTCAAATACGCCCGCTGTCTCGAGAAACTCACCACACCCGATGTACACGTCCTCTCGGCGCTGGACGGCGATCAACTCGTCGGCTGGGCAAGGTGGCAGATCCCTGGGAGTGCGAACGGCGGCGTGGAGTTGTCGGAGTCCGCGAGGGAAAAGGTCGCGATTGCGAGTGCGAATGTGGGTGGGTTGTTGCCGGAGGGCGCGAATCGTCGGATTTATGAGAATTTCTTCACGGTGTTGAAGGATCTTAGGGGGAGTTATTTGAAGGAGGGGGATTTGAGTATGTGTCTCTCTCTCCACTTTTTTAGCCGTTACGATGGACTGCCTGGTTGAATGGTGGGTTGGATGTTCACTAATCATGTACTAGCGTTGGATTTCCTGGCTACGCTTCCAGAATCCCAGGGCCGAGGCGTGGGGACGAAGCTATTGCAGTGGGGAATGGAGATTGCTGACGCGCAGGACGCGCGCATTTATCTGGAGGCTACCCTGGATGGGTATCCGTTGTATCTGAAGCATGGGTGGCGGCCGCTGCAGGACTTGGTGCTGGATTTTGCGCCGTTCGGGGGGAAGGGGACAGCGAAGTATATTATTATGATGAGGGATAGGAAGTCGGAGAGGAATTGATCTTGAATTTAATAGTAGTGGATTGAAGGGGAGTGGCCTTTTATGCGGCGTTGTACATAGTGTACAGAGTCGGATGGATCTATATTTCAGCGGGCACGTGGCGAACCAGGATATTGTCACACTGCCGATGACAGGGCGGAACTTTATTAAAGAGAGAGCTATTGACTACCTAGCTTCGAATATTAAGCCAGGACTGGTCTATAATGTTTGAGCTAATCTTCCATGCCGAGTAACCGCTGTCTAGTCTGTCAGCACCTTATGTTTACGCAGCTCACGAAGGAAGCACTCTCATCAAGCAATAAACAAAAACCATCCCATCGCTTGCTTTCTACCAAATCCCAGTAAATGCAACACTCGCGCTTTCTGATGAAGGCGTCGACACCAGCAGAGAGCCTGGCGTCAACCAGGTCTGAGTTTGCGGCGATAGGACATTTAACAGGAGAATAGGGACATGGGCGGCTGTGCTGCATTCTAACATGTATTAGGGTTGAGATAACACCGCCGCCGCTTTTCTGAATTCCGACCAGTCTGCTGTGCAAGACTATTCTTTTCGATTCTTTATACTTCATTCCTGAGAGATAATATTCATTGAAATTTCACTACTTAGCCAAACCGAATTCCTAGCTCATATAATAAAAGAAAAATTAGTAAAACATGCCGTTTCCTAGAGGAACCCCGCCTGACTTTCCAGTGAACTATACTGACAGCTTCTGGTGTTGAATTTATCTGTTACAAGACTTGGACGGAAATCCCCCGGCGATAACAGGGACAATACTTTAGCGAAACCCCATTGGTCGACAAGGAAATGCGCCGGTGTAATCAATCCGATTGGTTATCACTATGGGGCTCTATCTGATATTCCGACGGCGATTTATTCAATTGTTTACCCCGCTCGTTACTAACGTCGAATCGCAGTCAAACCGTACCTGACCGCACCACGCCATCAATAACGATGCTCTCCAAGCAACTTGCCGTCTCCATACTTATTATCTTCCTTTTCCTGGGCTCCCTCTTCTGGCTCAACACCCCGCATTCTTCAATCGCAACACCACTCGCATCCACCATGTCCATCACGCATCTCGTTCTCTTTCAATTCAAGGCAGACGTGTCGGCTGAGGTGATCAAAGATGTACGTTAACCTTATCCCAAGCCTTTCCAACTACCAGCAAGCTTAAAAATAGCCATTAACCTCTATAATAGGCCTCCTCGCGTCTCCTCGCCCTGAAGGACGCCTGCGTGCATCCCACCTCCCAGCAACCGTACGTCAAGTCCGTGTCTGGTGGAGTGGATAATTCACCAGAGGGGATTTCGGTACGTACTCTATTTCTATTTTTTTTTCAACAATCATCCCTCTATATATACATGGAATGTGCAAATCTGACCTAAAACGAAGGGAGGAATCACCCACGCCTTCGTCATGGAATTCGCCAACGAGGAAGACAGAGCGTATTACGTGTCCCAGGACCCTGCGCACAAGGCGTTCGTGCAAAGTCTCGACGGGCTCGTCGAGAAGGTGCAAGTTATTGATTTCACCGATCGGGTGTTCTAGATTCATAGAATTGGATGGTTCGTTCATTGGCTGGACTCTGGAGGGATTCGTTACGAGGTCTTTGCTCCGAGAGCCCGGTGCCTTGGGTTGGTTAAACAAACGTATATATCGCATTTAGATGTATTATTTTAAACATGCAGATAGAAAGCAATCATCCCATACTCAGCTGTATACCCTGCTGAATAACCTGCACAAGACTCAACACCAGCCCCAAGCCCCCGAAGATAGCGACCAGCCAAAAAGTCCAATACTGCAGCGTGTCTCGCTTGTCGCGGACCTGGTCAGCGAGCGACTTTGGCCGCGCGTCTCTTAGCTCCTTGCGTATCAGCTCGATTCTCTCGCTGTATACTGGGAAGTCTCTGGCCGCGAAGTAGATGGGTCGATCGGGTGGCATATCGGGAGAGAAATATGGGAGTTGGGCGTTGGTGCAAAGGAGAGGGAGGAGAGGGTCCATTTCGCAGGGCGGGATGTCGGAGGGAGTAAGGTGGCGACGGAAGAGTTTCCGAGATGGGCCGGACTGGCCGAAGAGAAGTCGGTAGGAGAGCAGGACCTCCCGCAGTAATTGGGAGATATCGTCTGGGTTGGCGTCGCCGTGGTCGATGCTTGCGAAAGAGTAGAGCAGTCCGCCTGCGTGGAGCGTGGATAGGCAGAAGGAGGGGTAGGCGAATATCGACAGCGTTTTGCTGGACTTGTCGTAGTCGAGGTGGAGGGCTAAGGTGTCGACCCAGCGGATACGGACGCGGAGAAGGGTCTGGAGGAGGTAGGCGTTTGTTTCTTTGGGGTATAGGGGTAGCCAGGAAGACGAGGCCTTGCTTTTCTCCGAGGCGACCTGTGTCGAAGATGATGAGCCGGAGGGGATGAGATTTCCGTATGCTTTTAGAAGAATTGCCAGAGGGAGAGAAGAGACGTAGCCGGCTGGCTGTATGTACTCGTCGAAAACATGCCCAGACTGCGGCTGGCATGAGTCCTGGCGGATGGATAGGTGACCCAGGGAGCAGACGTTGAAAGCAGCTAGGAAGAGCATCGAGCGCCAGCCCAGTACAGCGAAGATGAGGAGTCGCTGCGCGCCGAGAAGCTCCTCTGCCCGATCCAGCATCTCAATGCATTGCAGGTGCCATATGATGCCGTCCAAAGTAACCTCTTCATCGTGTGGATCGTAGACCTGGAGGGCTTCGAACAGCGGGCCCAATTGGAGACTTTCCGCCATGGTAGCCTTTCCAATTCGGAGGGACTTTACGGAGAAAGGCAGACATTCAAGCTGTCGTGTAAGCTACGCATCATACCAGCTTAGATCGATAGGGGCTGCTTCATCCCTGCTTCGGGTGCTTGGCTCATAATGTAAGCCAAGAGCGGCGTATTTGCGCAGAAGCGTGCTGTCAGACCCCTTGCCGGATATTCGCATGCCTTATATAGAGACAGTCAGCGTTAACTATATCCTCATACTAAAAGAAGTAGACCCTACCGAAGTTAATACGTACCAGAATATAGTATTTAAGGTAGTCACGCTTTTTCCGTCGTGCAGGTTCTATACTAGAGCCAGTACCTCATAAGCGATAAAATGTTTTCAGTATTCAGGCCTGACAGAACCGAGCTTTTATACCATACCAAAGGATTAAAATATCCAAATAATCCTCATTTCAAGACATCCCCTATGTATTTCTGGGCGCCTACAGAGCCTCCCAGGCTGACGGCTATAAAAAGAAAAAAGGTGGTGTGGAGACTGGCCCGAGCCGCCGTCGCTCCCGCAAAACAGGGGGTCGCGGCAACCCCTCTTCGTTCTCGATTGGCACTTCCTCTCCCGTTCATCTCGTCGGGCGCATAATGGCGATGCCAGATCAATTCACGCAGCCCTTTGGCGCTTCCAAAGGCCCACCATCACTGCACGGCAGCGGCAAAAATGAGCACCATACCAGTTCCATATGGCAAGCGGCTATCGATAGGTACTACGCCGAGCTGCGAAGAGGGGGCGTCAAGGGCCCCGCCATCGATCACGATCTCTGGCGCATCCACAGTCCCGATGACCTTTTCCAGCAAAGCAACGCTCTCAGTCCGGCGGACTCGCGCGGCTGGTAGTTGGATGCGATCTTTGCGACGGCTGGAGCCGATCCTACTGAGCATCAATGATTTTGTGGCTGTGATTGTTGACATATCAGATATTGCAAGGACTACCCAGTAGCCCAGCTGAGGCTTTTGGTCTAGTGGTAATATCAGGAACATGCTTATAGTGATGACCCTCTCGGTCGGGATGAATGGTCAGGTGGCGGCTGTAATATGGGGCTCGATCAGATTGATCATGAAGGTAGGCGGTTATCCGGATTGGCTCAGTGGATGTTGTGGTGAGATTATGGGTTTAGATATAGCCATATATATAAGCACAGTACCCGTGGTATAGAGGCTAGAAGAATTGAAAAGGACAGTCTTGGATACGGACCCATCTGCATTTTGAGAAGGTAGGGAGAACACTTAGAGTCTTGATTGTCTGCAAGGGACTTCTGTTGTACTGCATTTTATGCTATTAAATGCTTTTGTTTTTCTGGTTGTCCTCCCAAATTTGGAAGATGTATAAACTAACCCTAAATACTATCCAGCATGATCCGCACCGAATAGTAGGCTAAAACTCATCGTTTTTTCTTTGATATTATAGAATGCTCTATTATTTCATGCTTGGAATAATTCATGATCATGAATGACTATACTTTTCATATACAATAGCAATATATCCAATTCTTTTGGGGTATCAAAAATCCACCATCCTGACTCACCCCCTATCTATCAACAACTTCACATCCATCCATCCATCCATCCAGATATCAAAAGAAACGAAAACCAAACCATCCACCAATCCAAACAAATAACCCTAAGCCCACTTCCCCAACAACGACATCAACACCATGCCCGCAATCAACGAGATACCACCCGTAAGGACCTGCCCCAACGGCGCATTCAACATCTCACCTCCTTCAATAACCCAATCTCTCGCCCACATATCCACTAGTCCAACCCAGACCAAAATACCCGCCGACAGCGCATCCAAGGTCCCCAACGCAATCAACGTGCTGCGCTCATTGCCATTGAATGAGTGAATGACGCCCATCCCAATCGCCATGCCGATCGGCGTGATCAGCGCAAATATCGTCGCCATGATCGCCTTGCTGGGCAGGATGCGGCCGGGCAGCATGGCGATGCGTGCGCCGAGCGCTAACCCCTCGAAGAACTGGTGGAACACGATCACGACCAGGAGCGTCTTGTAGAAGGAGTCGCCGGCTACGACGAGCGTGAGGCCGATGAGGATGCTGTGGAAGATCACGCCGGCTTCCATGACCAGCACCGAGAGTTTGGTGTTGGGTTGGGTCGGGTCGTGTGGGCCGTGGCTGTGGCCGAGGTGGGCGAGGGTCGAGGCACCAGGATGGGATGGGGCGTCTGGGGTGGGCTTTTGGGTGTTAGAGCCTGTTTCGGTCATGGTTGGGCTGTCGGGGGAGGAGGAGGAGGCGGCGTTTCGGCGGCTTCGGGCCAGGAGGATCCGGTGGCCGATGTATTCGGTGAGGAAGGAGAGGAGAATTCCGGCCATGACGATGGCGGAGGTGGTGGCTTCGTATTCGAGCTCGCCGAGGCAGTCGTTGGTGAACATGAGGTTGGCGTGGGTGTAGAGCTTTTGGTTGTTAGCTTTTGGTGTACTACTTTTAGTGCTCTGGTTGGGTGGACTTACATGCACAAAGGCCGTCGACATGATCACACCCGTTCCGAACTGCTTGACGATCGTCGAGAACATTGTGTTGATCTTCTGGAAGGGCAGCTTGACTAGCAGCATGGGCAGGAAGACACCCAATGCGCTGGTGACGAGGATCACGAACAGCGTGCCGATTCGCAAGGGCATGTCGTAGTCACGGGTCTGTACGCCGCAGGACGGCTCGCTGGAGTGTTCGGACTCGCCTTCTCCGACGCAGTGTCTGGTTTGATTAGCTGTGTTCTTACACTGGCCGGGTGATGGGAAGAAGAGATGATAGGGGGAACATACTCAACACCTGCATGGAAATGACAATTCATGCCTCCACTATCCCCAGACTCGCTGTCTCCGCTATCAGACGTGGACTCGCCTTCTGCGAGGACCTGGACTTCATTGCCGTCGGGATCCATGCAGAACCTTTGCTTGATTAGATCTGGAATCGAAGACACGAAAGGACCATGCAACTTACCGATCCTCTCCGTGAGAATGACACCCCGTATACTCGGCAGGCATCTCACCCGTTGGAGTCGCCTCCATGGACACCTGGACTTCCGAGCCGTCGCTTTCAATGCAGTACACATCGTCTCCGTGGCTATGGCACCCCGTGATGGCAGCCGAGTCCGCCGACGACGTTGTGCTGGCCGACACGGACGTCGCGGTGGACGCAGCCTGCGTCGACATGGCAGTCTCCTCGCCGTCAGGACCGAAGCAGTATTCGACACTGCCATGGTTATGACAGCCAGTATAGGAAGCCGTCTGCGCGTGTACAGCGCCGACGGCTATGGCTGTTAGGAAGAGGTTTCGGAACATGGTGGCCTGTTCCAAGTTGTGATAAAGGGAGGAAGGAGGAAAGAAACAATGAGCTGGATGACAAGCTCAGCAACCGGCAACTTGGGTGATATTTATGTTCCGATGTTTATTGTCTGTTTCTCCCAAGGTATCAAATGGTCAATGAAAAAATGAAACCCTGTGGCAATCGAGAGGAAGTGATATCCGTCTGCCTGTGCGTCCGCCGGGGTTCTCAAAGAAATGGATCCCCCTAAGTAATGCACCGCTGTCGGAGAACACCGAATGAGCTTAGCTAGCTTCAATCTTCCTGGCTACAAAGGTATGGATCCTATCATGTCTAGTCTACGTGGGATTCTGCTCGTTTATGGGCAAGCTGACAGTTCCGCCCGCGCAGAAATTTCAGAACCGGCCTGCGTCGAGACTAACTCCCAAGGTGTCCGGTGCCAAGCACGAGGTCTTGTATGATGGACACCTGCCAAGAGGGCCTGGAGGAACTAACAGCGTGAGATTCCACGGGCATTGGACGTCGCGTGGAGATTCTCCATGGCTTGTTGCTCCCAAGGTCCTCCTCCCAAGCCTTGGCGGAGAGGAGGTCTTGGCGCTTCGGTGCATTTCTGGGATGTTCGGGTTAGTGACGATGGTTAGTGCCTCGTGGATCGGGGATGATCGTGATATTGCCTTGACATCGCATGGTCTGCCGATGCACGTTGTCGGAGATATTCCCTGCATGGGCGATGTAACATCGCTTGTCGGGTTGGTCCGTTGACATTGGAATGTTAGGGCTTGCATCGTTCCACCGGAATCAGACAGATTCCTCCGGACTGGGGAGACGTCCAACAAGGTCCTCCTTGGCATTGTCGTCTAGATGGCGATGTGATATCCAAAGGTCCTGAAAGGGTACTGGATGAGGGTACTCAACCACTCTCGTAGTTCGGGATACCCTCATTCCAAGACTCAAGTCAACTTGGCACTCAGCCACAGACAACCACACGGGAAGTCATGTCCAGAAAACTCTACATCCGGAGACAGTAGAGATGTATAAAAAGGCGCAAGTCGCTTCCGTAGTATGCCCCCTCGCAGCCTGACCTAGCAGCCTCGTCTCGTCACCTCACCCACCCAAAAAGAACTAAGGGAAAAAGCAAACCCACTCACCATGCCATCCTTCATCTCCCTCCTTCTCCTCTCCACGGTCCCGGCCATCGCCGTCCCAGCCCCCATCCTCCCCCGGGCCAGCGACAGCCAAACTCTGCCTCACAAGTCGCTCTCACCCTGGGACGCCGGTGCCGTCAACCTCTACCCCATCCATCAAAGCTGCAATGCCACGCAGCGCCTGCAGATCGAGACCGGGCTGAACGAGACCATCGCGCTGGCCGACCATGCCAAAGCGCATATCCTGCGCTGGGGGAACGAGAGCGCCATCTACCGGAAGTACTTTGGCGACAGTCCGTCCATCGAGGCTATTGGGGCGTATGACATCGTCGTGAATGGCGATAAAGGAGGCGTTTTGTTCCGATGTGATAATCCCGATGGGAACTGTGATCTTGATGGTATCTCTCTTCCTCCCTTCTTCCCTTTGCCTCTCCTTCTCTTCCCTCCACCTACCTACCTACCTACCTGTCTGCCTCTGCCTACCTGCAACTAACCAACTGTAAAGAATGGGCCGGCCACTGGCGCGGCTCCAACGCCACCTCCGAGACCGTCATCTGCGACCTCAGCTACACGACGCGCCGCTCCCTCACGACGCTCTGCAGCCAGGGCTACACCGTGTCGAGCTCCAAGCCGAACACCTTCTGGGCCGCAGACCTGCTGCACCGCCTGTACCATCTCCCAGCGATCGGCCAGGGCTTGATCGAGCACTATGCCGACGACTATGAGGAGGTGGTTGAGCTGGCAAAGGGGGATAATTCGACCCTCGCCACGAAGGACTCGAATACGTTGCAGTATTTTGCGCTCGAGGTCTTCGCGTATGATGTTGTTGTTCAGGGCGAGGGGTGTTCTGGGGATGACGGTGAGGAAGATTCCCATGATGATGGGAAGGGAGAGGAGGAGAAAGAGGAAAAGAAGGAGGATGACGAGGAGGAGGATATTCCTGAGGTACGATTCCCTTCAAGTCTTGTTCTTGGCTGGTTGCTAGTTGGAAAGGCTGTGACTGACACTGTCTACTTACCAGAACTGCCACACCCACGAGGGAGGAGAGCTGCACTGCACGTAGAATATCAACAAAACGTGCGATCTCGACGACGCGGAATTGTTTATGCGTCATGCTATCCAGCGCTTATGTCTTCCGCTTTGGGAATGGCGTCTGAATTACCCGATTGGGAATGTGGGTCGCATCGAATCGAATCAAGCGAGGGACTTCATGCACTGCGGAGGGGAAATGACCAGCTCAGTTGGACGTGCATGACTTGTTACGTTGATGATGCTATTAGTATTTACGGTCACTTTAACTATCACTATCTTTAATGAATTAGACTCAACCTACTGACTACATTTGAAATCCTCCATGGCACGTAAACATGTAAATCTATACCCATATCCATTCTAATCTAATGAAATCTCTTTATCGAACGCCATCCATGTAAATCATCTCATCTATCCATCCGGCCAATAACTCAAGCAGAAGCGCAGTGCCCCCCATCAACACGTAGGTCCGTCCCCGTCATGAACCCACTCCCATCAGCCAGCATGTACACCGTGGGCGCCTTAAAGTCCTCAGGCACCCCGAGACGACCGAGCAACGCGCCGCGCATCCAGGTCTCTTCGACCTCGGGCTTCTCCTTCAAGAGGGCGTCCGTCATCGCGGTCCGGATGTACTATATTCATTAGCTTTTAGCCAAAAGCGTCGGAGAAAGATCGGGCAAGAAGGACATACCCCAGCAGACAGGGTGTTCACGCGAACACCATACTGGCCCCATTCCTGCGCCACGGAGCGACACATCTGGTGCACGGCGGCCTTGGAGGAGTTGTATGCGGAGCAGGTGAGGCCCTAGTGACGATCAGAATGGGTCGGATGGAATAATTTAGGAGAGGAAAGATACATACGCGGTTCGCAATGGATCCCGACATCGAAGCAATCATGACGATGCTGCCTGGCGTATCTTGCTCCTTGAAGATACGCGCGCAGTGTTTCGCGGGAATGAACGTCCCAATCACACTACATACATTAGCATACCCGTCCACCACTCCGCAACCCATGCACAGAACAGAGATAGAGACGAACTCACTTCACATCCATCATCCTCCTCCATCCATCCACCGGGTACTCCAGCGCCGGCACCATCTGCTGAATACCGGCGCAAGTGATCGCGCCCCGCAGCGGCATGCCGCGTCTCAGCCCCTCCGCCGCAATACCCTCCAGCGCGGTCTGCGTGGCCTCCTCGTTCGTGATGTCGCAGGTCGTGTAGGTAGCCTGGAGTCCGCGCGACGAGGCGAGCTTCTGCACCGTCGCCCATTCCTCGGCGCTCGGCTCGGGAAGCAGGTCCAGGCAGGCGACGTCGCCGCCGGCTTCGAGGACGGCGGCCGCTAGCACGATGCCGAGACCGCGGCCACCGCCGGTGATGGCGACGGTGCGGTGGCCGAGCGAGAACAAGTCCGAGGTGCGTGCGACGGACGGGTTCTGGATGGAGGCGGGCACGCCGGGGGTGGTGTGGTCGGGGGCGATGGAGGGGGTCATTTTGGATCCGAGGAGTGAAGGGATTAGAGGGGGATTGTTGGGTTGGAAGGAACTGTGGAATGTGTGGTTCTATTTGAATGGGAGACTCGTAGGCTGTCTGTCGAGCAGCGCTTATTCACAGCCTAACTGAGTAGGTCAGGAGGGGTGGAACAACACATGCTGCAGTGCAGTTCAGCGACTAGGGAGAGCTGTGGACAGCCCACATGGGCCCTCTCAATCCCCTACTTTGTCTATGCGAGTCAGGTGAGATCAGGTACAAAACAAGAATGCTTAGCTTTACCGATGAGGGCAGGTCGTCATACGACGGAGGACAGTCGGAATCCCGCGTGAAACGTCCGGGGATAGACGGGGAAGAAAGAGTCTCCATCGTGGAGATTCGGTGGATCTCCGTTTCCTGCAGCGCTTGGGATTTCCCGATGCGGTAAGCCGGGTGCCAGGCTTGCCGATCTCCACAGTTCCGCCAAATCTCGTCTGGAGAAGCTTGGGTCGGCTAAAACATGGGATTTTGGGGTTAGCTGGTTGGGCTGCCGTGTGGCTGTCAGTGTGACGCGTACGGGTTGTGCTCGAGAATCTGGGGTGGATGTAGGGATGGCAGGGATGGAATCAGATAAGAGTATTTTCCCTTGCATGGTAATATTTTCGGAGTTTGAAAAGCATCCGGGGTACAGGAACAGGAGAAAACCATAGGGCAGAGCTAATAAAACAAGATAGCCCGAACCAGTTCCTGCAAGCGATGCGCCATTAACCCGTCGTCAAAATCTCCCCGCAATCCGCGGATCCATCGTCCTGTGACGCAAACCGACTTCCCCGTTTTATCCCGCTGTTCGGCCTAGCGTGCGGTGGCGTATATAAATCCGATATAGCCCCATGGGGTTAACGACCCTGGACTTGACTGAGTTGGGTTGACACAGACCGGCACTATGACTTTTCTCGTGGGAAAGCCGTTGACATACGCCATTACTGCCACTGCGGGCAGTGGCTTTTTGCTATTTGGATATGATCAAGGGGTGATGTCGGGTCTGTTGACCGGCGATGCTTTTGTCAAGACATTCCCTGAGATCGATACCACCGAGGGAGGAAATGGGAGTTCGTCGTTGCAGGGCACAGTGTGAGTTGTCTCCGTTTCTTGGTGGATATTTTACTGACTGTTTAGTGTTGCTATCTATGAGATTGTATGTTGATGCTATAGGTCATGGCGACGTGTACTGACTTGTTAGGGCTGCTTCGTCGGTGCCCTGATTGCCTTGTTCGCAGGTGAACGCTTGGGTCGTCGTGCTTGCATCATGCTGGGCTGCATTGTTCTCAGCATTGGTGCCGCCCTGCAGGCCAGTGCTTACTCGATTCCTCATATGATTGTTGGTCGCATTGTGGCGGGCATTGGGAATGGCCTCAACACGAGTACTATTCGTATGTAGTATGAGTCTGTTCGTGAATGGATCTGACGGTAGCAGCTGTTTGGCATTCGGAACTGAGCAAAGCTGCGAGTCGAGGAAAGGGGGTGAGCAGATCTGACCTTTGTTGAATCGAAAATACTAACTAGTCCAGCTTGCGATTGAACTCGCCATTAACATCTTCGGTGTCATGACTGCTTACTGGGTTGGTATGTTGCATTGATCCCTAATCCACTACTTCCCAGCTAATGAAACAGACTACGGCATGAGCTACGTGCTCAACGAAGCCCAATTCCGGTTCCCAATAGCTCTACAGATCCTTTTCGCCATTACAACATTCACCGGTGTTCTTTTCCTGCCGGAGTCGCCTCGCTGGGTAAGCCCTTTTTCTAATCTATCGACCTTTCTAACAAAGACAAATAGCTCGTTGCACACGGCCGACCCGACGAAGCCCGCCGCGTCCTCTGGTCCATCCAGCCGAACGCACGAGAGATCGAACAGACAGACCCCGTCGTCAACCTCGACGTCGCAGAGATTGCACAGGCCGTGGCCGAGGAGAACAGTGCCACCGAGGAGGGTTCGTTCAAGATGGTGTTCAAGAATGGGCCTCAGCGGTTCTTCCACCGCACGCTCCTGGGCATGGGTGGTCAGATGATGCAGCAGATGTCGGGTGTTAATTTGATTACTTACGTGAGTATCCCTCCTCATATCAGGATCATATCTGTATCTAATTATGGCCGAAGTATAACACCGTCATCTTCGAGCAATCGGTCGGAATGAGCCACAACACGGCCCTCTTGCTGGCTGGATTCAACGGCGTGGCGTACTTCTTTTCGACGCTGGTTCCTATCTGGACTATTGATCGGTTCGTATTTCTGGCCCTGCTAGTCACAGAATAAGTCTAACAAAGTCTAGTCTGGGGCGTCGAAAACTCATGCTCTTCGCAGCTGCCGGCCAATGTGCTTGCATGGCCATCTTGTCTGGCACCGTCTGGGACGGCAGCCATGCGTCCGGCTTAGTAGCGACCGTCATGCTTTTCCTATTCAATTTCTTCTTCGGTGTCGGTCTACTGGCCATTCCATGGTTGTGTAAGTCTCTCTGCTCCTCAAGATTGTTCTGTTCTAACCGCCGCAGTACCTGCCGAGTATGCACCGCTGGCTATTCGAACTCGTGCGGCTGCATTGGCCACGGCGACAAACTGTAAGTCTTCCAGTTTTCTTCCCAAAACTGTGGCGCACTACTAACAGAGGACAGGGATCTTCACCTTTCTGGTCGTGGAAATCACCCCCGTCAGTATCAGCAACATCGGCTACCGAACATATATCTACTTTGCGGGTACGTGCAGACTCTTCCTTATCCACCCACTTTCCTTCAATGACTCTCACGATACTAACGTAAACGCAGTCTTCAATTTTTGTTTTCTCCCTCTGATTTACTTCTTCTATCCTGAAACTCGCAATCTCACGCTGGAGCAAGTCGACCGGCTGTTCACGGGCGATAAGGTGCTGTTGCATTGGCATCCGTCGATGGGCGCCGCGGGGGATCCGAACCATCGCGTGGGCGAGAAAGAGGCCGAGGCAGTGGGCGTGCAGCATGTTGAGTGAGTTATTCTTGACTGGTAGGATTTGAATGGATGGGGTAGGATGCTGCTAGACGGGGTGGACAACAGGTCCTTTGTTTTTGTTCTGTATGAGTATTGTAGATGCTATGAGATATGTCTTGGTAATCTCTTTTGACCTTTCTTACCTCCCACACATGCTAGCATTATTGATTTCATCTTGTTTCAACTTCTTCTCTTCTCATATTTACTTCTTTTATTCATTACAGAGAGTCACGGTCCACTGGCATGGTGGAACCGCTGTCGCCTGATTGGGAAATTTCTAGACCAATGAGAAATCAGTATTTCAGGTAACTCTCCCAAAGAAGACATATTTCGGCCAATTACAGCTCTGGTCGTTACCAGCATCCATAGAATATCAACTTAGCCCTATCTTTGGGGTTTGGTTTAAAGTCTACGTTACGCTCATTCGGTCATGATGTTTTTGACTTGGTAAACCTTCATTTTTCTGTTTCACCAATTGCTTTTTGGACTTTTTCATTCCACACCTTAACGATTCTTCTCTTGGCAGATGCAACATCTATCCGAAGGACAAGTCATGGACAAGTCAATCGTCCACGACAATCAGACTATTCGCAAAGCCCTTAATGGTACGAAGAGAGATGAAAATGGCACCGAAACGATCAACCCTCCCTCGGGCCTCAAATTGGGGCTCATCTTTATGGCTCTTTGCTTGACGGTTTTCTTGGTCGCCTTGGTTCGTATAGAAGATATTTGCATCTCCTTGAATCGCTGAGTGACACCGACACAATTGGCTAATAAAAATGATATGAACAGGACCAAACGATCATATCCACCGCCATCCCGACCATCACCTCTCAATTCCACAGTGTAGAAGATATCGGATGGTATGGCAGCGCTTTTCTCCTCACGACATGCAGCTTCCAGCTCTTCTTCGGGAAGCTCTACACTCTCTTATCCATCAAATGGACTTTTGTTGGCGCAGTATTGATCTTCGAAATTGGCTCGGCCATCTGCGGCGCCAGCCCGAATTCCGTCGCCCTCATCGTTGGACGAGCTGTGGCGGGAATTGGAGGTGCCGGCATCTTCTCCGGCGCATTGATTATCATTGCCAAATCAGTTCCCCTCGCGAACCGACCAGCCTTCACAGGAGTCATTGGGGCCGTGTGGGGTATCGCGAGTGTTGTTGGGCCCTTGCTAGGAGGCGCTTTCACCAGTGAGTTCTGTCGGCCCAAAACTGCTACATGATACGATCGTTCGTCTGATTATTTCCAGCTCATGTCTCCTGGCGCTGGTGCTTCTATGGTACGAAATTGTTTTTTTTTTTTTTGTCCCGTTGATCTCGAGGTGTTTTCCTAATTCGATTCTGCTAGTCAATCTCCCTGTCGGCGCGGCTGCCATCCCGCTCATCATCTTTTTTCTTCCTTCGCAAGACCCACGATCACAACCACTGCAAACCTTTCGGGCTACATTACGCCAATTTGATCCGATTGGGACCCTTCTCTTTGTGGCAAGCGTGATATGCCTTCTGATTGCGCTTCAGTGGGGAGGCAGCCAGTACCCTTGGAGCGATGGTCGGATAATTGCTCTGTTGACTGTATTCGGAATACTTCTTATTGTTTGGGTCGGAGTCCAATGGCAAGGGGGTGATAATGCCACAGTACCACTTCGAATTCTGCGACAACGTTCCGTCGCATTCTCGACGTTGTACATCTTTCTGGGAAGCGCATCGTTTGTTCTGCTCATCTACTACCTGCCAATTTGGTGAGCTTCGACGTCCCGCCACTGTGCAACGCCCAACTTGTTTTAACATCAGGATCCAACAGGTTTCAAGCAATTAAAGGTGACACTGCAGACCAGTCCGGAATTCATAGCCTACCAACAGTTTTAAGTGTTGGTATGCAGAGCACGTCCAATCCTTAGAAGCGCAAGGTAACTAACGACGGAGTATAAGTGGTGTTTGCCATCGCGGGCGGACTGAGCGTCACTTTCGTGGGATACTATACCCCATTCATGATCGTAGGATCAATGGTCATGGCGATTGGTGCAGGCCTGCTTCTCATGTTTAGAGTGCATACTCCACTCGCTATGTGGTTTGTCATCTTCGATCACTTCAATCGATACACGAAACTACACTAAGCTAATGGATCCCAGGTTGGGGTTTCAAATCGTTTTCGGTGCCGGAGCTGGGATTGGACTAGAGCTCCCAAACATCGCCGTGCAGACTGTTCTCTCTGAGAAGGATGTCTCGATCGGGACATCATTGGTGATTTTTGCTCGCTCTCTCGGGGGCGCCATATTTGTCTCGGTGGGACAAAATATCTTCAGCAACCACATTGTCTCTGGCATGCTTGTCAGAGTTCCAGAGCTTGATCCGTCGGTCGTCCTTCAGGCTGGAGCGACTGAGTTACAGCAGATATTGAAGCAATCGGGTTTGAGGGAAACGGACGAAGTGCTTGCTCTGATCTTGGAAATTTACAATGACGCCATAGTCCGGACATTTGTGATCGCGTTGATCCTGGCCTGCATCTCGATCCTAGGTGCAATTGGCGTCGAATGGCGAACAGTGAAACACCCTTCACAGAGTGATGGTTCTGAGCGGACGGGGCCTTGAAGGCCAGAGAGTTAGGATGGGCAGAATTGATGCTTTAATATCGACGCAATTCCACCCAAACTCAACATACTTGCATTGGGATGGTGGCGGAATGAGTCCATTGTTGATGAACTTGAAGCTACTTGTATAAAATATGAAGGCGGACTTAATCCTAAGACGACGGGTAGTAGGACACATGACTTGGACCGTTACGTAGCTACCAGTCACAATATGTAATCAAATTAAACGGAGATTTAGTGTGGTTGAGTTGAATACTTTCGTTGAACCTTTTTGCCGAAATTATTTTTTCCCACCAAAAACATCAAAGGTAGACTAGGAAAACATATCTTGATTGAAGAATTCCCAAAACCACGAATCCGAAACCGGCTCGCGGTACCATGTATCAACCCCCTTTTCAAAAGCCTCATCTTGTGCGATCGGGTTACCAAATTGAGATTCGGGTGCGTCCAAAGAGCAGGAGGATCCTGGATGTGCGTAAACTTGGCTATCCCCATTGCATAGTATGCTCTGGTTGATAGTTGCAAGCGCCGGATCAGCGCCGGATTCGGCGCGGGCCCTCTTCTCTGCCGCATTCCTGTTCTCGAATGTAGAGCTTGATATATCACCACGAAGCCACTCTTTGAACTGGGGCATGATTAAAAACGCTCTACTCAGAGAACTGCGCTGATCTTCTGCGCTGAGCTGCTTGGAGACTAGCACAAGTCGATCAATATACGCTTCCAAGCGCAATAAGCCGACGGAAATAGTCTCATGCACCTCGCTCGCAGATGCCAGAAGTGCTTTGTGCAGTTTCATCAGGAGCGTCGCCGCGTATATTACACGGCCAGCGTAAATGTGCGGTGGCAGAGAAAGCATTTCGGATATTGATAAATCCAGAAAAGTATCCAGTAGCCCTTGTGCAGCCATGATGATAGTTCGAATCATGGAAAGGTAAGCCGTATCTGAAGCCCGTGTGTCGAGGAAAGAAATTGATTTGATAGATTTCGCGAAAAAGGGCGCTCTGAATTCGTCAATGTTGTGATTGGCATGCAAAGCTAGCTCGTGGGCGTAAAGTGAACTGGCTAGTCTGCCAAATTTGACCAGGGCTGATATTGGAATTAGCAATACATATCACTAATTTTCTAAGCTTGAAAAAGCTCCGAGATACCTACATTTTTCAAGTGGGCTATGACGGTCAAGGCTTAGCCCATCAGCTCGGGCTTGTATGGTTTCAGTAATGCTCAATCTGTTTGGCTCCCACAGAGATACCGACTTGCTAGGGTCACTCAAAGACAATTGTTCATCCGCAAGATGACAACTGTGCTCAGTCGCGAGAAGGTTGCAGAAGAATTCATCAGTGGGAGATAGCCTGGACTGCCTCAAATCCTCAACGTATTTGTCGAGCTGTGGATTCCACACTACAGGATTGGGACGCCGCATTATCAGGGAAAGACTGGGGCTTTGTCAGTCGTGGGGTCAAACGAAGATAGACAGTCAAGAGATAGGTATTTATATACCTCGCACATAAGAGGAAACAGCCCAGCCAGGTTCGCTGTGCCTCTGCTCGGTCCCATTTGTCGTCAATTTTACCCAGTGTTGAACCTGTACCTTCGATTCGGTCCAAGCCAAGATCTATGGCTATTGACAAAGCAACAGAGGCAAGCTGATTTTGATTTGTTCGGGCAAAGTTTTCCGGTGCCCTATACCAAAATGTCACAACAAGAAGAGCCTGAATAAGCTGCAGCGACTTTTCCCCTTCAAAGATGGCAGTTTCAGCCAGGAAGTTTCTGACTTCAAGCGCAAGCTGTCGGTGTTGATCTTGAGTGCACAGCCCAGCAGGAGCGACACTTAGTATAGCTATGAATAATAACGGCTTTGTCTTTCGCACACAATCTGACGTCGTACCGGGTGGAAACACAACGACAGGGCATACCGGAGCCAATTTATGAACATATTGGTGAAAAATCTGTTGTGTCAATGTTGAACCGAAGAGATCATTGACGACATGATCCAGCTTGTGCTCCCAAGAAATGTTCGATCTGAAATGAGCTGAGCGGTGTTGTCTTGGTTAACGAACCAGACTTTAAGATAAAGAGCAGTATTTTTGCACACAATAGAGAAGTCGAGCAGAAGAAATCATTGACTTGTTAGACTTACGGATGGAAGGGGCAGAGAGGTCCACAGTCGCTTGTTTCTCCGGTCTCAGATCTATTGGATGTAATCTTGAAATTCCCTCTCTTGAAGGCCAAGGTTTTTCCGCACATTGGATCTGCGCTTGTTGGAGATCCCTTCCGCTCCAGTTGGCTTGTGGTGACGAGGAGGCTGAACCTTCCTTCCTCTCATCCATAAGCCGAATTCGTTTATCTTTTGGTGCCATCGACGGCTCTCTCAAGTGGCTTTGCAGGGATGCAGACTCTAAACTTAGACTTGTCGTCTCAATTTGATTTTCGGGGGCCTGCCTCCTGCTCCAGCGGAATTAGACGCCATATTGATATATCGCAACAAAAGTCGGGCAGGCACCTTTTACGACAATTATTTGCCTGGTCGCTAGCTGAAGGCAAGAGATTATGTTCGTTATTAAGCCCCGAGTACTCATTCTGACAAGTCCTGTCCTGCACTGACAATGGTCGTGGAGGAGCAGCAGCTATAGGAACTGGGGTACTGCGTTGGCTGGCTTTGCTCAGCTTAAATTTTAAGAAAGCCATTTCAGTCCGAGGCCCATGAAGCACCTTCCGTGAATGTTCCGTCGAAGCTATCGAGATAGTTTCAAAATCAAGGCACGTGATAATATCTCCAATGTTGATTATGCGATGTTGAAAATGATGCTTAAGTGACTATACTATGCTAGCAAAGAATCGACCTCCGTAGCTACGAGTAACGAGATGTAAGGACGACGGGCGGTGAGTCACATGACTTTGGCCACTTAGAGCAAATGAATGACTCTTAAAATGGTTGTATTGATTCTGATCATAAATATATAAAGTCTAATTAAATACGATATCCCGGAAATACTGAAACGCAAAGTATTGAAGCTGTAAAGGAAAACAAGTACATATGCGAGTTTAGAGAATTGTGAGATTATGTTGGAGTGGTTTCCTAATTTTAAAACAGTTCTTTGTTCTAAAGAAGTGCTTTAACATTTTGTCTCAACGTCATTAATCTTTTTCCCCTTTTTTATTTTCCGTTATTGCCTGACTGCCTGACTGCCTGACGGAACATCCCCGGGTTCCCCACATCCCCAGGCAGCGCGTATCGGTACCCAATCGGGTAAGATGCCTAATTCGGCAACGCGAAGCGATTTCTCTGCTCTTCCCCAGACTGTCTTGACGCTGGAGTATCACTCAAGCCATCACCATACCAACGGTCAACTATCAAACATCCAACAACGTCAGACCATCATGACGCCTACACCAGCTGCGCCTGAGCCTAGTTCTAATACTACCGCCAATGCCAATCGCCCCGGTCAGCCGCGCAAACGCACCCGCACCGGCTGCTTGAATTGCAGTCGCAGACGACGAAAATGTACGTCCTCCTTGCTTTAGGCAGTGATCTTAGCTAGCGTGGTCAGGAAGGCTCGGTCTGGTGATTATGATTGCCTGAATGGGTAACTTAACGGTTGGAGCTCAATCGTGGCTTGATGGTTATGCTCGAGCTAGACTAGACAGACCAGGCTACTGACTTCTCCTTTCCCCTGCAGGTGACGAAGCAAAGCCGACATGCACGGGATGCAAGCGTCGCGGCGAGAAATGCCAATGGCGCATGCTGGGGTCGTTTCGCGATGCCAATCTGAAGGTCTTGGGGCCGGAGCATCCGTCTATGAATCAGGGTGCTGGTGGGAGAGGGGGTAGGCAGAGTAAGTTCAAGGTATGTCCTCTTATTCTCTCTTCTCTGATCCTAGGTTGTTTTGGTTTGGTGGGATTTAGGCTGAATTTGTAGATTTTGAATGTCGTGCCCTCGGCATCGTCGTCGGCATCCCGACGGAGGAAACATGACGTTTCGGGCTCGGCATCAGGATCGGGCCAATTTCATATTGACAAGAGGGAGGTGAATGCGAATGCGAGTACAACGTTGGCATCGCCACGTGTCGAGACCCCGGCCGCAGCTCCGTCCCCGGCTCCAGTCCAGGGTTCAATGCATCGATGCATCCGCATACACACCCACATCCGCATTCACCCCTGTCCAACCCTCACCACCCTTCCAACTTCAGCCCCAGTCAAACATCCTCCCCTTCCCTATCCAGCGGCATCTCATACCACCCACCTCAATCCTTCAATCCTCACTCACCATCCGACACCATCCAACTCGACGACACTTCCACCACCAACCAGCCCTATCTCCACTCAAGCCCTGAATACGTCGTCGACGAGCTCGGCGCTCTCCAGGCTCTTCCACACAACCCGGGCCCGTCCTTCACTAGCGCCTCAGCCCCAGAGCCCTATCAGACCATCGCCTCGCCGCTCTTCGATCACAGCGTCTTCTCGGACCCGGCGAATTTCACGAATGATGTCTTCCTGCCGGGCTCGGCGTATGAGGCGCTTCACACGGCGCTGCGGAATCGTCAGCTGTGGACCGCCAGGTCGGATATCCCGAGTCGGCGCAGCTCACCAGAGGTTCTGGGACGGGGGTTTCGCGGCATGACCCCATCCGCGAATGAGATGGTGGATCGAGATGTTCGTTCTGGCCCGGGACCAGGTCGGTACTTTGAGTTATCGTCAGAGAGAGAGAACGTGTTGTGGCAGAATTATCTGAACGAGATTTGCTTATGGGTGCGTCGTCCTTCCCTTCCTGTTTCATTATCGTCTGCTGCACGGACACCCGCTGAGAAATAATCTCTCAAACAGCTCGACATGTTCGACAACCACCGCCACTTCGCGTCCACATTCCCGCAAATGGCCAAGTCCGCGCCTCACCTCCGGTACTCCATCCTCGCTCTCTCCGCGCGCCAGATCGAACGCAAACAGAACGAAAAGTCCCAGTCCGAAAGCCTCTCGCTGTACCAGGAGGCTATCCACTTGCTGCTTCCAGAGCTGGAAAGTAAATCGACGCCGGTTATCGCATCGTGCGTGATTCTGTGTGTGCTGGAGATGCTAAGTTGTATGTATCTCTTACCCTCGCCTTTTGCTATTACCCGGTATATATATAGGGCTGACAGCGTCGGTGTCAGGCAACCCCAAAGAATGGCGTCGTCATCTAGACGGCTGCGCGTATCTGATCCAAGCGGCCGAGATAAACGGCTTCTCGGGGAAAGAGGAACAGGCTCTTTTCTGGTGTTTTGCGAGAATGGGTTAGTCCTTCCTTCTTCCTTCTCCCCTTCCTCTGCCCCTCCTTCTTCCGACTATTAACACGATGATGCATAAACGTAGACGTCTGCGGCGGCCTCATCTCGGAAGAAGAAACCATCATCCCCATGACGCACTGGATCCCCAAGACCATGGACCCGCGCGAGGCCAGCGCCCTGTTCCTCTCGTCCTCGGACGTGTGCACCTTCGACACCTACGCGAATTACACCGTGTATCTATGCGCGCAGACGCTGGGGGTTTTGTTCGGCGCGTCGACAGCCCCCCAGCTCCCTGTGTCTGCGTCTCCGTCTTGCGTCTCGTGTCAGTATCTAGGGAGTCCGAGGGACGAGGGGGAGTCGTATCTGGTACGGTGGAAGAGGCTGTTCGATTGCGTGGAGGAGTGGTATGCGAAGAGACCGTGCCAGATGAAGAGTATTTTTAGCGTCGCAGCAGGGGGGCAGGGGTGGCGCAGGGAAAGGGGAGGGGAGAGGGAGAGGCCGTTCCCGACGGTGTTGTATGGGAATGGGTCGGCTAGTATGTTCTCCTTTTGGACGGCGGGTGTCGTGTTGAAGATGGTGAAGAGGTACTGACTTTCGCAGTCTCAGGGAACCAGCTCTACCATGTCTGCGCGCTGCTTTTGTTGCAGCGGAAGCCGAAGACGCTGGCGTTGGCGAGGAGGCCGGTACGTTCTATACTACATCTTCCCCCTGCCCTGTGCTGTGCTGTGCAATTGCTTGCAAGAACCGAATAATAACCTGATGAAAATGGCAGAAGTCCCCCCTCTGGCACGCACGCCAAATCTGCGCCATCTCGGCTTCAAATACACATCAGTATGTTGCTTACCCCTTTCCTCCCCCTTTTTCTTCTGCTGCCCCTTTTCCGTCCCTTTCTCCTATCTACCCTGCCTTACCGTATCCCCACCCACAAATCTAAACCAACCCTACTCTAACAACAAATAGTGGCTGCTGGACCAACGCCCTCCAACCGCTTTGGGTCGCCGGAAAAGCAATGTCTCATTACTCAGAGCACGCTGCGATCGTGGACACGCTGACGCGTATCGAGCGCGAGACGGGGTGGGCAACGGCGTGGCGGGTGGAAGATTTGAAGGATTTTTGGGGAGATGATGAGGTGGATGGGGATTGGGAGGGGGAGTTCGAGTGATTTGATTGAGATTGAGGTTGAGGATGTCTAGATAGGGGCTTTGGTGGTCTGTGTTAAGGGGTGGCTTGGTGCTCCGTGCGGGAATGTCTTCCAGATCTTAGGATGAAGACGATAGGAGAAGGGGAACGGAACGGAGAGGAGAAGAGAGCAAAACGAAGGGCTATACGATATGCTGCTATGCCATGTCGATGTCTTATTATGCTGAATAGACTAGACACTGCGATGAGTTATGATATACTACGAAGCGAAATGGATAGATCCTTGAATACCATACCGAGACAGACCTACCTGCTTCAAACCACATGAAATTCAAACTCCACTTACCCAGTCATGCAGGTACGAATACCCATTCTATCATTCCTGAACCAGGCACCGGACCAGACCAGACCTCCTGCCTGGATCCCCTAGCAACCAGCCCAATTCCCCCCTTGATGGCCGTTTCCGGGCCAATTGTCCGGCATGCAGGGGGTAGCTTTCAGAGCTCTGCAATTTCGCCGTCGATCTTCATCATCAGATCAGGGTTTTGGAGGCTTTAGTCCTTGACCATTACGTGATGAATCCAGACTAGAGTTGAACGCGGAATGAAGGGTTCGACATGATTTGGACGCTCAGGTCGGGTGGAGATGGGTCAAGGGGGACAAACGGGGAAGAAGGAGAGAAGGTTCAGGGATACGAGGGTTGCCTGTTTGGATTTGGTTTCTTTGTGGTCTCTGCGTTGTGGAAGGAGGGGCTTAATTTTAGAATTTACTGTTTGGTTTGGGTTGATCGAGGGGAAAGGGGAGTGGCTGTTTTCGAGTAGGCTTGAAGAATTATACAGAGTAGTGCAGTCGGATTATGAAATTTTGTGTAGTTTTGTATGCTCGCGTGGTTAGAATTGTGTTCTCATTATTTGTAATGTATAGAAGAAAACTATATCGCATGTAGAAGTGTCATTTGGTCGTCAGTTCTGGATTTAGTGGCGACAGGAAGGTTTTCGAACTTCAAGTATAATGCTAGCAATTAAATATATTTAATAGTAGATTTTATTTCTTAAAAAATAGGGGCTAATCACTATGGGGTAGATATATATCTCCAGAACTACTAGTGACTCCATAGGTGGAGATCAAAATATACATCCGCAGGCAGAACTGTTTATATATAGTACCGAGGACCAACTCCTGCCATCCACCATCCACCATCCACCCTGAACATAGCAATAACCCGTAAATCTTCAAGATAGAGTAAAATATACTTATAACCAATAATCCCATGACCCATCCCAACGGTTCCCCGGTCCTGCAGACCTAGATCCAAGGCCGATTATTGCCCCGGAGATGACGGTCGACTGAATCATTGGCCGCAAAGGAATGCAAGTGGCCGAATGCAGAGAAATGTCTCACGCCGCACGTTGAGTTCTCGGGCAAGTGCCAGCTCGTCCAGCAAGTTAAGGCAGTCACCAGCCAACCACTTGCGATCGAGATATTCATTTGAGACACAACCTCTGAGCCTCACATCTAATTTCTGCTCACATCCTCTATCCTCTATATCCTAGTGTTGACCTGCGGGGGAGGACGGTGCCACTGCATCGATTATCGGTCGTTATTCCGCTATTGCGTCCACCTCTCATTGAAACCGCCAGACCTGAGTCCTTATCCATCCCACAAGAGAAAAGAAGCAAAATGAGTTCCCCCGACCTATCACCCGTCGGAGTCAAATGGCCCCGCAAGAATGAAAAACGCTCCGTCTCGTCCTCCACCACCATCGCTGTTGTCCCGGAGTCGGATGCCCTCCCTGCTCCTGCGACTGCCCACACGACACAGAATGATCCAGCGGATTTCGACCCCAGCGTCGGTGCAAAGCCTTACTCGCCGTTCTATCGACATGCGACGCCGTCGATCAGCTTGGTTAAATTGAAAGCCAACGCGAAAGCCCCTCCGTCGCCCGGCGCCGACAGTCTCTACGACCTGGAAGATCAAGCGGGAAACACGACGCAAGAAGCGATGGGGCAGGACGGAAGCCATCGGGAGTCGAAGCTTTGGGCACAGAAGAAGCGACGATGCGGGTGCATGAAGTCGCTATCGAAGAAACAACGGCTGGTTTTGAAGGCCGTCATTGCCATCGGGACACTAGGGAGTATGATGGCCATCGCGCTGGGGATAACAGCCGCCGTGGGCGGAGGCGTATGGCGATCGGATCACCAACACCGAGTTCTTGGATAGGAGAGTTCCTGACGGGCGCATGCGATTCATCCCCGGGGTTGCGGCCTTTGCTGGCATGAATGAGGGCCGGAGAGCTGCTGTTGGACAAACGGACGCAGGGGGATACTGTTAGGCAGAACTCCGATGTAAATGTACTCGCTACGAGGGACTGTACAGAAGCGGGACGGGATGGAAGCATGTATGCAGTCAGTGAGCGCGGTCGAAGAAAGACGAATGAAGTTATTCTTAGCTGCCAACGACGATCCCCCGGTGCCTGGGTGCCTGGGTGCCTGGGCCTAAGGGCGACACACTAAAGGCTCGGTTGTGCCGGACCAACATCGGCCCGTCCACGTGACCCTTCACACACATAAAAGCCGCGCGCGCATTCCGATCTTTCCTCCTCTTTTCTTTTTCTTTCCACATCAAAAAGTTAACAGAGCCTGCCACGACCTCCGCCCAGAATTCTTTCCCCACGGCGGTGTGTTGCCTTCGGTCTCTCGGGACTGATCGGCTCTGGAGATAGAGTTTCCTTGATAGGAAGTTTGCCTCTCGTTGGGTCCTCTTCAGTGAGGGCGATGAGGGGGGAATGTCGATGACGGGATACATCTCAAACTATAAACCATAATTTGTGTAGTCGGAACGAAAGTTTCGCAATTCGTATTCGGCTGGCCGCATTGATCGAGTGCATGGCAGTTGGTCCTGTAAGTCGAATTCCATTTCGCGTGTGGTCGATGCTGGCATTTGTGTAGCGTCCGGTGATCGGCGCCTCGGTGCCTGAACCCATGATGCCAAGAACACCCGGCCTCAGGCCTACTCCGTCCGGTTCTGGCGATTTTGCAGCTACGAAGTACGGATATCAACATGCCGTCGGATTCCATGGCTAGACATCCGCAAGATCAATGACGAGCTGATGCTCAATTCTTGCAGTGATCGGTCATCCCGCTGGCGACCATGCCATCTGGTTTGTTTACATACCAGTCCCCAGGCGAAACTGGCGCGGAAATGAAGAATGCCGCCCAGGACACCGGACCTTGGAAGTGCCGGATTGCCAGTCCACTCAACGCCGCAGTGCCATGATCACACCCATTCTTGAGGAACATTCTCCCTCCCGAACAATGCAGTGGCCTATTTGTTTGTTTCCTCCAGCGGACAATTCGACATGCCAGGCAGGCTGCCCACAACACCTGATGCAGGATAAAAGGTCCAGGCATCTGGCGGCCTCTGACAATTGAATCGTAGGTTAATCTCGAGTCACGGCAGGATATAGTTCGAAATTTCATTCTTTCTTTGTTTTTCCCCTTCCCTTCGACAATCCTATTCTTGGCCGCTGGCCCGAAGTCATTCTTTTATATATCTACCTTTCTTCCGAGCATAATTGGCCCCCGGTATAGTATTTAATTCGACAACCAACAGCACAGCAAGATGAAGGGATTACACGGAGGTATTCCTATCGCGGTTCTGGCCGCAGTCGCTCGGGCCCAGGTCGATGTCATCGGCGGCTCCGACGGCCTCGACTCTGGCAACGCAGGAGGCGTGAGCACCGACAATGATTTCAGCCGGGCCACCACCGAAGTGAACAAGGACGACCACCACGTCGACGTCAACACCAAGACCAAGGTTGATGTGGACGTGGATGCCTACCCTGATCCGTACTGGCACCACTGGCACCCGTACGGCCCGCCTCACTGGCGAAAGGCCCGTGGCCACCCCGGCACCACGGTGATCGGAGGCCCCAACGGTATTGACACCGGCAACGATGCCTCGCTTCCCACCAAGAACGAATTCGCCTCATTCTACAAGGAACACAACCAGGATGACCACTCCGTGGATGTCGACAACAAGCTGCACTATGAGTATGATGTGCATGGACACCCGTACCCGGTTCCCGTCTGGAAGCGCGATCCCAAGTTCTGGAACCCCCCTGCCACTCTTATTGATGGCCCACACGGTATAGATACCGGCAACGACGCCTCTTTGCCGACCAAGAACGAGTTCGCCTCGTTCTACAAGGAGCACAACCAGGACGACCACTCTGTTGATATTGACAACAAGCTGCACTACGAGTACGACGTGCACGGACACCCGTATCCAGTCCCTGTCTGGAAGCGCGACCCCAAGTTCTGGAATCCCCCTGCAACTGTCATCGACGGTCCTGGTGGCATAGATACTGGCAACAGCGCCTCTTTGCCGACCAAGAACGAGTTCGCCTCGTTCTACAAGGAGCACAACCAGGACGACCACTCTGTTGATATTGACAACAAGCTGCACTACGAGTACGACGTGCACGGACACCCGTATCCAGTCCCTGTCTGGAAGCGCGACCCCAAGTTCTGGAATCCCCCTGCAACTGTCATCGACGGTCCTGGTGGCATAGATACTGGCAACAGCGCCTCTTTGCCGACCAAGAACGAGTTCGCCTCGTTCTACAAGGAGCACAACCAGGACGACCACTCTGTTGATATTGACAACAAGCAGCACTACGACTACGATGTGCACGGACACCCGTACCCAGTCCCTGTTTGGAAGCGCGACCCGAAGTTCTGGAATCCCCCTGCAACTGTCATTGATGGGCCTGGCGGCGTGGACTCGGGCAACGGCTTCTCTGCTCCCACGGAGAACTCCTACACCTCGGTGTACGATGAGTTCAACAAGGATGATCACTCGTGGGATCTTGACAACAAACTTGACTATGACTACCATGATCACCCGTATCCCGTTCCCGTCCCTGCCTACCATCACTGGAAGGCCCGTGGACTCGGCGACACCGTGATCGATGGCCCCGGCGGCGTGGACACTGGCAGCTCGGCTTCCGTTCCCACAAAGAATGAGTTCGGAGTCGCCTACAGCGAGACCAACATCGACGATCACTCCGTTGACATTGACCACAAGACTGACGTGGACGTCGACACCCACTACCCCTACCCTGTGCCGTACCCGGTCCCAGTGCCTGGCTATCCCCACCACTGGAAGGCTCGTGGATTGGGCGACACCGTGATTGACGGCCCCGGCGGTATCGACACGGGAAACGATGCGTCCATCCCCACTGAGAATGAGTTTGCGAGCGGCCACAGCGAAACCAACGTCGACGATCACTCTGTTGACATTGACCACAAGACTGATGTGGACGTGGATACCCACCTGCCCTACCCGGTGCCGTATCCTGTTCCTCACCCTTTTCACTACCACCCCGATCCCTACCATCTCCACGTCCGGGGGTTCGGCGATACTGGTATTGATGGTCCGGGCGGTGTTGACTCGGGCAATGGCTTCTCCGCTCCCACGAAGAACTCCTACGCGTCCGTTTACGACGAGTTCAACAAGGACGACCACTCTTTCACGGGGAAGGCTGCGGCTGATATCGATATTGATGAACATCACCCCTACCCTGTTCCTGTGCCCGTGCACCACTGGAAGGCCCGGGGCCATCCCACTCGCCCCTGGAACGACGTTACCCTCATTGATGGCCCCGGAGGCATTGACACTGGAAACGACGCCGACCTGTCCACGACCAACACCTTCCTTTCAGACTATGACGAGTTCAACCAGGATGACCACTCGTTCACCGGCAAGGCGGCGGCCGATGTCGACATCGACCACGACTACCCGTACCCCTTTCCCGTCCCTGCGCACTTCTGGAAGGCCCGGTCGGTCCACGAACCTCCCGTGACGGTCATCGGCGGCCCCAGCGGCATTGACACTGGCAACAGCGCGGATCTGTCCAGCGCCAACACCGCCATCACGGATTACGACGAGTTCAATGGTGACGACCACTCGGTGGATGCGAAGGCCAAGGCTGACTGGAACGTTCACTACCGCCGGTCGATCTTCGACGGTCCCACCGATGTGATCGATGGCCCGGGAGGTGTTGACACTGGCAACGGTTTCTCCGCCCCCAAGAGCAACCACGTCGCCACCGGATACAGCGAGTACAACCAAAACGACCACCATGTCGACATTGACACCTCTACTGACGTCGATGTCGATGCTCACGCGCACCCCTTCCCGGTCCCTCACCCCGTTGGCGTCCCTCACCCTGCTCCCGTGCCTCCTCGCCCGGTGTACCCCGGCCCTGGCCCTTTCCACGAACCCGAGGCTGTGCCGGAGCCTGCTCCTGAACATGCTCCCGAACACGCACCCGCTCCGGCACCTGCCCCTGCCCCGGCTGGCGAAGGCCACGTTCCCCAAGAAGCCCCCCACGCCAACCCGGCTCCGGGCCCTGAGCCTGTGGTCCAGCACAACCCCCAGGGTGAAGAAACCCACCAAGCTCCTCCTTCGAGCGAAGTCCACGCGCCTGTCCCGGAGAACAAGCCCCAGACGCCCAGCCCCCAGACGGAGACTTCTGAGCCCATTGTCCACTCCGAGCCTGCTCCTGCTCCTCCCGCTGCTGCCGTGCCGAACACCCCGAACAGCCACTCGCAGTCGGATGTCTCTCCCCCTGCGGCCCCTAACAGCAACTCGCAGCCTGCCCCTGCTCCTCCCGCTGCTGCCGTGCCGAACACCCCGAACACCCCTAACAGCAACTGGCAACCTGCCCCTGCCCCTCCCGCTGTTCACAGTGCTGGTGCCCCCCCTGCCGCGTCTCCTCCCTCGGCGCCCTCTGTGAACCAAGGCAACTACCAGCCAGCTCCTCCCGCGGCCCAGTCCCAGGCCATCCCTGACTCTGTTGAGCACGCTGCTCAAACTTCGGCCGTCCCCATCTTCCACGGCATGGCCACTCCCTCGTCCTCTGCCGCGCACGCCGCTCTCACTTCCACTGTGACCGTTCCCCAGGCCTCCTCGTTCGCCAAGATCCCCGTATTCGTGCCTCAGTCGTCCGCTGCCACTCCGCCCGCTTCTCACGCTCCTGCTTCTAGCACCGTGATCGTGCACCCGACTGGCGCTGCCGCGTCTACCCCCAGCTCGGCTTCTTCGAACGCTGCCATCGCCTCGCGCGCTGACGCTGTCTTCACGGGCGGTGTTGGCCAGCTAACGCCTCACGCGGGTGTCTTCTCTGTTGTCTGTGGTGTCATTGGCCTGTTGGCGTTTGTCTTGTAAAATGTGCCTGAGTACCTCCTATTCGTTTGATCTTGCTGTCTGAGCCTTTAGTTAGGTTGCAGGGCTTTGTATGAGTCTTCGGGCTGTTGGTTTAATTTATTCTCTTTTTCTCTATGTGCAAATGCAATTAACTGTTCTATTTCTACTTCATCTTCTCCAACCTTAAGGACCTCGTGTAATCATGGATATCTTTCTTAGAGTCTTACGCAATGTTCTTGAGTCTCGCACTCTACTTCTTACCCAGAGGGCCCCTACCACAAGCACCACCGTTGAAGACCGCTTGCTCCCGAGAGATGAAATAAATCCATAACCATGCATTACCATCTACTAATACATCCAAACATCAAATCTAAATCCTAATCCTCCCAATCAACACGAGATAGAAATAAAATCACACATTCCCCCCAGGATACCCAACCCCCACATTCCCCCTCTTATCCTCCCCACTAGCAGGCAACGAGTTCCCCGTCCCCGTCAGCACCTCCCCCGTGTGTCCCAAGTCCCCGGGGCCACGCGGCATACTAGCGTCGTTGTCGGCGGCGAATGCGGTCGTCGGCTCCGCGAGGCCCTGGTTGTTGAACTGGTTGCTTTCACTGATTTGGTCGGGTCGCGGCACGGAGGGGATTGTGCGTTGGATGCCGGCGTCGTTGGGGATGCTGGTTCCTGTGGCCGCCATGTCGGAGAGGGAGCCGCCTTGGTGGGGGTCGGCTGTGGTTGTGTTGTTGGTGGAGGAGCGGGTTTGGGGAGACATTTTTGGTTTGTTTGGAGGGTTGGTTTGGTTTGGTTAAGAGAATTGAGGAGAGTGGTTTGTTTGGTTGAGGAAGGTAGTTGAGTAGAGTGTGGTTTTGTGGTTAATTGATTAATTGGTTGTGTTTAATCTGTGGTAGAAGATCTACTTATACATGGTGTATACTTGGTGACATCACCGGTTCCCAGTTCCAACTTCCCGATGATGAACCGATGAGATCAGTTCGTCTGCTGAACACCCGGTTTGCGGTGGATACATCTCCAAAAACATCAGAGGAACAAATGCCAGCAGTCAGAAAGCGTACCCGGATGATTTCATAATTATCGAATGCGCGGTGGCGATGGGTATGATGAGGTCTGGTCTAGATCTCGGTGGCAAGCAGATCGCTTGGCGAGCGGTCAATCTGCCGAGGAGCTTTCTATCGGACGGAATCAGGCATGAACCCCTGGTAAATCTCCTCGAGAACATCGCGTTTCCGTTTCCGATCGGCCTGCTCGGCCTCTTCCTCCTCGTCCGGCTCGCCCTCCGGCTCGCGAGATACCCACGTCCGGATGGTGCCGTCGCCGTGCGCCGAGAACATCTCCATTCCTTCGCCGGCGGCGCCGTTGCCGCGCCACGCGAGGGCGTTGATGCGCGCGGCGCTGAGTGCACTCGAGCGACCACGCATGCTGTGAGCGTTGATGGCGAGGCCCGGAACGCGCAGCCGCTTGATGAACGTACCCTCGCGCAGCTCGAACATGAAGATCTCGCCGCGGTCGTCTCGCTCGTTGAAGTTCGGCCAGAGCAGCGTCTCGTGACCTGCTTTCATCACTCCCCGGGGTAAGACTAGCGGAGCTCGTTCGGCCAGGTGCGAGGAGACGCTGTTGCGGACGCGTGGGCCGAAGTGCACCATGGTGTTGGCGCCCGTCGTGGCGTCCCAGACGCGGATGCGCGCATCCTGGCCCGCCGTCACGAGATGCGTGCCGTTGGTCGTCCACCGAACGCCGGTCACTGCGCCGCCGTGAGCTCGCACGTACGGCGAGAATGCGGGACGGCTGTCATGGCCCGGCGGGGCAGTCTGTGGCGGAACTAAGCCAACGGCGTCGTCCATGTCGAGTGTAGCGATGGCGGAGTTGTGTCCGCCACGTCGGATGTCGAAGAGGATGACGCGGTGGTCGGCGGACGCGGAGGCCAAGATGTGCGGTCGGTGAGGAGCCCATGATACCGATAGCACGGAGGAGCTGTGTCCTGGCAGTCCGTGGGTGGAGAGACCGGAGCGTAGATCGAGGAGTCGGACGGGTTTCTCGGAGGTGCCCACGGCTATGAGGAGAGGTGACCCGCTGTGTGAGGACATGGAGTGCGCGTAGGGTGTACAGTCCAGCTTGAACGTATGCACCGGCGTGATACCCGTAGGCTCGAGGGCGGAGAGCTTCAGAGTCCCATCGTGTGAAGTCGACAGTATCGTCGATGGCGTCGGGTCGAACGGGTAGATCGACAGGGAGGTGAGGGAGCGTGTATGGGCATCCTCATGCGACGACTTATTGACGGACGCGATCGATCGATGGGTATGGGATAACTGTGAGCCTCGACTTTCTAGATCCCAGAGGTGGATCGAGGGATCTGCGCCGCCAGAGACCAGGCTGAGGGTGTTAGTAAATAATAATGGCAGACAGTCGCGATTTGCACTCACAATCTCCCCTCATTCTGATCGCTGGCCAACACGTTCACCCCGGCCTTATGCGCATAGATCTCATCCTCGCAGCCAATCTGCGCATCTCCAGCTGCCGGCCCTGTGTAACTAGAGAAACGGACACCAGGGGCGGGTTCCAGATGGTGAACCAGTCGAGTCGTCAATGCGACATGAAAGTCCGACGGCGTGATGGACCCGAGGGCCCTATTCAGCAGGTAAGAATTCATTCATGAGGGTGATGGCACTGAAGGGATCAAAGATGGATGATTCTTGCATCATCGGAGATCTTATCAGCGGGACGGAACAACGTCGCCCCGGGATTCTCCATTTGATGCATCGAAAAGTCCGTCGTCCACTATTCCATCTCCCATGAAACTATCTGGTCTTCGAGACACGCCGGACGATGTCTCACGGCAGATCGCTGGCCTTGAGCCAGAATACGTTTATTCGGCCTCCGTCTCACGAAGAACCGCCCGAGAAATCCGACGCCGATGAGCCGCCGAGTCGGCCGAAACGACAAGCCAACGTCTACGATGCTGTAGCCGGTTAGACCTCTGTATTTCTGCTCTAGACATTTCTAACGGATTAGGCCGTCTTAATGCCCATGGCTTTCTCCCCCCGGTGCCGTATCCATCGAAATATCGGGACTGGGCGTCTTCCACGTCTCGCCCGGTCCGTCCAGAAGAAGTCCTGTTCCGTCGGCAGAACGCCCCGGTGCGCTACGAAGAGAACGATCGCTACTTCGCCCACGAGTCGCTGCCCTCCGACCGACCCCTGCCGAGTTCCGATCTGCTCGAGGCCATCCATGCCTACTCCGCCGATTTCTACGACCGGGCCACCATCGATCGCGGCCAAGATGATTACCAGAGCATGGATGAGACGGCCCTCATCGCAATGGGCATATTGATGGAGGAGATGGCGCGCGAGTCGCTGGGGGAAACCGGTGACATGGTCCTGGTCGAGGGGGAAGAAATTACGGACGACGAGAAGGGTCGACTCTCGAAAATAAAGCCCCAACCAGTAGGTCGCAAACGGGCAAATACGCAGAGTAGCATCCTTCCCAGCTCCGGCGACGATACGGAAAACGTGGTTAAGCGAAAGCCATCGAAGAAGCGCAAATTAGCTCGTCGCGTGTGGAAGATGGATGGAGACATCGAATTGGATTGAATTGTGACGGGCCCTGCAGTTCACCGCGCATCAGGCAATGGCTTGTTGTCGCTTGGACTAGTCCGCAGTCAACACGAGTCCAGACCTGCCACCGTTTGCCTCTAAATGGGTAAACCGGTGACCGATCCTCCCCCAACATGTCTTTGACTCCTGGTTCTCTTCCCACGAAAAGTCGGCACCATTGGTGAACCGCTGCGCTGGTTGGACCCTCGAGCCTCTTTTCGCCTCTTTCCGTGCTCGAGAAACAAGCAATATGCCATGCCCAACAATCAACCACAGGTCCCCAACCCTGCAAGACCACGAGTGGCGTCGGACTTGTCAAATGACTCCGACAAGAACGACTTTATCCGCCTGCCTATAGACCCTCCGAAGTAGGTTCGTTCGGCGCAAGCACACGACTTTTCCATTTGCTGGATTCAAGCACACGGCTGACCGGGCTGAGGGAATAATTCTTCCGCACGGCCAGCCATTTCTATCCTAGCTCGACAATGCCTGTCTCTTCCCACCAGTGACCTGTCAACGCCCAGTGTCGGCAGCCATAACCTAACATAATCTCCGTCTCATGAGGCGCACACTAACTGTCTTGGCCGTTACTCTTCCGGACTAGAGCCTCGTCGTGAATGGAACCACGGGAACTAGACCGTCTTGCAAGCACCCCAGACTTGCCCCCGCGTTTGGGCTGGCCTTTCAACCCCAGACTCATTCTGTCTTGGACTTTCCGCCCCTTCGTGACCTGATCTTTTGCCGGTGGCCGCCTCGTGTCAATTAGCCTGAAATCAGTTCATCTTCCTCTCTATCACCGGGGAATGGCCTTGGCGGACAGCGGACGAATCAATCCATACCTCGGGGGTAAATTATCGGCTCGGTTGAGTCTTGTAGGCTGGGTGGTGCTGTGGCAATCCCGGGGTCTTTCATCCTGGACTCCGTCCGTGAGTTGACCTCTGCAATATGTTGGCCTATCAGATGAACCGGTCTTTTCAGTCGCCACGTTTTGTGCGCTCCAGAACCGGTTTAGCCGTCGCAAGACGAGACACCCAGTAGATAGCTTTTCCACGGAGTGATTTCGATACATGGGAAATACCCGGATGGAGGCCACGGTCTGGTTCATAAGATGGCTCTATCCCGCATGACAGCTCCATTCGTTTGCTCCACGCATGACCAGGTCTACCTTGGATACTTGAAGTCGAATTTGAGCCCTAGTTTTCATACTACCATTCCACACCGCCACAGACTGCCTCTGACGCCGCAATGGGCTCCGCAACATTTGAGCTTGCCGGTCGGCAGTTCCCACGTGTAACATGGTGGAAAAATCCCGGCATGCGCAAAACCTACATCTGTCTGATGTTCGTGGTGTTGACTTCGGTATGTTCATCGGCTGCGACTCTTGCGACAGGTTCTGACAGGATAGGCCACCAATGGTTACGACGGATCCATGATGAACGGGCTGCAGACCCTGGACTACTGGCAGGAGTATTTCAACCACCCGTCGGGCTCGCTCTTGGGTATTCTCAGTGCGATCATGTCGCTGGGGTCATTGGCCGCCTTGCCCGTTGTGCCTTATGCTGCCGATCTGCTGGGGCGTCGAATGGGCGTCTTAATCGGCTGTACGATCATGTATGCGACGGCCACCATCCTTATCAACGTCTCACAATGCTTACACAATTAGGATTCTGGGGGTTGTCCTGCAGAGCATTAGTGCCAACTACGGCATGTTTTTGGCCGCTCGATTCCTGATCGGATTTGGAGTAGCCATTGCCCATGGTGCCTCTCCTTTGCTGATTACCGAGCTGGTCCACACGCAACATCGCGCCGTTTTTACCACCATCTACAACAGTACGTGTAGTGATTCTTCTCCCCGCTGCAGATGCTAACGGAATTAGCCACGTGGTACCTGGGTTCCATTGTCGCAGCATGGCTTACGTTCGGCACCAACAACATCAAGAGCGACTGGGCGTGGCGCGCTCCGACCGTCGTCCAGGCCGTGCCATCCGTTCTTCAGATCATCTTCATTTGGTTCGTTCCCGAGTCGCCTCGATTCTTAATCTACAAGGGCAAGAACGAGCAGGCGCTGAAAGTGTTGGCCGATTGCCACGCCAATGGTGACCAAATGGATGAGGTGGTGCAGCTGGAGATGCACGAGATCCAGGAGACCATCCGCCTGGAGAAGGAGTACGAGAGCAGCAACTGGATGGAGCTGATCCGCACCAAGGGCAACCGCCACCGTATGATCATCTGTATCTCGGCCGGTCTGTTCTCGCAGTGGTCCGGCAACGGCCTGGTGTCGTACTATATCGCCAAGATCCTGGAGTCGATCGGCTACACCAGCTCCGTCCAGCAGAACCTGATCAACGGCTGTCTGCAGATCATGAACTTCATCGTCGCTCTGACGATGTGCTTCTTCGTGGACAAGATCGGTCGCCGCAAGCTCTTCCTCATCTCCACTGCCGGCATGCTGGTGGCGTTCATCGTCTGGACGATCTGCTCCGCTCGCTACGACATCTCGCACACGTCCGGCACGGCCAACGCGGTCATCGCGATGATCTACGTCTACTACCTCTTCTACAACGTTGCCTGGTCCGGCCTGCTGGTCGGATACACGGTGGAGATTCTCCCGTACAGCATCCGTGCCAAGGGCATGACCGTGATGTGGTTCTGTATCGATGCTGCGCGTAAGTCTTGCCTTCCCCCTTTTCTCGGATGATACTGACCCAGTAGTCTTCTTCAACCAATATATCAACCCGATCGCGCTGGACAACATCGGCTGGAAATACTACATCTTCTACTGCGTGTGGCTCGGCTTCGAACTGGTCGTCGTCTGGTTCTTCTACATCGAGACGCGCAACACGCCGCTCGAGGAAATCGCCAAGTACTTCGACGGCGACAACGCGATGGTCGGCGGCGTCGCCGGCACCCAGAAGGCCAAGGAGCTGGCCACGACGCTGTCGGTCGAGGAGACGGTCACCAGCACGGAGAAGGTCAGCGTGGTGAACGAGAAGCCTGTGTAGGCCTACAATGTGCTATACGTTTCTTAGCCATCTATGTGTTCTCGGGCGGGGATTCCACTATCTATAATCCAATCCAATCCAATCCAATCCAAATAAGCGGTTTCAATGTAACCAGACCCTGCATCCCGTAGCATCGTAGACCCGACCAGTCCCCCGGGCTATGCGCCTGAGGAACCGATTCGGTCTTGTGCGATCACCTGTTCGCAACCGGACCAGGTGACGCACCGTGACTTCTGCACTTCCACCGAGTCGCTTTGGTTTCTCCTCGATCGGTCCATGCGAAGAATCAGCCACCAGACCGGTTCGGCGGGCAATCAGACTGCATCGAGAGGCAATCTCGCAGATTGAAATCATCGACGAAGAAACTCACCGTCATCATGGTACGTCTACAGCTGTTCATCAACTCCTCTACACTCTACAATTTACCCCTTTCCACCAATCCATCCCAACCCATCGCCAAAAATACAAACAAAACCCAAAGTGAAAAAAAGAAAAAAAAAAAAAAAAAAACAATCTGACTAAGACCATGACCATGACCATGACCATCCAAAACAGCCCCCCAAACAGACCCGCGCCGCCAAACAAGCCCTCATCGTGGCGCACCTGCAGTCAACCCAGACCTGCCACACGCTGAAAGAACTTGAGAAATCCTTACCCGCAGTGGCCTCGGTGCACGCGATGCAGGTGAAAGAGCACCTCCAGGAACTGGCGGACGAGGGCCGGATCCGCGTGGAGAAGATCGGCAGCGGGAACTGGTACTGGAGCTTTGCGGGGGACGAGCGACGCGAGAAGGAGCGGGTACGCAGCGAGTTGCTGAGCGAGGTGGGGAGGGCGCGGGCTGCGTGTGAGAAGACCGAGGGGAAATTGGCGGCGCGCAGGCTGCAGATGGAGCGGGAGCGGGAGGACTACGACCAGGGAGATCAGGGACGGGAGCAGGGGGAGAAGATGGGGGATGAGAAAGGGGAAGAGAAGGGCGAAGAGGTGGAAGCCGTGAGAAATGCGTTGATGAAACAAAAGGCGGCGCTGGAAGCCGAGTGCAGGCGGGTTCGGGGCCAGGCGAAAGCGCAGGCAGATCGGGGAAAAAGCGTGCCGGAGATGAAGGCAGAGACGGAGAGATTCCGAGCAGCAGCGCAGATGTGGACGGATAACGTCTTCGTGCTGGAGGCATACGTCCGTCGCTTGGCCGGGGGGGATCGGGAGATTCTGACGGCGCTGCAGCAGGAATGTTACGGGGGGGAGTACGTGGACGGCGAGGGATTGCGCGAGTTGCCGGAGGATTAAGATGAAGAGTCTACTAAGAGTCTAACATACTGCGTAGTGACAGTCCGAGTCAGTCAGCAGGCGAACTAAAGAAAACTAAAGAATGACAAGAAAACGAGGCAGGTGGAGGCGCCGAGAGTCCCCCAAGAGAAGCTTGACTTCCGGCTGGCGACTTCCGTTGGCTTTTCCTTTCTCCGCTTATCGCGAACCTGTTCTCTTCTTCTTCTTCTCTCTCTCTCTCTCTCTGCTCACTTTCTGCTATCGGTCGCTTTCCTTCTGTTCGCCTCTCTCGCCTTCGTCTGTCGCCTCGTCTCCCCCGACCGCGTCTCCCGAACGCCTCCCTCCCTGTCCTTCTGTCGTCTTCTCCCCCCTCAATCATCACCTCCATCCACCGAGGGGATTCGCCCGTCCATCCACCCTGCTCTCCCCGTGATCGACGCTCTAGAATATTGCGAGAAATGATGCCGCCGTGTCCTTCTGGCCCGGACTCTTAACGTCGTTTCTCTCTCCTCGCTGTTCCCTTCGATCCCGACCCCGTCGACTGCCTCGCTCCCCTCGATCGGATACCTTCGCCGATCCACCTCCGCGGGTTCCGATCACAGAATCAGGAATTCTACACTTATACATATACCTCCCCCGGGAACGAGGGACGCACCCAGCAGAACACAGACCCCAGAATCGCCAATCGCGTGAGCTGCGGGATTTCCCCGTGGGTGGTGTCTTTGCGCCCGACGCTTACTTCGGGGCCTGGTGGGATTGATTGCCCGAATCTCCCGACGTGGTCGGTGTATTCGCTGCTCTAGTCTGGTGTCCCTGTCGCTGGTCTCGCTTCCTCGGACACACCTGCCTACCGGCCCATCCTCCGTCGTTCATTCATTCACGACTGGGGGTTGGTGGAGTTTTCCCCCGGCGTGTCCTGGGATCTCTCATTCTTCGGCGTGGACCCTCGCCCAACTTTCTTTCCTTCTGCCCTCCCCCTTGCGTTCTCCGCGTCAGTTCTGGCTTGGTCCATTGACGTGTTGAATCTTGAAGTCGTTGTCTCATTCTTCCTCCTTGTCTCTCTTACTTCCCTTCGCTTCCCTCCCTTTCGAAACCCGTCCCGTCGCTTTCTTTTCCTTCGGTCTGGGCTTGTTTATATCTGACATCCCCCGTCACCCTTGCATACCTCTCCTCCTTGTATGGATTGAGTGAGGTGTGACTGTGGGTCATGTCCGTCAACTCTCCCCCCGCCCAACCCTCCTCCTCGCCGCTCGGTCGGAATCGCAGCTCCCTGCTGTCTCGTTTTTGCTCGCCCTTTTCCCAACGGAATCGCAGCATCGCCGACTACTACATCGAACCCGACGATCCCTGGCGCTCCTACTTCCCCGGTGATGTGATCAAGGGCACCGTCGTGCTCACCGTCGTCCGTCCCGTTCGCATCACGCATCTCGTCATCTGTTTACATGGCTTTGTCAAGGTTTTTAAGAACACCGTTCCGTCCGGGGAGGCTTCGCCGGACGCCGGATTTTTGGGTCCTGGGCGCGGGCGTCGAGGCGCAGAATATTTGGGCAATGGGTTGGCGACGTTGTTTGAGAATGAGGACGTGCTCTGCGGAGAGGGTCGTCTTAAGGAGGGGGTGTACAAGTTTCGCTTCGAGATGGCCTTTCCGCCGTTCGCCTTGCCGAGCAGTATCAGCGTGCGTCCACCTTGCCTCTTGCCTTTTGCTCGCAGTGGTCTAACTAACATTTGGCGGTCTAGTTTGAACGAGGAACCATTACTTATATGCTTACGTCCACCCTAACCAAACCCACGACGATGAACCCTACCATGTCCTGCCGACGACGCGTGAACCTAATGGAAAACATCGACATCGCCCCCTTCCCCGCCCCGAGAGCCCGCGTGGTCACGTTAGAACCCGTGTCGAAGCGTTCGAAATCCAAAGCGAAGGCCAAATCGGGGGAATCGGACACGGCGCAGGACTCGACGTCGCTGGAGCCGTCGGTCAACGGCGCGACCAACGGCGCGACCGGGTCCGGCGATCACCGGCCTCCGCTGAGTCCCTCGCCCAGCAACGTCAGCTCGTCGAGTCGCCTGAGCACCAGCAGCCAGAGTTTCCAGATCGCCAGCGATCCCAGCTCGTCGACCAGCACGGGGGTTCGCAACAGCGAGGGCCGCAGCACCACCCCCTCCATCGCGGATAAGACGATCACCGCCAAGACGGAGGTATTGCGCGCGGGCGTGCTACCGGGGGACACGCTCCCCATCAAAGTCACCATCAACCACTGCAAGCAAGTGCGCAGCGCGCATGGCATCATCGTCACCCTCTACCGCCAGGGCCGAATCGACCTCCATCCGGCCATCCCCATCGGCATGTCGGCGGACGGCAAGAAACCGGTCTACGAGGATTATTACCCGCGGTCGCGCACCGGACTCGGCGGTCTGACCATCGGCACGAGTCGCACCAGCAGCGTCTTCCGGAAGGACCTCACCCAGACCTTTGCGCCTTTGGTCGTCGACCCGTCGAATCTCACCGCCGTCGTGAAGACGTCGATCCGCATCCCCGAAGACGCCTTCCCTACGATCACGCGCACGCCCGGCAGCATGATCAATTTCCGCTACTATGTCGAGGTCGTGGTGGACCTGCGGGGAAAGCTGGGCTCCCCCGATCGATTCCTGCCGCGGTTCAACCTGATGACCTCGGGGAGTAACTTCTCTCCGAGTGGACAGATCTTGAACCCGGCCGATGCCAACAACAACAACGTGATCACGGCGAACTGGGCCGGCAATATCTTGGACACCGACCAGATCCGCCGCGAGAAGGGCGTCGTGGCCGTCGCCTTCGAGGTGGTCATTGGCACGCGCGACTCGCATCGGCGGAAAAGCCAGACGAAGCGCTCGTCGTCCACGGCCGCCGTGTCCGACTTCCAATCGTCACAGCCGGCGGAGGTGGATGGCTGGCTGGCGGACCAGAGCCCCATGCCCACGGCCGAGACGGAGCCCCGTCCGGCACAGGAGGACTACGGATTCCCGCAAGAACTCCAGTGGGCGGATCACATCGAGCAATCGCAGTCGCCGCCGCAACCGTACCAGTCTCTCGGACAGATGGTGTCGACGCCGCAGTCGGAGGAGCCGGGCGACGAGAAAGCCCGCATGCGCCGAGCCGAACAGACGCTGCTGCCCAGTCAACCGCCGGAGGAACCCGAGGCGGGACCGTCGGCGGAGATGGCGACTCCCACGGCGCCTGTCATACCCGACGACGATCAGTTCAACGATTATCACCACCTGCCCTCCCCGGCCGAAGAGCGGATGCCGCCCGGCCCCATGTCGGCCGAGTCTGTGCACACCGTGATGCCTGGCAGTAGCACGATGGCCGACGACGCGGCAGGGGACACCCCGGGCGACGACAAACAGGAGATGGAGCGACAGCGGCTGATGATGGAGGCCAGTGCTCCGGGCGACGTGGAACCGCCCTCCGCGCCCACGGACTCGGCTGATGGACCGAGTGCGCCGGTGTTCCATGACGATGGCGACCATCAATTGGTCGGCGGGACGGCGCACGGAGACGAGTCTCTGCCGCGATATCAGCGATAGAAAAAGACGGAAAATTGACTGTTATGAAAGCCATCATTGGGATTGTTTTGGGGTTTTGTTTGTTTGTGCCTTGAACCTTGGATTTGCATTTACGGTTGGGATAACCGAGAGATACCACCTATATGTTTGAATATCGCAGCTGATTGATTATATTTGATTTGAGATTTGATTGAAGGGGAGGAGTGGAAGTAGACGCAAGGCGTTTCGGTAGACGGGCATCTTGCGGAGGTGTATATACTATGAATGAAGTGTCCATTAGTGATTGTTTGACTTGACTTATCTGTAATCCTTGAAATGCCCGAGATAAGCCCCTAAAGCGGCGACAGTCTTGGCATTCGGCCCCATCGATGGCTTTCATCTCCACTTCTTTCTGTCTTCTGCCTGCCGTCTATCTTCTCTTCCTCTCTCCATCCATCTCTCGCCCACATCCTCGCCATCATGGCCTTCCGCACCGGGTCCTTTGCGACCTTTCTCATCGTCTGCCGTGCGTCCCCTCTCACCTCCCATTTTTGTAAAAGTACATCCCCTAACCAATAAACAGCAACCAGCTTCTTCCTCGGCATCATCTTCTCCCTCTTCCCCTACGACTACCCAATCCTATGGTCCACCTCCCCGACGCCCCCCTCGCACTATGACTACTTCGAATCGCACCTGCGCTTCCTGCACGCCTCGCCCCCGCTGATCCCGCGCATCCTCCACATCGTCATCTTCCTGGGCCTCGCCGGCCTGATCACCAAGCTGTACCGCCCCAGCGAGTCCAACATGCTCTTTGACGGCGCGTCCCTCGTGCTCTACATGTGCGGCGTGACCGTCTACATCGCGAATATCGTCAAGGGGCTGAGGTTAGTCCAGGAGGGGGTATACGGGGATGATTTGTTGAAGGATGGAGGTGCGCTCGAGGAGGGGGAGCAGATTCTCGGACGTGAGGACTCGTTGAAGGTGTTGGCCGCGAGTAATACGATTCTGGCGCTGGTGCTTGTTGGGGTCCTGGTGTTGCAGGCGGGGCAGTGGTATGCCGAGAGGAAGGATCAGATTGAGGCGGAGAGCTTTAAGGGCGGGAAGGGGAAGGCGGAGGAGAAGGAGAAGGAGAAGAAGAAGAATTGATTTCATTTGATTTGATTGCGAAGGGGGGGTTGTTTTGTTAGAGTTGGGGGTGGGTGGTTTATTGTGGGAGGTTTGTTACAGGATTCGTGGGTGATGGGAATGTATGTTAGGGTGGTGTTGTGCTTTCTCGAATCATGCATGCATGGGTCAATAATCTATGTCATATTGACTATCTGTCCCTGTCTGGAGGTTCTGGCAACTAGAATGGAAAAGTTCTACCGTCCGATTGCTAATGCTCTAGTCAGAACTTCACCCGAGGAGCTCCGTAACTATCTATCTATAAACCCTCCACCAAGTCCGACACATTCGCCTTCAACATCTCCTCCAGACTCGAGAAATCCGATTTTCCCATCTCCCTCAGCACTTCCTGCGCGCGAGCAGCCGGCTCAATCTCAAACCGCTCCGCTCCCGTCTGACCGGGCACTTCAGACGCAAACTGACGATCAGGAAACCAAGCCTGAAACACAGAGATAATCTCGTTCCAGGTAAACGGGACTCCAAACGCGAATAGACGCTCACTTTTCACGTCCGCGTGAACAAGCCCCGCCAGATGCAGAAGCGCCACATCCTTCGCATCCACGCAGTAGGCTCCTAGCTCCGCTGTCAGCTTGAACTCCGCATATCGACAGAGGGAAGAAACAAAAGAGCATCTACCATGAGGAATAACATGTTGCAGAAACGGCCATACGCGATCGAACTCATTTCTGAAGAGCGCCGCCGGCCACGCCGAGGACGACGCATGGCCTTGCGCCTCAGGGGCAATGGAAGCCCCGAAGACGACGGAGGGAAGAACTGTCCACGCAAGCATGCATCAGTATCGCCACATCGAGAGTACGCGCAGATATTTCACAAACCTGTATTCACTACAAACCCTGGCCGGTTCTCCTCCACCCACTTCCAAACCGCCTGCTCGCCTAGCGTCTTGCTCGCCGCGTACATGTCAAACCCGGCTTTAGGGCCCTCCGCGCCATCGTGTTGATACCGCCGCACGGCCTCCTCATTCCATGTGTTCGCTGTTATATGCGCGTCTCTCCCATCCTGATGATCCAGGAACGACGAGAACGTCGCCGCCTCAGACGACGAGGTATACACGAATCGGCGGACCGTGGGTTCCGCAGCGGCGCTGGCGAGCAGGTTCTCATTTGTAGCGACAACGCTGGCGATCAAGTCTGCCGTGTGGCCGAAGATAGTTGCGACGTGGGCGATGCCCGAGACGCCTGTTTCTCATTGCATGCTCAGCATCTCATCCAGGGCTGGGGATTGGAGAACGGACCTTTGATTGCGCGGTCGAAGGCATCGGGACGTGTCATGTCCTCGACTGTGGCCAGCTCGAACCGCCCGGGTCCGTATTTCCGGTCGAAGAGGTCCTTGATCCATTGGCTTTTGGACGGGCTGCGGACGGTTCCGCGTACTCTGTAGCCGTGGTGCAGGAGCTGATCGGCTGTGTGAGAGGCGACGTAGCCGTTGACGCCGGTGACGAGGATGCAGGAGTCGGGGGGGATTGCAGACATTTTTTGTAGATATTCTGTGTAGAATACACTGTGGTGATAATTGAGGAGTCCCCATTTCCCAGGTCCTTTATACTAGATCTTTAGTTGAATTACTCAGATCGACATCTATAAGAGGATCATAGGGCTGCAGATCGCCACTCGGGCGGTATTTCAATCCCGAACCCTCCCTGCTTACTCAACCACCCCAGTCTACCTTGACATCACCCACCCCATGCCCATCCATCCTTATTTCAGTATGCCCTGCTATCCCTCAACATGAAATCCAACACCCCAACCCCCCGCAGCTGCCACCGCTGCAGCGAGAAAAAGATCCGCTGCCCCAAGTCGCATCCGTGCGATCCCTGCTCCAAGGCCGGCGCGGACTGCATATACCCCGGTCCTGGACGGGCCCCGCGACGCAAGAAACGGCCGCTAAAGGCGCAGCTGGTGTCGCGCATGAAGAGCCTCGAGGAGGAGGTGCAGGCTCTGCATCGGCGACTCGAGGGGACTACTCCGTCGGGGCGCGTGTCTCCGGGTAAGGAAAAGAGAGATAGGCGTCTTGAGGTCGGCGCGTTGTTGACGGATGATCGGGAGTCCAGGTATGTGACGCATGATGTGCTGGTGGGGTTTGGAAGGGGGAGTGGTGAGGTGAGTGGTCTTTGGACTGTGGACTTGGGTTTCCTGAGCTGATGTGCAGCAGAAGGTCGAGGACCTTGGGCGTGGAGACCCTCAAGATCGTGCAAATGACCCTGTTACAAGCAAAGAGGGTTTGCGTCTAGCTGACTCGCACCCGCAAAATGGCAATTCTTTTATATTCGGGGATTCCTGGACGGTGGATTCTCTATCTGATTTCCACCCCACGCCCGCGCACCGGGACTTCCTATGGACTGCGTTCGAGGAGAATGTCTCCCCGGTGGTGATGATCTTCCACAAGCCATCGATCCGGAATATCATCATGACTAGATCTGCGAACAGCCCGCTCGACCGGACCACGGAGGCCGTGATTTTCAGCATCTACCACGCCGCTGTAACCAGTCTAGATGCAGACCAATGCGCAGAAATCCTAGGTCAGGACCATGCCACCCTGCAGCGGCACTACCGATATGCAACGCAGCAGGCCCTGGCACGCGCGAACTTCCTGCAGTCGCAGAGCCTAGCCGTGCTTCAGGCCTTCACGCTCTTTCTCACGACGCTCCGGGGCCCCGAAGACGCCGCCTTCGTCTGGGCCATGACGGCGGCTGTGCATCGCATGGCGCAAGGGCTGGGACTCCATCGCGACGGCACGCACTTCGGTCTCACCCCGTTTGAGATCGAGATGCGGCGCAGGCTGTGGTGGGCTATCTACTTGTTGGATACTCGGTCGGCGGAGTTCCGGGGTATCGATGTGCTGATTACCGAGCGTGACTATGACACGAAACTGCCGCTGAATATCAATGATTCGGATCTCGAGCCCGAGTCGGAGGGTCTGGAAGAAGAGACTGGGTTCACCGATATGACATTCTGTCTGGTCCGGTGTGAAATGATTGTTTTGAATCGACATTGTTACAGCCACAGTAGTACCAACCCCGAATCCAACTCACATGGTTTACGACTCCACGATCTAGAGCAACTCCACGATCACCTGCGCCATCGATATCTCCGCTTCTGCGACGTCTCCAACCCCCTCCAGTGGGTGACAGCCACAGTCATCCGTCTGGCTCTCGCTCGCTCCTGGCTCCTCGCCCATCTCCCCGAGAAACAACCAGAGCCAGAGCTAGAGCCAGAGCCAAAGCCACTTCCACGACTAGAAACCCCAACCTCCCCTCCGCCCGACCCCCCGCGAGACCAGCTCCTCCTCACCGCCATCGAAGTCCTCGAGTTCGCATACCTGCTCGAGACAGACCCCCGCACGAACCAGTGGTCGTGGCTCTTCTGCGCCTATCCGCAGTGGCACGCGGTCGTGTTCGCGCTGACCGAGCTCTGTGCTCGACCGCAGACGGCGCTGGCTGAGCGAGTCCGGGCTTTGACGGCCAAGGTGGTGGCGCGGTGGAGAGGCGCGGACTCCAGACAGGGAGGGGTTACGACGGGGGTTGTTTTGCGTCTGCTTGAGCGAGCCGGGGTGCAGGTAGGATAGGGAGGGAGGCTCTGGGCTATCTGGTGGCGATTGAGGGGTCGTTGGCTTTGGGTTGGTGTGTCTTCAGAAGCTTGCTTGCCCTTGCACATCATCATATCATCATTCCGAAAGAGCCTAAAGCTCTCATACCGCGGTAAGGGACTTCATACTTCGGACATTATCCAATAGGTCTAAAGAGGAAATCAGCCCCTGCATATAGGACATTGGCCCGGTGGTGCTCCGTAGACTATTCGGCATGCATATATTAAACGGAGTATATCCAACAATGTCGTCACTCCACTCTAGCAGTAAGGGGCTGCGGTAATAGTTCCAACATGGGGAAATAAAATGAAGGGAGAGGTCATTCCCTTAACCCAGAATGACTGATTTATCTATGGGATGTCCGATCTACTGGAATGTGAGGGGCCGAACGTATCCGAGATCGGGCAATCCAAACAAAGGGAAGCCAGTGCTGTCAATGGTTTATCCCTTGGTTCGGGCGAGGAACTCCCAAGAATGTGCGAAGGGGATGGAAATGTGCTGGGAGTTGATCTATAAAAGGCGGACCCCGAACATACCAGACCCTGGCTGCGCTCATCAGTTCACCAATCGCGCACTGCCCCCGTGGCTCATTCTTCAGATTCTGCAGAAACGACTGAAGCGACCTTTCCAAGATGTACGCTGAGCCTATCCCACCCTACTACTGCTTCTGCTCCTCTGACCCGATAGCAGAATGCATTTCACCACTCTCCTCTTGACCCTGGCCAGCCTGGGCCTTGGAGTCCACGGCCAAGGCTCCTGCCAAACCAGCACAGTCAATAGCGCCGCCTGCGGCAGCTATCCCAACGGCTGTCCGGGGAGCACGTTCCTTTCTGCGAAAGGCAACTGCCGGGAACAGTTCGGGCTCGTCGACGGATCCAACTGCTGCTGCGACTGTCCCGGCGACGAGGAACGTCACCACTGCCTGATCTCCTTTGTCGGGTCAATCGGCGACATCTACAACAAGGAGCCCAAGAACTTGATCGGCTTCTGCCAGGACCAAGTGCACTATTTCGCGGGCAATCCGGCGGAGCTCTTCTCGGAAGCGGACTGCAAGGGCGTCCAGGAGAGAATCGTCAAAGACATGAATGATTACTACGATAAGAAGAACCCCAACGCCAAGTACACGCCGTTCGGCCACACAGAGAGTGTCCCGAAGAAGGGCACCTACTTCACCGCTGTGAAGCCGAAGGGCGAGACGGGCAAAAACAGCGATGGCGAGAAGTATTGGGCCCTGAAGATCAAGGTCGCAATCGAGTCGTCGAGTGCTGGAAAGGACATCAATAAGGTCTGTCCCATTGCGAAGGGCATGTCTACTTCCCGACCTGCGCAGTGCCTCCTTGAGAAGCTCAATGTCTGCGAGCATGCTTTTGGCGGCGTGTTCCATGGCTCTTCTACCTTTGGTGGCTACAAGCCCAAGAACGGGGTTGAAAAGGAGCCCAAGTGGGCTCACGGTCAGGGATAAGGGGCATTTTCTTCGTGTTCTCTGTTGGTCCGGACGATTCGCTACGGAATTCGGTCTGGTTTGGCTCTCCTGCTAGGCAGGGTTTATCTGGTTTCAACTTGGCGGGGCTCTCGGGTTGAGTGTTTACTTGAGGCTTTGTATCTTCTAGTTAGAATAGAATACGACCTCCCAAGGTGTGATCCGATCTACATTCAAATTGGTAATCTCTGCTGCAGTGTTGAGAATCATAATGATCATCCGCTGTTGGTATAAGCCCCGGGTGGCGCCGGCTTTACAAACGATGCTTATCTTGACTCTAGTGTCCCCTTTTCCATCGCCTGTCCAATTGATTTGGCTGTTTAGGTGAGATCTGACCCGAGCAACTGGGGGTTAGCATTGGGCATTCATGGACAGTGGCATACCCGATATTAAGCAGATGGAACATCCTTCACCTGGAAAGTTCGGATAAAAGCCTACTTGAGCGCTTATTCCACAGAAAGGTGTTTGCAATCAGTAAAAGATCTACAACTCTGGTAGCATTACAGCAAGAATTCAGGATTCAATATTAAGTATACTAAGTAAAAACACATATCATACAACCCATCCTCCCCCAGCCCTCTGTCTCTATCTCACCTCTTAAACCCACTCTCCGCCTCCAACCACGTCGCAAAATCCTTCATCTCAGGATGAATCCCCTTCAACGCCGCAATATCTGCCTTATACCCCTCCTCCCGAAGCCACTTAAACATATACCCCATATCCTTCATCACCGCCATAAAGAACGAGCAAATCGGCCTCATCGCCAACGGCAGCGGCCGGCCCACCTTCTGCTCGAAAACCAGCCCCATCCCCTCAAACGTCAGCTCATCGCCGGCCAACGAAATCGCCCTCCCCTTATACTCCTCCGGGTTCAGGAACGCCTGGGCGCCAAAATACCCGATATCGCTCGTCGCGACCATCTGGAGGGGCTTCCCCGCCAGCGCCATCTTAAAGCATGTGGCGAACACCTTGCCGAAGAAGTCCGGGGTCAGGTTCTCGTAGAAGGCAACGGGGCGGAGGATCGTCCAGTCCATGTTTGCTGCCTTGGCGCGGTCAAGCAGGTGCTGCTCGATGTTATGCTTCTTGATGAAATGGGGTGTTTTGGTCGGGTTGCTGAAGGAGCGGGTCTCGCCGCCGCGGTCGACCGAGCTGTAGATGAAGAACTTGACGTTTTGCGTGATGGATTCGTCGATGAGGGCTTTGCCTTGGGGTTCTTCGGATTTGTTGCCGATGGCGGTCTGTCTCTTTGTTAGTTTGGTGTTCGAGTCTGGATTAGGGGTGAGTGGTGAGTAGGGGACTGTACCTGAACGCTGTAGACGCCCCAGATCGGGGATTTGGTTACGCGTTGCGCATTCTTGAAGATACCCGCTGGGTTGTCGAGGTCGCCTTGGATGAGCTTAATAGACTTGGACAGACTGGCCAGCTTCTGCGCAGAGGCAGACGATGGGGTTCTGGTGACGGCGAGGATCTCGAAGGGGGCTTTGCGCTGCACGAGGCTTCGGATGAGTGCGCCGCCTTGCTTGCCGGTGGCGCCGGTGATGAGGACTGCAGACATGTTGATAGGTGGTTGTAGAGAAAGGGTCTTGATGGGTCAAGTGCTTTTTATATCCTGGTCAAGGTCGAGGGAGAAAATTGAGTCTGGCAAATTAGGGCTTCGTTGGATTACGTCACGCTCGGCCTTCGGGACTCTTTTTGAGCCCGAGATTAACAAGCATCGCGATGCAATATCTGCACTTCACAATCTGTCTTCTCTTCTGCTCTTCTCTCTATTATTCTACCTCATGTTTCCTGTCACCTTTGTTTTGACCTGTACATAGATATGCCTCCTAAAGCTCTCCACGACAACGTCTCCCGACGCAAGAATGCCTCTCCACTCGGCAGAGCCATCTTCATCGGCCTCCGCGCCCTAGATGTCTACTGGCAATACCGCCTCCTAACTCGAGGATGGGCGACGCAAGCCGTCCAAAAGCTGGGAGGACAGTCAATCCCACTGTCCCAGATTCTTGCCCCTGCGACCCTCACCGGCCTGCAACCCTACTACAATCTCATCAGCCTCCTATCCCTCGGCAGCAGCATCAAGCAGATCGCCACCATGCTCATTGTCTCGGAGCAAGAGACCCCCGTCTCCTCCGCCATCATTATCGCCGCATTTAACACCGTTTTCAACTCCCTCAACGCAATCCTCTCCGTCTGGGCAGTCACCTCGCAGGCCCCTTCCGGATCCCTAGTCACAACCCCCACAATTGCCCTCGGAACAGTGTTCTACCTCATCGGAATCCTCACCGAAGCAATCTCTGAATTCCAGCGTACTGCGTTCAAGCGAGATCCCGCGAATAAGGGCAAACCCTACGGCGGAGGGCTGTTCTCACTCGCGACGAATATTAACTACGGTGGGTATACGCTGTGGCGCGCTGCGTATGCGCTTGTGACTGGGGGGTTCTCGCTGACTGCGGTTACGTTCTTGTTTTTCTTTTATGACTTTGCGGCTCGTGGTGTTCCTGTGTTGGATGAGTATTTGGGGAGCAAGGTAGGTTTCTTTCTCGTGATGTTGTAGACGAACGGATGCTGACGGTTGACGCAGTATGGGGCGGAGTATGAGGATATTAAGGCAAGAGTGAAGTATCGGTTGATTCCGGGGGTTTATTAGATTTTTATTCAAGAAGATGTTGCAGGTCGAGTAGATATCGGCATCTAAAGTCGATATAGAAGTATTTTGGAGGCATCCGGCCGAGATATAGTGACTATCTAGTTTCTTTATTTTCATGATTTTGACATAGAATGAATGTTAAATGTTTCTCAGAACCTATTCCCTTTTTTTATCTCATATCTCCTGTTTTAGAATTGATCGACAAATACACCGTCGCTAAGCATGACACGGAGTACATTTCTACTCCGGAGCAGTAAGCATACACCGTAGAATCTACTGATTAGAAATAGCACTGCTTGGTTCCATGGTACCCCGTCCCAAGGTCCCAACGAACCTAAACGCAAGTTAATAATTATTGATCATCAAATTGATCATCCGGAACTAAAATAAGCCCCGGGCGCCATCCTTTACAAACCCTCCAAACAAACCATATAAAACACCCTCCCAATTCTCCATATCACCCACCTACAAACATCCCAATCCCTTTACAACAAATTCAAATCCACCAACCACCAAAATGAAAGTCGGCATCGCAGGAATCACAGGCAAATTCGCCCGCCGCCTGGTCACCCACCTCCTCGAGACCCCCGACTCCTCTCTCACCATCAAAGGCTACTGCCGGGACCCCTCCAAGCTCCCTGCCACCCTACAGTCCTCGCCCAAAGTTGAGCTCATCCAGGGCGATGCCTTCGACACCGCCGCCGTCGCCACCTTCGTCCAGGACTGCGACGTCGTCGTGTGCTGCTACCTCGGCGACGACAAGCTCATGATCGACGGCCAGAAGCTGCTCATCGACGCGTGCGAGTCCGCCGCCGTCCCGCGCTACGTGGCTAGCGACTGGGCGCTGGACTACACAAAGCTTAAGCTTGGGGAGCTGTTTCCTAAGGATCCGATGATTCATGTTAAGGCGTATCTGGATGCGAAGAAGGTGGAGGGCGTGCATATCCTGATCGGAGGGTTTATGGAGCCGGTGCTTAGTCCGTTCTTCAGCATTGTGGACACGCAGGCGAATGTGTTCCGGTACTGGGGCGATGAGGAGCAGATCATGGAGGGGACGACGTATGATGGTGCGGCGAGGTATACGGCGAAGGTGGTTTTGGATGAGGAGGCGAAGGGGGTGTTGAAGTGTGAGTTTGCCTAGTCTGGAATCGGACATCTCTCCTGGCTACTTGATGTTCAAGCTAACGAGAAATCGGATAGTTGTCGGAGGCCGCGCCACGCTCAAGGAGATCGCCAAGTCCTATGAGAAGGCCTACGGTGTCCCTGTGACGCTGGAGAAGCGCGGGTCCCTGGATGATCTGTACAAGACGATGCATGATTTGCGCGCGAAGAGCCCGCAGAATATCTACAGCTACATGCCTTTGTGAGTTGCACCCCTTCGTCAACTAGTGCCGTTGAACAAGAACTGACCGTGTCTCAGGTTCTTCTACTACTACTGGGTCAATGGACAGACGTTTGTTGGGCCAGAGCTTGACAACGCTCGCTATCCGGATGTCAAGGCTGCTACTTGGGAGGATTTCATGGCTGCCTGGCCCCGCGAGCAGGTTGGGACGTCTTACTTTGCTTTGAATGCGTAAGGTAGCGGAAGAATGCTGGGGTGTATTGTGCAGACAAGGGGGCTGCTAGATTGCCGTGAGCTAGAAGTTGGAATAGAAAGTCATTACTAGATTATTGAGGTAGACGTGGGTCTTACTCGTTTATACTCTGGACCAAGCTTGTTGACGCTGTTAAGGCAAAGAGAATGTCCACCTTCAACACTCGCTGAATTTACAAATTCAAAACTGGTATATATCCACCATTCATCTCCTGATCCGCAGAACCTGCATTTCCTAAGCACAGTAGATTTAAACTAACCTGGCCCGCCATATCAGACCCATCCCCATGAATACTTCTATAGAAGCCCAAAACCTCTTCCCAAAGCTCGCCTGCTTTCTGCATCTCAGACAATGCAGAACCTTTAACCGCTTCTTTGTACCTGCCCTCTTCCATCAACGTCCAAGCCAGCTCATCAATTGCTCGCATGGTCTCCGGATGGCGACGTCCCCACCACTCTGTATATATTGCAATAACCTCCTCCAGCAGGGCGCGCGCGGCCTCAAATTGACCAAGTTCGGTACTGGCTCTTCCCATATTCAGCTTCAGTGAGACCAGGGTTGGATGAGTGTCACCCAGGACATTTCGTTGGGTGTCGAAAACGTCGCGGAAGAGGCTCATTGCAGCCTCAGTCAGTCCCCTTCTCAAGATTAATTCGCCCATATCCTTAATGATGCGAACGCAGAGGTGATTGTACTCTTTTCTGAGAAGGCTCTCTGTTTCGGACTGGGCGAAGTGCGCCGCTGCATTGCAAAGCAGCGCCTCGGCCTCCTCCAGTTTGTCTGTCATCATGAATACCACCGCTTTGTTGTACATGATGGACATGGCTTCGTCAGGTTCTAGGCCGCCGGTTTCTCTCTTCAGCGCTAATGACTGCTCGAACGCACGCAGGGCTGGGTCGAATTTCCGTTGACACGTATACACCAGTCCTAGGTTGGTCTGGACATCAGCTAGGAACTCTTTCGCGGCTAACGAGGGAGTCTGAAAAATGAGGCTGGTGAGGCCGTTCTCGACCATGCGATAGATTATTTCGGCGCGCCCATATTGACCGACGTGCCGGAATAAACTGCCTAGACTTTCCAGTTCGGTCAGGTTAGTGTCAGGACCCCATTTCCCCTGGGTTATATAGCTCCAGCATAGATCTGCATGTGGCTCTAGTCGCCGTATGGTGTCCCAGAAGTCCTCCTCGTAGGATCGCGGGGCGTAAGAAGCTACGAGCGAGATTGCACATCGGATATAGACATGGTCTTGACCGTTGCAAATCGCTCTCTGCCTTGCGACTACTTGGATTGCAGGGTGGGTTTCCCAGAGCTGGTGGCCGTTGGCCGCAAATCTCAGCTCAATGAACGACAGGTCTGCTAGCAGAGGGTAAAAGTCTCGGAAAGGCCTGTTTTGCGCTGCTAGCTCGTGAAGCCAGGCTGGATATGTATCTTCGGTTGCGCCGAGGCAGAGATCGTACCACAGGTCGCGGTGATGCAAAAAGCTGAAAAGAGTCAATATCCGTGCCGCGACGGGATCTGCCAGCTCCAGTTCCTTGAAGCTCAGCTCCATAGAGCGAGATAGGGTTTCGTCGATCCCGAGAAATCCGCTGTCTGTACCACGGTATGTCCACGCCTCAAGACAGTCTGTGACGGTGTACCGATATCGGGATATATTAGACGCTGCAAGGCGCAAAGCCAGTGGTAGGCCCTTGAGTAGTCCTACCTTTTCTCTCACATCTGAGGTTGCCGATTCCAGTAAGCATTAAGCACAGCACTGGGGGAGGAAAAGCCCACCTCTTCCAATGAGACGAGGATCGACCTGCGTTCGCAGCAGGGCTACGGCATCTTCATCGCTCAGCCCTTTCACTTCACGGTTGGGGTGATACCGCTCAACAAGGTCTCGTCTGCGTGATGTGAGAAGAACATATCCTCGCTTAAGTCTGCCTACAAAGATGTGTATATCCACCGATGCCGTATGGCTAGAATTTCGCCATGGATTTGCGTTTAGTCCATCAATGACCAGTAGCCATCTCGCGTCATCCATCCGGTTGAGCTCGGCGAAAAAGGAGTTGACGAGTGCTGTCCGCTGTTCCTGGGACAGTTCGATGAAGTTCGCATGATCTGAGGCGTAGCCATGAACGCCAACTTTAAGCATACTAATGACGCTATGCTCAAACGCTTCCTGACTTTCGCCGCTGATCCAGAATATCTCGCGCTCAGGGTGCTTGGATCGCTGTTGACTCACAAACCTTGCGGCAAGCTGGGACTTACCGACCCCAGTGAGGCCCCAAAGACCAGCAACGCACCGCTGGAGCAGTGGCTGGGCGCTGAAGCCCAACTCTTTCTCTAAAAAGGCCATCTCGCCCTCCCGACCCACGAAGGCCCATCCTTCCGGTAGTGCTTGTGTCAGGCGGATATCCTGATCGGCAAATGGCGTTGGTTGCGAAACTTCTGGCATACAATTCGCTAGATGATCAATCAGTATGAGGCATGGGAGATAAGACTAGATATCATACTTGGACTGTTTTCTTTCTTCTCCCCGGGTAAACGAACGAGAAGCTCCTTAGTGTATGCCGCCGCCGTGATAGCCGCATGCGCCTGCCAGGCATCGTTTTTGACGCCATCTGCGAAATCACTGATCCCCCGAATTACGGCCACTGGCAGACGGGTCATCATCCCTGCCGCTTCCATCTCCACGGCGATGCCCCCATACCGGTCTCTAAGGTAGTCTCTGCGTGTCTTGGACTGGATGTCGCTGTTTCCGGAGAGAATGGTCCCGTAGTGGACCTTAGGCTGGACCAGCCTCCCGTCTGGTCTCCGGAACTCGGTCAAATTGTCGCTGCACAGGTGCCTCCAGAATCGAGACTCGTTGCGGGCCCTCACAATATTGATCATTGACCGGAGCAGAGGATGCGTCGAATTTTGCCAGTGCTTCAGATCAAATCGATCGTCTTCTCCCGCTACTCCCAGATCATATCCTACTACACCCGGGCGGTCTTTTTCCGGGACTGCTACGGCCACATCCCCAAGCTGGATATTCCTAGTCGGGGATGGAATACCGCCAGCGATGCCAACCAGGAACCCGAATTGCAGGTTCGGGAGATCGCGCGTTACCTCCGCTGCCATGCTTCCAGAAACCGCAAGGCCCTGTTCCTGGTAATACCCAACGACGGCCACCTTGTGACAACTGATTTCGCCCACGGTGTAGATTACATTCTGGCCTCGTGCTCGGGCAGGGATCTTGTCAGAGGCTCGGTCGAGCATGGCGATGGCTGCCCGCAGGTCCACCTCCCGGGGGCATAACCAGACCACGGTGCAGTCTTCGAGCTTGGTTGGACAGGCCATGTCACATTCAGGATGTATTGTAGACTCGAAGAAAAAACAACAGCAGGTCCGAACAGAATCGGTAGCAGGAAGCCCCGCCACAGGCTGATGTAAGTCCACATAGCATGGCGTCTAGCTGAGCCTCGGGACGGTAGCCTTGTTGCGATTTACTCAAATAATCGCCCATCTCGCGGAGTCATAGTAGCTGTCCGTCAATCTCACCAGAAATGTGTCCGTACCTATTTCCCCTTCCGAACATGCATTGCATGCTTGATATCCAATCCATTTACTCTGACATTGTCCCTCTCTAGATTCCCCCAAACGACCCATCCCCCGGCCGTCCTCGGTTGGCAGCCATGCCTCCGGAATATCGTTTCCACCGCGTTCCAAGAAGAGACGAGAGCCCATTATCCTCCATGGAATTTCGGGTGATTCCCTTCTGAAGCAAGTCGCGGACTGGGACGACGGGCAAATCGGTACCCAGTCGAGTGCATATGGTTTAGATCCGTTCGCAGCGTCAATACGTCCACCGGCCGTTCCGCGGGTGCCATCTTCTCAGATGAACCCAACTACAGCGCCCACGGCGCTTACGATCCCTACACCGAACACGCTCGAATACATCGACCAGGATACTGGCCCTGCAGCCCCTATCTCAGCTTTCAGTCGATTGAGACGATCCTCGCCAGCCATCCCGACAGCATCCGCCCCGCGGTCTTCACCATCCTTTACGCCATATAGGCCGTTGGCGGACCCAATCAGCCACGTACCATCCATCTCTGCAGGCCAGAAACGTCCAAGAGATCAAGAAGCGGAGAGCAGCATGGGTGAGCCCCATCCCAGGAAGTCTCATCGTATCGGCGTACGGTCTATCCTGAACCGAGCGATCTCATCGAGCCAGGAAGGCAAGCGAAAAGCCAGCAACGACGCATCGCAGAGGCTCCGCAACCGGACAAGGCGCGAGACTGAGCTGGAAGAAAAGATCATCACCCTCCAGGACGAGGTCCAGAAGCAGTCGGAGGCCCTGCAACAGCAGGCCCAGGATATCCGCGTGTTAAGAGCAGGACTTCTATCGCTCAGAGAAACTTCTACCGCGACCATGGCTGGCACAGAGCAAGGACTGCTGAGGGATGAATCGATGTGAAGTTTGCAGCGATATCCTGATCCCAACAGAGATGTTGACAATAATATTGGTCCGAGAGTGAAGTGATGCATGTTGCTCGATCTCGGGACTTCAAGCGCAGAGATGGCATCCATCTACACAAGCAAAGAGGGTTCTTTGATATAGAGATCACCAGTTTTCAATGAAACTCGACCACCTCAACCACCCTCAGACCTCATCTACTTCATGGTCCGACTGTTATTTATTAGCACCATACCCAGTGATGTTTGCAAAAGAGACCTGAATGTATAATAGGGCTGGAACCACACCCAGCGGCCGACTCACATTTCATGCTATACAGCAGTCTTTGTACCGCCAGTGATTGCCAACGCCAAGAGACTATAATTAGAACCTGGAAAACCCCTCTCCATCCTGTCCATTATTATTCTTCTTTAATTGTTTAATTCTTAATTGATATCATTCAAGCCGTTAATCCCCGCCCGACCCCGTGATCTGCCAGCCCTTTTCTTTCGTCCGTCAATCCTCCGATGTCTTCCTCCACTCTTCTCTAGACTGCCTATTTTTATCTCGCCTGGCCATTTCAATCCTGCCTTCCTTCCTCACCGCTTCCTCCCCCTCCGTCTAGATAAATAAAATAAATAAAATGTCCCAATCTCTTCCTCCGCCTTTCACTCCCGATAGCGAATTCGCTGCCCTCGAGACGCCCCGCGCCCCGGCCGGAAGCCTCTCCATCACGGCGTTGGCTCGCTTCGAGTTCGAGGCCGGAAAAGCCAACGATGGCACCAAGATTCTCATGATCGAATGGGAGGACGATGATCTGGCCCGGTGCGGTTCATCTCCTGTCATTCACACTCCCTCATCGAGCGAGACCGAGATCGAGACCGAGACCGTTGAAGAAACGCCCGCCTCAGAAACAGAACCAGAGCAACCTACGACAACATCACCAAGCCAAGACCTAATAAAGAAACGAGCAGCCGGGTCATGGCACGTTTCCTGGGAAAACAAAACCGCCGTGCTGCCCGCCTCCGAACAAACGAACGATCACACCCGCCGCGTCTACTTCCTCCTCCCGCCCAACGTCACCATCCCGCCGGTCGTGACGCTAGCCTACGAACCTGCCCCAGCGAACCATCCTACCGAGTATCCCGCCGCCTCCGAAACGCTGCAGCTCAATCCGCTGCCGGCCATCTTCCCGCCGGAACTGGGCGCCGACGGCCGCTCTGCGGGCAAGAAGGGCGTGCTGCACACGATATGGGCGAAGAAGAGGCTGCAGGTGCTGGAGCGCGAGATCCGCGAGGAGTGTCGCAGCAATGTCGAGGGCGTGGCGCTGCAGATGGCGCTGCAGGAGAAGGAGTGGATCGAGATGAACTTCGGGGTGGGGGGCGCGCAGGCGGCGACGGAGGCCGTGCGGAATCGCGTGAATGCCCACGATGCGTCCTATCCGATGGGACCGACGACGCCGGTTTCGCCGACTACGGGCGGCAGGCTGGGCGAGAAGCTCAAAGGCTTGAAGTTGCAGACGGGCGGAAGGGGAAAGGAGTTTACGTCGTCGCCGTTGACTACCGAGGGTATGTATTTTGTCCACGCAGATGAGTCGCCGAAGCTAATGACATGGAAATAGGAATGAGCCAGTCTTCGGCTCATCATCTCCTGTCGCCTCAGTCTCCCGATATCGCCGTTTCCTCGTTCAACTCATTCCATAGCATCCAGCGACCCGAGCCCGCGCCGCCTGCTCCGGCTGCAGATCCAGTCCCGGCCGCAGTGCCCGCGCTATCTGACCCGGTCAAGACGGTCGTGCACTATCCGCCGGAGTCGCTGCAGGTGCAACAGAGCACGCGCGACGGTAGCAGCGGATTCGCGCCCATGGGGACGATGGCGCGCACGGCGAGCGCGGACTCGGGCGAGGAGCTCTTCGCGAAGGCGCTGAGTCCGCGCACGCCGGATCTACCACGGAGTCCGTTTTCCTTTGCGCCGGAGGCATTACTGCAGCAGAGGATGTAGCTTTGGTTTCAGGGGAGTGGCGAGGCAATGCGTTATGATTTTTTATGTGCTTGAAGCATGATATCCCTGCAGTATTGAATTACTTGAGTTGTTGGTATGATGTATCAGGAATTGGAACATGAATAACAGACTCACGAACAACTCTGAATGAAATGGACACACAGAAAGAATAAGGAATAAAATAAACATATAGATCTGAAACCTACCCTCTTCAAGGACACATTCAAATAGGATCTACTATACAATATAGCCATTTCTGATGCACCCAGCAACCACCTCACACACTTAGACAGCCAGACAACATCCAACTCACCCGTCGCATGTTACCAAAAATAACCCTCCAGCTAAACACCGACTCTACTAACCGCCCATCTAAAAATAGCCCTACCCTACCCTCCCTAAATCCCGTCCTAGCCCTCATACGCGTAGACCAGACCTACGCGCCGGGACGCGACGTGAATGTGATCAAAAACCCTAGCTGCAGGGCCCCGCACCCAATCGCCAGCCTCAGCGCTTGCCGCTCATCAAGCATTCCCACATCGGACTGCATCTTAGCTCGGGGCTACTCATCGACTCTGTTCCGGAAAGGCCCCGGAACGTCGTTGTATTGGATGGAGGGAAGCGCTGGGGATCGCCAAGCTGGGGAGGAGGGGGTTCTGGTAGGCGGATATTTTTGGAATGAGGGGTATTCCAGGGAGGAGGGGGGAGTGATGGAAGTGCATTGCAGTTCTATTCCTCTGTGCGTTATGTCCACGCTCATAGGATACTTCCCTACTTGCCCTCCATAGGTAACGCAACCCCAAGCCAGTACATCCAACCCATACGCAGGAGCAAAAATAAGCAGACGCCGCCCCTCCATTACCAACGCACCACCGTGCCTTAATCTGCTCCATAAAAATACTAATGGATCACATCACAACTCTATCTCGCCCGGCCAGCAAGTATTGGCCCTCGACGGCTGTTCCCATCCCACGTCATCCGGCGCCAACCCCACCGGCGCCCCGCCGTCTCCAATCATCTCCACGGGCGAGGATCATTGCTGGAGCTGGTCTAGCGCCGGCGCTTAATTGCTGCCACGCGGACTCTGGTTTACTGGAGTTGGTGATGCATTGAGTTTTCAGTATGTACTCGACTGTATACAAAGAAAGAGAGGCTCCTTAGGAAAGTCTATCTTATCCTCGTTAGTCGTTAATAACTACCCTACGTATCCAAGTCGGTAGAAGGTACTATCACATACCTACAATCCCAACGCAAATCAAAATATATCACAAAAACACCCCACCCTCCCTCCTACCCACTACACTAACTAGTCCTCCATACGAAGCAAGAAACAGTCTAGAAAGTAGCAGCAGCCTAGCAGTAGCCGCCCACCCCCAATACCATCCCACAGCACGGTCTAAACACTCCCTATCATCCCTGCAATCCACCCTGCCTGCATTCTTCAGCCAGACCTGAAACCGGCCCCGCGCGCCTTCTGCTCCAATCGTACGCGCCCGCCGGCACTTACCTAGGTACCTACCTAGTCGTCCGCTTGGCTCTTTTGGATCGGGAGGGTTTGCTTTGCTTATTCCTTGCATCTGGGATGGGGGTTTTTTTGTTTTGTTTTTCACGTGGGTTGGTTTGGTTTCCGGTTTTGATGGTCTGGGTATGGGTATGAGTGTGTTTTGTTTTGTTTTTTTTATGAGAGCATACGTCGGAGGTTGGATATCTTTAGTGAGAAACGCTGGCTTGATTTGAAGAAAATAGGACAGATGGATGGAGGTCTGTAGTGCCCGGGTATGGGATGGAAAGATGGTGGTAATCGTGTGTATTGTAACTTACGAGGCTGTGTATGAGAGCGTACGGTTTCTTACCACACACCCATCTAGTGATGTTTACCTTACTCCCCTACCACTCATCGAGGATCGTGTCTCTTCATTCTATGTGTCTAGTATCTCTAATTCTCGTTTAGTAGCGGTAAGACTCATTTTAAATGTAAGGTCTATCCAAGCTCGAAGGTAATCATCCAGTACCTTGACGAAACTTGACTTGGCCCACGAGGGATGCCGGAGTAGACGGAGATCACAGTGCTCAGAATGTGACAGCACGCACAGCGTCTACGTCTATCCAATGGATTGACTAATTACCACAGAGTTTGTTGGTTTATTACCACCTTATGCCTTGTTCTATCACTACAGACTTGGTATTAGAGTCATTGCCTGTGAGGCCTAGGATAGGATAATAGCAGTCATCAGTTCATTCGATCATCAACATCTGAACGTAAGACATATCTAGATTACTTCACTAGATGTAAGAAGGAAACAATAACCAAACAAGCCCGAACTGAAACCATGCACGCAAAAGAACATCAAGACTTTAGAGCAACCAAATCAAATCAAATCAAATCAAATCAAGCATCGACTCCGGACGCCGGACTCCTGACCAACCACTCTGCCTTCTCCTGAGACCAGACCAGACCCAATTCCGTAAACGAATGGAAGAGACATGGGAGGCACCAGCTCACGCACGCTCAGACTGACACTCCAAACCCACCACCAGATCAAGCCTCCTCTGAATCTTCCGAACTGGCATCCTCATCCTCCTCGTCACCCGACTTCGTAGTCTCCTTTTCAGTGACCTCCTCCGTGACCTTTCTGCGCTTCTTCCCCTTGGGCGGATCCTCCAGCTGCGTGCGCTTGTAGGTTACAGTGTGCGTGACGACATGGCGCACGCTGACGCGGCTGTTCGCGCTCCGCGGCCCCTCATAGTACCTCATTTTCCAATCGGAGGGCGAATACGGCGAGCGCAGCATGGTGGCACTACGCGGGGACTCGCCCATCGACATGCTAGTCGGCGAGTAGCGCGGCGGGATGGGTCCCGAGCCCGGGATGCGCAGGGAGCGCAAGTTTCTGGGATCCCGCCGCGGGAACGGAGCGCCGTAGGGCGTCGGGGGCGGCAGCGACGCGGTGGCCGACCTGGCAGACTCGTTGAAGTTGAACGAGGTGCTGACGGCGCTGGCAGGCTGCGAGGTGGGCGCGCTGGTGTTGCCGCTGCCGGAGCCGGGGTTGCTGGTGGCGCTGGGAGGGTTGAGGTAGTGGTTGGCATTGGTGATTGCGCTGCGCTCGAACGGCTTGTCGAAGCGGAAGCGGCCGTTCTCGCCTCTCGCGCTATCGGGGGAGAAGATGGGCGTGAAGGCTTTCAGGAACTCCGTGTAGGCTGCTGGCGGCGTGATGGGCGTGCAGAGAGGCTCGTCGCCGGGCCGGCCGCTGCCGTTGCCTGATAGACTGGTGCCGGTGTCCGGGTTGCGTTGCAGCTCGGAGGGAAAGACCATCGGCTGAGGGGTCTTGAGAGGGTGGAGGGTAGGCTTGATGGAAGGCATCTTGGATAGGTTGGCTTCTTGTGCGTGGCAGTAGATGCAGTGCGGAAGTATAAGTGAATGGCACCAGCTCAGCAAGATGAGTCCAGCCAGGAAAGTTGGCAGGTGGTCTGGAAGAGAAAGGTCCCGGGAAGAGACTATGGACGGGAAGCAGAGTCTCCTTATAGATGCAGGATGGAAGAAGGAAGAAAGAGAGAAGAAAAGAGAGAGCGAGAGGTTTATGAATTGATGGAAGGCAGACGGGTTTCGGTACGCATACACGCCAATACCGTACGGCGACAGGGTCGAGACGGTCACAATACGGCCAGCGAACGGAGTCCCGTGTCCGTGTCACGCCCTAACTCGAGTGACTTTGGCAGCCCTCGTCGATCAACTCAGAGCAAAGTGTGCCAGGTGATGGGGAAAGGGGCACCTGCAGAGGGGAAACGGACGAAGATCCTAGTCCGTGGCAATTGATCAATAAGAATCGAGAGTCGAACACAGTCTGCTGAATTGCAAACACAAGAAGCAACAGAAGAAAAGACGGGGAAGGTGGGAAAGAAGCTGCTTGATGGCCCATGAATTGAATTCGTTTCTCGTCCTCAGCCCTCCTCTTTATAACTTTCAGGCCTTTCTCTCTTCCCAGGATTTCCTGCCATCATCGGTACCCTCTGTGCCATCCAAACCAACACATCAAGCAAGCGCCATCCCATCCAACCCTACCAATTGCCCGCCCGCAGTCAAGGTAAATTAAACTAAGTCACTAAGTTATCGCCCGACGTGCTGAGCCGGCACGTCGACGCTGCATTCCTGCATCCTGACTCGCCCGTTCTTAACGCGCAGGCCTCGTCCAAGCCCTAGTGGCGGCTCGCCTGTTCGGCGCCCTTCCCTAGCCCAACACAGTCCGTCGCTTAGCCATCTTCCCCTCATCACGTACACTAACAGGAAATGTAGACACGGCACGGCCGCATGGTTACCGCTGGAGGTGAAATTTCTTCCATGGACGTTCCAGTCGGTGGTTGCGCCCGAGCTGCTTGTCTTTAGTTTAATGGGGGCGAAGGATGAATCCCGGCGGGTAATTGGGGTGTCGGATTCTACGCCGTCTCTCGGATTTCTTCTCGTGGTCCTCTTTTGGCTTTGGTTTAGTAAAGTGCGTGATTTCTACACTAGACCTAGCCATTGCCATCCTTCTCTCTTTCCCCTCAGCAGGTTGTGTTGGTTCGTGTCTGCACTGCGGCGATTCGCATCAACGCTACGCTACCGCACTCGTATCAGATATCGCAAGTATCCGAGTTGGTGTCGCCGGGCTGCTTTCATGCATTCATGCATTGAACCCCCTGCCCATGTTCTCTACGGCGTATGTTGGAACGACCGGAATTATGGCTCCTCCCTAGCCTTTCTATCCTCTTGGCAAGCATGTCCTCCGTGCCACTCCTCGATTCATGCCGCATCTGCAGAAAATAGACGCCGTAACGGATGTGACGGGAACATCGTGCATATGGGCGGTTGGCAAGGAGATAGGGTGTATGGGTGTGCTAGGTCCTTTTGCCACAGTATCTCGTGGTCTGTTCGTATGTGACAGCGGGAAATAGACGCCGTCAACTGTGCATGGGCAGAAGCACCTGCATGATGATGGCCAGGAGGATGGATCTAGAGGTATCTGTGCATGGTGCGTATGCGTAGTGTTGACGCTTCGATACAACGGCGGGATCTCATGCGGTTGGTTGGTCTTGTCTTGTGTCTAACATTCATCCTACATGTCTATCATGACAATCACATGGTAAAGTCCGAGACTTGCAGCTGCACTCGTGAGTCGCTGCGGTTATTTGACGCTGTCTGTAAGAGCAGGAGGACAGAGCGTGCAGATGTTGGTTTAACCCCACGAATAACTAGCCATGTTTTGACGCTTGAGGTTCAGTATCTCCCGGGGGGAGGGGCGGCGTTTGGATCCGTCCCGGGCGTAAACCTGCTTTTACGGGACCAGGTACATGTATTTTGCTTTGTTGGCCTTGCCATTTACTTCATCCCCGCCTCAGGTGCGATTCCTCGAGGTCAAAGCTTCCTGGACATCGGGTCTATCTACCTGGTGTTAAGCGCTGCGGGTGAACAGTGCGATACGCCGCAAGTTGACTGCGTGTGTGCGGGGTTAGATACTGAGGGGGGTTGATTGCTCTTGCGTGGTGTTGGTTTGAATTCCCTTGCCGTCATGCTCTTCTTGCATCACAGTTGTTCGAGGATTGTGATCGCCCAATTCGGGTGTTGAGGCTAGACACTGTCTGTGGGATGGCGCATTTGCAGTAGCCGAGTCTCTGGGAGAGAGATTTCGCCATGCCGATCTACCCAGAGCGAATTTTAGTCGACTTAGATATCGGTCTCTTTTCTTTATGCGTTCGAACATGCATTACGCAATTGTTTGATGTCATTTGTGGAATCTATAGAGTGGTGGTTGCATGTCAGTAGGCAACAATCTAGCCTCAAGTCCATCTAGCAATCATCGGCATAGAAATCGTGCGTTAGAGCTTAGAAGAGGGAGGTGGTACGATTATACCCTTTTACCCATCTGGTAGATTGAGAATTCTCTCTGGGGTCTTCGGCGGTTTATTGATATTCTCGATATATTGACTTTTCTGTCACATCAGGTGCTATATCCATCCAGCGTCAGAGACTGGAAGAGGAAAAGGGTTTGATCACTACTGAGCTCGAGTCATCATTCTAACTTCGAAAGAAATGGAAGATAGATAGATGCAGTCATGGTAGCAGTATACATACGGCAGTATAGAAAGGACGACTTACATGCAATAGCATCCTAAGACCATATCAAAAGCAGAGAATATAATCGAAACTACATGTTACTTCCATACTCCAAATTCCTTAATAGAATACACACACCACACATTCATTGTTCTAAGCTCGATGGGTATAGTAAGCAGTGAGAGGATGAGAAAGTCACAGCAAAGGAGCAGAGCAGAGCAGAGAACCGACCACGACAATGCGAACACACCAACCACTATCACAATCAACACCCTCCGTCCATAAACAAGGCCATAACAGCAAGATTTTCTTTGTTTTTCAGAACAGATCACGAACCAAATGACATAAATCATAATCAACACATCATAAAACAATGAAAAAAACAAACCCAACAAGAACTTCCAAAAAGACAAAATCAAAAGTCCACATCAAGAATAAAATGAAGCAAACACCAACGACACCGCTGACTCCTGATATCAAAGGGTAAAGGGGGAGATGGTAGATGGAGGGGGTATAGCGGATGGCTCCTCCAGTCCGTCGTAATACATTGAATTGCGTTGCGTTGCCGTGCCGTGCCATGGGGTGACTTTCCTGGCCTGCAGGGAAGAGACGAAGTGAAAATAAATAAAGGTAGAAGGGTAAAATTATATAAAAGAATGGAAGGTGTGACCAGTCGAATCAGTCAGTTGAAATGTCGAACGAGCACCAGCACCAGGGCTGGTGCCACGAGCGGGGGTGGTCTTTTTTCCTGAAAAGACCCAGCATGATGGAGCCTGTGAAGCCTTTGACCTGGTCAAGGTCTAGCTTGAATGACGAAGGCCGGCTGCGTATTCGGATTGTAAGCTATTGCATCATGCGTCATCTCCTGTCGGTGACTGGTTGAGCTGGTCTGGTATCTCCAAATGTGGTCGTTATGCGTTCAAGCCAGCTTGGACGGTCCCTTCGAGGGACTGAATGCAAAAACAGGCAATCTACGGACTCAGTCTCGTAGATGCGATGCGAAAAACAAATCAAAATCACATGAGTAAAAAGTCCCATCCGTTCTGCTGCATGACATCGCGCCAGTGGACGGGTGGTCGCTTCACCTCTTTCAGCACCCATTCGCTGTCGTCGATTTCTTGCGGGGAGTCGGAGTCCTCGATCTTCACGGAGCTAGCCGATGAAGAGGACGAGGATTCTTCGAAGCCATACAGAGGCTCGGCGGCATCGTCGCTGACTCGCCACACTTCCTGCAGCAGTCGATACATGCGGCCGAAGCTGCCCAGGTCGGCCGTGTCTCCGAGAGCAGCGACGCGGTCGGCGAGAAGGGTGCGGAAATGGCTGCCGGGCGAGGAGTAGGCGCCGGTGATGAGCAGAGGCCAGACGAGCGAGCGGTCGTAGCCCTCCGGTCCGGACGGGATGCATTCGATGGTGTTGGCGGCCGCCGCGACGAGGTTCAGAGTGCTGGGTTGGCTGCGGTCGAATCCGGGGACGAGGCTGCAGAGGTAGATGCGGGCGGCGATGCGGTAGACGGCGGTCATGTTCTTGGTCAGGACTTCCGGTCGCAGGGTTCCTGTGGGAGAGTACGGGCTCTCGATCGTTTGGTCCACGGGCTCGGTGTACTCCAGCTGGCGACCTAGAGCCGAGACATGCGAGCAGACGGACATTTCGTCGACGCGACCTTCGTTCTTCAATGCGTCCAGGCAGGCGATTTCGGAGATCAGGTACATGACTCGGTCTTCGCAGCCCATCAGTTCGCGCAGACCCGAGGACGCGCCGCTCAGGTGCTTGGATCGGTACATGTGGGCGAATTCGGGGGTTCGGCCGTGCATGGTCGAGCCGAGGATGTCGATCCACGAGGTCAGCGTCATGTTGAAGGGAGGCAGCATGTACGGATGTCCGCAGGTCGGGCCGGCGGTAGGAAGTCCCAGGCGATGGACCAGGTTCGTGGCGGCTTGGAAATGGTCGAACCAGGGGATGTCGGGCAGGTAGTCGTCGGCAAGTCCCACGGAGCAGTGGAAGAAGATCATGGCCAGAGTGGCGTCCAGAATCTCCTCATGATTCGTATCCTCCCCAAGTGCCAGACACAGCTGGGAAACCGCCTCGAATCGGTGGCGCATGATGTCGTGGTCGATCTGTTCGCTCACGATCCCCTCCGTGGTCTTGAGATGGATGGCCGAGACGCTGAGACAGCAGTGCAGGTAGCACTTGTTCGTCTCGAGAGCCTGAAGGATGGCTTGCGCGCGGATGTGTCCACGTTGGTGGGCCTCCAGCACCGGGAAGATGATGCGCAGAACGTTGTGGATGAAATGGTCGAGGAGCGGTCGATCATGGTCACTGACGGGGATATTCGCCTGCAGCATGGCGTACGTCTGCTCGATGCTCTGGTCGCACAGGGCCGGATCGATCCCTGGAAGTGCCGGGGCGACCTGAGGGAAGCACTCGTCCTGGAACCACTCCTCGCATTGGAAGGCGGGCAACGGCGCATTGAGCTGAGGAGGGGCGAAGTTGCTGAACGTCGAGCTGATCGCGTTGTGGTGCAGAGGCACTTCGTCGATGTAAGTCTGTCGCTCGGTCTTGACGTCGATCTCGAACGGGGTCGTATGGGAGCTGTAGGCGGACTGGTTGACGGCGGGCGTCGGCATATGTGAGGCAAAGATATCATACTGGTCTGGAAAGACGGGTCGGCCAAATTCGAACTCAGGCGACGTGGGCGACGACACGGCCACGCCGCGACTGAGGCCCGATGCATCGACTGTGTCCACGGGCTGGTTAGGGGAAGGCAAGCTTGCGTGATGTGGGAAGCCGATCCTACCGGTCAGGGACCCGTTGCGCTCATTCATCTTGGTCTGTTTGATCTTGTTCTTGATCCGTTCCTTCTGGATCTTTCGTTGCTCTGCGTTTCCCCACCAGATTGGGCGCTTATATTCGCATTTCACGTTGAGGTTGTTGCAGGCTCCGCACGAGGGATGTTTCTCGTCGCACTTCTTTCGGCGAAGACGACATGTGAAGCAACCTGTGGGGGTAAGGAAGGAGTTACTTTAGAGTACATGCATGTCTAAGACATCATTGAGACGTACCAGAGCGAGACCTCTTGTGTAACTTGGCTGCGTTCTTCTCCGTGGCTCCGGGAGTACCTTCACTCGATGATGAAGGCTGCGAGTCGGCAGCCACCTTAGTCGGCGCATCACGGCTGGGTGTCGACTTCTTTGCTGAGGCCGGCATATTGGCTGATCTGCGATGCGATTCGGATATAAAAACGGACAATGTAGAAACAATGCGATCTTCGAGTACAGTCAAGTAACAAACTGTTGATTGGCGAAGGAGTCGGAGGAGCGTGATTAAGGGCAAAGCTGAACCAGCAGCCTTTGCGATCTAATTAGGTATAAGAGAAAGAAAGGCGCGGTTGCAACGGACGACGAGGCGACGGGGAGAACTCGTGTGGGAGACAACAAACAAGAACATGAGGAACGGCGGGATCCACGAAGCTTTAAAAAGCGAGTTCACGCCGGACAAGCAAGCCATGTTTCTATTTTGGAATTACAGATAGCCGAGAGCACGCAGCGGGTGGACAGCGAGGATTGGCGGGGAGATGGGATGAGAGGGCAGATCGCAGGAAGATCATGCACGGACAGGGACCTGCTCCAAAGCCGGGCTAATTTTGGAGGATTTTGGCGCCCATGCACGGCATGCGGCCGACTGATTGGTGACGGGGAAATTGATTGCGGTGGGATCTATCGCAAATAGCAACTGCCAGGCTCTGGATCCTGGAATTAGCAGGAATCGTGCTACTGGCTGCGTGCATGCGGGCTTTTTTTGGCTTTGGCGCTTCGTCGTTTTTTTTAGGGCTTCCCTGGTCATCCGCTCACGTGGGTTGGTCTTCTAACTATGGAGTATACAGTTGAACTTGCCACAGACCTCTGGAGAGAAATCAATAGGCTACTAGACTGAATTGAAAGAATTAATTGAAAGACTTCTCTCAATTCTGCCATTCGCCTGGGGGCTGGGAACTTGCACTATCGCAGGGTTCATATGCCGTCCTCGCCCGTAGTCCAATTAGCCCATGTTACTACATTTAACCTGGATTTGGAATGACAGCCAACCACCCGTGCTCTACTGGGAGCCAACATGATCGTACGAGGAGCGAAGTCCCTCATGGGCCATTGATCGCGGGGGTGGTACATGGGCAGTCTCCCATCAGTATAGGCCAGGGTCGATGCCGCTAGTTTAGCACGGCCCGCAGACAATCCAATCCCATGCATGAAGAGCCCTGGCGGGGAGGGGGTGGCAGCGACAATGCGAAGGCAGGAAGCGACAGTACGACCGAGTGGAGTCCGGCCAAGCTTCCCCTGGAGCGCATCGAGTGGCTGCCAGCGATTCTCGCGTCGTGCAGAGCGGACCATCCGCAGCCAACCGTGCGGGTTGCCAGACTTTGGCCAAGATGTGATGACATGCGACTAGTGATCTTTGGCATCGATTTAGCTGCCTTTAGCCGCTGCCCCTCCGCCAACTTCCCCTCTTTCGGGTCTTTACTATTCTTATCCCCTTCCATAATTATCTCTGCTTTCGGCGCCAATTAGGCCCTTTTCATTCCTTCTCGTCGTGCATGGGCCGCCCTCGCGCCGTTCCCATGATCGTGGTGGGTCGACTTCTGCAGCCTCGATCCTCGAGTCACACTGGGTCACTTCGCGCGAAAAAAGATCGGATTTTCTGGGGTTTTTAGTCCAATTCTGGGCGGGTAGGTGCCCGTTGACTTCGGAACATCCAAGGCTACAGAGTTACAGGAATCACAGTAGAAAAAATCGAAAACAAAAGCCCAAGATTCAAATGCCAAAACTAAATCGATTGATTTCGTGGGCGCCGGCAGTCGAGCTGACCGACGTCGGAAAGTTATCACAACGCTTCTGCCGTTCCTTATCACATTCCTGCAGCTGCAGACTAGCATTTAGCGTCCATTTTGCAATGCTAGTCTCGACGTCTAGCCAATCGCCCCGCCAGAAAGTAGGGTCAATCTGCAGAAACCCTGGTTTGCGCACAAGCCAGGTTGTGACATGTATGTACCGTGTACATCCATCACTGCCGCTGTTGGTTCCGGGGTGACGAACTGAGCGTTGCGCTGCTCTTTTTTCCCTCGTAGGGTCAATTCATACCGTCATACTTGCTGGATAAGTGGGGTAGAGCTTGGATAATTGGTCTTTTTTTGTGTCTACAGGTCCATTTCTCCGCAACAGTCCGAATTCTGTACTCTACTCTGTCAACCTTCCCGATTGCGATATTGCCCTCGAGACTATCCCCTTGTGCAGGTGATGTACCTGTACAAGGTACCTGCCTGGCCTTCTCCCTGCATTGTCCTTGCTTGTCAGTCGGCATGGGAAGCACACGGCTCCGGCTGTACCACCCTGTCTCCCACCAGACCTGGTCGAGCATGCTTAATGCTTAATTACTGCAAATGGGGAATTTTCACCTGACAAATTAAGCGGAGCTTTATTAATAGCACTCGGTCTTGAATGCGTCCTAAATCTCCGAAGAAAACCCAATCCCGCCATATGTTCGCGCAGGCGGGGTACGCTCGATGCCCTGCGAACTGCCTTGCCATCTGTCCCCGGTTGTCGGTCAATAATTAACAGGGCAGCGTTTTCATGCAAATGCTGCTAAGTACTAAGTACTAGCTCTTACTCTGGTACCTACGCCAGCTAGCTAGACTGCCAATGTTTGTAATATTGCAATGTTCAATCTATCCGGTCAGTGTAACAGACCGCTCAGGTCTTTCTAGCCGATGATGAAATCTCTGTCCCCCGTTCCTGCCGTGTGCGACGCCTTTGCATGAATGTGTTGGGACGCAATCAATTCACCGTGACACTTTGTGGACAGGCATCGCATTCTGTCCTGCCTAGTTTTGTCCCGTCTGCAGACCCAATGCGGTATCGAGACCTACACAGTCTGCCTTGCTCTAATGCAAGCGCTGGACCTACACCCTTGCGTATGTCCCTGTCACTTAGGCATCGCTCAGCAGAACCCATCACCAACAGCGCATATCTTACGGCGTAGTAGACTAGATCTTAGTCTTCCGTAGTAAGCGTATCACCCACATTCAGCGTCTGGATAACACCCCCGCCCGATTGGCCATCACGCTCAGCGTCTCGAAGCCGATCATAACGGCGGCTACATCGAACCCTAAGCAGGCACTAAGACTCCCCGCCGTGGGTTCGATTTCCTGCTGCTGTTCCCAAAATAACCGTGGAGATTTCCTACCAATCACTGGGGCGGAAATTTTCTAGAATAGCCCGTTTCACGACCTCGATGGCGTCGATCGACCACTGGCTCAGAGTTAATCTCGCTGTTCTTTGTCTGGAGCCGTGACGCTGTTGGTGCCTTCTTGTGCATGCTGCGTCTGCATACTTCTTCGCGGTATTGCTGTGGAGCCTCAGCCTTTGCTCTGAGGACCACTGGATGAGAAGGCAGGGTCTGATTAGGTTGTGGCTATTCTTGTCTTTATTCGAAGGGATTCTTGCGTTGAGGATAGATTAGATGGGCGCTTAAGTATACCTACGCCGGAGTGGGTCGAGAGATCGAGTAGAGTCGCCACGATAGATAATAGGTGGTACAAAATGTACATACGGAGTGCTGTGGGCTGTACGCGTGTTGCTTGCATGCGACCTCTATGCATGTGGCGGATTCGCAGGCTTCCCTGGCTTTGGATCGTTGATCTCCAATTATCCCGGAGGTTGGGGTTGTGTGCGGCTGAGCGGTGATTTGACCCTGCTATTTTCGCACGGTTGGGTTTGAATGGTCGAGTATTATCTAAACTTTGTTTCACATCACACAGTTATAGTTCTCGTGCAACTCCATTGGGTAACTATACAGACAGCTCATTCTTTGATATGGACGACACTGGGGACAGGTAAAGGACTTGAAAGAACGAGGACCTACATCGCCTGATATCTCATCATAGTACACGATGTTCTTCTCTGTGTCCAGCTATTATCGACAGTGTTGATCATAGATGTTGTCTTCTCTCTACTGCGTGAAGCAGCTCCACAATCTCTTGATGGTTGTTCAATGCAGCCCAGTCCATCGCACTTCGGTCTCTGGCATCCTTGATACCAACGTCCGCGCCTTGATCAACCAGATAGCGCACAACATCCGCTTTGCCCAGCTCCGCTGCTTTGTGTAAAGGGGTTCTCAAGCCCATGAAATAGTACAGTCTCCATGAAGGATAGTGTTTCTCGTACATCTTTGAATTCAAAGGGGCTCCTCTCTCCAGCAGCATGCCCAGCACCTCGATGATATTCGTTTGACGTTCAACAGCATGGTGAAGCAGTTGTCCTTTGTGAACATCCCCTCCACGGTCCAGAAGCAGTCTGAGTGTGGGGAGGGAGGCTTCTTCTACCGCGTAGGACAATGGTGTAAGGTCAATAGAACACTGCTTGTTTGGGTCGGCTCCGTGATTAAGAAGCCAAAGAGTCATCTCCTCGTCGTCAACGGCACAACTAGGATAATACCGCGAGTAAGTAGTGAGGTTTGGAGAAGCCATATATTAACTTACCCGAGTGCAGGAGGCCTCAATGCACTTGTCGGATTGTTAATATTCCATCCATGTTGCAGTAGGGTGTTGAGAACCTCCTTTGATCTATGTCTTATCGCTTGTAGAGCATAATCTTGGTGCACTTGCAGACCTTGCTGCAAAAGTTCAGCGACAACATCCTTCTGATCCTGTCTGACAGCCTGAATCATGACTGAGTCAAGATCATGTATATCCAGATTGAGACAAGTCCAGGTGTCGAAAGTCGACTTGAATCTTGGAAAGTCGCCAACCGCGCAGGCAGCCACCATTTCCTGGATAATCTCCGGAGATGTTTGACACGGAACAAGAGGCAAGCCGCTCTGGTGCTCTTCTTTGGGAGAAGTCGTAGACATGATAGAAAGAAGGCTGGGGACAGGAATGTCTGTGGGTTGCAGTGGAGCGAATGGTTGACACTACTTATATTGGGAACTGAAACTATATATTTCCACGTAGTATCGACATGCCAAAACAACAGACACCACACCATTGAGTCAACTTTGGTGGGCATAGATAATAAATAAATTTACATCTCAACGTTATCCAAAAGAAATGTCCTGACCAACCGTGTGCATAAAGTAGGTGTGTACTGTTACACTACTGTGTGTTGAGGCATGGCTGCCTAAGGCCACCACGGTCACATGTGGCGGCCTCGGCGAATCAGGGCAAGGGCATTCGGGATGATGTCTCAATCTTCCCTGCAAGTCCATCACCATCTCATTTCTGCCGGCATTTCTGGTGCCTGGCATGCCCAAATCCCCATCATGTTTCGCTCACGGATAACTCAATTCCTGTTCCGTGGCTCGGCCTCAGCTACGACTCCCACCTCCTCGCTCCTCGCCCAGCGCATCCCGGTCCCATCTCCGCAGATAACCACGCGATCGTATCGCTTCTCCAACTCGCGATCTTGGACAACACAGTCTCGGTCGGCCTTCCGTTCCTTTCGCTCCCGACCCTTCTCTACTTCCGGTCGCCAGTCGTTCAATAATGGAGGTCAAAACTACAAACGGTTCGACAACGCGCCGCCGCTGATTCAGTTGCTGAGTCGCGCCCAGCCGCATCACTACATGATCGTCGGGGTTGCCGGAGGTTTTTTCTATCTCTACAACATAGAGACAGTGGAGGTGTGTTTGCCATAATCGCCACGTGGTTACGACTCGATGTCCCTGCCGCAGGATACTAACAACTGGCAGATGAGCGGTCGCAAACGGTTCAATTGCATCTCCGCCAACCGCGAGCTCAAAGTGGGTTTGAAAGAATACCAAGAACTCATGTCGGAGCTGCAGGGCCGCATCCTCCCCGATAGCCACCCTCTGAGTATTACCGTGTCCCGTGTTTTGGAACGCTTGATCCCGGCCGCGCCGCTGGAAAATGCCCAATGGAAGGTTCACGTCATCGACGACCCTCACCAGGCGAATGCTTTCGTGCTTCCGGGGTAAGGCCATACTGGATATTGTTATTGTGCTATGGAGGCAGCAAGGCTGATTGTGTTGCAGCGGCAAAGTGTTTGTCTTCACGGGTATGCTGCCTATCTGCCAGGACGAAGACGGACTGGCGGCCGTTCTTGGGCACGAGATTGCCCATGTTGTCGCCCACCATCCGGCCGAGCGCATGAGCAACAACGGTATCTCGATTTTGCTGGCTTTCGTCACCTCGTTCATGTTTGATATCTCCGGTCAGCTTACGTCGTTGCTCATGAGTCTGGCGTATGGCTTGCCGAATTCTCGTTCCCAGGAGGTAAGCTGGCTCCTCGGTAGATGGTCATAATCAACCAAAGCTAACTCCATCAAGTCCGAAGCAGACGAAATTGGTTTAAGTAAGGGTCGTCCTTGATGCATATTTCTGTCCACCAGCTCACGGTGTTATAGTGATCATGTCGAAGGCTTGTTTCAACCCCGAAGCCGCTGTTCGACTGTAAGTCGGGTGTTCTCTCCACAGGTTTTTCTCCGTATACTGACTTTGATTCTAGTTGGGAACGCATGCAGCAAAGAGCCCAGAACGAACCTCCTCAGTTCCTGTCCACTCATCCTTCGGTAAGCTTGACGTCTATGGGGCATTCTCACGATCCTACTAACTGGAGACAGAACTCCGACCGTATGGACAATCTTCGCACGAGGTAAGTCAGTCGGATCACATCTAGAGCGAATCATCTAACCGAGAACTAGTATGTACAAAGCCGAATCCATCTATGAAGATAGTGGATGCCATGTGCTGGGAAGCTTCAGTGAGTGTTTGTCCTTTTCGACAAGAAGCATCAAGGCTAACGATGTCTAGTCCCTGAATTCGAGCAGGCTTCCAGTAACTATAAGTGGTAGACCGGCACCGGTGAGCTTTCCCGAGGAAAGCCTGCTCCTGTATTATAGAATCTAGACCCAATGCATGACACACTGCTCTTGCGATCTTTGGATGTTATCTACAGAGTAGTTAATGTAGTTATGGATGATGTTTACCCCGGCATAACCAAATTTGTCAGCAGCCTAACCCCAAGCGGCAATGCCCTACCCCTCCGCTGCAAACCACGCAAACCCAACAAACGGGGCAAACAGCGACCGCCTCGAGCTGCGTCAAAAATTCCCAGAGCAGCTTCGGGACCAACAGCGTCGTGGATCCTCCGTCTTTTGGTCTTCCTCGTTCCCCGATTCGTTTCACGAGAGGAAGTTCTTCGTCATCATGTCATTGTCTATGCCCGGTCCCTCCCAGGCGGGCCTCTTCAAGCCTGGTTACCAGAGGTAAGCGAATGCCCACTTGTGGAATGTTATGTTCCCGCCCCAGGTGTCTCCGGTGGTCCATTGAGGGGGAGGGGGGAATGGGGATACAGACGCAGATGCAAACACCGCATTTCGTCCTCGCTCCAATTTCTTTTCCATCGCTAACCACCGATTCCAATAGCCACGACGCCGAAGATGGTGCCGTTATCCGCAACATCGAAGCCTGCCAGGCTATCTCGCAGACCGTCCAAACGTCGCTTGGTCCCTACGGCCGCAACAAGATCGTCATCAACCACCTGCAGAAGATGGTCCTTACCTCGGATGCGGCTACGATTCTGCGTGAGCTGGACGTCGTGCACCCCGCTGCCAAGCTGCTGGTCATGGCCAGTCAGCAGCAGGATGCGGAGATGGGTGATGGCACCAACCTGGTCATCATCCTGGCCGGAGAGTTGTTGAAGAAGGCTGAGGAGTTGCTGCGCATGGGCCTGAAGACGAGTGATATCGTGCAGGGCTACGAGAAGGCACAGAACTTTGCCCTCAAAGTATTAGAAGGTGGGTTTTCCATTGGTTCGGGGTTCAGGGGTTATCCGGGTCTTTCTCCGGATATACTCTTGCCTTTTGTTTTTCTTTTCAATACGCTAATGTTCATGTCCACACAGATCTCGAAGTCGACCGTTTGCAGGAACTTCGCTCCCAGGAAGAACTCAGCAAGGCTCTCCGAACAGTCGTCGCTAGCAAGCAGTCCGGAACGGAGGATACCCTGGCCTCGCTAGTCGCCGAGGCCGTTCTCGCCGTCCTCCCCAAGAACCCCGTCAACTTCAATGTCGATAACGTTCGTGTGGTTAAGATCATGGGTGGTAGTCTGGAGCAGTCCCGCGTGGTGAAGGGTATGGTTCTCGGCAGAGAGCCGGACGGCACGGTCAAGAAGGCCACCAAGGCCAAGGTCGGTGTTTTCAGCTGCCCTCTCGACATCTCCCAGACCGAGACCAAGGGTACCGTGCTCCTGAAGAACGCCCAGGAGATGCTCGACTTCACCAAGGGTGAAGAGGAGCGTCTGGAGGCCGCCATTAAGGAACTGTACGACTCGGGACTCCGCGTCGTCGTCTGCGGCTCCACCGTTGGTGATCTCGCCATGCACTACCTCAACCGCTTCAACATTCTCGTGATCAAGATTCTCTCCAAGTTCGAGCTCCGCCGACTCTGCCGTGTCGTCGGTGCCACCCCTCTGGCTCGTCTGGGTGCGCCCATGCCCGACGAGATGGGCAGCATCGACGTGGTCGAGACGACCGAGATCGGCGGTGACCGTGTCACCGTCTTCCGCCAGGAGGCCCCCGATACCGTGACCCGGACCGCCACCATCGTCCTGCGCGGCGCTACCCAGAACCACCTGGATGACGTCGAGCGTGCCATCGACGACGGTGTCAACGCCGTCAAGGCCATCACCAAGGATCCCCGTCTGGTGCCCGGTGCGGGCGCGACCGAGATCCAGCTCGTGGAGAGGATCTCTGCCTTCGCCGACCGAACCCCCGGTCTGCCTCAGCACGCCATCCGCAAGTACGCCGAAGCCTTCGAAGTGATCCCGCGCACACTTGCCGACTCCGCCGGACTGGACGCCACCGAGGTCCTTTCCCGTCTCTACACAGCCCACCAGCAGCGTTCGAGCGCCTCGGAGGGATCTTCGGGCGACGGTAGCTCCGAGGAGGCGGACCCTTACTGGACTACGGGTGTTGACCTCGAGTCGAGCGCCTCGACTGGCACCCAGGACGCCGTGGAGGAAGGCATTCTGGATCTGATGGCCTCCAAGAGCTGGGCTATTCGTCTGGCCAGCGAGTCGGCGCGGACGGTGCTCAGCGTGGATCAGATCATCGTGGCGCGACAGGCGGGCGGTCCCAAGCCGCCAGGCCCCAACCCCAACTGGGACGAGGATTAAATGAGATGAGCTAGCTAGGGTGATTCTATGTCTAATTGGGTGTTAAAATCAGAATGGGATAGAGACATGAGATTATGAAAAGTCCATTCACCGTTTGGGGAGGAGTAGTTAGTAATGAGGGTTACTGTCTATAATGAGGATACGGCATGAACTCATTCATCATTCATCTTCATCATTGATCATTCCATCGTTGAATAATGCAACAAGGGAAATAAGGGAAACTGCGTAGGAACTGGGATGGATTCGAGTTGTATAGCGTAACATACCGTAACGATACATACACACCACGTGACCCGCCAGATTTTCCGGGCCGAAAGTTCGACTTTCTTTTTCAGTAGCTCGAGAGCCTTCAAGTCCAGCAGCGCATCCTCCCCCGTCCACCCATTCCCTCGCCTTCGCCTCCGCCCTTTCATCATGTCGCTCTCCTCGTACGCCGCAGCTCGTTGCTGCCGACAGATCGTCCGCCCGTCCGCCTCGCTGCGTCTCTCGTCCTCCGCATATCTGTCCCAGCGGACATTCGCCCGGAGATGGCAGTCCACCGAGGCGGAGGCCGCTGCTCCTGCCAACCCCAAGATCAACCAGATTGTCGACCAGATCAGTCAATTGACTCTGTTGGAGACGGCAGACCTTGTCTCGACCCTGAAGGTTCGTCTTTTCCCGAGGCCGCTGGTCGCAGGTCGCGGTCCAAACAAACCCGCTTCAAGCTGCAAATTTGTTTTGGCCTGCACGGCACAGCTGCTTTCCATGCCTCGCTGCTTCCGATCGCCTCAGTTGGATATACTGACTTTGGATGCTTCGTCTTAGACCCGCCTTAACATCCCCGATCTCCCCGTTGGCGGTTTCGCCATGGCCCCCGGCGCCGGCCAGGCTGCTGCTGCCCCCGTCGAAGAAGAGGAGGCCGCCCCCGCCGCTCAGGAAAAGACCCTTTTCAACCTGAAGCTGGAGTCCATTGACGCCGCGTCCAAGGCCAAGGTCATCAAGGAGGTCAAGACCATGCTCGGTCTGTCCCTCGTCGACAGCAAGAAGTTCGTCGAGTCCGTGCCCAAGGTCCTGAAGGAGTCTGTGCCCAAGGAGGACGCCGAGAAGATCATCGAGACCCTCAAGGCCGTCGGTGCTAAGGCTGTTATGGAGTAAACGGGACACGGAGATGCGGGCGGAAACCAAAAAGAAACAAGAAAAGAATAAACCACAGAAACATTTACCTGGTCCAGCCCCGTTCTGTTGTCCGCGTGAAGGGAAGATAAGCGAATACACTAAAGGGATCAGGATGATTTGAACGTGATTGGGGCTCTCTGCATCATCATATCATCGAGCTGGAGTTTTGTCTCGCCACTTTTTTTTATTATTTATCATGTGTTTTTATTTTTCCTTTTTCTTTACTTTTACCCTGTTGTTTTAGGTTTTCCTTTTCTCCGTCATATATCTCGGCCATGTTTCTGATATAACCGGACAGTGGGAATAGGGGCGACCAATGTACATTATCATCTATTGATTGGACAGAATTTGGATCTAGGGGACAGAGATCTTGACTTGTTCGTATGTGTCGGGTGCCGTAATGGGAGGTTGTATAGGAATACAGAGTAGATGCAGTCAGCTAGATATTCATTGGATCTCCGAGTCTGTAATTCAATTGACACCATCCGTGGATTTACCCCGGAGTATCCCCCAATAACCCATTCCATGACTCCATTCGGCGCGAGTTCCATCGGCTGTCACGGGATCTCCGCATTGATTCTTCCGCTGCAAAAGTTCATCAGTTACACCTTCAACCTCTTCAACAGCTCCAGACCAACCGCCATGTCTCTCCCTCGTGCTCCCAATCCCTTCCGGCACCCGAACAAATCCCGCCACTACTCTCGCCTGGCCTGCCAAATATCCGGATCTACAATCCCCCGCCGCCCCAATCGCATCACCACCTCCACGGCATCTCCAAGACCAGCTGGACCAGAACCACGAACAAGAACGCCAGCACCCAGCACGAAACGATCCTTCCACACCACCCACCCCCTCTCCGCCGCGCGCGCCCCCAAAATCCGCATTGCCGAAAACACACGCTCCCGAGCTCGCCCCGCCTTCTCGAACGACGGACTCTACCAAGGCGGCGTGGTCAATGACATCCCGAACCGCTTGAAAACCCTAGAGGAACTTGGCCCTAAGCTCTGGCGGACCAGTATTATCGAAGGCTTTGTGGATGAGGATGTGGATCGGAAGACGTTCATGTATGTTGCGCGAGGCGTGCTGAAGAGTGCCGCGAGTCGAGCTCCGTCTGGTGCTGCCGTTAGGGAGATTTCAGAGAGTAAGCCACTGATGACGGGAAATACGTTGTGCATGGGTTATGAATGCCTAGCTAATCCACCGGTTGTGATCCTCTAGACCCCGACCTCGTCTTCAAAATCGGCCATGTCGTAGCCACCAACTCCCCGAGCCTCATGCAATGGGTCATCTCGTCGACTGCCCAAGCCGGCGCCATCATACCAACCCTGATGTCTGCGAGTCGCGCGCTCGCCAAAGCAGACTCCTCCCCCGGCACCACTGTCCCCCAACGAACCCCCATCTTCGAAAAGGTCGAACACCTCGCGCTCGAAGCCCACGACCCCCGCGCCATGCTCATCCACGCCAAGCTCCTCGGCCAACAAAAGCGCTACCCAGAGGCCCTCCAGCTCGCTGAATCCGTCATGTCCATGATCTACCCATCGAAGACCAACCCGCCGCCGACACGAAGCATGGACATCCCGAACCTCGAGCCCCCATGGGCCATATACAGCTGGCTGAAGCGCTGCGCTAAGCCCGAGACATCGGAACCAACGTCGGAGCCGGAGCTGAAGCCGGAAACAGACACGGATATGGATATGGATATGGATATGCTCAAGACCGCCGCCCTGGAGTACCAGGACCCCGAAGCGCTAGTCACCTACGCAACCCACATGATGGCGACCAACGACCTCGCCAAATACGAAGAATGCATGAGCAAAGCCGCCACGGCGGGGTATGCCCCTGCGTGCCGCAAGCTCGCCAACTTCTACTACCTCACCTCTCAGGGCCGGTTTCCTCGTCGCGGGACCAAGTCCACCGACCCCGCGGGGGACTTCGAGCGCGCGAAAGCTGCGAACGAGCGAGCGGCGGCCCCCGGCGCTAGCAAGCTCAAGGCCTTCCTTTCCGGCCTGTTCGGCCCGCAGCCGTACCATGAGTATCGCGGGTTGGCGATCGAGTGGTACGAGCTGGCGTTTCGGCACGGGTGTCCTCGGGCGGCGCTGGCGCTGGCGATCCTGATGAGGGAGAACGGGGAGGCCATGGAGACGGTGGAGCCTGTTTTTCAGTACGTGTTGATGTCGTCGGCGCAGTTGGGTGGGCTGATCAGGCCGTTTCGGGTGAATTGGGAGAGGGAGGATTATGTGCCGATGGTTCCGGGGGAGGTTTTGGATGTATAGTTATGAGTCGCCTGTGTATAGTATATAATATTTTTGATACCCGTCTGTAGTATAAACTGCTGAAGCTGAGGTTGGTTGGGTTGAGATAGATGTTGACGTCAACTTTTCTCGATGTAGAGAATTGATAGGATGAATGAATGAGATTAATGGGTCTTTTTTTCTGGATAGTCACTGTTAATTATCACTTGATATTCACGAGAAACTAAGTACTCATTCCTGTAGCTAGTTACCCAGCATGATGGAATGTGAACCTTTCTACAACCCAGCGTCTTCATGTCCTCTGTAAACTATAATAAACAACATATAAGACTCGCAATAAAAGACAAAAATAGAAAGAAAAAAAGAAAAGAGTAGATTCCATACCCGCAACACCCATATATCCATATCCATATCCATATCCAATTCATCCATCATCATAAATATAACCAACTCTTCTGCTCAGATTGAACCAAGAAACCAACAAAAGAGTGAAGAGTAAGCCCAAGAAACAAAATATAACAAACAAGACATCCAAGTTCCAATCCAGCCCAACCTGATCAATCATTCTGCTCTTCCTATAATCTGCTCTGTCTGTCTAAGTAACTAATCTGTAAAGAACTAGCTTCTTCATCTTCTACCTTGCCATCCTATCCCATCATACCTAAATCAAAAACAAAGGGAAAACAAGGAGGGAAAAGAAAAAGAAAAGGATTATCTCGCTCTCCTCCCCTTCCCCTCTCCCCTACCTCGCGTCTTAAGTTCCACAAACCCCAACTCCTTCAACCCCCTCGTCAGCGCCGACGAGTCCCGCATCCCCGGAAAGTCTTTAGCCGGGAAGACGCGAAACGGATCGGACCAGGCCTCAGCGAGAATGCCCATGGATTGACCGGTGTCTTCGACGGCGCCCCAGTTCATGAGCCGAAACTGCAGCTGATACAGACCCGCCGTGCGGACGGAGAGGTCGGAGAAGATGTAGAAAGTGGCGGGGGGTTGGAAGCTAGGATGGGGAGGAGGGCGATGGTGTTGATGATGGGTATGGCGATGGCGGGGGTCTGTGGGCGTCGTTCTAGTCGTGGTTGTCGTGCTGGTTGTGGAGGCGGACGAGGCGGCGGTGGTGTAGAGAGACTCGATGCTGGACGGGTGGGCAGGTGCGGTATCAGGGTCTGGATCGGCGCCGACGTAGAATGGAGAGACGAATGCTTTGCCGGAGAGAAGGGGCGTGGTTTGTCCGCCTCCTCCACCTCCGTCTCTCTGGGCTAGACGGTTTTCGCGAACCCCCGGCTCGGCGTCTAGGTCGGCTGAACCGGACACAGGGACCAAGAGGCAGCCTACTGCGAAGCGCGGATCTTGCAGGATGTCCGAGTCGGTGTCGGAATGGGGGTCGAAGTCTGTGAGAAGCATCTGGATGATGGGCGGGGGGTCGACGGGTCGACGATCCCTGTCGCCGGCACCGCATGCTCGGGCTGCGAGCGGCTGTTGTCGGATGTGGAGGTGATAGCGCGAGGATGAGGATGGCCGTCGCGGTGGAGGAAGAGAGGGAGGTGGGGAGGGAGATGGAGAGTGATTGAGGAGCTTCTCAAATCCTAAGGGCATACTGGACGTGGTATGGCGTGGAGGTGAATGCTGCGGAGGCGGCAGTGGATGTTGTTGTTGTTGGTGCTGCTGCTGCTGCTGCTGCTGCTGCTTTGCAAAAGGCACATTCTGGGGATAAAGGACCATGCTCTTGTCTGAATGCACTGGACTCGGAAAGGTTGTGGAGCTGCTACTATATCTGTTCACGCTGCATTAGATCATAAGATGATGACTGTCTCGGACAACTCCTGGATGGCTTCAGAGCGAAGATAGAAGCCAGACGGAACGATAACGAGCAGGGAGACCGCCGCAGCCCGTTCAGAGAGTATGAAAGATAGATGATTGATAGAAATCAAGGAAAACAAGGGAGGTTACTGAGAGTCCATATCATTCACTCGCCCGCTAGACCCTATGGAACCACGGTGGTCATAAGAGCCATGCGCCCCGCCATAGTCCACCACTTTGAAAAGATTCGAGCGCTGCGCACCGTGCGGAGCCATGGAATTCATGCTGCCCGAGGAAAACGCGACCTCTGGCTCTGCTGCGCTTTCTCGGGGTCTTCCATAGACAGAGGATCGAGGCTGGGACGGGCTGATCATAGTCGGATCGTAACCCCGGTTGTCGGGATGAAGGAACTGGGGCGGGTGTGGTCCTGGCGAGAAAGGGTTATTGGATGTTGAGGCCATCCTCTGGTTCTCGTCATCGGAGACGCGCCGCCTTCCGTCAAAGTACCAACCGTCGGGGTATACGGTGTGCCATTGCAACGGGGTCCTCGACATCTATGCAATTCGGGCGTGGTGCGTTTGAGTATTTTTATGTGATTCTGCCCGGGGTCGGAAGCGGCCAGATGATAAGTTTCTGCGTGTTGCAAGGCAGGCATCCGTAGCGAGAACCAGGAACCAAGCCGGCAGCAGTGTATCGTGAATGGATAGTGCAAGTCAAATGATATCGTCTGTGTGGAAATAACCGACTAAAAGATAGTACCAAGAGAGAACAAGACCGGCATACGCTACATATAGAAGCCCCGGGATTGACAACTTGGAGCGGTAACAAGTTGCACGGCAGATATACCTGGCCGGTCTTTTCTTCTATACCCTGGAATAGAATAAATAAATAAATGGGAATCAATCCAAAGAGTTGGAGAAGCCTTCGATCTACGAGTGGCATGCATACGTTAGCTCATAACGATCCTCAAGCATGATATGAACACACAAAGCAATGATACAGAACGAGAAAAATAGAAATCAAATACAAAATGCAATCCGCAAGACAGGAATCATAAAAAAAAAATTTTATAATGAGAATTAAAAACGAAAAATGGAAAATGGAAATACAGGAAGTCGGAACAGGCAGGAGAGCCAAATCCCAAATTTCCAGGAATGGGGTCATGGGGAAAATGAAAGAAAAAGAAATTGTGGCCACTACCAAACAAAATGAGATGGGTGCAACTCACACTAGTGATCGGAATAACAATGGCAATTATCAATCAGAGGGGATTGTCTAGGGAGAGTGTGAGTGTGTGTGACAGACACCAGATGTCTGATGACCACATCGCCCAGGAAGTCCAGGAAAAGGGAAACAGAAGAACGGTCCTACCAATGAGTGTTAGTGTTTGGTGCTTTTGCCAGCTGTGGCCGTGCAAAAAAGTGAAGCCGATCTGGGGAAATGGACTGGGCGATGCTTTTGTGAGACGGTGTGCGTGCCCACTGGGTATGTGTGTGGCATTGGCGCGAGAAAAAAAGAAAAGAAAAAGAAGGGGCAAAAAAGAGAGTGAGCGAGGGAGGGAACTAGAGCAGTTCGACCTGCAGCAAGACCTGCGTCCCTGACAGAACCGATGCTATCAAGTATATTCCCGAATGATTTGTGTTTTGCAACTTCAATGATTCACATTTATTTGTCTTGGGTGTCAATGAGAATAACGATACCTAATATCGAACTCAAATTCAAATCCAGGCTTGCACAACTTGCAAACAACATGGGAGTGTGACTCTTTTGCTCATATTGCTTGTTTTCTTCGCTAGAATTTTGGCCTGAAAAGCCCTGGTTTCTGGGAGAGTGTTTGGCCCAAGATCAGCTGCCGACCTGAGCAAAAACAGCTGTCGGCACAACCATGGAACGACGGAATTTGGGTTGCTTGGCTTCGACCCACTTGGTGTTTTAAGTATTGCTGGCTCCCTCCGTTGGCACCGTTGGACTTGGACTCGGCATCCTCCATTTGATCTAGGATCTTATAAAAGACAGAAGAAAGGGGGGAAGAAGAGAGGGGGAAAAAGAAAAGAAAATCCCTAAATGCAGAGTCAGTATGGCGCTGTTGCAACAACTGATAATACTAAGCCCAGACAGGCAGGATGCCCTATTTATAGAGAGCAGCGGCAATCATGTCTCTACAGGAGCCATCGGAAAGCGTCATCTGAAGACCAGCCAGTTGTAAACTCTCGACGTTTCTCAAATGATGCTTTGGAACTCCATTACATGGACCTATTTCTGTATCTGGCAGTGTCGAATCGTATAGATTCATCTGCCGAGTATCGGTTTTCCTACATCTCTCCACTCTTTTATGTGGTTGTTATTTCATAGCTGCTGTGGACTGATATCTCCTCGCCTCGATTCGAAATGCGTAGTCGATCAATAAAGTCGACTGATGATCTGCCCCAATAGGAAGCATTATGCAGATGCGAATCCTGGCCTGAGCCAATACGGAGAGCGAAAGGGACAGAACGAGCAAATGTAAAATACTCCATCAGAGGACGATTTCGGGTCTGGGGCAAAGCCAACCCAGTCGGGCTTGCTTCCTGTAAGTGCATCAATAGTCTATGTTTCCTTGCTGTATGCAATGACTTCGACCTGGGACTTGAAAGTGAGCCATAGGCAATCAGCCATGTATGGCCTTCAGGTAATACATGCGTCCGGTGTATTTCCGGGAGTTTGCACTAGAGACTGGGCAGAGTCTGAAACATTTCCCACATGCAAAACCCATTACAAGGCTTCGGTGTCATCCCTTATCCCTTAAGGATCGACCGTTGCCTTGTGACTAGGATGCAAGCCCACATTTCGTAAAACTGTAGACAGGTGGCATTACAACAGCCGTGTTGTTGACCGCAATATGGACGGGACTGCTGGTGCGGTATTTACGGTGACAAGGCCCATTATCTAGTGCGCCCGGAGAATCGAGCTCGCAGGCCACTCATGACCGACGGTGCGTACACCTTACAGGGTAAAGAAGTTGAACCCTGAACTCAAAATGAAGTATGCAGCGTAGCGGGCTTGAAGCTTAGTAGATATTGGGCTCGGATAAGACTTGGATTAGAATCCGGCGAATAATGAAGGCCATTATCGCGATTGGTCGTGCAGAAGCCCGGGCCATTTAGTAGACCGAGCCACTTAAGTCAGAGCAACGTGTGCCATCCTTCGAGCCAAGGAGAACGATGTTGCGAGGTTTCCCAAAAAAGGAGAAGCGAGACAAGAAAATGCCGGGAAAGAATGATTCACCTTTCGGTACTCCGTTCCGTAAAGGGCGATGATCCTATGACTCCAGAGTTAGCTAGAGCACCTTTGAAAAGCGAGAGTATTGCCGAAATCCATTGTCACTAGCTCCTTGGTCTGTTTGTGGCTAAGGAGTTGTAATCCTAGCATTTCGACATCCTATGACATTGGTCACCGCCACAGATCATGTCAACTCAGCTGAAAAAAATCTGTGGATCACCTTCGTTTGGAAGCGCTGGAACTTTTGCGATCAGTGAGGACGCAGGTAGTGCATTAGGCCCTGGAGTAGCCATTGGCCTTGCCTCGCGTCCTTTTTTTTTTTTTTTTTTTCCTTTTGCTTTTTCCTCCCTCTTTTTCCCATGTCATCTTAGCGAACAAGCTACTGCATGCGAGGTTGCCTTGCCGATGAATATGAGTGATGTGTCACAATATTAACCAGACGTAGGGCCACTAGAAATACCAACCCACAATTGAACGGCATAATTAGCTTTCCCGCGACCTCAAAAGGACGATCGCAGGAATTCTCAGGCGGATGGAATCATGCCCAGCCCCAAATTCCGCAGGTTCATGTGTGGCGCATGACTGCGTGCCATATCCCTGTCTCAGCCAGCCAATGCGCTGGGAATGAGAAGGTGAACCGGGCTCGGTTGCAGACTCTGGAGGGGGGGAAACTATGACGATCCCTCGTCTACTGCAATCAATAATACGAAGCACAATCGGACTTGTCTCAAGTACCGAGCCTGCCGCTGTGCGTATCAAGTTACCCAAGTGAACTCTCAGCTCGTACTCTCGTCACTGGAAGGATCAGGATACTTACACTTTTTGTGGGCTCGTATTAAGCAGTCGGGGATACCGAAAGGCAACCGGCAGACATTTGCCGAGAGTCGGGCATACCTGTGCGATTCTATGCAGGAGTGAATTTGAGGAAACAGGTGAAATCATCTAACAAAGTTAGGCCCAGTGTAAGAAATGATCTAGGTCAGATTGAGTTGGTGCAATTAGAGGGCGGACGGAGATGGAAAAGAAGGGAAGCAGGAAGGAAGGGATAATGCGCGGTCAAGTGACGGAGATCACGGGGGCACCGCCAATCCGTGGTTTGTCGAAAATGTTCCATTTGGCCTCTGCGTACGCCAATTTCCCCGAAAACGTCTCTTATAGACCGGCTTGCAGGTGTATATTCGCAGACTGGCACGGGTATCTGCCAACTACTCCGTATACACCTAGAGTTTGGCTATGTATGAAGATGGCCCGACCACTGCACGCGCTCACTTGAGATCGAGCAGTATCTGATGATTTGATGTCGAGGGTAAAATATACACACTACAAGAAGCCACGAATACTCGATTTTGAATAGAACTGACCAAGGATATAGCTACGTACTCAAGTCTACCTGACCTCTCTGCAAGATTTCGACCTTGAAAAGTCTCACGTGCGACGCATGATGATGCAACATTGCAACCATGCCCACAGTATCTACTCCCTATACTGGCAGTCCATGATGATCGTTCTCTACAATGATGTCACTCGTTCCTTCAAATGCATCTTTTGTCGCTGCGAGCACACATCTCTGCACGATCTTCAGCGGGTCAATTGAGGTTTCCTGGTTCTCTCAATATGCATCTAGGCCCACACTTTGGTCGTGGCTTCAGGGACATCAGATCCTTGGGATCTATTGGTGTACTGTGTACCTACTGAATTTGTCATTTGATGGCCTACCAGGTACTCATACAATGATCCTTCATCGCCCCGAAAATACCTCATCTTCACGAGTAGCACTTTTGTGGCAGTAATCGTAACGCCACTAAATGCACAAACCTCCGGGTTATCTTGAGTGTAACCCTTCTCCGGTTGAACTCGGCTTAACAAGGTCTCTGCTGTGCTGACAGGATTGTAATTGGTTTGATCAAAGTAAGCCAATATCAATGGCGTGTAGCGGCGTGCGCTGAACATTCTAGAACGTCTCTGTTTCACGGGGCTTGTGTCACATTCAACTCTGCGGAGCGAGTGATGCCCGAATCGACAATGGCTTTGTGCATGATTGTGATAAGATCCATATATCCAGCACCCCGAAACCGAATCCCGACATGTATCAATCACAAAGGTCAATGCCAAGCACGGCCTTGCCGCCTTTGAAAATGAGACATGCAGAGAATGCACAGGTCACGAAGCGAAGAGAAAAGACAATGTGGATTATCGGGATTGATTTCCGCAGTCCAATCATTGCTACAGACGGAGTATCAGGAAACAGTTCTCCCTTAAGTATCCGGTCGTCATATCAGACCACTGAATCCAAGCCCACCACATACCTATAAAGGAGCTAATTGCCACGGCGGGTATAGATTAGGCCGGGTATATTTTCCATGCGAGATCGGCCGATCCACTGCATTGCTCCTTGATCTTAGTGGCTCGTAAAAAGTACATCGAGATCCGTCCAAAGTGTCTGGCTAACCCTGGCTTCCAGCCTCACCAATTCTAAGGTAGGTGCCCATGTGGAACTCTTCGAAAGTGACTTTCCTGCTTCTGTTCCTGACCTGACGAACATGTCGACAACGCTTTCTGACTTGTTTCATGCAAGGACTAGTTGCATTGCACCAAATAATTAGCCCCTAGGCTGATCTGTAAAGGCGGTGCCTAAGAAGTAGTCATTCAATGGAACAGATGCCACTTTCTCGCAAATGATGGGTAAGTCACAAGGTTAAAGAAAATATGTACAGCGCGCGCTGGTCCTTGAGTGGATTCTCCCCAGAAGCCAGCTGGAGGGGTCATTGGCGCACATCGACTCATTCTACTAAATCCAGGCCAGGGTCCACCTCGATTACTCCTTTAAAATAGCTTTTCTTCAGTGGTTGTTGGAGAGCGCTGATAGCCCAAAGCTCTCCAAAATCTGGATCCAGGCATCCGGCCGTCGGAACAAGAGACGCGCAATCCATGTACGAAAGTCTCGGTTCAAACTCTCGACCAGGAGCAGCATATACAAGAACAAATCGAGCATGAACTCGATCCCACCCAACAATGTATCCCGTTTGCTCCCAGTCGTAAATTCTATTTTTTCTGTTGCACTCAGGCGGCTCCTGCCACTTCAGCCGCTTGAGAAGGCGGCCGAGATGTATGAAGCGGAGTGGATATTGATGTGCTGGGCTGATCTGATTACCGTCGAGCCGGATTCGCAAGAGCCCTAAAGATTCCACTGGCAGAGACTGTGGAAGATCGTTTTGCAGAGTGGTCGAGGTGCCACATATTTCAATTGGAGATCGTTCAATACACCAGGCAAAATCCAACATCTCGTTTGGAGTTGAGATAGGCACCATTTGCCCTTCATAGTCATCAAGAAGGTTGGCAATGTGTCTCAGGTCTTGTGTAGACTTCGAACATCCAAGCGCCATGACATCTGCGACCAATCGCTCACTGCTATCATATCCAGGGGTCTCGCCATCAATGTCGAATAGTGGGTTTTCGGAAGTATTGCAATCTGGATTAGAAAACCCCACATGAACCGATTTTTCCGGCTCCCAGCAAATTCCAAGCCTTCGCTCCAGAGTTTGTAGTTGAGCCTCGAGTATACTCAGACGCTCCTCCTCCCCGGCAAGCCGTGGTAGAGCTTCGCCCATTGCCTCGTCGTCGAGGAGGCTACTCAGGTAATTCACTTTCGAAATATGCGGCAGCTTCCCACCGAGCATGCTTGATAGTTGTTTCAAATAAACCAAAGCCTTGGAGGTCATCCCGTCCTTCATCATTTCAAACACGCAGCGGTATATAGGCTCTAAATTCCGCTCAGACAACAGGTCGTCCTTGACTCTTTCCCACACCGAGTCCAGAAGTTCATACATGCCAAGCTTGGCTAGAAGTGGCATATATACTTCACGGCGTCTAGACTCCATGAACCCGTTCCAGTGTAATAAACGGTCCAGGTGGTGAGATTCATGCACTTCTGTCATGTGAATAGGGCTAATCAAGCGGCGCATTGACTCTATCTCATGCTGTAACTCCGGAGTTTCGAGAGCATCCAAAGAGAAAGATAAGGAATTCATGAGAGCAGCGCTGTGCTTCCCTTTCAGCGTTTGATCAAGCTTACTAAATTCTTTCAGGTGCGGCCTCATGGCAGCTGCTGAAAAGGCCAAACTGGAGTAGTGTATCGCCAGGGCACGCAGACTCCTCCTGACCTCGACGCCCAGGTTCTCGATCCGCATAATTATTGCATTCAGAGTGACCAGTATCTCCTGATACGAATTGTTGCGCTGACAATGCTCCAGAGCGATGGCCAGCAATGTACATCCGTTCTCTTGCAAGAGCAGGGCACCCTGCTCTGAATATACATGTCTCTGAATAAAGACCTGCAGATGCGGAACACTTTGTGCCTTAAACATCAGCCCATAAAGAAACCTCTCCTCCGTAGCCTTTTGGTACATTCTCTGTTTTTGTTTCCAGAATGTCGGAGGTGCGGCGGCATCCGAGGACCAATCTGTATTGAAGACACGTTTTAGCCTGAACGGTAGCATCGCAGGTGCGGGATTCGGTTTGTTCGCAACTGTAGTCCCCCTCAGGGCAAATCGCAGTAAATGTGCAGGCGTAGGTTGGAGGGAAGGCTCGATGTCTTCAGGCCTCCACTTATGGTAGTACGCCAGATCTTCGTTGGAGACATGGCGTACAGGCTGTGAAAGGTGGCGAGGAACAGAGAATTGTCGCCAGGATATGGACCGGCACCGCTGGTGACCATATCCAGGCATTGGTCTGCGAAGCATCACGGAGCTGGACTCCGCAGAGGAATGCTGCGGACCGGACAAAGGAAAGGAATGGGCCTTGAGATGGAGTATGGAGGAAGTGGAGTAACGGGTGGAGTTACCCGACGTCAACAAGAAGAGGGGGCGCGTGCACGCCAGGGCGGTGTCGAGGGCGGTCAGGGCCTGCGGATCCGATCTTTTCTCCCGGTCTTCCTGCACTCTCTCTCTCTCCCGCATAGCAACGAACCTCTTCACGACACCCCGGTCTTCGTTAACGCATCTAGATTTACGATCCTCACCCCAATAGCTGACAATTTTCATCAACTTTACACGTCATCGTCATGGCCGACGAGAAATCCTCCAAGGCTCAGTCGCCCGAGCGAGAGCAACCTGAAGGGGCGGTTGAAGGTTCCGCGGTGGAACAGGGTAGTGAGAGTACTCCCAAGGAAACAAAAGCGGAAGGCCAAGAACAGGGCGGGGACTCTAAGGCGCGACAAAGACAAGAGAGATTCAAAGCCCTCCAGGCCCGCGCGGTGAGTATATCCTGCATACCTCCCCCTCTTCTCGCATGGCCGATACTAATGAAAGTCAAGAAATCCGCCGCCGAACGTAACTTGAAAGAGACTGCAGCCGAGACCCAACGCCTAGCAACCGACCCGTCCTTGGTCTCCTCGCTCTCGCGCAAACACGCGTTTGCCTCTCATAATCTACTCAAAGCCGACACCGAAGCCTCCGGGGAGGATTTTGAACGCAAGCGAGCATGGGACTGGACCGTTGACGAATCCGAAAAGTGGGACAAACGTATGGAGAAGAAACAGCGCCACCGTGATGACGTTGCCTTCCAGGATTACACGCAAGATGCGCGCAAGGTGTATAAGAGGCAGCTACGCGAGATGCAGCCTAACCTGGAGGGATACGAGAGGGAGAAGATGGCAGCGATCGAAAAGGCTGCCGCCAACGGTGATCTAGAAATTGTCGAAACAAACGACGGTGAAATGATCGCAGTTGATAAAAATGGCTCCTTCTACTCCACGGCGGACAGCGTTGGCTTCACCGAGAACAAGCCTGATCGAGCAGCTGTTGACAAGCTTGTCTCGGATCTGAGGAAGGCCGAGGAAGTCCGACTTAAGAAACGGAGGGATCGCCGTGGTGACGATGACGCCGACGTCACCTACATCAACGAGAAGAACAAACAGTTCAACCAGAAATTGTCACGCTTCTACAACAAGGTACGTTTATGTCTTTGTAGAATGCAAAGTGCGAAGGACAGACATGCTAACTGTACCCTAGTACACTACCGAGATTCGCGACAGTTTCGAGCGTGGTACTATGATTTGATATGAATACATGAGATTTCTGTTATACAGTGCTATGCTATGTCTTATGATTACACGTTCAGTCGTCCGCCGAGTATTGGACTATGAAGGACCTCCGCTTTTCCACAGAGGTCACCATTGAAAACCTCGAGAACCAGTCATGAAGCCGGTGGTAGCATCGCTTTTTGCAGACTGGGAACTCAAAGCATGCTCTTTCTCCATGCTTTTGTGGCCAGGGCTTCCATCCTCTTCGTTCCTACTGCGCCTCGAACAGTTTCGTCTTCCATTGCCTCAACCACCGCCTCCCCGACCATGTCCACCTGAAAGGGCTTGTCCACCATCGTACCGAGGAAGCCGAGCCTGTTACCCAAAAGCGCGTTGACCTGTGATCCGACAAAACCACCCAACGCGATCGGCATCGTGAACTTTCTGCTGGAATCGTACATGAAGGGAGGGCGCATGAAGACGCTTCGCAATTCAGGAAGGTCTGCTGATATGGTTGTTTCGGCTTCTCTTTTCGTCGTGATGTATCTGCTCGGGAGGACGGGGGCTCCGGATGCTGCTGAAATATATACAAAGGTCGGGACGTGTTCATTAGAGGACTCTTGCGCCAGTGCGATCGCTGGTTGTGTTGAAATATTAGCTTGATTCTCCCTTAACACGAGTTGATACCCAGGAAATATACGAACCAGAGTCTCTGTTCATGAGTTCATAGGTCAATTGCCCATTCTTTTCCTGTGCCCGCAGTGCCTCGCCCTCTCGTCTTTGAAGAGGATTTTGGCTCCCTAGCCTGGACGAACTGAAAACCTTCTGCAACCCACTTAGAAGGGGTTCCCTTCCTTGCACCACGCCTTTGTAGTCAGCCTCGAGGAGGATACCCATGCTGTGGACGACCACCGTAGCGCCATTCAGAAATGGCTTGTAAGTCTGAGGGTTCAGCATGTCTGCCTTGGCCCATTCTACAGAGCGCGACCAATCCGGACGTTCTCGAGAGCCCGTCACAGTATCCCATCGTGGTTCTCCGGATCGACTGTTAAGACGTGAGCGTTGCGAAGACGAATTGCGCCGGAGAGGAAAAAGTCGTACCTAAGGGACGTTACAGACCAGCCCCTAGCGACCGCCGATTTACAGATCCTAGACCCTAAGGAATATTTCAATCAGTTGGAGCACTAGATCAGGACGATGGACTAGTTATACAAACCCAGGAAACCATTTCCGCCCGCAACCACGACTCTTCTGGCAGCCATTTTTCAATACAATAGGTCTAGCCACGTTGGAAATAATCGGATGTTCAAGGTCAATCACAAGGTAGGCTCATCGATCATGATGGCCGGCGTCTGTCTGGTTTTCCGCACCAAAGCTTGCTAACGCTCTGGAACGTTTGCTTCCGGTGGCACCTTATCGTCATGCTATCGCCTGTCACGTGCCGTCCGAGGATTTGTCGCATCGGGACCTCCGATGGAAAGACTTCCGAGTGCCAACACTCCGGTCATCAGTGTACCTGACCAGCCATTTCGGTTGTCTTTTTGATCTTATCCATTTCAGCTGTGGGATTCAGAGGGGCGAAACCATACCAACATGCCTTCTGCGACCGGCACAAAACGCGTCAAGGTTGGTTGAATCCAGGTCGACTCGGTGGCCATGCGCTAATATCTATATCCTCAGGGCGTTTCTATCTACAGGCCTTTCGGTATGCTTTCTCATCCTGCTATACTGACCAGATGAATCGCCCCTGCCGTACGACAGAGACTGACCTCCCCAGTTTTCGGCAGCGAAGCCCAACCTTTCGACCCCGACAAGAAACCCGCCAACGCCCCTGCAGACCATACCCACCAATGGCGCGTTTTCGTCAAGGGCGTCAACGACGAGGACATCTCCTACTGGCTGAAAAAGGTCCAATTCAAGCTCCACGAGACCTACGCCCAGAACGTCCGCACCATCGAACAGCCGCCCTTCGAAGTGACCGAGACGGGATGGGGAGAATTCGAGATCCAGATCAAACTCTACTTCGTGACGGAGTCTATGGAGAAGCCCCAGACCCTGTGGCACAGTCTGAAGCTGCATCCCTACGGGCCCGATGCTGAAGCCAAGAAGGAGCGCAGAGAGGTTGTCATCAGCCAGAACTACGAGGAGATTGTGTTCAATGAGCCGGTGGAGCAGTTCCATGACCTCCTCACGGGAGGTTCTGCCACACCGCAGCCGCAGAAGGGCAAGGGCGGAAAGAACTCGAAACAGGCTGCGCAACGGAATGGAAAGACGGCGGAGATCCCGTACAACGATACCGCGGATAATCCTTATAGCAAGACAACCGAGAACAAGGAGTTGGATCGATTGGTTGAAGCAGGGAAGACCGTGGAGCAGATGATCAAGGAAGAAAAGGAACGACTCATTAGCCGGGAGAAAAGGCTGGCTGAGCTGCGAGAAAGCGAAGGAGTTCCCGCCCATACGAAAAAGAGATAAAACGCTGCGTCAGGTTTGAATGATAGACGACCACCGCAACAGTCTATGCTCTCAACTCGGCATGAGTATGTCTTTCTCGACTGTCGATGAGCCACAATTCCTATTATCTCTTGCCGCCAAAGAGCAAGATGCTGCAGCCCATCTCCCGGGCATCTTAAGACCGAGCTTTCCTTGACGGTCGACCTATTCGGAGACAAGCTAGACCTTTAGCCTCCAGACCTGCCTTGATTGGAGCGCGCCACAGCTCAGGGAACGACGTCTCTGAATGAAGCTATTCACAGAAACATGAATTCCTTTGCGTTGCCTGTGAGGCTACTTGCGCAAACCGCAGGTTGGCACAGAATTATGAGAAATGAACTTAACCCTAAATTTACAGATAGAATCAAATATTGTGTACCAAACAAAAAGAATTCCTCACACTACAACTTCATTAGGATACCATACAGTCTTTGTGTATCATCATGCATTATGGATTATACTAATCATGCTCATAAGTGATATGGAATGTCAGGCGACTTCATGTCTGCCCAACCCACGATGCTCGCCGAATAATACAATCAAACAAACCATTGACATGGTCCCCTTCACTCCAGGGCACTCTTGAACTGTTGCACAAATGTCCACACCTCAGAGAAAGTATTATAAAGCGGCACAGGAGCGACACGAACAACACCTGGCTCTCGCTTGTCGCAGACCACAGCCGCTTCTTGCAGCTTTTTCGAAACACCCTGCAGTAACCCAGGCTTGAGCAATAGACTCAACTGGGCCCCTCTGGCCTCATGATTTGATGGAGTGATGATGCTGAATGGACGTGTTTCATCTGATGTGCCTTCCAACAACAGATGCTCGAGATAGGCCGTCAGCATTACGGATTTCTTGCGAAGCTCAGTCATGGACGTTTCATCGAAAACGCTCAGCGCAGCACAGAGGGCCGTCAGATCGATGGCAGAGGGGTTCGATATTTGGAATCCCCCGGCTCCGGGGATTGGCTTGAACTCTGCCGACTGTCAGTTTCTTCATTTTGAGAGTGGTGGTGCAGCTCTGGTGTCTTACTGTTGTCCATCTTGAACCTCACGGACCGGTCGCCGCCGTACCATCCTGTCAGACGATGGCGGAAGCTGGGCGCATCTTCGCCTTTGCTGTAATCAACCTGTCCATGTCGCTCGTGTACGAAAAGGCCGCCCATCGTGCCAGGGCCAGAATTGCCGTATTTGTATGTGCACCAGGCAGCAAAGTCCACGTTCCAGTCGTGGAGTTTCAGCTCGACGTTGGCGAACGCGTGGGCCAGGTCCCATCCAACGATGATATTACGAGACTGCGCATATTCTGTGATTCTTGGGATGTCAAAAAGCTGGCCAGTGTAGTACTGGATGCCGGGAAGAAGAATGACAGCCGCATCATCGGCGTGTTGGTCAATGTATGACAGAATCTTCTCTGTGGATATCTCATATTCGCCCTCATCAGGCCCAATGAGGACCATGGACTTGTTGGGGTCTAGATCATGCCAGGCGATGTGAGATTCGATGGCGTACTACGTCCAGGTCAGCGTCGTGTCTCACGTGTCGTTCCAAGTGACTTACATGATCGCTGGGAAACGCCTTCCAGTCCATTAGAATCTTGTGCCTGGTGGCAGTCGGCTTGTAGAAACTTGCGAGAAGCAGGTGCAGGTTCGTCGTCAGTGTTCCCATAGCTGCGACTTCTTCAGGTTTGGCTCCAACGATTTTGCACATCGATCCGGCCGCTTGCTCTGATAACAGTTGCCACTGTCTTAGTGGAGAGTCTTCGAGGTCTACAAAGTGGCCCGAAACCCCGATAGACGACCATGTGTCCAACTGTGCTTCTAGAAATCGTGCCGTTGCTTTTGGCTGAATGCCCAAGGAATTGCCGCAGAAGTAAATGCATGGCTCTGACGAGAGACCTGGAAGCCTTGTTAGATGCCATTTTCAGAAACCACAGAGCGAAAACCATCACCTACCAGGCTTTGCAAGTTTCTTGTGGTTTATGTTTGCTTTTGAAGGAACGATGAATTTGTCGCGAAAAGTGGCCAGAGGGTCTGCCGCATCGAGAGATGCTGCGTATTCCCTCGTTCCCGCATTTTCGGGGAAGGTAGGTTTGGAAGTGATAGGGTAGACTGTCATTTTTCGTCGATCAGTGTTGATGATTGTATAGTGAAGCGCACTGTTTGGCTCTCGAAGTTGGAGAAACCCAGACTTTATAGCTCGATCTGTATCTGACATTCAGCTGGCTCTCCTTGCATGGGTCCGGATGCTCTTCCGCTTCCGCCTCAAGATCCGGGTGGACATCCAACGCCCTCGGAAGTCGCTTCCTATCAGCATGGGCTAATCCAATCACACGTGGGGCAGATCTGCCATGACGAGATAGCCTTCAGCGAAAAAGACAATTCAGGACAATGTCTGGTTCATGCCCGGGTTGTTACGACATCTCCACTAGTCTATCAGGCGGAAGCTGCTCTGCATCCGTCCCCCTTCCGTCCCAGCCCTAATCAGACCATGGACAAAGAGAGATAAATATTAGGACCGTTCTTGCCTCTGTTCACGTCAACACATCATTGACTAACTAGAAGTCTCATAATCCCTATTCTATTGTCTCAGTACATACCTCGCCATGCACATTTCACCCGCAGTCACGCTAGATCAATATGCTGTCTCCCTTCAGAGTGGATTTCTTCCCACCATCCCTCCTTTGCAACTATTACAGGACCCTTACTACTGGCCATGGGAGGACATAGTCCTTGACTTGCCAAATCATATCAAATCCAGAACCATCCGGCAGGCAGTCGACGCACTTCCCGTTCTTTCCACCTCCCGCCTCCGTGATGAGCCGGAATGGAGGCGAGCGTATTCGCTGCTGGCCTTCCTCACCCATGCCTACATATGGGGAGGCGAACAGCCCGAGGAGGTAGGTTTAGCCATAAACTCTCATGACCCTTAAACTAAAATCATTAGATCCTACCACCCGCCATATCATGCCCCTTCCTCGAAGTCTCCAACCATCTCGAGCTCCCACCTTGCGCTACCTACGCTGCCCTCAACCTGTGGAATTTCAGTCTCAAAGACCGCGCTGCAGACATCACCGACCCTGACAACCTCTACATCAACTCCTCCTTCACCGGCACCAAAGACGAAGAATGGTTCTTCATGATCTCCGTCGCCCTTGAAGCCAAAGGCGCCACCCTCATCCCCTTAATCCTCGACGCCATCCACGCCGTCAGCACCGACGAGAGCCAACGCCTCTGCGACCTCCTCGCTCAGTTCAGCAAGGGTCTTTCGGAGCTTCGTGATCTGCTCGAACGCATGTACGAGAAATGCGCCCCAGCCTTCTTCTTCCACCAGCTCCGCCCTCTCCTCGCCGGGAGCAAAAACATGGCCTCGGCGGGCCTCCCGAACGGCGTCTTCTACGACGAGGGCCACGGCCATGGCGAATGGCACCAGCACAGCGGCGGCAGCAATGCGCAGAGCTCATTGATCCAGACCCTCGATATCTTCCTGGGCGTGGAGCACACCGCCACGGGGGATATGAAATCCAATGGTGTGACGAAGCCCGCGCCCAAAACAGGTTTCCTGCAGGTATGTATGATATGTCTCCTTGATGTCCACTACTATATCCCTCCACCGACTCGAAGCCCTCAGCGCCTATCTAACGTACACGCAATAGGAAATGCGCAACTACATGCCCGGCCCCCACCGGCGCTTTCTCGAGCATCTCTCCCAAATCAGCAACGTGCGCAGCTACGCCCTCAGCCACAAGGCCGACTCCCCGGTCCGCGACGCCTACAACACCGCCGTTATGGCGCTCGGCCGGTTCCGCGACTCCCATGTGCAAATGGTCACGCGGTATATCATCCTCGCGGCGAAGACGAAGCACCCGGATATGCAGCCGAAGTCCGCGCAGGTCAACCTGGCCACGACCACCACAATCCAGATGAAGGATTTGAATGAGAAGGTCGCGGGCGGATTGCATGGCACTGGGGGGACTGATTTGATTCCATTTCTGAGGAAGACGAGGGATACGACGAAGGCGGCGGCCAGTTATGTTGATTGAACTGGATGATTACTACTTTGATGACTGACGATGATTGTATATAATTTCCTTGAGATTCCTCCTAATACTAGATCAACCTTTCTATTTTACTTCTTCCCACAACGCCATTTAGATTAGCACTGCGCAATTAACTTTCTTCATTAACCACATAAACCGGAAAAAATAACCAAAAATCCACTCAAACAATTATCTACACCCAAGCGTGACCACAACCATAAATAAACATAATCCCAAATCCTCACCCACCACACTTGCTCCCAAAGCCCAAACCCAAACAGATAACCCATACGTCAACTCCCCACTAGACATGTAAGATTCTTCCTAAATCCCCCGTGCTCGCAAAACCCCTCACGCCTAAACCTAGATATGGCCATGGCTATCGTCGGGCCCGGATCCGGAAGCGGAAGCGGATACGGATCCTCCCGGGGAGTTCTCCGGTCCGGATGACCACTCCTTAGTCCTTACTCATTCATTCATTCATGCCTTGTCTTATGACTTGCGGTGTTACTAAGGAGGCAAGGGAAGGAGGTCCTGATAGAGGTTTTGTGTTGTTATGACGTAGTCTGTGTGGTGGGTGGGTGGTTGTTTCGTCATTTCTGTCTATCTCTACCATAACATGCCAAATCTTCCTAGACTAAAGATTCCCAAACCCTTCACGTTGATCACTACTCCTCAGGAACTCCTGTCCCTGGGAAAAGAAGTTCGCCGCGAGGATCGAGAACTCGTCATTAAGAAGATCAGACGGCTGTGACGCCGTGATCGAGTCTACAGCGCACTGTGCACTTGTACCCAATGGCGTTTGAAGACTATAGTGCGGCATTGGGGACTGCGACATGCCCTGCTGGGTGCTCATGCGCGTGGGCTCTGGGAGGGGCGAAGTCTGCGAAACCTCGGCTGTGAATGCGAGCGAATTGGAATACAGGGAGTCGCCGAACATGCGCCTCGCCGAGTCGGAATCGCTGTTGGATGAGTATTCGAGGATTTCCCAGAATCGCGACAGATCGATGAGAAGGCTTTTGTTCTGGGCTCCGGATTCGGGCTGGTAGGTTGCTGAGACGGCGTCTTCTAGTCTTTGGAGTCGGTTTGCCTGAAACGGTGGTGTTAGTTGGGGAAGTTGGGGTGGGAGATGACAAGGCGTTACTTACCATTCGAGCCATGTGCGGCCACTTCTGTCCGAGGGCTTGCACGAATCGAACACATTTGAAGAATCGGTCCCGCTTTTCTTCGCGGATGGTAGGGTTCTCGGTGAAACTCAGTTGGAGTTCAATGGTGGCGACGACTGCCGCGCTATATCCCAGAAAGGGGTCTGAGACGAGGAAAGACCGCTCTTCGAAGTAATTAAGGAAATATATTATCCACGTCGTGTGGGATGATATGAGGTCGGATGTGTGTTGCAGGAATATTTCAGGAATGCTGCTTCGAAAGTTTCGGAGGCTCAGAGACAAGAGCAGAGGATGGTTGAGGAGGCAAAGGATCGTGTGATATAGAAACTGGTTCAAGAGGAATGGCCCCCAGTAGTCCCTATTGGCTTGCAGCTCGTCAAGTGTTCTTTCACTAAAGTTGGTGGGTTTGAAACGGTGGATGTATGGCATGTGTGATTCCATTTCCATCTGGAGTGTTATGATCTTGGAATATTCCGACTCTGAAGACCACGGAGGTATGTTAGTTGGCTTTCCATGTCGTCGAACATATCTCGCAGTCTTCGCAAACACTTCGCTCAGAGTTATCACGTAGGCTATTATCCCGCGATCTTGAAGATCGGTCGACCGTGTCCCTTCTGTTATGTTTGGTGAGCAGTGTTGGGGTGGAACATTTGGACTTTCTGGGAAGTTAGGACAGCTTCCATCCGGAAAATCCACGTTGTCGAATTCAACTCCGTGAAGGCGCTTCATAAGGCAAATACTCCAGAAACAGCGTCTTCTTTCTTCACGCGCCACTGGGGATAGCTGTCCCTGTGTTTCGAAGCTTAAATTAGCGCACTGGGCTAGGTTCATCGCCAAGCTGCTGTGAACACTCGAGCGATGCGTATTGCCATCTATGGGCGAGTCAGTATACATGATCAAGCAAATGGCAAGCCAATACATACTGGTAAAGTCAACTAAGCTCAAAAGACATAAGCATTGGAGAGTAGAAAGCTCAACCGGCCCCTCAAGCACCCTTTTCATGACCAAGCTTCTCGCTACTTCGGTGTATCCGCTGATACGTGATGTTAAGTGAGTTGGGCTCTGCTGGTGCTCTTCTGAGAACCTGATGCCCAAGGCAAGCACGGAGTAGATAACTTCGGGGTCACGCGTCCCGATACTCGTCAGAAAGGTTTCTCGATGAAAGAGAGGAAGCGGCTGCGACTCGCAATACGTGAGATACAAATTGGCTACTGAAAGCACCGTTTCCCACATCGGAAGCGGCGTGAGTTGGTTCGACGTCGAGAGCGCCATTGGGCCACTCGGGGCAGTCATCATGTGAGGCGCTGACATGGGCAGTTCCTCATGTCTAGAAGTATTTTGTCTGCCATACGTTAGCTTCCCGCCCTGTATCATTCAGCCTAGGGCTTACATACCCTAGGACATCAAGTATCTGCCCCATCTTGCTCTCGAGACCGCCGAGTCGGTCCTCCTGTATCATGACATTACTGGCGTGTTCAACTAGCAAGATTCTCCCGCGGTACTTACCAAGGTCTGCGAAACACTGGTATCAGATGAAGCAGGAGCAGGGGTCGATTCGGCTTGCAAGAGCACGTTTGTCCCCGGCCTCTGTCTGTCTTCGGCGTAGGTGCATGTTTGGTGTAGACGAGCGCACAAGGAACAGACCGGCTGCTCCCCTGGGCATTTCGCCTTTTTGCGCCTATGATAAGCTCAGCAGCTGAAGTCCAATTAAGGCCAAGGTGACTAACCTGCAGGGCTCACATGCCTGCCGTACTCTCTTTGCTGGTCGTTCTCCCAGTGCAGTATTCATTGTCAAAGGGGCATGGGTGACGATAGATCAGGTCTGGATATGTTAGTGTGGAGTGTGGAGGCAGGGCGGATGTCACTCACCTGTTATCGACGGTAGTACTGTGAATGGTACGGCTGCATAATTCTTAATTCCAGTCCGCTTCTTGAAGGTACAGCATCGCTACGCAAGAATCTGGTCTCTGGTGGTTGACATGACGGGGATCAAAGGGTCCGTTGGCAGTAGTTGATCTAAGAATCCGGATGGGCTGACTAAGGCGGTGGTGGGACATTTCAAGACATTCAACGCTCTGATGGCCATTCCACAAAGTGTTTTCATGGTGTGCCATTGGCGATCACTAGTAGTATATTTTTAATGGTCGACGCCATTCCTGGGTTTACCTTGTGTTACTCTACTTCTCTTGAGCCGAGAACCGGACCGGGCACACGGGAGCCCGAAGGATGGCTCAAGTACGGCAGTGGCACTAGCATGGAAATCATGCCACCACATGCCATGATCTAGGAAATCAACGGGATCCAGTCGGACGGCGGACAGTGGACAGTAGATAGTGAAAATACAGATTAAACCGAGGAAAGAATTCACATTGACGCCCAGCTTATCTTATATACAACGTGGAATGTCTTCCTCTTACCAACCCATCATAAAAGAAAATAGAGATACACCGCCAATTGGAATCCAGGCATGCTATTTTATCTGATGACAGATGCTATTCAACAGACCCGTCTAGTTCTTGCCGAACCAGGTCTTGTGGCCCTGTTGGGAGGTTAGTATGCGATTGTCGAATAACGTCGCTGCTCCTGGGAACCAGTGATAGCTTAGGCAAGAAAGGGAGTACTGACAAAAACCATACGGCCCATGGCGTAGGTGGTAGCTAGGAAATATTAGCCTCGAGCCTCTATACCAACGCATTCGGAACACTCACCAAGACCCAGGCCGTAGACGGAGAGGAGGTAGGGGTACATGACGTAGGGGCTGCGGTCGGTCTGAAGCAGCCATATCATGTTAGAATTGTTCCTGCGCGCGTTGCGTATGTCGGTTGATCAACTGACCTTCCACCACTGACGCTTGCCGTCGTGCTGCTGGAAAAGACGCTGGTAGAAGGGGACACGGTTCTCGCGGAACACGAATCTGTAGACAGAAATATAATATTAGCATGGTTTCTGGAAGTGAAAGAGGCAATTGCAGTCCGGCCAATTGGGGTAGCCCCATTACACCGACGAATTCGGTGCTCAATTGGCGACCTCCAGACTGGGATCTGGAATTCGAGGACTAGGAGGAACGAGAGTAACGTACCCGGCCATACGAGGGGCGGTGCGGAACATTTTGGCGGTGCGAAGGAGTGAGGGCTCTGGAGAGAACAGAAATGACGATGACCAGGAATTGCTCGCAAGTGTCGCTCGGACGATGTCGTGAGGTGCGGATCCGAGGAGAGCTGCACGTGACATCCCTCTGCTTCCGCCTTTCACAGACGCGGCTTAGTAACCCTCCTTGCACGTGACAGTTGATGCCTCGCGCCAAGATGCTGAGTGCCTGACTGCCTGGCTTCCGTCATCCCAAAAAGTGTCCGCGGCATCAAGAGAGCGCATGCAAAAAGCAATGAACGGCCGTTTTCTGTCTTCCACCCCCACTTATGGAATGTGTGTCATGGGATATTGACGAGGAGGATGTTCAGAAATACAACCAAGCCGAATCCTCACCTTTCTCTCATTACTCATGCGCCCGGCTCTTCTCCGGTTACTGAAGAGGCCGTCAGCTCTCTCGGTGCTTGACTCTCTTATTTCAATTCCCCTTGGGATCGAGGAGCTGGAATCTAAATACAAGGGCGAATGTCTGCGATATAACTCCCGAGCGGCATCGCAAAAGATTGAGGACCAGGCAGTCGACCACGAACGGCCTGACCATCACAAATTTCGGACGCGACCATCGCCGTATCCCTCCAGTTTTCGCGTCTACGATATCCAATCACCGCAGAGCCAAGCGACAAATGGCAGTGACCGGACCAGGCAACCCCAGGCGAAATCATCGAATACAGGACCTCCGCGAGAGGTGGGATTGCAATTGGAGAAGTTAGAGTACGAGTCGGATATTGGACACACGGATGGTATCGGGACACGCCTGGTGGACGACCCGGCCCGGCGGCATGATTTTGCCCTATGGGAAGAGCTTCTTCGATACAGACAGCGACATTATGGGGACAAAGGCACCCACGATATCTGGGAGGGCTTGATGGTGCGGGTGGACGATGTCCAGCTGCCTGTCAGGGGTGACAGGGCAGACTTTTTCTGGCAGAGCTTTGTGGACTTGGCCCTAAAGCGAACCGTCTTACTGAATGAGCTGGTGAATTACGCTTTTCGCCTCTGGAAGGAAACAGGGAACCGCTGGGATAAACTCTATGAGGCCGTCGTGGGAGGGTTGATTGCTCGTGGGATGCCGCAACAGGCCCTCGAATGGCACAAGAAACTGCAACATCCTCATTTATCCGAGCCGAACGATATCCTCCGAATCCTCCAATTAACTATCGCGCCTCGTCATCAGTCCAGAAACAAAGCTGTCTCGAAGAGCCGGCATACGTCAACGGGGTTATGGGTGTTCCAGAACATTTGCCGCTCTACGAAGGGACATCGGATATATGCCCCCGTCATTTCCACGTTACTGCGCAACGGCCTCACTGAAGATCTGTCACAGACGCACCAGGCTCTGATTGCCCAGGACGACCACCCAGAATCCTACGAAGACATCCAGCCGTTACTGGAATATGCAGAAGAAAATTGGCCACGCTTTCGTTTTCAGAAGCTGAATGTTTATGTCGAATCTCGATTCCCTGGGCGGGCTGCTACAACCAAAGGTGGCCCTACTACGAAGGAACCGCAACCGGACAAAGAGCCATTGCATGAAAGGAAACCTTTCAAGGATGAACTCGGTGCGCGCCTCTTCGCGACGAGAGCCTTGAATTTCGAGATGATTCTTTCCGGGCTGCGAATGTTCGGCGTATCAGCAATTGGGCCGCAGACCGTTCGCGAGATGGCGGTCCGGGCTCATGGTGGGCAGGACATACTGGAGAAGCTCCGACAGCTGCAAGCCGCCGGGATTTCGGTCGGAGATAGTGTGTTTACCCGCCTGGTTCGCAAGCTGGCAAGCGAACATCGCGAGGTTCTTCTGTCCGATTTCATCAGCAGCGATCAGCATTTTGAGATGCTGGAGGACGTAGCCGCGCAGGAATCCTTATTGGTGTCCTACTACGTTGCTCGCGACTGGCGCCAGTACAACATGACGCTGGCCATCCTCGCCGAAATCTCCACGGAGGGGCCGGATCTCTCCAACATCCACTTTCGAAAGTTTATCGCCGCGGATGAATGGCGGTTCGCCTCCAAGTTTGTCGATGACATGACGTTGCAAGGCCGTTCCCTGTCCAAGGAGAGCATCGATTTTATGGTGAAGCACATCCTCCCAGCCCGCCAACCGGGCCACATGCCACAGCAACTCGAAGGTCGCTCCCTCGTCAAGGAGATGGCCTTTGTCGTTCAGATTCTGCAGCGTGCTGCCAAATCGGGCACGGCGGTGCCATCCAAGCTCTGGATTGAGATGTTGAAGCGACTGGGCATGCTCAATCGCTGGTACGACCTCCGAGACTGTTGTTTGTGGCTCGCGCGTCAGCATTCACCTGCTCCGAAGCACGCCGTGGGCACCAGCAGCTCCGCCAGCCAGTTGTCTGGCATTCCATCCAGCGCCCGCGGTCAGCATCTCCTGCAGACGATTTTCACCGGCCAGATGCAAGCGGCGATCGTGTCGTGGGGGTTCAAGATGCGCATCTCGCACCAAGCGGAACAACCGTACGCAGCGTTCGGACCGGAGCAGGAAGGGCTCATCCCGTGGGTGCGCGGGCTGGTGCTGCTTCGCGAGCTGGAGCAGCACGGGGTGCAGCTCCACGTGGGGGAGATTCGGCAGACGTGTCGCCAGCGCCTGAAGGTGATCTTCGGACCGGCGGTGCAATCGAGTCGGCGCATGAACCGGATGCTGCGGCGCGAGAACCCTTACAGCGTGGAGCGGGTCATCGGCGATATCAATCGGGTCTGGGGCGAGCCGTCGCTGTTCGGCGGCCGGGAGCACGTGGATTTGTTTCGATTAATCAACCCTGCCATCTCGCCGATGTCCCTTCGCAGGATGAGTCGGAACCCTCGTCAGCGCCGAGCGGCCAGCAGCGTGGATGAAGAGACTTGATAATAGATAGCCATATGATACCAATGTACTATAATCACCGACTTTGAATACGGCATTTACAGGTGTGCAAGTGTTGCGCACTCGGGGTCCGTCACACCACATCCAGAGTCTAGGAGGGAGTCCGTATTGATTTCCCGATGGAGTCAAAACCTCGTATGGCCAACATTTACGGTTAGTTCATGGAACATGGTTGATGCCTAAGGTATACACAGGTCTCCCACCCACCGCACAGCCGCCCAACGCCCTCCGCTGGTTGGCCGCCGAGCCACCGCTGGCGCGTCCACGGGACTTCTATTCTTAGTCGCCAGGCAACGCGGCCAGACTGTCGCCGGTGGACTCTCTCATATTGTCCGATCGACAGGCATGCGTCACCTTGTCGGTGCCACGGGACTGCGCTGCTTTTCTTTTTTCTCACTGCGCAGTGGATCCCGTGAGATCCAAAAAAACCAAAACATTTCCACTTCCATCCGTCGTACTTTCATTTAACTGCTGCCTGGAAGGTATTGATTCATTCATGACCTCCATAGTCCATACTCCGTACACATCTACATTTATTTCTCTTAGTTAAAGAATTAATCTCTCCTGTCTTAGATCACCCCCTCTAGCCCATCCTCTACACAGTTAGACCCCAGTATCGCGATTGCGAATTGTTTCAATCCGCCTCCAGAACTCCAGTGGGGGCGCCTCTCTTAGGCGATGATCCTCATCCGTGGTCAATAGTGCTCCGCCGACATACATCGGATTCCATTATTGTTGGAGACTTTCCCGCATTGACGTTGCTCACTCAGCCTCTTTCGCTCTTCTTCTTGTCGTCCTTTTCTTGTTTTCCTCTCTCGCCGTTCTCCCTTTCATTTCGTTTAAACTTCCCTCGTGTCTGGTCTGATCTGGGTCTGGCCCATAAGCATTCCATTCCCTCCTTTTGTTGGACTTCCTTTATCGATCATATAATTATTGCCCGATTGTCCTCGCCACCTCCTACCTCCTCGCCTCACCTAACCTGCGACATATATCAAGGATTTAGTGACTGCTGCACTGCACTATCTCGACCCTTGCGACCGACCGTCCATCCGTCAGCTATCTGTCCCATCTATCCAACCACCAGCAAACAAACAAACAAACAAACAAAAGCAAACACCCCCCGGTCGCAATGCTCGGACGCCTAGCCGTACTGGGCCTCCTGCCCTTCGCCGCCGCAAAAGCCGTCCTCCCGCGCGCCGACACCGCATGCAACAACTCGCCCGACCTGTGCTCCAAATCCTACGGCGAGATCACCCATCTAGGATGCCATAACAGTCCCTTCCTGAAGGACGCGTCGACGAGTTATTCGAGTTTTGGGAATCAGTATGTCCTCTCCCCCTGTCCGGCCCTGATTGTGGTAGCTTGGTTTGAGGGGTGTGAGTGGTGGTTGCTAATGAGATGTTGATTAGGTATGTGAATACGACGTCGCAGCTGGATGCTGGAGTTCGGCTTGTCACGGCCCAGGTGCATAAGAAGGATTCGGAGTGGCATTTGTGTCATTCGGGGTGTGATTATTTGGATGCGGGGAAGCTGAGCTCGTGGTTGTCGGAGATCAAGGAGTGGTTGGATAACAATAAGAATGATGGTATGTGACCTTTTCAGTTGCGCATTCAGCAGTGTCAATTTAGCTAACTGGCTGGCTATCAGTCGTCACGGTATTACTGGTCAACTCCGACAGCGCCTCGGCCTCCGACCTCGACTCCGAATTCAAATCCGCCGAAATCACCAAATACACCTACAAGCCGACCTCGCAGACCTCCGCCCCCTCGTCGTGGCCCACCCTCCAAGAACTGATCAAGGATGACACGCGACTGATGACCTTCGTGGCGTCGCTGGACGCCTCGAAGAACAGCGACGCGCCGTACCTGATGGACGAGTTCAACTTCATCTGGGAGAACCCGTACGACGTCACCTCGCCGTCCAACTTCTCCTGCAAGCCCGACCGCCCGAGTAGCCTGAAGAACGACGTGTCGTCGGCCCTGTCCTCGAACCGCCTGCCGTTCATGAACCACTTCCTCTACCAGTCCGTGATCTTCGACATCCAGCAGCCCAACGCCAGCTATATCTCTACGACGAATGCGCCCTCCGGGGGCACGGGGAACCTGGGCGATGCGGCCTCCAAGTGCAAGAAGGCGTGGAGCCGCCAACCGTCTTTCATCCTGGTGGATTTCTTCGACAAGGGACCCGCCATCGACACGGTGGATAAGCTCAACGGCGTGAGCTCGCCGACAGGACGGAAGAACGTCACCGCCATCTCGGAAACCAGCACCGCGTCGACCTATAAGAACGTCTTCAAGGGCCTCGTCGAGGTGGTCCAGAAGGCCAAGGCCGGTTCCAACCCCAGCATGGGCGAATGGATCTGGGCCGGTGGTGACTGGGGCTCTCTCGGTGGTGGACTTGCCATTTGAATATGTTGTCGGCAAATTGTCGCCTCTTTGTTTTCACATTATATGTATTTTTTTTTCCCCTTCTTATTGGATCATCCGCGATTTTCCTCGATTTGACAGGGTTATTTAGATCAGCGTTTCAGTTTGGACAGGGACGGATGTTTATTTTGTGGTCCTTTTTCACGACATTCCTTTCTGCTATACATAAGTCGGCATGATATGCAGAGCATAGAAGACGGCGTTGATGGTTGTTAGTCACGACTTGAATTTGATGACTGTTACGAGTCCTCAACTCCCGTAGTCGAGCATTCCATTTCAGTAGCAGTAGATGACCGATAACACAGAGTCAGTCAACCTCAAATCTCATCTGAATATATGGGGAGTCAAATTGCGCCTTATTCCAAGCCCACCTCACCCACTGTCTATTTATTCCTTACCCAATAACTGCCGGATTTTATTAACCTTGTCATCGAACGACTGCTCCTTGTCGGTTCTAGACCGCGAAAAAGGAGACCATTAGCTCGTGTCAGGAGAACAGACAATCCCGGCCATCGACCGCGCCACCAGTCACTTTTTAAAAAAAAAAAAGGGGGAAGGGAGCACAGCACTTACCTCGACCCAACCCGAATGTCGGTCTGGATGCGGACGATTCCCTGCTCGTGGAGAATAGTATGCGCCTGGCCAATAACCTGGTGGACCTTATCCCAGGGGCCCTCTGTAGTACGGTAGACATATCATCAGAAACGAGAAACAAGCGGTGGGAGAAGTCCAAGAAAACGGGGGAAGGGAAAGGGGAAAGGGGGGAAGCCACAAAAACGCCATCGGGGGGAGCAAGGCAGACGGTTCTGAGAAATCCAAGCACAAGGGAGGGACTTCATATGCGATGCAGAAGTTTGTTGGACGACGGACGACGCAGTGAGACAAACAATCGAGGTTGAGAAGGGGGTCGAGCGAGGCAAGGAGACGCGACGAGACGTACCGAGGGTGGTGCCGGCAGAGTGCATCACATACTTGACGCCGGATTTCTCGATCAGACGCTGGACGTCGGCGATTTGGGCGGAGACGGAGGGGGAGGCGGTTCCAATCTATTGCTTTGAATGTCACAGGAGGAATTGAGTTAGTCGCGGCTTTCTGGCGGGATTTGCTGGGATTGGATCCTTATAACACTCGGCGGGCTGGGGAGGGTTGCATCGTATAGACGGGGAGAGCTTATCATGACTTCAGGCCGGAGAGGGCCGGAGTCGAGCAGTCCGGAGGAACGAGGGACGATCAAGCCATTCATGGCAGCCAGGACCTACCGGAATCAAGCAGAAGTCGGCGGTGCAATGGGCGGGAGTCGGGATTGAGGCGATGTCTGCAGAGGCCATGATGATTGACGAGACTGGAATGGGGCAAGAGTGTAGAGTGGAATCGGTCGTATGATATGCCGCGGTCCGTGGCCTAATCTGGTATCTTGCAGTGGCCGGACTTAATTAATTAATCTGGATTCTGGAGACCGAAGAAGAGAAAGAGAGAGAGAGAGAGACGGTGTAAAGCCCGCAGAGAAAAGGAAGAGGGAGAAACGCGGGGTTGCAGACGGAGGAGGGGCTGCCGGTCTGCCTTCTTTCGCTTCGTCTTCTCTCCACTGATCATGTCCGGATCCAAACTGGCCATCATCCAACAGATAGTATGATTGGGATAGGCTGATGCCATGTTCTGACGAAATAATCTCCAGAACTTCCGATTGCTAGCTACGCTGCCCTCCTCCATACGGTCCCCGCGGGCCAACTCATCACGATGCCTGCCCGGTGAACGGAGCAAAGTGTCCACTTTTCAATGGATATGATGGATCTGAACGTGTCATGACATGACCATTTGTGGACACGAGTCCGACCAGGATCATCGGTCGCCGTCTTTCTTTTCTTTTTCTCGCTGCTGCTCCCCAGATCGTGCAAGCCTCACCACTAAGCCCCGAATCCCTGGTCTCCGACCCCCCCGTGAACCCGGTTGGATCTGAATCTAATGATCCTGGGGGCAGAGGCTAACAAGGCTAGCGATCGGCTCGACACGGTCGCTCTGGCTTATCGGCCGGCTGGATGGCCCGAAGAATTTACTAGAAAAGGGCGATGGAAACCAGGGATGATGCTGCCAAGAGGCTCTCGTCCCTAGCGAACCCGTCATCCAGAAAACACAAGGAAAACAAAAGAAAAGGATAATCGGATTCTCCTCCAGCCCGTAAGGCTGGGTGGATAAGAATGAAGAATAGACCGGGGACACGAACGATAGACCTTGGCATTTCTCCATCGACAAATGGACCCTGCGTCATCTTTCTTTGTTTAAATGCTGCGCGAGTCAGCCAGCCAACCGGCACACTGAAACCTAGGTTCACGATCCGACTACTTTTTTTCTCCCCCCTCTCATATTGTTTTTTCTCAGCTCAGTCAGTCCGTCTGGGTTGCATTATTGCTGGGATTACGGAGCTCCGTTCCTCTACCCCTATTCATCTCCTGTTCCTCCTCTCCTGGATCTTCTGCCATCAGCCTCTCCTTCCGTCTTTACTCGTCATTCCCCGACAGCAAGCGGTGATTGGTGGCAAACGAAACTCTCGAGGGCTGAATGTGACGCACCTCCGGGCTGGTCTGACCGTCGCTCAGTCCCTTGAAGATAGTTACTTATTCCTCGCATGATCTCAGCACTTCCATTCCTGGTTTCCTCGGTGATCGTCAACTATTTTACCCATCACAATCCACCAAATTAGCCAGGCCCCCCGCGAGTCTTGACTGACCGCCTATCGCCCTGGGGTCCGAGTTCCCCCAGCTGCCTGTGTGCCCGACGACTCTTGCGATCGAACGCACTTATCTAGTTTCAACCCCCGGAATTTCTCACTGGGCCACATTTCTCACCTCCTTTTCGTTTTCCTCTTTCGAGCTGCATGCGACGGGCTTGCAGCTGCTGCATCCGATGCACGGCGTCGAGTCGATATCAGAATACTTGGAATCAATCTCGGTGACCGTGCTCTGATTGGCATGAAATCCGCCTAAGACTCCCAAGAGCCAAGCGCCACAGGTGCTGCTGCCACTAGAACCCCTGCACCGACCTCAATCACTGATCTAGAAACCCTCCCCGCTAAACGCTATCGGGCTTGGAGGATTTTCCTTCCTTAGTTTCTCTGGGGTTGTCATCCGCTGTTCCGAATTAGCCAAAGGGGAATTTTATTTTTGTCTAAAAAAAAGGAGGTCTTGCTGGATAGACCGGTCATAAATTGCCTCGTGGATTGATTTTTAATTCATCGCATTCCTCAATTGGTCAGTAGTGACGCGACAGGCAACCGCCACTCATTCCAGCACGGAGACAAGAGGGACCAAAAAAAGGTGATTTTCGTGGGAACTTAATAAAGGAGAAAAATAAATTGCTATCTCGATATCTAACGTGGCGCCGGAACACTCTGCACAACTCGGGAGCCTCTCCTCTGTCCCCTTTGGGTTCACTGCATCTGCGCACTGAACAAGTTTTTTGCTTTTTCAGCCCCCTTCCAATCCGCTGCCTTTTCCTCCAACTATTTATTCGGCACTTGGTAGCGTTGCCAGGGATCCCATACCGTTGCTGCCGTGCCTTTTCTTTGTCTGAGGCTGTCAACGCCATTTTAACTGGGGTTGTAGATCCTCCGGAGCCAGGCCTTTTTCTTCTCCCTGCCTGTCCATTGCGGCCATGGTTCTTCCACAGAAGAAATTTTCAGCACCCTACTTTACTACTTAACGAATGACCAAACCCAACCTACTAGAGCTCCCAATGGGAGCTCAGCTTGTCTATCTGGCAGAAGGTGGTGCCAACGTCATCTACAGAATCGTGTCGATCAAGTCCTCGGCCCATGGGTCCAAAAATGGCTCTTACAGTGTCCCCGCCGAATTCAAAGGGAAGCTACTTCGACTTCGCAAGGATACATCGTCGGGGATCGCATATCAGGAAATCGCGCGGAATTTCGACCGAACCATTCGTCCTTTGTTTAATCCGGAGGAACTAGTGGACCAGGAGCTGGTGAAACTCCCAAAAGGGCTTGTCCAACAATGCAATGAACAGTTGCATGCCGCCGAGCTGAACGGCCGGCGTCCAAAACGACGTCACGGCGTCTATCTATCCGTCACGGAGCCATTCGGACTACTGATCACGGACATGACGGTATTTGAAAATCCGGGAATGATCCTTGCGGAGCTCAAACCGAAATGGCTTCTTCAATCCCCTTCGGCACCGGCAACTGGTCGCCGATGTCGCACCTGCGCTCTGCGCGAAATGAAGAATCACGAAGCTCGCCGGGCCGGTAAATCCGAGGATCGGTCGTTCTGTCCGCTGGATCTTGTCTCGGAGCGATTCGAAAATGTTCTCCGCGCCACCAAATACGTCAAAGGATGTAAGGACCAGATGCGGCTGGCCACGGTGCTTTATCGAAATCCCACGCTACAGAAGCTGTTGAGTCACCAGAAGGCGACTCGAGATGTAGGGCTCTATGGACCGCCGGCGCAGTCTCGAGAGAAGTCATTAGCCATGACCTTGCGAGACTGCACGATGTTCATCAAGGTACGTTGCGCTCTCTCTAATAGTTTGGATAACCGAACTGACCATCTTAGATGCCACTCGATGATTTAGGAGCCGTTGAGATCCGTCTCGGCGATCTAGACCTCAAGACCGGAGCCGGCGGCAAGGCACAGTACTGGCATGATCTGGAGAAGCAGCTGATCGACCAAGGCTGGTACATGGGCTGCAAGGGCTGTAGTGCTACAAGTGAATGTGCGCTGCACGTCCGGGGGTCGCAATCATCAATATGAGACCACTTCTTTCCTTTTTTTTCTTTCTCTCTCCCTCCTACTCTTAATCTCTTAATTATTCACCATATACTCACCTTACTGGATCGGGGTACACAGCACCCATGCTAGATCTGTACGACAGGTCTGTTTCTCACATCATGACGAAACGATAGATGGATTTGTCCAGTTTTCTTGCTTCTTTGTGTTGAGTCTCGGGTTGATTTTCTTTCATTCCATGGGTTGGTCTTTGGTTCGGGTGGGTCATTGCATTCGGTTTCTTATTGCATCTCGGTCTGGGTGGTTTTCGTGTTGTACAGTACCTACATTTGGGATTTGTGTCGCAATTATTATTATGGTTTAATATTGAATTCTATGTCAATTTGGTGGGTCCGAAAGCAGATCCCAAGTCAGTATGTTAAAGAACAAAAACGCCTCTGCCGTAAACCGAGCCAACGCCAGCAAGATACAAAATACCAAACAGCAGCGTAAATCTTCGAACCAACAAGCCGGAGCAGATAGAAGGCCAGAAAAGAACCCTACACTTCAGACGCAATGGCTCAACGATAAAATGCTAGCTTTTCACCTCCAGAAGATTGGCACAAAACTATCGTACGCATCCTCAGTATCGCACCGCACAGCCTCGGGCCTTGTCTTCAACATAATCTTCTCCGCCTCCTCTCGGAGCCACGTCGCCTCGCCTTCACCATCGTCGAGGCCGTCATGCATAAGAGCCTCGGAGAGCTTGAACAAAGTGCGCGCGTACTCCACCGGCCTTGCGGTTTTGCACACTTCGGTCATTTCCATCGAGTCGCGAAGGTTTTTACTGCGTTGGTTAGTCTTCGAGTCTGAAAAAGAGGCAAACCGGGGGGGTTGTACTCACATCGCAGCTTCAACTTTGCCTTGGTCCAGACAACAGACACCCACTTTGTACAAACAGGCTGCATAGAACGGGTGAGTACGCGTCTGGGCGCCTTCCAGCCAGGCGTTCTGGGCCTCGATGTAGAGGGCTTCAGCGGCGTCGGAATCACCCTGGCGCCGGGTCAAGGTCGCCAGACCGAATAGGGCACTATGAAGAGTGGTTAGTAGGTCAGGTCTTGCTTTTTATCTGGTTAGTATGTATTACTTACTATGCCAACATTGCCCAGTTCAAGGGCTGCTCCGTTTTCAACCGCGGGATGCAAAGATCGAACATCTCCTTCGCCTTCTCGTACCGGCCCAGATAGACCAAACAGCGCGCATGGTTCTGGATGTGTCGTGCTGGCCGATCGCGGGCCTTCGTGTCGTCTTCGTTTGCCGTGATTTCCCACCATTCGCGGGACTGCTCGTACCAGGTTTCTGCGCCCGCGTGCAGATTCGCAGTGTTGTGGCAGTATGCGAGGTTGTTTGCGGTGTAGCAGAGCAGGATCGGGTTACGGGGCTCCTCCTGGAGTCGGATCTCGTAGCACTGCTTGTTCAGATGGATCGCGTGGAGCGGTCGTCCAAGGCTCTCTACGGCTTGGGCCTGGTGGCTGAGGACGGAGCCTTTCAGGTCTGTTTTTGCTGGTCCGTCGTCGAGTGTATCGATTGCTTGGGGGTTGACGGCGCAGACTTGCTCTAGTTTGGTCATTTCGTTGATCTCGGAGAGGAATCTATTTATCGTTGGTTAGTGATTCGAGCGCAATAAGATACATATCGGAAAATAAGTAGGATAGGGTAGGGTACCTTTGGCAGGACGACAGAAGGCTACAAAACTCCCACGTGGCTTTGAAGGAGTCAGAAGCCTTAGTCTCCTCGATGAACCGGTCCTTGAGGCTCAGGACTTGTTGAAGGTGTTAATTGCACAGGCTCCAGCGGTCATACAACTGACCTTTCGAAAGGTCTTCGCTGGGGAAGACATCGTGGAGGAGCCTGACAGCGTTGTCGAAACAGCGCTGGCGGTCCTCGTGGGTTACGTGGGCCTGGGCCATTCTGTGGATTCGTGATGGTACGTGACAAGAATGAGTGGATGATCAAATCAATGTCGAAATGAACAAATGCCTCGAGGATGATCAACTATCTACAGCGAAGATGACCTTGACTATATAGCCATGAAGCTACCGGAAAACTCCACTACATAGTAGGAGGTTCCAACAGTACGTTTGTCTCGTTCCCTCGTCGCAAGAGCCAAGCTTAGAGGTTTTCTTAGTGTTGTGGGAAAGCTGTAAAGGTATTGAAAGGTGCAAAGGAACAAAGCAATCTGGTTGAATACTTTAACTTCCATTCAGGAGGCTTATCACTGAACAGTCCGCCTCCGTTGTGTTGTGCAATCAATACGTGTAAAGAGGCTTATAGACTGCACCTAGCGGCATTCTACGTTGCTAATTGCTATAGCCGAGTCAGTCATCTCTCCAAGGGAGCTCAAATGATTGATGTTGTCTGTTTACTGCGTTATCAAGATAGATCAAAATCGAGTATCAGTAATCCCCGTCAAATACTTCAATCCACGCCCTTACAGTCTACAATTGCCAACAACGTAGGATCGGCGTTACAAATTTCTCTCCGCAAAGGATTGGATGATTCCCTCATTGCTCGCCTCATACACCTTCAGCTCGACTTTCCCATCATCCCGCAGGATCGTATTGGCCTGGACGAATTTCCAGGGCGGCTCGGGCTTCGACGCTACGATCTGTCTCCAGACCTCGTATTCGCCATCAACAGCACTAAGAGGCTCGTAGAACTGCCTGCACTGCGTGACATTCGCGGTGCAACGCCAGACGTGGATTCGATGAAGCATGTTCCCAATGCAAGCTTTTCCATGAGACGCGATCTTGGACCGGTCAACGCGGACAAAAACCGTCCCGGCCATCTGGTTGCAGTCGACAGAGAGGAGTCCATTAGCGTGGAGCATCAAGTGCTTAAAAATAGCGTAGTTTGCCTGTTTGTCATGAAGTTAGTAATGGGTCTTGTATGGGATGTTCGAGGAGTGAGGTACGTTGGCATGGGCACTGCCCCAGGATTGCGTCTCTACGTTAAAAGCCTGAAGTGCACGCAGACCCTCGACTCCGATATGTAGATAGGTCTGGTAGATGACTACTCGGGATTAGTATGGATCAGGCGACCCGGGGAGATGTAGTACTCACGATCGTCGGCCTTGATGTCACTGTGTTCGTCGTAGCCGTACATGGACAGTACGTCTCGATCTTCTGACAGATAGTAGGAAACAAGCATTACTCTGCACTCCTCGACAGTCCCTGCCAGCTTCTCGAACACGCTTGTCTATGTCTGCCCGGGTCGATACCACGACTCAACCGGCTTACCTGTCAGTGAGTTTGTGGGCGGAGATGCCCGGTCAAAGTTGTAAACGCCAGGCGAAGTTTCTGCGAGAAGTTTGCCTGTTCCGTGGCCGAGAAGCTCGTGGATCGAAGTTGCAATGAAGCGGATGATGTGATTGACCGCTTTGAACTCTTTGGCTTCAGAAGGGTGCACCCAGTAAAATTCACGATTCGGGTCGGCGTTGGCACTCATGCGATTTGCGTACACGATGTTCTTGAAGCCATGGGTCTCACGGATGTCGTTGTACTGTGGGCAACCGATATCAGCAAGATGATAAACCGCTCGAGGGTTCATGCGTACTTACATTAGGGACTTTCGACGCCTCCCACACATTGCTGCACCCAAAGGCAAGCGCTATCGGGTCAATTTTAGCCAGAGGAAAGTTGAGTCCCAGTAGCTCATCAACTAACCGTGGACGATAGAGAAATGAGGAGCCTGGAACTCGGATTTCTCAAACGGACCTTTGCCGTCGTTGACGTCGGGGACGGCCCAAGGAAGCGTCCGAATGAGCTTCGTCGAGCTATTGACCAAGGCTGTCAATTTGGCAGTTTCCTGAGGGTCAGCAATACTGACGACACCTCTCCACTCGCATCGGACCCCATATGGGTCCCTGTAAGGCTCCACAAATCCAAAGATACTCTCGACTCGGGGGTTGTAGTCCTCCACCCATCGCTTCATACAACTGCGGTATGCCTGCAAGCTTCCCGTGGTAAAACTCTCTATATAATCCTGAATGTAGCGAGCCTGGGTGTCATTCGAGGAGAAGCGCATTGCTTTTGTGACGCTGTCACAGATCCGGGACATCTCCTCAGAGTGGTCACCGCGCTCCAGTCGGATAACATCGTTGCCTTTCTCAACGCCGTCCTCGCTACTCAGTTGGAGATGCTCCATCGGAATGTCTGATCCCTTCAGATGGTCCTTCATTTCCGCGTTCGTCTTCACGGACGCCTGGAGGATATCATAAACAGTCTTGTCACCGTTAACACTCTTTCGGATCCGGGTGTTTTCAGGCTCAACGGCATGCTCCTCCATCACACGAGAAACGTCAGCAATCTCGTCACTTGTGAACTTAGCATCACCAAGGTAGTACGCTGAGTCCGAGAGCCCCAGTACTGATGGTGTAGCAGATATCATGGGCTCGATCACTTTGTCCAGCGCATTTGTAGCGGCCTGCGAGATGCTTGCCATGCTGCGCAGGGAATCAACCGACAAATTAGGAACGACTTTGCGGTCACCCTCTCCCTGTTTTACAACTCAGTTATCCGGGTTCTTGTTTCTAGGAAAGGAAGTACCGGGGAAAGCCTACCCAGAAGTTGTTCAATTTCGATAAGAACATGCCGGCGTAGTCTAGGAAATCCACTAGCTCCTGGTCTGAGATGCCGAAGCTCTCAACAAATCGAGACCATTGGCCCTGGCAGGCCTTATGTAGCTCAAGGATGAAGTCTAGGATCCCAGGGCCCTCGGGGGAAGTTTGACGCAGAATAATCCGGCTTCCGTGCCAGGCAGCCCGGGAGAGATGGTGGGCAAATAGCTTCTCCTGTTGCGAGAGACCGTCCCAGAGGTCTTGGATTGCGAGCTGATATGTAGCTTCTGGGCTCATTCTGGCGTCTTGGGTTAGACCAGTCAATGCTGAATTTCCGATGCAATTATCTTGTAGTCGTGAGGACCGGGAAGGACAGGAATGGGGTTATAACTGGCGGACGACAAAGCCAGAAATGCGAAGCCATTAGTCGCAACGGTATCCTCAAAGAAAGATATTCGAGGCCCTCGTATTGATGCGATTTACAAGGATGTATCCAATCAACTTCCAGGTGCCCACGACCTAGGTTTCTTGCGCATCCGCAAGTAGTAACATCAATGAAATTCCCTCCACGCCCCAGCGCCCCAGTACCTTCTCCTCTTTCAGAATGAGGTCTTCTTTGCGGATTGGCTTCATGGGATCACAGGCGGCAATCAAATTTTGTGAATGGTAATTCCTTAAGTCTGGGTCATGCTGGGCCTAGAGCTGCCCGTGATCATGCCTGTCATCGATGCGACAAGGATTTATGATGTCATAAATGCCATTCAGCTAGAGAGGTTACTTGTCAGCACGAGTAAGCATGAGAATAAGATTAGAATAAGATTAGAAGTACTGGTGTTGGTGACAATCGCTGAATAAGAAAAACGTAAACCCGATTAATCAGCTTAACCCCGTAATTCCGCCCCTGTAAATCAACTATAAAACCACCTCCATTCGATCTATACATCCCATCCCATCTCTTCCAATCCAATTAAATCAAATCAACCACAATGGCATCCCGAATCCTCTCCCGAGGATCCTCCTCGCGTCTCCCCCTCCTCTCTCGCTTCCCATCTATATCCAAACCATCTCTTTCAGCTTCTCCCCGCCTCTTCTCCACAACCCCAAACAACAGCAATGCCCTAATCTCCCTCGCGCAATCCCGGCGCACCATCTACAACCTCGGCAAGACCCTCCCTCCCTCAGTCACCGACAAAGAGATCGAATCGCTCGTGCACGCCGCGATCCTGAACGTCCCCAGCGCATTCAACACGCAGTCCACGCGGCTCGTGCTGCTGCTTCATTCGGAGCACGAGCGGCTCTGGGACGTTGTCATGCGCTCGTTCGAGGAGGGCCTGGTCAGTTCTGGGAAGGTGTCCAGGGAGATTTGGGAGGGTCAGACGAGGCCGAAGTTGGAGGGGATGAGGGGGGGTGTTGGCACGGTTCGTTCTTTTTTTTTTTTTTCTTTCTCTTTTTTACTAGTGGGGGGGCTGGGGGAGGGTGGTTAACTACTGCTTTGATGAATGAATGAATGAATGAATGTGACTGACTGATGACGATGTATAGGTCCTATTCTACGAAGACCCGGCGCATATCGAACCGTTCAAGGAAAAGTTCGCGACGTATAAAGACCACTTCGAGACTTGGGCGCAGCATTCCAATGCGATGCATCAGTATTTTCGTATGTCTCTCCCTTTCTCTCTCTTACCCTCGCTATCTCCCTGTCTGTACTAGTAGCTATAGCCACTAGGCACTAGCTAGGACAATACTAACTCCACCATGACAGTCTGGACCGGTCTCGAGTCTCTCGGCTTCGGGGCGAACCTGCAACACTATAACCCGCTTGTTGACGCCCCCGTGGCCGCGGAATGGGACATCCCGCGTGACTGGAAATTAGTCGCGCAATTGGTGTTTGGGAGCCCCGAGGGAGGGCCGAATGAGAAGAGCCAGAAGCCGATTGAGGAGCGGGTGAAGGTTTTTGGGAAGAGGGATTAGTTCTTGGTTTTTGTTGAGTCGCAGCTGTTGTTACTATTAGTCTGTGGAGAGATAGAAATAATAGATAGAATAGATTTGTAAATTACATACTCCAACTCCAACTCCATGCGTCGCTAATTGTCTATATGCAGGTATATATATGACAGTAAACCGATAAAACAGGGGAATATAACACCATGGATGCATCAGCGTGATTAACGCCTAAAAGAAGTCCTCTTCGCCCAGCCATTGAGAGTCAATGGCGTATGCCACCAGGTCGGCCGCACAGCACATATCTTCGTGTCCGTGGTCGAGATCCAGAAGCCCCAGCACGCTGTTCAGTCGATCCTGAAGGGTCTTCTGCCATTGGGAGACGTTCGATTGCACCTGTGTGATCGCCTGGGTGGAGAGAAGGTTGTCGGCTTTCTTTTGAGATTTAGATTTTGGTTTGACCTCCTTGTTAGGAGAGCGGGGGGCAAGAGGCTGTCGTTGCGGAGGAGCCTCAGTTTTGTGGTTCTTCAGTAGGGATTTCAAGAGGAAGAGCAGCCAGACGAGATTGGTTCGTGGGGCGTATTCGCTCCAGATCCCGGGGATATCGGCGGGCTTGGTGTCGTCCAAGGGCTGTCCGGTGTAAAGCTGGGCGCGCATGCTAGGGGCTGTTAGTTTTCATCTCCCGCAGAGGACAGGAATAACTTACTATCTATATGTATTTCGCAGGAGAATCTCGTCCTCGTCCCGACCAACGGCATCGAAGATTTGCTTCTTGTCAAGATCAGACGATGCAATATCCAGAGTCTCGCCTGATTCCTCGGCGGTCCTCAGCTCTGCTCGGGAAAGCGAGTAATCGATAATGGTGGTCTCCAGCGTGCTTATACCGAATCCACTAGCAGATGGCAAGCGCAGGATCTCAAGCTCTGTCGGCGGGTCCATGCGGCCGTCCGGTCGGGTACTTCTGATACAGACGTTTCCAAGATGAAGATCGCGATGCTGTGGTCTTTTAGCAGCTGCTAGAGTAACTGTTGGAACGGTCATACCTCGAACTGCGCATACTCCTCGGCTCGCGCAAGAGCCATCGCCACTCCCCAGAAAATATCGTAGATTTGGAAGATGGACGACCAAGCGAACTTTTCCAGTTCACAACCAGCATCATCCATTTCTATGATAGCCCACAGCTGCGAGTCAGGGTACGCCCTTTTGCTCGATGGGTTAGGATTCAGGCAATCGTCTTTGGTCTTCTTATAGTGGTCCCATGCTTTCTGAAATGACTCCGGAAAGCGGCCCTGGACGACGTGGATCTCGCGAAACCGAGCGAACCCTGGGATCGGATCCAGATATTTCAACATCTTAGCCTCGGACACGATCTCCTCAATGCTCGTGAATTTCTTCGAACCAGGACCACTCTGCGCCCGCAGAGGAACAACCTTGAACACCCCGTCCCCGTATGCCTTCAGACGAGCAAGCTTCGACTTGGACATTTCCTTCTTGCACACCTCCTCTCGCAGTCGGAGTTTGTAGACCTCTCCGTAGGAGCCCTCCGCGATCTTCACGACCTCCAGCATATTCCCCGCGCGAGCAGCCCACGAGCCGAATTTCTGAACGCTCTGCGCCGCTACCGGCGACAGCGCCTCGTCGAGTATGGTCCGAACGTAGGTATTTGCTTTCTGGTCCGACACGAATCCGGCCGACTGCCGTTGAGCGGGCTTGCTTGGGGCGGGCTTGGTCCTCCTCGTCCGCCTCCCAGTCTCGCCAGTACCGTGGCTTTCCTTTTGCTCTTGCTCCTGCTTTGTTCTCCGTGCGGCTGTTTTCGGACTAACCCTGACTTCCACCATAGCCTCGTATTGCTTTTTCGGTGCGGTCTCGGGCTTCGAAGGAGTCGACTCGGCGGTCTCATTTTCCGGTTCGACACTCGTCTCAAGCTTCGGCGTGTCGATTTGCTCCGTCGCGGGGATCTCGTCAACATCTCCCGTACTGTCGGGCGTCTCTTCAACTTGCTCCTCTACCTTCTCGGTAGTCCTGACCGGCTCAACCACCTTCTGCGTGTTATCCTGGCCATCCCCGATCCGCACCTCAGCCAGCTTCTCCTGGAGGGACTCGACGCTCTCCTGGGCGGGCGTGGGCAGCTTCTTCACCTCCGTCTTCGCCGGACTCCGCTGATCAAACACCGCCCTGGGCGCATCGACCCTGCGCTTGCCGTAGACTCGTCGTTGCGCGTTCGGACGAGCCTTCGCGGCTCTGGGCTTCGATTTCGGTTGTGTAGGCGTGACGTCGCCTGCGACGGGGGAGAGGGGGGAGACCATTGCTGCGGCGGGTGTGATTCAGTCGGAAAATGGTGCTCTCACAGAGCTGGCGGCTTTGGTAAGTAGCTGTGTGGAAGGTGTGTAAAGGCGACGGGGGTGAGGTCGTGTGTCTGAAGTGGCATTTGGGAAGGCCGTTTGGGGGGTATTGACTCCTTTCCCGATGTGGACTAGTGCAGTGGTTGCTGCGGTGAGGTGGATTATGTAAGTGGCCGAGCAAAGTATGTCTACTTCTGGTTGGACCTTCTACGTAGGGCTACTGGGTAGATGATACGGAAGAATGTGCTCAATTTCTAAGAAATCACCAGAGATAAGTAGTGCATGGTTCTTGTTTCTGTGTTCGATGATCAAGCTTCGTTGGTAGATGAAAACGGGGTTACAGAAGACCGCGATATATAACCTACGGTTACAGTAGCAACGCCAAGACAAGATGTGCCCCAGTGTATTTGGGTTCAAGGGCGCCTTAACAGGAACATGAACTCAATAGGCTCAGTTCTTTTCTCTGACTGACTTAAGGTTTGCCTTATCATGTATTCTCGCTGGATAACTAGGTATTTAGGTCGTTCAGGTGAGTACATCCACAGTCCGAGCCATTGGAGCAGAATCGATGTTTATACATCATCTACAGTAACACACATCCATCCTGATTCAAAACCCACCCCCTGGCACCAAACTAGGCTGGGCCGTAATACAAAAGGTCCGTCAATCATCTTCAAGACGGTCCTGAAAAGGCAACTCATGCCCTAGCTCATCCTTAGCCATTTCTAGCAAACCCAAGTCGCATGAAGATCATGAGAGCCGTGTTTCTATTCTCGGACTCTCGACGGCAGCGATGAAACATGAAAGGTCACATCATCTCCTAGCGCTGCAATTGGCAGATGAAGGCAGATGGTAGCGGTGTTTACCCCTGAGGCTGGCCCTGCCGTCGAACATTCCTCGCATCATGGAACAAAGAATGTCTCGATGTCGACGATTGCACTGGATTGGTTGAAGAATTCCCATGGCGAATCACTCGAGACCCGACTGGGATCGGCGAGGTAGGGAGCAACGAGCAACTGGGTCTGCATGGCCCTGAAAATGCCTCTGGTTTGATTAACGGATTCCACGGCCTGGGCTGAGTTTCGGATGACTGGTCTGCATGCTTGGAATGGTTGTACGGAGCACAGAAATTGAACGTTTCTGGTACTACTCCGTGCTGGTAGCTCTGTAATATTCAGCCGGATAGTTCAGAACGGTACGGACATGTCGATGCGCTGTGGCGTCTATTCAAGTATTGGTTAGCTACTGTCAGCAGTAGATGTCAATCATTAAGGGGCGTCAGTCGTGCAGCTGATCAACATGCCCCATACTGTTTTGGGCTTCTGAGCACCGAGTCAGTCAAGAGTAAACAAAAAGTCGAAGGCAGCTCCAGTTCAACTGGACGAGGGTTGGCATTGGCTGAATTCCCAAGCAACTACCTCATTGCGAAGATCATAGGCAGGTTTCGCCAGAGTTTAACTGCCGGATAGTTGAAAGTCTGGACGGGGAAGAGAACGAAGGGAAGTCGGAGGAGATCGGACAGAGTGACGTAAGGACTAACTCTTGCACTAAGGACTCCTCTAGTAGCTGCCTTTTACCCGCCTCTTTTTTTTTTTTTTTTTTTTTTTTCTCGCCTCTTCCCCGGGCCTTTCGACAAAAGACCACGGGGTAAGGAAGACGCCAGAAAAGAACTCGAAATATTCTAGATCAAATGTGAATTCTCTGCATTAATTAACCCGCATTATCTGTACTGTAGTTGTAATTAATGAGCTGGTCCAGCGCATCTCGTGTGTCGCGGCGATCACGCGAGGGCCGACCGGCGGGTGACCCTCGGGAAGACATTTCTTTCCTTCATCCCGTCCTTTTCTTTCTCTTCCTCGTCTTCCGGCTTATCGTCGCTTCACCCCCCTCTTTCTCCCCGCTGGATTCCCCGTATTTCGCCTGTCTTTCTTCACCTGTTCGAACTCCCTCGCCGGATTTCTCTCCTTCGATGGTTTTGGCGCCCGTCGACCGCTCCCCCGTCTGTCCTTGACGCCCTGCGGGTTTCGCCCCAGATTTTACCCCCGTCGATTCTCAATGACTGGTAATGGCGTTCAACTTCAACTGGTCGCCGCTCATGGCGGACGCGAGTTTCTACACTCGCGCCCAGGATCTCTTAACCGCCGCCCTGAATAAATCGCCCAAACCCCCCATCATCGTCGACGACATCATCGTCACCGAACTGAATCTCGGCTCCATGCCGCCCGACCTGGAAATCCTGGAAATCGGTGACCTGGCCGAGGATCGCTTTCGAGGCATCTTCAAGATGTCCTACACCGGCGACGCGTTTCTGACCCTGAAAACCCGGGTTCAGGCGAACCCGCTCAACACCTATCTCTTCACAAGGCCGTCTTTTGCGTCGCCGTTGCCGTTGGCCGCAGCGTAAGTCGCATGATTCGCTCCCTGCCTTGCGCTCCGTTGCTAACACTGCTCCCTTGATGCGATAGGACTCCTTTGACGATCCCTCTCCAAATCACCCTCTCCGACTTCAAACTCTCCGGTTTCGTTATCCTAGTCTTCTCCAAGCAAAAAGGAATCACCGTCGTTTTTCGCAACGACCCCCTCGAATCGCTCAAGGTTTCGTCGACATTCGACTCCATCCCCTTTGTGCGTGACTTTCTGCAAAAAGAAATCGAGGGTCAGCTGCGCATCCTGTTCATGGACGAGCTACCCGCCATCATACATCGACTATCCCTTCGCTTATGGGTCCCCGAATACCGCATGGGGGAGGAAGCGCAAAACCGCGCCGACGACAACGCCGCTACCGAAGGCCCGGGTCAAGATCCGCTGGCCAGCCCTCCTCAGGATCCCGTCGATGCTCAAGGAAATGCCTTGAATGACTCGGATATTGCCTCCCTTTCGCTCGATTCGTCCGTCGAGACCCATTCCTTGTTCTCGCAGAAGAACCTCCTGCGACTGGCTACTCTCACGGACTCGCAACGCACGTTATCGCTCTTTACCCCCTCGATCCAAGAAGTGGTGTACCGCGCATGGACATCGCCATCCGACCAGGGTGACGGAAATGGAAGCGTGGTGTCTCCATTGAGCCCCGTCCTCTCGCGCACCCAGTCCCACGTTGGCAGCATGTCTTCCTTCCAAGACAATGCTAGCATGGTATCAGCACATAGTCGGTCTTCTGCCTCGACCCACGCCTTCAGCAGTTACGGTCTGAGCCTCGGAGCCGGTCGCCATTCGAAGGCCCACTCTAGGAAGCGCAAGAAGCGCGTCGTGGATTTGCGCCGGCCCAAGGTTTCGGACGAATCGGCAAGTGTTAGCGATGAAAGCGCTTTTACCGAAACCACCAGCGCGCCGTCCGTGTGCTCGGCTCCGCTCCCCGTTGTCAGCGAACAGCCTGACGACCCGGTAACGCCTCCCTTGTCTCCGGACAGCGATCTTCAACTTCCGACGATCCCCGAGCGTCATCGCACCAGCCTTTCCCGCCCTGCGCCTCGTCGCAATATTGCAGCAGAGATGCTGCGCGAGCCTGGAGAGTCTTCTTCAGCGCCCACGAGACATGGAGATGTTGACGCAACTCCTCGAGCTACCGTGCGTCCTCACGGTGCTTCTCGACGCAACAGCCAGAAGCAAGAGACTGAAACATCTCGGCAATTGCCCTCTACCATTCTTCCCTTTACTGAAGAAAAGCCTGGGACTGGTGCCGTCGACCAAGCCTTGGTGGAAAGGCTGGCGGGAGAAATTGCCCGTCGCATGCGAGACGAAAAGTTGATGCCCAACAGCTCTTGCAGTCCCTTCTGGGGTCGTGCCAACCATGAGGACTCTCCTCCGCCGGCCTACGGCCAGTGAAACTCCCACGATGAAGAACCTACCGGTTCTTAGCCACTCCTTATCTTTCTTATCTTTCTTCGTTCTTTACTCCAGCGAGTCTGGGCTCTTTTCTTACTAATGACCGATACGACCTCGATTTTAATCCTTGCACCCCTGTGATTCTTGTTTTCGACCTTCGATCTTTCGACCAAATTGTGACTTTCAGCGAGACTAGATACTGTACATTGTTTTTCTTTTTTCTTCCGGTGTATCCTAAAAAATCTGCTGGCGTTGTTTGTGTTTTTGTGCGGATACCACTTCGCTCGTTTTTTTTGTGTGATATATTTGGGACTTGGGTGGTATCCAGGAATAGGCTTTAGTGAACATATAACTAATCGTTCTTTATCATTGTGATTCTACTTAACTCCTTAGTTATTTCATTTCTCTGTAATCTTTAGTCTTGGCGTGGAGGCGGCCGCACTAGCGCCAAGTCGGTCCCCATCGCTTTTGCGACGAACGTCAATTCGCCTCTCCCTTCTCTTTCTTTCTCCTCCCGCCACGTTGTCAACCCCGGACGGTTTAGGAGCCTGCTGTCTGAACCTCCCTCCTTTTCCCTTTCGTCATGGCGAACTTGCTTAAGAATGTGTTCGGTGGCTCCCAGCCATCGGGTGCAGCCAAGGTTGAGGATGGTAAGTCCCGCAGCAATTGACTGACACCCAGGCACGTCAGCATCGGCCGAACCTGGGGTAATTGGATCATCTCAATTGACTTGCATCATCAACAGACTTCGCCGACTTCGTGAGCGCTCCGAACCCGTCTCCTGCCTCTATCGTGGCCTCTTCGGCCTCCCCGGTGCCGGCGTTCAACACCCAGGGCGTCGGAGCTGGCGTCCCGTATACGAAATGGTACCGGGTGTGGGAGCGGACGTCGCCCAAGGACTTCATCCAGGAGGCCATGGTGGCGCCCATCATCCTGCTGATTGTCGTCTTCCATCTCTGGGGTACGCGGAAGAACCGACGCAAGGCCCGGGACTGGGCCCAGGCTCACGCATCCGCCCTTCACAGCGAATTCGCCGTCGTGGGCTTCAACGGCGCCCAGAAGTCGGAGGATGTCGCCTCGGAGCTGATTTCCCCGGACTCCTTGTTGAAGGAGAAGACCCCCCAGGAGTTTACCTCGTACGCTACCGGCCGACAGAACGTGGCTTTCGTGGACATCGCGGTCAAGCTGCCCAAGCGCTACAACCCCGTCACCTACTGGATGGACTTGGTCTTCGGTTTCCTGTTCGACAGCTGGCAGGCGCCCACCGAGACATTCGAGGCCGTTGCGTATACTTTTGATGGCAAGGAGAAGGACGTGGTTCCCGTTCCTGCCCAGGACACTTCCTCTCTCAAGGTCAACAACTCGACCTACGACAGCTTTATCTGGGCCGTTGTGCATAAGAACCATATGCGCCAGTTCCGTAATGATCGCTACGACGCTTCGATGACTTTCACCAGGGACAATGCCAAGCTCCCCCAGTGGGTCACTGTGATGACTGAGAGTGCCGAGATCACCGACGCTCTTCTTACCCCGGAATTGATCCAGGCCATTGAGAAGGCCGGCGAGGATTTCAAGTACCTGATTGTCACGGACCAGCCTACGGACAAGCCTCTGAAGTGAGTCATCTGCCCTGGTTTGACCTTTTGATGATAGTCTAATCGTTTCCCAGGATCGAGGAAACTACCCCTAGAAAGCGCATTCAAGTCTGCACGAGCCTTCCTTCTTCTGCCTCCGGATATGCCTCTACGCTGCCCCTGTTCACTCAGTTCCTCCGCTTTGCCGACAAGCTTGTGGCCTCGGCTCACTTCCGTGCTGAGGTGCTGCGCAAGGTCCGAAACGCCCGCGAGGAGGAAATCAAGAAGCTCCGTCGCGTGGATGAAGAGGAAAAGGCCGAAGAGCGCAAGTTGGCCGCCGAGAAGATCAAGAAGGAGGAGCGTGAACGTCTCCTGCGTGGCATGAGCGCCGACGAGCAGCGCAAGTTCCTCGATCGGGAGCGCGAGAAGGGACAGCGCCGTTCCATGAAGCGGTACACCAAGAAGGGTTAAACTTGCTCCGAACCAGACGAAGGAAGGAGAATCAAGGCGCGGTGGATGAAAAGCGATCGGCTTGTAATGCTACTTTGGCATACCTTCATGTATCATGTATTCCTAATCTATTTTGGTGAGTGTCTGGGCGGATCAGGATGTTAATATTGATTGTGTGGACGATTACCTTGTCTTCTGCTTAGAAGTGCAGAACTATCGAATTGATGCGTTGATTATGGTTACGTTTTCGCGAGTGTCTGGCAGAACTTTCCCTCAGTCTTACTTTCTTTCTCTTCCATCCCTCCTTCCTTTCGGGTCCATCGGACTTCACTTGAACTTCAACTCTCGGGTTTGACACGACCCTAATCATCATGCCTGGATCAATGTACTCATTCTAATTAAACCCCATTCATACGCATCGATGATGGCGTCCACTCATTTCTTCCCCCTAGTTATCCTTACCCTCGTCACTCTCTTTGCCTCCGTGAGTTTTGCCTCCCCGATGGTGATCATGGCCACGCATCCTCTCAGAAACTCTACATTCCATATCCCAGTCGAATATGGCGTCCCACCATACACAAATGCAACCGCGGTGGAAGTTCTCGACCCCAGCGATCGAACCCATCCAGACGATAACTGGACTCTCCCCGGCCCTCCTGATCTTGGTCACGCACCATCCTCGAACCACACCACGCCAAAGACAGTCCCAGTAGGCACCGTGATCACGGCCTGCACAATGCCTGGCACTATCGCCCTGACCTTTGACGACGGGCCGTCGCACCACACTCCTAAACTGCTCGACCTGCTATCGGAATACGGCGTCCGCGCTACGTTCTTTGTCAATGGCTACCATCTCGAGCATAACGGGCATGCGGAGTACCTAAAGCGAGCAAGCGAGGAGGGTCATCAGATTGCGTCTCATACGTATATTCCCTCTTTTATTGGTTTAACGAGCTCATACACCACCCTTGGGCCTAATTGAACGAGTAAGAAGCTAACATGACAAACCCACCTAGATACGACCACCCCCAACTCCCCTCCCTCGACTACGACGGCGTCTACGAGCAAATGACCCGCCTCAGCTCTAAAATCCGCGACATCATCGGCGTGGCGCCGACCTACATGCGGCCGCCGTATCTAGAAGTCAACGACCTGGTTCTCAGCGTTCTCGGCGACCTTGGGTATCGTGTGATCTTGGCCAGCATTGACACCAAGGACTACGAGCACAACACGCCGTGGCTGATTGATCGCAGCTACGAGCGGTTTGTTGATGAACTGGAAGCGGGCGGGACGATCGTGCTGGCGCATGATACGCATCGGCAGACGGTTGAGACGCTGACCAAGGCGATGCTGGAGGGGGCGAAGATGAGGGGGCTGAAGGGTGGGTTTTAACTTTGTGTTTCTGGACGAAGTGTGTGAATGGGACGGGATTGCTAACAAGGTGCTATAGTTGTTACCGTGGGCGAGTGCTTGGGCGAGTCGGAACGGCTGTGGTATCGTTGATGGTGGAGGGGGCTCAGAGTCCATTGGATATACATATCCCAACTTGGTCGTTTTGCCAGGTTTGCTCCTTGGTGGTATCGTTAAACTGGATTGGTTCGAGTGTATATTGTTAGCCTGTCTGCTGTCTTGCGCTGTCAATGTAACGGTAGAGGAGGTGTTGATCTAGTGGATCCCCTGGTGCTTGATCCACTGACTAGAAACACCGACATGGTTACGGTCTGAACTTGCTTTCTTCGTAGGTTTTGTATAGCATCGAGCTGGTATGTCATGGATATGTCATTTGGCTCTAGATATTGACACCTCTCAACCTTGGATTCGATTCGGTCCGACCCGACGACAACTCTATACAGTCCCAGATTTCTACCCTCCTCCTTCCCTCCCAGCAGTGCCCACGTCTATCCGAATATTTATCCTCGGAGTAATTTATGCATATAGATTTCAAACAAGCCTTTGCATTTACATCACAGCACAGGAAAACCTAACAGGAGAAAACCTATACCAAGGCCGACTTCTGGCCAACCACCGGGTACACCTCGCATAAGGCCAAATGCCTCGTCCGTCCCAAGACCAAGGCGATATCGAAAAAGTGACACGATAACATAAATCCCTCCTCCTGGTCCGATGTTAGTCCCGTCCAAGGCCATCGCAAGATGAAATCCGCTCACGGAATCAGCGCTGGCTGGGAGGACAGCCAGCTTATCGTATCGTCTACAGCAGCATCGGACTAGTTCGGGACACAGTCGAGCGGTCCATCATTCTATGCACGGCGTTCAACCCGTTAACACTTCTTCAACTGGCGAAGGGGAGGGAGCGCTTTACCCCCTCGATGAAATCATAATGCTGCCCGGCAGGACAAGGGCTGGATTGTCGTTTCGCCGCCGAATGGTCTACCACGCAGCCACCGACCTCATCATCCTAAAAGGCCCCGGTCGGTCGTTAGCACGCTATGCAGCATATGGGCTGATGGGCGGGTTCCTCACCCCATCGGGATACTCCCACACCGTGCCGGGGGGACAGACGCCCTCTTGTCTCTTCGCGGGGATATTGGCCGTGCCGGCTCTGGCGGGTGCTGGGGCGGCGACTGCGAGCGCGGCGAGGAAGGAGGCTGAGAAGATGATCGAGAGCTTCATGGTGGGTGGTGGAGGAATCACTAGTTGGAGTGGAGAGGGAAGAAGACTGGCGGAGTGAAGAGTGGGTATTTATCACAATCTATTGCCTGGATATGTAACCACTTTGGCTCAGCTGAGAAGAGAAAGAACAGCAAGGGATATTATCTATGAATGGTATTGGTCCAAATGGCAATGCAACTATCCTAAGCTGCTTTATGTATGGAGCACTCCTCTTGGAGAAATCTTGCCAAGATATCAATACACTCTAGAGAAGCCCCTTGCTGGGAGGGTAGAGGCGGTGGGTCTACTGATTTCAGTACAGTCTGTCTATGTCTGATATTAGAGTGAATACTTGATCCATCATGCTATAGCAAGACACGGCTAATCCAATATTGATACGAGGTAGTATAAAGAGATATGCATGCGTATGTACTTGAATGACTCTCTACAATCCTTGCCCTGTAAATGATATTTCTTAACGCTTGCTATATACAGGATCTGTAATTATAGAACATGATCAGGTCACCATTAAACACCCTGTCCAGTATCACCTCGTTCAGACCAAGTGCTAAGGCTTCACATCTATTGGAGACATACCCAGTATACCTATTATCACCCAGGTTCCGGTTCCGGATGATAACGAAGACCGGCAGACAGTCTTAAAGTACTAAGAGAATATTTATTTCTCTTCCTCCTGTTGGCGCTTAGCGTGCTCAGTCTCCTCCTGGACCTCCGAACAACGACCTTGCTCGCCCTATCCCAAACCGCCTCGTTAGCACTATATCTCTTATCGAATGCCAACGAAAGACAAGCAAAATAAATCAATCACTCACCTCACCAACCCACTCTGACCCAGGAGGACAGACCGACTGCTCCTGTCCCTCCTCGGGAGTGGTGTCCTTCGCGCAATAACCGACATCATTCTCCTATCCGACGCCGGGCCAGTCAGTACAGACACTCCAGTGTCACAATCGCCATCGCAATCGCAATCGTTCGAGGTCGAGAAAAAAGAATCACTTACATCCAGCTCGAGATGCTGCCCCTCAGGACATTCCCCGTCCTCGGGAAGGTCTCGTTTCTCAGCAGACCCGGTACTGTGGTCGACCACACAACCGCCGACTTCGTCGTCCTGTGCGGATCCAACGCCCGGATGGTTAGCACCCCCCGTAATCTATAGCGTAAAGGAAAGGGTGGTAAGAGAATGTCTTACCCCGTTGGGATACTCCCAGACAGTTCCGGGCGGGCATTGTCCTTCTCCCCCTTCTCGTTTTTCGGGCAGGTTGGCTTGGCCGGCTCTGGCGGGTGCCGGGGCGGCGACTGCAAGGGCAGCGAGGAACGAGGCGGAGAAGATAGTCGAAAGCTTCATCGTGGGTTGGTTGGTTGGAAATTGGGTTGGAAATTGGATTGAAGAGTTGATATTTGAGTTTTGGGGAATTGAAGAACTTGATGGATTAAAGAATGAAACAACGCAGGAGAAGAGAGTGGTATTTATAGTCGGATTGTAAGGGCCTTTTGCCAAGCTATACGTGCACTTCAGCTCAGCTCAGCTCCGTAGACATGCCAGATGAGAGTACCTGGATATTATCTGTCAAAATGCCCTGTCATAGAGGCAATGCGATACTACGTCACGGATCCAGAGCACTGCCATTGAGAAACGTACCAAGACTGCATACGCAATGTCGTTCTAGATAGAAGCGATGCCCCTTGCAGGGAGGGTAAAAGTCATGGCGATTGGTTTACTAAGTCCAGCGCAGTGGTTCTGCATATGATATTGCCCGAGATACTGAATCAGAACGGAGTGGGAAGAGTAACCGAACGGCACTGCGGATGTCGATGTCAGTAGCAGCACCTAGGCTGCAAATGAAGTAGAGTGAATATGCAATTAGCTTAGCATGGTGACTGCTGACAGCGCTATTGGATATTGCTCGGGTGTCGGAATCAAACCTAAAAGGACACAGCTCAAAGAATTACTCAGTAAGCCTGTAGCTGAGAATATGCGGTAGATTAACGTCATAAATATGAGTAACAGCATTCATATAAGCAAGGGCTGAGAACTTAAGATACAGAAAGTGATCTGTGTCACTGTACCTGCCTGCCAAGTTATTGATATGTCATATAGTTCAGTAAGTACGGGGTAGTTGAATGACGGATCAATGTCGCTCCCTAGCCAGTAAACTGACTTCTTTCTTGGGCGTGTCAATGTGATTGTTCATGTATGGGTTGTCGAAAGATCATCTTTTTGTTCGATGTATATGTATATTTGTGGGGAAATTCAGATCCATATACCTCAAGTTGGTAAGTTGGTAAATTAAAGTAAGCTGAAGCTGTGGCTGAGCGCCTGTCTATCTACTAACTATGTATGAATGTACGGAGTACTCAGTGGGAATCAACTCATTGTATACGGGATTCTTCTTTTACTAGAAAAGACATACCAACTTGACATTTAACCACTAGGCAAGCCGGTGTAGCCTATATCTATCCAAACCCGACCAGTTAGTATATGGAATTATAGGTACTATCTCCGGCACTGCTCAGAGAAAAGGCCCAAATGCCAACCAAAGACTTTCATTCCTACTCTTCCTCCTCTCGGCCAAGAAAAGCATTGAGCTAATCCAACACACAATACAGCGAGCCATCATCGTATTTAAAGCCAGCTAGTTTGCATGTATTTGGGGTATTGTAAGAGATAATAAGCAGAGAAGGTGAAGTTCTTATATATCTACGATTACCTTTCGATTTTGGGTCATATTATCGTCAGACACCCTGCAGGTATGATATCACCTTGACTAGATGCTAGGGATTGGTAAATATCTGCAGAATACACGCCGTAGTAATGAAGTATATACAAGATCCAAATTAAGCCTTTGCATTTACATTGTACCACGTTGAAACCTATACCGAGATTTGAAGCTTCGTGACCCTTCAAGAAGTCCACATTTTACTTATCCCATCCATTTACTAAACAGTAGAAAGTACTAGCCTGTGATATCTTCACAATATCAATGTCCTTGCTGTGAATTTATCGAAGACCCGACTCGTTAGCTCATACTCTATCCCCTATTCCAGGCAACAAAGGACTTACAGAAGCAATTAACTCCAAAAGATCCTCAGGCTCTTGACGCTTAACGGGGCCCCTCACACACTTGACGGTACCCGGATAGTCAGTATACATCATGTCCAGCGTCGATAGGAGAATCCCAGAGCCACTTACGAGACCGGAAACCTCATCCTGACCAGCAGGACAAGGCCCCCCCTGCCGCTTAATGACCTGGGGCTGGGGCTCTGCGGCGGGCGCTGCCACCGCAATAGTAGCAAAGAAAGCCGCGGAGAAGACGGTTGAGAATTTCATGGTGATTTGATTTGAGCTGTCTAGGGTGTAGGGAGGTTGGAGAGTGAAGACCTGGTTTAAAGGAAAGAGTAGCTGACATTTAACAGATTCATCTGCCCAATTACTCCGTAGCTCTTAAATAAGGAAGTAATATCCAATACCTTAGGAGATATTACAGATCTGTATTCCTGTCCTTGTGTGCAGAACAATCAACATGATCTTAGCCTTACCTATAACTCCATAGCAGCAATACTGCGGAGTATTCCGCCTTGTTTTTGAACCCTCACCAACGCTGTGTGACGATGATATACCCCTCCACATGATCTCCAGGATAAAAAGCCCGATAATGCATACCAGATAACGAGAGGTCGGCCCCTTGCAGAGATAAAACGCGGTATACTGAATCCAGCGCTGCTTTTCCGCTGGATGACATTGTGAGCAGAGCCCGAACAGTAAGGAGATGGCGAGAAGTAGCACAACAAGCATGTTTAATTAAGATAGCTGTACCTGAGGAGGCCTGACAGCTTACAGTATGTATAAAAAGGAGCTTAAAAGCGTGTTGTGGCACCTTTATATACAGAATTATTAGCTAACTGCTTTTATCTACTAGATAAATGAAGAAGATTCCAGATTCCAGTTTAGGTTTACATCCAATCAGTATAGCGACTGGGGTGAATTCTCCTTGCATACTGCTAGATGCACCAGGGATATAAGACAAACAGCAGCAGTAGATTAGGAACGGAATATAGAGAAGATAAGAATATAAACTTACCTAATTAAGCATAGTCACAGCTGGCAGGGCTATTAGATATTGCTCAACCTAAATGAAGCCTGAACAGATAACACCGTAAGGGCTAGTTAGACTCTAGTCGAGAATGTTTAATAAAAGTGATGAATTTAATGAAGGATTATTCACCGAAATAGATAGGAATGTGTTTTGAGCGGGAATTCAGGTATCAAAGTCGAGACAGTAGATCCAGAGATATCTAAATGAGCTTTATATCTAGCTAGCGCGATGTCGAAGCAACCATCTACCCAGAATGTGCTATATGAAAATCAATTAATCAAACCAGTCCAATCTATATCCAAGACATTCTTCAAACGCCTAGCTATATAACTGATGCTATGTATGTTTGTATGTTATAGATCTATGCACTCGAAACCCCGAAACTCAACAGACTCCCGGCAGTCAAACCTCCCACCAACATCAATCCCATAAACGCTCCCGTCGGCTCCCTTTCATCCTCCGAGACCCAGTGCCCCGCACCCATCATGCAACTGCTCCCGAGATACCCGTTCGAAACACCGAAAAGGAGCTGCACAATGACCAGGTAGAAGAAATCACTAGGCACCGACGCCCCGCGACCACGGATGTTGCAGAGGAGATAGAGCGGAATGAATGCGACACGGGCGATGGAGAGACAGAATAGGGCCCAGGGGCGGTGGGCGAGAGAAATGGAGGGAATGAGAACGAGCATGCGGCCGACGAGGTCGCCGACGTTCCAGAAGAAAAAGCCCAGTGGGATGAAGATGGGAGAGTCGAAGATGCGAGAGCGGGTGGAGGGGTCGCGCACCGACTCGATCTCTGCGGTGAACACGGGGAAGGTCATGGTAACGGCGTAGCAGAGGAAGATGGCCAGGGCCATGAGGCGGAGTTTGCGGAAGAGGGTGAGCAGGCCAACGGTTTTGGTGGGGTGGTCCGAGTGATGGTCGGCGTCTTCGGGGGGAGAAGTACGGTTTGGATGGTCGTCCTGGAAGAGGTCGGATCTCAAGAGGGGAGTGGATGAGCGGCGCTTGACCAGAGAAAGGAAGGCGAGTAGCGCTGAGAAGGAGACCACGGTAGCGGTGATGAAGTAGACGAAGGCGGATGTGGACGATTCCTGCGGTGTTTCTTCAGGTTGATCGCCCTTTCTCTGCGGCACGGCGAGAACGGAGAGGATCTGAACGATGCACGGCAAAACACCAGCAACGCCTTGACCGGCCATAATGGCCTGAGTATACTCCTCCCTCCCGAACCCGGAGACATAAGCGAAGACGCCGTTCTGGTTGATTCCCGTCGCCAAACTAGCCCCAAAGACCATCACCATGAGGAAGCCAAAGTAGGTGCTCACGGAGACATGCTTCGCGATGATGGTCGAGAACGCCAGCAAGGTGAACACGGCGATGTTGATGAGCAGCGAGATGCTTATACGTCTCGGGTACGAGGCATCCTTCTGGAGCTTTGCGAGGATATACACCGAGCCCAGGTTTGTGATGGTGGACACGGTCAAGATGGAGGATTGGTAGTGGGTAGCTGCCCAGTCGTCCGATTGGAAACGATGATAGAAGTACGGGGCGGCGGCAAGGAACATGTTCCTGATGAAGATAGCGTTAGAAAGGCTCCTCCAGGGATGAAGCATGTTGGAGCTCGGGACCTACCACGCCCACAGCATCGAGACCCCCAGGATAAAGAACACCGCATATTCGAACCGGGAGAAGGGAGGGGCCGGCTGATGCTCTGAGATAGACTGATGATCCTCATCGTCGGGGTAGGCGGGTTGCTCGATAGGCTCATACTCCGGCGGAGGAGTAGCCGCCCATTTTCGGATGCGATCCATAATTTTGGTAGTTGAAAAGAGCAGAGTCCCTTACCGAAAGAATAGAGGGACCGTGGAGAGAAAGAACTCAGGCCATGGTTGAAAGTCGACGGAGGACAGGTAGTTGTCGAGGGAGAAGCGGAGGGCAAGTCATCTGAGGCCGATAAGACGGGAGAAGCAAGGATCGCCAAGGCGGGTGGGTCACGTTGGCATCGTCATCGACACGACGGAGTCTGAGCCAGCTATACATACGGACTGTACATTGTCACCACTGAGTTATTATGTTAGATTGATTGCTGAGCCAAGTGGAGATTAGTGTATTATTTCTCTATACCCTCCATCCTATTCACCACCAAGAAGCTAAAGAAATCCCATCAGAGAGGCGATGGTCCGGTGATAGATACATCAAACATCAAATGTATAAGGCACAAATGGAAGATCGAATAATCTACAGTGCCGCATGCTCCAAAAGATAAAAAAAGAGAAAAATAAAATCAAGAAAGGATAACCGACTATAAATCCCAACCGGCTATGTGCATGGAGTCGGACTAGAAAGGAAACCAGTCTCTATCAAGCCCTTTATTCGTTCTTCGATTGCTTCGGAATCGCTTCCTCTACATCCTCGTCTTCTTCTTTCTGCAGATTCCACAGTTTCTCCTGGGTGGTCGGGCTGATGGGGGCACTTTGGGGTGGTTGCGTTGCATCGCCACCACTCATTTGCCATTCCATCAATTTCGTAAACGCACCGTCGGGACGGGAGCTCAGTTCTTCGTATGAGCCTTGCTCGGCTACCTTTCCGTCCGGACTGAGCACGATGATCGTGTCGGATCGTTTGATCGTAGAAAGTCGGTGAGCGATGCTGATCGTGGTGTTGTTGCCGCGCAGGAGGGCAGCAAGAGCGCTGTTGACGAGCGTCTCGGACTCCGCGTCAAGTGCGGAGGTTGCTTCGTCGAGAATCAAAATATCAGGGTCCTTAATCAGGGCGCGAGCAATTGCAATCCGCTGCTTCTGTCCGCCAGAGAGCTGAGCGCCTCGAGCACCCACTTGAGTGTCAAGTCCATCGGGCTACACTCGTTAGCCAATTGATCAGGAAGGTATACCGGAGGCACTTACGAAATCACTGATGAACTGGCAGTTAGCCTTGCGAGCTGCCGCAATAATCTCCGACTTGGTCGCATGTGGACTGCCGTAGGAGATATTGTCGGCAATAGACCCAGAGAAAAGAACGGGCTCTTGCGAAACCACGCCGATCTTTCGTCGCAGGGACTTGGCGTTCATCTTACAGATATCCTTTCCGTCGATGAAAACCTTACCTTCGGTAGGGTTGTAGAACCGGAGCAAAATGGAAGCAATGGTCGATTTGCCACCTCCCGAAGGGCCGACGATGGCAACGTTCGTGCCCTGAGGAATCTCGAAGTCTAGATCTCTGAAGATGGGAACAGCCGGTCGGGTTGGGTAGCTGAAGGAAACATTCTCAAACCGAATAGGGCCCCGCGCCGACACGACCTTGGCGCCTTTGGTAGGAGAGATAGTGGGTTCGCGGTCTTGCAACTCGAACAGTCGACTCGCAGCACCGACGCCTTTCATCAACTCGGAGTAGAAGCTCGAAAGGCCGAACATGCTAGAGCCGGCATACGCAGTGTACATCAAGAAGGATGTCAGCTCTCCGATGCTGATGGCGCCGCTTCCAACCATTCCTCCTCCGACATAGAGGAGCGCTAGTATCGTCATGTTACCCATGAATCCGGTCTAGATATCCATGATTAGAAGGCTCGTTGCCAAATTCAAGGCAGGGAAACATACAGAACTGAAGAAGGTTGCACTGATCACAGATTCTTTCTTGCCCAGGTCAAAGATCTTGCGCACTTGAGTGTTGTAACGATTGACCTCGAGGACTTCCCCGGCGAAAGACTGACTCGTCTTCACATTGCCTAGGCGTTCTTCGGCGATCTTGGTCAAGTTTCCGAGGTTTCTCTGGATCTTGCGACTCAAGTTTCGGATCGCCCGGCCGTAAAAGAAAGCACCGAGACCAATGGGAGGAAGCAACAGAGCCAAGATACTGGACAGTTTGAGACTGACGTATGCCATCAAGCCAAAGCCCGCAGCGCCACTGACACCTGCGCGCAAACCGTCGGACAAGTTCTGCGTGATACTCTTACCCACGATGATGGTATCCGAGCTGAGGCGGGAGATCAAATCACCGACTCGGTTGGCGTCAAAGAACTCGGCGTCCTGGATGAACGTCTGCCGGAAGAGCTTCGAGCGAAGTCTAGCAACGATGCGTTCTCCGACAATGCGCAGGATGATGATTCGTCCATAGTTTGCTGCGGCGCCTAGGGTAAGGATACTGGCCAGAGCGCCGTAGAACATCGGGATGCTCAGTCCGAACAGCTCAGTGCCGCCGCCTTCGGTGGACTTTGTCGCCGCATCCATGATCTTTCCGATCGAAAATGGGATTGACATGGTGATGGATGAAGACACCAGCAGGAACAGAAACGCTAATCCAAGTTTCCTGGCCTCAGGCCGTGCGATGGACAGAAGACGCCATATCTCCGAGAAACCTGACTTCTTCCCCGAGGCCCCGTCTTTGGCGAGTTTCGCTCGGAGATTAACCTGAGCCGCTTGGGCTGCCCTTTCCGACAGCTCAAATCCTTTATCAGCTTCATCGTCTTCCTTGTCCTGGTTGGTTTTCTGGGTTGCTTGCGGAGCGTCCGTCGTTTGCGCGGTCGGCTTATTCTCTAGGGAGCGTGATGTCGAGGCAAAGGACCGCAATTTCTGTATTAATTGGGGCTGGAGCCTGGCATTGGCGTGATGGAAATCCGAGAAACCGGTAGGCTGACAAATGCCATTTGTATGACGATTGCGAAATGGGGTAGAGAAGCTGGAGAACGAGCGATTGAGAAGACCGCGAGCACTCAGCGAAGGCGCTGGTGCGTTGGCTCCAGGGTAGAGATCAGTCAAGACGCACGTCCTCGGCAGGACGAATGGTCTTGAAGCAACCCCTGGAGCCCAAGAGGTAAGCACCCTGACTCCGCGCATTGCGGAATTGAAGATGCGAAATCGGCCGGCTGTTCAGGATGTCACGGGGTGTAACACATTGCCATATCTTACTGAACTAAGAGGCGAGGGTATTCATGTCCGTGGACACCGGCAGCTTCTCGGGAAAATAGGAACGGGGTTGGCGGAGGCAAATTGACCGAAGCGAGAAGCGAATGAAGCTTGGGAAGACTTGGGATGCATTAGCCAAATCCGATAATCGCCGTCGGTTTCGGGCGGTGTTCTGCCGAGAGTCACCGCCTGCCGGGTGCTCCGCCGCATCGAAGGAGGTCCATAGCTTTCGATCGATGGTGGGAAGAGGCTGCCCTGGACTAGACTGACTTGCTTTTGATGGTGAGATCTGCACTGAATAATTCACTCCTCGCAACTCGCTCTGTACATACCTCTTTCTCTTCATCCACCGACTCCACGATTTGATCCTTCATTGATTGAACCCCACTTCTACTGCCCCTCTTACGAACCGCGACCTTTCTGTGTCCCAAGATGGTGCTCGATTACAGCAAATGGGACGCCTTGGAGCTGTCCGATGACTCCGATATTGAGGTTCATCCGAATGTCGACAAGCGCTCTTTCATTCAGGCCAAGCAGAACCAAATCCACCAGCAGCGTGTGCACCGCCGCTATGAAATCGATACGTTGAAGTACGAACGAGTCATCAACGATGGACTCCTCTCGCGCATTGACAAACTACTCGCAATCTTGCGGGAGCACGAAGGCTCCAGGACTCCTGAGGAATACGTGTTCCAGGTCCTTATGGAAAGTGCAGCAAACCCCGCCGAGGATTCGCCGCCCGAGGCACCGGAAGGCGTCCACACGCAGGTGAAGGAGCAGCCAAAGTACTCGCAGATGATGAGCTCTCTGGTGGATCAGGTCAAGCAGGAGATCGGCGATGTCAGCACGGAGGAACTGACCAAGGCATACATCAAAGGGGTGCAGGGACACAAGGACAAGGTGCAAGGGCTGCAGAAGGAACTTCTGGAAAGACTCGCGCAGCTCGAGAAAGAGGAAAGCAGCAAGATCACAAGTGACATGCTGCACACTGGATTCGACACCTCCCATGTGGCCAAGGCGGAGGCCGACAAGGGCAAGGCGGAGGCCGACAAGGGCAAGGCGGCTCAGTCGGAATCCGTTGAGCTTCTGAACCCGGCAGCGGGAAGCCAGGCGTCATCGCAGAAGACTGGCGGCGATGATGACGAGGAGGAGGACCCGGAGAACATGAAGGCTAGCGATTTGGCCAAGCGGTTCGCAAAGATCAGTCGTTCCGACTACCGATCCTTGCAGCAATTCATTGGCGAAAACCCGCAGATTGTCGCGGAGAAGGAGACCGACGGTTTACTGGTGGAGGCTTTCAACAGTCAAATGGCCGGAAAGGACGATTATGCCCGCTCGTGCGTTCACCAAGGACTGCTGCTGCAGTACTGTCGCTCCCTGGGCCGGGACGGAATTTCCCTGTTCTTCAAGCGGTACGCACCCCTGATAATCCCCCTCCATCATTAGTGGAGGCTAACAGAACCCCCACAGTATCACCACCAAGGACCACCAAGCGTCGACACTCTTCCAGAAAGATGTCACCGAAACCTATCACAGAATTAAGACCCGCGCCGCAGAGCTTGCGAAGGACAGTTCCGCCTCGAACGACCCTGCCGGTGTGGAGCAAATCCAGCTGCATGCCGTGGATCCCAACACGAAAATCACTATCAACATCCCTGCAGCAAACAGCACAGAACCGATCGAGATCGAAGCCCGCAAGGTCTTCGACTCCTTCTCCGAGGAGCTCCAGAAGGCTCTGGCCTCGGAGTCTCTGGATGAGGTCAACAAGGTGCTTGGAAAGATGAGCGTACCGGAAGCCGAGGATCTTATCGAGAAACTCGGGGATAGCGGCATGCTCAGTCTGGAAGAAGGCATCGTCGACGCTACCACGGAAGAGGGCAAGAAGAAGTTGGAGGAACTGGAGGCTGAGGGCAAGAGGGAGAAGAAAGAAGAAATCGGCGAGCCTGGCGGTGATGTTGCCGAGCTGGACTAAGTTCGCGGGTTGTTGTAAAGTGCATTTGGCTTGGTTTATGGCATGGCCCAAAACTTCTGTCATGAATTGCCCCAAATTCAGTCGTATCTAGGGGTCGTTATATACTTTGTATAATTTTGCATTTCTGAATAAGCGTTGTGAGCTACGATTCCGAATTCTCGTACAGACTGGACTGCAAGCAGTGACTTGAATATATTGACTAAGTGACTGATGATCAAAATGAACTGTATGCGTTATTTACCTACATAAATTAAGAGAGAAAGGGTTTAGAATAGAAAGACACAGGTGGCAGAATAGTAAGCTAGAACAAAAAGAAAATGGAGAAGAATCATGCGTAACAAAATACGGGCCAAGTCGAGAGGACATGTCAAGCAGCCGGAGGTAAATGGAAGAATAGGGGATGGATGGATAGCGGTAGGTAGTCATGGTAGAAGGCGCTGGAATGCAGTAACATCAAGGAAACGAGCAAGACTCTCATGAGGAGCGAAGACATTCCTTCCCCGTGCTCGGCCCATATCTTGAGGGGATGTTTTGTTGTGTATCGAACCGGTCTCGCGATCTAGACCCCACTGACACCGGGAGCCTTCTCGTCTTTCTTCAGATCGAGCAGCAGCTCGCGGAAACGTTCCTTGCCAGATCCACTGGCACCGCCCTTGGTTCCCTTTCCAGAAATGTCAACCAATTTCGCAATACGTTCCCAGCTGGTGCCGCCAGACGAGGTGTCTTCCCGGTTGGACAGGAATTGTTCGGCCTCGGCCTTCGTCTGTGCACGGAGCTTGTCGGTCTTGTTGTTGTAAGAGACGTAGAAGTCGTCGATGTCTTCTCTGGCTTTCTGGACGGTCGAGTTCTTCTTTTCCTCGGAGATTTCGGCGCGGCGGGTGATTTCCGCATCACGCTTCTCGCGCCATTCCCTATAGAAGGCTCAACGTTAGAGCGCGGCTTACTTCACATCGGACAAGGAATTGGCGCAGGGTATAGATGTTGCGTATCAGAGCGTTGGGTACATACCTGACGGGTTCAGGTTCCTCCTGAGGTTCTTGGTAGCTGGAGTAGCCGGTGGGTGGGAAGGGAGCGCCGGTTCCAGTGATGGTACCGCCCGGTGCAACTTGCTGTTCGAAAAGGGGGAATACATTAGTAAACAATTACCAGTATGGTTTGAGACAATCAGATATTACCTCATTCTGCGACTCCAGAGCAGGGAACGACGATTCGAACCCTGACATCTCCTCGTGAGCAGGGCTGCCCGACGGGGCATCCGCCGCACCGCCCAGTAGGTCGTCATCGTCGACATTCTCAGCGACGTGGTCCTGGGAGGTCGCGAACTGTTCGGCATCATCGCCTAGCATAGCCCTCTCACGGGCCAGGAAGTCATTCTCATCGGCGCCGCCGTTGGTGTCAACCACTTCGGTTTGACCTGCAGGCCGGTTAGTATCACGGAGAAGGTACACAGTGAATGCGGGTTGCTAACCCGCAGAGAAATCCTCCAACGAAGGGAAACGGTCGGCCATGGTGATTTGGTTCGGTAGTATTCGAGAAGAGGAGTGTCAGGGGGACGTCGCGAAGGAATTCGGTATCAATGGGATGAGAAAGGAGAACCAGACGGGAAAGTAAGGCTCCAGCTGGCGTCAAGATGAGGGTTGCCGGAGCGTTGAATGGGGGACACGCCGGGGCGGTGGATTTTGCCCGCCCGGGCGGTGAGCAAGCTTAAGACAAAGGTGCGACAAGTCCAGCTTCACTACTTGCCTCAACAAGCCACTGCGAGCTGGGAAGTCTGTCCACGGGCTTTGCTGATTCGATCTCGATTCGATAGATTGTTCATAAATTTATTCACTAGCTCTACACCCGAGGGGACTCATTGCCATCTCGTAAGCGATTGTCGCAACGGACCCCGGCTCGTGTTGGCTCTACTCCCAGGGCTACTTCTCTTAGAGGCTTCACTTTTCATTCACTCCGGAGAGAAGATCAACTCAATTGCGGCTCATCCGCCAAGATAAGATGGCCTACACCGATGATGCTGTGAAGGCAAAGCTCTCCGCGCTCAACGAGACGCAGGAGGGCATTGTCACCGTCGCGCAATGGGTCATGTTTCACAGGTAACTGAATTACTGTCTACCTACTCGAAGTCGAGGAAGGAAGCTAATGTCTGGTTGAACAAAAGGCGACACGCCGATAGAACCGCGCAGCTTTGGCTGCAGAAACTCCGTGATTCGCCTGCCCCGAAACGATTGAACTTGGTATACCTTGCCAACGGTACAGCCTGATCCGATATCCGGTATTGAATCGAAGTTGACAAAATATATAGAGGTTGCGCAACAGTCGAGAGCCCGACGGAAGGACGACTTCCTCATTGCCTTCTCCCCGGTTGGTAATATCCTCTGATGGGCAAAGGGAACACCCGGCTAATAGAACCAAGGTCATCGCCGAAGCCGTGGCCACCGCATACAAAGGTGCTTCCAACGACATCCAAACAAAGCTTCGACGGGTGGTAGAAGTGTGGAGGCAAAGATCGATCTTTGAACTACCTATTCAGGAAGCGGTAGAGTCCCGTGTGGACGGTATGTTTTTGTCGCCCTCGATGAAAGGATCGTGCTCATCATGCGATAGAAATCGACAAAACTCGCTCCACTGGCAAGAAACCGCTGCTGGGAGGCTCGCTGTTTGCAGCTCCATCTGGGTCATCCACCCCCGCGGAGCTTCAACCTCTTGCGCCTTTGCAAGTTGCCGTTTCGAAGCATACAGTGGCCTCCGGTGCCTCTGCTACAACCGCAAACGCAGAGTATGAAAAGCTGAATGACCCCAACACTCCCCTGCCGACGCCTCCGGTGTACGCTGCACGTCTCAGCCAATTGTTGAAGGCACTCGCGAACGCCGAGAGCTCGGTTTCCGAGGTCATCAAATCGCGAACCGCCCTCATCGACGGCCTCGAGAAACTTCTGGAGACCAACCGTTCGGCCCTGACGAAGGAGCAGTCCCTCGCTGCGCAATTCTCCGAGAGAAAGCTGGAAACCGAGAGAAAGAAAAGAGAGGTGGAAGATAGCATCATGAGAGGTCTGTCCGCTGAGAACTCGCCCGCTGCTACCCTCGGCGACTCCGGGCTTGGAGGCGAGGCCGTTCCTCGTCCGGAGGTTGAAGCTCTGACTCCACCGCCCGTCGAAGCTCTGACCCCCGTCGGGTCTCCCAAGGAGCAGCAGGAGCCAACTCTTCCGGGCACATCTCTCGATCCTCAAGCATCCGCAGGATTCACCTTGGGGGGCTTCACATACCCCCCAGCAGCGGCAGAGCCTTCTTTCCCTAGCGCCGACCTGCCCTCGGCTTATGCCGACCCCCAGGACCCCAACGGATTCTACGCCAAAAAGCGAAAAGTTGACCACAGCGAAGAGGATTACGCCAAATTTGCAAGCGGGGAGCTGGATGCCGATGTTGCTGAACTGTTGCAGCAGGAGGGTGGAGCGCCGCAGCAGTAGAGCAGCGGTTATTTATTGTCATTCATGGCGGGGTAGTTTGCCATGACTATGGGAGAGTGTCCTTGAATTGCCTTTTTATTTCTATCTCTGGTTCTACTTGTCATCCTCTTGCATGTATTTCGTTCTACCGGAGCGACATTGGTTTTTGATTTGCGTTGCAATATTCATCCTTCATTTCCTGCGCGGAGGCTGGTTCGTGCCGGGTTTCGTTATGATAATTGCTTGGAGATATCAAGTGCCATGTGGTCAGATTTCACATACTTTGCCTGTCTTGTCGGGACGCATATTCATTTAGGTATACCTACATCTCTAGCTTACGGAATCGTTGAATCCATAGTTCTCATTTAAAACCATGCAATCAAAAAGCCAAGCTACTCGGTCAGTCTCGAAAATCAGCTCTTGATTCCGCTAAATTGAAATACTGCAATCATGGTATCTGAAAAGGGTCAAAAATTATCGATATATGTCCGGGTCCCCCCACTTTCTCCGCACGGGGTGGCTCGACGACGGGCGCCTCTTGCGGCGGTACACGAGTTCGAAATTCCGAGGCACAACGTCGGCCGACTGCTCGTTGGACTGAGGAGGGGGCGAAGAGGGAGGAGCAGGCGCGGACTCTGGAGGGGGCGGCGAGTCGTTTTTCTTAGGCTTCACGAGCAGGAGGATGAACATGCCGGCGACGAGAATGATCAGTAAGAGGAGGATTTTGCGCTTGATGGTGCGTCGTTGGTAATTGCCGGCCTGAGGAGCGGGTGTTAGTTGAGATCTGCGCAATTGTCTAGTAACAGGGGATAAGGAGACGTACCACTTTAAGCTCCTTATCGGCGGCTTTGACTTCCGTGCCCATCTTTTCCACGTTGTAGTCTATTCGGTCGAGCATTGTGCCTTGGTCGATGACCATTGATTGGAGTTCGCGGAAGATGTCTGATAGCTCGATGATACCTTTGGCGATGTCGTTGATTTCTCGTTCCCGCTGCATGATGGCGGCGTCGTTCTCGCCGGTGAGTCGCTGCGACGTTTGCATGAGAGTCGATTGCGAGAAGGACTTGTCCGCGTCGGACTCCATCAATGAGGGGTCCGTGTAAGGGTTCTGTGGCGTGGGCGCGCGGTCGAATGGCGAAGGTACGCCCTCGAGTCCTCGGAGCTCTATAACGAAGACATCCAAGTTAGCACGCGACCAGCGTAAGGTGGCGGGGAAGGGTCCTCACTCTTCAAATAGGTACTCTGCTTCTTCCTGAACCGCGCACTCGCATCCTGCACCCTCGACGCCAGCGAGATCTGGATGTTCTTCGCCATGGTCTCGTCGCCATTGGTGACGCCACCCTGCTGCTTTGCGTCGCGTACCATCGTCTCGATCTTCTGGACGGCCTTCTGGCAATCGTGGAACGCCCGCGTGATGTCCTGCGTGAACCGCTCGATGACAGCCTCTTCTTGCTTGCGCGCCTCCTCGTCCCCGAATCCCGGCAGGAGGTGTTTCTGGTGCAGCTTGTCGAGGTGGGCGGACTTCTGCGCAATGTCCGCCAGCAACTCCGTCACCTCGTCCTGCACGTCGACCCAGCGCGGAGGCAGTACGTCCATTTCAATCACGGCGTCGCCATCGTCGTCAAATCCCCCCGAGTCCCCGATCAGCCTCCTGCTTTCCTCCGCGTGCGACGGCGTGTCGGAGAAGCCATTGGTCGAGCCGATGTACCGTGGCTTCTTGGCTGGGTGGTGCGTGAACGATTGCCGGTAGGAGATGTACCTGGGGGGCAGGGCGATCGGTTAACTTCTAGCAACCTCACAACGTGGGGAGAAGAGCGATTGGAACAGGGACACCCACAAATTAGTGCGGTCTCGCCACATGATGGAAAGACAGTAAATAAGCAAGCGGTGCTAAAAGCCGGGGTGATCTTGACGGTTGTCCTTTTTAGGCTGTCTGGATCATTTCGGGGGGCAGGATGCGAGTCGAGAACGGTCGGGAGCCAAGCGGAAGGGGTTCAGGGAATGGCGAGACGAGCATCAACAGCATACGGAGTCGACGGAGGTTCGATCGGCATATAGAAAGCCGTTGGCGATAGTGATCGTATGCCCTCGACCTGGCTAGACTCCGTATGTCTTCCGCATGATCTCCGACCACGGCCCACGTGAAGGGCACACGGCGCTAGTCCGGCCTGGGACAAGCGCTGCCAGATAGGCTGGGCGTACCGGTATCGTAATCTGGCCAGGCTCCCCACGGGATTTCTACGGGCCCCTGGTCTGTATCGTCGTAATAAAACAGTCCCCGTTTCCGATCCGTCCTTCTCCATTTCTCATCTCAATTCTCCAGTCTTGTTTCTACTCCGTAGGCGACGTCTATCTGGTGTGTCACCATCGGCTACGACCTCCTGTCGCACGGGAAGGTCCCTCGACCTGGTCTGCATGTCATGTGGGAGATGAAGGCCTCGAACTATTGTATACTTCGACGGAGCACAGCGTGCCTGGGTGCCAGCCGGTTGCCCTGATGCAACATGCACAGCCGGGCTCAGCTGGGAAGACCAAGCTGCCACTTCCTGCAAGATGGTGTCAAGATGGCGTAGAGACCAAATCTACTGGCTCGTGAGCGTTGCCGCCGTTCTTCACTCCTTAGTTTTCAGCCTTAGATGGCTATACTGCGCTACCGAATACTTCTGCCTTCGCTAGTCGTTCAATCTACAGCTTATTGCCGGGGATCCACGACGCGTCATCCAGAATTAGAAGCACGCAGCAGACTTGTCGACACTAGTGGCGGTAGTCAGGATAGTTGGAAGACGAGAAGCGAGGGTCGACCTGGGATTTCCGAAGAGTACAGCGGAGAGTCCTCCGCGGAACTTGTCCCTAGAAGCTGCGCAGTAGAGCAGGCGTAATAATCCGGCGCAGCTGAAAGCGGGTCACGTTTCAGGCATCCGCGTCTGCCTGAGGAACGATGATTGCCGGTCGTCAGTTACACTAATTTGGGTCGGCTTCCCCTTAAACAACACTCGCTCTTCCCTTCTCCTCCCCCACTAACTTAAACCCATCGGCTTCTGACTTGCACTGATTCCTGCTCTTCCCCAATCCTATCCGTTGCCCTTTCCCTCTCGCTCGTCTTCGCACATTCATCATGGTATGCAGCTCCCCTCCCCCTTTTTCCTGTTATTGTGCCCAGGCGCGTGGGAAAATCCCCCCCGCCTTGCGGGGCATTGGTCTAGCCGACATTCTGAGCTGAATTGCTGACATCGCATTTGCCCAGGCCGACTCTTTGACTGAAGAACAGGTCTCCGAATACAAGGAGGCCTTCTCTCTGTTCGTAAGTGATTCATCTGCCTGAATTAATGATGGAAAGGGGGAAAAATGCTGGCATGCTCTTTTTTCCCGTCATCAGCCTTATGGGAAACTCTAAGCTCACATGAGATTTTGCGTCTGAACAGGACAAGGATGGTGATGGTTAGTGCCACTCGGTCTCCCTTTCTATTTATCAGCCTCACGCGACCGGTTATCTCCCGTCGACTTGGAATTTTTTGATTCTTTGATACTCGCCGATCGATTCACAACATGTCGCTAATTCTGACTTCCCGCTGCAGGCCAGATCACCACCAAGGAGTTGGGCACTGTTATGCGCTCGCTGGGCCAGAACCCCTCCGAGTCCGAGTTGCAGGACATGATCAACGAGGTTGACGCCGACAACAATGGCACCATTGATTTCCCCGGTATGCGATGACGGACACACCGAATTCCAGAACGGGAAATGGCCTGAAACCAGCTGCTAATTCTCCCCCGCAGAGTTCCTGACGATGATGGCCCGAAAGATGAAGGATACCGATTCTGAGGAGGAAATCCGGGAAGCTTTCAAGGTCTTCGATCGCGACAACAACGGGTTCATCTCGGCCGCGGAGCTGCGCCACGTCATGACTTCCATCGGCGAGAAGCTCACCGACGACGAGGTCGACGAGATGATCCGTGAGGCGGACCAGGATGGCGACGGCCGGATCGACTGTAAGTTGCGCATCTGGGTTGTTTTGAACCGAAACTAATTATCTCTAGACAACGAGTTCGTCCAGCTGATGATGCAAAAATAAACGTATTTCCTTTTGTCCTGTTCGTGCATTGATAAGTGAAAGGGGGAGAGGTGGGGGCCAAGAAATTTATTCCATCACATCCCATCTCATGCTTTTGCCGTTGTCTGTAGTCCTGGTCTTTGACTGCAGAATACCCTGCGGCTGTTCTGGCTATGCGTAGCCTCGTGGGAGGTGCACCTTGGTCTGCCCCGGGGAAGAGTAGAGTCGGATCTTAGATTGTGAGCCGAGTGGGTTAAGAAGATGTCCAGGTGTCAGTTAGAAACCAGACCAATTCTTGACCAGCCCGAGCTCTTTCTTGTGCCACCATTTCCTTCCGATTTCTTTGATCCTTGTCCATATTGCTTCACTTGCGTTACCCTGTCTTTAGCCCGTCCAATGATTACTCGTAGCTTTGGCTGCACTGACGAATGAGGCTGTGATGTTTTTATTATCTGATGGCTTTCTATCTCAACATCCATATCTTGCTCTCCAGTAAACAAACACCTAGCAACGATACTAGTAGCAGATAAAATCATCGGTTGAACCGGAATATCTCCATAAACTGCCTGGCCACATCCACCCCAGCCTCCGGATCCGGGTCCTCATCCTTCTCCCCCAGACTCTCTCCCGATCGGTCCTGCTTCTGCTTCAACTTCCTCAACATCCCCTTCACCTCCTTCCCGACATCCGGCAGCATCATCGCCTCCCTCGCCCCTTCAACCCCCAGCTTCCCCCAGAACTCCCGAATCAGCGCCGTCGTCGCGGCATACTCAGCATCAATATCCGCCTCCTCGACGCTCTCCGCGAAGAGCAGCCCAACCGCAGAGTCGTCATCCTCCTCCTCGCCACCACCCACTTTCCCAGACCCAGCCAAAGAACCCACCCTCTGCATCTGCATCGCAATAGACCTCACCAGCGACGGCCCCCGCCACTCAATCTCGACCACGGTCCCACGCACCCTCCCCGTCGGCTGCGTCTGACGCACGTCGCCCACGCGCACCCGGAAATCACCCACGTCGTAGACCGCGCCGCCCGGCACCGCCACGCTATGTCGATGGCACCACAGCGGCTGCGCGGCGTACATGAAGTGCTGGAACAGCGTGCCGCTGGACGGTAGCGGCACGGTCGTCATGATCATCGACCCTGCTCCTGCCGCTGCTCCTGTGGGCGTGGCCTGGGCATTGGGAGCCGACGTATAGATGAACCCGTGATTCGGGTGATACGACAGCGACAGGAACTGCATGTACCGCGGGACCGGGGGCGCTCTGGAGGCGGCGGCGGGCACGCACGAGGGCGTGTCGCGCATCAGCTTGTGCTCGAGGGCCCAGCGGCCGACGGGCACGGGGTCGTCTGCTAACGAGGTGTGCAGACGGTCGGTGATGGTTGCGAGGGCGGTGGAGGCGTTGGGGTTGGAGGGGATGAAGAAGACGCTGGGGGGGTTAGTCTGTATATTACTGGGGATGGGAGGGGAGGGAGGGGGAGTACCCAGTGATAGACATGGTGGGTGGTGTCTTGGCGAGTAGTAGAAGGTGAGATGGGTATTTGGATGTGGTGCTGGTGGGTTTGTCTTTGGTTCAAGTATTAGATGGTCGGGGGATATCAAATCAAATTGAGTTGACGGCTGAAGGAAAGATAGCTTGGTTGAACGATATGGGTATCTTGAGCCAAGCAGATGCGATATGCAAGAAGAGTAGGGCTATACTCCGCAGTTCGTCTGGAGCAGCCAGTAATGTCCAGACAATGGAATCAATAGATCTACATGGCTGTTAGTACATATTCATCATGTAGACACAAAGAAAAAGCTGAAACACTTGGGTGGAAAGATGAATGAATACCTTCGACAGAGCCTGTAACGACCAGACACGATCCGTTGTGAGTATTGCAGACGCTGAATGACTCTTGACTGTGACTGTTCCTGTTCTACTGGTCTGAAGCTTCACTTTCCGGGATTCATCGAGGCCGAAGTCCGTGCCTGAGGCTGTCGCTGCCTGAGGCCGCTACACAAACGCAGCAAACGCGCCAAGAGGCTAAGCACTGGACCAAATCCTTCCTCGACGCCTCTTCATTTCTGGCCTCATCCTTGCCCGGTCTGGCCGATCGATCTGGACTCCTCCGTACACTCACGGCACACCCTCTGTATTCCGTACCACTGTCTTATTATGGATTCCACATTCTTTCCATGCTACGTGATACATCATAATCCCCTCGTCCGGCCCCTGTCTCTGTTGTGATTCAGGTGTACCCTGCAATCGCCAAGACGCGGGACGAATTCAAGGCTGAGACCAAACCAGGGGGCGGCTTGAGCCTGTCAACAACGGTTAAGAATAGCAAAAAACAAGGCCACTGACCAGTCGGACTAATCTTTCATCGCTCACTGCTCAGATCCCTCCCCCCCAAAAAAGGACCCTAAGACCGTCAGGGTCTCAGGGACCACATGCTTACGCAATGGCCCGCCCCAGTCCATGTCATTTGCGCGGCGGATGCACTCCTTACTCACTCTGGCAGTACACTCAGCCACGCTAGGAATCCCAGGAGCTTGTGCGTTGTCTATCATTGCCTAGAACGCGCAAGTGATGGCCAGACCTTCACATACAAAATACCTAACCCATGCTCACTTGCCAATCAATGCGACGGAAAACAAGGGTCGAGGAGACCGGTGATCACTGGGGCCATTTCACTGGGCGGCTCTGGCCGCAGGATTTCGAGGTTGTGGTGGTGTATTATTCGCAATGATGTCTCGAAGCCACTCCCCGGTTGCGTCCCTCGTTTGTTGTCTTTCTTTCTTTCTTCTGCTGCCCCCTTGATGTGAAGGGTTGTTGGAGCCATCCGACTCTTTCGCTTAATCTGATCCCATCTGTCTGCGCGGCTTCAGGTGTTGATATGACCTTCTGTCGTTGCAATTGAAATATGACCTGCGCTCCTTAGATCTCATTCTTTATCGTTAGATTGTTGCTCAGGGCTGTAAGGTAGCTCTATCCTCTCTTTATTGTCGCAATTACCTTAACGGAACTTTGGATTTATTCCTTTTCTACCTGTCTATCATGATCATAAGCCGACGGAGCTACGCGCTCCCGACATTCATTCTCATCGCTCTGATTTATGTACTTTTCTCAAGTCTGCCGCAGCGCGAGCAGTCCATCCATTCTCACAACCCCCCTCAATACCCGCCAAAATCGCTGAAAGAAGATGGCCGCATCCACTGGACGAAACAACCCGAGAAATGGCCGGTTTCAGAGTACACGCCTCTCCCGACGGGAGCTCCGTCGCCCATCCCGCAGATCCAGTATGACTTCCCCAAAGAGTCGTGGTTTGGCCGCTGGAAGCGAGTGAAGCGGCAGGATGCCGTGAAGGAAGCATTCAAACACGCGTGGAAAGGATACCGGGAGCGCGCATGGCTGCGAGACGAGGTGTCGCCGCTCAGCGGTGATTCCAGAGAGTCGTTCGCCGGATGGGGCGCTACCTTGGTGGATTCTCTCGATTCGCTGGTCATACTGGGCTTGGAGCGCGAATTCGAGGAAGCGCTGGAGGCTGTGAGCCATATCGACTTCACCACTACCCATGCCGTTCAGATTAACGTGTTCGAGACGAATATTCGCTACCTGGGAGGGTTCTTGGGTGCCTATGACTTGACGAATGGCAGTCACCCGATTCTGCTGAACAAGGCGATCGAGGTTGCGGACATGCTGTACGGCTCGTTTGATACTCGCTATAGAATTCCGCAATCGCGGTGGGAATGGACCAGGTAAGTTCGACTTATCAGTACAATGTTAGGTTATTAACTGGATGGTATAGATCCGCCGAGGGCATGGGCATCCATCCCAGTCGTAATACCATCACCGCGGAAATAGGCTCGCTGAACTTGGAGTTCACGCGGTTGTCGCAATTGACAGGCGATTCAAAGTACTACGACGCCGCCCAGAGACTGACAGATCTTCTCGAGGAGACCCAGTCATCTACCAAACTGCCCGGTTTGTGGCCCATTACGTTCAATGGCGAGGACATGATATTTTCCGACAACCGATTCAGCGTCGGCGCCATGGCGGATTCCACCTACGAATATCTTCCTAAAGAGCACATGCTGCTGGGTGCCCAGACCAACCAGTATCGCAAGATGTACAACACGGCCATGAACAAGATCAAAGATCGATTGCTCTTCCGCGGGATGACTGAGGATGGCAGGGACATCCTCTTCCCCGGGAACATCTTCACGACGTTCTCGCACGGCCGCGAGAAAATCGAGCCCCAGGTCGAGCACCTCAAATGCTACCTTGGAGGCACAGTGGGCATCGGAGCCAAAGTGTTCGATCGCCCGGAGGATTTGGACACTGCGCGCAAGCTGACCGACGGATGTATCTGGGGCTACGACGTTATGCCCACGGGGATCATGCCGGAAATCATGTACGTCAGTCCTTGCAAGGACATGAACAACTGCCAGTGGGATCGCAAGCAATGGTACCGGGATCTGCGCTTTCGACTGGCCAAGGGCTCGGAAGCGGAAGACACCGTCGCCGAGGCCAAGTCTTTGATTCAAAGCCATGGTCTGCAGCCGGGCATCTATGCAATCCCGGATGCGGGCTATCAGCTGCGGTACGTATATGCCTTTCCGCACAGATATACATATAAAGAGATGCTGACTTTTCCAGACCCGAGGCCATCGAATCCGTCTTCATCATGTACCGGATCACCGGCGACAAGAGCTTCCAGGACGCCGCGTGGCGCATGTTCCGGAGCATCGACAAGATGACGCGCGCCACGTACGGACATGCGGCGATCGACGACGTGCGCGATCCGCAGGCGAAGCAGATGGATTACATGGAGAGTTTCTGGCTGGCCGAGACGCTGAAGTATTTCTATCTGATCTTCTCGGAGCCGAGCGTGGTCAGCCTGGACGAATACGTACTGTATGTTCTGCCTATGCCTGTCTACCTATGGATGCTAACGATGATAGGAACACCGAGGCTCATCCATTCAAGCGCCCGACTCCGTGATCTCTCTCTCTCTCTGTCAATTCTATTTCAGGCGCATGGTGTTCAGGGCTGGTTGCATCGGTTTGCAGTACATATCATATTACAATGAACCACCAATGAAGATACAATCACAACTTTATATATAATCCATGCCTGATCCTAACCCTACGGCCTCGGATCTAAATACCGATCCCAATACTCCATGTCCGGCAACACGCCGTCATCCTCCGATCGACTATTCTTCTTGAACTCGACCGAATATTGCACATCCTTGCGAATCACCATCTTCCCATCGCCATCATGGCCCTGCGTCTCGTCTGTAAGCTCAATCCCCTCCTCTGTGCCACTCCTCCCGACTCTCGAAAACCACCGTATCAGTCCTCCTTCGCCGGGTAGCCCCCGACTCGCATATCCCGAAGATAGGCCCTTTCCTTTCCCCCCTTCTTCCTGTTCCTCTCCCTCCCTCTCATCTCTCTTCCCCTGCCCATTCTCATTCTCAATCTCATTCCCATTCCCATTGTCATGACCATGACCATGACCCCCCTGCCCAGCCCTCTCCCCATCCTCCCCTCCTCTCCGCTTCCACCGACCATAACCATACCGATGAGAACGACACCCACTCGACCCGCCACTCTGACTCGGACCCTGACTATGACTATGACTATGACTCTGACTCTCGAGATTCCCATCCCCCGCGGTCCCGTAATTCGTACTCACGGCCGCCATGAACGGCCTCAGACAAAACACGCTGCACGCGACCAGCGAGTAGTCTAGTTCCACCTGCGCCCAGATCACAGGCGGCACGGAGGCGAGGGTCGCGTCGCCCGAGTGTAGGTTCTGGGTCAGGGTTATGAGGTGGAGCGTGCAGGGGAGGATTAATCTATTTATTTGTGGTTTTAGATTTGGTTTGGATTGGATTGGATGGGGTGGGGTGGGGATCTGGGGATTTGGGAATAACAGCCCTAGGGGGAATAAAGGGTAGAGAAGGGAAAGGAAGGGAAAGTAGACTTACGGCAATCGAAACAGAAACGCACAGCCGATCGCCATCTTGCGTTTTAGGGGCATGAAGAGACCCGAGAGGAGGGTCACTGCGAGGCTGAAGAGAAGGAGCTCGGTGAGGATGTCGATGGTGATGATGAATTGCCAGCGGGGGAGCTGTCATACAGAACATTAGTCAATCGACATGAGCTTTCTAGTTCTGGTTCTCTTTCTGAAATATCTCACAGCAGAAAGACGACTTGAATGAAGGACAAGACCAACTCACCAAATCCACACACTGCGCGCCGGTCCCCTTCCACGGCCGATTCAGCTCGCAATTGACCGCGATCACAAGCACAGCCGTCACGACCCACGCGGTGCACAGCGCCAGCGTGGCCCATGCGAACCGGGCCTGGCGCTTCTGCGGCGTCAGACGCAGATGGATTCCCACGACGCAGGCCTTGCAGATGTAGATGGCGACGAGGTAGAGGATGTCGGAGGTGGTGATCAGCTTTCGTCACTCCGTTAGTACGGACGATCCGAGCTTGATCCTCCGCAGTATTGTATTGAATATACCCAGGAGGCAGGAGAGGGGACGTACAATCTGCGCGGTATCAACATCCCTATCAGATAGCAGGTCGATGGCGGTGCCGAAGCCCTTGTCGACAGCGACGAAGAGGAGGGTTGACTGGATGATTGTGACGATCTATTCCGTGGCTATTGGTTAGTTCATGGATGATACCAAACTCTCCGCAGTCTACGCAATATCCCTCGACGCTTGTAGTTGCAGATAGAGATGAACCCACCGTAGCACCCAACAGCACCGCATCGTCCACCGCGAAGGGCGGATTCAGCGCCACCCGCACATACACGCGGATCAGGAACGACACCAGCGCGATGACCAGCCCAAAGGCCGTGGCGATGATCACCCAGGCGCCGTGGTGAGCGTCGTCGACGACCTGGAAGGGCGCAGAGTAGCCCGAGGGAATGGCGACGTCGGAGCTCATGTCTGAGTCTGACTGAACAAGGAGGTCATGCGCAGGTGTCAAGACGCAGACGCAAATGCGAAGGATGTCTGGGTTGTTCTATTGGGTGTGCATGGTGGGAGTTTCGAGTTGCTTTCTTTTTTCTTTTTCTTTCTCGTTTTCTTTTTCTCTTTGTGATTCTGAGGTGGGATTGCCCGGATTCGATGGATTACTGGGTTTGTGTGAGGTGAGCTAACCAGCTCTAAGGGATCGATAGAGATAAACGAAACCCTCGTAGATGAGAGAAGAAACGCAAGACATTGCATGTCCATGAGACGGGTCTGCCGTTTGAATCCCAATGTCCCTCTGTCACCCATTCACCGACCTGGCCTCCCCAAAACATAACCACTATATCCACGTCCTCAGAGCAGCGCCTCAAACGGTCACACAAGCTCGAGTCTGCGCAACCCGCACGAGAAAAAAACACACGACACCCCCTACCGCTATTGGACGACTGCAGCGCAAAAACGCAGATCCCTCGTGATCTCATTTTGGATCTGCGCTGTCATGAATCGGCCGCGTGGTGGCCAATCACCCACGGGCTGGTGTGGCCGTGTTACACACAGCTGAGCAGTGAGATTTTCTTTTTCCGTCGGGGTTTGCTCTGTTTTAGGGATGTGATGGCTGACATGGGTTATTTGTTAGGTCTCATTTTCGAAAGAGGAGAGTAGGGGTATAAAGAAGGGAGATATAGTTATGGCCATGCGGGAGCGATCCAGTTGGGCCCAGGCTTTGGTTCAGGAAGCCGCCGGACGCCGAATGAGGATGAAACGATGACAAGAAGCAATTAAGGTTTCTCTGGCTGGCACGGAGAATTAGGCAGCAGATGCAGGGATGATGGGTTGGAGGGATGGGATGAGATCCTCCTGTCATTACCGTCTGCTCTCCTCTTGCACCTCTTACATGACAGGACGGGCTTTGGTCCATGGTGTCATTGTGATTAGACTTGCAGAGTATAAGGTCGAGATTACTTTGCTCTGTGAGTGCTCGTCGAATTTCCAGCTTTCTCACTGATGTGGAATACTGCCGTTCATGATGGCCCTGGAGACGAGAAATGTCACCAGAGTGGAAGTGCAAGCACAGGCCCATCGCGATGTCGAGGATGGCCGAAAGACTCTAGTCCCGCCCAAGTATCTGGGGACGGCGACTGATCAACGAGACATGAGTGATCTGGGCCGAGTGCAGGTCCTACGAGTGAGCGCACCGGTCTCTTGAAGGTTCCTCAATAACAGTCGGTAGAGAAACTTCCGCTTCATTTCGATCCTGGGGTTTGCGTGCACTCTCATTGCGACGTGGGAAGTGATCTTGACGTATGTCTGTTGCAAAAAGTCTAAGAAATTGTCTGATGCAGACAGGTTTTTGAACGTTGGCCTGATGAATGGAGGACCGGCCGGGCTGGTATGGGGCTTCATCATCGTCACTGCAGGATTCTCCCTCGTCTTTGCCAGTATATCCGAGATGGCATCCATGTAGGTTCTGACCCTCTAGCAGTGGTTTGTCTGACGTTTTAGGGCTCCCACATCAGGTGGACAGTATCACTGGGTATCCGAATTTGCTCCTCGTCGATGTCAGAAATTTCTCAGCTATATAACAGGTATGCCTGCATCTAACCCATACACCATGCACGCTGACGATTCAGGATGGCTCTGCGTCATGGGCTGGCAGTGTGCAATCGTGTCCATTGCCTTTCTCGCCGGGACGATCATCCAAGGGCTCATCGTGCTGGACGATCCCACGTACGAATTCCAACGCTGGCATGGTACGTTGCTGGTCGTCGCCATAACGGGCTTCTCGATCTTCTTCAATACCTTCCTAGCCAAGAGCCTGCCCATGGTGGAGGGCCTGATATTGATCCTGCATGTGGTCGGACTCTTTGCCATTATCATTCCACTGTGGGTGCTGGCGCCTCGAAACAACCCTCGAGCAGTCTTCACCGAATTCTACAACGGCGGCGGATGGAACGGCGATGCCACCGCGACGATGGTTGGGCTGTCCACGACCATCACCTCGATGATCGGCTATGACTGCTCGGTTCATATGTGTGAGTATCCCCCTATCACCAGCATCCACCGCTAATCCCACACAGCCGAGGAGATCAAAGATGCGTCTGAAACCCTGCCGAACGCCATGATGGCCGCCGTCGGCGTCAACGCCGTCCTGGGTTTCACCATGATAATCACCATCTGCTTCACCATGGGCGACGTCAGCGGCATTCTAGCTACCCCGACCGGCTACCCCTTCATCCAGATCATCCAGAACACGACGCGCAGCTACACCGCCACCAACACGATGACCTCCGTGTTGATCCTCACCCTAACCGCCAGCACCATCACCGAGGTCGCGACGGCCTCGCGCCAGCTCTGGTCCTTCGCCCGAGACGGCGGCGTCCCATTCTCCTCATTCTTCTCCTACGTACGTCCTCTCCTGTGTCCCCTCTGCTAACACAACTACTGAGAGACACAGGTCACTCCAACCTGGAACATCCCTCTCAACGCCGTCCTCGTCTCCCTAGCCGTCACCATTCTCCTATCGCTAATCAACATCGGGTCGCTCGTCGCCCTGCAAGCCATCATCTCGCTGACCATCACCTCTCTTATGTCCGCCTACATCATCTCGATCGCCTGCGTCCTGCTGAAACGTCTTCGGCACGAGCCTCTGCCGCCGCGCCGCTGGTCCCTCGGCCCCTTTGGGCTGGGCATCAACGTCGCCGCGCTGGTCTTTCTGCTGCCGATCTTCGTGTTTGCGTTTTTTCCGCTCACGAGGGAGTTTGATGCGAAGAGCATGAACTGGGGGTGTGTGATGTACGTGGGGGTGATTTGTTTCGCGTCGGCGTATTATGTGGTTCAAGGGCGGAGGCAGTTCATTGCGCCGGTGGCGTTGGTGAAGAGGAGGTAGATAGATGGATGGGATGTTCTGGGTGCGATGAATGACTTCAGATGAGGGTGCATATGACGAATGAATGGAAGCTACCTACCTCGGTAGGGTAGGTAGGTAGACTTTCTGAGATTCTTCGTCGAGAATGAATCCAGCAAGGGGTGGTCACAAGGCCTCCCTCAAGTGAGTGGCGCTGAAACTCGCTGCATGTTTGATGATCATAAAACCATTTTAAAACACACCTACCTTCTTCCAGACCCATCAAACATTCCGGAAACGTCGTTGCCTCAAGGATAAGCACATGCCTGCATCTGAAGGGATCGCATCCAGCCTCTGTTCTAGAACCAACCATGTTGGATATGGCAACACCACGCCAAACATCTCAATATGACACTTCCACTTCAGTAAGCACGGTAGAGTGGCAAACATCCAATCCTTAAGACATTTCATGGTATATTTAGATCGAGCACGGAGCACCTAGACGCGTAAGTCCTTCAAAATCCATCATCACCGCTAGTCTGGGACTGTTGATGAAAAATATTGCAGAATGCATAATATGCAAGGGCGGAACAGGTGAGATTATGATATGAGGAGAGAGACAAAAGTACGACTCTTCACGGATCGATATCAGGTCTGCGTACATACCTAGAGTGCATACATATTGGCTATCTGTCCTTTCTCAGACTGTACATCCCTATTTGCATGTCCAGCCAGCCACACTCTGCACGTACTTTTACCGTAAGAGAAAAAAAAAAAAAAAAAATAGAAAAGCGAGCTGAACAAGCCTAGAATCCACTTTATAATCAGTCATACACCGATCCTCACCAAGAACCCAATTTTTTCTTTTCCTAAAACCAAGCCCCAAGCAGACTAGACGAATCCAGAAACACCTTCTAGAAGCCCAACTCCCAACAACTGGAGCTGCCCCAACCCGCGTACCCACCCAGCCAGGGGCCAAGCCCGCACCAGAAATACTCCGTAAGACTAAGACTAAGAAATAGACCATCGACGATCAGCGCGGCCGAGAGTTATCAATCAGTGACTAGCCCCTACTTCGTGACTAGTGTGACGACGAGTCGGAAGTCCGTACGCTAGCCAAGCTACCCAAAGTCAGACCTGTTCAATACATTACTGCTCGACTAGTCTCTCTGACCTGGAGCATATGTACGGAGAATTGTGTAGGAATCTAGGGCTAGGACCAGATTAACAGGTCAACATGCAATGGACCGAAAGTAAACCTCGACCTCAGATGCTCCAGAGTAGGCTATTTCGTACTCGTAAAGTACGCTGTACAGCCTAGTGCAGACCAGACCCAACCACCCGGTCTTAGTTTCAATCAGATAAGCCGAACGGGACGGATGGCAGCTAGCACTCCTATTCGTAGAACAGCCCTGAGCCGCGTTCACTGGGATAGACTTAGACCGACTAACTAATAGAAACGTACTTCGTCCGGAGGCTGTGGACATAGTGGAGTTTTAGTCACTGTCTGGGAGAGTTCTAGACAGACAGACGGGTTGAAGTTTATTGTTTTAATCTTTTTTTTCTTGTTTTGTCTTATTTTGGTGCGGAGGGACGGGATGGGATGGTGGGTAGGACAGAGTGCTGGCTGAGGTTTCCTGTCATGTTGCCGTCGTTTGCTGGTTACTCAATGAGCGTTTACTCCGGGTTGGGTTGGAGGTATGGTAGGATCCATGGATGGCTCTCAACGTCAGGCATGACTGCGCATATGTAGACTACGAATCGAGGATGTCAGGATTAGATCATATAGCAGGGCTGGTCGTAGTACAGCGATGATCGACCCCGAACACCATAGAATCGAAGTTCTAGAAACCGGGAAAAAGAAAAGAAACCCGACTAAGGGCAGGACAAACCGTGCAGCCCTGGTTGGGCAGATCATTATCAATAATAAGAAAATTGGGTGCTGACGCTGGGCCAAGCCTGCATTGGGCTTCCCAAAACGGCAGGCCACCTGCCGATGACGGCACCGCAGGCTATCAGATTGATATGATCCAGCGCCGACATCGGCCACGCCCCACCCGGGTTATTGACGTGTCACATGATAGCCGGCTGCGGACACGGCAATTTGAATGAATGTAATCCTGCTTACCCGAGAATTCAAACCACCAGCTGACGGGCGGACTGATAGGAGCACAGGGTACTGGCTGGTATGGCAGACGGAAAAAGGGGTCGGGTACTCCCTGAGCCTGCGGGAATGTCTGAGGATGGGGTGACACGCGTGGTGGGGTGACTCGGAGCGAAAGGATCCTGAACGAGTTATCTGATCCGGGTGCCGGCTTCCGGGGATCACGTGCCGAGAGGGCCCGAAAGGGGGTGTTGGGGATGATTTCATGCTGGGCTCATCTTGTGAGAATGATCCCTGGAGAAGGAACCCTGTCAAATAATGAACGGATGCAAGCAGTCGCCGTCACTACCTGGTACTCCGTCCGCTCCATGGGCACTCGGGTGGAAGGCAGGAATGTCCACGTCCACATAACCGAGGATTAAAATTAAATGGTCGAAACCGGATCAGATTAGATCGATACCGTACCGTACCGAAACGCCCAGGAATCCCTCCTAATCAGATGGATGGACCATCCGCTCCGGGCAAGAATCATGAGCTCGCCCCTTTCTCAGTAAAAAGTTCCTTCGTTTCCTTTATCCTGGATGGCGGACTACGCATAGGGTACCGCATAGAGCCCCATGCCAGTAGCTACTGCAAAGAACCCCCCGCTAGAGTAATCTCTCCCGCCTAGCTGCAGATCTGAACAACTGTCACCTCCACGATGGCCAGGGTCCGACCGTCCTATCACCCAGCCGCCATAGTCAGCCGTGCATTAGCCTGTAGTTAGAAGTTCCAATATACTCCGTAAGTAATAATAATAATAATCGCCCGGAACTGCAGGAAGATTGCTGGTGGATTCGATTCCAGATCCGATTCCACCGGGTAAAGTTACAGACGGTACGGCGGCGGTAATGACGTTTACTCACCGCGGCTGGTGGCAAACGGCCTCGTTTGGCTTCGATTGTGCGTTTTCCCTCTCTTCTCTTCTCTTCTCGTCCTCTCGCCTTTCTTTTCTTCTCTCGCCTCGCTTCATTCGCATTGCATCCTGTGTCATCCAGAAATCTCCTAAAGCAGATAACCGATCCCGAATGATCAGCCCCCGGTTATTCAGACGCATCATTCTCTAGCGCCCAGCGGAACCGCCATCCCGGTTTGCCCCCGGCCCAAGTTCTCGACTAGTTCTGAACTTATTCCTTGAATCCTTTGACTTCCCGCCTCATCCCACTTGCTCCCTTCCTCCCCCTTCCTACGATCAGTCAGATCGCTTCGGAAAACGGTCATTGAGCTGTCCCACCCGTCTAATTTAGTCCGTCCCCAGCCGTTCGGCTCCGCCAGTTCTCCTTTTTTCTTTTTTTCCCTGGCTGGTCTTTTTAAACCATACCACCTGCAACCACGTCTCGAATTTTCAAGGCTCGACTCGCTTCAATCTCTCTGCCTTGGGTCTTGCCAGTCTCTCTTCCTCAGTTTCTTTCCATATTCTTACCGTTTCGTCTACCGTCAACCGGCCCAATGGGTATGTGGTCCCCTGCTCGGCTGTACATCGGCTGTGTCACCCCGGTTTTTTCTTTTGCCTTATGATCGAGATCCAATGGCTTACTTGGACCTTAAAAATAGTTCACGCAGTACTTGAACCCCCGGTGAGGACCAATGCGCCGAGGTCCTCGCCCGTCATCAATGGAGACCACCGGAATATTCCCGTGTCGTCCACCTCTCATCCAGATAACCCGGTTCCCGAGGAACCCCGCGGCGTTCGGTCCTTATCGGTGACTGATATGACCTTCAATGGCTTCTCCGCCGATACCGAAACCAGCACAAACACAGAGTCGCCTTCTACGCCCGCCACAAGTCTCCAGTCGGATACCGAAACCCTAGCACGCAAGCAGTCGGTCAGTGACAATGACTCGGGCCGTGAACGCCGCGCCTCCACCGTTCTAATCTCCCAGAACTCCGAGGACATGAGACGGCTTCTCGAGAATGTCGGCATCGGAGGCACGCAGAAGGTGCAGCCGCTTTGCTGTGGTGGTGGATGCTGCCGCAGCCAGCCGTTGAGGCGAACCTCGGAGCCCGTCTCCGGTGTCAATTACATCACTGCCCCCGATAACAAGGCCTACCGGGGCCTGAAGTTGAACGTGGAATATCTCACGATGGACAGCGAGCTGACCAACGTGGCCGAGCTGCCCGAGAAGACCGTCTCCTTCTCGGCTATCCCGGCATCCGCCGTTGATATGCAATTGGGACCCGCGGATCACCCGCCTCCGTTTGTCCAGCCTCACCCCCCTTACAATGTGTTCCGGGCCCCCCTGCACCATGCCCGAGAGCTCACCAAAGCCGGTGCCGAGAAGCGCACATATCACTTCGACATCGACGTCACGGACTATCCCGCCGAGAGCGGCATGGTGGACTTCGTCGTGGGTGGTGCCATTGGCGTGTGCCCTCGAAACAAGGACGAAGAGGTGGACGACATCTTCAACCAACTCGGTGTCCCCAAGTCCATCCGGGACAAGAAGGTCTCAGTCCGCACCGCCAAGGGCCGCTGGCCGACCATCTGGGGTGACGACAAGCCGCGTGAATTGATCACCACCCGCCGAGAGCTTCTCAACTGGTGCGCGGATATCCAGAGTTACGCCCCGACGAAGGGCCTGTTCCGCCTGCTAGCCGAGTACGCCAGCGACGTCAACGAGAAGCAGATCCTCATGTTCCTTTCCTCCGCCCAGGGCCAGGGTGCCTTCTGTGACCTGCGCACCGCGTCGCACGTGAGTGTTTCGCAGCTGCTGCACGCCTTCCCGTCTGCCCAGCCTCCTCTCGACCACCTTCTCTCCGTCCTCAACACCCTGATGCCCCGCTTCTACTCCCTCTCGCAGGACCCCCTGCTCTCGTGCACCAAGGGCGCCCAGCCCCGCCGTCTGGTCGAAGTGGCCGTCAGCGTGGCCGAGTCGGACGACTGGAAGGGCGGCATGCGGACCGGCGTGGGATCCGGCTACCTCGAGCGCCTGGCCCAGCAGGTGATGCAGGCCGAGAAGCGAGGCATCGACCCTCGCACGCTCGACCTGCACGTCCCCATGTTCCGCGGACTGATGGCCAACCCGCTGGCCACGCGGTTCGCGTCCGACGGCCCCATGCTGCTGATCGGAGCCGGCGTCGGCATCGCGCCGTTCCGCGGCTTCGTGCAGCGCCGCCTGCAGTCGGCCAACTGCGCCAACAAGGTCTGGGTGCTCCAGGGCGTGCGTGACTCGCTGCTCGACGAGCTCTACCGCGGCGAGTGGGGCGTCGACGAGGACAAGGTGCGGACGGTCGTCCAGAGTCGTCGCGGCGAGAGCATGTACGTCCAGGAGGAGGTCCGCCACCAGGCCGACCTGGTCTGGTTCGTCATCAACGCGCTGGACGGCCGGGTCTTCGTCTGCGGAAGCGGCAAGGGCATGGGCGAGGGCGTCGAGGCTGCTCTCGTCGACGTCGCCATGGCCAAGGGTAACCTGAACGTCGAAGAAGCCGAGCAATTCTGGGCGAACAAGAAAGAAGCTGGCCAGTATATTGCCGTAAGTCATTCACCTCAACCTCATCTCGACTTAACTAACTCCAATCAGGAAACTTGGTAAACTGTCACCATAAATTGTACATCCTTCATGTCCATCTCTGGCTGAATTGATTTCAGTCCCTCTGCATTTTTCATCCATATGCTTGCTTCATTTTCTTCTCACTGTTACCGCCATTGTTACTATTGTTTCTGGTTCTGGATATCTGCGTGCTTTTAGCGGGGTGGCTTCTGTTCTTACCTGTTCTTTTCTACTGTTTATTGCCCATTTCTGGCTGTGCCGGAGTTCTTTGTCTGTTAGGTTCAGGCTGTGCATTTAGATTATACGGTAGCAATACCTAATCCAAGAGATTGCATATGATTGATGGTGATTGTAGATGTAGTCTAATATGTTGACATTTGATTTGAAAGATCATTTCCGTCCTATTCCGATTGAAATACATGGTCTATCTAATCTACAGCTGCATATCATTTCGATCCTATATCATAGAAGTAGAAGTTATCTTAACCCTAGGATCTAAACCCATAACAAATATACAAAGCTAGCTCTAATAATCTAATCTTAACTTACTAGTCTAATTTATGTCAAGGACAGACGGTCTATGTTAATATAGCTAAACCCAGGAAACCAGTCTAGAGGTGAATCCAATCATGATATGTTTAGAGAGAAGTGTTTCCGACACGGGGATGTATACCGCGTCCCTGTCATGATAAGCATGGAATAGATCCTACAAAGAAAAACCAACCGTTTTCAGAAGGGGTTCGGATTCTTCTTCAATCTCCTTTCATCGTCTCTATCTGAATCTAGAAGGAATTAAAATGAGCTTCTAGAAGGAGCTTCATTCAGCTGCCCTGGTACCGTACTAGATATTTGAACCTTGTACTCGAGTTTTGAAAATTTCCCTCCTCCTGACAGCATCCTCGCTAGTTACTTGAATGGGGTCTCGAAAAAAGAAAGAAAGTAAACCCTGTAACCTACCTAGGTACATACCTAAGGCACTCGAAACTATCCATTACATCGCATCAAGAACTGCGGACTCCCTCCTGTCCACCTTCTCGGAACCAACTAATCTCTCAAACTATATCACATCCATCTGATTCAGTGCCGGTGTCTAGGCTACGATAAGCTTCAATCCCCACTCCGTCCTCATCGACAAGGAACGTGGTAGCTGGGATGATTAAGGTAGCTCGCTGATGGGAATCAAGATGCACGGGGCCCGCGGAGTGCGTGGGCTTGCTCTTGCTTTACCTGAACCAGACAGGTAGGTATCCAGAGAGGGTTGGGGGATACTAAGTATTGACGCCATAGATCGTCAGCAAAACACCCTAGTAGGTAGGTAGGTAGGTAGGAAACAGACAACAAAGTAAGCATATGCCACACATTAGTTAGCCTCGGCAGCCACCCAAGATGGCAATTTAATCTAACTCACAGAGCAGGGGACGAGGAATCGCCGACCCTCCGGCTAATCTTAGGTTAGGTTCGTGTCATCGCGGGAGAGTTCTGCCCGCAGAAAGACAGTTGCAAGGAATGGGTAGGATAGAATTAGAACGACCCAGGTTCTCTTTTCCATTTCCAGACGCCAGCAGGAAAAGGAACAGGTATTTGCCGAGGTCGGGAGAATCTTAGGTTAAATCTGGGGATTGGATTGGAGTGGATTGGGTTGAGTTGAGTTGAGTTTATCTTGCCACGCCTGTATGATATGATATGACATGATATGACACGACTGGGGAGAAAGATCCCCCGAGCCCAGTTATCTTTGTCTCAGACCTAGCTGCGTGATTTTATTTGTCTTTCCTACTGACGTAGGAGATGGACCTATCTCGACAGACTTCACAAGGACCTAACCCTCCAGAAAGAGTTAATCTTATTCCCTCCATTAAATCTTGGATAAGCACGGAGTCCGCGGATCTTAACCATGCAAGTGTCCCCACCCGAAGTACATTCTAGAAAGAAGGAAGAGGTCGCGGCGATAACCCTATCTCAATCGATTGCTATCCCAAATTTCCGTTGATCTTGACATGTAAAGTTAAATCGCAAGGAATTCAAACTAACCTAACCCACCTTACTCTGTCTAGATACAATAGAGTACATGATCGAAAGTAGGTAGTAGGTATTTCGTGCTCCGGTCTATCCGCACTGGTGGTCATGCCTGATACCTGATGTAGAAAGAGCAATTGGGTTTCGGGCAGCCGTGGATGCGGAAATGTCAGTGAAAGCTTGGCGAGGGTTTCATATTTGCTTGTACTTCGCTGTTTAGAATACGGTGGAAAGGGGTGCTCATGGTATAATCCAGGTCGCTTGTTGTGAGGATAGGATGAGTGAGAGTTAAGCTTTCTAGAGTTTTCGTTCGGGTGATGATATGAGAGTATGGTTGCGTCTTGCTTTCTGCGTGGTGTCTCTTGCTGTAAGATTCTGCTCGGTGCTAGGCTTGTCGAGAATCAATCGGAACCATTTATCTGGCAGGGGCTGGCCTTCGATAAAGAGGGTCTGGCTATCAATAGAGGAGGGCAAAAATAATACCTGAGCTAATATTACTAGAGAACATGTAGTCGCGATCAGCGCATTCTTCACGAATAACATAGTAGTGGAGGCCGTTAATAATAATCAAGAAAAATATAGTGACTAGGGACGTCACTCGGAGAATAAAGTAATAAAATTCTAAAAGGATAACCATTGGGGAGGATAAATCTTGAGATTGTGCGACAACACTCCTTTTTATAGTGGACTGAGAGCAGGAATGATAAAGACTTTTCGCTTCTTTGCTAGCTTGTCCGTACTCTGTACAAGATGGTAGTATTCAAATCACTACTGGTGGGCCTACAAGGGTATTTAACAGACGGTGGCTAGTTTTAGGCATCAGCCTAACTAGTTGCATAGGGGTTATAGACTTGTAATATTGTGAATGGTTCAGTGGTTTAGTGTATAGGTTCCACTTTATATGAACTACGACATTAGCTTCCTGTCAAGACCCTTATCTTAATACCATTATCAGGACATAGAATTCAAGGTAGCCCATCAAAGTCAGCTAACATAATATACGGACTCAAAGCAAGGTAGCAGATATAAAGTGTATTATCTAATTCAGAACTGAATGAGTAGTGTATGTGTATGCTTAAGTTATAGAGACGCGATATCTTCAAGGCTGAAAATCCTCACATGTCTTACCATCAGTTCCACTTTTGAGTAAATGTAACCCTACTAAGATGAAGCTAAACTATGGTGCTATGAGGCAACAAATAGTAGACCGTCTTATCCTAAGGGCTCATAAGCAGGGCTCTTTTGGGCTAATCATGGACAGTACTATGATGTCAGTCGGTGGAGTACGGATAAATGCTGATGATCCTTTATGGCCTTGGTTGACCATAGTAAGACTTACTGCATGGGCGACTGATAGGATGCACGAAATGCGAAGGACATATTTGAGTGGCTTCGACCGGCCTTAAGCTAAAATTACTATATATGATACCTTTCCTACGTTATCGGCTTTCCGCGCTAACACGCTTCCCAGAATGATGTTCCTAGATCACGAGGAAAACACTTCAAGCCAATATCAAGGAATTTTACTATCGGGCACCACCCGTACGTATAGGTACATATATATCGCTGTGTCAATTTACAACATTCGGAGGTGAACAAGCTGCTCAGTGAAGCTTCGAAATAGCGAAGTATTCGGTAAGGTTAATATGTACTTTAATTTGCTAGCTGTTATACATTGAGGTAGTAAAATAGTAAAAGAACAGAAGGCAGTTGGGGCAATCTTGCTTACCAGGTTCCTCTCCCGAGACGGCAAAGACCTCGGATATAACTACAGGGTGTTTAGGAAGCTGGACTCATAGAGAGTATTGAAATACGTTTTTTATTCTTATGGTTTCCATGGGATATGGATAAACAGGGCTTTTGTGCACTGAGGTGCCTACAAAACCGCAAGGGAGACCAAAAATATATGTATCCGAAAAGGCCAAAATCTTTTTCCTAAGCTCTTACTTCACGAAGTGCCCTTTAACGTTAGCTATAGTATTGCAATATAGTATATAAAAATATACAATAGCGACCTGAGCTGGATTGGATTATGATAATGTTGAATGGGTGGTGCGGGTGAAGGGTCCAGTATGTGGAAGATGGAAGGTGTTGCCTTATATTCCACATAAATTCTCCTTTCTTTAACAATGGCAGCTTGGCCGAGTGTTGAAGGCGTGTCTGCTATATATTACATCTTGAGGAATAACTCTCGCTTACTTTTGGGTGCGTAGTGTTGTCATTCCTCTTGCTTTACTCTTTTTCCCAATCATAACTCGATTGCTTGATTGGGCTAACATGGTTTCCGTTCCTCTTCTTCCTCCTTTTCTTATTTTAATACAACAAATCAATCTAATATCGGTCGGCAGATGTGGTATGCCAATCAACCTAAGCATTGACGAGTGCTGCCGCCCAGCCATCGCAGGCAGGCAGGAAGTGCAGGTATCTGCGGATTTCGTGCTTTGTACATACAACACTATATACTCTCTATCGCTATGCCATGCAGCCTGTCATCTTGTTAATAGAAGGGGTAACCCACATCGCGGATTATGAGTAGGTAGCAACTGCCAGACAATTGACTTGCCAACGAAACCACACGTGTAGGTGGGATCAAACCACATGAGATCCAGCGCTCTGCCTATTTGGCTCACGTGCAACAAGCCATACCAACAAGAGATACATCCACGTCCATCCTGCAAGCCAACTGTCCAGGGACAAGCCTCGGCTCTCTATTATGATCACCCATCAGACTTGAATATGGGCGTGCGGTGTTCAGTGGTACCTCGCAGGGTAATTTCCCAAGCCAAGGTCCGATGATAGAAGCCCAGCCAGGTGGACGCGACGAAATAATGATGGACAGGAACACGCTTTGTAAAAACACGGCACTGGATGGTAAATCTCCCGCAGGTTTTCAGGATCGTCTGGACATCCAGCCAGGCTTTGTTGCTTGGGACGCCATCTCTGGGTCTGGTTCAGGGCCACGGTCACCGAGGTATGGTTTATGTATACTCCCAGACCAGACCGGACCGGACGGAACCAAAATTCGTCAGTCACAGGCCAGAGTCACAGCGCAGGAGGATGACGGACCTGGTGACAATTTTCAGCCCAGATGCAAATATGGGAGACGCCAGACGCAAAGACAGGCAGGCGGAATCGAAATTTGGGGCTTGGGGTCATCGAACGGATATCGTAGCCGTCATCGGACCTGACAACTAAAGAACTGGCGTCTAGGCAGTAAGATTAAACCCGGAGGACGACCAGACCCAAAACCAAGGTTTTTACTATTTCTGATGTCAGAAATAGGGGACACCGAAATGCCGAAAACCCCCTGACCTCGACACATCACGACATCCGTCAAATGGCGGAGAAAGAGGACGAGAGCCAGAGTGAGGAGCCCCAAAAAGCGGCCGGAATGACTCGATCAGCTGATCGTCGTTCCAGGTGAACCGTTCACCTGCGCCATGAACCCCCGGGTTTAACCTGGGGGAGAGGCCAAAAAGGGGGAAGGAGGGAGGGGAGATCTCAATCAAACGGATCAAAAGAGTCAAAGACACCGCAAGCCAGGTAAACTCAAAGCAAGGATCGTGAACAATCCCATGGTCAGCCACATGGGAACCCGGCGGAAAGGACGAGAGTCTGCAGTAGGAAAGTCGAACCGGGTTTGCAAATCGATAGCGTGAAGTTTCTCTGACGCCGACTTCCCACCCAAGCGCATGGTCAGAGGCGATAGTGTATAGGGATATGCAGCACGAACCAACGGTCGAGAAGGCCGGATTAGGCAAGTGGTAGATCCAAAAGACCAGGCGACGTGAGCGACATGCAGGGAAATCCGGCGTCGATCATCCGCACGAAAAACAATACAAAAAAGCCTGAGTCAAGGAACCATAGTTCGTGAGTTTGCGCGAGAAGTGGAATGATCCGAAGCGTGGGCAGGGGGCGCCCTAGTGGCTAGTATATTTCTAGAAGGCATTGCGAAGTGGGGGCGACGCCGGACAGGCTAAGGTTGGCACTATGCAGACACTATTGAAATCACTCGGCGTCGCGAACTGGACCAAACTTAACCCTCGCACTGCGCAGTTGGGAAAACTTCGGGGGTTTTCGATGCGGATGGACTCGTGGTGAGACATTTTGGAACTCAAATGATGTCAGTTTGAGTTCGCGAGGGTTTCAACGACCGATGAACCATGGGCGATGGACACACGAGATGACCGGGAGCGGAAAGGTGCGGCGTTCGTGTTCGGGAGACGTCCTTTGACAGACCAAAATAGCCAAAGCAATAGACTTTGCAAAAAACAAGGGCGGATTGTCAACCCTAACTTTGAATGACAAATTCCCTGACTCGGCCTGTCAGAGCGACGCACGGGATTTCCGAGTCTCTGTGCTTGACAATGCCTTTGGACGGATCTGTAGACTCAAGTAGGTCTACTCCGTATACCCGTTTCACCAGTGTCACCACGGCGTATGTCGGCTATTGATGAGGTTGCCTGGACCGATCTGCCGCCCTTACTCCAAGGCCCTCCAAGGCCCTCCAAGGCACTCCAAGGCTCCAAGGACTCCAGCCAGCGCTAAGCCGCAGGGGGCTTTTCCGAGACGCCCCTCCCCGGTGGCGTTGCCTTCGGTAGGGTTGGCCTGTCACCAAAAGTTGGCCAGCCACCCCCTTGACTCTACGAGTATGTAGTACTCCGTATGTATGGATGTAGAATGACGATATCTCATCTTGCACTCTCCCGGGGACCACAAGGACTCTGGTCGAAACATCCCCCATGCGTTTCTGCAGTCCTCCCCAATGCCTGACCCAAAGAATTGGAAACGACCTCATATAGCATGAAACTATTGGGTTATTTTTGGAGGCGAATCACTGATTCAGTCCCCCCCCCCGTCGTCCTTCTCACCTGTGTGTCAAAGCCTTCTTAGCGGCCAACGCCATTGACAAATAATCGGTGCCAGACCACGAGGCAGGTGTGCCTCCATTTAGCTCCGGCTAGGACGGGGATGCTCGGTCTAGGGTGGCTTTGCCTTTGGGCCATGGGTCGTCCCAGAGAAACTCTGTTGTCCGCCAGCTTCTTCTCTTTGGCCGTACCAAACTCTGCCTCCCTCCGGCGCGGCCCTGCCTACCATCTCGAGGCAAGTCGGCGATCCTCTTTTCTTCTCTTTTGAGTTATCAGTCCGGAGGTTATTGCCATCGTGCGAACCTTGCTGGGTTGGGTAGTTTGATACCATTCCCTCCGACAGGAGGGATCCTCCCGATGGATTTGCTAGATCGACGGAGACAGGCCGAACAAGGCTGGGGGTGTCCCTTTTTTTTTGGGTTTCCAATTTTCTCCCGTCCTCTGGCGTTTCCCCCCTGTTCAACACTGACCAACTGACAGGAATAGCTCCGTGAATCCGATTGCCCTGACCCGGAGTTGGGAGATTTTTGGGTTTGCGCGGTCGCCTGGAAATGAAGACAATATCGATCAATTCCGGGAATCTTGTCAGAATGAAACAAGGTGGACACTGATTAGGATTGATATTTCGGTGATGAATCGGACGGAATGCCAGTTAATTTATTTAAGCCTTCCAGAACGCTGCCACCTCAGGCACCCGGCCGCGATGACATGCGCTACCGACCACTTTATCAGGCATGGATTGGTGCCGTCCCATCGCCGAAAACTCTGATAGATTAATCGCCAAAGGAATGGTTAATTAACCATGCCCACGATCTAGACGAGGGCCTCCATTGGACGTCATGGCCGGGCCTAAGGAGCAGCAGAACCAATGAGTCGGGACGAAGGCCGATGGAGTGTCCGATCGTCTCCAGCGGGTGGAGATGCGTCACAGACTGGGGATTTGTGACTGGTGAATCGAGTCAATCCACGCGCTAACCCGACTGAAAAGGATTCCACTCCCTCTCCGCCGCCGACTCCAATTTTCAGCTGTCCACGTTGATTGATTGAGTCGGTGGTCTGATTTCAGCTTGCCCCCGAACTCACTCACCACTGCTTCTGGTAACCGCCGAAACGTTCCTGAATCCGAAAAGGAGCCCTACGCGGTAGGCTGGACTCGCGTCTCGCCTCCGCCGGATAGGGGCCACCCCGTCCGACTCAGACACAATCTCGGTCTCGATGATCCATGATCCATGAGCCATGATCCGTGATCCATCACCTTCCCCTTTCGCGGCATGATCGGCGCCGGTTCTGCTGTCGGCATCCGGTTGGGTCCAAATGTCGTTCCTGTCACTCATGGCACGCTTTCTCGTGGTGGTTTCGTTATAAATTTAAACTCCAATGACCCATCGATCAGCTAAGCCGAACCTTGGAACGGATAATCCTCGTGGTGCCGATGAAGTCAACCCTCGAGGGGGGAATTATTAATTTAATATGTGAGTATAACTCGTTAATAAATTTTTATGACGATTGACGGGAGAAATTCTGCTTCGGTAACGGAGGAAACCAGGTCGGTGGACACACATCACCGAACTTTGTCCAGCCTCCATTTTTGGCGCTCCCTCTTTCTGCCTCCCTGTCAATTCCATCAGATGATGGCGATGGCGATGACAGCCCTCCACAGTAGGGTAGTAGCAGGCAGTCTATGACTGCGTTAGTTCCCTTCGGCCATCGTCTGTCCACTGGAGGTACAGGGGCAGCACCAACACGGACTTACGTGATTGGCGTTGGAGGGCTGCTGGCGGCATGTCAATTTCGCCCATTACCCACCTTCTAGCCGACAACCTGAGATGTCATATGCACGGGCAATGGATCTCGCATAAGAGATGGGTGCCGTTACACCAATCACGGCCGGCCACTCTTCGTCTGCATTAGTTGGGCACACCTTTTTGGTTTTCCGCCCTTGGGGGGGACCATCCCTTGTGAACGGGGGACCTGCAATAACGCTTCCAATTGGTATGTGGTCGGTCTGTGCCTAGGATGGGTGACGAGCTATTTGGCAGCCCTGCGGACTGACGGAGTCGAGGAGCAAGGCGGGTTGGATATCCGGGATTATTTATTTTATCGATTTTATTTTTTTCGATTTCGATTTCTCCGTGGTCAAGGGGGGAATGATGAAGTTGATAATTTGACCCTTGAACGGGGACGATTATCATCTGGCTACACAGATCAAGGGTTACTCTGTATTTATTTCTGTATTTATTTTTCTTATTTATTTTGCCTGCTATCCTGATTCGTATTATCTTTTATATATTTATTCTGAATCCATCGTTACTCTACGCAGTATTCTGTACACCCTCCGACCGCGCGAGTGGGTCGTGGCACACCACATCGCCAAGTGGGGTCCATCCAGAGGAACCCCTCGGCGATCGGGCCTTCCCTGTCCAGGAAGTTGGAACATCTTGTCGACAAGCCAAGACTCGACGACGTGACTTAGCGTCTGTCATCCAGCTCACAGCCTCGCCCTTCTTTCCTCTTGTCACGCCGTGATCGATCTCCCTCTCCCCTCCCACTGCTCGATCGAACTTGCCCGTTAATCACCTTGCAGCGGGAGGACTCGGATGCTGCAGCCTCTTTCCCATCGGGTTTCATTTCGTCCACCCAATGCATCCCCCGCCTGCCTTGGTTTTGGGATCCCAGAGAGATGTCGCACCACTTGTCCCTCTTTTTTTTTTTTTTTTTTTTTTTTTTTTTGGGTCTCTGGGATAAGCTACGATTTTGTGATCTCTGCTAGCTTGGCTCGAACCAGTCACCAGTCACCACCCTCCGCGTCCTATTCTGACTGACTGACACACCAAGCGATGTGGATCCCACTCAGTGAGGGACAGCGGGCGATCGCTCCTCTTTTTCTTTTTCTTTTTTTTTCGGTCTCGCTCCAAGTGGCCCTGGTTCCTGTTCTTTCTCGTTCTCTTCTCCTGGGAATTCCCCCCTCCTGTAACATTTCCTTTCCTCAGTTTACTCCGTAGTTGATTGGCCGACTCCGGTCTCCGTGCAAGCCATTAAACCTACAGCTGAAATGCGGGTTGGTTCTTATTCTATTTTAATTTCCTCTTTCTACTCCCACAAAAGGTGAACCTTGCCAAAGCCCCGCTTTCCTCTGCTCTCCCTGTTATAGACTTTGCAGCTATACCTGCTCCGGACCGTTCCTCTGTGAGGCGATTTGCTTCCTTGCTGCTTGGATGCAGTCGTCGTTGCGCTGGTGGTAAGCATCTAGCTGGTTCGGGCAAGATGGCGTGTCTCCGGATACTACTCCCTGCACCCTGGTTTTCCCTGGTTTCTTGCCACCTCATTGCACGACAGGAGCGTTATTACTTTTTGCAGGACTTTGGTTCGATCAATCACGGCGTGTTCAGGAACCGCGGGAAGCCTTTTCCGCCTTCTTGATTCAGGTACAGTCTTTTTCCTGTCTTTCTTTCTTTCTTTCTTTCTTTCTTTTTTTTTTTTCGCTCTCCCCCCTGCCTCTCCCTCCCATCCCCACTTAATACGGTATTTAATTAAGCAGAGGCGGGCGATGACAAAGTGGCAGCCCAGCAGGGGGGAAATACCGTCGCAGTCGCCACCGTCAGATAAAAATACCTGGGTGACTTACCCCAAGTCATGAGGTCATTAGTGGTCACGTCCGCTAAACCACTAACCGACAATAGTGCCAGAAACCCCGTCAATGTTTGAGAAAGATGAGACTAGGGGGGGTTAGCATGTTTCTGGAAGCTCGACTTCGTGAGTCCGCCAGAGGAGGCATGAACTTAATTATCAATTAGGAGAGTTTCATCTATGTTTTGTGCCGGGGTGAAAGTAAGTCGGGTGATGCTGTCATCCTCTTCCCCCCCTTTTTTCTCTCAATTGATCGCTTTCTCCGGAGACGAGCCTGGTCGTTGAAGATCTAATTTCATGACTCGAGTCATGAAAGGGGGGAGCGCTCTCCACACGAAAAGGACAAGTATCCGGAGGAAACGACAGCAGACCTGTGGCACCCTCTTTTGGGTGCAATTTGCTCCCCTCCCATTCCGGGAATTAGGCCGGCAATGAAACGCCATTGCTACACCTCCCATACTCCATACATGCCTCCAGGTGCAGGAGGGCCGATCTTCGTACGGCGGGACAGGGTGTTCTCTGAATTGTTCTTGCCGCGGCGCCACCTCAGAAAATGATCGTTTCTCCTTGGACGCTCTGGGAAATCTCCTCCAGATCCCTTGGCACCATCTGTCACGGACAACCTTAAGGATGAGCATGTTTAGTAGGGCCCGATAAAAAAGATTAAACATTAATTAAATATTAATAATTCTGGTCATCAATTTTGGATCGTCGGATATTACTCATCCTGTTTCTTTCATTTTATTTTATTTTATTTTATTTTATTTTGTTTATTTTTTTTTTAATTCATTCATTTTCTGGCTTTTTTTTTGGTTTTCTCCCTTCCAACCCAGACGGAGGAAAAATCGAATAAAATCGAATAAATCGATCAAGAAATTTAGGGGACCTAACGTAGTAGTCACCTCTGTACCCTCGCCCCCTCCCCTCGTCCCTCATCGTGAAAGCGCCCCCCTCTCTGCATGCCTTTTGGATGCCGACGGGGCCAGTGACGGTCGACCGTAGTTTGTGGCTATTGTATCCACACCCATCCCCGATCGTCGGTTTTCTGGGATCCCCCCCTGTTCTTGCCTTTTCTTTTTCTCTCCCCCTCTCCTCTGATTTTTGTCAGTGATGGCTTGGCTAATATACAGCTGACGGGGGCCGGGTGTCTGGCGGTCTTTCCAGGTTCAATCATGTTTTTCTTTTTCCGGGTGGAGGGAGTAGCTAGTCTTGCAGGATGTCGGGGACCAGATTTCATTTCATTTTTTTGCCCTCGAAATTTCACGGGAATGGATGCTGGCCCCAGAAAAGGGAAATAGAAAATAGGGTGGACAGATATCCAGGCAGAAAAAAAAGTAAAACTGAAATAACGGAAGAGAGTTTGAAAAAAATGAACTGCAAAATTAAAAATAATCTAAAATGAAAATTAATCCAAAGATTAAAAAGAAAAATCAAATTCAAATAAATCAAAAAAGAAAAAAAGAAAAAAGAAAATCGAAAAATGGAAAAAGAAAAGAAAATCCAAAATCCAATTGTCTGAACCCCGAACCACCTTTGAAAGAAGAGATCTGGTCCACCCAGCCCAGATCCAATTGTTGAGCTGCCTCACTCCCTACCACCTTGCATAACCTTGGTTCAGCTGTCTCCATCGTCATCGTGTGCGGCAATGTCAAGGTACTTTAAACTCAGGTCCTGGTAAGTATTATTTGTTGCCCATGTTTCCTTCCATTCTCTACCATCGAACCACAACAGCCTAATTTTTTTTTCTCTTTTCTTTTTTTTTTCTTTTCTTATCCTTATACTTCTACTGATTCCTCCCTCTTGTTCCTCGTCTTCAGTTTTTCGCATTCTCCGGTTCAACCTCGCTCTCCTTCTATCTCCCCTTCTTCCCCGCCAGAGATCGGATTCCTCTGATCGCGATACCGTTCCGGATTGTGTGGAACAAGCCGCAGGCCGGCTACTTCGATTATTAGAGATTTGCTTTTGCTGGGACGCATCTTGGTGCTTTCCGTGACCATACACAGAACAAGCGCCAATCTTGTACCTTCTACCCCACTAAACACCATCTTCGCTGTCTATGTCCCAGCCCCGTGAACAGGGCGAGGATTCCAATAAGATGGCCATTTCATACGCCAGCGGTCTTCCGGCCGATCACACGCAAGCCCTCCCTTCATTCCGAGAGGTAAGAGAGACCGGGAAAGACCCAACCCGCGATCTCCGAGTGTTCTCGGGGTTTCGACGGAATTTGGTTCCAGAGCGATAGATCGAAAAGGACACGGGACTGACTGGTGTTCTTTAGCTGCTGCCCCCTCACCTTCACGACGAGATCGAATCCACCTCCTACTTCACGTCGCGGCAACATTCGCACGAACGTCCCGCATCCGCCAGTCATGATCTGACTTCCAACCACCGGCTTATGTCCGAGCGGCCATACGGCTCCCCATCCAAATTGCCCATGGCGGAGTCCCCTCGCGATTACTCGATAGCTGCTCACCCGAGAGATCCCCGGTTACCTCAGACGGCCGGCTCGACGCCCCCTTACGCCTCCCGCGGACCTAGCCCCATCCTGCCCCCCATCCGGGATCTGCAATCCCTCCCTGACCGAGGCCTGAACCCGACGAATGCCGCTTTCCCCGACGCTCGCGGCCTCGCTCGACCCGATCCCTACGCGGCGGCGCACGAGATGCGCTCCGGCCCTCCCGTGGGCAGCCACGGCTTCGCTACCTCCGCGGCCAACTACCCGGGACCGATGGGGGATCGACGCAGCGCGGAGGCCTACGTAGGAGCCAACGGGGCGCCCGTGATGCATTACCCGTACTCGGCGATGGTCTACCAGAGTGATTCCGAGCAGACATCTCCGCAGGGCCTCTCGCACGGTCCGCAGTCGAATTTCGGCATCCTGGGCGACCCGGCCGACTCGAGGAACAAACGCCGACGGGGGAACCTGCCCAAGCCGGTGACCGATATCCTGCGCGCCTGGTTCCACGAACACCTCGATCATCCGTATCCCAGTGAGGAGGACAAGCAGATGTTCATGACCCGTACCGGGCTTACGATCAGTCAGGTAAGTTTGTTGTATTTTTGCTCCCCGGGGGAGAGGTTGCATTGCATCCGGGAGGCTGACCCATTTTCCCAAACAACAGATCAGCAACTGGTTCATCAATGCAAGGAGGCGACAACTCCCCGCTTTGAGAAACCAAATGCGCAACGGCGGATCCGACCTCGACCCTCAAAGACAGTCGCCTTTCAGTGACGTCGAGCATACATCCTCGGAGTCGATGCCGTCTCCTCACATGCTCAACCAGTCTTGATTTGAATCAAACCCACCCAATTTATATACGAGAAGGAGTTGACCCGGAATAGTCTCTCCTGTTTTCTATTGTCTAGTCGCTTGATTTGCTCTTGCCTTTGCAGCACTCCTATATCAAGATTCTCATGAACCGAGTGAGATCGGATCGATTTTGATACCCCTGCTATCGTTTTCTTTTTATTAATCGGAATATTTTAACCCTGGCTCCTTTTGCATGCCGGAATGGTAATGAGCGTGGGACACACCCAACCTCGGGGAAAGCAAAAAACAGGAAAGAAAAAGGAAAAAGAAAAAAAAAATACGACAATAATCCAATCACCGTCGATTCCATCTATCATTCACCAACCATGGAAGGTAATGAATGGATCGGTTCGCCCAACCTACCAACTATACGCGATTATGCATACGAGGTGTTTATGGTTTCATCATTGTTTCAAACTGGTTTTCTTTTTTTGATTCGTCAATACTGCATATCCGATCTTCACTTCTCTTCCCTACCTGTGTATCCTGGGCGAAACGGAATGAAACGAGCAAGGCAAGGGAGGAGGAGTGCGGACGGAGCTGAATGATTTTCCTTATTGTTTATTTTCATATTGTATAGTGTAAGTATGGATGATGTGACCATGTCAGAACTAGATTGTTTTCATTTCATATTTCTTTGAGTTTGCATTTCCTTTGTTTATAGACAGACAGGCTAAATAAAATACATGGGATAATAATGATTTCCGGTGGTTGCTATGGACGGTAGATTGGATAAGTGATTGATTGGAGTCAACATAATAATAGATAGAGGTCATTCAGAATAAGCAAGCAGGTAACTAGATGTGAAAACAACTACCTAGTATAGTAACAGAGAATTAGGTACCCGACGTCCCTAGTCCTCCAGTATAGTGACTTGACACTGGCTGACACTGACAGGATCAGGAACAGGAAGTAGCAGGCGTCCAACCGAGCCGGCGCCCGACGGTTCCTCACTGTTTCAAGACAAGAATAGAACAATGTTCCACCCCCATATTTATAGTATAGAATGTAGCACAATATAATGAAACAACACTTTGAGACTATTCTACACTACAATATAAATATAAAATCTCATGTTAGAGTAAATCCCTCCCAGTCAACCCTCAGACTTCCAGAGTAGTGGCCATAGGTAAAGAAACCTAGTATTGCCGCAAATCCGTGTCCGCCGTAACAACCGGAAGACAAAACCATCCCGAACCATGGATCCCGCGTATCAGATCTTTGGCTCCGGTGATGATGTTTCAAATCGCCTCCCTGCCTTCCCTTTTCTCTGTCTGGTTTCGGTCTACGGAGTAAGAAAGGGAGGGAGAAAAAAAAAGAAAAAAAAAAAAGAGGACCTGCCCCGCTAACTACGAACCAACACCACCCATACTCCATAGGTACTACGATAGAGATGGATCGGTTCCATTATAATAATCCGTACTCCGTCCGGTACCCAGATTGACTGATTGCCGATTCCGCGTGGCGGTGAAATTGAAAATTCAATCTGAGACTACGGGTCTGTTCGTTGGGTACTGACTGGGTCAAGGGAACTCGGAAGCAGATTCGCTTGCCCTAAGGACTCCATAATGGGTTCATCTGTGTTATTACTCCGTAGTTACTACTGGGTCGGTGGGAGAGAGGGCTGTCATCACGTCATGTCAACCCTAAAGTTGGGTTTGGGCCATGGACCATGGACCATGGGCTATCGGCATCCGTCGTTCGATCGCATTTACCGAGTTCGGTTCGGGTTTGATTATTCTAATTTTATTTTAATTTCGTTGTTGATGTGTGTCTTTATGTCTGTTGTTTTGTGCATAGGATAGTATACTACCTATACTACACTATACTATACTATACTATAGGATCTGTCACTCTGACGACATAAAACCAACCAACCCAACTAATATTACAAGGGGTAGGTAGCACAGAGTACCAGCTGATCAAACCCAGATCCCAAAAGACCGGATCCATACATACATCTGTTTCAGTCGCGTTGCTTATTCTGCGTAACATGTTCATGCGGGTTCGGGTGGGTGGCGAATGTCACGATTTCCAGACGGCAGTTTGAGATCCGATCCGTGCCGTTCTGCGCTGTCCGGGAATTGGCCATCGCCGCGGAAATGTAGGCTGAGTCTCTGGAGTATGTACATTGTATGTAGGATGTAGGATGGGGGATTCTGTATGGGTGATTGTCGGTGCATGCATGCTTCGGAAATACCTTTCTATCTAGGCATCTAGGCATCTGCCCTGATGGAGCTGTTTTGTTGGTGTGATGTATTATTTATTGTATTGTATAGCTATCTATCTACCTATTCATGTATTTATCTGGAGTTTTCATTTCCTCTTAACATGGTTGGTTAATTGGCTGACTAGCTATCTACTCATGTCCCTCTGTCATCCAATATAACCGTTCAGTTAGTTTGGGAATGTCAGCAGGCCTGCAGGACTGGATGACTCTGATATGCAAGCCCTACGAATGTAACCCTTGACAGATGACATAACCCAGCTCCGAATCCAGATCCAGATCCAGATCCCGAAAGAGGCGGATCGCCGTGGCCATGGGGACTGAGGCCAGAGAATAGGGTTTGTGGCTCTGAGGTGACACGAAGGATGCCGACCGATCCCCCACGCACGAAGCACGGGGTGAGGAAAGGGGGAAGGACGGGGACAGATACATAAATGAATTAATGAAAGGAAAATTTCAACTTGGTTAAGTAAAGTACCTACTACAAATACAATAGCCAACACCGCGTGCATTACATTTAACGGCCCTGTTATATGCGTACGGATCGGATCCCACTAGAGGATAAAGACGTGACAAGCGAGGGGCATCCACGGACTCATATCCGGTCTATCACATGGCGGTGAAATCGACCTGTGGCGCATGGCGCGAATGCCAGAAAATCCATCGGAATGTCTGTCACCTTTTTGTTCTTTGTTTTTCATGCGAGGGAGATCCCTGGCTGACTTTGAGCGCATCCGACCCTGCGGATTGGTTGGCAGTCCGGAGTTGCCTAGGTGTGGAGGGCGTGTGGATGGCGTGATAGGTGCTGGTCACATACCTACCGAGCGGAGAGAGTTGAGATGGAGGGAGAGAAAGTAAAATAAATGAATCAACTACTAGGTATTTAGTACGGAGGGTGTTGATTAACGGTTTACGGATAGACGGGGATGCGACGTCTGCCTGCCCGAATGCCAAAGGAGGATGACCAGGTGGTATTGCAGCTGCAGTCGACAGATTATTCTTCTGCCACAACGCATCAACCCAATCAGGACAGACCGTCAGGCATCGGTGATTCTCCTCTCCCCAAGAACCAGGAAACGGGCCAATCTGCACCCCACCGTGGATGCGGCAGATCGCCCTTTCAGTGGAGGAGTCGACCGTCTGAAGGAAGGGGGACAGACCGACGAAAAGGGAATTAAAATCACCGAGTAAGCCCGGCCATCCCTTTCTTCAGCCTCGCCACTCAGAAAGGAACAGTCTGCAAGGTGCGAGCAAGGCACCCCGTCGTTATCCGACTGCACGGTACTATTTCTATGGCAGACTCTCTCTCGCCACAGACAGCCTCATCCCAGCCACAGCGCACTACCAACCAACACACAGACCCTCTTGCTCTTCCTCTCCCTCACCTCAAGCGACATTCCCGGACGCACCTCATCCATTCATGAAATGCAGCTCATCCTTGATTTCCCCCCCTCCTCAGGTCATACTGCAGTTTAAGGCACGCATGTACCGGTACCTCCGCTACCGCGACCAGACAACGCAAGACGGCCCTTCTGCACGCTCAGTCCCCCGGCCAGAGACCAGTCAGGATGAAGAATCCAGCCAATTACGACGGCGGCGTCGAATCACAGGCCTGTAAGTACTCAGTAGCTAGGCTGCATCGGGATCCGAACCACGTCAGTCGCCAGTTCGAATACTTACATTTACATGCAGACTGTCTTGTCTCGGCGTCCTAGCTCCTCTCTGTGCTACTACGCCTGCATGATTATCCTTTAATTGAAGCTAAATCCAAATCGCAGCTAATTAACCCGTCCACGGTGCGGTGCTAATTAGGTATGATTGATCTGCGTCGGCCCAATCGTCCGGTCTGGTCTGCTCTGCTCCCTATACCCAACCAACCAATGCATCGTCGTTGGTACTCCATTCTCGACCCAAACGGCCAAAACAACTGGCACATGCAAGTCACTTCTCCGCTGCATGAGGCACGTCTCACCGGAACAAATCCTCAACGGCGAGCCCTGGACGGCGGAATTCATGAGATTGGTCACTTACCCACCACTTGCTCACTAGCCAGTACCCAGTCCCCCAGTCCCCCAGTATCTACCTGTAGCTAGCTAAGGTAGGTAGCTAGCTACCTGTAGCTTCATACCCAGCCAGCCGCAGCCAGACCCAGCCTAGAGAGCTAGACTAGGACAACGACATCTCCGACGATGCCAAAACCCGGATTCCAGACATGCATGGCTCGCAGGTCGCAGGTCTTGCGTCTCTACGTGGTCCGTATCCAGGACTCCGGTTCAAGGGCGGGGAGGAGGAGGGTGTGTGTGTGTGTGTGTGTGTGTGTGTGTGTGTGTGTGTGTGTGTGTGTGTGTGTGGTGGTGCTTCTTGGGTTTCGTAGACGCGCGCTCCGTCCGTGCGCCGGCATGTTCGAACGAATCTGCCGTGATACCTCTGCGTTTTGATCTCCAGGAGTGACTTGGGCTGTGATGCGCTGCGCTGCGGTGCCTTGGTTTTTTGATGTTGTGCGACGTCCTCGGAAAAAGGGGGGGTGTGTATGTATGCATGTCTTGGCTGCTGGGTTGGGAGGCAAAGTATCTAGTTATGTAAGTAGGTAGTTAGGAAGGTGGGTAGTTGGTTAGGTGCTGTATGAAGAGCAGGTATGTGTATGCATGTCGCGGGGCCGTTTGGGTGCATATCACTAGGCAGCCTAACGAAGTGGACTGGCCTCAGTCGGATCTAGGTAGACGTCTGTATACAGGTGGGTAGAGGTGTATAGACAAGGGGATACAGAGCCAGGGAACCAAAAACCACCACCAACCCACTAACCAACAAACTAGGTAGACATGACACGGCAGGAGATCTGAGACGTGGAATGGAACGGTCGGTTCTCGACGTTCTGTTGTACGACCTAGGAGCCGAATGCGGAAACTTTTTCCCGAGTATGAGGCCGAGGCCAGGCGATGGCGAGCGTTGGATCGGGGCTTACACGGTTGGTGAGGCGTGTGATGGGTTTGGGCTTTTGCCTTGTTGTTGTTAGTTGGGGTAGAGGGATGTTGATGCTGTGGATTGGGTTGGGGGTTTATTTTGGGAATGCAGATGGAAGGGATTGTTTGGGGTTGTGGAAACTTGCGGGACTCATGTTGGGGATGTCTTTGTTCTTTTTTTTTTCTTGCAGGCAGGTGTTAGATTGCATTCTTTCTGTTTTATGACCGGTGGGAAATGTATGCCTGGTATCATATAACATAAGTGGATTCAGATTGTTTACGAAAGGAAAGGTTTGACAGCCATGCAGTTCAAAAGGCAGAAAGTTGATTTCGCAATGCATGCATGAATGCAATCATAGTCTATCTATGACAGGTATCTATATCTATATACAGTAGTATTATACAGGTTGTTTGCCTTGATCAGGCACAATGTGTAGTGGAAGTAGCCGGGTAGACGGCTTCCAGGTGATATGCGACGGGATGGTTGAGTATATCCAGCTGCCGACACAAGCATGTCTAGCATGCATTGTGCGGTCTGAATGGTTGTGATGAGCTGGTGCTCTCACAGCCGACGAGTGAGATAATTTCCATATCTCGATAAATCGTCGACTCATGTCTCTGGTGTCCGTTCTGTCGTCTTTCCCAGTAAGAGGACTGAACTCATGGTTGAGACATGTGGATGGTCGATGCCATCGTGTTGCTAAGAAACGAAGAAAGAAATGCGCTGGAACTCCGAATAAACCAATCATGCGTTGTTCGCGCACGAGAAACTGCTCTTAGAGCCGTCGTTGTGGATCGCGACTCCGGACACCCAGAGACCGCAGACGCAGATGGTGCCGCCGATAAGGACGAGTCCGACATTCGCCAGGAAGAGGAGGATTTTCTTAGGAGAGGTGAAGTAGTTGCCCCAGTACATGTGGAGCCAGAAGATGCCGGGGAGGCCGAACGAGAACCAACTGACGAACAGAGCGCTCTGAAGACGGGTTAGACAACGGCTTGCAAGATCGGCAGACGTGAGTACTTACAACAAGACTAAGCAGGTTGTTGAAGACGGGAATGGCCTCGGCGATGATCCAGGCAATGATCCAGAATGCGAGGGCCAGGCCAACCCAGGCTCCAACGCCGCGGAAATCACGCTTGTGCATGATGTCGGTGTGGCGGAACAGACGGACGTAGACGTTCTTAATGGCAACGTGGCCCAGAACGACACCGGCGATGACGATGGTGGGCATGGCGATTCCGTAGGCCACTTTGCGAAGGATGGGGCCCGTGGACCCCAGGGCGGGGGAGGTGACACCCGGTCCGGCGTAGCGATAGATCACGGCGGAAACGATGGTGTACATGATGATCTCGAAGCCCTGGAGCATGCAGAGAGACTTGGGGAAGTCCCGGGGGTCTTTCATTTCGGAGATGAATCCGAAGAAAGCGGGGTGACCACCTGAAGAGAGATTAGCGGCTGCGTTGACAATCAATGCGAGGGAACATACAGTAGGCAAAGACGATGTTGGTAACAGCCGTGAAGCCGTTGACGAAGCTAGTGTCGACAGTGGTCTCCGCCAGACCATCTCCCGGTCGTTCGACGGCGACACCGATCATCGTGATCATCATTGCGGTGAAAATACTGATGAACGCTTGGCGGTGTTAGTGGATAGATGCTGGGAAGCAATTCGTAGACAGGGAGCTTACAGATGATCGCGAGCCACGAAACATTTTTCATGGTTCGTGGCAAAGAGAAAATCAAAGAGAGAACCAAGCCCATCACTCCAAAAACAATTGAGCATGTTCCATGGTCTGTCAAGGTGTTCATCATGACCGTGAACGTCAAAAGATGACTGCCACACGCGAAGATGAAGAACAGAAGCTGGCCGATCTCGAGAACATGCCGCCCGATGGGTCCCATTAGGACCTCACCGGCATCAGCCATGCTGTGAATCGAAGGATGCCGCGTCTTGAACTGTCCAATGACATAACCGGAATATGTGGCAACGATTCCGATGCCGATAATCAGAACGATGGCACTGGGATTGTTAGGAATCGTACGGATTGGCGAAGATTCGAAGCACTCACGGAGCAAAACCAATCGAGGCAACGGTCGCAGGCAGCGAAAGCACACCCACTGATACTGTCTCGGCAATCATGACTATAGCAATTCGGTCAGAAGGAGGATCTCAAGGTTCAAAGATTGTTCGGAGTCGTACGGATTCCAGATTGCCTAAAACACACGCCTCCAGGTCAGCCATCTGATCGATGAAATTGTCCCAATGATTCACAACTTACCACCAGTCCAAGGTCTTGTACTTCACCTCCGCGATCTCTTCAGATCCGAAGGGATCATTCTCGATGGAAGGCGCCTTTTCGTCATCCAGCTGCTTCTCCGCAGCATCCGTGGCGTGCCAATTGGGCACCCCCTCGATGTCTTTCGTGTCCAGCGACGCCATGGTTGCACCAAAGCTGTGAGATTTCTCGAAATCGGTCGGTCGGACGGACGGTCGGGAGCGGTGGTGCTTCTAGCGCTTGAGTAGGCAGGGAGGTAGGCGGAGCGGCGGAGCAGCTTTCTGGGTTGAACAGAATGAAGCTATTCCAGCACCGACGAGATGTCAAAACCACCAGGAAGGCAGGCAGATGGCGGATCGGGGTATTTGTCTGGCTCCAGACGCCCATGTGGCAAAGCCGAAAGCTAAAAGGCCCAAACTCTGCGCAATTTCCAACGGGCGCACGAGGCACTTCGGTGGGTGACCGACATCGGCGAGCAGTCTGGAGTCATAATGGAGTCGCTCCACCGGCGGCGGCGAAATTTCTGTCGGCCGTCGTTTGATTTGTCACGGATTCGATGTGGTTGGTGGTTCGGAGAAACACAGCTGCTCCCCTGGACGTTCGGTCGCTTTCTAGCCTCGTGTCGACCGGAGGAGCGATCGTCGTCCACCGAGGACATGGAAGGAGGGGAGGAAGTCGGGATAGAGGGAGAAGCAAACGGGATCAGCTGTGCATGGCGCCTTGCCTGGCGCGTTTCGGTGAAGAAATCCATCTGGGGGTGGAGCGGCATACGGAGTGCCTCAGCCTGTCGGAACCAATCGCCCCGACGGTTTTTCCAGTGGCGTCGCGTTGGACGTCCGATTTGCCCGCCGACCACTTCGTCGACCTCCACGAGCTGCGGCTCTGGATTTCGGATGTCGCGGAGTTGGTTCTTCCATGATTCCATCCCACTGGATCCCACGTTGGATGCCGTCGTCTCCGCGATTCTCGCTGCCAATGCCGGTATCGCCATGTCGCCAGGAGCCACGTTGCCGCCATAATTTATTTGACTAGCAAATTAGTGGTTCCTTAATGGCATTAAGATATATATGTTGTGCGTACGATGGAGTTAGAGTTGTTGTCGCACGACATTCAAAGCTGTCCCACTGGATCTTACGACCATGACTAGCCCATAAAGGCACCCAGATAAACCAGTTAATAGAATTTTCAAATATGTAACTGGTCTAGACACTGGAGTTCAGGCCCATTCGATAATTATGAATGATGATACTGGAGTAGAAGAAACGCAAACACTAGAGCCATGCTTATATATAATCCCTGCCGTATGCTGATCGCCAGGTTAATCTTGGCATAATATTTCAAAGGCATCTTGAATTAGATTCAAAATTAACTGGAAATGGAGCAATGCTGTATGAAAAATTAAACACTTATATCGACGGATAGAGATCATGGTGCCACTGGAATCGGCAAATAATGTCCATGTTCTAGCGGCCACGAGAAAGACAAGCAATGTATTGCTTCTCCGAGTGAACACTCGAGCATAGAATGGCCGATGAAGTATAGCATGGTCAAGGATAGCCTATGGTGTTTAGGGGCGATCATATACATACGAAATCCTCAAGAAATATGTTACCGAAAGAAGGTCTACCCAAACCACCAGCAGAAGATATTATACCGTTATCGCGTCTCGTCTTTATGAATGGAACAAACTTGAATGGAATAAACTGTGAGGAAAGTTCCAATTCTCCCTAGATTGAGCTTCAGATAATCGAGCCATTATTTACGCCTTGATGAAGTTGTTTTAATAGGATATCAATGCGGTGATTTGCCAAAGATGAATAAATATGTTGGTGGAATTTGAAGATATACATGTAAAAGAAACTCTTGTTGACACGTATGAGAATAACTCCTGTCTGCTATATATCTAGCTCTTAATCTTCAGGGGCATACACGCAGTAGAAGCCATGCCTGACCCTACTGTAACCCACCACCACAACGTTGCATCGCAGCTAAGACACCACAGCTACCGCAAAGAGGTTTATTGATCCTCCCGGACCTGACTAAAAATATGACTTGCTTCTGCTCTAGCCTGTCATACGTTTATTCATGCCCAGCAATAACCGTTCCGGCACCGACGTGTCTCCAGAGGTCCTCACTGGCAGGGATGGGCTGTCGCCTACCTGACTTGGCATGTCCTGTGCCTCCACTCGGACGAAGCGATCAAGCCTTTTGGCAGGAACAGTTCCAGCCACGCGATGTCCCGTTCCTCAACAAGCTGTGACGCCGCAACTGCATTGTAGCATTGTATCAATAGCTATTCGGGTAGAGGCTGTAGAGTTGAGAGGGACGATATTTGTATCCGCAAAAACCCGACTATTATAAACCAGAACCCACAAACTAGGTTCTGGGCCGTTGAGGTCTTGTAGTCCGTTGTTTTGGTTGTATAATGGAACGTGCGGTAGATCAAAATTGGCGTTATGGTCTCAACAGTCGACACTTTGTAGATCAAATGATGATCCCGGAGATAGCAGGAGGACGATTAGGATACCTAAACGTGAGACGTGAGCTGAGACCATTCTATTCGACACTACCCCGGAACCCCGTGGGAAGATACTAAGCTGCTATAGGCTCCATTGGATCTCGCTTGAGATTGCACAGGCCAAGGGGCTTTCCGCTGATGCACCGCCCTTAGAGACCTTGTATGGCGTTGCAGAGCATAAGATGTCTTCCGATGCAAGCCATGGGCAGCGGCAATCGTCGGTTAACGGCGCTGTCATTGACGAATGTTAGCTTCCACAAGGTTGTTGCAACCTGCAATGTCAGATTGTTACCTAAAACTTTGAGGGATAATTGCGAGCATGCTAAAGAAAGCGAGTGAAAATGTTTGGTTGAGGATTGCCAGTGTACCGACCAGAGTACAAAGTACATCCGAGTGGAAGACTGCCTGAGGAACGCATGTCATGTGTCTTCCGGCTCGTCTTCCCCCTTCGCCTTTCACGCTTTCCACCTTCCCCAACTTCCAAGGGTCTGTCTTCCATCCCCAAATCCGACTCTCATCTTCATCGCCCCTTTTCCGAACGGCGTATCCGATGCGATGCGATGATAGGAGCTAAGCGACTGAATCGCCTGTCTAGGCTTTGATGGACGTGCAGGCCTTTGATGGTCACCAAGAAAAAGAAAAAAAAAGCCAACAGACCCGGTCCAATCTGCAGGATCCAATACAAGGCAAGAGCCAGCCACAACATCGATCGTTCGGAGGTGACTGGATAAAGTTATTTTCCCCACCGTCAGCCAACAGACCCTGGTGTTGGGCACAGTGCTAGCCCGCTCCGGAGTAGCGGAGGATCCGGATCGCTGTCTTCAGTTACGCTCCTTCCTAGAGGGGAAATAGAAGAAAGAGGTATAGCATCGCAGGTTCAGCGCCCTCTGAGCCAGTTGTTCTTTTCTTTCCGGTCTCCTCGCGGTGTTCGTATTTTTTCCTCCAATGGTGTTAGGTCACGATGGGAGAGGGAGAGAACGGACCAACTAAAATAGACAAATCTCCGGTATGGGAAAGATGCAGGTACGCGGTGGAAATTTTCTTTTTTCTTTTCGTTTCTGCTATGATAAGAATGGCAAGGCTGTGCCTGAGCTTCGGAGCTCTCCGACGCGGTTGGTCTTATTGCCACTGCCTCTGGGAATTAAATGGCTCATTTTCCAGGCCGCTGACTTCAACCCAAGAAAAGTGCAGTAATCTGTGTTCGATCACTGAAGAATCCAGCAAATGATAACATGTGAGACATGCCATATCGATGCAACCATTCTATCAGGCCTGTGGAGTACATGATCGATTCAGGTGCCAATAACGAACGGCGAAAGACCCACCGAGCTGCCTTGGGAAGGGAAAAAAAGGGGAAAGGAAGGGAAAAGGGCCGAGTTAGCGCCAATGCTAGGCAGCCATTGGCTGGGAATCAATCTTATTCTCCCCCCAACGACATCCCGGCCTCTTTTCTTTTCCTCGAGCTTGGCACCTATAACCACCCTGGCCCTATAATCCTGCGTATTCGCGGCTTAGAACTCGCCCCTGCCACGGCACGGCGATTGAAAGCATGTGAAGAAAGCGCGGCACAATAGCGCCAGATGCGCACTTCCCCTCAAGTGGGTGTTGCAGCCCGAATGCGCTGTGTTCCATAAACGGTCTAGGACGGGGGAGGGACGGTCGGTATGACACTAAAATTGCTTGACATCGTAATATTAATTGCAAATAGACTAGGTACAATCTATCTTGGGACGATGATTCGGCGGTCAGAGCCTACACCGCATACCTGCGGAAATTGAAGGCATTCGGCTGAGGGAGGGAAAAAAGTCTCATCCTGATCATGTTAGATGATGGTAAACCCAACTGTGTCTACGGAGTACTGAAGGGTCCCTGACCGAGGAAGGGCATCTTACAGGATCCACACAGCCTTTAGCTCTAAGTGGGTTCCTGAACATCACGGACTAGCCAACGTCGAACGGAAATCATGGTCCTTTGGCGGAGAGTCCTCGGCGATTATGGCAGCAACCAGTCATATTGCACAATCGACCTGAGGAGGAGAAAGCAGAAAAGAACAGCAGGTCACATTGATCATGACCCGCTTGTCTCGAATTGGTTGATCTTGGACGGGGTCTCAACTCCCCCACTTTTCCCCTCTCACGATGTTCCTGGCAAGGGAAAACCATGCTATACACCTGCATGGACAGCGTTGTGTTGGCTAAGAACCTAAACATGGGTAGCCCGGCGCCCATCGTACGGTGCAATAACCAGGAACACATCCGCTGGTAGCCGTCCAGCCAAGGGTTCAAGGTTGCATTGCAGGATTCGTCGTTTGATGTAGACACGAAATCGACAGAATTTTTCAACATATACGAGCTTATAAGGGAATCGCACATGTCCAAGTGTCTATACTTTGAAGGATCTGATATCTCGATGATCTGCGGGATCGGCTTGAACTTCATTATCTTAAATTACCCGGGCTTCGAATCATCAAGGGCGCTCGGATCGCGACTGTCAGAAGGATGGCGGGAATGCGGGAGCCAGATTGAGGAGGGTGAAGGGTCCCAGGGCTACTGACTCCCTACCACACCAGGCACGAAGAAGGGGAAGGGAGGGAGAGAAGGGAAAAAAAAAAAAAAAAAAAAAAAAAAAAAAAAGAGAGAGAGAAGGGCCCAAATCCTGTGGCTGTTCATCAATCAAAGGCTGGCAATTCGAACGAGTCGGGGGTTTGCTAATTCGGGACGTCTTGCCCGATTATCACCACCAACAACGATGATAAGCAACAGGTCTCTATCAACAAATCATCGGAGGTCAGCGGCCAGCTCCTAACGCATTTCACTCTGGTGTCAGTCCAACCACGACCCCTCATCCAAGGCGGGACTCCTTTTTTATTTTATTTTATTTTTTATTTTATTTTACTTCCGACCCGGTTTACATCGGGGCCACAGCAGATTACAATGGCGCACGTCAATCAACCCCTCTCTTGTTGCAGCATAATATCGCCAACCACCATTCTATTTTTCTAGAAGGCGCTTAGGGACACGGACTGCCTGCCATTCGCCGATGCCTGGACTTTTACCCCAGGTCAAGACTAAATGACCACCCTAACGGGGATTATTTCGTCAATCACTAGCAAGCTAGCACAATCTCTCGCTCCTTGCCCGAAGCCCGTGGTGGCCGGTTATAAGTGCTATTTTTCTCCCCACCGATGCTAATTCTGAATGATTTGCACGAGATCTTCACCCCCTTGGTCCCAATTGCTTGCCTTTCAATTCCAACCAAGACCATTTTTCCCGATCAGTCTTCTTTCCGATTGATCAGTCGGTGTTTTCGAATGCCATGACGCGAACCGCCGTCGAGGAAATCAAATTTGAAGCCCCTGCGTGGGAGCACAAAACGGTTCAAATTGCAGACGACGGCAGGAGATTGAGTTCTTCTGTCAATGATGACGCTGCACGTCCCAAAGGCCGCATACGGCGGTCAATGACCGCCTGCAACACCTGTCGCAAGCTAAAGACTCGGTGCGACCTGGACCCGCGCGGTCACGCATGTCGCCGGTGTCTGTCATTGAGGTAGGCGATAGCTTCCAGCGGAGAGTAGAATGCCATTTTCGGTGTCTTTTCGACAGAGATGTCAGAATTGAGGTCCAACAGAAGTGGAGTGCAATGTTTAAAATTAAGGTTCTGACAAGAAATTGCATTTCTCCTTGAATAGAATCGAATGCCAGCTACCGGAGACAAGTGAGCGCTTCCAGGACAATGCGTCGATGTGGTCGGACGCCACGACTGCCATTCCTTCCATTGAAGAGCGCCTCACTTCGCTCGAGCGGAGCATGCGTGAAATGACGGGCATGTTGCGCCAAATCATAAACCAGCCGCCCAGTATTGCGAGCATGTCCGCACCTCAATTGACCCAAAGCACCAACACGGAGGAAACGGTTTCCATCGAAGGGAATCAGTTCTCTCCGTTCCTGCCTAAGCCGATTCGCTTGATCCAAGAGCTGCAGTCGGAGTTTTTCGGCGAACCAAGTGTCCTCACTCCTAGCACTCCGTTCTGTGGGAATAGCATGGAGAAAGGATTCATTGATTCCAAACTATCGCTCAAACTGATGCAATTGTACGATCGCCCTTCTTGGCACCTGCTAGATCCAAGCTTCTAATAACCATCTGAATACAGATTCGTGGAGCATTTCGGACCCTGGGTCTCGATCAACAATTTATCGGACATGCAGGACGAGATGCAAAGACCCGATTCGCTGCTATATAACACAGCCTGCCTGCTGGCGTCGCGATATGTTCCAGGCATCCCAACACCGGTGGTCCGCGCCATGTATCTCCAAGTCCGACATGAAGCAGTCAATACGCTGTGGGAGAAGCCTCCTCTGCAGTACGAGTCGCTTCAAGCCCTCGCCCTTCTTTGTCTGTGGCCCGCGACCGTCCAAAGAGAAGCCCCCATCGATAGCTGGCTATTGAGCGGGAACTCGATCAACCAGTCGCTGATCACCTTTGACTTCCTCAACTATGCGCCTTCCGAGCTAATCATGGACAACAAAACGGCTACGCAATTGCGGCTGTGGAATATCTTCTGCTTGACGCAGCTACGGTATGTTGCAACATGTATAATGCGTCCAGTCCCAACTTTGGCTGATTTCTGTTAGATTCGCGGTCGGAAATGCGCGCCCGTTCCATATTCAGCAGCGATATCTGGATCATTGCCCTCGGCTGCTGGAGCATCCGAGTGCGACATTCGAAGACGGAAAGGTCATGGCGGAGATTCAGCTGTATTTGATCACGCTGAAGCTGCAGGGCAGCAACCCGCGCATGCGACTTGCCGACGTCGAATATGAGGAGATCGAGCGGTGGAAAATGGAATGGGCTCACCTATTCAGTAAGAAACCCACAGAGCAAAATACGGATTTCCCCAGAAAACCAGGAGCTGACAGCCTGACAGCTGGCGAAGAAAATTCAACACTCGAACTGAGCCTCTGGTACTGCGAAATCCTGCTTCACAGAACTGCCATGCGATTCCAGTCGGAGTCCGACCGACTCACGGCCGAGGTTATCCAAGCGTCACGTCTCATCATCTCCAAATTCCTACAACTCCGCCTTTCAACCGCGCTCAGCGTTGTCGACCAGACGTATATCATCGTTGGCTACGCTGCACTTAACCTCTGCGACTTCAACTTCCTCGACCCTCTCATCGACCAGATCCAGATGTACCTGCTCCACCTGGCCCCCAACGAAGACCACATCGCCTACCGCTTTTCCTGCATGATCGCGGAGTTCAAACGGCGCTGCGCCGAATGCACCGACCCTTGCACGGCGATGGACAGTTCGCAGTCATCGTTCGGGGATGCGCGGAAGCTGAGCATGGAGCACATCCAGTTCATGCCACCCCCGCCGCCCCCTGGAGCCCTGGTCGATGGCCTGATGGAGGGGTATGGTAGTTTGGACGGACTCATCCCGGAAATTATGCCGCAATCGTTCCCCGATAGCGTGCTCAGTGGGATGACGATGGCCGAGGCGATTCCGGCTGGATATCGCTCGGCGACTCTCTAGTCGCTTTGTCTTTCGTCCTATCCCTTTTTCCTTTCTTAATGTTGGATCGTTGTCTACGGAGTAGAATGGGCGGAAAATGGAAAAAAAGGGGAGGAATGGTCGGTCGCTCGGTCAATGACGGACGGGATTTCATTTTGTACATAGCAGGCACCACGATCTCTCTATTGATCTTGGTCGCTCGGTCGGGTATATTCACTTTCAACATGACCTAATTGGATGTTCTTGATGCACAATCTCAACTCCATCTTCCTCACAGGATGTAGGACTAGGATCACTACCTAACCCCCAGCGGATCCCTCATCTCCATCCCCATCTCCATCTCCAACTTCCAAGCAACGCTAACATCGACCCTACATCCCCAAAGGCCCGAACTCACGCTTCTCCCGGCAAAAACCCCCCGGATGCCTGTTATCTCGTGCGCATGAATTCCATTACGTAAAATCTCCAGCCCTGATTCCCTGCAGCCAGGGATTAATTAATTAATTAAATTGCTCAACCCTTCCGTTCGTTCCCTGTGGTGTACCCCATACGCAGTGCATACCTAAGGTAGTCTGCATGCATGTATCTGCCCAGACAGCAGGTTATATGATAGGTTAGGTTAGGTTGGGTTTCCTATGTAGAGTAGGGTAGGGATACGTACGTACCTGGTTAGCTGACGAGGAGTACGCAGTACGGCGTAGCAGTCACTAGGTAGGGTAGGCCGTGCGGCGCAGGAAAGACCAGATGAGATGAGGGGAAGGAATGAACTGAGCTGCGTGAGTGACTGAGTGAATGAGTGAGGAGAAGAAGAAGGGGGAGTTAGCCGCCCGGAGGGGTTCGAGGCGTTACGCTGGATTTCGGGGATGTGGTTGGCTGGGTAGGTAATTAGTGCGAGTTACCTTACTAGTTGGTGGTTAGTGGTTAGTGAGGTTGGTGCGGAGTAGGGAGGAAGTCTCAGTCTTAAGATCTGTATGGACGGGGTAGGTAGGTTTGTTAGTGCATTGGAGTGGGTTTGGTCGTTTGCTTTACTCCGCACATGCTATATGTAATTGGAGCGGTTGGATGTAGGTCATTCATTCATCTGTTCATCGGTTCATCTATGAGGTGAGTTGGACTTGGGCTTGCTTACGGTGGATATGTGTCGGGAGTACCTAGTGTCGGGGGAGCCGCGATAGTGGCAAATTGGGTGGACGACTGATGGAGGATGGTGTGGAGGGGGGGGGGGGGGGGGTTGGTTTGAAGATAAGTGTGAGATAGACAGCTTATCTTTACGAAGGGGATATTGGTTTACGTTGGAAGGGATGGGGTTTAGAGGTTAGATTTCAGAAACATAAACTAGACTAGACTAAGAGCAAACAAAGTACCGAGGTAAAAGCAGAGCAAAGAGAGTGGATCCAATTTCGAGAACGCAGGAATGAAAACCAAAAAAGCCGGGCAGAAAGTGTCGGTGGCAATTTGTCAGTTAATCAGATAAGTGAATCAAACAAGCAAGCAAGTAAGCAAAAGCAAAAAGCGAATAACGAAAACAAATCATCAATCATATCACCATCCCGTCGTTCAAGCCCTGCATGACAGCAGCCCAGTCAAGTCGGCGCTCTTCCGTATCCTCCCTTTCGCAAACAACCGCGGCGAATCTCTTGGCCCAGGGATAGTGCTCACTAACGGCGGGCGCAAAAGTCTCGAGAAGCTTAAGGGCCGACGCACGATGAACCGGGCCCTGGATCTCAATTACCGCCATGACAAGCGGAAGAGGCCAGATCTGCATCGACAGCGACAAAGACGCCGCCGGGCTCTGCGACCGGAGGGTCTCGAGCTTGGCGCAAAACTGCAGAATGCAGACGGCGTGCTGGCTCGCCGCGTGTCGGGGGTCATTGGGTCGAAGCGCTCGCGAGAAGGAGATCTCCAGGCTGTGGTACACGGTGGACACGACAGCGAAGATGGCATGGCATTGGTTGTCCGCGGGGAGGAGCGCGAAGTTGGCGTCGACGGTTTTCTTGTAGAAGTCGAGTTTGTGGCGGATCAGTTGGATGCGCGCGGGGGCGGTGTCGGGGTGGGCGTGCTTCGCGTCGGTGATTTGCGCGAAGAGTGAGGTCAAGCGCAGGAGGAGATCGTGGAAGAGAAATTTGGCGTTCTCGATGGATTGCTCCTGGTCGGTGCGGACGGTGCAGTAGGCTTGATCGAGGGCGTTGTGTGAGTGGCGGAAGAAGGACATGAGGCTGTTTTCTTCGCCGATGGCCCTGACGATGGCGCCTCCGCCGCGTTGGAAGGCGGATGCTCTGCCATCTAGGATAGAGAGCTGGGTCGGTTAGTAGGTTGACTTGGAATAGGATGTGCAAGTGACTCACCCAGCAAGCAACTCGCGCTTGGACACCGGTCATATTGGATCTGAAGTCCGGGTTCTCGAGGAAGGACGCGATGAAGAGGAGGATACAGCGCAGATGATGGGGTCGCGCGGCTATGAGATCGACGAGAGCAAGAAAGAGGTACGACACGAACATGGCATCTTTGTCGTCGGGAGAAGTGGATCTCACCAGATGGGCCGTCTTGTTCTGTCTCTCTTCAGTGGGATTGATGGAATTCGCGGTGATGCCGTATTTCTTGACCATCGTTGCCAAACTATCGTTGTAGTTCTGGAGCGCATCCTTCAGCGACTGTTTCTTGCCCAACGAGTGCAAGGTCGCAGACGCCCAGGCCTGGGTCGCAGAGAGCAAGCAGTGATGGTGGGTACTGAAACGATGGAAGAAATATGTATAGTAAGTCCAATCCGGTCGCTTGAACATCAGGTGACTGCCCAGAGCGCTTGAGCAGTACTGCGTGATAAGACTTTTAGAAACGACTTCAGATCTCGGCGATTGCGGCGTAGAGGGGGTCAATTCGCTGGGCCAAGCGAAAGGGGCACGTCCCTGGCGGATATCGGCTTCGCTGTATTTCCCATTCCTCGAGTTGTACGGGGGCGGAAGTAGCACTCCAGGCTCTTCGTAATTGAAATGCCAGGCTGCCTTTTCGATATCCTCGATTTCATCCGGAATCGGCAATTGATCCTCCCATGAGGCAAGGAACTTGGCGAAGACGCTCACTGGGCGTATGAGATGGCTGTAATTTCCCCATGGATGAGTGGGACGTGGTGCCAAGGGAAGATAAGCGGGCCTGGCATTGATCAGTGATATGTTCGATGTGTAGAAAACAGCAAGCATACCTTTGATTATTGGTCCCCGCTATGGAGCGAGTTTCAGATCTCGCAGTCGGACTTGGAGTCTCAGTCGGACTTGAAGTCACAGTCGGACTTGAAGCCTCAGTCGGACTTGAAGCCTCAGTCGGGCTTGAAGTCTCAGTTGGACTTGGTGTTTCTGTCTGACTCGGGGAAGTATTGTTCCCTATTGCTCTTCTATGCTCACGGCGTGCCCGGAGGACAGCAGGGCGTCGGTCATATCTGCACCGAAGACGAGATGACCTGCAGAAGCTGCACCGAGGGCGTCGGTCATCGCAAGTCTTGTTGCGTCTCTGACAGCTGCGGCAGGCCATTGCGTTGATGAGAGATAGATGATAGACAGATAGAAAAGAGATAGATAGATGCGATGGAAGAGTAGATTCCGATGCGATGAGGAGATGGCAAGCGTGGATAGCACGTCCTTAAATGCTATCTCGGCCGGGGCCCAGTCGAGCATTCATGCACCAAGGCAGATGGATGGCACATCTCCATGGCGCTACGCTGTGGGTGACCATCGCGTATCGAGATGAGATGTGCTGGGAATCTTTGGGCCCAACATGTGTGGCAAAGTAACTGCGCAGGGAGAAAGTCTGGATAGTCCAAAGTCAGACATATCACTCACCAACACTGACGCGCGGTATGTGATTCAGATCCATTCGAACACAGAGGCGCGCTTAAGTGCCGAGATCATAGGTCGAAGATGGGGTCGCTTGGAATGTTGGTTGGTGGCATGCATGGATTGGATAGGGTGGGCGAGAACCGTGCCCAGAATTGCGAGCGCGAAAATGCACGATGACTCAATGACCAACAGTGATTCTTTCATGGGGTTGGGCCTGCAGCTGCGGCACTGAACGGTATCGCTGCGGGGTGTGATGAGTCCATGGCCGCGGCAGCGTGATGAAGCTGAATTCATCTCGCTCAGCGTCTCGCCCGCTCCCAATCCGGTTGCGATCGGCGGCGCACGGGATGCGCCCGATTAGGCAAGTCGCATAAACACGTGATCTACATCACAACAGACAGGCATCTCGTCGCTAAAGTCAGGGAGGATATTTGCGCTGGACAATAGGGAGAATTAGTGGGGTCGCTGCGTAATGCAGTCAGATGGGGTTTGAATTTGTCTGGTCCCATCATATCCGGGATCATACTGGGCACGAAAGGGGCACCACCAGTTGAATGGCAAGCGATGGAGATTGTCTAGCTCAGAACACTGGCTGAGAAAGTCATTGAAAGACTAAGGAGTAAAGGTGGGCCATGCTATTCCAGCCGTATTGGCCTCGGGCTCCTAGAAATCCAAGTGCTGAATCTACTCGACTTGACCATATGTGCCTTCCTAGCGGCAGAGTGATCTTATCGAAAGGGAACATCATCCAAGAGGCAAATGGGAACTCCAAAAAATCCTAAAAATTGCTGGAATAACAAAGGGACTGTGGAAAATGGTAAAGGTTCCCATTTTGCCTGCTCTGTCATGTGACGGCCTATGCCCTATATTGGGAAATGCCCTTCTACCCTTTAGACATGTAGCTTTCTCGTTATATCAAGTTTAAAGTTGAAAAGCAGAAACATAAGGATAAATACCCAGTGCAGCTTATTTGTTGACCCCGAATCACATCTTACCTACTTGAACACTCGGTTAAATATATTATTCTGAATCCGAGCAAGAAAAGTCACCCTTTTGACCCAGGATAACACACTGAAGACCATTTTGCTAAGAGATACTGCGCTGAGATGTGACCCAATTTTATCCTTCAATAATGATAAATCCTGATCAAAAATGAGCAATCTCGTTCTGAACCACCTCCGGATCTTCCAACGGAATCAAATGCCCAACACCCTCAACAGTCCTCAAAGAAACCCCGACTCCAATCTCCTGGAAGAAGCGAACAACCTCATCCTCAACCCGCTCCTTCGGCTCCACAATATCCAATTCCCCAACAAGCACACGGACTCGGAACCCATCATAGCTAACCAAACCCAGAGCTCTCTTTGCATTCTCCGTGATATCCTCCTGCATGCCATAAGCCGGCCATGCCTCCTTGGCCAGCTGATTCCCACTCAGACTGACCCGAATAATCAAGTCCATGTCTTGTTCACTTAGCTTATGGGCATTGGCAAGCACGTTCTCGACCGTCCACCGGATCGATTTCTCATTCTGATAAGCAACTTTTTGCTGATCTTTCATTTCAGAAGGAAGCTCTAACGATGTCGGTGGCGCTGGAGCTACCAGGACGAGACCTCTTAGTTGCTGGAGGAGCTGAGCTGGGAGGATGGAGAGGGTGGCGAGCGACACTTTCGCGCCCATAGAATGCCCGACGAGAAGGAAGCCATGGGCTAATAGGTCGCGGGTGTTGCTGTTCGACTGGATGTGTTGCAAGACGGAAGCAACGTCAGAGGCTAGGGCGGAGATGGAATAATGTGCGGCGTGTGTGTCTGATGGTCCGGTGGATTCACCCCAGCCTCGTAGGTCGAGGGCAACGGTTGGGTAGGATGTAACGAGGGTTGTTGGAGAGCCGGGTGATGTGAGCTTGTGCCAGGTGGAGGAAGAACCGCCCCAGTAGTGGAGGAAGACAAGAAGAGGTTTATTAGAGGGGGTGATAGGTCGAGTGATACGCGCGTGTATGGAGGTTTCGGGGGAGATATTCACAGTAAGGGAAGACATATTGAAGGCTCAGTAGAGACTTGGACATAGATGCGGATGAGAAATTCACTAAGAACTGTGGTTTCTTATTTATAGTCGATCGACTTCTCAAGAGATGACTGGTTTCATAGAATATTCTATGGATTTAGAACAAGCTTTGTAAGTCGTATGATAAGCAGCGCGGAATAGCATCACAACTGCCCCATTCGAGTCATTCCGCGGTCCGGACTTCCGAGTCGGGTCTAGCGCAACATGATGCTCCACCATGTACTCCCAAGATGACTGACAGCCTCGCCTCAACCATGCCAAATAGAATCCTACAAACATCTCTCCTCTCATCTGGGACCCATCTCATAATGTCAGACCACCCAGGAATGAATGCTCAGGACAAAGCCCCCCCCTCTACCACCTCCACCCTCTAATCCTCGCTCTAAAATCTCCCCCTCCGTTCTGAAACTACGAACCACTCCTCCCTCAACTTACCAGCCCCCCAAACCACCACCATCAGCCGACTTACCTCCGGCACCTACCGGTCCATACTTCTTCTACGGAACCTTGACCGATCCGTCCATGATCGCGGAGATTCTCGACCTCGCGCAGGAGCTCGAATTACGTCCCGCGTCTGTTCTAGGCTACAAGTGCAAAATGTGGGGCCATTATCCGGCCTTAGTGGACGAACCAGGATCGACGGTTGAGGGCGCCGTATACCATGTCGACACGGTGGAGGACGGGGAAAGGCTGGCGGCTTATGAGACAAGGAACTATAGGGCTGAGTCTTGTGTAGTCAGATATGCGGATAATCAGGGCCCGAGTCAAGATTTTGGGTATGCTTTTAAGTTTGTTGGAGATCCTCGCGAGTTGACGGAAGGGAACTTCGAGTTGAGGACTTGGCTGAGGAGGATGGGGAGGCAGAAAGCGGTGGATAAATTGGATGCTAGGATGCGGAGAGATTGAACAGTGATGGTCAACAGTTCTTGATCCAGGGGTAGAAATATGAGGGATGTGACGTGGAACTTGAGTATGTGCAAAGAAATCGTGCTTTATGTGGTCGATGTGATGCCGATTTGGCGGGAGAGCTCAATATCCATTGATAGATTTCACAAGTCGAATCTGTACCGCTTTGTATACACTGAAGCAGATACACAAAAGTCTCTCAGATGTACATGGCTCATCAAATGATTCACCAGAGCACCTGATTGTGTTGGTACATACAAGAAATAGGCACCTAATTCCGCCGGAGGCTGAAAAGCGGAGAGTCAAAGCGAAACAATCACAAAATGACCAGTCCCAGGGCGTAGATCCGTGATATCAACTTGGCTCTGATCCTCAGAGCTTGTGGTCCTTGATTCCGGAAGCCCAATTTCCTCGTCTGCAAGTGAGCCTGATGATCTGGTAGCTGTTTTTGGATTAGCTCTGGGCGATAGCAATCAACCTCGAGGAGGTGGCCAGGAACTGACTTTGCCAAGGACACCAAGCGTATTTGACACAGGCCATTATCAGAGTAACCACGGAGAGGATAGTCGCAACCAATCCAAAGGTAAGAGTGCCAATTGCTTCCGGACCCCAGGGATTGCCGGTCACTGGAATGATCGTTGGAGAAGTTGTGTTTGCCATTTCCAGATAGACCCAAGAAGATAGAATGGCCCAGGATATCCGAATGAGCTGTTGGCCTGGATTCCGCGGAAATTGGGACTGTGGCAACCAGTTAGCCGGGCATGCTACCTGCATGAAGGGCGGTAGTTCTGGACGGGATGATCTGTGCGGATGATGGGACAAGAGGGGAAAATGAAACAATAGTGTGAAAAGGAATGTACACAATGGTTGGATTGGAAAAATAAAAAGGAAAAATAAAAAGGAAAAAAGAAAGAAACAAAGAGGAAAAAAAGAGGAAAAAAAGAGGAAAAAAGAGGAAAAAAAGAGGAAAAAAAGAGGAAAAAAAGAAAAGGGTTGCTACGGATGAAGAAACAAAAAAGCTAGCATTGAGGCTACAGGGACATAGTTGTCTACCTGTCTCCTCAGAGTATTAGTCAATTTGCAGTTTGATAGCATCAATCAAAGCCGCTCAAATATAATAAGTCCAGCCCTGGCAGTGGCATGCAACAGGGGTTGTTAATCCATTGGGTTGTATATCCTCTGGGATATTTATTCCTTGGGCTCTATATCCATGGGCTGTATATCCATATGTGGGCTGTTCATATAAATGGAAAAAGTCCAAGGAAGAAATAAAACCAACTTAGAAAGAAGAGAAGGCCAATGACTCAGGGCCTTGAATCCAGGGAGTAATGTACAGTCCACTGGTATCAGGTAAATACCAAGAATATTCGCCGAATGAGCATGGATATGCTCCTTGCTGACAAGTCCGGAATTCCAACTGGGCAATGGTGCCGGCAATTTTCAGGCCTCCCAGAGACAGATGATCCGGTAAGTGGGCTGAATTCCACGAGCGATTTCAAGTGCACGGCTTAGCATCTTGATTCATTGGCCAAATCCCAAGGAATTCCATTGGTTTGATAATCCATAAGAAGGATCCTAGCCCGTAGAGACGTTCAAGTGCAACATGAAACAGCTTGAATCAGGGCTTCAAAAGGCCCATAAGGCTGGCCAAAAAAGTCCGTTTATCAATGTGGATATATTTCCCAAGGTAGAAAAGGACTGATTAATTTTCAACGGCTCTTACCAATTACCTTTGAGTACTTGATGGACATAAAGAACGCGGGATGAAGAAGAGGAGGGGGGAAGTGTACAAAGAGAGACAGAAAAGAAGACAAAAAAGTAGGAACGCAATAAGCAAGCAGTGACAGAAATGACAAAAACAAAAAAAAAAAAAAAAAAAAAAAAAAAAAAAAGGAAAAAAAGAAGAAGAAGGCAGACGCAGGAAAGAAGAGACATAAATGAAAACATATACCTGAAAGTCAGTTAGGACATCGATGCTTTGTTCCACAGAATTAGTAGCAAGGAACCCACCTTAGAATATGTCACAGTTGTGGCAGAGGCTGAGAGGCGGGAACAACAAGTTTCGTGAAGACAGACAAACAGTTCAGCATCCAAGGGCAAAAGACTTCTTTAAAATAAGGTGTCAGAAGATTGGCAAACCACTTTATACATGATTCTCCTTTGCCAAGGAATCGGGGATCTGACTAAGGCGAATTGGGCTTCCCCTTCAGGCCCCAAAGTGAGGGTGAGATTCCCCCAGCCTTGTTCCTTATTTTCCCGATCTCCGGGCACGAGTGGCCAGAGAAGCGAACATTGCGCTCCACATCGAGAGCTGAACTCCTCGTATCGGGTTAGATCGGACACGTAGCACTGATATGCACGCGGTGTAGGTCTCTGACTGGCAGCTTCACTGCTGTTTCTTACAGGTCGTTCCTGCCCGTCAAGCTGAAATGCGGAGAGAGTACCTGGCTAAAAATAGATTACCGTTCTGGAGTAGCTCATTTGAGCAGAGCCTGAAAGCTAAGGGCTGGTTCAAAAAGCTATTGGTCACTCACCTCCTAATTATCGATCGGTCGCGGAAACCGTTAGACCCATCAACTGCCCAACCTACCCGAGAAGGATGACAGGCGCTCTATCGCGTTCGGAGGCATTTGGGCGTCAGACAGGATCAACATGGCTGCTAGTACCCAGAGACACTGTGTACGGGGCAGTGTTAGAGCCCACTCATCATCGCAGGACGTTGTTGGGATTGCTGCCTACTGAGGTCCATAGGCAGAACCAGGCAGGCCCAGGCGTAGCCTTGTGCAAAGATGTCGAGTTACTGCAGGACAGATCCATGATAATGTCGAATTCCAAGTGATGGCTTGGTAATCAGCCAATGGATCAGGGCGATGAAGTCGACCAAATGGACGGGAGAGTAAAATGGACGGGGAAGTGAAATGGTTGCAAGAAGGATGGAGTCCTTCCGGGAAAGAAAGGGAGCCACGTGATAAATCACTGTATTGGAGCGTAGAAATCAGGCTCAGATACGATTAAGGCGTCAAGACTCATTATTATGGCATGGAATTAGCAGAGTGAAGAAAAGTACAAATTCCACATAATCGAGACTCATATCGTACTTGACAATGATTCAGTGTCCGGGCTTTCTGAATAAAATGTCTGCATAATGCGTTCAAGCTACAAAGGCGAGAAAGGTACATGTTTGGCCACAAAGAACAACCCCCAACCCATTGTATTGGTACGCATTCTTGGATAGGGATTAAAGGAAACTCACCCTTCAACTACCAATTTACATATGTATAAATACCCCCTCGGATACAGAAAGTCATGCATATCAGACATTTTTCCTAACCAAAGTCTTCTACATCATCATCTTTCCAGGTCACTATCAATATGATTCCTGAACGAGCTGTTTCGAGAGAGTGCGCATGTTGCAAGCCTTCTCGCAAAGGCCATGTCGAATGCAGAAAGTGCAAGGTGACCATGTATTGCAGCGTTGAGGAAAGGGATAAGCGCAAGGACCGTCACGAGACACAATGCGAAAGTATTTGTAAATTAATTCAGACCTACCGCGAGGCACTCCGGGGGAAAGAAGGAGAGCTGATACTTAAAAAGCAACGCAGCCTCAAGTTTGACCCGGACCGTGGTATCACTGAAGATATGGTTGAGTATATGTTTGCTTACTTCTGCACTCGCTATCTCTTTTGGAAAAACCTTCCTCTGGAAGTAATAGATGAGGAGATAGCTCAGTTTGAAAAATTGATCGCTGATTATAACGATATCTGGAAGGCCAAATTGAGGTCCAGTATCGCCGTGGATCTTCTAATTCTGGGTAAGGATGAGATGTGTTACGACTTTGTACAGCAGAGCCTGCCATCTCGATCTGATTCTGGCAAAGATATACTAACATCGATCCTTGATACCGGTCTGCGGTACCGGGACAATAAGGGCGTAGACCCATTTGATGATACCAATCTGTTACTTATGGATGGTGTTAAGGGCCTGGACCTTCGCACAGAAGTGATACAGTCAGTGGCAGTCATCTTTCTTAAGGTGAAGATTATCCTTGACCTAGAGACCCTGGAGGCAGCTACAAGCGCGGTGGGAAGATTCGTTCCCAAAGAAATTCTCACCAGGATCAACTACTTCACCGCAACGAGTTGTTACGTGAGAAGAAGTCGGCATCTGCTTGAGGAGGAATATCCAAAAGAAGCAATTGCCGTACTCACAAGGCAGGTTGAGAGATTGTTTTCCGCGGTAGACAGATACTGCCCATCACTCTGGCCTTATCTGATCTACGACGTCAGACCCTGGGCACTAGATGTTTTGCTTCAAAGAAACGTTGGCATGACAATCGAGGCCGTAGACCGTGCTTCTGCGATTTGGGTTCGTCATCCTCGGAGTTTGCAGTTCGTGGCCAACATGATGGACCTTCTATCTAACCACGGCTGTAAGGGCCGCTACTCTATCAGAGAGCATAAAGTGGATATGTCAAAGGCGCTCATTTAGTAAACGCGCGACGTGTTTCTGTCGACATGAGGTCTTAAGTATCATTCTTATGCAAAGACCAGAATGACCGAGAAAGGAACCCTGACTATATAATAAATAGCAAATTCAACAAAGTAACGGCACAGAAAGTTATTTATTTCCGAGATTCATGAATCTCAACATCGCCATAATTTTCCAGTAGAATGCGTGCAGTAAATCAGAACTACCTATGGAAGATACTATAACCTGATGAATCTCACAGGGCTGGGAAATATGAATAAGCGTCATAATTGATTTCTAGCGCTGGATGGTGTCATAGCGGGCCTCCCTCATCACACTGTCTATAGTAGATGTTTACAAAAGACGGACCGAATCATCTCAGATTATGGGACCTAGAAGAGGATTCTGTTTCTGATTCCGAAATGGGAGTCGTTCTGAGAGAAAGAAAAAAAAATGGAATAAACACTCACCGCGAAACCGATAAAACAACGTAGTATCATTTGCTAACAAGAGCTAGCCAAAAAATATCTACCTTCATGGTCCTTGAAACTCATCCACCACCCGTCGACAAAGCTCCTTCAACGCCCCAGCAAGCCATTCGAAATCCTCCTTCTCCAAATAAACCTGTCCACTCAGCCTGACCCACAACCACGGGCCATGTGCAAACACCGGCACAAACGTCCGATACTCATCCATTAAGCTGCGCTGGATGCGCGCCAGAGCCCGCGACGCCGCTTGCTGGGAGAGAGTAACCCATGGAGCAGTATCAGCAGCGGCAGCATTGTCCACAGCACCTGGAACGGCAATTGCAATTGGCAACCTGACCGTCGTCATTGCGCATTTGCGCATACGGCTTTCTTCGCCCTCCTTCAGATCTGGTTCCTGGAGGACAGATGTGCCGAGCGTGCGGGCGACAATGTCTGCGGCGTTGTTGGCGAGGTCACAGCAGTAGGACATGATGGCTTCTTCGCCGCCGCAGACCTTGGTGCGGAATTTGAGGGCGGCGGGAACGCATGTGTAGGCTGAGTCGTCGTTTGTGGCGACGAATTCGAAGAGCTGTTCGAATGGGGATTGTGGGGATGGGGCGTTAGGGTCTGAGAGGACAGAGACGCTCGTCTCGGGGGAGTCAGGGGACGGGATGAAGGCCCATGAGGTGGGGAGGGTGGTGCGCAGGAAGTGTTGGTTGCGTTTTGGGACGTAGAGGACGGCACAGCTGCGGGGGGTGTAGAGCCATCTGAAGCATTGGTTTAGTGGGTGTGCATGGATAGAGGACAGAGGCCAAGGGATGAGCATACTTGTGGCAATTCGAAACAAGAAAGTCGGGCTGCAGCTCCTGCATGTTCAATGGGATTTGACCGATTCCATGTGCACCATCAATGATACTCATGATTCCAAGCTCGCGACAGACGCGAGTGAAGCGCTCAAATGGGAATCTCACGCCAGGGTTACTGACGATAAGGTCGAACACGGCCGCGCGCACGTTTAAGCCCTCGACCTCGCGAGCGTGTTGCACGACATCTCGGAACCGGCGCTCCAGGTCGGCCTCCGAGATAGGGTACTGGAAGCGCACTTTGCGTGGTTGGAGCGATGTATGCTCTTGCAGCGAGACGAGACCCTTCTCAACGGCGCCGTAGATGGGTTCGAAATAGACGACTGCGTCTCCAGACCGGAAAGCCAGGTTGTGCAAGACCGTGGCTACACCGGTCGTGGCGTTCTTGACAAAGACGCATTCGTTTCGCGGGGCGTTCAGAAGCTGTGCCACGGCCTCGCGAGACTTCGTAAGGTAGTCTGACTGGTGGCGTCGGATATATGGGTCTGGATACGAGTCTGCTTCGTCCATGAAACTGCGCTGGGCGTCTCGCACAGCGGCAGGGTGGGCGCCAAAGGACCCTGTGGGAAGATTATCAGCCAGAGCTTCGAGAGAATGGAGAGGAGTAAAGCAGACCATGATTGAGGTTTTTATATGTTGGGTCAAAAAGCCAGTGCTTGAGCATGGGTTTTCCGAAGGGAGTTAATTGATTATGGGACGACATGGTTCTGGATGCTCTCGCAGTTGCAGGTTCAAAGTCTCGAGTTACCAAGAGTATTCTGCGGTTTATATAGTGCCGGACAATCTGAATACCTCTGTGGGCTTGCGATGAATCACAGTTCAAGTTGCAGAGGAACGAAATTCCGAGGTGGAGTCCCCACTTGGTCATCGAAGGGCGTGCAATGAAAGGCGTCAATCTCGACCCACTTGAGATACCGAGGATATGACTCCAACCGAATGGAGGTGATAAGAAAACAAACACAGTAATAGTCTCTGCTCCTATACTTGGCCAATCTGTCAATCCTGCTGAGAAATCAATTCGTATTCAATTTAACCGGCGTCGGTGACTCAAAACTCCACGGGCAAATCCTAAGCCACTTAGCTCTATAAAATCACCTTCTTCCAGGTTATCGCAAAAGATATCCCTTCTATATAAAAGTTTCCATCGAGAATCATCCTTGCTAAAGGATATTTTACAAGCAAAATGTCACATACCCCACTACCCTTCACATTTCTCGATGTGTTCACAGAAACACCATTCAAAGGAAACCCGTTAGCAGTGGTGACGATTCCCATCGGCGTGACCTTGACACAAGCCCAGAAACAAGCTATCGCCCGAGAATTCAATCTATCCGAGACAGTCTTCGTGCACGATGTAGAGAGTCCCGAGACATCAACCGAACGGCGCTTCGATATCTTCACGCCATTGACCGAGCTTCCCTTCGCCGGCCACCCGACCATCGGCACTGCAGTATTTCTATACCCGCGTGGCGTACGTACTCTGCATGCAAAGACAGGGCCTATTGACATCCAGACTGCCTCGAATGGTGCTCTCCGGGCCGCTATCCCGCACAATGTCCGGTTGCACGAGAGGCGGCTACCCGGGCTCGAGCAACCGAGTGCGGTGTCGAGATCGCGGCTTGAGATTGCAGTCGCAGAGGCAGAGCGCGGAGCTCCGCTCTTCAGCATAGTCAAGGGCATGACCTTCGCGCTTGTAGAATTGCCCTCGCTTGAATTGCTAGGAGCAGTACGTGTTGGGGCGATGCCGGATTTGCCAGCGGACCTCTTGGATGACGCTTGGCGGGAGGGATGGGCCACGCGGCGTTATTATTTTGTCCGACTGGGCAGTGAAAGGATTGGTGGAAAGACTATACATAAGATCCGAACGAGAATGGTGAATCAGAGAGTGGAGGATCCGGCTACGGGCAGTGCTGCATGCGCTTTGTCGAGTTATTTGAGTCTTCATGTGTTGGACGAGGCATCTATGACGTTTGAGATCACACAGGGAGTAGAGATGGGCCGCGACAGCAACATTGTCATTGATGTCGAGGTTAGTCAGGACACAGGGGAGAGGACATTGGGGTCACTGCATCTTGGGGGGAAGGCAATTCCTGTTATGAGCGGCTGCATCACCAGTCGACCGTGAGCCTACGACAAGGTGCTTGCTTACCTGTCTTGGGAGTGGCCTCCCTAGCTAAACATGTTACATTACGCAGTCTTGTCCCATTCTGAACCATATCGCTTACTTTGAAGGATCTTGGTTTCCGACGTGACAGCATTGAACGATTAAAGCTTATTGTCTATGCGAGGATGGGAATGCTTTTCCAAACTTCATAGTCACCTTTGTGGTGTATACATGCCAGATTTCGCGTCAGCATTCGTCATCTCACATTCTTCCGGCACGGAGCGCAGGTTACATCTCGGCCTCGTCCGCCCAGACTATACGATCGCTGCAAGCCAATCCTCAACAGGGTCGCATCCGAGGCCTTCTCGGCATTATACCCGATGATCTACTGTTTCCTTAACTAGCCGGCTGCATCACAAGCCAAGTTGTAGAAATTTCACTTTCACATCGCGGTAACTCGACAAGTCTAATCAATTTCACACCATATTCGGTAGCCTTAGATGCCGATCTGTCTATAATGTGGGTTCATGTCATGCCCTTTACCTCTATTATAAGCAAGATCTCAGGTGAAAGTCCACTAGAAGCCGAATAAAGATCTAAACCCTTTCCTTGAACATTTCTATTGAGTCTATCGGAGAATTAAGCTGCATCACAAGACTAAATGTTGTCGAAGGTTGCACCACTACCGGGTGGCTTGGACCTGGTGATTCTTTTAGCCTTCCGTGCCATAACGGTCCCGTTTTGCAGGGATTATGACTTCCGGCCGCCGATAGAATGTCTCACTGCATTCTTCAGCGAATGTGCATGGCCATAGTTAGGACCCGAGCAGTTGGAATGCTAGAAAGGCAGACCACGCTCCAGCGGGGAGTTTGAACGAATAGAAAAAGACTGCTGGTGCGAGTGAGGACTGGAATGAAACAATTATGACGACAGATAATACTAGCACGCAATGAAATAAACAGCGAGTCTTATTTCTACTGATCAGGACTAGGCAGTTGAGTTTGGAATACGTGATTCGGGTAGGACGTTCACAGCATATCCTCTGGGCAACTGCATCGTGCTGTCAACTTTTCTGACTTTGCTTTTCCCCTGTTGGATATGTCAGCGGCCAGCAAGCTAACTACTTGGTCCTCCTTATAACATCTCCCCCAGTACCAAGATATAGAAAGTATATCGGAAACAAATAGCGCCAAAATGTCGATCAGTTTCAATGTTACATTGGCAAACTAGAGTTCGGCTTATACCCTTCGTCCGCGGGATATTTGAGTATAATGTAACCGTAATGACCAGCTTTTCCAAACCAGACTGATCCGCTCCATTACACAGAGAGACCTGCTGATGCCATTCTCAAGGATCAATCACCTCTCATCTAGGCCATGGCTCGTCATCAACCGAGCAAGCAATCCCCATATATATTTGCGCAAGCCACCCCGGTGTTGTAATTAGAGAGCTAAATTGAAATAGTCAAAAACTGCCCCGCCCGTACATCCATCATGAATGGTCTCATTGTAAACCTCAACGCCCCATTTCAATGGGTCATATACATTGTTCTTCTGCTTGGCCTCTTTCAGCCCTCACTGCAGCTGAGCATCAAGCAGCCAACCGATACTCCTGAACCAGCTCAAGCTTCACCCCGCTATGTCACTGCTCATTTCATGGTATGTCAATCTGACAGACTTCTCGATCTCCTATCCCTAGAAAGATCACTCTACTCAACACTTAACCAGGTCGGTATCGTCGAAAACTACACCGTCGCAGACTGGATTGTCGACATGAAACTCGCCAAAGAAATTGGCATTGACGCCTTCGCCTTGAACTGTGCCAGTATCGACTGGTACACACCCAAGCAGCTAGCCAACGCCTACGAAGCCGCCTCGCAAGCCGACTTCAAAGTCTTTATCTCCTTCGACTTCGTCTACTGGAACAACGGCGACACAGCCAAAATAACATCCTACATGCAAAACTACAGCAGTCACCCTGCGCAGCTACAATACAATGGTGCCGCCCTGGTGAGTACCTTTGTCGGCGACTACTTCGACTGGGGCCCTGTGAAGCGAAACACCCAGCACCCGGTCTTTGCCCTTCCACATCTTCAGGACCCCGCACAACTGAGGTCCATTAGCACGTCCCTGGACGGGGCGTTTTCGTGGTATGCGTGGCCGACGGATGGGGGGAATAGTGTTATCCGGGGGCCGATGACGACCGTGTGGGATGATAAGTATATTCAGAATTTGGGAGGGAGGCCATATATGGCTCGTATGTTACCTGAGATACTGCCTTTTGAATAAGTGTTTAGGCCAAGGGACTGAAAAGTCACATATAGCTGTTTCACCGTGGTTCTCGACCCACTTCAACTCGAAGAACTGGGTTTTCATTTGCGAGGATCTCATCACAGTGCGATGGGAGCAGATGCTCAGAATGAAACCGCAGCTGATCGAAATCATCTCTTGGAATGGTATGCAAAGCACCCCTCCTTCCTTTGCCCTCGACACTAACTCCTCCATTATCCAGACTACGGCGAATCGCACTACATCGGTCCCTACTCACCACACCACTCCGACGACGGATCATCGCAATGGGCAAAAGGATTCCCGCACGACGCATGGAGAATCATATCCGCGCCGTACATCGCAGCCTACAAATCCGGCGCATCCGCCCCGGAAGTAAAATCAGACCAGCTAGTATACTGGTACCGACCTACGCCGAAGGAAGCGCGATGTTCGCGTGATCCACTCGGTCTGCCGCGGGGCGTTGAGCTGCTGTCAGATAGTATCTTTGTGACGACGCTGCTTACGAAAGCGGCGACTTTAACGGTCACGAGTGGCGGGAAGCCTCCTGTATCTGTGGAGGTTGGGCCTGGCATCGTGACGAAGAATTTCACGATGGGTGTTGGGCCTCAGTCGTTCTCGGTGAGTCGAGGGGGGAAGGCTATTTTGGAGGGGAAGGGAGGAATGGATATTAAGGATCAGTGTGAGTTTTATAATCACAATGTTTATGTTGGGTCTGTGAGTGGGGCGAATGCGGGATGAGAATGGAGGAGCTATTGGACTATCTGGGGAGTTAACAAGACTTTTGACTGTCTCTTTCGTCGATTCCTGGCGTAGTGTTGTAGGTGCAAGTTCTACCTAGCTGGAGTGTCTACAAAAACGGGAAGTGTAGACTGGCAATGGGGATATTAGGGGATGATACACATCATCCAGAGGCTGGACAATGCATTCAGGGCATGAAGACTGCAGTAGTAATAATCATTCTCGTACCAAAGCGCCTGGGTTGTAGGGAGGCTGAAGGTGTCGAATATAGGGCATTTCAGGCCGAGCCCTAAGATTCGGGGCCCGGTTGTCTCTGGTGTCGGCCTTTAAAATAACGGATTGGATTCCTCACAATGTCGAGCTCCTACCTTGAAGACTATTTTAGGCTGTGTGCAAGCGACCTTCGAAGCTCTTTGAGCTGAGTTTCGCCGCCTTCCCCAGCGCTCATATGGTGAGATGTTGCATGGCTCGATATACGCAAACTACTTTGTGAATGCCTTTCAAATTATTTTAACCTAGCTTGCATCTCTCGAACTTTCCGGTACTTCCCGATTACTCTCAACTCGCAGCTCACTGGTTCGCAAAATTCCCTGCTGCATGTCAATATGCTCGACATCGTACTCCTCGACTGTTTGCTGTCGCCCCTGCAGCGAGAGATCTGACAAGGAGGTGCCATGATTCATTCCTGTAAGCGTTGAGCTAGAGGAGAAATAAAGTCCGAGCTTGGAGCGCCAGCGGGATGTACCGGTGCTGGTACCACTGGCAGAGAGGTCCTTGGACCTAAAGACTCGCCGAAAGAAGGGGCGCAGGGTTGGAACACAGGCTGCGACGATGACAACGTTTTGTTCGATGCTAGATTTGTTAGACCTCCGACTAGGGCGGGTATATTCATAAGGATTGAAAGTGAATATAGAACTTACAGCCCCCAGAGGACCAACGGGACGACGTTCCAGACTACCGTCACAGTGTTAGCCATCTAAATCCAACCCAGAGAGAATGTCCCCGAGAAGAAAGGCAAGACCTACGCGGATCCACCTTATCCGTAAACAGATGCAAATAGGTCGCCTTGACAATCGTCACGATGGCAGAAAGTAGCGTCAGCCCCATCATGACGCAAACGGTTAGTTTCTTGGAGAACGGCATCTGCAGTTTCCAGAACGCGCCGATAGGGACGACAGCAAGCACGATATCCGTCAGGGTAGTGTACGCGCTGACCCAGTACGAGAAGTCGTCGAAGACCGACGGATCCCAGCACCTGCCCTCAACCGAATGGTTCCATAGCTTCTGAGTTGGTGAGCATTGTAGGAAGACGACAAAGACGGAGATCATGGCAAATATGACTTGTAAGATTGACATGCCGTAAAGGAGCCGTGTGCGGAGAATGTTCGGATCGAGAAGCTGGCTGACGAGAATGGAGATGGAGATATTGGGGAAACTGAATGCGCCTGGGTTTAGTTTGGGCTGGTTTAGTATGCGTGTTGATGGGCGGTATTGGCTTGGACGTTGACGAACCGATGTTAAATGCTAACTAAAGATTAGGTGCGTTATTCCCACCATTTGACAAATATTAGGGGACATACGGAATCCCATGATCTGCCATTTAGCGGTCATCACCGTTCTTTCCACGCCATGTTCGGCGATCACGGCTGCAGTATGTCGACCCAGACCAAGAGTGACCGAATACGAAACCAACGCCGTTGCAATGATACTGAGAGTCTGGGCGGCATATTAGAGAGTATTTAATTGATCAAGAATTTGTCCACTGACTAGCGAGAAAAAGATAAAAAAGTCATCCCAGCCAGCCGTTTTCACTCCCATGCGGGATACAACTTTGAGCGAAACCGTCGCGATCGCAATGCCAGTAAACACCCAGCCGATTATGTGAATCTCAGCCTCTCGAGTTTCACTGAAGTCGATGTCAGCTTCCAGTGCTGCCATGTCCGTTTATTAGCTGCTCAGGAGATCTTATGGTCTGACATGTCCTTGCATTGGGCGCGGTTTTGTCTCATATCCGGCCCTGGACATGGCAGGATATTAAGATATTTTTAAACAGAACATCGAGTCCACAGCTCCCGACAGCCAACCTTGCTATTAATCCTGGTAGTTATCAATCCTAGTACAATCAGTAAAGCCAGAGCCTTGCCACCATATCGCGCGGGATTTGCCTGATCCGCGACAGCAGATGTGCACCCCTTTTTGACTCAGGGATCGGAATTGAATATGGTCAAAACAAGGCCACAGACTGCCCATAGAAGGCCTAAAAGAATATCCCGTCCAATCGCAGACGCGGCCAGGCAAAGGAATTGTGTGGAGTCAGAAAGCCATGGCAGAATATGACCTCGCAAAGAATTGGCCTTCAACAGGCTCCACCCCGTTTGGGTCTCTCCACGGACATGTCATATGGGTACATAACTAGTGGACGCTGAATGGTCTGGTTCCTACTCCGTAGACCGGTCCTAATAGGGGGATTTAGCAAGGTGAACCGGCTTGGTGCTCAATATAAATAAGCCATCTTCGACCCACTTAAAGCCACGCGATTGCTGTATCGGGTTGATCCCCCGGTAGGTAGTATCCAACCCGTCATTTCCACGCAATCGAACATGTTATATGCACGATCAACCCCTCTCCTAATTACGCTCTTTGGTAATTTGTGTATACGCGAATTGATATCATTCAAGTCCGAATAAACGCTCGAGTACCACGGTACATAATTGGAATTTTCACCTGAAATCGGGTATTAAATCGGAAATTATTGTCCTCTAGCGATCTTCTTGGATACCAGGGGCGCGACCGCTATGTCACTTTTAAAATTGAATGCTCAACATTTTAAATTGGCCCAAAACCTCTTAAATTAACGGTGCGCTTCGCAAGGATGATCCTTGTCAGGGGCAGGCGACGCAGCGTGTCGGAAAGCATTGGCCCGAACGTACTACTCCTAGCGTTTTAGTCCCAGCCGAGGACTAATTCCATGCTCTCATCGGTGGGAAGGAAGCGCTTAGATACGGACCAGGCGATTAATGGGGATCTGACTGATTTGCATTTGATTTAATGGCTTTACTAAGAGATTCGAAATACTATGTCATGTGTACGCTGAAGAAGGCGACTTTCCCCCTCAAGCCAGCTCAGCCTCGATCACGCTCTCCGCAACCCCAGGATATGTGTAGATATTCACCACGCGTAGACCAGCCTTTTCTATAATGGCTCTCCAGTCTGCCTCAGTTCGCTCGCGGACAGCGAAGTGAGCCAGCATCATCATGTCCATACTCGTCGCTTCGAGCGTCGGGTTCTCCTCGTCAACCACGATCTCGTGCAGTAAAACCCTCGAATACCCCGGCTTCAGAGCAGAGACCAAGTTCTGCAAGATGCTGACCCCATCTTCATCACCCCAGTCGTGTAGAACCGAGTGAAGGAAGTACGATCGGGCTGACTCAATCGGCTGCGGAGTGAAGAAATTATGCGCCTGGGCTTCGAACCGAGGCGATTGGTCCACGAGACTTGCCAGAACGCCAGCAATAACGGGTTCGCGATCTTGAAGAATAATCCTACCGGGGTAGGATTTAAAATGGGTCGTGAACGCAGCGACGTCGTGGCCTCTTCCACCGCCTACATCCACGAGAAGTACGTCGCTGACGGCGCTATCAAAGCCGGTAATAAGTCGCTCGGAGACGGGGTAGAATCCAGGCTCGTGCCACTCTGCCTTCCCAGCTCGATAGGCCGCCATGAAAGAGCCAAAATGCTGCAGATGAGGCGGCGTTGAGACCAACCACTCGAAAAAAGGGAGTTGAGTTTTCTGCGCGTCTTGGAACGGACCGTCGGTTCCTCCCAGCGTGGGAGATTTGTATCCGGTTTTCTTGAAAAACCGAGGGAAGCCGTTAAAGTTTGGCCTGGCTACATCGTAGCAGAATGAGATGCTGTGTTGGTATTTCTCCTCTGCGAGGTCGTCGCTCAGGGCTGTGCGGTGGAATGACCCCTGCGAGTATCCGATGATGTACATGGTTACAAGATGGCGAAGAAGACGCCGGAGCAAGACAACATCAACTCCTGTCTTCTCAGAAAGAGACACGGCATCCATCCCGGCTTCGCCAGCCTCCTTCAACAAATGGAAGAGTTTGACGTCGACCGCAAGCCGGATTATGCCTGACATGGCCGGCTACCATGCGTTAGCTGATTCAATCAGCGTTTCCTGCAGATGCAGCTTCTCACCTGGGCCCAGAAACTGCGCTGGACGAATTCACTTGGAATTTCGAGTTGCGCCACCAAGGCGCGACCAAGTTGAATGAGGCTTTCTCTTGCGCCGGCCTCATTGTTTTCGAGCGCCTTTCCAGTCACGGCAATATTTTGTAGGATCGAGGATACTGAATCAGACGACATTTTGAGTGCCCAGTTGGAGGATTACAATACAAGATAATAGAAATAGGCAGAAGTTTCGAGCCTCGACTTTGCACAGAGTAGAGGAGACCTGGGAATAATCCGTGATGTCACCCCTGAGAAGAGAGAACGATTGCAGTTAACAATGGGTGCCATCCAGCACCTGAAAGCATACGCCGTTGCACCCATTCGTCTGCGACTAACCCAAGAGCAGAAACCCCTCTAATTGATCTAATGCACCAGTCGAAATAGCGGGATACTAGATGCTACAGGGATGTTTTGGCCCCCTATTCTTAGTCTACATCAATATGATGTCGGCATTTTGAAATCCTTTTTTATTTTCAGTAATTTCAAATTTCACTGATCTTTTTTGTTTGAACTTGCACCGAAAAAGGCAAAAAATGTTTTGTCATCAAGATCGCCCCAAGTGATTGTCAGACAGTCAGCAATACTGAAAGGCTCACCTGCATAAATGACGTTTCTCTAGTCAATCAACAATTGCTGTCAGAAGGGACCAGAATTCTAGTCCTTGACCGAAAAATAGGCATTCAGCTAATTGGCCAAGTGTCTCTGTCGAACGTCGACGAATGATAAGTCTACCCGTATTGCAATTCCTGTGTCACGTTGGAGTTTTTTAATTTGGTATCATTCAGCCTACTGAGCCTAGAACTGGCCAATTTCCTTTGCTCTTGACGATCAATCTCAGACGCCCTGCACTAGTATAGACACTAAAGCACGTTGCATGCCTCTGTGTCGCTTTATTTAACTGGCACGTATTAATCCGCGGGTACCCACTAATCGCCCGCGGGGATCGCAGTTTGCGCGATGAGAGGATTTATTATATGTGAACGAAAATTGACCGGCGTGCTGGGACAGATGAACCTTTAACCCGAAACAAGATATTGCTATTTGGCATACTTTCGGATCCACGCATAACCCGAGAATTGAAGACTGGTCTGTCTTGCCACCAGAAAAGGTAGTTGTCGGTCTTAGCTTGCTAACTTCTTCACCGAGAACCCTGGTCTCGATGTGGTTGTTACCACCCGGGAGAGAAATCGGAGTATGTTAGTCGTTGGACGGGATGACATCAACTCTATGCCTGAAAGTTGTAGACTATAGACAATTAAAGATCGATCGAGACTTCTAGACACGGTAACAATCCTTTCTTTATTCCTTGAACCGCTCCCATCCCTCCACGTTAAATATTGCCCTATCCCATAGCAAACAAAATCATTCCTCCCCTCTCGAAACAACCGGCTCATCAACCATCACGACCCGAATCTTCTTCCTGTCGAGAAACCGTTCCTCATCTTCAGCAAGTCGCTCTGCATCCGCAATCAACGTGCCTTTGAAGGCATTGAGATGCTCAATGTCCCGAAACGTGAGCTCCGCGTAGACATCGACCTGGAGATCCGCGGGGTCCCCGACCAGGATACGAGGGGTGTAGAACCGCTTGTGAGTGATGGGAAAATGAATGCCAGCGATGTCTTTGATGAGTGGCATGTGAGTGGTTTCGTAGTAGGCTTTGAATTCGTCCGAGGTTAGGTCGGGTTTGCGGCTGAAGAAGGCAAGGATGGTACACGAGGACATTTTGGACGGACGGCTTATTTGCCCTTTTTTTAAAGGACTTCGGAGGTTTGGTAGGATTGGGGGTTCAGGCTGGGGGGGCCGTCTTTATTTATAGGCTCGGTACTCACGAGGCTACGTATATCCACAGTAAGCAACAGCGACTTACTCGGTTTAGTTAAATCCTGGGCTGTACGTGGTACCAAACGTCCAATTGACATTGGTAATCAGCATTCTTCCCAGAGTAAGCGCTAATCTAATCCGCCATTCCAAAAACACTTCATTCAAATATTCAAGACTGGGTTGTCTTTTTCTTGCGCTCAAAAGTGAGGGATAACACTGGTCCACCTCACAGTTTGGTAAGAACCAGCTGGGAACCGCCTCAAGCTATCGAGCGATTCAAACCCCAGATATATGACGCAGGCAAGATAAGCCAACATAGAGAGTGTAAGAATCATAACACGTCCTGTCCTACAAACCCTTGTCCAAGCATTCGAACCAGGATTGTCATCATTGAGGCATTGGCGAGATATCGGCACCCACCGCAGCGGCAATCCTAAAAGGTGCCGCCATAGGGTAGTCTCGTCAATCATCCCTTCATAACTATACTGCAAGGCATACGGCTCCAAATAATGTCCGAGGAAAAGGATTGGGAAGAATATGGGCATTACACACAGTTCAAGACATGACACACGCCATAGAGTGCGCTCTATCGGAGCAACGAATTGTCGTTTTCATGGATTGCGACGGCCAATACATCTGAATCCTTCTATTGGTGGGTTTCCGTTTCCCCGTGCTAAGCTTATTCTTTCGAAACCCCTACTTCCCAGATATCGGTTTATGATTTTCATCTCCGTTCTGTTATTTTCTAGTCAGCGTCAATAAATAGTTCCGTCCACATTAATGAAAGAGATGCCCGCTTTGGAAAAGCTCTGTCCTTTACGCATTATCGTTATCACTTCTTTCAGAGGATTATGCTGGTGGGTAACAAGGCCTCTGATGTCATCGTTGCGGTCTTCTCAGGCAGTACTCTTCATGGCTGCCAGGTGGTGACGAAGGCAACGATAAGAAGCTTGTGCTTCAGCAGAAAAGTGATTGTGGGATAGAGGAGGGAGAAAGGTGCATCCAACGGTGGGAATTAGCGAGTATTTGTGTCAATCTGCAAGGGCTGACGAGTGCAAGCCGGGAAAAGGCGACAGGCAACACCTAACCGCCCCGCCCCTGCAACTTGTCTCCAATGACTTTCTTGCGATCCCCGTCAGTACGGAAACCGGGCTAATACATCATTTATACCGAACGTCATTTGATCCCTGTGCTAGGTAAGTCATCGTCTCAGAACTCTTTCATTCGGCTCCTACGAAAATCCAGGCGGGACCTGTTTTGTAGGTACAATATGGCACCGTGCGGCCAATCAGCCTCATCGTCCACCACCTGTACATGAAGTGGTGCCCTCCATTTTGATCTCACCATCCTTGAGATTTCAATCAAGTGAACGTAATTATTCTGCAATTTTGGAAGTCATCTATTCGTTCCTGTGATTACTTTCCTTTTCCTTTTTTTTAATTCCTTTTTAATTCTCTTTATTTTTATCTTTCTTTCTTTCTTTCTTTCTTTTTTATCTCCGTCTTGCACTCCTGTCTCAGTGGACCATCGGTCAGCTCATGATTCGACAATGGCAGATTCCATGTCCAGGCAAGGAGAGAATTGCAACTTGGATTTTTATTTAAACCTCCCTCTCGATGCCGTTCATCCCCTTTCAGTCTCCAACTTTATGTTCAATGATATCGCTTTCTTCCAACAATATCTCGACGCGACAGAACCTCGGATTAGCATGCCAACCGGCCCGATGCCCCACAGACCTTAAATCCCGGGAGCGCCCCGGCGAATCATTACGTTCCGATCCAGGGAAATGCACCCCGTCCAAATGACATCAACACGGAGCAAAGCAGCCAGGCCAGACCGGAAGACTGCAGATCAGACCCACGCAACGAGTAATTATCACTTGGATGTTATCTACTGAACTATTGATTGCTGATCATAGAAATTCAAAGTGCAACACCACTGCATGGCGATGCTGCTGGAACGGTTGCGGCTATAAGGGCACCTTCGGGCGCAAGGCAGAGCTGATGCGACACATTGACACTTAGCATGTCAATCCTCGCTCATACCAGTGTCCTGGGTGCGGAAAGGTCTTCAACCGCAAGGACAACTTCAACGAGCATTTCCAGCGAGCCCATGCGTGAACGGAGGATAGTACTGCGCCTTGCTCTGTTGTTATTGTTCTTTCTACTTGTTTTATGTTTTTATTTATTTATTTTTTTTAAAAAAAAAAGATAGTAGCAGGCTGCTAGGGCCCCTCGACATAAATAATAGAGAACCTATGTAGTGCAGAGATTAGTGTCATATTAACATGCAGATATTATGAGAGTGGAACGAATGGCTCCAGCACCAGCGCTCAGGTGTAAGTAGTATTTTTAATCTTCTTTGTAACCATTTTTGCCTAAGTGCTCAAAATAATCCGACAAAGCGGATTATGAATTGTCCCGATAAATGCAAATTCGTCAAGGTACCTTAGTGTCGTGATACATATCGAGACCACCCTATTGCTAAACATTATATAAACTGCCCTGAAGCGGTATATATGTGTTGAGGCACATACATAGAAGGGTCCATGTAAGGGTTCGCAGTAGATGGTCTACACTCCCATATGAGCTGGAAAAAGAAAAAAACCAACATGAAACTCTCTAGGGATTCCACCCCCAAACCCGCCATATATAGTACCGGACTAACTTGGGAACAAGCTACCCGCTGCCAACGCGGTCTTCAGAGATAATTTTACACTGAATAAGAAATTACTACATATTCCATCCTTTCTTTTAGTCCAGTACATACAACCACAGGGTGAGGAAAACAGGGCTTCCTATCCGTTTAGCTGTATTTAAGCCTCCTAAGTTTATATAATTAATTATCAAAGAGCCTTTAACCTAAATATTTTTCTGAAATAATTTTTAGATCAGATATTAATAATAAGGGGTATTCTGTTTATATATAGTAACTAGTAGTTATTAATGTCACTAGTAATCGTCAATAATCGCCAGTGGTCACCAGTGGTCGCTAGTAATTATTAATAATTAGAACTAAAAAGGTTTTAATGTGGTTAGTAGGGGGTCTTAAGTGTCAAGGTGCAGGCTGGCGGGTTGGTAGAGTTGGTGCAACAGGGGCAGGCAGGACAGGTGGTCTGGTGGGGTTAAGCAGGTTAAGCTTATAAGGTCTTTAATTACTACTATAGTCAGGCTATATATAAGATAATAAATAAGATATAGCTTAAGGGGCTATAATAGGATCTTTAGTATTTAAATTTTTAAGTAATTAAAAATTTAAAGTTAAAAATAGGTTCTTCTAGCTTAATAATTTTATTTTAGTTTTAATAAGTTTAATAATATCTTTAAATCTATATTATGATAATATATTTTCTTTTTATAATTAAGCTTTATTAAGGCTAAAAAAGGCTAAATTTATTAAAATACTAATAATAATAATTTAAATAATTTATTTAATATATTTTAAATAACTAGCAGGCTCAGTAGTAGGATTTATATATTTAATTTATTTTATAATATACATTAAATAAAAGTAACTATAGTTATAATAATTTTAAAATAAATTAAAAATATTTTTAATTTTTTATTTTTTAAGTTTATTAATTTTAATATAAAATAAAAGAAAATTTTATTAGCTAGATGAAATATTTAAACTAATAAAGATAAATAAGCTTATATTAAATATAAAATAAATTTTTATATTAAGTAAGAATTCTAAATAATAAATATATAAACTAATAATTTTTTTAGTATAAACTTAAAATATTTTAATTTAGCTTTTTATTAAGCCGCTGGGTTTCAATATATTAGATATTTAATTAAATTAATTAATTTTTTTAAATAAATAAATAAAATAATACTAGCAGTTTATTTATTCAATATAATAAACTTAAATAAATTTAGTAATAACTTATATTTTTATAATAAATTATTTTATATTTTATATAATAAAATAATTATAGATATAATAATTTTTATTAAGATAAATTTAAAAGTTATATATAAATAAAAGTTATAATTAGTAAAGAATAGGCTAGTTTTAATTAAGTTAAAATATATAATATTTAAAAAGAATTTAGTTAAAAAAAATCAGATATTTTAGTTATTTTATAATAATTTATATAAATTTAAAAATATTACTTTATGTCAAATGGGGTCACCTGACATCACCTGATTCATCAGAATCACCTGATTTAGCCCCACAACCGAAATTATTCAAAATTCACTATAAATTTACTCTTACTTTATCAAACTCTCACTTCCACCACCAAATTGTATGGGAAAAGTGAGGTAAAACTAAGCTTAATGTGAGCGGAAAATGAAAAAGAAAATTTTCTAAAAAATTTCCTATTTTGGACTAGCTTACCTTCCTCTTTAGAAAATCACCGGTCGCTAGAATCCTATGGAAGTTAGAAAACACAATTTGATGAATTTCCTATTTAGGAAATTAAAAGTTTATTTTAACCACTGCGATCAATGGCTTTGTTCAGATGATTAATACAAAGGGTCCAGAATGTCTCGCCTATTTATTTTATAAGCCATAAAGTTAATATTGCTATCCTGATTATTCTGATATTATTTAAATAATTTTATTATGATTTATGTGTTAAATCTCGACTATTCTAATTATTCTAATCATGAAATCTCGATCATTTGATCATTTAAATAATTAAATATTAATCTAATAATAATCTATGAGGTTAATCTTAAAGGCCTAGGTTAATAATATGACTCACAGGTGAAGGCCTAGAAGGATCTGATGATTCCATGTTTACAATATTTGCTTAAGGCCAGATTGAATTAGCCCTGATTCAATTATCTATAAATATGCAGTCAATGACCTGCATTGATTTATTTTTTTTATCAAGTTAATTTACCCACTCAATTCATTCAATTGAATTTCATTTATTCATTCAATCAATTTCACCTATCTACATGCATAGCGAATGGTAGGACCTCTGGTCTATCTATTTCAGATCTAGGTGGTCCAGGTGAACTGTTTACTTCATCTGACTGATCGATTTCCTTTATTCTATCAAGCCATTTGAAATTTCTATTCAACCCACGTGACCTACCTACCCCATCTGACACTTTAATATAATATTTATTTATTTAGTCTAGCTATTAGTCTCAGAATAATATATAATTAATAATTTATTTATAATATTTAGGTATTAGATTAGATATTCTTAGAATTTAATAATAAATTAAAGTTCTTAGTCTAATATAATAATTTAAGGCAGGCTATATAATTTTTATATATATTATATATATATTATAGCTATAAGAGATATATTAATAGTTAAATTATAAAAGATTAAATATTTTATTTTAATTAAATAATTTATAATAATTAAAATAATATTATAACTCTGGCTTTTAAGTAAATATATAATAAAATCTATAAAAATATCTTCTTAAATATATTTAAGTATAAATAAGGGATTTAGGATATTTTACTTAATTTTATAAGATAAAATATTTTAATAATAAGTACAATAGTTCTAGATCTGTTAGGCTATATATTAGTATATATTAAGCTAAAAGTATTCACAGATAAGAAATTTATATATATAGTTTTTTTAAAATGTTTAAATATAGGCTTATTATATATTAAGTAAATTAACTTAGCTTAAAGTTTATTATTTTTAAAGATTTATAAATAATTTTTATAAAATAAGAAATTATTTTATTTTTTATAAATAACTAAAATAATTTTTAAATAATAGTCCTTTTTTATAATAAAGGTTTTTTAAACTTTATAAATTAAATTATTTTTTTATATGATTTTTTAGATTTATCTAAACCTTAAATAACAATTATAAATCTTCTTTATTTTTAAAAAAAATATTTTAATAAATCTAGATTATAAAAGTAAGCAAGATCAAAAGTTTAGGGGTTTTTACTAAATTAAATTTAGCTTTACTAATATTAAGATTCTTATATTTTAATATTACTTAACTTTAATATTATAAGTATTTATCTCTTTTTTTAAAAAGATCCTCTAACCTTTTAATTAAGCTATTTAGTTTAGTTCTATATTTTTTAAAATAATATATAATTTTAAATTTAAATTAAGATAAAAATTTAGACTAGTAGGCTTATTATTAATTTAATAACTTAATTAACATAAAATACTTCAAATTATAATAATTAAAAATAATTTAAATTAAAGATAGGGTATTTTTAAGCTTAGGATATTATTTTTTAAAATAATAAATAATAGTAAGTAATTTTTTATTATAAATCTTATAATTATATTCTATAAAAAAATATTTCTTTAAAAAAAAATAAAATATAAGATTGTATTATTATTATATTAAATAAAACTCTAGTAGAAATATAATTAAAAATATTAGTTTTTAAAATTATAATATATATCTAATTAAAGGGCTATAAGATTAAAGTATTAGTAAAAGCTTTTTTAAGATAATTAAAGGTCTTCTAGTAAGATAAAATCTATTTTTATAATACTTTCTTATAGATTAAGCTAATAAGTAAAGTAATTAACTTTAAAAAATCTTTAATAAAGTAATAATAAAAATTATTAAATCTTAAGAATACTTAAATATTTATAATATAGGTTAGAATAAATTAGTTAATTATTATTTTAATTTTAAAAAGGTTTTTTTTTAAATTTTTTTATAACTAATAATTAGGCCCGGGGACTTAGTTTTAGAGATAATAAACTTATATTTTAAGAATTTTATAAATAAGTAGACTCTTTATAACTTTTATAAGACCTAGCAGACATAATAAATATATTCAAAGTAGATTTAATTATAAATTAGAATAGTATTTAGATAAGTAATATAAAGAATATCTAAATAATTATATAAAATGTTATTAATATAATATTAAAATGTTCTAAGGGCTCCGGCCAGGCTAAATAATATTATTAAAGATTTAAATAAGCCTAAATAAGTATAAAATATAATTATTTATTTTTAACCTTTCTAAATATCTAAGTTATTAAAAGTATTTATAATATTAATTTTTATAAAATAATATATTTTTTTTGAATTATTTAAGGTCTCTTTTACCAGAAGTAATAAATAATAATCTTTAATTGTAATTATATTTAAGGCTTAATAATTAATATAAAAATATAAGTCTTTATTAGACTTATTAATAAATAGGATAGGTGTCAGATGGGGTAGGTAGGTCACGTGGGTTGAATAGAAATTTCAAATGGCTAGATAGAATGAAGGAAATCGATCAGTCAGATGAAGTAAACAGTTCACCTGGACCTCCTAGATCTGAAATAGATAGACCAGAGGTCCTACCATTCGCTATACATGTAGATAGGTGAAATTAATTAAATAAATAAATGAAATTCAATTAAATAAATTAAGTAGATAAATTAATTTAATAAAAAGAATGAATTAATGCAGGTTATTAACTATATATTTATAGATAATTAAATTAGGGCTAATTTAATCTGGCCTTAAGTGTCACGGTGCAGATCTTAATGCCTGAGGCATCTTCTAATTATGGCCCGGAAGGCCATATTATCTGTTCCGGGATCTGTATATCTTCCCGCTTGCTTGAAGATCCTGTTATAACTCTTTAAATTATATCTTGTTTATTAGCCTGTATATAGCTTAATCTTATAATAATTTAGAGATACTGTAAATTATTAGCCTATTTATCTGCTTATTATTAGCTTTA